TAACACCCTAACACCCTAACACCCTAACACCCCTAACACCCTAACACCCTAACACCCTAACACCCTAACACCCTAACACCCTAACACCCTAACACCCTAACACCCTAACACCCTAACACCCTAACACCCTAACACCCTAACACCCTAACACCCTAACACCCTAACACCCTAACACCCACCCCTAACACCCTAACACCCTAACCCAACCCTAACACCCTAACACCCTAACACCCTAACACCCTAACACCCTAACACCCTACACCCTAACACCCTAACACCCTAACACCCTAACACCCTAACACCCTAACACCCTAACACCCTAACACCCTAACACCCTAACACCCTAACACCCTAACACCCTAACACCCTAACACCCTAACACCCTAACACCCTAACACCCTAACACCCTAACACCCTAACACCCTAACACCCTAACACCCTAACACCCTAACACCCTAACACCCTAACACCCTAACACCCTAACACCCTAACACCCTAACACCCTAACACCCTAACACCCTAACACCCTAACACCCTAACACCCTAACACCCTAACACCCTAACACCCTAACACCCTAACACCCTAACACCCTAACACCCTAACACCCTAACACCCTAACACCCTAACACCCTAACACCCTAACACCCTAACACCCTAACACCCTAACACCCTAACACCCTAACACCCTAACACCCTAACACCCTAACACCCTAACACCCTAACACCCTAACACCCTAACACCCTAACACCCTAACACCCTAACACCCTAACACCCTAACACCCTAACACCCTAACACCCTAACACCCTAACACCCTAACACCCTAACACCCTAACACCCTAACACCCTAACACCCAACACCCAACACCCTAACACCCTAACACCCTAACACCCTAACACCCTAACACCCTAACACCCTAACACCCTAACACCCTAACACCCTAACACCCTAACACCCTAACACCCTAACACCCTAACACCCTAACACCCTAACACCCTAACACCCTAACACCCTAACACCCTAACACCCTAACACCCTAACACCCTAACACCCTAACACCCTAACACCCTAACACCCTAACACCCTAACACCCTAACACCCTAACACCCTAACACCCTAACACCCTAACACCCTAACACCCTAACACCCTAACACCCTAACACCCTAACACCCTAACACCCTAACACCCTAACACCCTAACACCCTAACACCCTAACACCCTAACACCCTAACACCCTAACACCCTAACACCCTAACACCCTAACACCCTAACACCCTAACACCCTAACACCCTAACACCCTAACACCCTAACACCCTAACACCCTAACACCCTAACACCCTAACACCCTAACACCCTAACACCCTAACACCCTAACACCCTAACACCCTAACACCCTAACACCCTAACACCCTAACACCCTAACACCCTAACACCCTAACACCCTAACACCCTAACACCCTAACACCCTAACACCCTAACACCCTAACACCCTAACACCCTAACACCCTAACACCCTAACACCCTAACACCCTAACACCCTAACACCCTAACACCCTAACACCCTAACACCCTAACACCCTAACACCCTAACACCCTAACACCCTAACACCCTAACACCCTAACACCCTAACACCCTAACACCCTAACACCCTAACACCCTAACACCCTAACACCCTAACACCCTAACACCCTAACACCCTAACACCCTAACACCCTAACACCCTAACACCCTAACACCCTAACACCCTAACACCCTAACACCCTAACACCCTAACACCCTAACACCCTAACACCCTAACACCCTAACACCCTAACACCCTAACACCCTAACACCCTAACACCCTAACACCCTAACACCCTAACACCCTAACACCCTAACACCCTAACACCCTAACACCCTAACACCCTAACACCCTAACACCCTAACACCCTAACACCCTAACACCCTAACACCCTAACACCCTAACACCCTAACACCCTAACACCCTAACACCCTAACACCCTAACACCCTAACACCCTAACACCCTAACACCCTAACACCCTAACACCCTAACACCCTAACACCCTAACACCCTAACACCCTAACACCCTAACACCCTAACACCCTAACACCCTAACACCCTAACACCCTAACACCCTAACACCCTAACACCCTAACACCCTAACACCCTAACACCCTAACACCCTAACACCCTAACACCCTAACACCCTAACACCCTAACACCCTAACACCCTAACACCCTAACACCCTAACACCCTAACACCCTAACACCCTAACACCCTAACACCCTAACACCCTAACACCCTAACACCCTAACACCCTAACACCCTAACACCCTAACACCCTAACACCCTAACACCCTAACACCCTAACACCCTAACACCCTAACACCCTAACACCCTAACACCCTAACACCCTAACACCCTAACACCCTAACACCCTAACACCCTAACACCCTAACACCCTAACACCCTAACACCCTAACACCCTAACACCCTAACACCCTAACACCCTAACACCCTAACACCCTAACACCCTAACACCCTAACACCCTAACACCCTAACACCCTAACACCCTAACACCCTAACACCCTAACACCCTAACACCCTAACACCCTAACACCCTAACACCCTAACACCCTAACACCCTAACACCCTAACACCCTAACACCCTAACACCCTAACACCCTAACACCCTAACACCCTAACACCCTAACACCCTAACACCCTAACACCCTAACACCCTAACACCCTAACACCCTAACACCCTAACACCCTAACACCCTAACACCCTAACACCCTAACACCCTAACACCCTAACACCCTAACACCCTAACACCCTAACACCCTAACACCCTAACACCCTAACACCCTAACACCCTAACACCCTAACACCCTAACACCCTAACACCAATTCTAGTCTTTATGATCTACCACTAGTGCAAGCTTACCAAGATTATCTCAAAGCTTATCAACTCAAAACATCTCTTTATAATATTAAACGAGATTTATTAATTTATAGCACTGAAACTGAAACCAGAGAAGAAACCGAAATCTTATAGACTCCAAGACCACTCGGAGGTAGTTGCATAACTCAACTTCCAAATGGAAAGCTATTCTGTTTTGGTAATAATGAACGTTTTGATGATGGAAATTCTAGAATGGATGAAATCTGATTTGGTAATAATATACCTTCTGGAATTTCAGTGTTAATTGATGTAGATGGTGGAGTCGAAGTGCTGCCCTCAGGAACAAAAAAATCTATTTATTTTTTTTTATAATTTAGTACTCTCTTTTGCTTTAAATATCCACTAAAATGTTTCCACTCTCATTTAAATTTCAGCTCGAAGACTCAATATAACGCTTCTTAAAAGAAATCAGTAAGAAATAGTACCCATCTGGAACTCCTTGTAATAACTCATCATGCATATTGGCTTTAAAGAATGATGATTGCATATAGATAGTCTTTCGAAACTGCATATTGATGGGATAAATGGTATGGTATGCTCCCAAATATAAATTCATCTTTCTAGTATTGGCATTTTAATAAGAAATTGCACAGTAGGGCAGTGCTCAAAAGATCCAATAATCTATATACCCCATTTCATCTTTTCTTAAGCCCAACAGAAATTTATAATCAATCTCCATCTTTCATCATCAAAAGCTAAACCCTGTCAGAGGCTGCAATAAAACATCAAGTGACCTATATCTATTTCAACAATAGCATCTATTGCTTTTGAGGAAAACGCGGAATACATTCAACTCAATCTAGTAGATTTGATTTGGATTTAAATCGATGAATTAAATTAACTCCAATGCCAAAGCTTGATTATAGGTGCAGTAGTATAATATTTAATGGAAATATTTTGATTTCTGGATATTGAAATAGAAATCTTTGGTTATACTCAATTGATATTGACTCTTTCTCGACAATTCCTTATGAGTTTAAAGAGGATAAAAGAAAGATCCTGATAAATGCAGAGAGGCTATATTTGATTGAATGCCCTGGATCAATCTATGAAAGCGAAGTTGGAAGTTACTCGAATTGGAAATGAGTAGGAAAATCAACAATCGGTAATAAGTGTATTGTTCATATAATAAAGGAGGAATATACATTCAGGAAGTTTAACAATCCCCATCATGATGATAACTCCAATGCATTTTACAACTCAATTTCACTCAATTCATGCCAATATTCATCTCTTTCCTTAAGTTTTCCACGACTTCTTTTGCTTTCAAATGTTTGGTTTGTATATGATACAATATCCTGGAGCACTTCACTTGTAAAAAACAAATTGAATATTTCAGTGATTGAATAATTATCTGGAACTCTTATATTTGGCTTCTCGCATTCAACCTCCATTTCTTCAAAATATTCAGGCTGCACTTCATTCCAGCCTTGAAACCCACTATCTGTTGGCTGCATGCAGCCCATTTTAATGAGATATGCATCTCTTTTTATAAAATACCTATGAGGCTACTATGCATTTTTTTCAAACGATGGTGATTCTTACTATGAAAAAGGATATGCTTTAAATAAATTAGGAAGATACTCAGAAGCACTAGAAAGCTATGAAAAAGCTATCAGCATCAATCCAAATAATGCCAGGTTTTATAATCGTAAAGGCGATAATCTTTATGTTTTAGAGAGATATCAAGAAGCAATACAATGCTATGATGAGGCAATCAAACTTGAACCCAATAATCCTTTGCATTTCTGCAGCCGAGCTAGAATATTTAATAGTCTCAGACAAGAAGAAGCAGCTTTGCAGGACTTTAATAGGGCTTATAATTTGAAGCAAGAAAATCAAGTAAGTGGCGTTTTCACTGGGGATGAATGGAAACTTTCTGAAAAAGACATAAATTTTATTAACGACGCATTACGCCGATCCCTAAAGAACTATTCCAAAAAATGCAGATTTAAAATAAAATTTGATTCTAATACTCTTTTGTAAAAAATCTAAGAATTGTAATTTTTGTCACTTTTCTTGCTAAAAGTCCAGTTTATTATTTTTGCACCTTTTCTTAGTTTTATGGATTTTAGAAAATTTGGTCAATTTATCAGCTTTATTTGCATAGAATTCAGCTTCTCTCTACTTATCGTTAATATTTTAATTTTTTTAATGCTTTAAATAATATATTTGTAAAATATAGGAGCATATCTCTGACTTTGGTATGTGCTCACACCTAATAGCTAATAGCGAAATATATTAGCAAATTAATAGTTAACCTTGGCTTTTAAGAGATATGAAACTCTCAGAAATAGTAATATGTGTTTAGATATAACTTTACCTTACATTATTGGCTTGCTAAGAATGATAAGAGAGCTTGAAGAAGCAATTTTGGCTAAGCTTAAAAAATATAAATATAGATAATAAGCCCAAAATCCGCAGCATTAATAGGCCAAATCGCTTAATTTTCCACAAATAAAGCTATTCATTTATTTAATTTTTAACACTATCTTGCATTAAATTATAAAATTTAAAAAATTGAATCAGATAGTAAATATTTCATCAGAGGTTTTAGGTTAAATCTTAACACCCCCTTAGAATTAAAACTAGATGGATTGTACTCCCATCGCGAATATTATAGTCCCTTAAGCTCCATTCATCTTCTGTTTGCCTACCTGCATAAATCAGCCTTTGAGATGGCACTGGAGTTCCCTCAGCATCTTGAATTTTTTGTTTCAAACTCTTAATGGAATCGGATGAGCTAACTTCGAATTCGTAATACTCTCCCCTCAAATTTTTAACTGTAATTAAAAAGTTTTCAGTAATGCAGCTTCATGTTTCCAAACGAAGGAGTATCAGAGCGCCATCATATATATTAAACTCAGACATAATTTCGTTGTCAAATAACTCTCTTCCATTAAATATTAATCTTTGTTGAATTTCTGGGATACATTTTCTATTAAATATTTTAGTTTTTAACTCTGCTACTGAATCAGTGGATTCAACTTGGAGGCGAAATCAACGATTTTCTGATGTCTTAAAAGTTAAAGAATAACTGCTAGGGCGTTTCGAAGTTTCAATTATATCTGAGCTTTCCTCTACATCAATAAGAATTCTTTGACTGAGTTCTTCAATTCTATTTTCAAGGATTGCGGATCTAACTCTATCTTCAGTTAATGCATTTTCAAATGTTTGAGTTCGGCCATTATTTATTTCTATTGCTTGCTTCATAATTTCTTTTTTAAATCTTGCTAAATCTTTGGTCTTGATTTGACTTTTTCTATATTTAAGAGGCAAATCACTTTTAAATTTGTTTATCATCCTTCTCAGTATATAATTAGGAGTTAATAATCTATGACGAAGCTTTTCGTTAGTCATTGGACTTTTGTGATGACCTTTTTCTAATCACAAGGTCTAAGTTTAAGTTAATAATTGTAGCTTTATCATTATTTTAATACTAATCAAAAGGTGATTGCTGATCTTTCATATGTAAATCCATCAGCTGCGACGACAGGGTTTTCCATTAAATCTCGAGTGATTGGGCACAAATACTCATCAGGAGGATTGAGATTTTCCTCAACGATTATGAATACTGTGAAAATAAGTAACTGGAAATTAATTTTAGGGGGCTATTTTTATCTTTCGATATTTTAAAATATAAATCCAGAAATCCTGCTAAGAGATTTTTTACATGCAAATAAATATTTTTTAATTATTAGTCCAATTATTATCTGCTTTTAATTCAGATTTAATTTAATTAATAATCAATATCTGAGTTAAATTAAATTTCAGCAAAAGCGTCAATTAAAATCATATAATAATTTTTAAGAAATATTACCTTATAGCTCTTCTGTGAACAACGTTTGGCTGCTTGCCGAAACAACTCTTGCCTCAATATCCTGTCCTAATTTCCAGCTTCCCTTTCCAAAAGTCCTCTTATTCTGTTCTGTTCTCCCAGTCCAGTCCCAGTTCCCTTTCAATGCTGGCCCATCTACCATTACCTTCACAGTCTTCCCAATTTCCTTTTGATTTATTTCCTTTTGTATTTCTTTTACAACCTCAATAATTTCTGCCAACCTTCCTTTCTTTACGTCCTCTTTTACATCATCTTGCATCGCATTAAATGCATGTGTTTTACTTCTCATTGAGTAGGCAAACATATAAGCTTGCTCGAACCTTACAGTTCTCAATACTTTAAGCGTCTCTTGATGGTCTTCTTCAGTTTCTCCACAAAATCCTGCAATTACGTCTGTAGACAAAGCGACCCCAGGCAGCTCATTTCTGATTCTTTCAGCTAAATCTAAATAGGCTTGTTGTGTATGGTATCTCCGCATTGAATATAAAATCCTGTCACTTCCACTTTGTAAGGGTAAGTGAACCTGCTTACAGAGGTTTGGATAGGCTTTCATAACGTCGAGGACTTCTTGGGGAAAATCTTTGGGGTGAGGGGATGTAAACCTTATTCTCGAATTTGGGGCTTCTTCTGCCACATTGGCTAGGAGCTGGGCAAACCTGGCGCCTGATGGTCGGGATTTGAAAAGCTCAGAAAAACCTGGGGTGTTTTCGTGAGAATTTACAGAGTCCGAAGTGGTGTCACAGTAAGAGTTAACGTTTTGACCTAGTAAGGTGATTTCTTTGATTCCTTTGCTGTGCAAAAGCTTTACTTCTTCAAGTATTGAAGCCATCGGTCTGCTTCTTTCCCGTCCTCTTGTGAATGGGACCACGCAGAAGCTGCACATATTGTTACAGCCTCTCATAATAGAAATAAAAGCTGAAATTTCATTGTTTCTAACTGGGGTTATATCAGCATATGTTTCTTCAAGAGAAAGTTGGACATCTATAGCATTTCTTTTTGGGAAGCTAAAAAAATTATTAAAAAAAATTTAAAAAAAATTGTTTTGAAAAAAAATTCTTTTCCCCGTTTTGATAGTGAAAATGCATAACCCTTCTTTTTGCCATCACACATTACAGCTTCTACTAATTTTGGAAGAGCTCTATATGAATCAGGCCCTACCACAATATGTGCAAGTTTTTCTTCTAAAAGAGAACTTTTAAGCCTTTCAGCCATGCATCCTAAAACTGCGATTTTTGCCCTTTTGTTTTGCTTTAAAAGCTCATGGAGCCTTTGTTTTACTTTTTGCTCTGCCTTTTCTCTAATAGAGCAGGTGTTGATTAGTACTAAATCGGCCTATTTGGATGTTACTTTGTCTGATGTGTCTGTTGATTTAAGCCCAGCAGAATGGAGGATGCTGCTAACTATTTGTGAATCATTCTCGTTCATGGCGCAGCCATAAGTCTGCAAATAGTATTTAAGGTCTGTCAATTTTTCAGGAACGGGGATAGCAGAATTGAGGACTGGATTGATAAATTGAGATAGGGGTGGGATGTGTGAAATTCGCGAAAAATGACGCATGGTTTATTATTTTTTGTGTTATCATAATTATAAAGAATAGGAATTTGATGACTGTAAAGCATAAAAAGTTATAAGAATTAACGATTTATTCGCTTAAAAAATTTATTTTTTAAAGGTTTTACAATAAGGTTATTATTGAAGACCTAATAATTTAGTAATAAAAGATGTGGGATATAATTTTTAATTCAGGCGCAATAAGGTATTTTAATAGAAATAAAATACTTATGAAGATATATTTAAAGCACCAGAAGGATTAATTCTCGTTGTCGGCCATACTATGCCTAACGCACCAGATCCCATCCGAACTCTGAAGTTAAGCGGCATAAGGCGAGGTTAGTACTTGGGTGGGGGACCGCCAGGGAAGCCCTCGTGCTGACAGCTAAACTTTTTATTTTTATGAAAAACCTAATTTTCTTAAATTCTTATTAATATTCCCATAAATTTGCTTAATTATTTTATATCTATACTAATTATATATTCAATATATAAATTTAGGGTCAATAAATAGAATACAGCTTAAAACTTTGGAGATAATTGTCATGATCTCATAATTAATTGTAATTATAAATAGATAAACGCGAAATCGAGGGTTCAAATAAATGGAAAATGAAATTGAGTTTCTTAAACAGACTTATCAACAATATAAATTAAACCAAAAATATTTATTGTTCACAGGAAACAGAAATAGGTATGAGCCCACAGTTGTCATTCTCAAGCCTTTATCTCCTTCAAAAGAAATCACAGTACTTGAATTCCCTCAAAAACTATTGCACGGCAAATCTCTTCATTACCAATTAACACCTAAATCCCTTTTAGGGCGATCAAGATTTTTTATTCTATTTTAAAGAGTTTAAAACAATAAATCACTTTTCGTTATTTTAAAAGACAAATCTATAAAATTTATATTTAAGAATGCAAACTGTCTAAAATATAAGATCTCATTATAGAAATTATTAATTATCTAAAAATTTCTGTGGCTTTAAGGTTAATTTTCCCAATAGTATGTTTTTATCAATAGTTTGTTATATCTTAAAGAGTGAGTAAGAATATTTTTACAAAATCTCCTAGTGCTCCCCAGACTGATAGAAAGGCTAATTTTTGCAATAAATGCTATATCTACTCATGCAGAACTCATTTATTTGAAAGATATCATAAAAAGAGCGCAAATGGGCAAAATATTCCTAGTTATTAAAACAAGATTTTATTTTTTAATAGGAATATTGCTATTATTATTTATATAAATGGATATACACTTTACAATGATACGTTTGTACAAGAAATCGACCCAACCTTCTGAAAGCAAACATGGCGAGCCCAAGAAAAGCACTTATTGAAGACAGGAAGATGGCTAATAAATTTCCAATGCAAAAATCCAAGCCAATGTGGAAAAATTACAGGCTCAGACCATAAGCCTCATTCCAATGAAATTGTCGACATCGTTATCCGATTTCTAAAAAACGGAATCAGCAACCCTTGCAGCATTTCTTTATTTTTAGCTATCCCCTGCAATGAAGCCTGGGATCTTATCAAATTATTAAAACCAATTTATTTCATATACCCAGAAACCCCTCAAAAGCTTCCAGAACTCGTTTTTACCGACAAAGAGCCTGCCCAAGTCCAAACACAAAACATTGTAGGCTGCAACTGCAATTGCAAAACTCCGTGCAACGTCACAAATTCGTGCCCTTGCATGATAGGCGACCCCATTTCTCCTGAAGAGCAGCCCAACGTGATTCCAGGTCGACAATTTTGCGAAAAATTCTGCCTATGCAATTCTGACTGTAAACAAAGATTTTTAGGCTGCAACTGCGAACTCGGCGCGTGCAACAGCACAAACTGTGTCTGTTTTGCTGCCAAAATGGAATGTGATCCTGATCTTTGTAAATTTTGTAAATGCAGCTCTATAATCCAGCATCCAGAAAATTTCGGGGAAAATTGTAAAAATTTGACGATTCAGCTTGAAAAATGAAAGAGGACGGCCCTTTCCCAGTCCACAATAGAAGGGGCAGGATTAGGGCTTTTTATATTAGAGTCTTGCAAAAAAGGAGAAATGATTGTAGACTATAAAGGAGAAATGTTGGAAGATGCAGAAGCTGACCGGAGAGGGTTGGAATACGACAAAAAGCAGCATTCTTTTATTTTTAATATAGATTCAAGGTATTCAATAGATGCGACTTTTTATGGGAATAAAATGAGATATGTAAATCACAAAAGTCAAGGGGAACAAAATTGTATGACGAGTATATGGAGGTCTTTAGGAAATACAAGGATCGTCCTTATTGCACTAAAGATTAAGATTAAGATTAAGATTACGCTGGGTATTTAAGGTCCCTACTACGTCCGAGGTCGCATGCCACGGTTTCCCGTGTGGTGGCAGAGCGTTCACCAAGCCCGGGCCGAAACCCCCGGTTTCTCGGTAGAGGCATTGTCAAGGGCCGTCTCATACCGGCTTTGCTGACCACCTCCATTTCCAACTTGGATCGTCGCCTAAGTTTACGCCAACTCCGCTTCGTCGTCCGCCAGATCTGCCCATTGAAGGGCACCTTTTCAACTGGAGAGACCCCCGTTTTTTTGGTGTCTAACTCGCCTCCCCTCTTTTCCGGTCATCCCGAGAAAGAACTCAACAGCTTTCGCCATTCGGGGCGAGCCACTAAAGCAGCTTAGGCAGGTAATTCACCCTGCCTCATTTCGGGCACTCACTGGGCTGAGCGCTGCTGGCAAAAAGAAGTCACGAATAACTGCCCATGGGTCTGGTCGCAAAAACAGCGGTTCTCGCACTTAGGCCTCTCGCTTCGAGGTTTCGGACGTTGTTGGGCTAATTCCTGGCTCCAAAAACCATGCCCGGATATACATGGGTAACCACCACTGAGAGGGTGGGGTCGGCCGCCATACGCCATTTTATGTATATCTTATTGCACTAAAAGATTTAGAGGCCGGGATGGAGCTGTTTTTTGACTATCAGTACCCGAAAGATGTCCCTTACGATTGATATCAGAATTATACAAAACAATTAACGAAGAAGAGGTCGAAATAAAATTAAAAGGTCTATTAAATTGAAAATTAAGGAATAATTGAGCAGTTTTTATTAGAAAATTCGTAGATATATTAATAATGGCAAACTCTAATATAGTCTATTAGCTATTTTTCAGTGTGCTTTTGAGTAGAAAATCGCTTAATTATTTTTTACCATTTTTGAGCTTCCAAAACCATTAAAAACTCTAAAAAAGTCTAAAACCCAATAGATACCTAGCAGAAGTGCAACTTTTCATCAGCTGCAGAAAACTCAAAGACATGGACACTTTCAGCAAGTCTGATCCCTTCGTCGAAGTCTACGAAAAAAACAGCACGACAAACAAATGAAAAAGAGTCGACAGGACCGAAGTGATATGAAATAACCTCAATCCTGATTTCGTCAAAAGCTTTAAATTTCCTTTTCAATTTGAAGAGCAAAAATATTTTCAGTTTAAAGTCTACCACGCTGGCGACGACAATGCAAAGATCGAAAATGATAATTTCATTGGAGAAGCTGAGTGCTCACTGGGAGAAATCATAGGCTCTCAAGGCCAGCAGCTTATAAAAACTTTAAAACTTCCAGGAAAACACGAGAGCAGAGGAAATATTATATTAAGAACTGAAGAAGTCAGCGCTAATAAAGATATGGTTTGTATTGAAATGGGTGCTAGAGGCCTTAAAGATATATCAAGCCTATTCGGGACTTTTAAGCCATTTTTCTGTATATCTAAAGCTATGGAAAATGGTGCTTATCAAAGAGTTTATATGTCGGAATACAAAAAAGGTAGAAATGTGTCATGAAATAAAATTGAAAAATCTTTACAGGACATTTGTACAGGGGATTTAGATAGACCACTTTTATTTGAGGTTTACGATCATCACAAAAGCGGAAATCACAAAAAATTCGGGGCTGCCCAAGTAAGTATAAAAAGTATGACTGAAGGTTCAGAAAAATCTTTCCAGCTTAAAGATTCATTTGTAGACAAAAAAAGTGGAAGATGTGCATCCAGACGAGGCAAAAAAGAGGAAAAAACTGTCGGGACTATGGTAGTAAGATCTTTGGACATCGTAAAAGTCCACAGCTTTATTGACTATATTGCAGGAGGATGCCAAATCTCGCTTATCGTGGCTATTGATTTTACAGCTTCTAATATGGATCCAAGAGACCCCCAGTCTTTGCACTATCTAAATCCAAATAATATGTTCAACCAATACCAATCCGCCTTATTTTCTGTAGGAGAAATCTTACTGAATTATGACAGTGATAAGCTCGTTCCATTTTATGGCTTCGGCGCTAAGCTAAATGGAGCCATAAATCACTGTTTCCCTATAAATTTCAACAACTCAGACCCAAATGTCCAAGGTCTCGACGGTTTAATGCACTCCTACAGTGAAGTCCTAAATGTAATTGAGTTCTCAGGCCCTACTCTCTTTGCCCAGGTAATCCAAAAAGCAGTCCTTGAAGCTGAAAGGGCTCAAGTCCATCAGGGAAATCAGCAATATTTTGTACTTTTAATTTTGACTGACGGAGAAATCCATGATATGCGGGCCACAATTGACTGAATTGTAAGGGGCTCTGCGTCGCCCATATCAATTGTAATTGTAGGGATTGGGAATGACAGTTTTTCTAATATGGTTGTATTGGACGCAGATGAAGAGCCTTTAATTGATTCTAATGGTAAACGGATGGAAAGGGATATTGTGCAGTTTGTGCCTTTTAGGGAGGTAGGAAATTCGCCTGTTTCACTGGCTAGAGAAGTTTTGGACGAAATTCCGAGAGAAATTGTGAACTTTTTTAATAAAAAAGGGATTTTTCCAAATCCGCCGGTCAGTGCGCCGGAGTTTGATTTTAGTAGAAGTTATAGTACGGAAAGGCAGGGGATTGCAGTGGAAGATGTGACCTTTCAGGTAGGCGGGAACCAGCAGTCACTTCCACAGAATATATATCCTTACAACCCGAATACTGTGAATTTTGGAAGAGCAGTTGTAGGCAGACAATTGAGCAGCCATAATAGTCGTAATTAAATATATAAAAATAATAATTTTTGTTGTAAATGTGAGATATTCGGTATAATTGATGAAAATAAGCTGCGATGATAGATTATTATTAATTGATTGGCTTAAGTCAAGATTGAATACAAAAAGCTATTATGTCTTGAAGAGGAATAGTTTTGAATACTGTTAAAATAGGCACAATGGACATATAAATAAAAATTATTTAAATCCTATTTAAATTTATAGTTCATATTAATTATAAGGATCCCCCCCCTCATTTGTCCAATTTTTCTAGTTTTTTTTTTCTTACTCCCCCCCTCCGTGAGTGAACAAAACCATTAGAAAAAATCGCTATTTTTTTTGCCCAAAAACCCACCCTCCGTGAGTGAACAAAAATTTTTTTTAATAGAAAAAATTTTTTATGGAAAAAAAAATTGATATATAAATGATAATTAGTATAAAGAAATCTAGAGCTAATTCTGTTTAATTTTAAACGAATTGCTTTTAAAACATAAATTTTATAAATTAAATTAATATTTGCTTTCCAATTTTTGCGAATTAGGATTTTTTTAAATTTCGAAAAAAAATAATTTTTATAAAATTAATATATAAAATTTTTTAAAAAAAAAAAAATTAACCCCCCTCCGTGAGTGAACAAAATTTTTTTGTTCACTCACGGAGGGGGGGAGCTAGAAAAAAAAAATTTTCAGGACCTCTTTTGTCCCAAAATCTAGTCAAAAATGATTTGTCCCATTTTCTAGTCATTTTTGGGATTTTTTTTCGAATGTCCTAAATTTTAGTTTTTTACTGTAAAAAAACTAGAAAATGAATTGAGGCCCTGAAAAAATTTTTTTTCTATCAAAATTTTGACTAGAAAATTGGACAAATGAGGGGGGGGGATCATTAGTTATAGATGCTTCATGCTTGTTTTTCAAATAAAAGCTTGCTTTAAATCTTCTATTTTTCGCTCAACAATAATCTTTCTCAAAACTATCATAATTTTTTTTAATTTTTAAATTGGCAGTTTCCATTCGATCACCCACAATTTGCATACTTATTTCAAAAAATGAATTAATTTTTCAGTGTAAGAGCTCTATTATTATATATATTTGCAACTTCAATAATTTATTTAAAAAAGTCTGATGCACAATATATTAATTCCAAATTCATCAAAAATCAGCATAAATTAAAGCCAGCTGCAAAGATCTCTCTCTCAAATATAAGTTAATTTTAGAAATATGAATGAAGAACAAAAAAGAGAAGAGTTAGGCTCCGGCGATAAAAGTAGCAGCATAGAAGACGCAGATTCTGAAGTTGGAGAAGAGCCTAAAGTGAACGCAATTTATGGGAAATCTATGAATCTATTTGGCAGAGAAAGCTTTAAAGTTGAAATTTTTGACGAAGATATCCCTGATATTCTCCCAACAATTTGGCGAAAAAAGAGCCAAATTGCCACCTGCACGCATTGCAAGCTGACAATTGAGACGAAAACTAAAAAGGAAGCGGGATTCGGCTGCTTGCTATTTTTCTCAAGCTTTTTGGCGATCGGAGGATGTTGCTGAATTCCTTGTATTTTTCCGAGAAATAAAATGGTGGAGTCGGAAGTTTGTCTATAAGGCACACTTCTTATGGAGCAGGTTGGATCTATCCTGATAAAGCTGAAAACAGGCCTCTGTCGTTTTTGAAAGTAAGCCTTCAAGTTTGGGAATGCCTTGCCGGAGAGGAAGGCTTCCTGTCCCTGCCAGGAGGTCTAGACAGGTCTGCTTCTAAAATAGTATTATTCTATCGGACTATCGGGCGCTCGATAGAGGATGTCTCTAACATAGGGAGCTAATCCTTAGGTTAGGTGGTTCTCACCAGGGCTGGAATTTTGGTTGGCCTTACACCATGAACTCTGGTGTATACGCAGTCACATTAGGCAACTAAACTAATGTCAAGGTAGTCCGAATAGTGGGGTTACTTATGGCTGTATAATCTTGGTCTTAATCTTGTATTTTTCCGATGTTCAGAGATACGGTCCACTATTGTCCAAAATGCAAAAATCGATTGGGATGCCGTAGTTTCTTATAATAGAGCTTCAATTATATACTTTTTCAGATTTCATAATAAAAAATCTATATAAAAAGATTTTCTAATTAAAAAATATATAAAAAGATATATATTATTTATCAAACATCTAATGTATAAACTAACCCTTTAATTCTTCTGCAATAATTTTCTTATTGCTAAAGATTTTATTCAAAAAAAGGCTTATAAAGGCTGCTTTCTATTAATTAATTTTAGAATTTTGTTATTTTGCTTGATAAAATATAGATAGAAATATGTTTAACTAATTTCAAATTTATTTATTTTCTAAATTGCACCACATTTCTAAGTAATTCAAGAGAAAGGAGCTAATACGACAATGATTAGACCTAAATATTGAGGATAGATAAAGTTAAACAAATGAGCCTTTTAAACTTATTGCTATTAATTTGACTATTTTGCTTGAATTGGAGTTTAAAATTCCCAATCGCTAATTTGGCAGTAGTCTCTTTTATATCAAAATTCTCTTTTTCAATAACCCTTATTGATGATCAATTACTTGAAAGATAAATAATCCCAACTTTAAATTTCCCATTTTTATGTTACACTTTCCTATAATTCTGCACATATTTCATTCACTATCAATTTAATTTTTTTCTCTAATTCTTCTCTCTAATATCCCCTTCTTTTGTCCTCAGAATTTCTTGTTATACTAAAAATGGAAGACTTTGAGAATCGACCCAAGGCTGAAAAATACTTTCCTCAAGCAGATGCCACCCTTGAAGGTGCCCAATCCAAGATGCAATTTCTCCAAGAAAACACAGAAATTGCTATAGGAATCCCTCTTCGACACCAAATTTATTCCCTTTTGCAATTATCTGACCAAGGTGGTCTCACAGTCCAAGAGGTCTCAAAGAAGCTTTGTTTAAATACAAAAACTTGTGCAAAGGTCCTAGACGAAATGGTCAGCAAATACCCTGATATCAAAGCAACTGCCCATCGTTATGGAAGAGTCTTCGTCCACAAATATCACATCAGTCAAAAACAAGAAGAAAAACATGAAAAATTACTAGAAGATGAAGAGTATTTGACCCAGGTGAACCAAGATACCCTCGATTTAATAAAAAAGACTGAATGTGACTATGGGAAAACGATCCTTAAAGCTATTGAAGTCAATGTCAAAGCTGATAGGCGGCCTACAAACCGCCAAAGGGTAACTCATCAAACCTATATAAGATCGTTATTTATAGTGTCAAGAATCCAGACATTGAAAGTCAGCTCTATTTATGAGATGAAAGAAATGATAAAAAGTGACTTAGAACCTAACGCAAAATGGAGCCTTGATAAGAAAACGGTCCTTAGGATTGTGTGGAAACTACAAGGGGTAGGGCTGATAAGGCAAATGTGCTTTAGAATTACCTTGAAAAAAAATGATGAACATGATTTGCAGTATTTGGGGGATGAGTATGGGTGTATTGAAAAAGATAAAAAAGTGATAAAACTTAATGGAACAACCGACGCGCGAGGAAATACAGTTCTTTATAAAGTTATTATAGCCCTGCCGAATATGTGTGAAAGTGACCCATTAGTGTTGGCCTATCCCCTATTGCAAAATCCTACTAATAGAAAGCCTATAGCAACTCCTGGCTATAAATTACCATCATCAGTTCCTATATTTTCAAAATCTATTTATTTGAAGAAGTTTTATCAAGAAGACCATAAATATTTTAAAAAAATTAAAGAAATTAGCGCAGAGAATTTTATAGAGATCGTCAAAACTTTATATAAATGCAAGGGAGAACTAGAAAAAAAAGATGAAAAAATAGAAGATGATGGGAGCATGCAAATTGAGGATGAAGAAGTGCCTGAAGTTGCCAGAAAAGCAATTAATTGCTCCGTATTTATTAAATGGGCTGAAGAATTTCATAGAAAATGGATACTAAAATGTTATGAAATATTCATCGGAAAATTCAGAGTATCATCAACTTATCTCGCCCTTAAATCAATTCAAAATTCTCAGAAAAAAGATACGCAAATAAACAATAAATTGAGCCTGGCATATGGAAATATCAGCTTTAAGCCAGCCAATATACACTCTTTTACAAGTATCCCAGAAAAATTATTCAATAATCCAATTGACGAAAAAATGGATATAGATGAAAAATTGCTTTGCTCTTCAACTTCTTCAGATGCAAATGAAAATAATGGTGATGGAGAAATTTTTGAAGAGCAGCTCAAAGAGATTAGGAAAAATATTGACGAATTGAATTTCCTTAAACATAGAAAATTACCTAAAAAGAGAAAAGGAGGTGTAGTTGATGCAGCTGCGACGATTAAGAAAGTGTTTTTGACATTGGAGAATAAGCCTATGATGATAACTATAGAGCAAATTGATAGTTTGACCAAGAAGTTAGACGTCGAGCCTACCCATTTCCTTATCCTTTCATAATATTAATTAAATCATGCTTTAAAATTTTCTATTAATATAAATACAAAAAGTCCTCAATTTTGTAAATAATATAGCAGAAAGTTAGCTATCTTCAAATGCTTGGGATTATTAGTGAGTGCTTACTCCCCCCCCCCTCCGTGAGCGAACAAAACCATTAGAAAAATCGGCATTTTTTGACCAAAAACCCACCCTCCGTGAGTGAACAAAAATTTTTTTAATAGAAAAAAATTTTAATGGAAAAAAATTTTGATATATAAGTGATAATTAGTATAATGAAATCTAGAGCTAATTCTGTTTAATTTTAAACAAATTGCGTTTTAAAACATAAATTTTGCAAATTAAATTAATATTTGCTTCCCAATTTTTGCAAATTAGGATTTTTTTAAATTTCGAAAAAAATATTTTTTATAAAATTTATATATAAATTTTTTTTTTAAAAAAAAAAATTAACCCCCCTCCGTGAGCGAACAAAATTTTTTTGTTCGCTCACGGAGGGGGGGGGGGAGTTAGGAAAATTCAAAGTTAACCCGCCGTGAATGTGAATGTGATGAGGTCTTCATAAATTTATCATAAATTCACTTTTAAAAAACTTAACCTTTAACTCTATGGTTCAGCTCCCAATATAATCAAAATCATGGATAATTCCATCATATTTTGAGAGTTTATAACAATCAATTGCCAAACTCTTATATGATACTACATTTTATTTAAACCATAAAATAATCTATTATTTACTCTGTTTTTTGCTTATTTCCTATCCTCTTACTCAAAACCCTATACATAAATCCTATAACAATTGTTGCTGCAAACCCTATCCCAAACGCACAAACGTCACATTCTCCTAACAGCTTAACAATTTTTTCCCAATTAGTCCTGCTCAAGGTAGGTAATTTATGACTTGTGTAGTTCTGATAAGTCTTATCCTTTACAAGTGAAATAACTGGGTCTAATTTAAACGGTTTTGTAATATTATAATAATACCCTTCATGTATATAAACAGCTGCAGGGTAGTCGTACAGCCCAAACTTATGGAAACTCCTCTTATTTTTCCTTAAATCGACCTTACACACCGGGACCTTCATATTTTCTTTTTCAAAGAGATTCCGGGCTGCAAAATTCCAGGTCGCAATAAGAAGTCCTGAGCTGTTTAGTTCGGCGTCGTAAAAGAGAATAAGTCAGTCGTTGCTGGTATTGTAAACTAAGTATTCAATTTCGTTGTCCGTGAGCTCTATTACGGCGGCCCCTGACTCCTTGCTGAGCTTACCTTGGATTTTTTCGAGTTTTGCCTCGAGGGATTCTTTGGCTGACTTGGAAAAAACGCAGGACAGAATTAAGAGGGAAAAGAAGATTTTTGTAGTCATGGGAATAATTATTATAAAATCCAGAATTTTCTATTTGAGATACTGTAAATTGTACTAATAATAAATAAGAAATAAGATATATTTTATAGAAAATATGTTCCTTTCAAAATATTTTAAATTAAAATGAGCTATTTCAGCATAATTATTAATCTATATTATTCGGACAATAAACACCACCCTTAAACTACTATAAAAAATCAAACTCATAAGAAATCCACATTTTTATATTATTAAATGGGAAATTTGCCATCAGGCGGAGGTGACCAACAAGGTAATGAAAACCGCAAAGAAGAGTACAAAAAGCGGCGCCAAGAACAGCGTATCCCAGCTCGCGTTGGGAAAAAGAAAAAGGTCCGGGGTACTGAAGGCGCCTCCAAGCTTCCTACAGTCACCCCCTCCCTAAAATGCCGTCTCAAGCAGCTCAGACTTGAAAGAATCAAAGACTATCTGATCCTCGAGCAAGAATTTATCAAAAACCAAGAAATCCTCCGCCCGCAAGCTGAAAAAAAGGAAGAAGAGCGTGCTAAGGTTGACGAATTGCGAGGATCTCCTTTATCAGTCGGCTCTCTTGAAGAATTCATAGACGAAAATCACGCTATTGTATCTACCTCAGTTGGGCCTGAATATTATGTATCTGTATTGTCCATTGTTGATAAGGACCAATTGGAGCCTGGCTCAAGCGTCCTTCTACATCATAAGTCTCATAGTGTGGTAGGCATTTTACAAGATGAGGTAGACCCACTTGTGAGCGTGATGAAGGTAGAAAAGGCACCTTTGGAAAGCTATGCAGACATAGGAGGTCTTGAAGCACAAATACAGGAAATTAAGGAAGCTGTAGAGCTGCCTTTGACCCATCCTGAGCTGTATGAAGATATAGGGATCAAGCCACCTAAAGGAGTCATTTTATATGGAGAGCCAGGGACTGGGAAGACTTTGCTTGCCAAAGCAGTGGCTAATGAGACTTCTGCGACCTTTTTAAGGGTCACTGGGTCTGAACTTATACAAAAGTACCTAGGAGAAGGGCCAAAGCTTGTAAGAGAACTATTCAGAGTCGCAGAAGAGCACGCCCCTTCTATAGTATTTATTGATGAAATTGACGCAGTTGGGACTAAAAGATATGACAGTAATTCTGGCGGAGAAAGAGAAATCCAGAGGACCATGCTTGAGCTGCTTAACCAATTAGACGGATTTGACTCTAAAACAGACGTAAAAGTCATTTTGGCGACAAATAGGATTGAGACACTAGACCCAGCTTTAATTAGGCCTGGAAGAATTGACAGAAAAATTGAATTTACCATGCCTGACATTAAAACTAAAAGAAAAATATTCCAAGTCCATACCACGAAGATGTCACTTGCCACTGATGTAGACTTGGAAGCGTTTATTATGGCTAAAGATGAGCTGAGTGGGGCTGACATTAAGGCAATTTGCACAGAAGCAGGGATGCTGGCTCTTAGAGAGCGCAGAATGCAGGTATGCCAAGAAGATTTCCTGAAGAGTAAAGAAAAAGTGCTGTATAAGAAAAAAGGGAATATTCCAGAAGGGCTTTACATTTAACTAATAGGTAGGTCTTCTTAATTTTGCGTTTAAATTTTCCTTAACCTCTCTGCAATAAGAAGTTTTTTTTTAAAAAAAAAATTATAAAATTTGCCTGAGGGAGTTAAACAATGCCCAAAATGAAGGCCAGTAAAAGCTTTATCGTTTTTGACCTCAAAAACGCTTTTAATCATTCAAAATTTATTATTAAAAATATGAAAATGCTATATTTACCCAAAAAAGAATTCAAAGGCTTTCCGAAAAAAGGAAAAAGAAGGGAGGAAGGCATTTTAGTACGAAAAAATGATTATTTATAATTAGGTTTATGTTTATTCTGTTTATTTGGCGAATTTCCTTTCTTACTCTGTGTATAGTTGGGTGAATTGCCTTCTTGTGGGCCTTTACGCTTATGCGCAAGTTCGTTTCCGCAGATACGACAGACTCTAACTAGAGTTGAATAGCCGAGGTGTGGCAACGTAGTCATGACTGGCTTATTCTAAATATATTCTAATATATATTATTGGCATTATTAATAATTTTTATATATTGTTTTTATACTACCAATCATGACTGGAGAGCATTCAGAGCAGACTGACCTTCCGCACGCCCGACAATGGTGTCTGCGTGTGATGACACCAAATTTGGTGTGGCAGCACATACAAAAGTCTTTCAAAGACCACTCAGCTCGCAAAGACTGCTTAACAAAAGACGTCCACTTTTCGAACTCTTCAGGCGAGCTGGCCCTAAGTTTTCATTGCTGGGATGAGTTATCTCTTGTTGCAAATTTTACAGTGAAAATCAGCGAACTGCCTTGCTCATTTAAGACTTCGAAGTTGTTGTCGAGTAGAATTGTTTCTACTGTGCTTTCTGAAGTGCTGCATTCTAAGGTCGAGCCTTGCAGCTTGAATTTGCAGTGGACTCAATCTTTCTGGTCAAAGCTGTAGGAACGCTCTGAGTTGTCAAGGATTGTGGGGAATTGGACGTCTAAGCTTCCCTCAAACACCAATTCGCTTTGAAGCATCACGCTGGATCGATCAATTTTGGACGAAAGGATTCCCATTTTATTGTATTAGCTTGACCACGAATATCATCAGGAGATGAAATCCTCATTGGCAGGCTTTTAGTTATTTATAAGGATCCTGATGGATTTAATTTCATATTGGATTTGAATTGACCATTAGAGACCAGAAATAATAGAGATTAGTTAGTTATTTAAGATTTCAATCTGGCCATAAGTGCACAAAGCACTAGCCTTTGCCCCATCTCGGCTCCAAGCGGGAAATTCCTCTTCCATTGCTTACTTGGTTTTCCGGTCTAAACTACTCGAACCCAAGGGTTAGCCCACCTGGGTTCTTCGCCCGCGTCTAAGTGCTCCGCTAGTCCCGACAGAGAAGGACTAGGTGGTAGGACAAAACCCAGCCTGGGCTGGGGCAAACCTACGGAGGAGAAATAAAACTTCACCCGGGGAGGACAAGAAACTCCTTCTCCATGCCCTACTAGACCCAAGGACGGTCTTATTTCGGTCGAATGGATTCGTGGAGCCATGCCTTGCCCAAAATGGGTGAGACGCCTCGGAGCTCAACTCCGTCATACGTCACCATTTTATTTCTTTTAATAGAGATTAGGAATATAAGCAATATATAGCAATTTATATGAAAACCTGTCTAAGATCAAGGATAGAGCGATTAATGTAGAGTAAAGCCATGCTATTGTCGACTTAGACTTTTTTATATATTTTTTGGATTTTAATTTCCTTACTCCCCCTCTCCGTGAGTGAACAAAAAAATTTTGTTCACTCACGCAGGGGGTTAATTTTTTTTTTAAAAGAGAATTTATATATAAATTTTATAGAAAATTTGTTTTTCGAAATTTTAAAAAATATAAAATTTATGTTTTAAAAAAAATTTGTTTAACATTATACAGAATTAGCTCGAGATTTCATTATACTAATTATCACTTATGTATCAATTTTTTTTCATGAAAAAATTTTTGCTCGCTCAAGGAGGGAGCAAAAAATAGGGATTTTTCCAATAGTTTTGTTTACTCACGGAGGGGGGGAGTTAGAGAATAATAGAGCGATCTTTAATTCTCCAAATCTAATTTAAATGCTTGACATAATTGCGGTCTAAGAAATAAATCGTCATGGCTATTTATAACAAAAACCGCGAAATTTATAATATTAATTACTTATTCCCTTAAAATATAGCTAATTATGCATTAAACTCATCTTGTTTTATTGATAGATTAAATATAAATGATAAAAATCGTTTAATATTACTTTTATCATAAAAGAAATTACGCATTAAACAGTTTTACATATTGTGATACTCTAATTCATTTCAAGCTTAGAATCTTTAATAAAAACCAGCCTAGCTATCTCTTGAGCATGATCCAATATTGGCTCCCCAATATTCAATTTCAATGCTTCAATGATTCTTGCTGCTTCGACTTTAAGCTCATATTTCTCTGTTGAGTTGAACGCAATAATCAAATATTCTTGCTTTGCAATATAATCTAACTCATATATTTTAATAAAATACGCATTGCAAGTTTTTAGCTTCCCTCTGCCTTTATAAATTAGTCTTTTCCTTTCCCTTCTATCGTTTTTGCATATGTTAAGAAATACTGTGTCTTTTGCTATATCAATCACATTTAATACCTCACTTTGTGGAATCGCCAAAAGGTCCTCTACAGAATTTAAGCTCAATATTGAGCATAATTCAGCCGTCGAATAAATCGTCCACTTTGGCTTAGGAATTCCACTTTTTAATGGGTAAGCTTCCAATATAACATTTAGCTTTTCTAAATTCCCAGCATCAGCCCCTACCATGGTCCTCAGTTTTTTAGAATCAAAGCCATGCCTGCTGATACAGACAAAGTACTCCTCCCCATTGATATTTTTTTTCCCATGCAAAATATACCTTTGAGTCTCTTTTTTGTGTTCTTTTATCATCGTATATTTTTTAGTTTCTTTTTTTGACCTAAAAAATGCCTGGATTTTGTAGGCAGCCTTGACCGCTTCATCTTCAGAAGTTTTTGCAGCGGAAGAAAACGCTGTAAATACCATGGCTGTAGAGTGTGGGGTGAGCTGATCTACTTGTGGCTCAGGAGGTGGGAGCAGAAGAGAGTTAGAAACTGAAGGATTGGCTGAGTGATTAGCTGATCTAGCAAGTTTTGGCATCTTGAAATGTTTAGGCAAACTCACGTCCATCAGTGCTTTTGAGTTTTCCAACGACCCGTTATTTGACGAATAGGTGGATTCTGGATTAATGAATTGTAAGTTTCGTTCAGATTTAATAGACTTCAAAATGAATAGTTTTCTAGAGGTTTCTTCTTGAATAGGGAGAGTTGTGTTTTTAAACGGAGCTGGCAATTTTTGAGGCTTCATGCGAATATTTTGGGGGAGTAAAGCACCAAGCTTTTCTCTGAACCTTCTTTTATTGGGGTCTGGAGTTGCACTGGTTGATTTAACTGAAGAAGAAAGCAGATTAGCCTTATCTTGAGTTAGCATATTATTGATATAATCATACAAGATATTAAAAAAAATTATTTACAAAGATAGACCAAAGCTTCAAGAAGCACGAATTTAATGAGAGGAGCTTAAACAGAATAGCTCAGGGTCTGGGAGTGCGAGAAAGTCAGTTGGTATTATAATTAGCCTTAAGAGGGCTGAGAAGATCAAGTCATATACTTCATGCACTCATAAGAGATGGCATATGATTTTGCCTTATAAGATTATCAAGATGGAATACCATATTGCCATCCACTTCTTTCTAACAGAGTTTCTGGTAGTCTCTGAGTTTCTATCTCCATTTAACTATTATTCCTTAATTAAAGCAGAAATAAAATGGTGACGTTGATGGAAAATGGACTCCGAGGCGACCCCCTGAGCAGTTGGTTAAGACCGGAAATCCAAAATGGTGCTTCGGTACCATTTTGGAGCCGAGACAGGGAGTTTGATTAGTATCTGCGGAAGCGCTTATGGCTGGATACTTAATAGCTTAACTTAACTTAATTAAAGCAACTTTTTCAACGACTTGTTATTATTCAACCATATTTTAGAGTTAATCAAATATAAAAAATAAGCTAAATATATCATTAAAGCCAGGATACCTATTGATTTTTTTGCAATTAGTAAAAATTTTTTGTTTTTAACGCTTGAATTTTTATAAGAAAAGCTAAAATCATTATTAATTGATACGATCAAGATAATTTTTCCAAAAAAATATTTTTCAATAATTTACTGCAAAATACTTCAATTTTTGTTTAAATCCTTGAGTAAATCCTCAGATTTATTTATAGAATACATAAAATTTCTTAATAAAAAATAGAAATGGATTCTGAAAATCATGATCACGTGAAAAGACAACTCGGAGATCTCTATAGTTTTAATTTTTCAAATATTATATTGATTAGAGAAAACTGAGAAATAATTTTTTGCTATATCAAATTAGCGATTATTCATAGGCTTCACAATTGTAATATATTTAGTCCCAATGTCTGGCTCCCCCCCTTCGTGAGCAAACAAATAAAATTTGTTTGCTCACGGAGAGGGGAAATTTTTTTTTAAACAATTTAAATATAAATTTTGAAAATTTTTTAAAAATTGAGAATCAAAAATTAATTTAAATATTTAAAGCGCAAGCAGTTTAAAATTAATCAGAAAGAGCTAGAGATTTCGTTATAATAATTATCATTTATATATCATAATGTTTGCTCGCTCACGGAGGGAGGGGTTTTTTTTAACCAAAAAATAGGGATTTTTCTAATGATTTTGTTTGCTCACGGGGGAGTGAGAATTTTTAAGAACAAATGAAATTGAATGTTCCTCTGGAGAGAACATAGATTATAGTTCATGAACCTTTATTGATTGACCTCATTGAAAACAGAAACGCTCTAATGGAACTTCGCATCTTGCAAATCTTAGACCAAACCCTTTACTATTTAAAGAAATATTCGGATTATAATACAAAAGCTCTTTGTTTAACTAGTTAAATATTAGATATTTTTTTTTAATATTTTGAAAATATTTCTAGAATTAGCAAGCTCAGAAAAATAAAGCCAAAGTATATTTTGTATTTAAAATAGTTCTTTTCTATTTATGTTTTAAAAAATGTAGGCCCAAATATGGAATTAAAAATGAAAGTCAAAACATTTTTGATAAGTGCAATAAGCGAGCCAATTTTTTAAAAATAAGGCTTAATATTTCTATTAACTTACTATTATCTAATGCAGCACTTCTCTCGGTGTTCACCTTGTACTCATCCCCAAAATTTCTTTCTGTTATCTTTTTCCTATTAGAGCGGTTACGTTTTCAATGAGTTCGATTGATAAAGGTTCATGAGCTATACCAATATTCTGAACAAAACTATCAAATCATCAAAAAGCGTTATTCTAGTCCATGTGAAGAGTTAATGAGTTTGTGCAACAGAGATCGAGATAGAAATCAAATTAATAAAGAAGACTACAAAGAGATATTAAAAGAAATTGCAAACTGATGCTTAAAAAATATATACGAAAATTCACAACCTTTAGCAATCTTCCGGGCATTTTATAAATATCTTGGCATTGGCTTTGGATTGATTAGCATTGCAGACTCTATTACTCAGATGGACTTTTTTGAATTCCATGAGGCAATTTGTGTTTTTGCTATTTTTAATCAGTCAATCTATAATTTGATACCTAGCACAAGTAGCACCAATGAATTTTTAAAATCCTTATTTAAAGAAAAACTCGTTTCACACATTGATGAAAAAATAATCGACAAAAAGTCTCAAATACTATTACATTGTGGCTGCAGATTTGATATTTTTGATATAAAGGATTTAACCCGAAATTGCAAATGCAATGAAAAACTTTATGAATTTGAAATTGATCTGATTAAAAAATTAAAGAAGGAATATGATTTATCTAAATCTTGATTAATTCTAAAAAGTTTTAAAATTATTCTTTGATATTTCTTTATAAAATTATATAAGACAGAATCCATTATTCATTATTTTGAGCTATATGCAACCAAAAAAATAAAGCAAAAAAGAAAAATAGATCATGTTATGAATATAATGTTTATGGAAATGAATTCTTGCTACTATGAATATGAAGGCCCTAATAAATCTCTAAAATTAGATAATTTATAAGTAGATATTATAGAAAATAATAGCATTTATGACGTTTTTAAATTACATTAAACACTTACCTGCCTATGATGATTTCGTGGCGAATTTTGGCCAACATTAGCAGCCGGTGGAACTTCTAAGCCTTCTGGCTGCTCATCTTCTTCATGAATTGAGTGGTTATTGCTATTTCCAGAGCTATAGCTATTCGAATCTCCACCATGTGACGAATCTCTCTCAATATCTTCTTCTTCGCTCTCATCAATCCCTCTAACGGAGTCTCCATTTTCTAGCTCTTTAATTTCCGGGAGCTGCCTATTATGGGTAAAATCAAACATTTCACTCCCTGAAACAATCGACCCAATTTCTGGACTTTCACTACCAGTTTCCTCTGATTTATTTTCTTTTTTTTCATTTTCATTCTCAAATTCTCCAGCAGGCGAGCTTTCCCCATCTCTAAAAAATCTCTTAAAAAGTTCTCCTTTATTGACCTTCGTCTTAATCATCTCATGAGCCAGCTTACTTGACCATATATTTTTCGCCACAAAATTAAATTCTTCATGCACAAGGACAGTTTGCTTTCTTTCCAAATCATATATGCTTGATCCATTACAAACCTGTCTTAAGCATCTTACAATAGTAGCATGGCACAGCCCTAAAGATCTATCAAGATTACTAGTATCAACCTTTGGGATTAAGCACTCGTCAGCTTTTAATATAAATCGCTTTTGGATTTCTCTGATATTCGGGTAGCTCGCTACATATTTATTTAATTTTGGGTCAAGGGTCATGCATTTGCTGCGAACTGCAAATCTTTCTTTATGTTTTTTAGTGTTTTTTATCATTATAATGAAAGGGATGCAGGAGTCGTATTTTTTCATTAGTTTTTTAATTGCACCTACATGGAGATGGACACCTTCAATCACAATGCTTTCTCCTCGACGGTGGTAGTCTTCTATTACGCTATCAAGGTAGCTTATAACTTTATCTGACTGCTCTAAATATCCTTGAATGCAGGCTTGCTTAGGTGTAAGCCCTTCAGCCTTAACTAAACTCCCTGCCTCATATGTGGAGCAAAACAAAATCGGATCCTGGTCCCTATGCAGCACATTTCTCAGTATATGTCTAATTGAATCTGTCGAAAGCATGCTAGAAATTCCTAATCGGCTTGCCAATAAAGACGATAAAGTGCTTTTTCCAGTCCCCGATGCCCCGCCTAGCAGCACGATCACAGGTCTCCTCTTAGAAACGACCTCACAGGCAATTCTAAAATCAATAATATGCTGCTCTCCCAAATACTCTTGAGAATATAAGGCTTCTTTTGCAAACCTTTCAAATGCTGAATTCGATAAAGTCAAAGCCGGAATTATCTGATAAATTTCTCCTTCCCTAATACGTGTTTTTGATTTTATATGTGACGAAATTAAGCTAAAAATTTGGGTTGTAATAGTATGCGCATCGTGGATTTTTACACCCATAAATTTGCAGGCGTCTCGAAGCTGCTGGCGATTGTACTTAAATGTTTGTTTTAGAGATGGAGGGTAGCTTAAATAGCATTCTGAATGGCTTTCGCAAAGCGAAAGCTGTAGGTCATTTGCAAGCTGGGAAAAGATGGAATCTTCAAGGACGTATACAGATTCGATGAAAAAATTGTTTTGCTGGCATCTTTCGTCCCCACATACTGAGCAGGAAATCCGATTCATTTTTTGATTGAATTGGTTATTAAAAATGTGGAAATGAGATTTCAAGATAATGCAAATTGGGAGATAGGCTGAAAGAAATGAAATAGGAATTCTGTATTGAAGAGGATAGGTTAAATACATACTAAAATAATTAATTGGCTATCTAGATAGCGATTATCAGATAATTTTATTTTTTAATGTCATTTTTCATAAAAAAGTTAACTTTCTGTTATGCATATGAAAGAAAATTTGTTAAAAAATTTTAAGCCAATTTACAAATTATTTTTTATATGGAAAATTAGTCTTCTAGGTCCTTAGTCATAAAATCAACGATTTCAGTCGGCAGTGGCACCTTTCCATTATACCACGGGTCTTCTTTTATATCGCTAATTTTAATTCTCTGGCCTGGATCAGCTTTCAACATTTTCTCTATTATATTTATTTGATAAATCAGAGGCAAATAAGAAAAGCAAAAATATTTATTTTAATGAAAATTCGCTTACATATAAATGAAAATCATTTTAATATTCAAATTATTACAGGATAAATCCATAAACTCATCTGTAAACTCCACCTCAGGGTGTCTTCTTTGAAAATACTTCCAAAACATTATAGATGTGTCTTCGCTAGCCAGGCACCTAAAAAAGTGATCATTTAAATCAGCAAAATTAAAAGGTGGAACTCCTACAAACATAATAAACAAAATAATTCCAGCAACAAAAATATCAGAGGTTTCCCCACTGTAAGCTAAATGCTGCCTTATTTCAGGAGGCATATAGCATTCTGTTCCTTTGTATTCGTGTAGGTTGCTGATATTATTATAATCTGATGACCCAAAATCGGCGAGCCGCAGATTAAATTGGTCATCAAAAAGAATATTTTCAGGCTTTAAGTCGCCATGGTAAACGCCTGCTTTGTGACAAGCTTCGATTGCGGCTCTATGATTTTTTCCAATTTTTTTTAAAAAAAAGCCTATAAAAGAAGAAATTATCAAATTTTAATATAAAAGTCTAGAAAGTCGATTACGTCTATTATTTGTTGGAAAAAGAATCTTGTAACAGTTTCTGAAAAATTGCCTTTAGCTTTTATAAGATCATAAAGTTCGCCATTGCTGCAATACTCCATCAGAATATACATGCATCTATAGCTCGTATGACCGTTTTTTGTGTAGTAGTTTCCGTTTTCATGGTGCGAAAAAATTTTTATGACAGATTTATGTCTGATTCTTCCAACGCATTCAATTTCTGTCAGTAAAAGGTTTCTTTGCTCTAAAAAATTATTATGTGAAATTTTATCCTTTTTTTATTAAATTCCTTTAATTTTAATTATCTTTTGGATTATTCTATATTAGTCTATCTCAGTATAAAAATTTTGGCTGCATAAAGTTGTTCAGTAGTAGGGTCTTGCACAAGCTTTACTTTTGAAGTAGCTCCATGACCCACAGTTTTAATTACTTGATAGTGGTCAAGTAGACTCCCTTCAAATTCTTTTTTATTTCTAAACGAACAGTAAGATAGGTGCATTTTTAAAGTTTCTTACTCCTCACTCTAAATTGGTAAAAAAGCATCTAATTTAATGGTTTTTTTTTTTGAAAAAAAAATTTAATTTTCATAAAAAATATTTTTAAAATTTATTAATTCGAAATGCTAAAGTGATTGAATAGTATTATAATTGCACCCTTTTAAATAAAGCAATTTTTCGATTTCTGAAATTAAATTGGGCATCAAAGCTGTCTGTATATAAATTATTATTTTTACCTATAAAAATCAAAATATATTCCGATTTAAAGCGCCCAAAAATAAATTATCAATATTTTTTCAAGCTTTAAGTTTAAGGGGAGAAGTTAAGCTTTTATTATAAATCGTGAGGTAATATGGTAGTTCAGCGTAAAACGTTTTAATTTCTATGAATATGAAAGATATAATTATTGAATAAATTCTTTAGAAATTCAGCCTTATTAAGGTTTTTCAGAGTGGGCCTTTCTTATATGCATGTCGTTAAATATTATATACAATTAGACTAATCTCGAAAAAAAATAAGGCGCAATAAAATCTGCATTTAAAATAAATTTCAGCTTCCAAAACCTAAAATATAAGCTCAAACCAACGACTGGGTTTATTTTGCAAATTATCACAAATAATGACACCAATTCACTCATTTTCCTATGATTCTATGAAAAATCAAAATAAATAAATTAAATAAAATTCGATCAGAAATATGGAAATTTATTTTAAAAATTCCCCTTTATACTATAATTCATAAATCATATTAATAAAAGCATATTTATATCTTAAGACTCCAAGACTTCATACTCCTCATCAATCCCATTCACATACCCCAAAGGACTCAGTAGTGTTGTTATATAAAATTCATCAAAGCACTCCTTTACAAACTGCCCATTAAAATAAATTACAAGTTCCTCGAATTTCTTCCTCAAGATTTTTTCTTTTTTCAAAGACAGCATTTTCAATAACGAGGAAAAAATTATTTGTTCCCCTTCGCACAAAAACATATCCATAATCCTCACGCTGAATTCCAAAGGAGCTTTACATATAAAAAGTGTAATAAAACACCACGAAAAAATGGTCATTTCTACTCCTTCTTTTTGAATGTGCTCATAAACGTCTCCTAAGCTTCTCTGTAAATCCCCTGCGAAGGTATCAAGCATTTTTATAAGTTTTGGAGTCCCAGTCTTGAACACGCTTCTTCAATCCTTATCAACCATGATATTCACAAAGGTCCAAAACGCCAATTCTGGATTTTTTATATTCATAACTCCCCCCCCCCTCCGTGAGCGAACAAAAAAATTTTGTTCGCTCACGGAGGGGGGTTAATTTTTTTTTATAAAAAAATATTTTTTTTCGAAATTTAAAAAAATCCTAATTTGCAAAAATTGGGAAGCAAATATTAATTTTAATTTGCAAAATTTATGTTTTAAAACGCAATTTGTTTAAAATTAAACAGAATTAGCTCTAGATTTCATTATACTAATTATCACTTATATATCAAATTTTTTTCCATTAAAATTTTTTCTATTAAAAAAATTTTTGTTCACTCACGGAGGGTGGGTTTTTGGTCAAAAAATGCCGATTTTTCTAATGGTTTTTTGTTCGCACGGAGGGGGGGGGGGGAGTAAGTAATAATCCAACAATAAAAGACATTCCTTGGCAATATCCAATTTCTTCGTCAAATACTGAGTAAGCTCTTAATATATTTAAAACCCCTTTTTGGCCTGGTCCTTCAGTTTCTTTGAACATTTCTATAGTTGGGAAAGTCCTAGCGAGATCTTTTTGAATCATTGTTTCGTTTTCTGAATTTGACTGTTCAGCAGGTTAAATTATTCTAATTACAGTGAATAAAGCATCCCTATTTGTACTATAGAAAATTCCTGGGGATAGCGCGGAATACGCTATCCCCAGGACCAACCGGGATCGGATCCCACATGGAACGAGGGTTCCATGTGTGGATCCATTTTTCACACGTGAAAGTAAATATCTCACATGTAAAAAATGGATCCACACATGGAACTCCCGTTCCATGTGTGAATCCGATCCCGGTTGGTCCTGGGGATAGCGTATTCCGCGCTATCCCCAGGAATTATCTATATTTTCAAATAGCAAATGTGGGAGCAGCTGTCAATATGATTTTATTCATTGCAATTAGGTATAGTTTATTAAAGACAGGTTTAGTCATATTGTCGATGCAGTCACCAAAGACCTCATGCAATAGAGGCTAATCTGTATTGTTGCTTTGACTGTTCAGCAAGGATTAAATACTGATCATCATGAATTCGGTTGCCTCGGGATATAAAAGTTCAGATTTCTCCACGCAGACTGGCAGGGATCCCGACAAAGAGAGATTGCCGTAATCGGTCAGGATCAGTATAGTGAAGATCATTTTCTTTTAAAATAATCGATCATTCGTTGGGAGAGAATTCATTAATAGGTGGATCAATAATTAACACATAATCCTCACTAAAGCGTCGAGATCTTGACATTCTTCGGGGAAAAGTTGTATTTTAATAGAAAAATAATTAGAAAATGGAAAGAAAAATACAAATATTTGAAGGAAAAATTAAATAGATGAAGGGTGGTGATGATAAAAATTGGAAAATAAGGTAAAAAAATTATTGGTAATAAATAAAGGATATTTTTTGAAAAGGTTCTAAAGTATGGGAATATTGATTAAGCTTGTAAAAAATCAAAAAAAAAAGCGAATAGTAAGAAAAGATTAAAATTCTATTAAAATTTAATGATAAATTGGTATAATTATAAAATATGGAAGCAGGATGATGATTCTTTAGACTTTGATCCATGAAATTTAATCTTCCTTAGATGTCTGAAATAGCTTCCTTTATTCACCTTTCTATTGTTTTCATCAAATTAGCCATAAACCCCTCTTTCCCTTGGCTCTTCACTATTCATAGAACATAATCCCAATCTTAAAAATTTCCCATAAATCCTCAATAATCCTAACTATAATTTCTCACAAAATACCAAAATATCATAATATCAAAATATAATAATACCTTACTTTTAATAACACTTAGCCAATTCTCTTATCACAAAATTCCATAAGAAATGTTTTAAATCTTAAAACTCAATTACTAGAAAATATAATTAACGCCTTAAGCCTATTTTATTGAATCCCGCATCACAGCTTTTTGTAAACTCATTATAAGCCTTAGGCTTCAGCATTTCCTTTCCTGTATTAGCTGCAATACTCTGAGGTCTTGGGACTGGTGGAGGAGGGATAAAATGGCTTTCGATGGTCTTGTGGGCTTGAATTTTATTGGCAGTTGTAAGTTCATAAGTGGTTCGGAAATCTCGCTGTTCAAAATCCTGCTGATCTGGGCCGTGGCCAAAAAAGATGTGACGGTCAACGCCTCGTTGGGAAACTTGGTTAGGAATAAACACATCGTCGCCTATTAAAGGGCTTGGTTCTGAGTAATGAGCTGTGCTTCGTTTTGAATGAACTGCTTGGGTTGTTGTAAGTAATGGAATGTGGGCTTTTGGCTTTTGAGATAACTCAGTTGCGTATCTTTCTTCGACCCAGTTCCCAATGAGAACTCCAAATCTATAAGGGTTTTCAACGTTTCGGTCTTGGACTTGGCTCATTATTGCTAATAGAAAAATATTTATAAGTAACTTACATATTAACATATAAATTTAATTATTTATTATATTTCATTTTTGGGTAATTCGTTGGCTGAATAGATGAGAGGCTAATAATAAATTTTTGAAAATCAGGCACATTTTATAAAAAATATTAACATATCAATAAACTTTTTAAAATCGGCTTTTTTAATTGTGTGCTTCTCAGCCTCGTATATAAATTTCCTTCTACGTTTATTCTATGAGGCTCAAGCTTGCGAACTTTCATAATACTGCTAGTTTCAAGCATAGAAGGGTATATAGGAACCCAAGCTTTTTTTTCTATTTTTTTCTGTGTAATCATGGTTTCTGAAAACGAATGATTTATTTTTGAAGGATTTGAGCTTCTCGTAAAGGCTCTTTCGTATAGTTTTGATCTGATACCAAATATTTTCAAATTTTTGGGACAGTCAAAATGAATGGATTTATTCGAAAAACATCGAGAAAAGTTGGAATTTGCGTGGGTAAATGAAAATTTTCGGGACCCTTGTCGGCTGAGAGGGCTATCTTGAGTGTTGAAATAGATTTGGGAAAAAATTGGATTACTGTCAAATGAGACATTAAATTGCTTGGAAAGAATATACCATTTATGGAGAATATTACCTAAAATTTAAACAAAAATACCTATTTTTTATAAAAATTAGGGCAGGTTGTAATAAGTAAATTTCTTCGTTTTATAATTTATTTTTTAACTTTTCTTGGATTCCCATTATCTTTATTCGAAATTATTTTCTGCTTAAAATACCTTGCTGCTGGCTTCTTTTTTAGAGTATTCTCATTTTCATTACTATGAGAAGAATCTTCACTTTGGTTTTCCTGATCAGTTTCATATTTAACACTCTCAATCCTTGTTATCTCCTTTATTTTGGGTATTTTTTGATTTTTTTCTGAGTCCAAGGTTTCCCAGCCAGCCATTTTTGGAGATTTCAAAAAAACTGTAGGTGTTCTTGGCTCTGTTGTATTTAAAAAGCTCCCTCTAGACGATACTTCTGGAGAATTTATAAAATTTATCCCTGTGTATGAGCTCCTCCTAGAAATATCAGCAGGATTCAAATTATTTGTAAATGAGCTCCTCCTAGAGATATCAGCAGGATTCAAATTATTTGTAAACGAGCTCCTCCTAGAAATATCAGCAGGATTTAAATGAATTGGTGGCGAACTTGGAGAAATCGGCGAAACTGGGATTTGTAATAAATTTCCTGAAGAAACCATCATTGATCTCCTCCTGGGCGCGTCATTATATTCATCTTTATTAGCCTCTCTTCTAGCAGATGACACCGGTAAATATTTTTTTGCACTGCCCATAAAATTGGATTTATTTTTTTTAGTTGGGGTCGGCTCATCTCTGACTTCTTCAATTATAGTGATTTCAGGGTTAATATCTTTTTTAGGCAAAGCAGCAGAGCACAGCCTTGAAAGGATTGGCATGACAGTGCTTGATCTCCTTTTAAATCTTGGCTTTACGTTTTCTTCGTCTTCTTCATTAGAAGAGTCGCTGCTAGAGGAAGATGGGGATTCTGAAGGATTGGCAGAAAAAGTCAAGGTTTTTTGGCTTTCGTACATTTTTTGGGAGCTTGTTAAGCTTTCTAGAAGCCTTTGTTTAAAAAGATTAGCAACGACTGTATTGTCAACTATTGTAGATGATCTTAACAGTTTGCCTGAAACTTCTGTTCTTCTACCACTGCCAGCTGAAAACAAGGACTCTTCGTCCTGGATATTTTGATTATTTTTTACAGTTTCCCAGAATTTTCTTAATCCCTCCTCCGTGAACGAACAAAACTATTGGAAAAGTCCCTATTTTTTGACCAAAACCCACCCTTCATGAGTAAACAAAAATATTTTTTATGAAAAAATTTTTTGATATATAAGTGATAATTAATATAATGAAATCTCTAGCTAATTCTGTTTAATTTTTAAACAAATTGCATTTTAAAACATACATTACAAATTAAATTTATATTTACTTTCCAATTTTGCGAATTGGGATTTTTTTAAATGAAAAAACAAATTTACAATAAAATTTATGAACAAAATTTTTTATGTTCGCTCAGGGAGGAGGGAGCTATTGTGTGTTCCCCATCGATGTGGATTTCTGTTTTTTCCTTTTCTCTGTCATTTTCTGAAGTTTCCAACTTTTTCTGCGGCTTTTTCAGTTTTTTATAAATATCATTTTTTCCCTTATTTTTTCCAATAAAACTTTCCTTAAAAATCCTCCAGTAAAAACAAGCCAAAACCATATATCACTAAGCTGGATATCCCTCAATATTTTTACAGGTTTTATCTTATCAATTGCATATAAAGGATAATATTGCTGCTGCAGCTGTGGTATCACAATCGGCGATGTATCTTCTGTAATAGACGAGTCCGTCCCTTTCGTATCCTGACTAAAGCTAATCTTCTTAGTCCCAGACCTAACAAACATCAGATAAATGGTTTTTACATCATTGTTTCAAATTAATTAGAAATAATGCTCAGCATAATAAACTCCATCCCTGTACGATTTTTTAGGATGAGATTGCGGGATCCCCGTATCAGGAGTTTCTTAAACCCTCCAATTTCTCCATGCCCTGGTCTAGCCCTCAAAGCCCCTGAAGACTGGACCGTCGAAAAATACTTTACCAAAATCGGCGGAGATTTATCAGAATATGTTGACAAATTCTCCACAGTTCAAGAAGTCCTAGACGCCCACAGGTTCGAATTAAAAGGAAAAGGCATCCCAGCAAGGAAAAGGAAATACATTATGATGGTCAATGAATATTTCCGAAGAGGATTTTTGAGCTTTGAGCATATAGAAAAAAGAACAGCCACACCCAAAAAGCCATGGTCTAAGAAAAAATCAGCAAAAGCTCCAGCTAAGAAGGCAAAACCTGATGATAAAGCAGGGGATAAGGGAAAGAAAGAGGCAGCTAAGAAATAAGAAAATCTTAATAGTAAGCTTATAGTTATCGAGTATAATATCCTCCTAATGCATTGCGAGCGAACCCAGGGTTTGTTTCACGAATATGAAAATCGTTCATGACAGCGCGGCCTGCACCTCCTTTGTGGCACAAAATTTTGGGCTGGGCTGAGGATGCACGTAAGGGTGCTTCAACTGCTTTGATAAACAGCTCTTTTTTCTTCTCAGGGCTGATAGAGAAGCTCTCATCAAATAGGTCTCTTACAAGTCTTATGGCTAATTGGGGTTTTTATTTATAATTTTTTATTTTTAATTGCGAAAATAGGAAAATAGAGGAAAAATGGTGAATCCAGGATACTTTAGGGGAAATGTCAAATTTATAGCCTGGCTTATGGTGTTTTCTGCTAGACTTAATAGGGGTTCCACATCTGTTAGGGTAGTTTTGATATAGGTTAACATTGTAATTTGCACTGTTATATCTAGTCACGTCATCAAGCTTGTCTATTTTATTATACTTGGGATTTATTGATCTGGAGACTTGGTGAAGTGGTTTTGATGACTTGCTTGATAAGTAGAATTCTAGTTTTTTATTGGTTTAAGCAAGACTTTTTCTTAAATTAAGGGATTTTTTTATCAAAAAAATTATGTATTTATTTTCGAATAGTTTTTTATAAGCATCAGATGAAAGGAAATTATTTAGTTTTGCCATTTTAATATACAAACTTAAATAAAGCTATGACTGGTAGTTGACAAAGTCCTTGTGATGCTGCTAGAGAGTCTTGATTTTGTAGACATAATATCTCGTGAAATAGAAAGTCTAACCTTAGGTGTATAGCTTCAGCCTTGGGAAGCAACTTTTCGCTTAGAAGCCCTAGGTGGACTATAAGAGGTTTCTATTCTGGTTTCCCTCAGTTTTACCCTTAAAGTTGACCTGCGGCGCGTTATACGGTCTTCACGGCTATATTTCTGTATTAGCTGGGTCATTTTTTTATATAAAATTCCCAAAAATTGCCCAATAAACAATCCAAGCCATTTTTAGAATTAAATTTTATAATAAATTAATATAGGATCTAAAAGTTCATCGAGCCTATATGGAGTTAACGGCCTAAGCTTTGCAAAAGCATTATTAGTCAACATATCTGGCTTTGTTGGCTCATAAAGCTTGCTTATTCCGCTGGCTTCTTTAATATAATCAAACTGTTTTGCCATTTGTGTGGATAATTTTTCAGTCCTTTTATTTTTCTGGCCTTTTGCAACAGCCTCAAGATCTTCAATCAGCCTATTTCTTGTATTATCAGTAAATGCATCAATTTGTATAGGCTCAGTTTTTTCTTCATTAATAGCAGTCATTTCTCTTACAAAGATATTATTTGCATAAATAATTCAAATTTTACCATCATCATCTTTTAAAAATTCAACCTGCATTTTGCATATTAAAATATGAAAATTTGTGGCAATAAAATATAAATACAAATAAATTGAAATTATTTATTTAGTTATTAAGATAAATCATAAAATATATCTTGATCTCTTGTTTTCTGAAGCCTTTTACGTGAGAAAGACTTCTGCTCTTAACAATGAGTCCGCAATGGCAACCATTAGAACTTCTACTCGACTTCAACTCTTTTCCAGTCACCCAGTGCCAGTGGATGATGTCTCTACAAGGCAAACTATTAGAAGAGCCAAGTTTATTTTCACTGAGTCTAAAATAAGGTAACTAACCTTATCAAAAAACCTCCATTTTAATTGTAATTGAAATATTTTTTTTTTAAAATTTATGGAAAAAAATCAAACTCAAAATAAATGGCATACAATTCTTTCACATATAAGTTGGCAATATTTATCTATACATTGATTAATCATTCTTTCTTCATCTTCCTCATTATCTACTATAGAATATTTTATTTCTTCAATTATCTGGCTATCTTATATACATAAAAATGGTGAGAACATACCACCCGACCTCTGGCCTTTTTTCTTCAACACCACCAGGCAACAGCCCAGTGTGAAGGAGGGGCAGAAAGAGGTTGGTGATCCTTTGTGTGCGTCGGGCTAGGTTTTTCTCGGGTCCTAGGGAGTGAATCCCTGGACTCAGAGTTTTTGCCTCCGAGACCATCATTAGAAAGGGCAGGACCAGAAAAAGCCCCGAGAGGACGATAATTCCTAAAGCATGGCTCAAGAGGTGACATCTACCTAACAAGAAGCTGGGAGCCATGGAAGTCAATATTGATAGTTCTAATTCCTGCCATCGGTGGCGAGGAAGGTGTCTGCTGGGTTCCCTCAGGACAATGAGCATATAGGAGCGAAAATCCCCGGCCCTTTCTCGGACGAACGGCTTCCTTAATTTTAATCTGGCTGTCTTCTTTATTTTTTACCAAAAAATTATACAAAAATGATTCCCCGATTCCTTTGCCGCATTTAAGAACTGTTTGTATATAAGAAATCGTTTTCCAAAAATTGCTACCTGACCTCTCTCACATAAGATTCATAAAGTCAATTTCCAGCATAACTCTTATAGGTCCTTCTTCATCTTTTGGAGAAATTTCTGACTGATCGTTGTCTTTATCTTTGGCCATATGTCTGACAACTGCTATTTCTTTTCCATATTCCTGTGTACTTATTAGGCTTTGGGAATCCCTCGGCCTTGTTGGGGATTCATCTTTTCTCCGATTTCTAACAATATTTGTGAAACTTTTCATAATTTCGTGATTTTTTAATTTTTCACCAGTTTTTGTGTATTTTATGCTGCTGTCTTTTGAGGACTGGATTAGAAAGGCTGCTTTTCCTTTGCGAAAAATGACAGTGTCAGGGATGTTTATTTTGCATAAGTTATCAATGGAAAGCTCACCGATTTTTTCTAACAGCCAAGAGAAGGATTTTAAGTCTCCAACTGGAGTATCTGGAGGATTTTCAATGGATAAAGGAGTATGGTATTTGCCTTTGATTTGGATTTCACATATATGGCAGGTACAGGTAAATTTCGCTGTAGAACGCTCTACGTGAAATTTCGCTCTATTTAGAGTAGGATAGCTTGAGGTAGTGTCTTGGTGTTTTAATAAGTCAAAACAATGCTGTGTAAGGTCAAATACGACCTCTGTTGTTTGTTTCGCTATTTGTTTGGTGATCTTAAAACTGAGATCAAGTTCCATTATTTATTAAAATTTTCATGAAGAAAGCAGGAGTAATTTTTACAACAACTTTATTATAGAAAAATAAATAAATCTCATAGTAAAATATAATAAAAAAATAAAAAATAAACTAATTATCACTAATTTACTATAAAATAATTAAAAATAAATATTTTTCTTTAATATTGATAGATAAATTGGTATTGTTATTAACTTCTTTGGAATTTAAAAGATATAAAACTTTATTAAGAATGCTTACTCCCCCCCCCCCCTCCGTGAGCGAACAAAACCATTAGAAAAATCGGCATTTTTTGACCAAAAACCCACCCTCCGTGAGTGAACAAAAATTTTTTTAATAGAAAAAATTTTAATGGAAAAAAATTTTGATATATAAGTGATAATTAGTATAATGAAATCTAGAGCTAATTCTGTTTAATTTTAAACAAATTGCGTTTTAAAACATAAATTTTGCAAATTAAATTAATATTTTGCTTCCCAATTTTTGCAAATTAGGATTTTTTTAAATTTCGAAAAAAATATTTTTTAGAAAATTTTATATATAAATTTTTTTTAAAAAAAAAAATTAACCCCCCTCCGTGAGCGAACAAAATTTTTTTGTTCGCTCACGGAGGGGGGGGGGGGAGTTATAAATGAAAACTGTTAAATCAAGAGCATATAAAGACCGTTTAAAAGGTCACAAAGAAACGATTCTTTCATTATTTTCTCCAGATGGGCCGCTTGGGAATATTCTTGTAAGCGCGTCTGCTGATGGCATCATAAGAGGCTGGGATTTAATAGGCCGCTCTGTGAGATTTAAAATCCAGATCGAAAAACCTGAAAGCAAACAAGATATCACTTCCTATACCTTTTCGATATATTATGGGTATTTTAATTAATTAATTTTTTTTAATTTAAAATTTAACCACTAGGAATACCATTTCTCAGGGTCTAATCTCTATGTAGGATTCAGCGAAGGCGAAATAAGAATATTCGAAATGCTTAATGCAAAGCTCTTAAGTGTTATGCGAGGCCATGAAAAAGCCATCACCTCCTTACAGATCTACGATAACAAACTGATTTCCGCAAGTCTAGATTCCACCGTCAGAGTTTGGAACCCTAAAACCGCAGAATGCGACTTGATTTATCAGTTCTCTGACCCTATTTCTGACATAAAGATTCTAAAAAATACATTAATTTTGGCTTCCTGAGACAAAATGTTAATTCACCCCCAAAACCATTAGAAAACCCTATTTTTAGGAAAATTCTCCCTTTGGCCAGCGAGCAAAAAATCTTTTTCAAATAATAATTTGATATAAATAAGTATAATGATTATAAAATCTCAGATTATCATACAACTTAAACTCTTGATCTTTAAAATAATAATTTTATCAATTAAATTAGATTTAAAAGATTTTTTAATTTTTTTGTATGCAATTTTAATATAATTTTTAAAAAAAAAAAACTTCTTGGTTATTGAGCCGAAATTAATATAAGGGGAGGAGTAAGGGTCCTCGATTTACAAGAAAATACCTTAAAAGAGACTATCCAAGCCTTAGACCAGCCTATAAAATGCATTGATATTTATGAAGGAATCATATATGTAGGTGGGTGCGATTCTGTGATAAAAGCTTGGGATCTCGAAAATAGGCTACTTACCTTTTGATCGGTACATTCTGATAGTGTGGCATTTCCTCGGAGAAACATAGTCGAAGCTTTTAAATAGGAGACATTTGCTTCGAAAAGCCCCTTTAAATTTGAATCAAATGCTTTATAAAGAAAAAAATTTCGACCAAGTTTGGGAAATTCATACTATTAAGCGATCAAAAAAGCATGCATCTCGAAAATAACAGCTGTAAAGAGTATAAGGGTCATTCAAGCTGAATTTTAGGTATGAAAAATCACGGAGATCACATGTACTCATGCTCTGATGATAGGAAAATCAGAGTATGGGACAGAAATACGCAAAAATGTGTTGAGGAATTCGAAGGGCACGAAGATGGGGTCACCTGTTTGGAGTTTGCTAATGGGACTTTATATTCAGGAAGCTTTGACCACTCTATAAGATCGTGGGATTTAGCTGAAATGTATAAAAGAATACAGGAAAGGCAATATATGACCAGAGAAGACATTCTAACCAGAAAAATAGAAACCTATTTTAGACTTTTAAGTGCCAAGAAAAAAGGCAAAAAAGGCAAAAAAGGGAAAGGAAAAGGAAAAGGAAAAGGGAAGAAAGGGAAAAAGAAATAAATAATAAAATATCTGTTAAGTTAAGGACTTAATAATGATTATTATAAATAATAGTTATTTTATTACAAATAAATTAAAAAAATTCGCTTTTCATGCGGAAAATAATATTCTGCTGGGATTTTATAATAAATTTTTTAAATTTATTTCGCATAAGGCAAGACTATCCCGACATTATTTATATCATGCAAAAAATGAAAAAACGAAAATTTTCCTAGCCAATTGCAACCATTTATCAATAAACAATATCTAAAAATTGCATATCCCTTGGAATTTGCAAGTGCTTAATTAATAAATACATTGCACGCTAAGACAAATCCAAAGATTTGTTTTTGTGGGTTAAAATTTCTTTGTTCGGTCTGTTTTTCGCTCGACTTTCCCTGATCCCTGCCAGCATGTCTAAGCATGATTCTTTTCGGATAAGAGGCAAAGAAGCGTCACTTTTGCGTCCAAAAGACTTTTTGATCAATTCATTTGTCTTTTCGTAACCATTCTGAGCATAGATAAAGGGTAAATAATCTATACCGCTATAAATTGCTTATATTATTGCTATTCACAAAGCCAATAATCTTTCTCATAATAAATTAGACTGATAATTAATATAAAATAATCAGATTTGCATAAACGAGTATAATGCTTTAGCGGGAGTCATAAACGGAAGGATTTGAGTCCTTGGCTGTAGAATAATAAATGGCTTCGGATAAATAGATAATTCTCTCCGCAAATTCATTTTCTCTATAAATTTAGGATTCGGATGTTGCACATGGACCTCTGCCCAAGAGGAATAAGAGCGAGCCTTAATGAAAGCCTATATGTGTGCTGAAGTAACTACAAGACGGGAAAAAGTTATTTAAATTAATTAATATAATTATGAGTCCTGGGCTGTCCATCTTCAAATCCTTGAATAAGTGAAATATCAAAACTCTGAATTCTCGGCCTCGTTGTGGCACTTGTAGAAGGACTAAGAATTCCTGACGACCTTCTGGATGAAGGAATAATTGATTTCGCAGAGCTTACTTCTAAATCTAGCTTATTTTTCATCCCCAGGTATGAAGGCATGCTCAATGTAAATGATCTGAGCTGAGACGCTGGACTATTTTTTAAATTCATTGCTTTTATTTAAATTCAACTCTTTACTTACTATTTGGTACTTTTTTATGCTTTTTCTAATAAAATGCGTCATTTTTTGATTATTTTTATTTTTTCTTTATTTTTTCAAAAAAGCGATATTATAACGCTTTTATTTTTATTCCTCATCCTCATAGTCTTCCTCATCCCCAAAATCCGCCCCATCCATCTCTGAATATTGCGAAATAAGGTCTAATAAATCTGACTCAGCCTCCACAAATTCCATTTCATCCATCCCTTCTTGTGTATATCAATGCAAATATGCCTTTTTCCTGAACATCTCGGTAAAGGCATCTACTATGTTGTTCAAAATCTTAGAAATATAGGTAGAATTAGTCAGCATTGAAGCACTCATTTTTCAGTCTAATGATGGGGTGTTGCAAATGGCTGTAAAAAAGTTGTCAGAAATTCAGTCAAAATAGTAGTCGTTTTGGTATTTTATGTTGTTAAGCTCTTCAATGGTTTTCTGAGGAGAAAAATCGCCTCGTAGGATGAGGGCGGCTGCATAAGTCATTCCTCAATGTAAGTCATGGGAAATTAGCCAGTTTTCGGGATTAAATAATTTTTGGATAATTTCAAATTGGGTAGGTTGGTAATTTTGAAATTTTTCCAATGGGGACAGAGAAGGTGATAAGAAATTTAACCTTGGGAACGGGATTAAATTGGTAGCGATTTTTCTCAAGCCACCTGAAATTTGGCTTGGAAATCTCATTGTGCTTGACAGATTAACCATTGAGGCTGATATAATTCTATTTAAATCTGCATAGGTTGGCTTCATGTTATTGAAATTTCTTGTACAAATATCATGCAATGCTTCGTTATCGTATATATAATTAAAATATGGCGTCTTCGTCTGGGCATGGCCTCCCGGCCATGCAGCCTCGACTCATATTTTAATTATATCCGGCAAGGTTTTACCATTTCAGAGATGGACAGCAATGCTAGGTAAGCAATTCTGGTAGCTTTCAGAGCCTAGCCCTAGTCTATTCTCAGAGGTGGATTTTTCCTCGTGGGGAAGGAGGGTGCAAGGTTGGAAAGGGGAAGCCCAGCAAAGTCCTCTGGACATTCGGGCAACTCCCTAGCGTGAAACTGGGCGTTACGTCCCAGGCTTTGCATTTTTCCTTTTTGCCGATAGCCGACCAGAAAAATCCATTTTTTGGGTTTTTCGGAAAAGCAACCCATGTACGAGCAAGTAGCTCATCCATGAGCCGTCGAAGACGTGGACATTTGCCCCAGAAGCACCCTGGTGATCGAAGCGAGTTTGTCTCCAGCAGACTGGTGGGCCCGATGCGACGAAAGGCGAGTGATAAACCTGGAGTTGTAACCCCGTAGTGGACGTTAAGCGATATAAATTCTAATGTAATGTAATGCTTCGTTATCGTATAATAAATTGAGCCTGGGATATTCACAAATTTTATGTAAAGCTAAAACAGCATTGTAAGGCTCTATAACAATATCAGAAACCTTAGGGGAAGGCAAAACAATTGAGCTTTGGAACAAACACCCAAAATGCTCTTCTTTTAGCACCCTTAAGGCATTTGCACCAATCCCAGAGCCACTACCACCTCCTACAGAGAATGCAAGCTGAGCTCCTATAAAAATGTCAGATTTTTCTGCTTCATGTCTTACAATATCAAGAAACGGGTCAATTAATTCTGATCCGTCAATGTAATATCCTATAGCAAAATTATTCATTCCTCCAGCCTTTCCTGATAAAAAACTACCAGGTGAAAATAAAGACCCTAATGAAGAAGCCTTAACAGAGTCTTCTGAGCGAGGATCAAGATCGATAAAAATTGTGCGTGGGACATATCGATCTACACCTTCGTTAAAATAGCTGCATATATGTGATAATTGATCTTTGGAATTCCCTATATATTGCCCATTTTCATCAATCCCATGCTCTTTTGCTAAAATTTCCCAGAATTTCAGCCCATTTCGGCTGCCACATTGACCTACTTGTATAGAAAGCATAAATATTAATTTTATTAAGATTATCCCCATGGGTCATCGTTTCCTACGTTTAATTGAGGTATTTTTGGAGCATCAGGGCAACTTTGTAGATGTTTTTCAAACTCATAATATCTAATGTGGTGGATTGTGTTGTAGGGGCAGACTTTGAAGAGATGCTTCATTCTTTGGCTGTCTGGGCAACGTTGATAATGCCATAAAAGTGTGGACTCAGGCATTGTATGCTCTTCATTGTAAACGCATGTAGCATAACCTTCTTTCTTTGACTGCATAAATTTCTATTAATTTATAAAATAAGTTTGATTAGAATTAAATTAATAATTAATTTCAAAAAATAACTGAGGAAGTTATGAAAATTTTGTGTAAATTATAAGAAGAATTAGCCAAATTAGTCATTTCTGTATTATTTTTTAATTCGGTTGAGCTGGAGATCCAATAATTTAATATAAAAATATGTTCGCAGAATAAATTTAATTATCCAAAATATGCTTTGATTTACTCCCCCCCCCCTTTAAATTGAAACAAAAAATTTTGTTTCAATTTAAAGGGGGGTTAAGAAAATTTTTTTTATAAAAAAATTTATATATAAAAATTTTTTCAGAGATAAATTTTATGGTTCATTCTGTGCTTGATTTTTAATTTTAATTTCATGAAAAAATTAATTCATAAATTTCTCAATCTCAAAGTGTAAACTTGCTGAAATGGTATTCTTCTAACTCTCTCCCCATAACAATTGGACAAAATAGAGTTTAATTTCTTAATCTTATATGTTTGAAGCATATTAAATAGGGTATTAACGTATTTACATATAAAATAATGATTTTTACCTATAAAATTTTGTTTCAATTTAAAGGGGGGGTAATTTCCCAAAAAAGTAGGAATTTTTACCTATATTTTGTTTCAATTTAAAGGGGGGGGGGAGTTAATAAAACCCATTATAAATCAAAAAGCAATAAATTATTAATTTTCTCCTTACTCCCCCCCCCCGTGAGTGAACAAAAAAATTTTGTTCACTGACATATAAATTTTATAAAAAAATATTTTTTTTCGAAATTTAAAAAAATCCTAATTCGCAAAAATTGGAAAGCAAGTATTAATTTAATTTATAAAATTTATGTTTTAAAGAGCAATTCGTTTAAAATTAAACAGAATTAGCTCTAGATTTCACAAAATTTTTTTTCAATAAAAATTTTTTCTATTAAAAAAATTTTTGTTCACTCACGGAGGGTGGGTTTTTGGGCAAAAAATAGGGATTTTTCTAATGGTTTTGTTCACTCACGGAGGGGGGGGGGAACTAGTTAGCGAGCAAAAGAGTTATAAAATCCCTATTTTTTGAATATTAGCCCTTGGATAGGATCAATAATTGTTGATATAATTATTCTGCAAATAATAATTTGATATATAATTAATTATTATATCAATTTTATTAAATTGACGCATAAAATTTTTTAAAATCTGAAAAAAATTATTTGAAAAAATCAGCAAGCGTTTTTTTGCTCACTAGCATGAAGGGTTAAGTTAGATTATTAAAGAGAGGCATTAAGCCATATTGGCGGCTTAGCTACCAAAGACCTCCCATACGGGAGATTCTCCCGGTTTTAAGCCCAGCCCAGAGGATCTATCCCCTAAAGCGGCACCCGCTTCCGGTTTTGAGGCTTCAGTCTGAGTTTCTACAGCTCTGCTACGGGCGATTGGAGTAGCTTGATTCCATAGATCAACTCTTTGAAGTCTGTCGGGTGCTGAAGTGCCTTCCTTCGACAGCTACAGGAAAAAAGACTATTCCCTGTGGACTGGGTATAAACTCCAAATTTTAGGTAGAGGAATGCCCATGGGTCCTCAGATCTAAAAGGACGCTGTCGGGCATCTCCATTCCCAACCACAGGAAGGCAGCTAAACCTATCCGGGTACATCCCTTAAGCCTGCACTTGATTCTTGGCTCGGAATCTGCCCCAGTTCGCCCCAACACTCCATTTTAATGTGTATTCCCACTAACATTTAGGAATTAAGAAATAAATTATTTTTTAAAAATCTTAAACACTTAAAAATCCTTAATCATAGATTCCATTTTTCTCTACAGCTACCTAGAGAGCAATCAGCTTTTGGTTCAGTTAATTGCAAATTAAATGGTGAAGCTTTATCTCTTTACGCTCTCCCTCTTTTTCTGTTCCATTTCTGGTTTAAGCTGCCTAGACAACACTGGAACTGCTGTTCCTTGGTTTACCTTTATCAAGCCACCAAAAACCGCTTATGTGCCTCCAATGTACGGAAAGTCCTATTCTTTTCTGTCCCCAAATCATATGACAGCTGAAATAAACTCGCTTCCTCTCAACAGCTCTTCCCCAATAACTTATACCCTAAACCAATTCAACACTGACAGCTCAATTTCCGTTGTATTTTTTAAGTAATTGATATTTAGTGACGAAGTCCCTCCAAATAACACGAATCCTAATCAATATGCATCATTAATATGGTGGCAACTAAATATGTTTTTGACGAATGCACCGCTGAAAAAAAGTCATTTTATAGCCTGAACCTTTTTAACTTCAACCTTTAGCCTGCTTGCTTATTGGCCGTATGGGGCTATTTTGGGAGCCAGCGAGTAGTAAATTCTTGACCAGGGATCTATTCAGTTGGTTGTTGGGCTAAAGCTTTTTCATCCAAACTCATAAGGCGTAATTCTTTTTACTGGGTGTCATCTCGCCTCAAGGCAGCCGTAGGAGGTATCGCAAGCCTTTATTTCCATTGCAAAGGCAGAGCAGCCTTCATAATTCGTGAAATTCTTGGGATTAGTGAAGCCTTGATCTAAGAGGAGAAAGTTGTTCCAATAGCAGCTGAAATTTCCGCCTGACAAGCAGGTTGGCGCTTATCAGAAGTATGTGGAGGCATAAAATCTGGAATAATTAAAAACTCTCTTAATTTAATTTAATCAATACTCTGGGCATACTAAAGGAGTCCTGGCTTATACGTCAACTCAAGCTATTTATATTATTCACTCCTTTCCCAATTTCCCTTTTTATAACTCAACAACTGGGAAAGTTTTATGACGTAATAGGAATTTTGCCGAGAATTTTTATTCAAAAGATTTTATTAATTTATATAATAAAAAAGCTTGGAAGCTGCCCGAAAAAAAGTTTAATAGACAATATTAGATATATTTGACTCTGAGGTAGAATACGGCCAAAATTTAATGTGTGTCCAAATAACACCTCAGACGCTATTTTATTTGGCAGGAATTATGACTATAAATTCACCTAGGGTTTACTATAGCAAAATTGTGACCCCTAATACCAACATTACCCTGATGATCCAGAATAAAACAAACCTCCAAATAACAAGTGCTACGTATAGTTTTACAGTTGGGACTAATACTTTTACATATATAGCCAGATCAGCTGCTCTCCAAAAGGATTTCTGGGAAGACGTTGTGTCAAAATATTATAATGATGGATTTTATGTACAGTCTTGGGGAAGACCTTATATGCCAGGATATTGCCCACCTGATGAGACGTATACAAACCTTAATATTGATAATCTTGGTATTGGAAAATATTATTGGTATGGGTATAATGACCATTCTAAATGGGGAATTGGCATAACAACCACTGTGCTGTGCTATGCTGATTTAAATAGAATGTATAGCCAAGCCAATAGAGGCGGTGGAGGGCTCTGTACGAATTATCCATCTCTTTATGCACTCCATAAAGCATTTGATGAAGGAAATGATGCTTGTGGAAGTACTCTTCAGAAAAAATTTAAAATTTAATCGATAATTAAAGATTATTTATTAATTTAATTTTTTATTAATGTACTCTAAATTAATTAATATTTTATATATATGCAGTGCTAGAATAATTTTTAAATAAGAAAAAGCTTAATTAATAATTATCAACTAATTTATATATTTAACCTAATAATTATTTATAGTTGACCTTATAATATATAAGATATATTTTTAAATTAAAACGATCACTAATTATTTCTGTTCTTGCAACAAAAAACCTAACCTATTAAATTCCTCTTTTTTATCATTTTATAATTATCCGTTGTATAGTATTTCCACAAAAACTCCTATTATTTTTATCAAGTTAATATGGGTTGCGTGGATTCAAAACTTTCATGCTCAAGCGTAGAAAGGTCTATAATGAACGCTGAAGCAGAATTAGGCTATGAGAAGAAGAACTGCTGATATATTGACTTTATTCACAGAAAATACTCAATTGGAGGCTGGGTGAATCATGAACAGTGAAGAGATATCTCATGCTCCCTTTTAATTCAAACAAAAAACACCTCATCTAATACAAAAATTGAAAGATTTTTTAGCAGCATTGCAAATTTCAATGGAAAACTTCCTCTCAAATCTTTGCTTATTATTGGCTTTCTCCTCGGTGAAGGGACATATCAGGAAAAATCTCACTCCCCCCCCTTTAAATTGGAACAAAATATAGGTAAAATTTTCACTTTTTTGCTAAATTAACCCCCCTTTAAATTGGAACAAAATTTAAATTTTATAAATAAAAAATTTTATATATATAAATCATATTTTTATGTAAAAAGTTTTGATATAATTTAAATGTTTCTTCTTAACTAAAATTAAAAATTTAGTTGTATCCTACTCTTGTTTATAGAATAGAGTATAAAGAGCATCTTATTTAAATAAATTTATTATCCTTAATTGTAAATTTTTAAAAAAATTTAATTTTTTTTGTTTTTAAAAAATTTTCAAAAAGCATTTTATTTTTTTTAATAAAAAATGATATTTTTTATTTAAATAGCTTTGATATAAATTCAATGCGAATTCTTTACAAAAATTCAAAATTTACTTATCTCTTGCTTTATTTTAAAGAATAGAGTATAAATAACATCTTATTTAAACAAAATTAGCACTTTAATTAATAATTTTTCTAAAATTTTTATTTTTTATTTTTTTTTTATCAATAAAAATATATAATTTTTGTGTAAATAGTTTTGATGCCAATTAATAGTGCGTATTAATTAATAATAAATTTTAGTTATATCTTGCTTTGTTTTAAAGGATAAAGAGTAAATAGCATTTATTAAACAAATTTATTAATCTAATTCGATAAATTTTTGAAATTTTTTTTTTTTTTTAAATTTTATATAAATTTTTTTTTTTATAAAAAATTTTATAATGATTTTTTTTTAAAAAAAATTTTCTTAACCCCCCTTTAAATTGGAACAAAATTTTTAGTTTCCAATTAAAGGGGGGGGGAGTCAGCTTTTTTTCGATATTTATGACACAAATAACTCAAAAATTATTTTTAAATCAGATATTCATGCACTAGTTGAAGAAATGCTCGATATAGCAATTAATAAAATTCCTATCCTTGCATGTAAGCCCCAAGCTTCAAATGAAGAAGACTTCCAAAAATACTTGCAAGAACTACATCAATTTAAAGAGGCTGCTCAAGAATTAATTGTAAGGAAATTCATTGGAGCTGACAATTCAGAACATTCAATTACCCTATCAGAATTTCAAGCAAATTTTCAAGATATTTCGACTGCTGAGTTGCTAAGTTCTCATGGATTAAGATCATTTGTGTATAGCCAGAAATCTGCCTTGAAGTCAACAAATTTTAAACAAAAAAAGAAAAAATCAAATTTTTTATCGTCTGAAGAAAGTGAAAATGCAGAAATAATTAATGAAGAAACCGTTGAAAAAACAGAGCAAGAAAGCAATGGCACTACAATAGAAACTGACCGAATTATTTTTGTAAAAAATTTTACAAATCAAATAGTCACCCTGAGCTTAAAATGTAAAACAAAATCCTCAATGTCCTCGATAGATTTTTTCAGTGAATTAAAATTATATGGGTCTATATGCATTCCAAATCAAAGGGTATTTTTTTATGGTGGAATCTTGCCTGGAAATAAGACTTCAGCTGATGCATTTATAGTTGATAAAATGGGCTATCTGACAAAACTGGTATCATATCAGCCTACTTGTAAAATTGATTTGGCTCATTTAAATAATAGTGTCTATGCTTTTGGGGGAGACCCACATATTTCTTGTAGGTATAATTTATCAATGAATAGGTGAGAAAATTGCTCAGAATTGCCAATTGGGAATTTTGCTAACTCGAATCTCCTAGCTTTTAAGGATAATATTATGCTAACTAGCAAATTCAGTGATAGGTTGTTTTATTTTGATACAAATCAAGGCTCTTTCTATGAAATTGTGGGTTTGAAATTGAATGAAAATGCATTAAAATTAATGTTTTCAGTAAAAAATAGAGTTTATATTGCAGAATTGTCAGGGAATGTATATGAAAGTGAAATTAATGGGTTCTTAGCATGAAAGAATATTGGGAGGATGAAAAAATACGATTTTGATTGTGAAATCGGCTCTTATATGGCCATCTATCGGAATAATTTATTTTTCATTAATAAAATCACAGGCAAAAATGAACTGATGGAATTCAAATTGCAAGAAAAGATTTTGAGAAAGATCCGCACACGATAGAAAATCAATAATGCCTCTTGCATTACTGAGTAACTTGGCTTTTCCAATATGATTTATAACACTCTCTAATAAATAATGCGTAAACGCATGATTATCTATTTATTTTCTATAAATACCCATTTTATAATTCCATTGCATAATTTTCATATAAACCTTTACCTAATTAAAAATTTTTGTTAAATAATTTCCTTATAAAATGGTCCGAGGCATGGATAGAGGATTTCGTCGTGGAGGGGGACCTCCACGATTCCAAAGAGAAGAAGGCCCACCAGACCAAGTCATCGAAGTCGGCGAAGTTATTCACTCTTCTGAAGGTAACCAGCTTCTCTGCAAAGCCACAATTGACCAAGTCCCATGGTTTTCTAAAGGCGTCTACCTAGAAAACAAAGCACAAATCGGCAAAGTAGACGAAGTCCTCGGGCAAACTTTTGACTTTGTAAGCTTTATTTAGATGTTTAGCGTGCAACTGGACGAAAATATGAAGGCAGAGAGCTTTGAAAAGGGCACAAAAGTCTATATGAGTCCTGCATTTCTGTTTCCAATGGCAAAATTCACCAGTCCGCCTACAGCTAAAGCTGGTGGAGGCAGAGGACGTGGCGGAAGAGGCGGCAGAGGTGGAAGAGGAGGATCATTCAGAGGAGGTGACAGAGGTGGAAGAGGAGGATCATTCAGAGGTGGAAGAGGAGACTCAAGAGGAGGAAGAAGAGGAGGGTTTAGACGATTTTAAAGAATAAAATTTTCTTTATAGGAGAGTTTGATATAAATTCATATAAATTAGGATATGAACTATAAATTTTATGATTCCGAATTTTGGGTCAAGGACTTTTTTTTGATGATAATTCTGCCTTTCCCTAAACAAACCACCATAATTACTGCAAAAAGACCAGAACACCCACATACGATTAGCATAAAATACTGTACTGCAAGAATTGCAATGGTTAATGCCCAAGCAGTTCAAAATTCTAATTAGAAATTACTTTCTTGGCAAGAGTCGTCCCATCATATCCAGATTGTCCCTAAAATCAGCCAAGTAATAAAGAAAAGAATTGACAGTGTATGCCTATGCATTATAAATATAATTTTAATAGGCAATTTTTTATTTAAAATTTATTACGGCCCTTTTTTCGACAAAAATAAAAAAATATAGCCAAATTACTATAAAATCAATAATTATTTATTGTGGAAAAATTGACGAATTATAGGTTAAGTGCATTCTATATTGTTAAGAATATAAAATGAAACATATAGAATATGAACTCAAACCCTTTCCAGCAGTTTTTCATGAATAATCAATTCAAATAGCAGTGCAAACGATGTCCCAAATCCTGAAAACGCTGCATATACTATCAGCCACGCACGAATAGGCTGATCACATTCATCCCCTCAATGCGACACCAAAATCACAATAATTGCAATAATTAAAGCTCAATGGCAGCACGAGTTCACAGCCGCAGTCAAAACTTTATGTTTTTTCCTTTGCATATACAATGCTTCTTTATCCATTTCATCCTTCGTCAGTGCTTTCTCAAAGGATTCAGGGTTTTCTTCTTCTATACTCATACTAAGTTATAATTATACCATTTTCCTTTATTTTTTTTCCTAAAAAATTACCCTTCCGGCAATTTTAGGAATTTTCTATATGTTATAAAAAGATGAATTATTTTGAAACTAATATTTTTTGTCCTTCTTTTGAGGCTTCCACTCTTCTGGCTTGAAAGGTTCATTTGGTTTGGAATTTGCTGTCTTCTGCATGACATCTCTGAACTCTTTCATTTTTTCTTCATCTACTTTGTCGGCTTCTTCTCCTATTTTTTTGCGATATAAATAGGAATCTTGAGAGGATTTGACGTCTTCAGGTTTTGGCGGGTTTCGATCTCTACCACAAAGCCATCCAGCCCATATTGGGTCCATGGTTGGATTTCTGATTCCTTCTTTATACTCGACTTCACGCTTAAAAGGTCTTCCATCCTCATCTAAAATCTGGTAATATTTATTTTCGTACATGTCAGTCCCGACTAGTTTTCTGCCGTCTGTATTCCTTAGGAAGTTGCGTAGATTTTTTAAAAACCCGAATCTTCTTATTATCATTTTTATTATTTGAATGGATTTTTAGAGAAAATTGATAAATAATAAGAAGGTTCTAGATTCGATTCATGATATTTAAATAAATTTAATTCATTAATTATACTCTTCAATTTTTAAGTTAAATTATATCGAAATACCACTCTGATTTCATTTTTTCCCAAAATCTTCGAAGTACGACTGAGCATGGTCGATTCCGAAATGTTTCATCCCCAGCAGTAATGAGACCAAGTATTGATGTAGCCCTAATACTTTTCAAAGTTTCATTTCATGATTATTTTGGCCATATTAGGTGGGCTTTGAAAATATTCATAAAATGGGAATTTATACTTCATATAAGTAAATTTAAAGCAATGCTCTTGATTCGCTATAAGTTTTTTTCCCTTTAATGTGTGCTAATCATTATTTTCATAGAGGTCCTTATTTTTCTTAAATAGCATAAGATCTACACAGCCGTCTTCTAGTACTTTTTTTCTTCATCAATAAATTCTTTGAAACTTTCCAATTTATCTCATAAGCAATTCGCCAATTTTGCTATCAACGTGAGGAACTCTTGGGTATGCTCACATCTCTATAGCTCCTTCTTTATCTAAAACCTTATAAATAGTCTCATTACATTGTTCTAACTTAAAACAATGCAAAACTTGCAATATTATAATCAAATCCATGCTTTATGAGCTAAATATGGATGGGTATCTATATATTGTCAGAAAGTTTTGCTAGTAACTACTGAAAAATAGGGAAATTAATTGACTGAAGCATTGTTCATCTGCTTTTTACTGATATCAGTTCTCCAATAGTTACATAAAAGAATAACAATGGCCATTTCCAGTGTTAAAATCATAGGTAACTGAATGCTTTATAGTGAGGGAAGAAGGAATGAAAAAGACTGGTCCGAATAGCCAGGAAGGTATTTGGCATAAACAGAAGAGTGCCCAGAAAATAAATCACTTGAAAAATATCTATTGATTGAAATGAAAATGCTTTTAATATTAATTACTAATGAGAAGAATTTACGAATAAAAATGTTTGAGAAATTGCAAAGATTTATTTTTTTAAAAAATTTCATTGATAAGAGTACTATTTAATCATCAAAAAATGGCTCTCTAGTCGATTTTTAAAGCCTTATTTAATCATAATATTTAAATTATGGCTCTATTTAGGCGATTCCTCATTAGCTTGGATTTTAAGTTACAAATTTAGCAAAGCTTTTAAAGGTCCCATAGAAAATAATTTAAATATAAGCAAGCCAACTCGAAGATATTGCATAATTATTCTTCTCTCTATGTCTTTAGATCATTATAAGTATATTTTTTGATTTATTAATTAGTTCGTGTCCCATTTTCTTAAATAACCGAACTTAAAGTATATTTAAAGCCTTTTAAAGAAGGCTAAATTATTTTTACTTATAAATATTATAATTGTTTTCATCATGAACTATTTATATTATTGCTTTATTTATTTCCAAAATAGCTTGATTAGCACGAGTTGACTTATAGATAAACAACTGTTGATATTTAAGCTAACTTCTACCTATATCTACCTTATCAAAAAGAGTGCCTTATATAATTCTCTTATTAGTTGTTTGCCTAATAGGAATTCCTTTATAAGGATAAACCGGTATAGTTCACAAATCTGAAAACGACAGCATAAATTATCAGTTCATGTCTTTTTATGAGCTTAATTAATTTTATTTTTATTCATCTAGCCATCTAACCCTTCTCCCATTTTCCCATTCTCCTTCTCTTTTTGTTCCATCTTGTGCTATATGCACCCCTTTTCCATGCTGTTTCCCCTCATGCCACTCTCCTTCATATCTTCTTCCATCAGGCCATTTAAAAATTCCAAAGCCTTCCTTTACGTCATCTACATAGTTTCCTTCATAACATCTGCCATCTGGAAACTTAAAATTCCCTTTTCCATGCATTTTGCTATAATTTCAGCCTCCTGTATAGTTTCTTCCGTCTGAAAAATTATATGTCCCTTCTCCATGGAGTTTGCTGTCTTTAAAGCCTCCATCATAGCTGCTCCCATCTGGAAAGCTTATAGTTCCATGGCCTTCTTTGACGCCATTTGCAAAATCGCCTTCATATTTAAACCCATCAGGATAGGTTTCTATTCCTCTTCCGTGTTTTGCGTCATTTAGAAAATAGCCTTCGTATTTGCATCCGTCCTCGCTTTGGTAGACTCCGAAGCCAGATTTTTCGCCGTTAAAATAATTGCCTTCATACCAGCTGCCATCTGAGTTATTATGCTTTCCTTTTCCACTTGGTTTGTCATTTTCTCAATTTCCTTCGTATCTTGAACCGTCTGGCCACGTTAAAATGCCATACCCATGACATTGATGCAAGCTGTTTCACTCTCCTTCATATACATTGCCACTTTCGAGCGTTACAGGCTCATATCTTGGTTTATCCATTAATTCTTTATTAGAAGTAAATGGTTTTTTTTTATTGGAATTTTATTTATATTTTTTTATAAATATACATAATGCTTAAAAATATAGGAATAAAGGTATTTCAAATATAGAGAAGGGGTTTTTGTAATAAAAATATATTTAATTGGTCATTACTTGAATTTTTATTATCTTCGCTTTTTCGAATTTTAAATTAAAAGTAATTTAATATTAAAATTATGGCATACAAATTTAAGCATTTGAATAAATTAAAAATCGGAAAGAGAGTAGTCTAATTTTTTATAATAAATTCCTGCTATATGCATTAAAATGGTGCAGTAAATCAATCACCCTCTTAACTTCTTAGCAGACATCCCACAGAGGAAGATAGGCTGGCGTACGATGAAGTGTATCCAGAAAAAGATTTTCGATAAGCTAATCAGCCCAATCTCAATTGGTGGCAGTTTTTTTTTTTTTCATGGGGAGATGGAGCTGTTTGTAAAGAAATTTTCTAGCAGATTATTATAAATATAAAGCTCTTATAATAAAAAATTATTAGTCAATAAATCCCCTTTATAATATCTTCTTCTATTTCTTAAATTATTTTCCATGCTTTTCTATCATTAAAATTTTCCATAATTTCTCATATTAATTGCATTTATCAGAACCAAAAAAATATGGAAAGTGAATGGCCAATTAAAGGACAGCAAGTCATAGAAAGTGGTCTAGAAGAGTTCAAGGTCCTTCTAAGTAACTCAGGCTGGTCTACTGTAGAAGACAAACAAGGGGTTTTAACAACCTCTCAGACCTATGAACGAACTTTTTACACAAAATCAATCGCCGATGTCAATGCATTCCCAGACACAATTATCAATTTTTTCAGCGACCCTGCCAATATAAAGCTCTGGAATCCCAAAGTTTATAATCAGCAGGTCTTATTAGAGTCTGGCAACCTCAAGCTTATTAAATTCCAAATAAAACATAAATGGCCTATAGAAGATCGGGAATTTTTATATGTCAGCAAAACTTTTACTATGCCAGAAGGGCCTGTTTATTTAATTGAAAAAAGTATTGATTTGCCGTCAATTCCAGTAGCTAAAAAGCATATACGAGGATTTTATCATTGTGGGTATTTATTTGAGCCAAAAGACGAAGAAATGACAAGGGTAACGTTGATTTCTGGAATAAATCCTATGGGAAGTGTCCCGTCTGCAATAAAGAATAAAATAGCTAAGAAATGGGTGGATCGGCTGAAAATTGCAAAAGAAAAATTTGATAAAAAGGAATAATTTTAAAATGGCTTTATCTAAATTAAATAATGATCACTGATAGTAAAGAGTTTTCAACTTTCCTTGAAAATTTAAAAGGCAAAAGTTCAGCAGAAATAGGCCTCTTTATAGGCTACACCAATTTAGAAAAATCATACATTTATATGCAAGCAAATGCTCCTACCATAGAAATCTCACACAAATAAAATGGCGACGACACTGACCCATCCTCTCCCGGAACTGAGGCGAGATTGGGGACCTTGCTGCGGCCTGAAGCCAATCCGCCCAGGGAAAGGTCTGGAATGGGTACTGGCGGCTAGGTTTCCCTCCCAGCCCAGCAACGACGATCCTAGGTCGTCACGATAGGACACGGGGCAAAAAAGGTTTTTCCTCTAGGAACTGCTAGTGCCAATTTGGAGGCATGGCAGGAGCCGACAAGAGCTAAGGAGTTAATCCTTAGCTCTAAACCTAGTCTGGCGACGTGAAGCACGGTGACCCAGTCCGCCTACTTCCGGGATAGCATGACCAAGCCCCATGACCGGAAGGAGCTGAGTGGTAGCCTGTGACACTTAGGTGCACACTGGGAGCAGGGCAAGGAAAGCAAGCGAGGCGTCCAAAAGGCGGAAGAAAAGGATCTTCGGTCCTGGCCGGGAGCTACTTTATAAATTTAACTAAGACTAAGACCATAGAAATCTCATCCCATAAGAATATCTCCCCACTGTTGTCATGCCCACTGACAGTGCCAGAAACGACATATGCAGACTGAATATTAGAATATGCCAAGCAGCTTTCAAGGGTTCTGCCTGGAGGGCTTGAGATTTTGGGTATTTTCCTGGTATCTGAAGATGACATCAGCTTAGAGAGTTTCCTTGGATTTCCTGAAGGCTTGTTAAACCTATTGGTTGACCTTAATTCTGAAGTCTTAGAAAAGGACAGCTTGATTGTTTTTCACTTCGCAATCCAAAGCCAAAAAACCACTGCAAAGATAATCGACTTGAAAAATAAAATTATCAGCTCACCTGAACTAAAGCTAGCAACAGTCCCAAAGCTTGAAGAAGTCAGATGCTTTATAAAAACGTCCTTAGAAGCAGCTGAAGAAGAAAATTCTCATATCATTATCCAGCAAATTATAAGAGAATGAGGCAACCAATTGAAAAATAATGTTTTTTCAATAGATGGCCAAACTAAAGCAGATATTGCTATAGGAAGTTTAAAAACAGTAAAAAATATATAGGAAAAAAATTACCATGTAGCTGAAATCTACTCATCGGCCCCAGGATTTTGTACAAATTCTAATGCTCCTAGAATTAGGGTCCAGGGTTATATAGAAAGCAGGGTACTAGTTCATCCTAAAAGCACGATAAAAGAAGCTAGAGAAGTTGTCATTAAGGATTTATTATTTTCATTGAAAAATAGGTTTGAAATAATTTCTGAAGAAATACCATTACAAGAAAATCCATTTTTAAATACTCCAGTGAAGTTTGTAAGCCAGCTGCCTAGAAGAGCATTTTTTAATTTAAATAACGGCTGCATTCTGAGTAGCTATGGCACAACTTCACAAGATAAAGATTTTATTCAAGCTTATGCGACTGCAATTTCATCAGCAAAATTAAGCTATACAGAATCAAGGGAATTTCACTTAAAAGTTGACTCGCCGCTGGAGATAGAGAAGGCGGAAGAAAAAAAAGACCAAATAGAAAATATGAGATTTATGATCATTTTAGCCGTTATTTTTGCAGTGCTGTTGGTATCGTTCTTAATAAAAGCATATAGATAATGTAATTTACACAAATTAATTGCTAGCTCCTTGAAAATGAAATTAATTTTAAAATTTATATATATTATGTAATTATTATTTAAAACATTAATAAAAAATATGTGGCCTATTTGGTAAGAGATTTGCTAAAATTTATTTCACTCCACCCTGTAAATTGGAGCAAAATATTCATTCATTTTTAGGATACTTTAAACAACCTTTAAATTGGAACATTTTTTTTTAATAAGAAAAAATTTTTATACTACTAATTTTTATAAAATTAGTTTCGACCTAAATTAATTGAAAAAATGCAATTAGAATTACTTACTCCCCCCCTCGAAGTTCGACCAAGATTTTTTTGGTCGAACTTCGAGGGGGGTTAAGAAAAATTTTTTTAAAAAAAATTATATATAGAATTTTTTTTTATATAATTTAGTAGTTAAAAAAAAAATTTATCATATTCTTCTGTATGGTTGAGAGAGTGTAAGGGTTAGAAAAAATAGTGCAAGATGGTTTTGTAACGCTTTTTTAGAACTTGAATGCAAAAATCGCAAGCTCACCCCCACATAGTTTAAAATTTTTGAAAAATTGCTTATTTTCCTAGTAAATTTATATAGGTCTTGGTCGAAACTTTGAGGGGGGTTAATTTTCCAAAAAAATAGGAATTTTCCCTATATCTTGGTCGAACTTCGAGGGGGGGAGTTATTGATAAAAATAAATAATATTCACAATTTATTTTTTTTTAAATTTTATTATTAATTTCATATTTATGATGGATTTCACACGTCTGGACATTTTCACAAGTGTGAAACCCAAATCCCACACGTGGAATTTCTACACTTGAGTGGCTCCACATGTTGGATTAGGTTTTCACACGTAGGAAAGTGAAGCTAAGCATTATAAATATTTAAATATATATTTTTTAAAAAATTTAAACCTCCCTTTAAATTGGAATAGTATTTTTTGGTCCAATTTAAAGGGGGAGTCAGTATATATTTTAAATACTGAACAAATTATCTGACTTTGCAATGGTTTCTCAGATAAGATGGGTAATATTTTATTAATTAGATATGTGTTCCACCGAAGATTACCCAAATCCTACAAATGAATCAGAAACCAGTTTCTCAGAAGTTATCGAGGATTTTACTAGTTTTACCCACGAGGATAATAAACGAAATCCGTCTTCTTTATCATACCTGATCCCTTCTAGTTGTGGGAATTCCTTACCCATCAAAAGTGGGTGACTTCGTAAGCGCACCAGTGGTTTGATCCACAGATGGGTAAAACGATTTTTCGCTCTAAGAAATAAAGTTTTAACTTATTGCTATGCTGAATCTGACAAAAAATTTGCAGGAATAATCAATTTTGACCTAGTCACTTCTGAAATCCAAGTGAATTCAAATATCATAACGCTCACAGCTATTGGATGCAAGAAATTATTAATTCTTAAAGCAGACAGTGAAAAATCTGCAAATTCTTGGGCGAATGCAATATCTCTCCACATCCAAAGCTCACAAGGCCAAAAAGTGAATTTACCAGTATCAAGTAAAAACTTTTGAAAATTCGGAAGAATCTCAGAAAAGCAGTTTCTATCGGTCGCCTCAACAGGAGATATTTTGCTATTCAAAGCAAATAATTTTGTTTCTAAAATGCAAAGGGTCATTACGCATAGCGAATATGACCATGTTGCGATTATTTTGAAATATACGTCAGGAAGAATTGGGATTTTAGAAGCGACTTCTGAAGACGGGGTCTCTGTAGTTATGTGGGATGATTTTAAATATTATCGTTATTTGCAGATTTTTGAACTTTACCACCTAAGTGTGGAATTTTTTCCTCATGCGAAAAGGTGATTTCACGTGTGGAGCCCTTTTGATTCACACCTCTTTTCACACGCGGAAAAAATTCCACACGTAGGTGGTAAAGTTCAAAAATCTGCAAATAACGATATAATAAGTTACCATAAATAATAGAAAATTTTTAAAAAAAATAATTATATATAGGAAGCCTGTATACCAATTTCACAAACTTTATAATAGACTCGTATATAGGCAGCTGCATACAGAGAGAAGCAATGAGATGCTTATGGAGGTTGAAAGTTTCATTAAAGCTGTCAAAGGGAAGAAGTACAATATTTCACCAAGAAAATTGATAAGGAACAAAGAAGATAACAGTAAGCAGCAAGGATTTTTCTGCTCAGAGCTGGTTGCTGCTGCTTATAAATCTATTGGGTTGCTGCCAGAAAAGCCGCCAGCAAGCAAATATTGGCCAGGAGATTTTTCAGAAAAGAAAAAAATACAGCTGCTAAAAGGAGCGAGATGTGGAGAAGAGCTTATCATTGATTTTGACCTAGACTCAAGAGATTAATATACATTTTAGCTTAAATGAAAGGTAATATAGCAAGCATTTTTATCAAAATAAGAATTTGTATCGCAATATTTTATAGTATTAAGTCTTAATATTATATATATACTACTAATTTTATATCAGTATTTTATAATTTTTTCATTTTTCCACATTTATTGAAATTTATTGCCTATTATCAATTATCAATAAAAATTATTTAGCTTTGTTTTAAGACACTATTAAGTAAGTTTAGAATCAAGCCATCTGATCCTTTTCCCTAGCTGCCACTCTCCCTTTCTTGGAGGAGAATCATTCGAAGACGCCCATCCAATTCCATGCTGTTTTCCATTTAGCCAGCTTCCTGAGTACATTTTTCCATCTGGCCACACAAAAGTTCCTTGTCCTTCTTTCTTATCAAAATTGTAATCCCCTTCATAGACTCTTCCGTCAGGCCATTCGAATCTTCCAAAACCATGCATTTTGTTATCGACCCATTCTCCAGTGTATACTCTTCCGTCAGCCCACTTATAAGTCCCTTTACCATGGATGTTGTTATTTAAATATTCCCCTGTATAAGAGCTTCCATCAGCCCATTTGAAGACTCCGTTACCATTTTTGGCCTCATCTTTGAAATCCCCAATATACTCAGCTCCATCAGGCCACGTTTCTTTTCCCTCCCCATTTTGCTTATTATTTTTCCACTGCCCACTATAAACTGCACCTTCGCTATTTATAAGTGTTCCATACCCTTCAACGATCCCATTCACATAATCCCCATAATAAAAATCACCATTTGAGTATATTGCTCTTCCTTTCCCATGTAAAGCACCGTTTAATCAGGTGCCTTCTAGCAAACTTCCATCTTCTAAAACACGCATTCCAAATCCATTTGGAATATTTTTTTATTTTAATTAATTTTTTCAAAATTTTTAAAAAATAATTGTTTATGATAATTTGATCCAAGAATATTTATTTTTGGCTTCTCCTCTATAGATTCTGCCATCAGATTCCTTTACTTCTTTTCACGTCGTTGAAGGCGGCGGCAAAAGTGGCGGCTGCGAGTTTCATATAGAAAGAACACTTTGAGATATTGGTAGCCCTGCAATGTTATCATAATAAGATTTGGACTGATACAGCTCATCTGGCATGGTCGCTTCTAATTTTTCGATTTTTCTATTGCCAAGCTTCTCCACTACAATTCCGGCGTCGCGTTCTTTTTCGTCAGTGCATTTACAATCAAGATTCCCCATAAAGATGAATTGAAATTATTTAATTTATTTAAAACTTGACAGTATACTGTAAAGATCATTATTTAAAGCAAAAAATAGCTTTTTAGAGCTGTATAATGAATTTTTTAAACAAATACAAAATTTACCTTAGTTTTCTTCATGATATTTCCTATGTCGAATTCTTCAGTGTCTTCTTCATATCTATCTGTTGGCTTATAGGATTCTTCGAGCATTTGCAAATATCTATAGGGATTTTTATTAAATTTTTGTCTAATAAAATAGATTGGAATTTTTAATGGAAAATTCAAGGAAAAGGTCTATAGCTTTTATAGCTTCTAAGTCTTCATCTTCTTCGTTTTTTGTGGAGTTTCTTTCTCTTTTATCGATTCCGGAAAACCCATCTTCCCATTCCTCACTTCCTATTGGTGTGACTGGACCGCCTTTAGGAAATAGCAAATGGTTGTTTTTCTTGGAAATTGTGAGGGATTCTCGCAATGGAGATATGCTGCGGGCTTTGCGTTGGAATGGAAGGCCATTGTCTTTTCTGGATCCTTGGACCTTTGGTGAGAGCCTTTGATTTTTTAGTGGGTTTTTGTCTTTGATTGAGGTTAGTGAGGGTATTTTTGAGAGCTCTAGCTCCCTCCAATTTAAATTGGAACAAATTTTTCTCTATAATAAATTTTTTAAAATCTTAAATAAAAATATATTTTGAGGCAGAATAATTTATATTTTAATTTATTTTTATATAGAAATAATTTAAAAAAATAATCGATTCAGTGTGAATACTGTTTAAATAGCATTCTATTGCACTTTTTCCATTAAATTAGGTCAAAACTAATTTTATCAAAATAGTATTTTCATCTTTAAACTTATTTTTTAAAATTCTTAAATTGAGCATAAGATTTGAATTTTAATTTAGTTTTGCTCCAACTTAAAAGGTGAGTAAGGAAAAACTGGAGTTCGATTTTGTGCTATTAGCATTTTCTATGGTATTTTCTTGTGTCAGCAAAGCTTGATAAGAGCTGTTGGTTGAGACCGCATCGTCATCAAGTGGATTTATTAAAAACGAAAAAGGTAGGTTTTGCTGCTTAGTTGATGGCTTATGTAGCTCTTCAGCTCTTGATTTTGTGATTGGTTTATATTTTTCTCTCATAGTTTTTAAATTATAATATCACGTAACAGAATAGACCTTTTTTATTATTTGATTTTAAGAATTCTAAACGATCTTTGGTTTTATTTAATTATTTTATTAGATTTCGATGAAACACATTATGAAAAATTAAAAGATGTGCAATATAAACTAAAATTATAAATAAATGAAACGTTTTAATAAAATTTGAACTGTTATATTTTAGTAATGGCTTAACAAGGCATATTATAAAATCTTATAAGTCTAAAAAATAAAATAGTGATGTCGCTGAAGGATGAACTCAGAGGCACACTCCCTATGGAGTAGGTAGAACTATTCCGATAAAGATGAAAATAATGCCTCTGCCACTTTTTGTAGTAGACTTTTGTGTTTGGGGATGCCTGCCAGAGGGCTAAAAAGGTTTTACCTCTCTCACTTTGCCTTTTGTTTATCGGGACTAACGGGGCATCCGCAAGAGATGGCTCTAAGCTAAGAGCTAATCCTTAGGCTATGTGGGTTTATGGGCTAGTTGCTATCCGCTTATGGCTTAACTTATAAATCTAAAATTTAGTTTTTAATTTTTTAGCTGATTCCCGCATTGCATTGGAATATTGATAGTAAATTATGGCTGGCTTATTTTAGTTCCAATACTTGTAGAAAAATGTTTGCAAGTTAAATCCTTAAAATTCATGCAAAATACGATTTCATGAGAGATTCAAATAGAAAAACCCTTTTGATGGTAAGCTTTTATTGAGTTTATTCTAGAATTCAGACTTATATATTTATTGCTTTTGAAGTCGTTAAGATGGCAATCTGATAACTATTTCTCGTAAATTCGGCATAAGCAAAATTTGTTAAATTAATTTGGCTCGATTGCCAGCAGCTGATTGAAATCGCCATATCGTATATTAAATGAGAATATCTTATTTGGTGGGAAACATTATGGAAAATTTGCGGTATTCAGTTGAGAGCAACTCTTTACGACTATTAATCGTCAATTTTTGGATTTTAGAACAAAGATTCTGATAATGCAGAAATCAAACTTCATTTAATTTAATGCTATAATGGATCATTCTATGAAAGCATATTGAAGCGAGTTCTAGACTTAAAAATCAATCAAGTTAGTTACTGATATAATGAAGGGGAAATATATAAAGCTATTTATATCTTGTAATTAGACCTTTAAAATTGTGAGCTATTTCTTACTCCTCTCTCTGTGAGCAAAGTATGTTTTGAATTTTTTTTCAAATTTTAATGTAAAAGTATAACTTAGAATGCAAGCTGCAACATTTACTCCCCCGTCGGTGAGTGTACAAAAACAATTTGTTTGCTCACAGTAGGGGGTTAATTTTCATTCTAAAAAATTTATAATTTAATTTATAAAATTTTTATATTTTAAAATGATAGCTGTTTAAAATTAAACAATATTAGTTAGAGATTTCATTATATAGCCGATCCCACTGCATTTGATTGGGCTATACCAGCTATCACTTATATATCAAAATATTTTTTCATAAAAAATTTTAATATTAAAAATTTTTTTGTTTGGTCAAGAGAGTGAGTTTTTACAAAAAATAGGAATTTATTACTTACAGAGGGTGGGTTTTTGGGTAAAAAATAGCGATTTTTCTAATGGTTTTGTTCACTCACGGAGGGGGGGGAGTAAGGAGGTTTTTTTCGCTTTCTACCTCCAAAAAACTTTATAAAAGATATTTCCAAGTATGTTTTTACATTGGAAAACATGAATCAGCTCATTTTTGATATTAATTAAAGCTTCTAAGAGAAACACGCTTAATTCTAAAATGCCAATATACCAGCTGAATAAGCAAGTATTTATATAGTGCTTATGGTTATTAAAATTTGTTTTTTCTCGAAAATGATGTGAAAAAATCAAAATTAAGCATAGATGTAATTTAGCCTTTTTATAAATATCATTATAATAAGCATATGGAGGACAAGAAAATTTTTGAGTCTACCTGCTCGCAGTCAGCATTTCCGAGCTATTCCAATGAGTCCATACCAAAACTTATGCAGGCTTATCAAGACTATAAGAACATTTTGGATAAAAAATCAGCACTTTATCTAATAAATTTCGATACATTATTTATTTATAGCACTGAGAATGATAGCGAGCAAACCATAATAATAAAAACTCCCGAACCTCAACGCTATAGCACCTGCAGCATATCTCAACTTCCAAACGGCAATTTATTCTGTTTTGGTAATTATCCAAATTCTTGAGAAGCATTGATAATTGACGAAAAAGGCGAGAGCCAACAACTGCCATCTGGACCACCTCTTAAATTTTCATCATCTATACCTCGCATAAAGAATGGTAAATTGTTTATATGTTTGTTTATTAAAATTGATATTATAGCTGTTTGTCTATTGATCAAGTAAATCATATAGTCAAATTATAGCTCTGCAAAAGCCTGCTGAATGGCAAATTATTATTTCAATTAAAAATATAATATTTTAAATTATTATGAAAGAGAACTCTTCAATGATTCAATGGTTTATATAAAACGCTGCATTTTTTGTTAAAGCTTCTTCAAAGTATAAGCTCTTTTATTTCAGACACATAGTCATGCAGATAAATGCTTTAGTTTATAATAAGCTTGAAATTAATTAATTAAAGGGCTTTAAAGTATATAGGTTTGAAGCCTCAACTAGCACAAACTGTTTGTCTGAGGAAATTCAGCTTCAGCTTGGAATAGTAGTCTTCTATAAGGACAGAGCTTACTCAGCGACCTTAAGGATATCAACTGGTTAGAAAGACTCTTCCATCACTTTCCTATTGGCTGCTATGGAGACGCTGACCAGTACGATACCTCCTAACCGCCCTCCACAATATAATGAAAGCACCCAGGAAAATACGTCACACCTCTAGAGACCGGAGTAACTCCCAAAAGCCATATTTGATTCAAGAGTAACCACCAGCTTCGACATAAGGTTAATTTACCATACGGCCACTCAGGCAAGCTATTTAGTCTGCACCTATTTTAATATAAGAAGATTGAAAGGAAATGTCAAGGGCTCTATATTTATTTCAACAATAACGTCTATTGTTTTGGAGGAGCAGATCCAGACAGTAATCCTTTAACTCTATCTAGTAGATTTGATTTGGATACAAAACGATGAATCAAATTAACTCCAATGCCACAAGCTGATGCAAAGTGCAGCAGTATAATATTTGATGGAAATATTTTGATTTCTGGGTATATCAATAGAAATCTTTTGTTATATTCAATTGATATTGACTCTTTCTCAATAATTTCTAGTGAGTTTGCAGAGTATAAAAGAAAGATCCTGGCAAATGCAGAGAGGAGATTGTATTTGATTGAGTCTAAGAATGGATCAATTTATGAGAGCAAAATTGGAAGCTTCATTGATTGGACATGAGTTGCAGACTCAACAATTGATTTTAATCCTCCTCAAGTATATTGTTTATACAATAAAGGAGCAATATATATCGGGTGCATTGACGAAGATGAAGTCTTATACTTCAAGCTTAATCTAGATACAGAAAGGTCGATTGCTTTAGAGAGTATCTACTTTTAATAAATTATTTAAGATTTATTTCTTATTTAATATTTAGTATAAATAAAAATAAACTTCATTTTAATTTCAAAATAGTTTTTATCTATTGTTTTGCTAATAATTATGAAAATATTTTTAATGATAAGCATGAAGCTCGAATATCAAAGCTAAAATTTACAATTGAAGAATTTTTTTCTTGCCCCATTTAGAAAGTGATAATTTTGTGGCAAAATGGTTTAGGACCAAATTTATAGAACAATGGTCCAACCACATCCTTCAATTTCAAAAATCAAACAATGAAATCCAGGAAAAGTACTTTTTAAATCAAGACACATTAAATCAAAAGACAAATTATTTATAAAATATAAAAACTCATTAAGTGTAAAAACAGCTCCAAAAAGAACAGAATCGGCTCGATGAAACCTGCAATAATAATTAATCAGCAAATAGTAATTCATGTCTCCAAAATGACGGTAATCTTGTGTTCTCTTACGAGTTTAGCATTGTTAAGATAGATCTAAAAACCATGAAAACTACTCACAAAAATTTTCCTCAATATCCAGAATATGGCAAAAGTATATCTATATGTGTAATCACCAATAATAATTTTTTTTGTATTGATTTTGGGAATAGTTTGGCATTTGCACTTAATAAAAGGCTCAAAATTTTAGGAAGCAAATATATTGGGCCGAGATTATATGGAAGTATCATATATCTCGATAGGCTAATTTATTTATTCGAGAATACAAGTGGTTTCATAACTATAGAAACTACGATGTAGATAGGAATAGAGAAAAAAAAAGGCGGATCTATTAAAAAGTATAATTCGATTTTAACAGCTTTTGAGGGAAAAATTATAATTGCTCCACATGGCAGCGGTAGTGTGAACGCTTTTGACCCTTTTTGTAATAGCGCATCAAAGATATTAAAGCCTCATCCAAATTACGGAGCAATTCTTTTGGCTGCCAATGATAAATTGTATTGCATTTAATCTGAATATATGCCTATAAGAGTTTTTCCAAGAGACTGCACACAATGGATGTGCATCAGCAAAACTCTTATTGCAAGAGGAATTTATGGGCTGCCTTTGTATTCATTGTATAATGATTCAGTTTATTTCGTAGTTGTTCCACATTGCATATCATTGTATGAGTTTAATTTGAAAACCCGGAGCATGACATTTATTGATCACTTACATTAAGTTTAATATAGTTAATTAAAAAACTAAGGGTCATTAAATTAATGATATTATAAAAGGCTTTGGATACGTTGTGAATTTGGTGAAATTCAAGTTTTTGAAAGAATTAACTAAAATATGTAGTTATTATATGACTTCTAAATTTTTCGTTGCCAATAACATAAAATTAATTCCGCTTAATTTTATATCTTTTATCAATTTTTTTAGTCAAAATTTTGTATTTGCATCAAATTATGGCTCTTTAAAAATTTAAGATAAATATGACTGAGAGTTTTAGATTGCTGTAATTAGCTATTATTCTTTGAATAAAAATTAAAAGACCTAATCTGAAAAGAAGAATTGATAAATAGGTAGAAATAGACAAAAATCTGCCATTCACATTTAATTAGTAAATCAAATAATTTATCCCTTATTAAGCCATCATTATAATACATATATGGGTAATAAGCAATCAAAAAAGCCAGGCCGTAGGCGTGCAAAAATGCTGACTCCAGAACTTATGCAGCCTTACTACAACATAACTGATACTTACTATCAAAATAAATCACTTTATTTAATTGATAATGAGGACAACAAGACTAATTTATTGATTTATAACACTGAGAGTGATACCAAAGAAAAAAAAGTTATAAAAACTCGATATCCGCTAGACTGGGGCACATGCATAGCTCAGCTTCCAAATGGTAAATTATTTTGTTATGGTAGAAGAGATCCACTTTCTGGGATCACGCTCATTGTTGATGAAAATGGTGAAATCGAGAAACTGCCATATGGATGGCATTGCTCCTTTTCTTCAGCTATCTATTACAACAACAGCGTCTATTGCTTTGGAGGGTTTGATTATAATCAACTTTTCTTAAAATATTCCAATAGATTTGATTTGGTTCAAAAAAGATGAATCACATTAAATGATATTCCAAAAGCTGATGCATCTTGCACTGGCATAGCATTTAAAGGGAATATTTTGATTACTGGACATTGAAATACATATCTTTTGTTGTATTCGATTGATATTAACTCTTTCTCTAAAATTCCTTTTGACTACCCAAAAATGGAAAATAAGATCCTGGTAAATGCAGGAAGGAGATTGTTTTTGATTGGAAGATTAGTGATTTATGAGAGCGATACTGAAAGATACACTCATTGGAGATGAATTACTAGAGCATCAGCTGGTTTTGATTTTCATCAAGTTAACTCTACATATTGTTCAGGAGCAATATATACAGGGTATATAACTACGAAAAAAAACTTCTACTTCAAGTTTAACCTGGACGAAAAAAGGATAACTGAACTCCTTTAACTTAGATAAATATAAATTATTAAGAGAAATAAATTAAGAGATATTATTTCATATCCTAACTAATTGAATTTATTACTTCCAAACTGTGCTTCATAAGCACCAACAGCTCATAAGCCTACTTTGATGAGATTTAAGTAATGGGGAGAATATTTAGCATTTGAATATTATGCATAGCTTAATGCTAAAATGCTAATATATAAGTATTTATATAGTGTCTAATTAAGCACTTATGGGCTATTAAAATTTGCTCTTTCTAAAAATGACGTAGAGAAATCAAAAATAAGCATAGATGTAATTTAGCCTTTTATAAATAATCGCTATAATAAACTTATGGAGGACAAACAAATTTTTGAGCCAGCCTGCTCGCAGCCAGCATTTCAGAGCTATCCCAATGAGTCCATACCAAAACTTATGCAGGCTTATCAAGACTATTAGAACATTTTTGAGAAAAAATCAGCACTTTATCTAATAAGTGACGATAAGTTATTTATTTATAGCACTGAGAATGATAGCGAGCAAACCATAATAATAAAAACTCCCGAACCTCAACGCTATAGCACCTGCAGCATATCTCAACTTCCAAACGGCAATTTATTCTGTTTTGGTAATTATCCAAATTCTTGAGAAGTATTGATAATTGACGAAAATGGTGAAGTCCAACAGCTGCCATCTGGATCACCTCTTAAATTTTCATCAGCTATGCATTTTCTAAAGCATGGTTAAATTGTTTGAATGCTTGCTTTAAGAATTGATATTTACCAAATAAATCATATAAGATGCTGCATTTTTTGTTAAAACTTCTTCAAAGTATAAGGTCTCTTATTGCAGACACATTAGTCATGCAGATAAATGCTTTAGTTTGTAAGAAGCTAGAAAGGAAATGTCAAGGGCTCTATATTTATTTCAACAATAACGTCTATTGTTTTGGAGGAGCAGATCCAGACAGTAATCCTTTAACTCTATCTAGTAGATTTGATTTGGATACAAAACGATGAATCAAATTAACTCCAATGCCACAGGCTGATTCACGGTGCAGCAGTGTAATATTTGATGATATATTTTGATTTCTGGGTATATCAATAGAAATCTTTTGTTATATTCAATTGATATTGACTCTTTCTCAATAATTTCTAGTGCATTTACAAAGTATAAAAGAAAGATCCTGGTAAATGCAGAGAGGAGATTGTATTTGATTGAGTCTAAGAATGGATCAATTTATGAGAGCAAAATTGGAAGCCTCATTGATTGGACACAAATTGCAAACTCAATAATTGATTTTAATCCTTCTCAAGTATATTGTTTATACAATAAAGGAGCAATATATATATAGCTGTTTATATCTTATAATAAGACACACTATGCCATGGTTTACTAAAGCAGCCTAGCTGACTCTTCTCGTGATAATTCTCGCTAAAGGTATTAGTAAACTATATCGGGTGCATTGACGAAGATGATGCCTTATATATACTTCAAGCTTAATCTAGATACAAAAAAGTCTATTGCTTTAGAGAGTATCTATTTTTAATAAATTATTAAGATTTATTTCTTATTTAATATTCAGGATTAAATCGCTTGAGGTAAATGAGAGTATGAAGGATGATTACGCCAACAAATATTAAATATTCGAAAAACTGGCTTTGGGGACTTTTTTGTCAGGAACTTACTAAATTAGTTTGCAAAGCATCTATTAGCATTTACAGCGTCGATATACAAAATAGATAAATTAAATTATTTGGATTAAATAGCATCAGTTTGGTGTCGGCAAAGAAACTTACAGCCAAAAATTGGTAATTTATATTATAATTACGCTTTATAAATCAATTATTATAATAAATATATGGAGAACAACCAACACCCCTTGCTTTTAACATATCAGAATGACCCAAACAATCATTCTTCAAAGCTTCCACAAGATTATCAAAACTCTGCTGATACTTATAATCAAAATAAGTCGCTTTATTTAATAAATATAGTGAAGAGCAAAACTAATTTATTGATTTATAAAACTGAGAATGGTAGAAAAGAAAGGAAAATTTTGAACACTCCAGAACTACTAGACTATGGAACATGCATAACTCTGCTTCCTAATGGAAAATTATTTTGCTATGGTAATATTCCCTCATCAAATTCTGGGATCACACTAACCATTGATAAAAATTTCGAAATCCATCAACTGCCATCTGGACCACCTTGTGGGTTGTCTTCAGGTATCTATTTCAGTAACAGTATCTATTGCTTTGGAGGATTTAATCAAAGCGATCCGAATTTTATTATATCTTGAAGATTTGATTTGAATGAAAATCGATGAATCAAATTAATGCCAATGCCAAAAGCGGATAACCTTTGCGCTGGCGTCGTATTTAATAGGAATATTTTGATTTCTGGATTTCATGAAAAAAATCTTTTGCTGTATTCAATTGATATTGACTCTTTTTCTAGAATTCCTTATAAGTTTTCAGAGTTCGATTTAAAAATCTTGATAAAAGATGAAAGAAGATTGTATTTGATTGGAAGAAAATTAATTTATGAGAGTGACATTGAAAGCTACACTGCTTGGAGTCAAATTGGCTATTCAAGAGTCATTAATGATCCTAGTCAATTTTATTTAGCATACAATTTAGGAACAATATATATAGGGTGCAATTATTCACTTCAGAGCAGATACTTCAAATTTAGCCTGAAAGAGAAAAAAATAACCGAGCTCTTTAAATAAATTCACTTTTTAATAAAATTGTTTGGGAGTCCTAAAATAATCCAATCATTTATATCTATTTATTGCTTTAGAGGGTTTTCTCCAAATTAAAATTTTTAGCTCTATCTCTTAGATTTGATTAAAATGATAATTGATGAATAAAATAACTCCAATGCCACAAGCGGATTCCCGTAGCAATAGTGTAATATTTAATTGAAATATTTGGTTTTAGTTATTATAAAATAAACTTTTTGTTATATTTAACTGATATTGACTCTTTCTCAGCAATCCCTTATAAAATGGGATTTAAGTACTGGAAAGATAATAATTAGCAATTTTATGTAGGCTAGCTTAATGATTATGCTGCCTTTGTGTAATTGAGAAGGCTCCCTTATTACCCTGTCACATTTAGTTGATGCTGCATAATATATTAAGTCTATCACATAGATAAATGTTTTTTCCTTAGATTTAATCTCAGAAACCCAAAAAGCAAAGCGTTTAATCAACATAAAGTGCTTTATTTTATATATTTTAGGAGTTTTGCTTTAATAAATAAAGGTCATTAATAATATATAAAACAATGGGCCGATCAAACCCTTCAATTTCAAAATTCGAACAATGAATCCAGGAAAGGTACTTTTTAAATCAAGGCACATTAAATCAAAAGACAAATTCTTTATAAATATAAGAAACCAATTAAACGTCAAAACAGCTCCAAAAAGAACAGAACCGACTCGATGAAGCCTGCAATAATAATTAAATCAGCAAATAGTAATCCATGTCTCCAAAATGACGGTAATCTTGTATTCTCTTACTACTTTGACATTGCTAAGATAAATCTAAAAACTATGTTCACAACTCCCAAAAATTTCCCTCAACGTCCAGAATTCGACAAAAGTATATCTATATGTGCAATTCCCAATAATAATTTTTTTTGCATTGATTTTGGGAATAGCTTGGCATTTATTATTGATAAAAGCCTCGAAATCTCAGAAACCAAACATATCAAGCCAAAAAATTACGGTAGTATGATATATCTTGATGGGCTAATTTATTTATTTGCGATCAAGCCTGGTCTAAGGACAATAGAAACATATGATTTAAATAGAAATAGATGAAAACAAGCTGCATCTATTAAAATACGTGATCCATATTATGATTCGATTTTAGCATCTTTCGAAGGAAAAATTATAATTGCTCCAAATGGCAGCGGTAGTGTGAAGGCTTTTGACCCTTTTTGTAACAGTGCATCAAAGATATTAAAGCTTAAACCAAATTACGGAGCAATTCTTTTGGCTGCGAATGATAAATTGTATTGCATTCAATCTGAAGGGTATGCTTATGAGAGTTTGCCAAGAGACTGCACACAATGGATGTGCATCAGCAAAACTCTTATTTCAAGAGGAATTTATGGGCTGCTTATGTATTCATTGTATAATGATTCAATTTATTTCGTAGTTGTTTCACATTACATATCATTGTATGAGTTTAATTTGAAAACCGGAGCATGAAATTTATTGATCACTTATATAAAGATAAATATAGTTGATAAAAATTAAGGGTCATTAAATTAGTATAATTTTAGAGAGGAGATCTTTCTAATTCGACTATATTTTGTTCATACAGATTGAACTTGAAGAAGTCTAGCATGCTTGACTTAATGCTTCCTATATAGGGTGCAATTATTAACTTGAGAGCAGATACTTCAAATTTAGTCTGGAAGAGAAAAAAAATAACCGAGCTCTTTTAAATAAATTCACTTTTTAATAAAATTGTTTGGGAGTCCTAAAATAATCCAATCATTTATAAAAGCTACAAGAAGCTTGAAGGAAGCATCGGTAGCACTGTATTTATTTCAACAGATGCCTATTGTTTTAGAGGGTTTTCTCCAAATAATAATTTCTTAGCTCTATCTCTTAGATTTGATTAGGATGGAAATCATGAATAAAATTAACCCCAATGCCACAAGCGGATTTCCGTAAGAATTATTTAATATTTAATTGAAATACTTGATTTCTAATTATTATAAAAGAAACCTTTTATTATGTTCAATTGGTATTGACTCTTTCTCAACAATCCCTTATAAAATGGGATTTAAGCATTGGAGAGATAATGATTAGCAATTTTATGTAGGCTAGCTTAATGATTATGCTGCCTTTGTGCAATTAAGAAGGCTTTCCTTATTACCCTGTCACATTTAGTTGATACTGCATAATATATTAAGTCTATCACATAGATAAATGTCTTTTCCTTAGATTTAATGTCAGATACTCAAATAGAAAACATTTAATCATCATATAGTGTATTATTTATATATTTTAGGAATATTGTTTAATAAATAAAGGTCATTAATAATATATAAAACAATGGGCCGATCAAACCCTTCAATTTTAAAGATCGAACAATGAAATCCAGGAAAGGTGCTTTTTAAATCAAGGCACATTAAATCAAAAGACAAATTCTTTATAAAATATAAGAAACCCATTAAACGTCAAAACAGCTCCAAAAAGAACAGAATCGACTCGGTGAAGCCTGCAATAATAATTAAATCAGCAAATAGTAATCCATGTCTCCAAAATAACGGTAATCTTGTATTCTCTTACTGGTTTAGCATTGTTAAGATAGATCTAAAAACCATGAAAACTACTCACAAAAATTTCCCTCAACGTCCAGAATTCGACAAAAGTATATCTATATGTGCAATTCCCAATAATAATTTTTTTGCATTGATTTCGGGAATAGCTTGGCATTTATTATTGATAAAAGCCTCGAAATCTCAGAAATCAAACGTATCAAGCCAAGAAAATACGGTAGTATGATATATCTTGATGGGCTAATTTATTTATTCGCGATGAAACCTGGTCTAAGAACAATAGAAATATATGATTTAAATAGAAATAGATGAAAACAAGCTGCATCTATTAAAATACGTGATCCATATTATGATTCGATTTTAGCAGCTTTCGAAGGAAAAATTATAATTGCTCCACATGGCAGCAGTAGTGTGAAGGCTTTTGACCCTTTTTGTAACAGTGCATCAAAGATATTAAAGCTTAAACCAAATTACGGAACATTTCTTTTGGCTGCGAATGATAAATTGTATTGCATTCAACCTGAAGGGTATGCTTATGAGAGTTTGCCAAGAGACTGCACACAATGGATGTGCATCAGCAAAACTATTATTGCAAAGGGAATTTATGGGCTTCCTATGTATTCATTGTATAATGATTCAATTTATTTTGTAGGTGTTCCACATTGCATATCATTGTATGAGTTTAATTTGAAAACCCGGAGCATGACATTTATTGATCACTTATATTAAGTTAATAGCAAAATAAGGGTCATTAAATTAGTAATATTATAAAAACTCTGGATAGATTGTAAATTTTGTGAAATAATTGAGCCTTATAACTTTCAAACTGTGCTGCATAAGCGCTAAACAGTTGATAAGCTATCTCTTATGAAATTTAAGCACGGGAGAGAATATTTAACAATTTGTATATCAGGCATAACCAATGCTTATTCTACCTTTGTGATGTTGAGAATAGAGAACTTGCAAATATGATCAAAAACCTTAAAATTCAAAAGCAAATCTTTTTGCAAAAATGGAAATGTGCAAAAATTAAATGCAAATTCGCAAAAATTTTTTTAATGGTATGTGTTTAATCTGCTCTCAATCTAAGCATTGCCCTTAATTTTTCCGCCAAGCGCTTGATTTTCTTTTTCTCGCTTTCAATGCATAATCCACACCTATGCCCTTGAAAAGAGTGATTCTTGCCTTTTCTCAAATGTGCCCCACAGAGATTTCCATTCAGTAAGAGTTTTAGGCGTCTAAATGTCTATCTTCAAGTTTCAGTTCAAATTTATTATTTATCTTTATATTATCTTCAAATTTAGCTTAAAATTCATATTTATTTTCAGATTAATCTTCATATGCATTTTCATGTCCTTCTTATATATGCCTCTATACACATCTTCATATGAATCTATATATGCATCCTCGTATTCGTAGTTATCTGCATGCCTATAATAGTAGCCAGGTTTGAGATTGTAGCACATCATGGTCCCCACTGTACCGGTGCGTAATCTGAAGCTTTAGCAAGCGTTCAATCATCATAAAGTTCATTAATTTTTATATTTTAGAAATATTGCTTTAATAACTAAAGGTCATTAATAGTATATAAAACAATGGGCCGACCACGTCCTTCAATTTCAAAAATCAAACAATGAAATCCAGGAAAGGTGCTTTTTAAATCAAGGCACATTAAATCAAAAGACAAATTCTTTATAAAATATAAGAAACCCATTAAACGTCAAAACAGTTCAAAAAAAAACAGAATCGACTCGGTGAAGCCTGCAATAATAATTAAATCAGCAAATAGTAATCCATGTCTCCAAAATAACGGTAATCTTGTATTCTCTTACTGGTTTAGCATTGTTAAGATAGATCTAAAAACCATGGAAACTACTCACAAAAATTTCCCTCAACATCCAGAGCTCAACAAAAGTATATAGCTCATGCACCTTAATAGATCTCTATACCCCAGCAGAATGCCGTCCAGAAAAAAATATGGTACAGGGCACCTTCCTTATGCAGTATAAGTCTGATTAGGCACCTCAAAGCCATAAACGGAGATTTTGCCAATTTCATTTTTACTTTTAAAATAAAGCTGGCAAGCACAAATTAATTTTGGAAATTAAAAATGGATAGCAAATAATGATCTAAAATATTTCAGGCGCTATATCTATATGTGCAATTCCCAATAATAATTTTTTTTGCATTGATTTCGGGAATAGCTCGACATTTATCATTGACAAAAGCCTCGAAATTTCAGAAGCCAAACGTATCGAGCCAAGAAAATACGGTAGTATGATATAGAAATTGCCCGATGATGGCGCTCAATGCGCCATCATCGGGCAACGTCTTTTCAGGGTCCACACTGGAAAAGGGTTCCACGTGTGGGAACCCTTTTTAACACGTGGAGAATCCTCACTTTCACGCGCGTCAAAAAGGATTCCACACGTGGAACCCATTTTCCCGTGTGGACCCTTAAAAAACGTTGCCCGATGATGGCTCATTGAGCGCCATCACCGGGCAATCAGTATATATCTTGATGGGCTAATTTATTTATTCGCGATCAAGCCTGGTCTAAGGACAATAGAAACATATGATTTAAATAGAAATAGATGAAAACAAGCTGCATCTATTAAAATACGTGATCCATATTATGATTCGATTTTAGCAGCTTTCGAAGGAAAAATTATAATTGCTCCACATGGCAGCAGTAGTGTGAAGGCTTTTGACCCTTTTTGTAACAGCGCATCAAAGATATTAAAGCTCAAACCAAATTACGGAACATTTCTTTTGGCTGCGAATGATAAATTGTATTGCATTCAATCTGAAGGGTATGCTTATGAGAGTTTGCCAAGAGACTGCACACAATGGATGTGCATCAGCAAAACTCTTATTGCAAGAATTTATGGGCTGCCTATGTATTCATTGTATAATGATTCAATTTATTTTGTAGGTGTTCCACATTGCATATCATTGTATGAGTTTAATTTGAAAACCCGGAGCATGACATTTATTGATCACTTATATTAAGTTAATAGCAAAATAAGGGTCATTAAATTAGTAATATTATAAAAACTCTGGATAGATTGTGAATTTTGTGAAATTCAAATTTTTGAAAGAATTAACTAAAATGTGTAATTATTATATGACTTCTAACTTTTCTGATGGGGTATTTGTTTCAATTTAAATAATAAGAAAATTTTAAAATAATCTTTTAAAATAAACTCATTTAAATCTGAACAGATTTTTTTCTTCCAATTTAAAGTGGGAGTAATAAGTGGCTTTTTGTATATGAAAGACTTAATAGATGACGCAGCTTCACCTAAATGTAGCAAGGTTCAAAGGGTAAGATTTCTCAACTATACAGTGGTAGCATAAGTATTAAACTAGTCTGGTATGAAAATTGCTGATTATGATCCCCTAAACGTTTAAATTCCATTTAATAATCATTGGTTTATTACTGTTTGAGATTTATGCTGAACAGCGTGAAACTAAATAAATTTTAATTAATCAATCACTTCTTAAAAGAATTTGCAATCTTATAACATTAATGAGCAGCATAATATCAATAATCTATTAGATGCCTTAAATTTCTTTAAATATAGATTCTGGTTATCTTTTTCTCTTTCAGGCTAGACTTGAAGACCTGGTAAATTTCAATATGATTGCACCCGATATATATTGTTCCTGACTTATACAAGCAAAACGCTTGATAAACATCAAAAGAGCATGTTGTCTTGGAAATTGGGCTCCAAACAGTGTAGTTTTCAATTTCACTTTCATAAATGAGTCCATTGAAGCATTCAAACAAATAAAATCTTCTTTCTGCATTTGCAAGTACCTTAGTTTTATACGGTGCAAAATCATAAGGAATCGTAGAGAAAGCGTTAGTATCAATTGAATACAACAAAAGATTTCCGTGAAAATTTCCAGAAATCAAAATATTCCTATTAAATATTACACTTTTACAAAAATAATCCTGTTTTGGCATTGGAGCTATTTTAATTCATCGATTTCTTTCCAAATCAAAACTATGAGATACTGCTAAAATCCTATAACGTTTATCGGTTCCTCCAAAGCAGTAAATATAATTGTTGAAATAGATATAGTGCCCTTTTAAATTCCTTCAAACACAACTTTTAACCCCTTAAAAGTATAATAGCTTCAATAAAGAAGTATTTGGTTTGCAGAAGCTTGAAGAAAAGATTCAATTGTCTATAGCTGAAGAAGATATACAAGCTGGTCCAGATGGCAATTCTAGTACTCCACCATTCTCATCAATTATCAAGGCTATCCCAGTAGGTGGATAAGTTCCACCAAAGCAGAATAATTTACCATTTGGAAGTTGAGCTATGCATGTGGTACAGCCTAATATTTCTGAAGTCTTCAAAATTTTTGTTTCTTTACAATTACTCACAGTATTATAATGAATAATCTGCTTTCTTCGTTCTTTTTTACTATTGAATAAAGTGATTCTCCTTGGTTATTAGTGATCTCGTAGTTTTTATTATCCTGCATAAGTTTGGGAATATGCTTACTAGAAACGTTCTGACAGGTCGTGCATTCTGGCTTTAAACATAAATTGTCCCCCATGTAATTATTATTATGATTGATTTATAAAGACTAAATTATGCTATTATATACTTATTTAATATGAATAAGAACTTAAGGTGAAAATATATTCTTGGCAAAGCAAATCTGTTATTCTTAACTGCTGGCTACCTGAAAGGAATAAGGGTATTAATGTACCTAGCAGTAAGCTCTTCAATAATTCTAAATAGCATTAGAGATAACGTTTAATCTGAATATATGCAAAAAGAACCCAAAAAGTCGATAATCTATTTGTATTTGAGCCCCTTACTTTTAGTATAGGGTAACTTCACATTTCCAGGATTTACAATTTCCCTCGTTTTGAAAGCCATGTGAAATTTAATTTTAGCTTAGACTTGAACTAACAAAGTCTACTATCTCAGCTTTCCTGATAATTTCCATTATAAATTCTCTTGCCTAGCCTCTTCTAACTCTACTCAGTCTTTCAGCATCTGTACATTTTTGCTGTCCAAACTATATTATCAGCATAAAGAAGGGCTCAGGTGAATCCCTAGTTTTAGTTCTTCATTTCTTCACGACCGTACATTTGCTTGAGATGATTTTTCAATTTTTTAGGACAAGTTTTGATTAGAGTGAAACCGTCCATTTGCTTGAGATGATTTTTCAATTTTTTAGCAAAGTTTTGATTATTGTTTTCAAAATACAATAATCACTATAATAATTATATGGGTTTTGGTCAAAGTTTCATGTCATGCAGGAATAAGTCAGCATATCAAAAAGATCATAGTAAACGAAGTCTGAAACTTAGGCAGGCCTGTCGAGACTATGCGAATACTTTTAATACAAAAACTTCACTTTATTTATTATGTGGAATGAAAGATCAAAGCAGTTTATTTATATATGATACTGAGAGTGATAGTAAAAAAACTCTAATTTGAAAAATTATAGAGCACACACACTATTATAGGTAATCTATAGAGATAAGTATTTTATTTTTATGGAATTTCAATGCTGCGCTATAAGTGGCAGTCATATATAAAGGGTGCAATGATTGTGATGTCAGCAAAGCCTTCAAGTTTAGCCTGAACGAGAAAAGGTTAACCAAAATCTATTAAACTTTTTTTAATGATAATTGTTTCAGACTTCTTGATTTTTATATATTATGTTTATATAACTCAAGGCATCTAATAGATTATAGATATTATGCTCATTAATATGTAAATTTCAAACAGTAATAAACAATGTTTATAATTAAATGGAATTTAAGCATTTAGGGGATCATAATCAGCAATTTTTATATCAGAATAGTTTAATAGTTATGCTGCCACTGTATAGTTGAGAAGCTTACCCTTTTAAACTTGCTAAATTTAGATGAAGTTGCATCATCTATTAAGTATAAAAGCTACTTATTTAAGCAGAATGCTATTAAAATAGTATCATTATAATAACTAAATGGAGTATCAGCAATATTTAAAACCAGACTGCATGGAATATCAAAATGATTCTAGTAAGCATGTTCCAAAACTTATGCAGACCTATCAAAACTATGCTAGCACTCTCAACCAAGGCGATTCGCTTTATTTAATAGATAGATGAAACAATAGAACGAATTTATTGGTTTATAACACTGTGAGCGATAGCAAGCAAACTAAAATTTTGAAGACTCCAGAACCGCTTGACTGTAATACATGCATAGCTCAACTACCAAATGGTAAATTATTCTGCTATGGTAAGAATTTTCCAATTTCTGGCATCACATTGATAATTGATGAGAATGGAGGAGTACAAAAACTGCCATCTGGAGTGTCTTGCTATTGGTCGTCAGCTATCTATTTCAACAACAATGTCTATTGTTTTGGAGGAATAGGTCGGCATATGAACGCTTTAGCTCTATCTCGTAGATTTGATTTGGATAGGAATCGATGGGTCGAATTAGCTTCAATGCCACAAGCTGATTGCAGTTGCAGTAGTGTAATATTTAATGGGAATATTTTGATATCTGGGAGCTGCTATAGATCTCTTTTGTTGTACTCAATTGATATTGACAGCTTCTCTACAATTCCTTCTAATTTTAAAGCAAATACACTTAAAATCTTGATATGTGCTGAAAGGAGACTGTATTTGATTGAATGCGATTTTTATGGGAAATTATATGAAAGTGATATTGGAAGCTACACTTTCTGGAGAATAATTGGCAGATCAGCATCCTTTTTTCCTTTCTCTTTTCAAGTGTATTGGTTATACAATGCAGGACAGATATATATAGGAAGCATTAAGTCAAATATGATAGCCTTCTTCAAGTTTAATCTGGATGAACAAAATATAGTCGAATTAGAAAGATTTCCTCTCTAAAATAAATTAGTTAAAACTTCTTTCCTATTTCAATATTCGATTCTAAATCTTCAGACTACACACCGGTACAGCGGGCACCATGATGGGCTAGAGTCTCAACCCTGATTACTATTATGGATAGACATGGAGATGAATAAGAATACGGAGACGCATATATAGATTCATATGAAGATGTATATGAAGAATTGTATGGAGACATATATAAGAAGGACATTAATATGCATATAGAGGGTATGAAGATGAATCTGAAGATAAATATGAATTTTAAGTTAAATTTGAAGATTAATATAAAGATGCTTTATAATTTGAACTGAATTTGAAGATGAAAATTTAGAAGCTGAAACTCTTACTGCATGTACAATGGAAACCTCTGCGGGTCAAATACGAGGAAACGCAAGAATCGCTGTTTTCAACGGCATAGGGGTGGATTATGCTTCGAAAGCGAGAAAAATAAAAATGAGTGTTTGGCGGAAAATTAAGGGAAATGAACAAAACCATTGGGAAAATCCTTAGATTGAGAGCAGATTGAACAAACCATTCAAAAAAATCTTGCAAATTTGCAATTTTCCATTTTTTGCAAAAAACATTTGCTTTTGGAATTTATGCGGTTTTTGATCATATTTACAAGTTCTCTATTCTCAACATCACAAAGGTAGAATAAGCATTAGGTTATGCCTGATATACAAATTGTTAAATATTCTCTCCAGTGCTTAAATCTCATAAGCTGTTTGGCGCCTATGCAGCACAGTGTGAAAGTAATAAAACTCAATTATTTCACAAAATTCAAATCTATCCAGAGTTTTTTAGGCTAATTTAATAACCCTTATTTTTTATTAACTATATTAATCTTAATATAATTGATCAATAAATGTCATGCTCCGGGTTTTCAAATTAAACTCATACAATGATATGCAATGTGGAACACCTATGAAATAAATTGAATCATTATACAATGAGTACATAGGTAGCCCATAAATTCTTGCAATGAGAGTTTTGCTGATACACATCCATTGTGTGCAGTCTCTTGGCAAACTCTCATAAGCATACCCTTCAGGTTGAATGCAATACAATTTATCATTCGCAGCCAAAAGAATTGCTCCGTAATTTGGTTTAAGCTTTAATATCTTTGATGCGCTGTTACAAAAAGGGTCAAAAGCCTTCACACTACCGCTGCCATGTGGAGCAATTATAATTTTTCCTTCGAAAGCTGCTAAAATCGAATCATAATATGAATCATATCTTTTAGTAGATACAGCTTGTTTTCATCTATTTCTATTTAAATCATATGTTTCTATTGTTCTTAGGCCAGGCTTGATCGCGATTAAATAAATTAGCCCATCAAGATATATCATACTACCGTATTTTTTTGGCTCGATATGTTTGCTTTCTGAAAATTTGAGGCTTTTATCAATGATAAATGTCAAGCTATTTCCAAAATCAATGCAAAAAAATTTATTATTGGGGATTGCACATATCGATATACTTTTGTCGAATTCTGGACGTTGAGGGAAATTTTTGTGAGTAGTTTTCATGGTTTTTAGATCTATCTTAACAATGCTAAACTGGTAAGAGAATACAAGGCTACCGTCATTTTGGAGACATGGATTACTATTTGCTGATTTAATTACTATTGCAGGCTTCATCGAATCGGTTCTGTTCTTTTTGGAGCTGTTTTGACGCTTAATGGGCTTCATATATTTTATAAATAATTTGTCTTTTGATTTAATGTGTCTTGATTTAAAAAGTACCTTTCCTGGATTTCATTGTTTGATTTTTGAAATTGAAGGGTGTGATCGGCCCATTGTTTTATATATTATTAATGACCTTTAGTTATTAAAGCAATATTCCTAAAATATATAAAATAATGCACTTTATGATGATTAAACGTTTTGCTTTTTGGGTTTCTGAGATTAAACCTAAGAAAAAGACATTTATCTATGTGATAGACTTAATATATGATGTAATATCAACTAAATGGGACAGGGCTATAAGAAGAGCCTTTTCAGTTACACAAAGGCAGCATAATCATTTAGCTAGCCTACATAAAATTGCTAATTATTATCTCTCCAATGCTTAAATCCCATTTTATAAGGGATTGTTGAGAAAGAGTCAATATCAATTGAATATAATAAAAGGTTTCTTTTAAAATAACTAGAAATCAAATATTTCAATTAAATATTAAATAATTCCTACGGAAATCCGCTTGTGGCATTAGAGTTAATTTTATTTAGAAAAAAAAGAGTTCATGCAAATATGATTGAAGTCAAGTTATTTAAGGTTGATTATTGAAAATAAGAAATAAATCTTAAATAGTGTTATGTAAATTAGATCTTTTCTAAAGCCATTTTTCTTCTTTTACGCAGCTTAAGCTTGAAGTATACAGCACTATAACCGTTTAAGCACCCAATATAAATTACTCCTTTTTTGTATAAACTATATGCTTGGGAAGGATTTAAATCAATTGTTGAGTCTGCAATCCATGCAGCTTCCAATTTTGCTCTCATAAATAGATCCATTCTTACACTCAATCAAGTACAGTCTCCTTTCTGCATTTACTAGGATCTTTCTATTATATTCTTCAAACTCATAAGGAATATAAGAGAAAGAGTTAAGATAAACTGAATACAATAAAAGATTTCTACTCACAGCCCCAGAAATCAAAATATTTCCATCAAAGATTGCACAATTGCAATAGCAATCAGCAATTGGCATTGGAGGCAAATAAAATCACCGATTTACATTTAAATCGAATCTGCGAGATAAAGTTAACTTGTTATCTTTAAAATCTTGCCCTCCAAAACAATAGACATTGTTTTTGAAATATATAACTGATGAAAATACAATATTGGAACTAGATGCCAGATGCTGGATGCTAAAATTTTTATCAATTATCAGTGAAACCCCCAAAGCTGGATAATTACCAAAACAGAATAATTTACCATTTGGAAGTTCAACTATGCTGCTGCCGACACCGCTTAGGGGGCTAGGGATTTCTCATTTTATGTTTTGTTCACTATCACTCTCAGTGTTATAAATAAATAATGAATTTTCACTTAATAAATAAAGTGAAGTTTTTGTATTAAAAGTGTTCGCATAGTCTCGATGAGCCTGCATAAGTTTTGGTCTTCGTTTACTGCGATCTTTTTGATATGCTGGCTTATTGATGCATGACTTGAAACTTTGACCAACACCCATATAATTATGATAATGATTATGTTATAAAGAAATATAAATTAATGTACTTTGAAAAATGTTTTGAAAACAATAATCAAAATTTGTGCTAAAAAGATTGAAAAATTATCCAAGTCTCAGCAAATGGACGGTTTCACTCTATTTAAATACCATTTTTTGTTTTCTTTCTGAATAAAGAATTTGTTTTTCTTGTTATTTAATGCGAGAAGAAAACATAGCATTACCTAAGTGTGCAAAGTAAAAATAATAAATCTTATAACAATGCAAATGTAAAATAAGTATTAAGATATGGCAATTCGTAAAATGATAATTAGGATTTCCAACACTGCATGTCGCTATTTTAATAGGATAAAGATAATCCATATGAATTATCAAGTGAATATGGGATCGCAACAATTGAAGTTCATGCCGTTGGAATCAAAAGTAACAGCCTTGCTGACCCCATAATTTTTGAGGCATTTAATGATTTTTTATTTCAACTCACTGATCTGCAGTCTCTAGTTCATAATTGGCAAAATATCATTATGTGCTATCAGGTATATTTAGATATTAAACTATATATTGAAAATAGAAATAAGCTTTAAAATTTTGTCAGAATCAGATTTTTTTATCCAGATTAAGCGTGAAGTAAAAAATCGCATGATATTCAAACACTATATAACGCATCAATACCTATATTGTATATTGAATTATCGTAAAATAAGCATGAGCATTGGCCCTACCATTAATCAAGATTATCAAAAATCTCTCTGCAAGTCAAATGCAAAGCCTTAGAGCCATTTCATATTTTGCTTGGCCAACTGCCTGCTCTACTACTCTCATATCACTCCTGTCGTGACTAGAAGCGCAGGGTATAGAGTAAATTTTATTTAGAAAAAAGAGTGCATTGCAAAAAAAATTAAAGTCAATATTTAAGGCTAATTATTGAAATCAGAAATAAATCCTAAATAGCGTTATGTAAATTAGATCTTTTCTAAAGCCATCGATCCTTTTTTACGCAGCTTAAGCTTGAAGTATACAGCATCATATCTGTCTAAGCACCCAATATAAATTACTCCTTTATTGTATAAGCTATATGCTTGGGCAGGACTAAAATTAATTGTTGAGTCTGCAATCCTTGTCCAATCCATGCAGCTTCCAATTTTGCTCTCATAAATAGATCCACTCATAGACTCAATCAAATACAGTCTCCTTTCTGCATTTACCAGGATCTTTCTCCAATTCACTGAAAACTCATAAGGAATAACAGAGAAAGAGTTAAGATAAGCTGAATACAATAGAAGAGTTCTAGTTAAAGCCCCAGAAATCAAAATATTTCCATCAAATATTATGCAATTGCATAAGTAAAGAGCATTTGGCATTCGAGGCAATTCAAATCACCGATTTACATTTAAACTGAATCTGCGAGATAAAGATAACTTGGTATCTTTAAAATCTTCCCCTCCAAAGCAATAAACATTTTTTTTGAAATAGATAGCTGATGAAAATTTAATAAGTGCAGCAGATGGCAGATCCTGAATCTTAAAATCTTTATCAATTATCAGTGTAACCCCAGAAGCTGGATAATTACCAAAACAGAATAATTTACCATTTGGAAGTTCAGCTATGCTGATGCCGATACCGCTTAGAAGTTCAGGAGTTTCTCAATTTATAGTTTGCTCACTATCATTCTCAGTGTTATAAATAAATAATGAACTTTTATTTTTCCTTCCACTGAATAAATAAAGTGAAGTTTTTGTATTAACAGTGTTCGCATAGTCTTGACAGGTCTGCATAAGTTTTGGTCTTAGTTTACTGCGATCTTTTTGATGTGTCGACTTATCCCTGCGTGACATGAAACTTTGACCAATACCCATATAATTATTATAATGATTATGCTATGGAAATTAACGGGGCAAAAACTGCCTAAAAGCCAATGCACAGACCCATGGGTTTCTCCCGAGGTTCTTTGTGCACTTGAAAGAAATATATTAAAATAGTAAATTAATGTATTTTGAAAACAATAATCAAAACTTGTGCTAAAAAATTGAAAAATCATCCAAATCTCAGCAAATGGACACTTTCACTATTTAAATGCCATTTTTTATTTTGTTTCTGGATAAAGAATTTGTTTTTCTTGTTATTTAATGCTAGAAGAAGCCATAACAAGGCCTAAGTGAGAAAGTAAAAATAATAAATCTTGTAACAATGCAAATGGTAGTATAAGCATTAAGATATGTCAATTCATAAAACGATAAATATAATTTCCAGCACTGCTAATGTCGCTATTTTAATAGGATAAAGATAATTCATATAAATTATCAAGTTGCTAGGGCTGCATTTGAATATAAAATTAATTTTAATAGTTTAAGGCTAAATAATTGCACTTAATCTATTCATTTCTCAAAAGTTTATAATTCATTTTTTTATGCGAATCATTTTATACGATATCAGATGCCTCAAGTTATTCAAATCTGCATATTGATTAAGAAATAAGTGTTAAATAATTGTATTTAATATGATATTTTCTAAACTAATTGATTTTTTTTAAGACTAAGCTCGAAGTATAAATTATTCCTTTATTATATAAACAATATGTTTGAGATGGATTAAAATCAAGCGTTGAGTCTGCAGTACGTGTCCAATCAGTGTAAATTCCAATTTTGCTCTCATAAATTGACCCATTCTTAGACTCAATCAAATACAGTCTGATTTCTGCATTTATCAGGATCTTTCTTGAATATTCTGCAAACTCATAAGGAATAGAAGAGAAAGAGTTAAGATAAACTGAATAAAATAAAAGATTTCTATTCATAGCCCCAGAAATCAAAATATTTTTATCAAATATTATGCAATTGCAATAGTAATCAGCATTTGGCATTGGAGGCAATTCAACATTTAAATTGAATTTGAGAATAAAGTTAACTTGCTATCACCATAATCTTGTCCTCCAAAGCAATAGAGATCATTGTTGAAACAAAATTAAATGATTGTCTAATTTATATTAGAATTTTTTCCCCATAGTGTATGTATTCATTAAAGGAGAGCTGGATACAAACCTTAAGATTTCACCCTGATTAAAACCATTGTATATAATTATTATAATAACGGCTTATTCTAACTAAATTTTATTCTAAATCTGCATTTTTTTGAGCAGTTCAAGGAGGTCTCTGCCTAATCCATCATTAATGAAATTGATATCTTTTTCAGAAAGGTTTCATTCATCTCCAGTCAAACACCATTGAGTTGATTTTCCTCCCTCAAATTATAAGCCATGTTAAAGTCCTGCAAAGCTGCTTCTTCTTGTCTAAGATTATTAAATACTCTCGCTCGGCTGCAGAAATGCAAAGGATTATTGGGTTCATTTTTGATTGCCTCATCATAGCATTGTATTGCTTCTTGATATCTCTCTAAAGTATAAAGTATATTTCCTTTATCATTATAAAACTTGGATTTATATGGATCGTTTTTGATTGATTGATCATAGCATTCTATTGCCTCTTCATATCTCTGTAAAGTATAAAGAGTGTTCCCTTTTTCATTATAACACCTGGAATCATATATATTGATTTTGATTGCCTCATCATAGATTTCTAATGCTTCCTGATATCTTCCTAATTTATTTAAAGCATATCCTTTCTTATAGTAAAAATCAGTTTTGTTTGGTTCGAGTTTGATTATTTCTTCATAGCATTCGATTGCTTCTAAATATCTTTTTAAATTATTAAAATCATCGGCTTTTTTATCGTAAACTCTATAGTCGTTTGGAAAGATTTTGATTGCTTCGCTATAGCGCTCGATTGCTTCTTGATATCTTTTTAAAGAATAAAAAGCGTCACCGTCAATTCTGTAAAGATTAGCATTGCCTGGAATTTTTTTGTTCATTTCCCCTTTGATTTTCTTAGAAAAAAGAGTTCATTGCCAAGATGATTAAAGTCAAGTTATTTAAGGCTGATTATTGAAATAAGAAATAAACCTTAAATAGTGTTATGTAAATTAGATCTTTTCTAAAGTCATTTTTCTTCTTTTACGCAGCTTAAGCTTGAAGCATACAGTTCTATAATCGACTAAGCACCCAATATAAATTACTCCTTTATTGTATAAGCTATATACTTGGAAAGGATTAAAATCAATTGTTGAGTCTGCAATCCATGTCCAATCCATGCAGCTTCCAATTTTACTCTCATAAATAGAACCTTTCAAAGATTCAATCAAATAGAGTCTCCTTTCTGCATTGACCAGGATTTTTCTTGTATATTCTGCAAAATCATAAGGAATATAAGAGAAAGAGTTAAGATAAACTGAATACAATAAAAGTTTTCTATTTACAGCCCCAGAAAATATTTCCATCAAATATGACACAATTGCAATAGTAATCAGCATTTGGCATTCGAGGCAATTTAAATCACCGATTTACATTTAAACTGAATCTGCGAGATAAAGTTAACTTGCTATCATTATAATCTTGCCCTCCAAAGCAATAGACGTTGTTTTTGAAATAAATAGCTGATGAAAATTCAACAGGTGCGCTAGATGTGAGATCCTGGATCTTAAAATCTTTATCAATTATCAGTGTAACCCCAGAAGCTGGATAATTACCAAAACAGAATAATTTGCCATTTGGAAGTTCAGCTATGCTGCTGGCGGAGTAAGCATTTTCTCATTTTATGGTTTGTTCACTACCACTCTTAGTGTTATAAATAAGTACTGATTTTCGATGTAATAAATAAAGTGAAGTTTTTGTATTAAAAGTATTCGCATAATCTCAATGAGCCTGCATAAGTTTTGGTCTTCGTTTACTATTTCTGCATGACTTGAATTGATAAATACCCATATAATTATTATAATGATTATGTTATAAAGAAATAATTTAAAATAGTATAGTGAATTACTGTATTTTGAAAACAATAATCAACAATTTGTGCTAAAAAAGATTGAAAAATCATCTATGTCTCACAAATGGACGGTTTCACTCTATTTAAATGCCATTTTTTGTTTTCTTTCTGAATAAAGAATTTGTTTTTCTTGTTATTTAATGCTAGAAGAAGCCAAAACATCGCCTAAGTGAGCAAAGTAAAAATAATAAATCTTGCAACAATGCAAATGGTAGTATAAGCATTAAGATATGTCAATTCGTAAAATGATAATTAGGATTTCAAGCACTGCTACTGTCACTATTTTAATAGGATAAAGATAATCCATAATTTGCTTGGGCTGCATTTGAATATAAAATAAATTTTAATAGTTCAAGACTAGATAATTACACTTAATCTATTCATTTCTCAAAAGTTTATTACTCATTTTAGGGTGAGAATCATCTTATAAGCTATCTCTGTCTTGAACTCATAAGTGCTATAGCGTCGAGTGATTTAGGTCCTTATATCCGTTAAAAGATATAAACAGCTATATATATTATTCCTTTATTATATAAACTATATTTTTGGTATGGATTAAAATCAACTTTTGAGTCTGCAATTCGATTCCAATTAGTGTAAATTCCAATTTTGCTGTAATAAATTGACCCATTCTTAGATGTATAAAAATGGTGTGGCGAATCTAGCTTATATGGCTAAAACTCAATGAGGTTTGGGCCTTAAAGAAGGGATGTCTAATATATCTATTAAGTTTACTAGCACAGATAAAGCGGCGATGTTGAGCTGATGAGCCGAATTCAATTCTGAGACTTATTCTTGATGGAAAATGGGACACGAAGCTAGAAAGTGAGAGAACTCCCAATAGTACTAGAGGATGCATTTCAATCAACCAGAAACATTTCCTATTAAATATCAGCGTCTTTAGCTTTAATTTACCTTTTACTTCATCTGGCCAGAAAATTCATTTTTCACATTTTGGAAAAAGGCAGCACTTTTACACATAGAAGACATCACAAACCTTGATAAGGAAGAAATAAGGACTCATTAAGCACTGCATTAGGCTCTATATCTTAAATAAAATGGCAGATACATTCTTAGATTCAATCAAATACAGCCTGCTTTCTACATTTGCCAGGGCCTTTCTTGTATATTCTGCAAACTCATAAGGAATAAAAGAGAAAGAGTTAAGATAAACTGAATCAATAGAAGATTACTATTTACAGCCCCAGAAATCAAAGTATTTCCACAAATATTATACAATTACAATAGTAATCAGCATTTGGGATTCTAAATTTAATATTTTATAAACAAAACATTATGCATATGACTTATTTCTCATTATTTCATTAAACTGAGCTCCAAGCATCCCGATATCTTATTTTATATTAATTTGTATTATTTGAAACCAAGTAGCCTATCTCTAGATGCCTCCATATTGCTATATGGTTTTCATGCCATTTTCATTCAGCCCGCAGATGTGTCACCCTTACCAATATATACTGATTGCATTATGATAGCGCATTGAGCGCCATCATCAGGCAATTTCTATACATAAGAATGGCAACACGTCTTAGCTTGCTATCTAGGCGCAACAGACAGACCTTATGACTACGGCGAGCTGGGACGGACTCGATAATCAAGTGCGGGCTCGAGAGATGTGTATCTGGGTAGGCTTTGGCTGCTTTCTGTGGTTGGAAATTGAGATGCTCAACAAGGTCCTTTTAGATATTCCTCTAATTTTTTTTTAAAACAATTATATATAAATTTTAGATTAAATTTTTTTCAAAATTTAAAAAAATTCCTGTTCGTAAAAATTGAAAAGTAAATATTTATGTAAAATTTTTTTGTTCGCTCACGGAGAGGGGGACTTAGCAGGAATAAACCTACTAGGTAAAATAAACCTCATATTCTAATAATACCATAATTTTATTATGCGTCCCAATATCAGTTTGCAGTTTATTTATCTCTGCCTTCAGATCCTCATTTTCTTTTTGCAAGTTTTCAAAATTTCTAGCCATTTCATCATAATCTGCCGCTTTATTTTGATTTTCAATCAACTCTTGCTCAAGCTCTTGGACTCTATGCGAAAGTGCTTCAACAATAATTTTCTCTTGAAAACTCATTGGCTCATTACTAGTTTTCGGACTTCTCCCTTGGGCTCCTTTTAGCTCTTGCAGAAGCCTTTCTTTTTCAAGCTTGCACTGCTCATGCATACTTTTTTCTTTGGAATATTGATTTTTTAAGTCTTTTAAATCATGCATGCTCCTTTTCTGGACTATTTGTTTTTCAGTTTTTGCGTCTTCATAGTCACTTTGTAATTTTTTATTAATTTCTTCAAGATTTTTTATTCTATTTTCCAACTCTTTATTTTTAAATGAAATATTTCCCAGTTCTTGCATATTATCTCTTGCTGAATTTTTTAAATTGTTATATTCAATCTGCAATAAATGCTCATTTCCTTTGAGTTCATCAAATGATTTTTTTAATTCTTGGTTTTCTTTAATAAGCCCTTTAATTTCTTCTTTAAGCGTAATCGCTCCATTTCCTCTTAATTCTTTTATTTCTTGCTCTAATTTTTCTAAATTTCTTTTCAACTTGCTGTTTTCTAAATCTAGTTCTTCCCTTGAGCACTCTATAGCGTATTTTTCTTTTAAAGCTTGTCTGGCGTCACTTACTTCTTCTTCACGATTTGCGAGGTCAATTATAAGTGTTTCTTTTTGGTTTTCTAGCTGAGAATTTTTTATTCTTAAATCATTATTTTCTTTAACGGTTGAGTCTAAGGCGATTTCTATTGCTTTGCATTTTTCTTCTATGCCTTTATATAAAGATTATTTTTTTAAAAAAAAATAATAAAATTTGATTTATTTTTATATAAATAAAGAATAAGACTTCTAAAGAGAGTTTTAATTTTCCATTCAGATCAGAAACTCTTTTTTGCTCAGCTTTACTAGATATATCTTCTATTGTGCTCTCATTCGGCCTTGCTGTATCTGCTTGTCCACCTTTAGGCCACATATGTTCAAAAATTGCTAATAATTGTTCTAATAAAAGTTCCTGATCATCAGTAAGCAATTCTTCTTTTCTGACTTTCTTTAAACATTCTAACTCCCCTCCCCCATCCTTGATCGAACGATTGACTGTAAAAATTCCCCCCATCCTTGATCGAACGATTTTCATATCATGAAATTTTTATATATTTATAAAAATATATTAGTTATCAAAAGCTTGGGAAATGTGCCTAATGAAGTTGTTTTCAGAGGCTTTGAGACGACAGAAAGCTACGAAATCAACCATTCGAAGTGATTTAGTCATCAATCTAGGCTTAAAAACTCAATAAATCTAAAAATAGAGATTCTCTAAAATTTAAAAAAAAAAATCAAAAATTCAATAAAGAACAAATCAAAATTTATAAAGTTTAAAGGGGTAACCAAAAATCAAAATATTAAAAGTTGGTATTCTTATGAAATTAATTCAATTTTTTGCTGTAAAAATAATTATTAAATACTCTTAACCCTCTTAATTAAAAATATAAAAAAAAAAATATTTTTCCCCAAAAAATTTTTTTTTAACCCCCATCCTTGATCGAACGATGGCGAGTCGTTCGATCAAGGATGGGGGAGTAATGCAATTTGCCGAGAAAATAAAGGAAATTTAAGTTTGGAAGGATCGTCTTTTGGCTTAGATTTTTCATCAAGTGCTTTGCGGAGATTAATTATTTCAAAGTATGGGTTTGGTGCTAATTTTATGAGTTCTTCATAGCGCTCGCTATTTGATTTGAGTTTTTGGTTTTCGTGCTTGAGGTTAAGCAATTCATTTTGAAACTGGCCATATTCTGCCATTGTCCAAGTGATTGAGTCTTCTTCGAGATCGCTCATAATTTTTTATCCTAATTTAGAAAATATGCTTGAGGGTATTGGAAAGAAAATTGCTAATTCAAATTTTAGAAAGGAATTTTAAATAATTTTTTATTGATTAATAAAGTCAGAGAAGTATATTATTTATGTTTTAAAAGGATCAAAAGATATTCAAATCCGTTATATTTAGATCTTATAATAATGGTAATGATATTTGATGTAATATTAGATATTTTTAAGGCATGTTTAAAGATTAAAATCTTTTGAATTCAGCTGTAGTATCCAGTAAAGTATTTCAAAACTATGGGCCATAATACAAAGTGGCCTTATATAGATGGAAGCATAAAATTTTGAAATGAAAAAGAGGTTAAGCAAATCATTGAGATTAAAAAATCTTGATCGAGAAATGATTTTGCATAAAACATTGTTGGAAAAATATCAAATGATTAATTAAGATATAAGGATACTATGATTATTTTAGAAGTATAATATGAAGAGATGAAATAAAAGGCAAGCTGCAGATTAGGTTAAATGTTTGTTGACTTAAAGATAAGAGAAGTATAATGGAAAAATGGGAAATTTATAGATAGGTGACAGAACCTATCCCATAAATATTTAGGTTAATTATGCTTACTCATTTTATACTTTTGTAATAGCCATTGATAAAATATTATTTTTAATCCAAAATCAGTTTTTCATTTTATAAAAAAATATTTGATTTTATATTTTTCTATTATGTTATGGTAAGCCAGAAAAAATCGTTTTAAGAGCGTTTTAATAAAAATAAATAAATTCCCCTAAAATCAATTATTTGTACAATTTTTTAATGCAAAGAGACTTCAAACTTCGGACTCGTCGTGATCAAGACTTTATTTCCCAACCCGACCCTGCATCTCATAACTTATCCAAAGGCTCAAAATCATTCAAAAAGCTTCCAAGTATCTCAACTTCTGATGAAAAGAAAATAAGCCACGACTTATTAAGATCTTCCACAATTCCTATGAATTCTCCATCATCTCCATGCTTACAAATCCCTATCAAAAATGAAATAGGAAAATTAAAAACCTTACTTCCCCTCTGTGAGTTAACAAAACCATTGGGAAATCAAGATTGTTTGGGTATTTAAAAAATTTTTATTAAAAAAATATTTTGATATATAAATGATACTTATTATAATGAAATCTCTAGCTAATTCTGTTTAATTTTAAACAACTTGCATTTTAAAACATAAATTTTGTAAATTGAATTAATGTTTGCTTTCCAATTTTGCAAATTGGGATTTTTTTAAAATTTCGAAAAACAAATTTCTATAATATATATACTCCCTCAGCAATAGCTGTTTATGGTGAGGGTAAAACTGTATATAAATTTTAAAAAAACAAATTAACCCTACTCTGTTAGGAAACAAAATTTTTTTGTTCTCTCATAAAGGGGGAGTTAGAAACATCTCAAATTAATGTAAATTTCATATAGAAAATTTCTGAATTAAAAAGAAAAATAAATCAGCAAAAAGAAGAAGTAAAGCAGCTTGAAAGAGAGAATGAAAATTTAAGAGTATTTTTAAGCAATTTATATAGAAAAAAAAAATTGACTGATAATAGATTTTCATATTAAATCAATCAAAAACAGCATAATTGACTATGAGCACAGAGTTTTGCCGCTATCCCTTCAAAACGAAATGATAATAAGAGCTTTCCAACTGTCACAATTACAAGCCCAAATATATGAAGACCAAATAAATCAGCTAGAAGAGGAGCTTGAAGATCATAATTACTGAAATTTCAATGAAAATGAAGACATTCATGCAGAATTAACCGAAGAAGAAATAGAGGTAAATTTTAAATAGAAAATTCCAATATTTATTGCTGACTCAAATTATATTTGTTTGTGCTGCCAATGTGACATACCTGAAGATTCAGTTGCTAAAAGACTCCCAAACTGTGGACATTATTTTCATCTGGATTGCATTGATAACTGCCTGAGACACCAAGGTTGCTGCCCAATTTGTTATACAATAGCAATTTAGATAATTTATTTTTAAATTTTAATCAATTTTCCTAAAATTTGCTAAAAATATCCATTTAATCCATTAATTTTAGTCTAATTTATGATATATACTAAAAATTTTAATAAAAAAATTAAATAAAGCTATTGTCCTAATTTTAACGGCATTCTAACGGATTTTATAGCAATTAAGCAAAATTCTATTATTAAGACCTACTAACTCCCCCCCCCCCTCCGTGAGTGAACAAAAAAAAAATTTTGTTCACTCACGGAGGGGGGGTTAGTTTCTTTTTTTTAAAAAAAAAATTTATATATAAACAAAATAAACAATTTTTTTTTCGAAATTTAAAAAAATCCTGATTCGCAAAAATTGGAAAGCAAATATTCATTTTATTTATAAAATTTGTGTTTTAAAAAGCAATTTGTTTAAAATTAAACAGAATTAGCCCTAGATTTCATTATGCTAATTATCATTTATATATCAAAATCTTTTTCCATAAAAAATTTTTCTATTTAAAACAATTTTTGTTCATTCACGGAGGGTGGGTTTTTGGCAAAAAATAGCGATTTTTCTAATGGTTTTGTTCACTCACGGAGGGGGGGGGGAGTAAGTAAGCCAAATTCTGTTAATAAGTTTATATTACTATGTCAGATAGGGAAAGAACTATGTTTAATCTTGGCCAAGCCAGAAAGCCAAAACCTACTTTATCTTCAGCCCCTATTGAAGACATATCGCTTTACCCTCAGCGTCGACATTTATCATCAGACAACTCAACATTATCCCCTACATCCATGGAAATTGATTTACAGACCATCTTAAGAAGAATACAAATGGACTTAAATTTAGACAAAAGAGAGATTGATATCTACCAGCGAGCTTTAGATAGTCATTACTTGCTAAAAACAACAGAAGAAGAAAAACTATCCCTTGCAGATGATGAAAATTTAATTAACGATTTAGAAAGAATGGCATCTCGAGATGGAAATAGGACGATTTCAGGCACAAAGTTAAAGGAAAATATTGAAAAATATGTAAAAGCAAAAATAAAGGCAGAAAAGCTAGTTAAAGATTATGGGAGACCTGATAAAGAAGAACCTGAAAGACCAAGATCTCCGAGTCTGCCTACATTTTCAACAGCTTTGTCAAAGGAATATATTATCAATGCCCTCCCCAGTATTTCTATCTATGAAACTACAAATGAGCTCAATTCAGCTAAAAAAATTATTGATATTATCATAGAACAGACCAATAATACTCGAGGAATCCCAAATCGAAAATCCGTTATACTGTTATAGCTAATTATCAAGTATTTAAGGTGTCTGATGCCCGTTCCCTAATAAACCAACTGGTGATGTCACTCGCGCCGAACCAAAATGGAGGTTAGCCCAACCAAATTGGTCAATGCCAACGGAAACTCCAGGGCCGCACTTCTCACACGGCGCAATGCTGTCACCCTTGTCAAACTTGGCTCCAGCGCGTGTTCCGCCTAAGAGTCATCCTCCCGTGAGAATGTGCCAAGTGGTAAAGCCCCAAGCATCTTAAATGCACTGAGGAGCAGTTCCTCTGGTTATCCCCAGAGTTAAACCGCTGTTGCTGTGCAGAAGTTCTCGAAGTAAAGCCAAATCCATAAATAAAATTCATGAGGAGAGAAAATTAGCAGGGCTCTCGTACGAATGCCATTTTATTTATGAAAATCCGTTATACAGCTTTACACAACTTATGCAATAAATTATTTGCAAGGACCAATAAAAACCAAAAAAACAGCTCAAATCAGCGAAATTTTAAAAAATCAGCTTGAAAAAGCTGGAAAAAGCCAATATGATTTTGAAGCAGTTTTTAAAGCTCTAGAATTTGTATGAATTGAAGAAGAAGAATATGAAATTGAGCCTGTAGAGCCAGTTAAGCCACATGCGGCTAAGGTGAAAGTAAAATCAGGAAGACCTGGAGAAGCAGAAGATATTAAATCACTAAAAGAGGCAGCTGAGACGCTAAAAAATAATAATTTGCAAACAGAAAAAGACATTGAAATGCTGAAATTGACGATTGAAAAAGCTGTTAAATTAAATTAAATTGGGAGTCTTAAGCCATTCCAGATTTGATGCCTCCACAAGCTTGCGACTACCGACAATTGCTTGCTAGGGGTAGCTAAGCTGCCTGAGCCCTATCAGCAGTAATCTTCTCTTGGAACTTGGGCCTTGCGCTGCATCCCTGAGCTTCGACGGGCTAGGAAGACCCCTCTATACTGTGGGTCTCACGGATGCTATGGAGGCAAAGGGCTAGCCCGATGCCTCCTGTCGGCCACCTTTATTAAGGGTGGCATCCAGAAAAAAAAACCACGGCCCTTAGGGAAAAAATTTATGGCTTAAAACCATCCGGATAATCAACACCTCGATCACATATGGCCTCCATACAGCAAGCTTAGGGTTAGAATCAAAAGGCCTGAACCAGCCTAGGCTATAAAGCCATTTGGCGCTCAAAGTGATGCGTCGTCAGCAAGGGAATATTTTTTCGCCACCACCATATTAATTATAAAGCAGTTAAGGAAAAAAATATTTTAGAAAAAAAATTGCAAGAAAATGATTTGTTTTTACAAAAAAAGCTTGACGAAAAGAAAAATTATGAGCAAGAGCATGAGGCTTATTTAAATCTGCAGAAAAGACAAATTGAGCTTCAAGAGCAGCTAAATGGACAGCAGCAAGACTTAGTAAATAAATCCAGAGAACTAGAAATATTGAAAAACCAGTATGAAAGCCATATAAAATCACAAGAAGTGCTCTTTGCTGACCAAGTTAATGAATTAAATGAATTAAGACAAAAAAATCAAGACGTAGAGTATTATATAAAAATGCAATGTGAAATCAAAGAAGAAAATCAGAAAATTCAGAGAAAAATTGAAGAAATAATGAAAAATGGGACAACAAAGCAAGATCTGGAAAAATATTTTATTCAAACAGATCATCTGAAAGAGCGCATGCAACAGCTGAATAATGAGAAAAAATTGATTGAAAAAAATAACACAATTTTGGATGAAGAGCTGAATTTTGTATTGCAATATAAACAAGATATCGATAAAAATCTGATAGATTGCTATAAAAAAAGAAGTGAAAATCTTGATAATATAGAAGAAGAGCTGATATCAAGAGATGAGGACTTAATTATTAGGGAGCAAAAATTTAGGGATCAGTATGATACGATAGAAAAAGAGTCGTTAATTGCAAAAAGAAATATGATCAGTTCAATTGGAAACGAATTTTCTAAAGCACGCAGCTTGCCCGATCATTATGCTTTATATTTTGGGATTTGTGTTATTTCTTTTATAATCGGAATTTTCCTCTCAAAAGCCGAATATTAATAGGAGCCTAAATAACTATTATTTAACGTAAATTTGAAGAAAATAAGTAATTTTTATAATTTTTATCTGTCAAATTTATTTATATTTGGTATTCATCCCATTTACAACTCCCAAACTTATATTAAAACTTCGTCATCAAAAAATCCAAAAATTCATCTAAATCAATCTGCCCATCTCCGTTTTGATCTGCCTCACTTATTAGCGCTTTCCATATATCAACAGTATCTTCAGTATCATCAGAAAATGCATGCATTAATTCTTCAGCTGAAATTTTCCCATTTTTATCTTTATCTAACAAATCAAAAGCGACAACCAAATTTTTCCTTGAAAAAACTATTCTTAAATAAAATAAATAAAAAATTCGTTATGCCATGAAAAAATGATAATAAATCATATTTTATATATAATAATTAGATATAATTTTTCATCTGCCACAGCTCTAATATATTCAGTAAACTCAATAAACCCATCCTGGTTTTCATCAACTTCCTTTATAATCCCTTCAGCTTTATATTTTGCTTCTTTTTCTGAGTAAGACGCAGTAAGCTCTTTTATTAGATCACTTTTTCCTATTTTTCCATCCCCATCATTATCTAATGCAGAAAAGGCTTTCCTAAGATGCTTAAATTCTTTATAATTTAGCAGCTGGCAGGTAATGAAAGTCATAATGGCATCTCTAAGCTTTAGCTGACTTGAAAATCTAGTTAGATTATCAATCACGTGGAGAAGGGTGTGCTGAGATACAGAATGAGTATTGTGGGTTACGATCCATGGGTGATTTAAGGCATCATTTACAGATATTCGAGTGTCTAAAGGCGCCATAAGCTTATGGATAAGGTCAATTGCTTCTTCAGAAACGTCTTTAAACTCTTCAGTCGTGGTATCATATGACCCGATTTTTACTTTCTCCATAATCTCGTCATCAGTTTTGCCGTAAAATGGCGGATTTCCACATAATAATATATATAAAATTACACCACAGCTCCATTCGTCACATTTTTCTGTGTATTTCCCAGAAATTAGTTCTGGGGCCATATAATATGTAGTCCCTACGATTCCTTCCATAGTTTTGTTTTCTTCAAGCTTTATAGCTGAGCCAAAATCTACTAATTTTAGATTTAATTCTGACCCTCTTTCTTCTATCATAATGTTTTCAGGCTTAAGGTCTCTATGAGCGATATTAAAAGAGTGCATAAAAGAAACGGCAGAAAATAATTGTTTTTGGGGTTATTTTTAACAAAAAAAGCTAAATTAATAATAAATATTTATAAAAAAAATTAAAATGAGTTTGACTGTAAAAATTATAGGTTTTATTTATGACTCGTCAATTCTATTTAAATAATTTTGCATTAGATGAATACTTGACCATTGTTTCATTATATGTGATGCTTGAGATTCACTAAATCTCGTGAGTTTTTTAATTATGTCAAAAAGTTCGCCTCCTTCACATAATTCCATTACGAGATAATGGTTGCTTTCATCTTCAAAAAAATCATATACCCTGATTATGTTTGGATGGCCATATAGATAAAATAGCGACGGCATCCAGCCCATCCTCTCATGTGATTGTTACCTGTGCATATCCGGGCATAGTTTTTGAAGCCGAGAATCTGAAGTGAAGGTCTTAAGCACAGAACCGCAGTTTTGTGACCTGATCCAATGGGCAGTTATTCAAAACTTCTTTTTGCCAGCAGCAAGCAAGCCAGTGAACGCCCGAAATGGAAATCCTTTCAATTCGCTGGGAGTCGTGGGAGTCGTGGGAGTTGTGGGAGTCATGGGAGTTCTGGGGGCTTTGGGAGCTTTGGGAGTTCTGAGCTCTGGGAATTCTGGGCTCAAGGAGTTGTTGGGGCTCAGGTGAAGGGGGAGTTGTGGGATTTCTTCTTCTTTTTTGGGGAGTTGCGCGATTCCGACGTTCTGATGTTGTGGGATTTAAGGATCTTCTGATGTTGGGAAATTGCAGGAGTGGAAGATTTCTGATTGTGGGGGAGTGGAGGATTTTCTGATTGTGGGGGAGTTGCTGAAGTTCTGATGTTGGGGAGTTGTGCTTAATTTTTAACGTAGGATAGGGATAATGTAACGCTTTTTCTTCTTTCAATTCGCTTGGGCTGGAAGTGGGGGCTAAAAATATTTAGCGTACATGTTTGGATGGTCTAAAAGTCTCAAAATTTCCATTTCAATGAGCAAATTTCCTTCAGCTTCTTTTCCTGGTTTTAAAGCATTTTTGCTGAATATTTTAACAGCTCTTGTGGAGCCAGACAGTTTATGCGTACATCTTCTCACTTCCGCAAAGCCACCTTTGCCAACACGATTGCCAAGCATATAAACTTCAGTAAAAGGCAGGTCATTTGGCCTTATAAAAGTTCCTTGATGAATTTTGATAGAAAATGAAGGAGGAGCCTCGGAAAATAAGGTAATATTAGTTTTTCGGTATTTTAAAGACGTGCAACAGCCCATTTTCGTAGTTTATTTATATGGAAAGGAAGAAAATCGTTATGGAATAAATGAGACTCATTAATCACACTTTCTTTAGGTTTAAAAAAAAAGCATGGAAAACGTTTATAATATAAAATGAAAATTACTGAGGTTTTTGGGTTTTTTACCAAAGTGGAATTTTGTCAAAAGACACTATAAAGTCGCGATGAAAATTATTTGGCAAATTAATTACAATTTTTAGATGAGATAATTATTATCTTAATATTTTTGTATTAACTCCCCCCTCTGTGAGTGAACAAAACTATTGGAAAAATCCCTCCCCCTTGTGAGAGAACAAAACCATTGGAAAAAATCCCTATTTTTTGTCCATTCTCAGCAAGCGATCAATAATATTTTAATATAAAAATTTTATGAAAAAAAATATTTTCAATATATAAGTAATAACTATTGCATTTAAAACATATTTTACAAATTAAATTAAAATTACTTTTAAATTATTTCGCCCTCCATGAGTTAACAAAAATATTTTGGTTCGCTCATGCAGGGGGATTAAGTAAATTATATTCTATAAGATTTTTATAATTTGCAAATAAATATTAGGAATTTTTAACTTTGAGCAAAATACAAAATATACATTAAAAGGAGATTATAAAATGTATATTTTCCCCTCTCAAAAGAAACTATCAATTATAAATTTAAACAAATTAAAATGGAATTGGAAACAGAAGACACTCCAGCGTTCATATCAGATTCCACTGATTATGATATTTTTCTGCATCCCATCATTTCTTTACAAACGAATTCAGGGAAACCATCTCTTCTGTTACATACTAATGAAATAGAAGAAATCCCTGGTGGGTGACTTTATAGGCATTACACAAATCGACATTTAATTCTCCTAAGGTCACTTCATATTGCTGGCTATGGCCTTGAACTTGGTTGTTTTATAGCAGGCGAATGTCTGGTTAAATTTGAAATTGAATACGATAACTTTACGCCTTTTGCAGTTGACCCGATCTTTGTTACATTTTTGTGAGGTTTAATTCTCCTGCTTGGTGCTCTTTTAATACCTGTTTTATTTAGAAAAACAAATAATGCAATTTCGATTATTTCAGACCAACTAAAATATTATCATTTCCCTGTGTATATTTTAATTGCGATCTTTTTACTATCAAAAAATGTCTTCAAGACAAAATTTTCTTTTATTTTCAATGATTTGACTCTAATTATCATCTCAGGACTCTCATTTTATATATATTCAAGGGTAAAATATGAAGATGACGGAAGATATGTAGTCACTTGGCTTGAATATTTAGGCATTCAAGTCCAATTTTCAGTAATTGTAGCATGAATGCTTGTGGAATTGTCTATAAGCACAATGCTAACCATTTCTTCAATAGATGGCCAATCTACTAAAGACTACAAATTTGTAGGGTGGCCACATGAAAATTGGACTATTTTACTTATGTCAATTTGCTTTACTATTAGTGTGATTGTCCTAAATACTTATAAAGATATATTTTTCCCTGCAGTTTTAAGTTATACCTTTTTAGGCATTTATTCTTGACAAAGGAGAAAAATTTGCCTTGAAGACGACGATAACTGCAGCGAAAGTGTGACAGTCACCGCGTTTGTTTTTGGTGGACTTTTACTGGTATTTATCATTATTACAATTTTGTATTACCCGAAGTTGATATTATACAGAGTTCGAGTAAGGACATAATTAATCTAAAATTTACGTTTAAGAAACTCTTGGAGGACTTCAGTGTTCCTCAGCGATGGAGGGGATTTTGATTTTAAGTCTTCAGGCTTTGTAAGGAGATTTATGGTCTTTTTTGGAGCAATTTTGGAGTAGGCCTTGGAGACTTGTTCGATGAAATCGTATACATTTGTGCTTTAAATAGCTTAAATTTGGAAAAAATAGGCTATATTTAATATTATAAGGAATAATTAGACTCGACTAATGTTTTTTGAGAGGTATTAAGAGGGGTCATTGAGTTTACCATCTTATGAATAGATTCTTGCAAATCAGTTTCAAGACGAGCAGTTAGGTCAGAATATTGCTGGCATAGAGAAGATACTGTTTCTGACTGGATTTCTTGGAGTTGGGATTGGACAGCAGTTGAAATCTCATGATAAGATTTTTCGTTTTCATTGATTTTTGAAGGAATTTCTATATGATTTTCTGATTCATTTCTGTATCGGAGGTTTATTGACTTTGCATCAATTTCTGAATTTTGGCTTAAAAAGTTCCCAGTTTCAATCTCCTTCAAGGTTTCTTCTAGTTTTCCTCACAGCTTATTTTCGACTCTTTTCCCGATCCTATCCCCTTCAATTTCGATATATTCTTGCATTTTAACCAGCCCAATTTCCAATCTTTCTCGAGCAATTTCTGTCCAAATATGGTTAATATGATCTCCAAAAGCACTTGAAACTAGCTGCACCCTTGATTTTATATTATTTTTAATCGCTTTTCGTTTGCCTGGCACATCCCCTACAACTAAACTTAAATCCACACTTCTTGAACGAAAATTTCTTTTTTTTTGATTTTTTGAATACAAAATTCCTTTTTGCCTGTCTTTTGGTGACATTAGTTGGATATATGATAAACTTTTTTGTAAAAAATTTCTTGATGATAACTCATCATTAAAAGATTTATGAAGGCTTGATTCAGCTTTTCTTGAAGAATTTAACGATAAAAAGTCTCTGATTTCTTCATTAGTTGCACGATCTATTGCTTTTTTTCCATACTAAATAGAAGTTTACACAATCACATTTATCGATATCAGCACCATTTCGTATCAGAATTTCCACTATTTCTTTATGGCTGTTATAAGCTGAAACCATAAGTGGGGTCCATTGACGGCAATCCTCTTTATTAATATCTGCGCCTAATTCGATTAAATATTTTAGGATATCTCTTCTATTATATCAGCATGCTAGAAATACTAAATTTTGCCCAGCCTAAAGTTATTTTACCTTATTGCATTGGTTTATGTCAGAGTTTTTAGATAGTTCTTTGACAATTTGTATATTTCCGAGTTTTACAGCGATTGAGAGTGCTGTGTCTCCTTTCTAATTAAAATTCACATCATCAAAATCTTCGAGTTTTGAGCTGGGGGCGAGAGACTTGACAAGATTTATGTCATCTTTATCAACTGCCATCATAAGTGGCGTGTAGCCACCTAAAAGTTTGTTGGCAATCATGATTTAATTATCTTACTCTAAATATATATAAAAATCTAAATAATAAAATAAATATAAATGCATAAAAAAAAAATCGCTTGAAGAGATAGTAAAACCCATTTTTGCTTCAGTTATTCGGATTATAATGGATAAAAACAGCCTTGGAAGAACTTTTCACCCAAAATATTCTTTTTACAGAGGTGATGGAAGTGGAAGAGACGAGTATATTTCTACCAATAGTGGTGGCTTTTATCAGAATAGTCCAAAAGGGGAAGTATTCCGAAGGACAGGATCCAATTTCACCAAAACTCAACATTTTAAGCCTTCTCCTCGACTTTCTTCTCCAATCTGAAGGTATTATTCAGATGGGTCAGGGAGAGATTACTATATAACTGTTAATAGTGGAGGTCTCCATGCAAGTGGGTACACTGGAGGTAAAAGGGATCTATTTAAAGAAGGATTAAGGAACGGTGATACCAGTACGAGTCCTCCGAAAACTGATACGTTTTCAAAAACTATGAGTTGTTGGATTAATCCAAAAATGAGGGAATTTACTAAATTTCCATTTTATTCAATAATTTTATTTAAATAATTTTATAGTAGAGTTTCATTATAATGCTTATATTTATATTTTAAAATATTTTTGAACCCTCAAAAAGTGCTTTCATTAAAAATGGGATATTTTCAATAAATTTACAGCCTAAGGGAAGTAAGCAAAGACAAGAAAAAGTGAAAACACTAGTAAATAGACTATATCCAAGCCAAAGCAGTAAAACGATTCCTACCACAAAAGATATAGGCTCCGCTCACCAGCGAAAAATTTCAGCAAAAAATATAATTAAGAATGCTTAAATTATAAACTAATTGGTATCTATTAATTCTAAATAAAAAGTGCTTAAGTATATCATATAAAAAGTTAAAGAGAGGAGCACAAGGAAGCAGATAAGTAGAAAAGGCAAAGAAGAGATTAATAGATTTTTTGGGGATTGTTCCAGCTCCTATCTATCCCAGGCCGGCTTTAGGCTCAGATAAACCTAGACACTGGCGTCATAGCTCCTTTTTCTTGTCGACGTCGCCAAAAAATAATGACGCCACTCGCCATTTTAATAATTCTTGCAGAAAAGAAAAGAAAAAAAAATAAAAAGACGTAGTTGACACCAATATTTGCAATCTTAGCTGGAGACAAAAACATTTTTTTATTACGAAGAAATGAAATGAATCAGCCACTGAGATTTCTTGGGGAGCAATCTAGAAGCTTAAACAACTGGAGTCGCTGAAAACCATAATCAAATGCTTCTGAAAAGCTATCAACAAAGACTGCGGAAAAAGCTTTGTAAGGTAGAATTCTAGTATTCCAAGAAAATTTATGAATTCAAATAAATCTGAAATAAGGCTTAAATTCTGGTTAAGGAGAAAAAAAGAAATGCATGAAGAAAGCTCGAAATAAAAGCTCAGATCTAGAAGCTGATATAAAGATTTTATAAAATGACTGATGCAATCAGACCAAGACTTAAATACTGATTTTTACTAAACTCGCCTTTTATAAACAAATATTTTGTATTCATTTTTTATTATTGAAAAATATTTAATAAGTTCAAATAAGCTATATATAACTTAAAAAATTAAATAATTAAGGCCTTATATATTGAATTTTTCAAAATGAGCTTAAATGTACCTTATGAGAAAAAAATGTCTTATTATCCATATGAATACTTATGTTTCGCCTGAATTGCAGTGTCCTTCACATAAATGTTCAATGATCTAAAAGAAACTCATTATTTCCCTATTGAATAATAAAAAAAATTATTAAAATAATATGAATATAATCCTGGTAACCGCTTCAATAATAAAAAAACTCAAATACTGATAAATATTAGGACTTTAATTTATATAGCATGCTAATAAGTTCAATTACCGGGCGTATTTTAATAAATCTTATCAGAAAAATAATAATTCCAGTAACTAAAAAATTAATATAATTAATAAATATTTACTGAATGGGATCCGCACAAGGAAAGGAAGAAATAAGCTGCGTTATTCACAAGACTGCAGCAAGGGTTACAAAAGAAAAGTTTAAGATTAGGACTCAGCAATCACCAATAATAAGGCCAGACCACAGCCAACCAGTTTTGGCCACACCCACACTATTCCATATAAAAGACTACCAAACAAACACCAAATTCGAAAATAATGACACAACTCATAAGGTTATTCCAAATAATACTTCTTACTCTCTTTTTAAAATTGGAACAAAAATACTGTTCTGGGGTTTAATTTTTTAAAAAAAATAAATAAATTTATTTCTTGAAGTTTAATTTCTTTTATGAAGAATTAATTAAAACATTAATCGAATCATTTTTAAAACTGTGTGAATAATATTTTACTCTTTCTCAATTAAATTAGGTAAAAACTAATTTTAAAAATTATTATTTCATCTATAAAATTTTCATAAAAAAATTGTTCCAATTTAATGGGGTTAAACAAATTACCGATATTTTGTTCCAATTCAAAGAGAGGAGCTATGAGAAAAATATTCAAATTCCGAATATATATCATAAAGATTAAAATTTGCTTAAAATCCCTATAAAATTCCTTTATTTTTAATCCAAAATAAAAATAATTTTAATATTTCATTGAATAATGATCTTAATTAAATATAAAAATAAATTCAAGGCCAACTAAACTAAACATAAGATTACTCAAAAATAAAATAGGGACACAATCGCATCCCGTTTCTAGAATTGGCTCCCCTACTTCAAAAGGAACCCTTAATATTGATGATTCACTTCCAAGCTTCAACTTGAAATCAAATAATAATACCCCAATATTTAAAGAATCTTCTCATCATGATACCCAAACATTTGACTCCAATTTTTTACCAATTTCAAAATTTGGTGGTGATGAAGGAATTTCTCCTATACCAAAAAAATCTATGGCGAAAAGTTTCAGCGCACTCAAAGCTTTGAAGTCTACTTCACTTCCTATATATAACTCAGGAGAAGGAAAAATGAGCTCGCCTATAAAGATTTTTAACACAAGATTAGATACTTTTACATATTAGTTTTAATTATATTTTAGCATTAAAAAACAAGACAAGGCTGACCTTAAAAGTTATAGTCAAGGGCCGGTGAATTCAGAAGCTATAAAAAGTATAGAAAACCCTTCACTTATATTTGAAAACCTCGACTTAAAAAAAGTATCAAAAAGACGTGAATCATTCAGAGTCAACACTATTTGTGAAGTCATTAAAAATCGCAGAGGATCATTACAGCTTAACTATGATATACAAATTCTCCTTATTTTTCCCTATTAATAATATAAATATTTTTTCTTGGAAAATTCACTATAGATTCTTATAGAAAACAATAAACATATGTACAAATGTAAATACTGAACAAAGAAAAATTCTTATAAATAATATTTAATACTTTTTATTAATATTTCTCTAAAGAAAAGGAGTAATAATTATGGAAAATTCAGTCCGTAGACTTTCACTTATCAGCAACCATCTAGGACAGCACATTCCAAAGTACACATGGTTCAAACCTGATGGCTGGGTAGGCTTTATTTAGGGATTTACAGACACAAAATTTTTCTTACTATACATCTTTTAAATTGGAAAAAATACCTGTAAATTTCCTTTTTTTTGCAAATTAAACCCAATATATAATTTTATTTTTTTATTGATAAAAATAACTAAATGGGTTAATACCAAATTTAGCACTATCAAATAGAATATTACCTAAACATTTTTTTATATTTTAAAGATTGGATTGTTAAAAGAATAGTTGGTTCTTTAAATCATTAAATTTTATAAATTAGTTTACTATAAAATTTAATAATTTTTTTTTATTTTAATTCATAAAACTTAAGGAGGGGGAGTTAAACAAGCAAAATCAAGTTTACCTTGGTGGAAATCGCTATTTGGATTCAGGCAAAATTTTACCATCATTTGCACAATTTTTCCAAGATCAAGGATTAGAATTTGCTAATAAGTCTACAATACAGAAATCAATACCAGTTGACCCACCTGTAAGGAATCAGGACTTTTTGGATAGGATAAAGCAGTTTTCATTCTATGTGACTGAAGAGGATCAAGACCGTGCTTTTCACTCGCATGGACACACATTACAAGAAATGTTTATTGTAAAGTTCGGAAAATTTGATAGAACAGTCGATCTTGTGGTTTATCCAGAAACTGAAGAATATCTATCTAATTAAGGGTACAAAGACTTGCAATTCTATTTAAATTCGTCAAATTTCTCACGATGAAGTATAGAAATAAAAAAATTTCTTACTCCCCCCCCCCCTCCGTGAGCGAACAAAACCATTAGAAAAATCACCATTTTTTGACCAAAAACCCACCCTCCGTGAGCGAACAAAAATTTTTTTAATAGAAAAAATTTTAATGGAAAAAAAATTTTGATATATAAGTGATAATTAGTATAATGAAATCTAGAGCTAATTCTGTTTAATTTTAAACAAATTGCGTTTTAAAACATAAATTTTTGCAATTAAATTAATATTTGCTTCCCAATTTTTGCAAATTAGGATTTTTTTAAATTTCGAAAAAAATATTTTTTATAAAATTTATATATAAATTTTTTTTTAAAAAAAAAAATTAACCCCCCTCCGTGAGTGAACAAAATTTTTTTGTTCGCTCACGGGGGGGGGGGGGGAGTTATAATAATTAACTTATCTATCAAAAACTGAAGAGCATGTGGGAAACATCGTTAAACTCGCTAACGAGCTAAACGTTGTATTAGTCCCTTATGGAGGTGGAACAAATGTAACCCATGCTCTCCAGCTTGATCCCAACGAAAAAAGAACTATCTGCTCAGTAGATCTTAGCAAGCTCAGCAAAGTCAAAGAAGTAAACAAAGAAAGCATGACTGCTGTAGTAGAGGCTGGAATTGCAGGAAAAGACTTAGAAAAAGAACTACTTAAGCATGGAGTTTGCTGTGGCCACGAGCCTGATTCAGTTGAATTTTCTACACTAGGCGGCTGGATCAGCACAAATGCATCAGGGATGAAGAAAAATATTTATGGAAATATTGACGACATTGTATCCCTTTTTTTTGATTTTTTATTAAAAAATAGTCCTATATATTTTTCAAAGAAAAATCAAGGGAAATTATTATACTTACTATAAGAATAGTAACACCTTTAGGAACTTGGGAAAAGCCATGCAACGCTCCAAGAATGTCAACAGGACCTGACGTAAACCGAGTTTTAATCGGAAGTGAAGGCTTATTTGGGGTAATTTTTATCTAGATCATCACAAGTGCCACAATTAAAGTCAAACCTCTCCCAGCACACAAAGCATATGACTCCTATGTTTTCCCAAATTTTGAATTAGGCACAAAATTCATGAAGTTCTTAGGAGTAAACAACATCCGTCCAGCCAGTGTTCGGCTTGTTGACAATATGCAATTTCAGTTCGCCTTGTCCTTAAAACCAGCTGAGCACTCTATATTTAAGCATTTTATGGACAGAGTCAAAAAATTTTATTTATTAACTATAAAAGGATTTGACCCAAAACAAATATGCGCTTGCACACTGGTCTACGAAGGTAATAAAGAAGTGGTCGATTTGCAGCAGCATCAAATAGACGAAGTCGCTAGAAATTTCAAAGGACTTCGTGGAGGCCCTGAAAACGGCCTCAGAGGGTATTTTTTGACCTATATGATTGCTTATCTTAGAGATTTTGGGATGGAGTATGACCTAGTCGCTGAGTCCTTTGAGACTGCTATATCTTGGGACAAATTAGATAATCTCCTTAAATCCTTGCCTGTAAAAATTATATAGAAATGCATAGAAGCTGCATGTGCTGCCAGAGGGGTTAAAAAAAGACCATTTGTGTCATCAAGAATTACACAAGTTTATGACACGGGGGCTTGCGTTTACGTTTATTTTGGATTTTTCCATACAGGAGTCCCTGATCCAGTTAAAGTTTATTGTGAAGTTGAAGATGAGGCTAGAGAAGAAATTTTACGATGTGGAGGGTCATTAAGTCACCATCATGGAGTGGGGAAATTAAGGAAAAAATTCATGAATAAATGTGTGGGAGAGCCTGCACTTTCGATTTTGAGAGGCGTAAAGAAAGAAGTCGACCCTAAAAATATTTTTGCAAATGGGAACTTAATTTAAGGTTGAAGTAGCTTATAATAGAATATGTGAATAAGTTTGAGGCGCTGGCAAAGCCAGCGCTCTATTTTTTATAATATAATAAATATAACTATAGATTTTATTCTAAATTATATAGCTTAGAATATTTATAAAAAATCTTATGTCATTAGCTTCTCTTAAATTTCCACTTTCTTCTAAATGCTGTGCATGTGATAAGTACGGAACATGGAAATTTGGGGAAATTTCAAAAATTTTTTTATAATCTTGTTTCGCAAGATCTGGCCTATTTATTTTCTCATATGATTCCGCTCGAAGGATATAAATCGCGGGATCAATTTTTTGGTACTGCAGCCTTTCTAAACAAAGCGTAAAATGCAATATTGCTTCACGATGCTCCCCTAATGACGAAAAACACCTAGCAAGCTCATAATGGCCATCTGCATTATCAACGAGAGTTAAAAAATGCCTGAAAATTCCTATAGCTTCATTAAATCGATTTTTCGCTTGATATACCATTGCTAATGAAAAATAAGCATAAGGAGAGTGAATTTGCATAGAAATGCTGCTTAATAAGTGTCCTTCAGAAATTTCATAGTCTTCTAGTAGCCTTCTAGACTCCCCAGCTAAATAAAATAAATCAGAGTGAAGGTATTTTTGTCGGATCAGATTTTCACATAGTTCTGTAGCTTTTAAATAATCTCCTTTAGAAATTATAAGATTTCTATTAATTTATCTATTTAAAATTATTTAAAATAAAAATTGAATATTTATATATAAAAAGTATAAAATTTGGCTTTTGATATAGTATCATGTATTAGCGATGTATTTTGCCTATTTAACAGCTGATTGCCTCTGCTAAATATTTTTTACGATTTTCGTTTGCAGTTATCGTGATAACTTTCAGATTTCTCAAGACTTTTCAGATAGGAAGGAAGCCTTAGAGCTAGTTTAACTGCTTTTTCAGGGATGGGGCTGTCTTCTACTTGGATATCATGAGGAGATTTATTAGGGAGAATAGAGATGCTTTCTTCTTGGATATCATGAGGAGGTCTAAAAGAAGGATTTGGGGCTTCTTCTACTTGGATATCATGAGGAGATTTCAAAGGGGAATCTGGGCGATTTTCTTCGATACGAGAATGCTCAAATGATGGAGTAAACATTTTATTATTTTTGTTTGTTTAAACAATTTAAGCGAATACTGATAAAATTTTTTAAAAATTGCAACTATTTAAATTTTTATGATTTTTAAAAATTAGCATTATTATCTACCAGATTCTGTTAAAAGTTCTTAATTATGCACTTGCCTTTAACTTAGAAATTTTGTTAATTAACAGTCAAGAGAATAGCTGGTCTTTACATTCAGTTTAATTAGTTTAACTATTAACTTTATTACTCTCCCACTTTTGAAGAGGGAGTAAATTTTTTCTGTCCCCTAAAAAATTGTAATATTTGGACGAAATTTATAAAATTTATTTTTACATATTAATATTTAATATGATTTAATGGATATCTCGTTATTACCATATATTAAATTTTAATTTATAAATATTTATATTAAAAATTTTGTTTTTAGCCAAACCGCTTAATTTTTCAAAAATAGGGATTTTTTTAATACTTTTGCTCGCTAAATAATCAGGAATTAGCTTTTTTAATATTAAATCTAAATTTTCCCATATTTCTAACATTTATTAAACGCCAATAAAATATCAAGCGATATACTCTCTTATGCATGGAAAATCAAAAGTATTTTCGTCCTTTAATAAGCACTTATTTCATCTAAAAATATCCATTTTAACATTACTTAATCCATCCCATATACCGTCATGACTCATAAAATGCCATAAAATAAGTTTAGCCTTCTTTTGATTAAAAAATGGTTCTTCAAAAATCCTTATATTTAATTTATATAAAATCTTTTAAAATACACTGAGATAATAATAATTAGGCTTTTTTATTGAAAAGTCATTCGTATAAAGTGATTTTAGTATTGGTAGATAATATAAAACCTTAAAAAAACGTATATCTAGCCTTCTCACTGCACTAAATCTGGTCCTTTTTATGTCTAATTTAAATATGCCCATTCATATGAATATATCAAAACCATTACTTATTTTTTTCATCTCAAATTGTATATAAATCTTATTCTTTTACCCAAAATAACCCTAACTCCCCCCCTCCGTGAGTGAACAAAACCATTAGAAAAATCGCTATTTTTTGCCAAAAAACCCACCCTCCGTGAGTGAACAAAAAATTTTTTATGGAAAAAAAAATTTTATATATAAATGATAATTATTATAATAATGAAATCTAGAGCTAATTCTGTTTAATTTTAAACGAATTGCTTTTTAAAACATAAATTTTGCAAATTGAATTAATATTTGCTTTCCAATTTTTGCGAATTAGGATTTTTTTAAATTTCGAAAAAAAAACTATTTTTTTATAAAATTTATATATAAATGTTTTAAAAAAAAAAAATTAACCCCTCTCCGTGAGTGAACAAAATTTTTTTGTTCACTCACGGAGGGGGGGAGTAAATATAATATTTTTTGATATGGAGAATAAACAATCCTATACCAAGGCTTCATTTAGCGTAAAAAGACGAAAAGAGTCCAACCATTTCGATGAGCCCAGCGATAGCGTTTATGCTCCACGCTCACCCTCAAACAGTCAGAGCAAAAGAAACCCTATGGAAACCCGAACCCGAAGCCTCGCCGAAGTAAGGGGTCTTCCTAAAGTAAAAACCCCGACAAAAAATGTGAAAAATAACAAGCCAACAATTTCTTGAAGAAACGACAATAAACAGCTTGACATTTCAATAGAAGCAGCTGGGAAACCAATTATTTCCCCCAGAAATAAGTTTAAAAAAGCCTTTAAACAAAACAGTCCATATAAAGCCAATTATTCCATGCAGGAAATACCGGACTTAAATGAAAGCGAAGTGTTTTCTGATGTGAAGTCCATGAAAACAGAAATTGATAGGCTAAACAATACTATTGGAGGGTCAAGAATTTTTTTTAAAAAAATATTGAAAATTTTTTAATTTATTTTTTAAAAAAAATCACGTAATAATTTTTTTTTTTAAAAAAAATAAAATAAAGCCTATTGAAGCTATGAAAGGGTTTTACAAGGAAGAGGAAAGGTCTTTGCATAAGCAAATAACAGCTTTGCAAAAAGAGCTAGATTGACTAAAAAAGGAGTATAGTAAAACTGTCGAATATTTAGCCTGTGTTATTGGAAAGCACATGGATAAAGAAACTCCGCAAATAATAAATGACGAAATAATAGAGACTTTAAAAGAAAAACAAGAAGCTTTGAAGCTTAATTTAGAGGCTGCAATAAATTCAGTCTCTTCATTTAAGGCTAATGACAAGCTATACCTTTATATGTGAATGCTTTTTATTTTATTTTTAAATAATGAGCTTGAATTATTTATTATAGAAATTATAAAGCTTGATATTCTGAACGTCCCCAACAATTTTGAAAATCATCCAAACCTGCCAAGCACAGGGCGATTTCAAGGTGTCGCAATGAGGTTCAGCGAGTCTGAGTATTATCTATTCTATTAATATATAATTTATTACACGCCACTACTGCTGCAGATAAGGGGCGTTAATACCACCCTTACTCGTCCAGCTCATGTCGTCACAGGCTATCTTGAGCGGGTGCTCAAGCTTTCCATCTTGACTTTAATTGCCAGACGTAGATAGCCTTGGGGTCTCGTTGGCCATGTTGTTACTTGACTCCTAAAAGCGTTCCACCTAAGGATCTCTCCCTCCTTCGAAATATCAAATGGTATTAACCCTATGCCTCTAAAACCCAAGGATCAGGTTGCACTCTCCCCGTCGTCTGGTTAAATGCTTATGTTAAAACCAAACTACATTATAATAAAATAGCGTGAAGATGGAAAGTTCTCTATAAAAACTTTTTTCGACGACATCACTTTATTATTCATCAGCAAGTCTGAGTCCGAAACAGAAAATTCCCCAAAGATCGAATGCATTGCTTTATACGATTTTTATGCAAGAGATCCTGGACATTTAGAGTTTAAAGCAGGAGACAGAATTATAGTAAAATCAAAATTGGATGATGAATGATGGATAGGGACAAATAAAGAGAAAACTGGAAAATTCCCAAGCAGCTACGTTATGCTAGATTAGCAGATTTAAATCTCTAAATTAATTTTTAAATCAGTAGTAGAAGTATGATTATTTTTCTTGTATGAATCAAAATATTTCGCAATTTTTATAATTTGCTTTATTTTAATGCATTGTGCGCTAAAAATAATTAATTATGTGTGAATCAAAAATACTTGATAAATAGAGTTTTTAAAAATTTAGATATTAAACTTTAGATCAATAATAGCAATTAAGCAAAGCAAATAAATAAATTATCTTTGTCTTATATGTGTAATATTTTAAGTTTTGGGCAAATTAAAGGAAATTTAATTAATTTGTCTACAATACTAAATGATATCATCTTCATAATAAAAAATATTTTAAGCTTATTTCAGACTGTTCATAGGTTTTAAGCTAAGTTTAGTTACGGTGAGTAATGGTAGTCCCTGCCTCCAGCAGTACCATTCTGAAGTAGAAGTTGTGGAGTGGTAGAAACTCTTCAATGGCTTTCGCATTAGCATTTAGCTGGCTGAAAGACCATCTTATAGTAGAGGTTTTTCTTAAGAAAATTTATTGCTAAGCGATTTTCAACAGATCTTTTTTCAGGACACTCTGATTTATACGCTAAATATCGCCCTAATTACCCTCAAGAACTTTTTGCTTATTTATCCTCTCTAACAAAATCCCATGATCTTGCATGAGATGTTGGAACAGGAAATGGCCAAGCTGCATTATCTTTAATACCATACTACTCTACAGTTATTGGAACTGATCTAAGCCAGCAGCAAATAGATATCGCCAGGTCTAAAAATTCTCCAATTATCTTTGAAGCGCTCCCAGCAGAACTATCAGCAGAAATCCTAAGCTCTCATAGCCTCCTGACATATGAAAAAATCGATTTAATTACTATAGCAACAGCATTATTCTTTCTTATATTAAATTTTCCTAATTTTTTATTATTGCTAAATAATGCTAAATTTAATCTATAAATATTTACTTTATTTTGATTTAGATAGATTTTATGACACGGTTTATAAAGTTTTAAAACAAGATGGAGTAATCGCAGCTTGGACTTATGGAGTGCCAAATGTCGATGAAAATGTAGACCGTATCGCTAATAAAATTTACTGGGAAGTTTGCTATGAGTTTTTTGATAAAAGAAGAAAATATGTTGATGAAAAATTCAAGACAATAGATTTCCCATTTGATGAAAATTTACCAGAACCTCCTGCTGCTGCTAAATCATTTACAAAAATTTGGAGCATTGAAGAATATTGAGGAAATATTCATACGTGGTCAGGGGTCCAAAGAGCAAAAAAGGAACTAAATTTGGACCCTACAGAACCTTATTTTGCAGAACTCTGCAAGTACTGGCCTAGAAATGAGAAGAAACCAGTGGAGTTTCCACTTTATTTTCGTATAGGTAAAAAGAAATTGTCTTCTTAATATTTGTATTATAATTATTAAATGGCTTCCTCAGTCATATATTCCCTGCAAGAGTCTTTCAATATTCTAAAGGAGAAATACACAAAGGAGACTAAGAAAAGAACGAAGCTGGTTGATCTTTTTATTTCTTTCAACTTAATTTTGGCAACAATTCAGTATGTTTATATCCTTTTTTGTGAGGATTTATATTATAATAAATTAATTTTATAATATATTTTGCAAAGCATAGCCTAATTTGCCATTAAAAATAGGATTTTATTTATTATTGATACATTACAGCTTAAAATTATATAGTATAAATGCTTTTGAATTAAATAGAAAATGCTAAATTTTCTATAGGAATAAAATATGTTATTTATATAGAAGATCTGAGAGCCAATAAAAAAAATATGAAAATTGCTGGAAGCTTTCCATTCAATGCATTTCTATCAGCATTTTTTTGTAGCATTGGAACAGCAGTATTAACAGTGTGCCTGAGGATGCAAGTAGAGAATAAAAGTTCAGGGAAAACTGAAGAAAGAGCTTATGTGGAGTATATGTTCTGTTGCCTTATATTATATTTGGTCTCATTTAATTATTTAGGCTAATACTTATTTATTTGCTAAACTTTATGCATAAAATGCCTTATGAAGCTTGAAATAAATAATTGCCTAAGCCCTTCCTTAAAATTGAATTTTAGCACTTTAAATCTAAATTTTTTTTCGATCGCATCCTGATCATTTTAATGCTTTTTAGGTTTTATGGGTTTCTATGGAACATATTTGTTGTAAATTATATAAAATTATTATACTATTAGAGCGTAGATAAATTACAATATATAGGGAATAATATGCACTGTCCTTCTGTAATATCTCAATCACTATTAAATGAAGTGCTTAATTCTTTAACCTCAATAATGTTATTTTATTGTTTATAAATCAATTATTACTTATAAGTATAAATGCATTGGATCAAATTTCAACAATTTAATAAATTTTTAACAAAACATCATAATAAAAATCATATTGTAGCCATAAGAAATTTTTCATTTATTTAATCAATATCAGTCATTATAGAATATTGGGCAATTTATAATTATTCCAAAACCAAATAATTATGGCTAGGAAATCTTTCAGAAATTTATCAATCAATGACTCGTGCTACTATCAAGATTCTTTCTTACTCCCCCCCCCTCCGTGAGTGAACAAAACCATTAGAAAAAAATCCCTATTTTTGCCAAAAAAACCACCCTCCGTGAGTGAACAAAAATTTTTTTAATAGAAAAATTTTTTATGGAAAAAGATTTTGATATATAAATGATAATTAGTATAATGAAATCTAGAACGAATTGCTTTTTTTAAAACATAAATTTTATAAATTAAATTAAATTTTTGCTTTCCAATTTTTGCGAATTAGGATTTTTTTAAATTTCGAAAAAAAATATTTTTTATAAAGTTTATATACAAATTTTTTAAAAAAAAAAAATTAATCCCCCTCCGTGAGTGAACAAAATTTTTTTGTTCACTCACGGGGGGGGGAGTTAGGGTTTATTGATAAATCTTACGAAAATCTATTTCTGGTAGACACAGGATCAATCTACAGTATAGAAATTGCCCGAAGATGGCGCTATTTGCGCCATCCTCGGGGCAACCAAAAATCGGCTCCACACGGGAACCATTTTCCACGTGTGGAGCCATTTTTCCACACGTGAGAATCCTGACTTCCACGTGTGAAAAAATCGCTCCACACGTGGAAAATGGTTCCCGTTTGGAGCCGATTCTCTGGCAATTAGTATACTTCTTTTCAAGGTTTATTTGTGTGACTTATTTTTGTCAATATTTTTTTATATGAATGCAGTGAAGGGATTAACACATATATAATTCTGGGATTTACTACATTATCACTGCTTCTGTATTTTATGAAACTTGATCGTTATATGGCTACAAGCATTTTTGGTGACATTTTATGTACAGTTTTTCAACTAAAAACCATCGAAACAGGCTCGCTAATTGAGTGTGTGGGTGCTTTTTTCCCAAGTTTTTTATTGAATATTTTAGGTATCAGAAAATGAATGGTTTTCTTTATTTTTAGTCTACTTAAGTTATGGATATTTTATTTTACAAATAACACCCAACCCAGTGTAATGTTCTTCATTATAATTTCATATACAATTTTGAATTATTTTATTGAAAAAGAAATACGTGATTTTTGGGTGCTTTTTCATAGCTATAAAAAAGGTTTTGAGCAACATGACGATATATTTATGTACACTCCTAATGGCCTTTATATTGTTGATGAAGAAAGACATATTTTGTACCATAATATTAGAGCAGCTGAAGTTGCATTTTTTATAGGAAAAGCTGATATAAGCCGACTAGAAAAATTTGAGGACATGTTTGATGATGATCATAGAACTCACGTGAAAAGAATGGTCTTGGAAACAATTAAATGGGAAAAAAGAACTGAAGAAGTTATATGCTTGTTCATATTATATACCTATATTTTGGTATAATAAAAGCATAATTTTCTATTGATTATGGCTTAAAAATGCCAGAATTATTTAAAATTAACGATGACCCCCCCTCAATCTTCATATCTATTGCAACAAAAATGTAATTTTTTAATATAAAATTTTATATAAAAAAAATAATAATTTTCATGTCTCTTGCAACAAATTATATACATTAAAATGGCGACACTTGCCAACCTACCCTTTTGGCGCAGCAGTCCAGACCTTATGGCTAGGCGAACTGAGACGGACTCCGAGCCGAGAATCAGACGCAGGCTCAAGAAGTGTGCATCCGGGTAGGTTTTGGCTGCTTTCCTGTGGTTGGAAATGGAGGTGCTCAGCAACTTCCCTTTGGATCCGAGGACCCATGGGGCATTCCTTTACCGAGAAACTAGGGGTATCGGCCCAGGCCACAGGGGAACAGTCTTTTTCCTGTAGCTGTCGAAGGAAGGCACTTTGACACGCGATAGACTCCAAGAATCCTTGGAATAAAGCTACTCCAATTGCCCGTAGCAGAGCCGTAGAAATCCATAAGCCGCCCACTCAAGACTGAAGCTGCGAGGAAGAAGGGTACCGGAAGGGCACTCGCAAGAGGGATAGATCCTCTGGGCTGGAGTCGAAAAGCGGTAGAAGCTTCCGTACGGGAGGTATTTGGTGACTAAGTCACCAATATGGCTAGCTCCTGTGTGTAATAATCTTAATCCTAATCCTCTTGCAAGAAATTTTCGATGAGCATCTTAAATTTTCCCATAGTTTTTAGCTAGATAAGTTTAATAAAATGGCGCGAGCGATGACAATAGCCGTCAAAATCTCGATGAGAAGGTCATTGGCACGCCTACAGCAGCGCTGTTTTATGTTTTTTTTTTAGAAACTCGCCTAGAGAAAAATGCATTAATTTTTTTTATAATAATTTTGTGTTGCAGTAGATATGAAGATTTTTCCGAAAAATCTTTGTTGCCCGTAGACATGAAGATTGAGGGGGGGGTCATCGTTATATATAAAAATGTTATAATTAGAAAAAAAGATAAAGAAAATAACAGCATTGTGACTTTGCAGTTTAATTTTGATTGCATTGATTTTAAGGGGAAAAAATGCACAAAAGTTGTATGTGCCAATATTTCTAACGCTGCTTTGCAAGATACTTTTATATCAAACTGCTATAAAGATTCTTTAGGGTCTATTGAAAAGTTCAGCAAACATTTATTCCAAGCTTTTAAATTAAATGAAAAAGTTCATAAAGAGTTATTAACAAAAATCTATGAAATCCAGCACAGATTGAGGACTTTTTATTTAATTCAGTGCAAGCTACTGAGTAAAATTGAGATCAAGAAGGACTATTTTGACATCCAAAGAGAAATTTTTAATACAATTGAAGGGATTTTTCTGAAGGCTGCAAAAAGAGACTTGGTGATTACATTAAATTTATCCCAAAATATTCCGGATTGTTTAATTGGTGATAGAACCCTTCATAACTACCTAGTCTACTCAGCTCTGGATTTTATTATATTTTCTTTAATTAATTCAACTCTTTACTGATTTAATAATAAATACTATTTTATTTTTTTTAAAAAGGAAGGAATTATTTTATAAATTTATATAAAAAAATCAAAGAAAAAATCAAAAATTTCATTGTCAGCTTCCATCGATTCTTTGAAAAAATCTGAAATTATTGTAAAATACGAAATATGTTTTGCATCATCATCTATCACACAAGATGAGCTTGACTGTTTATTCCAAATAAGACAGCAAGCTTCCAGACGAAAAACATTTAACGATCTCATATTAATCCAACAAAACTATGGAAGCGAACTCCTAATGTTCGACTCTTTAGTCTGTTTATTAAGAGGCTATATCGATGCCAAAGTTACTGAAAAAATCTGTATAATAACTATAAACCTGCCAGTTATCCCTGTAGAAAGAAAATCAACAAGCAAGCTGGAATTAATCACTGGGTTTTGCACTCAAGAATCTGATAATGAATTTCGCTGAAAATTTGAAAAAAAAGAAATTGATGAGGTTATTAAAGAAGCTCCTGAAGAAGTTTCTCCTCTACAAAATGAAGTAAAAGAATGGAAAATTTTGCTTTTATGCAGCCAAAAAGATAGAGAAAAATCTATTAAAAATGCGCTGAAAAAAGGGATCACTGAAGATTTAGCATCTGTGAATAGTGCAGAGCTAGGTGCTTATTTATATGAAAAAGAAGCAAAGAAAGGGGAAAATTTTAATATAGTTTTTATTGATTTTAAAGTGCCGAAATGGGAAAATATTTTAAAAATAAAGGAAATAGAGAATGCTAATGAGTATCAGAAAAGTTTATTTTATGGGATTACTGATAGGGAGGAGTTTGAAGAAGATGATTTTATTTCTCAGTTCGATGGAATTGGTAATTTTAATGTAGTTAAGTTCCCTATAGATATAGGGATAATAAAAAATGATTTAGGGATAAATGATAACCAAATGATTTAAAATCAGTAATCCATCTGTGGTTTAATTAATTTCGTGCTAACTGGTAAAGTCTATATCTTATATTGCTCTTATTAGCTCTTTAATTCTTTTATTTCCCAAATCATTGCATGCTTAATTTTTTCGCAGTTTTCAGATAAATAAATGATTAATTATCGCGCATTTTCAAGAGAATTTGATGGTATTAATTTTACCAAATAAAGCATTTTGATTGAGGCAGCAAAATTAGGAACTTCCGCATTGAATTATATATTGTGATAAAGTAAATCAATATCTACAAATCAAGAAAAGAAAATTTTTAAAAAATAAATTTTCGCAAAAAAGAGAATAGGATTAGAAAGATTATTAAAGAAACTAAAATTGGCAGCTTACTCTTGGATGCTTCAACATATTGAAAGATAGCTTAACTCACACCCAATATTAGAGTAAATTAATTTAATAAATGTAAAATTATTAGATTCTATTTATAGTATTGAGACAACTTATTATAAGTAGTAATACAAATATCGTCCACATTTTTAAAATTTTAAAATTGATAAGATGTAAGATTAAGATTAATAAGTATCCGGCCATAAGCGCTCCCGCAGGCGGTGACCATATGCCTTGTCTCAGCTCCAAAAATGGCGTTAGAACAGGTTCTGATTAGACCATAATCCTAGCACTCCCGCCATTTTGAATTTTCGACCTGAACCACCTGTCCAGGGGATTAGTAACTTCTTGCGAGCGCCCCGATAGTCTCGATGAGGAAAGACCATGTGGTAGGCAAAACCTGTCTAGCCCGTCTGGCAGGGACAGGAAAACTTTCGGGGGAGAAACAAAACACCCTGTTTCGGCAAGCTTCCCATTGAGACAGTTTACTTGAGCCCGAAGGCACATTTCGCTATCTCTTAGGCCGGTCCACTGCTCCATCAGGAGGTGCCACCTCCTGGTCCACTTTTTGTCAACGGCACTATTTTATTTTTGATAAGATGTAAGGCTAATTAATTCCAAAGATAAATTGACACAAAAATGGACTAATATCTATTATTTTTACTCCACCCTCCTTGAGCGAACAAAAAAAATTTTTCATTGGTATATAAATGATAATTATTGTAATGAAATCTCTAGCTAATTCTGTTTAATTTTAAACAGCTTGCATTTTAAAACATCAATTTTGCAAATTAAATTAATTTTTACTTCTCACTTTTACAAATTGTAATTTTTTTAAATTTTGAAAAAAAAAATTAATCCCCTTCTGTAAGCTAATAAAAATTTTTTGTGCTCTCACGGAGGGGGAGTTAGATGATTGCTATAATACTATGTCCAGAAAAACCAAAATTATTTTAGAAATATAAATTTATTTGTAACTAATCAATCTAGTTATATTAAAAATGCAAATAATTTGATCATAGCAATAAATTAATTGAAGATGAAAAAGCTCTCAAAGAGCACTATATCGGACAAGCAAATTGTTATGGCCCCCGAATTAGGGTAATAATTTTAAATTCTAATTTTATAAAGATAGTCCCAAAGAAATCCCTAATCGGTTTCTTCAATTTAATATAACTTTAATTAAAATTCCCTGATTAAATATTATAAACATAAATTCTATATATAAAGTTTTCGCTTACTCTCCTCCTAGTAATAAGTATATCCTTGCTTATTCGTGAGGGATTTTGAAATTAGTAAATCTTATATGAATAGATCGAAATTTGCTTATTATTGGGGATAAATACCCAAAATTTCACTTTTCACTTTTTATCTGAATAATAAGCAAATTTATATCTAAAATTTCCTATTTCCAAAATCCTTAATAACTTACTTATTACTGGGGGCAGAAGTTATAATAATTGCCAGAGAATGGTGCAAATAGCGCCATCCTCGGACTTTTTCTATATATCAAAATTAAATAATTTTTTCTTTGCTTCTTCTCAATTGACGAGGAAGAGTTAGATATTTATCAAATAATTCCCTTTTATTATCAATTATTTCTATACATAAAATCTTAGGTTTTCATATGTAATTATAGTTTTTTTCACAGTATAATAATCCTTCTTAAAGTTATGACCTAATGTGCTTTCGACAGCATATATCATAAAATTATCCATATATTGATAAAAATGGTTCTACTGAGAATTGAACTCAGATCTCAGGATTCAAAGTCCTACGTGCTACCACTACACCATAGAACCTCAGGCATGTTTCTCTATCTCTTTCTATTATTATTTCGAATAACTGCTTTCTCTATTCCTACCAATTATCCCGCAATATTTCTTCTTTCCTAACGAATTTAATATATATTATTTAATTACACTATTAGCCACTCCTTGGACTTATCGAATGTTTGAACGAATCCATTGGAGAGAATGGTGGCAGCACTATACCAATTGTTTAGACTTTAACGTTTTTTTTGATCCTTTAGCAGTACAATTTAGATATGAATAGGTCCACCCTTTTAACTCTCAAATTGGTGACGTCAACAGTCATCTTGTCTAGCAAGCATTCCAGAGGACACGCCAATAAGGACCAGGAATTCTTCAAGACCGCGTGTGGTCTTGCTTGAACTGACTCCAGTGCGTGTTTCGCCTAATTTCACCCTCCTCGGGTGCTTAGGGCAGTTAAAACCATATGTCTCCTTATTTATTGGGCCACAGAATTACCCTACATATTAGCATCGTGGATAAGGTCCAATTGGAAAACTTAAACCTATAATAATAAATATCGCATGCGAAATGGTAATCTGAGACAACCACTTCCATATGTAGCCATTTTATTATGGATGGTGGCAGCACAAAAGACCTAGCTTGTGGAGATGGATTTTGTCCAAAAGCTTCATATTTTAAATAATCAGTTTTCCAATTATTGAAGCCATCAGCCAAGCCATATCCAGCTATTTCTGATTTTTGTATGTTTTCTGTAAGTTCCTGGACATTAAAGCCATCAAAATTAAAATTTGCTGTCACATCCTCACCAAAATTAAAGATTTTTTGTTGCCGGAAAGGACTACGCAAAAATGCAGTAGGTGTTATTATGCTGTGAGGGGTATTAGATTCACATTACATTAATTAAACATTTTAAGGTGGAAGGCAACACTCCTACTAAAGGAACAAGCCAAAATGGTGATGTCACAAGCATTTCTGGAACAACTCCACAGTGCAACCAAGAAGCTCAGAGTTTACCTCTCAGCATATCCTAGAAGGGTGGCCCTGAAGGCGAGCACGCACAAGAGCTGATTCAGGCAAGGGCGACGACATCACGTCGGTGAGAAACGCTGGTCAGGGTGGTAGGCGGGTTTATTTAGGATCATTCGACCTTTGGGATCTCTGGCTATCTCCGAAGTTAAACCGAGAAAAGGCAAATTCCGTAAAAAATTTCATATGGAGAGCTAATTTTCTCTCCCTCATGGAATTTTATTTATGGACTTTTAGAATCACAATTTCCGACTGGCTCAGATATTTTTGAGGGTGAGTTTCCTTTTGAGGATTTTGATTTTTCATCACTGGATTGTTCGTATATAGAAATAAGAATATTGGGGAGATCTTCTTGAATTGGATCTATTGATATATTAGGCTTCTTTTTCATAGAATTTGGAGTTGGCTGAGTATTAGCTTTAATTAATTTTATAAATAATTTTGCAGCACGACGAATTTATACTTTTCTTTAATTTTTGACATGTTTTATTAATAGCATTTATTTTAAAAACAGATTGGCTGAGGCACTGGAATCGGTTCAGTTAATTTTTCTTCCTCACTTTCCTTCTCTTCTTCTATTATTTCTTTTTTCAAACTAAGTCTTTCCGACCTTCTTAACATGGCTGGCTCTGTTTTCAATGGAATTTTAGCTATTGTATCGTGATGCGAATAAGCCATAATTACATCTAGAATTTCTTGATCCTGCAATAACTGCTTTACAGACCCAGTAATCCTCTCATTCTGAGGTCTCTTCCTATTATGTCTCCTCAAATTTTTCCTAATTGTGCTGTAAAAATGATTTTTTATTCCATTATCAGACCTTCCAGGCAAATGTTTTGCTATCTCAGACCATCTATTTCCATACAGTTTTTGGTACTGAAAAATGATGTCTTCTTCTTCTTTGCTCCAAGTATCCTTTGAAATTTGTGGATCTATGTGATTATGCCAGCGTTCTCTGCATTGTTTGCCTGATCTAATATAAAATTTACCTTCCTTTAATGCCATATCGCTCTTGGAGATATTGAGAAATTTGTGTCCAATGTTTTACTCCGTATTCTTCTACTAGTGCTCGTATTGCGTCATCTTCCTATGTTAAGGTTACGTCTTGAGTCCAGGCTTTACGTTCAGTTGACATTTTTAGGAAATGTAAAAAGTTATTTAAAATATACCTGAAGCTAATACGTTACAAATTATGAATATTTGGAGAAAGTTAGATTTCTTAAGGACTTATTATTAGCATTTCTAGTTCTTATTTTAAGGTTTTTCTATTTTTGTAACTTAGTTTTATTTTTCAAAAAAATAGTTAAAATAGTATAATTAACTAACTCCACTCTTTATGAGCTAGAAAATCTATTGAAAAAATTTACAGACCACCCATGAGCAGATGAGCAGGAAACAATTATTTTAAAAAAAATTTATTAATAAACATTTTGATATATAATAATTATTATAATTAAATCAAAGATTTTATTAAACTTTAATAACATTTTGCATTCTAAAATGTTAAATTTTATATATAATTATTTTTAAAAAAATAATTAACCCAAAAAATTTTGCTCGCCACTGAGGGTAGAGTAAGGTAATCAAATAAATATTGATTTCTACTGAAATTTTATATCTTTTTATATAATATTTATCCATAATATTTTATTAAATATTGTTCTCAGTATTTACTAATAATAATCATAGTATATTTTGGATTTCCGTCCATCTACCTTTTAACTTCTTTTGATGAAGCTGATGAAATACCGACTGAAAAACTTTTTTCAGGCTTTCTTTAAGATTTCACGACCCAAACTCTGCAGCTGATTTTATCACGTAACAGCCATAAGCACAGTTTAACACCATTTTCATTTTTTCTTCATTTAATAGCTCTGCAATTAAGACTTCTCTTAAATAGTCAAAATGCATGCATTTTTCCATCACATTTGAAGCGTATTTCTGTATGCAAAGTTGGGCGACTTTTCCTTTAAAAGCCTTAGCAAGCTGCTCAAGTGAGGCTTCTCCCCACATATCGAGTGTTTGCTGGATAGCGTAATTTCCGTATGGATCTTGTACTAGAATATGAGCGTTGGAAACAAGCTCGCGATAGACTTCGGAATTTCCAATGCACTTTTTAATAACACATAGGCCGAGCTTGTCGATAGCGATTTCTTTTATATGGCCTAGTAATTCTCTAATGATAAATGAGGTATCTTTAAGAGTGGTTATTTATTTTTTAAAAGTAATTTTTTAATAATTTATTATATAAATTATATTTAATTAAAAAAGAGTGACGAGCAATCGTTGAATTACATGAGACGCATTATTATGCATCGTCATCTCTAAGACATGTCCTCTGAATTTTTCTCTGTAAATGTTTTCTTCTTCAGGTGTTGACGAAAGACATATCAAACCTTGCAAGGAATGTGTCCCTTGGGAGTCTTTACTGATTCTCAATAAGTGATTCCTCATTGAAGAGAGCAAAATCAGCCTTTGTGACGAGTTGGCTGATTTTATAAGGGACTGGCACATGTAATTACCATAAGTGTCAGTCATCAGCAATCCCATATGAGGAGCCATCACAATCACAATTTTTTCTATGTCCTCAGGCCTGCACTTAGCAATGATATGCTGGAATTTTTTGCTGCCAGCCCTTGTTTTACACTGTTCAGGAAGGGTGGCAAGGTCTATTTTGCCAATTGTGGGACAATCGATTATAGGGGCGACAATTGGAGAACTCTCAGTAGTAGAGGCTTCTGAGTCGTCATTAAGAATTGAGGACAAAATTGAGGAGGTGATAGGGGAGAGATGGGATAATCAAATATGGCATTCTGTTGAAACTATTAGCTCCCTAGTTGTATCTCTTTCAGCAATATTTTGATTTATAATGCTCAGATTTGACGGTGAAATCTATTCTGTCTTTATCAGGCAAGTCCGACGATAAGAGGACTTTTGGTCCTAGGGAAGTGGAAAACATAGAGTTTTTCTGCTCGAAAAACCCAGGAGGGCTGACCTTTAGCTGGGGGCTCAGTCAAGCCGAATAAGTTAAACGCGAGATCAGGGTGGCACTTCCAAGCCGGAATGTTGGCCAAGGTGTCTTTCCAGTGGCTCCTTTTGAGGCCTCTCTCGAAAGTCCTTCCTTGCGAGAATATGAAAACCCCAGAGTATCGACAGCGGTAGAAGGAGGCGTGCAAACCCCGTTGGAGATGCTAAACGATAAAGACTTAATAAGATAGGGAGAGATGCTTAAGGTCATCTGGTGAGATCTCTTCTCTAAATATGCTTATCCTATTATATAAATAAATTTTTTCCATAGTAAAAATTATGACTATTTTATAATAAAATGAATAAAATCTCGTTTGATGCGAAAGCAATGCGAAGGGAATAAGGATGCATTGGTTATATTTTTTATTAATGGCTGAGGGCCATTGGTTGTAATTTGAATGTTAGGAGAAAAATGAACGAATAATTTAAGCAAGATTAATTATGGGTTTAAAAGTTAGAGCTAAGAGACGTGAATAGAATATTTAATACATAAAATCATTTATAACGAGAGTGGGTGTCTATTTGAATTAAGAATCCTAAATATTATATGGAAAATGGCTGAAAGCTTAATTCATTGACTCGAATTGAATTTTTAAAGAATTAAAAGTCTTAATACCAAACTCTTACTCCCCCCCCCTTTAAATTGAAACAAAAAATTTTGTTTCAATTTAAAGGGGGTTAAGAAAATTTTTTTATAAAAAAAATTATATATAAAAATTTTTTCAGAGATAAAATTTTATAGAAAATAAATTATATAAATTTAAAGAATTTCATGAAAAATTAATTCATAAATTTTTCAATCTCAAAGTGTAAACTTGCTGAAATGGTATTCTTCTAACTCTCCCCATAACAATTGGACAAAATAGAGTTTAATTTCTAAATCTTATATGTTTGAAGCATATTAAATAGGGTATTAACGTATTTACATATAAAATAATGATTTTTACCTATAAAATTTTCTATTATAATAAAATTTTGTTTCAATTTAAAGGGGGGGTAATTTCCCAAAAAAGTAGGAATTTTACCTATATTTTGTTTCAATTTAAAAGGGGGGGGGAGTTAGATTATATTTATCCGAATAATAGTTTTATCAACATAGGGAAAGGAGAGAAAGCGGTATTGAAAGAAAAATAATGAAATTTTTTGAGGATTGATTTGGTGCTGACTCAGGATAAAAAATGGATAGAATTTTAAAAGAATTGGCAATCCTTAAAGTTTAAAAATCCAAACTAACTCATCCCTTTAAATTGGGCAAATTAGCAAAATTTTATATTAGATTGAAATTTAAAGGTTAAAATACTAATTTTTATAAAACTCTTTAAATGAAGTTCGCACAATTTATTCACACTGAATAGATTATATTTGAATTAATTCCCTATAAATCAAAAAATAGTTTTTTTATTAAAATTTTATAGAATACAAAAGGGTTTAATAGAAATTAAGCACTTTTAATTGAAAAAGCCATAATAATATTTAAAGCGCCACAAATCTTCCAATTATTTTTTTAAAAAAAAATTCGACACTTAAAAATTCTCTATTCCCTTCTGTTTATCTAGCACATATTTATTATTATCCTACATTATATAGCATTTATCACAAGAAACATTTTTACTGACTCTCTCCATTACAAGACCGTCTTTTCTGTCAATGCTTCTTGTTTCCTCTTGAAGTTTCGCTAAAATCCTATTTCGATGCCCAGGCTTTGCGATTCCAATTTCAGCTAAAAGAATTTCATCTGTAAACGGGTATTTTGAGTACATTTGTGTAATTATCATTTCATAGCTATCAAATCCTGCTTCTACAAAGACGGTTCAAAGTTCTTCAAGCTTGATCGATTTAAGCCACTCTCGTAATGTCGGGAAGCTTGCCATTCCAAATGTCGCATTTGTTGGAACTGTGCAGCATTTCCAAAAGCTTTCTTGGTTCAATTTTCGGTTGGTTTTGATATAAGCTATAAAACTTGATTTAGCTTAAAAAATGATAGTTTATTTCTTAAAAAATTAATTGATTATTATTTTGAATAAGTACTTTATTTAATGCAAATAGAGTAGCTTATTCCTGCTTCTTCTTCGGCTTTGATTAAAAAGCGATAAATATGTCCTGGCTTTTTAATTCCGATTGCTACTAATTCGCGCTTTGTGATTGGGTTATCAGATATCATTCTTTCTGTGATTTTATTAATATCGTCCAGTCCTGCATCACATAAAACTTCATAAAGCTCTTGCAAATTATGAAGAATGATATTAAATATTAACTTTTTTTGTAAAAATTATATTAAATTTAATGAATTAGCCATGGCTTTTTATTAAGAAATTATTAATTTATTCGAATATGGCTATGGGTATTTTAGGTAGAAGTCAATCAAAATTGTATAGATTATTCATTATTCGATATAAAAATATACTTAGCTGGTATAATTTTTTCTAAAAACTGATAAATAGGCTTTAATTCATTTTTTGTTTGAATTACACTAATTTCAGATTCTGGCTCTAAATTTCCTTCCTCCGGCTTTGGCGGGTTCGGAGAATCATAAAACTCATATTCCCCATCCTTTTCCAAATTCAGCTTCCCAAAAGTCCCTAAATTCATATTAATTTCATCGATTTCTTGACTTGTGTTGCTTTTGTCCAAATTCGGTTGATAATTTTCCATCATATCTTGAAGCTCTTTAGTCTGTGCAAGAGAAGTTGGAGTTTTTCCTTGCCTGTCTTGAAGAAAAGGGTCTCCTCCAAATTCAAGCATAAGCATAACTGATTCATTGTGCCCGCAATCAGATGCATAATGTAATGGTGTTCTTCCGAACATATAGTTTTGAACATTCGGGTCTGCATGGTGTTTTAATAAAATTTCAATCATTTTGCTATCTCCTCTAAAAGCTGAGAATTTTTTATTTTTTTAATTTAATTATTTTACTATTATTTCTCATAAATATATTAACAGCCTAAAAGCTGCATGATGTAAAGGAGTATCCCCATCATTTTGCTGCAAATTTGGGTCAGCATGGTATTCCAATAACAATTCAGCAAGTTCATATTGAGAATTATCAGCAGCTTGATGTAATGGTGTTTCGCCTAAATTATTAACTGTATTAGGGTCAGCGCCTTGTTTAAGTAAAAACTGCGAAGCTTGTATATGGCCACATATAACAGTTCGATAAAGCGCGGTCCATCCTAAACTTTCATCTTTATGATTTAGCTTACTTGGATCTGCATGATAAGCTTTTTTTATTGCAGCTAAATCTCCCAGTCTGCATGCTTTTTGTATATCTAATATTTCTGTCTGGCTGCCCTCAGACGATCGTGGTGAAATTGAGGTGGATATACCTGCTCGCAGAATTTTAAATAGTGATTTTTATAGTAAATAATAATAAAATAAATATAAAAATCATTTTAATTGGTATGTATTGTATTGAGTCATTTAAAAATTTAGATAAAAATGAATTATGAACAATTAGTTAAATTTTCCTTTATGGTTTCCAGAAGACAAGCTTATTTTTGGAAAGCAAGATTTTTGAGATCCATATAATGCCTTATATGGAGTTTCATACAGATAAGTTACACTTGGCACTGATGATTTTTCGGGTGAGATTTTATAACTTTTTAACTGTGGGGATTTGTGTTTTTTTCTTGATAAGAAAGACTTTTTCACCTTGGAAGGGGCTGGGGTTAAGCTATGTCTTGGGCTGCTGTGAGAATTTTTAGAAATTGTCAGCCTTTTATTGGGAAGAAAAATTTTGAGAGAGGCTGAGATATCATTTTGGAAATTTGAGTTTGGAGAGAGAAGAGAGGGAAGGATGAGACAGTCTTCCAAAATTTGTGGTCCTTTTAAATGAGTATGAATCTTGCTATTTAATGTCTGGTTCATATATTTTTAATGAGAAATATAAAAGTTGACTATTTAGAAAAGTAATAAATTTTTATTTTTGTGGATTTTAAGAGCCTAATATGGGATTGAGAGCCTTTAATAATTGGTTTAGTTAAATATGTAACAGAAATTAAAATATTTGATCTTAGGCAAAATTTATTTTAGAATTTCTGAAAATAGTAGTTTATATGATATGCTTTTTTGCCTTGAGTGGCGCCCATACCGCGCCACTTAAGGCAAAAAGCTATAATTTATTTTAAAATCTAGAATAACCATTCAGAGTCTATCGTCGCTATTTCTAATTGTTCTTGGTAAATTAAATTTTCTTTTTTATTTAGTTATTTAAGAAATCAGGAGCACTTAGAGAGAATAATATGATATCAGCTCTTAAAACTACTATAAAGTCATAAATTTTCTTTCTTTAATTTTCTTAGTTGAGATTAACTTTCCACATGTAGCTTAGCCATAAATGGTGAATTTAATTTACATTGATTTTATATTTAAAGCTTAATTTCTATAGCGTTTCATAGTAAAAGCTTTTTCTTAGTCTGACAGTATCTGATGTAGAAGTGATGCTAATTTTAAGCCTTTATCCAAATTTTTTAATCGCTTAAAATTTTTCAAAATTCTCTTAGAGATTGAATAATTTATTTTCATTCTCTCGTTTTCTCTTTTTAAATTTTATATAATGCATTCTTTTCAAAAATTACCTCCCAGCTTTTTAATAATTTTAATTATGGACAATATATGCAGTCCATTTGTCACTGTAATTACTATCCTAGGATCGTGGCGTAGAGAATACTTGTTTTGTCAACTTCTACCTTGTCTTTATTCCAGAACTGATATGAACTTTGCTTATTTCTCTCGAAATCTTTTTCAAGCCTAAATCATCCTCAATCACTCTTCCCAACATTTTTTCGACAATGTTCGTAGGAATAATCGGGAGCTTTTTCATAAATTTCACGATTTTCTTATTTGCTGTGGACACTGACCTTGTATTTGGTGCTAAAACTCTTGCTTTTATAGTTTCACTACTACAATGGCAGATTATCCTTTACAGCTACCAAACCCATTTCCATATGGATCAGTGGACTTTTACAGACCTTTGGTCAATAAAGTTCTTTTGGGCTATCAGGCCTTTATGGCTCATTATGGAGTTTGTGGTGTATTCGATGAATTTCGGACTCCCTCAGAGGCAATCAGGAGGAAAAGAAGTATATCAGAGTAAACTTTTAGAGGTCTTTTGGCTTATCCCTCAATTGCTTATAGTTGCACTATGCTATATGATGCTTTCAGGATATGCCAGAATCAGAGGAAATCGTAGTCGATACAGACCTTTAATAGTTTCTCAAGACATAGAAGGGGTTGATCAAGAAAATCAGAAAAATAGATATGACAGAGCAAGCATTTTTTCAAGGCTTTTAACATCATGAATTTATCCATTGCTTAAGATCGGCAACCAAAGACCGATAGAGCTTACTGATATAGAATCTCTTAGCAAAACCGAAACTACTGAGTTTCAAAAGCAAGAGATGAAAACTATTTGCGAAAAATATCTCTCTAATAAGAATGATAAAAGAGCATTGCTAAAAGCTTTATACAGGCGATTTTTGCCTGAAATTATTGTTTTATTTTTCGTCGGTTTTATTGCTACCCTCATGGATTTCAGTGGAGCTGTTTTTATAAAGCTGCTTGAAAACTTTTTAGATCCTAAAAGTACTCAACCTTATTGGAGAGGATTTGCATTGGTCGCTTATATGCTGCTCTCCAAAATAGTCCAAGCAATTGCAAATAACCATTATAGATTTAACGTCAGTATACTGGGAATTCACATAAAAGCAGGTCTTTCTTCATTTATTTTTGAAAAATCCTTAAGCATTTCTCCACAGCTCTTATCCTCAGGTGAACAAAAAAACTCAGCTAATTTTACCTACGCCCAAATAGTAAACCTAATGCAAGTTGACTTAGAAAGAATTGCAATGGGTATTCCTTACTCAATGAGAGCTATTACCTGGCCTATCCAGTGGATTATTGGGATCTATCTCTTATATTCCACTATGGGATGGGAAGGTGGCACAGCTGGCATTATTTTGATGGCAATTTTGTTTGGAATTAACATTGTAATTGCAAGAACTATGGCAAAATTACAAAAAATCGTTATGGAGAAAAAAGACACAAGGATGAAATTATGCAATGAATTGTTAGCGAACATTAAGGTTTTCAAGCTTTATAATTGGGAAAAAAAGATTGCAGAAAGAGTAAAAAATGCCAGAGAAGTCGAGATAGGGTTTATAAGGAAAGGATTGACCTGGATGATGTGGGTTATATTTTTAAACTGGGGAACTAGAAATTATCTGATTATGGGAGTTTTAATTACGATGACACTATCAGGGATAGTGCTGACCCCAGGCGATATTTTTGCTGGAATTGCAGTTATCCAGATTTTGAATATGTCTATACGTTTAATTCAGGAAATTAAAAAATTACTTAAAAAAAATTATTTAATTATTTTTTTTAAAAAAAAAATTTTCTTTAATTCCTGATATTATCAGCAATTTCTTAAATATGCTTGTCTCTCTCAAAAGAATTCAAGACTACTTACAATGTAGAGAAATCATTAACTACAATGACTCCGAACAAGGCGAACTCCACCCAGACCTCGCTATAGGCATGAATACAGCCAGTTTCGCATGGGAACTCCCTGAAGAAAACACTACAGGCGAGCTTAAAGAATCCAAAGCTGTTCTCAAAGATTTATCATTAGAAATAAAACATGGAGAGTTCGTCGCTATAGTAGGCCGTGTAGGCAGTGGAAAAAGCTCAGTCCTTCAAGCTTTAATCCAAAACATGAATTTTGTAAGAACAGCTGAGTTTTCCAATATGTTTATTAATGGAAGCGTTTCTTATGTCAGCCAAGAAGCATGGATACAAAATACTACCATAAAAAATAACATACTATTTGGATCCCCAGTCAATGAAAATCGTTATCAAGAAGTCCTCAATGTATGTCAGCTTAGAAAAGATTTAGAAATTTTACCTGGCGGAGATCTAACAGAAATAGGAGAAAGAGGCATTAACTTGTCAGGAGGCCAAAAAATCCGTGTTTCTATAGCTAGAGCCATTTATTCAGACCATGATGTGATACTTCTTGATGACCCTCTCAGCGCAGTTGATGCTCACGTTGGTAAAGAAATTTTCCAACAATGCTTTATAGACTTTTTAAAAGGAAAAACCAGAGTTTTAGTTACCAATAATCAGCAATTTTTACCTTTTGTGGACCGAATTATTGTCCTTAACCAAGGAAAAATCGTGGAAATTGGAAATTATCAAGAATTGCTTAAAGCTGACGGGTACTTTAAAAATGAATTTTTAGTATCAACTGATCATGGGCAGCTGCAAAAAGCAGAATCTGAAGAAGAAATTGTGGAGGAAAAAAAAGAGACCACAAAAGGCACAAAAATTATAGAAGTAGAAGAAAGAGTTACAGGAAGAATCAGTTTTAACGTGTATAAGACTTATTTTCAATACTCAGGAGGCATAAAAGTCGTTATTTTAGTCATATTTTTTATGCTTTGTTGGCAAGCAGATAGAATGTATACAGATTTGTATTTGAGTGAATGGACAAATCAGACAGGCGCTGAACAGGAAGAAAATCAGACGAAAAATATTTTGATTTATAGCATAGGCAGCTTTAGTGTGAATTTATTTATATTGTTTAGGCTAATGACGACGATTTTTAGTGGGCTAAAAGCAGCAAGGACGATTTTTGAGAGAATGGTGAATGCTCTATTAGATGCCCCGATAAATAAATTTTATAGAAAAATTTAACAAATGAATATGTAAATATCGGTAGATAGCATAATGTTTTATAAAAAATAAGGCTAAATTCTGCATCAGAAAAGGGATAGGCTATTTAAATAAGTATATGATGTCACACCAACAGGCAGAATTTTGAATAGGCTGTCTAAAGATCAAAATACAATAGATACTCAACTATTATTCGCCTTAAATGGCTCTATAGGACAAATTTTTACAGTTTTAAGCATCATTTGTATGTGTGCTTATATCGTTCCATGGGTCCTCGTAGCTTTACCAATAGCAATTTACCTCTCAATGAAAATCCAAAATTTCTATATATCCTCTAGTAGAGAACTTATGAGGCTAGAAAGTATGAGCAGATCCCCAATAGTCCAGCATTTTTCAGAAACTATTAGTGGAGCCAACACAATACGTGCATTTGCTTTCCAAGAACAATTTATAAAAAAGAATGAGGAACTCGTGAATTCTAATACGTCTATATACTTTCAGCAGCAAGCTTGCAACTGTTGGCTAGGAATTACACTGGAATTTGTGTCAGATTCTTTACTTACAGTAAGTGCTTTAATTATTGTTGGCTTTAAAGGACTCATAAACCCTGGGCTCGCCGGTCTTTGTTTATCTTATGCTATAACTGATTTTTTATTTGTTTTTTAAAAAATTAAATTTATTTATTTTTTAAGTTTTTTAAAAATACCTATAACTCTTCCAGAAAACATATATTTCTTGATATTTGCGACCTCTTTCTTAGAAAACATGATGGTTTCTGTTGAAAGGGCTCATCAACTAGCCCAAACACAAGGAGAAGCCCCACGACAAAGGCAAAAAGACAGTGAGCTTAAAAACAAAAATTGGCCACATGATGGTTCAGTTGAGTTCGAAAATTTCCAAATGAAGTATCGTGATGACACAGAAATTGTCTTAAAAGGAGTTACAGGAACTGTCAAACCGAAAGAACGTATAGGAATTGTAGGGAGAACCGGCTCTGGGAAATCATTAAATTAAGGCTTATTTCGTTTAACGTCCCCTACGGGGTTGACAGACCCCAGGTCTTCCCGCTTTCCCCTTCGCCGCATCAGGCCCACAAGTCTCTGAGGGCGACTTGCTTTGATCTCCAAGGTGCTTCTCCGGGCAAGTGTTGCCGACTCCGACAGCTCATGACTGAGCTACTTCGCTTGAGGGCGTGAGTTGCCTGCTCGGAAAAATCCAAAAAATGGATTTTCTGGCCGACTCTCGGCAAAAAGGGAGAGAACACATGGCCTGGGACGTAACGCCCAGTTTCACGCTAAGGAGTTGCCCGAATGGTCAAGAGGACTCTGCTGGGCTTCCCCTTTCCAACCTCCGTGTCTTCCTTCCCCACGAGGTAAAATCCATTTTGGTAGTTGAGCATGGGCCAGGCTCTGCTCTGCAGAATTGCTTACTTGGCATTGTTGCCCATTTCCTGAATGACAAAACCTTGCCGGATATAATTAAAATATGTGCTCGGAAGCTGCGTGGCTGGAGGCCATGCTAGGTGGAGACGCCATATTTTAATTATGGCTCTGGGAAAATCATCTTTATGTTTAGCTTTGTTTAGAATAGTCGAATCTTATGGTGGAAAAATTTATGTTGATGGTGTCGATATTTCTGAAATAGGTTTAGATTTATTGAGGCAAAAATTGTGTGTCATTCCTCAGGACCCGACACTTTTCCAAGGAACTTTGAAAGAAAACTTACTCCCCCCCCATCCTTGATCGAGCGATTGACTGTAAAAATTCCTAAAAATGGGGAAATTAACCCCCATCCTTGATCGAACGATTTTCATATCATGCAACTTTTATATATATATAAAAATATATTAGTTATCAAAAGCTTGGGAAGATGTACCTAATGAAGTTGTTTTCAGAGACTTTGAGACGACAGAAAGCTTCGAAATCAACTATCCGAAGTGATTTAGTCATCAATCTAGGCTTAAAAAATCAAATAATCTAATAAAATAGAGATCTTTAAAATTTTAAAAACAAAAATTAATTTAATAAGGAACAAAATTAAAATTTATACAGTTTTAAAGGGGTAACTAATAAATCAAAAATATTAAAAATTGGTATTTTTATGAAATTAATTCAATTTTTTTTGCTCTAAAAATAATTATTAAATACTCTTAACCCTCTTATTTAAAAGTAAATAAAAAAAATATATATATATTTTTATTTTATATATAAATTTTTTTTCCCAAAAAAATTTTTTTTAACCCCCATTCTTGATCGAACGATGGCGAGTCGTTCGATCAAGGATGGGGGGAGTTAGACCCTTTTAATGAGTGCAAAAAAGAAGATTTGATTGAAAGTTTGAAATTGGTAGAAATTTTCCCTGATGAAAATCCTGCAGATGTTTTATGCTATTTTATATTAAATTTACCCTTATAAACTGCATTTTATTAGAAAATAGTCTTTTAATCTTATAAAGTATAGAAAAAGAAGTCAAAGACAACGGCTCAAATTTCTCATTAGGCCAAAGACAATTAATCTGTATAGCAAGAGCTATTTTAAGGCACTCAAAAATTATGTTTTTAGATGAAGCCACAGCATCAGTTGACTATAAGACAGACGCAATAATACAAGACGCCATTAGAAACAAGTTCAAGGATTGCACTGTTCTTACCATTGCACACAGAATTAACACAATTATGGACTATGATAGAGTCATTGTAATGGACAAAGGAAAAATCGCAGAATTTGATACACCACAAAGACTGATGGAGAAAAAAGGAATTTTCTATTCATTGGTGGTCCAGCACAAGAAGCTTTAACCATAATTTAGTCATTAAAATATAAGACTTTTAGAATAAATAATGAGGAATAATTAGAGAATGGTAAAAATTTTTGTATATAGAAAATAAGATTTAGGCATAACCAGCAAAAATAAATTGGTGTGATTTTAGCATATTAGCTTATTTTTCTTAAGAATTCGTTTGACATAAGGTGCTTTGATGCTGTAATAAGATCAGGTTGGAGGCTGTTCTGATTTAGTGAGTTGCAATATCTTTTTAGTCGAATTTTTTGGAATTATTGGAAATTCCGTTGGTAAAACTTTTAGCACTCTTGATTCCCTTCTTATTATTTTCTTTTTATTTTCACTCGGAAATTTAATAACGCTTCCTCTTCTGCCTTGTGGGGTGCAAGATCTTGTGATTCTATATCAAGCTAAATTAAATGAAAAATACTTAAAAAATCCTTAATACCCTATTATTTACCTTTATATTCAATTTTATTCATCATATCCAGAATTTTCGAGCTTTGTTCAGGGTTCAGTTTTATATTTGTTTTGTCTAACAAAGAAGTAGGCGATTCACTTTGGTTTAATTTTGACAGAGAATTTAATACACTTTTATTCGCAATATATATAGGCTGTGTTTTATCTAAACTTTCAGAAACCTGGGTAAAGGTATAATCATCTTCTAGATCTTGTTCTGTCTCAACTGATTTCTGCACAAATTTCGATGCTTTTGTCCTTCTAAAATCAGTTTCTCTGTTTTTTTGTGTAAAATAAGTGTGAGTTTGCCTAGCTTTTACACTGAAAGTTCCAAAACTGGAATTTAAAGTTTCATTCAAAGAGCTAGCTGATGGGACAATTTCTAGATATCGTCTTGCTTTAAAATTTCTCATAATAATACTAAAATCATTGTAAATAATGATAAAATTAATTAAGTCTACTGAAAAATCAATATAATATTTAAAGCAGCTCAAAAGATTTATTAATATCAATAATTTTTTTTTTGTATTTTTTAGGAAAAATAGTATATAATAATTTTAGTTCTAAATTTCTTGGCTTTGAATCACCATTTTATATTGATTATCAGGAATGTTTTCTTCAAAGATTATCAGATTCTCTTCTCGCATTATTGGTCTTCGTAGATTTGTAAGCTCACAGTCAAGCTACAATGCAAACTATAAATGGATTCCAAGAGCAGCTTTAGTTGCAGGAGTGGGGTTAGCATCATTGAATCCAATTTTCTGTGATGATAATCATCAAGATATCACTGCATGTAGAGAAGATGAACTTATTGATGGAGTGTTAAAAAAGGTTCAAATAGGACAAAACCCAGAAAATTATGGGGTAATTTAAAATAAATTAAAAAATAAACTAAATAAAAATCAATATAAAATGCTAAAAGCAAAAATATAATATAAAAATTTTGATATAAAAATATTATCCAAAATTATAATTGTAATTGCCAAAGTCAATGGATCGGTTTATGCTGTAAGTGGAAAATGTTCTCATTACAATCTTCCATTAAATCCAGGATACTTAGATGGCTATACTTTAATATGTCCATTCCATGGTGCTCAATTTGATATTCGCACTGGAGAATTAATTGGCTCACCAGGCTTGAAATCACTTCAATCATATCAAGTTAAAATTTCTGATGGAAATGTTATAGTAAAAATTCCAGAAGCAAAAATCAATGAAGTCACTGCTTCTGTTAATAGTCGAAGGATGGTAAAAAGAGACCCAAATAACCAGACTTCGTTTGTTATTATTGGTGGAGGTGCAGCAGGTGAATCAGCTGCAGAATCTCTTACTTTAGAGCTCAGTCTATTTCTATATAAATTAAAAGTTTCTTTATAAAAAAATTAAAAAATATTTTTTATACTAAAAAAGTCAGAAAAGAAGGTTTTACAGGCAAAATCACGATTTTAACTAAAGAAAATGTTCTTCCTTATGACAGAGTTCCAATCTCAAAAGCATTCAAAAATGATGTCTCTTTGTTAAGAAATCAAGAATTTTTTGATGAATATGGAATTGAAGTAAAAACTGGCGCACTTGTACGCCAAATTGATAATAAAAACAAAACTATCAAGCTAGATAATCAAGAAGAAATTCATTATGACAAAGTTTTACTAGCTTCAGGGTCATCAGCAAGAGTTCCAGGCCCTTATAGAAATTTAGCTGAAAATTTCGAAGGTATTTTTACTTTAAGATCAGCTGCAGACCATAGCAAATTTAAAGCTGCCTTGTCAGGTGCCAAAAATGTTGTCATTATTGGGTCTTCATTTTTAGGACTAGAAGCTGCAGCTTCTATTAAGCGTGGAAACCCAGAAGTCACTGTAACAGTCATGGACCTTGAAAGCTCTCCATTAGAAAGAATTTTTGGCAAAGAAATTGCCCAACAAATTATACAGTCCCACTCATTAAATGGTATCAATTTTATTCTTGGAAAAAGTGCCAGAGCCATTAAAACAGTTGGGGGAAAAGTTTCTAGTGTCAGCTATATGCATCAAGAAGCTGCTGAGATGAAGCCAAAAGAAATTGAAATTCCAACAGATTTATGCCTTATTAGCATAATTTTTTTCAAAAATAATTATTGGCCAAAATAAAAAAAATTCAATATAAAGGAGTATACTTTTATTGGCCACTGGAGGTGCAGTTCAAACTGATTTTGTCCCAGCAAGTTTATTAAACTCAGATGGCAGTGTCAGAGTAAATCATCATTTGCAGACAATTGACCCAAATATATACGCAGCTGGGGATATTGCATCTTTTTATAGCATGCTGTCTGAAGGTCAAGAAAGAGTTGAACATTGGCAAGTGGCTCAAGACCAAGGCAGAGTGGCTGCTAGCAATATGCTTGGAAAAGGGACGTTTTATAGGTCGGTTCCATTTTTCTGGACAAATCAATTTTTAAATGTGCAGTTTGTTGGGTTTAGCACTGGATATGATTTTACATATACAGAGACAAAAGAAGAAGGATCTCCTTTAAAGACAGGGAGAATTATAATAAATCAGATTAAAATGGCTCAAATTATTAAAAAAAAATTATTTAAAATAAATTTAATAGAATATATAGTATACTTATTTTTATAAAAACGGAAGATGCATTGGTGCTGCAGCTGTAAATTGGATGGGAGCAATTATTAAACTGAGAATTGCACTTGATAGAGGGTTGATGCCAGCTAAAGAAGAACTTGTAGCAAAAACAGCGAGCTATGAAACTATCGCACAAAGGGTTAAAGAAAGCAGCCCTTGTGGATGTGCTCAAGGAAAAGGTTGCTGCAAAGGGAAAAAGTAAGATAATCTTTTAGCTATAATTTTCTTATACTAAGGATCCCCCCCCTCATTTGTCGAATTTTCTAGTCTTTTTTTTATAAGAAATTTTTTTTTTTCAGGACCTCATTTGTCCAAAAATCTAGTCAAAAATGATTTGTCCAATTTTCTAGTCTTTTTTGGATTTTTTCGAATGCCCTAAATTCTAGTTTTTTACTTTAAAAAAAACTAGAAAATGAGACAATTGAGGTCCTGAAAATTTTTTTTTCTCTATCAAAATTTTGACTAGAAAATTGGACAAATGAGGTCCAAAAAAAAAATTTTTTTTTCCTATAAAAAAAAACTAGAAAAATGGGCAAATGATAAAAGACTAGAAAATTGACAAATGAGGGGGGGGGGATCCTTATATAATTTGGATATTTTTTTTATAGTAAATTTATTTTTTCGAATAGATAGAAAAATTATATAAAATTAAAAGCACTGTGAATAGTATAGAAAATAATGATAAATAGCCTTATATTAAAGACTAAAGCTGATAAGCGAAAATCTAAATTTTTAAGAAATTTGATATTGAGATGTACGGCTAAGATGCCATATTTCCTTAAATTCACACGACACCTACTCCACAACGACTATATTTTTTTGTATTTTTTTCACCTATTGTTTTTGGCATATTTTTTCATCTATTTTCTTCGAGCTATTTTTTTCCTTAATTATTTTTTTCTTATTTTGGTCCATCTACTCTAAATGACTCCATGTTTACTATTTCGCGGTTATTTTCAGTCTATTTTAGTCTATTAGTTTCTACATTAGCTATATAATAAAAATTTTAGTATTAAAGATAGGTCAAAAAAAATTAAGACGAAAAAAAATAATCTTTATAAGTGTTGGCACCAAGTGAAGAATCCCATATTCTTGTAATTTATTGAATGGCATCAGTCAAGCGAAAGGCACCAGCACAAGCTAAGAAACTCGACCTCAAGTTCACAATTGACTGTTCAAATGTGGTAGAAGACAAAGTTATCATTATGAGAGACTTTGAAAAATACCTAACCCTCTTTTTTGCCGATTTTTATATTTTTATAATAAAAAGTATTTTTTTAGATTGTTTTTTTAAAAAAATAATTTTTTTATCTGTAAAGGGTAAGAGAAAGAACTAAGGTCAATGGAAAGAAAGGAAACCTTGGCACCGATGTCAACCTCTCCAGCAACGCCACATCCATCATCGTCCAGAGCTCAGTTCCATTTTCTAAGAGATACTTGAAGTATTTGACAAAGAAATACTTAAAGAAAGTCAAGATTGCTGATTACTTAAGAGTAGTTGCCACAGACAAGACCAAGTATGAGCTTAAATACCTCAAGATTTACGGAGAAGAGGGTGAAGAGGAATAAACTTATTAAGCCTTTTATTAGAGTCATCTTCTCTAATCTTTAATTATCGAGGCAGGTATCTTAACTTAACTTATTAGGTTCTGTATTTAACGCCATTCACGGGGTAACCCCTCCTAGAGCTTCCCGCTGCTTCTTCGCCGCATAGGGCCCGCCGACCGTCTGGGGCCAGTCAGTCTCGATCTCCAGTACGCGCCTCCGGAGCAGTGTTGCCGACTAAGGCGGCTCATGCCTGAGCTACTTCGCTTGAGGACATGGGTTGCCATTCCGAAAATCCATAAAAAAATGGATTTTCTGGTAGGCTTTCGGCAAAAAGGAAAAACACGAAGCCTGGGACGTAACGCCCAGTTTCACGCTAGGGAGTTGCCCGATTGGTCCTAACGGACTTGGCTGAGCTTCCCCTTTCCAACTTGCGTGCCTCCTTTCCCATGAGGAAAAAACATTCCCGAAAGTAGACTTGGGCTAGGCTCTGACTCCCCCCCCCCTTTAAAATTGAAACAAAATATAGGTAAAATTCCTACTTTTTTGGGAAATTACCCCCCCTTTAAATTGAAACAAAATTTTATTATAATAGAAAATTTTATAGGTAAAAATCATTATTTTATATGTAAATACGTTAATACCCTATTTAATATGCTTCAAACATATAAGATTTAGAAATTAAACTCTATTTTGTCCAATTGTTATGGGGAGAGTTAGAAGAATACCATTTCAGCAAGTTTACACTTTGAGACTGAGAAATTTATGAATTAATTTTTCATGAAATTCTTTAAATTTATATAATTTATTTTCTATAAAACTTTATCTCTGAAAAAAATTTTTATATATATTTTTTTTTATAAAAAAATTTTCTTAACCCCCTTTAAATTGAAACAAAATTTTTTGTTTCAATTTTAAAGGGGGGGGTAGTGAGCACAACCAGAATTGCTTACCTAGCATTGCCGTCCGTTTTCTGAAATGCAAAACCTTGCCGGATATAATTAAAATATGAGTCGAGTATGCATGGCGAGAGGCCATGCCCAGACGAAGACGCCCATATTTTAATTATATCGAGGCAGGTATCAAGTCTCAATCGAGTTCTATTGATATCATAAATAATGCCTATTAATTTAATGGTTTTCATATGCTTAAGACATCTCTAAGCATTGAAAAATTCGATAGACAGTGATTATTTAGTATCATTATATAAAAAATTTTTATAAATAAGCAAGGATTTATATAAAAATTAATTTTTATGATAATTTAGGTAAATTTAAGTAAAACACTAGAAGATTAGGTATTTTAATATTAAAGAACCTTAAAATATAACTACATTTTTAAAAGATTAAAAATTATTAAATGACTTATGACCAAAGAGAGCTTGGAATAGGAGCTGGGATTTGGGTCTCAGGAATATCTTTAATCGTCGCAAGCTATATATGTCTTAGTATGATTTACGAAAATCGTAAACATAGATATTTTTATGAAGCTCAGAAAATGCTTGATTTCATTTATTTTGCACCAATTATTATAGGATGGCCAACTTGGGTGATTATTTTATTAGGAAATGAAGGAGGAATTTTTGAATATATCGTAGATATATACAAAGCCATGATATTTTACTTCTTGATCTCTTATGTGTTAGCTATGATTGGACGAATTTCTGATGGGAAAGGATATGTGTATAATCAAGAAAAAATGATAAATTCTTTTTTAAGCATTGAAAGGACTGGGTTTTTCTTTTTATTCTGTGGGAAAATAAAGCTGAGGAATAAAAAATGAGTAAAATCCTTTTTATTTTATGTGAGATTAATTTCGGTTTTATACATAGTAACCTATATCTGCATTTTTATAGCAATCTTACTATTACTTTATGTTGATGGTGATAATCTGCATTATGGAGAAATAGACCCTAATTATGGCTATTTTTGAATAAATATAACCATTATTTGTGTAACAATTTTGTCTTCTCACGCTTTGTATACTTTTATTCACACAATCAAAAAAATTCCTAATTTGAAAGGATTCAGAATAAAAAGCAAATTTTACATCATTGAGGTTTTTGCAATGCTAATACAAGTTCAACCATTAATTTTTAGTGCTTTTGCGGAATGGAATTGAATTTCTGACAATGATAAATACGAGACTGATGAAATTGCTAGCTTTACATCAAATTTTATATTGTGCATAGAAATGGTGATTTTTGCTTTTATGCTAAAAGTTCTATTTCCCTATACTGATTATATTCCGTCGACTGATTCGTCTAATGAGCCATTGAAAATCTAATTATTTAAAATTATTTAATATTTTTTTTTCAAATAAATAGATGATAATGTATTATATAATTGGTGTATGAGGCAACTCAGCATATTCTTTTGACTGCATTTCAGTAAGTCTTGATATAGTTCTGTCAAAAGCAAAAACTTCGTCAAATTCTGCACCTTCTTCAGTATAAAGTTGGTCAATTCCGACTTCGGCTGTGCATGTTAATTTTACTTTTCTATTGTATAGCTCGTCAATTAGCAAAATAAACCTTCTCATGATATCTCTTCTATATACAGAAAAAGTAGGCACTCCAATCATTATAACGTGATGAAAATGCTGACTCCCCCCTCCGTTAGAGGACAAAACCATTGGAAAAATCCTATTTTTTGGCCTAAAACCCACCGTAAACGAGAAAATTATGTTGATATATAAGTAATAATTATTATAACAAAATTTCTAGCTATTTCTGTTTAATTTTAAACAGCTTGTATTTTAAAACACAAAATTTACAAATTAAATTAATATTTCTTTAAATATAGATTTTTTTTTAAATTCCGAAAAAAAATTTACATTAATTTGGTTAGTGACACTGACTATATATATATAAAAAATAATTAACCCCTTAGAAGAACAAAATTCTTTTGTTCGTTTACGGAAAGGGGATTGAGCAATTGAAATATAATCAGCAGCTCCCAAGGCTTCTTCACATAGCTCTTTAAACGTAAAAACTCCGCATCCATTTGCTGAATTTTTACAGGTCAAAGTTCTACCTTGCATTACAGGAATCGTCAAAATTCCCCCTTTTTCTTTTCCAGTTACCTTTAAAAACATTTTTTTGGCTTCTTGCTCAGCAATAGTGTCATTTGGTCATATAAAAGTTCTGAGGTGCTCTTCATCTCCTCCATATCGATAATCAACATCAGAGTTCATATCAATGATTTTGCAATTGTTTTTCAATTCCTCAATGAACGGTAAAAATAAAAATCTTTGCAGACCATTATAATAGAGATCATCTGGTGGTCTATTCGAAGTAGCAAAAATCGCGACGCCTTCTTCTCATAATTTTCCAAATAATCGTTTTAATATCATAGCGTCAGCTATATCAGTGACCTGAAATTCATCAAAACAAAGCAGTCGAGCTTTTTTAGAAATCTCTAAGGCAACTTTTGGGACTGGGTCATAGCCTTTTTCTGAATCTGGGACGTCAGCTTTATTTAATTGGTGGATTATCTGATGGACTTCTAGCATGAATTTATTGAAATGGACCCTGCGCTTATGAGAAAGAGACACAAAATCATAAAAAAGATCTAAAAGGTAGGTTTTTCCACAGCCAGGACTGCCATACAAATAAATTCCTGGGATTTTTCGCCAAACTTGTTTGGTGACGTATTTTACTGTGTCTTGTGAGCCAAACAATCTTCAAGAAGAGCTGTCTCCTTTAACTTCGATCTTTTCAGTGGTAGTCACGCTTGGTAGTTGTAGATCCTCATAAAACTTTTGAAGTTCAGCTACTACAAAAGCTTGTTGGTGGTCTAGTTTTATTTCTCCAGAGTTTATTAAGGACTAAATAAAGCTTACTTGGTATTTGCCAATGAAATCAGTACTGAATCTTCGGTAAATGTTAGATCTCAGTAATGATATCATTTATAAAAAACTTAAGCCATATTTAAGGACGGTAATTTTTACGAGTAAATATTTTTGATTTAAATAAAGAATATGACTAGTGAGATTAATTGGAATTTTGAGGAATAATTTGTTTTTTATATTTTTTATAACCCCCCCCCCCCCCTCCGTGAGCGAACAAAAAAATTTTGTTCGCTCACGGAGGGGGGTTAATTTTTTTTTAAAAAAAAAATTTATATATAAATTTTCTAAAAAAATATTTTTTTCGAAATTTAAAAAAATCCTAATTTGCAAAAATTGGGAAGCAAATATTAATTTAATTTGCAAAATTTATGTTTTAAAACGCAATTTGTTTAAAATTAAACAGAATTAGCTCTAGATTTTCATTATACTAATTATCACTTATATATCAAAATTTTTTTCCATTAAAATTTTTTCTATTAAAAAAATTTTTTGTTCACTCACGGAGGGTGGGTTTTTGGTCAAAAAATGGCGATTTTTCTAATGGTTTTGTTCGCTCACGGAGGGGGGGGGGGAGTAAGGTAAATTATATATTAAATTTTAAATAAAATTTGGATAGCAATTTTAAATATCATAAATCCCTAATAATTATTTAGATTTGAACACCCTAAAATTAATACTATTTAAATAAAGAATTGGTTAACTTAAGAAATAAGGATGCCACCCCAGTCAGATGCAAAGAATCCTCCGAAAACAAGAGAAAGAATGGCAGAGAGCTTGACAAGAATATTCAGAGATGGTCCTGAGGTGTCTTTCATTGGATCTCCTACTGTGTCTCCAGTGACAGCGGCTGCTTTAATGTCTTTGAATTGAGGGCTTGATTTAGGAACTAAGCTTTCTTTTTCAATATACTTCTTAGCGTTATCCCAAGCGCCTCCAGCATTGGCACTGCTTGTAGCCATTTGGACTCCTGAAACCAAAATTCCTGCTAGTAAACCAGCAACAGCTCTTGGACCGAATAGCCATCCAGTAATAATTGGAGTAAGCATGACCATCATGCCAGGTAAAATCATTTCTTTAAGTGCAGCTCTAGTAGAAATCTGAACACATTTTTCGTATTCAGGAGCATAGTGTGGGTTTCTCTTCATTTCTTGGAACTGTCTTCTGACCTCAATAACCATTTGGTTTGCAGCTTTTCCTACAGATTTCATTGTGAATGCGGAAAATGCATATGGCAGCATAGCTCCGACAAGAAGTCCTGCGAATTGAAGAGGGGCCAAAATATTGACTTCAGTCATATTTGATCTGGTAATAAAGGCACCGAATAAGGCTAAGGACACAAGAGCAGCGCTTCCAATGGCGAATCCTTTACCAATAGCAGCAGTTGTATTACCAGCTGCGTCAAGAGCGTCAGTTCTTTGTCTGACTTCTTTCTTAAGGTGAATCATTTCGACCATGCCTCCAGCATTATCTGAAATAGGTCCATATATTAATATTTTTTAATTTTAGAATATATATAAATATAATAAATCAAAACCTTAAAAAAAGCAGCCTAAGTCCGAATTCTCCAAATAACTATATTAATTATTTTTTTTGGATTTTTAATTCATTTTATATAAGACTATTTTTATATGAATTTTTTTTTGTGATATAAATACCACATACTGTCCATATCCATCAATAGCAAGGGCCAAAGCCAAGTTTGAAAGCATTCCAAGGGCGGCCAAAGCAATCCCGTACATACTTGCAAAGTAGAAGGCTACATAAATAGTAACAGCCAAACAAATGGTTGGGATAATGCATGAAAGGTATCCTAAAGCTAATCCATAAATAATATCTGTGGCAGCTCCAGTTCTGCAGCTTTCAGCGACTTCTTTGACTGGTGTATAAGCGTAAGAGGTGAAATATTCAGTGACGTAGCCAATAATTAATCCAGACCAAAGTCCAAAGGCCAAGCAGATAAATGCATAAGTGTTCTTGCTTTGGATAACTTCATCACCTCTAATGAAGGTAAAGTCTTCTGGGAGTACATAAAGAGTCAAGAAGTAAAGAGCTGGGGTCAATAGGACTGTGGAAATCACAAGTTGGTATTTTAAAAATTTTTTTTTTTATTTTTTTATACTCTTTATCAATAATACCGGATTTTCTATTTTAAAAATTCCATATTTATCATGAAAAGTATAATAATTTATTAAAAAAATTTAAAAATTGTCATAATTTTACCGGTATTTTAAGGTTTTTTCAATTTTGTCTTCACTGTCTACTTTCATGACATTTGTTGCAAAGAAACTTGTAACAAAGCTCACAGCAATCCCTGTAGCTGATATCAAAAGTGGATACAGCAACGAGCACATAGTAGAATTCAACTCAACAGATGTGGCAGCCACCACAAGTGCAGCGCAAGTGCTTTCAGCGAAGCTTCCGAACAAATCAGAGCCCATACCTGCAATATCTCCGACGTTGTCTCCTACATTATCAGCAATAGTTGCTGCATTTCTTGGGTCGTCTTCTTCTAGTCCTTCCTCGACTTTTCCAGCCAAATCAGCTCCTACATCAGCTGCCTTTGTGAAAATTCCTCCACCGACTCTTCCGAACATGGCAATTGTAGACCCTCCAAGTCCATATCCAGCAATGCACTCGTACATGTGTCTGATATCCTCATTATCGTATTCTTCGCCTAGGTAAATTGTGGTATAAAGCCAAATTAACATAAGTAAGTTAAGAAGGCCTAATGAAGTCAGGACAAAGCCAAGGACTGCACCTCCTCTAAATGCGACAATAAAAGCGTTGGCAAGGCCGTTTTCTCTGTTAATGGCTGAATAAGCACATCTGGAGTTAGAAAAGACGGCAACTCTCATGCCAATGTAGCCACTGGCGATACTTGTAGTAGCGCCAAGGACAAATGCGAAAACTGTCCAAAACTGTCCAAGTTCTTCTTCGACGAGGACTGCGATGATAACTGAGAAAATTACGATGAAAACAGTCAAAATCTTGTACTCTTCCATCAAAAAGGCTCGTGCACCGTCTGAGACTGCTTGAGAAATGCGAGTTAAAGTGTAAACGACTTGATCCCAGTTTTCGTGGTAAAGGCCAGCTTCTTCTTCGATCCATTCGACTTCGCCTGTTCGCTTGTTGGTGCGTTGGACGCGTTCTGTTTTGACACCGATGATGTCTTTGAGATATCGAGGATCATTTCGATGATAGTTGCCAGCTTCTCCTACTGGAACTCTTGTAAGCATCATGATATTGTAAATTCCGAACACCAAGCCTAAGATTCCAGCACTGATGATATAAAGACTAGTGGCTTCGTCTCCTAGCATTTATTATTAACCATGAAATTCCAAGGTAAACCATTAAAGCTTTTGGTGAACCAAAATCGAATAATGAGGAAGAGCTTATTAAATACTTATCACTTTGGCTTATATGATTATATAATATCAATATAATTTTTCGATACCTATTTTTCTTGTGAACGAATCAAAAAAAATTGTATTGAAAAATCTTTCTCAGTTAAACAATTTTTCGAAGGTATTTTATTTTTGCTATATATACCTACTAAAATTAATATAGCTCTATTTATCTTGTAAACTCTTCAAAATCGCTTCATTCATCATCCTTTCTTCTTCAGTTAGTTCTAAGTCCATATCGGTCCCTGCATTTTCTTGTGTTTGTCTTGGAATGCCTTCATCAAATTGTGAATAAATATTCGAAAAAGCGCTTGGATTGGAAGATTGTTGGGAAAACTCAGTTTGGTAAAACTCTTGTCTTACGGCACCAGATCCATCTTGTCTTACGCTTGAATAATAGCTTCTTTGTCCTCCTGGGATTTCTTCTATATTGCTTTCTATATGCTCGCTAAAAGGATCCTCAAAATTTTCATGTTCTTCGGAAAAGTCTCCTCTGTTTCCAAAATCTTCATAATCTGGGACATAGTCAGCTTGGGTTATTACACTTTGTACTGGCTGTCGTGGAGGTGACCTTGTGTCTTCCATAAGGATTTTCTGGTAAATTTCTTCAGCATATTGTCTGTCAAGCTCTTCTGCATATTTTTTGGCGACTTCTTGGTCGATTTCTTCTTCTATGATATTCTCAACATTTTCCATGTTTTCACTCATCCTTCTCATGACTACTTCATTACGTATTTCGTCTATTTTTTTCTGGGCGTGGACTTCCTTAAAAGTCCCTAAACAGTCAACTTCTTCAAAATGATGCTGATAGTCCCTCATTGGGATAAATTTGTTGCATCTTGTGCATATAATGCATTAGTTTAATAATGCCTCAGTTCTATATTAATTGGTTTAATATGGCCTTCGGCCATATTTATTTTGCTACAGAATAATTCAGTGCGGCTTCCGCATTGGTAGACATGGTCATTGAATTGTTCAAACGGAAACTCAGCTTCACAATATTTGCATTTCTTTGGAGCTTTAGGGCACTCATGCAAGTTGAAAAGCTGAGGGTCGAATTTTTCACTGCAGGTGGGGCATTCTTTTGGGATATGATTTTCTTCATTGTGGGCTTGTTTTTCTGATTTTGGAACTGGCTTGTTGCATTGTTCACAGCGGTAAATGTTCCGGTGGCAGTGAATTGAATGCAAATCGTAGGATTGCTTGGGGATTTCTTTGTCACTGAATAGCTCTTACCAGTTTTGGCATAGTTGTATTTCCATGATATATGAAAAAATAAATTATGATATTCGCAATTCGATTTTATTTGCATAAAATAGATCTAGATTTATTTAGGCCATAAATGGGTGCTTGTTCCTGTGCTGATAGAAACGATCCTCTCAGCCAAGAAAGCGAAGGAAAATCAAAAAAAGATGACACAAAAAGACGCCAAAAATTAAGAGACTGGAAGAGCGAAGACGAAAGCGGTGGAGATAGTAAGGATTCAATGGATTATCAGGATACCGACGCGTATGAAACAGTTATTCCTGAGGGTTTGAAAGAAGGCGAAATATTTGATATTGAAGGTGGAGGTCAGTTTAAGATTATAAAATACAGGGAAAGTCCGCATAAAACCATAATATACTGCTTGACTTGTGAAGTCAATTTTCCTGCAAGTGATTTAAAAATGCATATATACCTTTAAATTTTAGACTTGACTATGATAGAAAGAATAAAAGGAGATAATTAATAGAAAAAATCTTTAGAAAAGGGAAATTTAATAGATTTAGAATAAAAAATCCAGAACATATGATGAACAGCCCAGAAAAATGTGTGGTGTTTTAGGCATTATACTGCAATAAAAATCCTATTAAGTAATGAGCTGATGACTATTATTTTTTTATTTCGTAAATTTTCTGGAGATTTTAAAACAATAAAATAACTAAAAGATCAGAGCTTGGTAATATGGTGAAACGGTTAATAGAGAATTTTAATAGGATATGAGATTTTATAGTAAAGTGATAGAATTATTTTACAGAATTTTAATACTAGTTTTTCATTTAAAATCATACAAAATTATGATTAAAAATATACGACCATAAGCTGGACCCACTAGTCAGGCTATCTTGACTTCAGGAAAGATGGCTTATGCTAAGTGCATATGCACTTGAGTGCAAATGGTGTAAGGCCCACCCTCTTGGATTTTCTGGAGAGATTCACCTAACCTAAGGATAAGCTCCTTAAGTTAGAGCCACCCACTGTAGGCTACCCCAATAGTCCTGATAGGCAAAGACTATGTGAAAGGCAAAGCCTGTCTGGCCCTTTTGGCAGGACCTCTTCGGCTAGGCTCCTTTAAAAATGAAGAAGACCTTATTTTAAGCTTCATCAGGATGGGTCCGACCTGCTCCACCTCGAAAATCAGTTTCCGTCAACGTCACCATTTTATTTCTCTAAAATCATAAAGGTTTCTTTGCTTATCTAATCTTCTTTAAATCTATATATTAATTTATTTCAAATGAATTTAAAAAAGAGCACTCTTATTTATGCATTTGCTTAAATTTAAATTATTCCAAATTCTCATATAAAATTATCAACAATAATAGTAATTTCTTAAAATAGCCTATATAAAAAATGGGAGCTTGTGCTTGCATTGATAAAGGAACTGTTTTTGAGAAGCCAACTATTAAAGAATATAGGGGGAAAATGGTTATAGAATACTTATATGGACTTACTCTCCTCCCCCTTCGTGAGAACAAAAAAAATCTTGTTCGCTTATGGAGGGGGGTTAATTTTTTTTTTAAAATTTTATATATAAAGTTTTTATAGAAAAAATTTTTTCAAATTAAAAAAATCCTAATTCGCAAAAATTTGAAAGTAAATATTAATTTAATTTGTTTTAAAACGCAATTTATCTAAAATTAAACAGAATTAGCTAGAGAATTCATTATACTAATTATCACTTATATATCAAATTTTTTTTCCATAAAAAATTTTTGTTCACTCATGGAAGGTGGGTTTTTGGGCAAAAAATAGGATTTTTCTAATGGTTTTGCTCGCTCACGGAGGAAGGGGATTTAGCAATCATAAAACTGCAAATAAATATGATGATACTAGCGAAGAATGAAGCACTAAAGAAACCAAAGGTTGGTTAATAAGTGAAGGCTATAATGTTCCACCTGGTCTTATAGCAGGCGATATCTTTATAATAGATGATGGAAGTCATTTTGAAATCATAGAATTACTAAATAACGAAAAAAAAGCGATAACTCATTGCTTGGTTTGCGATATTGATGTTCCAGGGAGTGAACTGAAAAACCACTCGAACTCAACAGATCATTTTACGAGAAATTTAAATAATTTAAGTAGGTAGACCAATCCATCTTATGCAGACTTTATTTCCAATTGGTTATAAATTTATCATTTTTTTTTAATAGTTCTTAATATTCTTAATTCAATATTATAAGACAAAAGATTATATTATTACCAGTCAAATGCCATTTTAAAAGCTATATTAAGGGTCGGAGATTACTAGTATTTTATTAATAAAGCCTCCAATAATGACTTTTCTTCGAAATAAATTCTGCACTATTTTTGATAATTCAATTATAATAATATCAGATTAAATATATTTTCAGATAAAAGAATCAATCATTTTTCTAATTCGAATTTTATGCTCTGTTTAGTTTAATAGTTTTTATTTTGTCAATTTATAATAAAATTCCTTAGCAGGATTTTTCTTAAAAAAGCATTTATAAGATTAATTATGGGAACAATATTTATTGATAAGAATTTTAATTACCTGAAGAGTTATTTTTCTTGAATCACTTGCTGTAGAGAACAATGCTAAATAATTTATTTATTGCTTAATAAAAATGTTCTTTTCAGATCCTAATCAAGATGTAGGAGCCCGTCTCAAATATTGGTGGCAGAACATACCTGCATATACAAGACTGATCCTTTATATTTCAATCTTTGTCTACATTTTATCCTGACTTCCCATTTACATTGATTATGCATTCATTTCATCACCTCAATTAACCCTCACAAGCTTCCAGCTGTGGCGCCTATTTACCTTCCCATATGTTCCTATCAGTATTTTAGACTTGATCTTTGAAATGATCTCATTTCTGTTCTTAAGCTGCAAAATTGAACGTAAATACGGGACTTCTAAGTATTTTATGTACTTTTTTATCAATAATGCCCTGATTGCGCTATCTATGTCGTTGATTTTTATGCTGATTTCTTGTATACCGATAGATTACTTGCAAGGATTAGCATATTACTATTTAGCTGGATTGTGGCCAATTATTATGATGGAAATTGTGATCAGATGCAATAAAAATCCAGAAGCAAGCACCCAGTTCTTTTTTATTCCTATACAAATTAAAATTAAGACTAATTAAAGTCGTTCATCTTAGACAGGGCGGGGATTCACATCTAGATGCTCATCATCCCCGAGGGAACCCCGGCATACACCCTTCCTCGCCGATGTAGGCAAGAGATTCAAACCAATGATTTTGACTTTCGTGACTCTTGGAGCCTATGGGCCCATTACCATAGTCGAAACTCCTAGTTTCTCGTTAGTCTGATACCACCTCTTGAGCCCTGTTCAAGGGATTTATCGTCCTCTTTCGAGGCTTTTGCTGGCCCACCCTTTCCGATCATGGTCTCGGAGGCAAAAACTCAAAGCCCAGGAATTAGCTCCTAGGCCGCGAGGAAAAAACTAGCCCGATATACACAAAGGATTTCCCGGCCTCTTTCTGTCCTTCCCTTTTCACGCTGGGCCGTTGCTTGCAGATATTGAAGAAAAAATGGTCAGTAGTCGGGTAGTTTTGTCATCGCCATTTTTTATGTATATATCCTATACAAATAAAGTCGAAATACTTCCCATTTGTAATGACTGCGATTTTCTGTTTGCTTGGTGTTTTTTGGGAGTTAATATTTGGGTTGCTATTCGGATATTTACGTAAAATTTATTTAGATGTTTATGGAATTTTGAAATTTACAATACTATCTGATGAATTCGCTAGCAGGCTTGAGGACTCTGTTGTATGCCTTGGATTAAGAAAGCTGCCACATTTTATTGAAAACGCTATGGCAGGCGATGAAGAGTTGCCAAGTTCTCAAACGACAACCCAGCAAGCTTTTCCTCAAGTCACTTCTCCCCAAAATCCCCCATCAGCTCCACAACCAGCACCTTTTTCTGGGCAAGGATATAGACTAGGAGGTGATGAGCAAAGTAAAGGAAGGAATTATGATAAGGTAAAAAATAATGCAGCTTGAAGAGAGCGCAAAAGAAGAAGAATTATTTTAGATTATTTAAAGATTTTTATTATAAATTGTTATTATAAGAAGTTCATTTATTTGGAATTTTAATAATTTTATGCTAAAAAATAATGAGAGCATTGTGTTTAAAATAAATAAAAATGTGAAAATTATGTTGAAAATAATGAAAATTGCATTATGGCGATCTGAGCATTCGAGATTATTAGAGAAAATTTAAGGCAGAATATGGAATTTAATTATGTATAATACGTAATATTATGATATATCCACCAGTAAGCGAAATTGAGCCTCTTCTTTATTTAGGCTCGTTGCAAGGAGCTAAAGATAAAGAGTTATTAGAAAGCATAGGAATCCAATGCATTGTACAAGTATTAGACGAAATCCATTTGGATTCTTTATATGAAACCATGGATTATTTATTCATTCCCCTCGCCGATTGGACGAGCTCTAATATAGTAATGCATTTTATATTTTATTAAATTAAATTTGATAAGCGCTGGCAAAGCCAGCGCCAATTTTAAATATAAATTAGTTTTTTAAAAAAGAATGGCTATGAATTAATTTATTTTTGTGCATCATACCAAATGCATTGAAGTTTATTCATCAAAATATAAGCCAAGATAAAAAGGTGTTCATACATTGCGCTGCTGGGGTCTCCAGAAGCGTGTCCATTGTATGCGCCTATTTGATGGCGAAATATCATATTTCATATGACCGAGCACTAAAGGAGGTTAGAAATAGAAGATGATGCGCATTGCCAAATCCTGGTTTTGCCAGGCAGCTAAGAAATATAGCTTTATATTTATTTTACATCAAGCTTTTGCAAGAAAAATCTAGACTATTTTTTAAGCCCATACCCATATAAAGATTTCTTTATTGAACCAAATGTAATGGGCGGTTTTAAGATTAAGACAGACTCTATCAAAGTAACGAGTTGGATCTTATACCGAAAGCGTTTTAAAAATTAGAATACCAAAAAATGGTTGGCAAGTGTGAAAAAAGTTGGCAAGCAAACGTACCAATTTTTAGAATAGCTTTATTATTAAATTTAAATTTAAGATAATCTTTTAGACTGGAGATAATAAATATTAAAAATTATTATGAGCCCTTAAGAGCTTCACAGCGTGCAATACAAACTTTGGATTTTATAAAGCAATTGATCATAATCAAATTGGAATTGTTTATTTAAAAAATCAGCACGATTGATAAGTTTTTAATTTTTAAATCCATTTAAATTGCTAAAGAGTATCATATATTTAAAAATCTTTTGAAGTTAAATTCTTCAGAAAGAGAGTAAAATAAGTAAGATATTAATAAATCCCACTCTAAACGGTATCTTTAATTAAAAATTAATTTAATAATAAAGCCATTTTAAAATTGGAGCGTTTGCTTGCCACTTTTTTCACACTTGCTAACCATTTTTTGACATGCCACTTTTTAACACTTCCTTGCATAGAGATCCAGCTCGCCCTGCCTTGGTCGTTCAACCATCCATTACATTTTGCTCGATAAATAAATCTTTATAGGATGTGAGCGATGTACTAAATAGGCAAAAGGCTGAAGGAAAATAACTTTGGATTTATATTAGTTTGGATGCTCTTATTTCTTATATTGATAATCCATAACTAAAGGATTATTTTAAAGTCTTTTTTATTTTCCATTCATTTTGGCAGCTTTCTATGTATGGTTCTTTTGAAATTTTTATACAAATAATCATCAGCTGGATGCTATAACACAAATAAAATGGTCCTTACTGATTAATCGTGATTTTTTATTGAAAATAAAAAATTTTAGAAATATACTAATGATTGCGCTTTGGTACTGAAAATTATCATAATATTTTATGCTTTTAGAACTTACTCAGCCCCTTTAAATTTGAACAAAAAATCTTATTCAATTTAAAGAGGATTTTTTAAAAATAAAAGTATTAATTTTTTTCTATATTTTTTTAATATAAATTGAACGTAAATTTTTGAATTAATATATATTTATAAAGAATTAATTCAAAAAAATTAATTGATTTAGTTAAAAATCGTTTAAATAATCTTCTACTTGGAATCTTTCTATAAAATAGATCAAAACTAACTTTCTATATTTTATTCCAATTTAAAAGGGGAGTTAAGAAAACTGTTTTAAATAATTAATCGGCCGAAAACTCATATGTGCTATTTTTAACTAAAACCATATATTAACTACTGCTATTTAATTCATTCAACATTCCCAATTCCTCTTCATTCAAACTTCCCATTATGCTTCCATACAAGCTTGGGTTTTTTCTTGACAAATCTTCTAATGAGCTCTTAATAAACTTCTCAATGTCCATCATTTCAAACGGCGAATCATACATATCTTCTGGCCCTGTATTAATTCCATAGTCCTCATCATCACTTTCGTCACTTTCTTCTTGCTGCCTAACATTTCGTAAATCTGTTATTAATTTCATATACTCAGCTTCAAACTTTTCCGAGTCTACAAAAGTTCCGCATTCATTGAATTCTTTGGCTTCTGCCTTTATGTCTTCATTATAATTGTTTTCTATTCCTTTCCATAGGGATATCAATTTTTTGAAAATTAATGATAAATTTGAGAAAATTATTGGTGGGAGTTGTTCAGTTACTAACTAAGAAAAAATTTTTTTGGGAAATCCCTTAATGCTATTTTTAAAAAAATTAAAAAAATAAATATAGGACTTAATAAGGATTAAGAACAATGAGCAAATTCCACAGATTACATGAGTTTTTGACATAGGCTCTTTATATTGATTTACGCTTTCAAAAGCAAGCTTAAAAAGATCATTTAAGACGTTTAGCTGCTGCAAAGCTTGTAAAGTTACAATGGCATTATTCCACATAGCTACACATATACTTTCACATCCTATTACTTTTACTTTTTTAGACGAGTCTTGTGTACATTTATAAATCATCTGAATTATTGTAGGCAGTGCACTGTCAATAAGCCCTTTCCTGTTTTCCATTAATGATATGAAAATTTTGCAGCCCATGATAATGTCTTCCTCCTCATCTTTTACTATCAGAAAGGTAGCAATATCAAAGAAAACTTGTAAATTCGCTATAGCTTGGCTATATTTTGCTATGTATACTATTTTGTAGTAAAATATTTTTATAATTAAAAAATCTCATTTATAGAAATAATTTTTTAACTAACGATGACCCCCCCCCTCAATCTTCATGTCTATTGCAACAAAAATGCAATTTTTTTAATATAAAATTTTATATAAAAAAAATAATAATTTTCATGTCTCTTGCAACAAATTATATATATTAAAATGGCGACACGTGTCAGCCTGCCAATGCGAACTGGGACAGACCCCGAGCCGAGAATCAGACGCAGGCTCAAGAAGTGTATATCCGGGCAGGTTTTGGCTGCTTTCCTGTGGTTGGAAATAGATGCGCTCAAAAACGTCCTTTTGATCCGAGGACCCATGGGCATTCCTCTACCGAGAAACTGGGGTTTTTGCCCAGGCCACAGGGGAACAGTCTTTTTCGTGTAGCTGCAGAAGGAAGGTACTTTGACACCCGATAGACTCTAAGGAGCTGATCCTTGGAATCAAGTTACTCAAATTGCCCGTAGCAGGGACGCAGAAATCCATAAGCCGCCCACTCAAGACTGAAGCCGCAAGCAAGGAGGAGACAGAAGGTACCGGAAGGGCACTAGTAAGAGGAATAGACCCTCTGGGCTGGAATCGAAGAGCGGTAGAACCTTCTGCACGGGAGGTCTTTGGTGACTGTGTCACCAATATGGCTAGCGCCTGTCTGTAATCATCCTAATCTTCTTGCAGCAAATTCTAGATGCGTATCTTAAATTTTTCTGTACTTTTTAGCTAGATAAGTTTAATAAAACGGCGAGCAATGACAATAGCCGTCCAAATCTCGATGAGAAGGTCATTGACACGCCTACAGCAGCGCTGTTTTATGGGGTTTTGAGAAACTCTCCTAGAGAAAAATGCATTAATTTTTTTTTATAAAAATGTTGTGTTGCAGTAGGCATGAAAATTTTTTTCGAAAAATTTTTGTTGCAATAGACATGAAGATTGAGGGGGGGTCATCGTTATTTAGCCTGCCCAGGATAATTTCCAAATACCGAAAACATTTCATCAATATACTCCAATCCATACGGTTTAATATTTCCATCTCCCATAATCGACACTTTCAACAGCATATGATAATTGCACAAATGTCCCAAACTTTCTGGAGGCGCCAAATACAACAAACTATTAAGTATATGTAAAGCCTCTTCAAAGCAGTCACTTCCTTTTGAGCTAAAACAAAAATCAAAAATGGGGTTCATAAACAGAGAAGTTTTCAATAAATCTTCAGGTTTATCTTCAAGCACATCAATAATCTTCAATATAGTATTAAGTATAGAAGACCCAGCTAAAGAAATTTCTAAATCTTCTTGGTTTTCGACCTTCTCAGCAATCCTCATAAAAGCTTGAGATAAATGTTCAACAAGTTCTATAGCATATGGTATTATATCAGTCGAAAATTGGCTAACTATGTTTTCTAGAGCGTCAATTAGCTCTTCTGAGTCTATTTCGTTCATGATGTTTTTGTATATGTGGAGTAATGCATTGATTTCGCTGCTGATACTTTCTTTAGAAACGTCCCAAATTATGATAGATATATATGAATAATTGGTGGGTTTTGGATAAATGATAATGAATTATTTTTTTTATTTTAATAAAAAGTCAATTTTTTTAATGTTAAAATTAGGATTTTTTAGTATAAAATTTTGGGTAAAGCTGTTGCAGCTTCAATTTTGACGGGTAATTCTGGGTCTTGCATCAAAGAGCATATTTTTTGAAGCACAAATTTCTGATGGTCTTTATCAGTGAATGGGCATTTAGCTAGCTGCCCATACAGTCAGCAAGTTCTTGATCGCAAAAAACCGATCGGGCTGTCAAACTCTTGCACAATAAAGCTATGCAAAATATTCTGAATGCTACTAGCTAGTGCATCATTTGATTTTATTAGTTCATGTAAAGAGCCAACAGCAAGCATAATCGCTTCTTTTTTAATTAAATCTGGCCCTATTTGCAGCTCTCTAAGTGCATAGTCTAAAAATTGTATTAAATACCCTTTTTGTGCTAAATTCACTAGTAGCTCAATCGCTGAGCTTTTTGCAGAATAAAACGCTTTGCATAAATCATTTTCTTTTCTAATAAATTCAATAGGATTTTCAATCCACAGTTCTTCATCACTTTTAACTCTATATAGAGAAGGGACAATTATATCAGTTACTAATGCATGAATTACTAATTGATTGGAATTTGTATGCTTTATTGCAATATTTTTTTATAAAAAATTAGCATTCCCTAGACTTTATCCTATAAAAAAAAAAAAAATTATATAAATTATGCTGTTTGATTTATAGTAAAATTTATAAGTTTGGATTTAAGCAGTTCACAAGTAAGTGGAAATTTCACAGCCTGAGCAATATATTTAATATAATAATTCGCGACCAAGTTAGGCACAAAATTGGTAGCTCTTTTAAAAATCGCTGCTAAAATGATCTCAAAAAATGGCAAAGCCCATTTACTTTGGAAATTTTCTCCCATAAGTTTTGAGTTTCCATTTAGGTGGGCAAGGTTAAAATATCGATTAAAAGTCCTATGGACAATCTGTGCCGCCCATCTTTTAGAAATCCATGGAGATAAAGACTCGGTACTGTGAATTTGATGCTCATCTGATATAGGATTTTCTAATTCTCCTAGGTCGATTTCTAAAATTGCTTTAAATTTAGTCAGTCAGCTGTCTAGCGCAGCAGGGATATATTGATCATCAGAGAGTTCTATATAAAAACACTCTCAATAAACTTGCAAAATCAATATAACGCAGCTCCAGAAAAAGCTCTGGGAAGGATTTGATAAATTTTGCTCACAGAAGCTCAGAAGTTCTGGAGGCAAAACAGTATCATTTTTGGCGATTTTTTCAAAAATGATGGTGTTCAAGATTGCATCGAGTACTGGAAAATACCTTGACACTAAAGATTTTAAGTCTTTTCTTTTTTCGTTCATCACGAATTCAAAGACTCTAGAGATTTGATGAATCATATTAATTCCAGAAAAAATCCTGTTGTATTCATTAGATTGTAGCTCAGCGTCTATTTGAACTAATATTTCATCCCATGGAAATTCAGCCTTACATATGTTGAACGCGATTTCTTCAAATTGCGATCTAACTTTTTCGATAGAAAATTCTATTGTGAAAAATTTTATTTTTAAATATAATTTTTTTTAATAACGAAAAGTAAGTTTTTCTTTAGTCGAAAATCTTAGACAATAAATTATATTAGCTTTTAAGTAGTTTTTGTCCTCGACTGGCAATGGAAATTCCCTCTTTGAATCTTTCCAAACTTTTGTGAGGTTTTTAAGGTAAATGACTGCAAGCTGCCTGACCTCGATTAGCAAATCACTGAAAGAAATTTTTACCAGGATAGGGATTAATCCTGGAGAGGTTTTTAGTGAAGACAAATGCTCCTCAGCCTTCTTTCTAGCTTCATTATCAAATGATAAACTCACTGAAAGAGCCTGAATTACAGATTCCTCCATTCTTTTATATTACAAATTAATCATAGCTGTATTAAGTTTAATTATCCTTATCTGCAATATCATATTTATAGGTAAATTCTTCTTCAGACAGCTTTTCGAGTGGGACTCCTTGGCCATCATAAGCTTTTATTTGAGTCATTAAAGTTTTATAAGCTTGCTCCTGCTCATATTCACGCTCAGTCATTGACGAAGTTGTGTGTCTCTTGAAAGCAGACATTTGTGCTTCCATTTGGTAAAATACGAATATTAACTCTTTCTTTATAATTTTATGTAAAAAATTAATAATTTTAATTAAAAAAAACATTTTTTCAAAAATTTGTATAGAGGAATTGAGACTCCTAATAATGCCCAGTAATGAAAACTCGTACGAAGCGCTTTGACATCAAATGTGTTGTTGGCCCAATTTTTAATCTTCAAGGATAATTGCTTAAATTTTTGGTTCATATTTTGATAAAATATTTCAAGTACTCTTAATAAATGGACGAATTTTTAATTGAGAAAAATCAATTAGGATATTTAGATGTCAGATTCTTTGGTACTGTGTTTGGCATTGAAGCACTTATGCTTCCATATGCCATGAAGCTTTGTGGGCTTTCTAATGGGTTTATTTTGATATTAATTTCAGCGCTTGCAAATGTTGGGATTCAAATATTAAATTCCAAGACAAAACAAGAAAAAAATATAGAACTAGGGAAAATAATTACTCATATGGTAGGAAAACTCATAACAATGCAATATTTGATATATCAATTATGGTTTTATCAGATAAATTATTATTATGAATTTGACTTGAATTCATGGATAATCCCTTTTATATGATCATTAGTTTTTTCAGTAATCGTGCTTTATTTAACGGTCTTTCAGAAGGTAAAAGACTCAGTTATTCCTCATTTATTGACAATTCTTACAGCTGCAATTATAGTTATTTATTTAGTTCTTGACATGAATTCTTTATTGCCGAAAGTCCCATCGTTTAATGACTCATTTGTGTTTTCAACAGGAATTTCTGAAAAATCTGGGTATCCTTTTATGATTTGCATTATGATTTTTACATCACATTATAGATTTACAGATATAAAGCAGAGGATAAAAATAACTGATACAATCTGCTTATTAAGTGCATGATATTTTGTTATAGGATTATTTGGGTATTTGTCATTATTAGACTACACTCCAGAAATCATTCTATTTGGAGCGCATTTTGGGAATTATAAAATCTTGGCTTTTTTGTCGATGTCGCTATTATTTATTTGCCAATTTTGGAAGCTTCTTGTATATTTGAATTTTGTAAAAAAAAGATTGCCAAAAATTAAAAAAAGCCAAGAAATTCTAATTTCCTTGATTTTTATCATTACTCTAGTAATCTCCCAACTACTTTCTCTAAAATCTTTGGTTTATATTAGCTATTTTTGCTTTATTATATCAAACCTGGTGATTAATAGCATTACAACGAAGAGAAGATTCGGTTTTATTTTTATTTCAATATTGCTTATAGGAATAGCAACTAGTAGTTTAGAATAATTTAAAATAAAATTATTAAAAATGCAGAAAAAGAAAAAGTCAATTGAACTAAAGTTAGACTTAACAAGCACTTTAGACACTTCTTCGAGTAATAACCCTTATTCTCCTGTACGATTTTTTACCAAAAGAAATATAAAGACTGATCGATTCAAATCTGAATCACCAAATGAAAAAGTTTCAGTCACTGATAAAATTTTCAGTCAGGAATCAAGAGATTTTCTTAGAAAATTATTATTTATAGCTTTTTCCCTTATTTTTTCCATATTTGATAGCTAATTAATAGCATCGTTATAAGTAATTGATTGGTTGGTAGCTAATTAATCAAAATTCTCTACCCAAAGCTATATTGAATTATTATGATTTGCCATTCAGCAACCAAATTAAGCAAAAACACTATAAAAAGGCAAAGCCTAAATTAGTCGCAGAAAAACTGTCATTTTCTCCTTCGTCAACTTTTGGTAAAACCCAAATAAATTCCCCAGTAATGAAAACTATGACACCTACACAAAGAAGCAAAATTATCCAGATGGCCTGTGAGGATCCTGGCGTTCATTATAGTTTTATGAATAGAAAATTATTTATCAAAGATCTAGCTTCCACAAGTCCATTAATTGTTAAAAGGAATAAGATTGAAAATAACCAAAATAGCACAGAAAATTTATTTAATAGAACTCAGGAATTCGCATATGGAAGACCATCATGCGGATTTGAAAAAGAAAGGCTAATGAAAAGGCATAAAAATTTACTTGTGATACAAAGAAATTTAACTAAAAAAAGGCCTAAAAGAAAAGAAAAATGCGAAAAAATTGATTTAATTATAAAGTCTTGTGAGGATATAGCCAAAAGTGCAAGCACACTTGAAATAAATAATAAAATAGGAAAAGTAGGGCAAATAGCTAAAAATTACTCAGAGAAGATGAGTGGTATTTCAAATGCACTTGCCCTCTCTCCTTTAGCAAGCGAAACCATTGAAAAAGCCTACTTTTTGGAAAGTAAAACCTTTTATGAGCGAGTAAAAATTTTGATACATAAGTGTGCTGTAACAAGTGAGTCTCTTGATAGCTCTATTAAATTTTAAAAGTTGGAGATCTAAAGCATAAATTAATAAATAAGTGAAATTTTTTCTTTTGAACTTTTCAAATTGGGATGTTTTAAAATTCGTAAAAAAATTTAATTCCTCTAGCGGGCAAAAAATTTTCATCCTCACAGAGGGGAGCTAGAAAAGTTGACAGCTATGAAGGAAGTATCATGGAGAAGCTCTATGAGTACTATCAAGAAGGAGAGAAAAGTCTGAAAAGTGAAGAAAGTCTTGTATTTAAAGATATGCAAAACTCTTCATCAGATGCTAGGAGACAGAATATTATGATTCGTGGACTATTAAAGAGATATAAAAATAAAGTCTTATAATAATGTGAAACAATTAAATATAATTTAAACTATTACCTTAAGTTTTAAGATTGATATTTCAATTAAATTTTAATAGCATTTCTCATTAAATCATCTAAATCCCTCTTAATTTCTTTTTAAAATACCTATAATAAATTAACTTATAATACTTATTAATTTTAAAGTTTTAGCTTTGTTTAAATAATACAAGCCATGGGTAAAAAGTGATTTTGGCAATATTAAATTGCATACCAAATTTATTATAAAAATTATTAATTTAATTAAATCTTTCTCTAATTTAAAAAAAGGGAAGTAAATCTTTTTTTATATTTTTCTAAATCCCTATCTTATTTCACAAAAACTTATTTATTACAAAATCATCTACTACCTTTCTTTTCCTAAAATTTAATCAAAAATTCTATTTAGATTATAATGAAAAATCGAAATCGTCGCTTGCTTTTCCCTTCACCTAGCGTTTTGAACGGGGCTGAGCGAGAGCCTCAAGTGTCTGACTTCGAAACTCTCACAAAGAAAGCCATAGGAGAGGGTGCTTTTGGTGAAGTCTATAAGGTCCGTCACAAAGTTTCAAAAGAACTCTACGCAATAAAAGTAGTTGGCAAGCAAAAAGTAGTCGCTGCAAACTTATTACCGCAGCTAAGAAGAGAGATAAGGATCATGTATAGTTTGAATCATCCTCATATTATCAAGCTTTATAATCACTTTGAAGACGACAATAATTTTTACCTTGTTTTAGAGTTGGCTGAAGGAGGAACCTTATGGGGAAGACTTGCAAAATTCAAAAGCTTTGACGAAGCAACTGCAGCTCAGTATTTAAGGGAGCTGATTTTAGCTTTGGAATATTTGCATTCAAGAGATCCACCAATCATTCATAGAGACATTAAGCCTGAAAACTTGTTGCTAGACAAAGAAGGCAGGGATGGCAGAATTAAAGTCGCTGATTTCGGATGGTCAAATTTTTTCAATGCAGATAGGACAAGAATGACCTATTGTGGGACCTTGGATTATTTAGCTCCAGAAATGATTAATCAGCAAGGCCATACCACAAGTCTAGATCTGTGAAACTTAGGTGTGCTATTGTTTGAGCTTTTGACAGGAACTGCTCCTTTTCAAGCTCCGACACAAGCGGCGATGTTTGAAAAGATCTTAAAAGTAAGAATCACTTTCCCCAAAAATTTCCCACCTTTGGCGAAAGATCTTATTATGAGGCTTTTGCGTGTGAATCCTGCTGAAAGAATTGCCTTGCAAGATATATTAAATCACCCATGGATGCAAACTCATCAGCCTATCCGCCCTACAATAGTGCAAAATGTCCAAAAAGAAGCTTTACCTTGTCCTTTAGAAGTAAATGATGAAACGACTGCAGATATCCCTAGTGAAGATCCTATAAAACCTTTTGATGAATCTGAATTCAGGGTCTTAAGTAAGCCTAAAAAAGAAGAAGAAAAAAAAGAAGAAAATCCTCCACCAGCTCCTCAAGCTGCAGAAAATCCGACCCCAGCCCCAACACCTACAGCATACACTCAACAAGTGTCTACTTTAGAAACTGAATTAAAGCAGACCAGAGAAGAAAATAAAAGATATAGATCTCAGTTAGAAGATAAAGAAGCTGAGCTAGAAAGAGTTAAAAATCGAATTCAAGAGCTAGAAGGGGTTCTAGCAAAGCTAGATAATGATTGTGAAGAAAAAAGAAAAGCAGAAAAAAATTTAAAGGACCAGCTAGCTGAAAAAAGTAATAAAATCGCTGAATTAAAAGCCCTGCAAGAAGATGAAAATAAGTTATATCAAGAATACGAAGCTTTAAGAGGAAAATGCCTGGAAAAAGAGACAGAACTGTCTTTATTGAAAACTGAAATCGAAAACATGGAAAAGCTAGCAAAAGATAAAGCAGCCCAAGCAGAATCCCTTGAAAAAGAAATCGAAAGAGTAAAAGGCGAAATTGACCAAACCAAGCAAAAATATTCAAAATCCAAATCAGAAATGCATGACCAGTTCTTAAAGCTATCCACAGAAGTCGATGTATTACAAAAAGAGCTGCAAAGTAAAGAAAGAGACAGCTCAGTTGTATCTTTGGAAGCTTTATTAACATTCACCCAAGAAAATTTGGAAATTTTAAAAAAAAGAAGCAGGCTGGAAAATGAGTTGTTAAAACAATACCAAGATGCTAATGAAAGACTAATCCAATTAGACAATAAACATACTGAAATGAAGCTGCAGTATGAAAACGATCTAGCAGAACTAACTCCCCCCCCCCCCCTCCGTGAGTGAACAAAAAAAATTTTGTTCACTCACGGAGGGGGGTTATTTTTTTTTTTTTAAAACAATTTATATATAAATTTTATAAAAAATATTTTTTTTCGAAATTTAAAAAAATCCTAATTCGCAAAAATTGGAAGTAAATATTAATTTAATTTATAAAATTTATGTTTTAAAAAGCAATTTGTTTAAAATTAAATAGAATTAGCTCTAGATTTCATTATACTAATTATCATTTATATATCAAAATTTTTTTCCATAAGAAATGTTTTCTATTAAAAAAATTTTTGTCATTCACGGAGGGTGGGTTTTTGGTCAAAAAATAGCGATTTTTCTAATGGTTTTGTTCACTCACGGAGGGGGGGGGGAGTAAGAAGAAAAGCTGAAAGCGAAATCCGGGAGCTGGAGTCTTCCATTGTAAAACCTGTTGAGCCTAACTCTGATGCTGATTTAGAAGTCTTGAAACAAAGACTTAAGGATAGCTTGGAGAACCAAAAAAGAAATAAAGCTATGTATGATGAACTGCAGCATTTACAAGCTATGATACAACATTATGAAAAATCATTAGCTTTTGCACAGAGACAGCTGCAAGATTTGGAATTTTTGAGAGAAAATGCCTTAGATTAATTAATCATAATTATACTGATCGAAAAGTCTACTGCAGTTCCTGAAGGGCAGCCTCCAATGGTAATGTTTCCCCGATGAGAGCCTGCGCTCGCTATCCGGTAGTAAGATGAAATTGTGTCACTATGTCCCGCGCCAACAAAGTTGCCTACAATGAAAATTCAAATGGTTGAATAACTCGGTCAACTCTCTGCCAAAATAGAAATCCAAAGCCTATGGTGTAACTCCTTGCTTTGCACTAGAAATAGTCCCGATTACCCAAGAATCTCACTTCTGGAACTACTGGAGATCCCTTTTCAACTCTCAGCTCAATTCCTCTGACTCCCCCCCCTTTAAATTGGAACTAAAAATTTTGTTCCAATTTAAAGGGGGGTTAATTTTTTTTTTAAAAAAAAATATCAATATACAATTTTTTATAAAAAATATAAAAAATTTAAAAAAAAAAAATTCAAAAATTTATCGAATTAGATCAATAAATTTGTTTAATAAAATGCTATTTACTCTTTATCCTTTAAAACAAAGCAAGATATAACTAAATTTTTATTATTAATTAAAACGCCACTATTAATTGGTATCAAAATTATATTTACACAAAAATTATTATTTTTATTGATAAAAAAAATTAAAAAACAAAAATTTTGGAAAATTTATCGATCAAAGTGCTAATTTTGTTTAAATAAGATGTTATTTATACTCTATTCTTTAAAATAAAGCAAGAAATAAGTAAATTTTGAAATTTTATAAAGAATTCCTATTGAATTTATATCAAAACTATCCAAATAAAAAATATCATTTTTATCAACAAAAAAAAAATTTTTTTGGAAAATTTTAAAAAAAAAAATTAAATTTTTTTTAAAATTTACCAATTAAGGATAATAAATTTATTTAAATAAGATGCTCTTTATGCTTTTTTCTTTAAAAAAGAGCAAGATATAAATAAATTTTTAATTTTAGCTAAGAAGAAATATTTTAACTTATATCAAAACTTTTTAGGTAAAAATTATATATAATTTTTTATTATAAAATTAAAATTTTGTTCCAATTTAAAGGGGGTTAATTTACCAAAAAAGTGGAAATTTTACCGATATTTTGTTCCAATTTAAACGGGGGGGAGTGAGACAAAAACCCTGAATTTAAGTAAGTATTCGATCGACTACCCTGATATTGCGCTTCCCCAAAACAGATAAAACTGACTGAGTCCCCATTCCCGAACGGCATCCTTCCTTCAAGTCTCTAAACCTCTAGATATGGGACCACTATAGGAGTTAAGAGAGTAGGCTAATTCGCCACACCATTTCAACATATACAAGAGAAAACGACCAAAAACAAATAATCCAGCAAGATACCCTACTTCAGAACTATAATCAAGAAATTCAAGAATATCGGAAAAAGCTTCAAGAAGCAAGATTAGTTTAATTTCATTAATAAATTGATTTAAACTATTGCGATTAATTATTTTGAACTATTTTAATTATAGCCTATTTATATAAAATGGGAGACCCTAGGTTGAAGATTTTAATTAAAGGATTTTTAGACTTGCTATATTTTGCACTCGTTTTTGTGGTGTATTTAACAAGCATATTTAGCTATATGAAAGATTATTATGTAGGGACAACAGAAATCACATATAAGTACGTTGACCCTACTTTGGATTTGGATGCAAAAGTCATAGCAACTTATAATCAATTTGATGATAATTTCTGCGATTTGAAAACAACAGTATTAAAAGAAGTTTGTGACCACCGAGAAGACTGGGAAACTGCTGGAATTGTATTTATCGTATTTTCATCAGTAGCACATGCAGTAATGGCATATGGAATGCTTAATTTAATGGGAATGCTATGTGGCTGCACATTATGGGGTTTTGCCAAATATGAGATTGAGCATTATATATATCCGTGGATATACGCGACAGCAATTTTATTGTGGATTGTCATTTCAAAAGTCTTTGACACAAGCCCACCAAGCGGCTTTGGAGATAGCTATGATGTTAGCGTCCAAGTTGGGCTTGTTTTTATGTTTTCTGCATTTTTAGTATCCGTGGTAGGTTCTGTCTACTTTTTTTGGAACAGAAAAGACATGAGAGCGATTTTATTGGTGACTCAGCAAGGCTTCACACCAGCCCCACCTGATAAATAGCTAAAATTAATTAAGATATCTTTGTTTAAACTAACTCATCCATTAAATTGGAACAACATATCGGTAAAATTTGCATTTTTGGGTAATTTTACCCTTTTTAAAATTATTTTTTAATAGGAAAATTTTAACAAATGAAAATTCTAATTTTATAAAATTAGTTTTAATAGATAAAACGAGAGTAGAATGCTATTTATAAAGTTTTCACGCTTAATCGATTAATTCTTTTATTTAATATTTCATAAAAATTAATTAAAATACAAATATTGTGCTAAAATTTATATTTTAAAAAAAAAATTCATCAAAGAAAAAATTAAAATACTAATTTTTATAAATAATTTATCTAATTTAACGTAAAAAGTGCAATTAAAACACTATTTAACACTGAATCGATTAATTTTTTAATTTATTCTTCATAAAAATAAGCTAAAATCAAAGTATTGTCCTCAATTTCTATTTTTTTTAATTTTATAATTTTTTATAGAGAAAAATTTAAAGTATAATATATTTTTTTAAAAATTTAAACCCCTTTAAATTGCAGAAGGATTTTTATTCCAATTTAAAAAAGGAGTAAGAAATTAATCTCCCATTTTGTTTAATTTAAAGCCTAGTCACAAGCATTGGCCTAATCGATCGATTCGGGTTTGAAGGTAAAAGAAGTTTTTGAGCAACAAATCCAGTGAGCTTATCATAGTCAGTTTCGTCCAGGATATCAGTTTTCAGTATATTTTCTATTAAATCTTCCATTGTGATAATCCCTTCACATATATCGTCTTCTTTCACTATCGCCATATGCATTTTTGAATTTTTAAAATGTCCTAATAAGTCAAGCATTGTTGTGGTTAACCTCATAAAAAAGGGTTTCCTTAAATTCAAATTTAGTTCTTTTAAGGTTTTTCCTCTTTCAAGACCCAGCATTTCTTTTACCATTAGGATCCCTATTATATTATTTCTGTGTTCTCCGTTATAAACTGGAATTCTACTATACCCTTCTTTGATAATTTCTTTAATTTTTGCTTTGTCAATTATTGTGTCATTACTTAAACAGTAAACTCTGTCGAATTTTGTCATATGATCTTTTACAATTTCTGATTTTAAGTCAATTGCTCCATGAATTATTTTAATTTGTCCCTGCAGAAGCCCTGATTGTCTTTTCGCATTGTCTTCGGAAAGTGATCGATGAAGTCCTATAAAAGTTTTTAGTTCTTCTGATGCCATTTTTTTGGATACAGACTCGTGACCGAAAATTTTGTCAAGTAGTTTTGCTATAGGATAGCTAACTGGGAAAAACATTATTGTAATTACCTGGACTAATGGGCATAATTTGTAAGCAATTTTCAATTGATTTGGCCCTGTGCAAACAGCTTGAGGAATAATTTCGCCAACAATCATTACAAAAGTGACGCTGATCATTATAGACAAGGCTTTGGCAAACAATGTGTCAAGAATGATAGGTAAAGCTTCCATAGCAGAGGCATTAGCTACTAGTAAAGTGACCAGTACCAGATGATGCCGATTTATGACATGGAGAACCTTTCTCGCTTGCTGTTTTTCAGTTGGAGTGCCAGATGCTAGTTTTAATTCCAGATCTAATTCGTCAATTGACATTAATCCAACGGTGAGACCTGACATCAGTCCTCCAAAGCAAACTAGTCCAAGTGCGATAAATGAATATGTGACCCATATTCCTGCAGGCTCGTCCTCTATTAGAGTCTCGGCACTGACCCCGACTACAAGAAATCAGAGAAAAATCATGAATTTTTATTTTTCAACATTTTTGGAGTATCAAATTAAAAGCAAGTACTTTCGGTTGAAATATTTATCAAATAATATTAAATCCTAACTTCCCCCCCTTTAAATTGGAACAAAATATCGGTAAAATTTCCACTTTTTTGGTAAATTAACCTCCCTTTAAATTGGAACAAAATTTAATTTTATAATAAAACATTATATATATAATTTTTATCTAAAAGGTTTTGATATAAGCTAAATATTTCTTCTTAACTAAAATTAAAAATTTAGTTATATCTTGCTCTTTTTGAAAGAAAAAAGTATAAAGAGCATCTTATTAAAATAAATTTATTATCCTTAATTGGTAAATTTTAAAAAAAAATTAATTTTTTTTGTTGATAAAAATGATATTTTTTATTTGGATAGTTTTGATATAAATTCAATAGGAATTCTTTATAAAATTTCAAAAATTTACTTATTTCTTGCTTTATTTTAAAGAATAGAGTATAAATAGCATCTTATTTAAACAAAATTAGCACTTTGATCGATAAATTTTCTAAAAATTTTGTTTTTTTTAATTTTTTTTATCAATAAAAATAATAATTTTTGTGTAAATAATTTTGATACCAATTAATAGTGGCGTATTAACTAATAATAAAAATTTAGTTATATCTTGCTTTGTTTTAAAGGATAAAGAGTAAATAGCACTTCATTAAACAAATTTATTGATCTAATTCGATAAGTTTTTTGAAATTTTTTTTTAAATTTTTATATTGATATTTTTTTTTAAAAAAAAAAAATTAACCCCCCCTTTAAATTGGAACAAAATTTTTTAGTTCCAATTTAAAAGGGGGGGAGTAAGAGATATTAAGTTATATGATCTTATTTACATAATTATATGAAAATCAATTTCCTTAATAATTATAACTATCCTTGAAACCTTCTCATAACTCCAGCTTGCTCCGCTTCTCCTTTTTTAGCAAAATCATTAAATATCTGCTCCAGCGAGCTTTGAGCTAGCGCATACTCTGTGATTCTTAGTCTTTCTTTATTTGTCTCTACAATAGAAAAAAAATACCCAATTGATTTTTGGGCTTCTTTTGCAACCTTAAACTTATACAATGACGAAAAATGTTCCATTATTTCGACCTTTTTGAATTCGCTTTTCAGCCAATAATAAATTTTATCACCCATCTCTTCAATGATAGCCCAGGATACTAAAACATCTCTATGTACAGCTTCATCATTTTTTAGCTGCTGATATAAAGAAGACCCTGCCCCTTTTTCTTGGATTTCTGCATATAGCGACCTTAGTCCTAACAAGCTTAAACACTCTTCCACTTGGTCTTTCTTTACCAAAGGAGCACCTTTTAGTACTCTATCTAAAATTTTCCCTTTGTCAGCCATTTCAAAAGTACTTGGCACATGGACTTTTGCTTCAAATTCATAGCGATCCCCATACTTGCTTTTAATCCAAGTAGCTGTTCCTAGACATCTAAGCCTCCCAGCGACCATAATTGCCATACGATCACTTAAAGCTTCGGCTTCTTCCATACTATGAGTCGTCAAAATGACAGATGAATTTTTACTTTTTATGTTCCCAATCACCTTCCACATTTTTTTTCTGGTTTCTGGGTCCATCCCTGCAGAAGGCTCATCTAAAAACACAACTGCAGGGTTTCCAATCAGGGCCATAGCGACTGATAATTTTCTTTTATTTCCTCCTGAATAGGTCCCAGACCGCTGGTCTGCATATTGTCTTAGATCCATTTGGTCTACCATTTCTTCTACTAGTGCTTCTCTTCTATCCCTGGGGATCCCTTTTATATCACAATACAGCCTTAAATGCTCTTTAGAGGTCAATAAGTCTGATATAGCGTCAAACTGAGGACAATACCCTATTAGCTCTCTAGCACGGTCTAGATCTTTCGTTACACTGTTCCCACATATAAAAGCCTCCCCTTGGGTAGGTGCAATTTCTCCAGTCAGCATTTTAAAAGTCGTGGTTTTTCCAGCACCATTTACCCCTAAAAATGCAAAACATTCTTGGTGGTTTACGTTAAAACTGACGTCTTCTACAGCTGCAAAGGCTTCTTTTAGACCAATTCTGAAAATTTTTCGGATCCCTTTGACGTTAACTGGGATATCTTTTGGATTAGCACTTATGGCGATTCTGGCTTCTTTTTCGACATCAGCGTCAATTTCAAAGGCACTTGGCTCAACTTCTGGGGATTTCCAGAATCTTTGGAGAATTTTGGGGTGGGTTTCGAGGTATTCTTGGAGATAGACGAGGAGCATGTAGATTGGGATCATTAAAAAGTACATTAAAATGTCTCCTCCAGCGGAGTTTATGTCAAAAGCGTCATATTTTGAGGATTTACCGTCTAAGCTTGCATATAAGCTGGAGCTGCCTATGTCCATTAAACCATTCCCAAAACAAAAACTTGGGATAAACCTAAAAAGCCACCTGAGAAAGTTGCCAAGGCCTCTTGTGGAGTCAAAAATATACAAAACCATCACTACAGCTGGAAAAATCCCTCCAGCCACCACATTGAATAAAATAGTCATAATCTGTGCAGTCGGGTAACTTTTAAAGAAAAAACTGGTAAAATAAGTAAATGGCGCTATAGCTATTCCATAAAAAATCATTAAAATTCAAATAGCTCCATAATTATTTGAAGGCGACGTATATATTTTTACCTGAAAAAGCTGTACTAATAATGAACAAATAATGGCTGGTATAAAATGTTTTAAAGAGTCTCAGGTAAAATTGGCACACCAATAAGAAAATCTTGATACCCCACTGATCATATGTTGGTGCTTTACATTAGTTTCTCTTTCCCTTACAATTAATGCTACAATTCCTGTAGGAATAAAGCTAAATCCCAGTGAAAAGACTATAGAAGCAATAAACCCGTCCCCAGTATTAGCAAGGTCTTTTACCTTTTTTGTGTATGGTAGTGGATAATTATAAACAGTCACAGTTACCGAGGTCCCTAAATTTGCAAAGATTTGGTTTGCTATATTGTTATAGTAAACCCCAGTAGCTTGTGGTGCTGACTGGTTATGGAAAATTATGGCTTCATATTGGTCGTTAGTTGTGTCCATTTTATTAAAATAAAATGATCCTTTTTATAAAAAAATACCAAAGTTTGACATTAAAAATAAGAAAAAATTAATAAGTAAATAAATGATCCCATTCTATAATTTTCTGGCTCAGCTCTGTGGTCAAATAGATATTTGTCAAACCATTGAAGGCTGTTTGCTGTATTTTTAAAATCTGAGTCTATAAGACTAGCGAAATTGCCATTAACTGTAGCATTTTCTTGAAAATAGTATAAAGGGGATTGAGGTTGGTCATAAAGAGAGGTTGATAATAAATGCTTTTCAGGAGTTTTAAAACCACTACTAATCATCATTAAAGCTAGTCCTACAAAAACCAACACAATGGGAATAAAAATTTCATAGATCAAGCTTTTTTTGTCCCTTTTTGATAGCAAAATTCTCTTCCGCAGCAGTGCTTTTAAATGCATCATAAATAGTGATCCTTGTAGCCTATCGCGGGACAGCACAAAATCAATGTCAAGTGAAACCCCTTCATCGATTTGTTTTCTTTACTCTCCCCCCTCTATAAGCTAACAAAACAAATTATATATAATATTTTTTCAAAATTTTAAAAAATCCAATTCATAAAGGTAAGGTCAAACAGTAAGTCTTATGGCCATAATCTAATTAAAATTAAATTAATCTATAAAATTGGAGATTTAATTTGTTAAATTTATATTTTAAATTCAAACTGTTAAAAATTAAACAGAATTAGCTAGATTTTTTTTTTAATTCTTGATCATCACCTCTGGCGACTCTTAAAAAGACTTCTTCAAGGGTTGTAACAGAGACTCCATATGAACGTAATTTAAGCCTACGGAGGCTAGAATCTAATCGTGAAAAAAATGTGGTGAACTTAGAAGAGCTTGACGTAGGAATTTGAAACGTAATTTCAGCATGGACATTGCTCATTAATACTGCATTTGGGATGCAAGAATTGATGAATTCTGTGACTTTTCTTGTATGAGATTTACTAGAGACTCCTACCTCTTTGACAATAGTTAAATAGTAGCCGACGCCATATCTTTTTTTTAAAAAAAGAGAACTGCCTAGGCATCTGAGCTTTCCTTGCGACATAATTGCGATTCTGTCAGCTAAAACGTCAGCTTCTTCCATATAGTGAGTTGTGAGAATAATAATTCTGCTACTTTTGTTGTTTTTAAGCATATCCCACATCTGCCTTCTTGCGGTTAAGTCCATACCTGATGTAGGCTCATCTAGTAATACAATCGGAGAATCAGCGATTAAAGCAATAGCTAATGAAAGTCGTCTTTTCATTCCTCCAGACAAAAACTTAGATTTTCTGTCTTTTTTACCTATTAAATCGACTTCAGACAATTTTTCTTTTATTTGATCACTTATTGCATTTTTATCTTTCATTCCTTTAAATACAGCAAATAAATATAAATGCTCCTCAGGTGTTAAGTCGTTAAACAATACATTATGCTGAGGGCAAACTCCAAGATACCTTCTTATTTGGCTCAAATCTTTTGATAGAAACAGATTATTGATTCTCATGTCTCCATAAGTAGTTGGTATAAGCCCACACATCATAGAAATCGTAGTAGTTTTTCCTGCACCATTATGCCCTAATAAAGCAAAAATTTGTCCTTTATAAATATCAAGGCTAAGATCATCAACGACGGTTTTATTTCCAAAAACTTTTTTATTCCCTTTTGCATTAATTATCTAAATTTAAATAAAAAATTAATGAAGCTCCTATATTCACTTTAATAAAATATAAAATTCCTAATAATCAAAGCCTGGCCATTCTCTTTCTGTTTTTGCATTAAATCAGTTTCTGGCTCTACATTATCAGGCCACTTAATGTCTTCATTAAAATCTTCTTCATATTTATTATATCGGTTTCTACACCAAAAGGATTTTGTGCATAAAAAATATCAAGGCTTTTTTACACCCCACTCAGTAGGTCACACAATGTCAAGATAAATTGCCAAAAGAATAAAAAGAATTGAATCCACTACTAGAAAAGCTAGACAAGTCCCAAATGAATAATGCTCTACAATAGTTGAGGTATTTGATGACTGGACACCTTCTTGCCCATCTTCTAGCTTACTCTAACACTTTAAATGGAATAAAAAATATATTGAAATTTAAAAGACTATATTTTTTATGAAATATATAATATTTTTCATTAATAATAATTAATTTATAAAATTTATTAATTAAAGAGCAAATACTATTTTCTTTCTTTTAAAATGACCAAATTTCAATTTATAAAAATTAAGCCATATTAATTGAACATCAAAGCTATTGCATAAACATTATTTTTACTTTATAAATAAATTTAAAGATGGGAACTAGCTAAAACATTGCAGCCTAGTGTGAGTGCAACATTTGGGAAAATGGACGCTACGGTTTTTGAGCCTTGATCTCTAGAAGACCCAGTTACTGCGAAACTTATGAAATAGCTTACAAGAAAAGCCATGAGACCAAGCATAACAGCACTACGGGATTTTGAGAAAAAAGTGCTTATAAAGATGCTAAAAGTTAGACAGCTGATACCATAGAGCCAAAATAGTAAAAGTAGCATTCCAGCATTACTGTACTTGAAGAGGCTTATTGAAATGAGGCCACCGATTATAGCGATTAAGGTGTAGACTGTGAAATAATAGGTAACTCATGATAGATAAGTTAATTATTATAAAAAATTGCATGACTATAAGCCTAAAGACCTTTGGCCTTAGCTTGATAAGCTTTTTAATCTTATTTTTGGAATCAATATCATGATAGCCAATATGCCTTATTTGAAAGTCCCATAATCATCATCATCTCTTTGATTTTATATTCTTTTTCTTGTACAATTAGTGACACCATTCTGCATATAGTATATCCACCTTAATGGATCGCCATATGCCCAACATCTCTCAAGATGATCAGGGGTTGAAAGAAAGAAATTTTTTCTTTACCCTACCATAATCAATTGTTGATTTCCTACCCATTTCAAATTTCTAGTAGCTTTCAACTTCTCTTTCATAGATTGATCCATTTTTGCATTTAATCAAATATAGTCTCTCTTAGGAGTTGACGTTTCACCAACAAATGTCATTGAAACCACCTTTGAAATAGCAAATCTAAATTATCTGATGGATTTCCCATATCAAGGGTTGATTTTACCAGCCCTTTATCATCTCGGAGGCATCGGGCACATGGCTATCCACTTAGGTGAATACGCTATACTGGAACCAAATAAGAAATAACCACAAAAAATGGCAACATGGTAGAAATCAGAGAAATGAAATCATCAGATACATAGTCGTCATAATACATAGGAACAAAACCAGCTGCTATATATGGGTTTGTATTATTTGAATACGTTTTTATACAAACTTACAATAAATATGTACGTTAATTTTGACATTTCATTATAATAAGTTTTTTAAATATATTCAATTTAAACAGAATAGTATATAATTGTCAATATAATTCATTATATGTATGAAGTTTGACCCAAAATAATTATACTGGAATGAAGGCATTGGCTTCCTCAAATACTTATCAGTAGCTTTTGAGTAGGAGTCAAAATCAAAAATATTTATGTAGTCCCCTAGTCTTTGACTTCCACTCTGGTAAGACTCTGTTACGTTAAACCTAAAGCTGTACTCTATCTTGTAAGGACTAGAACTATAGAATACTATAGCAAAACATATTTTCGGAGTTCCATTTTCTCCATAGTCACTGCTTTCTATGTAATCTTCTAAGTCTTGCTCTGATGAATAACTAGTAAATTTATAAGGATTTTCCAAATTCCCAATTTTTTCTTTAAGTGCTCTGATTATCTCATTTGCAAATGATCCTCGACCTTCATTTACAAATGCAATATTTCAGACGTTTTCTTTAGAGTAGTAATTTCTGTAATAGTTTTCTGAGAGATCTTTAGGGTTATCTGTGAATTTTACAGGTGGATCGAAAGATGAGCTGAAATAATTTTTATCATCATCGGATACTGTCATAGCTGATGGAGAAATATAAGATTTAGCAGAATGCTTACTAAACCCAACTCCATCTCTTATAATTGCTAAAATAATTAAGAGAAACACGGGAAATAAAAACTCACACAGAGATCCACAAAGCCTTCTCTTCCAAAGTATTCAATTTTTGTACAACAAGGCTCTATAGTGCTGTCATATGGACATATTTTATATAAGCAAGATGGAAAATTGAAATGCTTAAGCCGAACGTTATAAATTATAAATATATGAGATGGGTGACGCTCAGATGGCTACAGAGTTATTTTTAATTAAGATGATGATAGTGCCAATATGGATTTTTACATTGGTGGAAAGTTGTCTGGGCATCAGATTTTAAAAAAACCCTTAAGTTGTTAAGGAAATCCAAAGAATTATTTAGATAAATATTAGAACTTTATATGGGTTGGAGAATTTAAGTAAATGGAGGATGATTTTTATTAAAACCTTTAACAGCTTCTTTTTAAAATAGAGATATAATCTTCCTGGCTTTTCTTAAAAAAGCTATTTAACTATATCGTTATTTGCTTAAATTGGAACTTTACCACCTGATTCCACATGTGAAATCAAAAGGGCTTCACATGTGGAATCATCTTTTCACACGCGGAAAATATTCCACATATAGGGTGGTAAAGTTCCAATTTAAGCAACTAACGATAGGAAAATATATAATTAATTCATTAGCATGAATGGAAGGTTCTTTTGATGAATTAAAGGTTAATTTATAAGATTAACCAGCTTTTATAATTGACCCTAAATGAAAGTATTAACATTATTCATGCCCTTTAGAAAAAAATTAATTTTGATGAGAAGACAAATTGCTGCAAAGAAATAATGGTATTTTTATATACTTATTATTATGAATAGCTAGATTTTTAAAAGATTTTGGCTAGCTACAGCTGCCATTATCTTTCATTGGTGCTCATTTCTGAACCAGAAAATTAGGCTATTAAAGGTAAATTTTAATAGGTTTTTAGGCTAAATAATTATTCCTGAGATTTATACAAATATAGGCTATTTATTTTGAGAAGTTAACTTTTATTTTAATTTAAATTTTTATATTTGAAAGTCATGGGCTTATCTTTTCGCTGAAAATGCTTAATTAAAACTCTTACTCTCTTCCTCATCTTTTATCCACTTTTCCCTCGCCTCAAATATTTTTCTTGCCCCTTCCCTAAAGCATTCAATATTATAGTCGATTAAATGCTGCCTATCGAAATTATCAGCTTTTACTAAACACACAAGTGCCAGCATATGTTCAATTTCTCTCAAATACAGCGTAAGTCCACTATCTAATTTAATAATCGCAGTTGATTTTTTGTCAAAAACGCTGTTAATGTTTTCTGATTCTACTAGCCTATATAAAAATTACCCATAAATACAGGAAACATCAATAACGACGTCAATCATATCGGAACAAAGCTCATAAGAAATTAAATCTACTGGTGTTGAGTCAGTCGCAATATAAAGCTTGGTGATTACATCAAAGACATAAACTTTGTCAATTCTGCAGTGGTTCATTAGGACATCAAGCATATTTTGCAAGTAGCCTACCTGTGGGGTAATTTTCTGAACAACTTTACTTAAAGCTTCATAAATACTGACTTCCCCCCCTTTAAATTGGAACAAAATATAGGTAAAATTTCCACTTTTTTGGTAAATTAACCCCCCTTTAAATTGGAACAAAATTTAATTTTATAATAAAAAATGTTATATATATAAATCATAATTTTTATGTAAAAAGTTTTGATATAAATTTAAATGTTTATTCTTAACTAAAATTAAAAATTTAGTTTTATCCTGCTCTTGTTTATAGAATAGAGTATAAAGAGCATTTTATTTAAATAAATTTATTATCCTTAATTGTAAATTTTTTAAAAAAATTTAATTTTTTTTTTTAAAATATTTTCGAAAAAAAATTTTATTTTTTTTGATAAAAATGATATTTTTTATTTAAATAGCTTTGATATAAGTTCAATACGAATTCTTTACAAAAATTCAAATTTACTTATCTCTTGCTTTATTTTAAAGAATAGAGTATAAATAACATCTTATTTAAACAAAATTTTAAACAAAATTAGCACTTTGATTAATAAATTTTCTAAATTTTTTTTTTTTTAATTTTTTTTATCAATAAAAATAATAATTTTTGTGTAAATAGTTTTGATGCCAATTAATAGTGGCGTATTAATTAATAATAAATTTTAGTTATATCTTGCTTTGTTTTTAAGGATAAAGAGTAAATAGCATTTTATTAAACAAATTTATTAATCTAATTCGATAAATTTTTGAAATTTTTTTTTTTTTAAATTTTATATAAATTTTTTTTTTATAAAAAATTTTTTTATAATGATTTTTTTTTAAAAAAATTTTCTTAACCCCCCCTTTAAATTGGAACAAAATTTTTAGTTCCAATTTAAAGGGGGGGAGTGAGATCATAAATACTAGTTAAACTATAGCTTGGCTCAGGGATTTCTCTATCACTAATTTTAAGTCTAACCGAATCAGAAACCTCATTCAGAACTTCTAGCTTTACATCATCATTCATAAACATATCCCCATCAATTTTATGAATAAACATTTCAAAAAAACATTGAGAATTCATCCCATGGACTTCTCTCAGAATTGAAACAAACGCATCTAAAGAGCGCTCATATGGCTTATCCTGGGCATCTAGGACATATATAACTAGTGAACAGTTTTGAAGGTATTTTCGCTCATTTGCGTTCATTTGAGAAATCTGAAAAGTCCCTGGAAAATCAATTATCGTGAACTTTGTGTAAGGATTGTTGTAAACGTTGATTTCTTCTATCCTAGAAGTACTTTCTGTGAATAAGGTTTCGTTAGGAGAAATCTTTTGGAAAACTACTTTAAGGATAGAGGTCTTTCCAGCTCTTTTATTGCCGAGCAGAGCTATGTTCATAATTTATAATAAAATCGCCATATGGATTCTAATTTCAAGTAAGTTGGTTTTTTTTAAGTTTATTATTTAAAAAAATATAGCCAAAGAATATTAAGATTAGTAGTTATATTCTTTAGATACCATGCGCGTATCTTCTTATAATTCCTGCTTGAAATTCTTCTCCTTTTCTTGCGAAATCATTGAAGATTTGCTCCAAGGAACTCTGAGACAGCGCATATTCAGAAATTTTTAGGGCTTCTTTATTCATTTCAACTGTAGAGAAAAAGTATCCTATTGATTTTTCCTCTTCTTTAGCGATTTTGAATTTATAAAGTGAAGAGAAGTGTTCAATTATTTCGACATTTGGTCAAGCACAGGTAGCAACCCTACACCCCCACCCCCCCTAAAAGTGGTACCTCCAACCCCCCTTTTTTAATGGTACCCCCACCCCCCTAAAAAAATGGCACCCCCCACCCCCCCTTTCACAGATAGCACCCCCACCCCCCCTTAATATAGCATAAAATATATGAAAAATGCCAATTTAGAGCATACGTAATAAATAAATTATTATTTTAAATATTCAAAATTACTGATTTATACAATATCCACATAGCGTAGCACAATCGATTAAGGAGTAGATGAAATGGTGAGAATTTCCTATAACTAGTAAGCTCACCAAATCTGAAAAAATTTGTTAGCAAGTTAATAATGATCTTTGGTATTAATTAGCAATATATCCTGCATATATTTATGAACTTTGTGGAACAATGGCTAAAAGTCGAATTAGAGATCCAAAAGTAAAACTGACAATAGCAAATACTATTTTTATTACCACTATTGAATCCTGTTATCAATTCAGTCCTGCAATCCTTGCACAATGGACATTAGATTAGCTTTAATGTATGAATCAATAAATTTAATGCAAGTTATTGTGTTGTGCTTGGTTCATTTAATAATTAATGCCATTATCTATATCTTTGGCATTATATTTATAAATATAAAAAACAAATTAATATATTTTCTAATTAATTGCTAATTAATTTAAATTTATTAATTAATCATAAATATAAAGTAATTTGTGGACTTAATTTAAAAATATATTGTTTTAATTGGGTTATGTTTAATTTATTCTGCTTATTTCTTATCAAATACTTCTATAGGATAAACCCGAGAGGAGGGGGTGGGGGTGCGATCTGCGAAAGGGGGTGGGGGTGGGGGTGGGGGTGGGGGTGGGGGTGGGGGTGGGGGTGGGGTGTGGGGGGGGGGTGGGGGTGGGGGGGTGGGGGTTCCCTTTATTGGAGGGGGGGTGGGGTGTAGGGTTGCGACCTATGCTTGACCAGACATTCTTAAACTCTCTTTTAAGCCATTCGTAAATTGTATCACCCAGCTCTTCAACAATAACCCAGGACACTAAAGAATCTCTTGATATGCATCCATCTACTTTTAATTGTTGATGCAAAGCAGAGCCTGCACCTCTTTCATGAATTTCCTCATAGAAATTCTTTGCGTCGAGAATTTCTAAACATGGCAAAATTCGATTTTCTGTGATTACTGTTTCTCCCATAAGGATACGATCTAAAACCATTCCTCTATCATTTACTTCAAAATGGCTAGGAATTTCAACTTTTGCTTCGAACTCATATCGATCGCCATATTTGCTTTTAATCCAGGTAGCAGTTCCAAGACATCTAAGCCTTCCAGCAACCATAATAGCCATACGATCGCTTAAAGCTTCAGCTTCTTCCATTGAATGAGTTGTCAAAATGACTGACTCCCCCCCTCCGTGAATGAAACAAAAACCATTGGAAAATCGCTATTTTTTGCCCAAAACCCACCGAGTGAACAAAAATTTTTTTAATAGAAAAAATTTTTTGTGAAAAAAATATGATACATAAGTGATGATTATTATAATGAAATCTCGAGCTAATTCTGTTTAATTTTAAACAAATTGCGTTTTAACATAAATTTTGAAAATTAAATTAATATTTGCTTCCCAATTTTTGCAAATTAGGATTTTTTTAAAATTTCGAAAACAAAAGTTTTTCTATAAAATTTATATATATAAATTTTTTAAAAAAAAAATTTAACCCCTCTCCGTGAGTGAACAAAATTTTTTTGTTCACTCACGGAGGGGGAGTGAGGAGTTCTTTTGTTTAAGATTCCCAATGACTTTCCACATTTTTTTTCTAGTTTCTGGGTCCATTCCTGCAGAAGGCTCATCTAAGAAAACTACTGTTGGATTTCCAATAAGTGCTATAGCTACTGACAATTTTCTTTTATTTCCTCCTGAATAAGTTCCTGCCAATATATCAGCATATTGCCTTAAATCCATTTGATCTATCATTTCTTCGACAAGTGCTTCTTTTCTATCTTTAGGAATTCCTTTGATATCTGAATATAGTCTTAAATGCTCTCTTGCTGTAAGCAGCTCAGATATAGCATCAAATTGAGGACAGTAGCCAATTAGCTCTCTTGCTCTATCAAGATCATTAATGACATTATGTCCACAAATATAGGCTTCTCCAGTTGTAGGAGCTGTTTCTCCAGTCAGCATTTTGAAAGTAGTTGTTTTTCCAGCCCCGTTTACTCCTAAGAACGCAAAGCATTCTTGTTGGTTTACATTAAAACTCACATCTTCGACTGCTGCAAAAGCTTTATTCATTCCTTGTCTGTAGATTTTTCTAATTCCTCTAACATTGACTTGAACTTCTTGAGGATTAACATTTAATGCATTTTCTGCTTCTCTTTCTACATCATCATCAGCTTCATATTCTGATGGAGCTACATGGGGTACTCTACAACAACATTGCAGCAGTGTTTTATATGTTTCTAAGTATTCTAGGACATAAATAAGGATTAAATAAAACGGAATTGTGATTCCAAGCATTAAAATATCACCTCCAGCTGAGCCAATATCAAATGCATTATATAATCCATCTATTTCATCCCAGCTTGAAAAGGATGATATACTTCCTATACTTAATAGCCCATCTCCATAGCAAAAAGCAGGACTTATTCTTAAAATCCACCTAACTCCTTCTTCATGAGAGAACAAATCATAAAATTTATTTTTTAAATCTAGATTCTTATATACATAGCAAAAATTAATTTTTTGCATAACAATAGAATATGGTAATTGAAATTTAACAAGTATAATCTAATACAAAAAATTATTGCATCCTTGCAGAGGAAAAAACTATTATCTAAATCATATTATTCCAATCTATTTACTTAAAAACATGGGAAAGTAAGATATCTTGCAACAGGCCTTGTAGATGTAAAAAGATAAAGAACCCAAATAAAGTATGGTAAAACTCCGCCCACAATAACATTGAAAAGAATAGTAGCAACTTGTGCAGAAGGATAACTTTTGAAGAAAAAACTACTAAAATATGTAAAAGGCGCTATAGAAACTCCATATAAGAGCATTAGCACCCAAACAGCTCCATAAGTATCATCAGGGTCTGTAAAAGTTTTTACCTCAAAAGCCTTGACCAGTAAAGCACAAATTATAGCTGGAAATAAATGTTTAACAGAGTCCCAAAAGAAATTTGCACACCAATACGAAAGTCTCGAGATTCCGCTGATCATGTGCTGGTGTTTGACATTAGTTTCTCTTTCTTTTACAATTAAAGCTATAATGCCTGCTGGAATGAAGCTAAAACCTAACGAAAATATAATTGCTGCAGTAACCCCATCTCAGATGCCTTTGATATCTTTAACTTTTTTGGTATAAGGAAGAGGGTAATTATAAACCGCTATTTTTTTCCCATATTTTGAAAATATTTCATTAGAAAGCTTGCTATAGTAGACTCCAGTCGCTTGAGGAGCTGATTGATTGTGGAAAATAACAGCTTGATACTGATCGTTGGTGGTATAGGCCTTCCTATAGATGGCGCGCAATGCGCCATCACCGGGCCATGTCGGGAGAGGTTCCACACGAGGAATGGCTCTACGTGTGGAACCCTCTTTTTGGTTCGTGGAAAGTAGTTTTCTCACAGGTCAAAACGAGGATTCCACACGTAGAACCATTCCTCGTGAGGAACCCTCTCCCGACATGGGTCGGTAATGGCGCATTGCGCTCCATCTATAGGGAAGGCCCTATATCCATATTTGTCAAATAATATGAGCCCATTCTATAATTATCTGGATCTGTTCGGGTATCAAATAAATATTGATCAAAACCTTCTATAGTATCATTTATAACACTATAGTCAGGGTTTGCATACTTTGAAAAGCTTCCTACATTTGTTCCTGCGGGCCAGTAATAAATTGTATCTTGAGGTAAAGAATATGAGGATTCAGTAAGCCTCTTTTTATCAGTAGGTGGAAGCTTCCAGCCAGTTTTCATTAAACTGAGCCCAAGGATAACTAATATAATTGGGACAAAAATTTCATAGACTAGGCTTCTCAGGTCTCTTTTTGACAAGGAAACTCTCTTTTTTAAAAGCGTCCAAAAATGGCTGTAAAATAAAGGACCTTTAAGCCTATCTCTGGATAAAATAAAATCATCTTTAAGCTCACTTTCTTCTTTTTCCTGGTCTTTTTTAGCAAATCCTGAGGCATCTTCTCTTGCTACCCTTAAAAAGACTTCTTCAAGGGTTGTAACAGATATTCCATAAGACGGCAACTGTAAAAAGTTAAGTTGCTTGTCAAGGGCTGCAAAAAACTCAGTAAATTTACTTGAGCTAGAGTTAGGGATTTGAAAAGTTATTTCTGCATGCACATCACTCATTAAAGAAGCTTCAGGAATGTATTCTCTTATGAAATCCTTAACCGATTGTGTATGAGTTTTGCTTGCAACTCCGACTTCTTTGACAATAGTTAAGTAATAGCCGACTCCATATCTTTTTTTCAAGAAAAGAGAGCTGCCAAGGCATCTGAGTTTGCCATGAGACATAATTGCAATTCTATCTGCTAAAACGTCAGCTTCTTCCATATAATGGGTTGTGAGAATGATGATTCTATTATTTTTGTTGTTTTTGAGCATATCCCACATTTGCCTTCTTGCAGTTAAGTCCATACCTGATGTAGGCTCATCTAGTAGCACAATAGGAGAATCAGCGATCAAAGCCATTGCAAGGGATAACTTTCGTTTCATACCACCTGATAAAAGCTTACCCTATCCTATAAGTATATAAAAAATGTTAGAAACTACTATTAAATTATTGGCAATTTATTTTAATATTATTTGAGCTATCAACGAAATTGGCAAAAATGAGCTAACTCCCCCCCCCCCATCCTTGATCGAACGACTCGCCATCGTTCGATCAAGGATGGGGGTTAAAAAAAATTTTTTTGGGAAAAAAATTTTATATATAAAATAAAATATATATATAAAATTTTTTTTTATTTACTTTTAAATAAGAGGGTTAAGAGTATTTAATAATTATTTTTACAGCAAAAAATTGAATTAATTTCATAAAAATACCAATTTTTTATATTTTAATTTATTAGTTTACCCCTTTAAATTGTATAAATTTTTAATTTGTTACTTATTAAATTAAAATTTTTTTTTTTTTTTAAATTTTAAAAAATCTCTATTTTATTAGCTTATTGAGTTTTTTTAAGCCCATGTTGATGACTAAATTACTTTAAATGGTTGATTCCGAAGCTTTCTATCGTCTTAAAGTCTCTGAAAACAACTTCATTAGGTACATCTTCCCAAGCTTTTGATAACTATTATATTTTTATATATATAAAAATTTGCATGATATGAAAATCGTTCGATCAAGGATGGGGGTTAATTTCCCCAATTTTTAGGAATTTTTACAGTCAATCGTTCGATCAAGGATGGGGGGGGAGTAAGATATTTCTCTCAATTTTTTAAAAATGCCTTTATTTAATCTATCTATTATTTATTAGGCGTAGCGTATTGCAACCCTTATGATTTGTTTCCTGTTAGTCGTCTGCTTCAAGTTGCCATTATTTAATCATTATTTAATCATTAATTAATCGTGTATTATAATTTAATTTAAATGAGAAAGAGTTAGTTTGAGTATCTTTCTTGGATGTCAAATCGACTTCAGATAGTTTTTCTTTAATTTGGTGATATATTTCTTTCTTGTTATTCATACCTTTGAAGATAGCAAAAAGATATAGGTGTTCTTCAGGGGTTAATTCATTGAATAAGACATTGTGCTGAGGACAAACTCCTAGAGATCTTCTTATTTTATTAAGATCTGTAGATAGGTATAGGCCATTTATTGTCATATCTCCATAAGTGGTCGGGATAAGGCCACACATCATTGAAATGGTTGTAGTTTTTCCTGCACCATTATGACCTAATAATGCAAAAATCTGCCCATTATATATATCTAAGCTTATATCTTCAACAGCTGTTTTGTCTCCAAAAACTTTTTTAAAGTTCCTTATAAGTAGAGCTTTTCCATTTTCCTTTTGTTTTTCTAACCCAACTATTAATCATATAACGTCTTTTACTATAATTGTTTTTTTTAATTAATTATTATCTAAGATTTAATAGATCAAACCAAATTTTATAAAAATTTTAAAATTTATGAAATAATAAGCCCAATTAATAATAAGAAATAGCGTTTATTATCAGATGGCTGATTAAGTCCTCCTCAATTTTTTCTACATTGTCTCCCCAGCTGATTTCTGTATCGAATAAATTTTGGTGCACATTTCGCTTGCTTGGCCACCAAAATGATTTTGAGAATAAAAAGTATCAAGGTCTTTTTACTCCTCACTCAGTAGGCCAAACTTGATCAAGATAAATAGCTAAAACTGTAAAGATAACTGAATCAATTACAAAAAAAGCAATGCAAGTCCCAAACGTATAGTTATGCACCTCTGAGTCTAAATTATCATTTTGCACTCCAGCCTGGCCATTCTCCAAATATGCTAGGACATCAGAACCTAAAGATAAAGCAACATTAGGCAGCAAAGATGCAGCAGTTTTATCTCCTCTTTCCAAAGTAGGATCATTAACAGCAAAACTTATAAAATAGCTTATTAAAAAAGCCATCAAGCCCAGCATTACAGCACTTCTAGATCTTGAGAAGAACATACTAATAAATATGCTAAAGGCCATACAATTGATTCCATATAGCCAGAAAAATAAAAATATCATTTCTGGAGCACTATATTTAAAAAGCCCTGCAGAAATAATTGTCCCAACTATTGCGATAACTGTATATACAGAAAAATAATAGGTAATCCATGAAAGCCAGTAAGCTTTATTAGAAAGTCCCATAATCATCATCATTTCTTTGATTTTGTATTCTTTTTCCTGGACTATTAAAGACAGCATTCTGCATACAGGAACAATATAAGAAATGACTAGGAAAAAAGGAAGAAGTCCAGCAATCGCTAAAATAAAATCATCTTTGGTATAGTCATCATAATACATTGGAACAAAACCTGCGGCAAAGTAGGCATTTATATTAGAAGATACATCTTGAAGAATAATATTGTCGATGTAATTCATCATATGTATAAAGTTTGTGCCTATGTATTGGTACTGGAACTTAGGCATTGGCTCTCGAATGAGCTTGTCAACATTTTTGTGGTCACGGAAATTAAAGATGTCTATAATATCTCCAAGTCCATATTCTCCTGATCAGTATGCCTCTGTTGTATTGAACCTGAAGCTGTATTCAATATTTTTAGAGTCTTTACTATAGAAGACGACAGCGAAACAAATTTTCCCACTATCTTCGTAATCACTGTCCTTTATATATATATTTTGTAATAAAATACCATCAAAAAATAAGGTTTTTAAAATATTTAAAACCATTTTTAATATAAAAATGATTTTCTATTCAAAATAGATAATCCTTGTAGGCAGATATTTATCATACCATTAATAGTCCTCTAAGTCCTCTTCGGAATCATACCGCTCAACTATATAAGGCTTTCCAGTATCATTTCCTTCAGTTTTTATTTTATCTATAAGCTTGAGTATAATAGTTTCTGAATATGGATCTTTATACTCATTTATTAGCGCTATTTTCCATTTTTTATCTTTCTCAAAGTACTCCCTATAGTAGTTATCGTGGCATTTTGGGAAGTCTGGAAGCTTGGCAACAGGATCAAAATATTGCCCAAAGTAGTTATTGCCGTCATAAGAGACTGTCATTGCTGATTTCTTCAGATAAGAGGATTGATCATGGTCTGCATAACTAGCAGAACTTTTTATAGCCAGCAAGAAAAGTAGAAGGGCTATAGGAAAGGCCAATTCACATATTGAGCCACAGAGTATTCGCTTTCAGAGCACTCAGTTCTTGTACAGGAGTGCTCGATAGTGTTGCCAAAGAGACATTTTTATTATAAGTGTTTAAAAATTTTGGAGAAATTATGAACAACACAATAGAGCCTATCAGAAGAGAAAGTTATTGGTTATTAATAAAAGCCACTATGAGATAAATTGAGTTTTAATAACTAAAGTAGCATCAGGCTGCATCAGGACTGTTTTAATATTGTCAAATATTTTTCATATTTTCAACAAGCATGGAACTACAATAGATTTAAGTTTAAATGTTTAGCTTATAGGAAATATTTATTATATTATGGAAAAGAAGATCAATATTGCTAATTTCGGTCAAGAAGAGCAGTATTAAAGAATATTAAATTTTCTAAAGCGAAATTAAAGCATGAGAAATTATTAGATACTATTGTTTTTAATCGCTTTTTAAGTGCAAGAGCTAATAGGTCTAATTTTGCGCTTCAAGGCTGGTGATTTTTATATAAGATTTGTTTAATTTGCCATTTATCCTCTATTTGAATTTTCTCACCACACTAAAGTTGACCAAAAATATTAAAATTAGCCAGGTAAATTAGGCTGTAAAATTTATAATTGCTAAAAAAGGAAGCATTCTAGTAGTTTTATATAGTTCTGGCTAAATTAAAAAAATTTATTATTTTTGAAACTCTTAATAAATTATAGTTTTGATAATAATTTTTAAAAATGATAATTTAGGATATTATTGAAGCTATCTTATTTGCTTTATTAGCAATTTATTATAAAATCGAATATATTCTGCTAATACTTTCGAAGAAAAGTATGCTCGCAGCGGGCCTGCTAAATTAGAAATTATAAGTAACTAACCCAATAAACCTTAGAGCTAGCAAAATTATTGAAAGTTTATATAAATAAGATGGCCGGTTAAGAGCGACCTGCCATCCCCATTGCGGGCCAATAGTCTTAAAAATGATAATGATTTTTCTTGAACGTTTATAAAGCACTTAAGTTATAAAGAAAATAAATAATCGACTCAATTTGATTTTGGATGCAGATTAAAGTTTTATGCTGCAAGGGGAAGCCATGGAGTGCCAGCGATTCCAAGAAGATGCTTGATATGCTTTTTCTTGTTAGCTTATAGCTGCAAATAATTACACTGTCAATTATAATGATGTTTAGAATTTTTGTTAATTGATTTTTCAAATTTTTGCTTACTCCCCCCCCCTCCGTGAGTGAACAAAAAAATTTTGTTCACTCACGGAGGGGGGCTAATTTATTTTTTTTTTAAAAAATTTATATATAAATTTTATAAAAAAATTTTTTTTCGAAATTTAAAAAAATCCTAATTCACAAAAATTGGAAAGCAAAAATTAATTTAATTTATAAAATTTATGTTTTAAAAAGCAATTCGTTCAAAATTAAACAGAATTAGCTCTAGATTTCATTATAATAATTATCATTTATATATCAAATTTTTTTTTTCCATAAAAAATTTTTCTATTAATAAAATTTTTGTTCACTCACGGAGGGTGGGTTTTTGGGCAAAAAATAGCGATTTTTCTAATGGTTTTGTTCACTCACGGAGGGGGGGGGGAGTTAATAGAATATGATGAAGAGAAAACTGAAAATCGACTCCAATTATTGTGAATTCAATATAGCATCAAATAATAATAAATTAATTGCTTTATTTATAATTAAAAACACTTTTTAATATAAGTTCTTAAATAATAATTATTTATGATCTCTAGCTACCATGAGTATATCTTCTAACAATTCCTGCTTGAGATTCTTCTCCTTTTCTTGCGAAATCATTGAAGATTTGTTCTAAAGAGCTTTGAGACAACGCATATTCAGATATTTTAAGGGCTTCTTTATTCATTTCAACTATAGAGAAAAAGTATCCTATTGACTTTTCCTCTTCTTTAGCAATTTTGAATTTATAAAGTGAAGAGAAATGTTCAATAATTTCGACTTTCTTAAATTCACTTTTAAGCCATTCATAAATTTTATCACCCAGCTCTTCGACAATAACCCAGGACACTAAAGAATCTCTTGAAATACATCCATCTACTTTTAATTGTTGATATAAAGCAGAGCCTGCACCTCTTTCATGAATTTCCTCATAGAAATTCTTTGCGTCGAGAATTTCTAAACATGGTAAAATTTGATTTTCTGTGATTACTGTTTCTCCCATAAGGATACGATCTAAAACCATTCCTCTATCATTTACTTCAAAATGGCTAGGAATTTCAACTTTTGCTTCGAACTCATATCGATCGCCATATTTGCTTTTAATCCAGGTAGCAGTTCCAAGACATCTAAGCCTTCCAGCAACCATAATAGCCATACGATCACTTAAAGCTTCAGCTTCTTCCATTGAATGAGTTGTCAAAATGACTGAGGAGTTCTTTTGTTTAAGATTCCCAATGACTTTCCACATTTTTTTTCTAGTTTCTGGATCCATTCCTGCAGAAGGCTCATCTAAAAACACTACTGTCGGATTTCCAATAAGAGCCATTGCAACTGAAAGTTTTCTTTTATTTCCTCCTGAATAGGTTCCTGCCAAAATATCAGCATATTGCCTTAAATCCATTTGATCAAGCATTTCTTCAACTAGTTCTTCTCTCCTATCTTTAGGAATTCCTTTGATATCTGAGTATAATCTCAAATGCTCTCTTGCTGTAAGCAGTTCAGATATAGCATCAAATTGAGGGCAATACCCTATCAGCTCTCTTGCCTTATCTAGCTCAGTACTAACATTATGTCCACAAATATAAGCATCACCAGTTGTAGGTGCGATTTCTCCAGTCAGCATCTTAAAAGTTGTAGTTTTTCCAGCTCCATTTACCCCTAAAAACGCAAAACACTCTTGCTGGCTTACATTAAAGCTCACATCTTCTACCGCCACAAATAATTTGCTCATTCCTTGCCTAAAAATCTTTCTAACACCTCTTACATTAACCTGGACATCTTTTGGATCCATATTTAAAGCGTTTGCTGCTTCTTTTTCAACGTCATCATCAGCTTCATAATCTGTAGGCGCAACTACAGGGGTTTTCCAGAACTTTTGCAACACTTTTTGATGGGTTTCTAAGTATTCTTGGACATATACAAAGAATAAATATAATGGAATTGTGACCCCGATCATTAAAATGTCAGCCCCAGCTGAGCCCATGTCAAATGCATTATATAAGCCGCTTTTCTCGTCCCATATGGAATAATTAGATATGCTTCCTAGATCTAATAGTCCATTTCCAAAACAAAAAGCTGGGCTTAGTCTGAAAAACCACCTGAGACCTCTGCCAATTGGTCTTGTGGACTCAAAGAAATAAAGGACCAGGATAAATGCTGGGAGAATTCCACCTGCAACTACATTGAAAAGAATAGTAGCAACTTGTGCAGTTGGATAATTTTTGAAGAAAAAGCTAGTAAAATAAGTGAATGGCGCTATGGAAATTCCATATAAGAGCATTAGCACCCAAACGGCTCCATAGGTATCATCTGGATCAGTAAAGCTTTTTATATCAAAAGCTAAGACCATTGCAGCACAAATAACAGCTGGAAAGATATGCTTTATAGAGTCCCAAAAGAAATTTGCGCACCAATAAGAAAATCTTGAAACCCCACTTATCATGTGCTGGTGTTTGACATTAGTTTCTCGCTCTTTTACAATTAAAGCTATAATACCTGTTGGGATGAAGCTAAATCCTAATGAAAAGACTATTGAAGCTAAAAATCCATCCCCTGTTCCCCTTAGATTTTCAATTTTTTGAGTGTAAGGGAGTGGATAATTATAAACTGTCACTTTTACACCATATTTTGATAATATTTCATTAGAGAGCTTATTGTAGTAGACTCCAGTAGCTTGAGGAGCTGATTGGTTGTGGAAAACAACAGCTTGGTACTGATCATTAGTAGCATCCATATTTGATAAGTAATATGAGCCCATTCTATAATTATTTGGATCTGTGCGGGTATCAAATAAAAATTTATCAAAGCCTTCAATTGTGCCATTAATATTTGCTGTTTTAGAGCTTTGATATTGCGCCCATGGTCCAACATTGGCACCAGCTGGCCAGTAATAAACTGTATCTTGAGGTTCTGAATATAAAGATTCTGACAAAAATTTTTTGTTAATTGGAGGAAAGCCATCACGAATTTTCATTAAGCCAAGTCCAACAATTACTAAGACAATAGGTACAAAAATCTCATAGACTAAGCTTTTTATATCTCTTTTAGACCAGAAAACTCTCTTCTTCAGCAAAGTCCAAAAATGACTAAAAAATAGTGAGCCCTTTAGTTTATCTCTTGATAAAACAAAATCATCACTAAGCTGAACATCAATTTCTTTTTCCTTTTCCTGCTCATTTTTAGCAATTTCTGAATCATCTCCTCTTGCAACTCTCAAAAAAACTTCTTCAAGGGTTGTTACAGATACACCATAAGACCGTAATTGCAGACTTTTTAGTTGCTGATCAAGAGCTGTAAAAAATTCAGTAAATTTACTTGAGCTAGAGTTAGGGATTTGGAAAGAAATTTCTGCATGAACGTCGCTCATTATAGATGCTTCAGGGATATAGGCTCTTATAAAATCTGTAACAGATTGAGTATGAGTTTTGCTTGCAACTCCGACTTCTTTGACAATAGTTAAGTAATAGCCGACTCCATATCTTTTTTTCAAGAAAAGAGAGCTGCCAAGGCATCTTAGTTTTCCATGTGACATGATTGCAACTCTATCAGCTAAAACATCTGCTTCCTCCATATAGTGGGTTGTCAGGATAATGATCCTATTATTTTTGTTGTTTTTGAGCATATCCCACATTTGCCTTCTTGCAGTTAAGTCCATACCTGATGTAGGCTCATCTAGTAGCACAATAGGAGAATCGCCGATCAAAGCCATTGCCAATGACAGTTTTCTTTTCATACCCCCTGACAAGAACTTAGTTCTTTTATCTTTTTTATCTGTTAAGTCTACTTCTGATAATTTTTCTTTAATTTTTTTGTAGATTTCCTCTTTATCTTGCATTCCTTTGAAAATAGCGAAAAGATATAAGTGCTCTTCAGGTGTTAAGTCATTGAATAAGACATTGTGCTGAGGGCAAACTCCAAGAGACCTTCTTATTTTATTAAGATCTGTAGATAAGTAATTTCCATTTATTTTCATATCTCCATATGTTGTTGGTATAAGTCCACACATCATTGAAATTGTTGTAGTTTTTCCAGCACCATTATGCCCTAATAATGCAAAAATCTGCCCATTATATATATCTAAGCTTATATCCTCAACTGCTACTTTATTGCCAAAAACTTTTCTAAAGTTTCTTATAAGTAAAGCTTTTCCGTTTTCCTTTTGCTTTTCTAAGTCCCCCTCTACCTTTTCTACGTTATCTCCCCATGAGACTTCGTCATTGAATAAATCCTCATGAGCATTTTTGCTGCTGGTAACCCAAAATGACTTTGTGAATAAAAAGTACCAAGGTCTTTTGACTCCCCACTCTGTAGGCCAAACCTGATCCAAATAAAGCGCTAAAATAGTAAAAATGCCAGTATCAATCGCCAAAAATATAATGCAGGTCCCAAATGTATAGTTATTTACAACTGAGTCAGTGTTATCATTTTGAACTCCAACTTGGCCGTTTTCCAATTGCGCCAAAACATCACAGCCTAGAGTTAAAGCGATATTAGGTAGCAAAGATGCAGCAGTCTTGCTGCTTTCATCTAAAGAAGGATCACTTACTGCAAAACTCATGAAATAGCTTATAAGAAAAATCATAAGTCCAAGCATTACAGCACTACGTGACTTTGAAAAAAGCATACTGATGAGGATACTGAAGGTCATACAACTTAGTCCATAAAGCCAGAAAAATAAAAACATAATTCCTGGAGCGCTATATTTAAAAAGACTGATTGAAATAAATGAGCCAACAACTGCAATAACTGTATAGATTGACAAATAGTAAGTAAGCCATGAAAGCCAGTAGGCTTTATTGGAAAGTCCCATAATCATTACACTAAAAATGGCGGGATCTGTCAATTTTCAGCAGTTAAGACCCTATGCAAAGGTGAATTGGGTAGGATTGCATTCTGACAATCAAGAACAGCCTAGGAGAGCAGTCTTTTTCCTGTAGTTGAAGAAGGAAGGCGCTTTGTTACTCGATAGACTCAAGAAGTTAATCCTTAGGCTTAAGCTACTTAAATCGTCCGCAAAACCTTAAGCAGTCCACACCGGACTAAAGCAGAAATGTAAGGAAGAGTTAATGAAATATACAGGTTACTGATAGATCTTTCATCTATAAGCTGAAGGACTTCCCGTACTGTATATCTTTTGTCCTGCCTCAATAATAAGATTAAGGTCAAATTTTAATAGCCTAAGCCATAATCATCATCATTTCTTTGATCTTGTATTCTTTTTCCTGGACTATCAAAGATAGCATTCTGCATACAGGAACTATATATGAAATAACTAGGAAGAATGGAAGAAGGCCAGCAATTGCCAGGACGAAGTCATCTGCAGTCCAGTCATCATAATACATAGGAACAAAACCTGCCGCGAAGTAGGCATTTTCATTGGAGGAAACATCTTGAAGGATAATGTTATCTATATAGTTCATCATATGCATGAAGTTGGTGCCAATATACTGGTATTGAAACTCAGGCATTGGCTCTCTAATAAGCTTATCGACATTATGGTGATCACGGAAGTTAAAAATATCTATCCATTCGCCCCTATTTCTTCCATCTGATGACCCATAGGATTCTGTTGTATTGAACCTAAAGCTATACTTAATATTTTTGGAGTCTTTGCTATAAAAGACCACTGCAAAACAAATTTTTCCATTATCTCCATAGTCGCTGTCCTTTATATAGTCTTCTAAGTCATCCTCAGAGTCATAGCGCTCAACCACATATGGTCTTCCTGTGTCGTTTCCTTCAGCTTTTATTTTATCTACAAGCTTGTTTATGATAGTTTCTGAATAGGGCTCTTTATACTCATTGACAAAAACTATTCTCCATTTTTGGTCCTTATTAAAGTAGCTTCTATAGTAGTTCTTGTGGCCTTTTGGGCTGTCTGGGATTTTGGCAGGTGGGTCGAAATATTGGCCAAAGTAGTTGTTGCCGTCATAAGAGACGGTCATTGCTGATTTTTGGAGGTAGGAGGCTTGATCATGATCTGTATAGCCGACAGCACTTCTTATCAGCATTAAGACTAGGAGTAAGGCTATCGGAAAGAGCCATTCACACATAGACCCGCACAGTTTTCTCTTCCAGAGAATCCAGTTTTTGTACAGCAGTGCTCGGTAGTGTTGCCAAATAGACATTTTATTGTAATGACGGGAATTTTTGGAGAATTTTTGAGCAAATAAAAAACACGTAGAGTATAGAAACTTATAGTTTACTATATAAATTTGTGTTATGATTTATATCAATTAGCTGTTGTATAAGAGTGAGGCCAAGCCAGCTTTTGGCTGATTCTGTGGTCAATTTTCATATTTTTATAGGCTTCGAAGCTATGATAATTTTACGTTTAACTATTTTACTTGGAAAAGTAGGGAAGCTTTTGCAATGAAAAAGTTTAACTGTCTTAATTTAATGTAAAAATATATAACCTAAAAGGTAAGGCCTTCCCAAAATTCTTAGTTTACCATTTTTCGTTCTTTCTAATCATTAAATTTAAGCCTAAGGCTTTATAATTTTTAGGATAGGTCCTAAAATCTCTTAATTTTTCGAAAACTGTAGGTCAGCTAGCTTCGGATTGATTTTATGGTCAATTTTCATATTTTCGCCAACAATTGAAGCAAGAATAATTTTTATCTTAACTATTTAACTTGGAGAATAGATTTTTATCACTTAAAAAGAAGATATTATCCCCTTAATTTTGACTGTAGGTTTTTATTTCAGAGTTTCATAACTTTTGTCAAAATTTCAAAAAATTGCTTTTATATAATTTTCAACTAATCTCATGTAAATTCTTTATTTTAGCCAAGATCAGACCAAAAAACTCTTATAAAGCTTTAATTTTTCAATTTTTCTGGGCTTTTAAGATGCATTTTCCATTTATGCTGGAATAGGTATTTCATTTAGTTCCTTCACACGACGACTATTTCATAACGACTATTTTTTTTTTGCCTATTTTTTTTTTGGCCTATTTTTTTTCAACTATTTTGTTTTCACCTATTTTTTTTTCACCTATTTTTTTTTGGCCTATTTTTTTTGCCTAGCCTCATTCATGAAGCTGCTGAGAGGACTAAAACCTTATTGAGAAACAGAGGCCTTTCCTTACGCGATTAATATTGAGTAAATTAAGTGAAAAACTCCTAATTAAATCTAAAATTCTCGAAATTTTAAAAGCACTGAATTAGTATTCATGGAGTAAGAAATCCGTTAAGGGTGCATTTTTTGTGGTTAAATCGTTTAAAACACATTAAAAATTAGATTAAAACAATTATTATGGAATTATATGCCTAAATATTAGTAAAAAATAGTTAAAAAATTGTCAAAAAAAAGGCCAAAAAAATAGGCCAAAACAAAATAGGCCAAAAAACAATAGGCCAAAAGGCTAAAAAAAAAATAGGCCCAAAAAAAAATAGGCCAAAAAAAAATAGGCCAAAAAAGATAGGCTAAAAAAAAATAGGACAAAAAAAAAATAGGCTGAAAAAAAATAGTCGTTATGAAATAGTTGTCGTGTGAAGATACGATTTCATTTGTCTAGGCATATCCAATTGAAATTAGTTTCAAATCTTATCATATTCTTAAAATATAATTTCAATCAATTTCTCTTTAAATTCACTTAAAACTATGAATTTGGGAAAATCTTAAAGGAATTAAAACGCTTAAATTTATAGTTTTTTTTATATCTAAAAGGAAGCAATAAATAATCAAAATTATTTGTGAGGCATTTGAGCTAATCATGATAGGATTTAAAGTTTCTTATTTTAAATTGGAATAAGAAACTTTATTTGTTGATGTATGGCGAGATAAGCAAAATTGCAAATGTTAAAGTAATAAAATTCACAGATGAAATTAATTAATCTCTTGATAGAAAATAAGCTCACAGAAAATTAGATGATAGAGAATAAGGTTTTAGTTCTATTTTTAAAAGGCGGGCAGTCCTTATTCATTAAGAATTTTTCAAAATCTGCATTCATTTTTATGAGTTTCAAAATTTTCTTAAATGAATTTTCAACAATAATGTAATCTTTCTATATGCAACTATCAATATTATCGGGCAAGCAGTCTATAGTTTTAGTGAATCTATCTTGTCAACTATTTTGCTCATATATTAATCTATTTAAATATATTTATATGCTTCATATGGCACAATGAATCATCTGAGAATAAACTTTTTTAGAGCATATCTAAAGGAAAGCTTAAAATATTTTAAATGAAAAAGCTAATAAAAATCCTAAATTTTTAAATTATATGCACATAATTTAATATAATAGATATATTTAATGAATAATGATACTTAACTAGTAATTATCTATACTTTATCCTCCATGAGTGTATCTTCTAACTATTCCTGCTTGAGCTTCTTCTCCTTTTCTTGCAAAGTCATTGAAAATCTGCTCCAAAGAACCAGAAATAATATTAAATATTAAAAAAAATTATTTTTCACAAAATAAAAATTATTAAAAAAAAAGTAAATTAGCTTAATAGATTAAACCCAAAGAACTTTGAGACAGGGCATACTCAGAAATTTTCAAAGCTTCTTTATTCATTTCGACTGCTGAGAAAAAGTATCCAATTGATTTGTCCTCTTCTTTTGCAATCTTGAACTTATAAAGCGATGAGAAATGTTCAATAATTTCGACTTTTTTGAATTCACTTTTAAGCCATTCATAAATTTTATCGCCAAGCTCTTCAATAATAACCCAAGCCACTAAAGAGTCTCTTGATATATATCCATCTACCTTTAATTGCTGATGTAAAGCAGAGCCTGCACCTTTTTCGTGAATTTCTTCATATAAATTTTTTGCATCAAGGGCTTCTAAACATGGTAAAACTTGGTTTTGCTTAATGGTTGGCTCTCCCATAAGTATACGATCTAGGCTTACTGCTTTATCATTAACCTCGAAATGGCTTGGGATGTTTATAAATAAAATAGTGTCTCGGCAATGCAACCCCTAGAGCATTTTATTTATATCTGGCCAGGTTTTGCAAACTAGTAATGGACGCTATGCTAGCGAAGCTATTCTGGGAATGTATAGAGCCTTGCTCCAATATAATTCAGGATTCGAAGGAAAAGGATGTCAGAGTTGATAAGTGGATGCTCAGCAGTGTCTACAGAAAATGTCTAAATCAATTGGTAACTCCTTAGCGTGAAACCGAGAGATACATCCGGGCTTTGGATTTTTTTGTTGTTGCTGAAAACCGGCCCCTTCATTTTTATTTTTGTGGGGCAACCTTCGTACACTCAAGCAGCATGCCATAGAAGTCCATAGTATTCCTAGAGCCAACAAGGCAAGAAGGAGATGGAGATATAGAGCCTACTTTACAGGAGCCATGGCATCAATCAGTGAAGAAGAGGACAGGTGAAACTCGACTCTATTCTCGCCAGGTTAATTATGCCCCCAGCTCCACAAGTTCGCCCTGTCAACATTTCAAAGAGGATATATTCCCTGCAGGGCTTGCTGGTGGCTGCGTTACCAATAGGTAAACAATCCAAGAAATAATTTGATTTTAAGTTTAAGGCTTGGAATGGCCACTTTTGCTTCAAATTCATAACGGTCTCCATATTTGCTCTTAATCCAGGTAGCGGTTCCAAGACATCTAAGTCTTCCAGCAACCATAATAGCCATACGATCGCTTAACGCTTCTGCTTCTTCCATAGAGTGAGTCGTCAAAATAACTGAAGAATTCTTTTTCTTGATATTCCCGATAACTTTCCACATTTTTTTTCTAGTTTCTGGGTCCATTCCTGCAGAAGGTTCATCTAAGAAAACTACTGTTGGATTTCCAATAAGAGCCATCGCAACTGAAAGTTTTCTTTTATTGCCACCAGAATAGGTTCCTGCCAAAATATCAGCATATTGCCTTAAATCCATTTGATCTATCATTTCTTCGACAAGTGCTTCTCTTCTATCTTTCGGAATTCCTTTGATATCTGAGTATAATCTCAAATGTTCTCTTGCTGTAAGCAGCTCAGATATAGCATCAAATTGAGGGCAATAGCCGATTAACTCTCTTGCTCTATCAAGTTCAGTAATGACATTATGTCCACAAATGTAAGCATCACCTGTTGTAGGAGCAATTTCACCAGTAAGCATTTTGAAAGTAGTTGTTTTTCCAGCTCCATTCACTCCTAAGAATGCAAAACATTCTTGTTGGCTTACATTGAAGCTCACATCTTCGACTGCTGCAAAAGCTTTATTCAGTCCTTGTCTGAAGATTTTTCTGATCCCTCTAACATTGACTTGAACATCCTTAGGATCGACACTTAGAGCAGTTTGTGCTTCTTTTTCGACATCATCGTCAGCTTCATACTCAGAAGGAGCAACATGAGGAGCTTTCCAGAATTTTTGTAAAATTTTTGGATGAGTTTCTAAATATTCTTGAACATAAACAAGGAACAAATAAAATGGAACTGTTATTCCAAGCATTAAAATATCAGCCCCAGCTGAGCCTATATCAAATGCTTTATATAAACTGCTTTTTTCATCCCAATTTGAGTAAGAAGATATGCTTCCTAAATCCATTAATCCGTTCCCATAGCAAAAAGCTGGACTAAGTCTGAAAATTCATCTAAGAACTCTACCGAGAGGTCTTGTGGACTCAAAGAAATACAGAACAAGTATAACTGCTGGGAAAATTCCTCCTGCAACAACGTTGAAAAGAATAGTAGCAACTTGTGCAGTTGGATAATTTTTGAAGAAAAAGCTACTAAAATAAGTGAATGGGGCTATAGAAATCCCATAAAGAAGCATTAGCACCCATATAGCTCCATATGTTTCATCAGGATCAGTAAAGCTTTTTATGCCAAAGGCTTTAATCATAGCAGCACAAATGACACCTGGGAATATATGCTTAACAGAGTCCCAAAAGAAGTTAGCGCACCAATAAGAAAACCTTGAAACTCCACTAATCATATGCTGATGCTTGACATTAGTTTCTCGCTCTTTTACAATTAAAGCTATAATACCTGTCGGAATAAAGCTAAATCCTAGCGAAAAGACTATTGAAGCCAAAAACCCATCTCCGACTCCTTTTAGATCTTCCACTTTTTTAGTATAAGGAAGAGGGTAGTTATAAGCAGTTATTGTTACACCATATTTTGACAAAATTTCGTTAGAAAGCTTGTTGTAGTAGACTCCAGTTGCTTGAGGTGCTGATTGATTGTGGAAAATAACAGCTTGATAATGGTCATTAGTAGTATCCATGTTTTTCAAAAAATACGAGCCCATTCTATAATGCTCAGGATCATCACGGGTCTCAAATAAGAAATAATCAAAACCTTCAATTGTACCATTAATATTTGCAGTTTCAGTACTTTGATATTGTGACCAAGCTCCAACATTAGCGCCAGCTGGTCAATAATACAATGTATCTTGAGGCTCAGAGTATGACGACTCAGTTAACCGCTTCTTATGAGCAGGAGGGAAACTATCTCCAATCTTCATTAGCCCTAGACCAACTATGACAAGTACAATCGGTACAAAAATTTCATAAACTAAGCTTTTTAAATCTCTTTTCGACCAGAAAACTCTCTTTTTAAGCAGAGTGTAAAAATGGCTAAAAAACAATGATCCGGTCAGCCTATCTCTTGACAAAACAAAGTCATTTTCTAGCTGAGCATCGTTTTCATTTTCTCTTTGTGTTTCGTTTTCTTTTTTAGCGATTTCATTATCATCTCCTCTTGCAACCCTCAGAAATACTTCTTCTAGAGTTGTTACAGAGACACCGTAAGATCTTAATTGCAAATTTTTCAGATTTTGGTCAAGAGCAGTGAAAAAAGTAGTGAATTTGCTTGAACTGGAATTAGGGATTTGAAATGAAATTTCAGCATGAACGTCACTCATAATTGAAGCTTCAGAAGTTAACGTTAATAACGTAAACGTCATTGAAAAGGTTCCAAAATTCTTCCACTCACTTCGTCCTCAGTCATATTGCAGATCTCGATCAGGAGGATAAAATTGACCTAATGGAAAACCCTAAAGCCAGGTTGTCGGATTCCAATTGATTGGGCTTGATCGTCACATAGAGCATCTCCGTATCGTGCTGCCTATCCAGAAAATTTGAAAAATTTAGATTGCCGACCAAGAATAAACTTCACAGCCTTAGTCTTAGTTAAATTTATAAAGTAGCTCCCGGCCAGGACCGAAGGTCCTTTTCTTCCGCCCTTTGGACGCCTCGCTTGCTTTCCTTGCCCTGCTCCCAGTGTGCACCTAAGTGCCACAGGCTACCACTCAGCTCCTTCTGGTCATGGAGCTTGGTCATGCTATCCCGGAAGTAGGCGGACTGGGTCACCGTGCTTCACGCCGCCAGACTAGGGTTAGAGCTAAGGATTAACTCCTTAGCTCTTGTCGGCTCCCGCCATGCACTCCAAATTGGCACTAGCAGTCCCTAGAGGAAAAACCCTTTTTGCCCCGTGTCCTATCGGGACGACCCTAGGATCGTCGTTGCTGGACTGGGAGGGAAACCTAGCCGGACACAAACTACCAGTACCCATTCCAGACCTTTCCCTGGGCGGATTGGCTTCAGGCCGCAGCAAGGTCCCCAATTTCGTCTCAGTTCCGGGAGAGGACGGGTCGGTGTTGTCGCCATTTTATTTGTGTAATAAACTTCACAGCCAGGGTGCTACTCCTGGTCGCGCTGGAAATTTACTAGATAATCTGCTGAATTCTAATGCTGACTTTGCTGGGTTAACCCTTTCCACATCCGAAAGTATTTCCCTACTAGTTAAAGCCCTGATCCGGATGTGAGCTTGGTGTTGTGTACTCGACGTTTCACTTTGCCAGATAATGTAAACCTACGAATACACGTCTACAAATGCTACTCTTCCTTCCACAAGGTCCCCAGGTCTCCCGGCTACAGATTTCAAGCGGACAGGCTGTCTCACCACACAATTTTAATGTATTTTAAGCTTCAGGAATGTATTCTTGTATGAAATTTGCCACTGACTTGGTATGAGTTTTGCTTGCAACTCCGACTTCTTTAACAATAGTTAAGTAATAGCCTACACCATAGCGTTTTTTCAAGAAAAGAGAACTGCCAAGGCATCGGAGTTTTCCATGAGACATAATAGCAATTCTATCTGCTAAAACATCTGCTTCCTCCATATAATGGGTAGTTAGAATAATAATTCTATTGTTCTTGTTATTTTTAAGCATATCCCACATTTGCCTTCTTGCAGTTAAATCCATTCCAGAAGTTGGCTCATCCAATAATACAATAGGAGAATCAGCAATCAAAGCCATTGCAAGGGATAATTTTCTTTTCATACCCCCTGATAAAAATTTAGACTGTCTATCTTTTTTGGCTGTTAAATCTACTTCTGTAAGTTTTTCTTTAATTTGTTGGTATATTTCTTTTTTATCCTTCATTCCTTTGAATATAGAGAAAAGGTATAAGTGCTCCTCTGGTGTCAAATCATTAAATAGAACATTGTGCTGAGGACAGACCCCAAGAGATCTTCTTATTTTGTTAAGATCTGTAGATAAATAATTTCCATTGATTTTCATATCCCCATAAGTTGTTGTAATTAATCCACACATCATCGAAATTGTTGTAGTTTTTCCAGCACCATTATGGCCTAGTAAAGCAAAAATTTGTCCGTTATATATATCTAACTCCCCCCCCCCCCCTCCGTGAGCGAACAAAAAAATTTTGTTCACTCACGGAGGGGGGTTAATTTTTTTTTTTTTAAAAAAAATTTATATATATAAATTTTATACAAAAATATTTTTTCGAAATTTAAAAAAAAATCCTAATTTGCAAAAATTGGGAAGCAAATATTAATTTAATTTGCAAAATTTATGTTTTAAAACGCAATTTGTTTAAAATTAAACAGAATTAGCTCTAGATTTCATTATACTAATTATCACTTATATAGCAAAATTTTTTTTCCATTAAAATTTTTTCTATTAAAAAAATTTTTGTTCACTCACGGAGGGTGGGTTTTTGGTCAAAAAATGGCGATTTTTCTAATGGTTTTGTTCGCTCACGGAGGGGGGGGGGGGGAGTAAGCTGATATCTTCAACAGCTGTTTTTGTACCAAATATTTTTTTGAATTTCCTTATAAGCAAAACTTTACCATTTTCTTTTTGTTTTTCTAAGTCTTCCTCTACTTTTTCAACATTATCTCCCCAGTCAATTTCTTCATTAAATAAATCTTCATGTGCATTCTTTTTACTTGGACACCAAAATGTTTTTGTGAATAAAAAGTACCAAGGTCTTTTTACGCCCCACTCAGTAGGCCAAACCTGATCTAAATATAGAGCTAAAATTGAAAAAATTCCTGAGTCAATAACCAAAAATGCAATACAGGTCCCAAATGTATAGTTATTTACTTCAGAGTCTGTATTGCTATCTTGGACTCCAACTTGACCATTTTCCATTTGTGCGAGAACATCACATCCTAAAGTTAAAGCAATATTAGGTAATAATGATGCAGCAGTTTTGCTACCCTCATCTAAAGTAGGATCAGTGACAGCAAAACTTATAAAATAGCTTATCAGAAAAGCCATAAGGCCTAACATTACAGCACTACGAGACTTGGAAAAGAACATACTGATAAAAATGCTGAAAGTCATACAACTAATCCCATACAGCCAGAAAAGTAAAAACATCATGCCTGGAGCACTATATTTGAAAAGCCCGACTGATATTATAGCGCCAACGATTGCGATTATTGTGTATATTGACAAATAATAAGTAATCCACGAAAGCCAGTAAGCTTTATTAGAAAGTCCCATAATCATCATCATTTCTTTGATTTTGTATTCTTTTTCCTGGACTATTAAAGACAACATTCTGCATACTGGAACTAAATAAGAGATGACTACAAAGAATGGGAGAAGCCCTGAAATAGCTGAAATAAACCCATCAGAAGTATAGTCATCATAATACATTGGAACAAAACCAGCTGCGAAATAAGCATTTGAATTTGAAGAGACATCTTGAAGAATAATGTTATCTATATAGTTCATCATATGCATGAAGTTGGTGCCAATATACTGGTACTGGAATTTAGGCTGTGGCTCTCTGATGAGTTTATCAACATTTTGATGGTTTAGAAAATCAAAAATATCTATAAAGTCGCCCAAATTCCTTCCTCCTGACCCGTATGATTCTGTTGTATTAAATCTGAAGCTATATTTAATATTTTTGGAGTCTTTGCTATAAAAGACGACCTAAACTTAATTAGTTATAATTCTTAAGCGTTTAAAGCCCATTAATGCATCACTTTTATGGACTTACTTTTCTAATTCAGATGATCCCTTGCGGCTGTGAACATGGTAGTCTTGGTCTGAATAGATTTTTGGGTTTTCGTCTTTGAAATTCAACAATTATCCTTCCATTTCTCTTTGAACACCTTAAGGGAAATACGTCCTAAGTTGTGCACCCTCGGGCGTAATACACTATCTTAAACCTAAACTTATTGGGAACGCAGTCTCCAAAGATCTCCAGGGAGATTCAGCCTCTTTGCAACGACAGGGAGAACTTGTTTGAGTCAATGATGATTCACAAATTCCCAAAAAAATGGACTTTCGGAAAAGGAAAAAAATTCAAAGTCTAGGGCGTAACTCCCAGATTCACGCGAGGATGTTGCCCGAATGGTCTAGGCGTTATCTGTAGACGATGATAGGCTTGACTTTCCAACTCTGAACCCTCTTTCCTCGAAGTAAAATCCAATCCTGAAAGCGGACGAGTACTAGACTCTGCACATTGCCAGAATTGCTTAACTAGTATTACTGTCAATTTCTGGGCTGGCAAGCCCTTGCGGATATAAATAAAATACTAGAAGCTGCATTTCCGAAGTCAATACCCGGCCGAGACGCCATTTTATTTATACGGCGAAATACACCATCAAAGCCGGAATAAATTCGCTGGATGAAGCCAGACCTCACATTCAAAATTGTCAAAAGAATGGATTTTCTGTTCTGTATATGTTATAAAAGACGACAGCAAAACAAATTTTGTCATCATCTTCATAGTCACTATCGGTAATATAGTTTTCTAACTACCCTCTCTTTCAGCGAGCAAACCATTTGCAAGAATTGGAAGGCGAAAAATTATTTAATTTGCGAATTTATGTTTTAAAAGTGAAAGCTGTTTAAAATTCAACAGAATTAACTAGATTATTATCATAATTATCACTCATATATCAAATTTTTTTTCATAAAACAATTTTTTTTGCTACAGAAGTAGTTTTTAGCAATAAATAGGGATTTTCGAATTGGGATTTTTAAAAATTTTTTTAAAAAAATTTACCCCTATGAGCGCTGTCGCTCACGGGAGAGGGAGTAAGTCATCTTCAGAATCAAAGCGGTCAACTAAATAAGGATAGCCTGTGCCATCACCTTCAACTTTGATTTTATCTATCAGTTTAGTAATGATAGTTTCTGAATATGGGTCTTTATATTCGTTGACAAAAACGATTTTCCATCTGTCATCTTTACGAAAGTAGTCTCTATAGTAATTTTCGTGGTCTTTCGGAAAGTCTGGAATTTTAATTATTGGGTCGAAATACTGGCCAAAGTAGTTGTTGCCGTCATAGGAGACAGTCATAGCTGATTTATAAAGGTAAGAGTGCTTGTCATAATCTGTATAGCTCACTGCACTTCTTATAAGTAGTAAAACAATTAGTAAAGCGATAGGAAAGAGAAATTCACAGATTGAACCACACAGTCTTCTCTTCCATAGGATTCAATTCTTGTATAAAAGTGCTCTATAGTGTTGCCAAAGAGACATTTTATTATATAAAGGATGAATTTTTTTGGAGAATTTCTGGACATCTAATAAAAACGACGGAGAAGAGGAATCTAGTTTTTTGAATGCAATGCCTAAATGCAATTCAATAGCTCTTAATCTTAATAAAACTCTTAGACTAGATCAGACTTCTTCTAGATTTTATGGTTTAATTTCATATTTTTGGCAACTATGGAACTATCGTAATATTAATCGAAAAAGCTATAGAGAAAATAGAGATTATTTCTTAGATAAGAAGATTCAATGTAATTTATCTATTTCAAAGAAAAGCATTTGCAAAATATAGAGTTTATTAAAAAAAATTTTTTAGGGTCTTTATAATTTTAATTCCACCTTCGGTCTTGGCTTATTGACTATAAAAACTAGAAGGTGTCTTTTTTCTGGATTTTGATTTATTGATAGTAAAGGTTCAGGTATTTTAAAAAAAAGATAAAATTTTTAAGGCTAGATTGAGAATAAATTAATAAAAGTATATGAGCAATAAATCTTTCAGATTTGCTGGATTTAATTTAGGGAACTTATTTAACAATACTTCATAATTCTTAGACAGGAGCATTAATTTTCCCATTTTAAGTTTAAATATAGCATCTCCAGGATTATGAACTCTATAATCCCAATGTCTTCCCTAAAATCCGAGGGTTTGCTTTATCAATTTATATTGGTGAACCAATCCTCAAAATTGGCTAATCTGCATGATCAGACCAATTTATCAATTTGAGCATTGTTTAAGCAATATAAGTTGGTAAATTCAACCCTAATCTCCCGAGAACATCAGGACTATGGGAGTCTAAAAGAATCAAGACTCATTAGAAATTTTGTAACTAACTATTTTTGGATCCAAACTCAATATATTTATAGCGAAATGCATATAATTTTTTGCAAGCAATTAATTTGTATTATCCAGATTTTAATATATTTTATTTGAAAACTCTTCTTTTAATTTTGAAACAATTTTTTTTTATAAATTTTTAAACGAAATAATAAGTTAAAATTTGATTTATTTTAAAAATATTAAAGCTTCTCCTGAAATCTGCATTTATAATTAAAATTAAGAATTGAAAAATCTCAATTTATTATCAAAATCTAAAAATAAATTAATTTCAAAAGACTATGATTTTTTGATTTTAATTTCTTTTTATGCTTTTTATATTTAAAATTTTAGAATAAATGTGCTATTCGAGATATATAAAATTCCCAATAAATTTCTTATGAAGATAAATGAAGTTTTTTTAATATTTTATCAATTTATACTTTATGTAAAAATGAATAATTAAACTATCATGAGCAGGAAATTTATGCTCAAAAAAAGACTGGCAATTATTTTTAATCCGGCAAAGCTATATACAATTCTTAAGATGCTATGAATATTTACTGGACTAAATAATTTCGCTATTTTAATTCTTATAAAATGGTTAGCTAGTTTTATCAAAGTTTTATCCGCCATGAGTATATCTTCTAACAACTCCGGCTTGGGCTTCTTCTCCTTTTCTGGCAAAATCATTGAAAATTTGTTCTAATGAACTTTGAGCCAATGCATATTCAGAAATTTTAAATGCGTCTTTATTCATCTCCACAGCTGAGAAAAAGTATCCTATCGACTTTTCCTCTTCTTTAGCAACTTTGAACTTAAAGAGAGATGAAAAATGTTCAATAATTTCAACTTTCTTAAATTCACTCTTAAGCCAATCATAAATTTTGTCACCTAGCTCTTCAACTATAACCCAGGACACTAAATCCCCCCTCTGTGAGCGAAAAAAAACCATTGGAAAAATTCCTATTTTTTGCACAAAAACCCACCTTTGTGAGCAAATAAATTTTTTTTATGATATATAAATGATAATTAGTATAATGAAATATCTAGAAATTCTGTTTAATTTTAAACAAATTGCACTTTAAAAATAAATTTTATAAATTAAATATATATTTGTGTTCAAATTTTTCGAATTATGACTTTTTTAAATTTTGAAGAAAAAAATCTAGCTATAACATTTATATATAAATTTAAAAAAAAAAATAACCCTCTCCTTCTGCGAACAAATTTTTTACTCGCTTATGGAGGGGGGGGAGTAAGGAGTCTCTGGATATTACACCATCCACCTTTAATTGCTGATGCAAAGCAGAGCCTGCTCCTTTTTCGTGGATTTCTTCATATAAAGCTTTTGCGTTAAGAATTTCTAGACATGGCAAAACTTGATTTGCATTTATAACTGTCTCACCCATAAGGATACGATCTAAGCTTACTCCTCTGTCGTTTACTTCAAAATGGCTTGGGATGCTTACTTTGGCTTCGAATTCATAACGATCACCATATTTGCTTTTAATCCAGGTAGCGGTCCCAAGGCATCTCAGTCTGCCAGCTACCATAATTGCCATACGATCGCTTAAAGCTTCAGCTTCTTCCATTGAATGGGTTGTTAAAATGACTGAGGAGTTCTTTTGTTTAAGGTTCCCAATGACTTTCCACATTTTCTTTCTGGTTTCTGGGTCCATTCCTGCAGAAGGTTCATCTAAAAAGACCACTGTTGGGTTTCCAATGAGTGCCATTGCAACTGATAGTTTTCTTTTATTACCACCTGAATAGGTTCCTGCCAATATATCAGCATATTGTCTTAAATCCATTTGATCTATCATTTCTTCGACAAGTGCTTCTCTTCTATCTTTAGGAATTCCTTTGATATCTGAATATAGTCTTAAATGTTCTCTTGCTGTAAGTAGCTCAGATATAGCATCAAATTGAGGGCAATACCCTATCAAATCTCTTGCTCTATCAAGTTCAGTATTCAAGTTATGCCCACAGATATAAGCTTCCCCAGTTGTAGGAGCGATTTCTCCAGTCAACATTTTAAAAGTAGTTGTTTTTCCAGCTCCATTTACCCCTAAAAACGCAAAACATTCTTGTTGATTTACATTAAAGCTGACATTTTCTACTGCTGCGAAAGCTTTATTCATTCCTTGTCTAAATATTTTTCTGACTCCTCTAACATTAACTTGGACATCTTGAGGATTTATACTTAGCGCATTTTCTGCTTCTCTTTCGACATCGTCATCAGCTTCATACTCAGATGGAGCTACATGAGGAGCTTTCCAGAATTTTTGTAAAAGTTTTGGATGAGCTTCTAAATATTCTTGAACGTAAACTAAGAATAGATAAACAGGGATCATAATTCCTATCATTAAAATATCAGCACCAGCAGAACCCATATCAAAAGCATCATATAAGCCGTCAACTTCATCCCAATTTGAATAAGATGATATGCTTCCTATGTCCATCAACCCATTTCCATAACAAAATGCTGGGGAAAGCCTGAAAATCCACCTAAGTACTTTTCCAATAGGCCGTGTAGACTCAAAGATATAGAGGATCATAATAACAGCAGGGAAAATTCCACCAGCAACGACATTGAAAAGGATTGTAACAACTTGTGCAGTTGGATAACTTTTGAAGAAAAAGCTACTTTTTACAAAGGATAGAAGCATCCTATTGGTAAGCATTATCCTATTTTCATGTAGTGAATAGGCTAATGCTTGCTATTAGGAGTGTTTCTATTCATTCTAAAAAGGTATACTAAAAATACGTAAATGGTGCTATGGAAATTCCATATAAGAGCATTAAAACCCATAAAGCTCCATAGCTATCATCAGGGTCAGTAAAGCTTTTAATATCAAAAGCCTTGACCATGCCAGCACAAACAACGGCAGGGGCGATATGCTTAATAGAGTCCCAAAAGAAATTGGCACACCAATAGGAAAATCTAGAAACCCCACTAATCATATGCTGATGTTTTACATTAGTTTCTCGCTCTTTTACAATTAAAGCTATAATGCCAGTAGGAATAAAGCTAAATCCTAGCGAAAAGACTATCGATGCTAAAAATTTATATACATTAAGAATCAGTCCTCCTTTTAATTGCTGTAACTACAGCTGATCATAGACTTAGTGAGGTCAGGATCTTGAGGAAAGGAGGGTGACAGGTAGGAATGTGTATCTCGCTAGTTTTTTACTTGGTAGCCTATGTCGGGTAGCCGACCGCATGCTTTACTTCAGATCAAGGCTTCGTCTCAGAGGGAAATTGAGCCGAGAGTTAAAGGGATCCCCCAGCAGAGCCATTGGTTATATTTTCCTTTCCAATCGGGACTATTTTCAAGCATGAAACAAGGAGTTACGATCTGGGCTTCAGATTTCATTTTCGACAGAAAATTTGATACTTTGAATTCAATGGTGATCAACCTTTGCTGACGCGCAGTACGGTGACTGAATTCTCCAACTACCAAGTAGCGAGCTGGGCCTCAGTCCGGACAAAAAGCATCTTATATAAGGCTATGCACGTATTGGCGAGTTGGCATGGGGCGTTAAAGGGTAAAGACATTTCTTTGGAAATTACAATTGATTTTTTGTATAAGTAATATAACTTCAACAATGCTAAAAAATCCATCTCCAACTCCTTTAAGATCTTCTACTTTTTTGGTATAAGGAAGAGGGTAATTATAAACTGTTACAGTTACTCCATACTTTGACAATATTTCATTAGAAAGCTTGTTGTAGTAGACTCCAGTTGCTTGAGTGGCTGTTTGATTGTGAAAAATGACAGCTTCATACTGATCATTAGTAGTGTCCATATTTGTCAAATAGTATGAACCCATTCTATAATGGTCAGGAACTTTGCGAGTATCAAATAAAAATTGATCAAGGCCTTCTATTGTGCCATTAATATTTGCTGTATCAGAGCTTTGATTCTGCGCCCAAGTCCCAACATTGGCACCTGCTGGCCAGTAATAAATTGTATCTTGAGGTTGAGAATATGAGGACTCAGTTAAGTGTTTTTTATCAGTAGGTGGGAAATTATCTCCAATTTTCATCAAGCCAAGTCCAACAATTACAAGGATAATTGGAACAAAAATTTCATAGACCAAGCTTCTCATATCTCTTTTAGACCAAAATACTCTCTTTTTCAATAATGCCCAAAAATGGCTAAAAAATAATGATCCTTTTAGTCTATCTCTCGATAAAACAAAATCATTTTCAAGCTGAACCTCATTTTCTTTTTCAGCTTCATGGCTTTTTTTTGCGATTTCATTATCATCTCCTCTTGCAACCCTCAAGAAAACCTCTTCAAGAGTTGTTACAGAGACACCATAAGACCTTAATTGCAAAATTTTCAAATTTTGATCAAGAGCAGTAAAAAATGTAGTAAATTTGCTTGAACTAGAATTCGGGATTTGGAATGAAATTTCAGCATGGACGTCGCTCATTATAGAAGCTTCAGGAATGTAATCTCTAATAAAATCTGTGACTGATTGAGTATGCGATTTGCTTGCTACTCCTACTTCTTTGACAATAGTTAAATAATAGCCAACTCCATACCGTTTTTTCAAGAAAAGAGAGCTGCCAAGACATCTAACTCTTTAATTAATTAAAATATTATTTTTTGTAAATAATTTCATAATAAATTTTGTTTATTGAAAAAAAAATTATAAGTTTATTTTTTGAAAACTATTTGCTTTCTATTATAAATTAGGAAGTGAATTAAGTTTTCCATGAGACATAATAGCAATTCTATCTGCTAAAACGTCAGCTTCTTCCATATAGTGGGTTGTTAGGATAATGATCCTATTATTTTTGTTGTTTTTGAGCATATCCCACATCTGTCTTCTTGCAGTCAAGTCCATGCCTGATGTAGGCTCATCTAGTAGTACAATAGGAGAATCAGCTATTAAAGCCATTGCAAGGGATAATTTTCTTTTCATACCCCCTGACAAAAACTTAGACTGCCTATCTTTTTTAGCAGTTAAATCTACTTCTGATAATTTTTCTTTGATTTGCTTGTAGATTTCTTCTTTGTCTTGCATTCCTTTGAAAATAGCGAAAAGATATAAGTGCTCTTCAGGAGTTAAGTCATTGAATAAAACATTGTGTTGAGGGCAAACTCCAAGAGACCTTCTTATTTTATTAAGATCTGTTGATAAGTAATTTCCATTTATTTTCATATCTCCATATGTTGTTGGTATGAGTCCACACATCATAGAAATTGTTGTAGTTTTTCCAGCACCATTGTGACCCAATAATGCAAAAATTTGTCCATTATATATATCTAAGCTGATATCTTCGACAGCTGTTTTAGTACCAAAAACTTTTTTAAAGTTCCTTATAAGTAAAGCTTTTCCATTCTCTTTCTGCTTTTCTAAGTCTTCTTCAACCTTTTCAACATTATCTCCCCAATTAATTTCTTCATTAAATAAATCTTCATGGGCATTCTTTTTGCTAGTTACCCAAAAGGATTTTGTAAATAAAAAGTATCAAGGTCTCTTTACTCCCCACTCAGTAGGCCAAACCTGATCAAGGTAAAATGCAAGAATTGCAAAAATACCTAAATCAATAACGAGAAATGCAATAGAAGTCCCAAAAGTGTAGTTATTTATAGTTGAGTCTGTATTATAATTTTGCACTCCTACTTGGCCATTTTCCAGTTGTGCCAAAACGTCAATGCCTAAAGTCAAAGCAACATTAGGCAATAGTGATGCAGCAGTTTTGCTACCTTCATCTAAAGTTGGATCAGTGACTGCAAAACTTATAAAATAGCTTATCAGGAAAACCATAAGCCCTAGCATGACAGCGCTGCGTGATTTGGAAAAGAGCATGCTTATTAAAATACTGAAAGCCATGCAGCTCATCCCATATAGCCAGAGGAATAAAAATATCATTGCTGGACTGCTGTATTTGAAAAGGCCAACTGAAATAATAGAGCCTACAATTGCAATGAGTGTATATATTGAAAAATAATAAGTAATCCATGAAAGCCAATAAGCTTTATTGGAAAGTCCCATAATCATCATCATTTCTTTGATTTTGTATTCCTTTTCTTGTACAATTAAGGATAGCATTCTACACACAGGTATCAAGTAAGAAATGACAATAAAAAACGGAAGAAGCGTAGAAATGGATGTAATGAAATCATCTTCTGTATATTTATCATAATACATAGGAACGAAGCCTGCTGCAAAATGAGCGTTTGAATTTGAGGAAACGTCTTGGAGTATAATGTTATCTATATAATTCATCATATGAATGAAATTTGAGCCAATATAGTGGTATTGGAAGCTTGGCTTTGGTTTTCTGATAAGTTTATTAACATTATGATAGTCCAGGAAATCAAAAATGTCAATATAGTTTCCCATGGTTCTTCCTCCTGATCCATATGATTCTGTAGTATTGAATCTGAAGCTGTACTTTATATTTTTGGAGTCCTTGCTATAGAAGACTACAGCGAAACAAATTTTGCTATCATCTCCATAGTCGCTATCCTTTATATAGTCCTCTAAGTCATCCTCAGAGTCATAGCGCTCGACAACATAAGGGTTTCCTGTGTCATTTCCTTCAACTTTTATTTTATTTATGAGCTTATTTATGATAGTTTCTGAATATGGTTCTTTATGCTCGTTTATGAAAACTATCCTCCATCTTTCATCTTTCTCGAAGTAATCTCTATAGTAGTTATCATGACCTTTTGGAAAGTCTGGAATCTTGACGGGAGGGTCGAAATAGTGGCCAAAATAGTTATTCCCATCATAGGAGACAGTCATTGCTGACTTCTGAAGGTAAGAGGATTTCCCATGATCGGTAGTGCTTATTGCGCTTCTTATAAGCATCAAGACAAGGAGTAAGGCTATCGGAAAGAGCCATTCACAGATAGATCCACATAATCTTCTCTTCCAAAGAATCCAGTTCTTGTATAGTAGTGCTCGGTAGTGTTGCCAGGTTGACATTTATTATAAAAGCCTAAAAACTTTGGAGAATTTCTGAACAACAAAAAAAAATCTGAATAGAAGAGATTTTTAGAGTTTGAAATATAATTTTTAGTGCAAGTAAATATTGCTTTATTTATATAAAAACTTAACGTAAGGCCTGTCTTTGTTTGGTTTTTATGGACAATCTTCATATTTATGTTGACAAATGGAACTAGAAGAGGCCTTTGAATAGTGTTTTTGTTGGAAAATAAAGAATTATTATTTTTAGCTAAGAAGAAGCAAATTTTTAAAGTAATTTTGTTTTGATAAAGTAGAAAAATCTAAAATTATCAATATTCAACGTTTTTTTATAAGCATCCTTTGAAGATAATTTTTTTCTCAACAGAAAAGTCATTTTATGTTTAGAAGTGATAAATTCTCTTCAATTGCTAAGAGCTTGGTTTGCCTAAGAGCCAGAGTTCATCATCACCCGTATTATGATAATGAAAATTTTTTGAATTCCAAAAATTTTAAACCTTGAAAGAGTAGAAGCAAATAAATTTAGAGTGCGAAAATCTAATAATAACTAAGATTTGTCATCATATACCTAAATTATAAATATTTTGATACGATGTTCGTTGCTTGAGTTTTGTAACGATTTTCTGTTTTGAAAAATATTAAAAGGAATAAAGTTGAAACTACAGCTTCCAGTCCAAATTTTAATCAACAAATCTACTATAAATATTTTAAAGTGATAATTTATAACTCTCGATTAAACAGCAAGCCTAGAGAGTTGCATTTCAAGTAGTCTTAACTTTATTATAAATGCAAGCAAAGAAAATATTTGGAATGGTTGAAAAATAAAATTTAAAGATTATTCAGCGAAATCTTTACTAATTTTCTATTTTATAAATGCTTCCTCTTATTCTAGGGTATTTAAAAGTTTTTTCTTATGAAAACAAAAGTCGATGAATAAAATTTTTATGAATATCTCTATATTCTATTTAATTGGAAACAAATATAAACGAGTTCATTAATTATGCTCGAATAATTTGAGTAAAATATTTAATTTATACATATTAATAGTGTTTTTAGATATAAAACTCTATAAATACTTTGATTTTATACTAAGTTCATTTATAAAATTTTCTCCAGAAAACATTTCCGATAAGTATGAATTAATTTTATTAAAATGGAAATTTATTATTAGCTTCAAAATAAAATTATTATTATGAAGCTGAATAAAAAAATCAGCCTTTTCTAAATGCAAACATTCTTCAATGCTTATAACTAGTTTCTTGATATAAAAGATGAAGATTTCACTTGAATTGTTGCAAATCAAGTAATGCTGAAACAAATATATTGAAAATGTTCATAAAAATTCAGTTTTTTGCGTTTTTAGTTTTTTCAATTTAAGATAATTATTAATTATGTAAAAAATTCCTATAAATTTGGACTGTTTTGAGGAGATACTTTTCTGTGTAAAATTAATTTTTAATTAATATAATTTATATCATAAACCCTTTTTATCGAGGTTAGGAATTTTAATAAATGTTGATATTAACTAGTAATTATCTATTTTTTCTATTGACCATGAGTATATCTTCTCACAATTCCTGCTTGAGCTTCTTCTCCTTTCTTGGCAAAATCATTGAAAATTTGTTCTAAAGAACTCTGAGACAATGCATATTCAGAAATTTTAAATGCGTCTTTATTCATCTCCACAGCTGAGAAAAAGTATCCTATTGATTTGCCTTCTTCTTTTGATATCTTGAACTTATATAGTGAAGAGAAATGCTCAATAATTTCCACTCTCTTGAATTCGCTTTTAAGCCACCCATATATTTTATCACCAAGTTCTTCCACAATAACCCAGGAAACTAAAGAATCCCTTGATATGTATCCATCTACTTTTAATTGTTGATGCAAAGCAGAGCCTGCCCCTCTCTCATGGATTTCTTCATAAAAATCTTTTACGTTGAGGATCTCTAACTCCCCAACCTCCGTGAGCGAACAAAATTTTTTTGTTCTCTCGGGAGGGGTTAATTTTTTTCAATAAAAATCCATATATAAATTTTATTGTAAATTTTTTTTTTTAAAATTTAAAAAAAATTCAATTTGTAAAATTGAGAAATGAATTGCGAAATTTATGATTTAAAATGCAAGCTGTTTAAAATTAAACAGAATTAGCTATAAAATCTTTTTACTAGAAAAATTTTGTATGAAAAAATTTATATATAAGTGATAATTATTTGTTCGATCACGGAGGGCGGATTAAGCATGGTAAAATCTGATTTGAATCGATAACTGTTTCACCCATAAGGATACGATCTAAAACCATTCCTCTATCATTTACTTCAAAATGGCTAGGAACATCAACTTTAGCTTCAAATTCATATCGATCACCAAATTTGCTTTTAATCCAGGTAGCAGTCCCAAGACATCTAAGTCTTCCTGCGACCATAATTGTCATGCGATCACTTAAAGCTTCAGCTTCTTCCATAGAGTGAGTTGTCAAAATAACTGAAGAATTCTTTCTCTTACTCACCCCCCCCCTCCGTGAGCGAGCAAAAAAATTTTGTTCGCTCACGGAGGGGGGTTAATTTTTTTTTTTAAAAAAAATTTATATATAAATTTTATAAAAAATATTTTTTTCGAAATTTTAAAAAAATCCTAATTTGCAAAAATTGGGAAGCAAATATTAATTTAATTTGCAAAATTTATGTTTTAAAACGCAATTTGTTTAAAATTAAACAGAATTAGCTCTAGATTTCATTATACTAATTATCACTTATATATCAAAATTTTTTTCCATTAAAATTTTTTCTATTAAAAAAATTTTTGTTCACTCACGGAGGGTGGGTTTTTGGTCAAAAAATGGCGATTTTTCTAATGGTTTTGTTCGCTCACGGAGGGGGGGGGGGAGTTAAGGTTTCCTATGACTTTCCACATTTTCTTTCTGGTTTCTGGGTCCATTCCTGCTGAAGGTTCATCTAAGAAAACTACTCTTGGATTCCCAATAAGCGCTATTGCAACTGACAGTTTTCTTTTATTCCCTCCTGAATAGGTTCCTGCCAAAATATCAGCATATTGCCTTAAATCCATTTGGTCTATCATTTCTTCGACAAGTGCTTCTCTTCTATCTTTAGGAATTCCTTTGATATCTGAGTATAATCTCAAATGTTCTCTTGCTGTAAGCAGCTCTGAGATTGCATCAAACTGTGGGCAATAGCCTATTAACTCTCTCGCGTTATCAAGCTCAGTATTCAAATTATGCCCACAAATATAAGCCTCTCCAACTGTTGGAGCAATTTCACCAGTAAGCATTTTAAAAGTTGTCGTTTTTCCAGCTCCATTTACTCCTAAGAATGCAAAACACTCTTGTTGGCTTACATTGAAGCTCACATCTTCTACTGCAACAAAAGCTTTATTCATTCCTTGCCTGAATATTTTTCTTATTCCTCTGACATTAACCTGAACATCTTGAGGATTTACATTTAAAGCATTTTCTGCTTCCCTTTCTACATCATCATCAGCTTCATATTCTGATGGAGCCACATGAGGAGTTTTCCAGAATTTTTGAAGCAATTTTTGATGAGTTTCTATCTTTCCTTTCAAATAAATAGTCTTTAATATTTAGAAGCAGTGAATTTCGTTTAATGAAAATTCAAAAATAATTTAGCTATTACTGTTAATCTTTAGAAATCCTTTCAGTTAAATAAGCATTTAATAAATTTTTGAAATGTTCGCGTATTTTAATAAAATCAAATCTGAATTAATAAAGAGTAAGTATTCTTGAATATAGACTAAAAAGAGATAAACTGGGACCATAATCCCAATCATTAAAATATCAGAGCCGGCTGAATCCATATCAAAAGCTTCATACAGACCATCTTTTTCATCCCAGTTCGAATATGCAGTTATACTTCCTAAATCTAATAATCCATTTCCGAAGCAAAATGCTGGGCTTAGCCTAAATATCCATCTAAGCCCTCTTGCAAGAGGTCTTGCTGACTCGAAGAAATACAAAATCATGATGACTGCTGGAAGGATCCCACCTGCAACGACGTTAAAAAGAATTGTGGCAACTTGGGCAGTTGGATAGCTCTTGAAGAAAAAGCTGGTAAAATAAGTAAAAGGGGCTATAGAAACACCGTACAGGAGCATGAGCGCTCAAACTGCTTCGTATGTGTCATCAGGATCTGTGAAAGTTTCTATATCAAATGCTTTGACCATAGCAGCACTTATAACTGCTGGGAATATGTGCTTAATGGAATCCCAAAAGAAATTAGCACACCAATAGGAAAACCTAGAAACCCCACTAATCATATGCTGGTGTTTTACGTTTGTTTCTCGCTCTTTTACAATCAAAGCAATAATGCCTGTTGGAATAAAGCTAAATCCTAAAGAAAAAACTATTGATGCTGCAAATCCATCTCCAACTCCTTTCAAATCTTCCACTTTTTTGGTATAAGGAAGAGGATAGTTATAAACTGTTATTTTTACTCCATACTTGGCAAAAATTTCATTAGAAAGCTTGTTGTAGTAGACTCCAGTTGCTTGAGGAGCTGATTGGTTATGGAAAATAACTGCTTGATATTGATCATTAGTAGTATCCATATTTGTCAAATAATAAGAGCCCATTCTATAGTGATCTGGATCTTTGCGAGTATCAAATAAGTATTGATCAAAGCCTTCTATTGTATTATTTATACTGCTAACAGCCTCAGAGTTTTGATATTGTGACCAAGGTCCAACATTGGTTCCAGCTGGCCAGTAATAAATTGTATCTTGAGGATCTGGGTATGAGGATTCTGTCAGCTTCTTTTTATCAGTAGGTGGGAAATTATCTCCAATTTTCATCAGGCCAAGTCCAATAATGACTAGCACAATTGGGACAAAAATTTCATAGACTAAACTTTTCAAGTCTCTTTTCGACCAGAAAACTCTCTTTTTCAATAATGCCCAAAAATGGCTGAAAAAGAGTGAGCCTCGTAGCCTATCTCTTGATAAAACAAAATCATTTTCAAGCTGAACCTCATTTTCTTTTTCAGCTTCATGCTCTTTTTTAGCGATTTCATTATCATCTCCTCTTGCAACTCTCAAGAAAACCTCCTCAAGGGTTGTGACAGAGACACCATAAGACCGTAATTGTAAATTTTTCAAATTATTGTCAAGAGCAGTAAAGAATCTAGTAAATTTGTTTGAGCTTGAATTCGGGATTTGGAATGAAATTTCAGCATGGACGTCACTCATAATAGAAGCTTCAGGAATGTAGCCTCTAATAAAATCTGTGACTGATTGCGTATGTAATTTGCTTGCAACTCCTACTTCTTTGACAATAGTTAAATAATAGCCAACTCCATAGCGCTTTTTTAAGAAAAGAGAGCTGCCAAGGCATCTTAGCTTTCCATGAGACATAATTGCGATTCTATCTGCTAAAACGTCAGCGCTTCTTCCATATAGTGGGTTGTTAGGATGATGATCCTATTATTTTTGTTGTTTTTGAGCATATCCCACATCTGTCTTCTTGCAGTTAAATCCATTCCAGAAGTAGGCTCGTCTAGTAGCACAATAGGAGAATCAGCTATTAAAGCCATTGCAAGGGATAATTTTCTTTTCATACCCCCTGACAAAAATTTAGTCCTTTTATCTTTTTTGGCTGTTAAGTCTACTTCTGATAACTTTTCTTTGATTTGCTTGTAGATTTCTTCTTTGTCTTGCATTCCTTTGAAAATAGCGAAAAGATATAAATGCTCTTCAGGTGTTAAGTCATTGAATAAAACATTGTGCTGAGGGCAAACTCCAAGAGACCTTCTTACTCTCTCCCTCTAAGCCAACAAGCATATTTTGTTCGTTCACAGAGGGGTCATTTACATATTAAAATATTTTTATAAAATTTTTATATTAAATACATTTTTCCCTCACTTATTGAAAGTGATTTTTTCCAAGAATTAGGTCTTGCTCATTTATAGGGCGTGGAGTTAATTGATTGAGATGAGTTGATAAGTACATATCATTCAGCTTCATATCTCCATATGTTGTTGGTATAAGTCCGCACATCATTGAGATCGTTGTAGTTTTTCCTGCACCATTATGCCCTAATAAAGCAAAAATCTGCCCATTATATATATCTAAGCTTATATCCTCAACTGCTACTTTATTGCCAAAAACTTTTTTAAAGTTCCTTATAAGTAAAGCTTTTCCGTTTTCCTTTTGCTTTTCTAGCTCTCTAGTAAGTGAATAAGGCCCATTAGAGACGTCTTATTTTTAGAATCAACTCGTATGTAAGCAAAAATATTTTGATATATATGCATTTATTCTTATTAAGAATTTCTAGCTAATTTTATTTAATTTTAAACAAATTGCGTTTTAAACTTTATTTTGATAAATAAAAATGAATTTGCTACTTTTAAATGTGTTAAACTGAGACCTTTTAAAATGTTTTAAAAGGAATTTAAGCTTTTGTGGAAAAATTTTCCTCCTCATTGACAGATTAAGTCTTGGTCGACCTTCTCTACATTATCTCCCCAATTGATTTCCTGAGAAAATAAGTCTTCATGTGAATTTACTTTATTTTTCACCCAAAATGATTTTGTTAGTAGAAAATACCATGGCCTTTTAACTCCCCATTCAGTAGGCCAAACCTGATCAAGATAAATCGCCAAAATTGTAAAAATCCCTGAATCAATAAGCATAAAAGCAATAAAGGTGCCAAATGTATAGTGATAAACCTCATCGCTTAAATTATCACTTTGAACGCCAACTTGGCCAGTTTCCATCTGCACTAGGACATCAATGCCTAATGCAAGCGCAATATTAGGTAATAAAGATGCAGCAGTCTTGCTACCTTGATCTAAAGTATGGTCTGTAACAGCGAAACTTATAAAATAAGTTATACAAATTTATTAAATCGAAATATATCTGCTGCTTGCTACTATTATATCTTTTATAAAAAATGAATGGGAAAATCTATTATAAAAAATAATTCATGATAAATGGCTTATTAGAAAAGTCATAAGGCCTAGCATTACAGCACTGCGCGATTTAGAAAAGAACATGCTAATAAATATGCTGAAAGTCATGCAGCTTAGCCCGTATAGCCAAAAAAGAAGAAACATCATTCCTGCATTGCTATATTTAAAAAGCCCTATTGAAATAATTGCGCCAACTCCTGCTATTACTGTATATATTGAAAAATAATAAGTGATCCATGACAGTCATAATTGAAAGTGGCGTCTAGCCCGGGCATGGCTTCCGGGCGATGCAGCCTCGAGCACATATTTAATTATATCCGGCAAGGTTATGCCAACACAGAAATGGACAGCAATATCAGGTAACCAATTCAGCAGTGTGCGAAGCCTGATCCAAGTCCCTTTTCAGGATTGTTTTTACCTTGCAGGGAAGGAAGGCTAAGAGTTGGAAAGGGAAAAGCCCAGCAGCGTTTTTAACCACTCGGGCAAACTCCCTAACGTGAAACCAAGAATTACGCCTTGGGCTCTGAGTTGTACCTTTTGCCGACAGTCAGCCAGAAATTTCATTTTTTGAATTTTTGTTCAGGCAACCTCCTTCGAAGTTGAGAGCTGGAAGGACAGCCGTCGAAATCTAAACGCCTAAAGCCTTAGGACCATACAGTCTTGATACCCACGTGGTGCACAACCTGCTCGGAGGAGCGGGGAACCCCGAAACAAGGATAGAAGCCCATGCAGGCAATGTGGCAGTGAACTTTAAACGGAGGATTAGAGCCCTTAAATTAATTAATGTGTGTGACTCATGACAGCCAATATGCCTTATTGGAGAGTCCCATAATCATCATCATTTCTTTGATTTTGTACTCTTTTTCTTGTACAATCAAAGACAGCATTCTGCATACAGGGACAATGTAGGAAATCACTATCTCTCATTTAAATTAAAGCTTATAAAAAATTAAATGTATTTTCAGTTTTCAGAAAATTTGAATGCAAAATATTTTAAAATTTAAAAATCAAAGCAATAATTTGCATGGATTAGAAAATAGGCGTATCGCAAAAATTTTAAGCAAGGAGAAGTAAGAAAAAAGGAAGAATACCTGAAACTGCTGACATGAAATTATCATCTGTATATTTATCGTAATACATTGGAACAAAACCTGCTGCAATATAAGCATTTGAAGAGGAAAGGTCTTGAAGGATAATGTTGTCAATATAGTTCATCATATGAACAAAGTTTGAGCCAATATACTGATACTGCAGTCCAGGTTTTGGTTCTCTTCTGTATTTATCAATATTTTGATGGTTTAGAAAATCAAAAATGTCCATATAGTCCCCTATACTTTTTCCTCCACTCCCATATGACTCTGTTACATTGAACCTGAAGCTATACTTGATATTTTTGGAGTCTTTGCTATAAAAAACCACTGCGAAAACAATTTTGCTATGCTTCCCATAGCCACTTTCCTCGATATAATCTTCTAAGTCATCCTCAGAATCGTAACGCTCAACTACATAAGGGAACCCAGTGTCATTTCCTTCAGCTTTTATTCTATCTGTAAGCTTATTTATGATTGTTTCTGAATAAGGGTCTTTATGCTCATTTATAAAGACGATCCTCCATCTTTTATCTTTATGATAGTAATCTCTATAGTAATTGTCATGACCTTTTGGGTAGTCTGGAATTTTGACTATAGGCTCGAAATACTGACCAAAATAATTGTTTCCATCATAGGAGACAGTCATAGCTGACTTGTGGAGGTAAGAGGATTTCCCATGATCTGTATAGCCGACAGCGGTTCTTATGATCATCAATACAAGGAGCAAGGCTATAGGAAATGCCCATTCACAGATTGACCCGAACAGCTTGCGCTTTCAAAGGATTCAGTTTTTGTACAACAGAGCTCGATAGTGCTGCCAAAGAGACATTTAATTATAAGGATCAGACCATTTTGGAGAACTTTTGAATGTTAAAATGAAAGCAAAGAAGTTATCAATTATTTAGAATTTAAGCACCAGTACATTTAGTATCTCCTGAATTTAATAAAATTTTTATTTAGATGTGAATCGGTCCGGCATTGTGGATTTTTTTCTACTTTTTGTCAAGTTTTTACAATTCCGAAATTCAAAACAATTTTTCCCTTTATTTATATTTTTATAAGGAAAATTTATTATTCCTTAGAGAGAGCGGCTTAATCTTTGTAAATATAATTAGTCCAGTGCAATTTGAGCCTGGAAACTTTCGAAGTAAAATAACATATTTCCCTTCATGCTTTCTAGATTAAATAATTTTAAAAATCTTCGGTAATCAGTAAGGTCTTTACAATATTCATGCTAAATAAATATAAGGAAACCCATTAACTGAAGCATAACCTTAAATAGAAAAATGGACAGACAAGATCAATTTTTAATGCGCATTACTTTATTTTATTGCACAAATAATTTCATTTATCCTGATCATAATTGCTGATAAATAATTATTAATTTGCCATTTCTGCGTTCCCAAGAAGCCGAATTGAAATGTGATAATAGATTTAATTAAAGAGAAAAATTTAATAAGAAGTGCTTCTAGAGTTAAATTTTTGGGAGTTATATGTTTTTTATTAAATATAAAACCATTTTTTAAATTTGGAAATATAAATGAAATTAGGGCTTAAGCCTGCTGTGTGAATTTAGTTATCAAAAATGATAGCAGATAATTATTATTTAGTGCTGATAAGCAATTAGCCTTTATCTCAATCAATAATTTCGAAGTTTTAATTTTTTAAGCAAAGAAAAAATTTAGCTGATTAAGTAGCTAATTCTAAAGTAAATTTTTCAATCCGAAATCACATTTGCCAGTTACTTAAATAAAGAAATAAAAATAAATTTGATGACATTTATTTTAACTTGCCTTCCATATATATATATTTATATATATATTCATTGCATGGGCTAACTACTCCACTTTCTATCTAATTGAGACATAATTACTGTTTCGGTTTCAGGAGTAATTTTTCTGTAATTTCCATAGGAAAATTTATTAATTGTTTCTAAATTTTCCAAAATTATTAATGCAAATATAATATTGTTTGAACAGCTTCTAATTTAAAAGAGAGCTAGATAGCAATACTTCGTTATAAAAAAGTTGCCATATTAACTGCCACTTTAAAATAGGCTTTGGAGAGAAATTATTTTAAACCTGCTTAATTCATTTTTTTGATTTGGAATGGGATTATCTTAATGTTTGAGCTCGAATATTCTTTTTGGCCTTCGTTTAAGGAATATTAAATAAATCGTGCAAAAAAATAAATTAATACTGATTTATAATTATACTTATGCTCCATGGGCATATCTTCTTACAAGTCCCGCTTGTGCTTCTTCTCCTTTCTTTGCAAAATCATTGAAGATTTGCTCCAAAGAACTTTGAGACAATGCGTATTCATAAATTTTCAAAGCTTCCTTATTTGTTTCCACAGCTGAGAAAAAGTATCCAATTGATTTTCCTTCTTCCCTTGAGATCTTGAACTTATAAAGCGATGAGAAATGCTCAATAATTTCCACTTTCTTGAATTCGCTTTTAAGCCACTCATAAATCTTATCACCTAATTCTTCAATAATAACCCAGGAGACTAAAGAATCCCTTGATATGTATCCATCTACTTTTAATTGTTGATGTAAAGCAGAGCCAGCTCCTCTTTCGTGAATTTCTTCATAAAAAGCCTTTGCATTGAGAGTTTCTAAACAAGGCAAAATTTGCTGTTCAGAAATTTGGTTTTCACCCATAAGGATACGATCTAAAACCATTCCTCTATCATTTACTTCAAAATGGCTAGGAACTTCAACTTTGGCTTCAAATTCATAGCGGTCACCAAATTTGCTTTTTATCCATGTAGCTGTGCCTAGGCATCTGAGTCTTCCTGCAACCATAATTGACATACGATCGCTTAAAGCTTCAGCTTCTTCCATAGAATGAGTTGTCAAAATAACCGAAGAGTTCTTTTTCTTGAGATTTCCTATGACTTTCCACATTTTCTTTCTGGTTTCTGGGTCCATTCCTGCTGAAGGTTCATCTAAGAAAACTACTCTTGGATTCCCAATTAGCGCAATCGCAACTGATAATTTTCTTTTATTGCCCCCTGAATAGGTCCCTGCTAAAATATCAGCATAAGGTCTTAAATCCATTTGGTCTATCATTTCTTCGACAAGTGCTTCTATTCTATCTTTAGGAATCCCTTTTATATCTGAATAAAGTCTTAAATGTTCTCGGGTTGTAAGCAATTCAGATATAGCATCAAATTGAGGACAATATCCAATTAACTCTCTAGCATGATCCATTTCTGTATTCAAGTTGTGCCCACAGATATAAGCTTCTCCAGTTGTAGGAGCAATTTCTCCAGTCAGCATTTTGAAAGTTGTAGTTTTTCCAGCTCCATTTACCCCTAAAAATGCAAAACATTCTTGTTGATTAACATTAAAGCTCACATCTTCTACAGCAACAAAAGCTTTATTCATTCCTTGCCTAAAGATTTTCCTGATGTTTCGTACATTGACTTGAACGTCTTGAGGGTTAATACCTGGCTTAACTTAGATTTATAAGTTTAAAGTTCAATAATGCATGGCCTACTCACCTTACTCGACTTTACGTTTTGGACCGCTGACTTTGGGATTTTGGCAGTTTTCCTTCCTGCTCTCAGGCTGGAATGTAGGCTGCTTGTATAGAAATTCAATAAATGGATTTTCTCTCTGACTCTAAGCAAAATGGAAATGTGAAACCCCAGGAAGTAACTCCCGGTTTTCAGGCTGGATAATGCCCAAATGGCCTAGCGGTACTGATAAGCTTCTCTCAGATTCCATTATCCTCTCATTCCCTCCGTTGCCCCAACTAAAATCCAGGCCTGATTCGAATCAAGTTAGGCTACCAGAATTGCTTACCTAAGTGTAGCTATCCATTTCTGATCTAGCAAAACCTGTCTGATACATTAAATATGCTTTCGAGGCTTCATGGCCTGAGGCCATGCCCATACTGAGACACAATAATTACTTATATAAGGGCTAACACTCAGAGCGTTTTCTGCTTCCTTTTCTACATCATCATCAGCTTCATAGTCTGATGGAGCCACATGAGGGGTTTTCCAGAATCTTTGGAGTAATTTTTGATGAGTTTCTACATATTCTTGAACATAAACTAAAAATAGATAAACCGGGATCATGATTCCGATCATTAAAATGTCAGCACCAGCCGAATTCAGATCATATATATTGTACACACCATTTTCTCCATCCCAGTTTGAATATGCAGTTACACTTCCTATATCTAATAATCCATTTCCATAGCAAAATGCTGGGCTTAGCCTAAATATCCATCTAAGTCCTCGTGCAAGATTTCTAGTAGACTCAAAATAATATAGAATCAAAATAATTGCAGGGAGAATTCCTCCAGCAATCACATTGAATAAAATCGTAACCACTTGTGCTGTAGGGTAGGTCTTGAAGAAAAAGCTTGTAAAATAAGTAAATGGGGCAATAGAAATCCCGTATAAAAGCATTAAAGCCCATAAAGCTGAGTATTCATCATCAGTGTTTGTAAAAGCTGTCACATCAAAAGCTTTTACCATTAAAGAACAAAACACAGCTGGAAAGATGTGCTTGACTGAATCCCAGAAGAAATTAGCACACCAATAGGATAATCTTGAAACCCCGCTTATCATGTGCTGGTGTTTAACATTTGTTTCTCGCTCTCTTACAATTAAAGCAATAATACCTGTTGGAATAAAGCTAAATCCCAATGAAAATACAACTGAAGCTGCAAATCCATCTCCAATGCCTTTCAGGTCTTGAACTTTTTTAGTATATGGAAGAGGGTAGTTATAAACAGTTACTTTCACGCCATATTTGGAAAGAATTTGATTTGAAAGGTTATTGTATAATAATAAAATGATGCCATCAGAGTTAGTCCTCGCCAAGAACTATTCTATACTTTAGCAGTTTTATATTGGGTTTCTAATAAACCCTTATCCGTACACCAAGAGGGTACATTTTGGGACTTGGTCTTAAGGTTTTAAGAGCATTATTTCCCTTCCTTTAAATAAAAACAAAATATAGGTAAAATTTCCAGTTTTTTGGTAAATCGACCCCGTTTAAATTGGAAAAAATAAAAATACTTTTTTTATAAAAATAGTTTTGACTAATTTAATTGAGGCAGCGCAAATAAAATGCAAGCTAAATATTTGGAGCCTTGAATTAATTAATATATATGATAAAAATAAATTAAATGGCCAATATATATTCTTTAATGTTTTAAAAATATTTTTTATCATCTAATATTTTAAAAATAAAAAATTAACTCTCTTTTTAAATTGGAAAAATTTTTAGTTCCAATTTAAAGGCTTAACCACATATCCTCTTGCATCGCTGAGAGATCTTTAGGTAAAATACTCATAGGAAGCAAGTAAAGATCAAGATTAGTGCGAGTTGCGAGATTACTACTAGAGCTCGAGGAATGGTTGCCTGGTTGGAGAGTATTGTAATGAATCATTTCTAAGTTAAATTGAAAGGCTGTTGTAATATACTCCAGTTGCTTGAGGAGCTGTTTGGTTGTGGAATATAACAGCTTGATACTGATCATTAGTAGCATCCATATTTGTCAAGTAATACGAGCCCATTCTATAATGGTCAGGATCTTCACGAGTGTCAAATAAAAATTGATCAAAACCTTCTAGTGTGCCATTAATATTTAATGTTTCAGAGCTTTTATATTGTGACCAAGGTCCAACATTGGTTCCAGGTGGCCAATAGTAAATTGTATCTTGAGGATCTGGGTATGAAGATTCTGTTAGCTTCTTTTTATCAGTAGGCGGAAAGTCACCTCCAATTTTCATAAGTCCAAGTCCAATGATTACCATACAGATAGGCACTAAAATTTCATATACCAAGCTTTTAAAGTCTCTCTTTGACCAGAAAACTCTCTTTTTCAATAAAGCCCAAAAATGGCGGAATAATAGAGAATCCCTCACCTTATCTCTGGATAAAACAAAATCGATTTCAAGCTTAGTTTCATCTATTTTTTCTTTTTCATCGTCTTTTTTAGCGATTTCATTATCGTCTCCTCTTGCAACTCTCAAGAAAACCTCCTCAAGAGTTGTTACAGACACACCATAAGACCGTAATTGTAAATTTTTCAGATTTTGGTCCAGAGCAGTGAAAAATGCTATAAATTTGTTTGAGCTTGAATTCGGGATTTGGAATGAAATTTCAGCATGGACGTCACTCATTATAGAAGCTTCAGGAATGTAATCTCTAATAAAATCTGTGACTGATTGCGTATGCGATTTGCTTGCAACTCCTACTTCTTTGACGATAGTTAAATAATAGCCAACTCCATATCGTTTTTTTAAGAAAAGAGAGCTGCCAAGACATCTGAGCTTTCCATGTGACATAATTGCAATTCTATCAGCTAAAACGTCGGCTTCTTCCATATAGTGGGTTGTTAGGATGATGATCCTATTATTTTTGTTGTTTTTGAGCATATCCCACATCTGTCTTCTTGCTGTAAGATCCATGCCAGCAGTCGGTTCATCTAATAGTATAATAGGAGAATCAGCTATTAAAGCCATTGCTAAGGATAATTTTCTTTTCATACCCCCTGATAAAAACTTAGTGCGCTTATCTTTTTTGTCCATTAAATCTACTTCTGATAACTTTTCTTTGATTTGTTTGTAGATTTCTTCCTTATTTTGCATTCCTTTGAATACGGCGAAAAGATATAAATGCTCTTCAGGAGTTAAGTCATTAAACAGCACATTGTGTTGAGGGCAGACTCCAAGAGATCTTCTCATTTGATTGAGATGAGTTGATAAGTACATGTCATTTAGCTTCATATCCCCATATGTAGTTGGTATAAGTCCACACATCATTGAGATCGTTGTTGTTTTTCCTGCACCATTATGCCCTAATAATGCAAAAATTTGTCCTTTATAAATATCTAGGCTTATATCTTCAACTGCTACTTTATTGCCGAAAACTTTTTTAAAGTTCCTTATAAGTAGAGCATTTCCGTTTTCTTTCTGCTTTTCCAAGTCTTCCTCAACTTGCTCTACATTATCTCCCCATTTGATGTCCTGAGTAAATAAATTTTCAAGTGCGCTCTTTTTGCTTTTAATCCAAAATGACTTAGTAAATAAAAAGTACCAAGGCCTTTTAACTCCCCATTCAGTAGGCCAAACTTGATCAAGATACACTGCTAAAATTACAAAAATTCCTGACTCCCCGATTGCGAAACAAAATATTTTTTTGCTTACTCCCCGCCCCCATCCTTGATCGAACGATTGACTGTAAAAATTCCTAAAAAATTGGGGAAATTAACCCCCATCCTTGATCGAACGATTTTCATATCATGCAAATTTTTATATATATATAAAAAATATTAGTTATCAAACGCTTTGGAAGATGTGCCTAATGAAGTTGTTTTCAGAGCTTTGAGACGACAGAAAGCTGCGAAATCAACCATCCGAAGTGATTTAGACATCAACCTAGGCTTAAAAGCTAATAATAGAGATTCTTTAAAATTTTAAAAAAATATTTAATTTAAATTAAAATTTATACAGTTTAAAAGGGTAACTAATAAATCAAAATATTAAAAATTGGTATTTTTATGAAATTAATTCAATTTTTTGCTGTAAAAATAATTATTAAATACTCTTAACCCTCTTATTTAAAGTAAATAAAAAAAAATCTATATATATCTTTTTCATTTTATATATAAATTTTTTTTCCCAAAAAAAATTTTTTTTAACCCCCATCCTTGATCGAACGATGGCGAGTCGTTCGATCAAGGATGGGGGGGAGTTAAGTTAATTTTTTTTTAAAATTTATTATATAAATTTTATAGTAATTTTTTTTCAAAATTTAAAAAAAATCCAAATTTAAAGCAACTATTTATTTAATTTGTAAAATTTATATTTTAAAATGCAAGCTGTATAAAATTAAACAGAACTAGCTAGAGATTTCATTATAATAATTAACACTTATATATCAAAATACTTTTTCATATATACTAAAACCATTTTTTGTTCACTCACAGAGGTGTAATTTTTTCAATGGTTTGTTCGCTCACGAAGGGAGGAGTGAGTCAATTATTAAAAAGTATATACAAGTACCAAAGCTATAGTGGTACACCTCTTCGTCGATATTGTCGCTTTGCACTCCGACTTGGCCATTTTCCATCTGCATCAGAACATCACAGCCTAAAGTCATAGCAATATTAGGCAGTAGCGATGAAGCAGTTTTACTTTCTGAATCTAAAGTGTGATCAGTGACTGCAAAGCTTATGAAGTATGTTATGAGAAAAGCCATAAGACCTAGCATTACAGCGCTTCGGGACTTGGAAAAGAACATACTGATAAAAATGCTGAAAGTCATGCAGCTGATCCCATATAGCCAATAAAACAAAAACATGATGCCTGGGTTGCTATTCTCTTTTACTCAAAAAACAATACTATAGTATAAGATAAAGTTAAAATTCCTATTTATTATCATATGTATATATTTAAAAAGGATCATTGAAATAAGGGCTCCAACTCCTGCTATGATCGTATATACAGAGAAGTAGTAAGTAATCCACGACAGCCAGTAAGCTTTATTGGAAAGCCCCATAATCATCATCATTTCTTTGATTTTATATTCTTTTTCTTGTACTATCATAGACAGCATTCTGCACACAGGCACCAAGTAAGAAATGACAAGGAAAAATGGCAGTGTCCCTGAAATTGCATTGATGAAGTTGTCTTTAGTGTACTTATCATAGTACATAGGCACAAACCCAGCTGCGAAGTGAGCATTCGAATTGGAGGATAAATCTTGAAGGATGATGTTATCTATATAGTTCATCATGTGAATAAAGTTCGAGCCAATATACTGATATTGGAAATCAGGCTTTGGCTCTTTTGTATATTTGTTAATATTTTGATTGTCTAGGAAATCAAATATGTCAATTCAATTCCCGAGGCCACTACCATCTGAGCTATATGATTCAGTAGTATTGAACCTGAAGCTATATTTGATATTTTTGGAGTCTTTACTATAAAAGACCACTGCGAAACAAATTTTGCTATGCTTTCCGTAGCCACTTTTCTTGATGTAATCTTCTAAGTCATCCTCTGAGTCATAACGATCAACTACATAAGGGAATCCTGTGTCGTTTCCTTCAGCTTTTATTCTATCAGTTAGCCTGGTTATGAGAGTTTCTGAATAAGGATCATTGTACTCATTTATAAAGGCTATCCTCCATCTTTTATCTTGATCATAGTAATCCCTATAGTAATTTTCATGACCTTTTGGAAAATCTGGAATTTTAACAACAGGGTCGAAATATTGGCCAAAATAGTTGTTGCCGTCATAGGAGACCGTCATTGCTGATTTTTCAAGGTAAGAGGATTTTCCATGATCTGTATATTTGATGGCACTTCTTAAAATGGCTAAGACCAATAACAAGGCGATCGGAAATAGCCATTCACAAATGGAGCCAAAAATTTTCCGCTTCCATAGGATCCAGTTCTTGTATAGCAGAGCTCGATAGTGTTGCCAGAGAGACATTTATTATGAGGCTATGAGTAGTTTGGAGAATTTTTGAATGTTTTAGGACAAAGATGGATAGATTATTCTTAGAAGTTTTAAGTTTTTTTTTTTACTTTTAGCTACCTTAAATAAGCAAGCAAAATTTTTTCTATCCTCAACCTTCATAAAATTAACTATTCTTCATTTTAGGACAACATTTGGGTTAACTTCTTCAAGACTAAAATCAGGCAAGCTGCATCACAAAAGGCTATTAACCTCGATAATCCATAGACAAGAGCTTTCCTGAGTTTAAGAACATAGATATTTATTTTTATTCAAAATACCTACTTCATACGTGACTTCTTAATGACAAACTTTTGTATTTCTATCTGCCCTTATATATGCGGCTTTGATGACATTTATGGTCTTTTGAAAATTCGGCCAGTTTCGAATTTACTGATTATGTTTAGGCTTAGAATTTGCCTTCTTTCAATCGAAACAATATATAGAAGAAGAATAATAAGCATTCTATGAAAACAAAAATAACCCTTCTTCAATTTTTAGAGATTGAAGCTAGGGAAAAGCACTTGAATCGGTTACATTTTTAAAGGTCTCTTATGCTTGGTAAATTTTTCAATATATATTTTTTTAAGGTATATCATATAAAAAACTCTGCTAAGGAGTTTAAACTTTTTTGAAATTCTGCCAAAAAATTATTTTGCAATAACTAATATTAATCGAGACTTAATTTAACGGGCCTTACTTTATTTCAATTATTATGATAAGCCAATAAGCAACAACAAAAAAAGAGAAAGCTAGCCCTACTACAATTATCTCAATAGGAATTAATATCAATGATATGAGCAAACTAAAATATTAAAATAAAGTTCTACCAATCTCTTTTGAATTTTAACTCTGTTTTTATATTAAAATCATCCTAGTTATTCTTAATTAATATATTCTAATCTTTATTTTAAATCTTTCTTGCTCAGCCCTAAAAAAGTTTTAAAATCCCAAAAATCAAGTTTAAGAATATAAGTCTATGACATTAAAGAATTTTTAAAATCCAAAAATTAAGTTTAAGAATATAAGTCTATAAAATTAAAGAATTGTAGCTAATATTTTTGGCTAGGAATTTTGATTAAGTTCAATTTTGCAAATATTTATTAGGATTAAAAGTTTAATGATACTCCCTACATCCTGCAGCTTTAGCTGACGAGCTAAGAGTACTCATTCCCCCATTTTCTTTGTCAAGGCTCATTATCTATTGGTCCAGATCATATGCAATTGCCAAGATTCTCCGTTTTCAACCAAAGATCGAAATTATTCAACCAAGCTTCTTTAGACAGCATCGCCCTTAAATCGGGAGCTTTTAACTAAGGGAATTTCACTCTTGAAATTTACGTCACGGTCTGCCTTCCCCTTTTTCCATTTCCAATTGAGCAGGCTCTATCAACGGAAATAATACTAGGCACTCTTGCTTCGAGGCTAACTTAAATCTCGGACAGCTCTTTTCACTAAGAATCCAAATCTGGATGCACACAAAATTTCCCACCAATCGGAGGACGGTTTTCTATTCACCAACTGTTTTATATATATAAAGATTATTTAGAATTGAATACTCTATTTATTCAAATAAAAAGGGAAAATGAAAAATTGATAATAATTTTATGACCTGAAAACTAAATACACCTTAGGTTAAGCTTTGCCTAGTATTCCTCTGTGAGCAAACAAAATATTGCTCTTCCGCAAGCAATAACTATTTAAAATTTAAAAATATCAAAACTAATTTATATAATTTATTCAGGATGAATAGGCCTTAAGCTGTAAGAATTATCTGAAAATGTAACTATAAAATCATTAATTTATATGCAAATATATAAAAAATTATTTGTGGAGTAAATTTCTGAGAAAATTCTCTTGATGGGTTTCTTGTTACGGAGAGAGAGTTAATAATCTATTTTTAAAAACTAATATAATTAGGATACTATTAGCTAAATAGCATTATCCAATAGCAGCCCATTAGTTTGTATTTATTGCTTTCAACTCATTATATACTTCTTTATATAAATTGTTATACCATTATTTATTATCAAATTCAAAATAAATATATCTGAAAAATTCCCTAAATATCTTTTAATTTATTATCACAATTAATTATAATTCCTTATCACCCTATTATTCCTCAAACTCTTCTAATTTTCTCATCCATCATTCTGATAAGAAACTCCAATTTTAAATATCACCTTTTAGTCATTTTTCAGCAAAATTCTTCAATGAATGGTCTACTTTTATCTGAAAAATGGTTATAATTTTTATGCTGAGTAAGCCTTCTCTTAACGGCGAAGAAATTGAAGAGTTAGAAAAAGAACTCAAGGAAAACCCTAATAATATTGGTGCCTTAAGCGAGCTTGCCCAATGATATGCGAGTCATGGCGATTACACATCAGCTTGTCAACATTATGAAAAAATTGTCAGGGTTGATGACCAAAATGGTAAAGCCTGGACAGCTTTAGGCCACTGTTATTTGCTCAAAGGAGACTACCAGAAATGCTTTACTGTCTATCAGACTGCAATCAGAACTTGTGAAGACAGCAAAGATCCTCAACTTTGGTACGGGATTGGGCTTCTTTATAGTAAGTTTGATAGTTTTGACCATGCTGAGTCAGCTTTTCAGTCAGTATTGAGATATGACTCGAATTTTGACCAAAAGCATGAAGTTTTGTATAGACTTGGGATTATTTATAAGCACAAAAAAGAATATTCGACAGCTATTAATCATTTCAGAAATGCAATATATTGTGAGAAAATTACGTCAGCAAAAAAAATTGATGCAATGTGCCACATAGGAAGCTGTCTCGAGCATGAAAATAAATTTGATGACGCTGTACAAATTTATAAAGAAGCGTTAGAGTTAGACCAAAATAGCTTTAAGACAAGAGAGTATCTTGGATTTGCATTGATGAATCAGAAGTTATATGAAGAAGCGCTAGAAATATTGACACAGGCATTGGAGTTTTCTAGCTTTCCCTTCTTTTAAAACAATTAGGCCATGAAAAAATGCCTATTTTTGAGAAAATTAACCTTTAAGAATTACTAAAATATTTTTAATATAAAATATATTTTATATAAGCTATTTATATATAATTAATAATGAAACCTCTGACTCCCCCCCCCCCTCCGTGAGCGAACAAAACCATTAGAAAAATCGCCATTTTTTGACCAAAAACCCACCCTCCGTGAGTGAACAAAAATTTTTTTAATAGAAAAAATTTTAATGGAAAAAAATTTTGATATATAAGTGATAATTAGTATAATGAAATCTAGAGCTAATTCTGTTTAATTTTAAACAAATTGCGTTTTAAAACATAAAATTTGCAAATTAAATTAATATTTGTTCCCAATTTTTGCAAATTAGGATTTTTTTTAAATTTCGAAAAAAAAATTTTTTTTATAAAATTTATATATAAATTTTTTTTAAAAAAAAAAAATTTAACCCCCCTCCGTGAGCGAACAAAAATTTTTTTGTTCGCTCACGGAAGGGGGGGGGGGGAGTGAGTAGTTTATTAAATTTAGACAAGTAAATGCTAAATATAATATTTTATTAGATTTTAAATTTATGAGAGAAAGTGAGCTGCCGAGCAACAACCGATAATGTGTTTAAATTAAATTAAAATTAGATTTTAATATTTGAAAATTGATATCCGCAATATATATATATTTTAGCACAACATATTAAAAGCAAATTAATCCTCCTTTAAGGGCTATCAAGATTTCTCTGCTCGTTTTTAAAGGGAGAGTAAAGAAAATTGTCTGGAAACTGGAGATATTTATTACCTTATAGGAAGATGCCACTTGGAGATGAAAGATTTTGTTTCTGGCCAAGAAGCATTTCAGAAGGCTATATATAAAAATCCAAGCGTGTATATATATTGGACAAGTATCGGGATTTTATGCTTAATTTGGAGGTGCATATAGGTTATATAAAATAATAAGCTAGATTTCTATGAAAATGATGAATAGCTACTTAATATTTTAAGCTAATTCTTCTTTACAAACCATATATGCATTAGCAAATCAACCCCAAGATGCTTTCGAATGTTTTGTAAAAGCCTCAAATATCAATCAAGACAGTGGAGACGTCTGGTTTAATATGGGAATTCTATATGAGCAATGCAAACAAAAGCAAGAAGCGTGCTTAGCTTATCAGCGATCCTACACACTAAATGTCGCAAACACACATGCTATGGAAAGAAAATTAAAATTGCAATCAGAAGAGGACTATGAAAATATTCCAAATTTTATTCATTCGAATTTTGAAATTTCTGAAGTGCCGTTTTCTGCAAAGAAAAATGATAAATTAACCAAAAATATTAAAACACTGCCGGATATTACGAAATTTGATGCGAAAATTGACATTGATCCTGGACAGATGAAAAACGAAGAAGTGATTGATGATCAATTATTAAAAAATCAAGGAAGCGAGGACGAAAAAAGAGATCAAGAAAGCATCCCAAAAATAAATGCGTCAGAATCAATTATTAAGCCCGAACCACAAAATCTTCAACCTTCTCCTCAAAAGTCAGGGTTCTCAATGCTACCAGCCACTAATGGCATCTCCGAAAATTTTCCAAGAGTTTCAATTTCTCAACCAATTAAAATGCCTCAGCAAACTGAAATAAAGCCATCCTTATTTCAGCCAGCTCCTCCAGAAGCTCAAACCCCCTTAATGCCTTCAACTCTCCCATTCCAAAACCCTTCAAATTATCAATATCCCGTTTCACATGAAATTCCCTCAGTTCCTCCTCAATACCCAAGGCCCGCACAAGCATCCCCTATGCTTCAAAATCAAATGAAGATTCCTTATAATCAGCTTAATCAATATCAACTAGCAGCTATACAAAATTTAATGATGAACCCAATGCTTGCAGCCCAAATGATGTATGCTATGAACTCCATTTCAGTCATGAACAATATGAAATACATGCCAAATCAACAGCAGAAGCCAAAAACTGAAGAGCCTCCAAAAGTGAATCAAGAAGAAGAGCTCGCCAAAGCTTTGGCGAATTTAAATGAAGTTGAGGATACAAAAAAACAAAAAAGGAAGCTTTCATCTGATGACACAGCAACAAAAAAGAGGAAAAGGTAAAAAAGTTAATTGAGTTTATTAAAAATCAATTTTTGTAAAAATAATTCGATTGCAAGAGATTTATAAATCAATTTAGAAAGTAAATTTTAAAATAAATGAAATCGATAAGCATTATGGCTACACTTAATTAACTTTCTAATGTAGGCATCAATAATTTAATAAAGCATTTTATGTTGCATTTTCTTAATTTTTAGAGATTTTGGGATCTTATTTGCATGTGCTTAAAGAATTAATAAAAGGCCTTGGCATATTTTATGCAATTGCCATACGTTTTCAAGCCTAGTAGACATTTAATAATTTTTATATTATTTTAATATATCATAAATCCACTTGAAATGGGAATTAATGGATCCGTTTGTACATGCAGTGACCGCCCCAGAAATACCCTTTCAAATAAAGGTTTATCAAAAAATCATTTCACAGATGGCTGTGTAAAGGTCGTGGACTATACTGGAATGTACTCTGGTGTTCACTCTATTCAAGAACTTAAACAAAAAATGCTTGATTATTTACCATATCATCTCCAATGTATTAAAGACAGCGATATTGACCCTATCCACAGCTTTGTAAGAGTCATAGGAATTCAAACAAGTTCTGATGCTTGAAGCGAAATTATGATAGAAATTATTTTTGCTTCAATAGGGAGATTTGCAATTGGAATATGGCCGTCATGAAACACAAGGGAAGGGTCTCCTAAAGTCACAGGAACTATAGAATATCTTTATAAGTTCCCAGAAAATGCTGTAAGAAGTTATACAGGTTCTTAGAAAAATACAAATCTTTACCAGAAATTTTATTTAATAAAATAATAAATAAAAAGTTATATAGAAATATCGAGGAGGTTTTCACACTTTTTTAGATTGGCTTGACATGTATAAGTACAACCCATTTGAAGCACTAGATGAAGAAGAAAATAATATAGGAAAAATTGTATATTCAATCTTCAAATCCTTAGAAATAAAAGAAAATGACCCAAATTAATTTAAACTAATTAATAATCAAATTTTCCTTATGGCTGAGTTCCAAAGTATAAAAAACAACCCAAATAAGCTTATTATTGCTATAGAGGACCAAGAAAGAGAAATAGACGCGCTAAATAAAAAAATTGAAAAAATCAAGCAAACTTACAGGATGAGATCTGAACATCTGGAGAGGCTAGAAAGGAAGACGAACTCTTTAAAAGATGAAAAAAGGCAGCAAGAGGATACAATTTCTGGGCTTTTTCATGATTTAAACCTGATTTCTTCAGATTTTAAGCCAGATCATAATATTGAAGTTGAATATGAAAATGCAGTAAACTTAAAATAGACTGAATTTGTGAAAAAAACTCCAAAAGAAGGCATAAAAATGCTGATTGACGAACTCAATGCTATTGAATCAGCTTTATCCAATGAAAGTTATGTGAAGAGTGTTGAGCTCAAAGAAAAATACACATATTCAGTGGAATTCAGAGGAGAAAACTGCATGATCAGGACATCAAATCAAGACTACTCTTTTGATGATTTATGCAAAGATGCAGCTGTTTATTTTAATTTACAGCCTGGCGACTGTTTATTGAAAGATGAAAGGGGAGTAATCTGACCAAATCATTCAAGAGTTATTGATGAATATGAAGGCTCTAAAACAAAGCTAATTTTAGGACTTAAGCATGGAAAAGTGTATAAAAATCCTGACTCCTCATCTCAATCGAGCAATCGCCATCGTTTGATCGAAGATGAAGCCAACAAAATTATTTGAAAAAGATATTATACATAGTTTTTTATTAAGCTGAAATTATCCACAAGAATAGCAATTATTCTATAAGTCATATTATAATTTTGGAGTAGCGATTATATGGTATAATATGATATTAATTATTTTCAAAGTTAGGAAGTTAGATTTGATATAGATTTTTATTTACATTGTTCAATCATGAATAGGCAAATTTCTCATTTCGGAAGGCGTCACTCGATCAAGAAATGGGGGAGTGAGGTCTCTCAGATAGACTGAGAAAAAGTAGCTGCCCATTCGCTACTGGAAGCTCGCATTAGAGAAATGTCTAAATGAGTCGCTAATAAAAGCAAATCTGGGACCAAAAGAGGCACAAAACAAGCTAGTGTTATTAGAAGGATTTTTATGTTTTTATTTTATTTAGCATTTTTATTCCAATTACTCTATATGATTTTCGAATAGTAAATTTTATATAGCTTATCACTCCAAGACACTTATGAGCTGAATACAGGCATCAACGCAGTTTTCGCCCAAAATAATTTCCCAGTTGATTGCAATTATCAGAATGGCTTAAGCACAACTTATAACTATATAGTAAAACCAGACCAATTTTTTTGCTGGGTTGACCAAGTGTTTATTCAAGGGCTCGACAAAGGAGATGATAATAATTTGTATGTCATAAAGTATAATCAGGTAGGAGCAATAAGATTTAGACAGCTAAGAGTGACAACTAAATCATGCTCTTATATTGACTATGATACAAAGAAAATATATGACATTGGAGAGGGGGAATGTATAGGAGACTACTCGTCTAGTCATAAAAGTACTGATTCTTTTGGTAGAAACTTAGACTCAGCATTTTATCAAAATTGCTCAAATTACCCAACTAGTGAAGACTGCATATTTTCGAAAGCGTTTAAATATTCTGATAATATTCCTTATAGCTCCACCTTCCAAGGCAAAATATCAGAATACGACGAAACTGGATACTATATTGATTCTTCTGATTATTGAACTGGCGCACCTGATATTGACACAATTTCTCATTTAAATAGCTTTCTTAAAGAAAATTTATGGATAGACAACCAAACTAGGGCCATTTTTATTACTTTTACAACTTATAATATTAATTATGATTTTTTTACCACTAGCGTGATTTTGATAGAATTTGGGTCCTCTGGGGTCATGGTTCCAAGTTCCTATACAAACTCTATATACGTAAGCTATTATAAAAATTCCTGGGATGATATGTGGTCATCAGTAGGCTCATTTTTTAAAAAAGTCCCTGAATTATATTGCTATTCATATAATTTTTTTGCATTATTGCCTGTTATTATAAAAAAATTTGTTACGAGGAAAACTGAAGTACTCAAAGAAATGTGAATTTATATTGATATTATGCTTTTTCTATTAATTACAGGAATTATGATTATAAGAATATTGCTGTATTATGCTTGCAGTGATGTAATAACATATGTGATTTCCCATTTCTCCAAAAAAGTGATTGATCTTACCTATTCTGCAAGATTGATATCAGTCATGTGAGCATTTGAAGGCTTTGCTGCACTATTTGCGTTTATGAAAGTCCTTAATTATTTTAAATTCAATAGTATGACTATGATTTGGGATACTCTAGGAAGAGGAGCAAAATCAATTTTTGCCTTCATGATTTACTTTATTGTACTGCAAGTTTCTTTTTCAATGATGGCCTACCAGGTATATGGATATGCTCTATACGATTTTTCCAAATATACATTGAGTCAGATTAATATTTTTATGATAGATCTCGGGAATCTTAACCTCTATCCAAATATGTCAGAGGTTGAATCTATCTTTACGCCATTATTTTTTGTATTTTATTTTTTCTTTGTGTTTTTTGTGACAAACAACATCTTCATAGCAATTTTGAATGAAGCCTTTGGCGTTATTGTAGAGCGTCAAAGGGAACAAAATGAAAGAGAATTAATAGGAAAATTAAAGACCCGAGTTATAGATGAAATAAAATTTTTCTGTGAAAAATGCAAGTATTGCTGCACACATTTTAAAAAGAAAAAGAAAATTGAGAAGAGTAAAGCATTTAAAGCATTCACATAAAATTTAACCATTTTTAAGTAAAGTTAGAATTGCTCTTCGCTCACAATTTAATATAAGCTGAATTATTATTTTTCTTCATTTAATTCCAAAATTTTGTGTATTCTGTTGGTCATTTGGCTTTCATTCTCTTTAAATTAATTTTGGAAAATCTTGGAAATTTTTATTAACACAAATAGAGTTATTTTGGATAAATATGAAATTTCACATGCAAAATATTTTGTCCAATTTCTGAACACAGAATTTTAGCATCTCTTACTGTTCGATTAAAAGTGCGTCAATTATAGAAATTAATAAAAAAAATTATTAAGATATAATTTTAATTGGCTAACTTAGCTTAGGCGTTTATAATTATCCTATATCATATGTCAACACTTCATTTGCTCTACCATTTTATTTGATATCAGAAAATACTAATAAGTCAATTATCCTTCTTAATATTCTAAAATCTTAAATGTGTTTAATTTCCGGAAAACCCGAAATTTGCTCTCACCAGCAATGCATCGCGTTTTATCTAGAGCTAGTCCTTAAAAGTATAAACTCCCAACAATTGCAGCAGTCCCTACAAGAAGCTCGAACAACATCAATTAATGACTACCAAACCTGAATGATCTGTTCAGCATTAGAAAGCCAGAATCGCACACTTGAACAAATAATTGAAGCGAATAAGAGATGCCACGCATCTCTTGATGAAATGCTCAACTCGTTGCGAGTGTCAGCCCGTCCACAAGCTACGCCATTATGCCAAGAATTCGTTGCTGAGGCAGATTATGATCCTGATAAAATATTGACTCTTCTTGCTTCCAACAGTACTTTTGAGTATACATTGGACCCACAGCATACTTTACCAACCAGTGTGTTCAAAGAAAGAAGATTTTCGTTAACATTAGTTCTAAAAGAGAAGCATGGATATCCAACTTTTTTAAGCTCACACCCGAGGTTCAAAGCTTATCTTTTCACTCAAGACGCACCACCAAGATGCTTGAAACTAAATATATTCAGTAAAAAAATATTGAGGGGTACTACAGAGACCGAAATTAAGGAAGATGGAATAATTCATTTTGATTCACTAGTTATTAATGAAGTGAGCTCGCACTATACAAATGGATGCTTTAATTTAATTATAGCAAATTTGACTTCGAGCTGCGTCAAACCTTTTAGGATTGAAAATCTTTATGTTCGGGCAAGAAAAATTGAATAACTAAGGAGATCATCAATCCTGATTGATTAGTCTATCATCAGAAATCAAAAATATTTTTAATAACATTTAAATATATATTTAGTTTCTAAGAAAAATTTTTAAGCATTAATTTTTATAATAAAAATATATTAATTCATAATACTATATAGCAGTAAATTACAGTATCCAGCAAAATTCAGCAGAAAAAATATTTAATTTCAAAGCATTCAAGTTCAAACAGCCAATTTACTCACTTTCTATATGATATAAATTAGGAATATATTAAATAGCAAAAATGAACTCATTTTAAAATTATAATAAATGGTATAAAGTACTGCTAGCCACAATTTACTTAGAAAAATGGTCAAATTAATTAGTATCGTTTTCGTTTGAATATTTTTGATTGATAAATTTTTATTTCTTAATTTTTCAATATATCAGATAATGCTTAGTTATTTAGTCAAAATTATTGATACAGATTCTTTATTAAGCTCATCACAAAATTTGGTATTTTATAAGTTTAATATCTATAAATCGACTCACAATATTAATTGTGAAAGATAAATTTATGTCAAGCTCAAAAACTGAAAAACAAAGTGGAATCATGTCTTGGATTTTTAGCAATGAGCAAGCAAAAACTGTGGTAAGGAAATCCAGAAAGAGAATAAAGCTATCAAAACCTCAGATTAAGCTAAATAAATTGATGAATGAAGTTACCAATTATATCATCGACAATGCTGAAAATTCAGTCACAGCTTCAACCCCAATCAATTCCATTTGTCTGTCGAGTGATGAACCATTTGTATATTTTGCAAGCAGCAAAGGCAGCGTAAGCTGCTTTAACTACGAAGAATGCAAAATTGTGAATGATAGTATTTTGCACATAAACTCTATTAATACTCTTCTAATAGACCATAACTTAAACCGAGCTGTCATATGTGGGGAAAGTCCTATAGTTAGGATTTACACAGTCCCAGATTTTGAACTATATACATTAAAATGGCGATACGTGTCAACCTGCCATATTGGCACAGCAGTTAAGACCTTATGGCTACGGCGAACTGGGACGAACTCCTAGAATCAAGTGCAGGCTCAAGAGGTGTGTATCGGGTAGGTTTTGGCTGCTTTCCTGTGGTTGGAAATGGAGGTGCTCAACAACGTCCTTTGGATCAGATGACCCATGGGCATCCCTCTACCGATAAACTGGGGTTTCGGCCCAGGCCACAGGGGAACATTCTTTTTCCTATAGCTGTCAAAGAAAGGCACTTCGGCACCCGATAAACTCCAAGGATCCTTGGAATCACGCTACTCCAATCGCTCGTAGCAGGGCCGTAGAAACCCATAAGCCGCCCACTCAAGGTAAGGAGGAGACAGAAAATACCAGAAGGGCACTCGCAAGAGGGATAGACCCTCTGGGCTGGAGTCGAAAAGCAGTAGAATCTCCCGTACGGGATGTCTTTGGTGACTGCGTCACCAATATGGCTAGCGCCTGACTTTTAATAATCCTAATCCCAGATTTTGAACTGGAATATGAATTTAAAGAGCATGCTTTAAACATATCAAAAATTTATTTAAACCATGGATTATGCTACTCTGGAGACGTTGGAGGAGTTGTAAATAGGATAAATTTATTTGAGCTGAAACCAGATAACTTTTCTATACCAAATATAGGGAAAATCACTGATTTATTAGTTACTCGGGATAACAATTTTCTTTATGTGAGTGGCGATGCTTTTATTAAAGTTTATGATACAAAAACAAAAAAAGAAATTAGCCAGCTGAATAATCATACCGGAATCGTAACTTGTTTAGCTATTGACCCAAAATCTGAATATCTAGCATCAGGAGGAGAAGACTGCAATATTTTCTTATGAAAAATCCCTGATAACACTCTTTTTAAAAAAATTGGTCAACATTCTGCAATTTTAAGGTCATTGAGCATCAGTTCTGACGGAATTTTTCTTGCTTCAGGAAGTGATGATTTTTTGGTTAAAATATGAGACCTAGATTATGAAAGAAGAGAGCAAACTTTAGGAGGACACAAAGGAATCATAAGAGCTGCTGTTTTTTCAGCAAAACGAGATTTTATTTTTTCCGGAGGAGATGATACAATGCTTAAAGTCTGAAAATTTCCTGAATTTCAAGAGGATTATTTTTATAAAGCAAACTCTAGCACTGACTATAACTCAGTCACTTTTATCCCAGACACAAAAGCTCTAATGTCTTGTGGGACAGATAAAATTGTTAGGAGATGAGATAAAAATGGAAATCCTTCAAATGCATTTGCTACACAAGGTTCTGGGCTGAAAATATGTATATCCCAAGATGAAAGATATGGAGCTGTTGGTGATGAGCTCGGTATTCTTTATATTTTTAACCCATTTACATTTGAAGTCCATCATAAAATACAGGCTCATCGTGGGCTTATTAGAGATTTATGCTTTTCACCTAGAGGTGACTATTTAATTACAGGAGGCGGAGACTCAATAGTCTATATATGAAATCTTGAAGGCACTGAAAATTTACAATTAAGAGGCCATAGCCAAAGTATATGATGCCTTTGTATTAGTCATGACGGAAAAAGAATATATTCAGGCAGCAGCGATAAAACAGTCATTGAATGGGAGGCCGAAGCGGCTTGTGAGAAAAAGATTTTCCATATTCAAGAGCCAGTGAGCTCTATTGCAATATCTCAAGATGATAGCCTGATAATAACAGGAGGGATGGTTGGGATTGTAAAAGTCTGGAATATTGATGAAGCCTGACTTGAGTCGAAATTTACAGTGCACGCAGGGGTTGTATAGCTAGAGAACTATTTTTGCTCGGTCTTCCCGATTTTTTCTATCAGACGGGAGTTGGCCGAACCAGCTTATGTTTGTAAAACAAACTCCTCAAGTGTTTCTGCTACTTGGGGATTTGGCTTTACCAACTCCCCTCTTCCCATCACGAAAGATCGGGAATTCCGACCAAAATAGTGTTTGGGCTATAACACAGATTGTAGTTCTTCATAGCAATGAAACTATGCTGACAGCAGGGACTGATTTTAAGATTTTTGTGATTTCTTTATTATATCGTGAAGCAGTCACTTATTTTTCACGCAAATCTCCTATATACTCACTCGTAGTATCATCTGATGAAAGCTATATCGCAACTGGAGAAAAGCAGCATATAATTTTTCAAGAAAACCCACTTTCTGCTCAAACCATTTCTGTGGCAGGACCTATTGAAAAAATCCAGGAATATTTGTCATATATGAGAGATGTGTTGACCGATAAGCATCCGACCTATGACAATGCGTATGATAATTTTTTAATTTTGCCTCATTATGTGAATAGTCTGCATATCTATTCATTTTTGAACCTCAAAGAATATATGCTTATTAATTTATATGAAAATTAAATTTAATTATTACTCTTATATGAATACTTTATTATGAGAGATTATTTCTGGAGCTCTTAGCCATTCCGCAGCTACAATAAAAACAAGCCAAGGCTTTTATCCTTTATCTATTGCTTTACTTACTCTCTGCGGTACATGTGCGAGTAAAACAATAGGAAAACACCTTTGCTACCAAAACCCATCATCCATAAGCAAATAGAAATTTTTTTAATATAAAAATTTTTATGAAAACAATTTAATATAAGTGTTAATTAGAATAATGAAATCGAGCTAATTCTGTTTAATTTAAACAATTTGCACTTTAAAAAAACATAAATTTCACAAATTAAATTTTAAATTTTTTCCAATTGGTTTTTTTTTTTAGAACAATTAAACCCCCTCTATGTGCGTACAAATTTTTTTTTTGTTACGCAAGGAAGGGGAGTTAAAGAATTTAAAGGATTGAGAGATGAATTCGTCAAATGTTTTTGTGCAGTTGGGAAACACAATCCTTTTATTTTACAAATAGTCGAAAATGACTTAAATTCGATGAACACGCAAGGATTTGGAGCTTTAAATGACCTTTATGAAGTTTTATACCAAGAAACGCAAAGGAAAAGTCTACCTAAATTTTGTGAATCCAATGTGGTCTTGCCTATAACAAATATTTCTGATTCTCCACGAATCAAAATTTCTGATTTTTTCAATGAGAATGGCATCAGCAACCAAGGGACTTCTATGATATTTAAAGAGTCCTACATAAAACTAAATTTTCATATGGGAAGCCGCCAGAGTTTAGATTTCCTTATGAGTTTATCTACATGTAAAAACAACGAAGTGTTTAAAACCCCTTTAATTCTTGACGTAATTCGGTATAAATGAGAAACTGCTAGATATCCATTAATGTACCAAGGTTTTATGTACTATTCATATTTAGTCACGCTCTCTATCTATACAGCCTGATTTATGAAAAATCGGTCCTTTCAGATAACTCTTTTTATTATGAATTCTCTCTTAAACATTTTTGAGCTGTTTTTAATGGCTGTCTCAGGGAAATACTACTTCACTTATATATGAAATTACGTTGACTGGTTTAGAGGTATCATGCTTTTACTATACGAATACATGGAATGATACAACGTTTTGCCTGAGCTCATGCCTTCAGTTTTCGCTATAGTCACTTTTCTCAGCTGAGCCAGAGGGATTGCATATTTTCGGCTATTTAAAACTACCCGATATTTTATCAACCTCCTCATAAGTGTGATCAGTGGGATGTCTGGGTACATTATTTTATTAATTTACTCCACTTTTGCATTTTGCTTTATATTTATAGTCCTTGCAAGAGATATGCATATCCCAGATTTAATGCTAAACGTTAGAACTTCATATAATTTGGTATTCGGAAATTTTGACTTTGAGAGCGAAATAATTGAGCTTACTGTTGTCACGCTTGGGATTATCATAAACCCTATCATAATGATGACTATTTTAATTTCTATTATTACTGATGTGTATGAGCAGGTTCAAAGTGATTGCTTGTCGTCAGATATAAAAGAATTGATTTTTTTGAATATTGAGGTAGAAAATCTAATGTTTTGGAAAAGAAAAAATGTGCATAGACAGTATATACAGGTAGTTAAAGAGTATGAAAGAGAAGATGATTTGTCGTGGGAAGGAAAACTTACTGTACTTAAGAAGTCATTGGAGAAATCACACCATTCGACACTACAGTTTTATGGGGCATTTACAAAAAGGCTTAAAGATAGAGATGAGCTTATGAGTCAAAATGCAAAAAAGGCACAAAAGATAATTGAGCTGCTTGATTTAATTAAATTAAAGTAAGCTGTTCGTCCTAGATAGGGTCGGGATTTTCACCCCTAAATGATCATTTTCCCGAAGGACCCCGGCAGACACCACCACCGCTGGCAAGGGATTCGAACGACCATCTTGACTTCCATGGCTTTTGGAGCCTATAGGCCCATCACCTAGGTCGAAATTCCCCAGTTTCTCGTTAGCAGATGTCACCTCTTGAGTCTGCTAGAGAGATTTATCGTCCTCTTGTGGCTTTTGCTTGTCCCTGCCCTTTCTAATGATGGCCTCGGAGAGGCAAAACTAAGAGTCCCAGGGATCAGCTTCTTAGGGCCCGAGAAAACCTAGTCCGATACACACTAAGAATTAACGGCCTCTTTCTGCCCTTCCTCTTCACACTGGGCCGTTGCCTGCAAGTGTTGAAAAAAAGGGTCAGGAGATCAGGAGGTCTGTCTTCATCATTTTTTATATATATCGAGCTGCTTGATAGAGAAGCAGAAAAAGAAGATTAATAAATTATAATAATTTATTGTTTAGACACAGCTTTGATAATAATTAATTCCCGCGAAATAAAAATGCTTACAAATTTTCATCAAAAATTTTATTTTATCGTAATTTCCAACCTCATACCTTTAAATTGTTTTAAAATGCCTGCCATATTATTTTTAACGTTAAAACTCAAAGGAAATCAAAAATCTTTCCCTAGTAAAAAGTTCTTTATTATCTTAATTATGATATAATAAACTCGCGGCAATATGGAATCACGGCGGGAAGACGGTAGTGAGTCATCTTCATCAAGAATCCGAACTCAAGGCACCCAAGGGCTTGGGCGACATGGAATCTCCAATACTGAAGGCTCTCTCGCCCCTCAATTTGTAAATCGAATGGAAGACGGCACCGATTTTGACCCTGGTGCTCTACGTTCAGTTCTCTGGGGCACAGACATAAATATCGACGAAATTCAGACAAAATTCAAAGATTTCCTATTAAGATTCACTGACGCAGACGAAATGAGTGATGGGGAAACTCCTTTCTACATCAAAAGGCTGATAGATAATACAAACACTGCATTCTTCAACCTCGACGTAGACTGTGATCATATTTTCCAATTTGACAGAGAGCTTTACCAGCAGCTAGTTAACTACCCTTCAGATATTGTCCCACTTTTCGATTTATCAGCAATGGAGCTCTATAGGAGTCTGCATAACGAAAATTTAGACGAAGACTACAAAATCCAAGTAAGGACCCACAATTTAAGACATGTGACTGGGATGAGAGAAATGGGCCCAGACAAAATCGATATGCTAATTGCAGTCAGGGGGATTGTGATAAGATGCTCAGATATAGTCCCTGATATGAGGGTTGCTGACTTCAGATGCGCTCAATGTGGAAGACATGAAAAGGTTACCTTAGAAAGAGGAAAAGTGGAAGAGCCGAACTCTTGTCCAAGGTGTTTAGCGAAATATTCATTTGAGCTGATTCATAATTTGTCAATATTTTCTGATAAGCAGCATATAAAAATCCAAGAAACACCTGAAAATATTCCTGAAGGAGAAGTCCCGCATACTGTGCATATTTGCTGCTATGATGATATGATTGATATTATGAGACCTGGGGATAGGATTGAAGTAACTGGAATTTTTAGAGCTTGCCCGATGAGGGTGTCTAGGCTAAGAAGGACCTTGAAGTCTATATACAGCACTTATGTAGATGTTGTGCATGTAGCAAAAATGCATAAGCAGAGATTTACACATGAGGAAGAAGAGGTGACTGAGTTTTCTGACGAAAAAAAGCAGCTTTTCCATCAAATTGCAGAGAGACCTGACCTTTATGATCTCCTTGTAAAAAGTTTTGCACCAAGTATTTGGGAATGCGATGATATTAAAAAAGGACTTTTGTGTCAGCTTTTTGGAGGATGCAATAAAAATTTCAGCAATTCAGGTAGGGGAAGGTTCAGAGGAGAAATTTACCTATTTAAAATGAATAAAAATATTTTAATAACTATCTCTATTGGATATAAATAGGCTAACTATAATGATGCTTTCATTGCGAGCATGCATAATATTTTGCTTGTTGGAGACCCATCAACTGCAAAATCTCAGCTTTTGCAGTTTGTCCATAAGCTTTCTAATAGAGGAATCTATACCTCACTCCCCTCCTTTAAATTGGGACAAAATATAGTAAAATTTCAAATTTTTTGAGTATTTTAACCTCCATTTAATTAGAGCAATTTTTTTCAATAGGAAAATTTTATAAGTGAAAATGTTAATTTTATAAAATCAGTTTAGATCTAATTTAATGTAAAAAGTGGAACTATAATCTTATTTAAATAGTTTTACACTAAATCAGCTAATTTTTTAATTAATTCTTTTAAAAAAAATATTAAAATTAAATAAATTCCATTTTTTTAATATTTTATAAAATAATTCAATAGAGATAATAAAAAATAATAAATTAGCCTTCCTTTAAATATGAGCAGGTTTTTTTTGTTTCGATTTAAAGTAGGGGATTTAGGGAAAGGAAGTTCTGCAGTCGGGCTTACTGTTTATGTAAAAAGAGATCCAGATACCAAAGAAATTTTATTAGAAAGTGGGGCGCTAGTACTGAGTGACAGAGGTATTTGTTGTATTGATGAATTTGACAAAATGGATGACTCTACTAGAGCTATGCTTCATGAAGCAATGGAGCAGCAGACGCTATCTGTAGCTAAGGCAGGCATTATTTGTCAATTAAATGCAAGAACTGCTATATTAGCTGCAGCCAATCCAAAGCAGAGCAAATATAACCCTAAGATGTCAGTTGTAGAGAACATTGAGCTTCCACCTACCCTGCTGTCACGTTTTGACTTAATTTATCTAGTTCTTGATAAGACAACTGAAGCATATGACAAAAGGCTTGCAGGGCACATTTTATCACTTTATGGTGATTTAGTATTGAAAAATGACCCGACAGATACCATTAATAGAGAAACTTTGGCTGGTTATATTTCCTATGCAAGAAAATTCGCTACTCCTAAATTAAGTCCTGATGCTTCGTCTTTATTGGTGAATTCTTATATTGAAATGAGAAGAGTAGGAAATTCAAACAAAACTATAACCGCAACACCTAGGCAGCTTGAAAGTATTATAAGAATTTCAGAAGCCTTACCCTCTCTAACTATTTTACTCTATGGTAACAGAATTTTTGGCAATTATTTTTTTCTTAAAAAATAGAAAAAAAAAAGTAAACTATTTTATTTAAAATATTAAATATTCTAAACCTTTAACGTTCAATACATCTAGAAGAATTAAAAATTGAAATAATAGAAATTATTTGTGTTTGCAATTGAATTTATTATAAAGTAGCACTAAAGATTGCTCGTGGATTTAGCAAAAATGAGACTTTCACCAGCTGTACTTAAATCTGACGTAGAAGAAGCCATAAGACTTATGAAAGTCGCGACTCAGCAAGCTGCTACTGACCCCAAAACTGGACAAATCAATTATGAATTGATATTAACTGGACATTCAGCTGGAACCAGGCAAAAAGTGCAAGAAAACGTAACACTTATAAGGCAAGTTTTAGGAGAATTCAAAGAAACAGCCAAAAAAGGCATAAAAATTAAGACTATTTTTGATGAATTTAAGAAGAAAATTGAAGCTCTAGGACTGTCTTGCACTGAAATTGAATTTAATGATGCTATTAAAAATTTAGAAGATGAAGGGATAATTACTACTACTGGAAAGCGACAGCCAATTATACGTTTGATAAGCTTCCAGTAAGATGCAAAGTTAATTAAAAGCAATAATTAGGAAATTTTAAATTATTGTTATAAAATTAATGAATCGTAGCATAGTCGCTGAGCTTTTTTTCAAGGCTTTCTATATTGGATTCGATGATGTTGAGCTCTAATGACAATTCTCGTATTCTATTGTTGTTCCCAGATCTTTCAGCTTTATCATAATTTGCTTGTACTTTGTCTCTGAACTTCTTTTAAAAATTAAAAAATGGCTATGGTTTCCGACCTAAAATTTTTTTGGTATATTTTAATTATGAGATTTGGCACCCCTGGTGAAGTTATTATATCTATGTCAGGGAAGCAATCCTCCTCACAAAATAAAGTGAAGATGGCAACACTTTGGAGAGCTGGAGGAAGATGGCACGAACTTGCCCCAGAGCATAGTTCAAGGCAGCTGCAGCAGCAGGTAACCTGGTAGAGGACGCTAAACGAAGAATCTTAATAAATTTAATTGTTATTGTCTCTGTCCTCTTTCAGTATTCTTAATTTGCCTTGTATGTTTCTTATAATATTATTTACATTTTTGTTAGGCTCCGAAAGTTGCCTTGCTTTTTGAGAGTCTTCTCAGTTACTATTTTGAGTCTCATAATCCACTGAATGCTGCCTGATTTCTGATCTATTATAATTCGCCGTCTGTTGTCTTATTTCTGACTTATTATAGTCAACAGACTCTTGTCTGACTTCTGTCCTATTATAATCCACAGTCTGCTGCCTTATTTCTGGTCTATTTTTCTGTGAATCCTCCCATTTAAATACATTTACCATATTTTCGCTTTGGTTCTCATACGTCCTCACTGGTATATAAGTGCTTAAGCGATTTTTCCCTTCATTTTCTGCCATAGTTTCGCCAGTCTTTTTTTCACTAAGATAATTATCATTAGTCCCATTATAGCTTTTTTCGGTTTCTTGAGGGTAAGTTTCTTCTTGATAAGCTTTTGGCTTTTTTTCTTTGGCTTTAGGAGACCTTTCAATCTCTTCTGACTTCCTCATAATTTGTGAAGTTTTTTCATTTAGCCTTTCAATTTCATTATCAAACTGCTTTTGGGTATCTAAAAACTGGCTTTCCAACATTTTCAGCTTCTGCTCTGTCTGTTTTAGCTTAAAAGCTGTATTTTCTTCTTTCTCTATTGCTGAATTAAGTTCAATTTCTAGCATTTCTTTATCTCTTTTAAGTATCATCATTTCTTTTTCCATTGCTTGGAATCTGGCTTGGTCTTGCTTTCTTAATATTTGTAGGGCTAGAATTTGGCTTTTTAGCTGCTCATTTTCAGATTCTAATTGTCTTGCGTTATCTGTGATTTCTTTAAAGTTTTCTCTTTTGTCATTAGAGAAAGGCAGAAGAGGATAAAATCCTGGCTGATTGGAATTTTGGGGTGGGAAAAGTCCTGGCTGATTGAAATTTTGGGGTGGGTAAAGTCCTGGCTGCTGGTTCAAATTTTGTGGGAAAAAGGCTGTTTGAGAGCTCATGCTGGTATTTTGGGATTTTAAAGCGTTTATAGATTGTTCTAATGCTTCAGCTTGTTTAAGCAGGCTTATTTTAAGCTGAGATGAGTCAAGAGGGCTTTGAGGGACTGACATTTGTGAGAGATTTGGCATTTGAGAAAGGTTTGGCATTTGAGGAAGGTTTGGCATTTGAGGGATATTGGGCATTTGACGAATATTTTGCATTTGAGAAAGGTTTGGCATTGGAGGAAGATTTGGCATTGGAGGCATTTGTGGAACATTGGCCATTTGAGGAGGAAAATATGGGTTTTGAAGAGGAATATTAGGTGGGATTTGCTGAAAAAACTGAGGGGGAAGTTGTGGAGGTATTTGAGATGGATTTTGAGGTGGTATCTGAAGAGTTTGCTGATTTTGAATGTAATTTCTGTAAAGATCTTGCTTAAAAGTAGATTCTGGAGACATGCATCTAGAACCTTGGCTTGAAGGAGGAAACGAAAACTGCTGAGGGAAAAATTGTGGATTCTTCGGTGTTTGCTGCAGTTTTGCTGCATATAAAGCATCTTCTAAAGCTTTTGCTTGATTCAATAGCATATTTTTAATTTCATCTGGCTGAGCTGGAGTTTGATTTTGAGGAAGAAACTGGCTCTGTGGAATTTGACGATTAGCCATCATTAAAGGATTCTGACTGTTCATGCTCATAAAACTTGTCCCAAAATCTCTTTCAGACTGATCAAAAGATTCAGAAATGCAAGTTTGGTCGCCATGCGCCCCTCTTATCCAGTTTTCTTCATTTTCCCTTGCATTTAAAGCTTTTTCTATTGAGTCTTCTTTTAGTTCTGAGAAACTATCAATTTCATTCGTTTCTATTCTGTAACCTTCGGGTTCCATTTCAAAATATCTTTACAAATTATAAGGATTTCAAATTTATTTGTAATTTCCAGAAATATTTAAAAATTAATGAAAAGCTGATACTAGAGAAATTTATTTAATCCTATGGGAATATATTGCCCTTTTAATAGTAGTTGCTGATACTGGGATTGAGCTCTTGTTTGAGCATGCAGTGGAAGGCCTGAACATAATTCCGTATGAGTCACATTCTTTTACTTTGGTGCCTCTAACAGAAACACAGAATGGAGCTACTGCTTTTTCATATTTACATTGGCTTTCGATTTTTCCTGAAAAGTTTTGAATAAACACTGAGTGAGGTCTGATTCGAGGAGATATGAAGACAGGATTGTATTGAGGAGAATTTTCAATTATAGAACTTGGAGTGCTTAATGAATGAATTCTTAGAGCAGCTGCAAAATTGTTAGTTTTAGAACAAACTCTGTCAGTTCTGGATGATTTTATTGAAAGGTTTTTATTCCATTTTTTGCTGCTTGTTTGCCCTTTGTATGTGTTTATAAGGTTTATGTCGTTAATATTCCTTACTCCGAGCAAAGAAAAAAAATTTTGCTTTTATTAGAGGTAGATGTTTTATAATTTATAAGAAAAATTACAATACAATTTAACTTATCAAAAATTTATTTTTTAGGTTGCGGCTATTGGAATTCAACAGAATTCGCTAGACATTTATTTATAAAAATAATCATTTATATTAAAAAATATATTTTATAAAAGATTTTTTGCTCGCTCACGAAGGGTGATTTTTGTGGATTCTTCCATAATTTTGCAAGTTCAAGGGGGGAATTTAGTGAAAGGCTTTTCTTTTTCTTTATTTTTGAATTTTTTGCAGAAACCTTATTTATGATTTTGGCTACATCATCAAATCTAAAGGACTTATTGTTTTGTTCCAAAACAATTATTTCTTTCTCATATTTATTAATTGAAGGAGATGAAATGATTTTTTCTTTTGATATATACCATTTTAACTCACATTTGCCTCAAAATTTATTTTAAACATATATAGCAAAACTCTTGAAAATAGTATATCTGCTAGCATGCTTTTTTAGTGATTCTGTTGTGAGATTTTTAGATTTTTCTGAATGCTCTAGATACTTATCTTTAATGGATAACAAATTTTGACCAGTTTTGTTTTCCTCGACTAAAGTTTCTTCTTTTTCATTTTCAGTCAAAATACTCAAAACTTCTTGTAAAAAGAGTTTATTTTTATCATAATCAGCTTCGTGCTCTTTCTTGTCCTCAATTCTAGTATTAAGATTAGGCTTACTCTCTGATATTCTTCCTGCAGTTTGAATTTTTATCTTTTTATCAGCTTCTTCTGACTCCGATAGTTTAGGTGAAACATTAGGTGTGCTATCTATTGTTAATTTTAAAATTTCTCTGCTTCTCATACTTCTTTTAATATTTTCTAAAATTTTAACATCAATTAATTTTGGTGAAGAATTTTTGTCAGCAATTTTCTCGTCATCAGATTTTACACTAAATTGCATAAATATTTAATTTATTTTTTTATGCAAATATTCTATTGTTTTATATAAAATAATACGTTATGAGATTTTAGCTTATATTTTTTTAAGGATTTCACAAAGAGAATAAACATTTACAGCATAATTCGGCCTTGGAGATAAAGTTTCAGTTTTAATTGAGCACTTCGCATTCTGAGAATGCGATTTTCATGCTCTGAAATCAGTTGTTCTTTTTTTGCTAAATGACTCTGGCGTTTTTATCTTTTCAGAGTATAAGGACTTTCATTCATTGTTATTGATTAGTAATATGTCTAATTCTCCATCATTAATCAAACGACAGTATTGAAATTCCTAAAAAATTCGATTAACAAAAATTGATTGAGCGATTTTTAATAGTGAAAAATGAAACCCTGCCCCTGGATTGCATCAAGCATAACTGCTTACCTATATTAATAATAAATATTATAGATTTAAAACTTCGTTACTTAACCTTTCACTTAAACAAGCCTTTGAATAAGACTTGTTCAGCTGCAGCAAATCTCCCTAAATATATCAGCAATTCTACTAGAGATAGCTTTGTTGGCTTCCACCTGGCTCTTGTTGCTGTCAGGATACTTGGAGTGCACAGTTTAGAGATTTGATGGCCGTTATTTCAGCAAAAGCTTCATACCGAGCGAGGGGTTTAAAACCAACGAGAGCAGGCATGCTCAGTGAATGTCAAGTCCATTTCTTACTGATTTGGCATCAGGCCATAGCAGGCTCCCAAACTCTTACTCACACCCCTTTAAATTGGAACAAAACATAGGTAAAATTTCCTTTTTTTGGTACTTTGGCCCCCTCTTTAAATTTGAACAAAGTGTCTTTCAATAGGAATTTTTATAGCTGAAACTACATTAAAAATGTAAACAGACTTTATTTAAAAGGTTTTCACACTGAATAGATTAAATTTTTGAATTAATTCTTCATAAACTTAAATTAAAATGCAAAATATTGTCAGATTTTTAAGGGCACTTAGTTAATAAAATGTAGATATTCATTTTTCTTCCTCTTAACATTCTTTAAGCCTTTTATGAAAATACCTGCAATAATTCCAAGCATTCGCCAGATAACTAGCTCCAGCATCAGCTGTTAGAACCATATCCACAAAATTTTTAGCGAAGTGAGGCTTGATAGGCTCTTTCTCAGAACTAATGTATTCTTGAGGATATTGACTGCATATTTTTTAAGATATTTGCTCAATTCATATTTTTATCAAATTTTAAAAATTTTAAAACATTTTTAATAGAGAAAAATTTAATATATTTGCCACCCTTTAAATTGGAACAGGATTTTTTGTTCCAATTTAAAGGGGGGCTAGTTAGCAGATGCGAGAGAGAATGGGTTTGTAATATCATCATTTTATGTGCTTATAGGATGGAAAGAGTAAGTCATCTTCTGATTTACCTTTATTTGTTTCTTCGCTATTATGAGCTATTCACGGCTTAAAATTTGCATGCTGAATTTCAGAATCAACAAATTGTGAAAGCCGATTTCTAATATTTTTAGTTGTGAGTATAGGTTGCTCCTGAACTCTTTGCTTATTTTCGTAACAATTTAAAGACTTATCCTTATCCATTTATCAATTAATTTATAATTTTTGAATTGAAATTTTGATATGCATTAAAAACGGTGTGACGAATATACCTTCCTCTTTTTCTATGGCTAAATTACTGAGTTTGGTACACCTGCACAATTCTTCCAACTACCGGAAGCGAGTGCAGGCCTCGTATGATAGGAGAAACTTTAACGATGTCATGAAACGAGAACTGGCAAGCAAGCTTGGAAGCGTTAAGGAAGCAGGGAGTCCTTTGAAGTTACAATATGCTTTTCTATAAGTAAGAAAATAATAATGAGTTGAAATTTCTTCTGATTAAATATGCTATTAAAGCTAATAAGAACTATTGGCTTACCTAGAATTCTATTCAATTTAAATGAGTCATTACATAAACTGCTTTTTCAAATAGTTTGTTCATAAGATTATTTAATTTAAACCAATTAATACTTATAGATGTCAATATACTAAAAATATGCTATGGCACAAGTATAATTAATGATAAAGAAATTAAAAGAGCAAATTAAATGACAATAGCAAAGATGTAAAATATAAGGGCTGATAAAATCATAAACTTTTGGATATTTTATTTTTAATAGCGAGAAATGAGGATTGCTAATGTAATCTTTAATCTTTAAACTTTTAAATTATATTATAGAATTTCATTACTTCCCCCTTGGTTAGACCCAGCACCATTGAAGACCCTTTTTTGGAAAATTAATCCTTTGCTGAAAACTTTTTGGATTCAAATTATATTTTAATATATATTAAATCTCATTATAAAACATAAATTTTATAAATTAAATAATATTTTTCTTTTCAAATATTACAGTATTAGATTTCTTAAAGGCCAAAATATAAATTTTCTATAAATTTCATTTTAATATTAAAAAAAAATTAGCCCTTTTGCTCGCGAGCAAGATTTTTTGCTGGCTAGCTAAGGGGGGTTATAAAGCAAACTAATTAAATAATAATTTAATTGGTCCATCTATTTTAATGCTATTCCTGATAATTAATTAAATACAAAAGGAAGCTTTATTTCATCAATAATAAATGATATCAATCAGAAAAAATAAATGTCATCAGAACAAGCACGTCTTACACCAGGGGCGATAGATAACAAAAGAGAAGATTCTAAAACACCTTTAGAAAACGAAATGATACACAAGCCTCAGCATCAAAAAGATTTTCATAAAATCAAGCCAGTTATCCCACAAGGTGTAATGGAAGGAGAACCTCAAAAGTTTACAATTATTCCACATTCTGAAGGAGGACCTGCTGAAGGACAAATTTTTGTAGAGGAAGATCCATATATAACAAATGTTAAAACAATGAAAGGAAGTAAAGACTAGGAATATTTTCCATATTAATTTAAATAAATTTAGATTGATTTGTATGAATTTACCCTTTATGCTGATATAGATATTTATAAATCCTAAGGATTATACAAACCAGTCATATTTTAAAATAAAACAGATTACTTAATTGATCTAATTAATTTTGATGTTATGCAATTAAATAAATATGACTGCTCTCTTTAAAGCGAAAACTATAAATCATATTCTAGGAAAAGTAATAATTGCACTTACTCTAACTCCCTCCACAAGGAATAAGCAAATTATTGCTTATTCGTTACAGTTTTACCACAAAATTTTCAAATAGTTATTTTATATGAATAGATCGAAATTTTTTGCTTATTATTGGTGGCTTTAAGAAAAATGTAAAATGAGCAAATAATGGTCAATTTCCCCATAATAAGCAAATTTCTATATATTAATATAAAATTAACTATTTGAAAATTTTATGCTAAAACTGCCACAAATAAGCAAGAATTGGCTTATTACTGGGGAGGTAAAATTTAAATTTATGGTAAATAATCTTTATTTTCAGATTCACGCTTATTTTAGTTTTGTCTAATGGCTACTTCAGCCTTGGCTACATTTTTCTTTCTAAACTTTTATTAAAACTAAATAAAATAACAAAATATCTTATTCAAATACAAAAGTGGATATTAGATAACTGCATCTGCAATCATGAATATTAAGGACCTAAAAAACTTGGATTGTGATACTTTACTATATTTAGCAAGAGTTTCTGAACAGTCAGAGCGCTATGACGAAATGGCATCATACATCAATGGATTTGCAAGAAAAACAAATAAAGAATTATCTGTCGAAGAACGAAATATTCTTTCAGTCGCTTACAAAAATGTTTTGGGCTGCAGAAGAGCTGCCTGACGTATTTTATGCTCATTAGAAAACAGTGAAAATTCCATTCGCTCTGAAGAACAAAAAATGCTAGCAAAAGCTTATAGGCTAGAGGTAGAGAATGAAATAGAAAAATCATGCAGAGAAATTATATAATTTATTGAATTATTTAGTATTGGCATTGGTATTTTTAGTTTATTATATATGGCTATAATGAATTAAAAAGCTAGAATAATATTGGAATATTGTGACCAATAATAAATTGATACACAAATTATAGATTTGCTGGATTCGAAATTAATTATTTCAGCAAGCTCAAGTGAAGCGCAAGTGTTTTATTTAAAATTGAAAGGAGATTATTATAGATATATGTGCGAATTTTTAACAAATGAGGGGAGGAATGAAAACTGCATTAAAGCACTTAATGCATACCAAGAAGCTGAAAATATCGCTATAAATGAGCTTCAAGGCACAAATCCAATTAGGTTGGGAGTTTCGCTGAATTTTTCTGTGTTTTTGATTGAAGTTATGAAGGATTCTGATTCGGCAAAGCAAATGTCTCAAAAGGCGTTCGATGAAGCTATGACTGAGATTGATTTGCTTGGAAATGAAACTTTTAAAGAAAGCACTCTCATTTTACAACTATTAGCTCCCCTTCTGCGAGCGAGCAAATTTTTTTATGCTCGCTTATGATATTTAAATATTCCATTCTAAAATTAATCTAATTTTATAAATTTAAATTTTAAATACAAGATGTTAAAATTCAACAGAGCCAGAAAAGATTTCATAATTATTATTTATATATAAAATTTTATTATAAAAACAATTACTTTGTTCACACAAGTTTTTTTTTTACAAAACTATAGCTTGTTCGCTCAGAGAGAGGGAGAATAAGAGACAATTTAGTATTATGGTCATCGTCATAAATTTATAAGAAATTCTTATAAGTATAATTTTTATTGCAAATGATTATGATGGATTAAATCATCATGCGGTTAAAATTTATACATTTTTGCAAGATAGCTATTGATTTATATATCCTGAGCCATCTTTTGGCTTTGGGGCTATAGCAGCATCTTCGACTTCGGAATACATCAGTGTAGCTCGAGCCAAAAGGAGGCCCGGGCTATATCTATTTTAAAAGCAAAATGATTATTAAATGCAATTCATTAATTATTCATTTGGCTTAAAGTATTTCCTTATAAATTGCTCGCTATCAGATGAGTCACTATCATCTTGCTCAGTATCAGTATCACTATTTTCACTATTAGAACTTTTTGTTTTATTATCCTGTTGTGATTCATTTTTTGAGCTGCTTGCTTTTTCTGGGATTTTCTTTACAGATTTTGGGGGAGTGGCCTCGATTTTGGTAGATTTTCCGTTTTTTGAGGGAGATTCTTGGCAGGTCTTTGCGATATTGTTTTTCCATGTCTTTGCAATAATTGAAGAAATTTTTGATGATTCTTGGTCTTCTAAAGGAATTTTATTTGGATTTTCTTCACTAATTTCTTTTCTAACTATTTTTGGCTCTTTCTTGGTTATTTTATTTTCTATTGGCAAATCTTTAATTAATTCATTTTCCACAAGCGATTTTTCAATTTTTGTATTCTTGTCATTTTCGATTTTGATATTATTTTCTTCTTCTATTAGTGTGGCTGCTTCAAGAAGATATGAAGATCCAAGTCTCATCAATTTAGCCAACTGAAGTAGGAATTACTAAGCTTTTCGATATGCTATCCATTTATATTGGATCCCTTAATATTTCATTTCTTATTTTAATATAATATTTAATCAAATCTTAATTATTTAATTCCTTTAGATAATAACTGTTTTCAAAATGTTAATTTTTATATTTTTAAATTTATTCAATTAAGCTTTTGAAAGAAAAATCGTTTTACTTCATTTTAGGAATTCATGATAACAATAATAAACTACCTAAACATTAATGACTTATGCCTAATTAGAATGAATCAGAGTTATTAAGATTTATATATGGAGTTTTCATTCTTTAAAATTATTATCACTATTAAAGAAAAACTCAAGATTTGCCAAAAAACTTTAATTAGGTTAAAACTGGGTTTAGCTGAATTTACCCCGCTGAGGTAAATTCCGCCGCCGAGGTAAATTCCGCCGCCCTTAAAACTCGCATTTCTTTTCTAACAGAGAAAGAGAGCGATCTAAGTTATTTGATAAGATTGTCAAATCTGCAATTAGCTTGGCAGAATCTTGGTCTAATTTTGAGTCCATTTCATTTAAAAAGTCGTTTTTATCTTTAATCACTTTGGCTATATCATCTTTTTTCTTTTTCCATACATTAATAAAATTTACAAAAGGAGTAGACGTTTCATGAGAATTCAACGTATCCTGCAAAACAGATTCTTGGCTTTCTAAATAACGGTTTATTTCTGCAGTATCATTTAAGAGAGTTTTGAGGTTAGAAGCTCGATTATTGTATCCTTTTTGAATTTTCCCATTATCTTCTCTTAGTTTTTCTGATTTTTGATGAGCATTGTTTCTATAAACTGCTGTTTGTTGCATTATATTTTGCTTGTGAGTGTGTAAAAATTTCTGCAGCCGCTCTTGCACTTCATTTCTAGTAACTATTTGTTGGGATCTAGCATGCTGTAAGCGATTTAATTCTTGAGCCAATGATGATAATTTTTGATTGTGGGCATAAACATCATAAGTCAACTGACTTCTTAAAGTTTGGACTCCTTGCAAAATTTCTCTGTTAAGTGTCCCAATGCTGTCAGATAAGTTTTGCATACTTGTTCTTCGGCCTTGTCTTGAAGTTGTAACTCTTTCTAAATCCATTTATAAGAAATATATTTTTTATTATTTTGTATTGTAAATTTATACAGTAATCTTGATTAGTTAGATTTTTGTTTTAATTAACTCTTAATCTTCTATGAAATGTCTTTGGAATTTATTGTAATCAAAAAAAATGATTGATTCTCAATCAAAATTCCACAGACATCCAGCAAGAATTTTGTCAGCTCCCCCAGATGAGCCTAATGCATTAAGGCCAGAATCCCAAAAAAATTCAAACTTAAACCTAAACGCAAATGTGTTTGTACCGGGTGGTGGCAATATTACAATACCAGAATTTAAGCCAACAGTATCTGATAACAAAACAAAATTCAATATAGGAGCTACAGAGTTTAACCCTGTAAAGCCGACAGCACCAGCAATTCCTCCAACTTCTTTAAAAGCAGATGCCCCTGAGTTTACTTTGAGGCTAGGATCTTCCTTTACGTCGCAAACAAAGCCTCTTGATGCAGTAGTCAATGTTCCTGAATTTATCCCTAAGCAGCAAATGGAAGAGCAACTCCTAAAAATCGAAGAAAAAATCCCTGAGCCATCGAAAATTGAGGAAGAAATTGTAGAACCTGAAGAGACATTTACACAAATTTTTAATAGAGAACTCACTGAAGAAGAACTAAAAGAAGAAATTGAGTTTTCTGATGTTGTAATTAGAGTAGATGACACAATTACGTATTCTTATGAAGAAATAGAAAAAATTAGAAAGGAATTAGAAACCCTAAAGGAATATTTCAGTATTTCAGAAGCCCTTATGCAGTTAAGCGATCGAAAAATTTTTGAAGTTTTTAGAAAAAGGGATAATAAGCGGCACGACTCCAAAAAAAACCAAAGAAAAGACAAAGACTGAAGGGAAAAAGAGCAGCAAGGGCAAGTTGTAAAAATAGTCAACTGGAGAAGAGAAAAAACTACAGAAGAAGAAAAAATCATCCAGAAAGCAAGAGAGCATACTGCTAAATTAAAAGAAGGAAAAGAGGAAGAAGAAAAAATCAAGAGGACAATAAAGGTTACTTTAAATAAGCTATCACCTTCAAACCTTGAAAAACTGAGAGACCAGCTTTTAGAAATCGGAAAATCATCGCCTTCTTCTTTAGCTATTCTTGTTGCTGGGATTTTTGACAAAGCTTGATCAGAGCCAAAATACACTCAGATGTATGCACAAATGTGTGGGTACTTTAAAACTGAGTTTGATTCTTACAAATTTCCTGGAACAGAAGAAGAAAAAGCTCCTAAAAATTCTTTTAAAAATGAGCTGCTTATCATGTGTGAAGAATCCTTTAAATTTGTCCCATCAGAAACAGACTATGAAGGCTTAGATGAAGAACAAGCCGAAAAAAAGAAAACTATTCACAAGAAAAAAACCCAAGGCAACGTAAGGTTTATTGGGGAGTTATTCAATGTCAAATTAATTTCAACCAAAATTGTGCTGATGTGTGTCCATGAAATGCTTGGGCTTGACGAAGGCTCGCAAGGAAGACCCGGACCACTCGACGAAGATAAACTTGAAGGAGCTTGCATTTTATTAAGCACAGGTGGAGCAGGCTTCGAAAGGGGATCGATGAGAAAAGACACAAATAAAGTGTTTGAGTATTTGTCAGGACTAATTCAAAGCAAAGAGACGCTTTCTTCGAAATTGAGATTCAAGATCATGAATTTGATTGATGAAAGGGCAAGCGGATGGAGTAAGAACAAGAAGGATGAGCCGACTACAATTGAAGAAGTCCATGCTGAATATGAAAAGGAACAGAGCATCATCCAAAAAAGATACGAAAGTCGTAGATAATTATTCATTCTTGTTTGCGATATATCATTATTATGTGTTGCCATTATAGAGCTTACATTGTATTTATGGATATTTAATTAGAAAAAATAAATTTTAAGGTTTAAAAAATATTTTATTTAAATATATTTTAATAATGCTTATGAAGGTAGGGATTTAGCATTTCCCTTGAAATTAGTGTATGTTTTTTATAAAAAGAGATAAGGAATACCATCAAATCTTATTTTTCTGCTAACTCTTACATTTTGATGAACGAAACCAATTTATTTTCCAAAAATCATGAAATTAACTTCCATTTTTGATCGAACTATTTTTATATGGTGAAAATTAATTTCTCTCAAGTACTCCATTGACCTGTCTTTGATAATAATAGATATTAGAGATATTACATTATAATCATCTATAGGTAATTATTATGCGAATTTTAGCATATTTTACTAATATATTATATACTCTATCTCTTATAGATAGCAATTATAATAAATTTAGGTAACAAAAATTAGTATATATTCTTCTAGCTTTTCTAGATCAAATGATAATGATGGTTCGATCAAGGATTAGGGTAGTAAGAAATAAGCTAAACTTTAGAAGTATTCATCGCCTATGCATTCAACTTTTCGATTAATTACAATAGAGATTTTCGCTCTTTAAATTTAATTCATAAATAATCTGGCATATATTCCTCAAATAAATTAGCTGTAAATATAAATTTGATTGATTTTACAAATAAATTCATTAACTTTTCTTCAGGATTATTTAACAAAACTATTTAATTATTCTTATTAATTCTGGATTTTTTTATTAAATCGATGAACTTATACTATAAATGTCAAATTCAACAGGTTTGATTACTGGTTCTGTCATCTATTTTGCTCTTGTTTTTATTATTGGCGTCCCTCTCAGCCTTTACGTTAAAAAACACACCAAAGACCGCAGCCAAGCAAAAGAAAATTTCAGTTTGACATGGTCATTAGTAGTAATAGGAGTCATTATGATGTGGCTGCTTTGGTTTTGTGCTTATCTTCATCAGATGAACCCTCTAGTAACTCCGAAGCTAGATTAACTAATTAGCCTTATGATCTTCATAGAATAAGATATAAATGGAAGAGTCAAAAGACCGTAAAGGTGTAAAGCATGGTGGCGATGTGAACCTCAATTGCCGCTTCTACAGAAACCAATTTCCTAAAATCGATGACATTGTAGTAGTTGAAGTCCAACGTGTAGAAAACGAAGGCGCTTATGTCTCTTTATTAGAGTACAATAATATTGAAGGGATGATTCCTTTAGGTGAGCTTTCACGCAAGAGAATCAGATCGGTGACAAAACTTACCCGAATCGGCAAAACAGAGTATGTCACAGTCATAAGAGTAGATGAAGCTAAGGGTTATCTTGATCTATCTAAGAAACGAGTGGCTCCTGAAGAAATTCAAGAATGCGAAAACAAATTTAATAAGTCGAAGACTGTAAATAGCATACTACGACATGTTGCACAAACCACAAAAACAGATATAGAGATTTTATACGAAACTATCGGATGGCCCCTTTATGATAAATATGAGCATGCATATGACGCTTTTAGGATGGCTGTTAGTGACTCTAATTCAGTGCTTGAAGGCTTAGAAATGACTCAGGAAGTCAAAAATTCTTTGCTGTCAGTCATAAGATCAAGACTATCTCCACATCCTATTAATATTAGAGCAGATTTTGGAGTAACCTGCTTTGAATATGATGGGATTGATGCTATAAAAGAAGCTCTTTCAGCTGGCGCTGCTATGGCATCTGACAGAATTCAAGTAAAAATCAGACTTATAGCAGCCCCTGTCTTTGTTCTAGTAGTTACTACAATTGATAGGAATCAAGGGATGATTTTAGCAAATAGTGTGCTTAGGAAAATCATGGAAGAAATCAAATCAAGAGGCGGAAATTTTGTAATGAAAGAAGAGCCCCATTGTTTAAATGATCAAGGCGACTTAGACATAGAAGAATATATACAGAAGCAGAATAATGCTAAACATATTGAAGAAGGAGAGGAAGAAAATGATGAAGGTATGGATGTTGATATTGGGGTTGACATAAATGCAATTGATGCTAAGCAGGAATTGGAAGAAGATGTGGACGAAGGAGAAGCTGAAGAAGAAAAAGGGGAAGCTTAAGTTAAAAATAACAATGATAAATATAAAGGAACAAAAAAGAAATGAGAAAATAAGAAGAAAATTTTATAATTCTCTCAATTTATAAAGAAGCGTGCATCATAATTGATTGTATGCCATCTTTATCATTTTAATAAATCTTGCAGTTATTATACTATTCGTGCACTTATCAATTTTGCAAAAAGTTAATAATCCTTTCAAAGTAGGTTTCTTAAGAAATAAAACTCATTAAAAGCTATTTTGACTAACTAAATCATTGTGCTGACTTCTATACCATCTATTGAAGATAAAAATGGCTTATTGCAACATCATTATTTAAACCTATTCTGATCTATTATAAGTAATTTTATAAAATAAACTTGCTTTTCATTATTTTTCTTTTAAATTTGCCTAGTTATGCGGCTAAAAGGCCTCATCCTCAATAGGATAAAGTTTTCTCTTGCTATAGCTAAGTTAATTAAGCATTTCACAATACAGCAAATTATTTTTTAATCAGAATATTTTCCAATGAATTTGATAATTAAAAAACTCATATGAATTATAAAGAAGTATCAAATCAATCCGCTGATATTTTTTAATTTTGTTTGCTGTAACCACTGTTGATATTTTATCTTCCTTATTTTCGCCTACTCTTCGCTTTTCCTTTGGGAAAAGTTTTCATATTTAGGCTATATATGGATTCTTATTACTTCGTTTTATCAAGAGATGCTATTATATAAATAAATTGACCGTATAGTTTTAACAAGCATCGACTGCTCTGTTCCTAGATAATGCTTCCTGATGACACCTTTTTCACATCGAGGATAAATATGGCAGAATTTGTGATGATCCATTAATTATGGAATTTTATTGGATAATTGTAAAAATATGAAAAAATATGAGAACTCGATAGAGGCGATTTCTGATCTGCCTCAGTGTATATTCACAAACATGCCATCTCTACTTAGGCCAATAAGTGAGGATGGAAAATGACCTTTATGCCTTGAACTTCCTAATATTTTTCTATTTGAGCCTATTATTATTTCATCAGAAAGTACAGAGAATCCTCAAGAACCAGAAGACCCATCTCTATTCCATCAGCCAAGGGAATCAAGATGCAAAAGTATTACAGCTTGCTCTCATACTGACAAAAAGCATTATGCGAAAAATATGTGCAATAATTGCTATCACCGATTTGGGAGAAATAAATTAGCTTGGGCTTGCTCTCACCCAGAAAGGCAGCATTATGCAAAAGGAAAGTGTCAGCTGTGCTATTTGCAGGATTATCACAGATCAAAAGTATTCGGTAAGAGAAGAAAAATACGGTCCTTAAAGGATACAGAGGATAATAATAGTAATTAAGTTTAAATCAATGATAATCAGCAATAATATGAGCTGCGATTTTACATTTTATGAAAATATATGTAGTATTATTATGATTTTTTATATCTTTCAATATTCAGAATCATTTAATTTTTATTAATAAAAATAATGGAGAAAATTTGACATGTCATTTTTGTTGTTAAATTATACCTGATGCTAATAAAATCAGCCAGTTGGCTGACTAAGCATGATTTGATGTTTATCATCGAAGTTATCCAAAATATTAGATGTGTGTTCAAAATCTAAAATTTTATATTGAATAATAAATAGTAAAAAATAATAAAACGAAAAATTCAACAAATGTCTTCTTAATATTATAGAGCATAATTATAATCTTTAAAAAGTCGATTTAACTCTTATCAGATTAAAATCTCAACAATAATGTTTAATTTCGACTATAATTCAGATTTACTATAAATAGCTATTAGATATGCAACAGTCTTAGCAGATACGAAGGTATTCTAATGTCTAATAAATCTTCTTATTTTCTCTTATAGCTTTTTAGACTATTTTTGTGTGCATAGTATCATAATTTTTCTTGTAAAACTACTATGAGCATACCTTTAATTTTGAAATAATTGGCTATCACATCAAAAATAATTATATTTTAAAATAATCTTAAATTAGTGTGAGAAAAATGTAATATAATCATATAAATAAAGTGTATAATAAAAAATAATTAATATTGAATAATAAAATAATGAAAAATAAATATTTCATTAGTAAAAATTTAGATCCATTTATAAATGCTTTAGAGATGCTAAACAATTCCGAGAACTGAAATGCACGGGTAATAAATAAAATTAATTTTTAAACTATAAATCTCTTTTACTATTTGTTGACCTACCTTCTAATGATTTATTTCGACGAGTTTGCTTGCGAGTATTTTTTCATATAGGTGTAAACTCTATTTGCGATTTATTTAAGCCATTTTGGGTCTTTTTACCTCCCTTTTCATTTCCGACCTTTTTGTTGCTTTCCAATTTTTTTTCCACTTTACTTCTGTCCTTGGCCTTATTTTTAGGTTAAAAACAAAAAAATATCTATTTATCAAATAACTTTTCAACTTGAAATTTATAGGAATTGCCCGAGGATGGCGCTATCTTGCGCCATCCTCGGGCAATTCCTATATTAATAATTTGGTATTATTTTCAATGCTTATTTTTATTTTCATTGAGAACATTCTTTACATAAGTCCTAAAATGAACTCCACAGTAATTTTCCACAACTTCACCATCATCTGTTTTGAGCTTTTTGGCTCTATTTTTGCATCCCTCTTGAGCACAAAAAGGCCTTAGTTGTCCCTGATTAATAGGATCACAGTATCTTTCTGCTAGTTCTCTATCAAATGTTAATTTCATATCTTCTTCTGTAAACTTGCTTGGCCAAATATACCCATATTCCAGCATAAATGGCTGAATTTCATCACGGAACTTTTCTTCATAAAATCATGGCGCTTTTCTTATCAGTGAGCACTTGTGACTTTGATGAAATATTTCCCACCCCCACCATCAAGGATAAATAACTTCATTTTCATTTATTTCATAATAAGTCATGTTATTGTTTTTGCCTCTCCCAACCCACTCTGATATGCATTCATTATAATAAAGCTTAAGACATAATTCAAAACCTTTTCACATTAGTGTAGCTGGGTGCTTTCTTCATCCTTTTTTAGTCCCATTTATTGCATTCAAAATATTGAATGCCTCAACCCTTTGTTTCCCAAGCCTTTGATCATCCAAAGCTTTTACACTTTTTTTGATGTTTGGGTATGGCAAAAAAGTAACAACCATTTATTACGAAATTCAATTATTTCTTTTTAAAAAATTCCTGTTTATTTGCATATAAATTTCTATCAGCTATTATTTTATCTATGGCTAATTTTGATATAATTTAGACATGTCAAAAGGAAAAGGTTTCTGCTATTACTATTGTCTACTCATATCAATCTTCGGATGTCTCTTTTTGGTGAGTGTTATTTAGACTTACATAGCTTTACTCTGCGCTTTTGACGTGAAAGAGCTTGATGTGGAAGATAAAACAGAATATACAGGAACAGTATTTATTTCAGCTGGTGTTTATGAAGTTATCGTGGCTATATTGGTAATTTATGGATTTATCACTTCTAGGCGTGCAGGAAATGTCTCAGGAAATGGGTATCAGCGTATAGAAGATGAAAAGTAAGTTTAATGATGAGACTTGCATAAGATAAGTAAACTGCTGAGATGTCTTGTCTTTGAAAGTGAGTTAAAAATCGATTTCTTTAAAATTTTTTCGGGATTTTGTTTAGAATAAGAGATTGATTGCCTTATCCAATTTTTCATAATAATTGTTGTGCCTTTTATGAAGAATTTCTTTTGCCTTTATTTTAGTTTAAAATTTTATCAAATTTCTAGAACTCATAAAAATATGATCAATTGCAAAAAGAGATTTTTGCATATCGCATTTATTAAAAAGTATAAGAATTGGTCATAAGAAATTTTATAAAAAATTCGTAATTTAATACCAAAATTATAATTTCTAGACTTCTAAATTATTTACTTCAATTTAAAATTATAAAATCTACATACTTTTTGAAAATAAAAAAAACTGATCTGAAAGTTGGTCAACTACGATTGGTAAGGATCCCCCCCCTCATTTGTCCCAATTTTCTGGTCAAAATTTTATAGAAAAAAAAATTTTCAGGACCTCATTTGTCCCAAAATCTAGTCAAAAATGATTTGTCCCATTTTCTAGTCTTTTTGGGATTTTTTCGAATGTCCTAAATTTTAGTTTTTTACTTTAAAAAACTAGAAAATGAGACAATTCAGGTCCTAAAATTTTTTTTTCTATCAAAATTTTGACTAGAAAATTGGACAAATGAGGGGGATCCTTATAATAATGGTTGCAATAGACTCAATTTTATATTTAACTGCACTAAAATAAATGAAGCAACTTGATTGTTGAGAAAATTTAAAATTATAGCCTTATTAATTCAGAGATCCATAGAAATTAAAAGGCTATTAAAATTCATTATAATAATCCAATTACTAAATGGGAGGATCTCCTTCTAAAGAAGGATCCCGAGATAGCCTTGAAGCTCTTGGGATATTCAAAGAAAAAGCTACTGTCGATGATTTTGAAATCCTCAAATACATCGGCAAAGGTAAATTTGGAAAAGTTTATCAAGTAAGACACATAGCTAATGAAAAAATATATGCTATGAAGACCTTAAAAAAATCATATACCATTTTTCTATAATTAGAAATACCTAATTTAAACGAAAAATGGGGAGATAGATGCAATGCTAAAATATTAATTAAATAAAATTCTTATACATACAAAAGAATCACCAAATCAGAAACACAAAAAATGAAAGGAATATTCTGGCAAAATCTTCACATCGTTTTATTGTGAAGTTGCATTATGCATTTAAAACTGACAAAAAACTATATTTGGTGATGGATTATGTCAGTGGTGGGGAACTTTATACTCACTTAAGGTCACGTGGACCCTTTTTAGAGAGCTGGATAAGGTTTTATGCAGCTGAAATACTCTGTGCTTTAACCTATCTCCATGCAAAAGGTGTTGTGTATAGAGACTTAAAGCCAGAAAATATATTAGTGCAAAATAACGGACACATAAAATTATCAGATTTTGGACTTTCCATCGCCAACATGGCAGAGTCAAGCTGTGAAACAGTTTGTGGGACGCCTGCTTATCTGTCCCCAGAGATGCTTAGAGGTGAAACCTATGGTGTCTCAGTAGACATTTGGGCATTAGGAATTCTCCTCTATGAGCTCGCCTCAGGAACAACCCCATTTTATCACAAAAATCGAATTGCTATGTCGAAAAAGATAATAAATTCAGAAATTGTCTTCCCGTCAGAGTTTTCTTATGAGTTTAAGTCTTTATTAGAAGGCTTACTTGCAAAAAACGTCAATGAAAGATTTACAATTAACGATGCAAAAAGACACAACTTTTTTGAAAGTGTTGATTGGGGAAAAGCTGATCAAGGATTATTAAATCCTCCATTTGTCCCTATAACTTCTGGAGAAGAAGACACAAGCAATTTCAGAGAGCTTGAGATTGAGCATAGTCCACTCTCACCTCAGGAATTAATGGAAGAGCCTTATGAGCGTGAATCATATTCTGGGTTTTCTTTTGGCGAAGATGGCCAGAATATGATATAACTAATTCAGAAGAATTTAATTAAATGTTTTATAGCTAAAACTGTTATTTAATTCCCAATAATTCTTTAGATTTTTTAAAAGCTTCTTTTAATTGTGCTTTTTCTTCCACTTTAAATTGAGTTAAAACATAATCAGACACTTCTGATATATCTCCAGGTCTTCCTATTCCAATTTTAAGCCTATCAAACTTATTCGTTTGTAGTGCTGAAATTACAGATATAACTCCATTATGTCCATTTGCACTTCCTCCATTCTTAATCTTAGCTTTACCAATAGGGGTATCCAGGTCATCATGCAAAATTATCAATTCTTCAAATTGTGTGTTAAAGCTTTTAATTGCTTTTTTTATTATCCCACCACAGATATTCATATAGCTATGAGGCTTAAAAAGTAAAATCCCATTGTAATTGGAGATGTAGCCTTCTAGCTTTTTATCGTATTCAAAGCGAGTGCCGAGTGAATCTAAAAATTGCTGTCCTACATTGTGTTTTGTGAGCTTATAAGCGGGAGGATTTCCTAATCCAATAAGTAATTTATATTTATAACTCATTGGATTTATCCTCTTTGAGGATGAATATGCACAGTTTTTAATATAATAAATATTATTCTTTATTAAAGATGATATAAACCAAATAATTTAATGATAGTTTTGAAATTGCTTAAAACTAAATTCTAACCATAAATCTTCTCCTCTTGTGTTGAAAATGCTTATAGCATATTATTGTATAGAAACTTAGGATGAACTGCACGGGGCATTTTTGGCTTGTCGGCAAGCCAAAAATGCCCGTGCAGTTCATCCTAAGTTACTGTATTTAAGTAACGTAATATGATCCTCCAGATTTTTAAGACTTTCATATTTAGATTCTCACTACTTGTGTTGATTTAAATTTGTGATAATCGGATACAAAAATGGGATGCGGATAACTAAATTATCCAAGCTTAAGAACTCGTTTTAGGTCACTTGCTTACCTCTATAAATATGAGCCTGTGGCTAATAATGCAAAGCTTCTTCTCTAAGTTGATTCGTAAAATAAGCCAGCCTTCGCATTTGCTTATGACGTTTTATCGCCACTCTACTAGTCTTAGCCAAATCCATCCTCGCCCAATGGATCTTAACAAATTTTAATATAAATTTATGTCAATTTCTAATAGATTTGCAAAATTCCCTAACAAATTTCAAAATTTATGGCAAAAATTGCTACATCCCTAAAAAGGGTGGATAACCCGTAGAAACTAAAGAAGTTTCACCATCAAAATAACTTAAGGAACCTCTAGCTTATGTAAATCAGCCTCAATTTAAGTTGCCATTTACGTGGTGATAATTAATATTGGCCCAAAATGAGTGAGTACAAAGAACTTAAGGACGATAAAGAGGAGGAGAAGAAGAATAATCCTAACAGGCTTACCGCTCAACAACTGGCCGATATAAACACCGGCGAAGAAGGCTTAAACAGAAATGAATGGAAAATAAGGTTTGACAGAGACGGCCCAAATGAGCTTCCAGAGAAAAAGGTCAACCCAATTCTTAAGTTTTTATCATATTACTGGGGTCCTATGCCAGTTATGATTTGGTGCGCCATCATCATAGAGACGATTCGTCTCTCACTGATTGATGCAGTCGTGCTTTTAATTTTGCAGTTCTTCAATGGCTTTGTAGGTTGGTATGAAGAGAAAAATGCTGGAAACGCAATTGAAGCCTTGAAGAAAAACCTGGCGCCCAGGGCGAAGGTGAAAAGAGAAGGGAAATGGGAGACTATTGCTGCTAGAGAACTTGTACAAGGGGATAGGATTAACATCAAGCTTGGAGACATTATCCCAGCTGATTCCATTTTAGGGCCTGGATATGCAGAAATTGACCAGTCCGCACTGACTGGGGAAAGTTTGGCAGTCACTAGATATGAAGGAGAAACAGTCTACCAAGGTTCAGTCTGCAAAAGAGGGGACTTAGAAGCCATCGTCATTGCAACAGGTCCAAGGACTTTCTTTGGCAAAACCTCAACTTTGGTCGGACAAGTCAACCAGAAAGGAAACTTCCAAAGAGTCATATTGAAAGTCACAGGGATTCTTATGATCGTCTCATTCGTCTTAGTCGCTATTATCATGATTGTGGTGCTTACTAAAGGAAATGATTTCTTAGTGACCCTCTCCATTTGTGTCGTCATCTTGGTCGCTTCGATTCCGATCGCCACACAAGTCGTCTGCACTGCTACTATGGCTGTAGGTGCCCACGCATTGGCTCAGAGGCAGGCTATTGTGTGCAAGCTAAGCTCTATTGAAGAGTTGGCCGGCATGCAAATTCTTTGCAGTGATAAGACTGGAACTCTGACCAAAAACGAGCTGACAGTCCAACAGCCAATGATGCTTAAGAACTATACAATTGAAGACATCTTCCTTGCAGCTGGACTTGCATGCAAAAGAGAAGTCGGGTCCCAAGACGCCATTGATAAATGTGTCAGTGAATACGCAATCCAAAAATGCAGAATCAGCTTCCAAGGCTACGAAGAAGAAGACTTCATCCCATTCGACCCTAAGAACAAAAGGACTGAAGCTACAGTTAGAAACACAAAAACTGGAGAAACTTTCAAATGTGCCAAAGGAGCTCCACAAGTTATTTTGGCTATGAGCAAAGACCCAAGCATTGAAGAAGAAGTCACTAGGTTTGTAGAAGAGCTTGCTCAGCGTGGATATAGAACACTTGGAGTATCAAGGACCAATGCCCAAGGAGCTTGGATCATGCTTGGACTAATTCCTCTTTATGATCCTCCTAGAGACGATACCAAAGAAACCATCCACAAAGCTATACAAATGGAAGTCAAGGTAAAAATGATCACTGGCGACCAAATTGCCATTGCAAAAGAAACTGCAAAACTCCTTAACCTTGGAGACAAAATCTATAACTCAGATCTTCTCAGTGAAGACTCTTCAGCTGTACAACGTGAACTATTGGACACTTTGGTTGAGGAAGCTGACGGCTTTGCTGAAGTTTTCCCTGAACACAAGTTCGGTATTGTCAAGATTTTACAAGACAAAGGCCACAGAGTTGGTATGACAGGAGATGGTGTCAATGATGCCCCAGCCCTTAAAAAGGCTGATGTGGGTATTGCTGTTGATGGAGCTACTGATGCTGCAAGAGCTGCTGCCGATATTGTCCTTACAAGCCCAGGTCTTTCTGTCATTATTGAAGCTATTTATAGAGCTCGTAAAATCTTCCAAAGAATGAACAATTACTGCATTTACAGAGTTGCCTGTACAGTTCAATTGCTGCTTTTCTTCTTTATCACAATGTGCTCAGTGAACCCTGACAGCGATTTTACTTGCCACTATCATGATGATAAGGACGCTTGCAAGCACATTCCTAATACCTTTAGAGAAATAAATGGTGATTTTGATAGAAATTGAGCTCCTAGACGCACTCCTATGTAGCTGGTAGGGCCCATCCTGATAAAGCTGAAAACAGGGTTCTGTCCTTTTTTGAAGTAGGCCATCAGGCACAGAGATTATTTGCTGAAGAGGGAAGTTTTGTATCTCCCTCAAAGGTTTTTTTTGAGCCTGCCAGATGGACTAGACAGTTTTACCTACCACATGGTCTTTCCTTGTCGTAACCATCGGGGTACTTTACAGACGGTGGCTCCGCCATAGGGAGCTTATCCCTTGGACAGGTGGAAATCCAAAACAGCAGCCTCTGATTTATCCATTTCGTTTCTCGGGATGTTGGAGGAGGCTATTTTGGAGCTGAGACAAGGCAAAGTTATTGGGCTTGACCGCTTATGGTCAGTTAATCGTTTAAGTTTAAGTTAACACCTTTAAGAAATAAAATGGAGAAGTTGACGTAAATCGGACTTCGAGACGAACTCCCTATGCCTATGAAGCAGGTTGAGGAAGATGAAAACAGGACCTTTGCCCCTTTTTAAGTAAGCCTTCAGGCTTGAGGATGCCTTACTGAGAGGGAGCTTTTTTCTTCCGAAGGTTTTCCTGCCTCTCTGAGATGGGCTAGGCAGATTTGACTCCCACATGGTCTTCTATCATTGATACCATTGGCACTCTACAGATGGTGACTCTGCCCTGGAAAGCAGATCCCATGGACAGGGTTTCAGGTCAGAAATCCAAAATATCGCCATTCTGGAGTCAAGGTTGGCGACGGCTATGGGCTACCCACTTATGGCCAGCATAGCCTGTTAATTTATTTAATTTTTAACACCTTTACACTCCCAGTCATTGCCATCGTGCTGATTACAGTCCTCAATGACGGTACCATCGTATCCATTGCATATGACAGAGTAACTGTCTCAAAGAAGCCAGAACGATGGAATTTAAGCTTAATGTTCTTTAACGCTATCACCTGCGGAGGAATTGCTTTGGTGTCTTCAATTATTTTGTTATTGACAAGCTTAGATAACTTGGATACCAGAGACGCCGATCCATTTTATAATGCTTTCAATATCGGAGTCTTCAAGTATGGAGAAGTGCTGACTGCAATTTACATGAAGGTTGCACTGTCTGATTTCTTGACCTTGTTCGCAGCAAGAACTAACAGCTGGTTCTGGACAAGAAAGCCAGGAAATATTTTATTGTTTGCCTTTGTGTTTGCAACATTATGTGCTACTTTCTTTTCAACTTATTGGTTCTTGAACTTCAGCAACGGAGATTCTGGAAATATTCCTGACATGAAGCCAATTTCTTGGAAGCTTGCTGGATTTATTTGGGGATTCGATATTATTTTCTTCATTCTTCAAGATATAGTTAAGGTGTATCAGTTGAAGTTCTTTGATTATTACTATAGCCTCCAAGGAAAAGATACTGGATACTCTGGAGCTGTGCTGACTGATACATTCTTATTTCCCTAGCGTAAAATTTTTATAAAAAATTATTTTTTTTTTATTAAATAAAAATTATTTTTTATTTTTGAAGGGAAAAGTTAGTCTTCACTGGAGTAACCGATGGTAGAGAAAATAAAAGATCAATTGTTACTAGAAGATCAATGGCAGCAGCCGGAGTTTAAAAAGATAATTACTTTTTTTATAAATTTCGATTTATAAACTTGTGTGAAAATAATCTAACTCCCCCCCCCCCCTCCGTGAGCGAACAAAACCATTAGAAAAATCGCCATTTTTTGACCAAAAAACCCACCCTCCGTGAGTGAACAAAAATTTTTTTAATAGAAAAAATTTTAATGGAAAAAAATTTTGATATATAAGTGATAATTAGTATAATGAAATCTAGAGCTAATTCTGTTTAATTTTAAACAAATTGCGTTTTTAAAACATAAATTTTGCAAATTAAAATTAATATTTGCTTCCCAATTTTTGCAAATTAGGATTTTTTTAAATTTCGAAAAAAATATTTTTTATAAAATTTATATATAAATTTTTTTTAAAAAAAAAAATTTAACCCCCCTCCGTGAGCGAACAAAATTTTTTTGTTCGCTCACGGAGGGGGGGGGGGGGAGTAATAATTTTGCAAAAAGGATCCAAAATATCCATATTAAAATTTTTGCAAAATTCCATCTTCAAAGCTTCAAATATTATTTTGATAAATTATTTATTAAAGAAAACTTTAATAATTTGATAAGATTTAATTTAAATTCAAGATTTTATGTTGGGGAGTGGGCAGGAATTTTGCTAAATTTGATATCACTTAACCCAAGGCTTTAATTTCTGCATTAATTAGCTGATTCACGCTTATTTATTTTAGAATTATTTATTTTATTTTTAGGGGGTTAGCCAAGTTCTATTGGCCTCTATCAAAATATGGACCAATTGTCGGACACAATTGAATTTAATAAAAATCTAGCGCTTTTGAGAAATCAGATGGCTGGATACAATGCCAGGCTAAACCAGTTGAGGACAGAGTCGAGACAGCCACTTTCAGCTTACAAGCCTAACCCAAACTGAACCAGCGAATACATAGGAATCCACGCCTCATATTCAATTGACTACTTTCCAAAGAAGCGAGGCAGGAAACCAAAAGATGTGGATTTGACAGAAACTGTGAATAATAATGGAGGAATTACATTCACCTGCAAAAGCTGCAAGCGTGTGCTTGAGATCAAAAAGAAATACGCTAAAGAGCAATGTCAGACTTGCTATAAAAAGAACAAGAAAATCGATCAAGATCAAAAATATGTATATTCTTAATAATTACTCAAAAAAACAAAGAAAATTTATATGAATGTGCTGCGAGCCAGTATATGTTACTTTGCTGATATTAAAAATAATTAAAAATTGCTTTTTTTATTTTTAACAGAAATAGATCTAAAAATAAATTTTTAATTAGCCTAAAAATGTCAGAAGGTTAAAATAAATCTTAATTACTGGTTTATCTAATTCAAATTAGCAAATCACCATATATTTCAGTCATAAAAATAAGAGGGTGTTGGAGTTTAAACATAATATTTTATACAGTAGATAATTTAATTCGATAATAAGATATTGGCATTTTATTCTCTCAAAGAAAATCCTGATATTGTAAGCTGCCAATATATGTCGAATTAAACCTAAACCTTAACTTAATTAGTTATAATTCTTTAACGTTTAGCATCTGCATCCACATCACCTTCACAGGCTCCCACTTCTGCTTTAAATATGCGCCTGCCCACCTTGCATTGTGCACTACCTGGTCTTGATTTGAATGGGGGTGTTCGGATTCGACAGCTGTTCCAACTCTCGAGCTAAACCAACTTACGTCCATCATGGCACGCTAAGGGTCTCGATCCCCAGCGCCTTGGATTGAGGGCACGCTCCCAGAAAATTCAAACTCTCCTTTTCCCTCCCTCCCTCCAGGAGTAAATAAAAAATTTTTCTCGCTCAAGGGGGGTTATTTTTTTCCAATAAATTATAAAGGAATTTTACAATGGTTTTGCTTGCTCACGAAGGCGGTAGTAAAAGATGAGCGTCCGAAGCTGCGCACCCTTGAGCTTAATACACTGCCATTGCCTTTTATTAGCTGGATGAAGCCAAACCATTAATCAAAATTTGCCAAGCAGAATTTCTGTTCTTTAGAACAGAAAATTTGAACGACACCATATTTTTGATTATATGCTGAATTAAGCAAATTTCGTATAGATTATAGGCCAGCTTTAAAGCGATTTTCATGAAAATCTTTTGCATGATAATATTTATTATAAATCTCAAATAATAAATATAATAAATAAATTTCTTTCTTTTTACAATTTCTTTAATAAATCGTATTCCTTGAATTTCTTATGAGCGAGTAATAAACGATTCCAAGGCTAAAACCTAATTTCAGAATCTTTCAGCTAAGAAAAAGATTGAATGAGATGGTTTATTCTTGTTGAAAACTCCATAGGTCGAACTCGAATACAATTTGTGCAGAGCACAATATCCTTTGATAAATAAAAATTTAAGCATTAATTTAAAGTCTCTATATCATAAATTATCATAAAGTCATTTTTCACCTTATTTAAATCAATTAATTTTTCAAGACAAATATCAGAAACTGAATAAGTTATTATGGAATAATTCCAGACCTGACCTAAACCCCTCTAATGCATCAAATTATTACATTATCTGGAATCTTTTTCAACAAGTGTCTTTACCTTTATACCCTTATGACTCAGCTCAGTCATACCTTTCATCCAATATACTCCAGGAAATTCATAAAGTTGATACTCTTGCTCAATTACGATTTCTTCTTTATCAATAATCTCCCCATCTTCCATTGACCCTCCTGTCGTTTTTAATTCCAATTCTTGAAAATCGCTTTCGGATCCTGTGTCATTAGGTTTAAAAATCTTTACTGGTGGCTCCACTTCAACAGGCTGCCTTAGCCTCTTGCTAACAACATCTAATCCAAACGTCGTAACGTAATTTTTGGGTTTTTTGAAAATAGAAGAATAAGGGTGGATATCAATCAGCCCTGGAAATTTTGATCTTTTAAATTTTTTTATCATGATAAAAGCATCTTCAATTCTCCTTAACGCTCCAAAATTTTTTGCTTGATCAGGAAAGGATTAGTATCTTTGTAGGAATTTTTAAATTTCAGAAACTGAAAAAAAATTAATTAATTATAAAATTTATTTTTAGAATGCAGATTTTCTAAATTCCAATTGAAAATTCTAATGCATATAAAATGATGATTTTTTAAAAATAATTTATATTGAAAATTTTTATTCATATGGGAGGTTTTTTTTTTTTAAAACAATAGAGATTTTTCAGAGGTTTTACTCGCTAACAAAGGTGGAAAGTTAATACAAGAATCGTGCACAGGTAGTTATTTACGAACCTTGGGGTTTCTGCGTGGAAAATGAATTCTCCACCGAGCTTTATTCTTAGATGTTCTGTTGAGAAATTCTGAGGAAGTGACCTAAGAATAACAGCTGTCCAGTTGAAATCTGGGTCAAGAACTCTGTAGTTAAGCCATCTTACATAGCTATCATGTTGAGAGCCTGGGATTCTGTGCAAAATGGCACCTAGCCGTCCATTTTCTTCATCCTTTGCAAGCTTAGCGTATATGAATTTTGCTGAATATTTCTTACCTTCGGCCAAAGTTCTGAAATATAAAAGCGCATAATGCTCGATCCCAGTGTCTTTTTTCAAATCCAAAAACGAAATCTGGGTAGGTTGTCCTCCATATCGTTTGATTATGCTATCTATATGTGCTATGCTCAAAGAAAGTTCAATGTTCCCTAAAGCGAGAACTGAAAGGCAAGACTTCAAGTGGTGTTTCTAAATTAAATTTACTGAAAACGAAATGTTCGTGATATCAAGGATGGTCTCAGCAACTTTTCTGACGCTGGGCACACAAGATTCTTCTTCTGAACACTCTGCACTGCTAGGAGACTCGACTAGGAATTTCAAATTTGGGCCAACTGATCGTAAAGATAAGCAAATTTGTCTGAAAGATTCTTGCATTTCAGATGAAGGGATTATCATAAATGATGGACGGTATCCGTTTTTCCTCAGAATGTCGTGGACTCTTCGTGGGTCGAGCTTAGCTAATTCGTCTTGTGCGGTGTCCAAAAGTTGGTCAAGTGTAGAATACTCCATATATTTTTCAACATAAATTTGTCGTAAGATTTTGAGTTCTTTTTTTTGCCTTGGAAAATTGTAATTTTTAATAGCTCGGGGCAATGTTGAATAATAATTAAGTATTTTCAGGTTTTTTAATGGTATTTTAATAGAGGGAAAATATATCTCCTGTATTAACCATAAAAATAATTTAGTTTATCATCATAAAGCTAGATGATTAAGTTCAAGCATTGCATAGGATTTGTAAAAATAAATTTAATAAAATTAATAAAACGAAAAAAATAGCTATTTTAAGCCAATATTTTTATCTTGAACTAAAAGTGCTTAATTACAATTATAAATCATAAGGAAATTAGAAAATTTTCTGATAAAAATGGAATCAGAAACTCCAAGCAAAAAAAGATTTCTGTGCCCGATATATCTGATTTTCCTTGAAGCTGCAATAATAATACTATATGGGCTATTTACATCATTTTCCTCATTTTCTGAGCCAATTAATCCAAGCTTAACCCCAAGCTCAGACTCAGAAAATCATTTTATTCTGCTGTATCCTCTTTATCAAGATATCTCTATTATGATTTTTGTAGGTATAGGGTTTCTTATGTCGTTTTTAAGATTCCACAGCTGATCTTCAGTAGGATTTAATTTTATTTTAGGTGCTCTTTCTTTGCAGCTTTATATCCTATTTAATGGATTGTGGGTAAGAGTTATAACAAATTCCTCATGAGACATTCCAATCAATTTAGATATTTCTCTATTTATCAACGCTCTATTCGGCACAGCAGCTGTTTTAATTTCACTTGGTGGAGTAATCGGAAAACTGAATCTTTTTCAGCTAGTTTGCATGGCAACCATAGAAATTTGTATTTACGCCCTCAACGAAGCAATAGTTTTTAACAAAATTCACATAACTGATGTAGGTGGTAGCATTGTAGTCCATATATTTGGTGGCTATTTTGGCCTAACAGTCTCACTCCTGGTCTCCTCAAACAACTGTAAAAATCACCCAAAATTAGTTGCAAGTTACAAGTCAAATTTATTTTCAATGATCGGCACATTATTCCTCTGAGTCTATTGGCCTTCATTCAATGCTGCACCAGCTTTAAATATAAACGATGTTCATCGTGCTACGTTAAACACAATTTTATCTCTAACAGGCAGCTGCATCGCCACATTTATTTTTTCCACTTTATTTAAAAATGGAAAACTGTGTATGGATGACATTTTAAATGCTACATTGGCTGGAGGAGTCATTATAGGAACAAGTGCTGATATTATTGTGTATCCTTTTTCGTCATTAATTATTGGCTGTTGAGCTGGATTTTTGACGACTTTTGGATTCAGGGTTTTGTCACCTTTACTCCAGAGGAAATCAATTTTGTATGACACTTGTGGCATACATAATCTTCATGCGTTGCCAGGGGTATTTGGAGGAGTTTTTTCAGCAATTTTTATAGCTGGGCTGACAAAAAGTTCTCTTGGATATAGGGTGGAAGACAGATTTTCAGGGAGGTCTGCATCAGAACAAGCAGTTTTACAAATTATTGGCTGTGGAATAAGTCTTGGGTTTGCAGTAATATCAGGAATTTTTACTGGTATTTTGTTAAAACTTCCATGTTTTGAGAAAATAAATTCACTATTTGATGATAAAGAATTTTGGGTGATAGAAAATGATCCAGATGATTATTTAGCTGTTGGGCATGCTCATAGAAGGACTGAAAGTACAGATGGAAAGCTAGTGAATCATAATTTATCTAATTAGAATTTTTTGAGATATTTTTAAGACATTAATATATTGCTTTGGTATAACTAACTAACTAACTAATTATAACGTTTAGCGTCCACTACGGGGTAGACTATCCCAGACCCGCCACTTGCCTTTCGCCGCATCGGGCCCAGGAGTTGCTGGGCCAACCCGTCTCGATCACCAAGGTGCGCCTAGGGCAAATGTCACCGGCTTCGACAGCTCATGAGTGAGCTACTGCATCTGGACATGGGTTGCCTTTTCGAAAATCAAAAAAATGGATTTTCTGGTCGGCTCTCGGTAAAAAGGAAAAACACACAGCCTGGGACGTAACGCCCAGTTTCACGCTAGGGAGTTGCCCGATTGGTCCTTAGGACTCTGCTGGGCTTCCCCTTTCCAACTGTCATACCTTCCTTCCCCACGAGGAAAAAACCAACCCTGAGAATAGACTAGGGCTAGGCTCTGAACACAACCCAGAATTGCTTACCTAGCATTGCTGTCCCTCTCTGAGCTGGTAAAACCTTGCCGGATATAATTAAATATGAGTCGAGGCTGCATGGCCGGGAGGCCATGCCCAGACGAAGACGCCATATTTAATTATATTGCTTGGGTATAATTGGAATTGCTAATCTACTAAAGATTTATTGGTTGATAGGCTTGGAATTTTTTTCCCATATAAATATATAGTTAACTACACTGACTGGCGCGGGGTGCTTTTGGCTCGAAAACTGAGCCAAAAGCACCCCGTGCCAGTCAGTGTAGTTCACTATATAATTTCTCAATAAGCATATTTGAAATGATAAGTCTTTTCTGCAAGATTATCATACTGAGAAATGGCTAAACGAAAAGCTCTTCTTTAGCCATTGTATATGCCTTTTGTGCTCTTCTTCTATTTCATATGGCAAAAATTGCTATAATTTGAGCTATTTCAACCCTTGCTAAGCTAATGGAGAGAGCTCATCTTTGACTAAGTTTCACAGTTCTTCTTTGATTTTTTATTTAGCTGATAGAATCAAATATTTAGCATACTCACCAGATACTCGACAATTTTTCTATATATTATTTACTAAGAATAGCTCATTAAGGAGCATTTTTTGGTTGGTCGGACAATAGCTGGGTTGTCAAGCTCGTTGACATGCCATGTTTTCTGGCTAACCAGATTTAAGAATAGCGAACCAAAAAATGCTCCTTAGTGGGCTATTCTTGGTAAACAGGTATATGCTTTCTCTCTCAATTTCAACAAAAATAAATTAGTTTTAAAAGAATCTTCTCCTCAATTGAAATGCTCACAAAATTAATAGCAATCATTTATTCGCTTTCTAATTTTCATCTTTATTCCCTCGTCGCTTTCATTTCCTTAATCTCTTTGGCGCTATTTTGTTTTAATTCGATTGACGAAAGAATTTTTCATTTTTTGGCTTGTTTTTCTACTAAATTATCAAATGCCCACAGCTATTTTACCATCCAATTTTTCAATATTTTTCGTACGAATTAAAACAAATCCTCAAATCTATCTACATTTTCAACTATTTTTTGCTATAAATATCCCCGCTTCCATTTTTTAATAAACCAGATTAGTTTGACCTAATGTTTAAGTTAAACTGGGAATTCTCTATTAAGAGGGAATTCAAAAACTACTTCTTTGTTAGTTAGCTTGTTGTAAACAGCACTTAAAGTATCTAATTTTTCTTCGAATTTTTCTCTGTCTTTAGGATCAAGGAGAACTTTAAAGACACGTTTCCCATCAGTCTTGATTCTCTGCCTCTTTCCAAGAATAGTGGCAGGGAACACCAAATCATCTAAAATCGCTTCATGAACGCTGGTAAGAGTTCTTGAATAAGGGCGTTTCTGCTGGCCTTTGGATTTGAGGTATTTTGGTAATATAGTTCTTGAGAAAATTATAGCCACTGGCCTTGAAAATCTTTTTTCGAGCTCGTTTAGAAGTCTGGCATAGATTTTTCTGACTGCTTGGAGTGATCTATAGTGGAACATGATTACTACAGCATTACGGACTGACCCTCTGAATTTCCCCTCAAATTCACTTGCTCCTGTAATAAAAATGTCACGAAGTTCACCTTTGAGGTCACTTGCGGATGCTTCAATCTCACCTAAGGTCTGGGCAACATGGTATTCGAACTCTGTTGGCTCACTTCCTTTCTTGATGATTTTCTTTTTTGCGTCTGACATGTGGACCCTATTTATTACAATTTAGTTAGTTATAGAATTCTAAGAGACCAAGAATTTTCTCGTTTTTTGAGTTATTAAGGATGATTTTATGTAAATTCGAAGAATAATTCGTGATTTATGATAGAAAATAATTTTTTGAACAAAAATAGATAGAGTTCAATAGAAAGTTTTGGAATTAAATTCAAATAAGGAAATGCTGTTAGTTAAATATAATGTGAAACTTGGTTGGAGCAAATAAGATTTGCACTGATAGAAATATAGCAAGAGAGCATATGCTACATTTAGCAAGGCTTAAGAAAATGAAATCTACAGTAAATTGCAATCCGCCTCGAACTATGTCACATCTTAAAGTTAAAGCAAAGAAAGAGCAAATTAAAAGAGATAAAGAAGAAATAGTTGAGCATGATAATAAGCTACTACTTAAAAAAATGTTGGAAATTGACAAAAAACCATCTTCCGTTACTCCTAGATGCCTAGGAACTCCTCGAAACAAGTCATTGAATAAGGTAAATAGATTAAATGAATTATCTCGAATAGCAAGAGAAAATCGAAAAATATTAAAACAGATACAGCTTGCAAAACCATCTTACTCAAATCATAAACTTAAGAAGGATTATGAATACAAGCAATATCTCTCCCACAATTTATCAGAGAATGCAGGCCGAGTTCCCAGGTCAGTTAGTTTCACATCTGAGTCATTTGTTACAAGTTCAGTAAGTATTGAAGCACCAAGGCCACTTAGTGCTGTTCAGCAAAGAAGTGTAGAAACTAGTTTAGTTAGACCTATGACTGCTGATGGGAGAAATAGGATCGCTAAATCATTTTTATAAAGCTGTAACTGATTTCTGAAGAAGATAAGAGATAAAATTTTGGATTACGATTTTTATTTAATAAATAATTTGATAGTATTTAAATTATAATCAAAACAATTCTTAAATTAACCTCTGAGACATCTGGTATAGTAAATTTGATATTTAGTTTTTTTCAATTCTGTTAGGTATCACCATTTTATAATCAAGTTAAAAAATTGGACTGCATTGATTTATCAAAAAAATTTCCAATATGTCATGCAATGCTGAATCAGAAATTGGAGCTGACCAATGCTCAGAATATTCAGTACCAAGCACAAGAGCAAGCTTAGAAACAAATGAGGACTGTGGGTGTTGGCAATATTCAGAAAACATACCATTAGTATACCCACAAAACCCAGAAGATTGCATTGAGCTTTATACTCCAATATCTTTGGATAAGATAAATAAAATTGAACAGCGAAACAAGAAGCTGAAGGACTTAATAGAAAATTTCGACCAAGAAATTTTTGTATATAGCAGAGATGATTTTTCACTTCAGCAAGAGCCAATATTATTGGGAAATCCATTTGAGTCCACATTTCATAGACGAAGAAGTGCAGTACTTATGGAGAGGTTGGATTCTTTATAAATACACATCTAATTAGTTGTAAATATGTTTATAAAAAATTAGTGTGTTAAATAATTTCTTATATATAATTAAGCTCTCAGAACCATTTTTATTTTTTATTAGAGAAGAAATGCTAGCTTCTCTGTAAGTAAGCTGCTTTTTGTTGGACTAATATTTTCTCCCAAAATTTTATATAAAGATTATTATCTATTGAGAAGTTTATTTTCAAATTCAAAAACACAAATGTGTAAAATTTTGAATATAATAATTATCACTATTATATATAAAACTTGTTTTATATAGAATGGGCATTTTTTGCTTGTGATAATTTTCCAAAAAGCTTTTCCATAATTGCATTTTCTCATGTAGGGGAGAAGTAAGGAATAATAACGGCAATAGTAAGAATTGCCATATATCCTCAGACTCATTGATTTTTAAATAATCCAGAAATTCATTTTTATATTAAAAGCCAGCTTTCTTCAGCTTAATAGATTTTTACTGATTTTAGATTTCTGAAGGATATATAGGACTCAGTAATTTATTATAAATTTATATAGTGCATTTATCTGTGAATGATTTAAATTAAAAGTCAAATCCTCTAACCTTGCTTAATGCTTGACTACAAAACCTCGTTAACTCTTTGCTATAGCTTAATGGAAGCCCTTTAATATCTTGATCAGCCATTTCATCTAAAATTTCGATTCCTTTTCTGAGATCTTCAATTTTAAGTACGTCCTGAAGTTTTCTTTGATTTTCGTATAGATTAAGCCGTGGACTTCTAACTCTTGGTGATAAAATCGATGGGCTAGGTGACCTTGAAGTCATAGGTTTCTTAAAAAATTGGTCAATTTGAGGCTTAATTCTTGAAAATGGAGACCTCGTTTTTGGGGAAGTAGGAGTTGTTGGTCTAAAGTGCGATAAATCTTGATAAAGAGAAAAATTCGGAATCGTGGATGTAGATGTTGCTGGTTTTGTTTTAACTTCACTGCGGAAAGCTTTCCAATTACTTTGGCTTGATTTTTGGCTTTTAAATGAGAGTTCTAGTTTTTGCTTAAAATCGCTCAGTCTGTCGTTGGAGTTTTGTCGACTGAGTTTGTCGACTTTATATTTTGATTCAAAGAATCGATCTTTATTGCCGTATTCACTAGATGATCTAAGCGACATTTTCTTATATATAATAGTAAATTTAATAATGTATGCACTTGAATTTAAGCGTCTTTTTTACATTTTATTGGTGATGATCATTATAATATTAAAAATAATGATTTTAAAGAATTGATTAAATTGACTTTTAATCTTCTTTGATATCAAGTAAATGTGCAGCAATTTCAAATATAGTGTAGCTATTTAACTAGACTTTATATTTTTTATTATTTTGTTGAACAGCATTTAAATAGATACTTTATTAACTGTCTTTCAGCTTAAACTAACAAAAAAATGTTTTACAGAGGCTTGATTGATTTGTTTTTAACAAATTTATAAATTTAAGAGTAAAAATCTTTTTACAAAATTTAAAAAAAACCAACTTTAAGCGAATATTAGTTTTGTGAAATTTATTTTTAATGAAAGCTGTTTAAAATTAAGCAGAATTAGCTATAGATTTAATTGTAATAATTGTCACTTATATCTAAATATTTTTAATAAACAATTTTTTTTCTCTCACAGAGGATGGATTTTTACCTAAAAATAGGGATTTTTCCAATGGGTTTGTTCACTCATGGAATGGGACAGTAAGCAATGCTTTCTTCTTCAAAATGGTTTTGATTGAATCTTCCAATCTTTGGCTTTCTTCCGTCAGTAAAAGTCATGTTGCCGTATCCATGCTGAATTCCTTCCACCCAGTCCCCAGCATAGCATGATCCATCATTCCATTTCATTTTCCCTTTTCCATTTCGTTTATCTCCTTTAAATTCTCCTCTATATTCATTTTTTGATGGTCACACAAAGTACCCTTTTCCTTCTTTTACATCATTTCTAAAGTCTCCAATATATATATGTCCTTGAGCTGTAACAATCTTTCCTTTGCCATGCTTTTTCCCATCCTGAAACATTCCTTGATAAATTGTATTATTTCTATACGTATATTTTCCATAACCATGTGGCTTTCCGTCCAAGAATTCTCCAACGTACTTATCGCCAGTTTCCACATAAGTCTCAATGCCTCTCCCATGCTTAATGCAAGCATTCCATTCGCCTTCATATGCATCTCCATTAGACCACGTATGTTTTCCCCATCCATGCGCTTTAGAGTCACTCCAGTCACCAATATAGCAATCCCCATTCGGACTTGTCCATTTTCCTTTGCCATGCTTGACTCCACTTACCCACTCCCCTTGATAGACTTCTCCATTGTTCCACGTATACACTCCAATACCATGTGCTTTTCCATTGGCGAAATCTCCAGTATATTTATTTCCATTTGAATAATGCTCAACCCCTCTTCCTTGGCGGACATCATTTCTCCATTCTCCAAAGTAAACTCTTCCATTATCATAAATCATCTTGCCTAGACCATGCCGCTTGTCATTTAGCAAGTCTCCTTCATAGCGGGCGTCGTTGAATTTTCGAACGGAATTAGGGACCAGCCTCCTTCTTTCATCATCACTCAATTTATTTAGATAGTCTGATCTAAGCAAGTCTTCATAGTTTTCATATGAAGGCAAGCGGATTTCTTCGTTTCTTGGCTTGATTTGAGAGATAATGCTTTCTTTATCTCGGATCATTTTTTCCACTTCTTCTATTTCACTTTGAGTCATGAACTCGTTCCATTCCATTTTAGAAGTTTTGAATTTATTAATATAAATGAAAAATTTTTTAGGAGTTCTAGAAAGAGGGAGGAGGTGTATTTATAGCGGGGGAAAGGATAGAAATCGTTGTCGGCCATACTATGCCTAACGCACCAGATCCCATCCGAACTCTGAAGTTAAGCGGCATAAGGCGAGGTTAGTACTTGGGTGGGGGACCGCCAGGGAAGCCCTCGTGCTGACAGCTAAACTTTTGTTTTGAAGATCTTTATTTTAAGGTCTCTTTATTTTCTCTATAAAACCTTTCCTATTTAATCAAAATTATACTTAAATTTAATATATGATGTGCTCTTATAAAAATTCTGTTTTTATTTTAGGAAAAGCTAAACTCATTATTAAGGCTAGAATAATTCATCCAAAACTTTCGTTCCTCTCTTTCTAAATATTAAACATTTAAAACAAATTAAAAATGTCAGTTAGGGGTAGGGCCTATGTCCTACATTCGAGCTCAGTGAGAGCACTCATGAGAATAGGCCTACACTGAGTCTGGTGTAGATCAGAGAGGTCCTAGGGGGCTTGGGACAGAAGCAGGTAGGCGTTTAGGCTAACCCCTACCGTTATTCAGAGCTAAGGCCAAGAAATAATGGACTTGAAGAGTTATCTTAAACTTAAATATTTAAATAAAATTCAAATAAATGTCAGACGCCTCCACATCGCCATCAAGCTCAGAATTGCTTGACTCAGTAACCCCAATGCCCATGTCTAGATCAGTCCGCAAAAGACCTCGCTCTTCAAATGATTTTTTTGAGCTCCTAAACTGTCCTATATGTTTTGATTATTACACCCCTCCAATCATCAATTGTAAGAAAGGACATTCTTTTTGTATAAACTGCATTGAAAGGATGGAAAGAACAAGTGGGGATTTAAGGTGTCCCCAATGTCGCTCCCCTATTGATAAAACAAGCAGAAACCATCTGATTGAAGACCAGCTTGAAAAAATCACAGTAGGATGCATATGAAGAGAATACGGCTGCAAGGTAAGAATTTCTTTGACTGAAAGAGAAAATCATGAAAAAACTTGTGATAAAAGGCCTGGAGGAGTTTTTTGCTACTTTGCTCATGAGCCTCTTGGAAATAGCTGCTCATGGAAAGGAAACCCTTTGCAATTGCCTAAACATTTAGAGCAGTTCCATGATATACAACCCATCGAAAGAGGTAGAATTGTAAAATTCTTATGAAATCCACCTAGGCAAGATCAAGCTCGATTTAGACACAGAGTAATAAAGATTGGCTACCCTTCTGAAAGTAATAAAACATATTTTATTCTCGAGCATATTTATATTCCAGATTGCAAACAGTTGCTATTTATGGTCAGAACCTTAGACAGTGAAGTAAAAATCCCTTATAAAATATCAATTTTAAATAGAAGTGATGATGAAAATAAAATTTCTTTCAGGGGCAAAACAGCAGATTTTGAGGACATTGGGTTGCTAAGCCAGTACCCTAATATTGATAAAACAAAAATTTTTTCAGTCCATTATGATACATTACAGAATTATTCATTCCAAAACCAAGAAGATGGGTTGATATATTTTTCTCTGCACGTTGAGTTTTTGAGTGCAGGGTATCGAGAAGTAGTTGATGATTAATTCAATTTTAATTTATTTAATTAAATTTAGAGATGATATAATATGAATTTATGCTAGAAAAACTCTATGAAAGTAATGCGAGACTGAATCTATAAATACTAAAATATGTATTGAGTAGTGTAGGTCCCATAGCTCAGCTGGTTAGAGCGCTGTGCTAATAACGCAGAGGTCGTGAGTTCGATCCTCACTGGGACCACTTTTATGATTTTGCAAATATATTTACTGATTGCTGAGTTTTGTATGTTGCTAGAAGATTTGTTTAATAAATTCATTTTTGAAACAATTCTTTGTTGCTATTTAAATATTTCCATTTTTAGTAAAAATTTGTTTGAAAAAATATTTAGATATTTATTTAGATTATGGATATATAATTGTAAAAGGATAAGGTTGCAAAAGTTATTAATGCTTCATATAATTGAATCGTTAATATTAAATAAAAATAAACATTTATAAGCAAATCTATTTTGGAAGCAGCTATTATCCATTTAAGATTTTTATAAATGAAAATACAGAGCATTTATAATCTTTAAAACATTACATTCAGTAACTCCGCTATTGCGACTAAGAAAATCTAATATTAAGATGGATGTTTTCATCAGTGTTTTTAAAGAGACAAAATGCTATTCATGCAACTCCAAAGTATCAATGACAAAGAAAAGGAGAAAATGCGTCAAATGTGGTAAAAACTATTAAGAACATTTATTTTGTACAAGTTGCAGTATAAAGGTCAAAGCCCCAGATCTTGGTTTTCTTCGCCATCGTAGATATTGCCTGCAATGCCATTCTCACTTGACTTCCAGCTTAACTTCTGAATTTCACGAAGTTTAAGTTTAACGAATTACTCTAGCATCTCGCCATCAATCTTTTTTTACTTGAGGCCCAAGCTACATTAGCAGCTCTGAATAACGGTAGGTGGTCCGTCTAGCCGTCAAAACCGTTAAAGTTAATAAGCCAGTTAAGATTCCTAGTCAGTTCCAGCCTCAGCACCAACTTCTTCTCTTCAAGCCGAGACTCTCAAGAAGCTTGACTTCTCTCTATAGCTCGGATGATAGGACCCGGACCTGCGTAGCAGGATTTAGGACCTTTTCCTAACTGACATTTTTAATATTGTGATTTCACGAAGAAATAAAGCAAGACCTTGTGAAGGCTCAAACGAGTCCTCAATTAAATGATCATGAAGCTCACTCTGAATTAGAATCTATTGCTAAAAGCGCTGGCTTTACTTCAGAAGAGCTTACATTAGACAAAAAACTAATTAAAAATGCTTTTGGGCTGCTGCTCAATGGTATAAAGCCTCAAGCATCCAGAAATAGAGTAAATTTAATATAGGCAAATGGCATTTTCCCTCAGAAGCACAATATCACTGAAGACAATCCATTGAACTTTTATGCAATAATAAGGAATCTTACAATTGAAGATGATAATGCCTTATATCAAGTCAGAGAACTGAACTCAGAAACCATTGCTATCCTAAAAAAAGTCAAGCCTGAAAATTCTGAAGAGTTTTCAGAAATTTGTGAAGAAATTTCATTGACGAAAGCCAAAAAACATCCAAATATACTGCAGTATTATGATGCATTTCATTTTAACGATCACATATGATACGCTATAGAATCAATTGATGTTACCATGTATGAGCTAGCTGCAGACAGAGCTGGGTATATACCAGAAAAGCATATGGCTTATATCTGCAAAGAAATTCTGCAAGGACTAGCGTTTCTTCACAAAGAAGGGAGGGTTCATAGAGATGTAAAAAGTGATAATATTTTATTAAGCCCTAGAGGAGATATCAAACTCGGAGACTTTGGATTGGCAGCTCAGCTTTGTAAAAGTTGCTTTAGAAGGCAATTAACAGCTGATAACCCTTCATGGATGGCTCCTGAGCTAGCAAGGCACACAAATTATAATGAAAAAATTGATATTTGGTCCTTTGGAATTTTTCTAATTGAATTAGCTGAAGGACAGCCTCCATATATTAATGAAAACCCGATGAAGATTTTGTATAATATTTCGGCAAAACCTCCACCTACTTTTCAAAATAAGCTAAGGTGGAGTTCTGAGATCAAAGAATTTCTTGGATTTTGCTTACTCCCCCTTGCATAAGCGGGGAAAAAAAATTTGTTAACTTACAGAGGAGGGGTTAATTTATAGTAAATTTTTTCGAAATATAAAAATCCCAATTGACAAAATACTAAAGCAAAAAATAATTGATTTATAAAAATTGGTTTTTAAAAATGCAAGCTGTTTAAAATTAACTAAAAATTCATTATACTAATTTTGATTATAAATCCAAAACTTTCAAAAATATTTTTATAGTAAAAAAATTTTGTTTGTCATGGGGACGGCTAATTTCCAATAGAGGAGTTAAGAAAGAATCCTGAAGAAAGAATGAGCGCAGAAGAGCTATTACGTCATCCATTTATTGAAGAGCATATTGAAGAGACATCTAAAGAGCAATTTGCTGAGTATCTTGAAGATTTTTATCCATCACTAAGTAAGAAATAAGTGATAAGATTTTGATTACCAAAAATATAATTAAAATTTGATATGTATAAAACGATTTATTTATGGAGATATAGTTGAAATTAATGGAAATAGATTATAATAGTCAGCACAGGCAATAATGAAATTATTGTTGATATTAATTTAAATAATAATAACTCCCTACTCCCCCCCCCCCTCGTGAGCGAACAAAACCATTAGAAAAATCGCCATTTTTTGACCAAAAACCCACCCTCCGTGAGTGAACAAAAATTTTTTTTAATAGAAAAAATTTTAATGGAAAAAAATTTTGATATATAAGTGATAATTAGTATAATGAAATCTAGAGCTAATTCTGTTTAATTTTAAACAAATTGCGTTTTAAAACATAAATTTTGCAAATTAAATTAATATTTGCTTCCCAATTTTTGCAAATTAGGATTTTTTAAATTTCGAAAAAAATATTTTTTATAAAATTTATATATAAATTTTTTTTTAAAAAAAAAAATTAACCCCCCTCCGTGAGCGAACAAAATTTTTTTGTTCGCTCACGGAGGGGGGGGGGAGTTAGCAAACAAATTTTACTGTTCACACGAGCCAAGATAAATTAAATATTTTATTTGAATAAATCAAATTTTCAAGTATTTGAAATGAAAGTTTTAAATTTATTTATAAAATTCATGCCTGAAAATTTATAATTATTAGCAGAAGATCTCATTATCAATTATAACCAGTAATTATATTAACTCTATCGAGCTTTATTTGAAAGAAGTTTATTAAAAAACTGTTTTATCACTGCCACAGGCTTTAATAATTCAAAAATAGATATTTAGCTCACTAGCAAATGGGAGGGAGTAATTTAATAATATACATTTATGAGTTTATTTTTATATTTCTGACTTTTCTCTACAATATCCCCATTTTTAATTTAGCCTATTTAAAAGCAAAAATAATTTCCCGATAATTAATTAAGAACAGATGGTTAATCCAAAAAGATCCTTTTTTTGCCTTAATTTTTGCCAAATTTTTTGCCTATTTTTTGCAGCTTTTAGACCCTTTGTGATCTGTTTTTAACCTATTTTTTAATTCTAGAAAATTTTATAATATAACTTCTGCTAAAAACAATAGTCTAAATTTGATTAAAATCTCCTCGAAATAGTGAATACGGAATCATTTTTAAAGCAAACAGAACAAAAAAAGAATTAAAAATAATTAACTCCCTGTCTCTGTTAGAGAACGAAACTATTGAAAAAATTTTATTTTTGCCAAACAACCCAACCTCAGTAGTAAACGAAAAATTTTTAATATCAAATTTTTTATGAAAAAAATTGATATATAAGTAATTAATATAATCAAATCTCTAGTTAATTATGTATTATTTTGAACAAATTTTTCAACAAATAACTAAAATTAAATCAATCTTGCTCTCAGAGAATTATATAATTCTCTTTCTTGAAGCCTTAACATGAGATAAGTCTTCTACTCTGAGCAAAGAGTCGGCAGTTACGTCAGCTGCTACAACTTTTTACGCCTCCAGCTCCCGAAAAACTCTTTCTCCACTATTCCGCGCCACTGAATAGTGCCTATTCTGATCCCAGAACCCTCAGAGAATCAAGATTCTCTTCACTGAGTCGAGCAAGGAAATTACCCCTTACCAACCAGATCACCCCACCCCTTTTTTAATTGTTGAAAAACTTGCATTTTAAAACATAAATTTTGCAAATTAAATTGATATCGATTTTTTAAATTTTGAAAAAAATATTATTATAAAATTTATATGGTGGACAAAGATTTTTATTGACTCCTGAGGTGGTTAACGAAAAAAATCGACCAAAAAAAAGCGGCAAAAAAATTAGAGCAAAAAAATATTTGTTAAGGAGTAGGTGTTGCGCGAAGTTACAAAGCAGATATCTATAAATATTCGTTATTTATAAATGCAATAGGATAATGGTCCACAATTGATTTAATTAATGGCAGTAATTTAAAATGAAAATATTTCTGATGGTACTATTAATCTTATTCTCTTTATCAAATGCATGCAATGAAACCACGGGCATTTCCGATCTCAAAAACGATACTAATTGATGCACAGAAATCGGAAATTGCTACTTTGATGAAGATTGCCCTCTGCTCCCTTGCATAAAAATATTATGCCCTGAAACAAATCCAAATTGCACTCAGCCACCTTGCTACATAAATAGATGCATAAAGCACCGATGCACTGCCCTTGAAAGAGTAACTTCTGACAAGTGTAAAATTGGTGGATGTGGAGGCGAATTGTGTTTTGCTCAATCTGATAGTGGAGTAAGCCCTTGCATATACCGCCCAGAAGATGCCTGCTATGGGCTATATGGAACATGTGGTTATCATTCATATGGATGTGACTGGATAGCAACTCCGTCGTTATACAGGTGTATATTTGAAGCCAGGCACAATAATAGTGTTTGCCCGTAAAATTATGCCATTTAACTTATTATAGAACTTTCCTGAGGATGGCGCAAAATAGCGCCATCCTCGGGCAAGTTCTATATATTATATATGCTTTTTAGAATATATAATTTGTTGAATAAATTCACTATTTTTTGCAACTATCAATAATTTAATGTCCAGAAGAATTCTGATAGTATTTATAGTATTATTGATGATAAAATTCCAACTTAAGAGATTATATGTATTAATACTAAAAGATTACGCATCCCAATCCTCAATAAACAATAGAGAAATAATTAATTTTTGTCTATAATAAACAAAATTTATTAGCTACAGTTTTATTAGCAATATTGGTTTATTTGTTTACTAACAATATTTTAGCTTATAGAGGACATTTTGAACAATACCTTCAAAATATTCTTGGCATTTCTTCTTAATTTTTAAGAATCTTAAAAAACTCATCAAATGTAATATACTCTCTTCGCTTCCCTGATAATGCTTTCGCTTTCTCTAGCGTTCAATCAGCGAGCTTCAATTTTTCCGAGCTTTTCTTCTTTTTTTTTAAAGCCATGCTCATCACGTTTTGCAGCTGTGGCCGCCCAAGCTCTCCTTCATTAAAAATCTCTACCATTTTGAAAAAAACTGTTTATGCTACACAAATTAAATCTCACTTCTGAATACTATTTTTCAGCATGCTTAAATAAATTTTCCCAATAAATCTAAAAAGTATAGAAATTACACAGCAATTTCTGCATTGTCAACTTTCTTTTGATATCATGGCCAGGCTCTTTATAAAAAAATGACGATTTATCAAACACTGCCTGCTGAAGCGCTTCGAGTGAATGGACAAAATTTCTCAAATCCACCCACTCTCTGCCTTTAAGAGGCGCTAATAAGACATTCAAAAGATGATGAGTAGTAATATAGCAATCCAAAAAGTGCTGTATAACATTAGATATATGCACTTCAGGGTTATTTTTATAAATTCTTGACCCTTGCAGTGGCTTATGTGTGAAATAAAGATGAAAGAAGTTTTGCCTGATTATTTCATATTCTTCATTTGTGTCTGATTATAATTTACATGTCTTATTTCTACCAAACCATTGATCTTCTATTGAGGTAAAACTTCTAATTGAAGTGAATTGCTTTGAGTGCATAGTTGTTGATGGCTCAATTATGAAAGACTCAGCATCTTCTTTTTCGCATAAAGTTGACGCAGAGCTAGGAGAAAATTGAACATAATCGTTGGTTTTGGAATCACGGAAAATTTTGAGAGTCAATTGTAGTGCTTTTCGCCTTGGAGGAGATTTCCGTTTGAAAGCAGCATATTTCCGAACGATATTTGAGAGGAATAACACTTTTATTGTTACATCTCTTTGATCTTCTATGATCATATTATATTGTTCCCTTTCGTGTTCCATAATTGCCACTATTGGAGACCAAATTAAAATTATTTATAAGAAAGAATTTAAATTTTTTTATGCTTTAATATTAAAAATATTGATAAGTGACAAAATTTCTAAAACTGGGATCTATAACTTAAAAATTATGATCAAAAATTTCATTTATTTTCTTAAATATTTATTAGATGACTGAAATTCTTTATCTCTTCATAGATTAGTTTACTCCTGGTAGCTTTTGAAATTTTTAATCGCAATATTTTCAGTAAGTTGAGCTAATTTTTCAATTTATACTCATTTACCAAGAATAACCAACTAAGGAGTATTTTTTGGTTAGCCAGACAATAGCTAGCTTGCCAAATTCGTTGGCATGCCATATATTTTCTGGCTAACCAAATTTAATAATGGCGAGCCAAAAAATGCTCCTAAGTGGGCTATTCTTGGCAAACAAGTATATAAGCAGAGCTTGAGCTTTTAGGAATTCTTGAAGCCATTTATAATTAGAGTGGCTGAAAATGGAAGACACTGCATTTGAGAAAGGCAAAGGAAAGGGAGTAGAAAGTGAATCAAAGCCTCAAAAAATCAGATTCACTCTGACTTCCACAAAGCTACAAGTTTTGGAAAATAGTAACCAATAATTAGTGACATCCAAGCTCATTTCATCCGCTAAGAAAGAAAATCTCAAGACCTACGGCCCAGTGAGACTCCCAACAAAAATATTACGTATAACAGTCAGAAAAAGCCCTTGTGGAAACGGAACATCTACATTTGATAGACTTGAAATGAGAATCCATAAGCGAGTTGTCACCTTGATCTGCCCAACTGATTTCATTAAGAAGGTGACTGATTTCAACATTGACCCTGGCGTAGAAGTCGAGCTACATTTCACAGAGTTCTAAGTAATCCAATCTAGTTACCTAAAAGATATAATTAAATATGGGAAAACGAAAAAGCTCGAGTAAGATCACGAAAGCCCCCAGACCAAAGCTTGACAGAATTTTTGACTGCCCGTTTTGCAATCACAGCAAAACTGTTGAGGTTCTCTTTCAAAAAACGCTTGGAAAAGCAAGCATAAGCTGTAGAGTATGTGCGGCTACTTGGGATACAAAGGTTACAGCGCTTAGTGAGGCTATTGATGTGTATAGCGATTGGATTGATGAATGTGCAAGAAGGAATCCTAAAGAATAATTAGCAAATTACAATAAAAATCGAAAATTTTAGTAAATTTAGAAATAAGCACACATATTTGATATCATCATTTTGCGCTTTTTGAGGGATTATTATGCGCGAATTCTTTATGAAATTGCAGCATTGAAGTATCTGACTAGAGTATTGATATTAATGGCCGCACTTAATAAAAAATCTAAGATTTCTTATCTTTCTAATTCAATAGCAAAATAATTTATTTTAAAAACCAGTTATTTGCCTATTAAGAGCAATCAAATGGTGTGATTGTTTTTTTTATTCCAAAATACACTTTTAAATCTTCTAAAGAAAACTTTGAGATTTTGCTTCTGTTCTTTATATTTTACTCAATAATTTTTTTAATCTACATTAAATTATAATTTTAGTAAATCTAATACTAATTATACCCCAATTACCAAAGAAAAAATAAGAGTTTGCTATGACTGAAGCAAGCAAAAAGCCACTCTTACTCATCTTTATAAATTGAATTAATGAATTATATGATTATTTCTTATATATTAATATCTAACGATTTTTAGAGTTTTCCATGCTCTACAGATCTACGAAATTCATAACCATTTTTCAAATTTAATAAATTAAGAAATCACAATATTCAAGCAAATGATTATTTTTATCTATATTAAATATGAACCACATAGAACAATTATAATATGAATCAGCTAACTTTTAAAGGTGGCAACTCCAGACCATTCTTTGAAAGCAGGATTGCCGAGCAGAATTCAAATTTAATAACTGAGTCGCGCCGATTGCTTCGCCAAATTCAAAAGCTTGCAACAATATCTCCATTAAAAAGCAAGTCCATCAGAAATTTACGAAAGCAGGAGCAGTTAAATCAAGATAGCTCTTTCGGTGAGTCCAAATCGAAGAGAACAAGTAAATCCCCATTATTGGCGACTTCAACACTGCCAAAGTCACCATTCACTAAAGAGTTTAAAGCTCCAGAAAATAAAATGAAGCCATTCTTATTGTCATATGCTGAATATGTTAAGAAGAAGTATAGAAGAAAATTCGTTGCAGAAAATTTCATAGATGATTGTTTTCTGCCACCAATTATAGAAAATCGAAAGCTTATGATACAGGATAGCTAGGTCCTGTATTTAGAAAAATAAAATAATTAAATGATTTAATTATTTTAATTAAGAAAAATCACAATATGAATCATTTCATTGAAATATCACTATAAATATATAAAATCTCTTTGCTGGTCTTCTCACTATCATTATCACTTTTTTTCATTTAAAGAATACTTTTTACTATAAATCCTATAGATGATTCGCAGAAGACAGCGATAAATAATATTATAATTTACATAAAGATATAAAAGTAAATAATAATTTTTTATTTTATTCTGCTTCAAAAATACGCAAATGGAAATATCATTACCAATCATCCCACACAAACTTATATGGGCCAGCTCTCAAAAAGTTCCTCGTGGAAATGTGATTAATTCAGAAGCAGTAGCCTCTATTTAGATGTTTCAATATGAACCAATTTATTCTGATTTTGGACCCATTGATCTCGGTCAAACATTTGCATTTTGTAAAACCGTTGAAAGCATGCTAAACTCCCCCCCCCCCCCTCCGTGAGCGAACAAAACCATTAGAAAAATCGCCATTTTTTGACCAAAAACCCACCCTCCGTGAGTGAACAAAAAATTTTTTTAATAGAAAAAATTTTAATGGAAAAAAAATTTTGATATATAAGTGATAATTAGTATAATGAAATCTAGAGCTAATTCTGTTTAATTTTAAACAAATTGCGTTTTAAAACATAAATTTTGCAAATTAAATTAATATTTGCTTTCCAATTTTTGCAAATTAGGATTTTTTTAAATTTCGAAAAAAATAATTTTTTTTATAAAAATTTATATATAAATTTTTTTTAAAAAAAAAAATTAAACCCCCCCTCCGTGAGCGAACAAAAATTTTTTTGTTCGCTCACGGAGGGGGGGGGGGGAGTAAGAGAAGAAGGCGAAGTTACACAATATTGTTCAACCAATGCTTACTCTAGATCTAATGCTGCCTACTTAATGGGCGCATTTCAGATTATCGTTTTACGGAAAAATCCCGAGCAGGCCTGGCGTCCATTTCAGCAGCTTCCAATGCCATTTATTACATTCCGCGACGCCAGCCCAGGGGCATGTTCTTACAAATGCACTATCCTCCACTGTTTATGTGCAATCTACAAAGCAATCCAGCTAGAATGATTCAGCTATGACTCTTTTGACGTAAGTTCCTACAATAATTATTCTCAAATGGAAAATGGCGATATCAATTGAATTATCCCTGGAAAACTCATGGCATTTAGCAGCCCAAGCTTGCAGCCACGAGATGAAGAAGGCTACAGGACTTTTACTCCAGAAGATTATGTCCCACATTTCTTAAACTTTGGAGTTAAAACCGTTATAAAGCTAGATGGGACAGATTATGATCCTTCAAGATTTAAAAGAAATAGAATCGAGCACATTGATTTAAGTTTTAGGCATATGAATTTGCCTCCTCAAAATATATATTTGGCTTTTATAGAAGCAGTTGAAGAAAGAAATGACGCAATTGCGGTCCATTGCAAGTCAGGATTAGGAAAAACAGGGATGATGATAGGACTGTACGCAATGAAGCATTATGATATTACTGCACAAGAGTTTATTGCTTGATGCAGAATATGTAGGCCTGGAAGTATTATTGGTCCTCAGCAGGATTTTTTGATTGATATGGAAGCTAGATGCAAAAATATGAAAAAGAAGCAAGACTTGTTAAGTGTTAACACTCCGAAGCACTATAATGATAGGAGGAGATTTAGTTCGACTTCGCCTGCTAAGATCAAAGGCTACACATTTTCAAGCTTGGCTGTGACGACACTTAATACTCCTTATCATAAAAAAAGTTCTGCAAGCACAACCCCTGCAAAGTGGCAAAATTCACTATCCCCTTCCCCATCTGCATTCAGAGGCAGTTTAACACCTATCCTGCCATCTCCATCCCCATTTAGTTACTCAAAATACTATGCCCCATACCTCAACAAAATTAAAACCAACTATAATATAGTGTAAATAAATTAATGTTTTTTTCATAAATAGCTTAAATTATTCAGACTGGGCAAGTTCAATTTCTTTAATCTGTGGCTTGTCATCTATACGATACTCTATAAGTTTTGTGTATTTTCTCTTGAACTTGCAGAAGCATAAGCATAAAACTATTGATACGATGACTAAAACTCCTAAAAATATAAGCCCTACTATGACTTGCCAAGTCTGGATTAAATCTTCATTGACGCTGCATTTTTCCTCCCAGCTTTTATATGATGTCCCATTTGCAACGACACAGTCGGGCGATTCATAGAGCTGTACAGTCCTTTTTCCATTGTCACAATAGCTTCTTTTTTCTATCATCATTGCTGACGTACATATTTTGCAAGCGCGAATTGTTTTCCATCTAAAAGCATACACACAATCAATTTGGCCTTGGAAAACAGGCCAGCCTTCTGATTCTGTTTTGTCACAGATAAAGTTAATCTGACTAATAAATCGCTTATTGAGGCCGGCTTTGCATTTTGAGCCTGCACCATAACTGATGACAAAGCCTGTAGGGGTTTCTTGAATTGATGTCAATCTTGATCCTACATTCACTACAGCCATGCTATAATCTTTTACACATTCAGCAGAAGGCTGGGTTGGGTCGTTTTCTATATATAGCTTTTTTCTCATTTTTCCGTTGAATTCTATCTTTGAGGATAGGTTGGATTTTCAGTCGATTATTATTGGCTTATATAATTGCGTGAATAAAAAGTACCTTTAAATACTATTCAAGCTCATCTATTTGATTACCAACTTCCGAAAATTTTTAAATTTATCTTATATGGTTTTATTGACTCCTGAAGATATATTGCCAATTTTTTAGAAAACAAAATTTATTTGGTGAATAAATCAAAACAATTGACTGAAAGTCCGACCTCATCCTCAAAGGTAGAATAGCTTGAGTCAACTGAGAAATGCAAAAAAAACTATACGGGATTTGCGATTTATTGATAATTCCAAATGCGTACCCTTTTCTCATAAAATCATAATTTGAGTAAGTAGGAAGAGAAAAATTGGAAGGATTGACAACTGATAAGTAAAAATAGTCTTCATTAGCCATAACTGGCCCATAGAAAGTGTCATGACAATAAAGCTTCATGCTTTCGTCATTGCAGTAATGAGATTGGTTACCTTCGTTCATTCCTTGAATTCCTGTAAGTGGAGATATATAATAGGTGCCGTTTTTTAGGATTAGGTAGTCAGAAATTATGCAAGCGGTGTGGTTTTGATTAACAATGGAATATTCTGGACAAGCAGTGCAACTTTGGCCGGGCAAATCAGAAAAAGTTCCCTTTGGACACTCAACACAGCTTATATGGGAATCATCAGAAGTTGTTCCAGCTGGACATGGGGTGCATTCATCACTATTTGCAACAGAAATATGGCCTGCAGGACATTGAACACATGTAGGAGCCCCACCTTCTTTGCTTCCAGTAATTTCAATGCTATAGATTTTGCATTCATCTTTAGGGTCACTAATTCCTACAGAGTAATGCCGATAGTCCCATTTGAGAGATTTTATGCCTTTAGTAAGTGGAAACGAATAATTATAAAACCCTTCAGAATTTTGATGGTAGCTTCCTTTCAAAATCCCGTCAATAAAAAATAGCAGTCTTGTTTCATAGGAAATTACATTTTTCATTGAAAAATTGAATGACACATAGGCATCATTTTCTGTAATAGTAACTCTTCTTACCAATACAATATTTGAGTTAAAGTCTGCGCTATCACCAGAGCTAATATGAGTCCCTCTAGCTTCCCAGCCTGAGCTTAAGCTGCATTTATTGGAATTTGAAGGTATGCAATGATTTTCAAATTCTGCAGGAATAGTGCTCCAATGAGTGAAATTCAAGACTTTAGGAGCGTAAAACCCAGCTTGGCAATCTACGCATTGATTTTCAGCTTGTGTCTCAGTCATTGATGTACCTGTTGGACATGGTTCACATTCTGTTTCTAACGTGTCTTGATTCATAATTTTATGATAATATCCTGCATTACAAGTTTCGCATGGAATGCCGTTTTCGTCATCCGGCAGCACAAGTGTGTTGTTATTGCATATCATTGGGCAGTTCCAAGAATAAACTTTGCTTCTTGATCCATTTATGCATGAGCTGAATTTCCAAGAATAGTCATTTGCGGTGCACTCTTTTCTTTGCCTGCAGTCACTTCAAGATGTGCTTCCTGGAAGTGAATAAAAGCCATCAGGGCAAGGTGAGCATTTTTCGCTAGCATTAGTTGAATAATAAGTGTTCATTCCACAGACATCACATTCATCAGATCCTGGATTGCTGAACCCTGAAGGGCAAGGAGAGCAGAAATGAGAAGCATTCTGAATGCCACGGATCTCAAAATACTTGATCTCAGCTTGGTTTTCTTCATTAGTAGAATACTTATCATAAGTAAATGCAATATTATGAAGGCCAGGCGTCAGGTCTAAAGTCACAGTTTTCCATCCAATCTGCGAAATATCATTATCTCTGTATGCTTGATTATCATCTATATATACGTGAAACTGTCCGTTTGTCGAGTTATTGTGCATGCTTATATCTTTTCTATAGGTGAACTTCACGGTCCCATTTTTTACTAAAAATGCATGATAAACCAAGCTTGATTCGAACCAAGTGTCTTCATTGGCTGATCCAGAGGATATTTTGTTACCGTCAAGTGAAGACCATGGGCTGCAATTTGAGTTTAGCTCCCAGTTATAATACCCCATCGTCCAGCAATAGGTGCTAAAAGATAAATAATAATCAATTCAATCTTTTTCGTCGCCTGAAAACCTTTCTCCGCCCCCGATGCTATAACTCCCCCCCCCCCCCTCCGTGAGCGAACAAAAAAAAAATTTTGTTCGCTCACGGAGGGGGGTTATTTTTTTTTTTTAAAAAAAAATTTATATATAAATTTTTTATAAAAAATATTTTTTTTCGAAATTTAAAAAAATCCTAATTTGCAAAAATTGGGAAGCAAATATTAATTTAATTTGCAAAATTTATATTTTAAAACGCAATTTGTTTAAAATTAAACAGAATTAGCTCTAGATTTCATTATACTAATTATCACTTATATATCAAAATTTTTTTCCATTAAAATTTTTTCTATTAAAAAAATTTTTGTTCACTCACGGAGGGTGGGTTTTTGGTCAAAAAATGGCGATTTTTCTAATGGTTTTGTTCGCTCACGGAGGGGGGGGGGGGGGAGTAAGTATTTGCTGGGCAGGTAGCGCAAATTGGGGCATATGAGGTCAAGTTAACATCTAAAAATGTCCCCGCTGGACAATTTACTGCACATGATATATTTGTGATTGGTTTTGGGATTTCTTCTGTGCTATTACATTTGCCGTTTGGGTAGAATATTGCTGTGCGTGTGTTGTCTTCTTCACAATCAGTAAACGCATGATCAAAACAATCAAGTCCATATGCTACACTAAGAAAAAGTCATAGCATTTTAAATATTATATTTGTAAATAGATAGATAGTATTTCGTTTATTGTTTAAGCTTTAGAATGAAAATATAAGTTTTCGATTGTTTAAGGAATTTTAGTTCACAGTTTTAGAAAGATATTACTTGGTATGAATTGTTTCTATATTTTCGCGTTAATTGAATTTTCCTTACATCCTTAACTAGTGAGCAAAACTAATATTTTTTTGAAAATGAGAAATGGAATTTTGATAATTTTTTAAAAAACTACCCCGTTCATTAGCAAAGAAAAATATCACACTCACTAACCAAGGAAAGTTAAAGTTATTGGTTTGTTAATTTAACTCTTCATTTTTAGAGTCTTCAATTATTTCTTTTTCTACCCCACTTTCTGCATTTTGTATTACATTTGGCTCCTCTTCTACATTGGTTTCCAAACTCATCTCCTGACTTACTGTATTTTGCTCACCAGCTTCAGCAATTCCTTCCTTACTTTCTTCATTCTCCTTTCCAGCCCCCTCATTAGTATTTTCTGTTTCACTCGATGTTTTTTCCTTATTTTCATTACTTTCCTCATCAATTTTCACATTCTTTACTCCCGCAGTTATTTCAGTCTCCAAAATTTCATTGACCATATTTTCATCATACTCGTCTTCATCATTATCATTTAATTCTCTTTCCAGCTGCTGCAATAGCTCATTAATCCCTTCTGTCCTTTTTTCCTTTATTTCTTCTTCACTTGGCCATTTTTCTCCATAATCTTCAATATGGATTTTCTCTTCTACTTCATGAATTTTTTCTTCTGTTGGCCACTTATCTCCAGAGTCCTCAAAAGTCGTTTTAGTTTCTTCAGTCGTTTTCTCATTAATCACTTCTGACGATGGCCATTTATCTCCAAAATTCTCTGGTGCGCTTTGCAGTTCCACGGGCTCATCTTTGACTCTTGGTCTTTTCCCTGATTTGGTTTCTTCAGCTTTTGGCTCCGGGGAGTTTAAAATTGCTAGGACTTTTTCATTGGAAAATAATTTTTGGAGCTTTTGTATGTATTCTTCAAATTTTTCATCGCTCAAGGCTGAATAATATTCAATAGCTTTTTGATAATAATCTATTAGAGCATGCACGTTTTTATAGTTCATAACAACAGCTGTTTCTTTTTCTAAGTTTGCAATTGCTTTTAATATGTCTTTGATTTTAATTTTCTTCAGGCTGCTGGCGTTGACTTCTTCTTCCTTTATTTTTGGGACTTCTTGGACGACATGTCTTTTTACGCTGCCTCCAAGTTTTTTGAGGTTTTCAGAAATAACTTCAATGAGGGCGTCATGGTCTTTAACTTTGAACTGCTGAGCGAGCTGGGGGTTATTATTAATTGGTTTCCATTCAAAAATTAGTCTATCGGGATCTGATCGTCCTTTTTTAACAGCTGAAAGAAGCTGCAAGGAACTCCAACACACTAAGTGTCCAACTCCTTCGTAGAGTGAATTTAATTCAAGCTGCAATATATGGGTATGTGTAATAACCAACGCTCGGTCTCTTGTAAATTTCGGATTTTGTGGGTCAAGCTCGATACATCTGAAACATTTCATATCTCGTTTATTGTCCCAAGAATCCAATGACATTGCGGTCCCAAGCTTAAAACTTCCAGGCCTTATGCTTGGATTGTGGGCTAATTCTGAAATAAATGATTTTAAGCAGTTAATAATTTCAACAACAGTGGTATTAGGGGTTCATTGTTTTTTCAAGATATTGTCAAGCAAATCTCTTCCGTCTGAAATTGAAGGGTAGCCGTAAATAGTTTCACATGTTATTCTCGGAGGCTGAAATGGATATTTTCCTTCTAACTTCCCTATTTTGTAAAATGAATTAAGACTGAAAAAAATAAAAAAATATAAATATGTATTTTTCAATAAAATTTGAATTTTTAATGAAATTTGCTAATTATTAATTAGATGAAGTAAGTGAATTTTAAAGCTTATGGAAGTTGATGATCCAATGGTATTCTTAAAGTCAACTTGAATAGCCAATCCAAACTTTGTGCTGTTTCTAGTCAATGTAAGTCCGCTTATACTTGGTTCTAAAAGGCTGTTTTCTAACTAAAATATACCTTTTTCAATTCTCTTCTGTTGCAACTCCTCAGTGTATTCTTCCAAAGCTATCATTAACTTTATATTAAATAATTTTATTTTGGTAAATTACATGATAAAACTGTAAAAAAAAGTTGCTATAAAGTAGCTTATATCCTCAATGGCTAAATTGAAATGCTACTATTAAACAATTATTCTATCCTCATATTACTTGCAAAAAATTATAATTTATAATTTATGCATCATAACAATGATCTAAAATATTTCAAGGGCTATACTTTTCTTCTAATGACGATTCTAATTTTCATAAATAAAATTGTTAACTATCGAAAAGATATAGGATATGAACCTTTATGGATCAACCTCGTGGAAAATGTAACAGCTATAATGGACTTCACATCTTGCATCTCTTAAACCAGACCCCTACTATTTAGAGAAATATTAAGATTGTAATAAAAAGTCCCTAGTTTTAAACTAGTTCAATATGGTTTTTAAAGGCATTTCTCTACCAAGAAACTGGGGATGGCTCAAGCCTCAGTGGAGCAGTCTTTTTCCTTTAGCTGTTGAAGGAAGGCACTTCAACACCCGACGGATCCTTAGAATCAAGCTACTCCAATCACCCTTAGCAGGGCCTCAGAAATCCATAAGCGGCCCAGTCAAAAATGAAGCCGCAAGACAAGGAGGAGACAGAAGGTACTGGAAGTGGCACCGAATATTAGTGGATAGATTCTCTGGGCTGGAGTCGAAATCGGTAGAGCCTCCCCTATGTGAGATCTTTGGCGGTGTGTCACCAATATGGCTAATGCCTGATTTAAATAGCCTAACCATTAGAGCTGTTACATTTTTATGAGGTCAATCCACAAAGGTTCATGAATTATATTATTTACCATGGAAAAGGAAGTTTATTTTCATGAATCATTTGCATCCATTTGGCCTTCCTGCACTATTAGCATCTTACTCAATTAATCCTTTACTCTGCCTTCTAGATGCATCCAACCTCAATCATATATGCAAACCATTTCAGGCAGTCTAGTCTAGATCAATTATCATGTCATCCCTATCAACTCCTTGCTAATGCTGCATTTCTTTTGATTCTGAAGAATATTCAACGAATTGCTAGGCTTTATAGAGATGAAGAGTTCTATTTAAATTTAAAAGTTCAAAGAAAACAGCCGTTGGAAGAGGACTATAAAAGAAATATTGCAAATGCTCTTGCAATGAGTGAAATAGCTGAAAGTGGAATTGGATGATGAAGACGATGCAGCACTGAGTTTTCTTTAGGGAAAAAGCTGAAATCTTAATTGTTGAAGAGAGTGATGATAATTAGGTAAAAGCTAAGAGAATAGGAAGATAGAGTTGGATGAGAATAGGCCTTATCAAAGTAAATGAATATAATAAAGAAATCAGAAAAAAGGGAAATAATTTATCAAGATTCAGATGAGATAAGACACCTAAAAAGGGAAAAAAGCACAGAAAGAATTGAATGAATGAGAAGAATAGGAAGAGTTGGTGGAGGAATAAAAGCAGCTAAATTAAGATGTTATGAAATTTGTGAATAATAAAGAAATCCTATGAAAATTATTGGTCTTATGAATAAGAAAGGAAATAATCGCTGAAATAAATAAAAATTATCGAATTGATAATAATCAACTAACTAATAGTTGTACGCATAGTCTTTTTCATGTCTCCACTTCCAGATTTAGGTGATGAATCCCCAAAAGATTTTTTTGGTTCACTAAGCCGTTTGGATAACTCTTCCTGATATGAAACTTCTTTATTTTTACTTCTAAATCAGCTGTTTTGAGTTTTTACAAGCACTTCTTTTCGCTCATAGGAAGGGCGTGGTGAATAAGTTCTTAAAGCTGTATAAAAGCTATGCTTGTCATATGATGAAAATAAACCTCCATGATTGCAGCCAATATATGTGTCCCTTCCTGTCCCGTCATGAGTGTACTTTAGGGGTTTTGCATCTAGTCTAGGACTAGTTGGAGAAAATTGACGCTTAACAGTTCTTTGAGGCTCAAATAGCCGAAGAGGACTTCCTCCTTTGAAAACTCCTCCGTTGTTTGTTTGGATATAAGTGTCTCTTCCTCGCCCATCAGGTGAGTAATGAGTTGTTCTGAATGGTTGAGTTCTATAGAGAGAGCTCATTTTATTAGTAATTTATATATTTGCCATCAAAAGGCTTTATTAGTGTGCCATTTAAGGAATGCAATAAAATAATTTTAATAATTTTTAGTAAGGGATTATATTTTTTTAAGAATAACTGAACTGATTGATAATAAATAATAAATGCTTTCTATGGAGTCTTCTAAAGAAAAGCTTAAATTTTTATTAATTTCTTATTTAGATTTTGCCAATTTAGATTTGGCAATTGAAATATTGCTTAGTAATATTTAAATAATTATTTTAAAGCCCTTTCTGATGTTTAGATATTTTCAGAGAACCTTGTAACTAGGGATAATGAATATTATTTGAGATTTATAAATTTTATTTGTTAAAATGGGTGAGCATGCTGTTAACTTGAGGTAACTACAAGATATTTTTCTAAAAGTAGCTGTACATTTATTCTTCAATATACTTCTTATTGTGATTGCAAAAATAATTTAAAGCTGCTTTATAGTGAAAAAAATTACCTTAAAAGGATAAATTAAACATTTTGCCTATTAGGTTAACTGTTTTACAAAATGAATTAAAGTCAAATTTTATTCTACATAGCTCTTTTTTAAATCAATCGAAGAGCCTTTCTACTTTTCTTTAAAATCGAGTCCTATTCATTGATTAACATAAAAGAGCAATTAATTAGATAAATTGTTTATTTTGATTTCTAAGATAGAAACAATTATATGGTATGGATGCAATATGCTTTGATGCCATTAAATATGTAAAAAGAGAATATATGCTCTTATGAAAGAGCTCAATAACTGTATTCTAAGAGGAAAAAATTGCATTGATAATTGAAGCTCGGGACGTTATATCTTCCTAGTCTGTTAATTTAACAACCATGAAGAAATCGAAGCAGGTGGGGGAGCAACAAATGAAATTTGATAGTTTTCGCCCTACAAAATAGCACTTTGAAAGAAGCAGTTCTAAGCCGCTTAAAAGGAAAGTAGTGCTTATGTGTGTATTACAACCTGTTTGCATAATATATAAAAGCCAAATCTTCAGTCTTAGAGAATGCTAGCTTTTAATAGCCAGAACTGAACAGATTCTTATGAAACATCCAAATTATGACCATGCCTAGGATTACTTCAAAAATGTAAATAATTGTTGCAAGCCTATGCGCCGATCAGCAGCATACATTATCGTCACTTAAGATTATATAAAATCAAACCTCAGGTACCCAAGGGTCTTAATTCTGTTCCACAATGCCTTGCCTCTTGTTCACCAGTCTTCACACAGTTTACGCTATGTGCTCCTTCAGATGAGGGTTTTAGTCTCTCTCTGAAGTAGAAAAGTTTTTGTAACATTGCAGCATACCAAGAGTTTTACTTTAAGCGAACAAAAAATTTTTGACATGAAAGTGATAATTTGTATAATGAAATCCTAGCTAATTTTTGTTTAATTTTGAACAAACATAAATTTTACAAATTAAATAAATATTTGCTTCCAATTTGGATTTTTTTAAATTTCAAACAAAAGAAAAAAAATTAAACAAAATTTTTTTGTTTACTCACGGAGAGGGGGTAAGAAAAAAATTTAAAAAGTCGAATGAAACAGATCTATGAATTCAGCACATATAAAAATGTTAAAGCTCTAGTATCAGCAATTTTGAGCAGTAAAAAACTTACTTAAGATATTAGCATTAAATAATACTAATATTTTTGCGTTTTGAAGACTACCCTAAATCCTTATATCCAAAAACAATTGATATTCGTTCAAAAAAGAAATTCAACGAGAACTATTTCCTATTTCTATGCCAAGCCTCTATTCAAACTAGTAAATTTTCGAATCATAAACAGAAAAATAGCTATTTCAGTTGAAGGCTATATTCAGTTTACTTATTATATATCGGAGACTCATTAGGCGAGTAAGAATATAGGTATAAGCTTAAGCAATTCTTAAGAATTTATAAGAAAATTCGAAACTGCTTGGCCTTCATGATAATAAAGAAATTAAATTGAGCATTCTAAAGATCAGAAGAATTAGATGGATAGTACAACCCTGGAGTTATAGAATATCATATAGAATATTTTAAATAGTCACACAACACCCTATTTTTTACTCTTGCTATCTTTAATTAAAATAGAGTGAAAATACAATTTCTTACAAAGATAATGCAATATTTGTGCAAATTTAAAATTATTTTGTAAAAAAATATGTCGATTTATTGCGATAAAAAGGAGATTCTATTAAATACAAAAAAGTTATGAAAGCTTGCACTCAAATAAAACTTTCCCCAATGATAAAAATTTTGCAATTCATAAGCTTCAATAAAGTCATTAATAAATAAATCAATTAAAAGCATTTCTATAATTAATAAAATGGATATTAAAATATTTTAAATTTATAATTTCCTTTCAGTAGTTACTTCTATAGCTGATCAGCTATACAATCATTAGGGATTTCACAAATGCCTGTGTCCCCAAATATAATGCCTGAATAAATGGCGTCTCCAAAGTCAATTTTGAACTTTGAATCGCATTTTTCAAGCTCTACCATAAACCTTGGATTTAGATCTGTGATGCAGTTTTGGTTTTTAAAACATTGCATGACTAGATTTTCCAAAGTCATCTGAGACGACTCAGTGTCTCCGGATAGGTTTGAGCATTGGTCGCTCTTATCTGGTATTGCATAATTTGCAGTACCAAATACATTTATGGGAAGATTTGAGAGGTCGATGGCCGTTAAACCGTCTAAATTTCAACTCCCTCTGCGCTCTTCTTCATTACTCTTTTGCATGTTAATTTTCTATTAATCTAAATTCTTCTTTATTAGCCATTGAACCCTTTTACATTATGAAGGCGATTAGTAAAAGCTTAATTTGAATAAAAACTCGATTTTGATTGTTTCTTAAAATTAAAAGAGATTCTCATTCCTTGGAGACTCTTAATAAGGTGAAAATAATATGGATTATGAAATTAAAAAATTAATTGGTTTAAGCCTGATATTAGAACAGCTAAATATTGAGATTTACAATAAACTAGTTATGCTTAAAATAAGCTTATTTTGCTTTTGAGATTTAAAAGTATTAATTTTTGAGGCAAGAATTTTTCTTAGCCTTGCTCAGAGCTAAGATTTATTCACCATTTCACAAAAATAATTATATTTTGAGTTTAATTGGCTGCTTCTTAAAATTTTTTATTCTTATTAAGGTAAGTTTTTTGTTTATTAATTTCCAACCTTTAAAATCATCTAGGACCTTAGCCACTTAATAAAGAACTTTAAATATTAGTTTGCAAAGGTGCCGCATTTTTCATAAGTTTAATTTTTACTAATCCATTAAAATTATTATTAACTTTAATTAATTACTATGAAAGAAGCGCTCATTGCTAATGGAGCAATGAGATATGTGTTGAAAGCATAAAAGTGCATGACATTTCTTAATTTCTTTTCATCTCGAATCTTTTATACAATTACCAAGGTTTCTCATCTATAAAAGCTCTCAAAAGATAGCAACAAATCCAATTCTTGTCTATCTAGGTAAACGTTTTTTGGATATATACATAAAACTCAAACAAGCCACTAATATTCCATTTAATGGCTTCGAGTTAAGCTTCAACAAAAAACAGTCGCAAACTGGTAAAGAAATGCTTTAGTGCTATATATCAACTTTACAATCCAAAGCGACTTATAGTTAAATCAAAATTTCTTTTAAAAGCAATTTCAAACTAAAAACTATATAATTTTATTATGCGCTAAAATAACTATTTTACAAAATGAATCCAAATCAGCTATTTGTTCCAAAAGGTTCTTCTTTAAATCGAAGAAGCAGCCTTAGTCCTTTTCTTTCAAATCAGAGCCCAATCCCCCTTATTAACTCTGAAAGATCAAGCCAACTCAATTTAAGCCGAGTTGGTTCATTATCCAGAATAGGTGGCAGCATAGCATCAAGTCCTACCCCGCAACCTCACGACATAAACAGCATCACACTAAAAAAAATTGCCCATAATAGCTCAAGAAGTCTTAATAGCTTTGACTATATTACAATTCTTGATACATTTCAAAGCAGTCAGGCATCTCCAGTATATGAACCCACCCATTCAAATCAAATATTAAAAGCAGCTCCAAGGAACAGAACTATCATTTTCGATAAGCATCCAGCACCTTTGCTTAATGTAGGGTATGGAATCTCAGAAAAAATTAATTCTGACTTGAATTCATTATATAGGAGCTCTCATTATATAAAAAAACAGCAGACTATCCCACCTCCACGTGATAAGATAAATTCTATTTTTTCAATTTATTATTTGGGAAGAGGTTTCAACGTGTCTGGAAGCACTTTGGGGAGATCGAATGGGCTTGGAATTCTGCTTAGTCCAGACCTATGCCTTACTACACATTCAGTAATTGCTGATGAAGATGCTGCACTTAATTCATATGCTCAATTCAGAAATAGCGAGGTTTTTAAATTCGATCCTCAGAGATGCTTTGTGACATCGAGTAATCATGAATTCACACTTGTAGCTTTTCAGAGTCAATCTGCATTTGCTCTTCAATTATATAAGCCAATTAACATTACAGAGCCCTTTTCACTTAGGATTGGAGATTCTGTGACCTTTTTCCCTTATGATTCCCAAACAACTAAAAAAGTGTTGGCAATAGAAAATAATTTATTTACATTCACATCAGGTAATAAAGAAGGCTTATTGCCTGGAACACCAATATTTTCATCCACGTGGATTTTTCAAGGAATTTACATCAGATGCAGCTCACACATCAATATTGTAAATAGGGTTGAGCATGTTTTCGACTATTTTGAATCATTTATGTCTATGAATCCTAATTCTTTATTAGACAGGTTCTTGCACTTGGATCACATAGGATTTATGAAGCAATTTCACGACATGAATTTATATTATTTTGAATGGCATGGAAGGAGCACGTGAAAATATGATATTGGATTAAATGAATGAGTCCGAATAAATCTTGGGAGCATTGAATCTTTAGAGAAGAAAGGTAAGCACTGGACTTATCATTGAAATTCGAGGCTTGTATATCTTCCTGACATGTCAATTCTAATTATTGGGGGGAAATCGAAGTTGACGGGAGGGGAAACTAACGAACTTTGATTGTTATCGCCTTCTAAGGGATATAAATTGAAGAAACTAGCTTCTATGTCGGCTGTAAGAGAAAGCGCTGCTTGTGTATATATTGAGAAATCTGTTTATGTTATAGGTGGAAAGCCAAATCTTCAATCTTGTGAAATGCTATCTCTTAATAGCAAGAAATGAACTGATATTGCTTCTATGCAGCATCCAAGATATGATGCAGCAGCATGCTCAGGATTAAATAATACTCATATCTTTGTGTTTGGAGGCTGCCCTGTTTCCACTTCTGGAAGATCCATTGAAATTTATTCAATAAAGAAGAATCAATGAGACTTGCTTCCTATTTCTATGCCAAAGCCTCTATTAAAGCCCGCACTTTTTCCAATCACAGATATACGTAATTCCCTTTAATAGCCCTATCAGTGGGTGAATTGCCCGCTACAATTACAATTTGGTAGACCAAAAATTATTAGTTTTGGTCGGACCAAATTGTGAACTCAGCAGTTATTTCACCCACTGATAGGGCTATTAAAGGGAATTTTCTATAGAAAAATAGCTATTTTAGGAGGAGGATCATCTTCAATTTATTTATTATATATTGAAGACTCATTAGACCAGCAAGATTATAAATACAAACTTAAAGAATGCATAAAGAACCTAGAAGAAAATTTAGAAACTGCTTGACCTGTAGCATATGACAGAGATGAAAATAAATTATATATTCTAAATCTTAATAGGAGTGGATACATAAGTACGAATCCTGGCGTTGTTGAATATCGTATACAAGATTTTGAATTTGGACAAAGGCAAGACCATAATTTTGATTTATTTTCTACTTTTGGAACTTCCAAGCAATCAAGAGTGCAAACTCCTATTTCTCTGCATAGATAATGTAGCATAGTGTAAATTAAAACTAACTTTCTATAAATTGGTTAGGAAATATGCCATTTTAAAATTAAGAATTAAGCGCTCATATGAATCACGAAAAAAGTTCATTTTTATTGCTTTATTTAACGAATTTATTGTTTTATAGCCAAAAGATAATTTAGAGTGTTTAAACTCGCATTACCAAAGAATTATTACCAAAAAAAATTTTCAATACATAGACCTCCTGACATATAGGGCCTTCCTATAGATGGCGCGCAATGCGCCATCACCGGGCCATGCCGGGAGAGGGTTCCACACGAGGAATGGTTCCACATGTAGAAACCTCTTTTTGGCTCGTGGAACCCTCTCCCGACATGGTTCGGTGATGGCGCATTGCGTGCCATCTATAGGAAGGCCCTATAAAAGAAGAAAGTCAATTAATTTTAAATAGAGTCGATTTGATAATTTAAAAATTAAAACAATTCAATTGGATATGAAAAGATTTTTAAATTTATAAAAACTTTTTTAAAAAGTAGCTTTTATAGCTGATCAGCTATACAATCATTAGGGATTTCACAAATACTTGTGTCCCCAGATACAATGCCTGAATAAATGGCTTCTCCAAAGTCAATTTTGAACTTTGAATCGCATTTTTCAAGCTCGACCATAAACCTTGGATTTAGATCGGTAATGCAGTTTTGATTTCTAAAACATTGCATGACGAGATTTTCCAAGGTCAGCTGCGATGATTCAGTGTCTCCAGATAAGTTTGAGCATTGGTCGCTCTTATCTGGTATTGCATAATTTGCACTACCAAATATATTTATGGGAAGCTTTGAGAGATCGAGGGCCGCAAAAAAGTCTAAATTTCAACTGCTTCTACGTTCTTCTTTATTGCTATTTTGCATCTTTGACTTTCTTTTAACTTCTAAATTCTTTTTATTAGCCATTGGTCTCTTTTGCATTATTAGGGCGATTTGTAAAATTTTAATTTGCTATAAAACAGTGTTACTTACTTTTTTTAATTTAAGAAAAATTTTGAAGATTTGAAAATTCTAACTTCCCCCTCCTTGAGTAAATAAAACCACTGGAAAATACCTATTTTTTGGCTAAAAAATTGACTTTTTATTTATAAAAAAAATTGATAAGGAAGTTATAATTAGTATAGTGAAATCTCGAGCTAATCTGTTCAATTTTGAACAGCTTGCACTATAAAACGTAAATTTTGCAAATTAATTATAGCCCGTTCCCGGCTATAATGTTTGTTTTCCAATTTTTGCGAAAATGAAATTTTTTTGGATTCGAAGGAAAAAAAATAACCCTCTTCCTTGAGCGAACAAATGGGTTTTTTTTCAGCCTATGGAGGGGTAAGCGAGATAAAAATCATTATGAAATGCAGAATTTCGAATGGATTGGTTTTAATATTTATTATTAGAATAGATGAATATTGAGGAATGGAACAAACCAAGAGCATTTGAAATAAAGATTTTTAGGCTTTGAAGTTCATAATTGCATTTTGATTAGCAAAGCTTTTTACTAAATTGTCCTTAATATAAGATCTTATCACCATTGCACGAAAAAGTTTATTAAACTTGCATCAGCAACCTCTCGCAATTCTTTGATTGATAATTTTTAGCCTACCAAATTTTAGGCAAGAATGTCGCTTACTTCTTCCTTAAGCGGTGAGCAAATCAATTGAAAGGTTCTTCTTTAGATTATCAAGCAAAAAAATGAGTAATTGATATATAATTAATGATTATAATAATGAGATCTCCTATTAACTTTTAAACAGCTCGCCTTTTGAATTTTAATTTTATAAATAAATCAGATTTTTAAATTATTTCAAGTTCCAATATAGAAAATTTAAAAAGAAAATGAATATCGCTTGCTTAGTGTGCAAAAAAAAATTTTTCGCTGCCTATGGGGAGTTAATAATAAAAATCTTCGAATAGAAATTTAAAGAGAAAACGATTGATTTCATAAAGAAAACTAATTTAATTTTACTTATCTATATCCAATGAAATTATCATTAATTCTCATTAATTATCGATAAAGAAGTAAAGATTTTCTAACTCCTCCCCAATTGAGCAAAAAATTTTTAAAATTAAGCAATAAATTATTATAATGAAATCCTAGCTAATTCTGTTAAATTTCAAATAGGTTGCGTTTTAAAGCATAATTTTACAAATTCAACTAATTTTTGCTATCCAAATTTTGCGAGTTGGATTTTTGTTAAATTTAGGAAAAAATTTACTATATAAAAAGTTTTTTGTTTGCTCACACAGGAGAACTAAATACACAATAAGATTGACCTGGAAGCATAAAGTGCTACAAAACATTTCTTAATTTCCATAATATTTTTATATTTTATTAGGTGAAATTTAAAGATCCTTGCACAAAATTAGTAAATCTCTTCCTTACCCATATAAGTCAACAATTTGTTTATAGGGTAAAATGCAATTAGGCGCAAAAGCTACAATAGCATCTTTATAGCTCTCTATAGCTATAAAGAAAGTGATTAGAGGTTGCCTTATTTCTCAGCTTGCAAAAATATTGAAAATTATTAGATAAAGAAAAATCAAAGAGCATTTTTCAACTTCTATATCAAAGCCTATGATAAAATCAGCACTTTTTCAATCATAATAGTGAAAAGCTATATTAGATGGAGATCATCTTTAATTTATTTATTTTATGCAGAAGCATCATCAGAAGTAAGATTATAAATATAAGCTTAAAGAATGAATTAAAATTAAAGAGAATTTCGAGAGCACTTGACCTCTGGATCATGATAGGGAAGAAATAAAATTGCATATGATATATTTATAACAGGGGAAGTTGGGATATTAGTTCGACCCTGATTTATGATTGCGAACCTAGAAGATTTCGAATTTGGACAAAGTCAAGAACCACAAAATAAATTTATTTCTACTCTTTTTTCTTTAAGCAAACTAGAATGCAAATCTCTATTTCTTTGGCAAAAATCATGTAGTATTGTTTAAAGTTAAATTTACTTTCTATAAATCGGTATCGAAATATGTCTATTTTAATTCCAAATAGTGTAGCTTTTAATTTCGAATAAAAACTAATGACTTTTCTCTATCAATACTTCTTATATTTAAGCTTTTATTTTCAATAAAACTCCTAAACAAAAAAAAATTCCCAATACATAAATCTCTATGCCCATCCTTAAACGATCGATTTAATTTTCATTTAAAAAGCCAATTTTTAAAATTAATAAAAATATGAAATTAAAGCAGTGGATATTAAAGGATATTTAAATTATATTTACTTATAACAAAAATTATCATTATAGTTCATCAACGATACAATCGTCAGGAATCTCACAAATATCTGTATCCCCGAATACAATTCCTGAATAAACGGCTTCCCCAAAGTCAAACTTCAACTTTGAGTCACATTTTTCAAGTTCCACCATAAACCTTGGATTCAAGTCTGTAATGCAGTTTTGATTTTTAAAGCATTGCATGACGAGATTTTCCAAAGTCTGTTGTGATGAAGTCATTCAGGATTTCATAGACTCACTGGAAGACTCAGCATCCCCTGATAAGCTCGAGTACTGATCGCTCTTATCTAACATTGTGTAATTTGCAGTAGCAAATGCATTAGTTGGGAGTTTTGAGAGGTTGAGGGCTGTAAAGAAGTCTGAATTCCTGCTTTTTCTACGCCTTTCTTCATTGCTCTTTTGCATGTTTAGTTTTCTATTAACTTCTAGATTCTTTTTATTAGCCATTGCTCCTTTGCATTATAAGTGCTATTAGCAAAGATTTTAATTACTATAAACAAATATAAAAACAACCTCTTGGCTAATTTTTGAATTATAGAAAGATTACCGTGGTTTGGTAATGCGATAATAAGGATTAAAATAATTTATGAATTAAAAAGATTATAAATTAATTGGGTTTAAAAATCGGTTAACTGAATTGTTAATTATTGAGGATTTGAAATAAAATTAGTGCGTTTGAGAGAAAAAGGTTGGCTGGATTCGTTTAGCTTATAAACGTAATTAAATCCTCTTAATTTAAATTTTTAATAAAAAGATCTACTCCAATTTAAAGATTAATTTTTTTTTAAGAATTAAATGAAATTATCATAGAAAATTTGTTTCAAATTTATCAATTGAAACTGCTAATTTTGTTTAAATATCATACTTTTTACGCTTCTAATTGAAAAGAGCAGTCTTATGTAAAATTTTTTTTTGGCAGCATTACATTGGGTATCAAAGCTATTTATATAATATTTTTAATAAAAAAATATAATTTTGTGCAATATAAAGGGGCTAATGCCTCAAAATAGAATTTTACGGATATTTTGTTCCAATTTGAAGGGTAGAGTAGGAAAAGCTTCTTTGATAAATTTGGCTTGGAACTAAAATTTATTGACTATCCAAATATAGTTACCTTCAATTTCATCAACCTTTTCTAAATTTCTTAGCTTCAATATAAGAGCTTTTTCCATTGCTCCCCCTTCACTATCTTTCTAGATAGAGATTAATTTTTTAAAATTTTATCTTAAATTTTATTGAAAAATTCATTCATTTAAATTTAAAATTCAGTTTAATATTAAAATTAATACCATAGGGTACAAGCAGTTTGAATTAGCTAAAGATCTCATTATTATAATCATTAATTATATATCAAAAACTGTTAAAAAATTATATACAAGATTTTTTGTTTTCTGAGAAAGGAAGGTTTTCTGAAAAATAAATGTGTAATGGCTTTGCTCGATAATCAAGGAATTAGTTTACTGATTATAGTCTACTAACCAGAAAAATACGTCACTTAATAGTGATCTTTTAACTTTTAGTTTACTTGAATTAGGGGAGTTTTAATATTAAAACAAAATTAGTTTAATTTTTCATTAATATTTATCAAATTAATTCAATTTAATTAATTATTCGTTAAAAAAGTATAGATTACTCAATAGAACAATAAGAATATGTCCCGAAAGCATCAAAAGTGCAACAAGATACTTTTTACTTTCCATCACGCTTTTGATATTTTCCCAGAGATTACTCATCATTAAAAATCCAGACCAAAAAGCAGCAAGTCCCATTGCTGTCCATCTAAGTAGGCTATTTGGATATATGCACAAAACGCAAGCAGGCACAAAAGGTATTAATGAATACCCATAAAGTGAAGTAATTTCTAATAAACTTAGTTTACTTCCAGCCCCTTTAAGAATCGTGTATAAAGTAAAAGGAATAACAGCAGCTTGCATATAAATATAAGTTCCAGCACACAATAGCCTTGGAGCATTAGAATCACCATTCCCATGCGCTATAAAGAACCCAAAATTGCTTGCAGCTGCAAGAATGAAGATTAATGTTGTGACTGTTCAAAATGGCGTGTATAGATCTGGAGCTCCTTCCTCAAAGAATTGTCCCTTTGAGAATGGATGAAAGACCTTTTTAATCCTCTGAATAGCAGTCTGAGTGTCTATATCAAAATAAGCTTTATAAAACCCGAGCTCCCAGAATTTACTGGAATATTCTCCGTAAGCTTCTACTATGTCTTCGAACTTTTGCAGCTCATCTTTATCATCAGTTTTCAGATTTGTCGTTTCAGATGGCTCGTGGTCTAAGGAGATTTGGCCATATGAATTGATATCTGACTCAATGTCTGCCCACTCTTTCATTTTATTGATGATTAAATATAATAAAAAATTAAAGGATTTTGATATAAATTTACTTATAAGATCCAAGAGAACTTGACGGACGAATTTTTGGAGGGGTTACACTTTGGGTGCTGTGAGACCTTCTTGAAGTTAGAGGAAGGATCTCTTTTGACTTAGAATTCCGCTTTAAGCTTTTTTGGGTTTCGTTTCTTCCGATTATGCCATGAAATCCTTTGATTTTTATAGATTTTGACTGCTGGACTTCAGGGATTAATGCTTCTAAGCTTTTGGCATGCTGCGTTTTTGATATCCTCATCATATCTTTTTCTCTTTCTGTTCTTCAAGTCTCAAAGTGTGAGTTAAATCTGTCTTTATTATTCCTTTCAATTTCTTTTATTTCTTCTTTCCTTGATTTCTGATGATTTTCTGACTGCTTTAATTCTTCTTTCAGCTCTTTTATTTCATTCTCTTGGTCAAGTTTAAGCTGTTGAGTCAGCTGCTTGTATTGCTTCTCTTGGGCTTGAATTTCTTTTTGATGAATGCTTATAAGGGACTGAATCTGGTTTTGTAGCTTTTGGACTTTGGATTTCAATTCTTCAGGGTCATCGCTTGAAATAGACTTATTCAAAGGCAAATTTGATCTGAAAATCCTTGGAGGGTGTGGAGAAGTAAACAATTGAATAGGACATATGCCAAATTCTTTAAGCTCGGTTTCTTTTGCTCTTCTTTTATAGTCATTTTTTATTGATGACCAGTCAAACCCATAACTTTCTGGGTAATATAAATTAAATGAGTCTTTAGCTGCTTGTCCTTGCTGCTTGTAGCCAAATATGATATCAATCCAATTATGTAGTGATGCAGAAACAATATCATTCTCTAGGGCTTCTTTTAAAGTAGTTAGAAATTGTCAAGAGTCTTTAGACCATTCAGGAAGTTCGACGTCTCCAATAGTTTTACCATCTCCTATACTTAATTCATCAACATTTATCAAAAAATCTGGATCGTCAGAGAAAAATTCTGGGGTCAATTCTTTTAGATCTCCAAACTCTGATATAGAGCTTTGGAAAGATTTTTCTATACTTACTCCCCCCCCCTCCGTGAGTGAACAAAAGCATTCGAAAAATCCCTATTTTTTGCCCAAAAACCCCACCTCCGCGAGTGAACAAAAATTTTTTATGGAAAAAAATTTTGATATATAAATGATAATTAGTATAATGAAATCTAGAGTTAATTCTGTTTAATTTTAAACGAATTGCTTTTTAAAACACAAATTTTTTAAAAAAAAAAAATTAACCCCCCTCCGTGAGTGAACAAAATTTTTGTTCACTCACGGGAGGGGGGGAGTTAAAAATAACTTTTCTGAAATTGAATAGACTGAATTTTGACACCTAAGCAGCAGTTCTGGGATTTTTCTAATAAAATATAAAAATACAATTGAAGGGTTTGAGTAATGAGAAGGGTAGAGGCTGATTTCAATTCCTCCTCCTTTTTCTTCTAGCCTGGTCTCTAAATAGAATCTTACTTCATATCTCTCTAATCTTGATTTATTCAAAGCCCCAATGGGAACTGCCAAATCTCTATAATTATTTGGATTATTTAAATCAATTTCTGCTTATATCTTACTTTCCCCACAGTAATTTTTCAACACTCAAGGGAACACAGGATACTGCGCAACATCTAATTCACATCTATTCCCTAAATGATTAAGAAACATTAAATACTCAAAATTGCTCAAAATTCCTGACGATCATTTTGCCATAACTTTCTGCAGCTCACAGGTAGGATCTTTAAATTTTATTTTATTTTGCAAATATAAAAAAATATTTTCTCTTTGTTCTTCATTTTCAAAAATTAAAACCAATGGGAACTTCGAGCTGTACATATAAATAGAAAGAGCTGTGTTTTTATGAAGATATTTGTATCTCATAATAAAAATAATGTTTTTGAATAAAACATGAACTGGCTCGTTTGGTTTTGCATTAATCAAAGAGTAAAAGTGAAAAGAATTCGTTGATAAAATAAATGCCCCAAGCTGCAAACATTCAGGCAATAATCTGCTTGTTTTTTGATGCATTAGAAGATCTTCTGAGTCAAAATCCTGACTATTTTTCAGCATCCCTACAAGCTCTTTATATCTTACTTCATAAATCAATTGGATAATCCCATCTTCATCATTATATCTCAGTACCATTTCTAGCTCAGTGGCTATTCTTGATAAGTCATTTTGGTTGATTTCAAACTCAAAGGCCTCTTGTGAATTTTGAGAAAAAGCTGGCGCCATTGACTCTCGTGTTATTACGAAAAATCTTTTCACGTTAATGCTAAGTACTGGGCGAGTTTCCAAACTCTGGTGCAAAGCTCTTTTATATTTCATGCTTCTTGGAGAAAGGGTTTCTGATGGGATTTGGCCACTTTTGGATTTTTTGGAGGTTTGGGAATTACTTGAAATTGATGAAGGCTCTACTATAGAAGAGTTGCAGGAAAACTTGAAATCGGAAGTGTCAAGCTTGAATTTTACCATAGGAAGCCGATAAACTTGAGGTTGGAAATATAGAGATCTTGTAGTTAAATGGAGCTTGCCCGATTCTCTATGTAGGGATTACCTTTCAAATTCAGTCGATTTTAGTTTGCAAGAGACTGTTGAAATTAATGCTTCATTTGAGTCGAGATAGAAAAGATTAAAGCTCTTAGAAGGCCTTGGTATTCCATGAAACTCAGTTAAAATCATCTTATAAGGGTTTAATATAAAAACTGAGATAAAGTGCATAAAAATGTAATAAATATATATTCGCATCTTATTGAAATGGCTTATTTTTATTAAAATAGCATTACTTGCCTATAAAATAAGAGTTTTTTTGGTGCAATCTAAGAAATTTCTGCTTAATGTTACTTTCTAAGCTTTCATGTTAATTAAATAAGCCTTTCTCTTTCTAAAGCAGAAAATTCAAGCATATCTGTATCTTTTGTCGTTAAATATGAACGTTAAATGTCTGAACAGTGCAGTAAGTTAGCTTATCCAAGCGCAATCAAGAAAAGGGTTGAAGGCGATTGGAATTGCCCTAATTGTTTAAATTTGAACTTTTCCTTCAGAAATATTTGCAATCGTTGCGGATATACAGACCAGCTAATGCCTACATTCAATGCATTCTTATACATGAACGCACCTTCTTTGGAGGAAGCCTCAGCTTTATCAAATGATGCAGGAAATCCTCCACCCAGGCTTGATATTTCTCAATTGCCCTCTATTTCTCCCTTTTTGAGAGAAAAATATCTTCAAACCAGAATTGAGATCAATCCTGTGACCAAGCGTTTATTAAAATTTGAAAACGAAAATACAACAAATGATAAAACAAACGAAAATACGCCAAATTTCAAAGCTAAAACAAAGCCAAAGCAGCAAAGAAAATCTGGTACATTGCCTGTTCATATTAAAAAACCTGCTAAAGAAAAAGAGGGGGATTGAATATGTCTAAAGTGCAATAATTGAAATTTTGCTTTTCGTTCAGAGTGCAACATATGTAAAGAAGCCAAAGAGAAGTAAGTTGATTTATTTAAAATAATTGTTTATCAATTGGAATAACTAATTAAATATTTATGACTGTGATGAATTAGGTATGGATTTTTATAAATTAAAAGATTTATTATTATATTTTATATAATATAAATCACTTGAGAAATAGATTTATTAGATCTATTAACTCCCCCCCCCCCCTCCGTGAGCGAACAAAAAAATTTTGTTCGCTCACGGAGGGGGTTTAATTTTTTTTTTTTAAAAAAAATTTATATATAAATTTTATAAAAAAATATTTTTTTCGAAATTTAAAAAAATCCTAATTTGCAAAAATTGGGAAGCAAATATTAATTTAATTTGCAAAATTTATGTTTTAAAAGCAATTTGTTTAAAATTAAACAGAATTAGCTCTAGATTTCATTATACTAATTATCACTTATATATCAAAATTTTTTTCCATTAAAATTTTTTCTATTTAAAAAAATTTTTGTTCACTCACGGAGGGTGGGTTTTTGGTCAAAAAATGGCGATTTTTCTAATGGTTTTGTTCGCTCACGGAGGGGGGGGGGGGGGGGGGAGTAAGCATTCTAAATTTAATTTCTAAAAATAGCCTATTTTTGTATTAATAAGCAAGCACATTAATTAAATCTTGACATACGTTGCAGTTATACACCTAATATCTTCGAACAGCATAGTCTTAAACTCAAACTATAATGCAGTCACCAAGGATCCCCGCAGGATTCCAGGGAGAGCTTGTTCTGATAATAATTCGCCAGGTAGCCAAGGCCCGGGCACCACTATTCTTTCCCTCGACGTATACTGCCATGGTAATCTGAAGTATGGTTCTATGTCTCCATCTCCTCCTTGCCTTGAGTGGGAAGGCTATGGAATTCTGCGCTTTGCTGTTCGAGATGAAAGAGGTTGTCCATACACAAAAATCCCAAAAAATGGAATTTCTGATCGACTCTCAACTTAAACGAAAAATTCAAAGCCTGAAGTGTAACTCTCAGTTTTACGCTAGGAGCTGCCCAATTAGTCTAAGAGTTGCCTATAGACGATGCTGGCTTTCACTTTTCAGCTCTGAATCTATATTTTCCCTTGAGATAAAATTCAATACTAAAAGCGAATTAGGTCTAGTCTCTGAGCATTAAGAATTGCTTACCTAGGATAGCTGCCCATCTGGATTGGCAAACCCTTCCAGATATAAACATAAATGTGCTCAAGACTGTATTATACTTCCAGAACAGGTATGGCTCGACCTGAAACTCCCCCCTCCCCTCCCCCCCACCCCCTGACGGTTTCAATTTGAACGACATTGTTAATTAAAAATGATAAATCTCTCACTAAGGATTTGACAAGTCAAATTTAATTGTCGATTTTAATAAAGTTTAAACTATCAGGGGGTGGGGGGAGGAGAGGGGGGGTTCTCAGGCCAATCTATAACCGTGCTCACGGTATACCGAGAGGCAATGCCACTATATTTATTATATTCGAACAGCATAGCCAACTTTATATGATAAAGCAGTATATTGCTAAACTGAAAGAAAAATGGTGAAAAGAATGAAGTGCGTTAAAAAGAAATTATTAGTTAAAAGGCTGCACTAGCAATCTTTAAAAATATTTAAGACGTTTTCCAGCTATTCTAAAGCTTCAGAATTTGAAAGAAGCCCAAATTCACAAAATCGCCAGCATATGAGGCGAAATTAAAAGTCGGTTAGAGTATTGCAACATCATATATAAGAATTAATATTATACTGAAGATTTAAATTATTTTATTCGGGCTATTTATTGAGCCTGCTTCCAAAGAAGTCACCCGCACTGTCCCAACAATCACTTTTACGTAAAATTGGCATGACTTTATTTGTCGGTGACAAGCCCATATATCTTTGCTTTTTCAATGCATCTTCAGACTTTTGCCTGAGCTTAAGTTTCGGGTAATTTATCGTCACTCTTTTCGGAGAAATTTCAAATGAAGTTTTATCTGCTTGATTTCTCGTGTCACAATATGATTTTTCTTCAGCATTCACATAGCTTATTTGCTCTGAGTTCGTTTTTGAGTGCTTGACTCTAGGAGCTATTAACGAGCTTTCACTGGACTTATTGTCCAAATTCTTATATTTCTCCATAGTCTTCGCCAGGTTATCACTTATCTGATTATTTAGCTGTTTTAGCTTGTTTTTCTGAATATTAAGATCTTCCATTAGGGACCCTTCTTCAACTGACTCATTTATTTCACTGAATTGCTCTTCTTTATTTTTTAAAATTTTTTCATGGACTGAATCATAGTGGAACGTTTGTATTGATTTATCATTTGGCACTTCGTCAATGTGGTCAAGCAGCTCATTGATAAAATTAAGAAGTTTTAGTAAAGCGTCGTCCCATTCTTGTCTATTCAGTAATTCGTTAAAATAGTGAGAGCAGGTCACGCTTTTTTTGAAAATTCTGTAGATTTCTCTGCTGCTATACAATTTTCCCATCATTTTTTCGCCAGCATATAGCAAATCTGATGATATTTGACTTTTATAGTACTCATTGTCAATATAGTTGTGAGGACTTAATAGATTTTCATCAAAAATGTAAGACGATTTCTTTCGAGGCTTTTCGATATACTTATTTTCTTTCATAAGATCTAAAATCATCTCATCTTTTGATATCAGTTCTTTTTGAGTTTCTTCAAGTGCTAAATTTATTTTTTCTGTTTCTGCAATTCTCTTTTCTAGCTCTTTATTTTTTTCGATTTCGCTCATCAACAAATTGTAGTATTCCTTTGCTTTCGCAAACAGCTCCTGCTTTTTATCAAGGGTGTCTTTAAGAGCATCCTGCAAAGCTTTCTTTTCTAATTTCATCTTATCAATTACGGATTTGGCTTGCTTAAGATCACGCTTTAGGCTCTTCAAAATGCTCTATGTAGAATATACTTTATCAAGCTTTATGCCTTCTGAGTATTCTTTAGGTGATTTTTCTTCTTTTGCCAATCCCCCACTGTAAGAATCCCAGTCTATTAAGCTTGGCGAGTTGCTTTTATGTTTTAGAAATTTTTGAAACATTTTGATTTTACAAATTTATCTAATTATTTAAGATTCGGCTCATTAGATTTGCGTATTGGTTAACTTTCAGTCTTTTTTTAATTGAAAAATTATGCTCTCTTATGGGTTCGGTCATAGAAAAGCCACCTGCAGTTGGAGGTCTTGAAAAAATTCTGCCTTTTAAGCTTTGTGGAGCACTTTGCCTTACTAATTCTTTGGCATTATGGTTTTTTACTACTATAAAGTTATAGGAGTTTTCCCTATATGGCCCGATGAGGCCGTGGGTTCTCCGTGGAATTTCTCTGTTTGTCAAACCAACTCAGTGCGTTGGTTTGACCAATTCACTGGTTGGTTCAACCAGCAGAGGGATTCAGCGGAGAAACCACGGCCCTTATCGGGCCATATAGGGAAAACTCCTATATTTTCAATAGAAAGCTTTGGCCTAGGCTCTATGTTAAAACATGGAATCTTCCTGAGTTTTTTTAAGGTAGGGAAGCTGAAATTTTGATCTCTGATCAACCCTGGGGACAAAACACTTGACCTTAGTGAACAAAATATTTTGCTTTGTGGTAAAATTGGGCTTGATCTTTCGATTCTCTGGTGCAATTTCATTATTATTTACTGATTATGAAATTCAGTCTACAAGATCTATCTGATCAAAATAAAAAGAAAATAAGAAATAAGTTTTAAAAGAAATCCTAAATTGTTTCCATAAATTAAAGCATTAAAATAATTCTTTGTTTTTAATTATAACTGCTTTATAAAAATACATTGTTTTATCGAATTAATATTAATCTAAAAATAAAGAATTTGTTAAGCATTAGTGGGTCTTTGCAATCTTGGCTTTAGATTTTGCTTTTGCGATAACTGATTGCTTATTCGATATTTTTGGCATATCATCAATAAGTAAAGTATCCAACGGGAGACTCTCGGGCAGCACAAAGTTCCTTATATTGTTCCCTCTAATTGTAAGATGGTCCATCAAAATTGGATTTTTCTTCTTAAGTGTGAGTTTTACTGTTTTTAAGTGAGTATTCATATTGATATCCACCCCAATCACAGTCCCTTGCACAATAGTCCCATTTTTCAGCTCAATAATCACAGTCTCTCCTACAAGTTTCATGAGGAATCGCACAAGCTTCATCTTTATTATAATTTAGCCTATTACCAATATTAGCCAATTCTTACTTTAAAATATTTGACAGGAGCAGCACCATTTAGCGTCGCTGTGAGACTCAGGCTTTTCTATTGAAGTTTTGATTATGTGAACATGTATAGGTATAGGAACATCAGGACTTGGCGGAGAATAGTCTTTTAATTTCTGATTATCTTGCAGCTCTTTCCCCATACAAAAAAATCGCAAGCCGTCGATTTTTTCTCTAGAAATCTGGCCCTGAGGCCAGTGCTTTGCTAATAAATCTTGCTTAACGCTTCTTATCTAAATATATTTTACAGTCAAGTCGTCAGTGAAAGAAGCTTCAAGTTTTTGAGAGGAATTAGGAAAGATAAAACAGACACTTGCCATTTATGTATGAAATTATGATTTAATATATCTATGATAGGTATTAATTATCCCAGCTATCCCAATTCTTATCAGATCCTTGAGGGTTCAAGCCTCTTGGCTGCACTTCTTGGTATTGAGGTCTTTGCTGCGGCTGGCTGTAATTTCAGCTGCTTCCTTGATTTCCCCATGCATTTTCAGACTTAGCTGGGTAGCTTTGATATTCGTTTCTCCGAGTTGGGGTATAGGAACCTTGAGAGTATTGTGGATTTGCCTTTGTTTGGGAATTTGAGTAGGGATCTTCGTATCTGTTTGATTGAGAGCTGTAGCCTGTCGACAGTTCAAGGTATTCTCTTGAGCGAGAGTTGTAAAGACCTCTTGGGGGATCATCTCGCTTTAGAGGATTATAGCCCTCATCTCGTCTAGGCTCAGTTTGATATTGAGACTGCTGTTCATACCTTGGAACTTCTTTTCTTTCTGGTTCCCGGTATCCGTATTCTTCTGGACGACCATAGCTTCCTTGTTCTCTTGATCTGTCAAAATTACTTACAGGCTCTTGAGCTGTCTTTGGATTGTAGTAATCTCTATTATACCCTCGGTTTTCAGTTTGATAATCAGCTGACCTTGGAGGATTATAGCTTGGATCACTTCTTTCATCCCCCCACTGTTTTGGAGTTGGTTTTCTTTGATATTGAGGTGGCTCAGCTGTTGGTTGCTGCCTATAATTATCTCTAGCGTAGTATTCATCTCTTTGTACTTTTCGAGGCTCATTTGTGCCAGAAAAATCGCTTTTTCTAGGCTGCACATCACTAACTTCTCTTTTGATTTGACTAGGGTCTTCACGAATGCTAGAAGAATGCTTAAACTTCGGCGCTTCTTCGTTTGCTCGATATGGCTCAGGCTCTTCTCTATAATTTGGATCTCTATTTGCAGTAGATCTCTTCTGATCACTATAATTATCCGTATAAGGATCTTCATTTCTACTTGGAGGCGGCATAGTTCTGAAATCGCTTTCTTTTGGAATGTTTACTGGGTTAGTTATATTAGGCTGAAAATCAACATCTCCTGGATGTGATGGAAACTCCTCTAACTTATTATAGCCACCTCTTGCATTAGCTTTGCTTTGTCCTGGCTCTTGATAAGAATTTCTATATTGAGTAGATGCTCGAGAGTTATACTGATCACTTGGAGGTGGATTTGTATAGTATCTTTCATCTGGATATCCGGATGAATTGTATCTTCTGGGATATTCCTCAGCTGCACTTTGAGGTACACCTGAAGATATAGGCGGTCTTGGCCCTTCTGAAGGTAAAAGTACTGCCTTCAGTGCGACGCACCACAGCCTATGCATGTTTTGTGATTCAGAATACAAAACATAGACCCTAGCTCGCGTTTCTACAGTAAATGCAAACTTTCAGTCGCAGGTTTGGGCTATTTGTGGGTTTGGGTCGACGCGTATAATATCTGTAACTGGATGAGATTGCTCAATTTTATTTGAGTTTTGTTTTCGTGAATAAGCAAAAGTTCCTTGATTCAAATCTAACACAAACCATCTCTTGTTAAACTTTTTGAAAATTCTGGCTTTTGCTTTTTGGCTTTTAAGCTTCTGGAGAAAGCTTTCCACTTTCATTGGTCCCTAAGTAAAGGATACTTTGTAATTTGGATCGATTTCCACTCTCCCTATCATTTGCTTAATAATTCAAATTAATGAAATGTAAATTTTGGAGATAAAAAAATAGCAATTTTTTAAAGCAGTTGCGATTTATATATGCGAATAGATTAGTATATGGGATTATATTATTTATTATCAACTGCTGCTAGAATTTTAAATCCGGAATCGCAAGTAAATGCTTATTAATATTATTAATGCTTTAAATAAAATCAGATTTTATATATCAGAGATTTATATATAAAAAGACAAGCCCAGTCTCTGCTCAGAGAAATAATAAGGTATTTTAGTTAAGAAAACCCTAGAAACTTCAGTCCATTTTGCAATTATAAAAGCAAATTGATTTTTATAAAAAATGAACCTAGCATAATTTAGAGTCCCAAAACATCCAATCCTGCTTACCATATTAAAATATTTCAAATAATCCTTAAAAAGATGCAACGTAAGATATCTCAAGGATTCATTATAAAAGCTTATCCTCAACGCTACATAATTTAAGTGGACTTTTGAAATACCCAATGCTATTAGAATTCTCAGGAATCAAATTTTTGCAAAGAATAGCCTACAGAATTCAAATTTCCGGAAATTCTTATGAGGAGTAGTTTGGCAAAAGAAATGAGAATTTGTGCAAATATATGACTGAGAAAAAGATTATTAAGCTACTGAAGGGTTATTAAAAGATGAAACAAAGAAGATGTAGAAACACAGAAAGGATTTTAAAAACGTAATAAATCCACATATTAGGTAATTGAAAGCATTCTTTAAGTCTGGATTGAGCTACCTAATGATAGAAAAATTAAAAAACGTTTAAATTATTGAGCAGTCTGAATCAAATTTATTAATTGCTCCTACAGAACTGGAAAGTGATTTGGATGCAGAAAAAAAATGATAGTGAAGAGCAAGCATAAGCAATAAAAAATAAATAATCAGTAATCTTATATTATTTCTTTTGTAGGCGCAAAATTAAAAGAACTCAAACTTACTTTAATTATTCAACATAGAAAATTTTTTATATTTTTTAATGTCCAAATATAAAAAAAAAGGCATTAAATCTACAATTTGAATTTTTTATTTAAATGTGTGATTAGCTTTACCAGAACTGCAAATTTCTATTTACTGAATTTTTCAATTATGATTTATTGTATTTAAATGGCATTATATAATAAAGCATAAGATTGCAGATTAAAATGGATTTAAATGTAAGTTACAGGTAATCCATGAATAATTAAAAATAATTTTTGAATTAAACGAAAATGGGATCATGCGCAATAAGCAAACAAAAGCAAGTGGTTCCTATTTCTACAGAATTTGAGCCCATCTACGAAGATATAATAAAAGTCGATGTATCCACATTAGTGAAACCTGAAGATTTAAATCTGCCAAGTCGCAGACGATTTTCATCCAATGTTTCAGATAAGTTAAGCTATAAGGAAGATTCTAGTAAAGTAAGCTCACGTCCAAGATTTGTCCCTCTGCTCGATATAAAGAAATTATTTCCTCAAAATCAACTGAGCTCTGAGCAAATTGACTTAAAAAAGCAAGCTTGAAACTTGTCTAACTCCCCTTCTTGATCAAACCAATTTCTATCATTTGATCAAGGATGAAGGTGTAAAATTTTTTTATTATAAAAAATATTTTTCGAACTTCTAAAAGAGATCGAGTATAAAATATATTAGCAAATATACTAAAAATTGCATTGGAATCTTTAAGAAGCGATTGTAGGTTAAACCTCTAACTCCCCCCCCTTTAAATTGGAACAAAATATCGGTAAAATTTCCACTTTTTTGGTAAATTAACCCCCCTTTAAATTGGAACAAAATTTAATTTTTATAATAAAAAATTATATATAATTTTTATCTAAAAAGTTTTGATATAAGTTAAATGTTTCTTCTTAACTAAAATTAAAAATTTATTTATATCTTGCTCTTTTTTTAAAGAAAAAAGTATAAAGAGCATCTTATTTAAATAAATTTATTATCCTTAATTGCTAAATTTTAAAAAAACATTAATTTTTTTTTTTTAATAATTTTCAAAAAAATTTGGTTTTTTGATAAAAATGATATTTTTTATTTTTGGATAGTTTTGATATAAATTCAATAGGAATTCTTTATGGAATTTCAAAATTTACTTTATTTCTTGCTTTATTTTAAAGAATAGAGTATAAATAAACATCTTATTTAAACAAAATTAGCACTTTGATCGATAAATTTTCCAAAAATTGTTTTTTTTTAATTTTTTTTATCAATAAAAATAAAAATTTTTGTGTAAATAATTTTGATACTAATTAATAGTGGCGTATTAACTAATAATGAAAATTTAGTTATATCTTGCTTTGTTTTAAAGGATAAAGAGTAAATAGCGTTTTATTAGACAAATTTATTAATCTAATTCGATAAGTTTTTGAAAATTTTTTTTTTTATTTTTTTTATATTTTTTTAAAAAAATTTTATATTGATATTTTTTTTAAAAAAAAAAAATTAACCCCCCTTTAAATTGGAACAAAATTTTTAGTTCCAATTTAAAGGGGGGGGGAGTAAGATATATAGCTATAGAAGATAGGTATTTAGATTTGAGGTGGAGTCTACTTTATGCTCAACTATATGAAAATCTTTCAATCAAAGACAGGAAAATTTTCAATGCTGCCGTTCGATCAAGGAATGGGAAGAATTAAGCAAAAAGGGGACAGAAATCTCTTACAGAATGCGTCAAAAGATAATTCTTTTTCCTCATCTGAAAACTCATCTACAAAAACTCAATCAAGTAAATCACGAAATCTTATTGAGTTGATAAAGAATACGAAATCGACAACTCAATCTTCAGATGAAAAGAACAGTAGCAGAATGGATGCGTCTCAAGCAATCCTAGAAAACAGCTGGATTGAAACCTCGTTGCCTGAAAAAGAAACGAAAATCGAAGTAAAAAAACTTTTTTCACCAGAAAGAAAACTGCTCTCTTTTCCTAGTCTGAATTATCAATCGAGAAGTAATCATCGAATACAATTAATTTCACAACAAGACTGCATTGTAGCAGAAGAAAGTGAATTTATTTCAGACACAAGTGACGAATCGCCAATAAGACCTGATTTACAAACTCCAGGAAGCTCTTTAAGTATGGAATTTCCAAATAATAAATTTAGGAAAACTTTTTCCAGAATTTCCACAATGAAGCTTGAATCGGACCAGTCACCTATCAATTCTAATATAAATGAGCTTAGACTTACAGAAGAAAGCATTGAAAGAACCAAATGAAATCTACTTGCATCCCTATAAGATATTTTTATAAAGAAATACCATTTTAGGAGAATATGCATGAAATTTTGATAGAATATCTAATAAGTATAATCAATTTTAGCAGCATTTGCCTCCATCCTTTTTTTTTGTAGGGCTCAAAGACTTATCGAGGACAACTGTGTTTCGTTTTGGCGTGCTTTGAGGAGCGCTTACATCTGGAAGTACCTTTGCAGCTATATCTCTGAACATTTGCTCAACTCCATAGTTTGTTTTTGCTGATGTCTTCCGATATAAATATGGCATCTTAGCGCTTCGCCGACTACCTTCGAGCACATATTTAATTATAGCCGGCAAAGTTTTTCCTATTCTGGAGATGGGTCGGTAAGCAATTCTAGTTGTGTCAGAGTCTCACCCTAGTCTAATTTAAGGATGGCTTTCTCCTCGAGGAAAGGAAGGCACGGATGTTGAAAGAGGAAACCCCAGTAGCTTGAAACTGAGTATTATATCTCAGGCTACATGCTCTTCATTTTTCCGATAGTCTGCCAGAAAATCCCATTTTTTAGATTTTCTGTGCAGGCAACTTCGTTCGCAGCAGCATGAAGCAAGGCCCCGCGAATCCATAGACTGTCCATTCAAAGTTAAATCTAAATCGGGGTAGCAAGGGGAGGTTACGGCCAGGCAACTCACCTTTCCGGAAATCGGAAGTAGACATTACCTAAAAGTAGATTAATCCCCTGGTGGGATCCATGGTAACCGAGTTGACAAAGTGGACTCAAATCACTCGTAATACGTAAGTAAGGAAGATGTCTTCCGATATATTGCTCCGATAGAACTTGCGAACTCCTTATTCCCCACCAATAAATTTTTGATTGCTCTTAATAGGGTTAATTTATTTTAAATAAAATGTTTTGGATTTTAGGAACCCAAATTTTCAAATATTTGAAAAGAAAAGACCTAATTTAATATATAAAGTTAATTTTCAAAAATGCAGCCTGTCTTAAATTAAAAATAATTTTGCCTAATGGCTCATTTATTTTAGCAAAAATTAATTATATATAAAAATATTTTATTAACAATAATTTTACTCGATCTTTAAGGGGATAATTTTCGTGTGTTTTGTGCTCTAAAAGGGGGAGAGCCAGCTTCTTCTGGAGGAACAGCTTCAGTTTCGACTAAATCTTCTTTATTTCCAGCAATATTAATAACGATATCTTTTGGTCCGAACTCTTGCAATTCTCGATAATACCTTTTAAGCCCTTCAAAGCTTTCACGCTTGGTAATATCGTAAGTAATGATTGCAGCTTGTGCATCTCTATAGTACATTTTGGCTAAGCTATGATACCTTTCTTGGCCTGCTGTATCCCAGATGTTGAATTTAATCGTCTTATCATTAAATTGTAAACTTTTGCCCATGTATGAAGCACCAACTGTTGAATCGCTATCAATTTTAAAATTATCAGCAACAAATCTCAAGACAAGACTGGACTTTCCAACACCTGAATCACCAAGAAGAACGACTTTAATTTGAGCTTGGCCACTTTGCATTTTATAGGAAATGGATAATGATTAGTAACTATTTGAATAGCCTTTTTTTATAAAATCAACTTGGTGATATTCTTAAATTTATAAATATTGAAACTTAGTAGGCAAGTGACACAAACTAATTTTTGCAAATTTAAAATTTAGACTTTCGCATAATGCTCGATAACCTAACTGTACGCAACGATGATTGTAGCACAATTATTAAAGATATTGGAAACTTATATCTGATTATTATTTATTTTTTCTCATACTGTTGTATTGTTCGATAATTTTCTTTTCCATCTCTTCAATTTGTTCAAGAGTCATCGATTTTATAGGCATTATTTTTGGTTTACACATAACACCAGTAAGCATGCCTCTTTCAGAAAAGACCAAACCTGCCTTTGGAGCGACTTCTTGGATTTTCTCTTGCTGGTCCATTTATAGGTAATTAAAAATTTATAAAAGAAATGCATTTTACATTGATATTGCAACTCTATGAAAGACAGAAATTTTATTACTGAAATAATTATATAATTAATATACAGATGTTTGCAGTCGGTAGGGACCCCTTTTTGTGAGAAAATGCTCACAAAAACAGTTTTTTGACTAAACAATGTATCAAAAAGAAAATTATAAGTGCTGAAATATAGATAAAATTAATAATTGCTCTGTCTACTAATCATATTAATTTAAATATTTAGTGAGCTATGGGAAATCGAGCTTGCAATGAATGTGCCAATGACAATTATGAAGAGACTTTGAGAAACAATATTCAATTTGAGCCCAAGAATGAGATGCAAATGTATGATGAAATTTTCGAGATGAATTTTGATATGGAAATAGACTCTGTTGCTGAGGAAAATGTATGTGCAAATCATATCCCAGTTCAAAATCTAGAAATCACTCCAATCAATAATGAGTATTTGCTTCATACAAGCCCATTAAACACTCAGAGAAGCAAAGTTTCTGTTAGAAGCAATCGTAGCAACAAGGCAAATCCTCAAAATTTTGAATTTGACCCAAATCTTAAAGAAATGCAAGGCGAACTTTTTCGAGTTAAGCCCTTGCCTAAAGAGCTCTACATTTCTCGGTGGTGCACTCTAACCTCTTTCTCATTTTCCTATCACAAATCCCAATATTCCTCTTTATTTGAAGAACGTCCATTGCTAGAAATTCCTACAAGTTCTATTTCTCACATTTCAGCTTTTAGAGATCAGAAGTTTTATTTCGAAATCCATACAAATGATTTCAATTATTTTAATTCTTCAAATCTTTTAATTTACTTAATACCACGGTTAACGTCCAATATCACATTACTTACCTGGGCTTTCGTCTTTGCTTTGGGTGTCCGGGCACCAGTAGTCAATTGCAGCTTGGTCTTGATCCCTCAGCATCAAGCATTCAGACTTCGACAGCTGTCATTTACAACTCTTAGGCAATATCAACTTGCGTCCGTCAAATATGTGAAAGATTTCAGTCTCCACCTCCTGGAGTTGGTGGGACACTTCCAGAAATTCCATTTATCCTTGGGATGGTTATACAGCTCAGCGTAACGCTTGGCTTTTAAAAGCTCCATCATTGCTGGGATAAATTCGCTGACTAGGTCAAACCTCAAAATCCAAATACACAAGAGAAGAGTTAAAGCCTGTAGACCAGAAAATTTGATCTTATTAAGTCAAATCTTTTAACAGCTCGCACAAATAATTTATTTGAACAAGCTGCTATGGATGCATCAAATTCAATGAATAAGTCTCATCTAATGCAAAGGCCGAGATATCTCACACCAGTTTCACCGAAACAATCATCATCCTTGGTTAAGACTATTTTAATCCCTGTAGTTCCTAACTCCCTTACACTGTGGGAGAGCAAAAGAATTTTGCTCGGTCATTTATGGGACTTTTTTCGAGAATTATATATAGCAAGCCATCCTCCCTAACAATATAATATTTCGGCATTATCGTGGAGTGTCTTCATATCTGACATTTCCAAATCTCACATCTGTTAACTACTCAACTGTGAAAACTCTAAATGCAGGATTTGGGTTTCATATGTGGGAAAGGTCCTGAGGTGTGGAGGCCCATATAATTTATATCAAAATTTGAAAATAAATTTAATTTAATCTAAAATTTATGTTTTAGAACACAATGAGCAATTTCATTATAATAATTCCCAAAAATATTTTATAAACAATTTTGCTTGCACAAAGGGTAGGTTTTCCCCAAAAATTAGGATTTTCCACATTGATTTTTGCTCACCGACTCTGGGAGTAAGAATTTTAAGAAGAATGGACAGTCTGTAAGAAAAATGAAAAATGCATGGACAAATAGAGAAAATCAAATGTATTTGTGTGAAGAAAGACTACTATTTGCGATAGATGAGGAATATGAATGAAAGAAGTGGCTTTATGCTTTCACTAAAATTATGAAAGTGAGTGTAAAGGATCATAATTAAATCTAATTAATCGTTTCATCTTTAGTAGGTAAAATAAATTTGCCTTGGCCTTGCTGCTTCCCGTGCACCCAGTTCCCTATGAATTTTCTGCCATCAGCTAGTGTGAGAATTCCTTCCCCATGCTTTTTGTCTTGAAAATAATATCCCGTGAACCTTTTTCCATCAGGCCAGTCAAAAGTCCCAGGTCCATGCATTTTATTATTCACCCACGCTCCATTATACATTCTTCCATCAGTCCAACAATAGATCCCTTTCCCCTCAATGTTATTGTCCACAAAATGGCCTTTATACCATGACCCATCAACTCAATGGAATTCTCCATATCCATGTTTTCTTCCTTCGAAATATTGCCCCTCATAAGTTGCGCCATCATTTCAAATTTCTTTGCCTTGTCCTTGCTGTTTTTCATTTACTCATTCCCCTACATACTGTGCTCCATCATAGTGAATGAATTTTCCTTTTCCATGCACTTTTCCTTCATTTCATTCTCCTTCATATAAATCTCCATTCGGATGAATATATCTCCCATGTAGGTGCTCGTTACCATTATACCAATAACCGATATATTTCGAGCCATTTGGACAGATTTGCATACCTTTGCCGTGACGTTTATTATTAAACCACTCTCCGAGGTAGACTTCTCCGGTTTCCAATTTTATGGGCTTTTTGTTGTAATCTCCAGATATGGAGGATTCAGGATATTTATAAGGTGGCATCCTTTTCTCTGCAAGTTTGCATTGGGGCGTTTCTCATTTGGGAAAAAAGATTGGGCTGTATTGAGATCGAATTTTATAGCCTCTTCAGGCTGATTGGATTTTTATTACACTTTGTAAAGTGGACTTCGTGCGATTGTTTTTCTTTATTGATTGCTTTTTATCAAGCTCAACTTCAGCGTTTATTTGAGGTTTTGGAGCTAAGCAGGATATATTAGGACCCATTTACTATAGTTATCATTATTTAATCTGTGAACAAAATAGATTAATTTAAATCCTAAATTAATTTTGAGCAAGAAAATATTGAACTGAGTATTAATTAACTATAAAGTTTATAAAGTTAATCATCTGCATTTTTGACTGTAAGATCTAAAACTTTTTTGACTAGTTTTCCAATTCCTTCGTAAACTTCATGTGGCTTTGCAGTAGATTTCATATATGCTGGAGTGCTCACAATTAAAGCACTTGAATCAACCATTATTTCATCAACGTCCTTGTCAACCAATTTATTTCCGAAACTATCAGCAACTTCTATGCTTCCAGAAAAAGGCCATGTTTCGTCCTTTCTTCTTTTTCCTAAAGTGAGCTCAATTCCAGGCTTTTTATTTTTGGTTCCAAGAATTTTTGCACAAATTATTGGTGAGATGCAGGTAAAACCCATAGGCTTATTGAGCTGGAAAAAGCCAAGTATAGCCTGAGTCAAATCGGGGTCTACAGTCATATTAGCACCCTGAGTAGCGAAAGTGCTCAGGTTTTTAGCTGCACCAAATCCACCAGGAAGGATGAGTGCATCAAAATTAGCTGGTCTTAAAGAAGATAATGCAAGCACGTTCCCTCTAGCAATTCTTGCGCTTTCTTGTAAAACATTTCTTTGCTGATTTTGCACCTCTTCTCCGCTCAGGTGATTGACAATGTGAAATTGAGGCTTATCGGGAGCAAAACATTGATATTCAGCACCGTTCTTACTTCCTAAAGAAACAAAATTTATGTCCCAATTTAAAGGTCTTTAACAAATTATTTATATAAATTTTGCTTCTAAGCACTAATTTTGTTTCAATATATCTATTTGCGCTCATTTTTAGATGAGAACGAATTATAGATATGTTTATTAAAGCTATTTGTATAAAAATTATTTTTATCTAAAATCGAAAATTAATTATAATTTGTTACGATTTGGCTCTAAGTTAAAGAGATACTTCAATTATTAAATGGTAGAAAATAGGATTTGCTACAACTTGAAGTGGGAGTTAGATAAATTTGCAAGAACTGCAACTGATTCTGTGATTTCACTACATAAGCTTTACGATCCATCGTAGACTCCACATCCTGATAAGACAACAGCAACCTTCTTTGTAGAAAATCCTCGATACAATCTGGATATCATATTCTCTTTAATAAATATAAATTATCCACAAATCAATAAATCTGATCATAGCTTAAAAGATAAAGGTAGACCATATATTGGCTATTTAAAATTATGATATGGTATTATTATAATAATATGGATTTATTAAAAATAATTAATTTTTATGATGAATATTGCGGGTTTTATGAGAAACTGGGTTTCAGAAATTCAATATAAGGTAGCCCAATTTCATAAATTTGCTCAAAAATAAAATATCTATTTATATTCAAATATAATTTAATTATTTTTTAGATATCAAACAGCTGAACTCTCTATATAGATCATCATTTTCATCTCCAAAAATTTCTCTGACTTCAGCTAGTGCATTTTCTTTCGTAACAATCTTATCATTCAACATTTTTACGCAGGACAAGAACCTTGTAAAAACTTCATAAGAAAGTCTTGCTCTTGCATCAGAAAAAAATTTTTTGCCATCCGTATATTTTCCTTCAGAAGCGCCTAGTTTTGATGGAGGAAATAGTGAAGTGGTAGGGATTTTGGTTAAGGATGATGATACCGGAGAAGTTGCAAGTGTTCGTGGACTTATCATAATATTAGGTGTCTCTGAATCACTTTCTCTAAGTGTGTTCAAGAGATTTGCTTTAAATGCCGCAAGCTTTTGGTTTTTAGTTTCAAGCTCTTGGATTTCATTTTCTAAACTTCTATTTTCTTCATCAATCATAGAAAACCTTATTTTAGCTTCGTCTAAACTATGTTTAAGTTTTGAAATTTGTTCTCTCAGATCATTCAGCTCAATTTCTCTTTCTTCTTTCAATTCATTTTCTCTTTTACTTCAGGAATCGTCCAATAGTTTTAAAGAATAATCTCGATCATCTATTTGAATTTTACCTTCTGCACAAGTTTTCATGTTTATATATTATTCGAATATGAAAGACTTTTAATGAAAAATTGCAATTAAGAACTAATAGAAAAATGTTTATTATTTTCACACAATTGAACCTTAACTGATAATTAATTTGTTAAGATCCATACATGTCTTCATCATTATAGAATTGAGACTGAGTTTTGAAGCTTTCTCTCTGGGCAGATCTTCTCGATACTGCAGATATTGCCACACCTAATGCAGCTGAAACAAATAATAGAACCCCAGTTGCAAATCCATATTCGCCCATCTCATATCCAAAGCAAAAGCTTGCTAAAACAGCCATAAATAGAGACTTTCCTAATTGGCTCTCAATAAAAGGGAAAAATCTAGCAATGTAATTCCCAGATATATAAGGAGATACCTCTGCACAGATGATTATTAAGGAAAACAGCCTGCTTAGTTATTACATCAAATAAATGCAAACCAAAATTGATGTGTATCCTACTTCTCCTGCTATTGTCGTGGCTCCAAGAACAAAGCTTATGATTGCTGTAGCTATTGTAAAAAGTTTGATGCCTAGAGAAGCATAATTTAATAAGCCCATGATGTATTTATTAAATTAAGATCTATTTATAAAGATAATCAAAAAAGCAATAAGGGTATGCTAGTGGTAATCAGAAATATTTAAAGCGACTATTAGTATTTAAAATCTATATTCTGAGCATCGCTATAGCTTTGGCTATCCCCTATGCCACTCAGGGAGTTAGCAAACCAACATTTGTTCGCAAACCCAGCTCCCTTGTTGGCAAATCCACTTGATACTGAAGATTACGACTAGGAAATTGGTTTGTTAACGCCTGGATGACTTCAGGAGTTGCCAGCCATAACGAAGAAGAAATAGTTTTGTATCCCTACCCTAATTATAGATTTCCCTAACAAAATCAAGCCATTCCCATGCTAAGCGTCCCGATCAGCCATAACGAGGCTCGGGCTATAATTGATTAATTTCTTATATTTTCATAATCATACAGATAAAACAGTTGAGCACTACTATCATGAATAATGTGGTGTTCAGAGGATCCGAACTTTATCTTTTACTCCTTCAGCAATTATCAATATAAGTTCACATATTTTCATTTATAATACCAAATTTACTCTCATAGCAAAATTATTTTAATTTTTTTTTTTTAATCTACATGAAATTAAAATTGAACAGAATGTGTGTCGCTATAAATGAAGGAATTAGAAAATATTTTTATTGGATATTATTTCTATATGAAAGCCATATGCTGTTAAAGGTAGCATCAATAAGCCAGCCTTATGCCATAAGTGTTTAGAAGAATTGAAGCTATTAAAGATAAGCTTAAAACGATATATCAGGCTAAAAAAAGAGTAAATAAGGACCTCGCTTTGATTCTTTGATTGTGTAAAACCATGCAAAGAATAGAGGTTTCTTCATAAGTAAGCTTTACCAATGAGTAACCTCGAAGAAAAAACGATTCGGAAACTTGGATTTAAACTTAAGCTAAAACGTTATTTATAAGCAGTTTATTAGAATCAATCATTGTACCGAGGATTTCTTCAGGATCTCAGGAAGCACAAGAAGGTTTCGCAATTAGATATTGAGTTGTATTGTGAGGCGCCTTTGGAGGGAATCGCTGACATCGGATAAACTGACCTTTCAGCTTGGAGTATTGGCGTAATTTGCAAGTTTTTTTGTAAGAGGCTTGACTTGGAGATAGATAAGTTTTCATCTGGTTATAGTTGGATTTAAAATGGAGAGCTTTGATGAGGATCAGAAATAAATCCAATATGAAGATCCAAAGTTTCAAATCATTTTAATAATTTGATTTATTTAACGAAACCTTAAAAGAATTATTTATCCCTCCGATCTAATCATTAGTTTTTTAAATTTTATATTTATTTTTTCTAATTTGAAATCATATTTTAGAATGCAATCTATTTAAATAGAGATCTAATTATGAAATCATAAAAAAATATATTAAAAATTTTTGCTTGCTCTACTTGCCCAAGAAGTTGAGCGAGTTAGCGGAATGCAGATTTAGGCTTCATTTGAGGAAATGATTATTAATGATTAGACTTTTTTTTGATTTTAGAAATATTCATTATAGAAACAATAAAACATGAAATTTAATTCTAATTGTTTTAAAATCACACATCATAATTATATTCTGTGTTTTAGCTCTGATTCACTATATAACTTTCTTATAACTAGATATAATATATATTTCAAATAATTCAGACTATCTGCTTCCTTTAAATTAATGCCTTAGAGGCCTATTTATATTAGCAATATACTATAAATCTCGCTCCGTCGTCTTCGGTCTATATTCTCCAGTTCCTGCACATCGTGGTTGGAGCATACTTGTCAAGACTTCTTTGGTATACCTTAGTCTTCTTACCATTTCGCTGTTTGCACAGTCCATTGCTGAGCTTAACGGATACGTATTTCTTTCTCCTTTCTTGCTCACATAAGACACAATCTTGCTTTCACTACAAAGCAAAAGCTCTGTTTTATCCTGGAAGCTTACCTGCACAATCTTATTGCTGAGTCTGAAAATAATTCCATGAGAAGTTGCTAGCCATTTCTTCACATAAGTCAAAGGGTGGCTCATCTTTGTTTCCTGAATGGTATCATCATCGATCAAGTGCTTGCGGAAATGCAACAGCAATGTAACTTTCTTTTGCAGGTCGCTAGGGTAATCTTTAAAACTATGCAAGCTCACTTCTTCTGACTTGGCGGTTTGCGGTCTATGAATATATTGAAAATAGCTTCCACAGGGATCAGCAATAATTTTGGTGGAGTCATTGAAATAGACTCCAGTGCAGTAATTTGATAATAAATATCCAAGTCCATATTTGCTTGAATAGTCAACCCATCGCTTTACCCATATTTTTGGTCCTTCTCCATTTTCTGGAGGAATATAAGAGCTGGATGAAGCTATTTTTTTCTCGTTTGTATTTGGGGCTGACTCTCTGTCTCTTGAGCTTCCTCTGGAGATTCCTTTGGTGAGTGTGGCTATTTCTAAGTTTGTTTGGGACGATGTCCTTCTAGAGTGCTTGCTTGTGCTTGAGTCTTCAGTAGCAGTTCTGGTCAGCTGAGGAGCTGTCTGCTCAAATTGCCGCAGATAAGAAGATGAAGGAGGAACTGCCAAAGTGCTAGCTGGGAGAAGCTTTGGAAAGCTATTTTTTGTAAAAAACGGGCTTTCCAATATGTCGTCTAATGAAGGGCGCTTCAAAGGATCATTTATAAGGATTGACGATATAAGAGCTTTAGCCTCATCTGAAACAGGGACATGATCAGGAAAATTATAAGCATTCATTTTTATTCTTCTATACGTAGTTTTTACATCAGCTGTCTCAAATGGTGGCTTTCCTACCAATAAAGTATAAGCCAAAACTCCCAAGCTCCATATGTCAACTTCATATGAATGCCCTTGTTTCCCGTCCAAGATTTCTGGAGCAATATAGTTAGGAGTCCCACAAATTGTTCGCTTTCTTTCTCCATCGTGCTCAAGTTTGGTTGCAAGCCCGAAATCTCCAAGTTTTAATTCCATTTTATCAGTCAAAAAGAGGTTTCCTAATTTGATATCTCTATGAATTACTCTATGACAGTGCAGGTATTTCAATGCTGAAATGGTTTGTTGTAAGTAGCATTGAGCCTCTATTTCAGTTAATCTTTTTCTTCTTCTCATAAGCTCACTTAATGTTTGATTTGCACAGAGCTCAAGAAGGATGTATACCAGTTTAGCCTTTTTAATGACTAGATGTATTATTTAATAATCATTAGCAATGCTTTTATTCATTTTAAAAAGGTGTAAACGTTTTCACCGTCTTCAAAAAAATGTTCAAAATGAACAATATTTGGGTGATGGAGGGCTCGGTGAATTTTTATTTCACTCATTAGCTTTTGACGTGCTCGAGCCTTTGATAGGGATTCTTTAGTAATTAGCTTTGCAGCAGTTAATTGTTTGGTATCGAGACATAATAATTCGTATACTCGAGCAAAGCCTCCTTTTCCAAGGAACTTCCCCTTAGAGTAGGATTTGACCGATATTTCTCCGTTTACTTTGGCAATTTTCTCTTCTATGATCTGCTGCTCTTGAGAATCAATTGAGGACCGTCTTGTACGTGAACTCATTTTAGGGAGTTTAAAAATATGGTGACATGAAGAGGCTCATCATTTCTTTGCAATTAAATCTTAAAAGAAAATCATAATAGGTAAATTTAAAAATAATCAAAGGATATATTTAATTCATAAAAGAGATTATAATTTAGATTAATATAGTCTGAGCTCCTTTTGGCTCGGGCTATAAAGACATCTCTAGGCATCAGAAGGGAGTTGGTTCTACAAAATTTGTTGTTAAACCAACTCCCGAGACGAAAAATCCGCTTTATTTGATATTTGCCATCTGAAGCTGGATTAACCAGCAAAAGTTGATAAAATCAGCTCCCTTCCGAAGTCGGTATAGCTGACACAAAAGAAGGCTAGGGCTATAATGCTTAAAATATAATAGCTTGCAATAAAAATTTATGATTTTTAATTATTTACTAATAATAGTACGCTTCTTTAATTACTCTTGCATTTCTAATATTCTAAGAGCCTTTACATGGCAAAGATAAATTTTAATTTCTTACCATTTTGAAGCTATAGTTGCAAAATCATTATAATTAGCATGCTATTTTATATTTATGTGATCAGTTACCATATTTCAGCATAACGCTCTATTATTTTCTAAAAAATAACTTATTTAATTAAAGATACCCAGAAAATTTTGAATATATCAATAAAGCTGATGGCATAAATCTTGGCTGATAAAGTGCAATATGATAAATGCATCAGAATATATAAGATAAAAATTCAGTGCAAAATATTTTTAAAACAATGCTTTACACAAGAAGAAAATATAATAAAGCTACCTGTGGCTAATACCACTTATAAAATAAAGGTAACGCATTATTACAAGTTAATGACTGATTGCCTCGTCTAAATTAGCTATTCCATAGAAAATCACATCTCTCTTCAAATAATGAAATAATTCAATAGAGGATAAAAATATGAATTTAAATTCTAAATGCGGGCAAGAGATAATACTTGGAAATCGTTATTTTTGATTATTAAATCATAAAAAGATATTTTTTTAATTAATCATTTAGTATCAAATAATATATATTCAGAGCATTTTCAGTGATATGAAAAGTTGCTGTAACTTATTTTTCAAAAATTTTGAATATTGATGATCTAAACGTGTTTTTGTGTGATTTATCGTGAATATTCTAAAATGGCTTAAAATATTTCATTACTAGGCTTATTCAATTTATTATTTGCATGCTTCTAATGCATTCTAAGCCACACATATCAAGAAAAATTAATACCATTTAATTTTTATTACATAAGAATGCGGTAAATTTAAATATGCAAGAGCAAAACATCAATTTGTGCGATGAAATCATTCAAGAATTGGTATCTCTGAACGTTACAAGCTATAATCTACCATTCCATTTCAACATATTGTCATTTTTTATAATAAAAAATCAATTATCTTTGAGTTGCCTCCTATTCTATTTTGGCCCATATTTTGGGCTAAACTACTATAAATAGCGAGCTGAAAACGCGGATAATCTAATGGATTGCACATTAAGAGATCAACGACGCACTTTATTGCAGACAACGAATGAGCACTTTGCAGTCGCAGCTTTTGACGTCAGTAACTTTTTTTTTAATTATTAATTAAAAAAGCATTACATTTAAAATTTAAATTTAAAAAAAAATACTAGTCTTAAAAAAATAAGAAGATTAGATATTTCATTATTTAAAAACAATTTGGCTTTAATACATGCCCTTTCATCAGAATGGGTGTAAGGAAGAGTCTTTTACAACCTCGCCCTTCCCATCTCTACATAAAGAAAAACAGGTGTGCGCACCTAGTAGCCCTGTGCCTAATGACTTCTCCACTATTAGCAGTCCTTCCGAAACACAGACTTATCCGCTTAAAAAACGACAACGGAAAAACGGAAATCAGTTGGAGGTTTTGAAAAGAGAGTTTAATCCGAGGCAAATGTGGGATAAGGATAAAATCGAAGAAATTGCATTGATTACTGGACTGAGTCTGGGACAAATATACAAATGGAACTGGGACAAATTTCAAAAATCAAGAATCAAGAAGAAATGTTTTCCAGATCCTGAACTTGTATGCTTGGAGAGCTTGTCACCTACTGCCCTTGAGGTAGATTTTTTAAAAGTTCAAAGGTCGTATAAGCTTTCTTTAGCTACACTGGCTGTCCAAAGAAGTTTGGTTGGGAATAATTGAACTGGGTAATTTATGTTATTTTGCGTTATTTTTGATATAATATCGATGATTTAAATTCTTAATATATAGGAATAATATATAAGCATAGGAAAATAAAATTTATCTTTCTAATATGGTATATTTGATTTCTGCTAATTTTTTTCTTTTGGTTTAATTATTGAATTAACATGATTTTCTGAAATAATTTAGTTTTATAATAATTTTATGGACTATTGCTCTTATGGGCACCTAGAAAACCCTTAAGGAACAATTTTTTCAGAGATTGTCTTAACGTTGCATTTTCAATTTAAAAAATGGGAAATAAATAATCTAAAATAGCTTTTGTTTTTCAATTCGGGAGACTAGGTCAAATGGTATGAATCAATTCAATTTCTTATCATTAAAATTTCGCAAAGTTTAGCAATTATCTATACACAAGAGCACACTTTAATTTAAAATTTTTTATTTAATGATTCTCAGGCTTATCAAATATTGATTTAATTATAGGTTATTATTCTTAGCTAATATTTTCTAAGAGTTTAAAATGCATTTATTAAACCCATGTATAAGAAATCTAATCTTATAATTATCTATTACGCATGCCAATCAAATCAATTAAAACTATTTAATAATCTTTTATTATAAGCTTATAATACCGGCAAAAGTTATTTTAAAATTCAGTTTTTATAAGATCAAAAAACTGTAACTTGAGATATAAAAATATGGTATCAGGCAAATCCAAACTATTTGCTTCCTTAAAAGTTATCGACGTGCTTGTTTTTCTTTATTACTATATTGGAACTATCGTACTTGGATTTATCATGAAAAAACCTACCTCAAGTGTGTATGCTGCTGCAATAGTGATGCTTGTTTTCTTAGGCTTGCTGACAGTTTCAACTATTATGATCTATATAGTTAGCCCAGGATATATTCCTCAAGATTTTCAATTAGCCACGATTCCAGAAGAAAACAAATATCGCAGCTCTAATTATATTTCAGAAACAGACTTAACTGAGGCTCGCATTACCGAATGCTCTTCCTGCAGTGTAAAAAGTCCACCTAAAACAAGTCATTGTTATGAATGCAAGAAATGTGTCCAATATAGATTTTCCCACCTCCACTTGTTTTGCAAGTGTATTGGGCTTTACAACATAAAGTTTTATTTTATATTAATGATGAGCTGCTTAATTGGTTCAGTTACGTGCATCGGTCTTGATTATATGATAATGAGAGACACAAAAACCCCTTTTTATGACTTAAACTTACCGTTTATGCTGATGCTTTCAGCAATATATTCATTAAGGTTTATATATGAGGCGGGTGATCTACTAATATTCATGGCAAACAGAGAAATGCCACCAGTTAGAACTGAGTATAGTGTATTCAGAACTGACAGTTGGTATGAAAATTATAAATTTCTATTGGGAAGTGTATTCTTATTCTGGTTTATACCATTTAAAATTATGAGAAAGAAAGATATGGCAGTCCCATTGCGTCTCAGAACAACTTATGGGACAACAATAAAAATAAAGCATAAATATGTCTGCAATTAAATAAGATATAGGCATATCCTGTAAATAGCTCGACATGGGCTAGGGATAGAGGCCAAACTTCCCACTTGGTTCGGCCAAAATGGATTGGTCGAACCAAGCAGAAGGAGGCTTATTTCCCACTATCCAATTGGTTCGACCACTCATTTTGGTCAAACCAAGTGGAAAGTTTTGGCCTCTATCCCTAGTCCATATCGGGCTATTTGCAAGATATGCCTATATATAAATTATAAATAATGAGACTTAATTAAACTGAGAGTAAATTCATTTTAAGAGTCCATTGAGGAATTAAATAGCCAAATAAACCGTAAGCTGGAAATGGATCAATGTAGGAATTGCCAGAGCGAGAATAGTATTCGAGAGAATACAGCATAATTATCAGACCATTTACAATGATGAGCCCAGCCCATACGATAATGTTATATAATCTTGATGATTGTGTCTTCATTGAAATCATCAGTAGCCCTGGGCCGCTTATTAATATGAACAAGAATGGAGAAAAGAATCCAAGGGATAAATCTATCAGTAATTCGCAAACGATCCCACTTAATAAAAATACACAAAAGCGAGCTAGTTTTTTACCTATAAACTCATTTGAAAATCTCATTAAATCAATAAAAATATAGCTGTGCACCCACTCATAAAGAATGACGCTTATTTTTCGATAAAATGTCCCAAAGTCGCTGGAATTCCACCAATCATCATAAAATTTCCTATCCGCAAAATTCAGTATCTCAGCCCAAATTGAAAACCACGAGTGCATGACTGCGAAAAATAGCAAAAGAAATACAAAAGTCCCAGGAAGCATTGACTGAATCCAAGAAATGATAAGCTTGCTTGGGTCAGTTATATTATTTGAAGCTTCTTTAAAGGTAGGGACACAGAATGCTTTGAAAATTAGTGTTGTGTATACAATGCTTCCAAAGAAATCAAAAACGTGGACTCCAAGGTTTCTCCATCTAATAGACTTGTCAATTTTTGGATAAGAGTCTCTATAAATTAAGGTCGGAACATATAAGAAATAAGTGTACCTTTTGAATTCTATATACATTAAAATTGTGCATGTCTTGGCGCAACAGTTCAGACCTTATGACAACGGTGAACTGGGACGAATTCTGAGCCAAGAATCAAGTGCAGGCTTAAGAAATGTGTGCCTGGGAGGTTTTGGCCGCTTTCCTGTGGTTGCAAATGGAGCGCCAACAGCGTCTTTTTGGATCCGAGGATCAACGTTATTCCTCTACCGAGAAGCTGGGGTTTCGGTCCTGGCCACAGGAGATAGTCTTTTTTCTTTAGCTGTTGAAGTAATGCACTTTAGCACCCGATAGACTCCAAGGATCCTTGAAATCAAGCTCCTCCAATCACCCGAGGTAGGGCTGCAGAAATCTACAAGCTGCCCACTCAATACTAGAGCTACAAGGCAAGGAAGAGACAGAAGGTTCGGGAAGTGGCATCCATTATTGGGGGAAAGACCCTCTAGGCTGGTGTCGAAAAGCGGTCAAACCTCTCATATGGAAGGTCTTTGATGACTGCGCCACTAATATAGCTAACGTCTGTCTTTAATAACCCAAACTTAACTTTTGAATTCTTTAGCGAAGTCTTTTAGGTTTATTTGGGGTCTTTGAATATCCTTTTCAGAGTAGCCTAGATTTTCTATATGTGAAGGGATGTAGCTTGAGTATCTATTTCGGCCATTTCCATAAAGTAATTTTTCTCTAAAATATGAATGCATTTTCATTATAAAGCGGATCATTTCGCATAGGACCACAAATGAGCTTGAAATCGGCAGCTGGTAGACTTGTCTGGAATGGATTGCGAACCAAAAAATAGAAGCTATTGATGCAAAATGCAGCAAAAATCCTAAATATAGAGACAACCCACCCGAAATTAGCTGGACTAAAATCACAGGCCAGTAGCTCCAAATAGACATTGAAATCCACATCACAATTACTCTGTCGAAGCCTCCAAAATTTCCAGAAAGAAGATTAAGCCCTAGCACATCAGTATATATAATGTACCATAATAGATCGCTATACCCGCAGAACGCCAATAAGAAAAATATGTCCCAGAAAAACCGATTTTATGCAGTCTAAGCCTGATTAGGCATCTTAAAACGATAAAACAGAGATTTTTCTCTCTTCATTTTTACTTTTTAAAATAATGATAAGTCAAATTAATTTTAAAAATTAAAATGGATGCTCAATAACGATCTTAAAAAATTCAAGGGCTATACTATCTAAGAGATCTTTAGCGAGCTCTGCAACTCCAAAGTTTACGAGTATCGCAATAAAAATATTATAGACTGTTTGAAAGTCCTTGCTGTACAATAGCTTTGAAATCGGAGCAGACTGCTTTACATGAACTTTTTCGACAAAAATAGGGCGATGATTAACTTCTTCTTTGACGTCTCCTCTAATGATATGCTTTACTTCCTTAGCTCCTTTTCTTGATTTCTGCTCAAAATCAGTTAAAATTTGTGTGACTTTGCTGTGAAAATCTTCTTTGAGAGTATTGAATTTCTCATCCAAGATTTGTCCGCTTCTTTGAGCTAGCTCTAAAAGTTTTTTCTCGACCATTTCTTCGGCTGCAATTTTTTGCTGGTCTTCTAGAATGCTTATAGTCTTTAGAACTTTGCTCATCTCTGATTTCAATGCTGCGATCTTTTCAGCTTGAAATGAGTCAGGTATCTTTTTGAGATCCATATTTATTAGTGAATTACGAATTTTGCTAGAAATTTTATGACGAAAGCTTATTTAAAAGCTTTTAATACTCCTTGATCTCAGTCTGCTTTATAAAAGCAATAAGCATTAATATAAAGCTTAAAGATCATCAATATTAAGACTTTTGTATATTAATAGAGAGGATGCTTAATAATGAAGATGGAGAAATCTTAATATGACCAAGATGCACAAAACCATTTATTGTTATGAATGTACAATTTTGAAAATAGCAATTAAGTCTAGCTTAATGATAATAACTCTTTAATGGCATCATGATGCATAGCTCTTGGCTCATTGATTTGCCCTGAATCAAGAGCATTTTTCATTATCATTACTCTTTTGCAGATTTCGCTGCAAACTAGCTTGCCCTTTCTAATTCTCGAATCGTTGAAATAGCTATTAATCCTTGGCTTTGGAAAATTGACAGTAATAAATTCGTTCTTAGTCCCTCTTTTATTGCAAAATTGCTGATTTGCACAACTGACTGTGGAGAATTGGCAAGTCTTTTGATGCTCTTTTATATTTGCAAGGCAGCAGATTTCTCCGCAGCCTTGATTTTTATTTTTGCATGCTATTTGTAAATTATTAATATACTTAAGGAGCAAGATGCTTGGCTCTCTTGGTACTGCTAATGATCTACAAATTGGGCAAGTCACTATTGGCGTTCTGATCAATCTTAGATGAGAATTTATATTTTTTTAAGTAAATATAAAACTAAGATTATATAGCAAGATTGATTTTATTTTCAAAATATGTATTAATTTTACAATATTGAACTTGCCTCAATTCGGTCCTATATGCATGGGATGAGCTAATAATCTCGAGGAAACACTTTTTGCAAAGCAAACTCCCACATTGAACACACTCAAGAGGATTTCTAACAACTCCAAGGCAAACTGGGCATAAAAAATCTTTTCTAGGAGGCTCGATAAATCTATCAATTTCATAGCCTTCTTTAAGGCTAAGATCATCATGTCTATAGTTTTCAACGAGAATTGGATCGTCAATGTCTGCTTCTACTATTTCTACATAAGCTATAGAATCGCTTTCAGTCATTTTAAATTATAAATTAAAGGAGCGCAAAAAAGTAATCATACATATTCTTAAGGGGCTAGGATATTCATTAGTAATAATTCAATCGGAATCATTATTAAATTATTTCAAAATTTGCGCTATGATTGTTTTGATATCATACTGCTTTTTATGAACTCTTCCAGTCTTTTAGTTTTCTCTTCGCTTGCCTTAAGTTGCTTTTTCGTTTTAGACAGCTTTTGGATGAGATCAGTATTAGAAACTGTCTCAAAATTCACTCCCTTTTCAAGCAGCTCAATCCTTTCCTCTTTTTCCATCATCTTCATCGAATTTTCTTTTAATTTTATATTTAAATCTTCGATTATCCCTTCAAGCTTCCTTTTTTCAATCAAAAAAGTACCGCTTTCTTCAATTTTTTTCTTTAAAGTTTCTTCTAACTAATTATAAAATACCAAGTTTATTTTGACGTCCTTTGTCGACTCGTTTACATCCAAATTAAATCTTAAATAGTTCATTGACTTCCTCAGATCCTCAAATGCACATTAAAATGGCATATTATCTATCAGCCTGCACTCTTGGAACATTAGCCCAGACTTTTAGGCCACGGCGAACTGGAACGGACTCGAAGCCAAGAAGGAAGTGCAGCCTCAAAAAATTGTTGGTGATAGGTTTTAGCTCCTCTTCTGTGGTTGGAAATGGAGATTCTCACTCCCCCCTTTAAATTGGAACAAAAAATTTTGTTCCAATTTAAAGGGGATTAAGAAATTTTTTTTAAAAACAAATCAATATAAAATTTCAAGAATTTATCGAATTAGATTAATAAATTTGTTTAATAAATACTATTTTTACTCTTTATCCTTTAAAACAAAGCAATATATAACTAAATTTTTATTATTAATTAATACGCCACTATTAATTGGTATCAAAACTATTTACACAAAAATTATTATATCTGTTTGCCAAGGAGCATTTTTTGGTTCTCCATTCTTAAATTTGGTTAGCCAGAAAATATGGCATGCCAACGAATTTGGCAAAGCCAGCTATTGTCTGGCCAACCAAAAAATGCTCCTTAGTGGGCTATTCTTGGTAAATAAGTATATTTTTATTGGTAAAAAAAAAATTAGAAAAATTTTATCGATCAAAGTGCTAATTTTGTTTAAATAAGATGTTATTTATACTCTATTCTTTAAAATAAAGCACGAAATAAGTAAATTTTCAATTTTTGTAAAGAATTCGCATTGAATTTATATCAAAACTATTTAAATAAAAAATATCATTTTTTATTAAAAAATAAATTTTTTTAAATAAGATGCACTATTCTTTAAACAAGAGCAAGATATAACTAAATTTTTAATTTTAGTTAAGAAGAAACATTAACTTATATCAAAACTTTTTACATAAAAATTATGATTTTTAGATATAAAATATTTATTATAAAATTAAATTTTGTTCCAATTAAAGGGGGGTTAATTTACCAAAAAAAATGGAAATTTTTACTATATTTTGTTCCACATTAAAGGGGGGGAGTCAGCAATCTCCTTTGCATCCTTGGGCATCCTCTATCGAGAAACCGGAGATTCAACCAGGCCATAGAGGAACAGTCTTTTACCTGTAGCTGCTAAAGAAAGGCACTTTGGCAGCTGAGAGCTCCAAGGAGTTAATGTGTGAAATCAGGCTACTCCAAAACGCCTTTTGCAGGGCCGCAAAAATCCATAAGCGCACACTCAAGACTGAAGCCTAAAGGCAAGGACGAGACACCTGCATCAGTTACGGCTAGCCTACTTGGTAGTTTGCTGCAAAGCCGATGCATTTGGTGATTGCATCACAAAATGATAGCGCCTGCCTTTAATAATCCTAATCTTTAGATCCTCAAACTCCTCTATTGTCTGCCTCAGCTGGGCAAGTAAAATTTGTATACTTTCGTGTGAGCTTGAAAGCTGCTCATAAAGATTTTCTATTTCGTTTGCAAATGAAGCTTTAAGCTGGTCAAATTCATTTTTATTGCCTTCAAGCTTTAGTGTACTTTTAGTGCTCTCATTTGAAGAAATTAAGCCTATTTCTTTTTTAAGAATTTGGTTTTCTTCTCATAAGATTTTGTAGTTTTCTTTGAGAGCCTCGTATTTTTGTTCGATTGATTCAGGTTTTTCGAAGGAAAATGACTTTCGGTCTGGAGATTGAGCCTTTGTGCTTTGTGGGAAAAATACAAATGAAGTCTCTCGATATCGCTTGTGGGAAATTGATGGAGATTGCGTTCTTACTATTGGAGATTTTGGAGTAAGCGTTGATGATTTTAAATCAGAACTGAAGGATAAATTATATGGATCTTTATTGAGGATTATTGGAGATTTTGAGGCTTTTCTAAATAAAGCATACAGCCTTGAAGATGCTATCAAATATGTTCGGTTTTCCTTTTTCATAATTTAATGTTTAAAATTAAATGATTACTTATTCTTTACGAAAAAGCAGAAAACAATATATTTAAAGAAAAAATATTCATATAATTTTAGAGATTTAAATTTTGGGGAAATTATTTTGCACATCTCATTCACTATTTTAATAATTTTTAGTTAGATTTATAATTGAGCAGCTTATTCGACTAAGATTTAAATTTAAAAATATTTATTATAGTTTATATGCTAATAATAAAATTCTCATCGTTTTCGAGCCGTATTTTTCAATAAACTTCATTTGTTGCTAGGTGCTTAGATTTTAAAAAAATGTTCTTACATCATCAGTAAGCTCGGTATAAAATTTATGCCACTTTTAATTATGAAATTTGAGAATCAGTCAATCGGTTACAGTTTTGGCTCGGCGCTCTTACTCATTATGAATAGTCGATTGCAATATTTTAAACTAGCTTGTTTATAAATTTAAAACTCGATATAATTATTTTTTGAAATAATGCGCTCTATCCACATTGATCCAGCTATTTGTTTCGCCTTACAAAATTTTTTAATATTCGCTAAAGTAAAGCAACGAAACTGAAGAGCATTCTATAATCATTTTAAAATAAGTTAATTTTATTTCTCAACTTATTCATTAGCAACTCCATCATTGACTTTTTGTCCCTTTATATATGCCAGAATAAATATTTAATAAAATTTCAAATATAAATATGATGATTACAGCCATAAATCCAATTCAAACTTTTTCAAAAAATTTCGATGATTATAATAATCAAGAAGATTCAAATGGGACTAATAGTAATTTTCTCACAAAAACAAACACTATTAGCCCTGTAACTTATAAAAACCCTCAACAAAATTATGAGTCTCCTCAGATGATGGAATCTGAAATTCAAAATCAAACAGATGAATCGCAATCGATGGATGTTGAAAAACAGCCAGAGGAGCAAATGATGACTCCTTTTGAATTTTTCATGAGCTTACCCAAAAATGTACCTGACCCTGGGCATACTCATCTACCTCCAAAACTTAGAAACACCCCAAAGCGCACTCTTGTTTTGGATATTGATGAGACTTTAGTTCACAGCGATATAGAGCCTACCCCAAATAGCAAAACAATGGTAAGCTTTATGAGTCATGGAAGACTTTGCAACGTCTATGTAAGCTATAGACCCTTCTTAGTTGAGTTCTTGCAGATCGTTTCACAGAAATTTGAAGTTGTCGCCTTTACAGCTTCACAAAAATATTACGCAGATCAGGTTTTGAAAAGCATTGATCCTCAGAGAAAATTGATCAAGCATAGACTATATCGAGAGTCTTGCTATGAAATCAAAGGAAACTACATCAAAGATTTGAGGGTTTTAGGAAGAGACTTAAAAGATGTTATCATTGTTGATAACTCAATTCTATCATTTGCTTTTCAGCTTGATAATGGGATACCTATTCTCTCTTGGTTTAATGACCCTAACGATAGAGAGCTGTGCAATCTCGTCACTTTACTTGATGAAATCAATAAAGCCTCAGATATTAGACCAGCATTAAAAGCAAGGTATAATTTATCAAGGTTCAGCTAAAGTCAAGTTGTTTTAACAATTAAATAAAGATAATTAACGACATTAAGTTTATACTTAATTTAAGGCTCAATAATATATTTTCCTCAACACAGAGTTTATATTTATCAATGGATTAGAAAGGCCAATTGCAGATGAAAATAGGCTAAAGTTTTCAATTTTATGTAAAATATTATTTAATAAATAATAGTAATAATGTCGGTATTTAAAGCCTACAAATAATCAAAATCAAGGCTCGCTGTTCGTAAGTGATATATTCTCCCATTATATTTTGCCTTTATTGCCATGGCTCTTTTCAAATGCTCGCACTCTGCTCCACATTTCTTATAGTCATGCCCTTCCATGCATTGCTCCAATAATCGTTTGGTGTATGGAGAAAGAGCTTGATATTCTGCTTTATTTTTAAATATAGAAGCTAATGAATTCGGGATTTCATCATTTTTCTCTTTATCAAAGCTGTCATTTAAAAAAGACTTTGGCAAAGTAGATAAAGTTTGGTTTAAATCACCTTTTGGGAAATTCGTTTCTTTAAGTTTATTTTTATGTTTCGAAAATTTTTTTATATCTTTGGAATGAGATGCGCTTTCTAGGGTCTCTAGTTTATCGGTTATCGTTGATTTAAGGTTTTCTGTATATTGAGCGAAATGCGGGTATTGTGATTGAAGCAGATTTTTAAACTTTTTGAATAAATTTTTTTGCTCTTTATTGAGTGTGACAACAAGTGCTTTTTCAGCATTTTCTAATTTCTTATTTGATATATCAAACCTTAGAGATTGATGCATGAATATTCCGTCTTTATCTTCATAATCGTGCTCTTCTGAAGAGTTTGAAAGGCTGGAACCTCTATTTTCAAATTGTGATTTTTTATGGTGTTTTTTATTAAGAATCTCATTTTCAGAAATTTTTTCTAGCTTTTCGTCCTGACTCCAATATTTATTTTTTGAGTTTTTACTCCTTCCTCCTTCCATGAGCAAGCAAAACATTGGAAAATCTCTATTTTTTGGATAAAAAGCAATCCTCCTTGAGCAAACAAATTTTTTTGTTCACTCAGGAGGAAGAGAGTCAGCATCATGAGTTTCTTGGCTGTTTTCATTAAAGCCCATCGGTTTTCCTTTATTTCTATTCACATTTGGCCTTTGGCTATAAGAGCCTGTAAAATTTCTATTTCTTTTTATATCAAAATTAGAAACTGCTGTAGCATCGCTACCTTCATTATCGCTGTCTAATTCTTTTTGGAGGCCATATTTCTTCATGATTTCGTTAGCATCTATTCCAGAATAAACAAACTTGCTTCCATGCACCTGAAGTCATGATTCTTCGATTTGTTTATTTTTTTCTTCAGCCATCCTTCACAATACACTCCTCTGCAGGAATTCATCTTTTAATCTTACTTACTTCCCCCCACGTGAGTGAACAAAACCATTAGAAAAATCGCTATTTTTTGGCCAAAAACCCACCCTTTGTGAGTGAATAAAAATTTTTTGATAGAAAAATTTTTTATGGAAAAAAATTTTGATATATTAATGATAATTATTATAATGAAATCTAGAGCTAATTCTGTTTAATTTTTAACAAATTGCTTTTTAAAACATAAATTTCATATATTAAATTAATATTTGCTTTCCAATTTTTGCGAATTAGGATTTTGTTAAATTTCTAAAAAAAATTTTTTTATAAAATTTATATATAATTTTTTTAAAAAAACAAAAATTAACGCCCTCAGTGAGTGAACAAAATTTTTTTGTTCACTCACGGAGGGGGGGGGGGGAGTTAGTAATTTATTTCGCTTCCCAATTAATTTAGTTTTCAAATTTTCACATTCTTTTTTGAGTGAATTTATTGTGAGTTTGCTTTTTTCAAGTTTTTCCTTTGAAATTGAGTTTATGGATTTTTCTGATTTTAGCTCAATTGAAATTTCAGTGACTTTATTCTGCAGTTGAGCAATTTCATTTAATTTTCCAGTTAACTCATAAATTTTTAAATTTTTGAAGCTTATCTCATCATCGAATTTTTTCTTTTCTTCTAATAAAGTATCGCATCTGCGCTTAAGCTTGAGAATTTCTAATTCTTTTTCGCCAGCAATGCTTTCCAATGCTGAATCTATCCCTTTGTTTTCTACTTGGCATCCTTTTTCGGCACATTGTGTTTGTTTTATTGTTTTCTGCCTTGCAAGGCTGCTTACTCATTCTTTTCTTAAATTTTCGACTCCGTCTTCGAATCCATTATTTTCCTCCTTGATGTCAAATTTAATCAGGTCAGGCGTTTCAACAGGGCTAGGCACATCAGTGCGCATCTGGCATAATGAGTCATACAAATCTCATAGATGATTAGTAACTCCTGTAACCTTAAGATTTTTCATTTTGTCACCTAATTCTTTAAGGAAATTTATGTCTGGGCTGTCACTCCGACATGCCTTTACTCTTCCATTTTCCCCTGAATTTTCAGTTTGAGTGATTTCATCCCTGCATCTAATTTTGGCTGGAGTTTTTTTAGATTCCAGATTTTTTAAATATTTCGTTATTTGTTGAAAAGCTTTTTTATAGCCAATTAACCCTCTTATAATGCAATTTCCTAGTTTAGTGTCTTTTTGCTTTGTACAAATCGCAATGTTTTCTAAATACTGCTGGTATTTTTCACAGGATTGATTAATATTCTGCAAATCAAATCCGTCCAATGGATTGATATTATTAAGTTCAATTTCATAAGCATCAAGATCTTTATCAAGCCTGTTAAGTTCTGCACAAAAAAATATTTCTGAACTCCTTTTATATAGAGAAATTGAAGATGCAAGTGCATTTGATTCAGCAGCCTCTTTGCTTATTGCTTCATAAGAACTCTCATAATTATTCAACAACATACTTGACTTTCTAGATTCTCTTGGATTTGAAGCTGTTGTTGAACGCTCTTGAGACCTTTTCTTTTTTAAGTTTGGGAGGTTTGGCTCGTGCATTTCTAATAAAAACTATTTCCATCTTTAATTTACATTGGCCTTTCTTCAAGGTGAAGACTTATACAAACTAATATTATGGAAACTCGCAATAAAATTTATATTTAAATGATGATTTTTTAGCCTAATGTTAATCTGGGGAAAATAATAAATATTAAAACTACTCATTTCTTGATTCAACTGAACCCGAAAGAAACAATTAAAGCTTAATTTTTATTCCAAAAATAATTAGACCTAATATCAATTAATCAAAATTAACTATATTGAAGTAAATTTAATGGCATTATTATTGGCGCATCAAAAATGAGTTTGCATGCTTCCAAAAGTTTTGAAGATTTTACAGCTCATTCATCAGCAAAAAGAGTTCCAGCATTTTCATCTAAAATCTTAAAGAAAGTATCTAACTATCATTCAGTGAATTCACTGCAGCTGAACTCTGAGAAACTCAGGTCTGATAATTCCTCCTTCATTCTTAGCTTGGCTAATAAAAGCTCAATTGTCAAAAGCAACTATTCTATGAATACTTCAGGCATATATCTATCGCCAATAAAAGAATCGACTTCACCTCCTATTCAGTTTAAATCTTCTGTGATAAAAAATAAGTACAATTTAATTCAAGTTCTACAAGAATTAGAAAAATCAAGCGATAAGCCAGATATTAAAAAAGCCAAAGCTGCTTCAAAAGCATTAGAAATATGTGCTAATGAAAGTGGGGCATATCAAAAAGAAATGCAGATGATTACTTCAGAAATTACTAGGTCGCTTTATGCTGACAAAAAAGAGCTGGATGAGGACGTCCTTGAAAAAATATATGATAAACATACAGGTAATTCTTATGAAGATGCCTTATTAGACAGTGAAATACCTTATTTCCATATATCAAATACTTATAAAGAATTATGAGAAGAATCGAAGAATGATATTAATAGATTGCAAAAATAGATTGAATTATTATTTAAGACATTTAAGTTTAAGCTTATAATAACTCTTCAAGTCCCGTACTTCTTGGCCTAGGCTTGGACAATAACTCTGAATAAAGATAGACGGGCCGTCTATCTAAAACTGTTTCTATCCCTAGCCCTTTAGGACCTCTCTGATCTACACCAGGCACAGTGTAGACCCATATTCTTGAGCTGAGACTCTCAAAAAGTCGTGAACTTCTCCCCTGAGCTCGAATGTAGGACTTGAACCCTACCCCAAGCTAATATTTCTTAATTGTGAATTTCTTTTGAAAAATCTTATACCGCAAAAATCACTCATGCACTTGGAAAGAGGTAAAATCTACACAGATTTCAAAGTCGCTATCAAAGCTAGAGACAAAGAAATTGATAGACTAAAATGGGAAATCCAAGAAGCCATCAATGCACCAGTTAAAGCTATGGAGTGAAAAATGGTCCAGTTAGAAGAACAAGTAATGCTTTATTAAGAATATAAGATTTAAAGACGATGCTAACGATACCCAAGAAAAGCTCAATCAGGCATATATGAAAATTAACGACTATATAAAATTAGCATTATTTAGATTATCGAGAAGCTCCCGGTAGCACTCGCGAGTGTGTTTCTCCACCTTGCGTCGTTGGGCTGTCCACAGCTGCTCTATCTGGGGGTTAAATCCTCTCCGCCTGAGGCTTGAGTCAAATGGAGAGTAAAGTGGGCTATGCCACTTTATCATGCACTAGGCTAGGGTTGCCTGCTTAGAAATTCCAAAAAATGGAATTTTGGAGACTCTTGACAAAAGGTAAAACTTATATTCAGGGCTTAACTCCTGGTTTTACGCTGGAGAGCTGCCCGATAGGCTTAGAAGGCTTTACTGAGCTTCCCCTTTCCAATTCCAAGTCTCCATTTCCATCGAGATAAATCCAACTCCTGAAAGCGGACTAAAGGCTAGGCCCAAAACATATTAGGATTGGTTGACTAGTATAGCTGTCCAATTTTAAGCTGGAAAAACCTTGCCAGTAGCTCCATGATCGGGAGGCTCCAGGCCGAGACACCATATTTTAATTATGAAAATTAACAACTATAAAGCAGAGTCTTCAGCAGACAAAAATTTGATTGGAGATTTGCAGGTAAAAACAATACAAAATGAAAAGCAAATTATCCATTTAAAAGAGAGCTTAAATGATTTGGTAAATAAGCATGATGCTGCTTTAAATGAAAATAAAAATTTAAAAACAGAGCTTGAATCAGCAGTTAAAATGCTTGAGATTATAAAAGATGAAAAAAGTGAGCTTGAATTGCAAGTGAAGCTATTGGAAATAAAAATAAGCAATCTTATAGCAGATTCAGGATCTGGAATGGAGAATTTAACTCCAAGGCCAAACTTCGGCGGTACTGAAGAGTTTCACACTTTGAAAGGTTCAAGCACCAAAGAAAAGGTTGGAGAATTAAGTTTTTAATTAATGAAATTTTCTCTCGCACATTCAGTGCCTTCTAAATTTTCTTTACTTGAGGTTGAGATATGATAACAGCTCTGAACAGCAGTAGGTGAAGTGGCCTAACCGTCTAACCGTTAAAGTTATCAAGCCCTTTTCAGACTTCTCTAGTCAGTGTCAGCCTTAGCACAGACCTCTTCTCTTCAAGCTGAGACTCTCAAGAAGCTTTGACTTCTCTCACTAAGCTCGGTTATGGGTCTAGCCTAGTGGATTAGGACTAGGGTCCCATCCCTAACTGCCATTTTAAATATTGTTAGAGAATTAATTAAACTCCTTAAAAGCTTCAAATTAGACCGTAAACCTACAAGAGTTTTTCAAAGAAGAGAAACTTTAAATCCAAAGAGGAAAAACACTTTAGGCATTTCTATAAGAAAAGCTGAAAGAATGTTTTCTGTTATTGAAAAAACTGATGATGACTTATAAAAATTATTAATTTTGCGATTTTGCAATATTTGGCACTAAGTTTAATATCAATATTTTAAGGGTCTTGCTAATAAATATTTATTTTTGTCCATGCATCTATAATTTATAATATACTAATATACTGATTTTAAAAATTTTAACTGTTTTATAAATGTTAGTATCAACTTCTGATGAGATTTGCAAGCATCCTCTAAACAATTCTCCAACTAAGCAGCAGTTTTCTTTCTCAAAGGCTTTACGCTTCAAAAGTTATCAAAGTTCTCTCTGTAAAGAAGATTTCTATAAGATTCCTTCAGCATTGGACCACCGATCCACCAATTTTGGTATTGGCGAAAGATCTGATTTTACAAAGTCTCAAAGTCAGAGTCCAGCACCTTGGGTTTACCAAATTCCTTCTTCGTTGAAGAAATCTGGAATAAGCTTTGGAACTTCCAGAGAGTTGTGCAAACGAGTTTTTGAGACTCATTTAACTCCTGATCCATCTGTCCCTGGGCCTGGAACTTATAAGTTTAAGCAAAAATCACTCGGTGTAGATGCGCCCAAATGAACTTTGAGACCAAAAACTCAGTCTCCCGACGATAAAAAAGAAAAAAAGCACATCCCAGGACCAGGGACTTATGCACCCAAATGAGACATGCCAAAAACAGGTGATTATGTTTTGTCTAACTGAAATTCCACAAAATCAAGCAGCTTCGCACCAAATTCTCTATCAAGATTTGGAAGCAGAAATCTCAGTGCTTCTATCTTGCCTGGGCCTGGAGCATATCAAATAAATTCTAGCATAAATGAGAAAGGCGAATATTTTGTTTCAAAATTTCAGTCTTCAATGTCAAGGTCTTTTGGCAAATCTAAAAGGGCTTTAATGAGATCGAATTCAGAATATCCTGGGCCAGGGACTTATAGAGCACCATCAGAGTTTGGATACTATGAAAGCAAAGTTAAGCTTAAACTAAATATGAAATTGTATGAAAAAGCTAAAAAAAGTATCGCAAGCACCTCAGTCCCAAATTCAAGAAGAAGTTTAGAATCTTCTCCTAGAGGGAAAGATTATTAAAGCAAATTTTTATTTAAATTTATTTAATCATAGAAGAATAATTTCATGATGATTTTTGATTTTAAACTATTTATTTTTTAACGAAATATTTATATTAGCAAAGCTTATTAAAGTTGCATGAGGGCAGCTAGTTAGCCAATTCTAAGATCTCAGCTACAGAATGCGCAAATTTTTGAAATCATTTATTTTAATATATATATTTAATACATCAAAAAATAGCAATATATTGATTCATCATGGTTTACAATCATACCTAGTTTTGCCTAAAAATAACATTCTGCAAGGCTAATTATCCCCCTTAGATTTTTAGGGTGGGAATATTATCTGGAAAAGTAAGGATTAAAAAAAAATTAATTGAGTTTGGGTGCAATGGCCACGGCTATAAATTATTGGAAGAATATGTTAAACATTTTAAGGAAAAATGTGGAAGAATTTCAGATTTTTGAAATGGTTACTTTATTTAGCGAAATTAAGAGTAAAATTGAAGATTCAGATGCTGATGGAATTTATTTGACTTCACTAACTCAGAATAACCGCTTTTAAGCTTGAAATTAAATAAGGCTTATTGAGGTCAGATGCTTACTCTTTTCTGTAGGTGAGCAGATCATTCAAAAAATCCTAATTTATTCTTTTAAACAAAATAATTTTATATATAACAAATGTTTGTTAGCTATATATAAAATGATTAGTTTAATATGAAACCTCTAGTTAATCTATTAATACATTTTAAAGCATAAATTTTTAAAAATAAATTCAATTTTTTCTCTAAACTCCCCCCCCCCTCCGTGAGTGAACAAAAAATTTTGTTCATTCACGGAGGGGGCTAATTGTTTTTTTTTAAAAAATTTATATATAAATTTTAATTAAAAAATTTTTTTTTCGAAATTTAACAAAATCCTAATTCGCAAAAATTTGAGAGCAAATATTAATTTAATTTATAAAATTTATGTTTTTAAAAGCAATTTTGTTAAAAATTAAACAGAATTAGCTCTAGATTTCATTATACTAATTATCACTTATATATCAAAATTTTTTTACATAAAAAAATTTTTCTATTAAAAAATTTTTGTTCACTCACGGAGGGTGGGTTTTTGGGCAAAAAATAGGGATTTTCTAATGGTTTTGTTCACTCACGGAGGGGGGGGGAGTAAGTATTTCCTGATTGTATTTTTTGGAGTCCAAAAATAATGAAAATAAAATTAATGTATAAAATTTATAAAAGATTTAGCCCTCATCTATGAGCAAGCCAAAAATTTTCCTTCTTAATAAGAGGAGTTTAGGTAAAATAGATATAATTACTTTTCTTCTTCGCCATAACTTGGTTAATCCCTTCTACGTAATCTTCATGCATAATCTGCTCCGCACCTCTTTTCAGTGCAAGCATACCTGCTTCTACACACACAGCTTTGAGCATGGCTCCGTTGAAATCGTCAGTGCTTCTTGACAATTCTTCGAAGTTCACATCTTCTTTATTGTAATTCATCTTTCTGCTATGGATTTGCAATATTCTGATTCTTGCTTCAAGATTTGGATGAGGGAACTCAATTTTCCTGTCCAGCCTTCCAGATCTTAATAAAGCAGGGTCTAGAATGTCAGGCCTATTCGTCGCTGCGATGATTTTAATCCTATCATCACTGCTAAACCCGTCAAGTTGACTTAGCAACTCCAGCATAGTTCTTTGGACTTCTCTGCCACCGCCAGAATCTGCGTCATGACGACGAGCTCCAACTGCATCAAGTTCATCAATAAAAATAATTGTAGGAGCCTTTTCCTTGGCTAGTGCAAAGGCATCTCTTATCATTTTTGCTCCATCTCCGATAAACATCTGGACAAGTTGAGGACCTGCAAGTTTCAAAAAGGTCGCTTTGGTTTGAGCAGCACAAGCTCTTGCCATAAGAGTTTTGCCAGTTCCAGGTGGCCCGTGCAAGAGAACACCTTTAGGAGGTCTGATTCCAATATTGTCAAACCTTTCTTTGTGGGTCATTGGCAGCACGATTGCTTCGATGAGCTCTTCAATCTGTTTATCAAGCCCGCCAATATCGCCATACTCTTCTGTAGGTCTTTCGTCAAGTTCCATAGCCTTGACGCGCGAATCGTACTCAGCTGGGAGAGTGTCAAGGATCAGGTATGAGTCTTTGTTGACGCCTATCAAATCGCCAGGCTTCAAGGTGTTTACATCAACAAGCCCAGGCACTGGGAGGAATACAGTTTGTCGGGTGCTTGTTTTTATGCAGACTGCCTTTTGGGAGCTTGGATTGTGGACTTCAGTGTCATCTTCTTCCTGGATGTCGAGGATTTCTACGACATTGCTGATCAAGTATGGGAGTTGCTTATTCAGCTTGATCTTTTCTTTGTTTTCGCTGATTTGGTTCTTGATCTTGTTGGACTCTTGTTGGAATCGTTGACTGTCTCTCTTTAAGGCCCTAATGTTACTTTCGAAGATTGAAATTCTGTTCGAGATCTGCTCATTTGTTAGATCAGCAATAAGAGCTTCCACATCAGACATTTTCTTTATAATGGAACTTAAAATTCATTGTTTAAACGATTGTTTAGCAAATTTACGATTTTAAAAGGAAAATTTATCTTTTACCTCATAATTATTTATAAAAATTAAAATAGTGATGCGTGCCAACTTTTCCTCTTGCTGCAACAGTCCATATCTTATGCTAGGGCGAACTGGATGGATCACTCAAGACTGATCGCCACAGCAACGAGACGGAAGGTACAGAAAGTGGCACCCATTATTGGGCTGGAGTCGAAAAGCGGATGAACTCCATATATGGGAGGTCTTTTGACTGCGTCGCTAATATGGCTAAAGCTTGCCTTTAATAGCTAGCCTAGCCTAGCCTAACCTAGTACTGTCTCCTACTTATTTATCTATTCGTTTAAACTTTATTTCTCAATTTATCTTTTAGGCATTAAATATATAATGGAAGAAGAAGGCCAAAAAGTCATTTTTGTTTTAGAAGGAGCGTAAGTATCAAATAGTACCTTAGACACTGCTAAAATCAAGAAGGATGGCGAGTTTGTCCTTCTAAATTCTGACGACCACACAAATTACCTTAAAAAAATTGGCGTGGACCCAGCCGAATATAGACCAGACATTACACATCAAACTTTGCTTGCTCTATTAGACAGCCCATTGGCAAAGGCTGGGAAAATTCAAGTTTACATCCACACTTTCAAAAATGTTTTAATCTACGTTTCTCCTCAGCTAAGAATGCCCAGGACTTATAAAAGATTTGCTGGACTCATAACACAGCTTCTTCATACAAGAAAAATCAAAGCTGCGGACAACGGGAAATATTTGATGAGAGTCATAAAAAATCCTATCACAGACCATTTACCAGTTGGCTCAATAAAAATTGGGACTTCAGTAGAAAGTGAGTTAACAGATATTTTTGAGTTTGTAAAGGACCCAAGCTACCAATTTACTTCTTCAGACCCTAATAAAGCACCAAAAACTCCAGTCTTCGTCATTGGAGCCTGCGCACACGGCCACCCTGCAAAAGAAGTCGACTACATCAGCAAAGCAATTTCAATCTCAAATTACCACTTGTCAGCAGCTTGCTGTGCATCAAGAATTGCATTTGCTTTTGAAGTTCTCTGGGGAATAGTTTAATTTTACACATTTTCATATTTAGTGTGTTGTTATTATCATTTACTTACATCATAAAACTTTTCTTCAGTAAATTGATCTTTTCTTTCCTTTGTGTGTCCATTTCTTTGGAGACATCCTGGATTTCTTTTTTCATGTTTTCTTTCATTTGGTCAACAATAAGGTTCATGAAGCCTCCTTGTCCTTCAAGCTCTTTTATCTGGACTTCATAGTTAAGCTTAATTTCGTTTATTTTGGAAGCTTTTTCAGAAAATGATTTTTCCATGAGGTCTTCCAGCTGGATTTCTAAATTGTCGATATGTTTGGAGTCTTCGCAGCTGGGATTAAATGATAAATTGACTTCAGACATCGGATTAAGCAAACTAAATTCTGGAGGAGAGTTTTCATTAGGAAGAACGTCTATGCACGATTTATTCAGAGGAGAGTCATAAATACTTGTATCTCGGGTGGATTTGTCAAGCATAGCCTTTTTCCTTGATTTGAGCCTGTGGTTCAAATCTGAGTCCTGGGACTTGAAATCTGATGAGCACTTTTGGGCGATGACCTTTGCATTGGTTTGATGGAGGTGAATTATTCGTTCTAAATTTTTGGACAGCTTGTAAGAAGGTTCTGCAAGAGCTTGGTTAAGCTGCGCTGATAAATAACTTTTGTTTCTTTCTGACTCCTTTTTACGTTGCTCGATACTGTTTTCAAATCTTTTAGGCTGTGGAGTTGAAAATGTATGCCTTCTCTGAGTTGACTTAGCTGGCTCAGTGTCTGGCATAATTGTAATGGAAATTTCAATGTTTTGGTTTTCTTCTTCAGGGTTAATTTTGCTGCTTTCACTTTCGTTTTCAGCTTCAGAGCCTGAGTCTTCTTCTTCTTTTATCGCATACTGAATATGTGTTTTATGAACAATGTTGATTTCTTTTTTATTCTTTTTCAATTAGTTAATAGATATATTAAAATCCAGTCCTATTATTTTTAAAAAATAAAGAGAATTATTCCTTGCAAATAATATATTAATTTTTATAAAAAATGATAGTTTCAGCTTCAGGGGTTCTTTCTCTAACTGGAGAAGGTGACTTTTTCAATCCAAGCTGTCTCTCTCGAGTTGGTGAAGGCGATTTACTCAAATCTTGCCTTTTGCTAGGAGAGGAGCTCTCCTCTCTCATCGTAGTTATTGCTTGAGGTTTTACAAGCATTTTATGCATGCGGTCTTGAAAGTCCAGATATCTTGGATCTTTATAATATTCGTAGTATTCGATAATTTCTGTATACATCAGAACAAGTTGGTTTATTATTTCGATGCTCCAGTCTTTTTCAAGCTCTAATTCTTTCTCAAGAAGTCTGATTCCGAAATCTTCTGAAAGTTTTGGAGGTCCTCGGCTGACTCGTGAATTGGATTTGGATTTTGACATTTTCTTAAATGTTCACCAATAAGTCATTTCATAATTGATGAATTTCAGTAGGTTACATGAGAAGAGCGAACTTAAAGCGAGGTTTGCTTTTAGAAGCTGGCATAATTCACCATTTTAGAGAGCTATAAGATTAATTAAGTAGTTATTGTGGTTTTAATTTTTTTGAAAAATAATGAAGAAGGATAATATAGCCACTTTTGAATATTAAGGTAAAATTTATAGTTGCTTAAGATGGATTACCTGAAGTGATTATTTTATAGTTAGAGCTTAATGCCGTTTTGATGTCAAGTTTAGTACCAGCTTATACAAGAGAAAGAGCTATAATTTCATAAATCACTTTTTATACATATTCAGATAATATCTATAGTCCAATGATTATCAAATCGTATAAAGAATGATGGATATTTTGAGATATTGTATATAGGATACATTGTATTTGAAATTTTCGTTTTAGGTATCAATAATAGCAAGTTCACTTTGCATTGCTATGAAGATTAAATAATTTACAATAAAGTTTTTATCGGCCTAAAAAATTAGAAGTATACCTAATAAGGTATGATAGCAACTTTAGTCATTTAAATTTAAATATCTGAGTACAAAAAGAAACCAAATAAAGCGTTTGATTTCTAAATTCTACTTTATATGTTTCAATAATCAAGAAAAAGAAATTAATAAAAGATTCAAAATATTTACTATCGATAAAATATCTTATTTCTTCTCTATGAGAAAACAATGAATTAAAATTTAATAAAAATGTTGTGATATATAAATAATCATGATATAATAACGCTCTTTATAATTCTATTATAATATAGGCAGCTTGTGTTCTAAAACTAAACTTTATAAGTTAAAGTAATTATTAATTTCAATATTTGAAAATTTAAATAAGAAAAAAATATACATAAAATTTGTTTGAAAAAAATAGCCTGTCCTTCGTTAGCAAATAAAAAAAATTGGAAGGAAAGCTTACTCACCTCCTCGGAACAAAACCATTGGAAAAATCCCTATTTTTTGCCCAAAAGCCCACCCTCCGTGAGCGAACAAAAATTTTTTATATATAATCGATTATTAATGTAACGAAATATCTAATTAATTCTGTTTAATTTTTGGCAAATTACAGTTAACTCCCCCCCCCCCCTCCGTGAGCGAACAAAAAAATTTTGTTCGCTCACGGAGGGGGGTTAATTTTTTTTTTAAAAAAAATTTATATATAAATTTTATAAAAAATATTTTTTTTCGAAATTTAAAAAAATCCTAATTTGCAAAAATTGGGAAGCAAATATTAATTTAATTTGCAAAATTTATGTTTTAAAACGCAATTTGTTTAAAATTAAACAGAATTAGCTCTAGATTTCATTATACTAATTATCACTTATATATCAAATTTTTTTTTCCATTAAAATTTTTTCTATTAAAAAAATTTTTGTTCACTCACGGAGGGTGGGTTTTTGGTCAAAAAATGGCGATTTTTCTAATGGTTTTGTTCACTCACGGAGGGGGGGGGGGAGTAAGTAAATATTTGCTTTCCAATTTTTTATGTATTGGCATTTTTTTAAATTTTGATAAAAAAATTTTTATATAAAATTTATATGTAAATTTTTAAAAAAAATAGACCCCTCCGTGAGTGAAAAACATTTTTTTGTTCGCTAACTGAGGGGGGAGCTAGCATTTTTGCAAGCAAAATGCAATCATAAATTACTATATATTTACTCTCTCCTTTAAATTAAAAGAAATCTTGTTTTAATTTTAAATATGCAATTTTAATTTATTTTATGAAGAATAAATTCGAAATATTAATATGTGAATATACATAAAATTGCTGGTGATGAATGTCCAGTTTTTTCCCATGGCGGATATTCGGACCTGGTTTTTGGTGCAAAGTTCTGCCTAAGGGTTGGGCTAATCTTGAAGCGAGAGGCTAACTCCCCGCCCCCTCCGTGAGTGAACAAAAAAATTTTGTTTTTTTTTTTTAAAAAAATTTATATATAAATTTTATAAAAAATATATTTTTTTCGAAATTTAAAAAAATCCTAATTCGCAAAAATTGGAACGCAAATATTCATTTAATTTATAAAATTTATGTTTTAAATAGCAATTCGTTTAAAATTGAACAGAATTAGCTCTAGATTTCATTATTTTAATTATCATTTATATATCAAAATTTTTTTCCATAAAAAATTTTTGTATTAAAAAAATTTTTGTTCACTCACGGAGGGTGGGTTTTTGGGCAAAAAATAGCGATTTTTCTAATGGTTTTGCTCACTCACGGAGGGGGGGGGGAGTAAGCACTATTTCTACTGATTCATGACCTGGCTCGAAACTCCAATTTTTTGCCACAGGGCCCAGGCCAGGTTGGGTGTCCGATAGAGTGAGGGTGAATTAACTACCTAGGTTGATTAGTTTGTCCAAATTGCGTAAGCCATTTATTTGAGTTTTCACTTTGGCGATGAGCAGGGAAAAAAGGAAGGCAGGCTAGACAAGACTTAGGTCTTCAGTCTCTACAGTTGAAAAGTGTCCCGTGATAGGGGCTATTTGGCCTAAGTTAAGCAGGGTTGGGTAAGCAAGTTGCTTGAGTTGGAAATGGAAGTTCCCGGCAAAGTCCGTATGACTCAGATCATGGAGACAATTGCTTCTACCGAAAATTGGGCTCAATTTAACCATGGAAGGCCACCCCACAGCTCATGTCGTGGAACACATCGTCCTCAGGAAGCGGGGACTATAAAGGCGCAGTGCAACCTTAATATTAATCTTAGTATGATTTAGTGTGAAAGCTATCTAATAATATTTAACTTGCACTTTTTTCATTAAATTAATTCAAAACTAACTATATGAAAATTAGTATTTTTGCCACCTTTGATTGTGACTTTTTGCTAGTGAGACATTTTTTTTTGAAATTGGACCAAATTTTTTCCCTCTTATAGAACGTTTTTTCAGAAAAAACGTCAAAATTTTGTAAAATCTACACAAGGAAATAGGAAATACCAATGAGTAAAAAAGTTCAGAGGAAAAGTATGAACCGTATTTTCATCTATAAAATATTCCTATTAAAAAATATTATTCCATATCCAAAAAATAAAATTTAACCAATATTTTGCTTCATTTTAAAGAGGGGGATTTAGAGAAATATTGACTAAATCCTTGAGATTATTTAGAAAAAGTATCCAAGTAATTTTCCTCCAGTGTGTCTTTTACGTGCCTCTTCATGGTCAAGGATGCCATAAGTTGTGGTCAAAACTACATATCCGAATTGTCTAGATGGCAATAAATCAGTTGCAACTTGCTCAATATCAGTGAGTGCAATATCAAATCTTGGTGAGATAACTCCGCATTTATTTAGTCTTCCAACTAAGTCTACGACAATTTTGCCAGATCTGTGGTCATCAATAACTTCGAATTCTCCGATATAGCCTTGCTTTTGCATTAAGCGAAGGAATCTTATAACCACTTTTGAGGCTGGTCTGATAAGCACTTGTCTTTTTCCTCTCTTTTCAGCGTTGATGATGCTCTTAAGGCAGTCTGCAAGCACGTTCATTCTCACCATTTTGTTTGATAAACTTTAATAACAGTAGATAAGTTTTAAACAAAGCCTTAAAAGCTCTAGCATAATTAAAATTGCAGCACACAGCACTTATTAGAAAAAAATTTAAGGCTTGATCAAAAATAGAAATGAGAAGAAGTCAGTGCTCATGAATAAAAAGCTTTTCTACTAGCATAGCTACTATTGAGTAAAATATCGCCTTCTAGTATCATAATTTTCTTCTTCACATTTAAATATGTCTTACTCTCCAGAACAAATCGCCCGCCTCAAAGAGCTAATTCATGATCATCTTGAGAAGAACAAGGTTTTCGATACAGTCAAAAACATGCTGGAAGAAGAAGCAATCTCAGAAGCTTTATCGAACGACAAAATCCTTGAAGTGTTAGGAAATCAAGGAGTCCTAGGCGATGTCTTAACTCATGTACAGCAGCTTCCCGAATCTGAAGATCTCCCAGGCATCGATCGGTCTAAAAAGTACCTTCTCTTTAAACTCCAATATGGAAAAGCATTTATTGATTTCTTGTCCGCAGACAGTTCGAGAAGCAATCTGCAAATCCATATTTCCTTTTTACAGCAGCGATTTTCATCTAAAAGTATCCCATGCTCAGCAGAGCCTATTTTTGACGATAGTTTCTTACTCAATCTGTCACCTCCTGACTATGGAAACGTCGATTTTGGAACATTGCTTAAGCTGAGAGCTCCAATTCATATTGTAGTGATCAAAGAAACTAATGGAAGAAAAGAAATTGTTGCAAGCAAAAATATCGAGTGGAGGCTGATGCTGAGCACTCCTATGCTCTCGTTTCCTATTGAATTGACTGGACTTGGCACAAGAGCAAAAATGCCAATTGGCGTTATTTATGCACAAATGGACTTAATGCCAAGAATCAAAAGAGGGGATTTGCTAACAGATAGAGTAGTGAATGAGCAGCTTAATTTAGAAGCTAAATATGAAAGAGAAATCGCGCATAGCTATTTTGAGTACTCAAATGAGTGGTGGAGAGATTATAAGCAAATCAGATATATACATAAGCGGCTGTTGACGAGCGACCCGTTCTCCTTGTGGAAGGTGTGCTTATGCATACCGGACATTTTTCTTGGTGTAAAGAGCTGCCCAAGGGTTGTGTTAGCCTCGAAGCGAGAGGCTAAGCACTTTTCCACTGATTAGTGGTCTGTCTTTAGTGACAGTTTTTTGCATTTTTTTTTCCAGCAGTACCCAGACCCAGGTTGGGAGTCCGAAAAGGTAGGGAGAATTACCTGCCTGTCTCAAATCACTTAAAGCGATTGAGCTTTTAATTTGATGAGCCAGAAAAAAAAGAGAAGGCAGGCTAGTTAACCGTAGAAACGCAAGTTCTCAGAAGATGGGCCTATAAAGACACATCTCTAATCTAATCTATAAACAAATCAGGCCGACACATGAAAAAAGGCGAGTGCAAATTTACGCAGAAGTTGAAGATGGCAGCTATAAGCCAGTCTCATCATTGGTGCAGCCGTTTAAAACCAACCGGCTTATTGATTCACCGTTGCATGCAGCCAGGTTTGTAAGCTTAATTCCTTTTGAAAGAGAAGAAGCTCCAGGAGGAACAAGAAATGAAAAATGGAATAGTATGCATACGTTTCTTGTTAAAGGCTATGGAGACTGTGAAGATCATGCTGTATTATTAGCAGGACTTCTTCTTGGGTTCGGATTAGACGCTTATGTTTGTATCGGATGCAGTGGAGAGGGTCCACATGCGTGGGTTATCACATTAGGTGATCGAGTCTAACTAACTAACTAATTAATTATAACGTTTAACGTCCACTACGGGTAGACTATCCCAGGCCCGCCACTCGCCTTTCGCCGCACCGGGCCAATAGGTTGCTGGGCCAACCCATCTCGATCACCAAGATGCGCCTAGGGCAAATGTCACCGGCTTCGACGGCTCATGAGTGAGCTACTTGCTTCTGTACATGGGTTGCCTTTCCGAAAATCCAAAAAATGGATTTTCTGGTCGGCTCTCGGCAAAAAGGAAAAACATGCAGCCTGGGACATAACGCCCAGTTTCACGCTAGGGAGTTGCCCGATTGGTCCTTAGGACTCGGCTGGGCTTCCCCTTTCCAACTGACATGCCTTCCTTTCCCCACGAGGAAAAAAAACCAAACCCTGAAAATAGACTTGGGCTAGGCTCTGAACACAACCAGAATTGCTTGCCTAGCATTGCTGTCCCTTTCTGAGCTGGCAAAACCTTGCCGGATATAATTAAATATGAGTCGAGGCTGCATGGCCGGAGGCCATGCCCAGACGAAGACGCCATATTAATTATTAGGTGATCGAGTCACTTTTTGGGAAAGTTTAACAGGGCAACGCTTTTATAGCGATGATCCAAGGATCCATAGATATTACAGGAAAATTGGCTGTGCTTTTAACCACAAATCATTTTATGCGAATATACAAGTTGATGATATCGTTGCTAACACAAACTGGGACTTACAAAATGAGTCTCTATGGAAAGCAATGGCACCAGATATCCTGCAATCTTTAATTGGCTCAGCTAAATATTTGCCTTTGCTATCACCAATTCCTAATCCTCAGGAAGAAGAAATAAAAATTGAAAATGAACTGAGAGGAATGATAGTTGCCTACAGGGAAAGAATGGATTTATTGACACACTGGGACGAAGATTTAAGCTATTTGCTGCAGCCTGCACTTGTAAATTATGAGATGGATAGGATAGGATCAGTGACTTTTGGAAATGAAGAATTTCAGCAGAGTATCAAAAGGCATGTTCCTGAAGGGCATACGTTCAAAGCCTTTCCAACTCAACTCCAGCAGAGACGAGTTAATGATATAATGGGGAGCATCACAAAAGCAAGTGTAGCTCAAGATATTTTACAAACGAGGGGAGATACAGTAAGGTTTGCATTGAGAATTAAGCTGGTGGCATATCCTGAAGAACGGTGCGCTGTTTGGGTTATGCTAGCAGTTCGTTACCGTTCTGTTGTTTAAAGAGTTATTAAAAGATTGAGAAAGAAATACGTTTTAAATTAATTTCTTTGGTATTAACAAATTTATACAATTTAAGAAAGCTAATAATAGTTGAGATCTATTTACAAATTATTTTATTTGTTGTTTTTTAGATCATCCTATATTTATTTTAGATAAATATTTCAAATTGTAACCGTATATGCCCTATTAATAAGATCTTAGTTATAATATTTCTTTTTTGCAATTTAATAATTGAATTAGTTTATTGCTAGTAAACTATAAGTTGTATTATATAAAACGATATGGGATAGTGCTATGATTGAAGATGCATCGACGATGCACCGCTTGCTTTAGATGTCGAAAATCGATCAAAAGATGCTTGTCCAGGGGCCAATAGTTCGGGTAAACTCTGTACACGAATTCTGTGATTTTTATCTATAGTGCTAGAAGACTCTGTCAGTCCAGGGTGATATAAAGTCCCTGATTGAAAAGATTCTCCCGCAACAGAATTTTCTTTGGAATTTTCTTTAAATCTCCCTTTAAATTCGAACAAAATATAGGTAAAATTTCGTTTTTTGGTTAAATTAGCCCCTTTTCTAATATAATGGAGGAATACAACAGAATTTTTATTTTAACAGTTTAGAAAGTTGAATCTATTAATTACTAAATTAATTCTTTATAAAAATAAATAAAATCAAAAATATTAATTTTATTTTTAGATTTCAAATTAATAAAAAATTTTTATAATGAAAGCAATTTATTTCAAAAATTAACTAACTTTAAATCGGAAAACAAATTTTTGTCCAATTTAGTGAAGGAAAATAAGCAAAACTCCTTCAGAACTTTGAATTCATTCATGCTGCAATGCTTCATCAGCTGAAAGCCTCACCTTTGGATCTCTATTTAATAGTTTTTGTACAAAATCTAAAGCTTGAGGAGAAAATTTTTTTCAATGCTCACCTTCAAAATCAATTGGCGCCTTTAAAGTCATATCTATTAGTTCTTGCTTTTCTGGGTGGTCTATAGGCAGTCTATGATGAAGTAATCCTAATTGATAAAAAATGGATCTAACAAACTAAGCTACTATTATAAAAAATAAGACACTATTATTTATTAGAGTATAATAAATAAGTTATTACCCCAACACTTCATAAATCAACTTTATTGTCATAGCCTTTCTTTGCTAAAACTTCAGGAGCTGCGTATCCTAAAGTTCCACATGTTAAAGTTTGTAGTGATCCAGGCATTGCAAGCTGAGAAAGCCCAAAATCTGCTAATTTGATTTTTGGGATTTCAGAATTGTCAACCAACAAAATGTTTTCTGGCTTGATATCTCTATGAATAATCCCAACATCATGCAAGTATCGAACGACTTCAAGCAGCTGCTTTATGATTTGGCTGACAGCATACTCAGAAAAGTACTTTTTATTTACAATCCTTTGGTATAGCTCTCCTCCGCGCACTTGCTCCATTACAATAAGCATGTGCTTTTTAGTATCAAAAACTTCTTTTAATTGAATCACTCCAGGGTGATCCAACAATCTCATGATAGCGATTTCGCTTCGAAGCATTTCTGCTTCATTATGAGTAAGCCGGGCTTTTGTGATAATTTTCACTGCGTATTTTTGATTGGTGGAGTGCTCTATTACAATATGGACATCAGAAAATCTGCCATGGCCTATTTTCTCTTTAAGTTCGTAATATTCTTTAAACTTCCTTGTTTTGGCTGCAATTTCTAATAGCTTAATCCATTCATCTCTTTCTTCTCGAGAATCAAACCATAAATTTATTTCATTATATGAGCTGGATTCATGAGATATTGAAATTCCAAATTTCTTACTCCCCCCCCCTCCGTGAGTGAACAAAATCATTAGAAAAATCGCCATTTTTTGCCCAAAAAAACCCACCCTCCGTGAGTGAACAAAAAGTTTTTTAATAGAAAATTTTTTATGGAAAAAAATTTTGATATATAAATGATAATTAGTATAATGAAATCTAGAGCTAATTCTATTTAATTTTGAACGAATTGCTTTTTTAAAACATAAATTTTATAAATTAAATTAATATTTGCTTTCCAATTTTTTTCGAATTAGGATTTTTTTTTTAAAATTTCGAAAAAAAATATTTTTTTTATAAAATTTATATATAAATTTGTTTAAAAAAAAAAAAATTAACCCCCCTCCGTGAGTGAACAAAATTTTTTTGTTCACTCACGGAGGGGGGGAGTTAGAAACATAGTAATCTCCAATAATATCTACATAACATCCGTCCATAAAAATGACTCCTGAAGGCATCTTGTCTTCACGATGGTCATGGATTAGTAGCAAACTTTTCTTTAACGCTGCGAATTTCTTTTCAAAATACCCAGTTTCTTTGGATTTTTGATATACGAACCCAGAAAAATCACATGCGTTAATTGATGGAAATTTATCAAGCCGAAAGTCTGCAAAGGTCTGTGCAGATACTACTCCACCTATTGTTTTGCATCTTTTTCTTTCTTTTCTATCCTTAGTAACTATTTGGTCTGGCTGCACCCCAAGCCAAATATCTTCTTTATAAGACGCTCTGAAAACTTCAAATATTTTTGGATGCTGTGTCAAAAAATTTTTGAAGTCTATAAAAGTCAAAGTACTTTTATTTCCAAAGGTATCTAAAATGTGGGCAGCAATTAATTGCACCCTTCTTTCTTGAAATTGTGTTCCTATGTTTTTTTCCTTATTTTCTGGATATTCTTCATCAGGAAAAACAGAAGTCGTTCTTCTTTTTTCGATTTTTCTGATTGGACTTTTTGAAGGTCCTAATTGGATAAATAAATCATGGTCGCTAGAAATGTCAGTTGTAGAAGTTGGCTGAGGAAGTAAATCAGCTGTTTCTTTATAAGAGTTATGAATCTGCATAGGAAATACGATAGTAACTAATTCATTTTTGTCAATTACACCATCCTCTTTTAAATCATATAAATCAAAAATAATTTTGTATTTTTGGTCGAGCGTGCCTTTACTGAATGAAGCAAATCCTATTAAAAAATCTTCAAAACTTATTGATCCTTGCTTATTTATGTCAAATTTTTGAAATAATCTTTCTCCAAGCAAACCCTGCTTATAGGTTACGGGTAACGAAAAAAATTGAATGAAAGTGTTTTTATCGATAGCTTCTTCGTCGCTTGTTTTTCGTGATAAATCTTTATATAGATCTTTTAATATCCTTAGCTCATCTTTTGTAACTGAGTAACTTTTACATTTAATAAGCACTTTTTTGATTTTTGGAGAAGCTCGTGCAGACTGATGAGTTATTGGAATTGGAGTTATAACCTTAGCTTTGCAAGCGCAAATACCCATTATTTATATTTATACTAGTCCATTAACTTAAAGCATTAAATGCCTTATCCTAAAAAAATATATATAGATTATTATTTTTTAAAAATAAACACAAATTTTCAAATAAGCTATCATCTGAGGATAATGAGTTAACTATTTCAATATCAGAAATGTTTTGAGATAAATTGATGTCAGCATTATTAGAAAAAAAATTCTAATTCGTAGATTTCTTTATGGTAAAGGAAATTAAAATAAAATTGCTTGCTCGCCCCCTTATCCGTGAGCGAGCAAAAAATTTTTTGATTGCTTATAGGGTTAATTCCTATTCTCAAAAATTGGAAAGTAAAAATTTATGTACAGAATTAGCTAGAAATTGCTGTAATAACTATCACTTATATATCAAAATATTTTTTTCATAAAACATTTCTTATATTAAAAAATTTGTGTTCAAAATAGGGATTTTTCCAATAGTTTGTTCGCTTACGGAGAGAGGTGGGATTAACAAAAATTGCTTTGAATTGGTAGCAAATGAATGCTTGAAACGGTTTCAGCCAGCTTATTGATTTTTTTGAGTGAAATTTTATAGGAGATATTTAAGGAAATAGATAAAAGCTAAAGAGCGAGAGAACAATGCTAGGCAAATGATAAATATCATATGCGGTTTTATTTTTGATAAAGCCAGCAAGCGCGGTTTAATTATAGCAAATTCTTTGCAAGGACTAAATTTACTGACTCCCCCCCTTTAAATTGGAACAAAAAATTTTGTTCCAATTTAAAGGGGGGTTAATTTACCAAAAAAGTGGAAATTTTACCTATAGAAATTGCCCCACACTGGGAATTGAACCCACGTGTGTGGCCATTTTTGGTGCGTGGAAGTCGATGTTCTACACACACACCAAAAATGGCCCCACGTGGGTTCAATTCCCATTTTTGAATTGCCCGAGGATGGCACAAGATAGCGCCATCCTCGGGCAATTATTATATATTTTGTTCCAATTAAAGGGGGGGGAGTGAGACTCTTAACAAAAGTTATTGGATATTAAAATAATAAAAGTAAACAAAAAATAAAATTGGATAAATTCTTAACTCCCCCCCCCCTCCGTGAGCGAACAAAACCATTAGAAAAATCGCCATTTTTTGACCAAAAACCCACCCTCCGTGAGTGAACAAAAATTTTTTTTAATAGAAAAAATTTTAATGGAAAAAAATTTTGATATATAAGTGATAATTAGTATAATGAAATCTAGAGCTAATTCTGTTTAATTTTAAACAAATTGCGTTTTTAAAACATAAATTTTGCAAATTAAAATTAATATTTGCTTCCCAATTTTTGCAAATTAGGATTTTTTTTAAATTTCGAAAAAAATATTTTTTATAAAATTTATATATAAATTTTTTTTTAAAAAAAAAAATTAACCCCCCTCCGTGAGCGAACAAAATTTTTTTGTTCGCTCACGGAGGGGGGGGGGGGGAGTAAACAAAATTCACCTCATAATAGAGCACTTATTTCTAATATTTAGTTTAATTATTGAAAGTTTGACTATATCTTATAAAAATAATAAAAATTTAATTAATTTAAATGCTCTTGGAAAACATTTTTCTAGGTTCGAAATAAAATTTTCCTTTAAAAATAATCCGTTTGACTATTTCTGACTAGTAAGTTTATATTTTGAATTTGTAAAGTATATGAGTCAAAATAATTGTAAAATCAAACTATTATTTCAATAATATTCCTTTAATCAGTGAATAATTTGTTTTCTCAGCATGCAATAATTTTGAAAACTTATAAAGAAAGGCCTCGATTTTTAAGAAAATTTGGCTTAGATAAACAAAATTGTAATATGGTTGAAAAATATTCGGCTTTTAAAGAAAGCAATTGGATTAATAGTTTAACAGCCAGCCCTGAAAAAAGAAATATTCGTGGCAGAAAGCCTCCTACATGCCCTCCAACAAATCAAAATAAACCAGATAACGATGAACTTTTCATGAATTTAAATAATACTCCAAAGATATCAATTCATGTCAGTTCAGGTATTGAGGATATTTTATCTTTTACATCTTTTACTTCAAAATCCAAAACACCCAAGCCGATTCGAAAAGAAAGATCTTTGAGTAAGGGTGAAATTGCAGCTGAAGCACTATTTAAAAGAGCTGAAACAATGACACAGAAGAAAAACAAGATGGCTGAAAATTATTTATCCCAAACTTGCACATTTAAACCTCAAATTGACCAAAAATCAATAAATATTGTTAAAAAAGCTTTACAAGAAGGAAGGGATATAAAAAATATTTCAAAAGAGAGAAAAAGAGAGGAATCATTAGAGAGGAAAAGAAGCGAGTCGTTAGAGAAAAAACAAGCAAATGGAAAACTTGCCTTGAAAGGATTTCTCGAAAGAAATTATAATCGTAAAATTGATCAATTAAAAGAAAAAACTGCTTATACGCCACCGCCGCCGAAAGATGGGTTTGAAGAATGTACGTTTACACCAAAGATAAATCAAGCATCGGTAGAAATGGTAAGATCAATAGATTTGTATCAAAAAGCGCTACTATCACAGAGAAAAATAAATGAAAAAAGAGAAGATCAAAAATTAAAGGCAAGGGAAGAAGAAATGGAACCATGTACATTTCATCCTGAATTATTTAAGCCTTTAATTATGTCTCCGATGCGAAGTATAACACCAAGATCTTCAACTCCAAAACGATATTCAGAAACAAATAGTCCTAGATTCAGTACTAATATAGAGTTTTAGAAACAAATAATAATTCGAAGATTTTGCTAATTATAATTACATATTATTTAAAATTTTAAAAAGCAAATCCCCCCTATAAAAATACATGACTGAGAAAAGAATTAAACTTAAATACAATGACGAAACTTACTGTATAGGAGCTGCCCCGCACTCATTAGAAGAGCTAAACAGATTGGCAAGATCAGCGATACCTTCTCTTCAATCAATAAGTCATTTGACATTTTATTATAGCGACCAAGACGGAGATAACATAATCATCACAACAGCTGAAGGCTTAATTGAAGCTCTTGAGCATCACAATCCTCTTAAACTTTCTATAAAAAGTGGAACAAAAATAAGACTACGAGAGCAGCAAAAATTGAGTGACCCATCGTTTCATATAAGAAGCTGCTATAATTGCTTAAAAGCTGTGTTCAGCATTATTATTTCAAATAGAGTTGTAGGACTTGGCATTGTTACTAACAATAGGTTAGCCCTTACTACTTCTAAAGTTCTCCCAACCCCAGAAGTCGCAAAAAACGCTTATGCAATGTTCGATAAGCAAGGCTTCCAATTTGATTTTGACCCTTCTCAACTTTGGGCGTGCACAAATGATATCACATTAGTCAGTTTTTTAGCTCCTTATTCTTTATCAGATTTTCAACCTATTGGCATTTCACCTTTTCTTACACCCAAGGATGGCGATAAAGTATATACGCTAGATTTGCCTAAAGAAAACGACCCAAAATCAAGCATTAAAGTTTTGGAGCTCAAAGAAGTCGTTGGGCCAAAATTATTTTATGATTCAAGAAGCCCTTGTGGGCCAAGCGGAAGTCCTGTTTTTGACTCAGAATGAAGATTGATTGGAATACAGACATCTCAGTGCGATTTAAGGAACGAAGCAGTTAGATGTTCAGAGCTTTATGATATGTTTAGACTCCTCCCTAGAACCTCAATTCTCAGTGAATTTTTACAACAGATTCAGCCACAAAGACCTCCTCAAGAAGCCGAGATTTATCAAAATCTCCTCGAAAATACTCCATTAGTGCTAGACTCAGTATATGGAGTTGTAGCAAGCAAAGACAGCTTTATACACTTCCAAACAAGCACAAAGCAAACAAACTTTATCCCTTTAGAGGAAAAGCTAGGAGATGGGTTTTCGATATGCCCACTGCCATTTGGAGCCTGCATATCAGGTGGAAAAGCAGCACCAAGAAGAGCATGGATCTACTTTTTAGGCTCAGAAGTCAATTTTTTCAGAATTGATACGCCAGCTCCATTTTTCACCCACTCCTCAATCTATTTAGATGATGGCTTTATCTATTTTATTGGGGGAAGAAATGATAATATTGTGCAAAGAGAATGCCATAAATTTAACGTAAAAGAGAGGAGTTGGGATAAAATTGACAGTCTTAGGGCTGGAAGAAGCTATCCTTCGCTTTGTGAAATGAACAGAACTCTTTATGTTTTTGGAGGAGCTGACCAAGTCCACAATGAATTAAATTCGATTGAAAAATTAGAGAGGAATAGGTGAGTGATAATGGACATTATGATGCCAGCAGGGCTGCATGGAGTTTGTGCCTTGCCTGTGGATGGGGCGAGAGTGCTTATTTGTGGAGGGAAGTTTGATAGAACGAAATCTAACATGAAGCTCTATAGGCTAGATCTTTCTAGGGCAACTTTTTCAGTGCTAACTGCTGGATCGAAGCTAGGAATCATGAGCTGCTGCTATCCAAGTTTCCAAAGGGATAATATCTATGTTTATAATCAGAATGGAGAGCTCATTGAATACGTGAGCCAAACCGGTGAACTGAAAAAATATAAAAAACCTATAATATTCGATATTTAATAATTTAAACTGATACCTACACAGAAATCAGCTATGGTGTAAAAACTCACAAATAAATGAGCAAATAAATTTCAAATTTCGTTTACCTTAAATAAAATAAATTAGGCGAATTATAGTTTTTATCCAATTAACTTCTAAGTTTATTCATATTTTTGATGAGAAATTTGTTATGTTACCTTTAATCCATGTTGAATTAATATAAAAAGAGCAAACAAGTGTCATGGGCATAAAAACGATTGCTTTGAGCATGCTTATACTAAGCACATGTTTATGCTTCGGAAACGAAGAACTTCTTGGAGATACAGATGGGGCCTGGTCTCTTCTAGGATTCAATGGCTATGCCGGAGAAGTCTTGATCAATCCTGTCACAGGGTCATCATATTTTTATTGGCTCTTTGAAGCAGTGAATGGAAATATTCTCACAGACAAGCGTCCAATTATTATATGGCTTCAAGGTGGGCCTGGCTGCTCTGGGGAGACTGGAATATTGTTTGAGAACATCGGTCCATTTTATATTAGTAACAGTACCCAGCCAACTATCAACCCTTACGCATGGAACTCTGAATACCACGTCATGTCAATCGATTTCCCTCTTGGGGCTGGATTTTCTTATCACAAGGCTCATTATGACATGAAAAATACCACAGCCCAGGCCACTGCACAGCTTTACAATCTTCTTGTCAAGCTGAGCCAAAAATACCCTACTTGGTTCAATAGAGATCTGTATTTCTTTGGAGAAAGTTATGCAGGACATTGGATTCCTGGAATTGCTTATACAATTTTGATGAACAACAAGGCGCCAGGTGTGCAAACAGTTTTCAACCTAAAAGGGGTTGGGATGGGAGACCCATGGACTGAGGCTTACACACAGCTTCAATCATACGGTTCTTATTCGTACCAAAGAGGACTTATTGATATGGAAGAGCTGCAAATTATAAACACCCTCCAACAGCAAGTTTTGGATGAAATGGCGAACCAAGAATGGGATCAAGCAAACAATGACTTGAACTCAGTCACTGACTTAATTGTGACCTATGCAGGCGGAATTAATGTTTATGACATAAGAAGCTACGAGACCAATTACAATCTAGGCCAAATCCCAACATGGCTTGGTCTAAACTCCACTAAGAATTTGCTACACGTACCTTTAACTTTAGACTGGGACCAATGCAGCGGTGCAGTCAACGACGGATACAATTTTGACACTTTAGACAGCATGAGCAAGTATTTACCTCTGATGCTGGACAGCATTAAAGTTATGGTCTACAATGGCGCTGATGACTTAATCTGCGAATCTGTAGGATTAGGCTAGGCTATTAAAGTCAGGCGTTAGCCATATTGCTGCCTCAGTTACCAAAGACCACCCATACGGGAGGTTTATCCACTTTCCGGCTCCAGACCAGAGAGCCTATCCCCTAATAATGGGCGCCACTTCCGATACTTTCTGTCTCCTCCTTGCGGCTTCAGTCTTGAGTGCATATGGATTTCTACGCCCTGCTGCGAGCAAGAGTAGCTTGACTTCAAGAATCATTACATTACATTAGAATTTATATCGCTTAACGTCCACTACGGGGTTACAACTCCAGGTTTATCACTCGCCTTTCGTCGCATCGGGCCCACCAGTCTGCTGGAGACAAACTCGCTTCGATCACCAGGGTGCTTCTGGGGCAAATGTCCACGTCTTCGACGGCTCATGGATGAGCTACTTGCTTGTACATGGGTTGCTTTTCCCGAAAAACCCAAAAAATGGATTTTTCTGGTCGGCTATCGGCAAAAAGGAAAAAAATGCAAAGCCTGGGACGTAACGCCCAGTTTCACGCTAGGGAGTTGCCCGAATGGTCCAGAGGACTTTGCTGGGGCTTCCCCTTTCCAACCTTGCACCCTCCTTCCCCACGAGGAAAAATCCACCTCTGAGAATAGACTAGGGCTAGGCTCTGAAAGCTACCAGAATTGCTTACCTAGCATTGCTGTCCATCTCTGAAATGGGTAAAACCTTGCCGGATATAATTAAAATATGAGTCGAGGCTGCATGGCCGGGAGGCCATGCCCAGACGAAGACGCCATATTTTAATTATTTGACTTCAAGAATCAGCTGGGATTCTGTCAGGGGGCCGAAGTGCCTTCTATCGAAAGCTACAGAAAAAACTACTCCCCTATGGCATACGCCGAAACCTCCAGTTTTTCGGTAGAGGAGTGCCTATGGGTCCTCGGATTCAAAAGGGCATTGCTGAGCACCTCCATTTCCAACAACAGAAAAACAGCTAAAGCACCCAGATACACATCTCTCGAGCCTGCACTTGATTCTCGGCCCGGAGTCATTCCCAGTTCGCCGTAGTAATAAGGTCTGGACTGTTGCGCCGAGAGGGCAGGCTGGCAAGTGTCACCATTTTAATGTATATCCGAATCCGTAGGAACTCTGCAAATGCTTGATGCTGTAAATTGGCCAGGAATTGGTCAATTTATTAACTCGCCTAGAAAGATTTGGAGAGTCAATGGACAAATTGCAGGGTATGCCAATTCCTTTGGAAACCTGAGCTTTGTTATAGTGTTGCGAGCAGGACATATGGTCCCCCACGATCAACCTCAAAACGGGCGTGATTTGGTTTACAGATTCATCAACAATGAAGGCTGGCAATAACTAAACTCTTTTTATTACCTGAAATAGAATTAATTAGTCTCTTTCAGTTTTGCGACAATGTTCCTCCTCTTTTCTAGTTCTTCTTCACTCACTACAGGTGGGAGGTGCGAGTCTTTCTTCTGGCTGTAGTCTGATCCTCCATTGTCGAGGTATTGCTTGAACTCGCTTTCTCTTTCTTGCTTCTTTCTAGCGAGAAGTAAGTCTCTCTGCTTCTTGAGCCTTGCTTGCCTTTGTGCAAGACTTTCTACGCCTGCTTCTTGGCTTTCTCCTGGTAATAATTCGTTCTTCTTTACTCCCCCTTTAAATTGGACAAAACATCGGTAAATTTGAATATTTTGACCTCCTTTGAAATCAGACCAAATTTGTTTTTTCAATAGGAAAATATTAACGATAAAAATACTAATTCTATAAAATTAGCTTTGACTTAGTTTAATTTTAAAAAAATAAAATACTAATAGAATGCCATCTAAACAATTTTTGCACATAATCAATTAATTTATTTACATAATTTATTAAAAAATAAAGTATTGAGTCAATTTATATTTTTTACAAATTGTAAAAAGAAAAAGCTAAAGTTGAAAAATACTATTTTTATAAATTAACTTAACATATATTTAATGAAAAAAATTGGAAGTAGAATGCTATTTAAACATTTTCCAAATTATATCGATTAATATTTATAATCATTTTTTAATAAAAATAAATTAATTCTGCTCAATTTTTTAAAATAAGATTAAATCCCCTTTAAATTGGAATAGGAGTTTTTGTTTCAATTTAAAGGGAGGAAGTTAGAATTTCATTGGCAGTGTCTTCAAGGTGCTTCGACTCTTCTTTTTGGGCTGATACATCATATCCTGCCCTGAGATCTTGCAAATTGACTTCACCTTTTTTGCGCAGCGGACCTAAAGCAACTTCCTTTCGCTTCATTTCTTCTTCGTGCTGCTTGACTTCTTCCATGACCTTTTTCCTTGCGATTTCTTCTTTTCTCCTCCTGTCTTCATTCTTTTCCTCTTCCCTCCTTTTGGCTTCTTCTTCCTCTTTTCTCCTTATCTCAACCTCCCTTCTCTGTTTTTCTTCATATTCCTTCCTTTTACTTTCTTCCATCTGCTTCACTTTATTTTCCTCAACTCTCTTCAAATTCTCAATGATTTTTCTCTCTTCCTCTTCTTTTTGGTGTTTTTCACTCATTTGAGCTTTGTAGATTTCTTCACTTTCTCTGATGGCTCTTTCTAATTCTTCTTGTTCTTCTCTTTCTCTTTGTTTGCGTTCCTCTTCAAGAGCAATTGACAAGGCAACGGCTGCTTCGATTTCAGCTTCATCTGATTCAGCTTTCACTTCATTGAACTCTTGCTCAGTGGCAAAGCCTTCTTTTTGGAGCATTTCCATAGCTTCCACTTCTAGCTCTTTGTTTCGCTTGATCATGAGTTTTTTAAAGCTTAAGAAATTGTCGCAAGCCAAGATCTGCTCGAAGATTCTATGATGCATCCTATTTTTCAGTCCTTTTTCGCACACTTTTAATAGAAGATTGGCAGTCACTCCAATTTCTTCAAGGAGGTTTTCAAGTAAGTTATCAATCATGTCTTTAAATTGCTATGATAGAAATTACATTATGGACTTCAGTGTAAATGAACTTGTTTTCATCTTCGTTATCGAATATAATGCAATGTTCATCAATAAATGACATGATGGGAATTCTCCATCCAGGCGACTTGAGGAATTGGACAATATAATCATATAGCCATTCAATTGAAGCGTCACCTTCTTCCATTTTATAACTTAATTATCTTATTATTTTATGATTCATTGAAATTTTTAGGCAGAAATTCAATAGCCAATAAATTTAGTAATTATTTTAATTGCGAGTAAGATTCAATAAATCAGTTGCTTTTAATTTTTCTGTGCTGATTTCCCCTTTCATGATAAACTGGGTGTCATTTTCAGCGTTTCTATTTATCAATTGCGCTTCAGATTTGTCTTCAAGTGAATTTAAACGTCGCTCTTCATATGACACTTTTTCAATTATCACTGTTCTTGCTATAATTAAAAATGAAGCATTGACTATTGTGATAAACACCAGAATAGCCAATGATAATTTTGGTCCGTCTTCTGTACATATATCAATATTAGCATTATCTGAATTATGGCAATCTCCATTATATGTAACTTCTGTCACGCTAAGCCATGTGACAATCGCAATCAAATGCCCTATTCAAGCCATCGCACAGAAAAATAAAGAGCTCACCAAATAATCTTTTTTTATCAGGAAAAGAAATAGAATAATACTCCAAATTGTTGTACAGCCAATTGACAAGCATTCAAAAATGATATAGCTACTTCCTCCAATATAAAGATTTTTTCAGAATTTGCATGTTTTATGTGTGCACAAATAATAAAGATCAATAAAGCGAGCATGGTTGGATTCTTTTAAGGTTTCAGTGGTTTCCAGTAATTTGCCTTTGAAATCTCTACTAATATCACTGCTAGAAGAACTAAAAGAGGACCAATTAGGTACAAATAAAGTTGCAATCATGCACCCAAGAGCAATAGCATTGAGGCATAAAAAGATTCAGAAAATCAGCCTATGATCTATCTTGCATACCTTAATTTTATAGTCCATATTTTTATTTTGAAATTGTTAAATCATTCTTTATGAATGAATCCTTTATGTCTCAATTTTTCATTAGGGAGGAGCTGCTTCTGTGGGCAAGTTACCGATTAATTTTTTTTATTTATGTAAAATTTGCTCGGGCAATTTACTTTCCTAGCACTTTCATTATTATAAAGTTCTGCTTTTTAGAAAATCTTTATCCATGGCATTAGTTAGCAAAGGGCATTGTCTGGTATTTAAACATCTTCAAAGCTAAGGGTTTATCTATTCATAACACCCAAGGAAGGCAACTCACAAGTGGAGCACAAGCAGGAGCTGGGCAATGCACGATGGAAACGCTCATAGTGAGACGGTGAAGTCAGCTTAGTGGCTCATTGCTTTGAATGCCTGCCATATGTGCCATTTTAAGTGGCAAGATGAACTAGTTCTCAGCTAAGTCCCTTTACTTTAAGTGCACAAGATACTATATAATTCGCGATTAGCTATAGCTCGGCTTCAGGAGGTTGGGAAGAAGAAGATTAATTAATTTAACTTCACTTAAATATCATAATATTAGTAATAATATAATATAATAGCAATAAGCAATTTTATAGAATGATATGCGTCATAATCTCTTTTAAAGATTGGATAAAAACGATGTGGCTTATCCAGTGATTTTTAATAAATATATTATTAGAATTCAAGAAGATAGATCATTTTTGATTAAACTTATAGAAAGAAGGCAGACCTATTGATCAATAACTTCATGACCAAGTTTGACCTTGGAGATAGCTTTGGACATAAGAATATAAAAAAGCGATGAAGTCTAAAAATTATGCATCTCTGAAATTGATTATTATTTATCCAATTTAAACCTTCATATCTAATATAACAAAGGAAAAATGCATTTGAGCTCGAGGATATAAAAAATAGAGTGTTAGACAAGTGCTAGAGTTTAGAGATTTCTTTAAAAATTGTTAATTTTAATACAGCTAAGACTATAAATCTAAAAATAAAGCCAATTATTTTTCAAACCACTTTTAGGAGATCATCCTTCTGATATGTTAAGATTCAAATAAACAGAAATTTAAATTGAATCAATTAATCATTAGACATAGGATGGGTTACACTTGTCAACCACATGAGGACACGACTGCTTAGATATAGAAAAAGAATTTATGACATGAATAGCCGCCTGACAGTCCTTATGAGGAAACTGAACTCCCGCGAGCTATTGCCATGAGAGATGAGATGCAGGTAGACACTTACACTAGTAGACATGAGTGAATACCAGCGAGAAGACAAGCTGCAGGGGATAGACAAAGTAGAGTGGAAGCAAAAGATCAAGGAGGCTGTAAGACTGCTGAACTGAAGGCAATCGATGTATAGGCTGGAAACTGAAAATGAAAAATCTACACGAATGTACAGGTCTCTCATGGTAGGGATGGATTCTACAGATGCATCAGCATTTGTCAAGATTAATTCATGCAATGGAGCTGCATTAGGAATGATACATAGAATGAGAGCAGGCTTCAACTTCTGTAACCTAATGCAAAATTAACGCACTTGACACATGATGAGATGTTCAATGAGTGTAAGGTACTGAAACTGAAGAGCATGTACTTACAGAATGCACAAGGTACGGCTGGTATAGACTTGAACTGCAGGAGCAACTTGATAATGCAGGTATAGCCTGCAGTGAAACGGTTTCACTTGAAGGTCCTTCAGGATGTGGCGTGAAGAGTTCAAGCTGAAACTGTAGGCAAATTACAGGTGCAACATGGTAGACAGCTAAGAATAACAGATTGATTAATTAAAAGCCCTTAAGGGCTGCAACGATGCATACAGCATCGTTATAAGTAATGAATGAATGAATCAATTAATCAAAATATCTGGAAAAAAATATTGAAAACGAGGTTCAAGATATTATTGAAATGCTTTAATCATTTGAAATTTATTTTTTGACAAATGAACTTAATATCTCCTTATTATTTGCCTGTACCTAGTGTCTCTCTCAACAATTTTAGTTTTCAACCCTTGCCTGAAAGCATCCATGTAATGATCGCGGCCTGGGATTTCCTTCTGACTCTGAATTGGCTTAAGATCAACAACCTCTCTTTTATGGTAAGTAAATCCTCCCCTTTTCATCAAATCTTTTGGTTCAAATGGGTATGATCTATACTTTTCGAGATCTGGATCATTTGGTATAGGATAGAGTTTAGGAGGTAGCATCAACTTGCTTAAGGGTTTGATAAATGAGTTAACTCTCACCATATAATTATAATCTAATTCCCTTCTATTAGCATAAAGAGTAATTTAGAAAGTTTTTTATTCAGAAAAGCACAATTAAATTATTTACTAATTTCAAGTTCCAACTAAGCCTTTAGCATGCATGCCAATCCCTAATTGAAGGATAAAATCTGAATTAGCAACTTAATAAGCAATAAAAAATACTAACTCCTCCCCCATCCTCGATCGAACGGCTCGCCATCGTTCGATCAAGGATGGGGGTTTAAAAAAACATTTTGAGAAAAAAATTTTATATATAGTATAAAAAAATATATGTTTTTTTGTTTTTTTATATACTTTTAAATAAGAGGTTAAGAATATTTAATAATTATTTTACAGCAAAAAATTAAATTAATTTCGTAAGATTACCAATTTTTAATATTTAGATTTATTGGTTACCCCTTTAAACTGTATAAATTTTTAAATTTCTTATTGAATTAAAATTTTAAATTTTAAAGATATTTTTATATATATATATACAAATTTTGCATAATATGAAAATCGTTCGATCAAGGATGGGGGTTAATTTTCCCAAATTTTAGGAATTTTTACAGTCAATCGCTCGATCAAAGATGGGAGGAGTAAAAGAATTTACTGCTCCAACAACACACTGACCCTGAAGCATATTTTCAGAATCTGATACCTGCATACAAGTATGACTCATTAATTTGATTATATTGATAAAAAATAGCCGTGCCCAATGCTCTATGGAATTGAAATTTGATGAAAATATATATTAGCGAAAATAGTTGATATAATTATAATATAAAGCAATTAACACTCGTATTTCTTTTATTGTAGTGAGAACCTAAAGTTATGCAAAAATGAAAGCCTTGAAAATTTCATGCAATAAAATTAAAATGATGATCAGTATTGTAAATCCATTTTTAGCACCTAAATTAAATTTAATTGACCAAGCACCAAATTTGCATCTGAGCATTATAATTTGCAATAATGAATCTGGCAAGTTAAATTTAATTTTCATTCTTTAATTTTAACTAATAGCGCATCATATAAATTAAAATCGCATGCCGTGTAATCACAGCACGATATTACACAACTCTTGACACCGATTTTCTGCAGAAAATTACTATTCATTTAGCAACTTTTTGAGATTTAATTGAGAGTATTCATAGATTGCTTTTTTCTTTATCCAAATAATAGGATTGCTAACTAAAAGCTGAAATTGCAATTTTAGCCAGACACTCTCAAATTTTTCATATCCCGATCATTTAAATAACTGAATTTAAATTTTATGTAGCAGATCTATCATAAGCAAAACGAATTTATTAATCAATAATATTAGCTTATTAATTAAATTTAATGTCAATTTTTCCCAAACCTTCTAAATTAATCCATTTTCCCCGAGACAATAATTAAGTTCTTTGAAAAGAGCTTGAACTCAAACTTAAAAATCTCTTGGTAAGCATTATATTAAAATTATATTTAAATTAATTTTAATATTTAATGTTCTCTTAATCAAAGTAGCCGTTTGTCTTAAATTATTCTGCGCTATTTAAAAATATAAGGCTTATATTCGTTCTAATTAAATTAGCCAATACCTCTATTATTTAAGTTCTTTGAATATTTCTATTTACATTTGCATGCTTTATTAATTATTTGTCATTTAAACTAACTTGGGAACTTTAGAACTTAAATGGCAAAGTCTAATACTTGCATGCGATGAGGCTATATTTTTAATTTTCTCTACGCGGCTCCTCAAGCGTTCCTTATGAGAAAAGCCATATTTTTGGGGATAAAACGGCTAACTCCTCCTCAGTCAACGAGCTAAAGCATATAAATAATCCCTATTTTTGCCCAAAAATCTACTTTCGGTGAACGAACAAAAAATTTTTTTTAATATAAAAGTTTAAGAAAAAATTTATATATAATATGTAATTAATATAAAATCCCTCTAGCTAATTCTATTTAATTTTGAAAGCTTGCATTTTGAAACATAAATTTTGCGAATTAATTGGAATTTTTTTTAAATTCCAAAAAAATTCACTATAAACTTTATATATAAATTTTACAAAAAAAAACCTCCCTCTGTGAGCGAACAAAATTTTCAAAATTTTTGTTCGCTCACGAAGGGGGGAGTAAGTAAAAGTAAGCTTATATAAATATAAATGAAAACACTCCTATTTCTAGCAATCTGCTTTGCTCTTATTTCTGCAAGCAAAAATTCAATTAAAGATTCTTTTATTCAAAAAAGCATAGAGCAGTCTTATTTGCAAGCATCAAATGATAATTCAAACCCCCTGGATATGATTCAACTGTCAACTGAAGTGAGTACTGAAACTGAATTGTCAACTTATCAATCAAGTGTTGAAAGCATGATTGATACAATTCGTACATTTATTCTTTCTTTAGTCAAAGGAACTGGAAATAGCGAGGTTGAAGCAGTAATTGACGCAATTAGAACACTTATTCTTAGCCTTGTCAAAACCTAATAATTTTAAATAATCGAATTAGCTCTAAATTATTTTTACTTGCTTCCATTATTCAATTTCGGTTTGGTATTTCCAGAAAATTCTTATCCAGTTATATCAGGTAAGTAATGGGAAGAGGTGCACTGCCTCCTTGCCTGTTCCTATAGGAAAGCTTATCCGATCAGCACACCTGAGTAGAGTTAGCTTTAAAAGGAATGCAAGCACGAGCAGAGTAAAAAGCGATGACAAGGTGTGCAGTTGGGCTTTTAGAGTTTTACTTAGTAAGTCTGTCCTTATGGTGCGCTATTTTAAGTGACAGAATTGCCTGTGGATACTTTTTAAGATTGGAATTACATATAATAAAAACCTAATTAAACTTTTAATTTGTAATTTTTTCAATTTCGATAAGATAAAACACAATAATCAACTAATAAGATACTTAATAAGCGAATTTAAAATGGCTATTTGCTAAAATTAATCTATTTTTCCATATTAAAAATATTTTTAGGCAAACTAAGAGTTTATAATTTTTAATATATAAGCCTAAAATGTGGCTATAAATGTTTCTGATTTTTATAAGCAAATATACTTACTCCCCCCTAATCCTTAATTGAACGACTCGTCATCGTTTGATCAAGGATGTGGGTTAAAAAAAAAATTTTCGGGAAAAAAAAAATTTATATATAAAATAAAATATATATATATTTATATATATTTTTTTTATTTACTTTTAAATAAGAGGGTTTAAGAGTATTTAATGATTATTTTTACAGCAAAACGTTGAATTAATTTCATAAAATATAATTTTTAATATTTTGATTTATTAGTTACCCTTTTAAACTGTATAAATTTTAATTTGTTCCTTACTGAATTAAATTTATTTTTTTAAAATTTTAAAGAATCTCTATTTTTTTAGATTATTGAGTTTTCAAGCCTAGGCTGATGGCTAAATCACTTCGGATGGTTGATTCCGCAGCTTTCCGTCGTCTCAAAGCTCTGAAAACAACTCATTAGGCATATCTTCCCAAACTTTTGATAACTAATATATTTTTATACATAAAAATTTGCATGATATGAAAATCGTTCGATCAAGGATGGGGTTAATTTCCCCAATTTTTAGAAATTTTTACAGTCAATCGTTCAATCAAGGATAGGAGGGGGAGTTAGGCTTATTATATGATTAATTCCTTATATAGATCAGCTTTAAATAGAATTATTGTTTTTCTTTGTTTAGTAAAGGAACTAAAATATCTGCTTCTACTTTTCTTTTATTAATATTTTTATCAAGTCCTATAAGTAAAATAATGCAGCAAATCCCAATTATTGCAAATAAAATGAAAATCAAGTGAGAATTCATTGGGTAGCTAAGCCCATTATTCAATGACCATCCGAATATTGCTCCTGCTAAAGCTGGCCCTAAAAATCTGAGTAGACTGATGGCGCTTTGAGCAACTCCATTGCCTGTTCCTAAAAGGCTAGGTTCAAGGGAATTATTAATTCCTATAGTAACTGCTGTAAATACACATGACTGAAAAACTGCAATTGATACGAAGATTGAAATAACGATAATTCATAGTGCAATTCCTTCAATTACATAGATATTTGGTAAAATAATAAAAAATGGGATTAAGATGACTCAAGCAATCTTCAACGTTGACAAAATCCCAAAATAATTGCAAGCCCAAGGCACTACAAAAATTTGTGAAATCATTATAGAGCCGCCTCCAAAGGATTGCACTATCCCAACGTTTGATTCATCATTCCACCCAAGACCTCCGTTGCTTTTTAATGCTCGACACCAAAATGTAAAAACTTCTGAAAAGCTTGTAAATAATAGCCCAGTCATTGCGTAAATTACAGCACAAATCAAAAAATGTTTATTTTTACACAGAAGCAAAATACTTTTTTTGGTTTTAGTCTTTTTATTTGTTTCATCAAGTATATTTAGATAAATCAAATAAAAAATGAAAATATTATTAATAATTCCTCAAGCAAGCTTATTTCCATTTAAGGAGAAGTGCATACATAATACCCAACAATTAGCACAATTAAAGAGATAAATGAGCTGGCGAGCATTGGCAAGAAATAAGGATGATCTGAAAAAAACCCATCAGAAGAAAAAACACTTGGGATTTTTTCAGAAATTCTTGACAAGCTACCACCTATAGAAGGTCCAATCGTAATTCCAACTCCTCAGGAAATTCCCATGTAGCTAAATAATTTGGCTGAATTTGTTACATCGGTAATTTCTGTAGCATAAGCTCGAATAATCCCAGTATTTCCATTGGCGAGGCCATTAAGACATCTAAAAATCACTGCTCATAGGTATGTAGGAGCAATTCCAAATAATGGTGCAGTAATTACATTTCCTAATAATCCTAACAAAATTACAGGTCTTCTGCCAATTCTATCAGAAATTCAGCCCCTAAATAAAATTTACCAGGTCGGAGCACTGATAAATTGAGCCAAATTAAAACATGATACTACTAATCCTGAATAGAATGAGACAATACCGTCTGTGTCCTTATCATCTCTATCTAGTCAATAAAAGAAATCAGCTACCATATATGCGACAAAAGGAAATAGCACTGCATTGCACATTGCTTCTATGAACATAGCTAGAAGCACCACAAATGATTTTACTGCTTAAATCATACACTTTGGCAGTGGAGTTGGCGATTTTTTGGTTTCTTCCATTTAACTAAAGCAGCATTTTATAAATTTAGCTTAAAAGTTTATGATTAAAAGCTACTGTTTTAGTATTAAGAAAAATTAATCAAAATATATTCTGAGCGTTCTTAAATTTATGGTTCTTTGATTTAAATAATTATTGAGCTCTTAAATTATGAGATAAAGTATATATAGGGTCAGGTTTACTCGTGCCTCAGGTGCAACAAATGGGATATAGTATTCTTAAAAGATAGCATAAGTTCATATGCTATTTCTTTATATTAATAAATATTTATATTCATAAAAAGATAAATTTAAGACTTCCTTATTAAAATTATTAATTTGTAAAAGTTTTCCATTATATATCCTAGGACGGCATATAACTCTCCTTGGCTAAGACTTTCGTTTCAACTCGAGGAGTTGGCTCGATTCCACAATTTGGTAAGTTAGCATACATTTTCCACTTGCCAACTTGTGGAAGGCAAAGCTCCACGAATTGGAGCGAAAGTAACTAGCCCAAGGAGATTTGAATGCCATCCTGTGCTATAGCATTTTAATTTTATTTTTTGGAATACTTGATATATATCTTTTAATATTTATTTTTATCCGCAATTTCTTAATCCATAAAGAACGACATAAAATGCTAAATAAGATCTTATGGAGATCAAGAGCCACATGGAAAAATATCGAATTAGGGCCAAGTGAGCCAACTTCTTACATACTGGAAGCGTTCAGTAAGGATGCTAACCACTTGAAAGTGAATTTAGCAATTAGATTAGATTTTTAAATGGCGTTTAGAGTCACCGCTTCTCTTTGGTGGCATTATGTATGGCACTAGCAGCCTGACTACACATCTGAATAGGTGGCTTCCACCTCTGCTAACTCCAAGTCTAGGTCGAAATCTCTGGCTTCTAGAAAGTGGAATTGCCCTATTGGGTGGAAACCTTTACCAGGAACCACCATTTCCAACTTGGTCCCTTGGATCGTCTAGCTACTTTCGCCCTGCTAATCACCCTTTACTGGGATCACCCTTCTTTAATGCCCTTTAGCTAGAGAGATGCTTTGTTGTCGCCTAGCCCTCCTTCCCCTTTTTTAAGGTCATACCTGGAAAAATACTTAACCTCTTCCACGATTCGGGGCAGACCTTCTAGCAGTTTAGGTAGGTAATTGTCCTGTTCCATTTCAGGCGCCAGCTTGCTCGGGTACTATTTGAAAAAGAAATCACTAGTAGCTTTCCATTGGATCAGGCCACAAGCCTGCGGATTCGTGCTTAAGTCGCTCGTTGCAGGGCACCAGATATTGCTGGACTAACTCCTAACTCCAAAAACTATGCCTAGATATGCATGGATTACCTTCACACGAGACTGTTTAATTGATATTATTTACTCATAAAAATAAAATGGCATTCGGTCCGAGAGAAATTAGCTTTTTCAGTTTTTCTCTCCCTTATGGAATTTTATTTATGGGATTGGGTTTTTCCTCTAGAATTTCTACACAGCAACAGCAATTTAACTTTGGGGATAGCCAGAGGAACTGCATCTCCACTGGAAGATGACTCTTACTCCCCCCTCAAGATAGAGACATTTTCTCAGTAAAAATGTCTCTATCTTGGGGAGTTAGGCGGAACACTCGCGGGAGCTGAGTCGGGGCAGAGCGACGGCAACACACTGGGTGAGATTTGCGGCGGACCGGAGGCGAAGCTTTGATAGAAGGCTTGGCCGGTTGGCTAATCACTGTAATTCCAAGATGGTTCAGTGACGTCACTAGTTGGCTTAGCCCCTATTTATAGGGAGCGGGCACTATGCACCTTAAACACAAAGTAATTAAGTAAGTAAGTAAGATATTATTTACTCACCCCCCGTGATCGAGCAAAGCCCCCATGAAAAATCCCTATTTTTCGCCCAAAAATCCACCCTTCGTGAGCGAACCAAATTTTTTAATATCAAAATTTTATGAAAAAAGATTTGATATTTAAGTGATATTAGTATTATGAAATCTCTAACTAATTCTGTTTAATTTTAAACAGCTTGCATTTTAAATATAAATAATACAAATTAAATTAATTTTTGCTGCTCACAGATTTTTAATTTTGAAAAAAACAATTTACTATAAAATAAGTTAAAAAATTTTGACCTTGTTCACGGAGGGGGAGTTAGCAATTGACTCTTATAGAGATGAAAACTTGAGGCCATGAATACTTCCTTCAGTTCGGAAAGCAGAAGAGCTAATAATAAATTCAGACCACGATTACACCCCGATAGAAGGATTTCCTGAATTTATTAAAGCAGCGACACTGCTGGCTTATGGCCCTTGCTCAGAAATCAGCGAAGGAAGGGTTGCAAGCATTCAAGCCTTATCAGGGACAGGAGCTTTACGAATGGGAATGGCGTTTTTGCATCAATACTTCCCTCACAGCAAGACTGTGTATTTTCCAAAACCGACAATAGAAAACCATAAAATAATAGCGAGGGATTCCGGGCTCGAAGTAAAAGACTATGCATATTATGACCAGAATAATAAAATTATTGATATTTCAAATCTGCTATTTGAAATTGATGCTGCTCCAAGCAATTCCATTATTATTTTCCATGCATCGGCTCACAATCCAACTGGCACTGATCCCACAAAGTCCCAATGGGAACAAATTCATGAAGTCGTGGCTAGAAAAGGACATTTGCCCTTTTTTTATATAGCCAACCAAGGGTTTGCTAGTGGAAACCCTGATGACGACGTTTACCCTGTTAGATATTTTCTCCAACAAAATACTCAAATTTTATTAGCCCAAAGCTTTGCTAGAAACTTTGGATTATATGGAGATAGGGTAGGCTTATTGTCAGTTATTTGTGAAAACAAAATAGAATGTGAAAATGTTATGTCCCAGCTTAAAGTTCTAGAAAGACCCTTCTTTGGGATGCCTCCTAAACACGGAGGCGAAATTGTGGGCACAATTTTAAATAATGCAGAGCTATACAAGCAATGAAGGAAGGACTTGCTACAAATGTATACGAGAATTACAGAAAATAGAAGCAAATTAGTAAATAAATTGATTGATAGAGGATCTGTTCATGATTGAAACCACATCAGAGATCAAGTTGGGATGTATGCGTATACTGGAATGAGCCCACATCAGTGTCACGCATTGATGAATTTCAAGCATATTTACTTATTTTATAATGGGAAAATGTCCCTTTCTGGTCTTAATGACCAAAATTTGGATTACGTGGCCGAGTCAATTGATGAAATGACAAGGTACGCTCCGAAATATAAGTATTCATAATACCTTTATTTCTTTTTAAGAGATATTAATAAATATACAGAATCATTAGAATTTTGTTGCAAATTAGTTAAGATATTTTTAAAGTGTTGTATAATCAATGCCTTCCATTAAACTTGATTTCGAATTTAGGAGTATTGATAGCAAAATTTTTAGCTTCATCAGCATTTTTTCTTCATATAAGAAAGGGACATAATAAAACAAATATAAAATAATAAGCAAAGATAAATAACCGATAGTCAAATATATGATCAAGCTTAGTAACTTGCTAATCACATCTTTAAAATCATGATCTACCAAATTTATAAATAAGCTCTTCTTCTATGCTACATATATTTTCATTAAAGCTTGATGAATTTATAATGATACTATTAGAAAGAAATAAAATTCTAAATATTATTAGCAAATCTGTTATTTTGGATACTTTCCATAAATTAAGGCACTCTATTACATCATGGATATATATAAATTTAAATCTATTATAATAAATTAGTCTAATGACCGGCTAAAATTCTGTTTCTTCCTTACTCCCCCCTCCGTGAGTGAACAAAAAAAATTTTGTTCACTCACGGAGGGGGGTTAATTTTTTTTATTTAAAAAAAATTTATACATAAATTTTATAAAAAAATATTTTTTTTCGAAATTTAAAAAAATCCTAATACGCAAAAATTGGAAAGCAAATATTAATTTAATTTATAAAATTTAAGTTTTAAAAAGCAATTTGTTAAAAATTAAACAGAATTAGCACTATATTTCATTATGCTAATTATCACTTATATATCAAATTTTTTTTCTATAAAAAATTTTTCTTTTAAAAAAATTTTTGTTCACTCACGGAGGGTGGGTTTTTGGGCAAAAAATGGCGATTTTTCTAATGGTTTTGTTCACTCACGGAGGGGGGGGAGTTAGAATTTATTTTTGAGCTTGGAATAATCATTGGTAAAATCTTTAGTTTCTTAAGCAATTTTTTTTCTTTATACAGAAAGGGGACATAATAAAATAGGTATAAAATTATGAGCAATGAAGAATATCCTTCAGTAACGTAAATAATTATGTTTAATTGATAATTGATAATACTTTTTGAATCTTCATCTGCTAAATTGAATTCATAAATTAATTCATTTTCAATTTCTCATATATTTTGTTTGATTATAGATACTTCTGAGCTATTGAAAAAATATAATGATTGATAACTAGTTGTAAAAGATGATGAAGAAAGTCCATATTTTAATAAATCAACATCAGTATCAATTTTCTCAAATAGCCTTTCTTTTAACTGGTCTGAAATTAAGTCCAGGTATTTATCATTTCTTAGATCGTTTAAGCTTTCTTTGTACATTTTAATTTCATCTTCCATTAGCCTACTCTGATTTTTTATATTAATATTATGGAAATAATGCAGCATGAGGGATTCAAGTTCACTATAGCTTGCAATATTTATACGTAAGATACTGGATTCCCTTACCCCTCCTTTAAATTGGAACAAAATATCAGTGAAATTCCATTTTTGAGTTCTTAACCTAATCAAACTGAAAAATAAGAAAATTTTTATTGGCTAAAATATTAATTTTTATATTATTATTTTTGATCTAATTTAATGGAAAAAGCTCAAGTAAAATATTATTAACAGCTTTTCGATTAATTCTCCTGTCTCTGTGGGTGGGTTTTGCCTCTTCTAAAAGGCGTTTTCACCCTTCTAGAAGGACTTTTTTCTCCTGGCCACCGGCATCCTTCAGAGGCCAAGACAAAGCGACTAGCGCAGAATCAGCTTATGCCGAGAAGGAGCAAGTAGTGACAAGTCCCAAACCTATTCACTCTAATGGCACAGGCCGTCTGCTTACCACCGGCAACAACCGAAGAGGAGGACTCTGGAAACTGGAGAATGGAAATCGTAAGGCAAGTTCGGCAGTAGTTGAGCCGTCTCGAGACGCCTCGAGTGAACCCGATTAATTAAGAGGCATACTGGTTAGAATTTTGATTAGAAATTTAGTAGTTAATGATAAGAAATCGATTAACTTTTTGAATGAATTCTTCATAAAAATTCGTTATTGCTATATTTTTTTAATTATCAAAAATTTTATAAAATATATTTTACATGATTTTTTTGTTCGAATTTAAAATGGAGAGTTATTATAAAATTGTGAAGTAGTTTAGGCCTATTTTTTGCGTAATTGCTGCAGTCTTTATATAAATGAAACTCTATTAAAAAATAGTATGATGTAGAAATTATAAAAAAAACCAGAAGCTTTCTTGTATATCTTCAATATACATGTGGTAGAATTTCAGACTTTGAGTCGGCTTTTTTGGTAGATGAATGGTCTTTTTCATAATCAAGACCGTGAACTGTTGACAGTCTTTCTAACAATGCTCGTTTTAATTCTAGATATGAAGCCTGCGAACTAAGCTTTATAAAATTCCAATAACTATTCATTCCTTTATTAATATATGCAATATAGCTGATTAAAAATCCTTGAAAAACTACTAACTCCCCCTTTCCGTGATAACAAAAATTTTGTTCACACGTTTTTTTTTTAAAAACATTTTATATAGTAAAATGTTTTTTCTTTTAAAAAATTTTAAAAAATTATTTCTTAATAAGCAAGCTGTTTAAAATTCAACAAAATTAGCTAGATAATTTATTATACTAATTACCATTTAAAAGGATTTATTTTGCTTATTTAGGGTAGTGCTTTAGCCAAAAAATAGGGATTTTCCAATGGTTTTGTTCGCTCACAGAAGAGGAGCAAGATTACTATGGCAGCATTTAAAAGAACAGTAATATTTGTAACTATTGATTCAATTCTATCACTTTCGCACTGAACTCAACTTTCTGTAGATATTTTTATGTAGTCATATAAGTAGCCCAGACCATTGAATAATATAAAACTGAGACTATCCATTTCAATTTCGCTCTTCTTCAGAGATTCAAGAAAATTTATACACTATATTATGATTACATTATTGATATACCTCTGAATAGCATCATAAAGATTTTGGTATGTAATTAAATCTTCATCATTAATATCTCATATAGGGATCTTTGGATCAAGAATAATCTCAGAAGAAGAGCAATAGTGTAAGTTGTCTATATCGTTTAAAATTGAATTTTCTACACCAATGAGCACATTTATTGTGCTATTAAAAGATGATAAATCGCTTTCAAATGACTCGCTATTTTTGGCTAAATCAATATTAAGCTCAATGGCTTTATTTACCAAGCTCCCAAGAGAACACAGCAGAGTTCCTAAATCATTAAAAGAGTTAGCAGTAGTTGTTTGAGCAATATTATTATACATGCAGATAACAATCCCAATATTTATTCCTATAACTGCTGCAATCTGCATAAAAATTACTGAAAGAAATAAAATTCAAGTAAAAATCTTGACTCCCTCATCCTTGATCGAACGGCTCGCCATCGTTCGATCAAGGATAGGGATAAAAAAAAACTATATAAAAAAAATATATATATATATATATATTTTTTATTTTATATACATTTAAATAAGAGAGTTAAGAGCAAAAAATTGAAATTAATTTCATAAGAATACCAATTTCTAATATTTTGATTTTTTGGTTACCCCTTGAAACTGTATAAATTTTAATTTGTTTCTTATTGAATTTAAAATTTTAAAGAATCTCTATTTTTAGATTATTGAGTTTTTAAGCTCAGGTTGATGACTAAAGCACTTCGGGTGGTTGATTCCGTAGCTTTCTGTCTTCTCAAAGTCTCTGACAACAACTTCATTAGGCACACCTTCCCAAGCTTGAGAACGAATATATTTTTATATATATAAAAATTTGCATGATATTAAAATCGTTCGATCAAGGATTGGGGTTAATTTTCCCAATTTTTAGGAATTTTTACAGTGAATCGTTCGATCAAGGATGGGGAAGTGAGTGTTTTTTCTCAGAATTGCTGAGAATATTATATGCAAATCCTACGTTACGATTACTTTTTGAATTATTATTGGAAGTTGTATTTCCATTATAATTCAAAGTCGATTGCGACTTTGAATTTGTTACTGCTTTGCTTTCTTCCATTGTGGTCTCATAAATAATTTGTGTATGGCTTGTTTCATCACCTAGATTTATAGCTGAGCTATTAAGGCTGATGAATTTAACCCTATCTTTGGAATGCATTAATTCACTTACACTAACGTCTCCTTCATATGTTTTGCTCTCTTCTGCTTTCATCTCTTTGAAATAGGCATTTCTAAAGAATTCTATTTGTTCAGTTTCATGACCTTCTTTTCATAGGCTAATTTCTTTTTCATCATAAATTACTGCTAAAATATGGATTTCAGTTGATCTGAATTTACGTACCAGGTGGACAAGCAATATTTGAATGTCTTCAGAAGAGACTATTAATGGTGAGCATACATCCATAGTGGAAATATCAAAATTTGGGATTATATCTGATAAATGTTTATTTCTTAGAAAATAGTTGTTTTGCCCTATATAAAACGGAAATCTTTCAGAATGGTTATAGATTACACCTTTATCAGAAATCAAAGCGATTTCTCTCTTTGAATTTCGCCTTCGAAAAGAAGCTAGTATATAGGCGCGATTTTCAACTGCAGTCAATCTAATCATAAATTTGCACTCCACAAGAAATCCTTGTTGGCTTTGAAGGAAAAGATTAAAGTGAGTGGTGACTTCAGTTGTTGTGCAGCTATTAAGATTAAAATTAAAATTTTGCACGGCCATAAGCGAGCTTCCTAATATCCGGACTATCTTGGCTGGATAGGTTGCCTACACCGGTGCATCAACTCAGAGTGAAAATGGTGTCAGGCCCAACCAAAATTTAATCCTCTGAATTTTCTGGTAAAACTCACCTAACCTAAGGATCAGCTCCCAAGGTTTAGAGCCACCCTCTGTAGGTGTCCCGATAGTCCTAATAGACAAAGATTATTTGAGAGGAAAAACCTGTCTAGCCCACCTAGCAAAATAGAATTTCTTTCTTCAAAAGGCATCCCTAAGCGTTAAGGCCTACTTCAAAAGGGACAGAGGTCTTGTTTTCAGCTTCATCAGTATGGGATCTACCTGCTCCATAGGAGTGCGCCTCAGAGACCAATTTCATAAGCGTCACGATTTTATTTCTGCAGCTATTATAGAATTCTTTCATAAACTGATCATGATTATGGTCAAAAGGCTTTGGAATGAAATATGATAGTGGCACCCCAATCCCAGCCTCAAACGGTATTTTTAAAATATCTCCTGCATTTTGATTCATGTAAGCTATTGTCCCAAAAGACTCAGAATTTGCAGAAATAAGAATGATTCCATTTCTTTCTCCAAACATATTCAATTTTTTATTTTCTTCAACTAAAAGGTCAAGTGAGTTTCTAAATGCAGTTTTTTTCCGATTGATCATCTCACTCTGCTCAACGTCACGCAAAATATTTTCTAAAAATGAAGAGTAAAGATCATACACCTCTGTCTGTTTATGTTTAGATGAAAGCATTGAATAGAGTGTTTTAATATTGGTAATCAAGTCATGTATTCTATAGACAAGCTTTACTAACTTTTGAGTACTGGGGATTCTCATGTTGATTTCAGTTCATAAATCTATTAATAAAATGCAGGCTTCTTCATCCATATGCTTTACTTTGCTAAGGTCCTGCAGGTAGCTTAAATAGTGGACTTCAGATAAGGATGAAGAATTGGATTCAAGTATTCTATTTGAAAGTCTCATAGCATGAATGTCACCTTCAAAGCTTGACTTTGCATCAGCTGCTTTTGCAAGCTTTATTCTTGCGAGTCTTTCATCTTTTAGGATATGCAGACAATAATTGGTTTCTCATATAATAAGCATTTTGTCTCTTTCAAATGATTTTTTATAGCAATTTGTAAAGAGCTTGATAACTGAGATTTTATCTTCTAATTGCTTATTAACTAATAAATGCCTCACAATTTGTTCGAATTTATATTGATCGTTTGGCATTTTATCATGCTGAGATAATGCAAGAAAATTGTTTTTCACCTTTTTGATAATAAGAATGGTAAGCGGTGGGAGGACAAATAGCTCAAATAAAACAATAAGAGAGCCATTATCCATTGTTTCTCCAATTAAAAAGAATAGCAAAGTGCATGAAATAATGAACATTTTGCATGCTTGAATCGAATTTCCTGCAAGATTAAAATATGGCAAAAAGTGAAGGGTTTCTCATAAAATTGCTGTAGAAAAAATCATTAGAATGGTTTCGAAATACTTTATATGATCTCCTCCAAAAAATACATAAAGAATGCATTCTATATAGCAAAACAGAATTATATGAATATCTATTTTTGAATTAGACCTCGCTCTTATGTTTTTCTGATATGAGGAATGCCTAATATCAGAAGTAAAGATTTCTGAAAATAAAATGATAAATAGCAAAAATATCAAAAAAATTAATGCGATTAGTGCTCCTACTGGACCAAAATTAAGTTTACTAGGATCACTAATACTAGAGTATTCTATACAATCTGTATAGTCAAATGCCGAATACTTAAAAATAATTGATAAAATGCTTACACTTGGGATAAACATGACAGTGTTTAAAATCATTAGAATCTTTCTCGGAATCACAATTAGTATCCAAGGAATTTTCTGGTTTAGGCACCCTAATACTGCAATTAGTAGTAACTCACCCCTATCCCTCCGCAAGTGAGCAAAACTATTGGAAAAATCTGAACTTTTTGGTTAAAAACCCATCCACCGTGAGTGAACAAAAATTTTTTATATAAAAATTATGGATATATAAATGATAATTATTATAATGAAATATCTAGCTAATTATGTTAAATTTTAAACAATTTGCATTGAAACATGAATTTTACAAATTAAATTATTTTAACTTTCAAATTTCCTGATTGTTTAAGTTTGGAAAAAAATTAAATAAGCTAACAAATTATCATGCTCGCTAGCAGAGAGAGGGAAGCAGGGGGGTAAGCAAAGCAAGCAATACCCAATGGCACTAACAACTGTATAAAAAGAAACTTCATAAATCCCTAAGTCAGCAAAAAGGGAGTCAGGACTTATATAGCCAATAAGATTTCAAAACTGAGAGTAGCTATCCCAACCACTCATATTCATGTTGGGATACCATGCGAATGTAATCATCTGTATTGTGATGATCACATTTATTGATATTTCAAGAAATAATTGATTTTTTAACTTCAGTCTATGATTATATTTTTCTTGGAAAATTTTTTCAAAATAAACCAATATCCGATACCTCAGCTCAGCATAAGCTGATTTGCTGGCAATATAGCCTAATATAGCCCGAGCACTCTTTTTGCTAAGGCTTCCCTTTCTTTTCCTACAGGAAAGAGGGGAATTAGCAAAACCCACTAATATTAGTTTTTTCCATTTGCTGCTGGTTTTTGCCATTTAGAGAGTTAATTTTTCAACTTTCCTATCGTAAAAGATCAGGAAATCTGAGTGCTTGGGCTATATATCATCTTCATCAAGTAAAGAATCTTTTGTTTTGATAGGCATTTAGGATTTATTTTTATTAACCAGAACTTAACGCCATAGTAAAAAACATTTTACATGACTAATTTTGATTCTTAACAATTCAAAGTAATTATTTTAAATATTTTTAATTTTCTTTCTTGCAAGGAGCAAGGGCATTGCTGCTATTATCTGCCAGCTGTAGCATTAAAATTATTGATTAGAAAATGGCACATTTTTATAAGGATGTCCATATTAAACTATTATGACTTAGATGAAATAGTGCATAATCTATATCTCAAAATTATTGAAATCAAATTTACTTAATTTGCTTTAATTTTCAAGCATCATTTTACTTTTGAAAATTTCAATAAGAATTAAACAAAATTTCTTCTGAGATTTTCATAATTAAGCTTCGTATATTGTAAACGATAAAATATTCAAGATTTACTATTATTTTTACTATAAATTGAATAGTCAATTGCACTTTATTTAAGAAATAATTATGAAATCTTAAATTTTTTAAATAAAATATTTTTTCCACTATTAATTATGCGGTATTGAGTTTTACTTGTGTTTATGGTATCATTTTGATGGTTGGTTTAATTATAGAAGATTTGATAGCTAACATGATATTTTCAAACCTTTTATTAAATTAATTATTTTTCTAATCTTTATTTTATTTCAATTATTTAAATGTGGATTTCCAGCATAACTGCTTATATAATGATTAATTTAAATAAAAATTTGGGATAATCAAATATAAAATTTATGATTTATAAAATGGTTGCATCGATTAATTTTAGCTATTACTACAATTTTTATAAAATGAAAATTTTTGAAAAAAGTTACTTAAATTTCGGCTCTATGTTAAATGGCTGTTTATTTTTGATAATGCCACATTTCCTAGGGCAAATTTATTCGAAGCATTTTTCATAGCGAGACATTTGACCGAAATATCGTTAAATTTAGACCAAATGGTACACTATTTAAAACTTCTACCAATTTTATTACTCCCCCCCCCCTCGAAGTTCGACCAAGATTTTTTTGGTCGAACTTCGAGGGGGGCTAAGAAAAATTTTTTTAAAAAAAATTATATAGAATTTTTTTTTATATAATTTAGTAGTTAAAAAAAAAAATATTTATCATATTCTTCTGTATGGTTGAGAGGGTGTAAGGGTTAGAAAAAATAGCGCAAGATGGTTTTGTAACGCTTTTTTAGAACTTGAATACAAAAATCGCAAGCTCACCCCCACATAGTTTAAATTTTTTTGAAAAATTGCTTAAATGTCAAAAAAGCCATTTTTAATAAAAGTTTTGATGGAGCTGAAGCGCAAATTTACAACGAACTCTGCCAAAATTGAAATCGTCGACTATTACTTTAGCCACAAGGACCAGGGGGTTACTATGAGAGAAGTTGCAGAGAAATTCCATCTGAACTCTCATGCCTCTCTAGTTGATTGAATCAAAAACATTGACAAGCTTCGGGAATCAGAGCCAGCCGCTAAAAGGGTAAAGGTAGAGCCTTTTACGCAATTTCCAATTCTAGAGAAAGAGCTGATTCATTGGTTGATTGCTGTGAGACAGCAGGGTCATACTGTCTTAAGAGTGACTATCGAAAAGAAAGCCAGAGAATTGGCGAGAGAATTGAGCTTGCCGCGATTCCAATGCGGTCAAGGATGATGGGAAGGATTCAAGACAAGAAATAATCTGGCCTACCGTAAGGTCAACGCATCCAGTCTTAAGCCTCTAGAACGAGAAGCAGAACTTGTTAGAGACTATCTGGACGAGCTGATGAATCTTCTCGACATTTATCCTTCCTCTATATTTACAATTTCGATGAAACCAGATTCGACTGGGATGTCTGTAGCCTATGATTTCAAAGGTGCTCAAAAAGTTGTGGGTATCCAATCAGCTAAAGCCAAACACTCAATCACTGTGATGCTTTTGATCAGAGCAGATGGTAAAAAGTTTCCTGCGTTGTTGATCTTTCAAGAGAAAACTGGCAAGATTCCATTTCGTGTATATGAGCACTTAACTATCCCTAACAACATCGTTGTCTAGGCTAACAGGACTGGTTATATCACTGATGACATGGTCAGCGACTATCTAAGAACAGTGCTGACAAAGGAAAGGCAGCTCATCATAATGGACCAAGCAATTAGTCATAAAACTGATAGAATTGTTTAAGCGCTATCTGACTTGCAAGCTCAAAGCATTATTATCCCAGGAGGATGCACAAAGCATGTCCAGCCACTTGATGCCATAGTCATAGCCAACTTTAAGAGAAAGACAACTCAGTTTAGGGTTGAGTACGAAACCGAGCAAGTTGAAAGAAGATCACAAAGAAGCGGAAACATCAAGGCTCTTGATAGACAGCAAATGATATACTTGGCCTCAAAGGCTTGGGAGGAAGTGCATCCAGATATTATCATAACTGGCTTTCAATGGCAGGATCTTATGGAATTGATCAACCCAAGTTTCTTCGCCACCAATCCATGCTTAATGAGTTAATTATTTAAAAAAACTCTTACTCTTCCCCCATCCTTGATCGAACGGCTCGCCATCGTTCGATCAAGGATGGGGGTTAAAAAAAATTTTCGGGAAAAAAAATTTATATATAAAATAAAATATATATATATTTTTTTATTTACTTTTTAAATAAGAGGGTTAAGAGTATTTAATAATTATTTTTACAGCAAAAAATTGAATTAATTTCATAAAATATTAATTTTTAATATTTTGGTTTATTACTTACCCTTTTAAACTGTATAAATTTTAATTCTTACTTACAGAATTAAAATTTTTTTTTTTTTAAATTTTAAAGAATCTCTATTTTTTTAGATTATTTTTAGTTTTCAAGCCTAGGTTGATGACTAAATCACTTCGGATGGTTGATTCCGTAGCTTTCTGTCGTCTCAAAATTTCTGAAAACAACTTCATTAGGTACATCTTCCCAAGCTTTTGATAACTAATATATTTTTATATATAAAAATTTGCATGATATGAAAATCGTTCGATCAAGGATGGGGGTTAATTTCCCCAATTTTTACGAATTTTTACGAATTTTTTACAGTCAATCGTTCGATCAAGGATGGGGGGGAGTTAAAAAATTAATTTTAAATTAAAAATTTTAAAAAACATTTGAGAAAAATTTTTTTATAGTGGTGAAGGGGTCAAGTTTTCGAGCTCTAATTTTAGAATTGAAAATTCAGCTAACTCTCTCCTTAGTTAATCTACTGCCCTTAAAACAATTGGTCTTTTGAACTAATTCATAAGATCGAAAAATAATATTTTTCCTACTAAATTTATATAGGTCTTGGCCAAACTTTGAGGGGTTAATTTTCCAAAAAATAGGAATTTTCCCTATATCTTGGTCAAACTTCGAGGGGGGGAGTTAGATGAAATTCACACTATTAAAAGTACACAATCATTGAACCTGCACTTAAATCTCTTACTTTTTTATGATATTTTAATCAGTATTTATAGAATATAAAACTTCATATTGATTTGCTCTGTTTTTGTAAAAGAGAGAGAATTAAACTTTTTTTATATCTGTATTAGTCTTCACAATAAATATACCTCTAAAATTAATGATTAGAAATCCATTACAATGGTCAGTTAGTGATGTCGTGCAATGACTTCAAGTAATTAATTGCTCGGGTGCACAAGAAGTGTTTGTATATCATGGAGTCGAAGGGAAAGACTTGCTACAGCTCACAGATGCAGATCTTCGCTTTGATTTTAAGTTCAAACGTGTCCATGATCGCAAATATATTTTGAGAAAAATTCAAGAATTAAAAAATATAAACTCAGCAATCATTGAAGTGCAATTTGGAACCCAAGTATGCGCTGTTAGAATTTCTGACCTCCACTCTTATACTTTTGAGAACCTCCGCAAAGATGTAGCAAGGTATTTTGGAGTAGACGAAGAAAAAGTAATTATTCAAGATAAACATGGACTTGTATGAGGAAGCATTAGCGTTGCTTGTATTTTTGATAGCAATTTAAGACAGGAAGAAGCTGTTTATTTGAAATTCATTGATGAATCAAGCACCAATCCAATACAGCAAGCAGATAAAGCTGCATTAAGTGAAGATGAAGAAGATTTTAATGAAGATAATCCGTTCCATGAAGCTTCTAAGTCTTTAAGAGATTCAAGCCCTTGGGCTGTAAAAGAAGAAATGGCATCAAAGGAAGAAGAAAGTCATTGCTAGTATTAATTACTCATAGAGAAGTCCCCTGGAGGCTTTAGGCCACTACTATTCTCATTTATGTTTCTACTACTATACTAGCTTGCCAATTCAGATAGTCTTTCATTGTGCTGCTACCCACGAATGAGGGCTTAGACTCGCTACCTGAGATCCAGAGACGCTAGGTAGCCAAGAGGAACATCAGTGGGTTGCCTTCCAGAAAATTATCTTTGCCTATCAAGATGGGAATTCATAGCCTGAGACACAAAGCCAGCATTTCTCTGAGGAATTGTTAGGCGGCATAGTGGATGTCCTAGGCAGCGCCAACTATCCTTTTCTAACTCTTCGTTCCATCTCCGATACAGATTTCTGAATGTCTTTTTCTTCCACAAGGAACCCTTGCTCTATTTCGGAAACCAAGCTATAATTATTACGAAGCCTTGCCGCTCACCAGAAATAAAATGGTGACGTTGACGGAAATTGGACTCCGAGGCTCACCTCCTATAGAGCTGGTAGGACCCATTGCTGATGAAGCTGAAGATACAGGTCTCATTCCTGTCCTAAGTAGGCCTTCAGTTGTGGGAAGCCGTGCCAAAGAGGAAAATTTTATTTCTCCCCCGAAGGTTTTCCCTGTCCCTGCCAGACGGGCTAGACAGGTTTTTCCTACCACATGGTCTTCCTTCATCGGGACCAGCGGGGCACTCAGACAGAAGTGGCTCTGCCCAAAGGAGCTGATCCCTTGGACAGGTGGTTTTGACCAGAAATCAAGATGGCGTCTGGCCTGGGAGTATGGCCACATCAGAACCCGACCGGGAGTCGTCTTTCGAGCTGAGGTGTGTTGAGGCCAGTGGCTCAGCCGCTTAAGGCCTTACAAAATAACTTAACTTAACTTTGCCGCTCACCACGCCATTTAATTTACATGATTGAAGAAAGCCAAGAAAAACGTAAAAGAGTCAACAAAGGAACTAAAAAGCAGAGTCTAAACGGATCTGATAGCAAACAAAAGATAAAAATTTCAAAAAATACTAAAGAGTCCTCTCTAGTTAAAGAAAAAGGCAATATATCAAGCAACCCTGCATCTGATGTGAGTGATAGATCTATAAGATTAACTGAAGAAGAAGAGGAATTGAAAAACGTCTTAAAGATGATGAGAAAGAGCTAAATTTCATTTAAAATCTTTATTTATAATTACCAAATTTAAATAATGAAAATTGGCCTAGCTTTATTAGGATCTTGGGGTATTGGATATGGAACAGCTTTATATTTCTCAAAGCAAAGCATAAACGAATATGAAGATGCAAGAGATGAAATCAGAGATGCTTCACGACTAGGAAATAAATCATATGGCCTGAATTTCGGATATAAAACAGATAGCACAATTGAAGATATTTTAGATACTGGAGATTTAGTATTTATGCAGCATGTTTGCTATAAAAGTTTTTCCCCTCTCTTGATTGGAAAATGCTATCTTTCTCAGAAATACAAAAGCTTGTTGACTCAGTTTGGCTATAAACAAGAAAATTGAGACTCGGCTGGGATAATAGTGAGGAACCGAGAAGGTGCAAAAGTTATTTTTAAATATTTTTCAGAGGTTTATGATATAGACTATGATGAATTTCTAAAAATACCTTTCTTCTCGTTTGTATCTTTGAGGAAAATGAAAACAAAAGATCCTGCTGTTGGATATATGAAAAGAGAAGAGCTTTCTGAGGAAGTAAAAAAAGAGAATGAAAGATCAGGGATTTTCGATGTTATTGATATAAATAACTGTGCTGTTCCTTGGCTGTATTGGAAAAAAACTGGGACTTTGAAGAACGATTATAAGGATAAAATAACTTTGCAAGACATAAATACAATGGCACCAAAGTGCTTGGATAGTGAGAAAGTAAAATATTCAGGATCTATTATTGTTAGATCAAATTTTTCAAGGCAGGAAACTCAGAAATATTAAGTTAAATATAAGTCTTTTATTATTTAGCAGTTATAAACACTGAAAACTAAGATAATTTCTAAGTTTAGAGCACTTAATAAAACCATAGAAATTTGAACTTTATAATAGTTTTATATCATTAATTAAGTTATTAAAATGCATAGTTTTATTTGCTCATTATATACATACCTTGATATCTTCTTCCATATATAAAAGCTTTCTTTTCATGATTAAAATCTTCAACCATCCCTTTGATGTCACTTTTTTCGAACTTTAGCTCACTTTCTGTGAGCTTTTCTTGCAAGCTTTCAATATCATTTTCAATTTTTTTCCCGATTTCTTTAATCTCTTCTTTTTCATGCTTAGTGTTCTCTTCAAGTTTTCAGCATTTTTCCATCACATCTTTCAATAAATTCATTTCAGAAGTCTTTCGAGGACTAGCTGACATTCGTTTTGTAGGAGGGTTGCTATTTGAAACTCAGATAGATGCTTGTGAAGCTCTATGAGTTGACTCTCGAACTGAAGTAAGAAATGTGGACTCTTTGATGGGACTTTGGCTAAGATGGTGCAAGTTGGCATCTAATAAAAATATATTTGACCTATTTTTATAGTTTGGGAAGTCTTGAAGATTATCCCTTTTTTGTGTTAAATTTATTTGGCTTGCAGAAAATAATTGTTTAAGAAAGCGTGAATGATTTTCTTCTTGTGCTTGAGGATCAGGTTGGCTCGATAAAAAATGAGTTGTCCTATTTTTCAAAATATCCTTGCAGGTATCTTTTAAAGAAGCTCTATTAGAACTTGCAAGAGATCCTCCTTTACTTCTTCTATCATTAAACACTTCTTTGTGAGATGATCTGCTTGTTAGTGATTTAAATTCCCCTGGAAGTATGCTGCAGCTCTCAGCAGGGATCTTTTTAACTGCTTTTAGTAAATTTCCATTTGACAAACTTTTTTTCTGTTTAAGTCTATTTATATACTCAATCACATCACCAGCGGCTCTTTCGGGCTCTCTGTTGTCTTTTAGACTTTCTTTGAAATTTCCAATATGGACACTGGCGTTACTCATACTTTTTATTGGAGAACTACTTTCTGCCGTACACTTATTAGAGTTGCTCTTGGAGTCAAATAGCCTAAAATCCTTTAAATTCGGCTGTTTTAATTTGTCCTCCAAAGAAATCAGCTTTGGTTTTCGAAAGGGTTTCTTTTTGGGGTCAAGAATGTGAAAATGCTTGGAATTGCAAAATTTTTCGTTATCTTTGTTTTTGCGGTTTGGGGTGAAACTCTCTATTTTTCTCCTTTGTATTTCAGCTTTTTGCCTGTGAGTAAGGTTCTGCGAAAGAGTCTTACTCAAATGTTCTCCATAATCCTCATTGATCTCTGATTTATTTCTAAAGTCTCACAGCCTAATTGCGAATTTTTGGCTTAATAAGCTTTTTTGTAATAAATTGGTTGCCTCTGCTACATTCTCAAACGCAATAATTTCTCTTTCTTTAAAAACATCCATACTAGATAATATTTTTGCTAATTCATAATAAAAGTAAAGTATAGTAATCTTAGAATTTGTTTTAAAAAGATCATTAATGCTATCTATTAAGTCTACCGTTTTATTATAATAAATAACTAACTCCCCCCATCCTTGCCATCGTTCGATCAAGGATGGGGGTTTAAAACATTTTTTTTTGGGGAAAAAAATTTTATATATAAAATAAAACTATATATATATATTTTTTTTATTTTCTTTTAAATAAGAGGGTTAAGAGTATTTAATAATTATTTTTTACAGCAAAAAATTTGAATTAATTTCATAAAATACCAATTTTTAATATTTTGATTTATTAGTCACACCTTTTAAACTTTATAAATTTTAATTTGTTCCTTATTGAATTTAAAAATTTTTTTTTTTTTTTAATTTTTAAAGAATCTCTATTTTTTAGATTATTGAGTTTTTTAAGCCTAGGTTGATGACTAAATCACTTCGAATGGTTGGTTCCGTAGCTTTTTGTCGTCTCAAAGTCTCTGAAAACAACTTCATTAGGTGCATCTTCCCAAGCTTCTGATAACTAATATTTTTTTATATATAAAAATTTGCATGATATGATAATCGCTCGATCAAGGGGGTTAATTTCCCCAATTTTTAGGAATTTTTACAGTCAATCGTTCGATCAAGGATGGGGGGGTAAGAGAATAAAGTTATTTGAAAAGTGTTTATTTTAATCATTTAGTTGCGTCAGCAATGCAACGCCACGTTTAATCCAATGTGCAGGATCTAAATCAGTAGCGAGCTTGAAAAACATGACAAAGTTTGTAGAGTGTCCAGTCGTGCTCAGTTCTCCTCTTCTATCGCTGGTCTTATACAATGGACAACTATAATGAGGAAACTTAATAATTTCTACTCCAGGTTTAAGCCAAATCATAGGACATTCAGTAAAAAGCTTCTTTGGCTTCGATTCTGCCAGCTGTTTCTTCTTATAACTCCATCTTGCACCTTCTAAAAACATTCCAGTTACCAAAACTCCATCCTCAGGCTTCTTAGGGTTATCATCTGCAACTACTTCATAATTGAAGTTAATTTCATCAATAGGGATTGTATACTTCCTTGCATAGTTCTGCAGAGCTCCAGTTAAGAAACTTTGTGTGAAGTAAAATCTCGAAATCTCGTATACCACAGGGGTGCCTTCATTTACCCATTTCTTGAAAAACTCAATCCTCTGCTTTAAATCTCCTATATAGCTTCCTAACGGCTTCAGAGATGGGTATGACGCTTTCATCCAAATTTCAGGGACTTTTCCATCAAAAAGAGTACGCAAGGTCGCTTCAATTATAGAGGACATCGGAATTTGTCCTTTAATTGCTTTAAGTAAGTCTTGAAGAGATGATCTGACAGTTCTGGTGAGATTGTTAAATCTCAAAACTTCTTGTGTTAGAACAGTATTCATGCTTTCTCCATAAGTAGGCGGGTATTTCTTCTGTGCGTTGTCTTCATCAAGAATTTCTGGAGGGTCAGCCAATATGCCTTCAGCCAGTTTTATAACAGTTTCTTCAACTGAGCTTCCACCTCCACCTCCTCCGCCTCCACTTGATTGTGTTAGTAGCATCGAGTTGAACATTGAAGTAGCTTCGTTTTGATTTTTAGTAATGTCCGCATTAGAATGGAAGCCAAATATTCCTGGAGGAGCTATATCAGGAAGTTTTTCTACGAAATCTAAATAGTCTTGGAATTCACCTGTAGGTGGTGCATAATATTCAGAAATTCCTGAAAACTTGTAATTATCGTCAAATATTTTGTCAGTGTAAAAATCTTCGAGGAGTGTTTTAATGAGCCTTCTGTCTTTATCATCTGTTACTCTTCCTCCGAAGTTGCACTCACCAGTTAGATAACTGAGAGCTTCGAAAGGCACTTTATCGTATTGGTTCAAGAACATTTGAAGCTGTTGGACACTGATTCTTAAATCGGATTCTGAAAATTCGTAAGGAATGTTCCAGCCTAATGGGCCATAAAGTCTTCTTTCTTGAATAACAGCATTGAAGAAGCATAAGCCAAATAATATTCTATTTTATGATATATACGCATATTAAAATTTTTAACGCCATTTTTAAGCCGGACTTATATTAGCGGCATAATTTTTTCCATTCTTTTTCTTTTTTGCAGCTGTTAAAGAAGTGAGGATCTGATATGAAATCTTTGTTGTAAGACCCTGTGAGATTTGATTTCAGACCTTTAGGAGGTTCATTGGTCATTTTAAGACCGTTTTGCAATAAGGTTACAGGGAATTTCGGAGATGGGTATGAAGTCAACCAAAGTCTAAAATCTCTTCCGGTGCCTTTTTGATCAGGAGTTATGCTTTGGACAATTTGTTCTAGTCTCGGCATCCAACTCACAGCTAAGTGGCAGTTCATCAGCAGCACCCAATCGCCAGTTTCCAGAGATCTATTAATAATTTCTTCTGCAGCCTTTCCTTGTCCTTGCCCTAGAGATCTTGTTTCTAGTTTTTTGCGCTTATTATCAGCAAAGTTTTGCAGTGCTCGCAATGGATCTGAGCCAGGACTTAAAATGAAAATAAGTGGGGCTGTTCTGCTAGAATCTTTATATATGTCTTTAAGCTTAAGAGTTGAAGAAACAGTGAACTCTCTCCCAAGTCTTTTGGCGACAAACTCAATGGTGGCAGCTACTATAGAATCTGGTCTTAAGGATCTAAGAACTAGCAGCTTTTCGAAGTCATTTAAAAATGTATGCCATTTTCCTGGGAAGTGGCAATCAAAAGGCTTTGGATTATCGAAAATTGCTTTCCAGGCTGAAATATTGTCTCTTATGTCATAGAAGAACCCTTGGAATCTGGGGAGATCGCTAAGTCTGCAAAACTCTGCCCACGATTTATCAAGTAGCCAATCTGCATCAGGCTTTTCAGGCAGTTTCTCATCAAGCCCAATACCTCCTGTCATTAAAAACCTCAGTTCTGCTATATCAAGCTCTTTATTATACTCCATAAATTTCAATGTCAAATTGAATGCGAACAACAGGCGGTCTTTTTCGAATAAAGATCTGCAAATATTTGAGTAAAGGATTTTAGTAAATGTTTTCTGGAGATTTTTCAGTCTTTCTTCTAAGACTTCGTTGGCTTCACTTTCATTGATGGCGCGCAAGAAAAGATTGTTGAAAAAATCTAGTGAGTATTGATACATAGGGTCAATATTTCCAAGCTCAGTTATGCAGAAGAACAATAAAGCCATACAATCAGAGAAAGGCTTATAGCCCAATCTAGCTTGATCAATTCTTTCTTCAGTCACCTTGGCATTTTCCTGTTCAGTCTCGATTTGGTTTGATACAACTTTGGATTGTGAAAGAACGCTGATTGCTTCATCGTCGTCTAGGATGTTTCCAGATGTGGTGCTCATGATGTGGAGAATTTTATCTTGAATTTGTTTTAGTCTCTTTTGGTTTTCAGCTGTTTGAATAATTATATGCTCTTTTGTCCTTGCTAGCTCTGGCTGCTCTTCTGCGACAACTGTGACCAAAAGTTGGTCAGCAAGACCTTCAGGAGTGATCATGAAGTTAATCAAAGTTACTTTAGTAGACAGCTCAGGCAGGTAGTGGGGGTTTCTTAGTCTTGTTGTGATGTAGAATCGGAAATCTTTGTTATATTCGACGTTGCTTTCTCCTAATCTTAGGATATTTTTTACAACTTGTTTAAGCAAAAGTGGCTCAAGACTTGGATCTAGCTCTTCACCAACGTTTTCTAACTCCCCTTTAAATCGAAAACAAAAACTGATTCAATTTAAAGCTATGAGTTTATTTTAAGGGAAAAAAATATAAAATTTAAAAATGTCCTAATTTTTATTAATTTTAACAACTAAAGAGTCTGTTTAAATAGCATTTTGCTTGCACTTATTCCATTAAATTGGGTCAAAAATATAAAAAGAAATTATAAAATTTGTCTCAATTTATTTTGCTCAAAAGCTAGAAATTTTACTGGCAGTTGTTCCAATTTATAGAGAGTAAGAGAACTGGGTGTCCAAAAGTGATTTTATTTTCTAGAAGCCTTAAGAAATTGTCATCGGTGAGTTTAAGGACTAGTAAAGTGCCTTCTTTGCCTTCCATTTTTTTAATCCACTTGTTGGCTTGAGATTCTGGATCAATCATTAATGGCCATCTACGAGCTTTCGAAACAATAATGCCATTTTCAATAGAAAATGAATCTCTAGGCAAACTGTCTATATTCCATGATCTTATTTTCACTGGATCTCCCAAACAGCTTTGCAGAGAATACACAGCACTGCTTGGAATTCCTCGATTTTTGCAGTCTTGGTTCCACAGCTCTGCAATCTGAGCTCTATAACTTGCTGTAAAAGGACCTAAATAAGCAATCATTCCAGAAGAGACAAGGACGTCTCCAGTAAGCATAATATATTCTTCACCAAGTCTTTTAGCAAATTCTTTCCAAGCTACTTTTTCTCCTCCTAAACTTTCAATTAGTTGTTGAGCCCTTGTTAGCCTTCTTTTACAGTCATCGACTTCTTTCTCTAGCCTTTCTTTATTAGCAGTTGTTATATCCAAATCATTTTGCAAGGCAGCTACTTTATCTTGAACTTCTTTCAAGGCTGCTTCTTTAACTTCTAAAGCTCTCATATACTTATTATACTCTTCTTCTGCAACAGCTTGTGCTTTCTGCAAAGGCTCAACTTCTAGATTAACATGATAAAATTTCTCCATAGCTAAAACCCAAGAACATAGACCTGCAGCAGCACTAGAAATTTTGTTTCTCATATTTTCTGCATTAAACTCTGAATTCTGTACAAATTTCTGCAACTCCTTGATCATTTTTTCAGTCATCCAGCTTTTGTCATAATTTCTCAAATCTTCCAAGAACTCTGCTCTGCTCAAAACTTTCATTGAAGCGTCCCACCATTGTGGAATCATTTTCATTGTATTTGGATCCTGCTTTCTTGGAGGATCGACTTTCAATAAAATACAGACAGCTTCCATGACGTCCTTCACAAGTTGAGGTGGGTTTGCCCCTTTTTTCATTTTGCTGATATCGTCTTTGTTCAAGACTTGCAAAGCATCTAATGCAGCTTGAAGAATGGGCATGCATTCAGCTAAAGCAATGTCGCACTCTCTTTTAATGCCTTCAGCTTTCTCAGCAGCTGCTCTTGCGATTAGTTCTTCTTTTCTTACAGATTCTTCCATTTCTTCTGCATCTCTCTTTTTCGCCTCTACAATGACCATTTTTTCTTCAGTTGCCTTTTTGGCGTCTTCCAGCTTAGGCTGCAATTCAATTAATTCTTTTTTCATGCCTTCTACAGACCCTTCAGTAGTGATTAATTTTTCAAACCCAATCTCGAATTTTTGTTTCTCAGTTAAAACCACCTTTCTGCGCTCGTTTAGGAGAGTTTTGAAAGTTGTGATCATTTCTAAATATGAAGTAGGGGTAACGTAGTAGTGTCTTCTAAGCTGCATAAGCATTTTGTGGGACCATTCAGTTGTGCTTCTGTGGAACATTTGGCACATCTCTACGCATTGCTCTCGGATGTGGCTTTCCATTTCTATTGCACCTAACACTCCCCCCCTCCGTTAGCGAATAAAATCATTAGAAAAAATACCCTTTTTTTCCCAAAAACTGACCCTCCGTAAGCGATCAAAAATTTTTTTAATTGAAAAATTTTCTATGGAAAAAATTTTTGATATATAAGTGATAATTATTATAATGAAATCTTGAGCTAATTCTGTTTAATTTTAAACAAATCGCGTTTTAAAACATAAATTTTACAAATTAAATTAATATTTGCTTTCCAATTCTGCGAATTTAGAATTTTTTTAAATTTCGAAAAAAAAAATTTTTTCTATAAAATTTATATATAAATCTTTTTAAAACAAAATTAGCCCCCCTCCGTGAGCGAACAAGATTTTTTTTGTTCGCTTACGAAGGGGGAGTAAGGAATTTTTGGGCAACAGAAACTAAAGCATCTTGAGGCCATTCAGAAAACCAGTCAATGGTGCAGCAGTTAACAAGAGAAGGGAACATTCTCAGCCTTGTCCTAAAAGCCTCACCGATTGGAGAGAAACAAAGAACAATGTGAAGCATCTTTTTGCATCTTTCAACAAAGTAAGTATATAGCTGCGCAATAGTACCATCAGGGGCTTTCCCTTCAGCTCTTGCATATGGCCTGACCATTTCTACAACTTCAATTTTTTCTTCATGAGGGTAAAGATTAGGCACTTCTCCTGTGTTCAGTAAAGTGTTGATGTCTTCTAAGAAACTTTTATCCTTGATGTGAGAATCAGTAAATAGGAATACGCATTGAGCTCCAGTGCCACCTGCTTTTCTTAAGAAGCTCTTCAAGTCTTCTCTCCATTCATTTTTCCCATAATTTTTAGTCAGCTCAATTTGGACAATTTCATATTCTGCTAAGCTTGCAGCTAGTCTCGTCACACTTTGTCGGCCAGATCCGCCAACACCTATTAAAAGAGCATGGCCTCCAGGCTGGTTAAGTACTCTTGAAATTCTACACAAATGCTCGATTGCAAAGGCAAATAGCACTAGGTCCATAGGCTTAGTGGAAGTCGAGTTATAAAATTCCAATGCAACTTCGCAGTTTTTAGTGAGTGTGACAAGGTCAGTCATTTCAGAATAACGCTTTGGAGCTCCAGGAGGAGTTAATAAATACCCAAACATCAGTCCTCTAATTTCATCTAAAGTTTCAACTTTTCCGTTTTTGTCGATGTCAAGATGATTGAAAATGGTGTCAAAATTGAAGCCAAAAATTCTTTTGGTTGATTCTCTTATATGGTGCAAAAGCCATATTCTGTCATCATCATCAACTAGACGATCTCCGAAGACTCTTAATATTTCATGGACCCATAGTCTAACAACTTGGTCTGTTTCTGATATAGTTACTGAGTCAGACATGCATATACCCAAAATAACTTTAGAGAAATCTCTCAAGTTGAAGGTATAATGGCTCTTCAATGGAGTCGGTAAGAGTTTTTCCATAGCTGTTTTATAAATATCCCTGCTTGCTTGAACGATTTTATTTTCGACTTTGGTGATGTTTTCTCCAAATTTATTATTCGCGAAAAACCAATGCAGAATGCTGCTGAAAATTCTTAAAAGTGTGTCATCCTCGAAATCAGCCAAAGAAATCATACAAAGATGGTTTTGGAATCTGGGAGTAATAAAAGTTCTGCCACCTCCTGGAGGACCCATAGCGGTAACAAATCTCCAATCAATGATAGTTTTAAAAGTGTTGTCTTTTCTTTCATACCATCCTCCTTGATCTAGAAGTTGTCTTAAAATTTCAATAGGTGGCTGAGCTCCATACTCTTCTTTTTCTGGCATATTCAAATCATCAACAAAAATAACGCAGATCTTTTCTGGAGGAGGGCCGTACAGACCTCTTTTACCACGTTTAACGTCAACTTTACCATCAATTGTGTCTTGGACTTGATTTGCAGTGGTTTGTGCACTGAATCCGATTTCAGAATTTATGTACTTTGTCTGGTCCAGTTTATTAAGGATCACATCTTTCACATAAATGGTTTTGCCTGTACCTGTATTTCCACAGAATAAAAATGGAATTCCTGCTTTTAACAGTCTCTCTAATAAATAAGTGTACCTGACAGTATCTACTGTTGAAACGACAACTTCATTAGGAAGCAAATTCTTTGGAATATCTGCATTTATATCAGTAATTCCTGCTTCAGTCCAATGTCTCCACTGCATTTGATCAGCAAGGAAAATGAAGTCATAGTAAGAACCATTTTCAGGGATGCTTGGCTGTATTTTTTTGCCTTTGTTCTTTATTTCTGCTACATCTCCATTGAGAATCCTCCTCAGCCAAATGTTGAAATTTCTCCTATCAGCTGACACAACCGCGGCTCCAAGTGACCAAGTTATTGCGAAAACAAAGAAGCAGTCAATGATTTTGATCCTGTCCTTTTCTTCAATTGCATCAAATGCATCTTGATCATTAAACATTTTTAAGAAATCTGAAAAAATGTGCAGGCACGACATAACAAGATTTTGCCTCATCATTGGCGCTGTCAGCTTCATTTTCGTTTCAATTTGTTTGAGGGTTGGCTCAATCAGCCAGTCAACTAGTAAAGAAACTTCTAAATCCTCGTTATCTAAAAAGGTGTGAGGAAGAGAAGAATTTCTCCAGCTTTGGAAGAGAGGTTCCCAGCCAAGCCTATGGGGCTCGAGATAAATCATACCGCAACGACTGACTGTAGCTGGAGAAGCCACTGCTAGATCCATTGGTTCGAAAATTAAATTCATGTTGTTTGACATTGCAACGATTTCTCCACTTGTTAAACAAAGCTTCTTGTTGTCATCAAGGACTGTATTCATGTTTTCAATCCATATAGCGTCGACAGGACCGTCAAAGTGCATCCATTTTCTTTGGTTGGACTCATTTCTTGCGAAATCTTTGAAGCCAGCTGCTAAGACGCCATCTTGCCAATCTTTGCTGACCTCATCAAAAGAGCCGTATAGCTGTTTCATGGTGATTGACTTAGGGTTGAGGCTAAATATTAGCACTTCATTTTCATTCATTTGTCCTTTGTGGGCAAGCTCAGTAAGAGCAGCAGCTAAGACTTTCAGAGCTGAGGATTTCCCTGCAAATGGCAGGCCGACAACCATGAGACCATGCCTGACATTAACCATTTCAAAGATCTGGATGACTTTCATGACGAAATACTCGTTCCATTGCAAGTTCATAAGCTGGCTTTGGTTTTGTAAAGATTCTAATAGCAGCGCATAATCAGGCTCAGGAAGTTTGATACCTGGGAATAGATCTGAAATGATACCTTCAAAGAGTGGCAAGTCGTGAGACAAGAATTTAGCCAAGTTGACGTCGTTAATTGATCTAAGCATCAGCACACTCTCATTTTCTGTAGGATATTTTCTCTTAAGAGCTCCTGCAGCTAGCAGCACAGACTTGACAGCTCTCATACCATAATCGTAATGTTTTTGACTGGAAAGCTGTTCTGAACACAATTTATAGGTAGCCACAATTTTTTGAGCCAAAGCTCTTGCATCTTGGAATCCATAAGAATAAAGAACGTTTTCAGCAATGAGAGAATAGTCAGGAACCATCATAGCTACAGTTCTAAACAAAGCCTTCAAGTTATCAGGAAGCTCGCTTCTGCCAGCATACCCTGGGTTCATAGTGATAAAGCAGTTACAGGTTTTCTTTAAAATGAGCTCAGTACCTTCAAATTTAAATTCTGGCTTTCCTTCTCTCAGAGCGTTTTGAATAGTAAGCAGCTGCTGAGCAACCACAGAAAGCACTTCAGGGTCAATTCTGTTAAACTCATCAAAGCAACTCCACCCACCTGTGGCAGCAAGTCCTTTGAAAAACTTGCCCATAGCTTCAAAATCTAGACCATCAGAGCAGTTGAAGACGACACACATACGAGCCATAGCCTTTGCAAGATCTTTAACGGTTTCTGTTTTTCCAGTTCCTGCTGGCCCTTCAGGTGCTCCACCATAAGTAAGATGGACAGCTCCACAAAGTGTTCTATAGCATCTATCAGTCAAAGGTGTGATGACCAACCTTTCAGAGTTTCCAAGGTATTCATAATTGTAGCTTAGTTCAGCATTGATCACTCTAACCAAAGTATTTTCATTTTCCCAATAATAACGCAGCTGTGAAAGCCACGCAAAGTCACTTCTGTCTTCGATTCCACTCTGAGCAAGCTCAGTAATAACATCTCTGCAATGGACATCCAGCACGATCATAGCTTTTAGCGTGCATCTCACCAAATCTGGAATGTCTCCTCTGACTAAATTCACGATATCTAAAAACAGCTTATTGCACTCAGTAACATATTCCTGAAGTCCCAATTTTCCTGAAGAGCTTAGCTTGTCTTCAGCTCCTCTTGTCCAAAATGTCATGCTAGCACATAACACTGCTTGGCCTTTATGCAGAGAAACCCAATCTTTTCTATCTCTTTTCGGATAGTCATTCAAAGCTTTGTAAATGATGTCTCTTGTGCTTTTAATCATGCAGTCTTCAACTTCAATCAGCCATTTTTCAACAGCTCCTTCAGCCATAGCAGGGTCAATGACTCTGATGAACTCTACAACTTCTCCTTCTTGAGAAATCATGGCAGTGATTTTCTGTTCATCGTCAAATCGCAGACTCTTTATGCCTTCAAAACATTTTTTTAAATGGGGCTGGACCTTTGTGGCATCTCTTGTTTCTTTGAGGATTGAAATTAGTTCTTCATTAGTCAAGAAGAAGAATCTTGGGAAGAACAGACGCTTTTTCTCTAGATAACTGTTGAGTTCTCTCTGAACTATTTCTAGTCTTTCATGGCAGTAGTTTAAAGTGTCAAAAATATTGTCAATTCGGGTCACAACAGTTACTGTCATGTCACGGTGAGTTTGGTCCATAAGACGATGCCATTGAGAATCGACTTCTTTGAATAGAGCTGCCTCTTTAAATAGCTGCTTTTGGATGTCAGCACTTGCAAAAACTGGCTCAAGTACAATCCACAAGCTTTGGACCTTAATCCAAACAGCTATAACTTTATTTGTCAGTGAAAGCCACTCATCCCATGCATTGATCCTATCGAGATAAACTGCTGCAAATGGAGAACCTTTCATTGTTTGGGTTGTCAAGATCTGCTCTTCCAGCAATGTCTGCACAATTTCAATACCTGAGCCTAAATGTATATAAGTTCTAGTTTCTCCCCATTCTTTCAGCTCGAATTTAATAGGGTCCCAATCTCTTTCCATTTTTTCTAGCATTTTATAGTTGCTGAATTCTCTGGCAGCAGCCATTGCAATTTCTTCGACTTCTTCAAAATGCTCTTCAAAGTCCATGTTTTGGAACTGCTTAAATGTGGTGTGATCAGTGATTCTGAACTCTTGGTTTATTATTTTCGAAATTCGGTCAAAATGCCTTTCTTCTAAACCTTTGGTGGAAACTATTTTCATAACAGGGATTTTCTTCATAAGGTTGTCTATGTCTTGCAATGTGAGCATAGCGACGTCAACTAGTTTTGGAGCCTTTTCTTTAAGAGAGTATAAAAGCTTTTTGGCAGCTCCTTGCATTTGTTTGGCTTCTCTTTCGATTTCATCAGGGTCGAGCTCTTTTACAAGGGTTTGGGTCCATGCATCAGTTCTTTCTTTGGTCATGCTGACTAGTCTCCATAGCTCGTCATGAGGCTTAATGTTTCTTTGAACTTCTTCAAGCTTCGTGAACTCCATAGGTGTCCATCCCAGCAGCTCCTCTTTGAGGTTGATTTCTTTCATTTTTTCTTCAGCTTCTTCTAGCCTTTGTTTAAGATTTGCGATGGTTTTAACGTGCTCTTTGCTTTCTGACCTATCACTGATGTCTTTAAGTCTGCTGATTTCAAGTTCAATTGAATTAAGCTTTTCATACATAAAAATGGTGAGATAAGTGCATTCGACTTCTTGACACGATTTTTTAAACTTATACTGAGACACTGGCTGAGAAGCCAGTCAAAGATTCAGGTTTGATATGGCTTTATGTATTTAGGGTAGGTTTTTGACTCAGCTCCTATGGTTAGAAAGGGATAACCTAGTAGTGTTTTCGAAACACCCTTAAAGTGAAATTTTAGCCGCGATACTAAGAGTTGTGGCCCGGGCCTAGGAACTGAGCTTTTTTAACTGTAGCAGCTGAGATCGGTATAAGCACCCGCAAGACTCTGGATTTTTCCTGAATCAAGCGGCTGTCCAATGGGCCCGCAGCAGGATTGCAGAAATATATAGTCTCATCACTCAAAATTGGAGTCCTTAACCGGACAAGGATGAGGCGTACTCCCTCGTGCACACTCATTTCACATTGGTAATATGGCGGATCCTAGAGGAGAAAAAGATGGTCCACCTCAGTTATCATCTCGGCCGATCATGCAGAGGCGTAGGCTTCGTAAAGCGGATGAACCCTTCAAAGTTCTTGGTGACTGAGTGATCAATAAGGCACTCTGCCCGTCTGCAAATTAAGATAATGAATTAAGCTCTTCACCGAAGTTTTTGCGGATTTCTCTGAGCTGATTATTTAATGCATCTTTAGAATTTTGCAAAGAAAGCTCGATTTCTTGCATTCTGCCCATGATGGTCTTTACCCAAAAATTGCATTGGCCTAGAGGTGCAAGATCTTCTTCTCCTACATTAAACGGAGAATCATACAACATTTTGAACCATTCTTTAGTATCATTATATTCTTGGAATAAATTAGGGATAATTTGTTCTCTGCATTTGTCTTTGTAGCTCTCATGCTCTACAAGTTTTTCTTCAGTGTCTGCTTTCGTACTATAAAATTCACTTATTGTTTGGAATTCCTTATAAATAGATGTAGCTCTATCAGCATTCTTGGTGAGAATGGCTTTATTTAAAGTGAAAACAATATCATCACAGTCTTTGCAAAGCTGCTTATTTATATCTCCACACTCAACCTCAATCATATTCAGCCTTATTCTGACAGGACATTCTCTTCTAATTTCTCTTTCAATTGTCTCATACCTCTCAATTAATTCTCTGTACTCATTTCTTGAGTGTTCTTCATGGATAAATTGCTCAATATATCTCCTATCTGTCAGCAAATTTGTATATTTTTCATATAGCTTCAAAGACTCTAAAGCAATGTCCAAATTTTTTCTTATGATGTGCTTTATTTGTTTGGAAGAATTTATGACTAGCTCATCTTCAGAGCTAACAAACCATAGGTGAGGGTTTTTTTCATTTGGAGCAATCCCGTGGTCAGGTCTTGGGACTTTTTCTGATTTTTCAGCGATTTTTTTGACTATTGAAATTAATTCAATGCTTATTGATTCTGGGTTCTCTGAAAAAACAATTTTTCCATCTTGGGAGGTAAGTCTGATTTTCAAAAATGCGTCTGGTCATTCGCTTGGGATACTAACAACCATATCATTGGGTCTTGGTGGGTTGCTAACGTCGAATTTTTTAAAGAACTTTAAATAGGCATTGATAGAATCTGTGACTAGCTGTCGAAGTTGATTAGACATCAATGCACTTGTTGCTTCAAAAAAAGTAGCAGCCTGCTCTCTGTCCATGTTTTTGATTTCTTCACTAATAATGAACTTTTTAAAAGATGGCTTGTGATGGATAGGTTCAGGGTTACTGATCAATTGATCTCAGCTCTAGGCAAGTGGATTCCATTCTTTTAGGAGGTCTGTGAAGGGTTTTTGCCTGGCCAGGTACCAAGACGTTTTGCTCACACATTGATGATCACCAAGGGTTGAGAGCTGCAAGAACCAGACCAAGGCATAAGCATAGGGTGTTTTCCGAGAGACTGGTGATGCTGACAGAAAAAGGATGTGGTGTGAATCAGATGATTAGGAACACTTGAGCCTGATACCTGCCATGGACTACAAGAAGCTGAAATAAACCCTAAAAACTCTTTAGAATTTAATTTAATCTAATCCAATAATCACTAATAATGCTTACAGCACTCAGTGTTCATTCTGTATTAAGCATGTTTTGGACTTGATTCATGCGGCTTTCTTGCCTTTCAATGAACTCTTCAGTGGATAGTGACTCATACTTTTCAGGCAAATCAATAAACATCATACTTTCATACACTCCCCAGAGCTGCTTAAGTCCAAGTGTTGCTGGTGTACATATACAAAGGTTGTCAGACATAAGCATTCTTGCCATCATCACATTAGTCTGCCATTCCTCGGTCGGCTCAATCCCTTTAAACGGTTGTGCCCCATAGTCAACCGGTGGGTCTGGATTCGTTTCAATCCCCAATCTTTTTCTTTGATCAGAGTCTTTTAATACATAGTCAAGGATGCTTTTCCTGCAGGCTCTATAATAATCCCGATTTATTTCATTCAGCATTTCGTCTAAAATGTACTCGACTTTTTCTTTTGCAATCAGATTCCACTCCGCAGGCACCAAATCAAGGATGTTGTGGATCCAGTATTGCCTTATTTGAGCAATTACTTCAGTGCTGATTTCATTTTCTATGTAGTGGGTATATCTCTTCCAGTTGTAGTCTTTTTTTAATGTTTCTGTATCAACTCCGCTTGCGATGATGGGGTCGCCTTCAGATGTGGGGATCTGAGGAATCATTGGGTTTGTGTTGGCTGCAAGGGTGATGTGGGACTCGAAAGGAATGAATTGGATGCTCCTTGATTCTGGGTCAATTATTAATCTTTTAGCTTCTGGGTTATAGTTTGATGCAATTCTCACTGAAGGAGGAAGGTATTGCTTATTAAAACTAACTGGGGCAGCCACAGTACGGCTGAAAACATCAAGAACCGGAGGAAAACGAGTATTGGCTAGTGGTGGCTTCTTAAAGACTGTTGACATCATTTTTTCTGGGTCTGACGCTAGCGAGGAGTAGTTAATTATTCTTGCATTTGGGTTTAGACCAGCTCCTAGCATATCAATAGAAATATTTCTTGTATCCCTTAACGTAGGATGTGAAATCTGCCCAATTTTTGTTTTCCCATACGAAATCTGTCTTTCTATTGGGTTCATTTGGCTATTTTGTGCCTCAAGAGGCGGAAGCTTCTCATGTGGAGCCCTCGAAAGCTCCATCAAATTTTTAACAGTGGATTTTCCAAACAGATAAGCTGTCTTTGTCTTGCTGACTGGGTGAAATTTCACTGATCTGTCAGTACAGGAAAGTCTACCTAATACACCCAAGTCAAGTTCAATTCTGGATTTTTGACTTAATAAGTCGCCGATTAACTCAAAAACATTGTTGAGGGCTGTGCTTACAATGGATTTTTCTAGATTCCCAGTTTTTGCTATCCCAACGTAGTTGATTTTTATACTTGGGCCTGGGTTAAAAGGGTAGGGGCATTCTTTTTCATCGAGTTTAAACGTGAGGCCACGTTGCTGCAAGAAAGTTTCTTGGATTTCTATGCAGACTGTTTTGGAGTTTTCTAAAGTAGCGTTGTAGCCCATTGTTGCGAATGGGTGGCAATTAACTGCGCGGCCTAAATCGAATTGCCCAAGAAGCCACTTCACGAAAGCTTCCCAGCACTGTGCATAGGTAGCCTGGCTTAGAACTGATGAAAGAATGTTTTGTTCACCTCTTAGATTTCGGTCTACACACATCGCGAACAACTTTTCAACTGTCAGTTGTACATCAACCTCTTCCATAATTATTATATGAAGCCTACGCTTTTCGAGAGCTTAAGCAGTTACTTTTAATTAATTTTTTATAAACTCATGATCGCACTGTTTATCAAAATGAATAAGGTTTTTGGGGTCTACTATAAGAAGTAATCCAAACTTCGCACTAACCTGAAATAATTATATTTTATTTTAAGAATAAAGCCAGGAGCTTTAAATAGCATGAGACTTATTCCTAATTTATCAGGAAGCTTTTCATTTATAAGATTAGTTTAGATCAGAAAGAAAATTGATAAAAAACTTGATCTTAATAATATTCAGAAATATGAGAATTTGCAGCCAGTTTATGCATTAAAAGAAAATAAAAGCTAAAGAGATTCTTATAAATGGGTTATTGTTTTAAGTTAAATTTAAATGAAATAAACTATGATAAGCATAATAAAAAGAAATTTAAATGTCGAGTAGTGATTTCAGCAGTGATAGTGATTTTGATATGGATGTGGATGAAGGCACTCAGGTTGGCACCGTGCAACCATCAGTTCAAGTTTCTCAAGCTCCTCGCTTGGTGGATTTTGAAAGTTCAGAAGAAATGGAAGATTCAGATCAGGATGGGCCACCAAAAATAACAGTATTAAAAGCAGAAAAGCAACCTTCAAGCTCAGATATTTCTGCTGGATCTAGCGACTTTGATTCAGAAGATACTCCTCCCCAAGCCAAAAAAATCGAAAAAAAAGAAGAGATGAAATACCTCACAGTCAACAAAAAGCCTATGGCAATATCAACTCAAGACTTCACCAAAGCAATGCCTTCACCCAAAATTAGCCCAATCAACAAAGCAAGGCCGCCTCAAACAATTTTTAAGCTCGAAAATAAAAATTTGCATACAAAATCGTACACAAATTTTTCAGATCTCATTTTTGAAGATGAACTCAACCCTGCTCCCAAACCAAAGAGCAGGCCAAATGATGTTGAAAGGCTGTTTAGATATCAAGCTAAATCAGAGGCCAAACTAAAGGACCTTGCTAATGCACAAGCAAAAAAAATAATGGAAGACTGCACTTTTCAGCCTAATATCAAAGTGAGCAAAGAAAAGCGATCTATACATGAGTTTGCAAGTGATATGGAAAGACTTGAAAAAAATCGCCAAATTGCAATTGAGGCATTAAGACAAGAACATCTCAAAGCACTTGGAAATGGAGGCGTTAAGCTAAAGCCCACAATCTGTAAGAAATCGGATTTGATAGCCCAGCAGCAGAGAGGTAGGTCAACCATATCAGTGCACGAAAAATTATGAAGAGAGCGCACAGATAAAGCACAAGAGCAGCTACTATCCCCTGCTAATTCGGTCACAATTGATAGGAGATCTTTTACGCCGAGCATCAATGAGAGATCTTTAAGATTAGAAAGAAGCGAATCAATTGAAAATAGGCTATATAATGACGCTTTGAGGAGGAAAAGGGCAGCAAGTCAAAGCCCAGAAACTTCTTTTAGAGGAAGGCTGATAACAAAAAACTCTGAAAGGTTCTTAGCAAGAAAATTTGAAAATGAATTTTCAGCTAAAACTAGAGACCTAGATATAGATGATAGCATGAATTACACTAAATTTGCTGCTTTATTAAAGTCTATGAGCTTTATAGTAGACTCAGATAAAGGAAGAAGCGATATGATTGAAATATGAAAAATTTTACAGCCAACAGAAAATTATGTGAAGAAAGACAACCTTTTGAATGCATTAAAAGGGATTATGAATTATCCTTTATCTGAACAAGAAGAAGGGCTACTAAAGTTAGATAGAAGTTTGCTTCATAGAAATTTTCATCATCTTTCAGAGAATAGGGAAAGGGTTGTATATCATTCAAATAGGAATCCCAGGTTTAAAGGAGGGCTTGAGACGTACAGTTTTAGGCCAAGCTTGAATAGAACGAGCTCATTGCTTGGAGGAAGGTCTCTAAGCAATCGTAGTTTCATACAAGGACAAAAGAGCAATGCAGATTTCCTTGCAACAGAACAGCAAAGGCTCCAAGTAAAATGATTAGAAATGAAGAAAGCCAAAGATGCTGAAGAATCCAAGCTGTGCACTTTCAAGCCTGTCATCAACAAAAAAACACCAATAAGGCATAGTAAAGTAAAAAGCAACGACGTCATCACTACTCATTATAAGCGCCTAAGTTCAGAAAAAAATAGATTTGAAGCCTTGTATAGTTTAGCAAAATTTGAAAGAACAGAAAAAGAAAGGCTTGTGAAGTCGAAAGAGGAATCTGAAATAGAAGAAGACATGAAAGAATGCACATTCACTCCAAAATTTGAAACACAGAAGTTCAATAACGATTTTGATCAGGTAAAAGGGGTTTCACAGCTGATCAATAAGCTCAGAAAAGGGAAGATGGATGCGAAAAAATCAAAAAATGAAGACCAAGAAAACAAGAGCATTCATAAGAGGAAAGGAAGCTTGCAGGGAAGGTCTGATAGACAAATTACGACTAAAGAGTCAAGTGAAAGCAGAGAAAGCTATCAAAATTCATATAGCTCCGAAGACGACGATACCTTGACTGTTTCAGTAAATCTTCCCAATGGGGTAGTCGATACACTTATTATTTATCCTAATGATAACAGAGAAGAAGTTGTTCAGAAGTTTATTGATAAGCATGGCATTGACGAAGTAGCAGCAAGAAAATTAAAAGCAGGTTTACTCCAATAATACTATTTAAATTAACATTCCAAGAATTATTAATTTGCTTGCAAAGACTATTGGTTAAGAAGCTAATAATATCAAAATTAGCTTAAAAGTCGTCCTCTGGTTGTTAATGATTCAGACTCAGAACTACTCACACAATCCATATAAATATCTTCGCTTTCCAGCATCTTTTTAAGCAGCCTTTCTATTCTTTCCATTTTTGCATTATTTCTGATCATCTGCTCTTTCATCACTGCAAGCTCTTTATTTCCCAATCCTTCATTTTTTATGAAAATCACACTTTCCTTTTCATTGTCAAGCTTCTTTAATTCTTCTATGATTAATTTTTTGAAGCTTAAAGATGTTAATTCATTGAGCATTCCAACTTTGTTTGCCTTAATTAAAGCATTCATTTCTGCTAGTAAATATAGTGACTTGGGGTAAACAGCACGGGGCTTTTTTGCTTACCAACAAGCCAAAAAAGTCCCGTGCTGTTTATTTTTTCATCTTTTTCAGAAGCTCTTTTCTCCATTTCTTTTCAGATAAGAGGAAATCCAAATTTTATTTTTGAGCATGTCTGCATTACAATTACTTTTTGGGTTAATATTAATAGGTGTAGGTTTAATCCTGCCATAATGTTATATTTTCGCGTTACTCTATTAATCGCTTCATAGTCTCCAAAGGATTCTCCTTCATTGCACTTATAAAAAGCAATATTATTTTCACAGACATAAGATGCTCTTCCTTTTACTACAAAATACATTGAATCTGCAACTTCTCCAATAGCGACCACAAACTCAGAATATGGCACGTACATTGGCTGAAGGTAAGCTGCGACCTCAGATATAAATTTAAAATCTTTATTTTGAAAAAATTCCAATTTTGTAATTGCTCCAAAGTGCATATTTATGCCAATTTCATATTTCAATGTTGTTGGGAAGTCATCAAGCATATCATCTCTTTCATTTTGAGAATAGTTTTTCTTCATTGCATTATTACTAACAATTCGCTGAATTTTCATTTTTATATTATTTGATAAAGCAGATGATTTTATATAGGCTTCGACCACCGCCATTTTTTTATCAAGAATTCTTGTTTTTGTGTCGCTTTCTTCAAAGAGTTTTGCAATATTGCTGATGCTGAATGATAAAAAATAAACTCCGATCGCCATTCATAAAATGGCCACAATTTTTTCAGGTATTGTCGAAGCATATATATCTCCATAGCCAATTGATGTAAACGTAGTCATGGCTCAATAAAATGCAGCAAGATATTTAGTATATGAATTCTTGTCAAGATAATCATTAGTGACAATTCATGAATCAGGATCAAAATCGTCTAATTTGCCAGTCATATAAAACATGCATGCTGCAATATGCATAAGTACTAAAACGCCTAAAATTCAATACATAATAACAACGGACCGTCTATGGAAGTTGAAATTAAGTTCTAAGCATTCAAATATCTTTTTCAATGATTTGCTGTCAAGGAATTTTATCAGTCGTGAGAGTCTTAACCCTTTGAAGAGGATTCTCAGCTTTAGCGCTTTCATTATTTCATCATGATTTTGAGAAAAACTATTCGATGCTAAAGCATCAATCATTTCAAAAGGAACACTTGCAGCAAGATCGATAACAAACCAACCTGTCAAGTAATGTCAGATAATCATCTTTCTATCTGTAATAAATGCGCCATCCTTCTTGTAATATGCAGTGTTGAAATTCAAAATTAAGTCAATAATAAAAACGCAGTCTTGGGCAAAATCAATTCAGAATCAAAAGTCTCAGTTATTTGTGATAAGGAATGCCATTATATAAGGGATTACAATTGCAGTGTATAGTAAAATAACAAAAATAAAAGCGTTTAATATCTCTCTTATGTAGCCAGAAGGGTGCAAGACAAATGCCGGCAGGTTTTCTTTTTTCTTATGATATTTATCTATTATATTCTTTGCCCTAGATTTAAAATAATCGTCTATTTGAGGCGGTGAAACAGTATACTCTGTAAAAACTCCGTGAGAAGGGCCAAATAATCTCACTTCATTGATCATTTTTCTCAAGCGTAGGGTGATTAAAATTTTTCTTTTGGCTCGTTGTCAGATAATAGCGTATTTGAAACGATTTATTGGCTCGTATAATAAATTTTCAGGGATTTCAAAATCGTGAATGATAATAGGCGCAGGATCCTTAAGTTCTTCATCATTTTTGTCAGCTTTTCTGGAATTGTTGAGTTTTTCGCTTTCTTCTGTTGTGTTGGTTTTTATATATTTCCTATTTAAAAAACTGATTATGCTTTGATTTACCATTAATGATATAAATTTTACATATATTCATATATTTAATGAAAATTTTAAGCTTAGCAGATAAATCATTTTAGGTTATGGTTTTTCTTTTATTTAATTAAAATTTTGAGATAAAAAATATGTCGTACCTCCCACCCTCCTAAATGAGCAAATCATTGGAATAATCCTTTCTTTTTAATGAATAAAAAACCTCATAGCTTAGAAAAATAAAATATTTTTATGATATATAAGTAAATTCTTATTATAATGAAACCTCTATTAAATTTAAACGGTCTACGTTTCAAAACATAAATTTTACAAATAAACTCAATTTGTTTGCAGGTTGGGATTCTTTTAAAATTTCAAAAAGCAGTTAACCCTTAGTAAGTTTACAAATTTTGTCCTTGCTGACGGAGGAGTAAGGAAAATATAAAAGAAAGTATGCCAATAATTTAAATTCAAAAGTATTATAAATGTATTGCTTAATTGCAGAGTTTCATGCATAAAGGAACTGCACATTAATCCCCTTCCTCTGCTCGGGATTCTACAATAATCATAGAATGAATCAAATATAGCCCATACTCCTATATAGATTTCTTTATCGAACAGAATGCAATGGATAATTGAACCATTAAGACTCTATAAAATGGACGAGCTGAATCTCTAATCCAGGAAGGGTTAAAAATGACATGTCAAAAAATGGTTGACAAATTGACAAACAAACGCTCCAATTTTTAAAATGGTCTATTATTAAATTAATTTTAAATTGATACCCTTTTATTTATATTTATATCGCTAATGACAACTTTAAAAAGAAATAAAGAAATAAAATTTCTGAAACTGTTGCAAGACTTTTGAGAATGGAAATATTCATCCTCTATATTATGCAAGGTGCTCAGTCATTTCCGAGAGATTTTCATTTTGGCGTTTCTGTTAATAATCTAAATTATAGAAAATGAAGAAATCAAGTGAGTGAAATTACTGGAACCTCTGCAAGACTTTCAAGGCTAAAAACATTTATAATTCATAACCCTCATGCTCTGCAATATGGAAAGCGCATCTATTATATTTTTACTAATAGACTGCACAGTCCAGTGTCAGTTTTTCTTCATGTTACTTTTTTTGAGTTTATTGTAGAATTCTGCTATATGGAAGCTATCATAGGGAAGCTATCATAGAAATGACTGGGCATTTTGCATAATATAGGGATCATGAATTATGAATGTTTTCCACTCTCGAAAGTCTTGTAGCAGTTTCAGAAATTTTACTCCTTCATTTCTTTGTTTTTAAAGTTGCTTATAACCGATATAAATATAAGGGTATCAAATTTAAAATTAATTTAATAATAAACCATTTAAAATTGGAGAGTTTGCTTGCCAATTTTTTAGCCCTTCTGGTATAGAAATTAAGCACATCCATTTGATAAAATCTGTCTTGGTTGTTCAATTATCTATAGCATTTCTGCTCGATAAATAAATCTATATAGAGGTGTGGGCTATATAAATATTCATTGATTATTTCTTCATCTAAAACTCCTATCAACTCTTTTTTGCATTCATCATAGCTTCATTCTCTCTCTTCCTTATCTCACAGATCTTTTACAATTTCATATGCTTTTAACAATTTTTCATGCCCTAACTTCTCTTCAAGGTATAGTCTTAAAGTTTCAAGCTGTCCATATCTTGAGCTTTGATACTCAGAGCAGGGCTCACTTACTTTTTCTTGGAAAAAGTTTTGAATAATTTTTACTGATTTATCATAAGTATTCTCTGGATCACTGACAGGCAAAATTTGAGGAGGCTCATAGGGTAAGATTTCTTGATTTTCAAGCTCATCCACCCTATCTACGATATCTTCACCCTCACTTACTTCTGCCGTAGGTGCAGTTGATTCAGAGACTTCAGACTCTATTTCCTCACTTTTTTCTCCCTCAATTATAGCTTCTTGCAATTTAATTATTAGTTTTTCTTGCTCTCTTTCTATTTGAGCATAATCTCTTTCATCTCCAACCCACTGCACAATAGCTTCGTCTTTTTTGTTTTTCATCTCAGCCTTTTTTTTCCTTTTCATTTCGTCAATCATTTTTCTCCTTTCTTCGTCTTGTTTTTGCTTTCTCTCGTCTTTTTCTTTTGAAGCTTCTTTTTTCTTTTTTACTCCGTCCCCCAGTATTAAGCAAATTCTTGCTCATCAGGGATTTTAGCACAGAATATTTAAATAGTAAATTTATATTAATAGATCAAAATTTTCTTATTATTGGTACTAGATACCCAAAATTTGCATTTTTTGATTCCCTAATAATAAGCAAATTTTGATATATTAATTCCACAAATAAGCAAGAGCTTCTTATTGTTGGGGAAGTTAGATCTTCTTGCTCTTTTAAATAAGAATCTTTGAGGAGTTTTTCTTTTTGCTTGCGCAGTTCTTCAAGTCTTTTTTGAGCTTTGTCTTTTTCTTTAGCTCGCTGTTTTTCTGATTGGACCGAGAGATTAAAATCTTTTTTGGGTTTTAGCTCATCTTCTAACTCCCCCCCCCTCCGTGAGTGAACAAAAAAATTTTGTTCACTCACGGAGGGGGGTTAATTTTTTTTTTTTTTAAAAAAATTTATATATAAATTTTATAAAAAATTTTTTTTTTGAAATTTAAAAAAATCCTAATTTGCAAAAATTTGAAAGCAAATATTAATTTAATTTATAAAATTTATGTTTTAAAATGCAATTCATTTAAAATTAAACAGAATTAGCTCTAGATTTCATTATATTAATTATCATTTTATATATCAAAATTTTTTTCCATAAAAAATTTTTCTATTAAAAAAATTTTTGTTCACTCACGGAGGGTGGGTTTTTGGTCAAAAAATGGCGATTTTTCTAATGGTTTTGTTCACTCACGGAGGGGGGGGAGTAAGTGTTTAGCAATTGGAAACTTAGCCTGAGGAGTTGGTGGCTGAGATGCAGGCTTTGATTTAGGGATTTGTGGTGCTTCATGAGAAATTGGCTTATCATATAGGGCTTGATATGCAGGCTCTGGATTTTCTTTTTTAGGCTCTATATACCACGGATTTGGATTTGGGTTTGGAGCCTTTGGCTTAGGCTTATATTCGGGGATTTTTTGAATTAGATCAGCTACTTGCGGCTTCCTTTCCTTAGAAGAAATAAAATGGTGGCGTTGACCAATTGGTCTCCAAGGCGCACTCCCTATGCCCCAGGTAGAGCCCATCCTGATGAGCTGAAAGCAGGGCCTTGTCCCTCTCGAATTAGGCCTTCAGGATTGGTTTCTCCCCCGAAGGTTTTCTGTCCCTGCAGGATGGGGTAGATGATTTTCCCTCTCAAATAGTCTTCATCTATCAGGATTATCGGGGCACCCTATATGGGTAGCTCTAACCTAGGGAGCTGATCCGTAGATTAAGATTAGGTTCGTCTCATCAGAATAATCAAGAGTGTTGAATTTTGGCTGGCCTGGCACCATTTGCACTCTGGTTTCTATTCAGCGTAGGTTACCTTTCTGGAATCAAGGCAGTTAGCTAGTGGAGAGTCTGCTTATGACCGTGCAAAATTTTAATCTTAATCTTAATCTCCTTAGGAGGTACACCTTTTGGTGGAAGATTTCTCATTCCATCTCTTGCAGGAGGTATATCTCTTCTATAAGGATCTTTGCTTTCTTCATTAGAATGCTCTTTAAAATTTTCTCTAGCTTGCGCTCTCTTTTTCGCTTCTTCAAGTTCCCTTATTTCTTCTTCCTTCTTTCTCCTATTTTCTTCCTCCCTCTTTTGCTCTTCTTCCCTTTTCTTTTTCATTTCTTCGTTCCTTCTTTTAACCTCTTCGTTCTTTTTTTGTATTAATTCTTCACCTTTTTTCTTATCTTGAGCAGAGAAAACATTTTGGTTGTGCAAGACTGTATGTGAAAACTCTTGGGCTCGGATTGTTTCTCCCAGAAAATTTTGGATTTTTTCTTTTATGAAATTCATCCTAAGAATTTGAGCCAAAGAGGGCCTTCTTCCTGGATCAATTGAAAGCATTTGGCCAATCAAATTTTTTAAGTCCCTTGAATATTGATTTGCTATGGGTGAGTAATTTCCTTTAACTATATTCAATGATAATTGATGAATAGAATTTCCATCAAAAGGTGGCCGAAGGGCACACAATTCGTAGAGTAATACACCCAAAGACCATATATCGCTTTTAAAACTATATGGCTTGTTTTGAATGATCTCAGGTGATAGATAGTAAGGAGTTCCAACTTGAGTTCTTGCTTTATCAATAGTATGGCTCAATACTTTTGCAATGCCGAAATCACCTAATTTTATCATTCCATTACTCATAAGGAAGATATTTTGACCCTTTATGTCTCGATGAAGCACTTTTCTATCATGAACATGCTTCATAGCTAAACAAATTTGGACAAACCAATTTAATATTTGATTTTCAGGGAACAGTCTTCCTCTTTGGGCTTGAATTTTTGAAGCTAAATCACCACCATCTGCATAGTCCATAACAATATTTAACTTCCCATTTGTAGTTGTATATACGTCTCGAAATTTAATGATATTGGGATGATCAAAAGCAGACATCACTTTCGCTTCGTGATAAGCCTCCTTTTTTTCTTGAGGTGACATTCTTGATATATCGATTTGTTTTACAACCCATTTGGATTTGTCATCAGGCTTCTCACATAAATAGCATTTTCCAAATGCTCCTTCTCCAAGAAGTTTGATTTGTTTTAGTCCTTCGACCATTTTATTTAGCCTGAGTGCTTTATCTGCTTATTTTATCTAAATTAAAGCAAATAAGAATACAATTAGTAAATGTTATTTTCTTGTTTTCATGCAATTAACTGAATGAATAAAATTATTTTCAAAAATTTATAATAAAAAACGATTTATTTCTGAGTAAAAAATGTTCGTGTTTTTGAAAATTGATTAATAAATTATTATAAAGTAATTTTTATAAATAAAACACTTAAAGTCTTTTAGTAATATCCTAAAAATAATTAAGCTTATTTACCAATTTATTCGTTTTTTTAAATTATGACTAATATTTTGATATTTAAAGTGAAGTTAAATTAATTTAATCTTCTTCTTCCCAACCTCCTGAAGCCGAGCCATCTAGATCAATATCTGTGCAGTGAGTAATAGCATAAAGTAATTTAGTTTTCATAACTTCTTTGGTAGTATAAGGTGGAAGATCCATAGTAAAGAAGCAAGTGTGCGAAATAGGCATATAATTATCCACATTTCCTGAAGGATTATATCTGGTTATGGTCATGTGTCTCCAATCTCTTCCTGATGGTAGCTTAGATCGACCCCACACAAACTTTAAGAACAAGGTTCTCTCTTTAGGACTCATTTCAGTAAGAACCTCCCATAAATTAATAATATGCTGATCTGTCAGGCTGCAATTGCTATAGTCAGTATTTGCCTTTAGTATGTCTATGTCGATATTTGCTGCTCCGCATACTAAGGTTTCTACTTGTTTCCAGCTAAACAAATTCAAAAAGTCAGTTGGAATGACAGCACTCATTCCTTTTCTGATTGCTTCATAAGCCTTAGGATTTTCATTGAGCCTATATTGCTCAATTAAGTCTGCATATTTGGCTGCATTTTCATAAGTGACTTGGATTTCTTTCCCTCCTTCGATTAGTTCAACTTCACGCCCACTTGAGTCCTTGGTTGTGAATTTTTCATCATAAACCATAGAAAAGGTGTCTGGAGTTAATTGATTGGCTTCAGGATTCCTTAGAATTTCGAGGATTTGAACAATGCAGACGTCAAGACCTCTCAAATCTTGGGTTGAGAGTTTATCCATAATAAGCCTCTTCCAGAACAGCGGTGGGAAGGACAGGTTCAAGTTATTTTGAGTTCTTATTGCAGCTCCCATTAATTTACCTAAGAAAGTAAAGAGTTCAATATCTTGCTGACTGTCTGCTGCTGGGTTCACAATCCATGACTCTCTGTTTTCGCCAATGTTATGAACATTATTAGGTGATGGAACAAGAAGTCTCAAATAAGAAGATTGAAGTTCATCACACATGTTGCTCATCGATTCGTTATATGGGCCTCCAGCGTCAATTGCTGCTTCACCTCTATAGCTAACTTGATAAAACCTTTCAGAATTTCTAAATTCAGTATTTTGCCAAGATATAGTATTTCGATAGATTTGTCCGAATATTGAAAATTGTCCGAGTGCATCAACATCTTTTCGATCTCTATGCCTTGCTGCTTTTGGCCTATCAATAGTTATGGATTGCCTATTGCCATAAACTGACTTTGATAGATGCTCTTTCAGTAAGTTATTTTTAATTCTAAAGAAAATATAATTTCTGGATCCTGCCAGTGCTTTTTGCAATTCAGTCATAGACTGGTATGATTCGAAGTGGATATCAAATAATCCTAACAATTCATTTGTTTTCTGGTTAAATTTTTGAAGGATTCGATACAGCTGCTTCATGTCATCTTTACTCAATTTCTCAAGTTCAGGATAGTAAATTAACTCAGACTCGCTTGGGTCGATATCATCATCTTTCAGTTTAAGTATATCTTTTCCTTTTGATTGAGTCATTTCATCAAGGTAAATAACGAGCTGCTCTGCTGCGCCTGACTTAAAGAAATGAGAGAATTTAGGCAAATAAGTTTCATTCCAGAGTGTCTTAGTTTCGTCTCCTGCAAACGCTAGAAAAGTATTGATATCTTGAACAGTCTTTAATTTAAACAGAGGAGTGACTTTAAATTTATAGCCCCAAAGCGCAGAGTTGGCTTCTGAGTGAATATTTATGATATCAATTCCAGCAGGAGTACTCGGCTTATTTGAGATTGCTACACTCTGATTAGAACCTGAGAAAATAACAGCATATTGATATCCATCATTTTCATTTTCCAATTTAGGTAGCTCTTTTGAAACAAGTAACTCTCCATTCTTAAAGATCTTGAATTCTTTTGCATCAAAATCAATATATGACCCTATATTGTCATTCGTAGCGAATCCTTCGACGTCAGAGAAAACTAAAAGTGAAGATTGCTCAGCATTTTTAGCCTCAATTGAAGATTTTAGAGCAAAACCCAACCCAATTCTCCCTTCAGAATTCACCATACTTTCAACGAAATGTTTGCCAGACTTTAATAAATGGGCAGTGGTATGTACGGAAGCGCTATTCTCAACTTTAGTTATTGTTCTCTCTTCATCAGAAATTCGTATGCTTTCATCTTTACTCCATTGATGGCTCAGGAGTGAGCCAACATTTGCTGGATGCCAAGCATAGATTGTATCACCTTTAAATTCTGCTTTCTTTTCATTGAGTTCTAGAGCTCCAAATACTTCAATTTTTTCAATAGAGATAATTTGATTTGATCCGCCAAAGCAAAGTACTGGAATTAATGATTCTGCTATTTCGGTGTATTTGTAAACTTCATTGCCATTTTTGTAGCAAGTTATTGTTCTATCGCCAAAATCTACCAAGAATGAAATTAAATCATTTGTAACATATGGCATACTACGCTCATCTCTCACTCCTGGCCTTATAAACGCTCCTCCCTGATTCCATGTTCATGATCCCTCTCCATTCATATAAGATTCGGTAACAGCCTCTGTTAAGTTTAATCGATTGGAGTCTGGGCCTCTAGCAAATCCTATAAACAAACAGCTGGATCCACCATCAGAGTCGACTTTATAAGTGATTTTAGTTTTACCTTTTGTCATAACTTGGCTTAAGAGAACATTACCCCATCCAGAAGAATTTGTCCTTGTCACTGTTTTGCCGCTATTTCTTATTTCAATATCAGGACCTTTCGGGCTATTTAAGAACTGGTAATCTGCTGAACCAGTAGCAAAGCAAGCTGGACTCGCTCCTTCAGGATCATAAGAAAAGTAAATATTGTCGCTTGGTTCGACTAAACTTTGTGTGTCAAATTCTAATTTTAGAGATGATGCCAAAGGAATATGAATTTTCTCTACTTTAGTCTGGCGTTCATAGGGATGAGATGACTCATATGTTAAAGCGGTTTTTTCTTCCAATTGAGATTTAAATTCATCAAAAATTAGCAAAGCTAAGCCTTCATCTTTTTCAGCAAGTCCTTTCATCCAGGACACAAGCTCATTTAAGTCAGCAAACCATTTATCCAAAGGTCCATCATATAATGTTTTTGTAAATTCTGACAATAAAGGAATTAAGGCTTGCAAGAAAGAACTAGTTTGGTTACTTTGATTGAATTTTTTGTAAAGCTGAGTTGCTTCGGATATCAAATAGCGAACAATTTCATAATTAGTGCTGTTTGGCACCTTTAAGAGCGATTTTAATAAGGATATGGCTCGCAGTTTCTCATCTGACTCTGACTTTGATGAAATAGTCCTCAAGAAAAGAGGCTGGATAACTCTTGAAGAGAAAAGAACTCTTGAATCAAATTCTGTGCCCAATAGTTCAACAAGTCTTTCAAGCAACCATGTTGCAAGCTCTGGGGGTGAAGAAATTTCTCCAGAAGAGCCACCGCCAATTGGAATAACGTCAAATTTATAGCCCCAATAGTTAACTGAGCCGTCACTATGGAAGAAAGTATATACTGTATCTCCTTCTACTTCAAATGATTGCCAATTTGTCTCTCCTTCACCTGAGAAACATTTTAGCTCATCGCCTCGGCCTGGAGCAGCATAGAACCTTAAAGGATCGCAGCCATTTTCGGTTTTGCATTGAGGATCAAAAACAATTTTAAGCTTATCTGCTCCTGGAATTGATATGCATTCATCGAGGTCTGTGGAATTATTGTAAGGATGAGGGCTTTCTATAACTAAAGGCTTAAGCTCTGCAGTTGATTTTGGAATCAAACCAGAAACAGTTTTGACAACAAATTCTTTAACACATAATTTTCTGAATTCCTCAGAACTCTTGAGCAATGATGCTACAGTAGTTTCTAATTGTTTATAATCATTACCAATAAATGTAAAAGATTTATTTAGCCTGTCTGGATTGGCCAAAATGTTTGGGTTTTTCTTTAAGATGCTTACTCTCCCTCCCATACATAAATAAATTGGCGACGTAACCAGCCCGTCTTCTCTCAGATCTCTTTCGAGTTTAGGGAATTTAATGCGCCCTGAAGCCAAACGAGCAGGAAACGGAGTCTAAGCGTACTGAGCATTTGGCTCCGGTTGGGTTTCCTCCCTCGTCCGGTAATGTAAACTTTGTGTCCTCCAGACGTACATTTGGGAAAAAGGCTTTTTATCCCTAAAGACCACTAGTGCTGACGACGAAGGCATAGTTTGTAACGATACTCGTTAGAGAGTTATCCCTATCTGGAACTCAGCTCACTCAAGCACTAGCCGTAAATTCCCAAATCTGGATACTTCAAGGTTCAGAGACAACATTAAGAGCTGGAGGAGAATTATTTCTGGTGGAAATGCTGGCATACCCAGAAAGGTTAGCTAGCAGCTGAGTCTTCTGCGAAGATTCACCTCAGTAAGACTTAAAAGGAGGAAGGCCCTAATCTATAATTAATGTTAATGCAATGCTTACTCTCCAATTTTATTGGGACTAAATATTCTTTTCCAATTTTAAAAAAAAAACAGCCAATTTTATTTACTCCCCGCTCCGTGACCAAACAAAGAAATTTGCACGCTCACTTAAGGGGGTCAATTTTTTTTTTAAAATATTTATATATAAATTTAAGAAAAAAATTTTTCTTCAAATTTTAAAAATATTCAAATTTGTAAAAATTAATTTAAATTTGCAAAATATATACTTTAAAATGCAAGCTTTAAAAAATTATAGAATTAGCTGAGATTTCATTATACTAATTATCACTTATATCGAAATTGTTTTTCATAAAAAATATTTTTCTTAAAACAATTTTTGTTCGCCCACGGAGGATGGGCTTTTGGTCAAAAAATAGGGAATTTTTTAATGGTTTTGTTCACTCATGGAGGGGAGTTAGAAAATTTGATATAGCTCAGGATGATCTATAGCGTGTCTGGACTATATTAAAATTTATTCTATAAAATATTCTATAAAATAATGATAAATTAACCCAATATTTTTGAATTTTTATTTATTTTTTGAAGTAATACCTAAAAATAATGATTCATTATAAACACTATTAAATAATGTTCTACTTAAACTTCTTCCATTAAATTAAGTCAAAAATAGTTATATAAAAATTCATAAATTTAAAGTTACCAAATATTAGAAATTTACCGATATTTGTTCAATTTAAAAGGGGAGTTAATAAAATCTTTTTGCTTGCAGAAAAGTTTCTGACTCAGCAAAAAACAGAATTGTTTTCTTCAATGATTATAGCTTTTGATAAAAAATGTCTATATACATTTTTAGTCTATTTAAATTAAATATTGCAATTATTATCAAAATATAGATTATATTAAATAATATTTGATGCATTTTGTTCTTATTAAATTTTTTTAAATATTAAAAAATCTCACATATAAAAATTTTATAAACTGTGTTAAATTAGTAATGAAAATAAGTTTTTTTAACTCTTAAGTTGAGGATAAGTTCTTCGACATCATATAAAGCATTATAAAGCTCAATTAGAGAATAGAGGTTATAATTTCTTTCGTCTTCTATCTTATTGACTGAGCTTTTTGCATCAGCTGTTTTGTCTGTTAATCCAAATGATGATGCTTTACTGGCAATTGAACTAAGTGAAGATACAGAGCAATTCAAAATCAAGCTGGATTTTTTAAATCCAACAAACAAATAGTAAGTTTTTTCACTGCTTGGTGCAATATTTATTGCTTTGTTGTCTTTATCAGTTATTAATCTATATCCAATTGGCAAATTTACATTATAAGGATCTGTAACTTTGAAAAGCGCAATATCATAGATAGGCGATTTTTTAGAGGATTGTTGGAAAACGTTGCATGATCTATTTTGCTCATTGCTAAGGTTACCTATATTTGTATAGCTGCTAGGCTCTCCTTCAATAGCGATATCTGATAAAAAGGTTTCTAGAGGAAGATCTTTATTGAATGCAAGAACCTTTATATTTGCAAAATCAAAATCTATTGGGTATTCATCCGCGTAAACTTGAGCAATTGTGTAGTCTTTAGGAACTTGATCTTTAGAGTCAAATATTTTAACATCATTTATCACTCTTTTATCATAATCCAGACATAAAGCTTTGGCATCATCAGCTTCTAAATGCTCAAAAGCGTAATCAATTGACGCACTCAAATCGACATCTCCTTCTGAGTCATGCTGCAAATTTTCTGTGAGTCCAATTAAAGCTAATTGTTTTTGAGCTGCGTTAGATAACTTATTAAAGACTCTTACAAATTGTTCTCCACCTTCTAATTCTTTTGGCCTAGCAATTTCAGCCTTTGCAGAACCTTCATATAAGCCTTCATAAATTTCGAAGCCTAATAAGGTAACAATTTTTCCTTTTTCAAGATAAATTCCGAAATCTCCGACTTTAACTCCGTTAAAAATGCTAACCCGCCGCCTCCGCGTGCAAAGAAAAACATATTTTTAGCTCACGGGGAGTTAATTCGAAATTTTAAAAAAATCCAAATTCGTAAAAATTGAGAAGCAAATATTTATTTAATTTGTAAAATTTATATTTAAGAATTTGTTTAAAATTAAACAGGATTAGCTACAGATTTCATTATACTAACTATCATTTATATATCGAATTTTTTTTCATAAATAATTTCTATTAAAACAATTTTTTATTCGCTCACGGAGGGTGGTTTTTGGGGCAAAAATATGGATTTTTAATCAATAGTTTGTTCACTCACAGAGGGGGAGTAAGATTTATTTTTTCGAAGGTATGGCCTTCAACTGTGATATAAACCTGACCCCTAGCTTTTGCGTAAACTCTTACAAATAGTTTTTCAGTTTCGTTCAATTTTTCTGTTGTTTCTCCATTTATAGTGAAGTAAAGTTCATCAGTCTTCTTTATCCCAAGCTCTAGCTCCCCCCTTCGTGAGTGAACAAAAAAAATTTTATTCGCTAATGGAGGGGCTAATATAAATTTTATTGTAAATTTTTTGTTTCGAAATTTAAAAAATCCCAATTTGTAAAAAATGGAAAGCAAATATTTATTTAATTTGTAAAATTTTGTGTTTTGAAACGCAATTTGTTTAAAATTAAGCAGAATCAGCTACAGATTTCATTTACTAATTATTATTTATATATCAATATTTTTTTCATAAAAAATTTTTCAATTAAAGAAATTTTTGTGCGCTTACGGAGTGGGTGGAATAAGTCTCCAATCTTAAGGCCACAGTTTACAGAATCATCAGATAGTTGATATTCAAGAGTAGCTAAAATTGTAATAGAATTAGGCTCTGTTGTCAAACTATTAAAGATTGAGCCATCCAGCTTAACCGAGATCTCACTTTTCTCGTTTATGCCTTCAAGGAGACTCCTAATGGTTAAGTTGGCACACTCGTCTTGATAAATAACTGATTTCCTGGAGCCTTTAGTTGCTAATGACTTTGAAGATGCTAGTTTATAAAGCTGAACTTGCTCTTTCTCAGGCTTAGGTGGTTCTTGCCAGTTAAGAATTCCCTCTTTATCCTTTATTCCAGCATCAAAGCATTTGATAATTCTAATTGCAGGAATATCAAGTGATAAAAGTTCAGTTGCTAAAATCTGTTCTTCTTCATTAAGTGCCCCAATTCTTGCTTGAGCACTTTCTTCTGTTAGTGGTACTGCTTCTGGCTTATTTTCACCGTGAGAACTTGAGTGTATTTTTGTTGCAAGTTGTTTTAGAATATTCGAATACATCGCCTTACTTGTGTATTTAGGAGCTAGTGGCTTTCTCTTTAAAATTCTTTCAGCTATTTTCTCAACTATTTCTGAACTTTGATCATTTGATTCAAAAATATCGACAATAGCTCCAAGAGTAGCATTCTCGAGGCTTCTGTATAGAGTTCTTTGGAATGCATATGACTGTGATGAGTAGCTCAAGTCGAGACTATCATCATAGTCTTGGAAGTTTTCCCATAGAGTAATCAATGAAACACTTAAAGTATCTTTCTCTTCAGAACTTATGATGCTAAATAGATTAATGCTGACTTGCTGTTCAATATTCTCTATCTTTTCCATTGCTTCAGTTGCTGAAGTATCTTCACTCACAGAATAGAAAGCAGCATTTGTACCATTGATTTCTCTTATGATGCCTTTGGGAAGTCAGTTAAGTTATTAAGTATTCGGCCATACGCGCTCCCGCAGACGCTGGCCATCCACACCGTCTCGGCTCTCAAAAATGGCATCCGAGGATGCCATTTTGGATTTCCGTCCTGAACCCACCTGTCCAGGAGATTAGCTCGCCCTGGACAGAGCCGCATTTAGATAGCACCTCGATGGCCCCAATGTGAAAAGACCATGTGTTAGGCAAAACCTGTCTAGCTTGTCTGGTAGACAGGGAAAACCTTTGGGCGAGAAAAAAAATTTCCCTTTTCGGCAAGGAATTCCCAAGTCTGAAGACCTACTTCCCCCAGAACAGAGGACCTACTTTCACCTCATCAGGATGGGTCCTACCTGCTCCATAGGAGCGCGCCTCGGTGTCCTATTTCCGCCAACGTCACCATTTTATTTCTTTTGGGAAGTAAGGAATTAGAAAGTTTTGCATTTGCCAACACAATTGGCTCTTCTCCAAAGCCATCGAAGCCTTTTGATACTGAAGCAAGGAAGGAAATAGCTCCAATTGCTTTTGGAGTTACCCTGTACCCATTCCTGACAGATGAGGAAGCATCTTCCAATGCATCAACAATGCTCATAACGACACGTCTCCTCCATCTCTCGACTTCAATAAGTGAAAGAAGGAGATTTTTTCCTTCATAAACCCAACGAAGCTTATGCTTTTTGAGATTTTCTTTTTCGTACCAGGTAAAGCCATCTCCAATTCTCATAAGGATCGAGGAAATGTAGTCACCTCTGTTCTCCTCAATAATATTGAAGATATCATCAAACCAATTAATAGTCGATTCAGGAGAATGCTGGCTTCCAACTACATATTTAACTCTCCCCTTTAAATTGAATAAAATTTTCAATTTTTGGGTACTTTAAACTATATATAAAATGGTGTGGCGGAACAGCCCAACCTCCGCTCACCTGCAGCTGGGGAGACCCAGGAGCTTTGTTGAAGGGAGTTTTAACGTTGGGTATGTTTATCAGGCTATGTTTTACTTGGCTTTGGTAGAGCGCAATGTCGGTTGGCAGACCGCAGGCTAACATTCAAGTCAAAAGTTTTACCTCGGAGAAAGATGGAATTTTGAGTTGGAAATGGAAATGGGTGCCCCAGCAATAATAGTGAGGCTCTCCTGATAGATCGGAAACATTTCCCAGAGCGATGCCAGAGGTTACGTCTTGGGTTACAATTTTCATCTTGGCTGATAGGTAACCAGAAAATTTGTTTTTAAATTTTCTAGAAGACACAACCCCGTTTCATACGGCAGGTGGCCCAACCTTTCAAACTACCAGGGAGCATGTGCAGGCCTATGTTTGGTACGATCTAGACTTTAAGGTCGCAAGATGATTGTTGGCGAAGCAGATGAGTGGAACGTTATTGAGGGCTTTTCTATATTTTAAATAAGTGCAAAGTGGATACTTTAAAACCCCTTTAAACTAGAACAAAATTTGTTTTTCAATCGGAAAATTTTATAGATGAAAATACTAAATTTTATACAATTAGTTTTGATGTATTTTAATAGTAAACTGTTATGTGAACAGTTTTCAGGCTGAATCGATTAATTTTTTTTCAATTCTTTCATAAAAATAAAATAAAAATTTCAAAGTATTGTGCTCATTTATATATTTTTTAAAAATGTAAAATCTTTAAAATTTTTATAAGGAAAAATTTAGATTTTTTTTAAAAAAAATAACCATTCTTCATATTGGAACAGCATTTTTTGTTCAAAGTTAAAAGGGAAGAGTAAGGATTCGAGCTCCAATTGTAATAATTTTTTCAGAAGGAACTGCAAAGGTGAGCTGGAGCAATGATTTGATATAAGATTCACGAGCGAGGAGTTTAGGGAGACATTTAGATCCAAGACACCCATACACAACCCAAAGTAAAGAACCAATATAATCAGCATGCTCTGCAACAACTTTTGAGGTCGCTCTGCATGATGTTGGCCATTCACCATACATTGCCAGGCTATCTTGAATTTCTGTGTAGATGTTTGCAAATTTTTCGCGATTCGAGTTAATTGTCTTTATTAGCAAATAAAAGTCAATGCTTCCAGTTTCATCTTTAAATTCTGAAGGAGTGTTTTCAGGCACTTTATCTTGAGAGATAATTCCAGGGTGTTCAGAACTTCTGAAGAGCTCAATATACTTCATAAAGGATTCGCCTTCGACTGTTCTGAATCTTGAGGCAAAGGCTTCAATGACAGCTTTTACGTCTGTAAGGTCATAAAACTTTTGAGCATCATAAAAATCATAAGGCAAGTACTTCCAAAGGACTGAAGAAGATAAATAGTTTTGAACATTTTCAGGGAATTCGTTACTTAAATCTTTAAGAGTACCTAAAAACTTGAAGAAATCGTATTGTCCTTTATAATTTTTGTTTTCTTCGTGGCTCTGTAAAGTTTCAAGAATTGGCTGTTCTATATGTTCTAGATCATCTTGTGTTAAAACACCTTTCATTGAAGGATCAACTTTCTCAATGTACTCATTAATTAAATTTCTAAGTGTGAAATTTTCAAAGCCTTCAGTTTCATGCCTGAATTGGTTTAGTCATTCATGGACTGGGTTTTTAGCAAGATTTTTTGATTCGACCTTTTTGCCAATCCAATCATCACCCCTTACAAGTTTCTTAACTTCAAGTGACTCTGATTCTAAAGCTGATAAACTCTTCTCATATTTAAGATCATTAAACAGAACTTGCATGAAAGTATCCTGGACCAAAATCTTTTTAGTTTCATTAGGCTCAACCCAGGAGCCAGCTATTGAGTAAAAGAATTGTTTAAACAAAGACCAAGAGGTTCGACAGAGCTTGGCTTTTAATTCTGTTCTGTCCTTTATCTCTCCATCAATATCAGCATCAAAAAGTTCGTCGTAGTTAGAGTACTTGAAATCATTGATGCTAGGGGAAACAAGAAGGCACCTCTCTCCTGATTTCTCTTCTCCTCTCTTCACGAAAACGAATTTTGTATCTCCACTCTCAACAAATTCTCCATCAATTTTTTCATAGCCTTCTTTTGCTTGATCTGTAGAAATAACTACGTCAGTTAATGCTTTTAAGCTTTGATCTTTATGAAAAGTCAAATAAACTTTCGCTCCTTCTGGAGATTCGCTTACTCCCGCTCTATGATCGAGTAAAATATTGGGAAAATCCCTATTTCTGGCCAAAAAATCCACCTGTAAGAAAACAAAATTTAAAATTTTTATGAAATAAATTTTGTGATATCAGTGATAAGAAATATCTAGCTAATTTTATTTATTTTAAACAGCTTGCATTTTAATATATATAATTTTACCAATAAGCTAATTTTTTCGATTTCGGGAAAAAAAAATTACTGAAAATAAATAAATTTTTAAAAATTAACCCTCTTTGTGAAAGCACAATGTTTTTTCGCTTACGGAGAGGTGTTAGTAGAATCTTATCAGTTCCTTCTGGAATTTCAGCTTCTGGATGAATTTCAAGCTTAGTAACACAAAGCTCTTTCTTGAACCTTCTTTGCAACTCTTCCAGATTAATGAAGCCCTTAGCCCATTTCAGCAATTGTGCTAAAACAGTAGGGAAATGTTGCTCTAGTATTGAATGACTATCAATTCCTTTAAATGGAGAGCTCATAGCTTCTAAAAGAAACAGGTAGTAATAAATGTCAGTTGGCTGGAGAGTCTTTGTCTGAGGCTTTGTGAGTTCCTTTTGAAGTGTGCTATATAGCTGGTAAAATGAGTGTTTGACAATATGCAGTAGCTTAGGATCAATTCCCTCTAGTCCTTCCCAGTAGTGCTTTTTCTCGCCTTTAACTTTTAAAGAGTCACTAAACACTTTAACTAGCGATATTGATTGATCACTCCACTGTTTGTGAGCGAACAAAATTTTTTTGTTTGCTCAAGGAGGGGGTTAATTATTTTTTTAAAAAATATATCAATAAATTTTATCTTTCAAAATTAAAAAAATTCAAAAATTGGAAAGCAAATATTACTTTAATTTTATTATTATTAATCTATCTATCGCTGCATAAGCAGCATTTCTCTCTTTTTCTACTTTAATTTTAAAATTTATTGTTTTAAAAAAATGCAATTTGAATTTATTGAAAATTAAACAAAATTAGCATGAGATTTCATTATACTAATAATCACTTATATATCAATTTCTTTTCATAAAAAATTTTGTTCGCTCAAGGAGGTGAGTTTTTTACCCAAAAAGGAGGGATTTTTCCAATGGTTTTGTTCGCTGACAGAGGGGGAGTCAGTAGAAGCGATCATATTTGAGATGAGCTGGAATCCAACGGATCTTGTAACTGCTCTTCCTCTTCTTCCTTCAATTAGTTTTATAATTAATTCAACAGGTATTGAAGTCTCCAAAAATTTAGTGACAAGATCAGAGACTTTGTGAAACTCTTTAATATCTTCATTCTCAGGCTCACTTGTTTTAGATGAAAGTTGGACTAATCCTTTAAGCTTTGACGAAGAATGAACTGCTTCTTTAACTGATTTCCATTTGCTTCCTGCTTTAAGTCCTCCTGATTCTTTGGCTTGGATTTTGACGACACTTGATAGCAAGTTTTTCATTACTTTGCTTACACCAAGTTCATTTAAGGATAATTTATAGTCTGCTCCCAGCAACAAGGTGCATTTTGTGACGATGTCATTGCTGATGTCTGTGTAAGTTATATCAGGTTTTCCACTATCCATCAAATTTTGCTTGTGCTTTTGAGCCCATCCTCTAATCAAGTTGCTTTGCTTGATGATATATTTCAAGGTTTTGCCTAAATCTTCTGACTCATCAAAGAGTTTATTAACAGTGTCAACAACTTCGAAGAAAGCAATATAAACTGCGAAAATGGCTCTTTCTGCCTGATCCATTTCGTCACCCCCAATTCTTGTAGATGGTCCTACAACTCCGGATTGTTTTTTCAATTTTGCCCATCCTGTCTTTACTCTTTCACTGCCCTCGATAAGTTCTTGCAAGAATGGAATATAAGAAAACCTTGCTTCTTCAGGTCTTTGTTTATAACTAACTCCGCCCCTCCGTGAGTGAACAAAACCATTAGAAAAATCGCTATTTTTTTGCCCAAAAGCCCACCCTCCGTAAGTGAACAAAATTTTTTTAATAGAAAAAAAAATTTTATGGAAAAAAATTTTGATATATAAGTGATAATTTAGTATAATGAAATTTAGAGCTAATTCTGTTTAATTTTAAACAAATTACGTTTTAAAACATAAAATTTTATAAATTAAATTAATATTTGCTTTCCAATTTTTACGAATTAGAAAATTTCGAAAAAAAAATATATATAAAATTATATATATAATTTTTTAAAAAAAACAAATTAGCCCCCCTCCCTGAGTGAACAAAATTTTTTTGTCCACTCACGGAGGGGGGAGTAAGAGCATAACTTTCCAGTGACACACTTGCAGACTTGCCTGTTAAAGCCTTCTTCTTGAGAGCATCAGAATAGTCTTGAGCATTGTCTTTAAAGGTCGTAAGCTTTGCTAAGTTTTTAAGATCTTCGCTAAGCTCATTATTTGCTGATAATAAAGCAGTTTCATCTATTCCATACTTGAGGAGAGGGTTATCAAGAAGTTTTGCAGCTTCTTCATCTTCTGCATTCAAATCCCACTGACCAGAAATAAGGTTTGAACTTATAGATTCAAGCACTATGGAGGCCGCATCTTTAATAGTGTCAGGCCATTGCTTATCTAAATAAGAGACTTTACAAACTGCTTTTATTTCTATCTTCCAGCCCCAATAGCTTACACTGCCATCTGAATGAAAAGCGAAAAACAGCAATGGGCTTTTAATCTCAAGAGACTCTCTTGGAAAATCAGTTCCTGTGAAACTTCTTAGCTCATTGGTTCTATTTTCATCTAGATAGAGCTTCAAGTGATCGCAGCTATTTTCAGTTTGGAATTGAGGATCAAAAGTAAGAATGTATTTAATCGCATTAGGGACTTTTACTAGTTTAGTTGTATCAAGGCAATTTTCATATGGATGGCTACTTTCATAAATTTCTGTTTTACTTCCTGTTGCTAATGCTAATACAGCAGGTTTAGATTTAATCAAATTTACCTTGCTCAAGTAGCTCAGAAGCACCTCTAAAATTTTTGAGTTGCAACTTAAGTCCATTTTGATGAGTGGAAGGGCATAAAGGAGTCCTTCGAGTGGATGGCCAAAAATTGTATCACTGAAATTTGCAGAGATCTCGTCAGGAACTTCACCAGTTGGATATCTTTCTAATAACCCCTCAGTCAATTTAGTTGAAGCTTCTATTAACTTTCTCGAGTATTTCAAGAAAATCTTAAGCCAGTCTTGATGAGAGTTAGATTTGGCAACTGACGTAAGCAGCGCAGCTTGGCTTGCTTCAATCAATCCCACCAAGCTTCTATCAAGTGCTTGATCTCTAAAGAGAGTACCTGCAGAGGATTCCGATCCTAAGTCTACTAGTAAATCCATAAATTTATCGATTGTTTGGAATTCCTTTTCACTTTTACATTCAAAAGCTGTAAGCAATTTTTCTGCAGTTGACATTTCAGAGATAACACCATCAATTAGAATTCTAGCTGTATTATCCTGAAGCTCTCCTCCATATTTTTGCTTGAGCCCAGTCACTAAATAAGCAAGTCTTTCTTTTGGCTCATCATAGTAGAAATCGAACCCAAAGCTAATTGTTTTAGAAGCCTCTTCAGAGGCTTTAGAATCTGGTATTTCACTGAGGATAAGCTTAAGATGGTTTAGGATTTTATCCCTGATCTCATCGCCAACTTCCTTATCTTGATGATAGCTTGAAGCCAAAATTTGAGTTCTGATGAGCTGGATTGTGGAAGAAATAGCTTGAATATAACCTTCTGCGCTTAATTTGGAATCTCCTGACTTATAAGCAGCAGCAAGAATATCAAGGAGTCTGTCAAGCTGATCTAAAGTCAAGAATTGATAGTCCAAAGTCAAGTCTTTTCTTTTTGGAATTTCTGCTTTTGGATCTCTTTTCTCGAGAAGTGTCAGGATATCTGCGTTGACACAAGCTAGCTTATTAACTATAAAGGCACCAATTTCTGCAGGGTTTATATTGAACCAATCGTCAGGGACTTCATCATTTTCTAAAAGCTTGTAAGCATTACTATCTCTGAACTCAGAAGTCTCATGAGCTTTGTCTAGTTGCATGGAATTAATTAGATCCTCAGAATACTGAGTAATTTCAAAGCTCCTAACCTTAATGAGAGATCCTAGAGAAACAAATAGCCTAGTTGTTTCTGGCAATGGGCCATGGCTTCCTTGAGGCTCTTTCTCTCCATTTTTGTAAAAAGTGACTGTTTTTTCGTCCATATTCAAAAGAAGACCAATTTTATCGCCCTTGCTAAAGTGCTGCCACTCATAAATTTGATTATTATTGGAGCTTATTGAAGAATTGGCTGAATAGCATATTTTCTGATGGGTGGTATTTTCGTAGTTGCTTTCTGCAACTCCAATCAAGCAAGCCTCACTTGGAAATTCTTCTAATAAGAGCTCAAAATAGTGGACTCCACTCTTAAATTCTTTCTCACTAAGCACAAATAGCCAATTTTCTGATGATTCTTGAGTAGCTCGCACTAGCACTCCTTCATCTTCGACAACAATAGGTTGATATGCATCTTTAGGAGCAGCCCATCTTAGTTTCTCTTGAATTAAAGTTGCTTTGAGTTTTTTGAATTCTTTAAGTTTTTTCCAAATCATTTCAAGCTGCTCTCTTGTTAGCCAGTTTTGGTCAGTTTCTAAGTTTTTGATAGCTAAGCCCAAAGCTGAAGTTAAGCTTCCAGTCCCAGTAGCTAATGCAAAAAGTGCTGAAAGACTTTGGGTAATATCATTTTCTTCCACGTTCTTGATTTCTTTGCTGAGAACCACTTGAAGGAATTTTGAGATGGAGTCCAGACTTTTCCCAGTATTTGCATCTGTTGGCTGGAAAGACAAAAACGAAGCTTCTGATAAGAATTTGTCAACTTTTTGGACAACTGACGAGTAGAAATGGTTTACTCCGTCAATAGACTTAATAAGGTCTAGAAGAATCTCAAGGGCAAAAGAGGATGCTGAAGGTTTGGCAGTTGCTGCTTGCTCTTGTGCTGCTTTTTTTAGCTTTTGAAACTTATCAAGCTTAAGTAGCCCTTCAAGTGATCTGCAAATGCCTTGGAGCTTCGAGATTGCTGAGCTGGGAATTTCATCATCAGGTCTGTTTTTGACAATTTCTTGGATTAAATTTTTTATGGTGTCTCCATGCTTTTCTCTCAAGTTTTCTGGGAAGTCCAGACTATAAACCATAGCTTCTTCTTGATCAGTGCTATTTTCCACTGCTTTTCCCTTTACCTTGCTATAGCCAGGAATAGCATAATTGTCCAGATCAGATCTGCTTGTAAGTTTAGGAGTATTGAAAATGAGACGCAGGTCATTAGCAACTTCTAAATCGCTTCCTATTGATTTAGTAAGTGCTTCCAAGTCTAAAGTTTCAACTCTAGAGACTATCTCGCTTGACGTGCTTCCCATTTATTTATTATAACCAACCATATTTTAGCTCAATCAATAAATTCCTAAAATTAAAACTTATATATTTATTCTTAGATTATCTCTCTAATACTCTATTTAGCAAAATTGGCGACACAAAGAAATTATGCATAACCAATTTTGATAAAATAAAATAATAATTTTGATTAAGTAGAAAATTTGACTGAGTTAGCGATATATTAATGGCAATTCAAAAAAAAATTCTGAAATTGAACTCTAAAGCACATTTACATCAAATTCGACCCAAAACTAGTAAATTTTCACTTTCGATTTTCCATGTTTTGCATATTTTATTAGGCATATAAAAATGGACAGAATTCTAAAAAATTCTATTTGACTCTATGCAATCAGCTAATTAAGCTGATTAGAATATCCTAAAAATTATGACAAGTATTTAGATTATTTTAGGAAAATTTTTGAAGTGCGTCTATATCATTTACATAATACCTCATTAGATTGACGTATTTTACTAGATTACAGTCTTTCTTAAAAACAATTTTCCAAAAAATTATAAACTTCCTTGGTGAATTTAATTTCGTCTTGTTTTAATTTTACAATAATTTATTTAAGAGTAATAACTTTAAATATAAAATGGTAGTAAAGTATATTTAATCCAATTAATTTCTAGTAAGAAGCAAAACAACTTATCTAATTTTATTATCTTTACTAACTTATAATTCATGATTTAAAAAACTTGGAGGATTTAGGCAGTCTCATTTCAGTTTATCTTAATTTCCTTACCTGTAAGCTTTATAAAGCATCAACATCTGAACAGTCTTGAATTCAGCTAAAGAGTAACTTTAAACATCTAGCTCCAAAGTGCAGAATTGTCTTCTGAATGAATATTATGACATCAATTCCATTTGGAGTGCTCAGCTTATCTGATGCTGTTAGACTCTTATTAGAACCCTAAAAATAGTAGCATATAGAAGCCCGTCCATTTCAATTGCCAATTTAGGTAGCTACTTTAAGCGAGTTACTATCTATTCTTTAATATCTTGAATTCTTTTGCATGTATTTTCCTATATTATCACTCGCAGAGAATCTTTCTGCATCAGAGAAAACTAAAAGTGAAGCTTGCTTTTCTACCACTAACTAGTAGCACAAATTAAAAAAAAATTCAACAATCACTGTTGAATATTATATTCCTTGCAAAAAGATATCATTAGATGAACCCATAATTGGATTTACTGGAAGGCATGATCTAATAATTTGAATATAATGAAGGTATTTTTTATTTCAGTCGAAGAAAAATCAATAATTATTTCAATTCTATTGGAAAAACAAATAAAGAATTGAAAGGACTTTTTCAATCCAACCCACAAATTAAAAGCAAAGCATGCAATATGAAAATTGATTCACAATTACAATGTATATTAGATGCAACTAAACGTGAGACAAAGGGCAAGGTAGAGGATCTTAATAACCAGAAAATAATTATAGACATTGCGATACATTTTTTCAAAAACCGTTCAAAATACTCAATCCCCTTTAAATTGGAACAAAAATCCTGTTCAAATTGGAGTTAATTTTTTTAAAAAAAAAATGTAAAAATTATTCTCTTTCAAACATTTTTTTAAAACTTTTAAAAATTAAAATATTATATATTGAAAGCAAGAATTTTGAATTTTAGTTAATTTTGGAAAAGGATCATTTTAAAAATTAATCAATTCAGTGTGAAAACTGTTTAAATGATAAAATTATAAACATCTATAGAAACAAATTTGTTCCAATTTAAAATGTGGGAGTCAACAAATCGAGCCTATAAAAAAAGAGGAAGCAATCCAGCCTGCTGGGGATTGGAAAATAGAAATCAACAAAGTTTGTGGCAAAATGCTGGCTTTGTCTTCATAACAAAAGCAAAGTGTAAAATCACTCATATTAAATATTTGGCAGGCCTTAAATAAGAGAAAATAAAAAAAGTTTTAAATTGTTTAAAAGAAGATTTAATTATCCTCAGATGAGATATACATAAAAATGGTGACGACAGACCACCCGACCTCTCGACCCTATTTCTTTACATCAGCAGGCAACGGCCCAGTGTTGGAGATTTAGGTGGAAAGGGGCCGGTAATCCTTTATGTATAGTCGGGCTGGGTTTTCTTCGAGCCCAAGGAGCTAATCCTCGGACTTGGAGTTTTTCCTCCAGGACAACCATTGGAAAGGGCAAGGTCGGCCAATGTCTGAGGGCGATATGACCCTCAGACCCTGAAGACGGTATTTGCCTAACGAGAAACTGGGAATTTCGACCCAGGTGGTTGGCCCTTAGACTCCAGAAGCCATGGAAGTCAAGACTGGTCGTGCGAATCCCTTGTTTGAGGCAACAAGGAGGGTGTCCGCCGGGGCTCCTCAGGAGCGATGAGCGTGTAGGGGTGCAAATCCCTGGCCCTGCAAGGCAAACGGCTTAACTTTAATTTAATTTAATCCTCAGATGAGGTAGAATATTGCTTCGCAAGACTGATAACAGTGTTAAGATATGATAAATCTTTCCCCCATAAGTAAGTTAAATGTCCAAAAGGCATCGTAGTGTTTAAGTACACTATAGACTTTGAGTTCAAATTTTTTCTGAGCCAGTCCCCATCTTTAGGATCAGCAAGCCTGTCATAAATCCCAAAAAACAGCGCAATAGGGCCAGGGATTTTACTGATATCATAAGTTGGAGGAAAAATGGATCCATAATGATAAAGATTTCCAACAGAACCATAGTCATATTTTTCCATCTTACTGAAAAGATAATTGGTCATTTGCTGCCAATGCATCATATTGAAAACGCTTGTTCCACCTGGTTCATGAGAGAGTATTACAGGGAAACGCTCAGTATTATCTTCAGAGACTTTAGAATCTGAGAGAGCTTCAGCTACTCCTTCACAGACATCAGGAAGCACGTCACAGAACACATAGTTAATCCCTGGAGCATTAGCATTTTGCAAGAAGGAGTGAATCCCTAAGACATCTAAAGTATCGAAATATGGAATTCTTTTCAAGAGGTTGAAGAAATCAATGTCAAGGTACCTGACAGTGCCAACTGGAGCTAAAGCAATAAAAATGTTGATATATTTCATAAAGCTCGGATCTTCTGCCAAATGAGCAAACATCTGCAGCGTCCCTTGAGAGTGACCAACATATGTCAACTTCTTTTGTCCAGTTTGGTTAAGGACAAAAGGAATAACTGCTGGAATATCATATTCTGCCATGTGCTGCCAAGTGAAATCCCAATAATCAGAATGGATCCAAGGATTCCATTTGACATGCCCTAAGCTATGGAAGCTTCCTCGAGAATTTCCAAACCAAACATCAAACCCAGCATCAGCTAGAATAAAGCCTGGAGCTGGCTCATTCATGATCCAAGTATCTGAAAGATCCAAAAGGCCATGCTGAAGAAATGCAACAGGCTTTCCAGATGTTATTGGCTCATCAGTTTTTCCAGGTATACGGAAAAGGGTTAGGATATAACCATCAGCAGTTGTAACTTGATAGGACTGAGCTTGGTAACCATGGGCTACGCAAACTTGCATGAAATTCCTATGGACATCTGGGTCTTCTTCTTTTAAAGCCGAAACTGATGCGCAGAGCAAAAAGAGCTGAAGAAACATTTTTTATTGATTTGTCGATATGATTAATCAGTATATGCAGATATATATTGATATATTTAAAGTAAAAATTCGCCATTTTACTGTTGAAATTATATATTTAAAAAGTATTCAATAAAAATAATAACGATTTTTGATTTTATCTCGTAGCATAGCTATTTATTATATTATATTAAATTAAACTTTATATATTTATATATATATATAAAAATTCTTTGTTTTAGCCAATATAAATTAAAAGTTCTTATTAACTTATGAGAATTTTTGGTCGAATTTTATTATATATAAATAAATGGATAGATATAAGGAAGAAATCAAAAATATGAATGAGCTACCACGCTCATAAATATTATATAAAACTCAAAATCTCTAAATAAATTGCTATATTATTTAACCTATTGGATATATTTGGCACTCTGAGATCTAATTTTTATTTAATTATGAAAAATTGCAGAAAACAAGTTGGATTAAAGATCCTTAAAATTTGTTTTAATATTACTAGATTTATTGATCTAACTAAGACTTGATTTAAATATTTAACATTTAAATGGAAGAAAGAAAAGGTTCAGGAAAAGCAAAAGGGGAAAGTGCTTTTGGAGGTGCTCAGCCATCTCTTAGCGGCCTTGTTCAAATGGGTATCGGCCACAAATCAAAAGAATACGGCAGATGGGGTCTATATTCCGCAAAAGCTGAAATAGTTCTTTATGAATTACGCCAAGCTTTATATTGGCAAACAATCGTAGAACTTTTCCTAACATTTTTATGCTTTCTGATGCTCTTGACTGGAAATGGTTTTCAGTTTATTTTCCATTTCGTTCATGGCATCAGACCCTACTTTGCTTATCTTACAATTCAAACTCTTCCAAAATCCTATAGTATCCTTGAAGGCCTCCCAGAAGATCTAAAACAAGTCAACCAAGACATTCAGACGAAACTTTTTGATGAATTTAAATATTGTTCAGCACCACTTACAAAATATTTTATTGTGTCTATGTGTGGTTTGCTCCTAGATTTGCTAACATTGTTATACGATGTCAAAAAGATGGATGGAGATGAACTTAGTGCAGCCTTTTTCTTGTTTGCTGCCTTTATTTATGTTTCTTTTGACTTATTTTTACCTTTGTGGTATTACACTCTTAAATTCAGCTTCCCAGAGGATATTTGGGTAAATTTAACTAAGATAGCAAATGGTACTTTTGAAGAAGCGACCGCTTACGTTAAAAACTCACTAGACCAAATGCAGCAATCACTCAAATAAATCTTAAGAGAGAAATATAACTTAAATACTTAATTAATTTAAGTCTTAATTATTTTGCCATTTAATCAAATAAAAATCTGTTACAGATTTCATATAAAATGGAAGCTTAATTTGAAAGAGCAAAATTAAAAAATATAAAAGACTAAATATATTTTTAAGAACGTATTCTAAGTATAGATCAGACCTCTTCTTTTTCTCTACGATTGAAAATTAAAAGCTTAAAAAGTCAAAAATATTTGATAAGTTTTCTTTATACATTTTAATAGCATAATTTAATAATTTCTGAAAATCCAGTGGTAGGAATAGTTATCAACCTCGAGCTGTAATTATAATTTAAAGACACTAAACATTTATTATTCAATTATTCATTGCTGTTTTACTTATAATTAAAATTAGTGCCTTGAAATTATCCAAAGCGTAAGCTTTCATGCAATTAATTTCATGTTGGCGAGTCTTGTAACTTATCACCATTCATTACCTATATTTATGCAAGTTACTAAATAATAAAAATAAATGAAATACTCAAGAAGATTTAGTAAAAAAAAGAAAGCCCTAAGAAAGAGAAAAGTTTATGTACCCTATTACCAAGCATCTATAAAAGAAATTATGCATGATCTTAAAATAATTGATATAGAAAAAAACGAATTGACGCTAGTAACTCCCAAAAAAGAGCCCATAAAGCAAATTCCAAAAAAAAGTGTAATTACTGATGAAAATATTGCTATAGAAAGTTTAGTCCTTCTAACTGAATCAATTGAAAAGATTGAAGAAATCAAACCTGAGCCTCAATTAATCAACCAATATCAAACACAGCAATATTACAACTTCCAGCCATTCTGGCAATATTATCCATATTTTCTGTACCAGAACTATGCAAACAACATTGGACAATTTGGATGATATTATAATTAAATAGTTCAAATAATGTATAAAAACTGAATCTTTAAAAATACAATCCTAAATTAAATATCACTTATTTCTAGAATATTCAAAAATTTTGATTTAATTTTAAAAGTAATTACGAGAAAAAATTTCTTATAAATGCCTAATACTTTAAAGAAGAGTAGTTTGGCTCAATATATGAAAGTATAAAATAAACACAATGGCAAATAAATAAAGAAAAAATAATATAATGTTATGCAGGCAATTTGGGAGAAAATCTTTAGCCTTCATTATATTTTTGGCCTTAGTTACCTCATTATTTTGGATAGGCAATATATTAGCTTTTGATAGTGAAGCTGAGCAAATAGAAGAAGTCTTGGTACCAACAACGACTGCTATCACATCTAGCAATCATTCAAAAGAAATCCAAACTTCAGAAGACCAAAACTCTCCAACCATTGCTCCTGTTGCAACTTATGATGAAGCCGATCTGCTGCTTGATATTCTCCCAAGATCTAGCTTACATTACAACATATCTTGAATTAAATCTACTGAATTACAGATTGAGGCTAGCATTCCTGGAGAAGAAATTGCTTGTGTGCCGTCTACTTTTGGCTATACTAAGGAACAAGCTGAAAATCGCTATAAATACATGGATAGGGCTTTCTCTTGTGGATCTGAAAGCGACACTGCAGTGATGATTGAAGATAACAAACTTATAGTCAATTGTCCAAGCTATACATCTCCTACAACGTGAGCGGTAGGCAATGTCCCTTGGGAAGAGTTGTTTGGGAATGTCAGACTTGTGCCAAGGTGGAATAATTACAAAGGCCGCGAAGATATAGGAGATGCGGAATTTGGATATGTGAAATGTGGCACTGGCATTAAGCAAGCCTTTTTGCAAAATAAGTTTTCTAGGTCTGCCTCTCACAGAGCGCAATCCACAAGAGAAATCATCTCTGATAGCCTCAATTTAAAAGAAAAGCCTAAGCCTTTAACTGTGATGGTTCTCTATTTGGATTCTGTATCTAGAAAGCACTTTTATAGAGCCTTGAGAAAAACAGCTGCGTTCTTTAACAGTTCAATCGCATCGGGAGCTTTTTCAGACGACTACGTAATTTATGATTTTTTAATTAACAACGCACATGGAGAAAATACAGCACCAAATATAACTCCTTTAACTTACGGACATTCTTTGCCAGACCATCAAAAGTTTACAAAAGGCTGGTCTGTAAGAAGAGCCCAAGAGAAAGCAAAATATGAAGAGCTGCAAAAAAGAGCTATTTGGAAGCACTATGAAAAAATGGGATTCGTCACAATGTTTGGCTTTGAAACAAAAGGGGATTATTTCGCAGAGATAACTGGGAGAAAAATTCTTTGTGATCACGTAGCCACAAGTTTTTGGCGAGGATCAACTGATATCATGGGATATAATGAGTATTCAGAAAAGCAACGATGCATCGGCAATTATTATTCTCATCATTATATGTTCCAATATGCATGAGAGTATGTGAATAACTATAAAGGCCATAACAAGTTCAGCTATATGCACATTTTGGCTGGGCATGAAGGGACAGGGTCAGTAATAAAGACTGTGGATGAGGACTTATTGAAATTTGTAAAGCAAATGCTGGAATTTCACAGGGATAATAATGAGGATATTGCATTTATCGTAGGAGCAGATCATGGTTTGCATGTAGGGCCTTGAGATAAAATTGAAGAAGGGCTAATGGAGAATTTATTGCCTTTTTCATTTTTGATTTCCAATAAAGAACTCATAGCAAAACTGGGTCCGGAAACTCATGAAATTTTGCAACACAACACAAATAGGTTAATAGGAAAATTAGACTGGCATCTCACTTTAAAGCATTTAGCAGCAGCGCCTTATGGAAATTTAGACACAAACTCCAAGGCTTATAAAGAATGAAAAAAATCAACAAATTCTGAAAACGCTATTTCCTTGATTATGGAAAAGGTTAAAGATAGTAGGACATGTGAAGATATCCGAATAAATTTGTATTGGTGCACCTGCTTAAAGTATGAAGAATTCGATAGATTAAGCTCAGAAGAAGAATCAGGCATCGTGCAGCGTATAGCAGAAACAGGTATTGAAGCAATTAATCGAAAAATTTCAAAAGACAAAGCTGGTGAGTACTGTATGTCTGTTTCCCTTGCTAAGATTATCAAGACTGATCATGAAATCACTAACTCCAAAGTAAAACACTACAAAGTTGATATAAAAGTGAATGAACACCCTGATTTTATTTTCAGAGTGATTGCTCAAGTTATGCCAAGCTCAGAAATGGTGAAGTATAAAAAGCAAGAACTCGAAAATCAAGTCTATCCAACCACTTCTTTGGAGTCATCTCAGGGAAAACTCGATTTGCAGGTTCAAAATGTAGTGAGAGTAGACAATACAAATGAAATTTGCATGGAAGTTGGAAATAGTGTTAAAGGAAAAGACAATTTTTGTGTATGTAAAGGACTAAAGGATTTCAATATACCTAAATTTCCAAATGGAAAGGTTAAAGTGTTATTAGAAAATTTTAAGAAGAAATTAAATATTTTTGTAGGGGAAGTGTCTCAAAGCTGCAAGGAAACTTGCCAAATCAATGGAAAGGTATGCGAAGAATGAGGATTATCAGTAGTTAATAATTTCGATCTCATGAATGAGTCTTGAAGAGAAATAGGCTCAAATAGCTATTTCGTGACGATGGATAACGAAACCTTATTTTTTAAAAATTTAAGGGTGTCTGAGAGGACTTCTGGAGATATCCCCGGATTAGTAAGAAATGAGATGGACTATAAATTTGTTGAAGCAGATTGGAATAGTTTGAGCTGCAACAACCGATCTGAACATATAAGGGCGTTTTGCCCTTGCTCAAGGTTTTAATCTAGATATAAAGGGTATTTAAGTTAAAAATTATTATGTCTATATATTATTTAGCTGCTTAAATTTCAATTTTCTGTATGTTTCTGCTGTTGGCGACTTGAAATTATCTCTTATATATGAAGGGCATAACTGTAAAAGATACGTCATTGTGTTTTCTATTTTTTCTCTGAGCTCTAAGCCGCTGCAATCACTTCATGATTCACCCTTTTTAGGCAAATTTGCCACATCAGCAACCCTTGCAATTGCTTCTAAAAATTCCACAAAATTCATTTCAAGGTGCTTTTTTTTATAAATTTCATCAACCTGAGTCATCATTGCTTGACTATAGCACAAATCAATTTCTCTCGTCCCAAACGTACTTTGTACCATTTGTGCATCACTGAAAATAGCCCTGAATTCTAAAAGAGCCATAAAAGGCTTTGAGCCTGGTAGCCCTTTTTTCCCGCTGTATTTACTAAATACAGATTCTAAAATTGGCTTGTGGACCTTGAGGGCTAAGTCAGTATCTTCGCATATATATTTTTCAAACCTTCATTTATTTGTATCATAAGTTGCCATAACTGAAAGATGCTCATTTGCAAGCTTTTCGATAGCTTCTGCAGGATTGGCACAAATTTTGTTTCTCACATATTTATCATTTGCAATTCTAACTAGTATTTCCATGAATTCATATCTGCATAGTCCATTTCCTGAATTATAAAGTTGATCAGAACTTTGTTGGGCATTAACAGAATTTCAGTTGACACCGACATCACTCAATGTGTAGTATTTATCAAATATGCCACATTGATTTAAAAAGTCTATAAAAGCATTAGAGCCAATAGAAAACACTTCATTCCCACAAACAGCTGACAAGAATCGATAGGTTTCTCTGAAATCTTTATAAAACTTCTTCATCTGGGTTTTCAAAAGCTCCAATGTTTCAGGATTTTTAACAAACTTGGGGATTCTCGTGTGCTTAAAATCAAATTCAAAGCCTTGGGTGTATAATTGTTCAGAGTCAAATGTATATTCTTTAAATAAGCTGATAGGAATTGACCAAACAATTCTTTGAAGCTCTTCTACTGATTCTTGTTTTGATTCTTCTATGCGTGGCTTTATAGCAAATGGCTGTTTGATATTGCATGAAGGGCCTGATGGGCTCATAGTATTGACTAATGAAATTTCATATAGCTGATTGTTTATTTGGACGCTTAACGGTAAATCCAATTCAAATGCTGGCATGTTAGTTGATAAAACTGGCCCTTGCCTATTACTGAAGAAAAAGCGAAATTCCCGTGGTGGGATAGCTCTAGCAATTTCAAATAAGCTTTCGTTAACCTTATGCATAGCTTGTGGCTTAAAGCCATCGCATTCTAAATGAATGAAAATTTCTTTGCAGTTTGGATCTTCGCTATTCCAAATAAATTTAAAGTCAACCCATTCTTCACATATCCAGCAATTTGTTCCGAATAATTTGCTTTTATGCTTAAATGAATCATTGATCCTCCTGAAGCCATGGGTCTTTGAAATTCTATCAGAACTGTCTGTTAGAATTATAAATCCTTTGGCATCAATCGAGCAAGAATTCCCAAGCATGTGGATTCCAAGAAGTGTATGGTTCTGGCTGAGGCCTACAGATATGGCTTGGCATTCTTGAGGAGTGAATAAGTTATATGAAAAATCCAGATGAATAAGACTAGTGTTTGTCTTAAGAAAATCACTTATTATTTTTGCTGTTTCTAAATTAGAACTTTTGCCAAGGGAGTTTCAGGACAGATCTAATTGAAGTAAAGACTCATTTTGAGAGAGACCAGAAAAGATTTCATGACCACCTTTAGGTTTTATGTTGTTCCAATGAAGATCTAGATGTTTGAGGGACTGATTTTCGATAAGCAAATCTTTAAGATCCTTTGCAGATTCATCCCCAATGCTATTTCTGGCTAGATTTAATTTTATGAGAGTTTTATTGTCACATAGACATTGGCAAAGCTTTTCTATGCCTTTCTTTCCTAATTTTGTGTTTTCTAGCTCAAGGTGGCTTAAAATTGAATATTCCTCATTAAGCAGTTTCACAATTGAATTTATAGTATCAACTCCTAAGGAATTAGGGCTATCCTACCATAAGTAGGCAAACTCACTAACCATCGCCCCTCCTTCTTCCAAAAAATCGGCTGTTGGATTTCCGGCTTGGCGCTTCGATGGCCCCGATGAAAAAGACCATGCAGTAGGCAGAATCTGTCTAGCCCATCTGTCAAAGATTCGGAGGAGAACCAAATTCCCTTTTTAGGCATAGCTTTCCCAACCCTGAAGGCTTACTTGAAAAGTAACAATGGAACTATTTTAGCCTCATCAGGATGGGCATACCTGCTCAATAGGGAGTCCGCCTTGGAAACCAATTTCCATTAATATCACTTTTATTTCTTTTTTCAACACTTAAGGAATTATCAGAAAGCACAATCTTTTTAGTTCTTTTTTTCTCTAATTTTGAAACAATTCTACTGCTTGCCATCCCTGAAAGTCTATTTTCTTTAAGGTTCAAAAATTTTATTTCTTCCAATTTGCTAATGCCTTCTGAAAATGCGTTAGCATAATTGTCACCCATGCTGAAATTATGAATATCAATGGAATCGCTCGGTCCTTTTGCTTTTACAAGCCCAAAAGGAATAGGATTCAACATTCCTTTATCTATTTCATTTAGATATGCAAATTCAGGAGTTTCTGAAATGAGCTTGTAGTGCTTATTATGAGTTATTGTATTTAAGTTTCTGTAATTGTCGAAGTATTCTAATCTTGCATGATGGCCCACTCTGATCGTAGAATATTCTAAGGATTCTGCTCTAATATGGCTACTTGGAGTCATTATATGTCTGGCTTGTCTTGGAGACCATTTATTAGCAGATGACTGAGGTCGAGATATTTGTGATATTTGTTTCTTATTGAAGTCTACAGGAGTCAGTCCTGCAATTCTGATTTTTCTTTCTATCAAAGGAAGTTTCCTTTTGTCAAAAATGTCTGTCATATTCATTATTATCAAAATCATGACTCGCTTCCAATATGTTACAAAATGGCTTAACTGGTTGCAAGAAATAAATACGAAGTGTGTTGATAATTTTTTGAAAAGATAAATCCCTTATTTAATAAATTACAGAATAAGAAGAATAGAAATTCCGTAACCGCTTGGATCCCATAAAGGCCTATATTTCCAAAAACATTGATATCAAAATAAAAGTCTCATTAAACTTACAATTAATGAAATTAATACTAGATTTTCAATATATTTCTTTTCATTTTTCATAAAGAATCTATAATAATTTTCATTCTGTGCCTTACTTAATAAGACTAGGCCATATTACAAACAATAAAATATTTTTTGTAGCCGATGATGAAATAATCAAATTTATTAGTTTTGATGAGTGTATTGATCTGTTTTTCTCCATTACGGTTAAATTACATTTGCATCATATATCTTCTTTCAAAGCTTTGAGTGGAGGGCTCGGCTTCTTAAAAATTTCTTCGTCATCTATTAATTTCCAATCAATACCTATATCATAAGCACTTATTATGATTGCTTTCTTCGTATGACAATCAAATTTCTCATTTTATTTTTTTATATCATTGCTCAGCTCATTAGATTCTCACATCAAATTAATTTCATTTATTCTTTTATTCGCCCTTATTTTCAGCTTATTTTTCCTGGCTCTCCGAAAATGTGCTAAATCTGCCATACAAACTCATAAACCGCCCTATTCATTTCACATTTTTTTTAGTTTTACAATACATATTTCACACGAAATCTATTAAATGTCCTAAACAGTATCAAATCCCTTTACTTTATAAATAACGTATTTATCATCTCTGATTATTTCATTCGTTTATAACGAAGCATGGAGCGTGTTTTAATAGATAATGAACTTAATAGTACCCGTGACGAAGAAGACGAAGACCTTTCAAGCCTGATTCACTCATACCCCAACAACAAAAACGAGGTCGTTGAAGTCTCCCCAAAGGGACGATTTTTCAGAGTAAGCCTTATATAGTTCAATGACCTCCTAGGGTCTGGAGCCTATAAAACTGTGTATCGAGGACTTGACAATGATCAGGGCTGTGAAGTTGCCTGGAACAGTATCAGTCTCAAAAACCTCCCTGTCGAAGACAGAACCCAGATCGCTGAAGAAGTTAAATTAAATCGGAGACTTAACCATCCTAACATCGTTCATTTTATATCAGCATGAACAAATCCGAACAAAGAAGAGCTTGTTTTTATTTCTGAGCTCGTTACGGGAGGCTCTCTCAGGCAATATTTGAAGAAAATAAAATTCCCACGTTTGAAGGTGATAAAAAGCTGGTGCAAAGGAATTCTTTTAGGTCTCCAATATCTGCACTCACAGAAGCCTTATCCGATAATACATAGAGATTTGAAATGTGACAATATTTTTATCATGTCCAACACTGGAGACGTAAAAATTGGGGATTTTGGGCTGTCAACAATAATGAGAAGTAAATTACAGACTTCAGTCTTGGGAACTCCAGAATATATGGCGCCTGAGGTGTATGAAGGGAGCTATGATACGAAAGTTGATATTTTTTCGTTTGGGATGTGTATTACAGAGATGTGCACACTTTCTGCTCCTTATAAAGAATGCAAAACTCCAGCAGCAGTTTATCGAAGAGTTATGTCAAGAATTCTGCCTGAGTCTTTGAAGACAATTCAAGACGAAGAAGTTCAGAAATTTATTGCGTTGTGTTTGGAGATTGCAAGCAAGAGACCGTCTGCAGATGAGCTACTAAATAACTCATTTTTGACTATTGATGAAGAAGACCTAAAAATACATAAAAAATGGCGAACTAAGCACATCATACTTCTTGGCGCAATTTTCTCAACCTTATGGCCAAGCCGAACTGGGCGAGAAGCCTTCCGAGATTCCGTCTGATGTAGTTTTATGTACATTGGGTTATTTTTGTCTTACTACACCTCCATGAGCGAACAAAGCCATTGGAAAAATCCCTAATTTTAGAACAAAAAATTTTTTATATATAAGTGATAATTATTATAATGAAATCTCTAACTAATTGAGTTTATTTTAAAACAGCTTCAATTTTACAAATTAAATTAATATTTGCTTTAAAATTTTGAATAGGGATATTTAAATTTTAAAAAAATTGCTATAAAATTTATATAAATTTTTTTTTAAAAAATGAACAAATTTTTTGTTCACTCATAGGATGTGGGAGTTAGTTTTGGTGGTTAGAAAGAGATACCTAGCAACGTTCTTGGGGCCCGAAGGTGGATCTCACCGCGCTACCAGGGCTTTCAGCCTTGGTCCGAGGATCAAACCTTTTTCCTATCTGCTGAGGGTAGACACCCATCAGTCGTTAGACTTCAAACTTTCTCTCTAATTAAGCTGCTTCCCAAATCGCCCAATCAGAGGTCGAACAGCAAGAGGCAAGGAAGAGGCACTCTCAGCGCGCAACACTTGGGTGTAAGGATCCTTGGTGGTTGCGTAACTAATACTTCCATGCTCACAAGTAATTTAAGATAAAGAAGACCCAAGGGTGCATCAAGCGGTTCCACTGGCTAATGAAAACGAAGAAACTTCGCAGAGCCAAAATAATTGTTTGGCAAGTGCAGCAAATGAGCTTGAAAAAGACCTAATTGAAAGCTCCTTGATCATCAAAGACAACAGAGGCGCTCTAAGACAAGTAACTTTTCAGTTTGACTTAAACTCAGATACCCCCGAGACAGTAGCAGAAGAAATGGTCAGAGATCTTGCTCTTGATCCTGCATTAGTGATTCCAATTGCTAACGAAATTGAAATCCTTGTATTTTCAAACTCAAAAAATATATGCCTAGAATGCTATCATAAAGAAAAAAACTGCAATGAAAAATCTGAAGATTTTTGCATTCACACTAATAATAACAGAGCTCCGATATACAGCACCAGGAAAGTCTCAATTTCAGCGCCAGAAGAAGCCGAAATAAATAATGACTCTATCGAAAATGTGCAAATTGAGCACTCATTGGAAGATTTATTGTTATTAGACAATACAACTTTTAATATTCCAAATAAGGAATTACCACAAATTAATGAAGAAATACAATACCCATTCAGAGGGGTTATCAGGAAAAGAACAACCCAAGGCAATGATAAAGAAAATGTGATCCAATTACAACAGGCACTTTCTGCTGTTCTCAGGACAAGAGTGAAAGTTAATGGTTTTTATGGACAAAAATGTGAAAACATTGTGAAAAAATTCCAAGACAGAGAAGGATTTGAACCAGACGGAATAGTGTCCGAAGAACTTTGGAATAAATTAATGGTTGAATATAGTAAAGTATGTGAAGAAGATTCAGATTGAAATTTTAGTTAATAAGATTAACTATCATCAGGATTCATGAATAATTAGGTTATTTTCAATATTTAATTGAATGCAAAATAGTTTTTTATTTATTACTTTTTTTTTGAACATAACAAGTGTGGCATGGGATCGAGCTATTGGATCGTCTATATATCTTGCTGAAAGTCCGAGTTTTAGGTGTGGGTTTTGAGGTATTTTTTGTGGAGTTGATCCCAATTATATCTAAATCAGGAAAATCATTTGGAATTCCAAGGCCAACCCTTGATTTTTGAACTAAGTCGCAAATGCTGGTATCAACAACCTTATCAATGAGACTGCTGCTTTTCTTTTTCGGAAACTGCTGTTTTAGAATAGAAAAGTTTTCTGATGTTTTTGATATTTTAGACTCAAGATCTTTTCTCATTAATGAGCTTTGATTTAAGTCTATGCTAAATCCAGAGGCTCAATCAGAGCTATTCCTTGAGTGGTAATGCTTCTCAACTGGCATATTTTCTTTTTCTTGGTTTCTGCTATATTTATCGTCTTCAAGCCATCTTATTTGCTGCATAAGCTCACTGTTTTTTTGGTGAAGACTGTTAATTTCATCAATATAAAATGTTGACGATTCTTTTTCAGCAGATAGGTCTGCGTAATTCTTTTTAACCCTCTCAAGCTCATTTTTCAAGTTTTCAAAATAGCTGGAATATTCAGATTTAAGTGAATTTATGTAATCTTTAGCTGATTGCAGCTCTCTTTCCAATAAATCTTTTTCAGCGCTGCTACATTTTTCTTTGATTTTTTCCTTCAAGGATTCTATTTCTATTGCATGATTAAATTCCAAGTCTTTTATAGCTCTTTCTTGCTTTTTATTCTCAATCATAAGTTCTTGACGATTTTTCATTAAGTCAGATATTGAGTTTTCAAGAGACCTTATAATTTTGTCTTTCTCTAGCAAAGAGTTTTTTAAAGAGCAATTTATGCTATATAATTCTTCAAGCTTGTTTGATAATTCTGCTTCTGCAGTTTTGTGTGCTTTGTTATTAAACTCTTTTACTCCTCTTTCAATAGTCAGTTCGCTTTCAGTGCTTTTTAGTTTATCTTCTGTGCTCATCAACGATTTTTTAAGATTTTCGTTTTCCTTGCATATCTTACTCATTTCAAACATTAATTCATGAATCTCAGGAGCTTTCTCAGTCCGACTCATAGGGAGGTCTTTTTTAAAATCCAAGGTCGAGCTATTTTTAAAATCAAATGTATTTGCTAGCCTATCACCAGACTCAGAAAGGTTTACTACTTTGCTGCTCAAATCCAACCGCTTTTTCATATACTGATCTAGCTTGAATAGCCAGATGGAGCATTTTTTGGCTAGCTTGGATTGCTAAATTAAACTATAGCTTGGCTGAAATATTTGAGTCAAATTTGGATTACCAAATTAAATTAGATCTGCCAAAATAAATCTTGTCTAGTCAACAAAAGTAGACTCCTTAGTGGCTATCCATGGTAAATCGGCATAACATTTTCAGAGAAAGTTTTCGAATCCATCAAGATTTCTTTAGTTCTTAAAAGCGTTTGGTCTAAAGTTGATATTGCCGAAAGGCTGGCAGTTCTGATTGCCCTTTCTCCATCTATAGCGTATACCCCTTTATAGATCTTTAAGAATAATGACCCTAAAAAGATAAAATTATTTGAAATTTTAAGAAAATCTAAATAGTCAAAACTAAATTTAAGAATTTCATCTTATATCTCCTTTTGTCAGTTTAAATTAGACATTTTAAAATATTTTAAAATCTCAAAAGAAATTTTTCTTTAAAGACACTTTTCCTAGAAATCAATAAGGAGTCAGGCACTATATTTCAAACGATGTAAGTGACCCTTCTTCATTCATTTAAATATGACATGGAAATTTGAATTTTGAGCAGCAAATAAATGAATTAAAACTAAGGTAATCTAATAAATTTATAAAGTACTAGAGCTTATTTTCGCTTGTTTCTTCTTTGGCCAAGTCAATTCTGTTTTTAAGGTTTTGAATTTCTTTTTGAATTGATTCAAATTGCACATTTAACCCCCCAATCTTGGCATTAATATTTGAGATGAGATCAGTTTGCTTTTGCTTTTTAGCTTGCTCTTCATTAGAAGTTTTATTTAGCTCATAAAGACCCCAAATCAATAGCACTCCGTATGCTGCAATTTCTCCTAAAAATTCAGAGCCTTGCTCCAAGGCTTTTTCATCAGGTAAGGGCTTTATATAATTCTCTTCAGATGACATTTGCAGAGATTTTCTTTGAATTTTTACATTGATCCTGTTAGAGTATTGGCCTAAGTTCAAAATAGCGTTTCTAATCAGTGGATGATGATTATCGTTGTGCTTCAGCGATATCTTAAGATAGTTTGAAAGAGGCCGAGTAAAGAGTCTTAAGGCCAAAGAAAATACCTTGATTAAAGGTATCATTTTTCTTAGATAATATAATTTAAATGTTTTTATATAAATATTGTGCGTTGAGAATATATGAATGTCAATTTACTCTTCTACAAGTCAAAACCAGTCTGCTATATCTCACTTGAATAGCATGCTTATTTTGACCAATAAGGCAACGTTCAAATATATAGCACACGATATTTTATATATAATTAATAGCTTTGACAGTGAGAGATAAAGCTAATTTTATTAAAAAATAAGTAGCTTATACTAAATTTGAAGTTTTTATATACAAAAAAATGTTTTTTTATAAAGAAAAAAATCAACTCCTATTTTAAGAAGGAGCATAAAAATTATAGGTCTCTTGAAGGAGAGAGCTAGATATTTTTATAATCTAAAACTCCTAGAGATAATTTCAATAAAATCAACGCATTTTCACATTAAAAAATGGAAAAATGGAAAAGTCTAAAGTTTAAACATCAGAAACTCTATAGATTTTAAACTCCACCTTGGGAACGAGCAAAACATTAGAAGAATTCTATTTTTTAAGAAATTCTTCCAAAGAAAAACTTTTTTTAATATAAAAATACTTCCATATAAAATATTTTGATATATAAGTAATGTTAATATAAGAAATCTCATAATAATTATATATAAACAGCTTGCATTCTAAAGCATAAATTTTATAAATTCAATTATGTATCTCTCCTTTCAAAATTATAAACACATATAGCCCAGAGCCTGCTTTGGATCGCCCTGGTCTGCATGTTGTCAGGCTCAGGCGGCGACATTTATCCCAGGGCGATCCAAGCAGGCCCTGGGCGATGTAATTTATATTGTTGTAAATTTAATTGCAAAGCGCATAAATAATTTTGCTCACTCTCAAAAAGAGAGAGTAGAAATAATTGCAAATGCCCTACCAAAAAAAACATAATACCATCTTATAAATTAAATACCAAGAAAAATACCTTATCATAAGAAGTTCATTGAATCAATAAAAAAGAGCCTTAAAGGTGCGAGATTATTTTAGATGAGGCTTCATGATTTAGATTATAACTCTAGATATTCAGTTATTATATAAGAGTGGAATTAATACTGCATGCCTCTACCTTATGCTATGGCAGACTCTTTTATTAAATATAGATAAATCTCTTGCAGCTCCGAGAAATTTGGTGCATAAATTACATGCATAAAGAAATAAGAGATTAGAAATTTAAGATTTTTCTTATAATTTAAAATGGCAGAAAGGCGAGCAGTGATTAAAAACGCGGACATGTCAGAAGAAATGCAGCAAGACGCAGTGGATTGCGCAAATCAAGCAATGGAAAGATTCAATATCGAAAAAGATATAGCTGCCTACATCAAGAAAGAGTTTGACAAAAAATACAATCCCACGTGGCATTGCATTGTGGGTAGAAACTTTGGCAGTTATGTGACCCATGAGACAAGACACTTCATTTATTTCTACTTAATCCCTTTAAATTTGGGCAAAAATATAGGTAAATTTAGAAGTTAGAAATTAACACCTTTAAATCGCTTAAAAATGCTATAGTTCGTAAAATAATTTCTATGTAAATAGCTTCATATCCAATTTAATATTGCAAAAATAGAAAGTTCCTATACATATTGTATCCAATTATTTTAAAATTTTAATAGATATATTTTACTATGAAAATTATCAATTCGTTTCAATCCTTTATATTAAGCCAGATTTTTTCATTATTAAAATGGAGAGTTAGGACAAGTAGCAATATTACTTTTTAAATCTGGATAATGCCTTATCTAATCAAATCAGACTAATTATTTTAAGTAAGCTTTTGCCTAATTTAAGCCAAAAGAAATACAGATATTGATGCATCCTTATAGTGTTTTTAAGAAATAAAATGATGGCTTTGACGAAAATTGGACTCCAAGACTCACTCACTAAGAGTAGGTAGGATCCATACCGCTGAGGCTGAAAACAAGGCCTCTGTCCATTTTGAAGCAAGCCTTCAGGTTTAGGGATGCCTTAACAAAGAGAAAAATTTTGTTTCTGCTTAGGCTATACGGATTTTGCCTACCATATGCCCTTCCCGTGTCAGGACCATCGGGGCACTCTAAAAACGGCCTAGAGAGCTGATACCTTGAAAAGGCGGTTCGGGTGAGATGTGCGGCGGCTGGGTGAGATGTGCTGCGGCTAAGGGCGAAGCGTCGATAGAAGGCTTGGCGGATTAGGCTGACCACCGTGATCCAAGATGGCTCCGTGACGTCACTAGTTGCTAAAAGTTCCATTTTGGGACTGCGGCACTAGACACCTTAAATACCGAATAATTAAGTTAAGTTAAGAAAAGGCGGTTCAGATCGGAAGTCCAAAAGGGTAAAGCTGAAAAAATATTATTTTTCACCGTGCAGTTTTGTCATACTATTTAATAATTAAGTTGACGATGAAAATTATATCACATGAGCTATACTATTTGTGGATTTATTTAAAGATATCTTATTTAAATTTAGTTAATAATAGCGAGAGTATTGTTATATATAATAACAGTCTGCTTCTATAGAATTTTCCCATAGATGGCGCTGTTTGCCCTTGATTTGCCCATGAGGAAAATTTTTTGGTTTGACCAAACCATATGGTACTGGTCGAACCAAAAAATTTCCCCAGTGGGCAAATCAAGGGCAAACAGCGCCATCTATGGGAAATTTCTATATATTTAATATTATTTATGAAGTTTTTTCCACCTTTTTGGCAAAAATACACCGTGAAGTTTTTACAACCCTTTTTCACCATGAATTTTTAAAATTTTAACTACATTTGACTGAAAACCGACGGAAAAATCTTCAATGTAGTTTTTTTTTCAGTCTCATCCAATCAAAAAATGGTGGCCTTTCATTTCTCTCTTTTGTCTTGTGGGGCGATGGAGGCGGTTATTTTGGAGCCAAGACGAGGCAAAGGCACACTTATGGCCAGTTTAATCGTTTAATTTACAGTGTTTTATTTTAGAAATGAAATTACTCGAACTTATCCCCATGACCTTAATTAAGTAAGACAGAATATAGCGTGGTTAAGGCTTAAGTAAAAGATTTACTTACCAGCGTTGTCTTCTAATTCCTGAAAGGCAAGCTTTGTAGATATTTTCAGGGCAATCAGGGTCCAAAAATGGGCTGACACGCAAATCTTTGATTTTATCTAGATCGACTTGGGTTTCCATGGCTTCAGCTGTCATTCTCTTGCACATACTTTCAGCTTCTTTCCTTAGTTTCGGAACATTCACTCTTCCTTTGGCAAAATCGCACCCTCTATAGCAATAAAAGCGTGAGTTATTGTAATACTCGAATAATTCTTCACATGCAATGTAGCAGATTCCACCTTCTTCGAAGCTTGGATAGGAGGACATATTTTTTATCCAATCTCATTTAAGAACAATTTATTATACTTTAAGCAATATTTTAAATGATATTGAGCCTGATTATATTTTTGAGCGAAGGTCAAATCATAGAGAAGGAAGAAATTGAAATATTGAAGAAATACACTGGCGCAAGGCATTTATGATACAGAGTGCCAAATATTCTTCGAATGTCCTTTGCACATATATATTAAAATTTTAAAATCGAAATTTTATATTACTCGTCAGTACAGAAGATGGCTTTTCATAATTAACCACCTTTATTTAATATTGGGCATGTAATGCAAAATAAATCTTGAAAATGTAAGACAAGTTGCATTTCAGCAAAATTTATAATTTTTATGCTTATTATTAAATATGAACCATCTTGAAGATACTAGAAGCGCATTTTAGAACATATTAAAAATGATAATTTAGCATAAACAATAAAAGGAAAAGTTTAAATTTATTAAATAAAACATATTTATTTTCTTGGTATCAGCATATCCTATTTCAAAAAAGCTGCGAAACTCATCTCAACTTTTTAAAAGTATATTTAAATCAAATTTCTGGATAAAATCTAAAATTTTTTAATTGGCGTATAAGCAACTGACTTTCCCCACAATTTAGGTTTAGTGCAATAATATTCAAAAAATCATCACATTTCTTTCTAAGACTCATTTATGGCATGCATAAATGTCTAATTTAATTGTCCTAGCTTATTTATTCATATTAATTGAATTTTTTTCTCCGTTCTCCTCTTTAAGAAATTATAAAAAATGTTGATGAGCATAAGTAAAATTTCTCCTCAGGTTTATTTCGCTATGAACCATCCGAAACCATACCTCGCGAAACCGCAACCTCTTACTCCCCATTTAAATTGGAACAAAAAATCCTATTCCAATTTAAAGGGAGAAAATATTTTTTTTAAAAACAATTAATTTCATAATAAAACAATTTTATAAAATCTTTAAAAATTAAAAAACATAAATTGATCGCGATATTTGAATTTTAATTAAATTTTATGAAGAAGTAATTAAAATATTAATCAATTCATCGTTTGAAGTGTTTTAAATAGAATTCTTCTTGCACTCGTTCCATTTAATTAGGCCAAACTATTTATATAAAAAATTATATTCCTATTGAAAAAAAATTTATTTAAATTTAAGAGAGGTTAAAATATCCAAAAATGAAAATTTTACATGTTTTGTTCCAATTTAAATGGGGAAATAGCCAATTTAAGTAACTTTAATATAAATATAATTATGGGCAAATTGCAAACCCTTCTAGAGGAGTTTAAAGCAGCATTCAACAGCGACAATGTGGAAGCTCAGCTTCGAATACACGAAAAAATTGAAAAATATCACAATCAGCACCCCAATCTCAAAAAAACTTCACAAAAATGTGTTGAGTACAAAAAATTCCTCGAAGAGACAGATTGCTTCGATATGTGCCTAGAACTACTACTAAACAGCGGCTGAGATCTAGAATACGAAGGCAGTGAGATTCTCGTCGAAAGTCGAGGTTCTGGTGCAGATTTCATGTCGAGGGCAAGTCTCGTGATTAATGCTCCACTTTTATCCACAATATCAGTCATCACTGAAGTTGATTTACTGAGTACATGGTATTTTCTATAAAGGGTCCAAGTTTTAAATGGAGTCGAGACAATTGCAGAGCCCACAAATTCACGAAAACTCGGCTTTTATAATTTTTGGTTTCCATGGCCTCTCTCTGATAGGCAGTGCGTGCTGGAATTTAGCACGTATCCTGTAAAATCCGAGCAAGGAATTCTGTTTATGATGAAAACCCCTGAAAACTCCAAGTATTTAAATATAGGGCTTTACCTTGAATAGCCCGATAACGGGCTGGCTTCATCCCGTTATCGGGCTATTCAAGGGAACGCCCTATATCGACATTCCCGGCCCTGTCGAAGGCTTAGTTAGGATGAATATTCCGATCGGTGGGGTTTTTGTGCAATATATTTCTCCTATGCTAACTAAGGTTGTTATTGTAGTGCAGGCGAATGGAAATATTGTAAATTTCTATTTAGAGCTCATTGCCGGACTGGTTATTTAACTTCGGGACAAAGAGAATCATGTACTACCTGATGGATGCGCTCAGGAATCAAATTTTGAACTTCCAAGGAAGTGTTTACGAGAGAAGGGTCACTGAGAGAGAAGGATACTATAGATTTCTTTGCCAGTATATACAACAAAACATCGGAGATTAAATAACGTCTTTTTTAAAAACAAAATAGCAATTAAATGAAAACAAATAAGTCATGCTAATTCTTATCAAATAATTTAGGATTCATCTACGCATTTTCCGCAGCATTTTTTTAAGCACTTCAGCAGGATTTCTCTTCCCCATGGAAAGTAAGAAGCCATGTACCAAATATAAGCACAAACTTGAATAATGATGAATACCAATATCATTAAGCCTATTTGAAAGTATAAAACACTAACTCCCCCCCCCCCCCCTCCGTGAGCGAACAAAAAAAATTTTGTTCGCTCACGGAGGGGGGTTAATTTTTTTTTTTAAAAAAAAATTTATATATAAATTTTATAAAAAATATTTTTTTCGAAATTTAAAAAAAATCTAATTTGCAAAAATTGGGAAGCAAATATTAATTTAATTTGCAAAATTTATGTTTTAAAACGCAATTTGTTTAAAATTAAACAGAATTAGCTCTAGATTTCATTATACTAATTATCACTTATATATCAAAATTTTTTTTCCATTAAAATTTTTTCTATTAAAAAAATTTTTGTTCACTCACGGAGGGTGGGTTTTTGGTCAAAAAATGGCGATTTTTCTAATGGTTTTGTTCGCTCACGGGGGGGGGGGGGGGGAGTAACTAATGTCATGATCATTGAGACAAAAAAGATTGCGCTTGTTCATCTTCTTTTTTCGTCAAAAGCACTTTTCATTTGTTTTTTAAAGCCTAGCAGGAAGCCAGATCCGATGAGGGCAAGGATATTGCTCATGGTGTAGCTTAATGCAAACCTAGTTGGATTGCCTGTAAGGATCCCAAACATTGATCCAATTGAAATTACATCTATGAAGATGGAAAGGCCAAAGCAAGTGAGGAAACCAATCATCCTTTCTTTAAATGATAAAGCTGGAATGCATCCTTCGTCTTCAAATGAGCTATCTCTTGATTCTTGATCAAATGAAAAAAAGCCAGACATTTAAACAATATGAGGATAATTAAATTAAATCAAATAATTTAATATTTATTAATTCTTAGGCTCAGCATTAAAAGAGAAAAGAATTAATTGTTAAATTCACTTAATCGCCCCTTTTAAATTGAAAAAAAAAATACTTCCCAATTTAAAGAGAGCTAATTTTTTTAAATAAAATTTTTATTAAATTTTAAAGAATAAAAAAATATAAATTTGACCGTTAAGGTTACATATGGAAAAGCGATGTAAGCCTTACCAATCATGGGACTGAATATATTACTGGCAATAAATTGTATTTAGGCAAGCATCCAAAGAATTTAAAACAAAGCAGAGCCCTAAACAGTTCTCATGATTAACTCTCAGTAATTAACAAAGTTTAAATCCTAATCCTTTATAAATAAACTTTTCAAAAAATTGTAAAATATTACAATATAGAAATACGTAACTGTCTTAAGCTCTCAAAATATTCATTAATTAATGCTTATAAGCACAGGGCAAGCCAAAGATTCTTGAAATGATGACCCAGAGCTAGAGCGAGCGATTCGAGAAAGCTACGAAACTGTGCCAGGTGACATGCCATGGCCAGATGACGACATCGAAATTTTCCAGGCAATTGCTGACTCTCTCAAAGAAAGCAAAACTCCTTACACCTCGTTTGAGCCTGAAAGCCCATTAGAGCGAAAGCGTGAAGATGGAATGCCAGTCGGTCTCAAAAACATTGGAAATACCTGTTATTTCAATTCCTTAATGCAAGCCTATTTTATGATCCCAAAGCTTGTTCAAGAAATTTTGTCATTCAAACCTCATCCATCTCATCTGAAGCAAAAACAAGTTGAAGGAGTTGAAATCATAAGAAAAAAGGCTATTCTTTCTCTTACTTTTAATAACTTTCTCTTATAAAATTAATGCTATTCCAATCAGAATATTATACCTAATCTATGAAATTTTTATTATTCTTTTTTAAGCAGTATAGTATTAAGCTAGTTGAAGCAATCCAAAGACTATTTGCTTTCTTGATCAGAAGTAATCGAAAATATGCTGATCCTTCAAATGTATTAAACGCGCTTGTTGATGATTTTGGAAACCACATAGAAATAGGAGACCAAAAGGACGTCGGAGAGTTCAATATGATATTTGTTGCAAGAGTTGAAGAAGGGCTTAAGGCAAAATACCCAGCTGAAGAAACAAAAGAAACCGAAGCTGATGGGAAGAAAGTTGATGTTCCTGTATTTTTGAGAAAACAGACACTCAACCTGAGTAGCAAAGAACTAACAATTTCTAGCATAGTGTCGAATTTATTTTATGGAAATTTAGCTGAGTTTTTGTATGCAACCGAAGCAGATGGGACTCCAGTTGTGGCCAAGAAAAGTTCAGTTTTTGGGCAGATTTTGCTTGATGTGGAGGAAGGAGATCTTTTTAGTGCTTGGGATGCCTCATATCATGCCCAAATTGAAGGATATAAAACCATTTACCATTAGATTTATAAAGTTTAACGTCCCTTACGGGGTCACCTGTCCCAGAGCTTCCGCCTGCCTTTCGCCGCATCGGGTCCACTGGCCGCTGGGTCGACCAGCTTTGTTGCTCCAAGTCTAGGGTAGACGTTACCGGCTTCGACGACTCATGAGTGAGCTACTTCGATTGACATGGGCTGCCTTTCCGAAAATCCATAAAATGGGAATTTCTGGTCGGCTGTCGGCAAAAGGAAAAACACGTAGCCTGGGACGTAACGCCCAGTTTCACGCTAGATAGTTGCCCGATTGGTCCTAACGGACTTGGCTGAGCTTCCCCTTTCCAACTTCCGTGCCTCCTTCCCGACGAGGAAAAACCATCCCTGAAAATAGACTTGGGCTAGGCTCTGTACACTACCAGAATTGCTTGCCTAGCTTTGCTGTCCCTTTCTGAAATGTGTAAAACCTTGCCAGATATAATTAAAATATGAGTCGAGGCTGCATGGCCGGGAGGCCATGCCCAGACGAAGACGCCATATTTTAATTATGAAGGATATAAAACACCTTTAAACCACGTATGCGTTGCAGAGCAAGAAGCCTGGCTCGAAAAAGCTCCATCAATGCTCCTTTTTCAAATCCAAAGAGTAAAATACGATTCAGAGACTTTTGAGATCTATAAAGATAACCGTGTATTTAACTATCCAAAAACACTTTATCCCGATCGCTTCTTACTAGAAAACAAAGAGCTAGGCACAAACTTAAGGAAAAGATTTTTAGAAATCAAGAAGAAAATCAAAATTTTAGAAAATACCCTTCAAAAATTCAGAAACTATAAAGCTTTGTACTTAGATTTGCCAACAATGATGAATAACGCCGCCTCATTTTTTGATGATCATGAAAATCCTCAGTCTCAAGAGTCAAAAATCCAAGGGATAACAACATACAGCCCAGATAGAATAGTTCCAATACCTGAGGGAAGCTTAGAAATGGAAAGAGCCAAAAATCTTGTCAAAAATCTCAGTGGTCTTATTAATGAGAAAATCGAAATCATGGAAACTGAGCTAGCAATGTGCAAGCAAGAATTGCAGGATATTTTTGAAATTCCAAAGCTCACGAAAAATCCTTATAATTTGCATTCAATTATGATTCATAGTGGGCAAGCTAACAGTGGGCATTACTACTCATATGTGTTTGATGCTGAATACCAGAAATGAAGAAGATATAGTGATATTTATATATCTGACATGGCAGAAGCTGATGTATGCAGTGATGCACTAGGAGGCTATGGACACAGCTCAGCTTATTGTTTGATGTATATAAGAGAATCTTTAATACCTAAAATACCAAAAGGCTTACAAAGGTCATATACATTGACGAGCTCAGTTGAGCAAGTAAGTGACCATTACAAAACCTTGCTATCGCCTACGTATCTTTTTCTTAGGATTATTGATCTAAAATTTTCCTTGATAGACATTTGGTCTAAAACAGCAGTTTTTGCAGAGCAAATGTCGAACAATAAAAAAATCAATCAAATAGCCCTGGAGAAATGTCTTTTGGGAAAAAATCACGACTAAAAAAATGCTATGCTGCTATCACCTGAGCTAAGAGCTGAAGTTGACAAAGACAACCAGAAATTTGACCTTGAAATTGAAGAATTCAGAATAAGTGAAATATTGAAAAATATTAATGAACTATACACAGTGTGCCTGAATCAAGCATGGACACAAAAATTTAGTTATTTCGGTACAACAAAAAAAGAAACAGTTAGAGGGGAGCTCTGCAACTTCGCCACTTACTTAAAGATAAAAATATACATTAAAATGGCGACACGTGTCAACCTGCCCTCTTGGTGCAGCAGTCCAGACCTTATGGCTACGGCGAACTGGGACGGACTCCGAGTCGAGAATCAGGTGCAGGCTCAAGAGGTGTATCCGGGTAGGTCTTGGCCGCTTTCCTGTGGTTGGAAATGGAGCTGCTCAACAAATGTCCTTTGGATCTGAGGACCCATGGGCATTCCTCTACCGAGAAACTGGGGGTTTCGGCCCAGGTCAAGGGGAACAGTGTTTTTCCTGTAGCTATCGAAGGAATGCACTTCGACACCCGATAGACTCCAAGGATCCTTGGAATCAAGCTACTCCAATCGCCCGTAGTAGGGCCGGAGAAATCCATAAGCCGCCCACTCAATACTGAAGCCTCAAGACAAGAGGAGACAGAAGGTACCGGAAGGGCACTCGTAAGAGGGATAAACCCTCTGGGCCGGAGTCGAAAAGCAGTAGAACCTCCCGTACAGGAGGTTTTTGGTGACTGCATCACCAATATGGCTAGCGCCTGTCTGTAATAATTCTAATCCTACTTAAAGATAAAAGGGGATGAACTTTTGTGCAGATGGAACATTCTAAACCATTGTGTTAAATTTAATGACCCTTATCAGAGGGGTCTAGAAGATTTCGCTCAAGGAGATCCTATTTTTGAAACCATGACAAAAAGGTTTAAAGAAATATGCAAAGAACCGCCAGATAGTTATATCCTAACAGCAAGGGAAAAGAACGAGTACGAGACTGAAGCAAATATCTTTTACAGCAATTATTACTATGCATGGATATCAGTGTATATCGTTGAATCAATTCTTGACGAGAAATATATAGAAGCTCTTCATGCCTTTTCTTTTTATTTTAGCTTGGATACACAATATTGCTTTGAGTATCAAACTTGGCCAAGCGAACTTTTCAGAATGCTCATTTTCTACCTTCCTACAATAATAAACGAAAAGCTTTATAAAAAAGAAGTTTATGAAGCTGCAAAAATAATACCTCATTTGGCTTATTTTACAGTATCATATACTGTAATTGATGAAGTCCATCATGAACAAATAGCTCAAAGATTGATAGCGTCGCATGAATGGGTTAAAAATAATATCCCAAGCTATTATAATATCGACATCTATAAGGTGTTTACCGAAGCAATCCATGATTTTGAAACTGATACTCCACATACCGATGTCAACTGGAGCGATTACCCAGAGAGCTTAAAGAAACTGATTGAAAAAATCAATACTTTTGATAAATTCTCTTGGATTGAAGGCTGGGTTCCTGAAGAAATCGGCTCGAAATATATTTCTGCTAGAAAAGTGCTTACAATGTCAAGGCTTAATAAGTGGGTGGAGCTGAACTCAAGACTGCTGGACACTAATCAAATAATTCCTGAAGAAAAAATGAGAGAAATTGAATATGAGCTTGGGATCTTTCCAAAAGAAAGCTAATTAACTTATTTTCTGATATTTATTAGCTACCCATTAATTAAAGCTCCATCGATTCTTCTGATTCCTCATACTCTGAATTATGAGGAGAGCCTGGCGAGCATTTAAAGAAGCTTCCCTCAATTGGTTCGAGATTAGGCAGATAAATTTCTGTATTTCCGATTGTTTCTTCTTCTTTTGGGTCTTCTTTTATATCTTCTGATATATCAGGGTTAATTTGAGGTGACATGATAAATGCTGCTGAGTCTGGTTCTGCCTTTTCTTCATGCATGCTATAAGTTCTTTCAAGCGTTTTTCCTGATTTTATTTTGGTTTCGTGCTGCTGCTGGCCAGTTTGGTAAGTAGATAGTCGATCAAGCAGCGACATTCTGAACTTTTTCTTCCTTGCAGGCTTTGAATCATAAGGAGGGGATGCATCTTCTTCATATTTATCGCTGTCTTCACTGTCCATATAAATCATTGTGAATTTAGGATCTGATTTTCTTTCATGTCTCACATCTGGTTGCATTTCCAATGCTGAGTTGGTCGGGCTAACAAAAGAATTGGATGAGTGAGATTGACCTTGGCTATATTTCTCAATAAAGCCTTCAATTTTTGGGTATATGTGAGGATCATCTGGAAATATCTTTACGATAGGCTGAGAGATGCCATGCACATTGATGGCTTTATAGCTTCTATTAGCTAGCTTAATCTTTGGAACACGATGATAGTTAGGCTCAAAGTCATCTTCAGGAGTTATTTTTTTAGTTTCTGGTGCCCCTCTTTTTTCAAGCCACTTCTTCTTGGTTTCCTCTTTATCCAAATTCAGTAAAATTTTCTTGCATTTTATAGCAACATGTCCCAGTTCTTTACAGATATAGCATTTTATAAGCAGAGTTGAAAAATCACTATCCTCGCATTTTTTAGATAAAAGCTCAGTTTTCTCTTTAGCCTCGGGGAACTTTCCTAGAAGCTGGTTCATATTGATGGGTGAAGCGGAAAAAAATACACTGTATTTTTTTCCTACAGTTCCCACAGTCAAATTTGACATAAAAATTTTCCAATTTTTTGAAACGATAGGGAAAAAAATACATGGAAAAAGAAAAAAAAATTCGAAACCAGGGCGGAAAAAAATTCAACCCCCCAAATAATGAAAAAAAACTGCATGAAAAAAATACACATAAAAAAAAATATTAAATTACTAATATTTAAAAAGAAGCAAAGAAAATGCTTTATTAAATATGAATGACAATAGCAGTCATTGCGTTTGCTATAAATTCACATAATAGATAAAAAATAGATGCAAGAACTGTATCATATGCTTTATAGTAAAAAGTTTTTCTGTGTTTTTTTTCCAAACCGCATGAAAAAACTACTATAAAAATTTGAAATACAGATCTTTAAGTCAAATAGAGTTAAAAATAACGAAAAACAGTCCCAGCTTAAATCTCTCTCTTTAATAGCAAGATTTTAAGAATAAAATGAATGCCTAAATGTTAAAGATCAGTTTAAATAAAAAAATTAAAAACAGAAGGAAAAAAATTCAAAATTTTTTTTCTAAAAAAACAGCATGAAAAAAATATCAGTAAAATTTCAACAGTCTAAATTTCGGCATGAAAAAAATACAATATAAAAAATTTAGTAGGAAAAAAATACATATAAAATTTATATATTTTTTTTAAAAATTTTTTAATTAAAATAATCCAAAATATCTAAGGGATGAGTTATCCAAACTCTACTGTGTGTGATTAGTAATAATAACTGATAATAAAACGATTAATTATTTATATTTCTAAGTTTTATTCCTTCTGGTTTGGAGTCGATTACACTGCGCTTAAGTCCAGCTGATCAACTCTTCTTTTAATTGTCTATTGGATAGTTCTAACTCCCCCCCCCAATTAATAGCGGACGAAAAAATCGTCCGCTATTAAAAAAGTTCGATATTTATAAATATTTTTCTATTTAAAATTTTTATAAACGGCTGAAAAAAAAAATGCATTTTTAAGTCAAAAGAGAAGCACTAAATCTAATAAAATGGAGTTGAATGGAGAAACCAGAAAGAGAAAAGACTAACAGTTGGTTATAAGCTAGTTATTGCACAATACTACCTGGATCATCAAAATGAAGGTCTTTCATATGAAGATATAGCCTACAAGTTCAATATATCAAAGTCAAGTGTCGGCGAATTAGTAGTAAAAGGCATTCATCAATTGAAAAGGGGAGATCAAGGTTTAAAGAAAAGAAAGCCAGATGCATATTATAGCTCTCATAATTTTTTAATACCTTTGCGCTTAAATTAATTCTATTTAAATATTCCCATCTTTATTTCATTGGCTCTAGTAAATTTATGTTATGCTTTGTTATGTTATGTTATGTTATATTATGTTATGCTATGTTATGTTATGTTATGTTATGTTATGCTATGTTATGTTATGTTATGTTATGTTAAGATGCTATGTATTTTAAGTCCCTACTTTGCCGCCGTGACGTTTTATGGAGATAACCCCGTAAGGTGGCTAAGGCGTGGCCTCTTCAAGCCCGGTCCGAAACCCCGGTTTCTCGGTAGAGGTGATGACCAACTGACCGCCTCCATTTCCAACTTGATTCGTCGCCCTGAATCTTGCGTCAACTCTGTCCGTACGTCGCCAAATCTGCCCACTGAAGGGCACCTTTTAATTTGGGGAGAACCCCGATTTCTCGTCTAATTTGCCTTCCCTCTTTTCCAGTCATCCCGAGAAAGATCTCAACAGCTTTCGCCATTCGGGGCAAATCACAAAAGCAGCTTAGGCAGGTATGTCGCCCTGCCTCATTTCTTACACCCACTAGGCTGGGCTCTGCTGGAAAAAAGGAGTCACGAATAACTGCCCAAGTGTCTTGGTCACAAAAACAGCGATCTTTGCGCTTAGACCTCTCGCCTTGAGGTACAAAGACATAGCTGGGCCAATTCCTGGCTCCAAAAACCATGCCCGGATATACACAGGTAACTGTCTCAAGAGGACGGGTCGGAAGTCATCCGCCATTTTATGTATATTAGTAAATTTATAATGAACGATTATCTTATATAATTTAAAATTTTTTATAGTAAAAAAATTTCCGTTATTAAATGGTACCTAAGAGTCCATTTTTAGGGGAAAAAAACATTGATTTCATCCGCTATTAATTGGGGGGGAGTTAGATATTTTGGATTTTTTTAATTAAAAAATTTTAAAAAAATATATAAATTTTATATGTATTTTTTTCCTACTAAATTTTTTTATGTTGTATTTTTTTCATGCCGAAATTTAGACTGTTAAAATTTTACTGATATTTTTTTTCATGCTGTTTTTTTAGAAAAAAAATTTTGAATTTTTTTCCTTCTGATTTTAATTTTTTTTATTTAAACTGATCTTTAACATTTAGGCATTCATTTTATTCTTAAAATCTCGTTATTAAAGAGAGATTTAATCTGGGACTGTTTTTTCGTTATTTTTAACTCTATTTGACTTAAAGATCTGTATTTCAAATTTTTATAGTAGTTTTTTCATGCGGTTTGGAAAAAAACACAGAAAACTTTTTACTATAAAGCATATGATACAGTTCTTGCATCTATTTTTTATCTATTATGTGAATTTATAGCAAACGCAATGACTGCTATTGTCATTCATATTTAATAAAGCATTTTCTTTGCTTCTTTTTAAATATTAGTAATTTAATATTTTTTTTTATGTGTATTTTTTTCATGCAGTTTTTTTTTTCATTTTTGGGGGTTGAAATTTTTTTCCGCCCTGGTTTCGAATTTTTTTTTCTTTTCCATGTATTTTTTTCCTATCGTTTCAAAAAATTGGAAAATTTTATGTCAAATTTGACTGTGGGAACTGTAGGAAAAAAATACAGTGTATTTTTTTCCGCCTCACCCCATATTGACTCTAGACAAACTCAGCAAATCTGCAAAATCAAGACACTTTGCAGACGCACATCTCGGCTTTTCTGTGAAAAAAGCAATTTCCCCAAAATACTCATCAGGCCCTAGTTCTTTATAAGTGGATTTGGTAGAATGATGAAAAATATCAATTTTTCCATTCTGAATAAAATACATTTTCGTGCTCATTTCGCCTTCTTCAATCACTGTATCTCCTGGTGCATAAGTTTCACCCTCTAGCGCTCTTGTCAATTGAGAAATGAAATGAGCCTCATATTGTTCAAATATTGGACATAATTTTATTACAATTCCATGAATGTGAGCATAAATTTCATCTCTTAGCGGTTCTGATAACAACGTCAAAATCTGCTTTTCATCGAGATTACTTTTCTTTTTGTTTTCCCAGACATACTCAAGATATCTTCTGACTCTGAACTGCAGATCGTGAGGCAAATCTTTTTTTCTCATATATCGGTTGACAGCAACGACTTGTTCTCTGTATGCGTTCTCAACAGCATTTTGCTTGCTTACAAGTGAGCCGATGCTTCCTACGGTATATGCAAAAACTCCACATGCAACAATCATAGCAAACATTGCGTAAATTTTTTCTGGGATTGTTTTGGGAACGATGTCACCATATCCTACGGTCGTCATTGTGGTGAAGGCTCAATATAGAGAGGTAATGTATTGATCAAAAGGACTGGAGTTTTCAATTTTGGCGACTGTCACTCATGTTGTAGGATAGTAGGTCATGTCAAGATCCCCTAAGAAAAACCATCAGCAAGCAGTTCAGTGGGCAATAAAGAATACAACAGAAAGCAGGCGTAAAAATAAAAAAATAGTTGCAATTACATTACTTGCTACATAATCTTCGATTTTTATTAAAATTCTTTTAATTTTTGCGACTCTTAGCAGCTTGAGAATTCTCAAAAACCTGAAAACTTTGACAAGTCTTAGAACTTGGCCTGAATTATAGACATTGGTTTTATTCAGGTATGCATATTAAAATGGCGACCGAGAATCAGCCCTTTTTCTCAACACCTGTAGCCGGCTGTGCCGAGGACCTTGTGGGAGGGAATTAGGCGCTCGGTATGTGTATCCGGCTAGGTTTTTCCTTGGTATAGTGGAGTGCAACGTCAAACTTGGTTGGCCGCAGCTCATTCTGATGTCAGGGTTTTTACCTCAGGGGTAATGGTTTCCAAGGTTGGAAAGGGGAGGCTCAGCTATACCAAGGACACCCACTTGGTCAATCGGGCAACTTTCTAGCGTGAAACTGGGCTTAAGTCTCAGGCTTTGGATTTCCATTTTGGCCGACAGTTTGACTAAAAATATATTTCAAATTTTTTAAAAAAGACAACTCTTTTGATGTGCAAGGTGACGCAACTCATCCAACTTCGGTTAGCGAGTCCACATCCTCGTCCAGAAGGAGCAACACTTTGAAGGCCGTGAGACGGTTGGTGATGAGCAGCCGAGCGAAGCATTGGGGTGGAGGTAGGCTATTAGGTGGGAATTACGGCGAACTTCTCAATAAGTTAAGTTAATGCTAATGCTAATTGTTTTATTCTGGTCTTGCGAGTCCCCATTTTCAAATGGTCCAGTTATAAATCAAGTCAGCGGAACACTTGCAACTAAATCCAGGATGAACCAAGATTTGAAATAATTTATAAAGATTTTTTTGCGGTTCATTTGCAGAGATCCTTTAGAATAGTATCCAGTATTGAAACAGATAAAAATGTCAAAAATGAAACATAAATTAATGCAAAATTCCAAGTAGGCCCATCATCCTGATATTGCTACATTAAAGCAAAGCCTATATGGAACTGAAACTGCATAGTAAACTATGAAAAAGCCTTAACATTCTTTTTATTGTGATTTCCCCCGGAGAATTTTTTTCTCTTAAGGCAGCAAAACTTTTATTTTTTAACTAAATAATGCTGAGAAAATGGCTCTAAGAAAAAATTCCCGAAAAAAAGACATGCAGCCATGAAAAGCATAGTTAGTATGTCTCAGAACAGTTTTCACGAAGATTCAGGAGTAAAAGGTCCGCAAAATCGGATACTTGGTTTCCCATCCTTAGCTACAGGCGCATTCGGTAAAAATGCTTCTTTTTTAATAGTTTTTAAATGGTGAAGGGATTTATTTTCTTCCGCTTTTGGGTCTCCTACAGGACCTTGAGATAATCCTAATTGGATATTTGTTCAGCTTTGCACTTTAAGGCCAGAAGTTTCCATGATGATAAAATTTTTTTAAATTTTGTGTAAATAAAAAATTTTACTTTTAATATGTGGGTTTTATTTTCCATAAAGTAAAAAATATTATTATTCATTGCTTTCCTCAATTTGAAGATCCAAAGACGAAATTATGAAAACAGATTACTGAATGGAACTGCAATTATTATGTATTGAAGAAAATTTAAGAATAGACATAAACAAAAAGTACCAATGAGTATGTAGATAAGGGTCTTTAAAAAATATTAAGACTGCTTCTTTTCTTCTTCTGGATCGTAGTTTGGATCGCCTCTGTCAGCTACTTCTATAGCTTCGCTTTCATTATAAGTTCCCCAGCCACCATGTCCACCTTTCTTAGGGTTTGGGTCAACTCCCTGACTCAACCACCGCTATCGATAAAAACCATTATTTTAGGGGAAAAAACTCTTCAAAAACCAAATTTTTAATAAGTAGCAATTATTATAATGAAATCTCTAGCTAATTCTATTGAATTTTAAACAGATTGCATTTCAAATAAATTAAATTAACTTTTGCTTTCCAATTTTTACATATAATTTTTTTAAAAAAAATTAACCCTCATTAGCAAGCAATTTTTTGACCGTTAACAGAGATGGGGGAGTGAGCAGAATGTCGATCAAGCCTTGCATCCTTATCCTTTTTGCCTTCCACTGATCTCTTATGATCTTCTCTATCCATATTTTATTATCGATTATATGTGAGTGCAAATACTTGAGGTTATTTTTGAAACAAAATTGCATCCTGAAGCTCAAAAAGAACTTAAGCCTAATGTTATAGTAAAAATCTAATATTTACATCTCTTTTAATTTACTTAATCCAACTTTTAGCGTTGAAATGGTGTCTTTAATGAACTCTCCTTCTTTTTCTTTGGAAATATAATTAATATGATCAAAACTTTTATTCCTAGAGTAATTTAGGCTTGTTTCAGTACTGAAATTAGTAAGCGGTTTTCTTCCATAAACTGCAATTGCCCTTTTATATGATTCGGTTGAAAATAATGGTAATTTTATTTCAAAAGTTTTAGCTATAGGCCGGGTTTCAGCCTTATTCGCAATGATAGAACTTGCATTCAATTGATTTGTCTTTGGCTTTAACGTTGGGAATGAAATATGAGCTATAGTTTTATTAATCTCAGTTATAGTATCCAAACTAAAGTCACGTCTTAACCTTAAATTACTATTTTTGTTTAAGACTTGCACCTTCTCTGTATTCAAGTGGAATTTTGATTCAGTTTTATGAGGTTTTGGCTTGAGAGGAGACAGCTTTTTCGGTTCTGCATAGAAATTTGTGTACTGTAAATAACAATCTTCGCAGACTTTTACTTCTTGAAAGAGTCATAAAGGGTCTTTTTTTAATTCCTCATATTTTGCATTTGTTAATGCAGGATTCAGCCTTCTCAGGACAATTGGCACTAGATCGCATGCATCTTCAGAGCCATCGTTATTCACTAAACTGTGCTCTGCAATATTTTTGCTTTGTGGGTCTTTTCCAGCATCAGAATACTTAAGCACTAATTTTAGCAAGATTTTGTACATATATTCACGTCTGACTAAATGGTCGCATCCTATACACAACTCCCTATTTTTTCTAAGTTCGCTAAATTTGCATGTGCTCTTTATTTTCTTCTCATTTGCTATATTTGAGATTGTTAATATAAGTTCATGAGAAACTTTACAATTGTCCTTTTTTTGCTTATCCCCACCTCAATATGTGAAAAAAAATTCGTTCGATCATATAGAATAAATATAAATTTTACTTGGAATTTGTTCTTTCGAAATTAAAAATTCCAATTCGAAATAATTTTAAAGCAAATATTAATTTAAATATAAAATTTATGTTTAAAATTAAAAAATTAGCTAGAGATTCTATTATTATAATAATTATCACTTATATTTCAAATATTTTTCATAAATAATTTTTTGTTCGCTGATGGAGGGTGGGCTTTTAACTAAAAATAGGGATTTTTCCAATGGTTTGTTTGCTCACAAAGGGGGAGTTAGTTAGATCCAGCACTTTTAAAGAGCTGCAAAATTGGAATCATATTAAATCATCACAGTCTTGCTTAAAAAACAAAGTCATTCTTGTGACTGTCACATTTCCTCCTGTTACTGCTTTTATGTGATCAACAATCCCAAGGCAGGTTTTTTGGATTTCTTCGACAAGCCAAGGAGAAGATAGAGAATCAATTTTGCTATTGTGCTCTAGGCCTTCATAAGTAACTAATTTATCATAAAAATCAATTTTTGGGTCATCAATGCTGTGCAGATTTGTCCTTTTTTCGAGTAAGCAAAATTGAGAGCTCCAAATTACCTTTATTAACGAGTTTTGCCCATTTTTGGGATCGACTCACTTTTGCAATATCCCGCTCAGTGGCTTATCACAGTTGTGAATGAATTCATCAAAAGACTCCGGATTGAAAAAGTCTACAGTTGCTATATTAGCTTTGTCTTTTTTATTATCACTGAATCCAAGAAAGGTAGCGATAATTTTGCTTTTCTCATCCATAAATTCTTGGAAAATAAATTTATGATTCACTCTTGTTTTAGATTTCCTTACTTTTTTGCCTCCGTTAGCGAACAAAGCCATTAGAAAAATCCCTATTTTTCATGAGAAAAATATTTTGATATATAAAGTGATAACTAGTATAATGAAATCTCTTGCTAATTCTATTTAATTTTTTACAGCTTGCATTTTAAAACATAAATTTAAGAAATTAAATTAGCATTTGCTTTCTAATTTTTGCGAATTTTGATTTTTTTTTAATTTCGAAAAAAAACTTTACTCTAGTTTATATTATAGAAAAATTAACTCCTTCGTGAGTGAACAAAATCTGTTTGTTCACACAAAGATGGGGAGTTAGTAATTCTCCTGACTCTGTGGAAAAATATCAAAAGAAAGGCTTAGCATATCGATAAATAACGGTTTCTGGAAGCAATACATTAGGACAGCACAAACCTGTGCTTTCGTTTTGCTTTCATAAATGAAAAAGTAGCCATTCTGTAAATCCAGCTGCTCCTAATTTCATATAAGTTGCCTATAATTTAAAATAAAATATATAAGCTGAGCGAGGCACCTTTAATCTCCAGAAATTAAGTCTCAAGCGACTAGCAGCATATACACATAACAGTACACCAAAGATTATTTTGATTTTATAAAGTCGTAACCCCACCTTATTCACGTATTTTTTTATAAAGTAAACTTTTTTCAGAATTTTTAAAAATCCCAAATTCGAAATAAGTTTAAAGCAAATATTAATTTAATTTGTAAAATTTATATTCCAAAATTAATCTGTTTAAAATTTCACAGAATTAGCATGAGATTTCATTATACTAACTATCACTTATATATTAATTTTTTTTTCATAAAAAATCTTTTATTTAATACTTTTATGAAGGATGGGTTTTTGGCAAAAATAGGAATTTTTCAAGGGGTTTTATTTGCTCAAGGATGGGAATTTAGATGAACTAAAGTCTGTTTAATTTTTCAATCGAATGATTACAATAGATTTATAGGAAAACAAATAAACGTATGTTGATTAAACAAAAATTTCATTTTGCAAGCTAAAATTTAATCTTTAGTCAAAAGATTAATAAGGATATCAAGAATTGGTAAGACATGAATTATTTTATTCTTTATAATTGTGAAGATTAGCAGCACCCTTTCTTTTTTTTTGATTGAGGCTTAATCATTAGTGGATCATTGTTCTTAATTGAGCTTGCTAAACTAACTTTGTCTTCTACAATTTTTTCGGCTATCGTTTGAAACGACCTGGCTACATCAATATCATCTTTCGCTGATGTTTCTAAATAAGCCATGCTATGTTTCTTACTCCTTTTCTCCATGAGCGAATAAAACCGTTAGAAAAATAGGGAACAAAAATTTTTTGATATATAAAAAGTTATTATGAAAAATATTTTGATATATAAATGGTAATTATAATAATGAAATCTCATGCAAATTCTGTTTAATTTTAAACAGCTTGCATTTTAAAGCATAAATTTCACAATTAAATTTATATTTGCTTTCCAATTTTTGCGAATTTGAATTTTTTTAAATTTCGGAAAAAATATTTTACTATAATCTTTATAAATAAATTTAAAAAAAAAAAACTGACTCCCCATAAGCAAAAAAAAATTTTTGTGTGGAGTTGGCAAAATCCCTAGCTTCTTTTTGTGAAACCACTCTTTGGTCCACCAAATCAATTTTATTTCCCACAAGAATTTTCTTTGCTGAGGGTTCGCAGTGATCTGTAAATTCTTTGATCCACATTTCCAGCTCTTTAAATGTTTCTCTGTTTGTTACATCAAAAACAATTATTGCCCCACCAGCTTGTCTAATATAAAGATAGTTTATTGATCTATATCTCTCTTGACCTGCTGTGTCCCATACATTTAGAGATACATTTTTGTCATTTGCTTGTATAACTTTTGTGATGTCAGACAAGCCTTTGGTGGAAGTTCTATTTAAAATAAACGATCCATCATGAAATCGTCACATAAGACTGCTTTTACCGACTGTTGAAGATCCGAGAATAACTATCTTTATTTTGTGAGCAATAGAGTCTTGACTTGCCTGCATCTTTAAATTATTAGACATCTAATACAGTCTATTTAAATTAATTTGAAAATTGTGATATTAGAGTCTATTTAATCTTTCAAATCAGCGAATTGAGCATACTTATAGTAAAGGCGTTATAATCTGCTTCTCTAATATAATTAACTCCTGTTATATAAATTTATAAGGTGGATTTGGCAACTGCAACTTGAAGCAATTACTATATTATCCAAATTAATATGGCAAATATAAATTAATCAGACAACTTGTTAAAATGCGAGAGAATATTTTATGATTTAATTGACTGGGAATTTTATAGTAAATATAAGAGAAAGAATTATTATATCAATTCTCAATTTACACAAGAAAATTAGCAGCACAAAATACTTATAGCAAAAAAACCTGGCAACATATTTAAACATCAATGATTTTGGCCTCATGATATCATGATTTATTTAAAATATCTCAACACTTTTAAGATTTATAAAAATTTCTGAGTGCAAATCGGGCAATTCCTTTCGAAGGTTTTTATCATCCACATTTTTAAGCACTCAATGTGGATAATATGCCCACATTTTAGTTTTGTTGATTCTTCCTCTACAAACAAACTCCAACATATGCAGCATTTATCATCCTTGTTCTCATTTAAATCATCCTCTATTATTGCCTTGTATTCATAATCAAAAGCTGATACAGATATCTTGTACTTGATAAGCTTTGTTAATTTGATCAAAAAACACATTAGAAAATAACAACCATAAACATGACATACTGGGCAGAATCAGTGATATCCAACAACAGGCACAAAAATAATAAATTCAAGACTCTTCATAAAATCCTTAAAAGTCTCCAATAGCAAAATTTTGAAATTTGAAATAATTCCAAATTTGATTTGATAAAGCGTGGTTAAGTTCATCTGAAAAATTAGAAAGGACTCGATAAAAATTATATTTGATACTTCAGATCCTTCAGAAAGCAGATATTTTATACCCCAAATTATATAGATACTGACAACGCTGAAAATGAAAACAAAAAGTCCTAAATTTTTTAATAAATTGCAAATAAAAAGGGCCTTGCAAAATTCTGATATTACATTCATATAATATAAATACATAGATATAGAATATCATATAAGTATTGATGTATAGGAGAAAGGTTCTTTAAATGATAAGGTAACTAATATAAGTATTTTTTCTGTTCACATAAGATTGCGCTCTTCTTCATACAAAGGTTTCATCAAAAATCTTTTTAGACAATAAAAAACAGTGTTTTTCATTGCAATATATAGAAAGTATTCTGAGATTAGCAAAGGAATTATAAAAACATTTCCAAAATAACTAACCAAAGAGAGTTCTAGAGGGTAAATAGAAAACCAACACAGTGCAAAAATGGGCTGGACGAGGTTAGATGATGTCATTAGTTATTTTATCTAGAACATTTTTCACTGTATATCAAATTAGCATTAAATTTTATAAAATAAATGGGGAATTCGAGACTTGGTTTTGCACTATTAATGCTAGTCGTTATTTTGTGAGTAGCAAGCAGTAATGCAATACAAATGATTTTCAAAAATATCAGCTTTAATAAGCCTTTTTTCTTGACTTATTTTTCAACCACGATGTTTTCTATCTATCTGATCACTCTTTTGTGGAAGAAGAACCTTTTAATTGAAAGCAGCCAAGAGAACTTCTATTTAATTGCTAAAACTGCTTTGAAATTTTGCCCTCTCTGATTCTTTGCGAATTATTTCTTCAATCTTTCATTAGGGTTAACAAGAGTAGCATCAAATACAGTAATTAGTTCTTCTTCAAGCATGTTTACATTGATTTTCTCAATAATTATTTTGAAAGAAAAACCAGTTTTGCTGAAATTTGTATCAGTGATAATAGTGATAATGGGAGTTAGTTGTGTGGCTTTGTCTGATACTGAAGGAATTGACAGTTTTGTAGGTGATGCTTTCGCTCTCCTTGGGGCCATTGTATATGCGACTTATAGTGTGTTTTTAAAATCGCAAGCAGTTTCTTTAGATATGACTGTATTTTTTGGATGCGTAGGAGCAATTAATGCAATAGTTTTGCTGCCTGGATTATTATTTGTTAATTTTAGTGGAATTGAAGAATTTGAATTTCCAAATTCAATGATTATTGGGTTCTTAGCTTTAAATGCCCTTTTCGGAACTGTACTATCAGATTTATTATGAGCCTTAAGTGTTAAGCATCTTAATCCTGCGCTATGCACAGTTGGGTTATCTTTAACTATTCCTTTATCAATGACTGTTGATAAGATTTGGCATGGATATTCTTACTCCTATCTTTATTTAATTGGCGCTTTGATGATTGTCTGTGGGTTTATTATTATGTCTTTATTCGAGTATCCTAAAGTTGCAGAGAAGTTCAATTCATTTAATATTGATTCAATTTTTCAAGCAAAGAGAAAAGGGGAAAGAAAAAATCTTTTAAGTGTAAGTGAGATGTCTAAAATTGTGTCTTATTGGATGTCATAAGTAATTAGTTAAGTAAGCAAATAAGCGAATAATATATTTCTTGAGGATTTTTAAACCTCAAAAACGACCATATTTATGCCTAAATATTTAAGATTTAAGATTTAAGATTACGATAACACTTTGTCGACCCCCACTTAGCTTAGGATCTAACAACACAAGCTCATCCTTCCTGAATTCCATCACTGGCTAACAGCTCTGAACAACGGTAGGTGGAATCGGCCTAACCGTCGAACCGTTACAGTAGCCTATGACCTAGACGAGTCTCTCTTCCTCCCTTGAAGTTGATTCAAGTACACCAGGAACTGCCGAAGCAGTTCCAGCGCCAATATCCTTCAGAAAGACTGAACTTCCCTCACTAGGATGACCTTTAGGGGACAATGACCCTAATTCATGCGCTCCATTTTTAATTGTTTTGCCTAAATATTAAAGAAATGGTAATCAAATAACATTGAATTTACCTTTAATATGATTTTAGCCTGAGTGTTAAATTTTTATTCCTTGCTGCACAAAATTAATTTATAAAAATGAAATATATCTTAAGTTTTTTATAAGTTTAATATGATAAAACATAAAAATGGTCGAAGAACCTATTCTTGATGCTAATCGTCCTATTTTAAGAGAATTATTTGACAAATTGAAGCAAAAAAATCCGCAACTTCCATTCAATGAATTATTCAAACTATTTGAAAAGACTCATATTTATCCGGACTTACTTGATATTTATGATTTAAAAAGTATAATTTTAAGCATTGCGAAATCTAATGGAAATTATGATAAAAAGCCAAGCTTTTCATATATGGGGTTTGAGGTATTGTTAAATGAAGTTGCAAATAAATGCTTTGAAAAGGAAGAGATAGATCAAAGATTTAAACTTTTGCTTACACATATAAAGGTTTCATTAAGACTTTTGTATGGAGTTCATGTGATTTTAAATTTATCGCAAGATCTCTCGGATATGATTAATTCGGAACCAAATTCTCTGCTGGCAAGATCGAATGATAAGCAATTTAAGCAAGGAAAGCTAATTAAAGGCTCTGGCTCACCAACTCATGCACTACAAAAATATAACTCCTTCTTTCTGCTAACGAGCAAAATTTTTGGTTCTAAGGGAGTTAAAACTATGTGAAATTCATTATATACAATTTACAAAATTTTTAAAGTTAGCTTATAGAATATATTTAAAACTTAATAGAATAATTTAAGATTTTAATTTAATAATGTCATTTATATATAAAATACTTTATTAAACAAATTTTTATTAAAAATTTGTTTTTGCTTGCTTTATGAGTTTCTTTTCCTTGAATAGCGATGCTTCCAATAACTTTGCTTGCTTACAGAGGGATGGGAAGTAATAATAATTCTTTGAGGAGTTTTGGAAAAACTACACCAGTAGTTAATAATGCAAGCAATTTAGCAGCAAAATTACAAAAAAGTTCAACAGTCAGTTTACTCCTCAGGAAAAATAAGCTAGATCCTAGACCAATTCAAAAGTCCCCAGATGAAGTAGAATCAGAATCTCAAAGATCCCCTGATGAATCAGGAACTCCTGGAAGATTTGCTCAGAGGAAATCTCTAACTCAAGTTCCAGTAACAACTCCTGAAAATCCTTTTCCCCAAGCTCCTCCTCATGAGCTTTTAACGGAACCTGATGATAGTGACTTTCAAGCCTCTTTAGCCGACAAGTATGATAAACTCATAGAATTATTTAACGAATTCAAAAAAAATTGCGAACAAACCAAAAAGCCAAGATTTATTGGAATTAGTCCTCGAATTCTAAGCTTTATTATCCACTTACGAGAGCAAAAAGTAGGATCTGTAATCTTTATTTAGAAGTATTTGTTAAAAATGAATTTTGATTTATGGAGACTTAAAGCAATCCGTAAATATTAAATTAAGGCGTAAATGAAAATTAAAATTAAAAAACTTTAAAATTTTTTTCTTTAAGCATATTAATTAATAATGGAAGAATGAAAGTATGAACTTTGTGACTGCGGAAGAAATCCCTTCATGTTCGTTTGATCTCTTTGCGTGCCATGTGGATATCATTGTATGCAAACATGCAGTGCAAAACATGCAGAACCTTTGAATAAAACTGTGGCTCTCAGGGCGTTCTTATGTGTTTCTTTCTTTGGCTGCCTCGGAGGATCAATAAACCGTCATTTGCTTAGAAAATCAATGAAGATAAAAGACAACGCAGTTTATGATTTTGTACATTTGATAATTCCTTGCTGTGCTGCCACTCAAGAGTGGATGCAAGTTATGAAAACAATGAAAGGGAATGAGGAAACTTTGATCACGCAGCTTAAAGCTATTTAATTTAATTAGACTGATACACATAATTTATTAGAAAACGTTTAAAATTTTAAGTTTAAAAATTATTGTTAATATTAGAATTGAAAAGAAATTTCTCAGTTTAATGTAGTATTATATGCGCTTTCCTAATTGGTCGAATTAAATTTATTTTACTACTGCTTAAAAAGCTTAAAAATTGTGATGACGGTATAACATTTTATGGTCAATTCAATCTTAATTTTAATGAGGATATTTTCTAGTTTTAAGATCTAGAAAGTAACTATAATTGCCTATATTAAAGATCTCAAATAATTAAAACTACTGAATAAAATGCAATCCTCATTTATCATATTATTTTAAATCTAGAATCTATAATAATGGGAAATATATGCAGAAAGGATCCTCTGCTTCTTACCGAACCTAATGAAAATCGCTTAAAAATAACTCAAACATACTGCATTAGCGTTCAGCCTAATTTAGTAAAGCCTCAAAAAAATTCTCGGCTTGGTGTTAGAAATATATCTAGCATTGAGTGTCGATCAATTTATCGAGATTTGAAGTTTGAGTGCGGTCTGATGAAACACAAAATTAATGATTTAATTGGGCAGTCAAAAATACTGCAAGCAAGCTTAGGTGAGATTTGTGTATTTGCTCATATAGGCAAAAATAATGAATTCTGAATTGGAAGTTAAAGTCCTCAAGGAAATGACGCAAAATCTTACTAAACCTGCACTTTATATTGAATAAAATATCGGTGATGAAAAATTTATATGTAGCAAAAACTAATTTTTATATAAATAATTTTGCCCTAGTTTATAGCGTCTGCACCGCTATAGCGTGACTTGACTCATACTATCCACAGCAGCTTCGATTTCTGATGAGTTAAAAAAAGATGACAGTTCAGCTTCATGCTTGACAAAAGGGCATCCCTTTGTAAGGATTTGCCAACTTGGAGTTGACTTTTCGCCCTTTGTCGCTTGCTAGAGCTCCAAGTTGCTGTCAAGAAGTATGCGTCAATGCACGCTATCGCGGTGCAGACGATATAATAGATTATTGTAAGTATAATGATATTTAAACCATTTAAATGTATAATGATTAATATTTTAAATCAATTTATTTTTTTTATTTTGAAAAATTGCTTTCAAAACTAAAATAATCCCTATAAATTGGGGACATGTAGTTTTTTTCCTAGTTTAAAGGTGGTAAAGAAAATATTGAGATGAATAAACGATTAAAATCTAAAGAATTGCCCATCAATGAAGAAAATCTAGAAGTTTTACAGCAAAAAGCTGAAAAATCTCAATATGAAGTAAAGATTTTGAAGTGTGAAATTGAAAAATACAAGGAAAGCGCTAAACATACAGAAATAAAACTAAAAGAATTAAAGGATTCAGCTGATAGCAGCATTATTCAGACTTTCCAGGATCTTAAAAGTGAAATAGATTTTTATGAATCAAAAATTAGCGAAACTGAGCTAGAAAATTTAGAGCTGGAAAAAAAAATTGATCTTTGGAACTACGAAATCAATTGTATTGGAATATAAATATCTTTTTACATTATTTTCAATTCATTATTATATTTTTTAAATTTCATAACTATTCATTTGCTCTCTAATCAGCCTAAGAGCATCTTCGCATTCTTTAACCTTCAGCTCAGCCTGGAAAACCTTCAGCTTTGTATCACCCAAATTATGGTCAATTTGCATTGTGAGTGATCTCAATTTTCTTGAATCCTCAATAATGTTGTCCATGTCTTCATCAATTGGCCAAGCTAAAATCGGCTGCGGTGAAAAATTGAGTGGATCAATATTGTTTTCTAGTTTTACTTTGAAATCATCTACCACACATTTATAGGCCTTGTTATTGACTTCTAAGTTTTCTGAAATATGCCCCTCCAAAATGGCATCCAATAGTTGAGGGGAAGGAGATCGCTTTCTTGGAGGAGTTCGTGATCTGCTTTTTCTTCTTTCATAGCTTCGATCATCTCTTCTGTATTTATCGTCACGTCTGTCATCCCTTCTGTCGTCTCTTCGGTCGTCTCGTCTGTAATCTCATCTATCATCTCGTCTGTCATCTCTTCGATGTCGATCTCTGTCATCCCTGTAATCGTTTCTTCTGTCATTTCCCCTTTCACTTTGAGAGGAGTCATACAATACTTTATATTGCTGACTCCCCCCCCCCCCCTCCGTGAGCGAACAAAAAAAAATTTTGTTCGCTCACGGAGGGGGGTTTTTTTTTTTTTTTTTAAAAAAATTTATATATAAATTTTATAAAAAATATTTTTTTCGAAATTTTTTTAAAAAAAAAAATCCTAATTTGCAAAAATTGGGAAGCAAATATTAATTTAATTTGCAAAATTTATGTTTTAAAACGCAATTTGTTTAAAATTAAACAGAATTAGCTCTAGATTTCATTATACTAATTATCACTTATATATCAAAATTTTTTTCCATTAAAATTTTTTCTATTAAAAAAAATTTTTGTTCACTCACGGAGGGTGGGTTTTTGGTCAAAAAATGGCGATTTTTCTAATGGTTTTGTTCGCTCACGGAGGGGGGGGGGGAGTGAGAATGATTATTACTGGATCTGGAGCTATGCCTTTTTATGAAAATAATATTTTCAGACTGATTACTAAATCTTAATCTCAATTAAGATATAGGTTGTTTGATCACAGAAAATGATTCTTTAAGTATATAGGTATATCTTTATATCTATCATATCTAGACATTTTATTATAGTTATATAATTTAATTCTTATGGAATATTGAGAAAATAAAGTTTTGATATTATATCATACTTTAAATAAATTTATTAGTGAGAAAGGGGAATTAATATTAAATTCATAATTTCTTATTTTCGTCAATTATGCATCGCTCTGCCGATACTTTTAGAAAACCATATTATGCTGCTTGGAGATTAAAAATAGTCTAATGATTCGAAAATTAGAAGATAAAACTAGTGCTCAAGGGTATTAAAATATAAGTAAATTTTTTGCAAAATTTATATTTCTTTAATACGATGCTATAAGACACATTTTTTTAAGGATTTTAATAAAAATTGATCATAATAATAAATATAGACAGCTGTTTAAAAACTAAACATTAGTTTATCTAGAACACATAATTAAAGTACTAGGTAAACAATAATCAAAATATTTTCAAACTTTAAGTTACTACGCTAAAAACATTTCTTCTCCATTAAAATCTTATTAATGAAGATAAGATTTCTATCTCGATTTATCAGCTCTTTTAGCCCAGTCAAAGTTTCTTATCAAGAGCTGGTCTCAAACGCAAATATAGAAAGGAAAATTGAAGAAGGGTATGGGCCTGATGGCCTTGGAATTATAACTATAGAGCACATCCCAGGCTATCAAGAAAAACGCATGGCACTTTTACCACTAGCCAGAAGAGTGGCTCTTTTACCTGATGATGAAAAGAAAGAGCTCGAGTTGCCCCAAATCAACTATATGATGGGCTGAAGCCACGGAAAAGAGTTTTTTGAAGGGACTCCCGACTTTTCAAAAGGATCTTTTTATGCAAATCCAGAGGTAGACAAAGCTCCTCTTTACAAAGGAGCTTTTCATGACAATGTTTGGCCAAGATCTTTGCCAGAGCTTCGTATAGCTTTCAGAGACTTAGGTCAAGAAATTATGAGAGTAGGGGCATTGCTTGCCAGGCATCTTGATAAATACATATTAGCGAGACACAAAGACTATACACCTAGGACGTTAGAAGACATAATAAAAAGCCATAAAAATTCTGCTGGAAGACTACTGCACTATTTTCCTCAAGTCGGGTCAACCCATGAATGGTGTGGCTGGCACAATGATCATTCTTGCCTTACTGGTTTAACTTGTCCACTATATTTAAATCAAACTACTGGAGAAGTTGTAAACCCAAATGAAGTTTCAGATTGTAAAACCGGACTTTTCATTAAAAATAGGCGTGGAGAAATGCTTAAAGCCCATTTAACTAGTGATTTGCTATTATACCAAATTGGAGAAACCGCTCAAATCCTTTCAAATGGTTGACTACAAGCTACGCCTCATTCAGTTCAAACTGGGGGAAGTTTGGAAAATGTTAGTAGAAATACATTTGCGATATTCATGGAGCCTGTTCCTGACTTTGCATTAAAAGTATCTGATAATCATGAAAGAATATTTGTGGAAAATGAAGGAATTCCATCACTGAGAAGGCGCTTTAAGAAAGGTATGACTTTTGGCGATTTTCATAATTCAACTGTAGCAGCGTTTAATTATTAACTCTATAATCATCTTAAAATAATAGGACTAAAGAAGAAAATGTTCTCTATTTTGAATATAATATAAGTGGTGCTTCTGACTTTTATATGGTGAGTGGTATAAAGAAGTTTGAAAAATATTTTTGGATGCCCTGCATTGAAATTTTTATTCGAAATTTTAATTATTTTATTTTCCTTAAATTTATATAGACATTTCGCCTATATTACCCGATATGGGCTGAAACTTGAGAGCACTTCCTTTTAATTTGGCTTGACCAACTTGAGAAGAAGTGTCTTAAGTTCCAGCCCATATCAGGCAATATAAGCGAAATGTCTGTAATTTGATAAACTAATTTTTTTCAGCATCATTTTATATCTTTTATATTTCTATACTTTAATGTAATTAGAAAAATAAAGAAAAGTGCAATTTTCAAATTGAAAATTTAGCTTCTATTTAAATTAAGGATAAGCTTTTAGCTCTAAAATGCAAAGCCTTGACTATCCGATACTATGAATTTAAAATTTGCAAAAAATGTATATCGGCCCATGGCAAGAATATAAATTAGCTCAAGTTCTAAAGCTTAAGAATGACATTTACGAAGGATCTGCTCCAAGTAATCAAACTCGTCTGAACGCACATGTTCTATCTCTTCATAATAAGCGTTTTGATGCAGGCTCAAAAGCTCACAGCACACCTACAGCTCGAAGTATTTCATCTGAGACCATTCAAAAGCCATATCCTACATTTGATCTTGACACATACTATAAACAATGCAAAAGAATAGAAAATCTAATAGCAAAAAGCGAAACTACTGATGAGACTTATAAGAAGCCTCCTATCCCAAAAAATAATATCCGAGTGAGAAAAACAAAAAACGCTTATGTACAGAGACTTCAGAAAATGAGGACTCTTTATGGGCTTGATAAAGAAGAAACTAAGTCCACTTTGGATGCCTCATCAGAAACAAAGGAGACTGAAAGTCGGCAAGGAAGATGCCCTTTGCCAATTCCAAGATATGAAAATAAAAATAGTCAAAATATTGCGAATAAATCGCCATTGAACTCTAAAGAGTTCTCACCAGGGATTAGGAAAATTGAAAAAACCAATTTATTACCAGAAGTAAGAAAATCGGCTCATTCTGCATCCCTTTCACAAACTTCATTGCAAAATACCAATATTTTTAAATTAAATGAGAATACTCATATAAACGATATGATGCCTCCCCTTAAAAGCATTGATAGAAATGAAAATTCACCAAGGTTGACAGAAAATAATAGCATTTTTCAGCAAAAAAGCGTTGAAAAGTTTTCTCCTGCAGTTAATAGAAAGAAACTTGAAGAATGTAAGCAGCATGAATCTGAAAAAATAAGATCGGAAAGCATCATAATGGATGACAAACAGAAAGCAATGCCAAGCCCAGTATTAAAAACATTTGAGTCTAAAGATGAAGGATTAGAAATTAAATATAACAGTACTCAGGAAACTCATAATGAAGAATCAAGATTTACATCAAATGCCATAAGCAAAATTAGTGAGAAAAAATTCGAAATTGAAGAAGAAAGCTGTGAGCAAATCGATGGATTGCTAAAATGGGTCAATGAGCTTCCTGATGAAATCAGCATGGGAAGTCCTGGAGTTTCTTCAAAAGGCATAGTTATATAGCGATATTAGTATGATTTTTATATGAAAAATATCTAAATTTTGATTTTACTCATAACTTTATTCTCATAATATACACTAATCCATATTAAATTTAATTTATTTTAATAAGGTTTCATGAATGAATTAATCAATGGACCTTAAGATAGCTGAAGATAAGCGTATAGCGCTGAAAATGAACAAAAAGAAATAAAAGACTAATATTAAAGCTTGAAACTAATTATCTTAAGGATGGCTCTATTGATGGAAATGTAATTAGGGGATGAGATGATTGATTAATCAAAAAGTTTCGAAAAGCAGTGGGCATCCATGGACAAAATATAATAATAAGTCTTATTCAGATGAAGAAAGAGTTTTTCGTAGTCTCAAGTAACAGTTCCTTTTAAAACAACAGAAGACGAATTTCAAAGATGGCCAGCTTACACTAAAAAGGAAATTAAACATTGGGGAAGAGCAATTCAAGTAAAAGAAAATCCAAAAAGAGAGGCTTGATGAGATACAGATTATAGCGAAGGGACTGCTAATTAAATGACAATTAGCATACTTCTAAATTAGTTATCAATAGTCTAAGTGTTTGGAATTATAACAAAACATACCAGATTTTTTCATTGATAATAAAATGCAATGTTAAATAATAAATAAAAACACAGGCACATATATTTAGGCATAACTCCATTAATAAACCATGAATTAGTTTAGCAATTAATACTCATACTCAAGAATTTACTGTCAATGATATGGAGCAAGACTACCATTTTGCAGAGTAATAAATTACTATTAAATTGTTATTTCAACTCCTTTTATTCCAACATATCTTGCGTCAATATTTGTATGTGAACCCATGTCTCCGAATTCTCTCATCAAGTTGAGTGGGTAAAACAGTTTCATATAAAGATAAACTCCTGAAAATGCATCACAAAGCTTCACCTCCATATTTTTTCTTCCTCTTTTAATAAATCTTCCCCATAAAATGGGTTTCAAAGGGTTATTCGTTCACTTAAAAAGGCGATATTCATGCAGTTTTTCTTTTACCAAGCTGTAGGCCTCAGGAACTCTCCCATCAATCGATATCAAGTTATCAATATCATCAGAGCTTTTTAAGTCATTATAAATCGAAAACTCATATGAATCAATATCAACATAAGCATCGCTTACAAAAACCATGAAAGCTGCGACAGGGCATGTAAAATGCCCACTTCTGCTTATTTCTATCATTTTAGCTACGAAAAGCTTATTACCTCTATCAGCTGCTTGAAAGTTAATTTGCCTAACTAAAGTATATAAATCATCCTGGCTTTTTCTAAAATTTGCAAGTTTCAGCTCCGTGCAAACCAGCGTATCATGCAAATCCCTAAGATGATGCATATGCTCATACATTAACTGCTGATTGGAATTTCTATGAACTAAAACTTCTGGATTATTTATGAAAATATGCCTAAAGACCATTTCTTCGAAATAATTTAAAGAATCACTTCTTCTACCTCTTCTAAGTCCTAGAAGTTGTCTAGCATATTTATTATTTCTTACAATTCTCGCAACTTCATTTTTAATTTCAGCTCGCCCATCGGATAAAATTTCTGTTTGAGTAGAAGAAAGGACGCCGGCACAGTTTACATTTGAGGTATTTTCCCTGGAGCAGTAACCACGAGATTTTTTTGAAAATAAGCTGTCAACCCAGTAATTAGGGTTATCGTCGTCTACCCCACCAGTTGTGCCAAAACCTATAAATTTTATGGAATTAATTTTACTTTGGCTGCTTGTAGCTTTAAGGATTTTTATAGCCTGGAAAGGAGAAAGGGAAATTGGTCTTGTGATGTGGAGTTTATTTGAAACTAGTCTGCTTAAGTGGTATGGAGAGTTTGTTACGCTATTGAAATATTTGTTGATCAGACAAAAATTCAGAAAAACTTCTTTTGGACCAAGAAATATCATAATTTCCCCAAGAATTTCATATGGAAAGTACTCCATTTTAAAATATAATGATCATTTTGGATTGCTATAAATGGTCAACAATAAACTATGAACCATATTTATCGACATTCAATATCACACATAAAAAGCTAATAAAAGGATTTTTAAGCGAAAACTTTAATTATGCCTATAAAAACTTAAGAAGTTTGCATTTAAAATTTTAGCCAAAATTATCTATTGGAATTAAATATCAGTTTTTGATTCTGACATATATAATTTTCACTTTGTGCCCTTTTTTCTTGATAAATAGCTATTTAGTGTTTTGTTCAAATTAACCTTGTGATTGCTGAATACATTATCTTTTATTATAGTTAGTGACACTGACTATATAATTTATAAGCATAGCAAAAGACAACTCCGAATTATTTAGTGTAAGTTGATAAGCATCTTGATTGTTATTTTCAAAAGCTATTTAACAATTAAACGATAAGGAATTATTTTTGCTTTCTTAACTCTTAGCCTTTAATTGCTCTTAATTCTTTTTTACAAATTTGATCTCCTATAAAGATTTCCATAAATAGAAAAAGGTTTAGAAATAAAAAAAGAAGATAGAAACAATTATATTTAGAACCTAAAAGAAAAGAAAACATTTTTATATGAATATAGTTTTATGATTTTAATCTAAGTGATTTCATTTTTAATCATAATACTCAAAGGCTTTTATAAATTGCCTTTTAAATTCTTATTTCTACACCTTTTAAGCCAACATACCGTGCATCTATATTTGTAAATTCGCTCATATCCCCACTTTCTCTCATCAAATCCAATGGATATAATAATTTTACATAAAGATAAGCTCCAGAAAAATTATCACGAAGCTTAGCCTCAATCTTTTTCCCTCCTTTCTTTCTAAATTTTCCTCATAATAGTGGCTTTAAAGGATTTTTTGTCCAATTGAAAAGCCTATATTCATGCAATTTCGATTCAAAAAGTTCATAAGGTCTCGGCACATTTTCATTGATTGAAACTAAAGTATCAATATCACTGGATGACTTCAAATCGTTATAAACAGAGAATTCACTAGATTCTATATCAATATAATAATCACTTATAAACACCATGAAAGCTTCAACTGGGCATGTAAATTCTCCGCTTCTACTAAACTCTACATATTTCGCGCAAAATAAGTTCTTTCCTTTATCTCCATTTTCATAGTTTATTGGCCTTACTAGATAATAAGCATCATCTTCTCTTTTCCTGAAGCTTGCAAGGATTAATTCGGTATTAACTAAGCTGTTATGCAATTCTCTGAGATGAAACATGAACTCGTGCGCAGTTTGCTGATTAGCGTTTCTATGAATTAATATTTCAGGCACATTTATATAAATATGCCGAAAAATCATTTCTTCAATATAGTTCAGTGGATCAGATTTTTTGCCAATGCGGTCATTTCCTATTAATTGTCGAGCGTAATGATTATTTCTTATGATTCTTGCAATTTCGTCTCTAACCTCACTTCTTCCATCAGAAAGAAGGCCATTTTGAGTTGATGAAAGGACTCCAGCACAATTTATGTTGTCTTTTCTTTCTCTGCTGCAATATCCAGGGGAATTTTTAAAAAATAAGCTGCCAACTCAATTACTTGCAATGTCACCATCAACACCTCCAGTTGTGGCAAAACCTAAGAATTCAATAGGCCGGATTTTACTTATTCGTGTTGTCTTTTTAAGAATTTTTATTGCATGTGGCAGAGTGAGAGACATCGGTCGGCATATGTGAAGTTTGTGGGAAATAAGCTGAGTTAAGTGATAAGTTGATTTAGTTACACCATAAAAGTATTTAGATACTAACTTTTCATATATGGTAAATATATTATTCAAAGAATAGAAAAAAATATTTTTTTTAAGTGATTATAAAATACATGATGAAGTAGTAAGCAAAATTTTTGAAAAACATCTTTAGCTTCAAGAAATATCATAATTTCCCCCAATATCTCATAAGGTAAAGAATCCATTTTATTAAGGCATTTTTTCTATAAGATAATTTCGTCTATAAATGCATAATAAAGATTCTTTAATTTCGCTTTTAAATTATAAAAACTTATTGTTTATTTAGTAAAATTTTTAATTTTTTATAATCTTCGATAGAATTTTGCATAATGAAAATAAAAAACTAATTTTTGATTAAATCAATATGATAAAGCCATAAAGCTATTAATTATTTATAAAGGCTCTTAATTTCTTGAGAAATTAGACTAAAGCCCAAAATTCAAGCTTTAAAAGGTTAAAATGCTCTCTTCCACTCAAGATTTCATTAGCATATGTATCACTACGCCCACTTGAGCCATATACAAAATTTCTATCGATAAGCAGCCCTGCTTTCCCTCCAGCACCCATCGTAATCCCATCTTGATCCGAACTCATGTAAAAATCATTTAATAAAGTTGGAAAAAAACACTGAATCTTTTTTGTATCATGAAAAGTTCATAAGAAACAATCGCCAGTCCCATAAAATAATTTAGTCGGCTTCCACTGATGTGAAGCGAATCCTCCAAAAATATGGTGATCAGCATCTTCTATCACTAAAACAGAAGGTCCCAAATCTTCAAGTGACCTGAAAAATACTTCTAAGCTAGTCCCATGAACAGTAAACGAATATGCAAGTTTCCAATTTCTTATTTGAAACAGCATTCCCATGTTTTTAGTTATTTGCATAACTTTGGCATCGCTCAAAATTTCAGAAGGCTGTGAGAGCCCAGGTAAAATATCCTCTTCATCCAGCATGAGACTAAACCGAATGCTTCTTCTCGTAACTAGCTGATATTCTTCAATTTCCATACTCAAATCTTGGTATTTTTCTTCCTCTTCTTCAAAGTTAGATTCTTTTAATCCTGCTTCTACATACTGCTGATAGGATCTATTCAAGTCAAAATAAGGCACAAAAGTCTTTCATTCTGACGAAGGTGATAATCTTTGCTGCTCTTGTCTAGACCTAACAAGCCCTACCAATTCATCAGAATTTACTTTTTGTTCAAAATAGTTGTACTGGCCTTTGGGCCCTTTTTCAGAAAGCTTAAAGCAGACATTGGCTTTCGGGATGTTTGTATCGATTTCCTTTTTTTCTTTACCGGTTCTTGTAATTAGAAAATTAATGAAGAAGTTCTTTAATTTGTCTTCTGGATGCAAAGCATTGAGGGAAGGCAGCTCTAATATACTGCAGGACGTAATGTCTCTGATTGCAATGCATAAGCGAAACTGTGTGGCTGGCACTGAGTATTTTTGAGTGTTCGCAGTTACTATACATCGATCATTTTCTGAATAAGGACAGAAGACAATTTTGTTGTGAGAAACGCCAAGCTCACCGACAACATCTCCGTCAGCTGTGCAGTATGTAACCTCAAGGGTGAAGTCGTTTCTAGAATCAATTGAAAATTGCTCAATCGTTGTGTTTCTTTGTAGAACTGGTGCATCAGAATTATTTATCTGGTCCCCAAGCTCTTCAAAAGGAAGAGCTTTTGAGTCGGCATGCTGGACATCTAAAACCATCCCTGGAAAAAGATCTCCCTCTCCTGAAATTTGGTTTAAATGGCAGAGATCAGCAATTTTCATATGAAATAAAGATGATATACTAGCCAGAGTATCCTCTGGCTTTACTGCATATCGTTCAAATTCCATTGTAAGCTAATAATTTATTAAGAAACCTGATTTTCAGTAATAAGTTATTTAGAGAAATAATGGCCATATTAAAATATTGTAATTGCCCGAGGATGGCGCTATCTTGCGCCATCCTCGGGCAATTCAAAAATGGCCCCACACCGGTAATTGAACCCATGTGTGGGGCCATTTTTTGTATGTGTAGAATATCGACTTCCACGCACCAAAAATGGCCCCACACGTGGGTTCAATTCCCGGTGTGGGGCCATTTTTTAAATTGCCCGAGGATGGCGCAAGATAGCGCCATCCTCGGGCAATTACTATATCGTAATTTGCAGAGTTTTGAACATTACCTCCTAGATGTGGAATTTTTTCCGCGTGTGAAAAGATGATTCCTTATGTGAAGCTCTTCTGATTTTACATGTGGAATCATCTTTTCACACGCAGAAAGATTCCACATTTAGGTGGTAATGCTCAAAAATCAGCAAATAACGATACAAATTGAAGATGAGTTGAAAATTTTGTAATGTTTAGAAAAAATATTATAGTTCTCCTTATAGAGCTTAATAATATATTTCCATAGGGAAATCACTTATTTAAAAGTCAAGTTATAAACTTGAATTTTTTAAAAAGTGAATGTAAGATTTTCTTCTTAAAGCTTCCTATTTTAGTTTTAATAGCTACTCTATAATTTAATAATGAAATTTTATAATCTAAATCCATTGATTTTCCTCTGATTGCGTGATAGTTGACTTTGCCTTTAAAATAATATGCGATGCCACACTATCCAACATCCTTCTATTTTTATTAACTAATTCCTCAAAATGGGGTAAATCATTTCCCCTAATTGCACCTATCAACTCATTTACAAATCCATATTCCGGCTTGCTTTCAAATTCAGGGTCACTATTTATATACCTATGCAATGCATTTTCAGCTCCAATAGCATCCTCATTTGCGAGAAACAAAAGTGCAGCCTTAAAAAAGCAAGCCCTTGCTGAATACGCATGGGATGCTTTGCTCATATATTTATCCCCCACAGTTTCAAAAATCTAGATAAATCTTACTTGGATTGCCTTTAAAATATCCTCGGTTTCATTTAAATATAAAATTTTAAGCTCAGCACACTTGAGTTCACAACTGCAGCCCGAGCTTTCATCATTTACAGAGTAAAACAGCTCAGCAGCCTGCAAATAGCTATCCGCAGCTAGCTTAAATTCTTTGCTCTCCTCATAAAGTTCAGCAATTTGCCTTTTTAGACTTGCAGCCCTATCAATTTTTGGGGTATTTAAGCATATATCTGCTGCTTGGTTATAATATTTTATAGCATCCATGACATTCACATTTTTTATTACATTTCCAGCATCGATATAATAAAATGCAGCTTCTTCAGGCAGACATTCTGCGCATTTTATGAATTCATTTGCAGAGGAAATATCTAAATGGTCTTTTACAGTCTCCTCCTATTTTGTAGCATCCGGCTGCTATTTTATAAAGCTCAGCGGCTTCTATGCCTCTTCCGACTCTACTTGAGAACATTTTGCTGAACCTTCCTGGCCGAAGCAGCTTATAGAACTTTTTCTTCAATAGCGCGATAAGGCGCATTTCTAGGTTTTACTGGAGGACCTTGGACATATGAAAACCTGCTATTCCTTATTCATAGGGGAGACAAACAGCCTAAATAAAGAATTCTGCCTGATCAATCTCGAGAACTTGAAGAGAGGCTGTGTGGAAAATTTACATTTTGGTTCGTCAAATGGATCTGACGAGCCATTTCTGGCCAGTACTTGAAATAAAAAATGATAGTTGCCAGAATTTTATTAATTTTCTGATGAAGAGTATGATCAGAAATTTTAATAAATTCCTTTTGACAATAAAATTCAAAATCCAAACTTTTAATAGAAGATTTAAAGAGATAATTTAAGCATAAAGATAACATAATAAATACTCTTTACTGCCTTAGGGAGACGATGCCAGTAATGATTTTTTAAAATGTGACTTTTTTCATAGTGACTTAACCATCTTAATTGTTTTTTAAAATTTTAAATTCAAACTTTTAATAGAAGATTTAAAGAGATAATTAAATCGTAAAGATAACGTAATGAATACTCTTTACTGCTTTAGGGAGACGATGCCAGTAATGATTTTTAAATTTTGACTTTTTTCATAGTGACTTAGCCATCTTAATAAATTTTTAAATTTCAAAATCCAAACTTTTAATAGAAGATTTGAAGAGATAATTTAAGCATAAACATAACGTAATGAATACTCTTTACTGCCTTAGGGAGACGATGCCAGTAATGATTTTTAAAATTTGACTTTTTTCATAGTGACTTAATTAATTACATGATCCTGTACCATTTATTAAAATTCTGATTATACTCTTCATCATCAAAAAATTAATAATAAATTCTGGCAACTATCATTTTTTATTTCAAGTACTGGCCAGAAATGGCTCGTCAGATCCATTTGACGAACCAAAATGTAAATTTTCCACACAGCTCTCTCTTCAAGTTCTCGAGATTGATCAGGCAGAATTCTTTATTTAGGCTGTTTGTCTCCCCTATGAATAAGGAATAGCAGGTTTTCATATGTCCAAGGTCCTCCGGTAAAACCTAGGAATGCGCCTTATCGCGCTATTGAAGAAAAAGTTCTATATCTGCTTGGCTGCTTGCTTCTTGGGCTCGACGGATATAATTAGAATTGTCAGACATTTTTATATTTAAGCAACAGTTATTGAACGATTTTTAGAAATAAACCAGTCATGCATGATAAAACCAATTTTAATTTAACAATGATAAAAATTGTTTCAAATATAAATCAATTCTTACGAGATTATATGAAATCATTTTCTTCAGCTTTCAGCATTGTGGATTTCACTTTTAATAGCACGTGAGTTTTCCATCTGTCTAAAGGTGTGATTTTATTAAACTGGGCTGTGACTACTTCAAAATCGCTTTGCTCTCCTGATCGAATTGCTGCAAGCAAGTCCCTTACGAATCTGCATTCTCTAGAAGTCTCAAAGCTCGGATCTCTGTTTGAATACATATTCAAATTGTTTTCAGCTCCAACTGTATCGTCATTTGCTAAGAATAGCAGCGCTGCTTTAAAATAGCAGTCTTTCGCTGAAAACCTCGTCAAGTTATTCATCAAATACCTTTGTCCTACTAATTCGAAAATCTATATACAATCTACCTTGATGGCTTTTAATATGGTTTCGCTATCTAATGAGTCCAATGTGCTTAATTCAGCTGCTTTCAAATGGCATGAATTTGCAGTACCATCACTATTATCTAATTCAAAGAGCTCAGCGGCTTGTAAGTAATTTTCTACTGCAAGACCCAACATTTCATCAGTTTCATAAATTTCAGCGATCTGCTTTCGTAGTCTTGCAGCCTGGCTGATTCTGCTGCTATTGACGAGAATCTCAACAGCTCTGTTGTAATAAGAGACTGCATCAGCTGAATTAACTTTTCTCACAACGTTTCCTGCCTCTGAATAGTAATTTGCTGCTTCATCAGGGACACACTCAGCACATTTACAAAACGAGCGAGCTGAGGATATGTCTAAATTAAAATTACAGTCTTTTCCTAGTCGATAATAATTTGCAGCTTGCTTGTACAGCTCTGAGGCTTCTTCAAGTCGAGCGTCGCGGTTTGAAAACATTCTGCCAAATACTCCTGGCTTGCATTTTTTCTCTGCTTGGTTGAAAGCTTCTTGTGCTCGCCTTATATAATTTGAGTCTTCAACCATTTTTAAGCTAACTCCTCAGAAAGCGAACAAAAAATTTTGTTCGCTCACGGAGGGGGTCAAGTTTTTTATTAAAAATTTATATAGTAAATTTTTTTTCGAAATTTAAAAAAATCCCAATTCGAAATAATTTTAAAGTAAATATTAATTTTATTTTGTAAAATTAATCAAGCTATTTAAAATTAAACATAATTAGCTTGATATTTCATTATAATAATTTTCCACTTATATATCAAAATATTTTTTCATAAAATTTTATTCACTCACAGAGGGCAGTTTGATAAAAATAAATAGTGATTTTCCAATGGTTTTGTTCGCTCTCACTGGGGAGTAAGAATTATAAGCTTTATTATTCAAACATATCTTCCAAGAAATTAATAACCCCAATTAAAAAGATCTCAATATCATTGAAGGTGCTTCATAAAAAATATCAATTCTCTTAACGATTAAAATTAATTAAATTTAAAACTGAATATAGAAATTGCCCGAGGATGGCGCTATTTTGCGCCGTCCTCGGGCAATTTCTATACTTCAAACTTATAATTATTATAAACTTATATAAAAATCTATCAGCTCTGCATTTCTATACTTTCATTAATTAGCCTGATGATTTCTAGCATTGCTACTTTTTGTCATATTCAAATAGGGTTGAAGAATAAAATGTCACGATCCAGCAGAGACTCTTCTGAGCTAGAAGTTGAGCCTCATAAGCTCAGATCTCTCTTAGATTCAATTGCAATCCAACTCGAAATTCCATTTCTTGAAAGACGAGGAAGAAACAAACAACACAAGCACGATCCAATCGAGGAACTAAGAGAAGTAATCCAAGAAACCAGCGAGCGCGAAAGAGAACTTCAAGCTTGCATAGGAATTGCCCGAGTTCTCATCGACAACAATGAAAAAAGTATCTTAAAAATAAACAAACAAAGAGAAGAAAAAGAAAAAGATCAGGAGAAAATTAAAGATCTCAGAAATACAATTGAAACCTTAAAAGAAGAATTAGTGCTTGCTGAAGAAAAATACGACCAAGTTAATAAAGCTTTAGTAAGCTGTGAGGAGCAGCTGCTTGTTTTAAATGCTGAACATAAAAGGCTGCTGATGGAGAGCAATAAATTGAGGGAATTGCCAGATTCACTTGTACAGTCTGTCAAAGATTACCAAAGTGAAATTGAGGAGCTAAAAAGCAGCTTTCGAAGTGAGCTGGATGAGATGAATAAAAACAAATTTGAGTTAGAAAGAAGAAACAAGAGGCTCTTACTCCCCCCCTTTAAATTGGAACAAAATATAGGTAAAATTTCCACTTTTTTGGTAAATTAACCCCCCTTTAAATTGGGACGAAATTTAATTTTATAATAAAAAATTTTATATATATAAATCATAATTTTTATGTAAAAAGTTTTGATATAATTTAAATGTTTCTTCTTAACTAAAAATTAAAAATTTAGTTATATCCTGCTCTTATTTAAATAATAGAGTATAAAGAGCATCTTATTTAAATAAATTTATTATCCTTAATTGTAAATTTTAGGACAAATTTAATTTTTTTTGTTTTTAAAAAATTTCAAAAATGATATTTTTTATTTAAATAGCTTTGATATAAATTCAATACGAATTATTTACAAAAATTCAATATTTACTTATCACTTGCTTTATTTTAAAGAATAGAGTATAAATAACATCTTATTTAAACAAAATTAGCACTTTGATTAATAAATTTTTTAAATTTTTTTTTTTTTAATTTTTTTTTATCAATAAAAATATAATAATTTTTGTGTGAATAGTTTTGATACCAATTAATAGTGGCGTATTAATTAATAATAAAATTTTAGTTATATCTTGCTTTGTTTTAAAGGATAAAGAGTAAATAGCATTTTATTAAACAAATTTATTAATCTAATTCGATAAATTTTTATTTTTAAATTTTATATAAATTTTTTTTTTATAAAACATTTTATAATGATTTTTTTTTAAAAAAATTTTCTTAACCCGCCCTTTAAATTGAACAAAATTTTTAGTTCCAATTTAAAGGGGGGGAGTCAGAAGAAAAAACACAAATGGACACCATCTATAATGAAACTTATGAAAAATTCAAAACTCTTGAAATATCAAACCAAAAATCTCAAGAAAGATTAAAAGCCCTCGAACAAGAATGCCAAAATGCTAAATTCGAAAAAGAAATAGCTGACAAGAAGATTGGCTTGTTATCAAAAAATACAGAGAAACTTAAGGCAAAAATTGATAAACTGGAAGAAGACCTAAAATTGACTGAAAACTCCCGATCCAAATCTCAGACTCCGAAAAAGCTTAAGCATTCCCGACATCACAGCTTGCTAACTGAAATTGAAAGTGTACGATCAGATGAAAAGGAAAAGAAACTAAAACTCCCAGAAATTAGGGAAGAAGAAGAAATGGTCATCACCAGCATAGCAAGTAAAGCTTTTCTTTCGTTTACACCACATGGCAAATCAGGTCATAAAGTTTTCAGTTTTGACAGATCTCAGAAAACTTTAGATATAGATATTGACTTAGGAATAATACATATAGAGTCTAAAAAAGCTAAAGATTTTCCTGGTCGAAAAGATCCAGCAGAAGAGTATTTCTTTTTGGCAACCCAAGCTGTAAAGATGAATTCTTCTTATATGGATGCAATCTGTATTATTCCTCCCCAAAACCTATATGAGAAAGCAATGAAAGAAGACGTGCCATTTCATAAGTGGCATATTTGGATAGAGTCCCAATTAAATTCTGCCTATATTCAGATGCTATACAAAAAAGATTCAAAAATCGCCCCAATCCCTACAATAAATAGAATAACTAGAAGATAATTGATAATTTATATAAGATATTTAGACTAATGATTTAGTCTTATTACTTAAGCTTCCGGGTCTGGAACGTAAACTGCTGGGAAGACTGCTTGGTCGAATATTCCAATTGAATCAGCAAACCATGTGGCTAAGAACAAAGGCACTCCTGCCTTACTCCCCTTTTTCATAACAAAAAAGCGAAATTTTTCTAAAATTTTCTTTAGACCCATTATATAGTAAACAATTTTAAAAAATATAAAAACTACAATTGCAATGGCTTATAATATCTTCTATTATTTATATAGTAAAATATTTACCATAAAAAATAAGTCAATAAATAAATTGTGAAATAAATATAAAAAATTCAAATAAACTGTTATAAATCCATATCGTATAAGTTTTGATAACCATCGTGAAGGATTCATAAAATAAAAGTTTTGGAAACTCTAAAAAAATTCATATAAAATTTATAAAGACAAAGGGGAGCTAGCCAAATATCCATGGAACCCATTCCACATTTGGCCAATATAAAAAGTGTCTCCAAGTGCTTTCCAGAAAGCCTCTGCATAGTTCTTAAAGAAAAGTTCTCCTTGTGAGTTCTTAGGCAGCTCTTCTACTAAGTGTTTCAAATGTAGGAATGGGTAGCCCATAAACACACCAGCATAAACTCCAGCGCTGACGTAAAATGCTCTTAAAACAGCTTCTGGTGTTCCAGGGAAATCAGTTCCCCAATGCGTCATATGTCTGAGTTTTTCTTTTATGAAATCAGTGAAGAAAAGCAAGCCCAAGGTTTCTCCGAAAGCTTGACCCATTAGAGGGCCTGCACCTCTCATGAATGGGTAAAGTCCATCTTTGCTTAAAATAGTTAAGGCTGCGTGGAAGTGATTTCTGTATCCTCTTGCGAATTCTTTTGGAAGAATCTTGTCCTGCTCGAATCTTAAGGAAATGTTATAGAAAGGAACTGGAATCCAGCATGTAACAGCACCAATTGCGGCTGCAGTTAATAGATATTTCCCCCAATCGGTATTAACAGTGTGGTGCTCATGGGCGTAGCCTCCTGCATAATCTTTCCAAAGATAAAATCTTGATGTTTGAAATGCAAGCCCATAGGTGCTGGAAAAGAATAAACTTGAGAAGAAGCCTCTTCGGAAGTTTTCCATTTTGCAGACTTCCTTATCCTCCCCAATAAAGAGTGAGCAAGTTTGTTTTTAAAAGGAGATAAGTTGTTTTTTTAAAAAAATTAATTGCTTTTGAATATAAAATCCAAAATTAATTTATAAGATTTATGTTTAAGAATGCAAGCTGTCTAAAATTTAAAGATTTATTTTGAGATTTCATTATTTTATTAATTAAATTCGATTATCAATTGTGCTATACAGTTCAACTTCAGATCTCATTATAAGAATCATTAATTATATATTTTATCAAAATATTTATATAAAAATAATAAATTTATTCAAATGTTCTTATGAAAAAGTTAGTGAAAATTCCTAGAGTGCGGAGGCTGTCTGGGGCTTGGTAATACCTTAAGAGATCAGTTGCTGGAGCGTAGAATTGATACCATAAGGCTCTGGTTATGCCAAAATAAAGCCCTGTTAGCTCTGCTTGTTGAAAATTCCAAGCTGGGTTCCAGTTTGGTGGAGTCATCCACTTGTACAATATCATCCTTGTACGGGCATTATGATTCCTTGCAACAATCACTGGCTTCTGCCCTTCTATTTCTTGATACATATTTTATAAGAGTAGTAACTATAGTCCACAATTATTCGATACTTCATAATCAACTAAATCAATAATTTTCAAAGCCGACTTTATATGTAAATACTAGGAGAATAATTGAGAAGAGTGCGAATTTTAAAACAAATTAGCTATTTGAATTAATAAAATAATGAAGAAAGCATAGGCGAGAAGCATTCAATAAGACATGCAAATCTTCGAGCTCTGAAAAACTCTGGAATCATTTTTAGTATAATGGAAATATTTTTCCGAAACGGCTTGAATAATTCAAAGTATAATTGATAAAATAATGTTGAACTAGCAAGAAAATCAAAAGATTTATGAAAAAATCTTAAAAATTGAAAATACAATTGGGTTTGATGCTTTAATTTAAAAGTTATAAAAAAATATTAATTTTGCTTTACAAAATTGATTTTTATCTCGCATAAAGCTTTATTAGAATATGAAATAAAACTTCTCTATTAGTTAAAGTATTTACAATATTTAAGATGGCAGAGAGGATCATTGTGTGTGAAATGACTGATGATATGAGAGATGACGCAATAAAAGAAGCAAGAATTGCAGCTGAACAGAAAGAAAGTGAAAAGGAAATTTCGCAAGCTATCAAAAAGTTCTTTGATAATAAGTACTCCCCATGCTGGCATTGTATTGTTGGGAAAAGCTTTAATGGCTATGTCTCTTACCAAACGAAGCACTTTATCTTCTTCTATGTCAAACAAATTGCAGTCCTCCTATACAAAATGGGATAATCTAAGAAACGTCTAAGCTTTAAATTTAAATAAATTGAATTCTTAAAGAATCATTATGGGTGATTTTTTGTTTAATTATAATCAAATTCAACTCATAGATAACTGCCATCTAATGGTATTCAAATTTCAGAAAATAAAAATTATCAAATATCGATTTTATATGAGGTGTTCAAGAAAAGATGTTTAATTAAATATAACTTGTTAAAAGAAATGATTATAATCTAGAAATATGCTGAATGAATTGAAATGATTTTTCCCTATAATAATTACCTACTGCGCCAAAAGACATTATTCTAATTAAAGTCAGCTATTTTACTGATATTTTTATCTCAGGTCCTCGTATGATAAATTCCTAAGCCTATTCATCGGCGACTGTATTGTAACATCTAAAAGATTTCCTCTAGGTCTTGCCAAATACCCATAATTTCCATAATTTGATGATTTATTCGAATCATCTATAAATTGAGAGGCTTCTAGTGACTGCGACTGCGTTCTAATTCTTTTATTTGATGAATGTATCTTTGGAAGCATTTCTTCCTTAAACTTCTCATACTTTTCTTTAGTTTTTTTATCTCTTCTGCTATAAATTTTATAGCATTTATCACAAACTGGCACCAGTTCAAATTCCCACGCCAGTTTTTTATTCAAACTTGCCTTTGAATAATTATTATTTTGCTTTTGAATATATAGATTGATTGCTTCTGTGTCTTTACTCCTCTGCAATTTTATATCAAGCTCTCTTAATAACTTATTTGGTAAATTATTTATTAGTGATTTCAATGAATATTTATCATTCCTGTCCTCCAAAATTGTTTTCCTTAATATTTTATATTGCAAATGCTCAGTAATTGGGGTTTGAGGCCTTAAATCTTTTCCTAATAAATGCTGGAGAGTGTCTATATTAAGGATATCTTGCAACTGCATTAATTCAAATAGTGTCCCTGCATATTCCATATTGTGTTTCATGAGCAACTCAATTTTTTCTCTATTTTCATAGTCATTTCTTTTCAATAGTTTGCAATAATCTCCACAGCAGACAAGCTGCTTTTTCCCTTTGCTTACAGAGGAACTTTCTGTTGCACTGAACAGCGAAATATGCTTAAAATCACTAAAAACTGGAATCGATGCACAGCTGACTGTTTCTGCAACAATATGTGGAGCATTTATCAAGTAAAAGTTTCCATCTATGGCTTCAATAAAATCTAAAACAATTGAAGAAATTGTCTGGTTTTTTTGCATTACCTTTTTCAAGCATTTTTTGGCCTCTGATCATACTATTGTGCAAGATATAAACTTTTTATTAGATAGCACTTCATATACGTCAATGTCTTCGCTTTCACTTACTTTAACAGTAAATTTTGAAGATCAGCCAGACCTGCTATGAGCATTGTTGCTTACTCCCCCTATGAAATAAAAAATTTTGTTCGCTCACGGAGAGGGGTTAATTATTTTTTTTTAAAAATTATATATAAATTTTATAATAATTTTTCTTTGCGAAATTTAAATTTGCAGCAAGTGGAAAGCTAATATTTATTTAATTTAAATTAAACAAAATTAGCTAGAGATTTCATCATATTGATAAACACTTATATATCACATGGTTTTGTTCTCTCACAGAGGGGAGAGTTAGCTTATTTTTTTCATTAAATTCATTGCTCAGAATATCAGCTAACTTTTTTATTTTTGCTCGAAAAAACCTAATCATATTATGTGCAAACTCTTTTTGATCATAATCAATAATACTTACCGATATTATTTGGGCAACCATATACATAAAATTTGCTACTTGAGAGCATTGCCTTAAAAAGTTTAGTTTTCCATGGTTGTCTTCAAAAAAATTTGTGTGGTTTGTAAGAGGTTGAAATGGCTTCAGCTTGAACATTTCCTGGTACACGCTTGAGTGAAGATTAAAGCTTATTGACGAATTCAAAAACTGCTGTGGTATGAATTCTTTTAAGCTTTTTTCAGAATTTTTAGAATGTGTAAAAGGACTTCTTGAAAAAATAAGATATCCTTTTTGAAATTCATTTGTAAAATGCACTCTTAATTTTGATGCACAGTTGCCTTTAGGCCTGATAAATTGCTGTAAAAGGCATGATACGCTTTTATATGATAATTTATGAAGGCGAGAGTACACTTCGTTGCTTTCTTCTTTTTTGAAAAATTCAACATAGGAACAGCATCTACCGTCTTCAGGCTGCAGGCTTTTAGTTTTTAATACGTATGTAGGGCAATTGAAAGATTCATTAGATTCATCAAACATATCCATATAATGAAGTAAATTGTTTCAATCAATAGGCTCTGATTTTAGTAACCCATCGCTGTCAGTTCATATTCTCATTGGAGAGTTCAGACCAAATCCTATTAAAATACTTTGTGGCACAACGATCCTAAACTCTTCTTCTTTGCATGCCTTAGACAGACAAAGAAATAAAATGGTGACGTTGACAGAAATTGGACTCCGAGACGCGCTCCTATGGAGCAGGTTGGACCCATCCTGATGATGCTGAAAGCAGGACCTCTGTCCCTTTTGAAGTAGGTCTTCAAGTTTGGGGATGCCTTGCAGAAGAGGGGAGTTTTGTTTCTCCCCGAAGGCTTTCTGCCCCCCCAGATGGGCTAGACAGGCTTTGCTTACAATATGGTCTTCCCTTATCGGGATCATCGGAGCACTCTACAGGAGATGGGCTCTGCCCTAGGAGCTGAGCCTTTGGACAGTGGCTCAGGCGGAGATCCAGAGCGGCGATCTGGAATTTCCCTCTTTTGTCTCTTGAGGCAATGGAGACTACTACTTTTGAGCCAAGACAAGTTAGTTAGTTAAGAATTTAGTTTATCCCTACCCTACGTTACCACCAAATCAGCACCATCAGCACCAGCAGCGCCATTAGCACCATCAGCACCATCAGCACATCAACATCACGCCAAGCATCTTCCACTCAGCACAAACCACAAACCAACTCATTTCCAGCTAAATTAAATTCTCATCACTATGTTTCCATCTTTTCTGGTGACGTCCTCAAAAATGGTGACGTCACCATCTGCAGGGGAGACCCTTGTTCCTTTAGCTTCTGGACCTAGCGGCCACGGGTTCCTACTCCAGAGGGGTATTGGCTCTGGAGATGATGTTCCGCGCCTTCTTCACGCCCCAAGCTCCGCACGAGGCATCCTCACTTCCTTCTCGCCGGAGCCAAGACAAGGCAAATGCTAGCAGGCTTCCAGCTTATGGCCAGTTTAACCGTTAAAGTTTAAATTTAGCCAGGCAAGCAAAAATGTTGGCTTCATTGCACTCATGTGAGCACGGATCCTTGTGTATTTTATCACTTTTTAAAGCGACTGCTTTTTTACGGATGTGTTCCAAATGGTTTTTCTTTTGAATAGGTGGTCTTGATAACGAGTATTTTTTAGTCTCATACTCATCAATCATACTTTTAGAAATTATCATGTACTTGAACTTTTCATTGAGTTCAATATCTTGCTGCATTTTTGCATCAATAAAAACTCCTTCAAAACGCGAGTCATCAGGTTTTAGCCCTAATTGCTGTAAAATAGCAGCTCTTACAGAATAAGGCAATTTTGTGTAAGATACATCATTCTCTTCCTTCAAAAAATCCATTGTCAGTTTTCGTTCAATGAGTTTTATATTATTATTTTTTTGCACAGAATTATTTAAGAATTCATTTAATTACACAAGACCGCTTGGCTTTGCTACAGTTTTTTGGATTTGTTTGTCCTTAGTCTTATATTGGAATGGGTTCTAAGGGGAGATAGATCAATTTGTTTTTCGTGAGGAATTCTATTCAACGGCTTGATTGTTGAACTTAGCTTTATTCTCATTGGAGACTTGGATTGTGTAATTCGTAAGTGTAGTCGCGAAGTGCTTAAATCTCTCAGCGGAGATTCTCTTTTGAGCGCTCCAAAATTGGTAATTACACGGGAAGTCTGCAATAGCTCAATCTTATGTCCTTTATCTAGCCTATTTTGAGAGATAGATATAGGAATAATCTTTTCTTTTTCGATTTTCAATTTCGTAAGTCTTCTTACGAGATCGTTATATTCAAAATGAACACCATATCGTTTATCTTCGCTCACAGTGGCTTGCTTTTGGGATTCTTCAATAAGTCTTTTATGAAAATCATTAGTCAGCATTAAATTAATTTCTATTGCAAATGGAAAATACTACTTTTAAAGTAATTTATTATTCGTTTTACAAATGAAGGAGAAATGCTGAATTACTAATAAGCAATTTGAATAAAATATTTTATTTTGACTTAAAAAAAGTATTGTAAAATTTTCTAGTAAAAATAATGGAAATTTTAGATGTTATTGAAAGCATTGAATTATGCATAAGAGTTATGACAGAATTATACGCCGAGTATTCGTTCCCAGATTTCGAAGTCGCAAAAACGACTCTTTTATCAATAAAAAGAAAGCTCGAAAAGCTGAAAACTCAAAAGGAGACTGATTCTATTAACTTAATTTTCTTCCAGAAGGTCCTAAAAGCAATTCAAGATAGTTTAGATATGCTCTATGAAACCACTCAGGACTGAAAAGGGCCTCCAGAAATCCAAGAAGATGATAAATTTTGGACTGATTTAAAAAAATTAGAAACTCTTGACGAAATACTGATCTACGCTGCAAATGCCTCAAAAGACGACCTACTTTGTTTAAATGTCTCTGATGAGCGTTGGAAAAAACTAAACTACGTCATTATGCACCATAATTACTCAAAGCGCTCTAAGACTATTAAGCACTACAAAACCTTTTTCAAAAGAACGGCTTCTGGATGGGCACTGATGTCGACGGGCCTTAAAGAAAAAACCAACATTGAGAAAAAAGTTATGGTTGGCCTTGGGGCTATTTATTTCTCTATTTTCCAATCAGAAGCTGTAAAGCAGGCTGAGTTATACTCGGCCAAGCCAAGAATTGATATATCGCAAACTACATTTAACATGATAGACTCATGGATGCTTTCCAAGCTTTATAATTGGGTCATCCCAAGCATTGATATAAATAAAATTTATCATGTCCCAAGGACAGTTTCTTCTATTACTAGTAAAGAGTTTCATTCGTATGAAAACGATAAAGACTCATTAATTGCAGTAGAAAAACATAGGGTTATGATGAGATTGTTGAGAAGCAAAAATCATAATTCTAGTATCAAATTTTTTGGAGGGTTTTGCTTTTGTGCTGAAAGTAGAAAGGGGAAGAAAAAACAGCCAAAAAAAGCAAACAAGCTGATTTTTCATATACATGGAGGAGGGTATATAAGCATGTCGTCAGCTTCGCATCAAGTATATACAAGAAAATGGGCAAATATTCTCAAAATCCCTGTAATATCAATTGATTATAGGCTAGCCCCTGCCCATCCATATCCAGAAGGTTTAGATGATGTGTGGCAAGCTTATAATTGGATATTAAATCATGCTGAAGAAGAGTATGGGATAACTCCAGAAAAAATAATTGTCACTGGAGATTCTGCTGGAGGAAACTTCGCATTGGCTCTGACTTATTAATTAATTATCAATGTTCGTCATTACAGCATGGGCCAAGATTTTCACCAATGCATGCTCATCGTCCCTGAGGGACCTCGGCACACACCCATCTCTCTGCCAGGAGAGTCTTATATAATCGGATTAGACATTCTGGCTTGAAGTCCTTAAGGGCTGATTCCCATGAACATAACTCCCAGTATTGTGCTAGGAACATACATCTTGCAGCCTGTGGAGAGTTTTGCCGCTCTACAGAGTAGATCGCCACTGATCGCGCCTTTATATGAACCACAGAGGTAAACCTTATATCTCAGTGATTAGTTCCCTAAGGCACAAGAAAACCCCCAGCCCGATATATACCAATAATGCCAGACCTATTTCTCAGCTTGGTTTACCCACCATTGTTCCCTGCAAGTGTTGAGAAAATTGCGTCAAGAGGTCAGGTCGGTCGCCTTCCCAATATTAATTTATATATATCTCTAACTTATAAGTGCATTTTATCCGGCATCAAGGTTCCTGATGGGCTTATTTTGAGTTATCCTTCATTGAGGCTTGACAAAAACTTTTTCACGCCATCTCTGCTTTTGTCATTAGATGATTTTTTAATCCCTCATACCCTTATGAAGCTTATTGTCGAGAATTATCTTAAAGATTCCTCACTAGACCCTGCTAACGATATTTTCATATCTCCTATTGCAGCATCTGATGAAATGATGAAAGCAATGCCTCCTGTCAGAATTTTGGTTGGAGATAATGACCCCTTGCAAGACGATTGTATGAGGTTCGCTGAAAAATTATTGAATGCGAATGGAGACGTGAAATTGACGATATTTCAAGGCACCCCACATGGAGCTCTTAATCTTTGCTTTCCTGGAGGTGTCAAAGAAAGCTTTGATGTGCTGAATCAGACTATTGCATGGTTTGAAGAATTATTCGATTATAATTAAGCTAATAGGCATAACTAAGATAATTATGCAGCTCTTTAATTTGCAAGTGAGGAAATTGCATTTCATCCACTTTAAAGCAATAGGCAAAAATTCATAAGTATATCTAAACCCCTTGGCTAGCGAACGAAACAGGAGAAGGATCTATATTTTTCAGATAATTAATTCCTATTGGAGCGAGCAAAAATTTTTATATATTATTTTTTACTACAAACTACATTTAATATATAAAAATAATTGCAATAATGAAGTCTAAGCAAGAATTATCACAACTGGCTCTAAAAAATAAATTTTATAAGTTAAATTAGATTTCGTTTCAAAAATTTGCTAATATGATTATATGAAATTTTTTTATTTAAAAAAAGAAATTAAACCCCTTGATTAGCGAGCAAAATTTTTTCACTAAATAAAGGGGAGCAAGGCTTAATTTGAAATTTTCAGCTAATCCGAATTCGCCACTAATGTTTCTAATTTTAGCCTTGCATATCAGCAAGTTCTTCCATTATGAGGACAGCCTTTTAGAATTATTTATTAGATATGGGTATTCCCAAGTTCTTTCGGTGGTTGTCAGAAAGGTATCCACAAATCAACCAAGACGCAACTTCACTACCAGACGTTGACAACCTCTACTTAGACATGAACGGCATTATTCACACGTGTTCTCATTCTAACTCAATAGGCCATTTAATCCCACATGTTTCCTCAGCGCCAAGTCTCCCAGACGCCTGGGCCAAAGTCTTCAAATACATCGAACTTCTGGTCCAAATCGCCAAGCCCAAGAAATTGCTATATTTATCTGTGGATGGAGTGGCCCCAAGAGCCAAAATGAACAACCAGCGTGAGCGCCGATACAAATTTATCTATGAAATTGACGAATTCACCAAGAAAGAAAGAAAAGAAAACCGAAAAGTGGTTGATGATTGGTTTGACTCCAACAACATTTCTCCAGGGACTTTATTCATGGCAGAGCTTAATAGGCAGATGAGATATTTTATTCAGTGAAAAATTGAAAATGATGAAAACTGGAAAAAAATCAAAATCGTGTACTCAGGAGGAGACGTGCCTGGAGAAGGAGAGCACAAGATACTGAGATATATAAGGAACAATAAAAATGAGCCAAACACAACGCATTGCATTTATGGACTTGATGCAGATTTGATTTTACTAGGGCTCATCACACATGAACCTCATGTGATTCTGTTAAGAGAAGAAGTAAAGCTAGGAAGTGTTAGAAGCTTGCCTGAAAGAGAGTATGCAGGCGACCCACCAAAATTTCAAATTTTATACCTAAATGTGCTGAGAGAGTACTTGCAGATTGAATTTTCTGTGATAAAAGGACTAGACTTAGAAAGATTTATTGATGACTTTGTAGTCCTTATGCTTTTTGTTGGGAATGATTTTATACCAAGGCTCCCTACTTTTGAAATCCATGAAGGGGCTGTCGATAAGTTCTTTGACCTCTACAAAGCAAAATGGCATGAAGTCGGGTACCTGTCAGACTGTGGATTTATTAACTGGGAAGCTCTAAACTTTTTCATCCGCGAATTCCCTTCATTTGAGCACAAAATCATCACAGAGCGCATAACATCAAAAAATAAGAGAAGGTCAAACCCAGCCCCAATTAAATCTACCCAGCCACAAATGTCTATAAGAGAAGTTTTTCACCAAACCAAAAACGAAGAAGTCAAAAACAGCGAAGAATCAGAAGAAACTGAAGAGCCTGAAGAAGAAAATAACTACGTAAACCAGGAAACAGAAAATTTGAAGCTAACATTAGAATTTCATTTAGATAGAGGAATTTACCATGTGAAAAAATTCTATTATAAAGAAATGCTTCATATTGATATTGATACTGATGAAGGAAGAGGCCAGCTACAAAGCATGATTAAGTCCTATTTGGAAGGGCTGCAATGGGTCATGTATTATTATTTTCAAGGTGTCAAAAACTGGCATTGGTATTATCCTTATCATTATGCGCCAATGATATCTGATTTTTCAAATATATATCAAATGTTGGAGCTTCAAGACTCCAAGCTGATATTCCCACAAGCTGAGCCTTTTAGACCTTTAGAACAGCTTATGGGGGTCATTCCGCCAAGATCGCAGCATATGCTGCCAGAAGAATATAGGAATTTGCTTAGAGAGCCAGACCTTCAGCGCTATTTTCCAGACTACCCAGTTATTGAATACGACATTATGTGTGCTAAAATTGGCTGGGAATCAATGAAAATTGTTGTCCCATTCGTACCCTACCAGCTTATAATAGAAAGAGCCAGACAGCTGCCAGAATCCCGTCAAAGCAAAATCCAAAACACAATAAATAAAGACATCCTTTATTATTATGATTCATCAGAGCCCACAAGACATTTAGAGACTGTCCTCCCTCAATATCTGCCAGACTTCCAATGCAATATTCATGAAACTTTGCTGGACTACGACGACTCAATAATTTTTAAGCCTGAAATTTTGCCTGGGACCTTAGAAATTCTGCCTGGATTTCCATCATTGAAATATTTGAATTTCAACCCAGAATTGCGAGCAGTCGGAATCAACGTGTTTCAAACTGCTTCTCAGCTTCCTTCAATGATACTAAATTTTGATAAATCGCCACTTACTATTGAAGAAGCTTATAACTCATTATTCCATAAAATTATATATATTGGCTACCCCCTGCAAGAGCTAGCTTATGTAATTGGGGTTTCAAACCAAGAAAAATACTTGCCATCGCTTAATGCTGATTATTTGAATTATTTAGAAACGACCTTAGAGTCATATCTCAGCAAAATAAGAGGAACCTTGTCAGATTATATGAGCTTGAAGCAAGGGTTTACTATTGCTGGAGATTTAGGTATTGTTGTGCATTATTTGTCACTGAAATCGTTTTCTAGGTCTAAAAAAGGACTAATCGAGCCTAAATGGGATGAAAGTGAGTCTTATGCACCGCTAGAGCTGATTATGTCTGAAAGGCAGCCAGGCCATCCAAGAGATATAAGCAAAGCTGCTCCAGGGCTTCATGATGAATTCCCAGTAGGCTCAAAAGTGATTGTTATTAAAAGAGATATGTTTGGGTACTTAGGAGAAGTAGTTGGCTACGCCCGGGATAAATTCAATCCTGAAGGTGGGGTCGAGGTCAGAATCTACAAAAAGCCAAAAAATATTCATGAAGAAATCAAAAAAATCTCAGGGCTTCACTTCGAAAAATACTACTCATTAAGAGAACTGTCTAATCTTGTAAGAAAACCAATTGGATTGATAAGCAGATTATTAGGAAGCTTAAAAATCAAAGCAAAAATGAAAGGAAAAACCAAAATCCTGCAAATTGGTCTCAATTTGAAAAACGATAAGGAATATATGGCAGTACTAAGGTGGTCAAGATGGGGAGGATATTGGAACCCAGGCTCTGAAGAATGGGAGTTTTCAGAAGAAGCCAAAAATCTATTAGTAGAGTACAACAATACTTTTCCTGAAATGTGGAAAGCTATTGATAGATGCTGGTCTGATGGGAAAAGGACATTTTATCTTGACGATGCTTTTGGATATGCTAGACATCCATTCAAGGAATCAGAAAGAGTTGCTTTGTGGATCTATAAGCACGTTTCCTTCAAAATCCCATGGACTTCAGTATACTCTCAATATCTAAGTGACAAAACAATCGAAAACATTCGGGTTATCATCAAAAATTCTCCGACAGAAGTGATAAACACAATTGATAAGTCAAACCCAGGATTTTTCTATATAGAATCCAAGCCATGGACATCGCCTTTCTTGATGAGGCCTCAAGAATTCAACCTCGGTGACCGAGTTATAAACATATGCTCAAGCTATTTTAGATATGTCCCATTTGGCTGTGAAGGCACAATCATAGCGTTAATTGACAAAGGCCATGCAGAAGTTATGTTCGATGATATCATTATTAATGACATGAAAGGAAGCAGACTGGTCATCCCTACAAGATATTTGCTTAACTTGACAGTAAAAATATCAGCAATAAAAAGGGATGCAAGCGATAAAAGTTCTTGTGGAGATGATATAGACATGCATAATGACAATTCATTCAAGCCTCGATTTGGTAAAAAGCCAGTAAAAGATGAAAGGGCTGAAGAAATAATGAATCAAATTCTTTCAAGCTTCACACAAAACTCTCCTACTCTCCCTAAGGAGCAGATAATTGAAGTCCAGCAAGAGCACTCACTGAATCCAGATGCAATGAGCTTCCAGCCACTTGTTGAAGATCCAGGAGAGCCAGAAATTTTAAGCAAAATGTTCAAAATGTCAGAGTCAAATGTCCAGATAGCAGCCACTCACTCCCCCCTCCGTGAGTGAACAAAACCATTAGAAAAATCCCTATTTTTTGCCCAAAAACCCACTCTCCATGAGCGAACAAAAATTGTTTTAATAGAAAAATTTTTTATGAAAAAAATTTTGATATATAAATGATAATTAGTATAATGAAATATAAAGCTAATTCTATTTAATTTTAAACTAATTGCTATTTAAAACATAAATTTTATAAATTAAATTAATATTTGCTTTCAAATTTTTGCGAATTAGGATTTTTTTTAAAAAACGAAAAAAAATATTTTTTTTATAAAATTTATATGTAAATTTTTTTTAAAAAAAAAAAATTAACCGCTCCGTGAACAAAATTTTTTTGTTCACTCACGGAGGAGGGGGAGTCAGCAAAAAGAAGTTCCGCTTTCAGTTGACCAGCTCTTTGATATTGCAAAAAGCCAAACTGAAATTACTACAAAAGCAGCAGTAAAGCCTGAACCAAAAGCTATATCAGTTGAGCAGTTATTCGAAAGTGCCAAATCACAGGAAGATATTCATCCAGCTGCAGAAATCAGTGAAATACCAATATTAAACCAGATGTTTGAAAGGGTACAAATTTCAAACCAAGAGGAGGAAAAAGAGCCAAGCAAAGCAGAGGCGACTAAAGAGCCAGAAATAAAAGTAGAAGAAGAAAAGGAGCCTGAATTATTGCAAAAGCTCTTTAAAACGACTGAGAGTCAATTTGAAGCGCCTTCTGGACTTGATTTTCCAAACCCATAACTAATAGGTATTTCATCTAATCACTGAAATAAAGCTAAATTTCTAATCTAAACGATCATTATGAGGGTTAATATCATGCTTATATATTATGATAAGTATTTAATTTTATTTTAAGCTTATAAATGTCTTTAAAACCGTTCGATAGTTTTAATTACCCATAATGAGTCAATGACACTCATTGTATAGTCGCTGACTTGTTCAAATAAAAGATGTGTCTTATTATGAAAAGTCATTCTTCCATACCCATAATCATTAGTTCTATATTGGCTTCATAATTGTGGCGTCTTTGTTATGTCAGCGTTATGAGCATAATGGTTTCCTGCATTCCCATCTAAAATATGAATTGTTGCTTTAGGGTTCTTATGAGTATTATAGTCATCGTATTTAATTTACATAAAAATGGTGACGACGAACCACCCGACCTCTCGACCCTATTTCTTCAACAGCAGGCAACGGCCTAGTGTTGGAGATTTAGGTGGAAAGGGGCCGGTAATCCTTTATGTATAGTCGGGCTGGGTTTTCTTTGGGCCCGAGGAGCTAATTCTCGGACTTGAAGTTTTTCCTCCAGGACAACCATTGGAAAGGACAAGTTCAGCCAATGTCTGAAGGGCAATATGACCCTCAGACCCTGAAGACGGTATTTGCCCAACGAGAGCTGGGAGTTTCGACTCAGGCGGTTGGCTCTTAGACTCCAGAAGCCATGGAAGTCAAGACTGGTCGCGCGAATCCCTTGTTTGAGGCAACAAGGAGGGTGTCCGCCGGGGCTCCTCAGGACGATGAGCGTGTAGGGGTGCAAATCCCGGCCCTGCAAAGGCAAACGGCTTAACTTAATCTTAATCTTAATAGTCATCGTATTCGCTTTGTACCGTTATATTTTTATAAATAGCAGTCATTCTTTCATAGGCATGCAAATGAGCACCAAAAAATATATCCACAGCGTTATAATAAAAAATATCCTCCAGTTTATCCCTTAAAAATTGAGCTTCATGGCCGCAGCACTTATTTCTTTCTGTGCCATCTAATTCGGTGAAGTCATAAGAGCAATATAGAGGATGATGAGACGTAACAATTATACTTATTTACCAAGAATAGCCCACTAAGGAGCATTTTTTGGATGCCGGACAATACCTGGCTTGCCGAATTCGTTGGCATGCCATATTTTCTGGCTAACCAAATTTAAGAATGGCGAACCAAAAAATGCTCCTTAGTGGGCTATTCTTGGTAAACAGGCATATCCAAGGGCGCTTTTTTCTATGCAAATTTGCGGTTTCTAAGTCTTGCTTGAGCCATTCTAGCTGAATTTCTGCTTGGAGATCCGATTTGGCTTCTCTATAATATACTTCAGTATTAAGCGTAACAAAGTGAACTGGTCCAATGTTAAAAGAGTAAAAAAGTCCTGTTCCTTGGTTATATTCATTATAAGGCATTTTAAATCTGATTTTGTAATGAGTCATATTGTCAGCATCTTCGTGATTCCCTGGCAGAGTCATGTAAGGAATGCTTGCAGTAATATCTTGAACTTGATTACCATACATATCTCCAATTAGCCCATCATCTGAATTCAAATTGTATCCGATGTCTCCTAACTCCCCCCCATCCTTGATCGAACGATTTTCATATTATGCAAATTTTTTATATATATAAAAATATATTAGTTATCAAAAGCTTGGAAAATGTACCTAATGAAGTTGTTTTCAGAGACTTTGAGACGACAAAAAGCTACGGAATCAACTATTCGAAGTGATTTAGTCATCAACCTAGGCTTAAAAACTCAATAATCTAAAAAATAGAGATTCTTTAAAATTTTAAAAAAAAATTAATTTAATAAGGAACAAATTAAAATTTATACAGTTTAAAGGATAAACTAATAAATCAAAATATTAAAAATTGGTATTTTTATGAAATTAATTCAAATGTTTGCTGTAAAAATAATTATTAAATACTCTTAACCCTCTTATTTAAAAATAAATAAAAAAAATATATATATATATTTATTTTATATATAAAATTTTTTTCCCCAAAAAATTTTTTTTTTAACCCCAATCCTTGATCGAACGATGGCGAGCCGTTCGATCAAGGATGGGGGGGGAGTAAGTGAAGAATTCCTGTAAACTCCTTGACTTTTGAGTCGATTCCCAAAAGGGCGCTTGTCAGCTCGCCAATTGGTCCCGTTCCCCAGTCTCCAAAAATAATCATATTGAGTTTGTTATCTACATCTCTATAGCTATTAACACTTTCAGGAGTTCTCCCATTGAAAATATAACTTTTGCTAAAACTTGCGTCGTTTTGAATGTAATACTCGTAATGGCAATCTGGGAGCAGATTTTTTATTATCGATGTATAAATAAAAGCATAGCGAACCGTTACTGTGCCTTCGTTAAACTTTGTATAATTTCCTTGGACTTGAGTGAAATCAAAGCTATTGTGTTGTGGATCGTTGCAGAGGATGGGACGATAAATGACCCAGGAGTCAAGGGGTACAAAGGAAGTCCAGGTAACTCTCTTTAATAGTAAGCCGCATACTCAAGACTGAAGCCACAAGGCAAGGAAGAGACAGGAGGTACCGGAAGTGGCATCCACCTTCGTGCGAAAGACCCTTTGGGTTTTGGAGTCGAAAAGCAGATAAACCTCCCGTACCGGAGGTCTTTGGTGACTGCGTCACCAATATGGCTAACGCCTAACTTTTAATAACATAACCTAACTCTCATTTCATTAGGATTTTCAGTTCAGGATATGTGAATTTGCTCAGGAGTCACCAAACCTGAGATAGCCAAATGTATGAGAAAAGCGGTAATCAGCAAAAATCGCATATTAAATTTTAATAAAAAAGGTTATAAATTAATGTAGATTATTCTTAATTTTCAACGCTATTATTACTTAATAGCTACATTTGAGTAAGGCTTATATATAGAAGCAGCTTTCACTTTTACTAAAAGGTAATAAATGCTTAAAATAACAATCTGCCAAATAAAATTGTCTAAATTAAAAAAAATCCTTACTCTCACATCCGTGCAAAACCATTGAAAATGCCTATTTTTGGTAGAAAAAATCACCCTTCGTCAATGACTTTATAATATATAAATTATAATTATGATAATGAAATATCTAACTAGCTCAATTCAATTTAGAATGATTGCAATCTAAAACATAAACTTGTAAATTAAATCAATTTCAATTTCTCTTGCTAATAGAGTTTGATAAATTTATTTAATTTTTTGTTTATTAATTAAAAACTATATTAATAATTTATTTAAAAAGATAAGCCTCCTGAATGAATGAGGGGAAAAATTTTGTGTGCACACATATTCTGGGTTAGAGTAATTTTTGGGCTATCTAATTATTTATCTCCTTAATTGAAAGCCAATTATTATCACTCATTTTTGCATCTGAAAAATCGCAATTCCGAATGTTAAAATTATTTGATGACCTCGCCCAATCTAGACATTCTATCTCATTTAAGCTTGCTTTATCATTAAATGCTAGATCAATACTCCTTTTGCTCATCAAAGCTTTGAAATCCCAAATCCCAATAAAACCCTTGCTGGTAGCAATAATAAAATTGCCTGATCAAGATCATGATATCCATTTAATTTTATGAATACAATTTTTCGACCTGAAAATTGTGCATCCTTTCAGAGTATCCAAAATTTCAAACGAGCAATCACCTTTTCTTTGTAAAATAACATAATTTCCATCTGTCGATATGATAATTGATTGAAGATTTTTGATTTCATTGACTTCATAGGCAATGAATGGATCATCTATAATATTTCATATCTTTAAATTGCTATTTCTGTCATAAATTGCAACATATTGAGATGAATTTGAAAATATCATCATCCTAGAAATGCCTAAAGAAATAGTTTTCTCAATACTTTTGCTTCTCAATAAGAAAAAGTTTATTTCTCCTCTGTCATTTCCATATACAAAATAATTTTCATTCTCAGTAAATGATCCATCTAATATAGCTGTTGAAGTAATATCTCAGTTAGAATCAATAATATGCATTATGGAATTTTTATCCCAAATATAAATTATAGATCCACTTCCTACTGCCCAAAAGTTTTCAGAAATAGAAAATGAAATGACTCGAATTGGTGTAACAAAGCAATGCTTTCAAATAATTGCTTTCTTCTTTCATAAATAAAATGGCATTCGGTTCGAGAGAAATTAGCTCTGCTAATTTTCTCTCCCTCATGGAATTTTATTTATAGGGTTAGGTTTTCACTCGAAGACTTCTGGACAGCAATAACGGTTTTTAACTCTGGGGATAACCAGAGGAACCACTCCTCAGTCCACTCAAGATTTCGGGCTTTTACCTCTCAGCACATCCCCAAGGGAGGATGACCCCTTAGGCGGAACACGCGCAGGAGCTGAGTCGAGCGACAAGGGCGACGGCAACGCGCCGGGTGAGACGTGCAGCAATGCCGATGAAGCAGGAGTTGATAGAAGGCTTGGTCAGGGCTGACCTGTGCCAAGATGGCTCGCCTACGTCATCAGTTTTGCTATAGGCCCTTTTGGGCTACGGCACTAGACACCTTAAACACCAGATAATTAAGTAAGTAAGTAAGCTTTCTTCTTTCAGTTTCAAACTGTGGCTTCTATAGGCTCAGAAATACTACTTTTGACTACTAAAAATTTTGAGGATGGTGAAAAGAACAGAGATGCAGGCGGCTCATCAGTTTTAAGAGCTGAAATTATTTCTTTTTTTCTCATATCTCAGATATTGATAACCCTATTATAGTTGCTAGTCGCAAAATATTTATCATCACAAGAAAAGCATGCTGAATTAGCGGCATTGCTATTTTTGCGGAGAAAATCATCCAAATTGTGTGAGAAGTTATAATCTATCTGCAATAATAAGCCTTTAAAAACTATTTGTGGACGTTTTTTAGTTGCTACATATTGACAGGATTCAAAATCATAATAATTGATAGATTTTTCAGCCACGTTATTTTCGCAATCATATAGTCCGAGTCCATCATCGCCATAAATAAATATATAATCTCCTATTGGCGACATAACAGCAGCAGATAAGGTATCATAATAATCTTTTGATCTAGCTAATTCTTCTGAGGTTTCTGCATTTCATATTGATAAATGTCTCCCAGATTTAACAAAAATTTTTTCATGGGTGGATGAAAATTTAATTTCAAATTGTTCTTTCTCTATAGTTTGTATATTTATAACTGCTTTAGTCTGGGAATTTCAAATCAAAAAAGTATCTTCGCTGTATTTAGAGTTATATATTACCATGTATTTTCCATGCCAAGAAAATGCAAAATCCTTCGGATAATCATGATAATTATTTCCAAAATCAAATTGCTGGATTTTTATGCTGTTTCTTATATCTCATATAATTCAATCCCTTGCTGATTGAACTAAAACAAAATCTTCTATTGGAGATCAATTTATATAGAAAAGACGAAGCTGAAAACTTGTTGATGAGCAAATTAAGTCAGTTTGCAAGTCTCGAATGCAAAGAGTACCAAACGAATAAAAGGCTAGGTATTTTTCTGATGGCGAAAAAGCAAAAAGTTTTGAACTTTCAAATTGATATTTTAAGCACTTATTATTTAAAAGGCTATGAATAGCATATTTTTTTTCAAGTGATTCAAATATTATATAATTTTCTTGAGGGGAAAATTGTATAGGCTTGCCTATAATTTGTTGGGAATTTTGAATGCTTTCTATTTTCTGAATTTGGAATAGGGGACAAGAAGGTGAATAGAAATCTCAGACTATATATTTGCCTGTAGGGGAAAGTCAAGCCTCTTTGCACTGCTTCATTTCGGCTAAAGGAATTAATCCATGGCTAGAGTTTCTCATATCGCATCCTTTGAAGTTGGTATATTCTAAGTTGGAAAACGAAATATTAGCATGAGATAAATCGCTTCCTTCAAGATTGCTATTGTAAAAATAAGATGCTGATAAGTCTGCGTAAGGAACTTTGATTCCGTGCATATCTCTATTAAAAAACTGGAATCCTGAAGAATTTAAGATAGAAATTGCATTTGATGAAGCTATTTCTATACCTTGAATATCTCGGGATAGTAAAACGAGTTGAAATAGAGCTTCTTGAAATTCAGGGGTCGCTATTTGTTTAAAAGATTTAAAGAGTTCAGGATATTGAAACAATTTGATTTTATTGAAATAGCTTTGTATATAAGTATCATGGTTTAGGATCCAAATTTGTACGTCTCTACAAATTCTTTTTGCAATTAACTTATCTATATTAAAAATTTGGGATTTTTTGGTATTTTCAAAGGATTTTCTGTATGTTCGTCAGCTTTTGTTCCGTCTTGTTTGCATTGGATGTAAATTATTTAAATATTTCATTTTTAACGATGACCCCCCCCTCAATCTTCATGTCTACTGCAACAAAAATTTTTCGAAAAAATCTTCATGCCTACTGCAACACAACATTTTTATAAAAAAAATTAATGCATTTTTCTTTAGGTGAGCTTCTCAAAAAACCATAAAACAGCGCTACTGTAGGTGTGTCAATGACCTTCTCATCGAGATTTGGACGGCTATTGCTATCGCTCACCATTTTATTAAACTTATCTAGCTAAAAAGTACGGACAAATTTAAGATGCGCATCGAAAATTTGTTGCAAGAGGATTAGGATTAAGATAATTAAAGACAGGCGCTAACCATGTTGATCACGCAGTCATTAAAGACCTCCCGTATGGAAGGTTCTACTGCTTTTCGACTCCAGCCCAGAGGATCTATCCCTCTTACGAGTGCACTTCCGGTATCTTCTATCTCATCCTTGCCTTTGGAGTTCAGTCTTGAGTGGGCGGCTTATGGGATTTCTGCGGCCCTGCTACGGGCTATTGGAGTACCTTGATTCCAAGGATCTATCTATCTATTATATCTCGCAACTATCGTCGCCTAACGGTCCTTATGGACCATGTTTCATTCAATCCGTGATCTTAGTTTGTCTCATCCCATTTTTGCTCTCCCTCTTCTCTCTTTCCTCCAGGTAACTAATCGCCCTATCCTTCAGTATTTCCACATGGTACGTCTTTATCGCCCTATCTATTTCTTCTATCTTTCCGTTATCTCCAGTTTTTCTTCAGTGCCTGATAACTGCTTCAAATTCTTCGCTGTATAGCAAACGCCCAATAGCCCAATACTTGCCAGCTCTCTTTCCCCAATTTCCAGTTCCTTTTTAGTTTTTCTCTCATTTTACCATATCGAGGACATTGCGTCAACATGTGCTCCTCCGTTTCAGTGACTTCACACTCACAACATGCTGGGTTGTCAGCTAGATGCCTTATAAACGCATTACCCTTGCAGTTATTAAATCCAGCCCTAAGCCTGAAAATGGTTCCAATCGCAGAGTGCATATCTGAATTTACCATTACATATGTAGACATATATGTCTGCTTTGTGCCTCTCCTTGCTCAATTGTATATCTCCGTTGTCCTATATGTTTCCTCCTTAAGTCGTCTCATTGCTTCTCTTAAATTGCTCTCGCTGGCTGCCCTATCTATTAGCTCTTTTCAATCTTTTAATCCAGTCCGTTCGATAATGCGGTCATTGTATAGTTCAAGCCCCAGTTCTTTCATGAATTCTTTGCATCTATTCTCTCAAGGCAGACTGCATATCTCGTTGATCTCTCGGAGCTTCATTGTCAGTAAATCTTTGGAGTCTAGCATCTTTTTCTTGAACATCAGTGTGCGCTTTTTTGTCAGGTGTTCCAGGCTTAGCCATCCTAAGTCCAGCATAGAAGTCTCTCTTGCAATCCCTTGTGGACCTTTAAGTATGTATCTTGCTATCGCCATTCTGGCTTTTTCTACTTTTAGCATCTCAGCCGTCTTCCATCCTACTTGACTGCATTCTTTAGAGTATAGTGCTACTGTGTCTATGCACGCTTTAGCTATGACTGCTTTTTTTGAAATTTTACTATTCCTCATCATGGATAGTATAGCTTTAGTGAATCTGCATGCCGCATATGCTTTTTCAAGTGTCCTTTTTGAGTCGCTCCGTTGACATTTCTTTGTGCCTATCATTTTACCAAGATATTTAAACTCAGCTTCTTGCTTCAGCAGCTTCCCCCCAATCATAATCTTCAACTCTTTAGCTTTTCTGGAGTAGTCCACTGCTACTGATTTTTCGTAGTTGATCCTAAGAGAATAACTTTCAGCTCATTGTTCGCATGCATTACATAGGGTCTGTAGATCTTTTCTACTATGTGCTATCAAAACTATATCGTCCGCGTAAAGGAGTATTCCTAATCTTTTCTGTTGTGAATCTCCTATGTTAATTCCTATATTCATTTCGTCGATCCTTCAGGCTAGCTCATTTGGGACGAAGTTAAAACATATAGGAGAAGAGCTTCCACCTTGTCTGACTCCTTTGCATATTCGAACAGGTTTAGAAAGGTGCTCATCCATAATGATCTTGCTACTGCACTCCTTATACATCGCCTTCAGCATGAGTAGTGTATCTGATGATATATCTCTTTTCATCATGGTTTCATACAGATCTCTATGTCTTATTGAATCAAATGCTTTGCTTATGTCCAAAAAAACACATCTTATCTTTTTATTTTCCATATAAATAAAATATGGGCGTCTTCGTCTGGGCATGGCCTCCCGGCCATGCATACTCGACTTATATTTTATTTATATCCGGTAAGGTTTTACTACTTCAGAAATGGACAGCAATGCTAGGTAAGCAATTCTGGTTGTGTTCAGAGCCTAGCCCAAGTCTAAATTCAGAGGTGGTTTTTTCCTCGTGGGGAAGACGAGCACGGAAGTTGGAAAGGGGAAGCCCAGCAGAGTCCTCAGGACCAATCGGGCAACTCCCTAGCGTGAAACTGGGCGTTACGTCCCAGGCTTTCGAGTTCCACCTTCTACCGACAGTCGACCAGAAAATCCATTTTTTAAGGATTTTCGGAAAGACAACCCACGTATGTGCGAATCCCTCGTTTGAGGCAATGAGGAGGGTGTCCGCCGAAGCCTCACCATAGGCGATGAGCGTGTAGGGGTGCAAATCCCTGGCCCTGCAAGTGCGAACGGCTAATCTTAATCTTAATCTTAATCTTTTTATTTTCATGCAAGCAATATTCTATCAAGGTTTCCAACTTGAAAATCTGATCGGTTGTCGCTTTGTGTTGCATGAACCCTGCTTGTGACAAGTGCATGATCCTTTTACTTTGTATTTCTATTGTCAGTCTCGTTGCTATGATTCTATCCAATATTTTGTAGGCTGTATTTAGAAGAGTTATAGGCCTATAGTCCTCAGGTTTTTTGGAGCCAGTTCTCTTTGGTAGGATCACAACAAGAGCCATTTTCATCCCATTAGGTAGTTCCCTATCTTCTCAGATCTTCGTCATCAGTCTTCAATATATTTCCCATAGCTTCTCTCCTCCTGATTTGATCAGTTCAGCTGGTATCCCGTCCGGCCCTGTTGCCTTTTTGCTTCTTAATTCCTTTATTGCCTGCTCTACTTCATTTAGAGTAGGAGGTTTTGAGCTTTCTTCAAGTATTTTTAAGTCAATCACTAGATCGGAGTATTGAGCCTGCCATCAGTCCACCAAATCCTCTTCTTCTTTGCCACTGAATTTTATATAACCAGTTATTTTCATCCTATTAACCTTGTTGTAGAGATCTCACATACCCCTAGCATCCAGGATTGCGTTTTCAATTCCACTCTCCCTCTTTGTCATTCTTTCATGTCTTTTCTTTTCTATTTTAAATTCTTTCATTTTCAATTTGTGCTTCACCATCAGTTCCTTGTACTTGTTAGGTTTTGGTTTTAGTGCTTTTAAGGCTTTCCACCTATATCTACGCGCCTCCCTAAGTAAGATTAAAGCCGCTCTACCTAATGAGCTCTTCTTTCCATCCTTGATACCCAGTACTCGCTCAGCAGAATTTAGGACTATTCTATTTATTTCTGCGTAGAGCTTGCTAGAGCTCTCCTTCAAATCTAGCCTCTCCAAATCATAGTTTACATCATCCTGGAAAACTTTAAGGTACACTGGGCTTCGCAGTCTGTCTATCCTGAGTTTTCGGGCAATTTGCATTCTTTCTTCTTCTCATCTTTCTCATAATTTAAGGGTTATAGGCAGGTGGTCTGATCCTATTGGGTTGTTTTTGCTGCATCCGATGTCTATAACTCTCCCGATTACGCCTCAGTCAACAGCGCAGTAGTCTAGACAAAACGTCGATCCACTGGAGTGTAGATGCGTGGGCTCGTCCAATTTTAGCAATTCTAACCCTCATTCTTTGCAGAGTCTTTTTACTCTGTACCCGTTCTCGTTAGTCTTTTCTGATCATCAGCCTTCTACATGGGCATTCAAATCCCCTATTATCAACTGTTCTTTCTTTCCCTTCCTCATGCCAGGGCTTCATTAATACCTTCATAGAATTGTTCCAATGTCTCTCCGTCTCCCTCAACAGGAGAGTATGCTTCTATCACTGTGAGATTTGCTATTGATATCCCTAAAATTCTCCCTTTCATAAACAGTTTTGTTTCTCCTGTAACTAGCCTCTTTTTAAACAGTATTCCTACCCCAGAACTTCTTTCTGACCCTGGATTGTGTAGCCAACTATATCCGTCTATCGATGGTAGTAAATCTGTTTCAGAGCAGTGAGTTTCGCTGACGCCTAGTATTTCTGCATTTGTGTCCTCTAAAAATTGCTTTAGCTTTGTGGAAATCATGCCAATTAATATAGATATTCATGTGTAGCAACCCTTTAAAGCTAGATATATAAATTAAATAGCACATTATTTATGGCTTATATGCATAATTTGCAAGTAATTTATTAATGAGGGTTCATCTGTTTGTGAAACTCTTTAAACAATATAATGTTCTTATCATCCATAATTGCATTTGAAAAATCACACCATTTTATATTAAAATGTCTTAAAGAGCTAGCCCAGCTTAAGCATTCAACATTTGTCTGATTTTTCTCTGTTAAAATGCTGAAATCCCAAATTCCAAAAAATCCCAAGTAAGCAGCGCTGATAAAATTGCCTGATGGTGACCATGATATTGACTCAATACTGCGAAGGCAGCTACTTGATTTATAGATTACTTGTCCTTTGTTAAAATCAAAAATTTCAAATGAGTGAGCGTCTCGAATTTGTAAAATTATATAATTACCTCTTGGTGACAATATAATTGATTGAAGTTTCGAGTTTAAACTGAAATCGGTTTCATATATAATGGTTGGCTCAGTTATAAAATTTCAAATCGTTAGTTTTCCATTTTTATCAAGGACAGCAATGTATTCAGCAAAGGCTGAAATTGATAATAAATGTATACGAGAAGTACCTATAAATATTTTTTTCTCAATATTTTGGCTGATTAAAGAAAAAAAATTTATATACCCTTTATCATTTCCATAAATAAAATAATTTTCACAGCATGTAAAAGAGCCACACAAAATGTAAATTTTTCTTTTTTCTCATTCAGATTCAATTAAATGAATTTTATGACGATTTTTAAAAATATAAACATATTCTCCACTTCCTATTGCATAAAAATTGCCGGAAATTGAAAAAGATATGACCCTGATTGGTGTTATAAATTTATCTCTCCAAATCATTTTATTTTTCTTTCAGTTTCAGATTGTTGCTGTTAAAGGATCGGAAGGATTACTTTTTGTGACTAAAACATCAGAACAAGGGGAAAATTGTATTGAAGCAATTTCTTCATTTGTATTAATAATAGAAACTATAGATTTACTTCTCATATCTCATATTTTTATTTCTAACTTATAGCAAGTAGCAAAGTATTTATCATCGAAAGAAAAGCTGGCTATGCTCACTAAATTCCGATTTTTATCCAAGAAATCATAAAGATTTTTGATGAGATTACTGTCAGCTATAACCACACATTCTGAAGAAAATATTTTAATGGCTAATTGTGGGCATTTGACAGATATACGATAATTAGTTAATCCTAGGTAGCAATTGATAAATCTTACAGTATCATTCTTTTTGCAATCATATATTCCAAGAGCTCCTCTATGTTTACACAACAAGAATATATAATTTCCGCAAGGAGAAAAAACAAATGCAGGCTCTAAGGAATAAAATCCATTGAAATTTGTCAATAGTTCCGAAACTTCTGCATTTCATAATGATGAAGGCCGTCCACATTTAATTAATATATTTTCAAATACCGGGGAAAATTGAAGACAAAATTCTCCTTTTTCTTTAAAAGAAAAAGATTTTAGTGCATTTTTCTTAGTATTCCAAATCCAAAACATGCTTCTTGGATTTCTAAGTTGATATATTCCAATAAATTTTCCATTACAAGAAAAGATATGATCTAAAGGATCATTTTTCAAATTAAAATCAAAATAATAATGTCATGTTTCTTTGCAATTTCTTCAATCTCACAAAATGCTTTCTCTGTTAGACTTGCCAATAAGCAAAAACTCTTCTGATGGGGATCATTTTATGAAGATAGGCTTTGCGTCAAAGTTCATTACAAGGGAGGTAATTTCTGTTTTTAAATTTTTGATTCAAAGGGCGTTATCAGATGAAAAATATGCTAGATATGTGTCAGATTGTGAAATTGAAAATTCTTTAGGGCTTGGAAATTTTTCTGGCAAATTGACATTTTCTGCAATATCATGAATAGCATAAAAGGAATCATTAAGTAAAAAAATGAAATAATTTTCGGATGGCGAAAATTGGATAGGCTTGCCAGTGATTTCTTGAGGATTTTGAGTTTTATCCATCCCATTTTCATTTAAGGTCCATAAATTAAAAAATTTGCCATAACAGGAATTGCTATCTGATATAAAATATTTGCCTGAAGGTGACAGCCAAGCCTCTTCACACTTTTTCATTTCGCCTATTAAAATTCACCCATGGCTAGTATTTCTCATATCGCATCCTTTGAAGCTGGTATATTCTAAGTTGGAAAACGAAATATTAGCATGAGATAAATCGCTTCCTTCAAGATTGCTATTGTAAAAATAAGATGCTGACAAATCTGCATAAGTAACTTTGATTCCGTGCATATCTCTATTAAAAAACTGGAATCCTGAAGAATTTAAGATAGAAATTGCATTTGATGAAGCTATTTCTATACCTTGAATATCTCGGGATAGTAAAATAAGTTGAAATAGAGCTTCTTGAAATTCAGAGGTCGCTATTTGTTTAAAAGATTTACAGAGTTCAGGATATTGAAACAATTTGACTTTATTGAAATAGCTTTGTATATAAGTATCATGGTTTAGGATCCATCCTTGTACATCTCTACAAATTCTTTTTGCAATTAACTTATCTGCATTAAAAAAAATTATACCCTTTACAATAAATAAAATTTGTTATTGGCTACTGTTTTTCTATTTATATAGTGAATAGGAAACGGTTTGCCAGCACTAAAGTTTCTATTCATTATAAAAGGGGTTAGATTTCCTTATCAATCTAAATCCCCAAACTCATTTTTCGTTATCATTTCTTTTAAGCAAGCTTCTTTTAGTCAAACAGTGCAAGTCTCCAAGTTTTCCAAGCAATTCTTTTGTTTGATGCTCCATTTTTTATTTTCGAAGTCTTTAACAATACTCTACCAAAATGTTCAAATCAGCATGATAAATTATTTAGGGGACTTTTGAAATGGTAAAATCAAGACTTTTTAAAAAGAAAACAAAAGAATCACTTGAAGACTATGATAATATGAGTAAATTTATTGACCCAACTATAGACTACACTAAGGAAGAACTTTGCGATATTTCAACCCCTAAAAAGTATGATCCAAGTCCAGCAGAAAATTTTCATCTCCCCCCTCGGCACGTATATTCATCCTTCATAGACTTTACTGCTAAAAAATTTTCTGAACACATCGAAGACCCTTTAAATCCTAATGAAATTGAAGAAGGTTGCAGATTAGCAAGAGAAATAGTCAATGAATTTGCATCTAGTGCCCCTGAGTATACATTAACTCAAAATGATTTAACAAAAGAAATAAAACAAGGCTTAAGTATAAATAGAGCTCTTAGCTGTATCAATAATAGCAAATTTCGAGACGATTTTATAGATTTTTTAGGCGAATATCAAATGAAACATATAAATGACCGAGGTTTGAAAAACGGAATTAAAGAGCCTATTAAACGCAGCCACAAAGTAAAAATAATTAAATACTATGAAGACCACAAAACCACCAAAGAAATATGTAAAGAACTTCTTGGGAAATACTCTGCAAGAGTTATAGATGAATTTATAGAATTTTATTTGAAGAATGGCAACGAAGCTGTCAATATGGAATTTATACCTAAGCCTACATATAAGCTTAATGATGAGCAAGTCAGCTTTTTAATAGAACTAGCTGAAGACCCAAAAAATATCGGCCTGACTTTGGAAGAACGCAAGCATTTATTATGTGAGCATTTTGGTATCAAAGTAAAAAGTGACGATGTAGGCGAAGTTTTTAAAAGAAAATGGCTTCTCAATGAAAAGGATCAGGGCAGTGGTCCCAGAAGCTGATAATATTCCCCATAAAAATGCTCGCTGTCGCGTAGCCCAGCAGTTGGTATACTTCTTCAAAGCAGGAAAAGAATTAATAAGTGTCGATGAAACTCAAGTCACAAAAGGCGACAATTTAATATTTGGCTGAGCTAAAAAAGGGATCCGAGCCACTAAAGTAGTTGAACGGAAAGGTAGGCCAATTCATATAATTGCTGCTGTTTCTAAAGATAGAGTAATAGGATACATGATACGCTACAACAAAATTGAAAAAAACACATACAAGCATTTTATGCTTTGCTTGTTTGAGAAATTAAAAGAAATTGACCCAGAAAATTACAAAAAGAGATTTTTTGTGCTGATGGATAATGCAGGGGCTCATAAACATAAAATAGTCAAAGATTTTTTGGAAAGCCAAGAGGTAATAGTGCTATGCAATGCTCCTACTACGCCGCAGCTGCAGCCTATTGAGTTTGTGTTTTCTATGTTTAAAAGAAACTTAAAGAAATTAAAGCTAGAAGATGAAGAAGAATTGTTGTGAGCGATTTATAACAGCTTTAAAAAAATCACTCCGAGACAGCTGCACAATACTTATTTACATACTATGAGAGCTTATGAGTCAGGACTCACGTATAGCAATTTTCAACATAATCGAAATCCTTATGTAACTGATGGAAGAATTAGGAGAAGTGGAAAACTATTAAGCAGGATGATTAATTTTGAAAAGCTGTTTGGGAAAAAGGATAAAGGTGAGGATTTTAATCTATAATAATTTCATGTTGATCTTTAAATAGTTCAACTCATCAATAATTTATAGATGGTATTTTTAAAAATAAAATGATAAATTCTGAAAATGACTTTAATAAAAATATAATTATGAAACGCACTGACTGCTGGTGTTTATGGACACTGATCATATCATCAGTGATTTTTGTTTTAGGATGCATATTTTAGTTCCCAATAGAGTATGAAGTTTATTATCCTTTTTCAATCATGATTGAAAAAGCGCAAAATGCATGATAAACAATATCCAAAGTTATCAACTCCTTCAGCTTGTTGGCAAGACTGGTAACAGTTATTATTCTTCTTACACTTTATTTGATGTCAGAGTGAATATTAATGGAAAGTGGCTTCAAGGTTTTGCGTGTGGATTTTCACAAGAACCTGGACCATCTGCAACAAAAGTTATAAACCAAGAGTATCCGTATAAATATTCTATGTGCCTGTCGCATGAAGAATGTGGAGATATGCTAATGATGCCAGTCTGATTTTGTAATAAATGCAAAGATTGTCAAAAAGAGTTTAATGAAGAAACCAGAAACTGCAAATGGTTTTTGAAAAATGAAAATAATGCGATAGATGATGCATATGAGATTTCTGTTGGGTATGAACTTGATTACCACTCTCAAGATTCTACTTTTATTCAAGTCATATTTATGGATTCGCCTTTTTATTATGAAAGTGATTATTTGGGAATTCAAATTGTCTGCTTGTATTTGATGATTTATATTCCATCAGGGATCATCATATTATCTCTATTTTATTTTATAATAAATCAAATAAGAAAAAAATGCTAATTTTAGCAAATCTATTAGCTAGCTTTAGTAATTTCCAGGTTTTATAATTATAGCTATTTAAAATAAATAAATTATTTATAAAAATTTCTTATAAATTTTGAGATAATCCTATCTTAAACTAAACTTAAATTCTTAGAGTATTTAAAGTGCCATCCGAATCCTAAGATGATTGCAAAAGTTATATGGGCTCACCCCAAGTTCTTAGAAATTTTAATTCCTAAGATGATTGCAAAAGTCATATTAGGCTCACATTCAAATAAGGAACTTTTAAATTGGTAAAATCTTGACTTTTTAAAAAGAAAACAAAAGAATCACTTTGAAGACTATTATGATATGAATAGATTTTAGAATCAACTATATACTACACTAAGGAAGAACTTTGCGATATTTTTTGTAAAAGGATAAAGTTGAGAATTATAATCTATAATAATTCATGTTAATCTTCACACAGTTCAACTCATCAATAATTTATAACAGTTAAAAATAATGTTTTTTTTAAAAAGTAAATGATAAATTCTGAAAATGAGTTTAATAAAAATATAATTATGAAACGCAGTGACTGCTGTTGCTTATGGACACTGATCATATCATCAGTGTTTTTTGCTTTAGGATGCTTACTTTATTTCCCTATAGAGTATGAAGTTTATTATCCTTTTTTCAATCATGATTGAAAAAGCACAAAATGCATGATAAACAGTCTCCAAAGATATCAAATCCTTATGTCAGTTGACAAGGCTGGTAACAAACATTATACTTATTACACTTTATTTGATGTCAGAGTCAATATTAATGGGAAGTGGCTTCAAGGTTTTGCGTGTGGATCTCCAGATGCAACTATTGGATCATCTGCAGTCACAGCTTTAAACCGAGAGTATCCGTATAAGTATTCTATCTGCCATTCAGACAAAGAATGTGGAAATATGCTTATAATGCCAGTCTGGTTTTGTAATGAATGCAAAAATTGCCAAAAAGAGTTTAATGATGAAACTAGAGACTGTAAATGATTTTTGAAAAATGGAAATAATGTGATAAATGATGTAGATGAGATTCCTGTTGGGTATAAACTTGATTACCCCACTCAAGATTCTACTTTTATTCAAGTCATATTTATGGATTCGCCGTATTATTATGAAACTGACTATTTGGCACTGCAATATATCTGCTTGTATTTGATGATTTATGTTCCATCAGGGTTCATCACATTATCTCTATTTTATTTTATAATAAATCGAATAAGAAGGAAATGTTAATTTTAGCAAATTTATTAGCAAGCTTTAGTAATTTCTATTTGGATATAATTATAGCTATTTAAATAAATATCCTTGCTATAAAATTTTGAAGCATTAAATCTGTTCTCGAAATTAAATATACTTTAACACTAGATTATTTACTGAAGACTGTCTCAATAATAATTTTACATAAATAATTAATAAAGGATTAATATGGGATTTAAGCGAACTATTATAAGTTATGTATAATCTTCTTATGACTTTTGAGATAATCCTATCATAACTTAACTTAATCTCTTCCTCCTCCCTATCCTTGAGTGAACAAAAAATCTTGTTCACTTAATGCTTTTTTTAAGATAATTTATATATAAATTTTATAAAAAATTATTTTTTCAAAATTTTAAAAAAATCACTAGTTTCAATATTTCCTATTTTAAAATAGTTGGGAAAAAGGATAAAGTTGAGAATTTTAATTTCTAATAATTCATGCTAATCTACACTTAGTTCAACTCACCAATAATGTATAGCACTTAATTTTAATGGTATTTTAAAAAGTAAATGATAAATTCTGAAAATAACTTTAATAAAATAATAATGATGAAGCGCAGTGACTGCTGTTATTGCTTGACACTGATCATATCATCAGTGATTTTCGCTTTAGGATGCTTACTTTATTTCCCAATAGAGTATGAAATTTATTATTCTTTTTTCGACCATGATTGGAAAAGTGCAAAATGTATGATAAACAGTCTCCAAAGATATCAAATCCTTATAGAAGTTTCCTATGTTTGGCGCTGTAAGGCCGATAAATTCTGATCGGAATTTATCGGTAGGTTGCACCAAATCAATGCCTTGGTCGGACCAAAAAGCGATTTGGTCCGACGAACTTGGAAAGCTCCTGGGAAAATGTCTGCGCTTTTAGCGCTATATAGAGGAAACCTCTATATGTCAGTTGACGATGATGGTGTAAGCTATTATACTTCTTACACTCTATTTGATGTCAGAGTCAATATTAATGGAAAGTGGCTTCAAGGTTTTGCGTGTGGATCTCCAGATGCAACTACATCATCAGCAGTAACAGTTTTAAACCAAGAATATCCGTATAAGTATTCTATCTGCCAGTCAGACAAAGAATGTGGAAATATGCTTATGATGCCAGTCTGATTTTGTAATGAATGCAAAAATTGCCAAAAAGAGTTTAATGATGAAACCAGAAACTGTAAATGATTTTTGAAAAATGGAAATAATGCGATAAATGATGTAGATGAGATTCCTGTTGGGTATAAACTTGACTACCCTACTCAGCATTCTACTTTTATTCAAGTCATATTTATGGATTCGCCGTATTATTATGAAACTGACTATTTGGCACTGCAATATATCTGCTTGTATTTGATGATTTATGTTCCATCAGGGTTCATCACATTATCTCTATTTTATTTTATAATAAATCGAATAAGAAGGAAATGTTAATTTTAGCAAATTTATTAGCAAGCTTTAGTAATTTCTATTTGGATATAATTATAGCTATTTAAATAAATATCCTTGATATAAAATTATCTATATTAAAATGGCGACACGTGTCAATCTGCCCTCTTGGCGCTTGGCTTTTTTTTTGAAGGTTGAGAAGAATTATGGAAGACAGGATTATTATTAAAGGTCAAAGACAATTATACTTCTGCCAGAGATATAATACAGATGATCTTCACGTTTTATGATCGATTATCTTGGCAAGGGCATCTTTTTATTCAATTAAGCCTAATTAACTTAAACATCTTTGTTGGAATTGTGAGCTTGCTTTCATTCTCTTGATAAAGTATGCTGGAATCTCTATTTAATATCAATAATTAAATTATGCAAGGCGTTTGAAGATTTTGATTACTTGTTGGATCAGTTATGCTATCAGTAGGTCTCATCTTGTACTTACCTATTGAATTTGTGATTTTCTATCCTTATTTTGATAAAGATTGAGACAGCACAACTTGCATGGTAAGTTCAATTCAAAGTTTTAAGGTCTTTTCATGAGAAGATGCTAACCAAGGTCTTGTTTATCACATAGATTATAGTTTATTTGACGTAAAAGTAAGCATAGACGGAGAATGGAAGCAAGGTTTCGCTTGTGGCTGCAGCGATGTTACTGACTTGGTAACAGCATCCACAGCACTAAATGGCAAATATCCTTATCAATTTTCATTATGTCGTGATGATCGTGAATGCGGAAATATGTATATGATGCCTGCTTGATACTGCAACGAATGTACAGATTGCAATAAATATATTTCTAGAGGTGCTCAAAAATGTAAATATTATTTGAGAAATGGAAATGATGTGATTAGTCATGCCAAACAAATCCCAAGTGGGTATAAGCTAGATTATCCAACTGAGCATTCAACTTATATCCAAGTTATTTTCAGGGATTCACCGTATTATGTTAAAAGTGACTATATAGCTATTCAAGTAGTTATCTTAGGAGTTGGTGTATGTATGCCTGCATTGATTGTGATTATAGTGCTAATTCATTACCTAATTGCTGGGTTCAAGAAGTGTCTTTAATTTCTATTTATTCTTAGCCGTTTTATAAACTTCATTTTTTATTCTCATTATACTCTGATTTCAGGCATAGTTCCTTAACCTTTTATCAATGACTCTTTTTGTTTCTTTCCAATCCCTTAAACTCAATTCATTGAATTTCACACCTCAGTTCATTTTGCACTCATCCTTAAACACGCCAGCCCCAATTTCTCATTAAATTGGAATATTCCTAGAACTGTCCCTTTTTTGCTTTCTTTTTCAAGTTTTAGTCAATAGTTCAGAGTCCTTATGCCAACTGTATTTCCATGCTCATTATGCTACTGTCAATATGCAGTGTCTCATTCGCTACTCCTTTGGGAGCTCTCATCAGCCATCTAAACCATTTCCGCTGGGCTATCTCCAGATGTTCAAGCAGTTTTTAGATTCCACTGTAACTCCAGTCGCTTACATTCTGTAAAGTCCAACAGTGTTAATGCATGCCCTCAGAATCGTCATTTTCTTCTGAATTTGTAAGCTATTCAGGGATCGTTGTTTACCATAGCAGCTTTCATTTTCCTTATTCTCTCCTTCAGATGGTTAACACTTCTAACCCTCTTGTTTAACACAATCAATCAATTATTCAACGAGCACAGAGAGCTCGCAGCAAACCCTTATGGGTCTTTCTTAAGATTCACTATCTAAGGACTTCTGTTTCATTATTTTGCCGGCATCTCCAGGTTTTAGCCTTGCGTATTCTTTGGGCTTTTTTAGTTTTTTGGTCTTTTTGAAATTTTTGGCCTTTTTGGGTATTTTGGGTTTATGGTTTTTTGGCTTTTATGGCTTTTATGGCTTTTATGGCTTTTGGCCTACTTACTTTCAACCTTTACCTACTTAATGATCTCTATCGGTGCCTGATTGATGGATCCTGTGGCTAGGATCAACTCTCCACCATCCAGAATCACACCTTCCTGTCCAGCGGGCCAGAGTCTCAGACACTCCGCTTCATCCATTTCTTCTTCAACAGCTTCATCTTCATCATCTCAAGCTTCTTCTCTCAGTTCATCCTCCATCATTTTTATTTGCAAGTCAAGAAAGTCTATTTCATCCCAAATTTCTTCATCTGAGCAAAATTCATCAGTTTCAAAAGGAGTTTAATGATGAAACCAGAAACTGTAAATGATTTTTGAAAAATGGAAATAATGTGATAGATGATGTAGATGAGATTCCTGTTGGGTATAAACTTGATTACCCAACTCAAGATTCTACTTTTATTCAAGTCATATTTATGGATTCGCCGTATTATTATGAAACTGACTATTTGGCACTGCAATATATCTGCTTGTATTTGATGATTTATATTCCATCAGAGTTTATCACATTATCTCTATTTTATTTTATAGTAAATCGAATAAGAAGGAAATGCTAATATTAGTAAATCTATTAGCAAGCTTTAGTAATTTCTATTTGGATATAATTATAGCTGTTTAAAGAAATATACTTGTTATAGAACCAAAGGCACATTTAATATCAAAACTCTAAGTAAATTATAAGTTAATTACTAATATTTAAAAATCAGTCAATTTATTATTCTTTTATAAAACTGATACATGGTGAAGATAATTCAGAATCCTGCTAAATATTTTTTTTTATCATTATATATTTAGTGTCAGACTGAATATTGAGAAGAATAATAGAAATTTCAATTTGCAAATAATATTTAGTTATAAACAATTAATATCTTTCAATATTCTGGCACATTTCTAATTTTCAATCACAATCATTGAGGGATATTGGCTAGTTTTTTTGAAGTTTAAGCAGAATTATGGAAGACAGAATTTTATTTAAATATCAAAGACAATTAAGCTTCTGCCAGAGATATAATATAGATGAGCTTCACGTTTTATGATCGATTATCTTGGCAAGGACATCTTTTTATGGAAGCCTAATTAACTTAAATATCTCTGTTGGAGTTGTGGGCTTGCTTTCATCCTCTCTGCCAATAGGCTATTATGCAGCTTGATAAAATATGTTGGAATCTCTATTTAAGATCAATAATTAAATTATGCTCAGCTTTTGGAGCAAAGTAGTACTTGTTGCATCAACTATAGCTTAGGCTGCTTACTTTACTTTCCTATCCAGTACTCAATTTATTCTCCTTATTTAGATCAAAAATGAAAAAGTTCAAAAATGAAAAAGTTCAAAAATTATGGTCAATTCAATCAGAAGATATCACTTACAGCTAATACAAGACGAAGATGGTGGAAAACTTCTATCTCCTATAACTTGTTCGATGTTAATAAAATTTTGAAAAGCTTCATATAATGATATTTGAATATATTGATAAATCATTAAAGAGAGTTTATTTGAATTTGACGACTTGCTAGTTCTTTGAGACAAAATAGCAAGGATAAGGTAATTGTGAAGGATTTTTTAATTGAAATTCGCATCGAGATTGGTGAAAATCTTATTCGCAATCTTTAAGTAGTTAGCTAAAAATAAATAGCAAGAAGTACATCAATTGAACTTTTTTGCCTCTGATTTTAGATATTGAACCTGCATATAAAATATTTGTTTTATCCCTAATTAAAGATAATCTCTTTGATAAAATTCGTATATGACTATTTTTTAATTAACTAAAGTTTATATAAATAGACTATTATTCAGCTTGATAAAATATGTTGGAATATCTATTTAAGATCAATAATTATTTATGTCAGGCGGTTGCAGTTGTATATTACTTATAGCATCAGTTGCTCTGTTAGTAGGTCTCATCTTTTACTTACCTATTGAATTTGCTATTTACTATCCTTATTTTGACAAAGATTGAGAAAGCACAACTTGCATGGTAAGCTCAATTCAAAGATTCCATGTCTATTCACGATTAGATGTTGGCGAAGATGCTTCTTACTACTTAGATTATAGCCTGTTTGACGTAAAAGTAAACATAGACGGAGAATGGAAGCAAGGTTTCGCTTGTGGCTGCAGCGATGCAACAACGTGATCAGGAACCCAAGCACTAAATGGCAAATATCCTTATCAATATTCATTATGTCGTGATGATCGTGAATGCGGAAATATGTATTTGATGCCTGCTTGATACTGCAACGAATGTACAGAATGCGATATATATATTTCTAGCGGTGTTCAAAAATGTAAGTATTTATTGAAAAATGGAAATGATGTGATTAGTCATGCCAAACAAATCCCAAGTGGATATAAGCTAGATTATCCAACTGAGCATTCAACTTATATCCAAGTAATTTTCATGGATTCACCGTATTATGTTAAAACTGACTATTTGGGCTTTCAAATAGTGGTCTTAGGAATGATGGTATGTTTTCCTGCATTAATTTTGATTTTAGCGCTACTTTGCTATCTACTTGAAGTGATCAAGGATTGCTAATAATTAGCTAAATACCTTTAGTTTCTATTTATTCTTAAAAACTTTAATTTGCTTGTCTGGGCTATGAAACATTAAATTTTCCTATTTATTCTCAATTAAAGAGCTTTATATGCAACAGAAAAAGCGTTAAACTATTCTTCATATGCTATTTTAAAGTACTTTCAAATTCTTATATTTATTATAAATATAAAAATAATAAAATTACCTGGACTAAAAAAAGGTATCTCTAAATTTCTAATTATTAATGTTTTTACTATTATTAGTTAAATTAAGTGTCTAAGATGCAAGATTAGGGAACTATCGATTTCTGACATTAGCTATAGATGGCATGTACTCGAATAATAATTAAATTATGTCAGACTGTTGCAGTTGTACATTACTTATAGGATCAATTACTCTATTAGTAGGTCTCATCTTTTACTTACCTATTGAATTTGCTATTTACTATCCTTATTTTGACAAAGATTGAGAAAGCACAACTTGCATGGTAAGCTCAATTCAAAGATTCCATGTCTATTCATGAGAAGATACTGACGAAGATGCTTCTTACTACTTAGATTATAGTTTATTTGACGTAAAAGTAAGCATAGACGGAGAATGGAAGCAAGGTTTCGCTTGTGGCTGCAGCGATGCAACTATGTTATCAGGAACCGCAGCACTAAATGGCCAATATCCTTATCAATATTCATTATGTCGTGATGATCGTGAATGCGGAAATATGTATTTGATGCCTGCTTGATACTGCAATGAATGTAAAAATTGCACTAAATATATTTCTAGAGGTGCTCAAAAATGTAAGTATTTATTGAAAAATGGAAATGATGTGATTAGTCATGCCAAACAAATCCCAAGTGGGTATAAGCTAGATTATCCAACTGAGCATTCAACTTATATCCAAGTAATTTTCATGGATTCACCGTTTTATTATAAAAGTGACTATATAGGCTTTCAAGTAGTTGTCTTAGGAATTATGGTATTGCTTCCTTCATTAATTGTGATTTTAGTGCTACTTTATTATCTAATTGTTGGGATCAAGAAGTGCCTTTAATTAGCAAAATACTTTTAGTTTCTATTTATTCTTAAAAACTTTAATAAATTTGGGCATTTGCTTATCTAAGATATGAAACATTAAATTTTCCTATTATTTCTTAATTAAAGAGTTTTATATGCAACAGACAAAAGCATTAAACTATTCTTCATATCCCATTTTAAAGTACTTTCAAATTCTTATGCTTATTATAAATATAAAAAATAATAAAATTGCCTGTTGCAGCTAACACGCGACACCCTGAGGTTGATGATGCCAAAAAAATTCCAGTAGGATATACACTTGACTACCATACTGAGCACTCAACTTTTATTCAAGTAATTTTTATGGATTCTCCTTTTTATTATGAAAGTGATTATTTAGTACTACAGATAATTTGCTTCTGAATGATGATTATTGCCCCTTCCGCATATATAGGTTTATATGTTATATTTTTTTGTGTTATTAATATTTTAAATAACTGTTAAATAAAATATTAAATTTTAAAAATCATTTTTTATAAATAAAAATATTCATCACTCTTTCCAAATAAGTTTAAAAATTTATAGTCTGAATGCTTAAATAGTTTATTCAAATATTTTAATACATGATATCGTCCCTTGTGCCTTTTTGGTCACAGGCACAATAAATTTGTCGATTAGATCATAAGTTTATTTACTCCCCCTTTGAGTGAGTAAAAATATTTGAAAAATCTATAATTTTTGGAAAAAACTTATAAAATTTTTACACAAAAAATATTTTAATATATAATTGATAATTATTTTCTCTAAATCTCTAACATATTCTTTTGAATTTAGACAATTTACATTTTAAAATATAAATTTTACAAATTGCATTCTTTGCGAATTAGGATTTTTTAATATATAAATTTTTAATTAAGAGTGAGAAAAATTTTGTCTTGATCACATTGGGGAAAGGAAGTAAAACTAATAAGGAGTAAAGCCATTATTTAAAAATATTAATTTATATAATTCAATTAGTTTAGTCGCTTAAACCATCTTAGCTTTTTCTTCTTTAAATCGAAATTAACCAAATCATTATTGACCAATATAAAATAAAAATGATTTCTGAATCCAACCACATAAGACTGAATATCTGAATCTAAAATATTATTTTCTCCTATGCATTTCCATGTCATAAAATTGTTCATTTCGCTTTCATAAATTTTCCCTTTTATTTCAATAATGTAAATTCTATTATTTTCAGTAAAAAGAACCTTATTTTTGTCAATTTCTAAATTCAGATTTGAGATTACCAAATAATTATCTTCATTAATATCAAAAGAAACAAGCTTATCAAGATACTTTCCAGCTACTAGAATATGGTCTTTATATGCGATAAGTGATGAGTTTCTGAAGTCACCTTTAGGTAGAGGAGGACAAGCTTCCCAAATATTTTCTTCTATAATCATTAAGTTTGATTTACCTAACTGCCCCTTCCATGAGCGAACAAAAAAATCTTGTTCGCTCGCGGAGGGGGGTAATTTTATTTTTTAAAAAAATTCATAATTAAATTTTTATAGAAAATTTTTTTTTTCGAAATTTAAAAAATCCACTTCGCAAAAATTGGAAAGCAAATATTAATTTAATTTTAAAATTTATCAATTTTAAAATTAAACAGAATTAGCTCGAGATTCATTATACTATTATCACTTATATATCAAATTTTTTTCCACAAAAATTTTTGTTCGCTCGCGGAGGGTGGGTTTTTGGGCAAAAAATAGGTTTTTTCTAATGGTTTTGGTCGCTCATGGAGGGGGGGAGTAAGCTTTATTATAGGGAATATAAATATTTATCCGGCATATATAAAATGCTATTACTAATGTGAGATTGTATTTAATTGATAGAGTATAAATTAAATTTATTTGATACTTCTGGGTCGCCCCCAAGTGCATAAATATATTTTTTAAAGTAAGCTAGCCCAATTAGATGAGTCTGAGATCCTGGCGACATCAAAGTAATATTTTTGTCGCTATCTACGATAAAAGTTTTTCCAGTAATTTCTCTATTGTTAAGCTTTCCGCCGTAAAAAAATATTCCTTTGTTTTCAGGAATTAAAGTGGATCCATAAAAGCTGAGATTGCTTATTAGATCAAAGCATTTTGACGTAGATTTCAATGTTTCAAGATTCCAAGTCACAATTTCATTGGAATTCCATTTCATAAAGACAATCTCGTTTATTGCTTCATAATCTTTTTCAAAAGGGTTAGTTATTTCGCTACTTATCAATTGATTTTCTATTAACTCTTGGTACAAAATTGAGTCTTTTGGAATTTTTATGTTAAGTTCTAAAGCTTTTCTTTTCATTATGTTTAATGTAAGAATTTCTTGAATATTTGGCCTGCTTTTGTGGATATATACATTAATATGGTGATGGCAAACCTTTAGCCGGATGCCTGCTGGCACCGGGGGCCTTTTGGAAGGGAAATTGGCGCTTGGAGTGTATTCCAGATTGATTTTTCCTTGGCGCAGTGGAGTGAAACTTCGAATTTTGTCGACCGCAGCTCATTCTTGTGCTAGAGATTTTACCTCTGGGAAGTGGAACTTCAAGGTTGGAAAGGGGAAGTCCTGCAAAGCCAAACACTCCACTTGGTCCATCGGGCAACTCCCTAGCATGAAACTGGGCGTTATATCTCAGGTTTGACTTCCATTTTAGCCGACAGTCCTACAATAAATTTTTTTTTCAAATTTTCGGGATGGGCAACCTCTATTGACGAACTGCACGGTGGCGCAACTCATTCAACTACGGGTAGCGAGTGCATATTTTCGCCCAGTAGGAGAGGAGCCTTGAAGATCGTGATCAATAGGTTGTAAGCAATCGGGTGAAGCGTTATGGGTGGAGGTAAGCCGTCTGAGCAATACTGTGAGCCTCTCAATAATAGAGTTAATGTTAATGCTGGCCTGCTTTTGTGGTTTTTCATAAGACACAGTTTTATGATTCACAGCAGATCTTCGGAATATTCATTATCTGTAGCTATGAAATCATACTCTGTCACTGCTCTATGAATTTCTGCTAAATCATCTGCCTTGAACGGAAATTTAAGCTCGCACATTTCATATAAAATTACTCCTAAAGCCCATATATCATTAGTTTTTTTATGGCGATATTCATACTGCTCTGGAGCAAAATAGCTCAATTCGTTGACATTTGGAATTTTTCCTTCTTCAGCTGGGGGAAACCAATTGTGAATCCCATAATCGGCAAGCTTTACTCTATCATCATGATGTACAAATACAACATCTGGGTTCAAATCATGATGCTCAATGTCATTTGTATGCAAGTATTCAATCCCCAAGCAGATTTGAATTAAATAATTCCAAATTAGAGATTCTTCAAGTGGCTGAAATCTTACATTTATTAATTCTCTTAACGGTCTTCCATTGGAAAAATCTCTTATTAAATAAAGTTTACCCCCACCTTCCATGAGCGAACAAAGCAATAGAAAAACCCTCCGTGAGTAAAAAACAAATTTTTTTAATAGAGAAATTTTTTATGGGAAAAATTTTATATATATAAGTGATAGCAATTCTGTTTAATTTTAAACAAATTGCGTTTTAAAACATACATTTTACAACTTAAATTAATATTTGCTTCTCAATTTTTACAAATTGGAAATTTTTAAAATTTATATATAAACTTTTTAAAAAAAAAAAATAACCCCCCTCTGTGAGCGAATAAGATTTTTTTGTTCGCTCACGGAGGGGAGTTAGAGCGATGAATAAATGTATCTGTAATATTTACTAAATATGGGCAACTTAATTTGGATAATTTTTTGGCTTCTTTTTCTGCACCTAAAATTTCAAGTCTTTTAAGCTTTATTTCTTGCATTGCATATATGTTGTCATCAGCTGTGTAAAAAATACTTTTATTTCTGACTTTATAAATCATCCCATACCTTCAAAAAATAATTTTTTCAATAACCTCATAGTTATTGATTGATGCTTGTGTTACGGATATGCACTTTCCCATGAATAAATAATTATTAAAGGCAATTTTCAATCATACGATGTGCTTGAATTAATGGAGTTTTTTATCGGTTCAAATTGCGAAAAGGATTTGGCAGTTTATCCGATATTATTGCTAATAAAAGCTTTATGATTTATTTAAAAGATGAAATAGAAGAGTTCAAGTTTGAGAAAATAAAATAATCGCTTCGGACTTATTTATAAATAAATATAAGGCCTTGGAAAATTTTAAAAAAAAAACTGAAAACAAAATTAATTAGAAAAAAATTTGAAAATAACCAAATTTAAACAGTTTTTATACTTAAAAACTGAATTTGTTTGTCAGAAGCCTTGAACTTATATATAAACCATTGTTTGATCGTTTGGAGAAATTTTCGTTTTATCTGCTTCTGATAAAAATATGGTATTTGAAAATTTGCTATTTTTTGAAAATTCAACAGCTTAATAAGCTGTGTTTGGAATTCAATCCCTTTGAAATTCATATTTAATAGAAATTTCAGGTAAAAATTTATTAAAGCAAATTGGTAGATTTAAATTTTTAAAGGAATTTTCTCTTTTTTAAATGTTTGTCTAAAACAAATGAATTCGAGGATATCTTATCACAATCTATAATTTTTTAGTTTTGTTTTAGTTTCATAATTAAAAAATTGAATGTAAAAATTTTGAATTTTAATTATTTTTATGAAGAACAAAGTAACAACTGTTTAAATCCTTTCTACTTATAATAAATTAGGTTAAAACTATTTAGATAAAAATTAGCATCTTCATCTATAAAATTTTCTTTTGAAAATTAAAATTTTATTGGCTTAATCTCCCGAATAATAGAAGAAATTTTGCTTTAGTTTAAAGGAGAGAGTTATTAGAATTTCGATCAAATAATTGAAAAACAAGCTTATAGTTCCTGCTCAGTGATGAATTTATATGTAGTTAAAGAATGCAAAGTGATATCAAGAAAGCTACTTTACCGATTCATATAGAATTAAAAGTAGAACAAAATAAAGTTTAATAGAGGCTAAAGGATATTTTTTTGCAGGAATTGATAGAGAAAAAGAGTGAGCACAGAAGAGCTGCCTTACACTATGCTAGAGGATTTGAAAACCTTTGAGAATATTGATTTAAATAGCCCTTTTAGTGATTTTGGAATTGATGAAAACTTAGATCATGAAATTGATATTTTTTTCATACTAAAATAGCTCAATTAAGTAGACCCAAACAAAAAGAGCACAGAAAATAAGTTGAATTTATGATTTATTATATCGAAAGTTAGGCAATTTTATTTTAGTGAAAAATAAAAATTGTTAATGAATTTGTTGATTGTGAAATAATTCTGATTATTTGTCCAATCCTGAGCATTTATTTCATAAAAGCTATACAAAGCATGAGAATATTTTTAAATTAAAGCAAATAATCCAGCCCGAATTAAATAAAATTTGCATCAATATCAATTTATCATTCAAGGATTCAAAGTATTTAGCAAAGAATAAAATCCCTCAAAAATTTATGATTTATAACATTCAAATGCATTAAAGTGTATACCAAGCAGACTTGATAGTTTTCCCTCCAGTATTTATGGCATAACAAGCTAAAAATCATTTTTTCGAGGCTTAAGTTTAAATTGGACAAAAATTCTTGTTCAATTGAAGGTTATTTTGGTTTGAAAAAATACTTAAATTTTTCTTTTAAAAACTTTTAAAAAGTAAAAAAATATAAATTGAGCACAATTTCTATCAAATTTAATTTATTTTATGAAGAAATAATTCAAAAAATTAATCGATTCAGTGTAAAAACTGTTTAAATAATACTTTACTTCATTTTAAATAAGGTCAAAACTAATTTTATAAAAATTATAATTTTACTTATAAAATTTTCCTATTGATGAAAAATGCCACACATATAATTAAAATATGGCGTCTTCGTCTGGGCATGGCCTCCCGGCCATGCAGCCTCAACTCATATTTTAATTATATCCGGCAAGGTTTTTACATTCTAGAGATGGACGGCAATACTAGGTAAGCAATTCTGGTTGTGTTCAGAGCCTAGTCCTAGTCTAATCTCATGTATGGATTTTTCCTCGTGGGGAAGGAGGGTACGGAGTTGGAAAGGGGAAGCTCAGCAGAGTCCTTTTGACCAATCGGGCAACTCCCTAGCGTGAAACTGGGCGTTACGTCCCAGGCTACGTGTTTTTCCTTCCTTTTGCCGACAGCTGACCAGAAAATCCATTTTTTGGGTTTTCGGAAAAGCAACACATGTAACAAGCAAGTAGCTCATCCATGAGCCGTCGTCGAAGCCGGAACACTTTCCCAAGAAGCACCCTGGTGATCGAAGCAGGCCATCCCCAGCGACCTGCAGGCCCGATGCGATGAAGGCGAGTGATAGTACCTGGGGTTGTCACCCGTAGTGGACGTTAAACCTTATAAATTCTAATGTAATGTAATGAAAAACGTTATACTTTAAGCAGGCTAAAGGATACAAAAAATGGAAATTTTGCCTATATTTTGTTCTAATTTAAAGGGGGGAAACTAAAAAAATTCTGATAAGCTATTTTCAGTTACATTTTAAAAAAATATGCATAAGAGAGGATTAATATTTCAAAGAATAAAATCTATATGATTTCTTTGAGCTATTTAATGTATTCCTGACACAAACTTATTTCAGGCAAATAGAATCAATAGATTACAGCTTTTAACAAAAGGTTTTTGAAAATTTTCTAGAATCTTATTTGAATCTCATCAAATTATTTATCCCAAAAATATTTTAGGCTGTGAAAATGACGATTTCGATAGGAAATTATACTCATTTAAAGCTTCGTTAATTTTTTAAGCGAAACTCCCAAATTGTTCATAATTGAAAAAATCCAGATAATATATTAACTTCTTTTTATAAGATCATATATTATCTGCTTTAAGGAGATGTAAAAACTCAATTCCTTCCCAAAAAACCAAAAAGAAATCACCAAATAAAAACATAAAAGTCACTCATATATAAATTATGTGAACATTTTAAATAAGATTGAAACTTTTAGATGAAAAATATCTTTCTCCTCATGAATTTTTTCTGCGATTGGTATAAAGGCTTACATGCTTCTAATCTAGCATATTTTTATATGAAGAAAAATTTTTCATAATAAAAATAAATGAAGACAAGCGATTTAACTCATCATAGAATTGCTGAAAATATTTACATTATTAAAATCTCCTATAACAGCAAACAGCTAGTCAAATAAAACTTCAAGATAAAAGCGAGCGAATGCTAAAAAAGTTTCAAGTAAAATTAAATACTGATCTAGCCCATTTTTCTGTCAAGGATATCGGTTTCAAGACGCTTAACGAAATTCAAAATTAGTCTAAAAGGTAAAACTTTTTACGCAGCTATTTCATTGAAATTATGGTAAATTTATATTTTTAAATCAAATGGCTATTAGTTCAGTGCCATTTCAAAACTAAAGCCTTCTCTTGGAGAATTTTTCAAATTTTTCTATCAATGAGTTTTTTCATCATTCTTTAGATTTACTTTTATCTCTTAAAATTCACAAATAAAATTAAGTTTATCTCTATAAAACCTTTATAAATCTCAGATTTCTATTGGTCTTTTTTATTGCATTCTCGAATAGTCTGACAGCTCTGCAATATGGTTATAATTTACAAAATCAGAGCTGAATATGAACAACTGGTTAAGCGTTTTTATGATTCTTTTCTTTACATATGCCAGAGAAACAGAATTAATCTCCATAGGGAGTTCTCTATCAATCATACAAGAAAGTGACTGAAAATTTTTCCAAGTCCAAGGTCTGAATACTTCGTCTCTATTTTTGTCAGTAACAGTTGCGTTTGATCAGCCTCAGAACGCAGCACTTGCAGCGAGAAGCGGCTCCGTTCCGACGATATGGAATGGAAAAATTCAAGCTAATTATGTCGATTATGACAGCTGGTATTTGGGCTCTTCAATTCATAATTTAATAATCCATCCTGAGAAATATAACGAGACTGCATTATACATAGGCATTTATTCTCCAACAGGAGCTTCCTCGTACACTTTAAGCACTTCTCAGTCTGCCGAGCATCCTTGTCCGAATGACTGCTCAGGGCAAGGAACTTGCAACTTTGGAAAATGCTATTGCAAGGGTAACTTTATAGGAAAAGACTGCAGTTTTAAATCAACGCGACTTTTTACTAATAAGTCTGTTTTTATAACCTTAAAACCTAAGCAGCGAAAATTTGTGACGTTCTACCATGATGAAACAGATGTAGAAATCGAATTCAAGTCTTTTGACACCAACATCACAATTTATACGATGCCTTCACATGGTTTTGACACTTTATTGCCTTCAGCTTATGAATACAAAAGCAAAATATCTGGATTCCATGCCTTTTATACGGTGGACTCAGGCAGCAATTGATACTTTGGCTTGAATAACGAAAATTTGAAGTCAACTAATGTGATAGTCACAGTAAAACTGAAGGAATTTCAAGTTTATGACATAATGATGATAATCTACTGTTTGGCCGGAGCTGTAGCAGTGATAATTACAGCAATTGTTGCTTGCATTATTTGGAATCCAAGGATTTTCCCTGGAGATTACCCAGAGTGGTCGTTAGACTTGAAGTTGATAAACAAAAACTTCCCAAAGAAACTTTATAGCGAAACCCATTCCACCTTCGAAATTTTTACTTGTCCAATATGTTTGGTGAATTTTTCTCCAAACGATTACGTTAGAGAACTTCACTGCGGGCATATTTATCATGACAATTGTATTGATCTGTGATTCAAAGATAACACTTATTGCTGCTTATGCAAGAAAGATTGTAAACACATTGAAAAAGCTGTAATTTCAAATACCCAAAGCTCCTCTGGCAGTGAAGAATTGGAAGTTCAGGTAATGGTAGAGCCTCATAATGGGGGAAATCATTCTGTTGTACAAGGAGGAATATAACTATAATAGATCGCAAGAATTTTAATTCTAATATAGTAAGCTGAAATTTTTCTTCTAATTCTAAGTAAATTAAGATTTATTTCCTAAGAATTATTTAAACAATAAATTTTACTCGTTTGAATGCCTTTCCAAATTATAATTGTAAATAGTAATTACAAATTTATTAATTTTATAAAAATAATTAGCATTAAACTCTAAAATGGAAAAAATAAATTTTTAATTTTCATCTAACAAATACAATTAATATTTACAACTTATATATCTCATTTAATAAAAGTATATATAAAATACTTGTGTGAAATTATATTGCATTATAAAATTAATTTATAAATTCTAATTTTTAGTAAGAATGAAGATAATCCACTCTTTATTTAATAATTATAAATCCTAAATATTACTTGAGTAGGAAATAATTTTAAAACTATAAACAATGAAATTTTCCTAAATTTTTTATTTATTATCAGTTTTCACAGCTATCGAAAATGGTTGTTTATAAAACTCAATGATAAGTCAAAGCATATTCATTATCTCGATTCTGATATATTTGATACATTCTTAAAGCGTAGATATAGTGACAATTGGAGAGCCTCAACAGATATCTCAAACTGAAACTTGAAAAATTTTTCAAATTGAAGGCATAGAAACATCTTCTTTATATTTATCAGTGAAAGCAACGTTTAATTCCCATCGAGATGTTGCACTTATGATAAATAACAGTTCCGCTTCAGCTCTATCCGATGATAAGTTTTCTGCTAATTATGTTGACTATGATGACTGATACTCCGGAACTCTCAACTATAATATGATACTTCAGCCAACTGAATATAATCCGAACTCTTTATTTGTGATGCTCTATTCTCCAAACAGCAGTTGCACATATACTTTGGAAATTCTTCAAAACTCTTCGGCTGTGTGTCCTAATGATTGCTCAGGAAATGGAAAATGTGTATCAGGCACATGCGAATGCTTGGAAGATTTCATTGGAAAAGACTGCAGCATTCAAGCAACTAGGATTTCAAGTGATAATAACACGGTGTTTTTGGACTTGAAATCAAAGCAATCAACGTTTCTATACTGTTTAAGGAAGAATAGCTAACTACCACTAGTTAACGAGGAAAACCATTAGAAAAATCATATATTGGGAAAATTAACCCCTTTAGATCAATTTTTTAATAAAAATAATTCGATATATAATTTTAATAATGAGACTCCAGACTTTTTTCAAAAGTTTGCATCATTTAAATATAATTTTAAATTAGACTATATATTTAAATTATATTTTTTAAATTCAGGAAATAAATTTTTTTTATAAAAAAACAACCCCTTGGCAGAGAGCAAAAAATTTTGTTCGCAAACCAAAGGAGGTATAAAAAGCATATTTAAGCAAGAAATCTGGTAAGCAAGCTAACCAAAAATTTTCCTTATTCCCCCCCCATTTAATAACGAACACTGTTTTGTTCGTTTTTAAATGGGATCTAACTTATAAAATTTTTTGGAAAAATATATATAAAAATTATATTAAATATCTATGATTTTTATATAAAAATTTCAATTAAATGGTTAATAATAAAAGGAGCCAAATGATGGCAAAGAAAGAGAAAGCGCCTAAATGCAGGCGAAAAGATAACTATTGCTAACTCCCCCCCTCCGTGAGCGAACGAGATTTTTTGTTCGCTCACGGAGGGGGGAGTAAAGCACCAGCTTAAGATTAAGTCACTAGTAACATATTAGCTCTTATTTATTTATTTTTTTCTCGATTATGCTTGTCCTTATCTTACTCTAACTACTTAAAATTAGTAAACTGTAAAGACTAAATTGGCTTATATAAATTTTATAATAAATTTTGTTCGTTATTAAATGGGGTCTAAGGAAAATTTTAGAAAAAAAAAATGACGGTTTTGTTCTTTATTAAATGGGGGGGAGTTAGTAGGCTATTCATAGTAAACTGATATATTCTTTGATGAAACCGATGAGGATGTCGAAATTAAATATAAAGCATATTTAATGAATGTCGCAATTTATACAAAACCTGCTGTGGATGATGATTCTTCAAGAAGCAATCAAGAGTGCAACTCAATTTTACCGTCAATTTATGAATACGAATACGAAGAAACTGGCTCTCATATAACTTTTAGAGTAAAAGCAGGCGATTCTTGGTATTTTCAAATAGTGAATAATGATATAATAGAAGCAAATATAGCGGTCGATGTAGAAGAAATAGACGATGACGATGATTCTTCGACAATGACAATCATTTATTGCACAGCTGGTTCTGGTGTTTTACTCATTATCGGGATAATAATTTGCGTTACTTGCAAATTAAGATGTTTGAGCTCGGCTAGTCACATTAATGAAAGTCCAGGTATTGAAAAAGCGGCTATTAAGAGATATTTTCCTAAAAAGCTATACAAAGATAAGCATGCAGATAGTGAATACCTAGCCTGCCCAATATGCTTACTCCCTGCATTCTTGACCACACAATTCATTTTTCGTAAAACTGGAAAATTAGTCCCATCCTTAATTGAGTGATTTTTATATTAGAGATTATACCATATGATCGCTCCTATGCTTTTAGTGCGATTTCTAGCGTACTTTCTAACATATTGCATACTCAACTCTTATTGCTAGCTCATAAAATATTTTTTATAGAATAACAATTAAAACAAATATATTATTTGCTTAATCAAAAAAATTTTTAGCTTTGATTGAATAGTGGCGATCGTTTCAATCAAAAATTGAGAAGTTAGATAACTTTTCTCAAGAAGACTATGTAAGAGAGCTGTATTGCAAACACATTTATCACAAAAATTGCATTGACCCTTGGTTTAAAGTAAAAAGTTATTGCTGCTTATGTAAAAAAGACTTTAAGCATCCAGAAAATTTAACGGGTATGAAAGAAGGAGTTAATATGGTCGATAACTCACCTCAGATCGAGTTGCAAGGGATTTTGAGAAACGAAAATCAAGAAAGAAGGGCAAGCGAAGAAGCCAAAAATGAAAAAGAAGATAAGGATATCTTTCCATAAACTTTTTAATTTTATTCATAGTATAAAATCGCAAAAACATGATAAGTACCATGCTAAAAATAAATTATTTTGCAAAAATAAAGCATTCAAAATTACTTAATATTTATCTAAAGGGTTCTAATAAAAATCACTCCTAATATCAGCACAACAATTGCCCATAATAGATAAATGACTCCTGATAAAATCTGAGAAAGCCTCACAGAAACTTGATCTTTTAAACTTCCTCCTATAAAGACTGCAAGAATACCTAACGCAGCATATGCAGCTACAGCGCCAAGGGCCACATAAAATGGATAGCCTAGTGCAGAAAGCATTAAAACAGCTAATATAGGCTTTTCATACCATGAAGTTGCGAAGATCCTTGAGCCTGTCTTTTTGAAAGTTTTCCTCCAATTTTGGTCAGATATAAAAGGCTCCATCTGCTCCTCACTTGATTTAACTGTGATAAAAAATGCTTGATAGAAAGAAGCAATGGACAATATAAAAAAGATGATTCCCGATATTGCTCTTATTCAAAGTGCAGGTACCAAATAGGCTAATAGTCCGCCTAGAAATGAAGCCACAACTGTAATTAGTGTCATTGTAAAAAAGAAGCCTGAAAATACAGCTGACTTAGGACTTGTCGGGGTAAGGAAAGAGACTAATATATATGATGAGTCACCCAATTTGACTAGAAAAATTGTCAGAAGAGAGCTCAGGAAAACTGCCAGAGGAGCAGGAGCGATTATGACTGGGAGGTCTTTTAATTTCATTTTATTATTTTGTGGATGATAATACATTATCTTGATTATCAGAATGGATTAATAAATGGAAAATGATTGATGGAAATAAATTGATATTTTAGTCCTTTTAAATTATATGTATATAATTATGAGAATCAAATTTAAAAATTTCTTTTGGAGTTACTTATTGAAGCGAACTTATTTTGTGCCTTGTACAATGTAGAATTTTATAAATATGGATGAGACTAGTATTGAGGTCATTATGGGTTGAATTAAAGAGATAGAGCCATCTCTTCCTAGGCCGACTGAGGAGATCAATTGAATTATAACTAATAAAGCCAGTGAAGAAAGTGTTTCTGATGAAGTCCTTCAATTTTTTGCTGAAAATTTGAAGGTTTTAAACATTCTTGTATTCAGCAAGAGAGAGGAAGAAAAAATTGAGAGGAGTCTTACTGAAATTAAAGGAATTATTAATGAGAAAAGCTCTAATGATGTAGGAAGTCTCCTGCAAGTCGTTAATGAAATGAAAATTGAACTTTTTAGGGAGATTGAATTAGAAATTATAGCATTTACACGAGATGAAAACTATACTGACCCAGGCTATCAAGATGTTGACAATCAAGTATCATTGGATTGCATTAATTTAGTATTAGAGATATCTAACGTTACACTCCTACTAAAGTGACAGAGTCAAAATGGTGATATCATAAGCATTTCCAATACAAAAAGGCTGGACCATTCCAAATAATAACAATCAACAACCTTGATCAGTCCTTAAAACAGGTGAGACGCTATCATTGTCTGATTCAGCTCCTAAGCTTGCATCGCCTAAGGTTCACCCTTCTTAGATGTGCTGAGTGGTAAAACTATGAGCCTAATGATGAAATCTAGAGCATTTTCCTCTGGCTATACCCAAAGTTAAGCCGCTGTTCCTCTGCAGAAGCTCTCGAAAGAAAATACCATCAATAATTTTCTATAAGTGAGGAAAAATTAGCAAACTAATTTCTCTCAAGCCGATGCCATTTTATTTATTGATAATAAAGTATCAAAATTCGAGAGAGAGATATTTAATTATTTGAAATCCACTCAAATAAATCTTAAACTTAAACTTAATTATTTATATCATTTAACGTCCACCTCGGGGTAGCGCTGCCACCATATTTATCCACGTGTTGGGCCCATGGCCTCTGGATCGATTCACTTCGTTGCACCATGGTAGGGGACACATACAGCGTTCCGGCTTCGACGGGCTGCGCTGCATCTCTCCTCCTTGATTCAGCTAATGCGCGTGTTCTGCCTAAGGGTCACCTTCCTCGGTGTGCTGAGAGGTAAACTTCGAGCCTCTTGATGCATTCATTACATTACATTAAGATTAATATTCGCTTAACGTCCCTTATGGGGTGGGGGCACCACAGACCTTTCGGCCATCTCTTCCACATGTCGGGCCCGCAGGCCGCTGTGACAATCTGCTTCGATCACCAAGGCACGCTTGGAGTGGTGTTGCCGACTTCGACGGCTCATGAGTGAGCTACTTGCACTTGAGCTGGGCTGTCTTTCCGAAAATCCATAAAAAATGATTTTCTGGTCGACTCTCGGTAAAAAGGAGAAGCACGTAGCCTGGGATTTAACGCCAAGTTTCACGCTAGGAAGTTGCCTGATTGGTCCTAAGGACTTTGCTGAGCTTCCCCTTTCCAACTTCCCGTGTCCTCCTTTCCCATAAGGAAAAAGCCACCCCTGAAATTAGACTTGGGCTAGGCTCTGTACACAACCAAATTGCTTACCTAGCATGCTGTCCATTTCTGAAGTAGTAAAACCTTGTTGGATATAAATAAAATATAAGTCAAGTATGCATGGCCGGGAGGCCATGCCCAGACGAAGACGTATATCTTATTTATGATGCACTTGGAGCAGTGCCTCGGCTTATCTGCCAGAGTTAAACCGCTATTGCTGTGCAAAAGTTCTCAGATGAAAACCTAACCCCATAAATAAAATTGCTTGAGGGAGAGAAAAATTATTGGATCTAATTTTACTCGAACCGAATGCCATATTGTTTATACTCCAAATAAATCATTAAGAGCATACATGAATAGCATAAGTCAAGAATATTCAGTCATTTTTAAAACCTATTTTGAAGATATTAGGCTTATGAATGAAGAAGAAAGGCAAATTTTAGATTTTGACTTTGAGTGTATTAATAGGTTTAAAATAGAGATTGAAAATAAATACTATTTTACTCCTAGTTTTCTATCTGAAATTTTTATTGAAAATCTCATAGAATTTTTACATGCTCAGCTGCTTGAAGTGCTTTATAAAGAAGATATAAAATTTTTTTTATCAGGCTACAAATTTCAAGTATCAAAAATTTGATATTTTATGAACTCAGAAGCAAAGTTACATAAGGAAAATTCTCTAACTATCTTTATAGAAGTAATTCGGAAGAAATATGGATGAATTCCCCATGAAGTCGAAAGAAAAATCATACTCAAATTAAAAAAGGAAACTAATAAAATATGACTAGAAAATGGATTCAGCAATTCAGAGCATATCAAAGAAGTTGGGCTATTTACAAAAAGGCAGGTGGATAGGATTTTAAATGGAAACTTAAAATTATTTCAAAATGATCAGCAAAACAGCCAAGAATTTAAAATGGCTGCCTCAAAAATTTTGTGAGAAGCAGCCTCAAAGAATTCAGACAGCGATATTTGTAAATGGAAAATAAATGAGATTAGTGAGTTTTTAGATTTTTCTTTTTATAGCCTTCCTCATTTTCAAAATAATTAATATGATAGTCCAGACGAAATATGTCCTTACGAAGGTCGCAACACTTTGGGCACCAAAATGGCTTTATATCCTAAACCAAAGCTCAAACCCTTTAATCCTAAACCTTAGTATGCGTAACTGCAGTAATATGCGATGGGTAACCTTGGGATTCAGATGGTGACTATTCCAATTTCAGGCATTAGTTACCCGGATGGTTTTTGGGCCACAGGACTTTTTCTCAAGTTCGGGGAGGCTGTGGCTCTTTTCCCTGGGAGTCACCTCTCCCGAAGGTGGCCGACAGGAGGTATCGGGCTAACCTTTACCTCCATAGCGCCTGATGGCGTACTGGCAGGGCGTCTTTCTAACCCATCGAGACTCTTAGGGATCACATTGCAATCCCGCCCTAAAACAATCACTTTTCCAAATAGCAGCTGAATTTCCGCCCTGCAAGTAGGTTTTTGTTAGTCGAAAGCGTGCAGAGGCATCAAATCTGGAAGACGTTAAGCCTTTTAACCTTAATCATTCTCAAAGCCCTTCAATATTCACTCAATCCAAAGAAAACATGCTTTTTTTCTTATTTCACACTACACTCCTAACATCAAACTTGCATATTGCAACCTGCCCTGAATTAAATCATTATGAAAAGCGTGAAAGCCAGGTCGAGGATTTTGAATGACTAAGGATAATGGTGGGAACAAGCTTTAAATTTAATCCTAATCACCCAACATATTTTACTCGCCAAGATAATCCAATTATAATATGTGGAAAAATGCTGGAGGTTATTATAGATTCTTTATATAAGGCTGGCAAGCTTAATTCGAAAACTGAAATTCATCAAATTTTTAGTGAAAGTTTCAAGGGTTATATGCATCTTATCGAGTTTATAAACGCTCCTAAAAAAGAATCTGACTCCCCCCCTCCGTGAGCGAACAAAAAAATTTTGTTCACTCATAGGGGAGGTTAATTTTTTTTGAAATTTAAAAAAATCCCACTTCTCAAAATTTGGAAGGCAAATATCAATTTAATTTGTAAAATTTATGTTTAAAAACGCAATTTGTTTAAAATTAAGCAGAATTAGCTCGAGATTTCATTATACTAATTCTCGCTCATATATCAAAAATTTTTCCACATAAAAAATTTTTGTTCACTCACGGGGGGTGAAAAAAATAGGGATTTTTCTAATGGTTTTGTTCACTTACAGAGGGGGGAGTAAAGCAATTAAAAAGAATTTCACAAAAATAAAAGAAGGAAATTCTGCAGTGATAACCATATGTATATCAGGATGGCTTTCTGAAAAAGATAATAAACATAAAGACTGATTTCACGTTGGAGAATTGCCAAACCAAGGCTTGACTTATGATTTTAAATGGAACTCTGGGCATTGAATAGACACTTCTTTAAAAATTGGCTTTAATGTGTTAACTTGGCTTCCTCTGCCGCTTGGATTTCGTTGGTATAAATTATTTGGACAAGGAGCAATGAAGCCTTTAGTTATTGGCTCAGGGATTACATCTATTATAAAAAGACCAATATGAACAAGATTTAAAGATTTTGTATACCTATCACGTCAAGATCCATTAATCCCAATTTCTTCTGCAGTTGACTATCTTGTTGGATGCCCTTTTGAAGGAAAGGCAAAAGAAGCAGCAAATGCTGGCAAGCTTCTTGCAGAAATTATAAATAGTGGGGAATTCGGCAACTCGAAGATAAACTTAATTTGTTTTTCACTAGCAGCTGAGGTGGTTCACAATTGCTTATTAAATATTTCTGCAGAAAAAGCAAATACAATAAATCATGTAATATTGATGGGTGGAGCTTCTAGTAAAGCTGGTGAATGAGCAAAATGCAAACAAAATGTAAATGGAAGAATGATATGTGTCTATTGCAAAACTGATAATATATTGAAATATAGTAATTGCCCGAAGATGGCGCTATCTTGCATCATCCTCGGGCAATTCAAAAATGGCCCCACACCGGGAATTGAACCCACGTGTGGGGCCATTTTTGGTATGTGGAGAGCATCGACTTCCGCGAACCAAAATGGCCCCACACGTGGGTTCAATTCCCGGTGTGGGGCCATTTTTTAAATTGCCCGAGGATGGCGCAAGATAGCGCCATCCTCGACAATTGCAATATTTATATAGAGCTTCTCAGCTGACTGAGCCAATTGGACTTGTTGGAATTGATGTGGAAGGGGTAGAACAATTTGATTTAACAGGAACTGTAAGTGGGCATCTGGACTATAGAGAGAAGATGGATGAAATTTTCCATGCAATAAATTATTTTGGGTCCTAATGGTGCATGGTATATTGGAGACTGAAATATGGTCTAATCTATTTTATCTTAATAAATTTGCATTATAATCCTGATTATTATAGTCAGATCAATGAAATTTAATTTTTTAAAAATAAATATAAATAAGGCGTCTAACTTCCCCTCTCTTAAGTGAACAAAATCAACTTTTTCCCCTTCGTTAGTAATTAAAAGAAATCTACAACTATATATATTAAATTTTGTAACGGAGAAAATGGTGAAAACTTAGAAGATAGGCGTTATTATCGTTTTTATAATTTTAATATAATAAATATATATTAAATTTTATCTAAAATATATTCATAATTAAATTATTTTTTTCATTCAAATCGGATTCTTTATTAATATAAATTTTTTAAAAAGAAATTTATTTACTAGTCTATCATCTGTCTAAAATGCAGTTCACATCATATAAAAGCAAAGTAATCCATCTCCATGAATGATTTAAAGTTTTATTGCTCACCGGGGAAGATTTGCGTAATGTTTACAACAATCTAGGAAAAATATAAGGCAATTTTAAATCATAATAAACCTAAAATTTCGTAGAATCTACAATCTTTTTTTTTCTTTGATTTTAAATAAAGATAACAAACAAAATTTACTTATCTATTCCTAACATTCCCGAGGTCTTTTATGATTATTTTAAAAATCACTATGCGCTTACATAGCATTTTTGCATGATCCTGCTAATATTAATAAACATTTAATTAAAAGAATCAAATGAGCCATACGGACTTGGAGCAAGATTTAATCCATGAAATATATTTAAGTCTACCAATGCCAGAAGAAAATTTATATGAAAAATTTATCGAAATTATTCAAGCAAATCTATTTAGCAGAGAATTATTAGATGCGGATCTTCAGGCACAAAGTGACCTTTGGGAGAAAATAATGCTCGCAAATTATGATAAAATTCAAGAAAGCCAAGAAAGGTTTATTTCCAGTCGCATACCTAAGATAAAAGAAATAATAGATGATAAAAGAAGCAGCAATTTAGACAATGCATTGCATCAGATTGCTGTGAAAATTTTAGAAATTGTGGAATTTTTACAAAATGATATTACTAATTATATTAGGCTTGATGGAAATGATGAAACTCAGGCAAACATAATTGCATGATCGAAGTCTATGACTACAACTCTTAAGAGCACGGTATATGAAGACTTAAAGGCTTCAAAAAATAAAATAATTTCAAAATACATGAAAAACATAATTAAGCAGTTTCCAGTTATTTTGGAAAATTATATAAATCTTACGAATAAAAACACAAGAGAGCATTTAGACTGCTATCAAGGCTGCCAGGAACTTTTTGAAAATTATATTCATATACAATATAGCTTTACACCAAAGTTTGTCGAAGAATTATTTTCTGAAGACTTAGAGGACTTTTTGGACAAAATGATCGATGGCCTTATGACGAAAGAAACCGATCAGTATTTAAAAGAATATAAAGAACAAATTTCTGATTGAAAATACTATAAAATTACGATTAATTAAAGCGTTTAAGGTGTCTAAGCCACGCTCCCTACTCAAAGGGACTCAACCAATCTAATTATGTTGTGAACATTTTGTAATCCCTTGCCAAATAAACTGTCAGCCAATCTGACTGGTGCCTCATACATCGGCGCAATGCATCACCCTTCATAACTTAGCTCCTGCATTTGTTTCGCCTCAAGATAACCTTCCTCAATGCACTGAGTTTATAACCCTAAGTCTCTTGAATGCACTATGAGCCCATATGCAACTAGAAGTTCAGCCGCTGTCGCTGTGCAGAACTTCTCTCGATAAAAGTCAACTCCATTAATAAAATCAATGAGGGAGTAAAAATTAGCATAACTAATTTCTCTCAAATTGAGTGCCATTTTATTTATTGAAAACACTATACAAACTCTGAAGCACGAGAAAGCAGAAAAGAAGCAATAATCGACTTTAAGGTAAGTTTAAACCAAAAATTTGGATGGATCCCAAGTGAAATTATGAAAGAGACTGTGTTTAATTTAAATAAAATGATGTGCAAAGCATGAAAAACTAACTCAATTCAACATAAAAAATATGCAAAAGAGATTGATACATTTACAAATGAAATTCTGGAGGATATGATTAATGGCAGCCTAAAGCCATTTGATTCAAGCTATTGCATAGATTTTAGCCTCATTGCTTATTTCTTATGCTCATCAGCCTTGGAAACAGACAACCCTGAAGATATTTTAATAAAAATTAATGAAATTACTCAGCTTTTGAATAATCATTTTGATTATAATGCAATAGATGAATTGCTTAAGCATCAGTGAATTGCACACATAGATGACCAAATAGAAGCTCGCAAAACAATGTCTCAGATTTGGCTAAATTCAAGCCTTCATGATAAGAAGCATCGATATTTTTTTTTATTTTGCATAACTCTGGTGTCATCAAACCTCCACTATTTCGTATGTCCTCAATTGAAAACATATGGAGTTCGTGAAAGTAATATAAGGGATTTCGATTGGCTAAGAAATACCCTAAAGCTAGTTTTCCAAACTAAAGATTTTACTTCTTTCAGTCTCAACAGACAAGATAATCCAATATTTACATGCCAAATGATGATGAAAATCATTGTAAAATATTTAGTTAAGTCTCATAAACTTCCTAACGATAGCGCTTATCAAATTTTTACCAATTATATATACCATTCACCGATGGATATCATTGTCAAGAAAAATTCAATAAATAATATTTAATTATAAATAAATAATTTTCCTTGTGATTTTTTGTCAATTTATAGCTTTATTTTATAGATGGTTATGTGGCAGAAATCACCAGCAAGCATAATTTGATAGGTCTATCCAAAACTATAAAAGATAATTTTATAAGAATTAAACAAGAAAATTCTGAAACTGTCACAGTTTGTGTAAGCGGGTTTTTATCAGAAGACAGTAACAAGGATACAGATTGGCTTGATCTTATAGAGCTGAATGAGCAAGGGGATACTTATGACTACAAATGGATGTCAGGAAGCGTTTTGAAATTAATATTAGAAATATGTTGCAATCTTATGTCTTGAACAAAATTCACAGCAAATAAAGAGCGCAAAAGGCATCCTCACATCAGCCATTGAAAAAGAGTAAAAGAATATTTATCACGAAGAAGTGAAAACGCATTTTTCAAACTTTCTTCATACATAAACCCTATAATTGGATGCCCTTTTAGTAAAAAAATGACTGAATCACAAAAAGCTGGGCAAAAACTTGCAGAAATCATAAAACAAAATGCATTTAATGGATCTATGATAAACTTGGTAGCATTTTCATTAGGCTGCAATGTGGTTTATCATTGCTTGCTGGAATTGTCAGAGTGTGATAGAAAAATCATAAATAATGTTATTTTAATGGGCGGAGCATCAAACATAAGTGGGGACTGAAAGAGATGTAGAAAGGCAGTGGGTGGAAGAATGATAAATGCTTATAGCAGGCACGATGGGTCTTTGAAGTACCTTTACAGAGCTTCAGAGCTCTCAAATCCTATTGGATTAGCTGCTATTGATGTAGAAGGAATAGAAAATTGTGATCTGTCTCAATTTATATTTTATCATATGGATTATAGAAAAATGATGGATTTAGTTCTCTATGAAATAAATTATGATGGGGATTAAAGCAAACTCATAAAATGGAATTTTAATATAAATTTTATTGTTTACAATCATCCTAAAGATCCTAAAAATTGATAACTTGGTCTTGGGAGCTTTAATACCAAGCAAAGTAAATATTCTAGCACACTTAAATTGCCATCACCCCTGATAACAATGTCAAAGTCTCTGAAATCATCAAGGCTTGCTAGTGCTTCATCATTGAAATACCCAATAGATATCACTTTCGTTTCATCATTAATTTCCTTCAATATAAGTAAATCCTGCATAATCTGATACCGATGGAATATCTCCCAAAACAAAATAAGACTTCTGAATTTTCTTCCCACGAATTGAATGAAATTTATTCTGGCTATGTACAATAGGTGTTGAAAATCCCAAAAGTTTCCCATTTTCGTCAAATTCAATAAAATTTGACTTAATTTTGATCTGATAGCTTGTAATTGCTTTTATCATTTCTGAAATAATGTTCCCGACCCCTCCTGAGACAATTGTAAAAGGTATCTTGTTTCTCTCGCATATAGAAATTACTTCCAAAATCCCATATCGAAAGTAGAATGGTAAATTTTCAATTGCAGAAGTAATCATGTGTTTCTCTATATGCGCTTTTAAAAATACCTCTTGCTCTTTTGCCCATCATTCGTGCATTAGAAGCATTTTTTTGTCAAGGGAGATGGAGGGGTCAATTTCAATGGGATGATAATGTAAAAATAAATCTTTAACGTCTTTTGAGTGATTTTTGTCTAAAATGCTGATTAGTAAGTTTATAGTTGAAAGCTTGAATCCGTTAACTGAATATTTTGTTAATGTCGAGTCAAAATCAGAAATTATCCCGAAGTCAGATGAAAAAGACTCGATTTTTGACTTGAGATTGAGAGGATCTCGAATGAAGACCTAATTAGGAGATACAGTTTCTGCTGGGTTCATTGGAGAAATCAGTGGTCTGATGAAATTGGAAAATCCTCTCTTTAGTATCGGGATAATCATATTTATAATATACTGAAAATAAGTAAAATCTCTATCATTTAAATTAAAATATGTAATTATTGAATCAATATTTCAGAATAAGCAAATATGAATATACTCCTAAAAAATTAGAAACTTTTTCTCATAAATCATATTGCTCAGATTCTGGGTAATTCAAAATGAACCCTGTGAAACCTGCACCTATAAAGTATAGTTCTTCCTTAAATACTCAGCTCTTGTCCACAAAAATAGTAATTAAATCATAAAGGAGTATCATAGAAATCAAATTTAAAATAAAGTTAGAATATATAGCATTTATTGCACATTGCTTTAAAATTCTGAGAATTGAATTAGAGGATGAGTCTATTTCGATGGCATAAGAAGTAAAGCGAAAGATACATAGTGTCTTAATTGGCTCAGACTATTAAATTTAAATCTTTCAAAAACTAATAAAATGCTTAATCCCTTACACAATGTTTAATTTTCTGCTTTCATATTCAGTGTTATAGAGTTGGAATAAGGGATCTGCGATGTTGGCAGATATTATTCGCTTTTTTAGCTTGTTTGGATTTGGTGTGGTGGCTCCATTTTTTAAAACTTGGCAAAACTAAAATAGTTTGGCATGTAAAGCTAAAATTAAAATGCGAATTATATAGCTGATACACACTTATTCATGTAAAATAAATAAAAAATCAATCTTTGCAATACCATTAATTCTGGTATCATTATGATTGCTAATATTCTATTCGCCAATAGAGTGATTACATTTTAAATACTCCAGCAGGTGTACATTAAACATACCCCGTATAATCTTGACTTATCTCAATTACTTACTCCCCTTATGAGTGAGAAAAAAAAATTTATTAAAAAATATTTTTATATATAAGTGATACTTATTATAATGAATTTCTAGTAATTCTGTTAATTTTAAACAGCTTGAGTTTTAAAACATAAATTTTACAAATTATATTAATTTTTTGCTTATTGGATTGTTTTAATTTCGAAAAAAATATTGTTTTTTGAAACCCCTCTCTCTGAGTGGATAAAATTGTTTTATTCACTGGGAAAGGTTAGTATTTAACAATATTTTAATATTAATAAGCTCTGCAAAATTAAGGAATTATTGCCTTGCACTTGTTTTAATTTTAGAAACTTATATTATTGATATAGATCTTGACTTCTATTCTAAATCTATTGTTTTCAAAGCAAATATGCAAAAAATGCTATAAAAAAATAATTTTCAGATATAAATTTTCGCGATCTATGGCTGCTGCATGATAGTGCTGAATGATTTCTGGACAAGAAACATCTAAACTACGGCATATATCTCTTAAGTAATAAATATATATGCAAAAAATCAATATTAAGCAAGCCAATTGAGCAACACCCGATAAAGCGCATTTCATAATATATAATTTGCTTATTTTAAGTCCAAGTAAATATAAAATGAAACTAAAAAAACTGATTAAATGGCAAAATTTGTACAGATCATATAAGTTTAAATGAGAATATTGCCGCCGTTTTCGTTGGTAGATTAAAAAAATAAGGCTTGACATAATAAATTTTAAAATGGAAGTTGTATAAGTTTGCATGCAATAATCCAATGAAATAGTGTTTATAATTCCAAGTATCAGACAGTTTTTCAGGCTCTTTTTAAAAGATAAAATAAAGGATAAAGTTCCTGATACATAAAAGCTTTTTACTTACTTAATTATCTGGTGTTTAAGGTGTCTAGTGCCGCAGCCCAAAAAGGGCCTATGGCAAAACTGATGACGTAGGCGAGCCATCTTGGCACGGGTCAGCCCCGTCCAAGCCTTCTAACAACTCCTGCTTCACCGGCCTTGCTGCACGTCTCACCCGGCGCGTTGCCGTCGCCCTTGTCGCTCGACTCAGCTCCTGCGCGTGTTCCGCCTAAGGGTCATCCTCCCGTGGGGATGTGCTGAGAGGTAAAAGCCCGAAATCTTGAGTGGACTGAGGAGTGGTTCCTCTGGTTATCTCCAAAGTTAAACCACTATTGCTGTCCAGAAGTCTTCGAGTGAAAACCTAACCCTATAAATAAAATTCCATGAGGGAGAGAAAATTAGCAGAGCTAATTTCTCTCGAACCGAATGCCATTTTATTTATCGATACATAAAAGCAAAATGTGAGGAATGATGATATTCATGTTCTAGACTCTTGGCAATATTCAGATATTATAAAGCTCTCAACTATGAGAGAATTAATTCGATCGAAAATATTATGAAATTGATAAATATTGTCAATGGGGATAAAATAACTGATCTTGGAAAATATTTTTTCATCTGCATAAAGAGTTATATAAGAAATCGAGAATAGTCATTTTATTTTTCTTGTAAACCTTTCTGAGAATATTTCTTTTATGTTTCATAATCCAAAAGATTTATAATTGACAAGTAATAAGAAAAGGATTTTGATTATGATTCCAAGCATCTTCCTGTATATTTATTAATTTATGATCTCTGCAGCAAAATATATATTAAAATTCAATAATTTAATCAAATTTAATATTTATTGGATATCCACTCCAAGATAAGTTGCACAACATTACCAATAGGGTAATTTTTATTAATTTAATTATACTTTATAGTTTGACAGTTTTATAAACCGCCTAGCCTTAGATTTCTTAAATAAACTATAGTCCAGACATGATATAGATCGTCCTGGGCCCTGCTTTTCTGAGCAAATCACCCCAGCTCGTATTGGCAAACCAACTCTGGGAGTTGGCACTGCTTCTTATTGGGCGTATTTGTCAACTCCCTGAGTTAGTTTGCCAATACGAGCTGGAGAACCAATTCGTGGAGAGTTACCCAGAAAAACAGAGCCAAGGACGATCTGAAATCATGCCTGGGCTATATTTGCACGCACAAATTGGAAAAGTATCTTCATCAGCTTGACTGCAGCTCAGAGTTTCTCAATCTCCCTGGATTAAAATGTTTTTCTTTTCTTTTGTTATAATTCCTAGCATTTTCCCTTCAGCTTCTCCTTGTATATCAAGCTGGCTAAATGCTCTCAGTTTTCCACTAGCCCATATTCTAAAGCGAGGAGTTTCTTCTCAATTTTCTTTCAAAATTTCAAGGTTGTTCAGCACTTGAATTCCCCAATCAATACAGACTTTACTTCTATCCAAGCAAGTATCTTCACAAGTTGCATTTTTAAACCCAATAACTGTTGTAAACCTCCTTTTCAATTCTGTATAAACTTTGCTATAAAAAGTATGAGAATTTTTAGGTACCAGAGGATAATCTCTAGGGTGTTGTGCAATACATAAACTACTTTTTAGTTCTACCAGTGGAGCTATTACCAATGAAAAGCTCTTAATTGTGTCCACTCTCCAAATATTTTGAATTTGAGCTATGAAAAATTCATTGTTATAAGTATAGTTACTGAAAGGGTATACCTCACTTTCAAAATTAGGCTTAAAAGTATCTACAAAAACATCTGGAGGAGCCATATAAATTTCTGTTTGAAAAATAGCATTTGGTTCTTCATTTATCGAGAACTGTATTTTGAAATTCATAGTAGAGCTAAAGTCTGCACTTTCCGTCATTTCAGCATGTAGCAATGAGTTAAATGAGATTTTCTTACAAAAAATGTAGATTTTATTAAGGTTGCCATTGATAAATTCTATTGTAAAATCAACTAGAAATTGCAGAAGATCGATTTTTGATTCGTCTGTTATAGAAATTTCTTGGTACTCATTGCAGATGCACCAATAAGAAGGAATATTAACATCTATGCACGTCTTTTCAGGGCTTATTTTTTCAGCTATCAAAGAGACAGAGTTTGCTTCAGAAATTTCTGTTTTTCATGACGAATATAAAGTAGAATTTTCTAATAAAACTCCATAAGGCATCAAAGCCAAATGTTTTAAAGTTAAACGGATATCATACTTTGTTATTAATTTTCTTTGGTTATATTGCAAAATTCTATGCGTCTCAGGCCCAATTTTTCATACAAGCTCTTTATTCATAATAAAAAATGCAAAGGGCATCAAATTTTCTTTTGTGCCCTCTTCAAAATAATTCCATTTTCCAACATGAAGCCCATGGTCTGAGGTTATTATAATAGCCAGATCTTCATCCAGCTCATTATATAGTGACAAAGTATCATTTATAAACCTCAATAAATCTTTATCTACTGTTTTAATTGCTTTTCCTGTGTATTCATGGCCTTCCATAAGATGAATATAGCTAAACTTATTATGGCTTTTGTAATTATTGATGAATGAGGATGTATAATTCAACAAAAAATTGTGGGAATAATGTTCTCCTATACACCGCTCCATAGGATTAAAATCATAGTACCCATTATACTCTCGTGCAATGTGCCAAAAATTTGATGCCATATGATCAGATATAATTTTATAGCCTGTATATGGATTGAGATACTCTTCAACTGTTTCAAACCCAAACATTGTTACGAATCCTAGCTTATTGTAATGTTTTCATATAGCATAGCGCTGGTATTTAGTGAATTCTTCATAATAAGATGCATTTTTGTATGAAAATCCTGATAGGTCTTCTTTTACTTTTTTCAGAGAAAATCCGTATAGAAGAGGAAGCATATTTGGTATGGTATTTTCTCCCAAAGCGTTGTGGAAGGGGAAATCGTATACAAGATACTTATTAGATGCTTCATTTATTAAGGAATCATTCATATAAGTAATAAAATTTGGAAAATTTTGATAAAATTGTTGTCTTGATAAAGAATCAAAGACTATCAACAGCACAGTAAGTGGCTTTATACTAGAGCTATTCATCATTTTAGTGATCTTTTCAGTAGTATTCATAGAATGGTTTGATATTGTTTGTGAGTATCTATTAAATAAAACTGCAGAAGGCTTAGCATCTCCACATTTTGCATATGCAAACTCAGTAGTTTCCATGTCCACAGGTGACTCATATTCTGTAAATTTATATCTGGTGTTTGGTGATCCAATGTACTCTTGCTCTGGTTTAGTGCCTAAAAGGTAGAAGGCAGTTCTATTGTCACTACAAGAAATAGAGAGTAAATTATTTTCTATAGTGATTATAGGTCTAAAACTTTCATTGCAAGATTGATCTTTCTTAGATTGATCAAACACAAAATTCAATTGTTGGTCATTCATGCTAAATTTTTGAGGATTGCATGAATTATTGATAAGAAATGGATCTGAGTGTTGAAATAAGCTATATGATTTCATTGAAATATTGTAAGGAAGTGTAGACGTTTCCTCTATTTGTTCATTCGTTCTTAGATATTTAATAAATGTGTAGTCTTCTGTATAATCAGTAAAAATCGAAGTTTCAATTTTTTCGGTATTTTCAAATTCATAAGACATTCAAGCTAGCCCAGCTCAGAAGAATAAAACTCAAGTAATCACTAAAATATATTTCAGCTTGATGTTGACGCGAAAATTCTCCATATGCTACAAGGATTAATTTTTTAATAATAATTTTTAAATTAAAACGTCATTAAGAAAATTATATGCAACTGCTCTTAATTTATATTATCTATTATTTGAGATAACTTTTGATATGATTATCATAGAAACTTTGAAATAAATCAGCTAATGCGTCATATGGATAACCCATAGGTCTTAAAAATGTATTTAGCTGCTCCAAATCATAATCTCTATTATAGCACAACTTCACAGCCTTTGAAAGACCCACTTTATCATTATTATTTGCTTTTTTATGCAGCTGCTTTAATTTTTGATCTAATTTGAATTTTCCGCGACCTTGTCTTGTAACTCAGTCATAAGTTTTATTTCCTAGTTCCATTGATATAAGCTTTCCATATCTTCTAAATCTATGAATTGATTTCCAAGTGTCAGGAGGAGGATTTCACGTAGATCTATCTCTATTTCGTTTTTTAGCTTCAGGCACTGATTGATCAGATTCAGATTCAATTTTCTGACAATTTTCACAGAGGGCTTTAATGTCTTTTGTATACAAAATTGATCTTTTGATTGAGTCTTTGCAACCAATACAAGCCATGTTTATTTTATTATTTTTAGGCCCCTAAATAATGAAATAAATTAAAAACTAAAAGAATCATACAATTAAAAAGCATAAATTATGTATAAATTTTTTGTGAAAACAGATATATCTATATAAAGGCTAGAGCATTAGTTTAATTTTCATTCAAAAATATATCAAAGTTTTATTTAATGAACAATTTTATGTTTTCTTCTCATTAAACTTAAATATCTCTTGCTTTTTAAAGAAAAAAGTATCGATTTATTATAATTTAGTTAAATTCGGTATTTAAAAACACAATTTATAAGATATTGGTATAAAATTTTTCTTAATTTATAACTTCTCCATTAAGATAGCTTTTGATGTGATTATCATAATAACTTTGAAATAATTCAGCCAACGCATCATATGGATAGCCCATGGGTCTTAAAAGTGTATTAATCTGCTCCAAATCATAATCCCTATGATAGCATAACTTCGTAACCTTTGCAAGACCTATTTTATCTTTATCGTTTGAATTTTTAAATAGCTGGGTCAATTTTTGGTCTAATTTGAATTTCGATCTCCCTTTTCTTTGTACTCAGTCATAAGTTTTGCTTCCAATTTCCATTGATATAAGTTTTCCATATCTTCTCAATCTCCCAATATATTTCCAAGCTTCAGGAACGAAATCTCGTACTGCTCTCTTTTCTTCTGGCTCAATAACTTCAACAGCCACTGATTGATCAGATTCTGCTTTCTGGCATTTTTTGCACAAAGAGTCACGATTTTTTGTATACAAAATGGATCTTTTGATTAAGTCTTTGCAACCAATGCAGGCCATATTTATTTTAATAATTTTCAGGCCCCTAAATATTTTAATCAAATTGCCAAATTAATGAAATCCTGGAATTAGAAAATTCATCTAAAGAAAATATGAAGTATTCGTAATTTTGAAAAATTAATTTAAATAGGTAGCCTCAAATCAATCTCAATTAAATTTTATTAAACAAATATAAGAACTTTATTTCGTAAAAACCGAACGAAAGCACATAAACAATTCAAGGCATCTACATAACTCTAGATATTAACAATTACTCTAAAATTATTCTCATTACAGAATGCTAAATAACCAGTTAATTACGATCTTATAGAACAGATATTAGCAGGTATCATCCTCAAAAATTCATTCTTGATCCTTTGCTCTTTCCCCTTTTGTTGTTCGGATCATCTCTTTATCGTTTTTTGGTTTCTTTTTTTTCTCAGCACTTGCAAGCATAGATACAATACTCAGAACTGTGCTTGCTACCGTCATGCTTGGCTTCCATCCTGTATAAAGAATTGATAAGCAAATGAAGCCATTGGAATACACATGTTCATGAATGGGAGGCTTACCTACAAATACAACTTCAGGAGCTTCAATTGGGTAGTTTTGCTCAAACGTAAATTGGAGTACGAACTCTTCTCCCTCATATAAGCTGTGTTCAGGCCCATTGAAAGAAACTCTCCATATCATGTCTTGGTCATCTTTATTGAGGATTTTCATTTGTTTGGCAAGAGACTCGTCATTTTCGATATTTTCAGCTTCTCTTTGAAGCCGCCTGAGCGCTCGAGACAGCATTGGGAATATTTTTTATTAAATGCTTCTATATAAAGCAAAAATTCATATTTTTGGGAAAATTTCAAAGGGCATGCTAAATGCATAAGCCATGCATGCATGAATATGCCGGCTTGATTTAAATTTGGCGTGTAGGAGCATTATTATTTGTCAGATTTACTACGTTTCGGGATTCAAAGATATATCAAATTTGCATTTTTGCAAAATTCTTTTGAATTAAAATTAAAAAACTATTCATTTCCGGCCAAGTGCGGGTAATTTCAATTCAAATGGCACAAATAAATTTGACAAATTAAGGCTCATTAATTTTGATTCCATCTAATAGATAGCAAAGGCAGCTATTAGATGAGAAACATGCTAATTTCTTATATTTTAAATAACTGTTAAGTGTTAAACAAAATATTTTCAAAGAATTAATTTTTTTTCAATTTATACGTTGTGACTTAAAATTATGCTCTTAATCCACCCCAGTAATAAACAAATTCTTACTTATTCGTGGGGGTTTACTACAAAATTTTCAAATAGTAAATTCTATATATGAATAGATTGAAACTTCCTTATTATTACTGGGATGAAATGCTCAAAATTACATTTTTGATAATTTATCTGAAAATCCCCTATAATAAGCAAATTTCGGTCTATTAATCTATTTGAAATTTTTTAGTAAACCCCCTTGAATAAGCAAGAATTTGCTTATTATTGGGAGGGAGTTAGCTTTCCTTTTATTGATTCAAACATATCAGAAACATTTTGACCACTTGCAGCTGAAACTTCAAAATAGTCAAATCTTCTTGAATCGGCCCAACTTTCTGCTTCGTTTCTAGGTATTGCTCTTTTATTATTCAAGTCTGCTTTATTTCCACAAATTGCTAGATAAACGTTGTTTGCTCCATACCTATTTGCTTCTCTGAGTCACATGTCAAGGCTGTCAAAAGTTCTCCTTGATGTTATGTCATAAACTAATAAAATTCCATGGCAATCCTTATAATATTCATAGAAATTAAATGGTAGCATTGACGGAAATTGAACTCTAGGTGCTCTCCATATGGATCAGATGGACCATTCTGAAGTTGAAATAGTGCCTGTGCCACTTTTTGAGTAGATCCTCAGGCTGGGGAAGCTTTGCCGAAAAGGGGAGTTTTTTCTTCCCCGAAGGTTTTCCTGTCTCTAAACTCGGCTAGACAGGTTTTGCCTATCACATGGTCTCTTCTCATTAGACTATTGGGGCACCTCACAGATAATAGCTCTTCTTATAGGGAGTCGATCCCTTGGATAGATGGCTAATGGAGAAAATCCATAAGGGTAGCCTTTTAGATCAAATATGGGTAACGGCTAGTGATTACCTGCTTATGGCCTGCATAACCTTTTTATTTAACTTAACTTAACTTATAAAATTCATTCCTAACCTCGAAAAACTCTGGATGGCCTGATAGATCTCACAAGCACATTACTATTCCTCTCATGTCCTTTGCAAAAAAATCGACTCCTATTGTAGCTTCATATTTTGTGTCAAATGTATCCATCACTCATTTTCTAATTATTGATGATTTGCCTACTGCGGGCTCTCCTAATATTATTAATTTCAAGCGTGTTGGATCTTTAGGCTGGGCAATATTGATATTTCTTGTAGAGCTTTCAACCATTATCTTCTATATGTATTAAACTAAACTTTTATATTGTATTTTATTTAAATTATTCAAAAATTCTTATTGAAATTTTGTGAATTAATATTAACTCCTTTGTGAGCGGCAAAAACTTGTAAATCATATAAAATATTTTAATATAAAAAGCAATTATAATGAATTTTTATCTAAATCCATTAAATTTGGAACAGCTTGCATTCTTAAGCACAATATTATAATTTGATACATTTTAACTCTTTTGGATTTTTGAAGAAAAAAAAAAATTTAAAAATATAAAATTTTTGTTAGCTAGATGTAGTAAGAAAATTAAATTATCAATTTAAGATTTATTCCAGCAATTTTAATATAAACATAGAAGGAACTAATGTGGGTTTTGAATTTTATTCTCGCATCAATTGCATTTGCAAACATATACGTTTTTTCTCCCGACAAACTACGAATGGATATGTCAACTCGCCACTCACATGGCCCAATTCCATCATCATTAGCAAACTTCGGGAATCCGCCCTATGGATCAATTATAGTCGGAAGAGTATTTTTACCTCGAAATGAAAACCAATATAAAGGCTGCAGCCCATTAGACCATATAAGCTGGGACGATGACCCAGATATTGTAAATTCCCCAATATTGCTCTTGGAAAGAGGTGGCTGTTCATTTGTAGTAAAAGTGAGAAATGCACAAAACATCGGTGCATCAGCAGTATTAATAATGAATAATGTAGACGGAAGCATAGATCCAATCACTATGATAGATGACGGTACTGCTGGCAACATTGACATTCCTTCCTTGCTGATTACTAAAGCTGATGGTGACTTAATAAAAGATTACATAAAAAAAGAGAGTTTTCAAACCAGAGTCGCACTTTCTATCAGCTTTGAAATGCCCCATCCAGATAACACTGTGGAATATGATATTTGGATGACAAGCGGATTTCCTATCATGAGGAAATTTTTATATGAGTTTGCCCCTGTTGCAAAGAAATTCAATAGCACCAATGCAGTTTTTACACCACATTATGTTATTTATTACTGTGTAGAGTGCAAGGCTACAGGGTTTAAAACTGATAATCAAGACTGCTATGGAGGCGGGAAGTATTGCTCGCCAGATCCTGATGAAGGTTATGGCCCTCTTACAGGAAGAGACGTCCTGGATGAAAGTTTGAGGCAGCTTTGTATTAATAAAGCAAATATCAAAAATCAAAAAGTCTGGTGGGATTATATAAGAGGATTCTATGAAATGTGTGGAAGTGATAAAAATTTCACGAAAAAATGTTCAGAAAAAGCGATGGAAAGAGTAAAAATCGACAAATACTCCATAGAAGAGTGCGTGGCTTCAAGCTTTTCTATTTCAAATTGGGTTTATTCTGATAACTCTTTGCTAGATGATGAAAAATATGCTCTAGCAGACTCCGGGATTTTATTTTATCCTGCTATTGTGATTAACAACCAAGTCTATCGTGGAGATTTTGAAGTAAGTGCAGTTATGACAGCCATCTGTGCAGGCTACCAAGATAAGCCAAAAATCTGTATAGATTATTTTAATGGGCTACTACCTGGCGACGACTCAGAAACTAGTGAAGGTGTAGGTGCAGGAACAGTGGTCTTAGTAATGGCTTTATGCTTGCTATTCTTAATTGCAGTTTTAATTGCATATTGGGTTTGGATGAGGAGAGACATGAAAGCAGACATAAGGAGACAAGCAAACTCAGCGATTAATCAATACATTGCGCTGACTGAACAAAACATTAGAAATCATTAAAAATTATTATAGAATACATTAAGCTTTTTCTCTGCTGGTTCTGCCCCGATGTCCATGGCTCCCATCAGCTGTGGTGGGTGCTCTTGGACTTAGTCTAAAGGTGTTATTTAAGGTCTTATTTGCTTCAAAATCAATGCTGTCATTCAGGCCTGGAGTTTTCACTCGACCTTTCGAGCTTGGGATCTTAGGAGTTGTCCTGCTAGGAGGTCTAGGAGTGGCAACTGTAGCAACTATTTCTCTGCCAGTTAGTCGATATTTTAGATGCTTTTGACGTGGATTTGCATTTTTTGAGTGAGGAGATACTGAGTGTGGCCCAACTTTTGGGGAAAATTTATGAGCGTTGATTTGATGAGAGATGCCTCGGATATGGTAGTTTTGAGTCATGCTTATAGTATTTTCAAGCTTTAGTGAGTCAATTTCTCTTGACGCAGAGCCACCAGTACTTCCTGCTCGATATGAAACTGTAGTGTTGACTAGTCTTCGATGCCGTGGATTAAGGGGGGTGATCAGCTGCTCGTTTTTTAGCTTAAATAAAGGAGGGTGAGGTGCATTTGCTATAGTCTGATTAAAACTTTGGCTTAGTTTATTTGGGGGCTGAGGAATGATATGGGTTAAGTCACCTTCTGATAAATAGCTATAATCTGCAATTGAAGTTCCCCCATTTTGTAAATGCTTTTTCAGCAGTAAATAATACCTGCATAATGGTTACGCTGTAGTGATATGGTTATGCTTATTTGCCTCTATGCACTTTTGTGCGTATTGAGTATCAATTTTATACTCCTCAAGCTTTTTTAAAATATTTGTATCCACATTTATATAGTCATATCCAACAAGAATCCCTGGACTTGTATCTTGCTTTACCTGATTATACCATGGATGCTGTCTAATTTGTTCTATTGTGAACCTTTTGTCTGGGTCAGTGTTCAATATGCATTTCAAGAAATCTTTTGCTTCTGTCGAAATGAACTTTGGACACTGATACTCTCCAGCAATGATTTTTTTATATAATTGCCCTGTATTAGGGTCTTCAAATGGTAAATATCCACATATCATAGCAAATAAAATAACTCCAGAGCTCCAAATATCCACCCTGGAACCCACATATTTTTTTCCTTGTATCATTTCAGGGGCTGCATAGCATGGACTTCCGCATGCTGTTTTCAGCAGCTCTCCAGGTTTATAAGTATTACTAAGACCAAAATCTACGATTTTGATATTTTTATTATGATCAAGTAATAAGTTTTCAGGCTTTAAATCTCTATGTACAACATTCAGCTTGTGAATGTACTCAATCCCTGCAATTATTTGTTGAAAAAATCTGCAGGCTTCATTTTCTTTGATTCTGGTATTGGCAACGATGTAGTCAAAAAGCTCGCCACCGTTAGCGTATTCCATAATCAAGTATAGTTTTGAAGGTGTTTCAATGATCTAATTGTTTTATACCTCATAAAGCTGGATTATGTTCGTATGCCGGATAAGCTTCAAGATGTGAATTTCTCTTGAAACTCTTTCCACATCTGCAACGTCGCAGATTCGATCTTTTTCCAAAACTTTTATTGCAACCTTCTCACCTGTCAAGTTGTGACTACCTAGTTTGACTTTTCCGAATGTTCCTTCTCCTATTGCTCGGCCAAGAAGGTAGTTGCCAATATTTTTACTTTTTCCAACAGCTGCTCGCTCTTTTGGGTTTTGATTTTCAGACCTGTGTAAATTCTTACATTTTTAACTTGATTATTAAATAATGAATAGATGATGAATCAAAATGTTTTTCTTTGATGAAAATTATTCATTATTATTTGATATTTCTTTTCTAAAGCAAATTAAAATTCGGAATCACTTGCTTGGAAGGAAAATATAATGGGCTTTTTGATGCGAAATCTTATATTTTCTAGGAATATTCTAACTCACTGCTTTATAATGAAAATTTTAATTAAATTTTAATAAATTTCATGCATGTATCCTTCAGGAATACTGCAAAAGCTTGATATTTCTATTTTTGGTTGCACAGTGATAAAAAATTTATTATGCTTATAATCACAAATTATAATAAATTTACTTTTTTGGAGGTGGCGGCCCACAAGGCTGGACCATTTTCCAAAGCATATTATGCTTCATTCTTGAAGTACTTTCATTTTCAGCTATCGCCATATAAAGCATCCTTGAATGATGTCCAATATGTGATGCAAGAGAATCTCTTCTTATTGTGCAGCCCCATTCCCACTTTGTTGTGTCCGCGTTTCCAGCCCCAGCGTATTTTTGCTGAAGATGCTCTAACTGAACTTGTGCATTCCATCTCTCTGACATTATTAAATTATTATATTTTAACTATAAACCACCATAAACCTATATATTTCACGTCAAAGCTAAATAATTTATATGTTTTTTATAAATACCTCTATATACTTGTATTGCCCATTGCTTCTAAAAATTTAGACTGTTTTGCCATCTCTCCAAGCAATTCAGATAGGTAAAACAGTTTTGATTCCATTATGCATTTAGTATAATCATGCATTGAGGGATTACTAAAATATTCCCTGCATCTTCTATGGCAATTTTCTTCAAGTTTCTTAGGATCTCTATCATTTAAAATTTCATTTAGTCGATTTGTTTTTTCTTGGCACACTGCTTCCCAGTTGCTGCTGCACACCGTCAATTGATTTCGGATTCTGGCTAATTTCTCATAAACCTCTTCGTATTCTTTATTTCCTCTAAATGGTTCAGAGAGCTTATTAAATTTCTGGTTATATTTTTCTCAGAAATTCTTGTCGGCCCTATCCATTTATATAACTCATCATTATATATAGAGGTTTCCTCTATATAGCGCTGAAAGCGCAGACATTTTCCAGGAGCTTTCCAAGTTCGTCGGACCAAATCGCTTTTTGGTCCGACCAAGGCATTGATTTGGTGCAACCAACCGATAAATTCGATCAGAAATTTATCGGCCTTACAGCGCCAAACATAGGAAACTTCTATATCGTATCTTTAATTTTAGATTTTGAATTATAATCAACTTTTTTGGATTAGTATATTGAAAATTTATAAAACTTTAATTGGCAAAATTTGATTTAGAGTCATTTTAACACATAGAATTATATTTTTATTTAAGAAAACTCAAAATGAGCTGTGGGCTCAACGATTTTATGATTTTCATCTTCATTACGGACTCCGAAGAAACGTGTGAGAATTTCTTTTACTGCAGATGAAAGATTTTTATTTTGATGCATTTCCAACTTCATTAGTTGATCCAGTAATCCTGTACTATCAAATATAGTCACCATCCCATTACAGCTAAGAGAATCCCTATTATATGCTCTTAAAAGCCCATGACATGCCCTAACCACATATTCTAAAAGCCGCGGATCAATATCATTTCTGATGATATCTTTAAACTTCTCAACAAGGCCCAATCCAACTAGAATAGACGCTTCTTGATAAGTAAATTGCACACAAAGGTTAAAAAATGTAACAACTGCATCAAGTCTAACAGAACTATCTCGATCATTCAATCCATTTAATGCTAGCTCGTGCAGATTATAACTGAAAATGTATCCAATTTGCTCTTTAGTTCCAGCAGCAAGATTACTGAGGGCTCAGTATCCCTCTTTTCTTACTGGTTGATGATCATCTTGTATAGCGTATTTAATTAGTTGTATTGCGTTTGCATCAATTGCAGCCTGCGCCTGAAGCACATCGCCACCTAAAATATTCCCGATAATTTTAATTACTAAATATTTTTCTTTTGTTTGATTTGAGAGATAAAGATTAGCAACGATTTGAGGGAGTCCATAGTTTATAACAGCTTGTAGCATTTCTGCTGTTCCTGAAGTGATATAAAATAAAATCCAAAGGCAATTAAGGCGGATTTCTACTACTTGACTGCCAATTACTTTTCTTGTGGCTGAAATAATTCTTTCCACTTGTTCAATTGAGTATTTTTTGGAAGAAAGAGCCAGCATGCTCAGAGCCCATACCAAATTTTTTACTATAGAGTGGTTTGGATTAGTGATCAGAGTAGCTTCTAAAAAATTAATAATTACGTCTAAGCACCCTTTCGCAACTAAATCTTCACGACTACCCAAAAAATCTCCAGCGATGTTTCCTATAGTAAGAAAAACATTTTCAGAAATTTCAAGGTGCTCGTAAGTGACAAGTGAAAGACAAGCTTCTACTATGCCAAGCTTTAACAGGCTTTCGATAAACCGATGTTCTCCGTTGGTCAAATTTACAAGAATTCAAGTTGCTTCAGCTTGAACTGGTAAAGGCAGATTAGGGTTGACATAGCTCATATAAACAGGAAAAAGCCCCAGCTGTGAGTGCCTGCTTATGTCTGGGTTTTTACTCGCAGATAAATTCTTTCTCGCTAGCTGCAATGCTTCAAATTTTAAATTTTCAGGGTATTCCGCAATTAAAGTTGAATAAATATCTTCAAGAGGTTTATTTTGATCTGTGATTGCTTTGGCATTAAAATTGGGATTATAGAACTCATCATAAATTGGCTCAGGCTCGTCATTAAGTCCTAGTCTTTTCTTTCTAGCATGCTCATAGCGCTTTGATTTTCTCAGTTCCACGTTGTGTTCTGCTCTCTTGAGCTGGAGCAGCTCGCTATCTCCTGACTGCAAATAAGCTTTGTTTCTTTCTTGGAATCTTTCGCTCATTAGACAATAATGCCGCCAAACAGTTTTAATTATAAATTTATTGATTGCATTTATTATAAACTAGAAAAATCCCAGTCTCCTTGGGTTTGGAGAATTATGTCGAAAAGCTTTTCGGCTGTCTTTCCATGTGTATTCTATATATTCATCAGAATCATAGTCATACTTAACCGGCTTTTTTTTATGTGCTTTATTTCTCTGGTTTTTTTGGATATCATTTTTCCTTGTTTTGGCTTGGCAAAGCTCTTTTCCTTCATTAAAACAGCCTGAGCTGACACTGATCGTTTTTTCTTTGAGGCTTTCTAAATTTACGAACTCTCTTTTAGAAATTATTTGTTTGTTTTTAGACTTTTTGACTTTTGCTTGAAAAGCTTTAGGCTTATCTGGTGCTTCTTCAATTGATATATCGCTTATCATTTGTTCGACTTCTGGATCTCAGTTTTCGAGCTCATCGATTTTTTCTACAATTTCCCCTGCAATTTTCTTATAATGCGGGTCATGTTTTTTTCTCTTTTTCACTATTTGATCAAAAACCTCTTCCCCATAACGGTTAAGAAGTTCTTCGAATCTTTGATCCAGCTCGTCACTTAAATTGCTTTTTCTCCTCACAGCTGACTCATCAGTATGCTGATAAAAAGTTTTTAGGCTGAATCCGTATTTATATGTGAATAAATAATTTTCTTCTGGCTTTAAAAGTTGTGAAGCTGAAAAAGCGATATCTGATTGTACATGGAATTTATTGGATTTTCTCCGAGCTGTAGTAAAAGGTGTGCTGATTGCAGACTCTGACCTGTAGGCACTGTATTCTTCTTCTATCTTTCCTTTCTCTTTTGTCAAAATTTCGTTTTCGAGTTCTAGCTCTTTAAGCCTTGCTAACTGAGATGATAATTGTTTTTGTTGTTTTCGCACTAGCTCTGGTAGGGTTATATTAGACATGGTATTGAGTTTTCTATCATCTTGAAAACTAAACTTTCCGATGTCTTGGGTTCCATAGTCAGTTTCAAACTCAAAAAATTTTCCATCATAAGAAGCTGAAGTCAGCATGCTTGATCAAAAATTAATACTAATTCCTACCTTCGTGAGCGAATAAAACCATTGGAAAAATCCCTATTTTTTGCCCAAAAACCCACAAGAAAATTTTTTTATGAAAAAAATTTTTGATATATCAGTGATAATTAGTATAATGAAATCTCTAGCTAATTCTGTTTAAATTTTGAACAAATTGCATTTTAAAACATAAATTTTACAAATTAAATAAATATATACTTTCCAATTTTTGTGAATTGGAATTTTTTTGAAAAAAAAAAATTACTATAAAATTTATATATATAAATTTTTTAAAACAAATAACCCCCTCCATAAGAACAAAATTTTTTGTTCACTCACAGAGGGGGAGTAAGAAAATTAATGATGTGTGGAAGAGCATAAGTAATCTTTTTTTAAGCGAAGTCAATGGGAATAGTAGGATATTTTTTAATCATTTAGATGCTAAATTTTGAAATTATGTTTAAGTGATATAATAAACGAGTAATTATTAGGTTACTCCGAAACCATCATGGATTTAGGCATATAAAGTTTTACTTCTCCGTTCAAAAGAACTACGTTTAATGCTCCATTGGTAATGGTAACACAATCATTTTGCCAGAAAATGTTGCAGACAACTTGACCGTTGGTATACGGGTTATAAGTCACTGAATACTGAACATTATTAGGAGAATTGGTAAAGGCCATAGTCGCTAAACCCCTTGAGAAGCAATAGAAGTTTGATTGTGCATATCTCTCAATCCAAGGATAATTCCACAGCTGCATCTGCTTTCTATAATTCACAATTTGCGTCACGAAAGTGTACATCTCTGAAGTTGTCTGGTTTAAATAAGGCCAAATTACTTCTCTACAATAAGGATCTGGCCCTCCACTGAAGCCTTGTTCATCTCCATAATAAATGATTGGAATCCCCAACGTCGTCACACTCCAGGCAAGTGCGCTCTTGAATGCATTTAGGTTGCTAGTCCCATTTAAGAACCTTGGGTTATCATGATTGTCCACAAAGGATCCCAAAATGGTTTGGTCTGGAAAGACGCTGCAGCTTTGCATAAAAGTTCTGCAGTCCCACATCGGCTGTCCTTGCTGGAAAACACTTCTCATCATGAAGAACAGAGGATAGTTCAAAATTCCATCCAAACATCCTTGATAAGTTGCACAATAATTAGGATCTCCATTGAAGGTTTCTCCCACTGTATAGACTCCAGAGCTCATAGAAAATTCAGCCCAGAAATCCATCGGTACTTCAATAGCAGTGTCAACCCTTAGCCCGTCAAACCCATATTTATTCACGATCCAATGGATCCAGTTCTTCAAAGTTTGCCTTACAAAAGGATTTTCTTGTGCCAAATCAGGCAAGGTGCCTAGCCAGCAGTACTCGACGTTAGTTTGGTTGTTCCAATTGCTGATCTCGCAGTAAGGATGATAATATTTCTCATTGTTGAAAGGGTTTATTTGAGTATAATTAGGTGTAACTGGCCCAACATGGTTGGCTACGACGTCAAGCATCACATACATTCCTCTTGAGTGGCATGCATTAACTAAGTTAAGAAGATCTTGCTCAGTTCCAAAATTCGGATTAACGCCGTATAAATCTATTGCTGCGTAACCGTGGTAAGCACCAGGATAATTTACTGGGATTGGGGAAATCCAGATGGCATCAAAGCCCATATTTTGGATGTAGTCAAGGTTTTGAGTTATTCCATTGAAGGTACCTCCACAGTAATTCCCCAGATCTGGACAAGGCGAGTTGTCTCCGTTTCCTCTTGAAAAGCGGTCAGTTAAGAGCTGATATATTGTGCGGGATCTCCATTGATCTTTTGTAGCAGCATTTGTGGAAGAAAAGAAAGTGGCTAGGAGTAATAATAGGTTCCACATTTATATGGGTCTAATCTATTTGAAAAAGAGAGATTTTATTTTAAAGTCCATGAATTATTTAAAATCGAAGCTTTAGCTTATTATTGAGGAATCTGTATAGGTGTGATTTGCTTATTTAAGAACTTGTACACCTTGCTTTTTATCCAGTCTTTGTTATGAGGAGCAAATGTTCTTGTTTCTTCAGCGAACACCAAGCAGATAATTTCAGGAATACCTTCAATGTAGTCGTAGAGCTCGCTAAGATCATAGCTCCCCTTTAAGAGCAAAAAAGATTTGATGGCTCTGTATTCAAAGGGAAGATTAATTGTTTTAAAAAAATTGTTTCATATTTGATAAGAAAAATTTTTTATTTTAGTAATTTAACTATTGAATGCAAATAGAAATCTCGTTATAATAATTATTAATTATATTTGAATTTCTTATTAAATTTTTAGCTAATTTTTAGGGGAGTAAGTAAAAGTAATCCTGTCTGGCCTTTCAATCCTTAATTGATCCTCATAAGTTTTTACGATAAACTCGATGCACTTATCAAGTGTTTTAAAATCATAGAAGGTTCTCGATTCTTGATTGGGGTTCTTTTGGACCAAAAGAAGAGTTTGGTTACCTGATTGCTTAAGAGACATTTCTATTTAAAATATAATATGAAACCAACACTAATTTATGGATTAATTAAATCAATAATCTATAAATGAAATCAATAATTAGTAGGTAGATAGAGCACGCATTATTGCTGTGAGAAATCTTATAATTAATATAGTTTTTAAAAAATCCACATTCTAAGCATATTAATTATAATTTATCACACTCTCTCTCTGTGAGTGTTAAAATTTTATTTTTATAGAGATGATAAGTTTGTTTTATAAAATTATGAATAAGATTATTCAATTAAGGAATTATATGCAGTGATTAGCCAAATTGAAGTTAAAAACAATTTAACTTTTATAAAATCCTAATAAATTAAGCATAATCTTGAAAAATAATCTATATGGCTTCTTCAAAATATTCTCAAAAAATCTCTCCAAAAGCGCTATTATTAAAACAGAATAGGAAACCAAAAATGGCAGATCGTTAAAAACAATATTTAATTAATAGCACCTATATTTCACAATATTTTCGACTTCTAACTTTTAGTAATTTATTCCCGCCTTTATAATAATGGCGCAAACTGCCTTTGATGGTCAAGAGATTTATTTTTCAGACCAAAATCTCGGGAATGAAGACTTAAATCAGCACAGGATTCAGTTAGATGCTGCAGCAAGAACCTTTAAACTATTTCTAAGGGATTGGACCAAAGGAAATTCTTATGTATACAGAGAACAGCTTGTAAAGAATGCTGCAAGAGGAGAATTCTACATAGAAGTTGACCTAGAAGATATCGCAGCATTCGACGAAGGTCTCTGCGAACAAATCATAAAAAACCCGACTGCCATGCTTCCAGAGCTCGATAAAAGCGCAACTGAAGTATATAGAGGGCTGCTAGCTAGAGATTACGAGCCGCCAACTTTCCAAGTCATGTTCATTTCCAATCAGCGTCCCAAAATGCTAAATCTCCTCTTTTAATAGCGGAAAAACGATTGGAGAAATGCTTATTTTTGGGAAAATAGCCCCCTTTAAAATGAGTAAAAAAAATTAATTTCAAATTTTTTATATAAAAATATTTACTTTTTATAAAATTAGCAATTTTTATAGCCAAAACTTAAGCTAATTCTAATAAATTTTAGGCAGCTTACATTCTTAAACAAGAGTTTTTATAAATAAAATTAAAACTTTTCTTTTCAAGTATTTGCAAATTGGGATTTTTTAAAACACACAAATTAATTTTAGTTAAAAAACCCTAGAGCGAACTGGATTTTTCTGCTCGCTCTTACAGAGGGAGTAAGAGATCTCAGCTCAGATCTTATGGGAAAACTTGTAGTTATCCCAGGAATTGTAGTGGCCGCTACTAAGCCTATTGTAAAAGCGACCAAAGTCAAAGCTCAGTGCTCGAAATGTGGAGACGCAAAAGAATTCGAAGTGCCAGCTGGCTTTTCTAAATTTTCGTTACCTAGGGTATGTGGAAACATAAATCGCCCTGCAGGTGAAAAATGCCCATTGGATTCTTACGTAATTTTGAGCCACGAATGCTCTTTTATTGATCTCCAAACGATTAAAGTTCAAGAAAGACCTGAAGATGTCCCAACCGGAGAAATGCCAAGAACAGTTTCTGCTTCAGTTGAGCGCTATTTAGTTGACAAAATCTCCCCAGGATCTAGAATTACTTTAATTGCGATTTTTTCAGTCAATGACAGAGGGTCATCAATTTTAAAAAATTCTTATTTAAGAGGAATTGGTATCATCGTCGACAACACAGAGCATGCCCGCTTCAGGAACTTTTATTCAGTGGACGATGAAGAACTGTTCCACACCATGTCAAGAGACCCAGAAATCTACAACAAAATCTGGAAAAGTATTGCTCCTGCTGTATTTGGCAACGAAGACATCAAAAAAGCAATAGCATGCTTGCTGTTCGGAGGCTCACGAAAGACTTTGCCTGAAGGTGTGAGACTAAGAGGCGATATAAATGTTTTACTGATCGGTGACCCATCTACAGCTAAAAGTCAATTTTTAAAGTTCGTTTCGAGGGTCGCACCTATTGCAGTTTACACTTCAGGAAAAGGGTCAAGTGCATCTGGTCTTACAGCTTCAGTGATAAAGGACGCATCGTCAGGAGAGTTTCAGCTGGAAGGAGGAGCTATGGTTTTAGCTGATGGAGGAGTTGTATGTATTGACGAGTTCGATAAAATGAGACCTGATGATCGCGTAGCAATTCATGAAGCTATGGAACAGCAAACCATAAGTATTGCAAAAGCTGGAATAACTACAATATTGAACTCCAGAACAAGTGTCCTAGCTGCCGCTAACCCTATTTATGGCTCTTATGATGACTTAAAGCAAGCACAGGAGCAAATTGAGCTACAAAGTACAATTTTGTCAAGATTTGACTGTATTTTCTTAGTAAGAGATCTAAGAAACGAAGCTCATGACAGAGAAATGGCAGCTCACGTTGTGAACCTACACATGGGAAACACCATGCATTTAGAAGAAACCAGCGATATAGAAATCAATGAGCTGAAAAAATACATCGCATATGCAAGATCAAAATGCGTCCCAAGACTTCATGAAGACTCTGCAAAGCTGCTTCAAAACTTTTACGTTTCTGATAGGAAGAAGCAGGCTAATGGTGCTTTCCCTGTAACAGTCAGACAACTTGAAGCAATCATAAGACTTTCTGAGTCTATCGCAAAAATGTCTTTAAGTACTGTTGTGACGACAAATCATGTAGAAGAAGCACACAGACTATTTGAAGTTTCTACGATGAATGCAGCTAGCGCAGGTCTGAGTGCAGCAGGAATTTCAGTTCCAAGAGAAATGGCTGAGCTCGTGATGAAAATTGAAGAAGCCACTCGCCGTAGAGTTGCAATAGGTACGAAAATTACAAAAGCAAGGCTTGAGCAAGAGCTCCTTACGATGTTCACAGACTATAGAGCAGTCGAAATGGCTTTAGTAAACATGATCAAACGTGAAGAGTTTCAACAAAGAGATGGCTGGAAAATGCTACAGAGAACCCGCTAATTAAATTGCATAAAATTAAAGTTTTATATTAAATTTTGACTGATAGTGAGCAATTATTAATATTGATAAGAAAATAGAAGTTTAGCCTTTATATAATGCATAAGGATATATAACTGATAAAATAATGTCGAGCCTGAGGTCAAATTCAGCATATACAAATATAGCCTAGGAAGCATTATAGATCATCCTAGGCTACCACTTGGAGATTTAGCAAGCGCAGTTGGCTTGGCATCAGGAGTTGCCAAGCATAGCTCCACACAAGTTGGCAAGTATGCCTATAGTTGGTATTTGTCAACTTGTGGAGTTGGCTTGGTATCTTCTGGTGCCAACCAACTCCACGAGTTAAAACTCCAAGTCTAATTCCAGGATATCTATTATTCGCCCTTAAACTATACCTCCGCCAGCAAGTCCGGTATTGGAGTAGCCAAGGACGAGCCTTTAAAGCCACCCACAATTGACTACATTGACATGCCCAAAACTCTTTACGACTCTGCCAGAGAAGCTTGCGAAAATGCAGTGCGGCAATTAAAGAAAGGAGAGAAGAAGCATTATTATAAGTGTGCCAAAATTATTAAAAAGACCCTGGAAGAGAGACATCGAGGATCTTATCACGTGATCATGGGAAAAGACTTCGGAAGCTTTTTTCGGGTCCAATTTCGTGTTCTTTCTATACGCATTTACCATATGATCTAAATTTAAAGGGTTTTTTGTCAGATATCTTTATCGAAAAATTCTGAAAATTTTTTCTAGGAAATGTCTCACTATCAACCATTTAATATGGAGCCAGCTTTTTCAGCTATGAAGCAGGGAATTGTGTGCAGTTCTGGATTAACGAGTACTGCTTTTTGATATTTAAGCATGGATAAGGTGACTATTTTTGAAAAAATTGTAATTGCATGCATTATTATTAGTCTATAATAGAAAATGGACGCAGCTCTACAGTGCACTTTGTGCTCAAACAGGTACAATACAGCAGATCGTATCCCTAGATTCCTTCCTTGTGGCCACACATTTTGTAATTCTTGTTTAATATCAATCCTTGCTCATCCATCTCCTGAATGTCCAGATGATTCGGTCGCTATACCATACTCATCTCCAGACCTCCTACCAAAGAACGTGTTGCTTCTAAAATTAATCATTTCTATATGATTATAAAAGAAAATTCTTAACTCTCCCCTCTCCTTATGCGAATAAAACCATTGGAAAAAAAATCCTTTTTTTGCCCAAGTCCAATAAATTTTAAATATAAACATTTTTTATGAAAATATATTTTGATATATAAGTGATAATTAGTATAATTAAATATCTAGCTAATTATGTTCAATTTTAAAAGCTCCATTAAAATATAAATTTTACAAATTAAATTAATTAAAAAAAAAAATAACCCTCCATGAGGGAAGAAATTTTTCTGTTAGGAGTAAGATAGATTTTGATTCATAAAGAAAATATATTTTTAGAAGAATAAAATATTAGCTCATAAATAGATTTTAGAGTAGTTTCTAAAACTAAACAAATTTTATGCACTGAACACAAGAAAAAATTAGAATACGTTTGTATGACTGAAAAAATTAAAATTTGTTCCTATTGCGCTTTGCTTGGTGCTCATAAAGATCATGATGTGAAGCCTCTAGAAGAAATAATGAACGAAGTACATATGAGGGCAAGATGCCTTTTAGACATGCTAGAAATGATGGACCGCACTGAAATCGAAATAGATGGCACTGTCATGGATTATTTAGAAAAGGTCAATAAAAAGTTCGTGCAGAAAAAGAGTGAAACTGAAGAGAAAATAAAGAAAAAATTCAAAAAAATAAGGAAATTAATCGATACACTGGAAAAATCAACTTTAGAAACAGTCGCGAAAAACATTGAATTCATTGAAAGTGCCATCACCGCAGCTAAAGAGACTCCTAAAAGAATATGTGCGCAGTCACGGGAGTGGAAAGATGTCGCAAGAGATGTCCTGGACCTCGTAGATGCAAGATGTGAGGACCCAAATAGTGTGGTTTTTGAAATTTTAGGGAAGGATACAAATGATTTGCTGAGTTTTGGAGAAAAGCTGCTGACTGAGCTAGATGGAGCAAGAGCGATCACAAATCAGAAATTTGATGACATGATTGAGAGTTTGAAAGTAGAGTTTGCTGAAAAGGGAGTTAATAACTTATGCAAGGTATATCCTTTGAGTACATTCAATTTTAAACAAGAAGAGCCACAAACTGAGTCACTAATAGGTCACTCTCCTGACTCAAGTTTAGTTTAATTAATATAAGAAATTAAAAGGCTATTATTGAGGTTGCTGATGTGTGAAAAATTAGCATTTAATTAGTTATTTTATGGATAAATCCTATTTTTGAACTTTTTCTATCGCCCCAAAATGGAATGTCTTCTTCTAGCTGTTTCATCACATTTAGACACATTTCGTCCCTAAATGGAGCTGCAATTACCTGAACGTTAATGGGTAAACCCTTACTGTTTTGCATAAGTTTATTCATATACTTTGTTCATTCTTCATTAGTTTCGTTATAATACTGTTCATCTTCATTTATATACCCAACAGGGACGTTTCCTGCAGGGCAATTAAGCAAATTAAAGAACCAAACATAAGCAAAGCCTGGGTATAAAAATTCATAAGTATCATGCAAATGTGCAGGAAATGGATAAGGTGCCAAAATTGCATCAATATTCAAATCAGCAAGCCTCCTTATTCCTTCCCAATAGTAATTATTAAATTTTTGTTTGATATAATCAGGAACTGCTTATAAAATATATAAATACATTTATTTTAAATAAGCAAATTAAGAAAAAATTGTTTAAAATTCTATCAATTATGATTATTGAGAAAATTTTTATATAAAATAAATAGCAATTTTGATTGTTCCTTTTTGAAATTTATTTTTTAGACGAGAGTTAGGAACTCTTCTTTCATTTTGGTAAGCTTAGCAAGAGTTTTAACAAAGTTGAATCCAGATTTCAAGTTTAGTGCCCTCCAGTAAAAGGATTCTTTATTTTTAGAAATTCAATTTCTTAGTCTTCCATATCAGGATCTTGCGTATAGAAATTTACTCTGGTGTCTTGGTGCTTCTCCATTAGGTCTCACAGCAGAATTATGGAGGATACAGACAATTAACTCATTGATTAAATCAAAATCAGGAAGCTGGATTTCTATTAGCTCGTGGCCTCTATTGTGAAGCGACTGTTTTGCTATTTCTAAAGCTCTTTCCATTGCAGCCGGCAAAGGTCAATATGCATTGCTCCCAACATATCCAATCTTTAAATTTCTTTTGTCTTTATAGGTTTCTTCTTTCCAACAAATAGGGATAACTCTTGGATCACTGTTAAAAGATGTATCTGTGCAAGCAACTTTCATATATAGTGCACAATCCTCCACTGATTTTGCTAGCGGGCCAAACCCAGTTGCTAACCTTTTCTTTAGTTGCAGAGAAAAATGCATATTTAGGGGAATATTAGCCTTATTAGGCAGCCGGCAGCAAAATTATGCATATAAACTATTTTTTAATATGTAATTAACGATAATTAAGATAAAATCTCCAGCTAATTTTATTAAATTTTAGATAGCTTGCATTCTAAGACATAAATTTTATAATTAAATTTTGTATTTTAGATACTCACAAATTTTATTTATATAAGTCAACCTTGCTCCGAGGAGTAAGCAAGGAAAAGGATTTATAAACCCTGAAGGTGAGTAGCTAGAAATTCTTGTGCATGTCGGCCTAAAACCATAAATTCCACAAAAAGAAGCTGGAATTCTAATGCTTCCAAATAAATCAGTTCCCAGTCCTAAAGCACAGCAGCCAAGAGACACTAACGCAGCATCACCACCACTAGACCCTCCAGTAGTCCTGTTCTGATCATATGGATTTAAAGCCCTTATCTGAAGATTATTGACAACCTCTAAAGAGGAAAGCCCTTGTGGAACTGAGCCAAGAACATGTACTATAGCGCCTTGTTTTTTTAGTATTTTTACAATTTGCGAAGTTTCGTTTTGAATATAATTTATAAATTTGGAAAGACCAATTGTGCAAGGAAGACCTTTTACTGAAAAGTAGTCCTTCACACTTATAGGGATCCCATGAAGCAGACCTCGTTTTTTGCCTGATAGTCTTTCTTCATCAAGAATTCACGCCTTTCTGAGAGCTTTCTCAAAATCTATATTGCTGACTGCTCCATAAGGCATCCCGACTTTTCTGATCCTGTGGATATAAGTTATAACAATTTCTTCGGAATTAAATTCTCGATTATCTAGCCCTTGAATAAGTTCTGTAATTGTGGCATTTTCAATTCTCTCTGCCAACTCTCTAGGTAGTTCTGGCAAATTTACTGTACCCATAATAGTCTGTTTTATTCCTTCGAATTTTAGTTTCGTATTTCTTATCATTTGATTATTTTGCTTATTTTTGTCAAGTTGGCTTTTGAGCAGTACGAATGAAGACACTGCTATGGTGCTCAATCAAATGGCTAAAATTTTAGGGTCTAGGCTTGCAAATTTATGCTCCATATTATTTACTGTTATAAGTAAAAAAATTTGTGAAGAAACCGAGATAAAAGAGTTTCCATTATATTGGAGATTTTAATGAATAAATAAAATAGATTTTTAAAAAAAATCTAAAGGAGCATAGAAGAAAAAATTTAAAAATTACACAAGTTTTGTATTTATTATATTAAGATCTGAAATTTTAAATTTTAACAATAAATTCGCCTCAACTATAGATGCCATATTTTTTTCAAACATTTTGGATAAATCTTGAGAAAAATATTATAATGATCTTATCAGCATAGACATATATCACTGGATATTACCTATAGCAATTCCTCTCCATTTTCGAGCATTCTTTTACCTTGGTTTTGCTAATATAATCCATACATGTTTTAGTTTATGCTGGCTGCATAATAGTTTTACCTTTTCTTAGGATTAAAATTTATAAAATATATAATTTTAATTTTATACAGTGTTGAGAAGTCAACCATCAAATTTGGTTAAGCAAGGAGGAAATATTAATGCTATTGAGTTTTTATAATTCGGAGTGATTTTGAAACCAAATATAATTTAATTTAGTAATTCGGACATGATTGTTTGCAAGAAACCGATGAATTAATAATCCTGTTCCGCCCGATCCCTAATTTCCTACAGGAGGTCAATTATTGTCAACTCAAAAATATTAAATGAACTCTTGAAATAACAGAAAATATTACATAAACTTGATAGCTCAGATCTTCCAAGCTATTCATCAAATCCAGTTAATGGTTTAAACCATGAAGGCTCTTATTTTGCTATGAGAAAATCAACGAGTCAAAATATGTCCCTGCAAAATTTTAATTTCAAATTATATAAACAAATTATTTTGAGAGCAAGCGCCTGTATCTATAATTTTTAAAAATTTTGCTATTCAGAAAATAAAAACGAGATTTTACATCTTATCTTTTATAAATTTCTATTAATACATAAAACAGAAATTAAATATGGGGCTTCTAAAATAAACTAAAAATGCAGAAAACAAACCAATCAGTATCCACGTTCATCCCCAAAGTTCAAATTCACCCTTCAGCACTTGTCAATATAGCTTATTATATGGTTCAATACAGCAATGTCCTTCAACCCAAGCTTGGAATTTTGATGGGGCATACAATATCTGATGTCTTTAAGATAGATATCTCATTTGAAGCAATTTATTCAAATAGCCCTGAAGGAAAAGAAATCGACGATAAGAAGACACAGGAAAAAATAGACACTATTTCAAGAGCGATTCCCGATTGCAAATTTTTGGATTATATCTAGAATGCCTGCCATCCCAAAATGAAAAGGACTTCTTTTATAAATTAAACATTAGAATTGATTGTGCTATTTTTCTTGTTTGGAAAAGTCACACAACTGATGATTTCGAAGCCGAAAATAATCCGATTGATGCTTATGGTGCGTTTACAAAAAATTACTTAGCTGAGCTCATAAAAGTTCCCTATGAAATTAAAGGAAGTCCTTCAAAAAGTCTCAATACTTCTCTTAAAAGAAAAAAACCATCTGAAGAAGCCTTAACGAATATTTACGTAGATGCTATTAACGACTTATGCGCAAAGCTATCAAGCATTCTAAATGAAACAGATCATAATTTTATATTCCAGGCTGAACAAAATTTAAGCTTGAAATTGAATAAGTCCGATTTAACTGTTTCCATAAATTCTCAAGATGAATTAATAGAGAGCACAACCAAAAGTTTTCCCAACTTGACTTTGAGTGCCGACACTGACTTAATTAAAATAAAAATACAAAAAAACTTACAAAATTTAGATAACTTAAAATTATCTATAAAGGAAGTGGATCTCTCAGAATCTGAGTTTTATATCACTAATTTAGAGATTATAAATACTTGCTTGATGAAAACAGCAAATGAGATTATTGAAAAAGAAACTAGCCTAAACCCTACTCAAACCATAAATAAACAACGAGCATTGAAAACTTGCTAGAAACTGTAAAATGCATAACTTATTATCATGAAAAAAATTTGTCTTTATCATTTAATCATTTACTTAAATGGTTTGAATGCACATGGGCACCTTGCAGCAATATGATTTTAGAAATAATTTGCAAAAATAAGTTTAAGCTCCAGAATTGTGAAATCGATTATTTAATTTTAAAATTAGATGAATGCGACATAGTCAAAACAAGTTTTCAAAAATCAGACAGTCTGCCAATTCATAAATTTGAAGAATTTTGCTTACTCTGGGCACTAGCTTTAAGGAATAAAGATCGCTATCAAATTTTTATTGCAAAGTATGAATCGATAGCAGATCTAGTTAGATGCAAAATTGAAAAATTTATTGGCCTAACAGATGAGAAAATAGGATCATTTGCTTTGTACTGGGCTTCTTTAATAAACGATAATAAAACCATTAGTGATGAAGCCGCAATCAATTACGGACAGTATATTGACAGCACTCTTAGCAATGTTAAAACAAGATGCACTCTTGATCTTATTATGAATTTAAGAGCAATAATAGATAACTGTGAATTTAAAAGGGAACTATTTATAGAAAAACTAGCTGATTTGTTTCCTTTATCTAATCAAAATCTGATCCTAAAAGTTTTTTCAGTTGACAGCAATTTTTTGGAGCTGTTTACGAGCCATTATTTGGCGTACCTTGATTCTTATTCCAGCATAGCGTATGAAAATAGAGTTGCTTATGTTCTCAAATTAATAGATACTTATATTTGCGATCATAGAAAATTTTTTCAGCTATCGATTTTAGAAAATCTTGACGAAAAAATAAAAATCAAAAACTTTTGATATCACGGTACATATCAGGAAATATTGAAAAATCTTGCAGATACTCAACTTGAGTCTGGAGTTTATAATTCAAAATTTTTAGACAATTATTTTTGTAAATTGACATCAGAAAGTCAAGATCCAGATAATTTCAAAATCTGGATCAAAAATTTTATGATACTGCTCAAATACATGTTTTTGAGTAAAACCAAGCTAGAAATTGAAAATAGACAAGCGCTTGTGTTTACTTATATTGCTCGGTTCATGTCAAATATTCTTAAATATAGGGATAATTTCAACAGAAATAAGCTTATATCAATTTTAGAATTATGTTATAAATTTATTCCTGGTTTACACAACTATATAAACCAAATGCTATCAAAAATGTATTATAAAAAAATTAAATCAACTAGCTATGATTGTAGTTGGGAAAAATATGTTTCATCGTTTATATATGGCTCTGAACATTATTGCGAGATTTCAGAACATAATTTAAGCTGGACAAACAAAGAATCTAGTCCTATCCCTAAATTTATTATAGATACTCTTAAAACGATTTCATCTTATTTAAAAGAGCTCACATTTGATGAAATTAAGGCAAACTTAAAACAAAAACTAGAACAATTTACAAATGATGAGCTCATTAATTTTAATCTTGCTGAAATAAACTCAGAAGATTGCAAAACTAGCAAAACAATAGCAAAATATTTGACTTCATTATTGATTAATAGAGGAATTGAGGGAATGATAAGTATGATGAATGACCTTGCCGCAAAAAATGATAATGATGCCAGGTTAGGATGAGTCAAGTTAAGATATTTGAAGATTTGCCAGGAAGCTTTATTTTTAATTCTATTTTCGATGAAAATCATCATTTTGCAATTAGACAGCTTCTTGTTTCAGAAATTTCATGCATCTTTTATTGCAAATTAACTACTGATCAGCTTCAATGGATTTTAAACGATCTGAATCACTATGCTGCGATGGTCATTGTGGAGGGATCACCTGAAAGAATATCTAATAAGATTGAACAAGGTTTGCGCACGATTTTACATTCAAAAGTTGCTGAATCAGCATATTTGCTTTTAGGATTTAATAGAGAAGCCCTCACATCTTTAACATTTGAAATTTTTAAATTTCCAGTTAGGAGAGAAATCGATGGGGTAACCGTTTTTGGAGGTACAATTTTATTATCTCCCGCATTATTCAAAGAATCAGAACTATCAAAGTGCTTTTTAAAGGTCGTTTTTGTGCACGAAATTGCACATCTATTAAGAAGAAGAACAAATCCAGAATGTTATAATGCAGAAATAGCAACACCAACACATGAGGGCAGTTTTTTCGGTGGAATTCCAGGCTATGGAGATTATCTCAATATCGAGTGGTGCACCAGCGAGGGAGGACATCAAGTTGAAAACGCATTATTTGGCGCTTTTGTGACCGAAGTAGATAAAAGGCAGATTAAATACATTAATGATCCTAGCAACTGAAAAATTGATCTTCAAATCTTTAAATCAGAGTTGGCAAGAAAGATTAAAAGCAATTCATTAAAATACAATCATTGCAGAGGCAGCAATGGTGTATTTAAAGTTGATAGACTACTTCACAAGAGTCAAAGGTAAAAATTAATTAGAAAATTAGTATAAATTAGATAAAAATAAAGAAATGATTATGAAATCTGCTCTTATAATTAATTTCTAGCTAACTTTTTAAATTTGAGAAAATGTATTTTCTATTTCGCATAAATTAATCTTCTTTGAATTGAAATAGAATTTAAATTTTATAGGTGAAAATAATAGATTATTTTAAAATCTTATATATTCAAGTTAATAATATAGATTAACTCCAATCAAAAATGAAAATTTACAATACTTATTTTTATTAAAAGGGGAGCATCGATTAATACCTTATAATTACAAAAGATTATAGGTTTAATCAAGTATTTGAAATTAAAATTAATATAGCGTTGCTCATATTTTACGATAGCTAAACTCTTCCTGAATTTTCTTCAAATAGATCTTGTATATCAAAAATATAAACAAGCTCTGGAGAATTCCTTAAGCTTATAGGGAAAGCAGATTCCATGATTTTTGAGCTAACTCCAAGCGCTTCTTTATAATTCGAATAATATAAATTTTCATAATCTTTTTACATACTTAGATGGCATGAGGAATTGCTTAAGCTGCCATTCATCAGAGAAGACCTAAATAAATTTGAAATTTTTTGCCTTCTTTTTTAATTAATAATGATGGAGGTAATTTTCGCATGATTATAAGGCTGCATATTATAATTATTAAAAGACCTAATAATTGAATACTGAGATAAATACTATAGTGCCCAGAATTTAGTATTAAATAGACTAAACTTAATCCTCCATTCCAAATAGCACAAATTGTGCAAAAAATTTGTAGCAAATCAGCTCTATCATAATTGAAATTTTTCCTATGCATAATAAATATCAAATAGCTGGCTATTAAAAATAAGTATACAGAGCAATGGAGAATTTGACTGATTATTCTAAATGTTTTGTAAATTCCAATCAGAGTTACTTGCAAAGCACTTTTAATCATAATACATGCAGGATCTGATTTAATATTTAAATTAATTTGGCCTTCTTGTCATGAAGGTCTAGCTTGTATAGCGAGCAAAAGATATAAAACTCATCAAAAAGTGGGAATCATAATAGATAAATATTCTGAATTTCAGCATGAGGAGTAGCAATCGTAGTTTAAAAAGGCGCTCTTTAATTCTAAACTTGTAGAATAATCGCATTGGATTATGGATATTAGCATATTTATCATAGGCTGAAAGAAATAGTTGATTATTAATGTAGCAACTATTTTTTCAGATTTTTCTATACCTGAAACACACCCTGCCCAATTTTTTCAAAATGATTGCTAAGCTCCAAATAAATGAAAAAATTCGTAAAAAGTCATCCAATACAAAAAAATAATGTGCTATAAAAAAATTTTCAGAAAATATCTCCCTTTATCAAACTTTCTATTTTTAATTTTCTCTCCCTATCTTTGAACTATCTCTATCACCCGAAAATTGAATGTCTTCCTCCAGCTGTTTCATCACATTCAGGCACATTTTTTACCTAAATGGAGCTGCAATTACTTGAGCGTTAATAGGCAATCCCTTACTATTTTTCATAAGTTTACTCATATAACCAACAGGCACGCTTCCTGCAGGCAATTAAGCAAATTAAAGAACCAAACATAAGCAAATCCTAGGTATAAAAATTCATAAGTATCATGCAAATGTGCAGGAAATGGATAAGGTGCCAAAGCAGTATCAATATTCAAGTCAGCCAATCGGCTTAAAATCTCATTTTTCATTTTTGTAAGCTTCTTCAGTGTCTTGACAAAATTGTAACCATTTTTGAAATTAAGTGCTTTTCAATAAAATGGTTTCTAATTGCTGAAAAGCCAATTTCTTAGTCTTCATGCCAAGACCTTACATAGCCAAATTTACTCTGACGCTTCGGCATCTCCCCTGCCTGCTTAACCTAGAATACATACAAGTGATTCATTGCTAAAGTCGAAGTCAAGAATTTTAAGCTCTACTAGCTCATGGTCTCTTCTTTGATGCGATTATTTTGTTATTTCTAAGGCTCTTGCCATAGCAGCTTGCAGAGGCTGATATGATCACTTCCTACATATCCAATTTTTAAGTTTCTTCTCTCTTGATCTATTTCTTCTTTCCAGGGGATTGGGGTAGCACTAAGATCACCTTTAAAATAAATCGCATCGCAGGTAGCCTTCATATATAGGGCACATATCTTATCATTTGGCATCTTGTTTCTTTTTCTTGAGCTGCTTTTAAATCAGCACAATTGAAGACTCAGCTAAAGCACTGAGTCCAACAACAATAAGTTTCGGGTTGAGCCTGTCAAGTTTCAGTTCCATATATAAATATAATGAATTGCAAAGAAAAATGCAGCAAATGCATGAGCGCCATCGCAGATGAAGTTACCTTCTGAATTGAGGCTAAGCTTAAGATTAACTTATTATTGAAAAGCTCCCGGTAGAACCTTGTGGGTGCGATTCTCCACCTTGGTTCGTTGTTGGGCAACCTGTTGCCACCCTCTAGGAGTAAACTTCTCGCCGCCTGAGTCTCGTGTCGAACAGTGAGTGAGTGGGCTGGGTCACCTGTCGTACATCAGACTTGTGTTCCCCTTCCAAAAATTAGAAAAACGAATTTTCTGGTCAAGCTATCGACCAAGATGAAACTCGTTCGCCTAGGACTCAACACCTGGTATCGCGCTACAAAGTTGCCCGATTGGTCACGCAGACTTTGCTTGGCTTCCCTTTCCAACGTCGAGTCCATCTCCACCAAGAGGTAAAACCTTGATCAGGAATGAGCTATGGTCGGCCTAATCCAGCACTGCGCTCCCACCCAAACCAATTTAACCTGGCCTGATACACATCACCGAACGCTATCCTCTCTCTTCCTCAAGTTCCCTGGCTATCCTCAGCTACAGGTATTAAGAGGCTGGCTCGCAATGCCATTTTAATGTATATCTGAATTGAGGTATTTGCGGAGTATCTGGGTTGGACTAAAAGCGATTATCATTGGGTCTTCGAGCAGCACGAAGAAGACTTAAGGGAGCATGCAAGACAAAATGAGATTAAAAGAAGAAGAGCCAAGTATTATAAAGAAAATTAAAATAGTTAAACTGTTTTATTTTAAAATTTATTCAATTTCATCCATAAGTTCATCTGCAGGCTGACTTTGAGACTGTGGAGGCTCAATTTTCACCAGGAATGCATCAGATTCAGCCTGACTCACTGTGCTTTTATCATTTTCTCCATCTGTAATCAGTGATATATGGTGTGCGACTACCAAGTTCCAGAAATCAGGGTGTATTTGTTGGAGTCTTTTGATTTGCTGTATCATAAACAGGTTAAAAGCTTCAAACTCGTCTTCGTCCAAACATCCTTGCCTTAGATTCTTCAAACAATTAATAGCTTTCGCATAAGTGTTCCCTTGAAACGCCTTTTCCACCAGCCTCACAATAAGTTCTTGCATTTGTTTTATAGCAGGGCCGACCCTATCAACTTGTCTATCCTTTAGCAATCTATAAAAATCGTCAACTGGGTTAATTTCAGAAATTTGGTCACTAAAAGGCTCTGCCATAGGAATGTCGTCTCTTGGCTTGCCTTCATCTTTAATAATGTCTGCGTAGAATTTCTTTTCTTTTTTCGGGACTTCAATTTCTCTCAACGCAAACATGCTGGCAAATCTGTCACATTCAGCTTTTGCGTTATTGTATAATTCTTGGTCGGGGGATAGATAATGGGCTATATTTGGGTCAAGAGGAGGCAAAGGCTGGTCTGGGTTTTCAGCTCGGAAGGTGATGCACTGGTAGAAGTATTGTAGGGTTGGGTTAAAGGTAGAGGATGGCTTCAGAGATTCGCCATCAGCATCTAATGATAAAGCATTGACAAAATTTTCAGCTGCAGCGTCTTGTTCAGGTGTGGATTCGACTAAGTCAGCGAACGAATAGTCTCTGAAGTCTTCTTCTGTAGGCAAATAATTGAGCCATAAACAAATTAGGTCTGGCTTTATGCATGGAGATAAAATGCATAAATGAGGCTGCGTGTTGTCTCGTGATACATATCTGACTAAAATTGAATCTTGCCTTTGGTATAAGGCTTGAACAATTGCTGCAAAGGCAGCCTCTTGGTCAGGCTCAGCTGCTGGCAGCACCATATCGACTCCACTCATAAAAAAGTGTCTTGGAACTGCATCTGATGGTAGAAATCCTAAAAGTTTCATGCACTTTGGACATGCAAATTTCAATAGATCTTCGTCGACCGTCCCTATAGGAACAACAGATTTCCCATAGAAATAAGCTTTTATGATGTCTTCAGGGTCAATTACAGTTCCAGTTGGGTCATCTTCTAGTGCCGCTTCTCTTGACATCTTAAGTTTTCCTTCATCTACATTCCTTGAGAAAGGAATAACAGTTGAATGTTTTTTCAAGCTTGGCAGGACTTCTTCTTTAGTCTTCCCATAGACGCAGATATCAATCCCATAGCCTAATCCAAAATCCAGCTGACCCTTATACTTGGTTACAGGATATACTGATCTTTTCCGAAACTGCTTATAAATTTCCATCGCAGTTTCACTCGGATAAATAGCTCCTTGGACACTTTCTATTAACTGGCTGAGGACTTGTGCTGTCTTTTTTTGCTGATTTGTTTGGCTATGTTTAGCTTGTTCACCAAACCCAATAGCAATTACATTGACTCTGATATCTTGCAAATTAATTTGGTCAATGATATCTTGAAGCTGGTCAGCTGAGTTAGTTGAGCAGTTTCCATCAGTGATAATGAAAAGTCTTTTTTTGAATTTTTTCTTCCCAATACGATTTGTGATCATGGAGACTGCGACTACAATTGCATCTAAAACATCTCCTGAAGCATTGGTAGGAGTTAAAGTGTTCATTAGTAGCATGGAATCTAGCGTGGAGACGTCAAGCTCTTGTAAAACAGAAATATTTTCATAGCCGCCATACTGTTCTGCTAGGTCGTTTTCTGTTTCTTCTGATCCTAATACAATGAGGCCGATTTCATGACTTTTTGCGAGAAGCAGTTTTTGCTGAATTAAAAGTTTGGTGGCTTCTGCTGCAATAGCGAGTTTCATTTGGCCTTCTTCGCCGAACTGTTCTCTCATGGTTCTGCTGACATCTATGATCACAACAATTGCTTCCTATATAGAAATTTACCTTCCCCGCCATTTATAATTATTTATCTATCTCTGGGGGAATTAAGCGAGTTATTAAGAGAGGGTTGTTAAATAATTCTTAGTGACTCCCTGGTGTTGCTGGAGGCTGAGGTGCTGGCACACCTAAGTTTGATAAATATTTTATTAAGAATTGGTCTCTTTCCTGCCAAGATTCCACATTTTCAGCTAGATCATGATAATTTAGCTTGGCTACTTTCCAGCCGAGGAGTTCAAGCCACCTGCATTTTATTTCGAACTCATTGGTGAACTCATACTTCAGCTTCGGTTCCTTGACAAGCCTGTCATCATATTCATATTTCCCTTTAAGCCAAAAATCGGGAAACGCACAAAAGAGGGCTACTTTTTGAGGCATAATTGCGCATTGTAGAGACTCATGGTTGCTATACAAATAAGGGGCAGCTGCTTTGTATCTCAAATGTGAGGTGACCCAATTTTTAAATCTGTCCATATAAACGCATTGATATTCATCAATATCTTCAATTAGTCGTGGCCCCATAAATAAAAAGCCTTTTTTCTCGTACTTTTCTATGAATTCGTCTGATAGAAGTTTTGGGAAAGATTTGCCGATATGGAATTTCATTTTCCTGACGTATTGATAGTCGTACTCTGAGACGTATTTAAGACTTTCAATATAGTTTGTGTAAGCTTTGAGCATTCTTTCGTCCTTTGAGTTTACGTTGAATAAATAAGTGCTCATCTTCTGCAGGTATCTCTTTTTCATTTCAGGTGTGATAGGGATTTTGCTGTTTATTTTTTTTTGCAGATCGTTTGAGATAGGCTCTCTTAAGCTAAGTGAGCATCCTAAGTCTAGGGCTGACTCCCCTCTCCTGTTTAAATTGGAGACTTTAATTTTCTTTAAACTGGAATAATTTTTTTTCGATAGGAAAATTTTTATACTATTTTTTATAAATTTTATTTTTATTTTTTTTTTTTTTATTAAATTTAATAAAATAAATTAGCCACTTTTTTTTTTTTGTTCCAATTTAAAGCGGTGGGAGTGAGTCAAAGTCTAAATCATCCCCTTTTTCAAGCAGCTTTCCTCTCAAATTGCTGAATAATTTTTCTGTTCCTAAATTGACATTAGTGAACCCTTTTACAACATCGACCATTTGCGTAATGCTCATCCTATTCATTCTTCTTGTCAATATTTCCTCTTCAATTGAATCTGTGAGTGCATGTATTCTATTTCTCAATTTCACTGGAGCATTGCTTCCTGCAATTCCTCCACAAATTGTCGCTAATTGGTCGTCAGAAAACTCAGTAAGTCTATTAAGAACCAAAGGAGTAATCGCTTCTAAAAATTTCACACTAATTTCTTGCTGTTTTGGTATGATTTTTATAGGAATTATCTTAGATTCATGCCTAAAAGAGTTGGATACCACATAAGGGGCAACAGAAATCACGTCTAAGTTTTCCTCAGCTTGCAATTCTTTAACCAATAGCTGTGCTGCAGTTTCATAAAATTCATCGTTTACTGTGCTTCCATAAGCCCCAATAGTAGAAATCAATTCAATTGCAGTCATATGTGATAGCATTTCTTTGGCTTCTGTATCAAGCCAGTCGTGCAAAACTGGTCTCCCGAGGTACGTTTCGTCGAAATCCTTTGTTGATCTTGTCAGAGCCCATTTCAGTCTTGCGAATTCTCTTGGCGTGTACTTTGGCTTTTTGTTTAGAACTTCAACTCGAAAATCTTTTCAATATTTCAAATTTGTTTGGCCCTCCACAATTGATGCGTTGAAGGCTCTGTCGACTAAGCTTTTTGTGTTGCTTGGGATTTCTACAAACTCAGGAAGCGCATTGGCGAAGGCGCCGATAGATTTTAGGTTGAGATGTTTAGTCTGAATGATAGACCTCACAGCCATATTAATGCAATAAGATTAGGGTTAAAATATATTAGGCTTCAGGTGGGAGATATTTCTAATCTCCTTATCTTTGATCGAGCAGGTCACCATCGTTGGGATCAATATTATAATTTTGAAATATATAATTTTTTTTCCCATATAATAGGATTTTATGCTATAGATGCAATATATTTGTAAATGTTCTCTAGAAATTATATTAGGATTGCGTAAGAGCGAATATAATTATCAAAGACAGTAGTAGGTTGAGGTAGGGCCAGAGATGGGCTTCATACTTGACTATGTGAGAATTTATTCAAAGAAGGGGCTGATTATCTCAATTTTAAGAAATCTTTACTGGCTGTTCGATTATCGGATGGAGAAGTAAAGTAGAACTTACGTCTAAAAGGGAGGAATCTTCGCCGTCTGCAGCCATTTTGTGCTTGACTGCAGGCCTTGGAACGCCGACTTCAACCATCCTTACATATTTCTTCAAATTATCAGGGACGACTTCTTTAGCTGGCTGCTGCTCTTCTTCCTGTGCTGGCTGGCCTGGCTCCACTGGCTTTGGAGGAGGTGCAAGCTGCTCTGCTGGTATAGAATTCAACTTATACTCAAGAAGTGCAGTCAATGCTTCGATTTTTTCAATTTGGTGGTTAACTTGACTCAATTTATTATGGGCTTCGGTGCAAAAATGATTTAAAAACTCACTCGTTGTGATAGCAAAAGCATTTATGACTGCAATCAATTTCTTCGGCTCAATAGCTTCTCCCATTTTATTTGTGCTTATAATTAGGATTTTCTTTTATTTGCGCTCAGATGTAAAGGCTCAAAGAAATTAAGTGATAGATAGGAGTCTTTAATTTTTTCACTCAAAATATACGTTAAAATGTTTAAAACCGATAATTTTCTAATTATTCTATATAAACATTTTTGGCAATTTTATTTGATTTTGTAATTTGTGAAGTCATCTCTCTGATATTTTTATACTTGGCATATAGTGGAATTAGATTTAAGCAGCTATTTATATAGACCAGGCTTTTTTTGATCGCCATGGGCTAAAAGAAGCCCTTCCAACAGGTGGAGTTGGCTTAGGAACAATTTTTGACATGCCAACTCCATCAGTTAGCAAGTAAAAACTATAATAGCACTTTCAACTGGTGAAGTTGACTTGACAACTGTTGTCGCTTAGCCAAAACACCATTTGATAGGGTTTTTCTTGCCTAGGACGATCTAAAGAGGCCCTAAGCTATGAAATTCTTAATTAAATTTAAATATGAAAGTGAAACAGCAATTATTATTTATTTCTATATAAAAGCCCTTTATTATTTATAGCATATTTAAATTTCAAATGAATGATTTTCTTTTTAATATTTATCTCAATACATTTCATGAAATTTAATATTAACCTTTAACTTATTAATTTTTATTAGAGTACAATATAAGTATAATCTAACAAAAATTATTTTTATTAGCAATTTAGACCATAGTCCAGATATCTTAAGTTAAAATTTCATTTTTTTCTTTATATTTAAATCCATGACTGGGAAAGTTTATTCTTATTAGTCAATAATATTTGCCTTATAGCTTAAAATTCTTAACTCCCCCCCATCCTTGATCGAACGATTGACTGTAAAAATTCCTAAAAATTGGGAAAATTAACCCCCATCCTTGATCGAACGATTTTCATATCATGCAAATTTTTATATATATAAAAATATATTAGTTATTAAAAGCTTGGGAAATGTGCATAATGAAGTTGCTTTCAGAGGCTTTGAGACGACAGAAAGCTACGAAATCAACCATTCGAAGTGATTTAGTCATCAATCTAGGCTTAAAACTCAATAATCTAATAAAATAGAGATTCTTTAAAATTTAAAAAAAAAAAAAATCAAAAATTCAATAAAGAACAAATCAAAATTTATACAGTTTAAAGGGGTAACCAAAAAATAAAAATATTAAAATTGGTATTCTTATGAAATTAAATCAATTTTTTGCTGTAAAAATAATTATTAAATACTCTTAACCCTCTTAATTAAAAATATAAAAAAAAACATATGTTTTTTATTTTATATATATATAATTTTTTTTACCCAAAAAAATTATTTTTAACCCCCATCCTTGATCGAACGATGGCGAGTCGTTCGATCAAGGATGGGGGAGGAGTAAGTATAATAATAGTCATAATTATATAACTGATTAATATGTATCGAAAAAAGCCACAGGACGAATGGGGTCTCATAATCCAACAGCAAGTTGAGTTTAATAAAAAGCGTGAAGAGGAAGAAAAAGAGCGTATTCAACAAGAAAAAGACAATTACCGCCGTGACCTAGAATATCAAAACTATCTTACTCCCAGATAAGAATAAAATGATATTAACAGCAAAATTTATTGTGAAAAATTTAAAATTATTTTCCTATATAAATGCGAAAGAATTAAATATCTTATATATTTATATCTAATTCGCAGCAAAATTGTTTATAATTGTAAAATATTCTTTTATGACCAGAAGAAATTAGAGAATTGGCCAAAGAACAGCAACGAAAGCAGCGAGAATTTGAAGCTCAAACAGTCGAAGCACAAATAAAAGCCTTCAAAGAGAACGAAGAAAAGCGAAAAATCGAAGAATCCCAGCAAAAAAAATCTTTACATGAAACCTACGATCAGCACTATCAATACAAAAAACAGATGCACGATAACGAGCGCATCGCCAAACTCGAGCAAGAACAAATGCACCTTGCCAGAGTAAAGGCACAAATGGCTGCAGATGAGCTAAAAAGAAAAGAAGCAGTTGAAAAAGCTTTAAGAGACGAAGAAGAAGTCCTTAGAGTAAGAAGGTACCAAGAAGAATTACAAAAGCAAATGAAAGAAAATGAAAAACTGTATGACATTGAGCTGGCTAGAGCAAGAAAAGAAGCTGAAGAGCAAAAAGAAAGACAATATAGAGAATACTATAACAAAATTGCTGAAAAACAAGCAGTCCAGCAACACCAATATGAAAAGCTTGTTGCAAAAACTGATTTGTATAGAAAAAACAGAGTCAATGAATGAATTGACCAAGGATATCAGTTTAATATTAAGTCGCAAGCAGAAAGAGAAGAATATGAAAAACAAGTCCGCCTGCAGGCTAAGAATAACATGAGCGAAATGCTGCAGAAGCAGCTTGAACTAAAAGAGCTAGAAAAACAACAAAGAAAAGAAGAAATTAAAAGGCAAGCTGAAATAACACAAAGGCAGCTAGAAGAATTCAAGAGAGCAGAAATGGAAAAAGCTAATCAGAGAAAGTTCCAGCAGCAAAACTACAGAAACTTTTTATACCATTTATAGAAGAATATACCAAAAATTATAGGATTAATAAAAATATTATTTGGCCGCATTCTTGAGAAAGCAGTATAAATGTCCAAGCTAATTCAGCAAATGACATTAGAGATAGTGTGTTCAAACTGTCAGATGTAGAAAAGAAATTAAACAGGGTCGCACTGCAAGGATATGAGGACACACCAAAATCACAACTACAAAGAAATGCCACAAATATGCTGAGGTCAAGCAGTCAGAATTCTCTTCAAAATAACGATTTCACCAAAAGATACGTAGAAAACCTGATGAGTCCAAAAATAGGGACTGAAAACAGTTCTCCCAAGCTCAGAAATAACTCTATGTCAAGCTTAGATCCAGCGATGAAAGCTGCTGGAAAGCCTACAAGGCTCCCATACATTGATCAAAAACTGGAAAGTAATTTTCTGAAAATTTAATTCATTGCTTAAATCTTAAATGGAGGCATAAAATTATTCCCAACAATTAACCAGCATATAAAGCCTTCTATTAATTGGTATATTAGCTAAAGCAGCATTCTATTATGAAAGTGCAAAAATGCATAAAGTTTTCTTATCACGCTTTAACTTACGAAAATGGCCATAATTTATGGCTAAAGGAGACAAAGACAAGTCTGACAAGACACCATCAAAGAAGGTCTCCCTTCTTGCCAAACCATCAAACGCAAGTGGAGGTGGAAAAGGTAAAAAAAAGAAGTGGTCAAAAGGAAAGGTCAAGGATAAGACTACCAACTCAGTCTACTTCGATCAAGAAGCATTAGACAAACTTTTGAATGAAATCCCAGCCAAAACAAAACTTATCACTCCTTCAGTACTTTATGACAAGCTGAATATTAATGTCTCTCTTGCAAGGCATGCATTGGCGGATCTCGAAGCCAGGGGAGTCCTCAAAGCTGTTGGAGACTTACATCACGCACAAAAAATATACACTCGTGCAACCCAAGCAGAAGCTTAAGTCTAGCTCTTTATGAATTTATTAGACCAAAAAAAAATCTCGTCTTAATAATATAAGGAAAAAAATATTTTTTTTTTTGGTGCCGTGAATTAAGTAAAAATTTGACTCTAATTATTGATTTTAAGCCTCAATGAATTAATAGTAATATTGCATTAGATTAGGCTTGGAATCAATATTGTCCGCTTATAAATTTGAAAAAGCTGCTTGCAAACTATTATAGCGTTTATCATTCTTTAATATATAAATTATCATAATTTTTAGCAAAAGCACACAACTTATCGTGAAATATAGGTTAGATGGTTATTAGCAGCATGTCGCTTTTTCAGTTTTCGGCTTTTTCTTGCTTAAATCGATTGGAGGCTTATACTCAGACGCTTCCGCTTTTACCTGAGACAATGCATTTCTTGCGATTGTCATAAATGCATCATCAACGTTGACAGCATCCTTTGCTGATGTCTCATAGAACGGCATGTTTCCATTTTCTCTACACCACTGGCTGGCTCTTGCATTCGGGACTTTTCTTTCGTCTTCTTTGTCTACTTTGTTCCCTAACACAACGAATGGGAAGTTTTCAGCGTCTTTAGCATTGGACTGAGACAAAAATTCTTCTTTCCATGACCCAAGAGATTCAAAACTTTTGCTGGACGTAATGTCATAAACGAGAACGCAGCAGTCAGACCCTCGGTAAAAGGCAGTGCCGAGGCTTTGAAAACGCTCCTGGCCAGCTGTGTCCCAAATTTGGAGGGTCACTAATTTGTCGTCGATCATAATTTCCTTTGTTAAGAAGTCAGCACCAATTGTAGCTTTGTATTGCTGGGTGAAGCGCTTGTTAACGTACTGGTTCATGAGAGAGGTTTTTCCGACACTGAATAGGGATTACGCTGAGTCGCCAAGGATGATTACTTTAAGAAGGTGCTTTCTTCCGGATGCCATCTTTTATATTCTCCTCTTAAAGTATTCTGGCTTAAATTTTAAATAGAAATAAATGTCTCAGCTGATTATGAGTATTGCTTAGATATTTTATTAAATAATTAATCTGATAGGGTAAGCTAGATTTATATGATTTTTATATTAAAGGGATTCTATAGAATTTATTAAAGAAAATATTTGTCTCAATATAAAGAAGAGATTTTAATATCTAAATACAAAAGTATTTGTTATCTAATAATAAACACTATGAAAATCTTCTCATCAATTTATTGACTCTGCCTTTATTTTTCGGTAAAGGCTGCTCCTCTGGCATTATAAAAAACTCTTGTGGCACAGTCAAATAAGGCTCGCCTTCCGGGTCAGGTCTGACATCAATTTGCGAATTATTCCAAAACGTCGCAATCGGCAATAACAAATCTTCATAATACTCAAAATTATTGTGGTCCATCTCAGGTGGAAGATGCAAAAAGCTTGCACCTGAGCAGTTTTCATGTAGTTTTTGAGAATGCGAATAAGGTATTAGTGTATCTTTTTGGCCATGCACAAAGAAAGCTGGGCATTGGATATAAGGCATGCAATCAATATTTTTAAATCTTTCAGCCACTAAATACTGAGCAAGTTTCCCTGCAATATTCCTGACAACGGCTCTGATAGATGTGTAAGCTGACATTAAAAGCAAGCAGCCAGGATACCGGTGGCGAGCTAATCACGTAGCAGGGCCAGATCCAATGGACCTGCCAAATACAAAAATATTGGATGGTTGGACTTTTAGCACGTTTTCCACAAAACTAAATACACAGTTTGCATCTTCTAAAATTCGAGTGGCATTAGGCTTGCCAGAATACAAGCCATAGCCAGGATATTCCATAGAGAGAACATGGATTTTGAGGATTGTTCGAAAAAGGTCCATCATATCAAAGGTAAGCCCTAAGTCTTCTGCATTTCCATGGAAGTATAAAAGAATTTTGCTTGAGCCTTCTTCACATTGAAGGAGTAAACATGGAATTGAGATATTTGATTTGTCGTCACGAGGAACCCAGATTAGTTCGTCTTTAAATTCCTCAAGTTCGTAGCTTGGCGGAGGGGCTGGAAACAGCAAAGCATTTAGTTCCATATTTAGTTCTCTTATTTAAATATAAATTTCTTGTTATAAAGTAGAAGTGGCATGTAAGTTTTAATAGGAAGTTTTTAAATGCAGAAGGAAAGATTATATTTAGAATTGTTTATGATATATTTAAGGTAGACTATAGCTTATTGTTAGCTGTGTGCATTTTTATAGTTGTATACTTAAAATTTCTTCCGTGATAATGGAGCTTTCTGTTTTAACTTGTGTAATATAATATCTTTTTGTAGATAATAAAAGAGCTTCAATAGAAGTTTTTATATAAAAACACATTAAATTCAATACTCAAAGATATCCATCCTTATCCTGATAGTTTTTCTCTGTAAATATGTGTAAATTAATAGAAATTGCTTAAATTTAAAAAATCGTAATAGTAATTTATATGGTGCTAAAAATTAAACAATCGAGATAACTATATGCTATATTTTTGATTTTTTATATGAATTAAGAAATAGCTTCTCTTTTAAACAGTAACTTATATTAAATTGGTTTAAATGGGAAATACATTAAAAGCTCTAAAAGACCCAACGAAGCCAGCTGCAATTACTGGGATGATGCAAAGTAATTTATATTTAGACTCTTTAACTCCTCTCCAAGAGTGATCAAAAAGACCGAAAAATCCTTATTTTTTAAGGAAAAAAATCATGAATAAGAAAAAAGTGTTTAATCTACAATTTTTTAATATAATTTTATTTTCCAATTTTCTCCAATTGGTATTTTTAGAAAGCGATTAATTTAACCTTTTTTAAGCAAGATTTTTTGATCTGGGATGTAAGCAAAATCAGAGAACTTCACGGCGCATTTAAAAGCATCTGTGATAACTTCGCAATGAGCATCACAGAATTTGATCAAATTTTTGGAACAGGAGAGTCAAGCTTTATGGTATGAGACACTGACAAAAATGGAATCATTGATGCCTTGGAACTTTTTTCAGGTCTCATTTTATTTGCAGATGCTAGAACTGAAGACAAAATTAGATGTAATTTCTATGCAGTCTTGTTCGATTTATTTGATTTTAATGAACTGCAAAGCATTTCTAAAACTGATTTGGAATTTCTAATATTTTGCTGTATAAGTTCTTCTTTTAAAGTCCATGGCCTTGCCGATGAAATAAAAGAGAAATCTATATCTGAAATGGTAATTAAAAACTTCCCTGACAGTTTCAGAATCACTTTGAGAGACTTGTTGCATTTTTGTGCGCACTCAGAAGAAGTTAACACTTTTTTTCAATTTTTCAGGATCAGAGCTATTTCTTTACCAAAACCTTCAACCAAAAAAGATATTTATCAGCCACTGAGGAAAACATGGAGCTATGGAGGACTGGAGCACTCCAAAGCACTTAAAGAGCTTGATAACTCCATGGCAGGGAAAATTGAAAGCAATTTAAGGGTATGACTAGGGGCTGTACATGCACCATTATGTGCCCAGCATGAAAAACGGCAAGAATCCCGAGCAAAAATGGGCCTTGCATGGGTATTTGGGATAAGAAGTGACGATACAAGGCACAATATTAAATGTGTCCCAGGACAAGATATAATTATTTATTTTATTGCAAGTGTAGTTGTTGTGTACTATGCCAAGCTACTAAAGCAAAGACATTATTTAGAGCATGACCATGAAGTTATCAGCCTTGCTGTTGGTTCTGATGATATCGCTTGCAGTGGCGAATTGGGCGAACATCCAAAAATTCATGTATGGAAAATCAGCACATTAGAAACCTTACTCCCCCCCCCCTTTAAATTGAAACAAAATATAGGTAAAATTCCTACTTTTTTGGGAAATTACCCCCCTTTAAATTGAAACAAAATTTTATTATAATAGAAAATTTTATAGTAAAAATCATTATTTTATATGTAAATACGTTAATACCCTATTTAATATGCTTCAAACATATAAGATTTAGAAATTAAACTCTATTTTGTCCAATTGTTATGGGGAGAGTTAGAAGAATACCATTTCAGCAAGTTTACACTTTGAGATTGAGAAATTTATGAATTAAATTTTTCATGAAATTCTTTAAATTTATATAATTTATTTTCTATAAAATTTTATCTCTGAAAAAATTTTTATTTATAATTTTTTTTTATAAAAAAATTTTCTTAACCCCCCTTTAAATTGAAACAAAATTTTTTGTTTCAATTTAAAGGGGGGGGGAGTTAGAGGTCTTATCTGGCGTCCACCAAGGCGCAGTGCCTCTGCTAGCTTTATCTTATAGCGACCAGCATATAATTTCTTGCTCAATCTATTCTTTAGTAATCTATGAATGGCGTACAAGGTCGATTTTAATTACAACCCACCATAATTACCCAATAGTTGACTTAACTGTGCTGCCAAGACTTGAAAGCTCTTCAGCTTGCTCTTTTATTGTTGCTTGTGAACAAGATTTTACACTTTACACAATACAAGAGAGCGAGCTTAATGTTTCCACATTAAGTCTTGACGCTTCACTTACAAAAAGCCACATAACGTGTGCGATGGGGCAAGTCCTTTATAATCAAGACCCAAATAAGGAAAGAACTTATATTCTCTTGACTGGGCATGAAGATGGAAGTGTGCTAGTTTGGGCTTATCTAGAATTTCAAAGAGTATTGATAACGTATGAAGGGATAATTAAAATATGGCGTCTTCGTCTGGGCATGGCCTCCCGCCATGCAGCCTCGACTCATATTTTAATTATATCCGGCATATACATAAAATGGCGTATGGCGACCGACCCACCCTCTCAGTGGTGGTTACCCCATGTATATCCGGGCATGGTTTTTGGAGCCAGGAATTAGCCCAACAACGTCTGGGACCTCGAAGCGAGAGGCCTAAGCGCGAGAGCCGCTGTTTTTGCGACCAGACCCATGGGCAGTTATTCGTGACTTCTTTTTGCCAGCAGCGCTCAGCCCAGTGAGTGCCCGAAATGAGGCAGGGCGACTTACCTGCCTAAGCTGCTTTAGTGGCTCGCCCCGAATGGCGAAAGCTGTTGAGTTCTTTCTCGGGATGACCGGAAAAAAGAGGGAGGCGAGTTAGACACCAAAACGGGGGTCTCTCCAGTTGAAAAGGTGCCCTTCAATGGGCAGATCTGGCGGACGACGAAGCGGAGTTGGCGTAAACTTAGGCGACGATCCAAGTTGGAAATGGAGGTGGTCAGCAAAGCCGGTATAAGACGGCCCTTGACAATACCTCTACCGAGAAACCGGGGGTTTCGGGCCCGGGCTTGGTGAACGCTCTGCCACCACACGGGAAACCGTGGCATGCGACCTCGGACGTAGTAGGGACCTTAAATACCCAGCGTAATCTTAATCTTAATCTTAATTATATATCCGGCAAGGTTTTGCATTTCAGAGAAGGACAGCAATGCTAGGTAAGCAAATTCTGGTGGAGCTCGGAGCCTGCCCAAGTCTAATTTCAGAAATGTTTTTTCCTCATGGGGAAGGAGGCACGCGAGTTGGAAAGGGGAAGCTCAGCAGAGTCCGTTAGGACCAATCGGGCAACTCCCTAGCGTGAAACTGGGGTTACGTCCCAGGCTTCGTGTTTTCCTTTTTGCCGAAAGCCTACCAGAAAATCCATTTTTTATGGATTTTCGGAATGGCAACCCATGTCCTCAAGCGAAGTAGCTCAGTCATGAGCCGTCGAAGTCGGCAACACCTGCGACTAGGTGCACCTTGGCGTAGCAAAGCTGGTCGACCCAGAGGCCGGTGGGCCCGATGCGCCATAGGCATACGGAAGCTCTGGGATGGGCAACCCCGTAAGGGACGTTAAGCGTATAAATCTAATAGAATAGATAACGTATGAAGGCTCAATTACATCAATTGAGCGATTTTATGAAAGCTATGCAATTGCGAACTCAGTCGGAGTTATTTATTTATGGGACGATAAGCTTGAAAAATGCGTCAGAGTCATTGAGCTTTCGATGCTGCCATTTAAGCTACTGAGTTTTGAAGTCTCTTCAATGCATTTTATGAATAAAAGACTATATGTAAGCACCACAGGAGGAGATTTGATACAGCTAAGGATCATTAAAGAAGGCTATAAGCTTATAGCGAAAAGGATTCCTGGCATCATTCCGGTCCCCAGTAAGCAAAGAGCTATCACTTTTTTGTCAACTGAGCTGCCTTATTTGATAATTGGTGGAGAAAATGGGGTTGTCTGTGTAATAGATATAAGGAGCTATGAATTAATGGATGCATGAGCTGTAGGGTACTCTATATATTCTTTATGCTGTGCCAAATATGAAGACCATTTCTTTTTAGCAGCTGGGTGTGAGTCGGGGTCACTATTAGTAAGACAGGACTGGGATCTCGTAAGCACTCCTCAGGCAGGCTATGATACTATAACTGATGTAAAATTCATAAAAAAAGGAGAAAATCTCTTAGCTTCAAGCCTCGACTCAAATGTGTATGTATACAAATATCTAGAAGGAAACTATGAAAGAATTTTTATTATTGCGATAGATACTGGAATTCCTCTAACGTTGGATATAAGTAAGGATGGGGAGCATATTTTGATTGTAACTGATAAACGAAAACTTATGATGATGGACGGCAATAATTTTGATTTGAATTTCACATATCATTAACATTGATTACTCAGATTTTTAAAGAGGCACTTTGCAGGAAGAAATATCAAAACTTCCTTTTAGCTCCCAATTGATGATGCTAACAACCATCTTGTCCACCAAGGATTCCAGAAGACCAACCAAAAGGGACTAAAAGCCACCACTGGTCGCATTGACCTCGCTTCAGACTTGGCTTCTTCACGTGCTCTGCCTAAGGGTTACCCTCTCATGTGTTTCAAGCAGTAAAACTCCTATACGTTTTAAAATCCTGGAAAGTGACTTAGCTTATACGATTAGTCATATTTGGCACTGTAGTTAAAAGTGCACCAGATAAACCATTTTCGTGCATAGCCATTTTATTATTATGAATTTCACATATCAAGAAGTTGCTTCCGTCAACTGAAGCAGGCTAAGAGCTTTTTTCCCAGTCCACCATGCCAAGACTTCAGACGAAAAAGAGTATTATTTACTTCCTATCAGTTGAAACAGTAAGGCTGACTGTATCGTCGCAGCTGACGCAAAAGGAGTCATTCATTTCTGAAAAAACGCTTCAAGGGTTAATGACGAAACTGGTCTTTTGCTTCCAGGCCACACTTCGGCTGTTCAAGACATCTGCTTGAAATCTCACATTTTGTTCACTCTCGGATATGAAGACAGAATGATAATGCAATGGAAATTTGAGCCATGCAAAACCATGATCCAGAAAATAAACAGCACAAGTGTGAACTCAATCCTATTGACAGAAATCCAATTATCTTGCCTTGATGATAAAAATAAACGTAAACACCCCAATCAAAAACTTGTCCAGACAGCTTTCCTTGATGCAGTTTTTGAAACTTCACATCAGTTTTTCGCCCAAGAAGATGCCCAGCGTCCTCCGTCTACCACATTAAAATTGAAATACATATATGGCTGCCAATTGAATTTACGAAATTCCCTTCATTATGTGCACATCCATACTGGTGACGACACTCGTCCTACATGTGAGAGAATGATTTGTTACTATGTTTCCCGCTATGGGATTACTTTTAACCCTTTTACTCAATCCCAGTCCTTTTATACATTCCACGAGCAGCGAATTTCAGCATTAGACGTCCACCAAAGCCAAGCTATAGCAGCTACAGCTTCAAATGGGATAGTCCACGTATGAAAAGTCGCAGGGAGCTCTCAAATTTCAAAGCTAAAATCTTCAATGAGTGGCATATATATACTAAGATTTGGCAACAATAAACAAGGAGGAGAAATTTTAGCTGTGGTCGGAAAAGAAGCTGAGCAGCATTATATAGAAATTTATGACTGAAAACATGAAAATCTGATCACAAAGGCTTGTGTTGGGAATGTTCAGGTCCAAGATTTCCAGTTTCATCCTACTGATTTATTTAATTTTGCAGTCTGTGGAGTCAACCACTTAAGCTTGTGGAAGAGATCAGGCAAATTTATAAAGTGCAAACAAATTATTACAGTTGAAAAAGAATTTACATGTATGCAGTTTTTGATTTTCCAAATGGGCACAATCAGACAAGAAGCAGATTTAACTATTGGATCAAGCCAAGGAGAACTAATGCTATGTGTTGAAGGAAGGCTCTTTTTACAAGTAGAACAAGCACATGAGGGAGCAATTTTTTGTATAAAGACCACAAATTATAAAGGAAATGACATAATTTTAACAAGTGGGCAGGACGGGTTTGTAAAGATATGGACACATGGCCTTAAACCAATTAATAAATTCCATATTTCGTCTATCAATGACTCAGCTCTCTCTCACTCCCCCCCCTTTAAATTGGAACTAAAAGTTTTGTTCCAATTTAAAGGGGGGTTAAGAAAATTTTTTAAAAAACAAATCAATATAAAATTTTTTATAAAAAAAAAGCTATATAAAACTTTTTATAAAAAAAACAATTTCAAAAATTTATCGAATTAGATTAATAAATTTGTTTAATAAAATGCTATTAACTCTTTATCCTTTAAATCAAAGCAAGATATAACTAAATTTTTATTATTAATTAATACGCCACTATTATTGGTATCAAAACTATTTACACAAAAATTATTATTTTTATTGATAAAAAAAAATTAAAAAAAAAAATTTTAGAAAATTTATGGATCAAAAGTGCTAATTTTGTTTAAATGAGATGCGTTTACATTCTATTCTTTAAAATAAAGCAAGAAATAAGTAAATTTTTCAATTTTTGTAAAGAATTCGCATTGAATTTATATCAAAATAATTTAAATAAAAAATATCATTTTATCAAAAAAAATAAAAATTTTTTTTAAAAAATTTTTAAAACAAAACAATTTAAATGTTTAAAAATTTGGCAATTAAGGCTAATAAATTTATTTAAATAAGATGCTCTTTATACTCTATTCTATAAACAAGAGCAAGATATAACTAAATTTTTAATTTTAGTTAAGAAGAAACATTTAACTTATATCAAATCTTTCTACATAAAAATTATGATTTTTATATATAAAATTTTTTTATTATAAAATTAAATTTTGTTCCAATTTAAAAGGGGGGCTAATTTACCAAAAAAGTGGAAATTTTACCTATATTTTGTTCCAATTTAAAGGGAGGGGGGAGTCAGATGAAATCCCATTTTATTACAAACTTGCAGGTTTATTCTTGTAACTCAAGGAAAATCCTTGACGAAACCTTGCCGAAAAAAGCAAAATTAGAAGCCTTGGTCATTTTATTAGGAACTTCTGGAGGAGCACTTATGGAACTTAATTTGTCTAATATCAGAGGGGGTGACAAAATGAGACTGCAATATAAAGTTTATGTAGAAGGACATTGCAAAGAAGGAGAAGGATCAAGAAAGCAGCTGATTACAATCCACCCTGAACTTAATGTGGTAGCTACTGTAGGTGATGATAGCACACTTAAGGTGTGGGATTATGAAATACATAATTTAATATTAACAAAGCAATTAGATACTGATACAAGGCCAAGCTCAGTTCAGTTCAGCAAAGCAGGACATTTAGCGATTGGCATGGACAATGGGATTTTGCTAATTTTACTATCTAAGCATGCAGCTTGGGGAATCGGATTAAAAACTGCTCCAGAGATTGTAGTCATTTTTTCGTCCAGAGAGTCGAATTCTGCGGTTTTAGCCCTGGAGTTCTCAAGCAATGAAGAATATTTACTCCCTCAGCTAAACTAAAACAAAACATCGGTAAAATTTGCATTTTTTTGGCTTTAACCCCCTTTAAATTGGAACAAAATTTGTATTTAAATAGTAAATTGTATCGATGAAAATATTAATTTTTAAAAAAATTAGTTTTGACCTAATTTAATAGACAAATGCAAGTAGAATGCTATTTAAATGCTTTTACACTGAATCAATTAATTTTTTATTTAATTCTTCATAATAATCAATTATTGGGTTTATTTATTTTTTTTAAGAAAAATTAAAGATGAAAATACTAATTAGTTTCGACCTAATTTAATGGAAAAAGTGCAAATAGAATATGATTAAAACAGTTTTCACGCAGAATCGATTAATTTTTAAGCCATTTCTCCATAAACTAAATTAAAACTCAAAGTATTGTGCTCAATTTATATTTTTCTTAAGATTTTAAAAATTTTTACAGAGATAATTTTTTTAAAAAAAAATTAACCCAACCCCCTTTAAATTTTAACAGGATTTTTTGTTTTATCAAAGTGAGGATTTAGCAGTCAGCTATGACAACTACAGAGGCCAGCCAACTAAATTTAAGGCAGACTCCACAACTGTAAAAACCGGAGGTGGAGCTGAAATTCTGCATGGGTTCGTTGTGCTATACCAACAAGCAGATGGAGCTGAAGGCGTCACTTATAGAAAAATTTCCCGCATAGTTTTGCCTTTTTCTCATGTAAAAGATATGGCAGCCTACCCTTCACGTAGTGAATGTGCAGTAACCCAAATGGAGTTTTCTTATGACTGTATGTATTTACTCCCCCCCCCTCCGTGAGCGAACAAAAAAATTTTGTTCACTCACGGAGGGGGGTTAATTTTTTTTTTTAAAAACAATTTATATATAAATTTTATAAAAAATATTTTTTTCGAAATTAAAAAAAATCCTAATTTGCAAAAATTGGGAAGCAAATACTAATTTAATTTGCAAAATTTATGTTTTAAAACGCAATTTGTTTAAAATTAAACAGAATTAGCTCTAGATTTCATTATACTAATTATCACTTATATAGCAAAAATTTTTTTCCATTAAAATTTTTTCTATTAAAAATATTTTTGTTCACTCACGGAGGGTGGGTTTTTTTGGTCAAAAAATGGCGATTTTTCTAATGGTTTTGTTCGCTCACGGAGGGGGGGGGGGAGTTAGGGCTTTTCCACCAAAAAGTGAAATACCGTGAACATCTAGCAAACCCAGCTGACAGGAAGCCACTTTTAATTATTTGGGATATCACCTCTGGTGAAGTTGTCGAAGATTTCGAAAATATGGGCAAAACTCAATGGGAAAAATTAATAGTACAATGTTTACTATATAGCTGCTTAAAGGCAGGGATGGATTATGTTGTGAATATAAATACCTCATCAATGGTAAGAGATGATATGTCAATGATTTTAGGAGCCTCAAATGGGCAGCTGCAAGTTGTAAGGATCCACAAATTGGCTGCAGAATATTTAAAAATACTGAGAGAGCACAATGAGACTGAAAATGAAGGGCTGGATCTCGCTAAGGTTGGGAGATTGTTTTTTGGGCACTGCAGCCCAGTTATAAGCGCAGTGCTTAATAAAATACAGAAATATTTGTTTACAACTGCAATGAATGAAAAATGTATGATGCAGTGGGAAGTCATTGTAGAGCATAAGCATTGGGAATATGAGCAATTAGGATATACGATGCCCAGTGATCCTTTCCAAGAAACTCTTACCTCTGAGCAGTTTACCAAACACTTAACTGAAGTTTGAATTCCTAGAAGCGAGCTTCGTCCTGAATCAGAAGAAGCAATTCAGCTAAAAATGGAGTCTCTAGCAGGACGAAGAGCCAAAGATCGCCGAAATAACTTAAAATACGAATCCCAAGAACGAATAGTATACGTTACAGGCTCAAATGTCATTATCTATAACAAAGACGTTCCTTCTCAAACATTTTTGCATCAAGTCACCCACAGTCCAGTAACAAGCCATGCCCAGATTTCTGCATTTACCCTGTCACCTGACCGAAGGCTCATCTGCTATGGAACCGAAGAACTAGAGGCTTGTTTATGGCTTTGGGACCTTTGTGCTTATGTCCCTCTAACCAAAGTGATGCTTCCTGAATGCTGCCAAGTCCTCATAATAAAACTCAGCTCAAACTGTCGTTATGCAGCTGCAGTCTGCCTTGGCAGAGCTTATCAGCAGTTTTTATTCTTAGTTGAGCTCTTATTTGAAGGAAAATCACAAATAATAGCCTCAGCGCAGCTCAGTCCAAAATGCAGCTTTAAAGTAAAAGATGTCCTAATTAAAGAAACTGATGGGCTAGAAATCATAACATGTGGAATTCAGCATTTAGTAAACTGAAGACTTAATGGGACACATTTAGAACAATATTCTGCACATCTGACAACAGAAACAGAAGACTATCAAGTGGCCTTTTTGACTGCTGCAATCATGAGTGAAGTTTTAGTGACCGGGGCTGACGATGGAAAAGTTTATATTTGGAAAGACGAAAAATTAGTGAAAAGAGTCGCTGGACATGAAGGCTGCATTTATAGCATCGATACTTGTGAAGAATTGAGCTTGATCACAACAGGTGGACAAGATGGGCATATCGTGGTATGGAAACTTACTGTAAAGCAGAGCACTTTTGGGTATCTTGCCCAGCTTGACTCATTAAGAGAATACAGCTTAAATGACCCTGCTAGCAATGCTTTATCTTATGGAATCCAAAGCTTATGCATTGGCCCAGTAAGTGAAGGTGTTTCTTTCAAAGTGCTAATAGGAACACAAAACGGTGATATATATGAGCTTTCTTATGAGTCTAACTCAGATTATGATTCGCTTAACCGCCTATTAAAATCCTCAGACAATCAATCTATTCGTTCAATGTCTTGTGACCCTACAAGTAACTTTATCTACACATTGTCTTCTTCAGGCTTTTTCGCTGTTTGGGAACTCAGCGATTTCACTATGATACACATAAAAGATTACTACCCCAAAAAAGGTGTCAGGGTCATTGCATTCCAAACCAAACATTATGTGCTGATCGCTTTTGATGATGAATTAATTGTCCTTAAAATGTCTAATGATATGGAAGATGCAGTCAATTATGAAATGCTGGCTGGCTTTGTAATCCAAAGCAGAAATATCACTGATGCGTGCTTATCTCAAGATGAAAAATATTTAGTGGTCGCTAGCAATGCTGATCAAAAGCCACAGGTCGACTTGTATGGAGTCGCTGCAAACTCGTTCGCACTAGATAAAAATTTGTATGGATTCAGAGCACCAGTGATAAGGCTGGATTTTTCGACTGATGGGTATTATTTAATGTGTGAAGACAATTTGGGAGAAGTACTGCTTTTTGAGCTGGAAACTCAAAATATCGCAAGCTTGCAAGCAGTTGAGTTTGAAATTGAATGGCAAAATGAAGGGCTTAGACATAGCTCGTCTCTGAAAGGAATATATCAGCTGTATAGAGGAAACAACAAAATTAACTGCATAGCAAAAAACCCAGCATTATCTTATATTATTAAAAACAGGCTATCGCCTTAATTTTTATGTAATCACCGGGATCTCCGAACGGGAGATTCAAACCCTTTGTGACCGTGTCTTCCATCAAGGGATGGCAATGTTTCCTCCTTGCCTTTCGGCTTCAGTGTTGAGTAGGGGCAGTCTTTGGAATTGTGAGGCCTTACTTGAGGCTGCTAGGTTGGAGCAAGGGTTGTCCACACAAAATCCCAAAAAAATAGAATTTCTGGTCGACTCTCATTAATAAGTAAAACACCTGGCAAGGGCATAACTCCTGGTTTCACACAGGTGAAGTGTCCAATTGGTCTAGGCATTGCCTGTAGACATTGCTGGGCGACCTCTTTCCGACTCCGTGCCCATTCTTCCACCTGAGGTAAAACCATCTTGAAAGCAGACTTGAGCTAGATTCTGATACACCAAAAATTGGTTACCTAGTATCGTTGTCCATTTAATGGCAAAACCTTACCGATATAATAAAATATGGCATCTCCTCGCTTCGTGGTCTGCTACTCCGATTTCCTTCAAGCCCATATTTAATTCAACCCCGCTTTATCAATTGTAGCAATAGGAGACCAGTTTGGAATGATACGATTTTTCCAATTACCTTATGCTGCTGGGCCTACTTTATTAGCTTCCACAATTCATACCTACAGAATCTCAATACTCGCCTTTACAAAAAACAATGAATATCTAATCTCATATAGTGAGTTAGACAGAACTTTTATCAAATGGAAAATAAATTCATAATAACCTCTTTTAAATTAAAATTTGAGTTTTCCCTTTTAAATCGGAATAACCCCGCCTAATAATTTTAAATAAAATGCCAGGAAAGAAAACCCCATCCAAACAAAGCATGACTAAGAAAGCTCAGCCAACTCAAGTCTCGTCTCCAGAGGACGAAAACGATGAAAAATCTCGTATCACTTCTCATGAGCGCGCAGGGCTAATTTTCCCAGTTGGAAGAATTTTAAGAATTATGAAAGAAGGCCGTTTGGCTGATAGAATTTCTGACAAAAGTGCCGTTGCTATTGCAGCGGTATTAGAGTACCTGTCAGCTGAAATTATTGAACTCGCTGGAGACCAAGCTAAAGAAGAACGAGTTATGAAGAAGCATATGATAAAGCCCCGCCATATAACGCTTGCCATTAGGGCTGATGAAGAATTAAATGAACTTGTGGGCGAAAATGTTATTATTCCTATGGGTGGAATTATCCCACACATTGAGCCAGAAATAGAGCAAAAGCCAAAGAGAAAAAGAGCTAAGAAATCCATGGGCGGCGAAGAAGAGGAGGAAAGTGGAGAAGAAGGTGGAGACATGGAATAAATTAAAATCTTCTTATAATTAGTAATTGAAATCGATAAGAAACCCAAATTTGTGGCTGTGAAAGTCAGAATCAGCTAAAGATTTTGTATTGACACTGGATGAGATTGTAAAGGAAATATTCATATTGAGATTTTTTGAGTATGAAAAAGAGAGATCTCCGAGAGAGGAGAGCTTGTAATTTATTACAGCATCGTGGCTTGGACAATAATCTCCACCAATCTCAAGCAACGCTTTTCTTGAATTTCATGATAATTTTGAGGCAAAATGTGTTTTATAATCGATTTTTTTGTATAAATGGATTTCATAGTACTTTTTAAATTTTCCAATTAAAGCTCGCATATTTTCAAGTCTGAATCATAAAGCTGCATTATAACTGAATTCTTTATTTTGATAGTTACAGTCAGCGCCAATTGCTACTTTAGAGACAGTATAAATCCAGGTTAAATTCAATGAATTTAGGCCTCCTATCCAATTAATGGCGCTTAAATTTTGTTTTGATTTATATTTGACCCCAATATTAGGATTTATATTATTTTCAATATCCTTGGTTAAAACAATTTTAGAGCTTAGCTTACAGTTCTTGAGTTTATGAGTAAAATCAAGGGCAGCTTTGTTAAAACCTTGTGAGTTTGCTTTGATTTTTAATTTTCTATTATCATCTCAGAGCTGAATTCAATAAGAAAGCAATGCTTGGCTTTTCTTAAATGTCCCTTTGGTACTAAGCATACAATTCACAGCTAAGTAGTTTATATTAAATTCTCCGAAATTTTTTAACTCCACCCCCTCCGTGAATGAACAAAAAAATTTTGTTCGGGGTTTAATTTTTTTTTCGAATTTTTAAAATAATCCTAATTTGCAAAATTGGGAAGCAAATATTAATTTAATTTATAAAATTTATGTTTTAAAACGCAATTTGTTTAAAATTAAACAGAATTAGCTATAAATTTCATTATATTAATTATCACTTATATATCAAAATTTTTTTCTAACTCCCCCCCCCCGCAAGTGAACAAAACCATTAGAAAAATCCCCTATTTTTGCCCAAAAACCCGCCCTCCGTGAGAAAAATTTTTTGTGAGAAAAATTTTTTGTGAAAAAAATTTGATATATAAGTGATAATTATTATAATGAAATCTCGAGCTAATTCTGTTTAATTTTAAAAAAATTGCGTTTTTAAAACATAAATTTTATAAATCAAGTTAATATTACTTTCCAATTTTTTATAGAAGTGAGATTTTTTTAAATTTCGAAAAAAAAATTAACCCCCCTCTGTTTGAACAAAATTTTTTTGTTCACACTGGAGGGGAAGGGGAGTAATTTATTAAAAAAATTTTTGTTCGCTCACTGAGGGTGAGTTTTTGGTCGAAAAATAGGGATTTTTCTAATGGTTTTGTTCGCTCACGGAGGGGGGAGTAAGTGAAATCTTTTATAAAGCACACTATCAGTTTTAGCAGTCACATCACTAAATTTTTCGATTTTCATAATTATATCCAAACTAATAATTTGATTTTTATAATATTTAATAATCCTGCAGGCATTTCCAATCAAGACTTTGTAAAGCCCTGAATATTTACCCCCAAATAATTATTGCTTCAATTATATCTAGTTTCTTCCTATACTTTTTAATATGGATCCAGTTATTATCCAAAATTTATTTTCAAGGCCGAAGCCCGAAAAGATCGCAATAGTTCTCGACACCTGCATTGAGATGGAAAACTCTGATTGCATAAACGAGCCTCAACTTTTTACTCACAAGAAAAGATATGACCACCTAAAAAGAGCAATTGAAATATTTGCGTTGTCCAAATCTCAAATGACCGAAAATCACGAGTATTCTTTACTTACCCTTGATGATTCTGCACATATTGTGTCGCCGTTTGATAGTTCAACAGATCACTTTCGAGATATTCTAGCCCAAGTAGCCCCTTACTCTTATGCAGAAACTTGCAATTTAAATTCAATTTTTGAAGTATTAGGAAATGAATTAGAGATCAGCCAAGAAGAGCTTCCATATGCTCTCCACATTATATTAATATACGGGAGAAACCTCCAAGTCCCAATTATTTCTCAAATCAATGAATTGCTAGCACACAGAGATGTTTATTTCGATGCGGTTTATATTCATGGGAAAGATTCAACACCTTTTCATGAAGAAATTTCTAAAACAATAAATAGCTTGATACTGGATCCAGATAGAAAATTTTCTTATTTTTTTGAAGTGAAAAATGATGCGAGCAAACTTTATCAAGCTTTCAGCTTGTTGACTGGGCATGTTCAGCAAAGGTGTAATCAGAAAATGCATGAGGAGCTTATTAATCAGCAATTGAATGGTGGGAAAAAAAGAAGGTAATTGAATAAGAAATAATAAAGTAATTATTTAAATTCATTAATGACTGAAGTTAAAAGAACATTAAAAAGCAGTGGAGTTATTAGTAGGCATCTCAATGACATGCTTTTGCTAAGTAGCCAGCTTGAAAAGAAAAACAGTCCAAATGAAGTCAAAAGAAAACCTATTAAACAGCCTAAAGTAGCAAGATCCTTATCTCCAGAGCATATAAGATCGCCTCCAAGACCAATATCTCCTCCTAACTTGAATGAAAAAAAGAAGTCAATCCCCAAAAATAGTAGTCCTGATGAAATTGTTTCCTTTGGAATAGAAGACTCAACAATTTTGTATCAAAGATTAGAAACTAATTTTGATGAGTTAGAAACAGAAAATGATGAAGGATTGATAAAGAAAAAAGTAATAGGTACTTGAAGATCTTATACAAAGGAGCGTGCTATTCTAAGGTTTGCTAAGAAAATGGCTATATTTTCATGAGGTGAAAAAGTAAAACTAACCTCGATTTTCAAATGGAAAAACTTTGTAATAGAGACAAGAGAATTGAAGAAGAGATCGCAGTTAATGAGAAAAGCTATTTATAAGCCTTCATATGAATTAGAAAGAGTTCAGTTTCTTTCTAGCTATCACAAATTTAATGAGCAGCTAAAGCTTATGAAAAATGATCTTAAAATTATAAAAAATTCAAGGCCAAAATACGAATTTAAACAAGATTTATTCAGTCCTAAATTTGCAGCTGATAAAGCGTTCTTGAAAAAAAAAGAAAATCCTGAAATTCCTCTTACTCCCCCTTCCGTGAGTAAACAAAACCATTGGAAAAATCGCTATTTTTTGCCAAAAACCCACCCTCCGTGAGTGAACAAAAATTTTTTATGGAAAAAAATTTGATATATAAGTGATAATTATTATAATGAAATCTCGAGCTAATTCTGGTTAATTTTAAACAAATTGCTTTTTAAAACATAAATTTTATAAATTAAATTAATATTTGCTTTTCCAATTTTTGCAAATTAGGATTTTTTTAGAATTCGAAAAACAAAATTTTCTATAAAATTTATATATAATTTTTTTTTAAAAACAAAATTCACCCCCCTCCGTGAGTGAACAATTTTTTTGTTCACTCACGAAGGGGGGAAGCTAAGAAAAACATTAAACAGAAAGATCCTATTTTAAAAAAAGATTCTAATGAAAATATAAAATTAGGCAAATCTCTGGTTCCCAATAAAATACAAAAACATTCTTCAAGCAAATCATTAACCCAAAAAGCATTTGTGGAAAATAGCAATTGATTCGAGCCTTATCTTCAAAAAAAAGAATTTGAAGACGAAGAATGTGATTCCCTATCAAATCAAGAAAAAATCAATTGCATGAAAAAATATTTCATGCGCTGGCTGTCTCAATATATGTATGCAATAAATATTTACAGAAATTATCATTTAAAAAAAACCTTCAATAGCTGGGCTTATTTTTTGCAGCTAAAATTCAAAAGAGCCAATGATTTTTTTTTAAAAAAATCCTTAAATCGTTGAATTTTATTATATAAATCTCCAAAAAGTGAATATAAAGCATATTATCTTAAAAAGTCATTCAAAGCCTGGGTGAAGTTCAAAAAACTTTCAAAAAGCCAATATAAGCAATACTATTTGAAGAAGCATTTTTTTAAATGAATAGAGTTCCTTCAACTAAAGGCTAATAAACTCTTGGCAAATATTAATGCTACTTCTTTTTATCATAAGCATTTGCTTTCTAGAACATTTAAAGCTTTATATCCCAAAGAATACACTATTAAAGAAATTATGGCTTCTAATCACTGGCATTCTAGACTGAAAATTCATTATTTCTATCAATTGAAAAAATTTTATTTAAAAAGTAGAAGTATAAAAATGATGCATCATATAACAGAAAATTTGATAAAAAAAGTGTTAAGAAAATGGAAATGCTTATCTGACTTATATTCTCAAAGGATGAAAGAAATGGATAGTTATTATTTAAAAGAACTAGCTCATAATTGCTTTGATTCATGATCAGAATGAGTCTTACAAGAAAAAATTGTTAGGACACTTAAAAAGCAAAGAATTTTTCGAGCATGAAAATACACTTCGCATTATTTACTAAAGGAACTTCCTAACAAATGGAAGCTTCACTCCTTGAAAAGAAAAGTTTTTGTTGCTCTAAAGGTTATTCATATTTAGAAATATTATATTAAAAAGAAAAAAGCTTTTAAGGGGATAAAATGAAGAAAAGAAAAAGAAATACGGCAAAATGAAAAGAGAAAAAAAATTGTTTTAGCTGCATTTTTGCATAATTTGATATTATCGAAAAAGTAATAATAACTTAGACTGCGATCATTCAGATCAAGGCTCTGCAAAAAAAAGGTTCTAAATCTCTTAAAGGTAAACTTTATATAGAAATTTCACGCTTTGATGAAGAAAAACAACCATGTTTTAGCATTAAAAGCAAAAAAAGAAGGCTTGATTAATACTAATTTGAAAAAAATTGTGTTTATTGGCTTTCTCAATAATCACTTATCCCAAAAAGCTAAAAAAGATTCTTTGCTTCTTGCTCTTGGATCCTTATCAAAGCGCCTCAAGCGAGACTATTTTCACAAATGGGCAATAAAAAGTGGAGAATCTCTAGCTTCACTCAGAAGTAGCTTAAATTCCATATTCAGATCTCTCGATTCCTCTCTAAAGAAAAGCTATAAACAGACCCTCTTTGATGAACTTCCCAGAGAATCATTTATAACCTCCTCCAAAAAGCTAGAAACTCAAAAATTTGACTGAATTGACAAGCTAAAGAACCAAGAAATGTCTCAACGAAAACTATTAGAAAAAAAAATCGAAACCCTAAAAAATTTTCAAATATAAATTAGATTTGTAACAATTTATTTATCATAAATGCTCCCTTTACTCGCAGCATATTCACTGTCTTCTTCTGGAATAGCTCCGTTATTGAACAAATTAGGCCTATATATTTGGTTTAATCTTCCAACACATCTTTGGCACAACACATTTCTGACCTGATCTAGCGGTAAGCTCCCTTTAAGTCTTTTATTTAAATCTTCAATTTGTTGTGTCAGCTCATTTTTTCGGTCTTTTAAAGTTTCTTCTTCAGTCTTCAATTTTTCTAAAGTATTTTCTGCTTCATTACACTTATCATTTATATCTCTTTCCGAGTTATGGGACTCTTCTAATGCTTTTCTCAGCTCATCTACCTTTTCTCTTGCTTTTTCTCCTTTGGTCTGTTCTTCTTGCAATTTATTTTGCAGTTCTTGTTCTTTTGATCTTTGAATCCTTTCAGCTCTTGTCAGTTCTTCTTCTAATTCATTTACTCTTGCATTTTTTTCTGACTGTTCTTTATACAGCTTTTCATTGGTGTCTCTCCCTTGTTGAGCTTCTAGCTGAAGTTTGGCTATTTCAGCTTGAATTTCTTCTTGGATTTCATTTTTAATTAGTTCTCTATCACAGTTTACACAGATTCGTGTTTCTTTTTGGTCTTCATCTGAAAGCCGTTTTAAGCTGTGATCTTTGCATATAGAATTTCCGCAATATCTGCAATGGTGACGTCTTGTGGTTAAATTAAATTTTTTGTTGCAAATGTAACATTTATTATCGTGCTTCCATTCGAGATTTCTTTCACCTTTAAGACCAATCGGACTTTGGCTGAAAAGGCTTGCGGATGAGGTGACTGATGAAGCGAAGCTGTTTTGAGTGTCAGCAAAGCTTTCAAGTTGTCGAGGGATAAATAAAATGGTATTCGGCTCGAATGAAATTAGTTCTGCTAATTTTCTCTCTTCAAACAATTTTATTTATGGGGTTGGGTTTTACCTCAAGAACTTCTGCACATAACAGCGATTTGACTCAGAGGAACTGCTCCTCAGTGTGTTCAAGAGGCTCAGGTCTTTACCCCTCAGCACAATAGAAGAAGGTGACCTTAGGCGAAACATGCGCAGGAGTTGAGTCGTAGAAAGCCATGTGGAAGAAAGACCTGTTGAAGCCGAAACGCTGTAATTACCTGTGCCTTGGTGAATCGAAGTGGATCGATCCAGAGGTCCATGGACCTAACACGTGAATAAATATGATGGAGCTCTGGACAAGGCTATCCCTTATTGGACGTTAAGCGTTATAAATAATATAGATTCAAGTTGTCGAGGATCGGTAATGGTGCTTTTCGGACTTTGATCACCCATGGACATTTTTATTAGGACAATGAAAGTGCAAAAAATTTTAAACTTGTATATAAGAAATTAATAAAGAAAAAAATATTGAGTTATGCATAGGAATTAATAAGAATACGGATTAAAATAAGTGAAAATGCTTAAATGTCAGTTATTTATTTTAGGTATGTTATAAAATGAACGAAAGAACCATTCCAGAGCAAGACTCTCTTACCTTAGATATGCCAAAGCCACCAACTCCGATTACTGACCGTGATAATATGATTACAGACAGAAAAACAAAATACATTCCTGATATTGGGTATCCTAAATATAAAAGGCCTGAAATTTTTGATGAAAATGCAACTGAAATTTATCCAACTTCATGAGGTCGGATAAGTCAAACAGCACATTGTAAATTTTGCCATCAAAAAATCGAAAGTTTGGTGGTTAACAAAATAGGAATAGGCGGACTTATAGCGATTTGCTGTTTTTCAGCTTCTGGAGCTTGCTGCTGGATACCTTGCTTAGTTCCATATTTTAAAGACACAATACACTATTGTCCTCGATGTAATATTAGGATTGGATGTAGGAGTTTTATATAAGAATTATAAAATATAAATATTATTTTGAATAAATAGGCTCCTCTTATACCCTTCTTTTTAATGAGCTTAAATAATTCCTTTATAGTTATATGGAGGTAAAATGCCAATTATCTCTGTCTTGACATGACAATAAGACTTTCTTATCAAGTTGTTTTCGTTTATAAATAAACAAATTGTGCAGGTATATCTAAAACAACCTGCATTGCTTATTACAAAAAAAAATAATTTCTAAAGATTTTTAATTTGTTTAAATTTAAAAATTTTTATTTGCTAAAAACAAAAGATTCTTCTTTTTTCTCAATCAGCATGCTAAAATTACTCAAATCTCGAAATTTTCAAAAACAAGCCACCACTTCCATTTACGATTTTTCTCCAAAAATGGGTTTCAATACTCACATATAAAGTAAATAATACACAAGTCTTAGCTATTTCAATCAATTATCTAATAATATTCTATAATTTTGTTTTTACACTTGACTAGGAGGTGCCGCTTCTCTTGCAGGCTCTTCAGACTTCTCCTTGACATCATAGCCTTCCTCTATCAGCTTATCTTTTAGCTACTTATATTCTACCTTGAAATGAAACACAATATATAATATTCCAAGCATTATATTCAACAACGAAATTATGATTTGCCACCAATAAGTGACTGAAAAAGAAATTGTTCCCATGCTAAATAGCTCTTACAATATAAAATAAAGTCCTTTTCCAAAGTACTTTTTCATAAAAGAAAAGAACCTCGATATATATTTGACAGGAAATTCAGCAGCCATCCCCAAAACCCCAAAAATCATAAAGTAAAGCGCCATTATGAACTGGACAAAGTTTTTAATGTCACTGTAGTAGACATAGACCATAATCCCCAGAATTATCATCCCGAATCCACAAACGCAGCTTAATATCTTCATCATAAGAGAAAGCCTTTGGTCATTTAATATCTGTCCTACCATTTTATTATAATTAACTCATTTTACCTTATTCCTGTTTTTTGCAAATAGATATAAGACATATCAGAATGAGACCGTAAAATAAAGATGAAAATACAGCCACTTTTAAAATTGATAAAAATTGTCCTGAACACTTTTCTCCTTTAGACGAACTTGAATACCCGTCTTTACACAAGCATTCTCCGTTCATACAAATTCCATGCTCTCCACAGTCGATGTCTATGCAAGAGCTTTCTTCTTCACATTTTTCACCTCCTCAGCCATTTTCGCATTCACACTTGCCGCCTTTGTTACAAACTTGATGTTTTCCATTGCAATTTGTGCATTTATTGCTGGTTTCACAAAAAACGCCTGTAAAATCTTGATCACAGAAACATTTCCCATTATTGCAAATTCCATTTCCAGAGCATTCTAGCCCATCATTAATGCAGTTTTGGGCATTTTCTAATAAAATATGGACTTCGCAAGCCTCTCCCATTCAGCCTTCGTCACACAGGCATTTATTATTGACACATCTCCCTTTCCCTGAGCAGCCTAAAGGACAATGTATTGGGGTAATTTGATCTTGCTGTAAAAAAGCTGTGCAGGAAGTATCGCCTGATTGGCAATAGCAATTTCCAGCAAAGCAGACCCCATCACAGTTTTCGTCACACTTTGTGTGCTTTGATACTTCTTTTTGGCATGATTTTCCTCTGAAACCAGGATTACAATAGCATTTTCCGAAACGACAAACTCCATGAGAGTTGCAGTCGTCAGGGCATGATTTTTTTATGGAGCAGTCTTCGCCGTCGTATTGAGGGTCACAGTAACATTTTCCAAAAAAACAGCTTCCATGACCATTACAAATATAGAAGTTTCCTATGTTTGGCGCTGTAAGGCCGATAAATTCTGATCGGAATTTATCGGTTGGTTGCACCAAATCAATGCCTTGGTCGGACCAAAAAGCGATTTGGTCCGACGAACTTGGAAAGCTCCTGGGAAAATGTCTGCGCTTTCAGCGCTATATAGAGGAAACCTCTATACCATTGCCAGGACAATTGATAGGCACTGGGACCAAGCAATTTTCTCCAGTTCAGCCGTACTCGCATTCACATATGTTGCCATTTCTTTTAGAATGAGGAGGGCATGATTCGGTTTTTAAAAGTAAGCTGCAGTCTTCTCCGTGGTATCCTTCTTTGCATAAGCATTTTGAGTTCTCACAAACTCCATTGCCTGAGCAGGAATTTGGGCAGGAATTTTCCCCACATTTTTGGCCGTCTTCACAGAAGAAACACAAATAAAATGGCAGCTTATCCGACACGTACTTCTCCTATACCTTTGGTTTAAGAGGGCCGGGGCCTGGAGTTTGGCCCGAGGTGGGCTTTGCTCCTGGTCGGGACACCACGATAGGATTTTACCCCATACCATAGACTAGGAAAACCAGATCCATACGACAACTCCACACTCTTGGATGCGAAGGGCAATGGGGACTAGAAGGAGGATTTGGGGTCGTTCCTACATCCCATCCCCAGATAGATCATGCCGACCACTAGGAGTTGTCCAAGGAAGTACCTGAGTGCATCTCCCCGAGGGATGGAGACGCCACCACATTTTGGTGACTTCAACAGAAAAGGGCGTGATACCTAGGACGAGGAGCATGAAGTTGGCGAAGGCAGAGAGGGGCTGAAATAAACCTCAAAGACACACTCAAACTTATAATAATCTAATCTAATCACAGAAGCAAGAGCCGTAGATACAGATGGAGCCTGCAGGGCAGGAAATTGGACAAGAAACAGATATTTCACAGATTTCTCCTGTATAGCCAGGATCACAATAGCAGTGTCCATACTGACACATCCCATGATTTGAGCAGTTTTCTAGGCATTTTACAGCTTCTTTAGAGGTACAAGTTGACCCTGAATATCCTGGCTCACATAAGCATCTTCCATGATGAAACGTACCATGACTATTGCATTCGTCTTGAATTTTTATTTCACAGTTTTTCCCTGTTCAACCTTTATTGCATAAGCAGTCACCATGCAAGCATTTCCCGTTTTTCGAGCAATGCTTAGGACAATTTAAAGACAGCGAGCAATCTTTACCTATAAATCCAGGGTTGCAGGTGCAGATTCCAGCTATGCATTTACCATTTTGACATTGGCAGCTTGCTCTTTCACAATGATTCCCAGAATATCCAATATTACACTCACATTGCCCTTGCTTACAAATTCCATGGCCTGAGCATTGTCCATTTAAAAAATCCCCACAAGCTTGAGTAGGCTGACTACAATCTTCTCCTTTTCAGCCATTTAAACAATAGCAAATTCCATTTTTGCAGATTCCATTTCCATTACAATCGCAGCTCTCATCACCATTTCCTGCTTCTTTTTCCTCACAAGCGTTTCCTTTTCATCCATTTTCGCATACACACATCTCATTTTTACAGACTCCATGGCCATTGCAATTATTTTTACACTGCGGAGGCTCTCCACAGTCTTCTCCACCCCATCCATTGTCACAATAGCATTTTCCTTGCTTGCATTTTCCATGATAATTGCATTCTTTTGGGCACGCAATTTCATATTCACAAGCTTCTCCATAATACCCAGGGTCGCATACACATTTTCCTAGTGTGCAGGATCCTCTATAAGAGCAGTCTCCAGGGCATCTTTTCGCTTGTGAGCAATCATGCCCTGTAAAGCCGCTATTACATTGGCATACTGAATTTTCACAAATTCCATTCCCAGAACAATCATTTGGGCAAAAATCAGAGCAGTCAGGCCCAGTATAGCCACTATTGCAAATACATTCTCCTTTAGGTGTACAAATTCCCTAAATATTGGTTACATTTCCGCTGCAGTCATTTATACAAGGCTTCATAGAGCAGTCATCACCTCTTCAGCCAGTCTTGCACTTACAAAGGCCGTTTTCTTGGCAAGTTCCATGAGAACTGGAGCTGCAATTTCTTGGGCAAGGGATTTGACTATATAATAATTACATATCGCACATAGTACCAGAATACCCTGGGTAGCACTCACATCTTTCAGTTTTTGCGTTGCAAAATCCTCCAGATGTTATCACTTCAAAAATGGGAGTCCCTTGTAAAGTCAGGGGTATGTCTTCACGAGATTTATAAGTGTGATACCCTGCGTCAGTGTAGAGTTCATATCTGACACTTAAAATTGTACAATTCATAGGACAGATTGTGTGCTCACATTCAGGACCACCATATCCCATATAGCATTTGCAGACTCCATGCTCGCAAAACCCTCTCTGATTGCAATCATTATTGCATCTCATATCAATTGAGCAGTCATCTCATTATTACTCTGCGGATCGGTTTTGCCTATTCTAAAGGGCTTTTTTCTGAAAGGTTAAATAGTGTGTGCACTGTACCTTTTTAATCCACCTCCCAAAACCTATTAAAATGACTGTAATTTTCAAAAATGGCTTTTAGTATGATAAAAATACAAATGATGCTTTGGATTTTTCCAAACTGGGGATGAAAGAAGTAAAAGATCTTTTAAAACAGCAAAAACTGAGGAAAAAAGTACATATAAAAATCTATTATTTTAAATTGCAAAAAATTTTCCTATAAATTTTGTATTTTTTTTTGTTCACTCACGGAGTGGATTTAGTGCTTTTGTTCACTACTTTTTCATACATTTTTAATAATTTATTTAATAATCACTTTTCTTGTATTTCTTTATAGTTTTTGATCCTCTATTTTATATAATATATTTAACTTTCTAACAGAATTATCTTTCGACTATTATCAGCCTTTTATATAAAACTATTCTGCGTCACTTTCATTATTTTATATTTTACAGCATACTTTTTTCCTGCAATTTTGAAAGACAAAAATTTATGATTGTGTATTATACTCTTACGTTCATTTAGGCGATATTGTGTTTTCTATTTGCTATTATGCAATATATACTGTTTATATATACGATCCTATCTTGAGCTTTCTCTGATTAAATTTGCTTAGTCTTGATAGAATATAATTTTGATATGCACTTTTACCTCTGTTTTTGCTGTTTAAAGCACCCTTTACTTTTTTCACCCTGTTTGAGAAAATTTACCTTTTTCATGCCAAAAACCATTGAAAATTACAGTTATTTTTATAGGTTTTAGGAAGGTTGAAAAAAGTGCAGTGGACTTTATTTAGCCTCACCCATTTTTTCCTTCTTCTAGAAGTACTGTTTTCCCTGTCACAACACCTGGCTGCAGGTGTCCTGCAGAGGGTCATTATATAGTGACTAGCGCATAATTAGCTTATTCTGAGAAGGAGCAAGTTATGAGCAAGTCCAAAACCTACGCACTCTAGAGCCATCCACGTATAACCGACAACAGCCGGAGAGCAGTAGCTGAGCTGTCGCGCGATGGCCTTGGATGAGCTTAATTAATTCAGATCGATATCCTGCCCAGTATTCTTATCAGAATTAATTAACTATAACTAGCATCATCTCCTTCCCAGCCACTTTCACAGTTGCATATTCCTTCCTCGCATTTCCCATTCCCTGAGCATCTATTTTTACAAGAAATTTCGCAATTTGCCCCAAAATACCCATCATCACATTCACAGCAGCTTCCTTTATATTTTCCATGCCCACTGCAGTCTGGGCATTTCGCATCACAAAATTTCCCACAAAATCCTGGCAAGCAGTGGCATTCTTCACCTACCAAAGTTCCTTGTTCATTACAGTTCAAAGAATACTTCGGCAGCTCACATCCTTCACAGTTGCAAGTATAATCACCAGTGCATTTAAATCCATCAGGGCAGCCATAAGGACAAGCAAATTCGCAATTTTCTCCTCCGAAATTTTCAAAACAGTCGCATTTTCCAGTTTTGTGATTGCAAGATCCTCGTGATTGTTCACTCCCACAAGAATAAGGACAATGCCGAAATTCACAGGAAACCCCGAAATATTCAGGGAGACAAATGCATTTGTCGTTTTCACAGACCCCACGATTTCGACAGTTAGAAGGACAGTTACCATGTAGCTCAAAATTTTCTTGCAGAAGAATGGGGTTTGTTGTGTTTTCTGGGGTGGAGATTGAAGAAATCTTTGGGGGATTTGTGACAGAGCAATCAGGGCCTTCAAAATTATCATAACAGATGCAGGATTTGGTTGAAATTTCACATTTACCATTGTCATTGCAGTTGTTTTGGCAATAAGACAGCTCACAAGATTCTCCATAAAATCCTTCTTTGCATTCACATACCCCATTTGAAAATTTACCATTAGATTCTTCACAATAAGTGTCACATTTAGCTTTTAACATTAAAAAATAAGGCTTTTCTATGTGAGATTCATGCAAAAGTCCATGCCCGCCTATGAGAAATCCTCCATAGTCAGTTCCTAAAGCAAGCTGTTTTTCTCTTGGAGGAATTGATTGATTGGGATTTGCAATTTTTTGATTGTTCCAAAATAAAGATTTTTTTCCTGATAAATTTATATCGAATCTAAGCGAAAAAATGTCATTATAGCATTGGGATAGTGAATAATTGCAGCCTCCTATTAAGAATAGGTTTAATCCGTTTTTTATAAGAGAATGACCTTCTCTAGGTGAAGGAGGTTCTCCTATTAATTCGAAATCTTTTGAGCTAAGCCATGATAATGAAATTTTCGCTTTTATGAGCTGAATTTTTAAGATAGAGATATCATTGAAATATTCTCCTCCATTACTTCCTCCAATAACGAGCATAAATCCATATTCATTTTTATTGATGATGTGGCATGAATGCCCTTTCCTAGGAGAAGGGCCATTGCCGGTGACTTCAGGTTTTTCTCATTTAGAACCTTTAATATCAAAAATCCACACATCGTTATATACACCCATTTCGCTTTCCCCACCAAACAAAACTAAATATTTAGCATTTTCACTATTAAAAATCCCTATACAGCCATCAGATCTAGCAAGCAGCTACATAAGATTTATACCGCCTGACTCCTTATTGATTTCTGAGGAAAAATCCCCTTAATCAAAAATTTCTTTGGCATTTTTTAAAATATTCTGAAAAATCAAATTTAAGACTGACAAATAAAAAAAATAAAATGAATATTTTTAATTTTCTCAGAATTTTAAATCAATTTTTTTGCTTAATAGTAATTGTCCTTAAAGATCTATAAAGGTGTACGCGCTATACATTTTCATTTTTATTTTCAATAGTTTTTATTTGGTCAATATTGCTTACATCAACTCTATACAAGTCATTCAAAGGATCTCCATTAATATTTTGGCCACCATAAAGGTAAAGGAACTTTGATTCTTCATCAAATATTCATGAAAAGCCAAAACCAGGAGGAATTTTTGTTTTGATTTTTGTTGAAATCCATTGCTTAGTGCTGAATACAAATTACATCAAATCGAAAATAGAAAGATCAATTGAGCAGCGTTTTGATTGAGTTGGGCAAGTGTTAAAAATATAAGAAACTGATTGAGTAGAAAAGCCAAAAGGCTCATAAAATTGATAGTTTTCGATAATTTGCTCTGAAGAGCTTCAATATGCGCAATTTTCTGTGTTTGGAGATATTAATCCGTTATTTGGACTTTGGAGAAGGCCTGGTGATAATGGCTTTAGCAAGGCTTGAGTTTGAATGATTTGAGCTATGATAAATGCTAAAATCATTTTTTAATTTAAATTTTAACTGAAATATGAATATTTTATTCAAAGTAAATTTTATCCAAAAATCAGTAGCTTAATTATAAGAATAATTTATTATGATTAATCTATAAGATTGAAGTATTTTATGGATAAATAAATGGTAAATTCCCAATAATATTACTTTATAGCAAATGCTAACTCACCCCTCCGTGAGCGAACAAAATTGTTTATAAAATCTCATCCTAATTCTGTTTAATTTTAAACAACTGCATTTTAAAACGTAAATTTTACAATTAAAATAATTTTTACTTCTCAATTTTTACAAATTGGAATTTTTTTAAATTTTGAAGGAATACAAATTCTTTAAAATTTATCTTTGAATTTTATATTAACAAAGATAAAACCCCCTCCGTGAGTGAACAAAATTTTTCTTTTCGCTCATGGAGGAGCCTAAGAAAAGTCATCAGAAAATTTGCAGGGATTATTGCTTCACCAGATGAAGTTATTTTGCTAGTTGATCAAAATAATAAACCTATTGGAAGCACAACAAGGCGAGATGTTCGAAAAAATCACCTTTTGCATCGTTCAAGCTTTATTTTTATCCAAAATCCAATATCTGAGAAATTTTATGTACAAAAAAGAGTTATGCATAAAGAAACTTTTCCAGGCTATTATGATCCTGCTCCAGGAGGGATGATTTTAGCCTCTGATCCAAGCGATGAATTTGGAGCTAAAAGGGAGCTAGAAGAAGAAATGGGCATATCTGGGGTGAATCTTGAATTTTTGTTTAATATGCTATATAAATCAGAAGATCCATTGTGGTGTGCTGTGTTTTTTGCTAAATGAGATGGAGAACTGAGGCTTCAAAAAGAGGAGGTTGAGTTTGTAGAAATGATGAGCCTAGAAGAAATCATAAGAAGGGCAAGGCTTGAAAGTTTTACACCCGATAGTATGGAAATATTGAATAAATTGATCGATATGGGGAAATTCAAGCTAAAAAATAACCAACAATATAATTAAATTAATTTAAGGACTACAGCTTCTTGCTATTCTACAGTTTTTGATAACAGGAAAATCAAGCTCTTTATGCTTCACTTTTTGATTTAAAATATCAGCTCTTTTTTGTTCAAATTCAGCTATATTTAGTGTGACTATCGTTTTTTTAACAGTTTCCTTATTCCTAATTCACATTAAAATTTCCACAATCTTTTTGAGATCTAGTACAATTTTTTGGATATTTGCCAAATTTTGGATTTTTTTGTCTTTTTTGGGCCTGAGCTCCATTTTTGGATGTTTTCTGGTCATGAATGTCTGCTTTATGCACTGGTCTTTGCTATCTTTTCCTTTTCAAAATTCCCTTAGAATGCTGTGCCCATTTTCTTTCCTGTTTTCTAATCAGTAATCATAGATCTTTTCTAAATACTTATAGGATTTCCCTAAAACGTTTGTAGTAACTTCAAGAGCTTTATCTTTTGGAATCGGCGCTTTAAAATTAGAAAGCTTTTCCCAAAGGTCTATAGATCGGCCAAATGTTTCGATCGTTTCCTTTTTTTGGCTTCGAAGAGTTTTTTTGAGGAAAACGAGATCTGCTTCTGTTAGTTCATATTTAATTGGAAGAACTTTGAAAAGGGGAGGAGGCTGTTTGAATCGGATATAATAGGGTGGCTGAATGAATTTGAGGAGGCTTGGAGGATCAAGGACTTGTTCAATTTCTGGTACTTTGATTTGGGATTCAGGTTTATTTTGAATTAATGTTGTGGGCTCGTATTCTGCTAAATCAAGAGCAAGGGGATCCGAAAATTTATCTGGATTCATTAGATTATAGGTCAACTACATATTTTAATTTCATTAATCTCCCCATTTTAATAACAAAAAAAAATTATTTTAAATAAAATTAAAAAAATAAATATAAATTTTTAAAAATTTATAAAAAGGGAGTTAGAGAATATCTCCTAAATATCGAATAATAAAATGGCCAAAAAAGGTTTAATACTTGACCTGATTTATATTTGTGTCACAGTTCTTGTTCTTTGTATTATAACAGGGAAGCCACTTTATTTGCCACTTTTATCTACAGTATCAATTGCAGTGTTTCATTTTTTCAAATTAAAACATGAATCAATTTTTTCCTATTCTCTATTAGTGATTACTTATTCTTATTGACTCAGCGTTTCTGAACCGGGGTGGCAAGAGAGAATAGGGTGAATTCTAATGGTTTCAGAGGGTTGAATAATTGGACTTAAATACCCTTTGAATAACCGTATAATGGGAATTTGTGGTAAAATTTTCCTAAAGCTTTTCTTAGGCTATTACTATCACTTTGATATGGTAAGCACGTCTTTGGCTGCATATATCCCATTATTCGCTCATAGATTTTACAGTTATAAAGACCCAGAAGATTATGATGCTTCTAAAATGGTTTTCCATGAGACGACAAAAGGTTTAATTTTAACTAACACTCATCAAGTTATAGCTTCAAATAAAGCCGCACAAAACATTTTCCCTTCATTTTCCGATTTATTTGAATTAAACCCAACAATATCTTCATCCCCTCCATTTCTAAAACTTCTAATGACAAAATCTTCTGGGCTATACAAAAAAGCTTCAAATTTATATGAAATTTCCTGCTCCCCTGTTACTATTAAAGAAAAATCCCTAATTTTAATCACAATTTCTGACATAACAAGTATATCAAAAGAGTACGCAAAAATTTATTCAGCTGAAAAATATTATAAAAAATTTTCACATGAATTAAGAGTCCCACTAGATGGTAATCTTTATATAGAACTTTGCAATGCGATTGAGCCAGGTGAACAAATTAATAAGGAATTTTCTAAAAGTTTGCAATTAGTCACTAATGCAGTAAACTCTTTTGAAGATGTTGTCAATTTGAAATTGGGTAGAGAAATCAAGAGAAATATAGTGAAGGTAAGCATTGAAGATGAAGCAGAAAAAATATGCCATGCTTTAGAAAATATAGCTAAAAAGAAAGCTGTAACTTTGACGTGAAAAGTAGAGAATAGCTTGAAGAAAATTTGCGAAATTGATTTGATGAGGGTTAAGGAATGCATAATTGCAGCAGCTAAATATGCAATTAATTTTGCGGTATATCGAGATCAAATTGTTATGAATTTTAGGCAGAATAATGAAAAAGAAGTTTTGTTTACGGTTCAAGGGAAATTTTCAGAGCAGAAATCGTATGATTTGAAGTTATTAAGGTTGATTACACCATTAATAGGCTCAGCACCAGTTAAATTGACAGAGACTACACTAAGCTTTTCATTTTATTATACAGATGATGTAGAGAGATATTTTACAAGCAAATCTGATGAAAATATTAGCCTCAGAGGCTTATCTTTTTCAAATATAAGCAGTAGTGCAAGTAAACATTAATTTAAACGCTAACTCCTCCCCTCCGTGAGCGAACAAAACCATTAGAAAAATCCCTATTTTTTGCCCAAAAACCCGCCCTCTGTGAGCGAAGAAATTTTGATATATAAGTGATAATTAGTATAATGAAAAATCTCTAGCAAATTCTGTTTAATTTTAAATAAATTGCGTTTTATTACATAAATTTTACAAATTAAATTTGCGAAGTGGGATTTTTTGAAAAAAAATTATATATAAATTTTTTTAAAAAAAAAAACCTCCCTCCGTAAGAATTTTTTGTTGGCTCACGGAGGAGGGGATTAAGATGAATATATAAATGATATTTATAATAAACCTAAAATATCTTGCCCATAGTAGGCACTGGTATAAAGAAACTCAATTATTATAAACTTTACGTATCGTAACCAATTGAGTTATTTACTGAAGAATCTGATTGAGCTCACGCCTGGGCTCCTGAACAACTTCTATAAGTGTATTTATCATCAGATTGGCTTGTGTCTATAAGTGGGCATCTACATAATTTTTTAAGCAAAGTCTTTTCCCATGCTTGCAAATTGCTTTCACTATTCACAGCTGAATTTAAATTTTCCCCGAATTTTTCTTTTATTTTACATTTCAATTCATTCCTAGTAAGTTTCCCATAAGTTCTTAGTGCCCAAATTATATGTTCATTCATAGAATTATTTGCGACTTTAGCTACTCTTGTGCTGCTTTTTAATGAGTAAAATCCAGGGATTTTTTTGAAGCTTGTGCATAAGATTTGTTTTACGCTTCTTTTCCATCTGTACTCTTTATTATCTTCATTAGCTTCACTTGACAAATAATCTTTATAATTTTTTTCAATGGCTTCAATAATTTCTTCCTTTGTCCCAGTATTGTTTGGGAGAGATTTTAAAGCTTCGTTAATCATAGTGTTTATGGTAGGTTTGGTCGATTTTGTTCTTTTAGCAGGCTCAACTTTATGATTTAGCCCATGCTTCATAAGCTGAGTAGCTTTGGTCCTTAAACTGCACATGCTTCTTCCCATCTGCAAGGCTAACTGATTTCAGGCTTCATTAGGGATTTTTGAATGAGGGTAAGAATTGTTTAAGTTTAATTGAAATTCCTTAATATTCAGTCTCCTTTTGTGGGGCCCAACTTGATTAAAGCCTGAACAACGGTAGTTGGACCGTCCTAACCGTCGAACCGTTAATGTTATCAAGTCACTAAAGACTTCTCTGGTCTGTGCCAGACTCAGCACTGACATCTCTCTTCACTCTAGACTCTCCAGGGGATCGACCTCCTTCACATAAGTCCCTACCTGCGGAGCAGGTACAATGGACCTATCCCATAACTGTCATTTTAATATTATGAAGAATTGTTAATAAAGTTATACAATTGTTCTTCTTCTGATTTAGTTCAAAGCTGCCGCTTGCGGGTATCAGAAGTTACAGAAGAGCTGTCACAGTCTGCAAATAGCTTGTCAATATTGAAGTTATCGGGGTCTTCAACTAGTGAAGGCAAATCCATTTTGTCCATAAAGCTTCGCTTGCGAGGAGGTGGCTGATGCTTAAAAAGCTTGTCTAAATTCATAGGCTCTTCATTAGGTTTGAAACATATTTTTTTAGAAATATACTAAAAATAAAAGTATTTTTGGATAAAATTAATGAACCCTTCATTGATAAATAAATTTTCGCCTGGGTCAATAGGTGCTAGAGTAACCCAACCATCAAGAACTGCTGAGGAGTGCTTTTGGAACAGGACTGACGGATTGTTCTGAGTCCACTGCCGATTGAGAGCCATCCACTCTGGCTCTACTTGCATTTCTAAGTCTTCTTCTTGTAAGGCGAAGTCATAGTTTTCAGAAAAATCGTAATCCATGTCCATTGCTATTGATTGGTATCTGTAATAATTATTATAAGAAATTATTTAAGAAGGGGCCAGATATGAATTTGATCGAGAATAAGGACGTTAAATTTCTCTAAGTTTTTTTTAAAAAATTATCTTAATTTATAGCCCGTTCCCACTATAGATCGGGCTATGCCCGATCTTTGCCGAGAAACTCGGGGGGTTGTCTTCGTCACTTTCAGGTGACGAGTCAACTCCCCGAGTTGGCAAATCACTTATTAGCGGCTATTTGCCAACTTGGGGAGTTGACTCGTCACCTGAAAGTGACGAAGACAACCCCCCGAGTTTCTCGGCAAAGATCGGGCATAGCCCGATATAGCTGGGAACGGGCTATATCAAAATTATATGAAAAAATTTAAGTTTGAAATAAATGTGGATTCAAGTCATTATAAATTGCTATGCTGATATGAAGAATTTTGGTGAAATTATAATAGTAGCCAATCTGCTATTATAATTCTAAAGGGTATCATTGTAATCTATAAATTTCAAAGTAATAGGTATATTTGTTTTATTTTTAGTAAAACCGACTGTTCTAATGCTTGATACATAAATTCAGCCTATTATTCCAAGATAAAATAGAGCCCTCAATCTTTCTCAATATTTTCTTCCAAATTTCCTCTATTCTCAACGCACACTAAAAAAACTGTTGGCTTTTCCAAGGATTTATATAAATATCAACAAAAAAACTTATGCTATTAATTTATCCCTTCCTTCTCCCAGTAATCACTTTATGAATCGCCAGATTTTGCTGTTTATTAACATCATCCATATGTTCTCTAATTCTTTTCATTTCTTTCTTAAGCTCGTCAAGTCTTTTAGAATTATGCTCTCGGTATTTCTTTACTTTGTCCAATTTCACTTTAAGCTTGATGAATGCATCCATCTCATCTTCTAGCTTATTTACATCCAGCTCTTCCATATTAATTTTATATTAATTTAACGTAATACTGGCTTCAGCTAATGCTTCTTTTACCCAATTCGGCACATTTTCTACTCCGTTAAATCATTCTAATACAAAATTTCTCGCATATTCTTCGAGCTCGCCTGATAAAATCGCTTCTCTGATTTCCCTCATTAAGGTAAATAGATTAGATTAAAGCTAGAATGGGTCTTCGGGGTTTATTTCGGTTGAACTTACAGCCTTTTCTGTCAACGTCACCACGTCGCCCATCTCTTGGGGAGATGCACTCAGATACTTCCTTGGAAACTCCTAGAGGTCGGCATGATCTATCCATGAATGTGAGATAGGGCACGACCCCAAATCCCCCTTCTGCGCCCATTACCTTTAGCATCCAAGAGCGAGGAGTTGCGGCATGGATCTGGTTTCCTTGTCTATAGTAAGGGGGAAATTGCCCTGTGTGGTCCGACCAGGAGAAAAACCCATCCCGGACAAAAGTTCCAGGTCCGGCCCTCTTAAATCCAAAAAAACCCGAGGGTAAGGTAAATAAGAAATAAATATTGTGTATTGATAATAAGTGGCATGCAGTTTGTTCTTTGTGTAGCAAAGAGCTCAAAAACGATTTTGTATACTTTATACAAGTTGGACAGTTGCAGGACTCATCTAAAGGAGACAAATCTGATTTCATTTCTTCAGGCCTAAGCCTTAAAAAGCCTTTTTTTGTAAAAACTTGTCCAAATCTTGCAGTCCTAGTCGCAAAAACGCAGTCAAACATGTCAACACCTAGACAAGAGCACACCAATAAATCAATAGGATATCCTACTCCCATAAGGTATCTCGGCTTTTCCCAAGGTAATTTATTTGTACAATGTGCGACTATTTTCCAAAAATCTTCTTTGGCTTCACCCCCTGCAAGTCCACCTATGGCATACCCAGGCAAATTTTTTGATATTAGCCCTTCTAACGAAATATCCCTTAATGAGGCATCCAAACCACCCTGAACTATTCCAAACAAGTTTTGTGGCTTGCTAGGATTATGGGCAAGAATGCATCTATCAATCCATCTGGTTGTACGGTGGCATGCTTCTTCTAGTCTTTCTTTAGTAGAAAGAGGATTCGTCACATCGTCAAGTGCCATCATGATATCGGCTCCTATTGAATTTTGGATCCTCATTGATTCCTCTGGGGTTAGAAGCATCCTGGAACCATCAGTTGGGGACTCAAACTCGACGCCTTCTTCAGTGATTTGTGCAAGTTTTAATAAAGAAACCATTTGAAAACCACCAGAGTCAGTCAGAATATTTCGATCCCAGCCTTCAAAATTGTGCAGGCCTGAAAAGTTATCTAAGACTTCAGTTCCAGGGTAATTTCCTAGATGATAAGTATTTCCTAGTAAAATTTGGCAGCCAAGCTCTCTCATTTGTTGGAAAGTGACGCCTTTGATAGCCCCTTTGGTGCCTACTGGCATGTAGACTGGTGTTTGGACTTCTCCATGAGGAAGAGTTATAGTGCTTGCACGAGCTCGGTGATAGCGGCCTTCTATGGTGAATTTTAAAGGCCATTTGATAGCTAGCTTGGCTCTTTTTCTTGGCTCCATTTATCAATATGAAAATTTTCAGCATGGTTAGGTTGTGAGAGAGCATTGACTCATAAAAATATACAATTTTAGAGAGACCGGAAACACTAATTTTAGAGGGGTCCTTTGGTATAGTGTTCAATGATGACCATATTAGCCTATAAAAACTCCTTAATCCTCACATCTTTGATCGAACGGCCCCCATCGTTCGATCAAGGATGATGCTTTGCAAAAAAATTATATATTAACACAATATAAGTTATTTTTTATTGTTTTGGTGTACTTTTTAAATAAGAGGGTCAATATAGTAAATACTAACACTATTAAAATGAAAAATTGTGTGAGCTTAAAACTTTTAGTTACCCTTTCCACTCTATAAAATATTTTTGCTTACTCCCCCCTCCGTGAGTGAACAAAAACCATTGGAAAAATCGCTATTTTTTGCCCAAAAACCCACTCCGTGAGTGAACAAAACCATTGGAAAAATCCCTATTTTTTGCCCAAAAACCCACTCCGAATGAACAAAAATTTTTTTAATAGAAAAAATTTTTCATGAAAAAAGAAATCGATATATAAGTGATAATTAGTATAATGAAATCTAGAGCTAATTCTGTTTTAATTTTTAAACAAATTGCGCTTTAAAACATAAATTTTTATAAATAAATTAATATTTGTTTACCAATTTTTGCAAATTAGGACTTTTTTTAAAATTTCGAAAAAAAATTTTCCTATAAAATTTATATATCAATTTATTTTAAACCGCCCTCCGTGAGTGAACAAAATTTTTTTTGTTCACTCACGGTGGGGGGAGAGAGTTAGTATTACTATTTTTAATTTATAATAATTCTAAACTTATTAGATTATTAAGCTTTTGAGGCCAGCTGATGGTTAAAGCACTTCGGATAATTATTAATTGCAGATTATTAAGAAACACGTAAATTGTTCTTAATTTGCCCATGTAAAAAACTATTAATTTTTATATGTTATAATAAATATTAACTAATCTATTGATTTATTGTATATAAAAATTTAGGAAAATCGTTCAATAAAGGATTGGGGTAATTTTCCAATTTTTAAGAATTTTAATGGAATCGTTCGATTAAGGATTGGGGGGTTAGCTTTTTAGAGTCCCTTATTTTCGTTATAGATCCTTTCTCTGTGGCTTGGATCTTCTCGAAGTCAGAAAGCGTGACTCCTGGAATTTGAACAAAGCCCAAGTGAGCTTCTGATACACTCTAGATTGAATGGACATGAGCAGCAAGTATTGAACATATAGATATGATGGCTGAAAAGACAAATCCCACATAAACAAAGTTCTTGGCATAAATTTTAGGCGTCTGGGATATGTTTGTATGGCGTAGGTGTCGTCTTAAGGAGCTGGATGGATTCATAAGCACCTAAGGATTTTTTATAGGTGAATATGGCCATCCTTAGGTAGCACACCAAAAACCCCTCGAAATTAGTGTTTCCTATCTCTCTAAAATTCTATATTAAAGTTAAGCTGGAAAATTAATTTCTTTAATTTATTTTGCAATAATTGCATTAGCAAATGCTGATATTTCTGAAATAACTTAATTCTAATAATTAATTCCATTATGTCTCTGAACATAAAAGAAAAGCTTCAAGAGTACGGAATTACAGGAGCAAATCTTGGCAAAGGTGTCGGAGTATTTCTAGTTGTTAGCTATTCTTATGCTTTTTTGCTCTTTGGTGCTTGCTATTATTTCAGGCCAGCTGCAGCTATATCAAGAATTTTTCGCACCAATAAAATCAATGAACTTATGAAAGCAAAAAACTATGATGGAGATTGGTGAAAGAAATCTATGTTTGCAAAGTGAGTAAGCCAAGAGAGAGGTCAAAGAATAGGGATTGCTTTTGCAGAAATGGTAGCCATTAAAATGTTAATTTCACCAGTAATGCTCCCTGTAAGACTATTGCTGACTGTAGAAATTCTTAAATATTGGAATGAAAACTCAGGAAAAGCAATTTCAGAAACTGAATTAAATTATCAAGGGCTATCAGAAGAATTTAAGAAGGATTAGAAAGAGTTTAAAATGAAAGAATAGTTTATTTTTAGCAAAAAGGTTTAAAGTTAGTTAATTAGCACGTGATGCTTACTCCCCCCCTCCGTGAGTGATTTTTTTTTTTTAAAAACATTTATATATAAATTTTATAGAAAATATTTGTTTCGAAATTTAAAAAAAATCCTAATTTGAAAGCAAATATTAATTTAATTTATAAAATTTATGTTTTAAAAGCAATTTTTTTAAAAATTAAACAGAATTGCTCACGATTTCATTATACTAATTATCACTTATATATCAAAATTTTTTTCCATAAAAAATTTTTGTTCACTCACGGAGTGGGTTTTGGGCAAAAAATAGCGATTTTTTAATGGTCTGGTTCACTCACGGAGTGGGGGGGAGTTAGAGATAGAAATGAGCATATTTAAATAGTTTATTTAACTACCCTATCTATAGCTATTGTGCTTGCAAGAGCTCGGTGATAACGCCTTCTATGATGAATTTAAAAGTTTATTTGATAGATAGCTTGACTCTTTTTCTTGGCTCCATCTATCAATATGAAAATTTTCAGCATGTTAGGTTGTGAGAGAGCATTAACTCATAAAAATATACAATTTTAGAGAGACTGGAAACACTAATTTTTGAGAGCGCTTTTGTGTAGTGCTCTATGATGGTTATACTAACCTATAAAAACTCCTTACTCCCCTTTCGTGAGCGAACAAAACCATTGAAAAATCCTTATTTTTTTGGGTAAAAACCAAATCCTCGTGAGCAAGCAGTAGAGAAAGGATCTTTACCGAAGATAAAGAATCCATACACAGCTAAAGATTTTTTATTGTAAATATGGTCATCCTTAGGTAGCACACCAAAAAAACCCTCTATCTCTTTAAAAATGTATATTAAAATTAAGTTGGAAAATTAATTTTATTTCGCAATAATTGCATTAACAAATGCTGATATTTCTGAAAATAGCTTAATTCTAATAATCAATTTCAATTATGTCTCTGAGCATAAAAGAAGATCTTCAACAGTACGGAATCACAGGATTAAATCTTGTCAAAGGTGCTGGAGTATTTATAGCTCTTAACGCTTCTTATACTCTTTTGCTCTTTGGTGCTTGCTACTATTTCAGATCAGCTGCAGCCATATCAAGGATTCTTCGCACCAATAAAATCAGTGAACTAATGAAAGCAAAAAACTATGATGGAAATTGGTGAAAGCAAAGCGTGTTTGGAAAGCTAGCAAACCAAGAGAGAGGTCAAAAGCTGGGGATTGCTTTTGGAGAAATGGTAGGCACTCATATGCTACTTGAACCTGCAATGCTCCCTGTAAGACTATTGATGACAGTAGGGATTGTTAGCTATTGGAATAGATGCTCTAGAAAAGCAATTTCAGAAGCAGGAAGAAGGCCTAGAAAGGTTTAAACGAAATAATGGCTTATTTTAAGCATAAAGGTTTAAAGTTAGTTAATTAGCACATGATAATTCAAGATAGAAATAAGCATATTTAAATAATTTTGTTTAACTCCTCCCTCCGTGAGCGAACAAAAAAATTTTGTTCGATTATAGAGGGTTAAAAAGTATTAAATATAAGAAGTTTTTTCAAAATTACATTATAAATAAATTGGAATCATCATAAGATTCATTAGGCTTAAACTTACTAAAAGCCTTTCAGCTTTTCATTTGTGTTTTCTCTGTAGGCTTCATGAAAATTTTTTTGTTGGCATTTTTGCCAAATTTTTCTCCTCATTTCCAAATCTTCTCAATTTAGCACTTTAAAAATGGAGGAAAACAGAAGCATTACCTTCCTTTCTGCGTCCTCTGAAGCAGACGAAGAAATGCCGAATTTTTTCTCAAAAGAACCAAAACCCTTAATTTCAACCAATGTTTATGTTTGCTCAAAATCCAGATCAAATATTATAATGATTGATTGAACTGACAATAAAATAAACAATTCCAGCAGATTCGAACAAAGAAACTCGAATTTTATGGCCTTAGACCCAATGAATCTTATGAAAAGAAACGAAAATTATAGTGTCAAACTAAGGAAAGACCAGAGAACAGATTTTTTTCAAAAGAAAAGGCTTAGATTAGATGATAGAACTGAAGAAACAGAAGATGAAAATGAAATAAATCTTATCAAAAAAATAAAATTGATATCGGAATCAAACCCTATCAGAAAAATAAAAGATAGATCAGATTCAAATTTTATCAGAAATAGGAAATGCAGTGAAGATGACGAAATAGAATCAGAATCAGAATTAGAGATAATCTTATCAGAAAAATAAAATTGATATCAGAATCAAACATTATCAGAAAAATAAAATTTAGATCAGATTCAAATTTCATCAGAAATAGAAAATTCATATCAGACTCAGAAATCAAAAAAAATCGCGGATTACATGGGATCAGAAAATTTAACTAAAATATTATCCAAAAATTTTAGGAAAAGAAGAAAGTTAAAAAGTTTTAATCGGGACATGGCCCTGAAATAAAGGCCTTTAAGTAATAAAGATCTCTCTCAATTTAGCGTTTATTTTTTCTGTTTCCTTGCATGCTTCTTCTAAGACCTCGAATTTTTTCGCTGCTCTATCTTCACCAGCTTTTTCATCTTCATCTTTCCTTAGCTTTCTTTACTTCCTCTGCTTTTATCTCCATTTCTTTATCTGCCTCTTCATCTACTTTTACTGCTGGTTCTTCAGCCGCATCTTCACTAATTTCTCCAGATGGTCCATTATCAAATGCCTCAATCTCAGCCTCACATTTTCCTTCTAAAGCGATTTTCTTTATGTTTTCGTCTGCAGCCCACTGAAATTTCTATTGAATTTTGATCCAAGCTTATCTCTGGCTTCATCAATGCTGGGATTTCATTTTGTTTAAAGGTGATTGAGATTAGCTCACCATCATCAAAAATTTTACCTCGATGTTTTCGTCCTCATAAAAGACCTTCTCAGCAAGTTCGTCTTACTTTAATTTCTTCATCTTCCTGATCTTCATACCCAGATTCTTGTTCATTACCAAGCAATTCATCTACTTAGCGCCAAAAGAATAACGTGCCATTTTCATAATCAATATTGTCTGATTGTTCTCTGACATTGCAAAATTTCTGGCTGATTGTTAGAACAGTTTTTTCTCAGATAAATCTATCTGGCCTATTTTCATCCATTGCAGAAATAATTAGTGAATAACTGGAATTTAAAATTAATTTAATTTTAATTAGTTAGAGATATTATTATATAGTCCGAGACTTTTTATGGCTTGGGCTGTGCTGGCAACTTCTGATGTCATCCAGTTGAAAAGCCAGCTCCCTGGGTAGTAAATCTCCAGTATCAGGCAGATTTGCCACCCAGAGAGTTGGTTCTTCAACTACTCCTTCAGTGGTGTAGGGAGTTTTCAACACAGCCCAAACCATATAAAGGCTCACTCTATATTGACTCACTTATAGATCAATTTTTATTAAAAGTTTTGTTTGATTAGATTGTGGGTTTTTGCCAAAAAATAATGGTGTGTTTGTTCACAGAGGGAAGTAAGCAGTTTAGCATGTAATCAGCTATTATGAAAATTTATATAGACAGGTGCTCAAATACTTATCTTTATGCATTTATATTTAGTTTAAAATATAAAATAATAATTACAAAATCTAAAATAATCCAGCTTGGCTTTAGACAATTAAATATTACTGCCAAATTCAAAAATAACTAAAAAATATTAATCAACTATCACTGCAAATTGAAAAATTTATCTTTAACTAAAATGAAATAGGCATTTTGGAAATGGCACTTGCTCCCTTTAAATTAGAGCTACTCACTGTAAAATTTCAATTTTTTAATAGAAAATTTTCAAGGTAAGAAACATATCTTTATATAGCCCAGCTTTGATATAATCTAATGGAGGGAGTTATATTAGAATGTTATTTAAATATTCGGCATATAAATCCATTAATTTTTCATAAATTAAAATTCAAAAAATATTGCCTTATTTATATTTTCTTTAAAGGTGGAGCTAGTGAAAAGCTTCAGGAGTATGGTGTGACAGAAAGTAATATCGTTAAAGCATTAGCTGCATATGTTTTTGTTGGCTATAGCTATACTTGATTTATGTTCGGATTTTGCTATTATTTTAAACCAATCCAAAAATTATCAAGAATTTTTAATACCAACAAGATCTATATAATGATGGAAAAGTCTTGCCTTAATGAAAACACAATAAAGGAGACTTCTTATTACTATCATATCAAAAATAACCCCAAAAAGCTAGAATTAAGCATGGCTTTTGCAGATCAAATTGCATTAAAATCATTAATTTTCCCCGTGACAATACCTTTAAGGCTATGACTAACCATAAAAATTGTGAAATTTTGGAACAAAATCACAAAGCCCACTACAGAAGCTTCCAATAATCTAAAAGAAGAGTTAAAAACTGAGGAATCTATGCCTATCGGAGAAGTATTCACGAAAGAGCAAGAATTTAAATCTGAATAATAAAGCCATTGTTTTTAAGATCCTTATGAGTCGAAATTTATTATTAATCTTCTCTTTCCATATCTAAATCTTTTTTCTTTTGGAGACTGTCATTTGAGTATCGGGGGTTCGGGGTATAGCGCCTTCCTATAGATGGCGCGCAATGCGCCATCACCGGGCCATGTCGGGAGAGGGTTCTCCACGAGGAATGGTTCCACGTGTGGAACCCTCTTTTTCCACGAGTCAAAAAGATGGTTCCACACGTGGAACCATTTCTCGTGGAGAACCCTCTCCCGACATGGCCCAGTGATGGCGCATTGCGCGCCATCTAATAGAATTCACTATATTATAAAATGGAGTTTCTGTATAATTTGAAATTGTCGGGGACACCGCACTCACTTTTTCTTTAAGCATCGTTACAACTCTTTCTGCTGAGTGTCGAAGATATTCTTTTGAATTTTGGTTTTCCATATTGCTAATTGAAGGAATTAAAGAGAAATCAGGCCCGTAGTATCCTAAGTACTCATCCCAGTCTGGCAGCTTAAAATCCAGCTCACGCCCACATACAATTCCAGTTTCATATGCCCAGCATCTTGACACATTTCTTAGTGTGTATCCTCCTCCACCTATCAGTAAAACTGGCTTTCCAAAACTTTTTACATACTCGACACAAGCACCATGCCCTTTAATTGACAAATTAAAGCAGCCAAGCCTATCCCCTGACAAGCTATCAGCTCCAGACTGCAAAATAATGACTTCAGGGTCATAAGTTTCCATAATTGTTGCAATGACAGGCTTGAATATCATTATATAGCTATCATCATCCATCCCTTCACTCAGTGGGACATTTACACTATACCCATCTCCAATCCCATGCCCAGTGTCATTAAAATTCCCAGTATCAGGAAAATAGTTCCCAAACTTATGGAAAGAACACGTCATGACTCTATTTGTGGTATAAAAAGCTTCCTCAACGCCATCACCATGATGAATGTCAATATCTTACTTACTTATTTACTTAGGTGTTTAAAGTGTCTTACCTCTTCCGCAGAATGATTTAGGCATGCATAAGCCCATCCTTTTAACTCCCAACTAGTGACGTCAGCAGCGATCCTCCCTATATGTTGGCATTCCAGAAGACTTCACTCGTCAGGCCAGAAGGTCCGCACTGGCCGCGTTGCCTCCCCGAACTTGATTCCTGCGCGTGTTCCGCTAAGGGTCACCCTCCTCGGGTGTGTCAAGCAGAAAAACCACATGTTCCTAATACCCTGGACCAAAGAAATACCCTATGTGGTATTCCATATTGGTGTTGCGGATAAAGGTCCACGTGGAAAACTAAACCCTATAATAATAAAAGCGAAAGAAGGAATAGTTCTCGGAGAGAACTAATTCCGCACTGAGCCATTTTATTATTATTATTATTATGAATGTCAATATCAATATAAAGCACTCTATAATGATTTTTCAACAGCTCTAAAGAACTTAATACACAGTCATTTATATAACAAAACCCGCTTGCTTCCTGCTGCTTTGCATGGTGGAAACCACCTGACCAATTAACTGCAATGTGATTTCTTCCTTCATTGATAGCGTTGGCGCCGATTATGCTACCTGAGGTTGTAAGCTTGCAGAAATCCCATAAACCTTCAAAAATAGGGCAGTCTTCACCCATGTTAAAGCCAATAAAAAGGTCTAAATAGTCATTAAGATTGTCAGGGGTGACTGTTTTAAGAAAATCAATATAATCTTCAGTGTGAAAATAGGACAAATCTTCTTCAATTGTAACAGGAACTGCAGTGCCATCAATTACTTCTAACTGATCAAGCATCCCATAATTCTGAAGCAAAGAATGGCACATTTTTACCCTATGCGGCTTCATTGGGTGCCCAAGACCATATATAAAATTCCCTATTTGGTCATCGAAATAATAAAGCACCTTCATATTAATTTTATTATAGATTTAAAAAATGAGGGATTATTGGGTTAAATATAATAAGAATAATATTTTGACGCCAAATCATAAATGACTCCAAAGGTGTGACCAATTTCTGTAGAAAGGATGACAGGGAAAGGATATTTCTGCCAATCAGTATCAAAATCAACGTCTAAGGGCAGCTGAGATATAACAAATAAGGTAAATGCTATGGTAATATATTGCTGTGTTTGGTATTTCCCTTGCAGAACTTTTGGAAGAACTATATAAACTATAACCAAGCTATTAATCCAGATAAGCTGATAGCCTATTTGTAAAATACTCTAAAGACGCGCCTAGTAATATGCTTGCAGAAACTGCATATAAGCTCTCTCAGAACAACTTAACGTGGGGATTAATAAGATGCTGATTAGATTTTACATGAAGTTTTACTCTGTTGAGCTTTGTTGCTATAAATAAATACCCTGGAGTATATAAAATAGCGAAAGACACTAGAAACCTTGTTGTGTCTTGAAAAAAGTTAAAGAGATTTAAACACATGGTCCAGCAGGTTAACTTTAAAATCAGTATCCATATTTCGCCTTTTCCAAGCATTCTTTATATACTCTTAATAGATAAAATGGATGATTGAACACCTATTGAAGGCTCAGTTTTAAACACTATAACTGTTGATGCTACTGACAAAGCAATAAAAAAGAAAATGAAAGAGCTTGATATAGAAGAAGAATTCCATGATCCCTCTTTAGATATCAAATTAGAATCTTGGAGCCTTAATACATTCGGAAAGCGTTCTGAAACCGTCTTATCCTGTCCTAGCTGCTTCTCACTCCCCCCCCTCCGTGAGTGAACAAAAAAATTTTGTTCGCTCACGGAGGGGGGTTAATTTTTTTTTTTTAAAACAATTTATATATAAATTTTATAAAATATATTTTTTTTCGAAATATAAAAAAAAATCCTAATTCGCAAAAATTGAAAAACACAAATATTAATTTAATTTATAAAATTTATGTTTTAAAAAGCAATTCGTTTAAAATAATACAGAATTAGCTCTAGATTTCATTATACTAATTATCATTTATATATCAAATTTTTTTCAATAAAAATATTTTCTATTAAAAAATTTTTGTTCACTCACGGAGGGTGGGTTTTTGGGCAAAAAAATAGCGATTTTTCTAATGGTTTTGTTCACTCACGGAGGGGGGGAAGTCAGTAATTACTTATAACTCAATCCCTCAAGAAAAATCATTCCTTTCGAAAAAAACCATAAATACCTCTTTCTCAAAAACTGTTGGGACTTCAGAAAATGATATAAATTTCCTCATAAATTGCAAAATCTGTATGGCTGAGCTAGGGGTTTATGATCCAAGCCTAAAAAATTACCATTTGTTATATTGCCTCCCAGGATATGGCTAAAGAAATTGTGTTTAATATGATAATTAATTTACTTAAAATTCGCTAGTCGCTGCTATTCATCGGCATAGCTTGAGTGTTCGCTATAAACCGTCCTTTAACTCTTAATCTCTTATCTGCAACTTGTTTTCTGCAATTGTAGCTCACTCTTTTGCCCCAATGTCTCCTTTTCTTCTTCTCTTGGAATTTTCGAATTTTCAATTTTCTCTCCTCAGGAGTTAGACCACCGATCCTTTTCAGAGTCGTGGGTACTAGAATTTGAAAAGCAATGGGCATTTTAGGCTCCTCATTTGTGTAGTCGTCTAAGATGTGAGGGCTGAGGGTGACATTGAATGAGGAATCTTTGAACTGCGAGTTGCAATCTTCATCGTATGGGTCTGTGTTGAAATCTGTGGTGTTAGAGCACGTGGAAGAAGAGAGGAGATCGAAAAATGAGGAAGATCTCTCTCGTTTACCGATTTGACATAAGTCAAAATCAAGGAGATTTTGCTCCAAGTCAGTTTGGCCTTGTTCCCAAGCGGATAAAAACATATTTTTATTGGACTGCAACAGAAAATGACTTCACTGAATGGCATCAAGTTAAATTTCTCGTCTAGATTATTCTTTATAACAAACATAAAAATAAGTGTTTGGTAAGAATGAAATAGAATAAAATTTATTATGTGGTGTATTTTTCACTTTATTGAAATTTACAAGAGAGTAACAAAATTACATTTGAAATGAAGATAAATGCAGAAACAGCTTAACCCCTTTTGGAGTGGATAAATATCAGTAAATTTTTAAATTGGAATAAAATGTAATTTGTAGATAAAATAATAATTACATTAAAATAGTTTTGGCATCAAATTAATGCTGTCAAGATTAATTTTTAACTACTATTTAAAGGGAGAAATGCAAATTAAATACTTTTTAATGAAAATAACACTTTAATCATTCCAATTTTATAAATTAATAATATAAAAAATTACTGTTTTTTCAAAAATAGCTAGTCCTCTTATAATTGGAGCCTCAATTGTTATCGACTCTTTCTCGACAATTCCTTTATAAATTTTAAAAAGGAGAAAAGAAAGACCCTGATAAATGCAGAGAGAATATAGTGTAGGGATAATAAATTTTTAAATAAGCAATTGGAGCGGATTTTTGGTTCCAAATTAAGGAGAGTTAGATAATAATTAAATAACTGCCAAATATTTTTCTTTTCTTTTTTAAACCAATAATCCAAAAACTGCTGAGGCCTCTTAAAACAGAAAATTAAAAGGGAAGCTTAAAATTTCCCATATAAAAAACTAGCTTTATTTTCTTTAAATCAAAGAAACTTAAATAATTCTATGGTATTTTACATCTCTTTTTTCATCTTTATTAAGTAATGGACTCATACTATCTGATTCTGTTTTTCTTCTATTGATGGATTCATCCAAGCCATAAGCAAAAATAATGCACACTAACCCAAAAATCGCAAAAATAATAAAAATAAAGTGTGAATTCAACGGATACCCTAATCCACTATTAAGAGATCAGCCAAATATAGTCCCTGCTAAAGCTGGGCCTATAAACCTACACAAGCTAACAGAACTTTGTGCTATCCCATTAGCAGCTCCTAAGTAATTATAATCAACCGAATGATTTACTCCTAACTCCCTCCCCCCCCCCCCCCTCCGTGAGCGAACAAAACCATTAGAAAAATCGGCATTTTTTGACCAAAAACCCACCCTCCGTGAGTGAACAAAAATTTTTTTAATAGAAAAAATTTTAATGGAAAAAAATTTTGATATATAAGTGATAATTAGTATAATGAAATCTAGAGCTAATTCTGTTTAATTTTAAACAAATTTGCGTTTTAAAACATAAATTTTGCAAATTAAATTAATATTTGCTTCCCAATTTTTGCAAATTAGGATTTTTTTTTAAATTTCGAAAAAAAATATTTTTTATAAAAATTTATATATAAAATTTTTTTTTAAAAAAAAAAAAATTAACCCCCCTCCGTGAGCGAACAAAATTTTTTTGTTCGCTCACGGGAGGGGGGGGGGGAGTAAGGTAACACTCGTAAACACACTGGCTTGAGTTGAAGCAAAGAAAATATACAAAACTATTATAGCGATTCATAAGCTCCAGCCTCCAAATACATGAATATTTGGAAGCATCAAAAAATCTATTATCAAAATTACTCATGCGACTTTAATCCATTGCAAAATCCCAAAATAATTCAATGCAGATGGCACTATAAAGGTCTGGAACAGTATTATTGATGCCCCTCCAAAGGACTGAACTATTCCTATATCAGCCTCGCTATTTCATTCTAACCCTCCATTTATTTTCAAAGCTCTGCACCAAAAAGTAAAAACTTCATTAAAACTTGAAAATATAAGGGCACCTATTGAATGGATCGCCGCACATAACAAAAATTTTGAATTTTTTGTGAGCAAGCAAGGACTGATTTTTCTTTTTGATTTTTTTTTGGTTTCGTAGAGTGAAAAATATCCTACAGTGAAAATAAATAAAGATACAAATGAATTTGCAAGCGTTGGAAGAAAATAAGGGTATTGTCCTCAAAACCCAGAAGGAGAAAAAATGCTTGGAATTTTGTCAGAAATTCGTGATAATGTCCCTCCAATTATCGGGCCTACAGTCGTTCCTAACCCTCAAGCAATCCCTAAATAGCTGAATAGTTTAGATGAATTGGTATCATCTGTAATTTCTGCAGCATAAGCTCTAAAAATAGTCGCATTCCCATTAATTAGTCCATTTAAAGATCGAAAAATAATCGCTCATGTATAATTAGGAGCAAGCCCTAATAAAGGTGCTGTAAATGCATTGCCAAGCATCCCTATCAATAATGTAGGTCTTCTTCCATACTTATCTGAAATAATACCCCTAAATTAAAAGTTACCAAAAAGGAGCACTCAGAAATTGAGCAAGATTGAAAGAAGAGACCAATAGTCCTGAATACAAAGAAACAATGCCGTCTGTAGATTTATCATTTCTATCCAGTCAGTAAAAAAAATCAGCTACCATATAAGCAATAAAAGGTAAAAGTACAGAATTTAATACGCCTTCAATGAATATAGCCAGAACCACCACAAATGATTTTGCTTATTAGCCCTTACCTTTAGGAAGTGGCGTTTGCTTTTTCCTCCCTTTATTCATTTTTTATAAAATATTGATATTAAAATGACTGGGTCTAATACTAGTGAACCAATTTATAACGATTATTTATATAATGATTAAAATATTTGAAATTTATAACATAAATATTAAAAGTATTTACACTTTAGCTTCAACTGCATCTTTTGCAGATTCCCATCTAGTTCTAAACAAAATCCACACTAAAAGGCATAAAGAAGTAAAATCTCCTATAAAAAGCCCAGTCCAAACCCCATGCAAGCCGAGATCGCCAAAAAACGCAAGAACATATCCTAAAGGTGACCCAATACAGTAATATCCGACCACAAAAACCCCAACAACTTTGCTTTGCTTTGCAAGTCCTCTTAAAATCCCTACAATTGTGCAGCTACATGCACTAAGAAAAATATAAACACCTACTATGTAAGAAATTGAGCTCGTAATGTCAATTACATTTTCATCCTAAATAAAATTTACCTTGGTAAAAATTTCACTTCATGGAAATCCAAAAATTATGGTTGCAGTTGATATAGGAAGCATGATGACGAGTAATATAATAAACGACGCTTTTACAAAAAGCAAAGCTTTTTTGGGCTTTGATTCTCCAATGGCTCTTCCAACTACTGAAGCCATAGTTATGCTTAATCCAACAGGAAGCATATAAAAAAACCCATCAGCGCTGACAATTATTATATGTGCGGCTTGATAATCATGCCCGAGCAATGTAGCCTGGTATAACGCAAATTCATAAAATACTGTTGGAATAAGTACATTTATTAAAGTAGGAATTGCATATACTTATTTACCAAGAATAGCCCACTAAGGAGCATTTTTTGGATGGCCCAAACAATAGCTGGCTTGAAAATTCGTTGGGCATGCCATATTTTCTGGCTAACCAAATGGCGAATCAAATGCTCCTTAGTGGGCTATTCTTGGCAAACAGGTATATTTTTAAAAACACTTTAATGTTTTCGAAATAGTTACTGAAATCAATTCCAGTTCTGCATTTCTTATCAAGTTTTTTAACTCTGACGACTGTAAATAAGACTATAACTAGGATTGAATAAGTCATGTTGGTTGCAATTGCGGCACCTATAATTAAAATATGGCGTCTTCGTCTGGGCATGGCCTTCCGGCCATGCATACTCGACTCATATTTTAACTATATCCGGCAAGGTTTTGCCATTCTGAAGTGAGCAGCAATGCTAGGTAAGCAATTCTGGATGTTTACAGAGCCTAGCCCAAGCTTGTCTTCGGGATGGATTTTACCTCGTAGGTAAAGGTGACAGGTGGTTGGAAAGGGGAAGCCCAGCAGAGTCCACACGACCCATCGGGCAACTCCCTAGCGTGAAACCGGGCGTTACGTCCCGGGCTACTTGCTTTCCCTTTTTGCCGAGAGCCTACCAGAAAATCCATTTTTTGGGTTTTCGGAATGGCAACGACGTAGGGCACGGCCAGTAACTCACTCATGAGTCGTCGAAGTCGGTAACACCCCTCCAAGCCTGTATTAGCGATCAAAGCAGGCTGGACCGGCGGCCTGTGGGCCTGACAAGGTGGAAGAGAAGGTGACAGGTCCGGTTCTTGCTGACCTCCGTGGTGGACGTTAAGCGTGATAATTCTAATGTAATGTAATGCAATTGCGGCACCTACTTCATATAATTCAAAATAGACAATAAATAGATATCCAGAAAAGATATGTGACATAGAGGCTATCAAATAAGCTATAAAGCCAGGCCAAAAATGGCCTTGTGCTTGTAAATATCTTCTATAGCTTTCAGAAAACATTAAAAGGCCAATTGCTGGAATGTAGTATTTTATTCCAATTTTTTAAAAAAATGATTTTTTATTAAATATCCAAGCCTAAATTTTTTATAGAAAAGGAATTATCCATTAGAATTTAATTATAAATTCTCTTTAATTATTATATATAGTTACTTGCATATTTTGCAATTCGAGGATCGACTCCAATAAACACAAACCACGTCTCTGAGTTAAACCAAAATAAAAGCGACGTAAAATAAGCAATAGCCATAACTGATAAGCCTCTTTGAAACCAAATTCCTACTAAATGATATTGCTTTCTTCCAAAAGCTTGGGCACATAAAGTGTCTAATCCTCCACTTAATCCCATAGATAGAGATACCCCAATTATAACAATTCAAGAATATCCTAACCCCATTCCTGCAAATCTGTACTTGTCTATATTTCCCACATATAAAAAACTCGTAAGCTTGATCACCACGTTTAAAAATTGAGACACCACCACAGGTAAACTCAAAGAACCTAAGTGATAAACTGCTTTGCAAAAAGAAAAATCTGAACGTTTGTCGATTAAAGGCTCATTTCTTCGAGGCTCCATAATAAATTAAGTTTATTGGAGTTTCATTAATTTAAGTAAAATGTTACCATAAGGAGTTGTTTTAATATTTTTTTCTTCAAATGTGTGAAATCTTTTAGAGTAAAGAAATTTATAAAGACAAAATTAATCGCAGCAAGGTAGGAGAAAATATTTAATGGCATAGGAAAATATTGGAATGGTAATTTTAGCTTTGAAATTTAGTGATGTTTAGAAGATGAAGAGTTGATGAGGAGATATTTATAGTCATACAAACGTAAAAAAATATGATAAATTTAACATTCAATTTCATATTGAAATAATTTTTTTTATTGTTAAAAATGCTATGCGATTGAGAGAGCTTATCAGTTGCAATTTATTGACAATTTTTTTAAAAGTTTTATTTAATAATTTGCATTTTTTATAGAATTGAGGTGAATTTGATAAAGAAATGATTTTATGAAATTTATAAAATTAATTGTTAATAAATATTAAGATTTTTCTGAACGTGGGTTTTGTCTTCGTTAAAGGGGTCCTCCCCCGGTTGTTGCAGGTGACATATGAATGGCTGTGCCGTTTGAGTACTTAGGTTTGGGACTTGCTGAACACTTGCTTCATCTCAGTTTTCACTGATTCTGATCCAGTGGCTTTATCTTGACCTTTGGAAGACACCCGTAGCCAGGTTTACAGAAGTCTAGAGGGTGGAAACCGTATATAAGTCCGCAAGTAAGTAACTTAGACGTCCTGACGACGTCCTAGGGTAATCTAATTCTTCTGATCGGTATACCCGACGACTCATCTAATCAGAAATTAAATATTAAGTCTAAAGTTTGAGGCTAAAAATATTAAAGATTTCCCGTTGATACAAAAATCAAAATCTAGCTTAAATAAATGGCATATAAAAAGGCATTTTCTATAATGATAATCCTTGTTAATTTTTGTTTTAATTTGCTAGCTGGGAATATATTAGTAAAGCAAACCCTTTTCAATGTTTTAATTGCGATCCTTTCTTGCTCAAATAGAAAAAATATTTTAAATAAAAACTAAAAAGTAAAACTTATTATGTTTCTATCAAGTATATATAGGCAAACACTTTATATAAATTCATTTGCTGAGTAAAAAATTCAAAGTAAATATTTCAAACTATTATTTGCTTACAAGTGAAGCTTTTTTAAAACTAAAAAAACCATATTTATTGACATGGAATAACAAAAAAATTTTATAATCATGAATTTCGTAGGATATCTGTCTATTTAGGATTCCAGATCTCAGATATTTAGGACTTTAAAAAAATGATTTAAATATACTAGCAAGTTTAATGCAAAATATGTGCCCATCACACTGATTTTTGCGGTTATTATCTATCTCAGTTCTATCTATACATTATATGTGAGCTAGTAAAGCAGACTATACTTAATTAATAAATAAAGATGTAATAAAAAAACTATAAATGGAAAGAAACTTTTAATAAAGGCTAACTTAATATTAGCAGTTTATACTAAAAATCAAGTTATAGAATTAATTAGCTGAATTAATTGATCATGAGATTTTGATAAGTGCTTTCTTAGATGATAGATTGAAGAGTATTGCTTGTTGCAGTCCATTATTGGGCAAGCAAATTTCTTAAGGTCATGAATCATTTTATGATGATAAGACCTTGCGCTTGACGAAGAAAAAGCTTTATTGCATCCTTTTTCGCACTTATACGGCTTTTGTAAAGTATGCTTACTATTGCAATGCCTTTCTAATTGCTCTTTAGTAGCAAACATTTTTCCACACCCACATGAAAATGGTCTATATCCTTGATGAACTACCTTAATATGTCTTTCTAGCGAGTAACGATGCTTGAAATTTTTACAGCAGCAGTTACATTGAAAAATTTCAATATATTCCATCTTGAGAAAGATAATTAATTTCTGGTTTCATACTTAAAATGCATCAGTAGTTAATTGAAGATTTTACCTATTAAAAAAATTGAAGATTTTATTACGATCTTCATCCATTTTTAAACCCTATATATAGGCTATTTTCAATTAAATTCATTTATGCTTCAAAAATTCTAATCAATGCCTTAGAGAAGCTGTTTCGGTTGATCAAAATAAATCATCAATTTTAATTTATTTGTGTTTGTAAAGAAAGCTAAGCTATAATTGCTTAACATTTGATATAAAATAAATGCTATTATGTGCTTGATTATTTGACAAAAATATATTAGCTTAGCTTTTTCTTAAGATTTTCGATCTCTTGTTTTGCTTTCCTGATTTCAATTCTTTTTAAAAGTCTGTCTTTATCAAAATACCGCACAGCAAGATATTTTCCTGCTACTTGCATCCCTTTCAAGTGGTCCATTGCATTTTTAGCATCAAAAATATCTTCATAGACGATGAAGGCTGACCCTTTTGTATCCCCAGCAATTCCTTTCCTAATTTGTCTGATAGCGCCGTATTTTCCAAAAATTTCATATAGCTGCTCTGCAGTGATTTTTGTAGGTAAATTTTTTACATAAAGTATCCTATTAACTTCTTTTGGAAGTCTCATCTGTTCGCTAAGGTCCATTTTGCGTTCGTTCATTATGTAAATTATTTACATTTATTAAAATAAATTTAAGGCAAAGGCACATCGCAATTTTTAAGTCAAGCGTCTAATTCGTCCTCATCACCATTTACTATTGCTAATTCTTTTTCTAGCTGTGATAAAAAGTCATCGTTTGGAATTACACTAGGGAGCTTTTTCTCTTCTTTTTTTATCACTTTAGGTGACTTAGACTGTATAGGTCTAGTCTGCTTTTGCTGTGTAATGGATCTTGTCCTTTCAGGCGTTTTGCTCATACCTTTGACTGGCTCATTTTCTTTTTGTGAAATCCCTTTTGGAAACGGAGAAATAATGGTGATGCTGAAAAAATTGGGTTTAGGCGCACTCCTATAAGCAGGAGGACCATCTTGATGAAGCAGAAAGCAGGATCTCTTTCCTTTTTTAAAGTAGGCTAATCTATCAGGACATTCTACAGAGGGTGGCACTAACCTAGGGATCTGATCCTTCGGGTTAGGTAAGTGTCACCAGAAAATTCAAGAGGGTGGAATTTTTGTTTGGCTCATTTTCACTCTGTTGTATAAACACTCAGCGTTTGGCTCCTTTCTGAATTCAAGCTATTCTGTCGCGGGGGGCTGCTTATCGCTGTTTAATCTTAATCTTAGCATATCTTTTGGCACGGGCGATTTTCCTAAATCATCTTCGTACACTTTGAAATTGGGAGATTTTGACCTTATATCACTTTTTGAATAATTTTCATGCTCCTGTTGCTTTGAGATTGAATTTCTGACTCCTTCTTCGCTTGCTTTTAAGATTGGCGATTTGGAGCGTGAATCAATTTTTATGCTAATTTCATTTTCCTTCTGGTTTGATTTTTTTATTGAGTTTCTTGGCAGATCATCATCATTTAGCTTCAATATAGGAGATTTTGACCGCGGCTCTATTTTTGGGTTTACTGCTCTTTTTTTCTGAGTAATTCTATTTGACGAAGGAGAAGGAGAAACTGTTTTTAAGGATTCTTCTTTACTTCCCCCTCTGTAAGCGAACAAAACCATTCGAAAAATCCCTATTTTTTGCCCAAAAACCCACGAATAAATTTTTTTAATAGAAAAGTTTTATGGAAAAAAATTTTTATATATTAGTGATAATTATTATAATGAAATCTTAAGCTAATTCTGTTTAATTTTAAACAAATTGCGTTTTTAAAATATAAATTTTACAAATTAAATTAATATCCACTTTCCAATTATTGCGAAGCGGGATTTTTTAAAAATCTCGAAACAATTTTTTCTATAAAATTTATATAGTCAGTGTCGCTAACTATATATAAATTTTTTAAAAAAATTAACTCCATGATCGAATAAGATTATTTTGGGGAGAGCTAGTAATCTGCTTTTGATGATTTTTAATGCGGCTTATACTAACTGATTGAGACCTGATTGGCGTTTCTTGCTCTTGCTGTTTTATTGTTAATTCAGGTTTAGTTTTCTCAGTTTTAGGAGAAGACGCTTTAATGGGTACTTCGAAATTTATTGGATTTTCAATCTGGATTTCTGCTTTTGGAGAAAATTCTATTGGTGGATGCTCAAATCCTTTTAAAAATTTAAAATCACTCTCAAGCTTTGGCGAAATTGGCTTAACAGGGATTTCTTCTTGTATGGTTGATTGTTGTGTAGTGAACTGAGCTGCCATGCTTTCAGTCCTTGCAGGCTCATTTCTATTTTCTTTTTTGGCTTTCATAAGCTCTTTTACGCTTAATTTAATTTGTGGTCTCTGAGGAGGTTCCTGACTGACTATTTCTGGAAATTTAATAACTGCAGGAGGCTCTTCATAACTAATAACAGGCTCTTGAGTCTCCATCATCGGCTTTAATGCTTCATTAGCTTCTTTATTAAAGCTCTCTACTATTTCTTTATTATGCTTGTAAATTAAATAGTTAAACTGACCAGAAGCAGGCAACTTTAAGCGATTTGCCTAAAAAGCCAGTCTCTATAGACCTCAGAGTTCGGATGAGAAAAATGAAAGGCTGCCATTTTGATTTTTGTCGATCTGAAAGACCTGTCCAAGGGATTAGCTTCCTAGGTAGACCACAGTCTGTAGAGTGCCCCATATGGTCTCTACAAGAGGATCATGTGGGCATGCAAAACCCGTCGAGCCGGTCTGGCAGAAAAACCTTAGTGGGATAAAAAATCTTCTCTCTTCAGCAAGGGTTCCTAAGACCTGAAGGCCTACTTCAAAAAGATACTTCGGCACTATTTTCAGCTTCATGAGTATGGATCCTACCTACTCCATAGAATTTCGCTTCAGAGTCCACTTTCCCTCAACCTCACCATTTTATATCTCTATGCTTATAAGGAATTCCTCTTATCGCAGACTTCATAAACTGCGCATCTATTGCAACTCTTCCAAGCACATTTAAATTCTCAACCAATTTTTTCGCAAAAAACTGAACTTTATTCACAATCTGTGTCGATGAAAACTGGTCAAGCTTCACAAAAATATCTCCCATATAAGATTCATCACTAGAAAAATCATAATTAGAAATCGGATACGGAAACTGCTCTTCAGCTATTTCTCTATCACTTTTAGGTATAGAATTTCTTGTTTTATGCATTTCTTGTGTTAATTTTATTGAAGTCTGTGTCAATTTTGACAATAATCTCAATAAATAATAAATCACTTCTGAATTACTGTGGCTAAAAATAGGCATATTCTGCTGCTCCAGTTCTTTTATCCTATATATTAAGACTTCTTCTTTTTTTCGTAATTCTTCTAATTCTTCAAGCAAGCCACTAGGTATTTTCAGCTGAGGCTCAGGGTTTTCAGATTCTTCATCATAAAGTGAAATTACGCCTTCCATGATGGCGAAGGCGCAGTCCGACAGAAAAACAGGAAGTTCCGAATTCGGGGTCACTTAACAAAATGGCGGCCCCGAAGGGCCACGGGGTCGGATGGAGGTGTGGTTTCCAGGGTGGGAGCAGGTTTGGGCTAACTGGACCTCTCCTCGACCACAGACGAAAGACCGACGGCGCAATACCAAGCAGGTACTTCTGGAGGAGCATTATGTTGCTTGTAAAATGGCAGAGGTAGTTCCAGAAGGAGGCAACGGACGGCTCCCTCATACCCTGAGCACTACCAGAGGTTAAGAGAGTCCTTTGCTGAAGTTTTTTGGTCCAAGCAGGTTCGGGTGAGTCTCCCCGAAAGATGTCGACGTCACCATTTTTGATGACGTCATCAGAAAAGGGCGTTAGCTGGGATTAGTGCTTAACGCCACTGAAGCGCGAAGCTAATCCGTGTAAGGGTAGGGGCTGGAATAATCCCCTGGGACTCCCTATAATATTATCTCTCTCTCTCATCATAAAGTACAGGAAAACTAACCACTTCTTTGCATCGGGATGCAAATTGTAAAGTTGATATAGTTTCGCTGCCTGAAGCATAGCTTGGACCTACTGTTGCAATCATGACAACTTTTCCACGCAATGAAGGCTGCAAAAGTCTTGTTAATTTTGAGTCACGGAATGGGATATGCCCAGAGGTTTCAGAAGCTAAAGCACATATAACTTTTCCTAAAGCACTTAAAGAGCCATTAATGAACTTTGCTTCATCTAAACGTTGGCCTGAAGAGCTGGTTCCTCTTACTCGTTCACTGCCAGCGAGGTCAATTAATGTTAATTTTGAGTAAATTGTTTTTTCATTTATAGTCGATTCAATATCTAATGTAAGCACTATATGTGATCTTGATGAGGTCTGATTTGCATTGGTTGAGCCCATAATTCTATTACACAGCCCTGCATTAATCAAATTTGCTGCCTGAGAAAAATCGTCAACAGGCACCTGTGTCAAATCTTTAACGAAAATTCCAGAATTGGCATCTTCTCTAAGTAATAAAGTTTTTTTGGTCGGATTCAACAAATCATATATATTTTCCATATAAATCTGCAAAAAACTCAGAGTTACTGTGCCTTCTTTAACTCTTTCAAAAATATGTTTAATAGCTGCAGGCACAATTCCTTCAGATTTTGTTGTCACTTTTTTCAAAAGTCCCATTGTATGGGTTTTTCCTGTTCCTGTTTGTCCATATACAAATAAAGTACCATGATATCCTTCTAAAACACTATCAACTAGGTCTCTTGCTGTAGAATCATATACTTCTTCCTCAGTTGAATTTTCTTCTAAAACTGAGTCAAAATGGAAAGGGCGGATTGTATCTCGAGGAAAATAAAGTTTGAGGGTTTGGGGATCACTGATTTCTACACATTTTCGGAAATCTTTGGATTTAGTTTCTTCTTGACTGGCTGGGCGAACTCTTATATGAACTTTTACTTGTTCTTCCATTTAACTGAAATAATGATTAATTAAATTAACACAAATAATTTGTGGGAATGCTGTCTATTTATATCGCTGAGGCACTTCGTAAAGCATTTTGGAGTTCACGATATTATTTTGTAAGTCTCTATCAAAGTCTTTATATTGGACTAAAGTATTAAACTGCTTTTTCATGGCTTTTCTGAATTTTCTGCTGTTTTTTGACATGTGCTCATAGACGAAATTTCTTTCATTTTCAAATAATTTTTCTTCAAATTTTCTTTGTAATGTATATTTATAATATGTAAAAATTTCAGATGCAATATGGTCAAGCTCCATTTCGCTTACTTCCCCACTCTGTGAGTGAACAAAATCATTAGAAAAATTTTTTTTTGCCAAAAACCCACCTTTCGTAAAAATCAAAAATTTTTTTTATGAAAAAAAAATTGATATATAAGTGATAATTAGTATCATGACATCTCGTTTAATTTTAAACAAATTGCGTTTTAAAATAAATTTTACAAATTAAATTAATATTTGCTTTCCAATTTTTGCGAATTTGATTCTTTAAATTTCGAAAGAAAAAATTTTCTATAAAATTTATAAATAAATTTTTTCTAAAAACAAAATTAACCCCCTTCGTGATCGAACAAAATTTTTTTGTTCGCTCAAGGAAGGGCGGATTAGGTAGTTTAGCTCAATATCTTTGTATTTTTTTACTGCTTCAATTAAGGGCCGATTATATTTTAATAGAGCATCTTCATTTCTCTGATCACTTTTTCAATAATCAGGAGTTTTTTCAGTTTCTTCAAATTCGTCTGAGTTAGGGGTATTTTTGTCCTGTCCTGCTTCTTCTCTTTCTTCTTCCTCTTCTTTTTCAATGATTTCTGCTTTTATTTCTTCATGATTTATAATGCCAATAGAACTTTTTTCTTCTTCAATGTAGTTCGAATTAGAAAAATTCGACCTTATAGATTCTGGATTCATGTGGACTCTTGAATATTCACTTGATATATAGGCATATTCCTAATATGGGCGAGGGATAGAGGCTAAAACTTCCTACTTGTTCCGGCCAACTCGGATCGGCTAAAATAAGTAGAAGGAGGCTCATTCGCCACTTACCATTTGGTTCGATCAGCCTGAGTTGGCCTGATCAATTGGGAAGTTTTGGCCTCTTTCCCTCACCCATATCGGGCTATCTTAGGGATATACCTATATCTGGATCTTGAGCTGGCTCAGGAGAAAACAAGCACGAGCATATGTTCTTAAGCGAAATCATTTTTATTATAGGAATTACATAAAAAATTAAAATAAGTCACATCTTATGCATTTTGGACTTTCTGCCATTATCTGGTTTTTAGATTTATCTTCAAGAAGTTTATTTTGGACTTGATGGAATGATTTTTTTACATTTTCTAGGTAATTGTCAGGGTCCATTTTGAGAATAATCTGTGGGCCTTCATCATAGTTTTCATCTTTTGTCTTTTGCTGGTCTTCTTCAGCCTCAGTCACCAATAAATCTTGATTTTTGTTTTCAAAAGGATTTATTGGTTTTTCATTTTTTGCATTTTAGATTAGATTAATGCTGAATATGTAAGGTCGCAACTTCCACGAGCGAAATTCTGCACAGGTTTATTAGGCAAAAAGAAGTCACGAGTTGCTGCCCATTGGATTAGACCACAAAACTGGGGTTCTATGCTTAAGATCCTCGTTTTGATCACCAGATGCTACTGGGCAAGTCTTGGTTCCAAAAAACATGCCTGACATAATGGGCAACCATCACATCATCGCTATTTTATGTATATTCATTTTTTGCGTTTAATTCTTTTTCTAACCTTTCAATTTCTTTTTCTTTTCTCATGCTAGAGTTAATTGTGCGATTCAAGTCTATAACAAGCATATCATTTTCCTCTGCAGCGTTTCTTTTTTGTTTAGCTAATTCTTCAATAACTTCTTGAATTTTAGATTTTTCTTCATAATTACTAAAAGAATTTCCTGAAAATTGTTCAGTTTTTCTTAATAGCTTAAGTTTTAAAGCTACTAATTCCTCTGATTTTTTCTTCATCTCAAACAGTTTGTTTCGGTTATTTTCATAATTTTGTTTTTCTTTGTCTTTTTGATTTTCCAGCTCTTCTATGACCTTTAAGTCAGTTTTTTGCTTTTCTCTTGCATCTTTGAGCCTTATTTCTAATTCTTTTTTCTTTATTTTTAAATCTTCTTTAGTTGAGGTAGCTTTATTTCTTTTCTGTAATAGTAAATCTAATTGAAAATCATAATCGCTTTGATTATTTTCAATCTCTTCTTCTAAGGTTTTTCTTTCTTTTGATAAGCATTCTCGGTTATCTATTTCTTTATTAATTCTTATTTTCAATTCAGCTATTTCCTGCCTGAATTTTCTATATTCACTATTAAAATCTGTGATTATAATTTTTTGACTGCAAATAATACACATTTTTTCTAGTTTTGAGGTTTCTGGATGTAAGGCTTGCTTAGAAATGCATTTTGCACAGATTCCCCGATAACAAAACATACAACAATTTTTTTGTGAATGTGAAATTCCAGGAATGTTTAAAGACATCTGACAAACTGTGCATTGTGTGTCAATTTTTCATTGCTCACGGTCTGATGGGAGTTCAATTGGAAGGTCTTCATCAACGACTTCAGATGCAAAACTGCCTGTAAAGGAAGAATCCATATAATTAATTATTGAATTTTGTTATTTATTCGGCATGCTGGTGAACATTTTTCGCACAAATAAAATACTATTAAGTTCAAAAAATGAATAATTATGCTATTCTATCTTAGGTAAAACACATCGTTTTTGAGGTAGCGAATTGGGTGAAAATATAAAACAAATTAAAATATAAAATAATTTGTAGGGATTTTCTAATGCAATTATGATGTAAAAACAATAATAACACTTTTAAAATCAGGACTCTAAAGAATTTATTCAATTATTTATTCTAAAATTCCATACATTATTGATCTTTTCTTTTTACTGTCTCATATTCAAATCTTTAAATTTTCCATTTTTCCTTTTGAATGTTTTAGAATCTCCATTTTCATTTTATAGTCTCACATTTTATTATTATAATATGTTAGGCCATATCAGTAAAAGCATTGATAAAATCGTTGAAAAAACACCAAAACAAGCACTTTATGGCTTTGCCGCACTAGGCTCATTTTATGTCCTGAGATCTGGCTTTCGAGTTTTGTCTTCTTTTTATAGACATGTAATTCGAAGACCTCTCGATTTTCCATCAAGATATGGCAAAGGCAGTTGGGCTCTCGTCACAGGTGGGGCAAATGGAATTGGTAAAGCCTGGTCCCAAGAGCTCGCAAAGCTAGGTTTTAACATTTTAATTATTGATTTTGACTGAGAAGCTGCCAATCAAGCTAAAGAAACGATTGAGCTTAACTATAAAGTTGTTGTCGAAATGCTCATATTAGATCTATCTGATCAAGATAACATTGCAAATGTCGGAAAATTCATAGAAGAAAACAACCTAGACATTTCCATACTCGTCAACAATGCTGGTGCTCACAAAATGGCTCCAGTTAAGGACATGCCAAATGAAGATATTATGAAACTGATAAACACCAATGTCATAGCTATGACTCTATTGACAAGGCTGCTACTACCAAAATTATTAGAAAGAAAACAGAGGTCAGCAATAATCAACATGTCCTCAGTTTCTGCACATATAGGATTCCCTTATTCCACAGTTTATGCAGCTACTAAATCTTATATAAGGATTTTTTCAGCAAGCTTAAGAGAAGAAATTAAAGAAAAAATTGACGTTTTAGTTGTGTCGCCTGAAGGAGTCAGCACAAATATGACGAAAAAACCAGTAGGAGGGGATATTGTGAGGCCTGAAGACTGTGTAATAGGAGCTCTTAAAGAGCTTGGAAGAAGAATTGAAACTTTTGGAGCCCCAAGACATACGTGGAATGGATGGAAAAACAGCTTTTTTTCTGATGCTACAAGAAGTGAGAGGACTGAAAGATATTTACGGAAATATTTTATTAATAAGTAGTCGTTGGGTCTATTAATCTTGGAATTGGGCATGAAATTTATAGTCATTTATTGAGAAAATGTCATCATTATTGATTTTTTCAAATGCAGAAAATTCTTGGTGGTCTATTTGACTTCTCCGCTTTAGCCCAAAGTAAGTAAAGTTTCTTGATTCAAGGTCTTTTAGATATATCTTTCCACCAATTCATTCAAATTGAGCGTGTTTTCGACTTATTTCATCATTATTTAGTATAATGTCATCCCTTTCTACAGATCTTCCTATTATAAAATTTCTTTCAGTTAAGCGTATCTTTGTTTCCAATCCGTGGAGCTCTCCTTTATTCCAACGGATTGTAATTTCACTTTTATTAATATAAATGACCTCAAAAATTTGACTTGATTGAATTTTACCTAGCCTGATGATCATTCCTGGCTGAAGAGCTATTGGATGATTTGGACTGAGTCTTTTCCAGACAATTGATCTATAAAATTCGTTTTTGTCACTATTAGAGGTCGTAAGACCATTTTATGGCGGAGCCAAAGCTCACCGCCTAGGCCTTATGGCCTTAATTACCCACCGCAAGTGACGACAAGGCAGTTTATCTCCTCATCTCGCGCCTGTTGTCTTGGCCAGAACACCCATTTTCGATGCGATTAACCCTATTAACTTGGGTCTCCTCCATCGGAGTCCGATGAGCTGTGGACTTGCTTCCATCTTGCCTTAGACGATTCACCTCTCTGCCAACTCTGAATTGCGCAGAGATCGTGCAGCCTATGCTGCCCAGTCTTCGTCCCACATGCCTTGATGTCGGTCTATCTCACCAGCCATCCTATCCCAGGAGCCCCGTTCACCCGATGGTAGGGCTCGGCTAAAGGAAAAGCTCAAGGTCTGTAGAGCAAAAACCTCACCTGGGAGAAATAACTAACTTAATTTAAGCATGCTCTAGGTCGGTCGAGCTGGATTTCTCGGACATTTATTTCTAACTTAATCTAATCACTATAAGAAGTATCAACACAATAAAATCCATCATCCAAATTTACAATACACATATGAATTTGGCTGAAATATGACCATATAGGGTCGAAATTTACTTTATTTATATTTTCACCATCTATATATTTCCCAAATGCAGTTACCCTCTTGGTCTTGTCTTTATTATTAGCAATAATTATCTGCTGCCCTACTTGTAAAAATATCAATTCATTAGGAGCAGCCATAACTGTTAATGCCAAATTAGGTTTAAAATCACTATTTTTTTCTATTCTATACTTCATACTTTCAATTAGACTATATACTGAATTCAAAATTCTATAGGCATTAAAAGACTGATATTCTCCAAAAAATATAAAGCAAAAATCTTCAAGTCCTGGAATGCATGCTTCTGGATGGTCAGAATTATCTGATAAAATATAAGTCACTAATTCTTTTAGATATCCAGTTTTAAAAAAACCATAAATTTCAAGATAACCTAACTCCCCCCGTGAGCGAATAAAACCATTAGAAAATTCCCCATTTTTTTGCCCAAAAACTCACCCTCCATAACGAACAAAAATTTTTTTATGAAAAAAAAATTATATATAAATGATAATTAGTATAATGAAATCTATAACTAGTTCTATTTAATTTTAAAGAAATTGTGCTTTAAAACATAAATTTTATATAAATTAAATTAACATATTGCTTTCAATTTTTGCGAATTAAAATATCGAAAAAAAATTGTTTTGTTCGCTCACGGAGAGGGGGGAGTAAGAGTTTTATAGCCGCTTGCTCTAAATTGACTGTATTTATTTCTTTTCATATTAGCCTTGCTAATTTCTGCATCATTGCTTTTCTCAGTAAGTCTGATATAGGAATATTCTGGTCTTGTATTAACGGGGATAGCCCTATATCTTCGCAAACAAGAGTTTGGCAAATTTGAGAGCAAAAACAATCAATAAAGTGCTTTGTGAAATAATCCAAAATTTTATAGCCGTCTTCAGGATTATTTTCAAAGGTTAAGCCTATATTTGTGATATGTTCTGAAAAAAGTAATAACCTTTCTATATAAACTGGAAATGAGTGGACAAACCTAAGTGTCTGAGAAGCTATTGAATGGAGGCGAGATTCTTGCAATGGATAATTTGGGATTTTTATTGATTTTAATTTATTGTAAAGAGAGACAATATGCTGATTGTTATTCTGATTTGAGGATGGCTCTAGAGTAGAAAACAGTCTTGATTTCTGCATTTATTATAGAAAATATGAAAGTATTGAACTATTTTGTATAAAATGGGAAAGTCATGAGCCAAAAAGTTTACTTTTTAACTAATTTAGCTTTATATCAGTCGATATTTTATTTTTATTTAAAAATTAAAATTTGTTTCTAAAATACATTAAGAAGCAGCACATCTAATTTCAATTATTAAACATTACTGAAAAAAGAGCATATTAAGCACATTGTTATCTATTAAAGTTTTATAAATATATTAATTAATAATTACTTATTCGCTAATTCCAATTTTTTCAAATTCTGAATAACAATGAAAAATCATATTTACGATTAAAAAATAATTATTTCAAAATTAAATTAAAATTGTTAATGAAGAACAAGATTTTTGTATGACTCTCTATGTTTTGCTGCAATAATAATGAAAAAGAAGCCGAAGAAAACATTACATCAAACAACAATCATTCTATCAACGAAGCTGGAGTAAATTCTGGGAATCCTTTAAAGGAAATAAGTGAATTTGAGTCACACAACTCATCAAATGTAAAGGTAAAAACTCCAAATATATCAGAAATAATAAATCTAGCTCCACCTGACGCAAAATGTTCAGATAAAGGAAGCCCAAACTCAGGCTTAGTCTTAGTTAAATTCCTTTTCTTCCGCCTTTTGGACGCCTCGCTTGCTTTCCTTGCCCTGCTCCCAGTGTGCACCTAAGTGCCACAGGCTACCACTCAGCTCCTTCCGGTCATGGGGCTTGGTCATGCTATCCCGGAAGTAGGCGAACTGGGTCATCGTGCTTCACGTCGCCAGACTAGGGTTAGAGCTAAGGATTAACTCCTTAGCTCTTGTCGGCTCCTGCCATGCCCTCCAAATTGGCACTAGCGGTCCCTAGAGGAAAAACCCTTTTTGCCCCGTGTCCTATCGGGACGACCCTAGGATCGTCGTTGCTGGACTGGGAGGGAAACCTAGCCGCACACAAACGACCAGTACCCATTCCAGACCTTTCCCTGGGCGGATTGGCTTCAGGCCGCAGCAAGGTCCCCAATCTCGCCACAGTTCCGGGAGAGGACGGGTCGGTGTCGTCGCCATTTTATTTGTGTAGCCCAAAATCAGGAGAGGAAACCAAAAAAGCTTATTTTTTCAGAAGTCCAACGTTTGGAAAACCCTCTTTTTCTGACCTTTGTCAGCAGTATGTTGACAAAGAAGAAAGCACTGGCGGAACCAAAATTAAAATTGAAGGAAAATCAGAGAAAAAGAGAAGAAGAAAGCGTAAAGAAGTGAGTAAGAAAAATTCAAAGGACTCAAAGGATTAAATGTAAATTATTTGTAAAAATGGAATCATTATATGGAGCGATTAAACAAACTTTAGGCCCATTGGGAAGAGATATTTTGTTGAGTAAAGCAGCGGTTTTAACAAATCAAGGGAGTATAATAATCGATAATGTGGAAGAGAGTTCTCATTTAGTCCAAGTAGTCTTAATCTTATTTACAGGGGAGAATCTGCATATTGGTAAGGCAGTCACCAAGGATGGGGTTCATCCGCTTTGCAATGAAATCGTTCAAGCTGGGTCTGGTTGAGATGAATCCCTCAGTGAGAAAAGATCGACACCATCTTGCTCTTTTTGGGCATTTGACGCCATGGGACAGTGTTTACTTTTCCTCTTATGCCTCCTCCTTGCCTCTCAGCTCCTGTATTAAGTGGGCGGACTACGGACTTCTGCGGCTGCTGCTTGGGCTGCACGAAGATTGTCCGCACAGAATCCCCAAAATGGAATTTCTGCTGACTTTCGGCAAAAGGGAAAAATTCAAAACTTCCGGTTTTACGTAAGAGAGTTGCCCTATTGGTTTAGGTATTACCTGTAGACCTTGCTGGGCTTTCCCTTTCCAATTCTGTACCTCCGCTCTCTAAGTAAAATCCAACTCTGAAAGCGGATTTTGGCTAAGCTCCAAAAACGTCATGGAATTGCTTACCTAGCATTGCTGTCCATTTCTGATTTCGCAAAAACCTTGCCGGACATACTGTAAATATGTGCTCAAAGTTGCATGGCCGGAGGCCATGCTTAGTCCAAGTAGTCAAGAAAACGTTAAAACACCTAGTAGATGGAAAATCTCAATTTGTAATTCTGAGCTATTTGTTTATAAAAGCAATAGAAACAGAAAGAAGAAATAAAACAGTTCAAATGATTGAAAAACTGTATTTTTCATGCTTTGATAGAGTTATAATAGAGCCTTTTATCAAAATTGTAAAGCATATTTAGTCAAAAAGAGATGAAAATGCTGCAGAAATGCTGGCGTGAACTGCATTATATGGGAAATATACAAGAGAAAAAACAATTGAAATTATAAAAATTGCAGAAAATGCAGCGAATCATGATTTCAGTTATAGAAATCTGGAGTTTACCTATGAAATTCTTGAAGCCATTTATGTTGGAGATGCAATCAAGCTTGTTAAAGGAAATATAATCAGAGGCCAAATCTCAAAAATTTTCTCTGGCAATAGATTAAACCCAAAAATTATCATAATTCCAAGCAGAGACCTTATCCCCGTGTCAATTGAAACAGATATCTCAAATTTACTTGAATATTCCTTAAATTTGCAGCAAGAGCTTTTATTATATTTACAAGAAAATAATTTTTCTGTTGCTATTCTAGATTCTTCAGCTCCATTATGAGTAAAAGACTCATTTTGTTCTCTAAAAACAACCGTCGCAGAAGGTTTTAATAATAAAAAAGCCCCGTACAGTTCATCCTCCCTAACTATATTATTTACTTGAGACATTTTAGCAAAATAATGATTTTTACCAATGGCTATTTGTAAATTTTCGACTAAAAATGCTGAGAAAATACCTCTAAAAGTGGGACCAAAAACAACTGTGTTAGAAGTACAATTAAAATAGGCTGCCCATCCAGATGATATGAAAAGACTAATTTTAAGCTCTTCTGGGAATTTATCTGAATCAAAATTCGGGTTTACTTTGAATCTTTCTAGCTATGAGATTATCAGCAATTTATGAGGAGTTTATTTAATTCTTGAATATCCTGAAGCCCCTCCAACTTTGATTTTGCCAGAAAATCAATTGAGTAAATACGACTTTGAATCAATCAAAAAATTAATTGGGATATGAAAGCAATGATCAATTGATTATATAGTAATCCCAGGGGGTGGAATATTTGAAGCTATTGTATCATCAAACTTGCATGAGTTTCCATTATTGCAAACAGTTTTCAGAAATTATTTAAGAGTTTTATATGAAAATTGTGCCCCAGCATTCCAAGAACCAGAAAAAATGTGAAGAGAATTTTTAGTTAATTTACTTTTGGGGACTCCAAAATCTATCCAAGTTGACCTCGAAGACGGATCTGCAACTCTTGAATATAATCCAAAAACAGTAGAGTCTCTGAATTTAAAGTAGTTTTTATATAGAATTACAAATTTCAGATTACTAATTGAAATGTGGATTCAGTTAGCTAGAATTGACATTATCTTGGAGGACAATAATAAGAAATAGATAGAAAAATAAATTAATTATATTAGATAGCAATGCAAATTATATTCAAATATCAGGCATCCAGGCACTTTTAGGTTTAAAAGATTCTCGTTAATATTTGAAAAATTTAATTAAATAGATATTTTTGAATAATTAATGATAATAACCAAATAACTTGATATTTAATAATGGAAGTTCCTTCGAAAAATTTAGCAATAGCAGGATGCGTTATAGCTATTTCAGCTGGAATTCTCGTCTACTTATATCAAAAGAAAAATCAAAAAAATGATATGCTTAAAGTAGAAATTCTTTCCAAGGAATCTTTTATTGAAATCTGTCAAAAAATCAGAAAGGAGTATTCCAACAATTATTGGCCATAAATCTTATTATTAATTAACTTATATCTGCATCTCGCTAGGATAATTCTCTAGAAAAACTGAACCTCATAGCCAAAAATACAAGAAATGAATATTTCTTAGATAAAAAAGCAAATTCAGGCACTCTATTATTTATAGTCTTTTGGCGTTATTTCTAATCGGCTCCCACGAGCTAAAAATGGGCTTCCATGTGGAATTTCTGGATTTTCACGCGTGAAATCCATCTTTGGCTCATGGGAGCTGATCAGAAATTCAAGCAAGGGACTATAATTATTATTGGCCAGCAGTTAAGGCATGCCGAATCGAGCGCAGAAAATATCCTCCAAGATCAGAGCATTATGAGCATGCTATAGTAAATTTCCAAAAAAAGACCAAAGCATTTTTGGACCATGCCACAGAGCATGTAACTAAAAATTATCGAGTTTCTCCTAAAGTTTTTGAAGACTCAGTCAATTACTACGACTCTTTCCCAGAGATTTCACAATATTCTGAAGAAATCGTCAAGCCAGCTTATACGGAAGACATAAAATTGCATCTCACTAAAGAGCGAGTTATTGAGTTTATGATGTATTACTCGAACCGATTTACTGAGCTTAATGCTGATTATTTAGATTTTGATGAGTATTTAGTCGTCACAAGCCAAATTGAGGATGAAATTTACTCGAATTATCAAATAGAAGTGGAAGAGCTGAATAATGAGTACGAAAAATATAAAGCTGAGCTTGAAGATATAGTAGAGCCAATGAAGACTCAAACTTCATATATTTTAGCTGCTGCTGATGACTCTTTTGAGAACTAAATCTTAGGTAATTTAAAGCAATTGATAAAAATTTTTAATTTAATTAAAGCTACTATAATGGTAATGATAGATAAAAAAGCTGCCAAAATTATGTCAGTGAAGTATCTTACTATAGATTTTTTCACTAAATTCTGGCACTCACATTTGTGTAATAATCCATGCAGAGACTTGAATAAAATATCTCTCTTATAAGCCCATTCGCGATCAAAATTTTTTTGCACAGACAAAAGGGATGCTAGGAAAATCTTACTTCTATTATAAGTTTATATCTCATTATTAAACGAATTGCTAGTAAAGAAAATTATTTAGTCATCTTCGATTCCATTGAACAACTTCGCTCTGTATTCTGAAATTAGATTTTCCAACTTAAGTTCTTCGCTCTTTTTACTATCTTTCTTCACCCTTCTCTTGCTGGGAGAATCTTCAAATTCAATCATTTCAATTTCAAAATCATCTTTCCTCTTTCTCTTTGTAGGTTTTTCAGATGAAGCATCTTTTTTCTTTTTGCCTTCAGATTTTGATACTTTATTTTCTTTCTCTACAAAAACTTCATTTTCCTCAATTTTTTCTGTTTCTCGAGCTTCCTTCATCATTTTTCTTTTCATTCTTTGTCGCTTACCCCTCCCCATTTTTGTCGATTTTTCTTCTTTTTCTTCAGTTTTTAATTTTGTTTTAAGCTCTTCTTTCAATTTTTGTTGCCTTGCAAGCTTCAGCTTTCTTAGCCTGATCATCCTATGATCTTCCAAGGCAAATTCAACAATTGGCTTTTTTCCTTTTCCAAAAATTTTATCATTATTGTTCAGTCCTCTAAGACAAGTCAATGCATATTCATGCTCTTTGCACTCTACAAACCCAAACCCTCTAGAAATCGCATTCCCATGTGAGTCCAACTTGTCTTTGTCTCTTTTAATTTTTATCTGTGTAAATAATTTTTTATTTTCTAGCTCTGGGTTATTTTTTATCAAAATTTGTTTTAAAGCATTTTTCAGCTTTTTTTCATCGACAGCTTTAGGCAAATTTCTTATAACAAGCCTTGTTTGTGATACAAAAATATTTGGGTTCATTAATTTTTCTTTTTTGGTTTGGGCTGCACGAGTTCTTCTCTCAATGTCTTCTTTGGTGAGTGTCGAAAATTCTTCGGAGTTTGGCATAATAATTCCTTCTTTGCTTAAAGCGAGGTTTCTTTTATCAACTTTAGCAGGCTTGGCGGATTTTATTTTGGCTGCCTCTTCTCTAGAAACAGCGATCATTATGTTAAGCTTTCGGTCATCAAGGACTAGGCCTTCCTCTTCTTTGGATTTTGCTAGGGCTTTTTCGGCGTCTTCTTGGGATTTATAAGTCACAAAGGCGGTGCCTTTGGATTCTCCTGTGTCTTTGTCTAATACAAGATTAGCGGATTTCAGCTTGCCGAATTGGCTGAAGAACTCTTGGAGAGATTCTTCTTCGGTGTCAAAGCTCAGATTTTGTATAAAAAGACACTTTCCTTTGTCTAAACGGTTTGGCTTAGGCTTGGGAGCTTCTTCTTCCTTTTTTTCTTCTTCAGGCTCTTTGTGTGGCTTGAATTCTTTGTTTAATTCTTCTTGTTTTAGAGCTTGATTATATTTGTCTTTGCTTAAAGAATAATCGATAGAAATTTGTCTGTTTTGTATTTTTTTGTTGTTAAGGAGCTTAATAGCTTTTTCTGATATATTTTTCTTCTCGAATTCCACAAAGGCAAAGCCTTTATTTCGCTTTTTAGCTTCTTCCCATGGAAGTTTAAGATCGACTATTTCTCCAATCTTTTCAAGCATTTCTCTGAGTGCTTTTTCATCCAGGCTAAATGGAAGATTTCTAAGAATTAGCCTTCCTCCATGCTTGCCTAATTTTTTCATTAAGTTTTATTATTTAAGCCTCTTAATATTTAGCAGCAAAAGATAGAGTGTGTAATATATAAGAAAATGTGCTATAAATCACATTATAATGCATAAAGTAGTTACTATAATATTGCTATGATTCATTATAATCAAAGATGTTGTAAAATAGAGGCAAGGAATGGAGTGGCTTATTTTTGGCGGTAAAAAATAAGATAGCGCATTGCCTAAACTGATTATTTAACGATCTTAGTAAAACGACAATTATATATAAAAGGTTTTGACTCTCAAATAAATAAACAAAGCATAGATTTTTTATTTGCAATAATGATATTAAAATAAATTCTTTCTTGTATATGCATAATATAAATATTTAAATTATTTTAATAATTTTATAATATTAGATAAATGCTCTTGAGTTTAGCATTTTTTACTGAAGAAATTTTCAAAATAATTATCGCTATAAAAATACCGATATCTTATTTCTGATGAGCTAATTAAAATGTGACTGATTATTACTCTTAATTAGAGAATGACTTAAACAGAGCTAAAATATATGCTATCTATTATCTAACAATGTTATTTCCCGTTTATTTAGAATTTATAAATTTTATTTCATAAATAGGTTGATAAAATTATTGCATTTTGCCCAAAATTTTGAATCTCTAAAATCTATAATGAACCAATAAAAAATTCAAAATCTCATGTCCGTTAAAATTTTTATGAAATCAACAGAAAGCAGCGATATAGAAAATATTCTTGAGTCACAAACTTGGAAAAAAGCTTCAAAATCAACTAAATCCCCTCCCCGTTAGCTAACAAAAAGTTTTTTATATATATAATTTTTTATGAAAAAAAAATGTTTTGATATATAAGTGATAATAAAATCTCTATCTAATTCTGTTTGATTTTGAGCAGCCTTTAATTTTTCAATTGGGATATTTCTATTTTCTAAAAAAATTTCTATTTATATCAATTTTTTACTCACTCACAGAAGGGGTAGTAAGGCTTGATCTACCTTGTCATATCATAACGAACCGAAGAAAGCGCCAATTTCATTACTACCAAAAATATCATCTCGTCAGAGTAATAGAAATAATACTGACCTATCATTGATGAACAACCCTTTTATAGATTTAAATCAGATCACTGCGAATATTAAACTAATTGAAAAGCTGTCTTCCAAGAAGCCAAAAGAAACTGAGATTTCTGACCTTAATAAGTCAATAAGGGTTCCTGCTTTCCCTAAAAAGCCATTTGGAATGCATACCCAGAGTTTAAATTCAAGTTTATTATTTACTGAAGTGAAAAAGAAACATATCATAAATACAAGCTTGATCGAAGATGATATAAAATTAATCAAGTCTATACATGGCAGGCATGTAAGCTGTAAAAATAATAAGATCGAAATATTTGGGCCAAAAGTGCAGCTAAATAAGATTAGAAGATCTGCAACAACTGTGTCTATACCTAATTTTTCGTCAGAAAAATGGGTTAAGAAAAGAACTTTAAATTTTACTTACTCCCTCCGTGAGTGAATAAAATCATTGAAAAACCCTTACTTTTTTTGCTATGAAAAAATTTTTTATATATAAGTAATGAAATCTCTAGCTATATTTTTTAAACAAATTGCTTTTAAAACATAAATTTTACAAATTAAAATAATTCTTACTTCCCAATTTTTACGAATTGGGACTTTTTTAAATTTCTTAAAAAAAAAACTTTATATTAAAAAAAATAGCCCTCTGCTAGCAATCAAAATTGTTTTGTTCGTTCATGGAGGGGAATTTATAATTATGATGGTAAGTAATTTAGCTTGATAAAATTAGAATTCAAAACTTTATTATCAATAGGCTAAATGCTTAATTTCTTTAATCATTTAGAATAAATAACTATATCAACTTATAGTATTACAATGATGTCTAATAAAAAAATAAAAGAGTGCTCACTCAAGTAGTCAATGCGCATAGAAATGATGAAAGGCCATAGATTAAAGCACTATCAGGAGCCCAGCGCTTTAATTTTAGGGTTCCTATAAAATCAATATTGAATGATGAGCATTGCTGTTCAATGTTTATCCAACTTAATAAATGCCATTCTGCACTCAATGTTAAACTGCATACAGAATTTTATTGCTGCAAATGCTATGAATTTGATGAAGGAAATCAAGGGATTGCCATTTTACTATTTCAGACGCAAGCTCCCATGATCCCGCCTCCAATAGCTCTTGAAAAATGGCAAGCTCAGCTTTTACCTCAATTTTCTATAGACACTATTTTTCAAGACTCTAATTCTTCAAATCCGTTAATTGTGAGATCTTACACAAATCAACCAAAGATAGTCCTGCGGAGTCAATTTAATTAACTGTTTATAAACTTTAATAGCATATATATATGCCTTTTTGAAATTAAGAAGTATTAAGTAAAGCTCTGCTTTTCAATATAGTCAGCTTTTATTCAATAAATAAAGCTTTATCAATTTCTCTTATATTTAAAAACCCAAATGACTCTTATTTGTTGAGTAGCCTAAGTTTTATGTTTTCTAAAGTTAGCAGAGAATTGTTCATCAATATCCAGCCTTTAGCGCAGATTCCAAATATATTTTTTTATAAATGCGAATGTGTTTTATCAATATCCAGCCTTTGGCGTAGATTCCAAATTTATTTTTTCATAAATGTGAATGTGACTCCAAATGGAATGGATTAGTTTTGTCAAACATTTATTAATAGAATCCTGCCAATCTGCTTTATGCCTATTTTAAATTTAAAAGGAAATTATTATTAAAAATGGAGTAGTATAATATTCAAAGAGTCATTATGATGATATTAAAGTAAGATTAATATTTTTAAAGAATTTCCGCTTAATATAAAAACTAAAATGTGTTTAAAATAGATATTCAATAATTTAAATGATAAAGCCAAGCTATCCAAAATTGATTTCCAAAAAATCAACGAATTCTACTCCAGTAAAACCTTCAACAGCTGGGTCAATCAATAGAAGAAAATCCTTATCTCATGACTATGATTACAAATCTGAATACAGCTACAATTTAAATGAAGTATTTGAAATCACACAAACTCCTGATGCAAGACCATTTTCTGTGAATGTAATTAAATACAAAAGAAATTCTAATGCCTTCTGTGATAATGAGCTCGATCACTATGATAAAGATCTAGACGAATTTGAAATAGGGCTTGAAAATACTTATCAGAGCAGCTTTTTAAAAATTAATGGAGAATGAGAAAAATATCAAAAATATTTAGAAAATATTTCAATATGTGCTATACAAAAGGACAGCAAATTAGGAAATTGTATTATTCGTGGAATCATAGGATTAACAAAAACATTTAAAAAATTATCAAAAAATATAAATGAGGGTCCACTAGAAGCCAAATCAACAAATTATAAAGAAAAATCTTCTCAGACAGAAAAAGAAAAAGTGCCTGAGCCTAGATTTTGCTCTTCTCCTGAGTTAGAATCGTTAAAAGAGCTACAATCAAAACTGAAAAATATAAGATTTTCTAGGATAACAGGCCAACTTTGTGATCTTTATGATTCTCTTTGCCAAATGCATACAGATATTCCTAGTCCTACAGATACTCCAGATCTTATTAAATTCGATAGTGAGGAAGCAGCAAAAGAATTGGAAAAAGATGTAGAGGAACTGAGAAATGAGTTGACAATTAAACTAGTTAAAAAGAAAGTTATCAAAAAAACATTAGATAAAGAATGCCAAGTAGAAAGAATCCAAAAAAATACTCATAGAGAGGAATTGCTGGAAAATATCTTAGGAGAAAAAGAACTTGATCTCTTTAAATTAAAACATAAGTGTGAAGAGCTTTTAGAAGAGAGAAAGAAATGGCAAGATAAATTAGAAGAGCATAAGAATAAATCAAATGAAGATGAAAACGCAAGCCAAAACGAGCAAGAAATAGAAAAATTAAAAGAAAAAATTCATGAGCTCGAGTATGAGCTCAGAGGGCAAAACATTAATGTGGATATTTTGAAAGAAAAATACGAAAGAGCCAGAAGTAACTTTGAAAGAATTAAGAAAGAAAATGGGAAGTTAAAGGAAAAATTAATAGGAAAAAGAAGGAAATTGCAAGAAATTAGAGAAAACTTGTTTCAAACAAACGTGCTGTGGAGAATAGCAGAAGAAAAGACTAAGCAAATAGAATACGCTTGGAAAGTTAAATATGGGAGTGATTTTGTTTATGGAGAAATAGATACTAATGAAATTATTAAAAGATATAATTTGACAAAAGATCAAGAAAGTGATAGCGAAATAAAAGAAGAAATAGGATTTGAAGGAGCACTGGTCGGCTATGATGGAAAGGAAATCATAATGAGCTTTAAAGATAAGGATAGTGGAAAAGCAACTATTCAGAATTATTCGAATAATCTTCCTGACAAAGAATATTATACAGAAAATGCTGGTATAGTTTTGCAAAATAATAAAGAGAAAATAATTATCCCACCTAATAAAACTGAAAATGAGTATGAATTAAAGGACTCAAAAGTAGCTAAAGAAGAATTTTCTAACAGTCAAAAGCAAAACATTAACAGAATAAGCCAAGCCAAAAATATATCAGAGATTTATTCAAAAAATAATTGATTCCAAGCAAGTGGTAACACAAAAGACGAAAAAGCACAATATAATTATGGTGATACAAATAATAGTTTTACAAATAGTCTGCATACAGCTAAAATTGATGAATTAGCTGAACTAGCCAAAATCGCTGCAAAAAAGCTTATATTGACTCTTAATCAAGATCAAACAAAGCTCTTTGAGGACTATAAACAAATAATGGAAATGCGATTATCTGAATACCAAAAAATCTCAAAAGCCAGGCCAAGCCACAATAAATCAGCATCAAGTGGTCCGCCAAAATTAAGCCATCGAAGTTTTCAATACTCACGCTTACAAAAGAAAAATAAAAAGCCTAGGCCATCTCCTATAGGAGACTCAATGTTTTCTTCTATGGGGACATCTTTAATCCACACCTCAAAAGTTGCAGAAAATGCAAAGACATTTTTCTACACAGAGAACTTAAAGACAGAAGGAAATGAAGAAATTCCGTCATTATTGATTTCTTTATTTAAAGGAGATGAGGATTATTGGTCATTGTCCCCAACCACAAGAAGGCTTTTAGGAAGATGCATGGAGGGGCACGATTCTCAATTTTGTGGAGAAGACTGTGAACACTTGAAAAGGGCGATGAAAATAAAAACAAAATATCAAGGGGTTCTTTACCCAATAAAGAAAAAAAATGTAGATACTAAGCTCAAAAATATTTTAATTTATAAGAAAAAATAATTATGAAGGCATTATATAAATAATCTAATTAATAAATTCTAAGTTTCCTAAAATAAAAAATAGATTTTGAGAATCAAAATTCCACAGTGGAGAGCTGCAATTATTAAGGAAGCAATTCTTGGAGAATATTTACAATCGTAAACAGATTCCTTTTCAATTAGTTCTCTTCCTGCAATATGCATTAGTGGTATCCCAACAGGAACCATCAAAATGCTAATAGCTCCAGCAACAGACATAATAGAACCCTAAATATTTTTTACCAAATTATACACAAATGTAGAAAGAGCCAAAGGCACAACTACCACTAATAGTTTTACTAAATAATCTTCGCGTTTTGAAATATTCTTATTTCCAATCCCATAGAAATAGGACTCTGTATTATGGGCAAGTGGTATCGCGATCAATGCAAAAGCTGATAAAATTCCTATCGCTGGGGAGAGCACAATAAAATACGAAAAAATATAAGTCCACCACGGTCTCTCAGCTTGAGAATAACCTGCAGAATAATTTCTAAAGCTAATATTATACTGTCCATATACTTTTGACACAGCCATAGGCACTATAAATCCCATTGGCAAGTAAATAAGCAGAGACGCTATCAGGGCATTTCTCAATATCGGCTTTACATTAGTTCTTTTATCATCCAAATTTTCTATGATGCTGGGTAACGAAAGCTGGATCATTGATGCAAATAAAATGATAGGAAGGCTTATCCCGATATTGGAAATATTAGCTATATCATAATCACTTCTGTTTAAAGGCCTGTCGCTATCTATTTCTGTATCTTCTATTATACTGATAACTGATAGTGTAATGACAATAATAATATTTAATACTGAGCTACCTGTAATTATATTTTGGATTACTTTTTGTTCATTCATTTCTACCAATGTCAAATAGACTACTATTACTGAAAAAATAGCCAAAAAGAACCAATAAGTTTTCCAGCATTCACATGAAAACTCAGAGCATTTATAAATGTCACATGAATCCAAAAATCCTATTTCTAAATTTGAAGCTAAAGAGCTTGAAAATATTACAGCATAGCTTGACAATGTTAGGAGGAATGTCAATACAAAAGAATAGAAATAAACTGCTTTCCATTTCTTGCCGAGAGTTATTTCGACCATCTCAGAAATGTCGATTCTCTTGGTTATTTCAAACGAGGAAGAATCCTCATTGCTAATTAAATTAGTTTCTAAGTCAGTTTTGTTCTTATTTTTCCCAAATAAAATCTGCTTCAAAGTCGGTTTTTTAAGGGAAATCCCTTTTTCTTTTAACTGAAGGTAATAGCAGCATCTACTTGTCAGCTCTACTAATTGACTGCTTCAGATATAGCCTAGCGAGCAGCAAATAACAGTGTAAAGTCCACAAACCAGCCATCCACCCACTTTAAAAGAATAAGGCAAACCCAAAATTCCTGCCCCAATTATAAGGTTCATTGTAAAAAATAGCCCTGTTAGTGCTCCAAATTGGCTGGGCTGATGGTGGTCAGAAGCTTTCAAATCTTTTTCAGGTGGCATTTAGCTTAATATATATTATGGAAAAGTTTTTACTGGATCCTTTTCAAAGAATTAAAATCAATTTAGCACCATGATTTTTAAACTGAGAAATACGTAAGCAATTTAATTATGAATTTTATTATTATATCTAAAATGAGAAAATCTGAAGTTTTAGGAAGAGTTATTTGCAATTTGCAATCATATTTTCTCTAACTCCCCCATCCTTGATCGAGCGATTCACTGTAAAAATGGGGGAAATTAACCCCCATCCTTGATCGAACGATTTTCATATTATTCAAATTTTTATATATATATAAAAATATATTAGTTATCAAAATTTTGGGAAGATGTGCCTAATGAAGTTGCTGTTAGAGATTTTGAGACGACAGAAAGCTATGGAATCAACCATTCAAAGTGCTTTAGTCATCAATCTGGGCTTAAAAACTCAATAATCTAAAAAATAGAGATTCTTTTAAAAATTTAAAATTTTTAATTCAATAAGGAACAAATTAAAATTTATACAGTTTAAAGGGGTAACCTAAAATTAAAATATTAAAAATGGGTATTTTATGAAATTAATTCAATTTTTTGCTGTAAAGATAATTATTAAATACTCTTAACCCACTTATTTAAAATTATATAAAAAAAATTATATAAATATATATATATTTTATTTTTATATATAATTTTTTTTTTAACCCCCATCCTTGATCGAACGTTGGCAAGCCATTGTTCGATCAAGGATTGGGGGAGTAAAGAATCCGCTTATTATGAATATTACGTAGTAATGAATTTTCTAACCTCAATTTATTAACCGTCGAAAAATCGATATGATTAAAATAAAAAGGCTCAAAAATAATCACTATAAGTAAAATTCGCTTGAAAATGTTATAAAAATGCATAAAATCTCTCCTTTATATATCTACAATCATTTAAACAATTGCCTTTCTGCATAGCATCAATTATATCTGAAAAACTATTAGAATTTTATTTTATGAATTAATAAATCTCCAGACATATAATGTCTTCTAAAAAGGTCTCTGACGAATCTGCCCCAGCCCAAGAACACCAAATAGGAGCAATAACTGGTCTTTTCTTTACCATGAACTTAATCGTAGGCGCAGGTCTACTTGGCCTGCCCTATGCTTTTCGCATGAGCGGCTGGGCGATTTCAGGCATTTATACAATCTTTTGTTGCGTTTTAGGTTATGTTTGGGCCTGCCAACTAATCGAAGTAATGAGTAGATGTGAAGCCCTTCTACAGCTTGAAGAACAAGGTCTCGCAGTCCAAAGACCTTCATTTAAAGAGCTTCTCTTTGGGAGAAATAAAACAAAGCTCCATGATCCTCTAATAGGAAGAGATTGTCAGCCTGACATAACTCACAGAAGAATCGATATGTGTGAGATGATCAATGTCCTATTTGGCAAAACCTGGAAAAAAATCTACTTAAGCGGCATGATCTTAGACACTATTTTAAGCCTCGCCAGCTATTCAATTGTTTTTTCTAGCTCACTTGCCTCAAATTTAGAAATTGGGTTTTTAGATACTTGTGATATCTATCAATCTGAAGGATTTTTTAGTGATTGCCGGAAAACGTATTGGTTTTTCTTGGCAATTTTTACGGGAGTTTCTGTTTATTTGACATTGATTGAAATGCATGAGCAAAAAGTGATACAAAATGTGATCACTGGCGCTTCATTATTTAATATTTTAATTGTGCTGACGCTATCAATAGCCAGTTTGGCTACAAATACAGCTATTGATAGTGATGACTCTATTGATCCAGGCTCTTATAAAGCAGCTGACATTTATAATATTGGGATCAGCTTGCTATAAATTAAAATGTGAGCCAGCCTGCTCTCTTAACAACTGTAGCTGGTAGGCTCATTGGGAAAGCTGGGATTTTGAGGAAAGGAGGATAGCATTCGGAAATGCATATCCGGCCAGATTTTATTTGGTGGAGCACAATGTAGGGTTTGGCCGACTGAATACTAGCAAGGTTTTGCTTGTGGGGAAATCGTTCACTGGAGTTGGAAAGGAAAAGATCAGCAAAGCCGAGGTAGTCACTGGGCAATCGGACAAAAATCAGGTGTTGCGTTTGGGATCCAAGTTTTATTTTGTTAAATAGCCTGACTAGATTTTTTTCAAATTTTCTGGAAGGCGAATCCAGTTGGTATGGTAAGTGTCTCTGACCGAGGAAGTGAGTTCAAGCTTTCATCTGCGAGTAACAACACAATGAAAGGCCGTATGCAGACAGTCAAGCAAGCAGTGGAGTTCTATGCATAATCCGAATAGTGGCCTGCGAGCCTGCAGGAGACTTTTCTATAATTAATTTAAGTTTAAAAGGTCAGCTTGCCAATTATTTTATTTGCATCAATTTATCAGACCTCACTGCCAAGCATTATAGAATTTGTAGGAGAAAAAACGACCAGCATTAAAAAAATTTTGACATATGCACTGTTTGCGTCCTTATTTATATACTTATCAATGGGACTGATCGTTCCAGCAGCGGTTTCAGGCGTATATGGGCAATATAATATTAGTTTCAGAAATTATTCAGCTGGTTATTCTCAAGCTGAGAGACCATGGTGGACCTATGTTATTGCTTATATTATTGTGCTATCCCCAGCTGTTGGAATTTTATCCTTATTCCCATTAGTTGCAATCCCTCTTGCTCATAACCTTATTACTTATATATACGGTTTTGAAAAACCAGCTGGTGTTAGACTAGGCGATTATATTATAAAACTTATTGTGGTTTTGCTGCCATTACTATTAGCATTTGTTGAGTATGATTTGGTAAAAAATATTTAGGGAAGCATTCTTTCTATTGCAGGTGCTATCACTATTGTCTTGGTCTCTATTGCCATACCTATCATGTATATTGCTTCAAGAGAAATGATTGATGTGCCTTCGATTTATGATTTTAAGTATTCCCCTAGGCTGGTCTCTATATTTGTTGTGGTAGTGCATATTGGAGTTTTAATATTCAAAGCTTATTATGCTATTTTCCCTGAAGAGTAACTAATAATCACTAGCGTTTAGCTTATTTAATAGAGTTAATCGTTTATTTCAAAAGACCTCTAATAATTCAGGATTTTTTATATATAAATATAATGCACGATTCAATCACTTTATTCTTTCGTATAAATAAAAGTCATAAATGGAACAGTGCCGAGTCTGCTTACTCCGCCTCTCTGTGAGTGAGCAAAACCATTAGAAAAATCCCTGTTTTTGGGATAAAAATTACCCACCATGAGCGAACCAAAATTTTTTTAATATAAAAACATTTTATCCAAAATATTTTGATATATAAAAGATAATTATTATAAGAAATCTCTGTTTATACTATTGAATTTAAAAAAGCTTGCATTTTAAAACATAAAATTTTACAAATTAAATTCGTTTTCGCTTTCCAATATTTGCGAATTGGGATTTTTTTAAATTTACTAAAATTTTAAATTAATAATTTTTAAAACAAGTAATTAGCATATCTGTAAGCGAATTAATTTATTTTATTCGCTCACAGAGGAGTTAGAGCTTCAGCCTTCAGAGTACTTTCTCCAAACTCAATGCGGCTGTCGTGCATGCTTAGAGTGCCAACAAAGCTGAGCTCGATCTCAACTAGAAGATTCTAAAGTAGTTCTAAAATGTCCGATGCCAGAATGCTCATCTGCCTTATCTGCACAAGAGCTCTTAACAATTCTTACTGAAGATGACCAAGAAAATTTATGGAAATCTCAATTTAAGCTATATCTAAAACTCGCACCAGATATAAAATTTTGCCCAAAACAGGACTGCCACTATGCTGGGATTTTTAATAAAAATCAAACCCAATTTTATTGTGAAGCTTGCCAACATTGCTGGGAAGAAAAAAAAGAGACTTGAACGGTCTGGCTGAAAAATTTAAAAAGTAATGTAGATGATTGATTTTCTGGACTTTGAAAAAGTGTATTTTGTAAGTCATGCCCAAGCTGTGGGATTAGTATAGAAAAGAACGAAGGATGCAAACATATGGAGTGCATTATATGTGGGGACAATTTCTGTTGACTCTGTATGAAACCATATGGAAAGCATCAAGAAGTTGAATGCGCAAACCCAAATTTTGATGGACCATTAATTATGGCAGTGGTATTAGGGATTCTGTTTCTTGCCAAAATCTTTACAGAATTTCAAAGTGTATTGAATTTGACGCTAATTTTGGTATCATATCTTTTTTTCCTACTTGGTACTGCTACACAAACTTGTCTGGATTATGGAATAGCAGAAAATTTATTTGGGAAATTGACGAACACTGAACCTTCTTTTTGCATCACAAATCTCCATCTTATGAATTTTATCATAGTCAGAGTTCTTATTATTTTAATTGCAAACATGGTAAAGGCATCAAATAGCCTTTCAATCTATTTTGATGCCGCTTTATTCATTTTTGTCATAATTTTTAAGCTTACTAAACGATATTTGTAATTTTTGCATTAAAATTTTACTTAAAAATGCTTTAATCATTATTTTGGCTTTCCTATTAAAAAGGTAATTGGGAATTTTACAGTCTTTATTTCATTTCTATTCCAAACTTTTAAAAATTTTTCAAAAAATGGCTGCGAAGGATCTGCATTTAATTGTTTAATTGCAGTTTGTAATGCTGACCAAGTATGAAGATAATTCCAATAGTCTTCCAAACTCCACTCTTTTCTAATATCCCTTGTTGGTGGTAGCGGGACATCTCTATCAAAAGGAAATTCCAAATTTGCATATCCTTCATCTACATGTCTTCTTTGGGGGTCCCAATATTTTTTACCTAAAACCCCTTCATAGATCTCCATCATGATTTCATCAACTTGGCTATTTACTGTAGGCAACTGATAAGTCCAAGCTGCAATAACTCCATTTTTCTTTAAAACTTTATTTACTGCATCATAGAACTGGTCTAAATTGAACCAGTGCAAAGCTTGGGCAATTGTAATTAAATCGACATTATTGTGAGTCAAATACTTGTGAGTGTCTATTGTTTCTGATGATAATTCCGCTGGGAGACTTTCGAAAATAGGAGAATTTGATGCTTGGATTTGTTTTGCGCTGTTTATTTGGTTTGAGCTAAGATCAGTGCCAATGACTGTTTTGTAGTATTTGCAGAGAGGAAATGCGGCTTGGCCTGAACCTGTTGCAACATCTCAGGCGACTTGATGATCTCCGGTAAGGGAAGATAAATGAGAAAATAAATCTGCAGGATAGTCAGGTCTATATTTAGCATATGAAGAAGAGAATCCAGAAAATAAGTCTTTACTCCCCCCCCCCCTCCGTGAGCGAACAAAAAAATTTTGTTCACTCACGGAGGGGGGTTAATTTTTTTTTTTTAAAAAAAATTTATATATAAATTTTATACAAAAAATATTTTTTCGAAATTTAAAAAAAAATCCTAATTTGCAAAAATTGGGAAGCAAATATTAATTTAATTTGCAAAAATTTATGTTTTAAAACGCAATTTGTTTAAAATTAAACAGAATTAGCTCTAGATTTCATTATACTAATTATCACTTATATAGCAAAATTTTTTTCCATTAAAATTTTTTCTATTAAAAAAATTTTTGTTCACTCACGGAGGGTGGGTTTTTGGTCAAAAAATGGCGATTTTTCTAATGGTTTTGTTCGCTCACGGAGGGGGGGGGGGAGTTAGAGAAAAACCTAGCGCTGATTTTTCTTGTGGAGATCATATTTATTTTTTATATTTATAAAATCAGTAATGCGTTAATTAATTCACCTAGCCATAGCAATGATCCGTATTTCTTGTTCTCGATATAAAATGTTTTCTTCGAGCGAGCTTATAAGTTTTAGAATTTAATTGGCCAGCATATTCTAACTTGTTTTGAAAAGTACCAAGATCCAGGTCTCAATTTCGCAAATTATTTAAAATCTCGATTTGCTCTTCATTTATTTTTGTGAAGTAAACGCCAAAAATTTCATTTTCGATTCCATTTTTTGGGTCTTTTTTAAGTAACTCATGAGGAATGTCATAAAAAAGATCCTTTATCGCTGTTGAAGTTTTATTAAGGGTTATAAGCGCCATGTTTATTTTTTCTCATCGCATGGGCTGCTTCATGAATGAAAGTTATTTTTAAAGCAAATGATTGAAATTCATCATACTCTTCTGATAAATCTTGCTGTAGCAATATTGTTCCTCCGAATAGAGTGATTCCAGAAATATTTCGAGGAAGGATAGTGAAGTATGTTCTATCAAATAAATCTGCATAGTTTTCAGTTCAAATATTTTGATCAACAAATACAGTTTTTACTGGCGGACTACTTAAAATCTCTTTCAATTCTTTTATTTGGGATTTATTTAATTTTTGTGGTTTTTTCAAGTGCATATCTATAACAGTCTGTATTTCTTCTGTAATAAAGTCTGCTCTTATTTCATCTAAAGTTCCATTAAAGAGTTTGGTAAAGTACAAAGCTAAAAATTGACGTAAAATGAAATCTTCTTTGTCGTTGCTGAAAACAATATTATAGAGAAATGAATTTAAAAATTCTTTTAATTGTTCTGCTTGAATAAGCCTTTTATCTAAAAATTGATTCAAAAGAGAATTCTGAGTAATTTCGCTAATGTAGCTTCATATTTTTTGGATATAAGATAAAAATAACTTCAATAGAATCTTTATTATGTGTATGATTCTATTTATTTTTGATATAATTCCCAAAAAAGCGTTCTTTTCTATCTTGCTCTCACCAAGATGAAATGTTTCATTTTCATCAGATATGCAATTCATATCATTTATATCAAATGCTTTATCACAAGAGCTCTTAAAATCTGCAAACAATTTTGTTAAAGGCACACTAATAAGACTAAGAAAATATTTAGCAATTGTTTCTGGGCTCTTACTTGATTCATAATCAATTTCATCAAATTTAAAGTTATCTAATAAATCTTTAACATCTTCATGTATCTCAAATAATCCAAAAACATTTTTACTTTTCACAGTCTCAATAAATTTATTGATGATATTTTCGAAATATGGAATTGATTTTACCGAGTTTTTCTCCAGCTTAGATATTGATTTTCATAAAGAAAGGCATGGTTTTAATTTCCAAATCTTTCACTTATTCTCAGACTTCTTGATCTTTAAAGTATCAGCTTTTTCTTGTCTTTTATTTTTTTAATTTTTTGTTTGAATGCTGGTTTTAAAACATTTTTTAGATGCTCTGCAATTTCTTTTTGGATTTCTGGGAGATATGAAAATGTAATTTAAAAAAAGACATAAATTCCATTTCGTTTGAATAAATATCATATTTTATCTGATCAATCAAGCTACAAAAATATTGTGCTATGACTTTATTTTTTGATATATCCTTATTTGAGCCTTTTTTCAAATATAAAACAAACATTGGGAGATATTCTTTTGTTTCACTCAGCGATTTTGAATCGACCGATGTAAGGCAATTAAAATAAGCATCAAGAAAATCAGGAGAATAGCAAGCGCATGCTAATTGAGCATCCGCAAGATCTTTGAGGCCATCTTTAAAATCATTAAAGTATTCAGATTCTTGCATAAACTCATCAATTGAGGTATTAATGCATATATCCCATGCTGATTTTTTATCAACATTCAATGTATAAAATGTAAAAGCTTCTAGAATGATGCTAACCATAACATCACTTCGATTGTCTCCAAATTTTTTAAGTTCATTTTTAAAATAATTAAAAGAATGGGCTAAAATTTCTTTACTTCCGCAAAAAAAGTTTACCAATATAGTTGTGTCTTCAAACAAAGAAAGATCAATCTCTGATAAAATTATACTTAATGTGCTTTCATTCAATACTGAATTTTCGGCAAGACTTAAAACATTAGCAAGAGTTTCGCTTGATTTTATATTTTTTAGCAAAGTATCGATTTTAAATGGTGTCGAAAATATAAAATTGAAGGGTAAGAAGTAATTTGACATTATTATGGTAAATGTAAAAACTTCATCTATGCATTGATTGCAACTTAAAGAAAAATCCAGCATATTCACTATTACATTCTCAACATTTTCTCTGGGAAATTCTTTCAAAAACATTAATTTTTGAGGTGAAAATTTCTGAATAAGTATAAGCTAGATACAAAATTAATAATCGATTCTGGATTTTTTCAGCCCCCTTCTGCATTTAATTCCCCAGGGTGTCCCATTAAATTTATAATTTCGCTTGATATAATAATTTCAAATGCTGAGTTCAAAATTGTATCAGAAGGTATTGATGACTGTTTTTCGAGCAAATAAATTAGATATCCTTTGAATTTTGAGTTTAAAAGAGTATCTAAAGAAGGAAAATCGAGCTCCCCACTACTATATTTATAATAGGCTAAACAATTTATAATCCGAAGAACATCTACAATTTTTTCATCATCTTTTTGAGAAATTAAGGAATTGATGATGCTTTCGCCTACATCTCAAAGATCTCATGATATTGCCTTCATATATTCAAGAGCTCTTTTACTTCTCTTTGCTCGCCAATCTATGATCTTCTGTAAATTTTTCAGTAAGAAAGTTTCAACTCATCATAGTGAATATCTAACGCCATAGTAAATAAATTTGTAAAAGCAATGACTCAATAAAACAAATTATTAGGAAGCCCCATTTATATTATTTGATAAGTTTTTGAACCAAGTAAAACACTTGATTAATAAGGGTTGACTTTATTAATGAATGGATAATTAGATAATGATATAAAAATCAATGTCTTGCTATATGTCAGTTATTTATAATAACTAATTTAAATCTTTTCCATAATAAGTGACTGGAACTCCCTCAAATCAATTTCCCCATCTCCATTTTGATCGACTTCCTTGATGATATCTCTCCACACTGCATCATCTAGCAGCTCTCCATTTGACAAAATATCTCTCAGCTCTTTTGCAGAAATTGACCCACTCCCATCCTTATCAAAAAGTCTAAACGCAGTCTCCAGGTTTTTCTTCGAAAAAAGAATTTCACGTCTCAGTGTCGCTTGGATGAATTCTGTATAATCAATAAACCCACTATGATCCGTATCTACATTTTTCATAATCTGGTCTACCTGTTTGCTAGGGTCAATTCCTCCTACACATTCTTTATATTTTTCTAACAATTCTTCTTTGCTGACTCTTCCATCTCCATTTCTATCAAGCAAGCGGAAAGCGTTTCTCAGCTCTTTTGTATCAGCTTGAGATACAAGCTGGGCAGAAATGAAAGTCGAAATAGCGGTTTTCAGCTTACTATTTGAGTTAAAATGAGTAAGCTGCTGCAAAACTCCGGAAAGGGTTTGATTGCTATGGTCTTGGCTGAGATTTTCTAAATCCTTATACTTTTTGACTCAGCTGTGCTCTAAAGCTTCTTGGGCTGTAATTCTTGATAAGAGGTTTTTGTCTAAGAGCTTTACTATAAGGTCTTTGGCTTCTTCTGAAACGTATTCGAAGCCACGCCATTCTGAGTTTAAATTCCCAGTCCTTATGTTTCTTAAGATCTCTGAATCAGTTTTTCCATTAAAAGGTGGCCTTCCAGACAATAATATATACAAAATAACCCCACAGCTTCATTCGTCACACTTTTCATTGTATGAATTTAACAAAACTTCTGGGGCTATATAATATACAGAGCCATAGCAGCCTGATATCTTTGTTTTGTTGTCAAAAATAGTTGAGCTTCCAAAATCTGCCACTTTGATAGTGTAGTCTTCATTTCTTTCATCTAAAAGAATATTCTCAGGTTTAATGTCTCTGTGGATGATATTTTTTGAGTGGCAGTATGCAACTGCTGAGAATAGCTGGTACATTATTTTGGCTGCTTCTTGCTCTGTGAAAATCCTCTTTTTAACGATTTTATTAAATAGCTCGCCACCAGAACAAAATTCCATGATGACATAAAAACTTTTTTTATCTTCAAAAATTTGAAAAACTTTCAAAATATTGGGATGATCAAGCTGTTTTAGAACTTGAATTTCTTTTAATTTAAACGTATGAGTCATATGATCTTTACCTAAGGCCTGCTTCGAAACTACTTTAACGGCTCGCACTTTTCCAGTTTTTCTTTCAATGCATTGATAAACAGTTGAAAATGCTCCGTGGCCTAGCTGGTGGTCAACTTCATATTCTGCAGTGAAGACGTCGCTTTTTTCTAATATAAACATCCCAGGATTAATACGGATTTGTGGATAACTTTTATTAACGTGAGAGGATTTCTTGTTTTTACTTGGCACGCATCCCATTTTTGTTTATACTGATCTCAAAGTTAAGGCTTGTTTGAAACTGATTATTAAGTAAATTTTGGGTAAAAGTTTTTGTTTTTTATTCATAAGTACGGAAAATAATTGACATTTTGAATTAAATTAATTTATCTCTAAAGATTATTCATTTTAGCTCTATAATCTTCCTATAAAAGTCAATCTTTTCTAATACCTGATCCAGTATAATTAATAAAATTAATTATTTAAAATGTTTTCGTTTGTTTAATGACAATCATTTATTATGAAATTATTCAATTTAAAATGGCAAGACCTGATAAGGGTTAATTACCTTATTCAGGATCAGTGAAGGGTATTCATTATTCTCTGAGAATCTGGCTTGGAGTAGTGGAAAAAGAGATTTATTTGAAGCTGGAGGCAAATGAAGTTCTAACGGTTGAGTAATTGCCGACTAGTTGCTCAGAGAGAAGGTCGCTCTCTATCAACAATTTACAGGGAATACAAGAATTTAAGTAATCTTATCAATAATGAAATTATATTTATTATATTAAAAACTGTAATCCTCTGTTTTTTTAGCAAATGAAGTTTGGTTTCTAATGGGTGCAAAAATCCCACTATTGCTTCTGTTAAAAATTCCTGGCAAATCATACGTCCCAGGCCCAGGGCTCTCATCTAATTGTCTCATATTTTTTCTTTCTCCATGTCCAAACCCGATTTTTGAAAAGTTTGACCTTTCAACAATTTTAAAGCTGGGGTTATATGTCCCAGGAGCTGGCGTTAAATATTTCTCTTTAAATTGTATTCTTGGCCTTAATGTAAACTTAGGGCTATTTTTTCCAAAAGGTAAATCTACATTATAAGCTCCAGGCCCTGGGACAATTTTTGTTTTAATTGGTGTTCGCTCAGCTGTTACTCCAGAACTAAAATTAACAGCTCTTGAATGTACAGCAAAATAGCTTGGCGGACTATAACATGTGGGTGGGGGCGAATCTCTGCCTTTGTCGTTTTTTGGCTCTCATCTTTTGCCGAAGCCAAAAGAAGTTGATCTTTTTGATAAAGAAGTTGGAGGGATTATGAAGTCTGGGGTTGACGTGATTTGCTTGTGGGTAAATCTGTTTGCTTTGGAGAAGCTTCAGTGATAAGAATCTTTTCCTAGAGTAGTATTCAGAGATTCTGTGCTTAAAGATGAACTCCTAAGCGGCGAGTAAAATTTCGGTTTTAAGGTGTCCTTCATATAGCAAGCAGAAAAAAAAATTATTTTGGCATATTATTTGTTATTAAAACTATATAAAAAGTTATAGAAAATTAGTAAAGATTAAGAAAACAGCATAATATCAATAAGGGTTAATTAACATAATGAAAGATCGCTTAGGCAATGCAGTATTAATTTTTGACATTTATTTATTATATTCTCTATTTATATTTAATTAAATTAACAACAGAGAACTCAGCACATGTATTTTAAATGATAAAAGCTTCTAATTACAACTGATTTTGCTAAATTAAAGATATTCTTTAATAAACTTTTGAGTTGAGTCAATTTTTTCTTCTATAATTGGGAAGAACTTCTTGAACTCAAGCCAGCTTAGCTCAGGTTTTTCTGACATATGAATGATATCACTTGTAATTCCATTAATAAGGTCATCAATATCAGCATTATGATCGATTTTTGATAAAATTAAACCTCTCAAGACTTCTTTCATTAAATTCTCTATTTCCAGTGAAGAAATCGACCCAGATCCATCAACATCACAGTCGTTAAATGCTCGTCTTAGATTTCCTCTTAAAAGTCTGCTTTCATGGTGAATGTCTCCGCCACTGGCATATTGCAGCCATTCTCTTCTTGTAATATACCCTTTCTTCTCTGTGTCGACAGCCCTCATGACTTCTTCCACTTTGTCTAGGGTCACTTCTTTTCCTCTTTGAAAGCTCATTAGCACCCTGATTTCGACCTTATCTAGTTTTCCAGTCTTCAAAAAGTCACTTACTGAATAAGCAACCCAGTCCTTCATTGCTTCAAAATAATTGTCTTCGGTTACGAGCTCACTATTTTCATCAGCCATCATTTTGATCAAAAGCTGAACTTCAGCGTCTTCGAGCTCTTGGATTTCTTCTATTTTTTCGAGCTCTTCGATCAAAATATTCTTATGCGCCACTTTGTCTCCTCCAATGATTTCAGCTATTTTTTGGAAGATTTCATCAAAAACCGTTATTTTTTTATCGAATTTGATTTTTGCAAGCTGAAAAGACTGTCTCGAAGACAAAATTGCCATAATTTCTTGAAATTCTTCATTATTTTCAGTTCATGTCTGAATTTCTTCTAAACTCAGTGTTTTGCTTTCATCTTTATCAATTTCGTCAAAAATTTGTCTTGCTACATTAAAAATAGTTGATTTATTCGGCACAATCCCAGTCCCTATTTTTCCTAAAGCTCTAGTAAAAGCTCCAATAGTCATAACTAACTCATTCATATCAATAGTTCCTGAGTTATCAAAATCAAACAGCTGAAACAGATGCTCAACCTTCCATTGCACAGTAGATTGGCAGGCCAAAACTATCAAAGCTAGCGTCTCAAATAAATCCACTTGTTCAGTATTCTGACTAAGCCTATCGAAATAGCTAGTTACATCGCTTAAGATTGGACTAAATAAATCATCAAAATCCTCATAGTTCAGAGTATACGTGTTTGGGTAGTTGACAGTGTAATACTCCATGGTTTCGTCGATATCTCTTGCTCTTGCTTCTTTTAAGTGGGCAACTAAGGGATCTGAAGCATTGAGTTTGTATCGAGTAAGCAGTCCTCCCATTTTTATCTAATAAATAATTTATAGATAAATTGATAAAAAATATTCAATTTATCAGCTTATTTTGTATAAAAATTATGAATTTTATTAAAAATTAATTAAATTTTATGTCTTAATGAAGTATATAATCATTCTCAAAATGGAGAACGAAGTTTGCGATATTTGGTAAGTTTAATGTAGTGGAAAAGAAATTCCTATTCAATCAATCTCGCTCCACAAGATCCACTGTGAAAGAAATACCATAAAATGCTCATTATGCGGCCAGCCTATATCAAAATCAGAAAAAGAGGAGCATGACAAAACCGTTCATGCGCCTAAACCCTGCCCACATTGCTTTATGCAATTTGAAACAAGGTTTTTTGATCAGCATGTCTGTCCTAAAGCCCCTAAATTTTGCCAGTTTTGTGAAGGATCAATCCCTAATGACGAATATAATGACCATTATGAAATGTGCGCAAATAGGACTGAGATGTGTCCTACATGCAAAAAATATATCCCATTGAAAAATTATCAAAAACATATAGAGGAGAAGACCTGCTTGAAAAAAATACTGGAAGAGGAAAAAAAGATTGTGGATCAGAAGAGAAAAGAAGAGTATCAAGAATGAAAAAATGAGGGAAAAATTGTGCAAAATAGGCCAAAGCAGCGTGTTGAGAATAAAGAAATACAGAACAAAGGGAAACAAGAAATTCAGCCAAGAGCTAGAGGTGGGTATAGGATGCCTGATGCAGAGAATGCGAAGGAAGATGCAAAGGCAAATAGGGAAAATCAAGGCCAGCAACAAAATCCGATAAGGGAAAATCCAAAACCGAAATTAATAAATAATAGAGAGGCTCAGAGGCAGCCTAATGCTAGAGTTAACAGAGAAAATCCACAGCAGCCAAATGCTCTAAATAGAGAAAACCCAAGACAGCCTAATCTTATCAAAAACAGAGAAAACCCACGCCAACCAAACGCTAGAGATAATCCAAGGCAGCCAAATGCGATAAACAGAGAAAAGCCAAGAGATCCAGCTGCTGGACAAAGAGAAATCCAAAAACCCCCTCAAAGATTTAATCCAAACCAAAATGCTAGACCTAATCCTAACAATCGAGCTGGGCAGATCCGTCCGAATTCTGGAAGGGGCCAACCAGCAAGAAGAGAAAATCCAGCACATAAAGAGCCGGCAAATCATTATCAAAGACCAGCAAATCAAAGGCAAGACAGACAAGCGGGAAATAGGCAGCAGAGGGACGAAGAGTTAGCAAGGCAGTTCTATGACGAAGAATTAGTAAGAAATGAGTGGGAACAGCCTGCTTATGAACAAGATTACCCAGAGCACAATTATTTTTCACATGAAGATGGACAAGTGGAAGAAGATATCCTCAGACAAATTATTGAGCAATCCAAGCAAGAATTCGAAGGCATTTCTCCTGATGAACAGATATTAAATGCAGCTATTTTAGAGAGTATGAAAAATCATTAAGCAGATTTATTAGTAAATTGATAGGCTTATACATTTTATTTTAATTAAAAATGATCTATATTGGAATGAGATCATTTTTTAGTATTTTTACTGCTTAGTTAGAGATCACTAAAATAATAAGCACGCGTTGCAAGCAGCTTGGCCTTTAGCATCACGATTTTTCCTCTTAGATTTCCCTTTAATCCTCCACATCTGTGAGAGAAGAAAACTCTTGAAAACCCCTATTTTTTGCCCAAAAAAACCCATTCTCCATGAGCGAAAAAAATTTTGCTATATAATTTAATAATTATCATAATGAAATCTCTAGTTAATTCTGTTTAATTTGAAAAAAAATGCATTTTTAAACATAAATTTTACAAATTAAATTAATTTTTGCTTTATTTATAAAATTTTAAAAAAAATTAACCACCTTCATCATCAAACAAAATTTTTTTTATTCACTCATGGGGAGTTAGTAGATGCAACTTGTTGAGCTTCATCATTTTTATGCATCGTTGTCACTAATGGACTGTTGCCATACTCCTGGCCATCTCCTCCAAGTTTTTCTTCTTCCTTCTGTTCTTCATCGTATTTTTCTTCAGGAGCATTCTTCAATGGGTCTTTATTCTCTTTTACATTTTTAGGAGACTGGCTTTCCTCAGCAGCGTAACTCGTCGTGGTGACAGTAACTTGCACATTTCCCCTGACTTCATTAGATTGCTGCACCTTAGGCTCATTTTTTTCACTTGAGTTGGTCTTTTCCTCTTGTGGTTTATACTATTGTATGATGAATAGCCAATTACTCCTCCGATGACCTCTCTAGGTAAACAAAATCATTGGAAGAATCCCTATTTTTATAAAAAATTATTTTGATATAAGTGATAATAAATAAATTGCATTGAGTCAAGAGAAATTAACTCTGCTAATTTCTCTCTCATGAAATATTATTTATGGGTTTGGTTTTCTCTTGAGAAACTCCTGCCCAGAAACAGCGGTTTAACTTTGAGGATTACAAGAAGAGCTGCTCCTCAGTGCAATCAAGAGGCTCGGGTTTCACAGCTCAGCATATCTTAGGAGAATTAACCTTAGGAGGAGCACGCGCCAGAGCTAAACCAGGTAAGAGCGAGGTATCGCGGTGGGTGATGGTTTGTTTGGGATGATCTGCCCTTTTGGTCAGAAATGTTCATGATGTCACCTTTTTGGCTCTGTCTCTTTAGTGGAAGAGCTAATTCTTAATTTGTAAATGGCTTGCAAATTAAAGTAATTTTAGCTTCTAATTTTTGGAATTGAGATTTTTTTGAAAAAAAATTTAGCCTCTATGAGAGAACAAAATGTTTTTTGTTTGCTCAAGGAAGGGAGAGTTAGGAGCATTTTGGTTGCCAAAAATTAGCTGCCTTGCCAAACTAGTCGACAAACCATTTTTTGGCTAAAAATATCTCCTTTGTGGGCGATCCTTCGTAAAAAACACATAGGTTTGACTTCCTCAACTTTCGCAATAATTGGCTGGTTCAAAGGATCATCATTTTTGCTAAGAGATTGGACTTTAACTGAAGTCCCAGAAGATTGCTACATAGAAATTACCATCTTAATCGTATGTTTCGGCAAGTCGCTTTTGGTTATTGTCTGGGTTTCTTTGGCTTCTTCATTATTAGATACATTAATAGGATGTTCATTAGAAGTTGTTGTAATGTTCATGTTATGAGTGGTATCTGGCAATTTTGGATAAAGATCTTTATTTTGGTTCACGACTGGATTATGCTCTGGGCTTGTATTAGAGTTAGAAGAATCTTGGGTAGTTGAAACAATGGTGACAACTCCTGCAGGACCAGAAAATTCTTGAACTATTGTTACAGGTTGAGAAGAATTTTGTTCCTCCATTTTACATACACTTAATTAATTATTAGGTTCTGGTTTACGGCCAATGCCAACATGGCTTTCCCCACTAGCAAATCCTGTATCGCTCGGCTTCAGGCGTTCGGATTTCGACGGCGTTTTCCATTTTACAATTAAATCAACTTTTTATATTAATCTAGCTCCAAAGGTGGGCTTTGATCTCCACTTTGGCACTTTACTGTGACTGATCTTGGCTTTTTGAATTTCATATGGAAAGGGGAGCTGCTTAAATCAAGCTTTGAAGGTCTTATAGCAATTTTTGTTTGCCTTGTTAAGCATTCCAAATCGACCATGTATTCTTTAGAAATTGTTCGCTTGTGGGCGTGCTTTGGGCCTTTTTTGTTTTTATCACAAGGGATTCCTGTCTGCTCTTGTAATTCCATATACTTCGTAATTCAGCTGCCTAAGACTTCGTGGAGTTTATTGATTTCTGTTTGCTTTCGGGACAGTTCTTTTTCGCATAAGTTTTTGAAGCCTTCAAGGTATTCTTTTCATCTCTTTTTTTCGTTTTTGTAGACTTCAAGGGTTTGCTTTTGTGTGGACTCTAAAAGAGTTTTATAGGACTCACTTTCTTTTTTGGCAAGCTCATAGCCTTTTCGCATTTGTTGGTTGAAGAGGGTTTGCATTCTTAGACTGGTTTCGAGGCTTCGGATTTTGAATGATTCGTCGACTGGCTCAGAATTGAATCTATCCTTTTGTTTTTTTCTGAAATGGTTATTAATTATTTTTTAAAAAATTATCTCTGGCTTGTATATATACCTGAAAACTGACTAAAAAAGTATAACTGCTATAGGTTCTTCAGCATGCATATGATTCGGCATAGTTGTAAGCATCCTGACCGATCTTCTTTGTATTGAGGTTTCTATAGAAGAAATAATCGGCCTAATTATCTTTCCTCGGCCTGCAGGAGTTTCTGAAGCTCTTTCCCTTTGCCAGTTTCCATTTTCCAGCTTATCAATCAGCCCAATAATTTTGCTTGACTGATCATGCAAATATTCTACTGATTTTTCCAAATTAATAATTTTTTGTTCTTGATAAGTCACGAATTTTCTTTTTAAATTGAATTTTTCTTTCAATAAATTAAATTTTCATAGCAATTCATAGTAATTCCTTTGGAGATCACAATTAATTAGCCCTGAATGGATGACTTGTTTCCGTAGCTGATGAATAAAAATTTCATCTTTTATTGTCGAATTTTCTTCAAGGACTTCTGGCATGCTTTGTGAGTAAACATCTTGAGAAATCAATGTTTCTGCGTCCAAAGGGATGTCAATGAATATTTCTGATGACCGATTTACTATAAGAGGAGCTTCTTCTGTATAAACAGGCAAGTCTGAGCTATAAGCTGCAGATGCTTTGGAAGGGTCAATAAATTCTCACTCTGTAATATTTTCACCTTTATTTATTTTTGTAATGTATTCTTCAAATCTTTCGTTTATCTGGGATAAATGGTACTGCAAGATCTCAACCTGCTTTTTCAAGCTTTCGTTTTCAGCAGAAATTTTATTTTGGGTGCAGTTTTGGCTATTTTGGCTGTTGGTAGCTTTTTGGAATAAATCGTATTCTTTTGATGAGAAAATAGGGAAGTTTTTGAGGCTTATGTTATTGGTGGATAATTCATTTGTAGGAGGTATAATTTCGTAATGATACCTCTTCAGCTTTAATTCTTTTTTTCCTTTCAAGGCCAAGTTCTTCTTCTAGTTCTTTATTTCGTGACTCTAAATTTTCTGGGGAGTAGTAAATTCATGCATTTTTTGCCGAATAAAATTAATGAAAATTGATTTTAATTTTAATTTTAACTTACTCCCCCCCCCCTCCGTGAGTGAACAAAAAATTTTTGTTCACTCACGGAGGGGGGTTAATTTTGTTTTTTAAAAAAATATTCATATATAAATTTTTATAAAAAATATTTTTTTCGAAATTTAAAAAAATCCTAATTTGCAAAAATTGGAAAGCAAATATTAATTTAAATTTATAAAATTTATGTTTTAAAAAGCAATTCGTTTAAAATTAAACAGAATTAGCTCTAGATTTCATTATACTAATTATCATTTATATATCAAAAATTTTTTTCTATAAAAAATTTTTGTATTAAAAAACTTTTTGTTCACTCACGGAGGGTGGGTTTTTGGGCAAAAAATAGCGATTTTTCTAATGGTTTTGTTCACTCACGGAGGGGGAGGGGAGTTAGTAAAAATCCAATTCTCGAAACCCAAAAATAAATTTGGAAATACTTGAGATATTTGAATAATTTGGAAATATTTGAGATATTTGAATAAAAAATAAAAAATAACTTGAAATAATTTTTGTAACTGCTATATTTTGTAACAGCTGCATTTCTGATATAAAAATAATTATTCTGATCTAATTTTCAATCTGATCTGAATAAAATTTTTCTGATAAAATAAATAATTCAAACATTTCTGTTCAAAAAATGGTATTTTCTGACAAATCCCATTTTTGTTTTGTTGTCACCACGATCTTCAGCTTCATCAGGTTATTCTTGGAATCGACTCCATCTTCATGCATGGCTCCAACACTGAGTGGAATGTTTTTGCACCAAAGCTCCACACTCCTGCACACTCTCCTACAAATTCTCCATCAGGAAAATCCATAGATAATCATTTTCTTTTCTTTGGCAAAAAATGCCATTTAGAGCTAAAAATGATTATAAAATTGATTTTTTTCAAATTAAAAAGAGAATTTTTTATTTCCAATCTTTTTAATCAACAAAAAATCCATGAATTTATCACCTATGGTATTTTAGAACAACCCAAATTTTCTTTATCTTGCTTCATACTCGAAAATTCTTCATATAAATGGTCCGAAGTGCTGACCTCATCTGAAATGCTTTTAAATCTATCATGGCTTAGCAGCGATCCTGAATTAGATTCAAAAAATCCTGAATTTTCTAGCGACGCCGCTTCAAAAGTCAGTGAAAATTTTCTTTTTAAAGCTGCAGGAGATGGAAGATTTGACTTTGAGTGTCTTGAAAGCTCTCCTTTTAGCTCCTCAATTTCTTTTTTTAGCTTATTAATAATCCTCATATAGGCTTCTGGGGATTTTTTCACATTTAACTTATACTAAATTCCTGGGGATAGCGTATTCCGCGCTATCCCCAGGACCAACCAGGATCGGATCCACACATGGAACGGGGGTTCCATGTGTGGATCCATTTTTGACATGTGAGATATTTACTTTCACGTGTCAAAAATGGATCCACACATGGAACCCTCGTTCCATGTGGGATCCGATCCCGGTTGGTCCTGGGGATAGCGTATTCCGCGCTATCCCCAGGAATTTTCTATAGCTTGATTTTTAATTGTTTTTACTCTTTGGGCGAATTTCAAGGTATTTAGAGTGTCTTCATAGTTTCTTGGGTGAGGACTGCAGTTTACTATTAACGTGGTTTTATAATTCCCTCCTAATGATTCTTGCAGAAGTCTTGTGAGTTTTGAGTCTCTATATGGGATATGCTCAGAATGAGAAGTCAAAGCATGAATTACATTTCCTAGTGCGCTTAGCGACAAATTAATTTTTTTAGCTTCTTCGAGCTTGTTTCCAGTAACTCCAGTTTGATTTATTTTTTCACAGCCTGCAAGGTCAACTAAATTTAAAACTCCGCGCCTTTCACTGTTATCAGGCAATTTCTGATTGACTTCGACTATAAATAACTGATGGCTTCTGGAACTGACTTTATTCATTTTGGTAGAAGCAACAGTTCTATTGCTTTCTCCCATTGATAAGATTTCCATCATTTCTTCTTCACAGACTACGTATTCTTCAGTTAGTCCTTGAATATAAATCCCTTTACTTGTGGACTCTTTGATTTTTAATTCCCCTGTGCCTCCCAACTCTCCCATTGAAATTGAATGAATATTGGCAAATTTTTGATTTTTTGGAACTTTAAATAGGAACAGAATTTTAATATTTCAATTGAAGAGAATTAATAAATAGTTTTGATAGTAAATTTGTCGTGATTAATTTCAATCGGAAATTTCTTTATCTTATTTTAATTTTAAGGTATTTGAATATGCTTATCTTTAAGGTTTTGAAATTTTTTGTTAAAGAGAAATTTTGGTTTCAATTTAAAAAGGGGAATAAGAGATCTTTTAAAGTTTCTTTATAAATTTCAAGCATCGAGCATTTAACCGTGCATACAGCATCCTTAGTTGACGCAGAAAGGGATTCGAAGATTAAAGAGCTTGCACGAGGAATTATTAAGATTAAGATTACGCTGGGGTATTTAAAGTCCCCACTTCGTCCGAGGAAGCATTCTACGGTTTCCCGTATGGTGGCAGAGCGTTCACCAATCCCGGGCCCGAACCCCCGGTTTCTCGGTAGAGGTGAAGGTCAAGGGACGTGTCATACCGTCTTTGCTGGCCGCCTCCATTTCCAACTTGGATCGTCGCCTAAGTTTACGCCAAAACTGCCGCGTCGTCCGCCAGATCTGCCCACTGAAGGGCATCTTTTAACTGGAGAGACTCCCGTTTTGTTGTCTAGCTTGCCTTCCCCTCTTTTCCGGTCATCCCGAGAAAGAACTCAACAGCTTTCGCCATTCGGGGCAAGCCACAAAAGCAGCTTAGGAGGTAAGTTGTCCTGCCTCATTTCGGGCACTCACTGGGCTGAGCGCTGCTGGCAAAAAGAAGTCGCAAGTAACTGCCCATGGATTCTGTCACAGAAACAGCGGTCTCAGTGCTTAGACCTTTCGCTTCGAGGTCCAAAACGTTGCTGGGCCAACTCCCGGCTCCAAAAACCATGCCCGGATATACATGGCTAACCACCATTGAGAGAGGGTGGGCCGGTCGCCATCCGCCATTTTTTGAATATTGCACGAGGAATTATACCTTTTGTTATGTTATCGTAAATGTCAAGGCCCATCATAGTAAATGATTTTCCTGAGCCTGTTTGCCCATACGCAAAAACAGTTCCATTATACCCTGTTAAAACATCTTCAATTATCGGTTTTCCCACAAAGTTAAATATTTCAATTTGCTGAGATGAAGGAGAAAAAACTTTATCGTACACAAAGGTGTCAGTGTTATTGGCATCATGGTGAGCTTCTATAGCAGTGTCAGTTGGAAAGGTATATAAATCAGTTCGGTTATCAGGCAAATCAGCTTCTATTTCAATAATAGGTCGAAATCGAGCAATGACTTTGATATTACTGCTACTTTCATCATGCGAGCTTAGCCTCTTCATTTTTATTCTTACATGGATATGGTCTTTGTAATGTATAAGCTTTGGGAATGTGGCAGTCTTCGCTATATTGTATATATTATAAAAATGCAGAAAAATAATAAATTATTAGATCAGGTTTGGGGATATAGGAATTATTTTTATTTTAGATATTATGCATTAATTGAACTGGCTTGATTTTGAAAAAAAGTTAGCTGTTTGAGAAGGATAAGAGGAGCTTTGCTGTTTTTCTTTTGAACTTTAAGCAGCTTAAAATAATTCAAAATGGCTAATATTAGCCATAAAAGATGTCATAAAGATTGCAGCCTCTTGGAAGACTGATATTTATTTTTTAGTATGACTGGCTAATATTATAATTCAATAAAAACTGCATTAATTATTCAGCTAAAAATTATATTTTAATATATTCTAGATATTTGGCATATTGAATAAACAATATAATGCGTTATAGCTCATTATGAGAAATAATCATTTTAAATGTTTATATTAGAGATTGTATTATCTATTGGCCTTTAATTATATTGATTCAAACAGTAATTCTTCACTTTATATTTATTAGTAAAGAATAAAAGGAGGCTTAAGATTTCATAAGAGAAGAGCCAGCTTAATGCTATAAAGTTAGGAAAGACTACACTCGATAATCTAAAATTTTGTATTGGTATCCTATAGCATTAGTTATGGCATACATATGATATACCATAGAAGGCTATATCCTTCAGAGCTATATAAGCCATTTCTTCTTTATAAAATAATTAGGCTAGACAATTCAATGAAAGAGCCTATGCTGAAGCATATTTAAGTATCTATTTCTCACAAAAAAATGCTAAATACTAATCAAAATTATAAAAATTAGTCAAAATGGACGCAAGAAAAGTGCTTGATCCTCCCTATGCTTTCAATTTGTCTCCATCTCATTTCTTCTTGCAAAAAGAAAACTCAGATACCACTGTTGTGATTAACCGTGAGACTAATGGAATAACAGTTGAAGAAAAACACTCTCAGCTTCCAGGGAAGCCAAAAGAATGCTATAGTAAGGAACCGATATTGATCAGCATGAGCTGGGAGAACTCCTAGCAGCTTTCCAATTCAAATTGACGAAATAACTCGGGGAGCCGACAAATCCCTTATACTAGGCTTATTTGTCAAGTCCCAAGTTGATTCATCACCTTGAGTTGGAAAACCAAATCTGGGAGTTGCTAGTCATTCTCCCAGCCTAAGCTGATCATATCTGTTCCTAGTCTATATGGTTTCATCGGTATTGCTAAATTTTCATTTACGAACTATGTGATCGTCATTACACAGGCTAATTACATTGGGCGTATTAAAGACTCTTATATTTTGCAAATAGTAGATGCAGAATTTATGCCTTACTCAAGTAGCCAAGAAAATCCTCCAGAGAGGAAAAAAGATGATTATTTTATAGCTGATTTTTTTTACCAAAAATTATACCAATTAAAAAAGCCTATTAATTTTAGAAAAAATTATCGGAAATATTTTATAAACTTATTGCTTGAATTAATCCGCTCAAAAGCATTTTATTTCTCCTACGACTATGACCTTACACACTCTATGCAGAGAGCAGCCAATTTTTCCGACAAACAAAGTGCTTCTTACTTATGGGAAAGAGCAGATTATAAATATTTCTGGAACTCCTTTTTATCAGAAGACTTCATGAATGCTGGTGCCAGCGACGTAATAATTCCTATAATTAATGGGTTTGTGCAAGCAGAAAGTATCATTATTGAAGGATCGCCATTAGAGTTTATTTTGATAAGCAGGAGAGACCATAGAAGAGCAGGGACAAGATTTAACACAAGAGGACTAGATGAATCAGGTCATGCAGTTAACTTTGTAGAAACTGAACAAATTATAACGTGTTTACGCAATGGAAAAGTCACAGTTTGCTCCTTTGTGCAGATTAGAGGATCAATACCGCTTATTTGGCAGCAGAAACCTAATTTAAAGTGGGCACCTAAGCCGAGAGTTCTAGGAGGTGTGCAGCAGAGCTCAAATGCAGCTTTTCAGCATTTTACTGACTCCCCCCCCCCCTCCGTGAGCGAACAAAAAAAATTTTGTTCGCTCACGGAGGGGGGTTAATTTTTTTTTTTTAAAAAAAATTTATATATAAATTTTATAAAAAAATATTTTTTTCGAAATTTAAAAAAATCCTAATTTGCAAAAATTGGGAAGCAAATATTAAATTTAATTTGCAAAATTTATGTTTTAAAACGCAATTTGTTTAAAATTAAACAGAATTAGCTCTAGATTTCATTATACTAATTATCACTTATATATCAAAATTTTTTTCCATTAAAATTTTTTCTATTAAAAAAAATTTTTGTTCACTCACGGAGGGTGGGTTTTTGGTCAAAAAATGGCGATTTTTCTAATGGTTTTGTTCGCTCACGGAGGGGGGGGGGGGAGTGAGCTTCATGAGGTTTATTCAGGAATTTCAATGATAAATTTGATTGATAAAAGTGGAAGTCAAAAGATGATGGGAAACGCCTTTGGTGAGCTAGTGGAAATTGTGAAGGATGACAAATTAAGTCTTATTTGGTTCGATTTTCACCATGAATGCAAAAAAATGAAATACGAAAATCTAACTTTTCTAATATTTAATAAATTTTTGGTTTTATTAATGTTTTTTAGGAAATTTAATATTCATTTATTATGTCTATAATCCTAAATGTCTAAAATTTTAATTAAATAGCATATAAAAGTATATTATTTGCATATTGATAAGGTTTAGAGTAAGCAAACTATTAGCAGAAGTAGAGACTGATTTATCAAACTACCAATGGTGCCAATTAAGCGTCGATGAAGGCCTTCCTTTTACTAGAGCTGAAGTGGTTTTAAACCAAAATGGAGTTTTCAGGACAAATTGTATGGATTGCTTAGACAGGACTAATGTTGTGCAGTCTGTATTCGCCAGAAATGTTTTGCATAGGCAGCTTTATTCACTTAAAATTCATTCCAAGCCCACAGGAGAAGCCTTCCAGCCATTTCCAGAGCCATTAGAAGACTGTTTTAGATCTTTTTGGACGAATAATGCTGATGAGCTAAGCTTGCTATATTCAGGAACCCCAGCACTTAAAACTGATTTCACAAGGACAGGAAAAAGAACAATAAAAGGAGCAATCAATGATGGAGTTAATAGCGTGACAAGGTATAATATCAATAATTTCATGGACGGGAGACGTCAAAATTCTCTTGATGCATTTTTAGGCAAAGTTTCAGTAAAGAGGACCAAAGCAAGCCTTAAAGGAAAATTCAGCTCACTGTACACAGCTTTATTGACCATTTCGGCGCTGCTATTTATATCTCACTTCACAGCAAGTCATTTTTCGGAAGGTTGGGGATATTATTGGGGAATATTTTTGGTGTCTAGCTTAGCACTTTTTAAAGTTGCCATGATTTATGGAACAGCATTGATAGATAAACCGTTGCTTAACTCTTAATTTATTGGGTAGGATGGCTAATAAGATAATGAATTCGTTATGATTATTTATTCAAAAAATTATTAAATAACTATCCGTGAGCAACAAAAAAAAAATTTTTTATTTTTTTCAAAATTCCAATTCATAAAATATATATCAAATATTTTTCATAAAAAATTTATGTTCTCTTGCGGAGGGTAGATTTTTACCCAAAAATAGTGAGTTTTCCAATGGTTTTGTTCGCTCACGGAGGAGTAGTAAGACTCTTCTTTAATTTTGCTCAATTTTTATTATAATGAACTGACTTTAATAGTTAATGTCTTATGATTTTATAATGCATAAGAAAATGGATATCTGCAAGCTAAACTTTAAAAAGCGTTCCTCAATGATTTTAGCACAAATATTATCAGAGATATTTCTAATGATAGGTAGCGAGAGTTAAAGAGCTTTAATTTCAAGTCGGTTACTTTGAGGCTCTGAATTTCATTATAAATTGTAAATCATCATCAATGGGCTCTGGGCTTTTCAAATAATAAAATAAGAGTCAAGAAATTATCTAAATACATAAGAAAAAAGTAACTTTCCACAAAAGTGGTTAAAATTCATTAATCACTTTGAAATAATAATTTATCAAATTCATAGACATTCGAGACACTATTGGAGATACCATATTATGAAAAATAAAGCCAAATAGGTTTTATGAAATAATCTCAACATTTTAGGTTTATTTTCTTAAGCATAATATATTTGAATATTTATATAAATTTTATTATTGGAAACTATAATTTATTTATAATAAGCTTCAATAGCAAGTGCTATCTTAGTTCTATTTTATTATGAATCTAAAAGTCTACTCTTCACAAATAAAACAAAATTTTAATCCATAGAGTTAGGGTATTTATTCAAGCATATTGTATTAATATATTTTGACTATTTAAAAAGTTTTGCATTAGAAATCAAAATGTCTTAACTGATAGTGATATTTTATAAATTTTAATCCCATTCTTTCTATAATTTTTACCCTTTCTTCATATCTTTTTTTTTTATAATTGTAGACAATGGGATATGAATCATCTATAGATATTTTCTTTAAGAGATTAACCAAACTATTTTGAAATCTTAGCCATAAATTGCGATATTCACCACATAATTGCAACAAAAAAAAGATAAGATTTAAATTTTCATAAAATATCTTTCTTCAAAACAAATTTTTGTAGAGTAGTGAATGTAGATTCGACGACCTACAAAAATGAAGAAATTGTAAATTTTATTTTTATTCGGGAAAATATAAGAAGTCAATCAAAATTCACTATTAAAAGAAGATTAATCCTAAATTAGCATAAGAAATTCCTTTAAAATCAGTTTTTACTATAAAGCAATTAATCATTTAATCATAATTAAAAATTTAGAAATCAGAAGGTTTTATCTTAAAGTGAAGCCAGCAAGTCAAAAATTATAATTATGATAGATATTAAGAATTTTGAGGAAAATATTTCAATTTCACAATAAAATTTTTAAATATGCAAAAATGTTAATTTTAATAGATAAGTTAATATGTCTAAGATAAAGAGACCTTATCTAAGTTTATCTCAAAATTTTGAAGATGACGAATTTAAAAGAATATTTACAAGGCCAGACACCAGCCCTGAAAAAAGTGAAGGCTATAAAAAATCCACTCGATATAGCCTTCACAAACCAAAAAATAACTCTATGCATGAACAGTCTGTGAGGAGAACTAAAACATTAGAAGGGACATCAAGGACTTCTGATGTCCCTTCCTTTGTTCATGAGTATCTTTATATTTCTGAAGAGCCTAAACCAGAAGCAAAAACAGTTCTAGACACTTATAACAGCTGATATCATGACAGACAAAAAAGCTTGAAATCATCAACAAGATTCTCTACTCAAGATCGCTCAAATAAAAATAAAGAACCAATTGGAATTGAGCCTATTTATTATGATAATTATAAAGCTAAGCACAAGCTTCGGCCCAAGTCTGCTTCAAAAGTGACAAAAATAAGAGATCAGTCTCTTTTTCAGACATATAGAATTTATAAACCCAAAGTATTAGAAATCTCTCCAAGATCTAAATTTACAATTTATCTAAAATCATCAATTGTTGAAAGTTCTGAAAAGAAAAAAGCAGAATCATTATCTCTTTCACCTAAAAAAACAGCAGCATCCAGCAGCATTCAAGCTACTCCTAACCTAGAATTCAAACGTCCACCAAGTCCTCCAAAATTTACCTCAAAAGTATTAGAAAAAACTGCAGAGACTTATGGAGAAAAACTTTGGAAACTCAACGAGTTATCTCTGATGGATTGAATCGCAGAATAAAAATGTATTTATTTATAAATAGTAAAAAATCTTAGTATTTTAAAAGTTTTTACATATTTAATGCCATTTCAGTCAAAATATCTTCTTCTTCTCCAAGCTCGTCCATTTCATTCACAATATCTTCAAGCTCATCTTCGTCAATATCCATGTCCATGTCTGATTCTTCTTTTTCATCTTTTTCGCTTTTTTCATCTTTTTCTTCTTTTTCTTCCTTTTTGTCGACTTTCAAGCTATAATCATTGTCGTCTTTTGGCCTCGATTCTTCAGGTTTCACTTTGATTCTTGACATATCTTCGCTGTTCAAGTTTTTGATTTTCTTTTGAATGATCATTTTGTTTAGCTCAATTAGTGTTTCTAGCTCAAGGGTCGCAATCAATTTAATAAGAAATCCTCTATCTGGAGGCTTGGCATCTGGAACATAAGGTTTTAGCTTACTACTGGTAAGACAGTGATTGTATAAATCAGCTGTTTTTGAGGGAACGTAAGAAACTTGAGGAAGGCAAAATTCTCTGGTGTCTTTTAAGGGGAGGGCTTTCTTTTCGCCTGACTCAATTTGCTTTAAAAATTGGAGAGGACAGTTTTTCATTTCTGGCAGGAGAAGCTGATATCGGTGTGCGAGATACTCGTAAAATGGCTTGAAGCTGCCTTCCATATTATTATAAAATAATTAATTATTAATTTTAGAAAAACCCCTAAAAATAAATTTTTTTTTTTATTAAATATTTTAATAACCAAAAATGGTAACTATTTTTAAAATTGCTGCATATGGACAAAGAATATTAATTTATTTTGTATTTAATTAACTTATACGCAGAAAGAAGTATGCAAAATACCAAACTCAATTTAAGAAAATATTGCTTTATCTAAAACAAAAAATATACTTCAAGCTCAAAATCTCAAAATTAAAAAAATATTTTGCAATCCTACGTTTTATTTCTGTTTTTTGGATTAATTGCCTAAATACCTTATAAAATTATTTATAATTCCATTTATTTAACATTAATAATGATTAAAATATTCAAATTCTTATAAATTGATAATCAGAGTTGCCTTTTTATTCATTTTTTTATTTAATCTGTTATTCATTCAGAATTCATAATGGCAACTTTACAATTACTAGTTCAAATAATAACATTAGTAAATGAAAAAAACCGGAAGACTCACCTCAGGCAAGCTAAATCTGAAAGAAATGATAGACCTCCTTGACAGTGACGGCTTACTTACCGATCTTCAGCAGGTAATCTCAAAAATCCATACCAAAGTTTCGCCTCTAAAGGGAAACAAAAAAGAAGCATTCATGAACCTTCTGGATCTCCTTGTTACTAAAGAATGGAGGTCTACCACAGCAGCTTCAACCGAAGCTGACGAAGGAGTGGTCCAAACTCCCATTTTTTCAGCTAAACAGTCTCCAGTAAATTCGAGACCAGCAACGCCGTCAAATTCAGGCATGAGCTTATTATAGTCCTTTCTATTGTATTTTTGGAATTTTATTATTATCAAATAAATATTTATTCGAAAATACTTTATTAAATGAAATTAAATAAGGATAAACTTAAAGCATAAAAGAAATGCCTCAATCAGTGAACTTACAGAGACTTACGTCAATAAACATAAACTTTTTGAAGAAGGCCAAAAAGAAGAGCTTGATTACTTGGTGACTTTTATTTAGAGCGAATTTTCTCATGCAAATATTGCAGTGTCTTTTCCAAAAGCAAAAAGGGACTTAGGGGAAGTTAAAGATGTAAACCCTGGGCCTGGGTCTTATAACCCAAAAACAATTCTTGTGGAAGAAACTACACCGTCATCAGTGATACCAAAAGGAGGGAAGCGTTTTGAATTCAAGGTCCCAGAAACTCCTGGCCCGTGCTATTACAAGCCGAAACGCTATCTTATCTCAAAATAAGGTGTTTAAAATAATCTTTTGATAAGTCTGTAACTGATGGATACTGTTTGTCTTATAAATCTATTTGGATCAGCTTGTTGAGATTATATTTATTTCTACTTATTTAGCCAATGGCAACAATTATTATACTCAGAAAAGCTAAAATATTTATTTGTGATTCTTTTGCCTGCATTTCTTCATCAATTATCAGTCATAAATTAAAAATAATTTACCATCCCAACCCAGGAGTAATAAAATTGGATCCATACCATGTGATTAGATTTTATTCATGAGAATATAGCTAATAATATAATCCAAAGTCTTGGTAGCCAGCTTGTGATTAGAATCCGCATATATCTAAGATAATCGGATGAAATCGATTAAAATTCACCTACCCTAGAATTTCACTTAAAAATCTTACTTAATTTAACGAAAAAGACTCAAAGTATTTAATATTGCTTTATCTTAGTTGTAAAACCATATGGATTACTGCTCCAGCAGTTAGATTGTAGTCACTTAATCCCCCTCCGTTAACGAGCAAACCCATTATAAAATCCCTATTTTTTAGCAAGTGAACAAAATTCTTTTATGAAAAAAAAATAAGTAATAAATTAAATCTAATTCGGATTTTTTTAAATTTCGAAAAAAATTAATATAAAATTAAAATTTTTATTCACTCGTAGGTGGGAGTTAGCCTGCTTTCGTCATTCAATTGGCGTCCTCCGAAAATTAAACGAATTTGTTCAACGCTAATACCTTCCTTCTCTTGCAAGGCTTGTTTCACTTGAAGAACAGTGTTGTCGAGTTCAAAGTTCATAGGCTGCTTCTTCCCAGTCAAAGTTTTTATAATGATTTGCATATTTATTATAAGAAAGGGACAGAATAATAAAATTGCAATAAGTAATCTAATAAACTACTAACAGACAATATCAGATAAAACATGCTCCAAATCTATTAAAAAGAATTTTGATTGTATTCTTTTTTTTTTGGGAAATTCCCTTAAAGAAAATCGTGGCATTATTAAATATTAAATTATAATATTTGCCTCATAGATTTTTTAGGTAAGCCAGTAGCTGCTGGCACATTATTATTTAAATTATTCAAAAATTTTTAAATTTTTATTTTTCATCACATTTTAAGCATTAATTATCAAGAATATTACGAGGGACATTGTCTGTCTCTATCAGTAAGTGGCGCATAGTTAACAGTTTGTGAGCTGTGAGTTTGAAGATTACCATTTTCGTCCTTCTTCACAATTGTAATGTGCTGAAACCCACTTATAGGTCCTACTGGAGCCATTAGCACCCCACCAGGAGCAAGCTGTTCTAGCAATGGCTGCGGGATTTCTGGAGTAGCTGCTCCAATATGAATTACATCAAAAGGTGCATACTCCAACAACCCTATTCTTCCGTCTCTATGGACCATTCTCATTTCTAAGTCATTTTTCTGCAATAAGTACAAATTAGATTTTCTAATATTATCAATAGCTTGATTTATCAGTTCTTCAATATGGTCAACTCCATAGACTTTCCCTCTCCCAATCATCTTTGCCATACATACAGTTAGATATCCACTGCCACAGCCTATGTCAAGGACTCTTGCTCCAGGGACAAGCCATGGCTCAAGAATTGATAAGGTCATTGCGTGCATATGAGGAGCCGAAATGGTTGTATTGAAGCCAATACGTTGAGGTCTGTCTTCATAAGGGCTGCTTTCGTCTGGGATAAAATCTTTGCGGTCTGTAGACTCCATTACAGTTCTGACACTTTGGGTTGAAATCAGTCCTTCAATAGCTAAGGTTTCGACCAGTTGGACTTGTAAAGGGTTGCTATGGACTTCTTCAGCAGCTGGAAGCACCTCAGGAGACCATTTAAGCTCATTTTCAATCGCTATTTCCTGAGAAGTAAGCCCTTCAACTGACCTCAATGCACTATCAAGGCTGATATCCATATTAAAATTCAAATTTTCTGCTTCCTGCTCCAACGTTTTTAGCTTATCTGCTAGCTTATCCTGCTCAAACGACAGTTTATTTATAGACTGCACCGCTTGCAGCCTCGCAGGCCCCGCAATTTTTGAAATTTGCCTCATAATCCCATCTATATCAGAAATCGTTTTTTGCCTTTTTTTGACAATATCGTCACAATACTCCACATTTTCTTGGATTCTTTTGACAAGTGCATTTACCGGCCTATTTAAGCTCATAACAAATTCCTTCTTCTTTTTATCAATAGCTTGTAAAAGTGGTTCAAATTTTCTATCAATTTCTTCTATTGCTTTAGCCTTCTTTTCTTCTACTTTATTAAAGATATTCACAGACCAATCTCGTTCTGATCTAGCAGTGCTGAGAAGGTCTTCAGCTTTTTTCTTTGCTTCTTCAAGCTGCTTATCGGTGCCTTGTGTTATAACAGTATCGTCTATATCGTAAAAATCATGCTTTTTGTGCTTTGTCGCACAGCGGGAACAAAACGGGACATTCTCGTCTAAACAGAAAAAAGTGGCTTCTAAGTTCTGGTGTTCAGCACAAGGAGCCAAAGGCTCGTTTTTGGACTCAGATAAGTGCTGCAAAACCAAAATATTTTTCTTCATTAAGGAAACTTCTCGATAATCTTTACTTCTGCAATGAGGGCAGTTCAGAGCGCCCATTCGTCTTTCCATTGCGGAAATGCATTTTAAGCAGAAGGTATGGCCACAGTGGAGAACTAGTGGGGAGCCTTCGCTGCTGTTGAAGTCGTGAAAGCAAATTGGGCATTGAAAAGATTCCATTGATATTTATTATCAGAATAGCGAATGAAATGCAAAAGCAAAATATATTCTTGCATAATAGCATAATACCGACCAGTATTGCAAGAATATATGATTCAATTAAAAATAGTTGGAAATTTAAACTAAAATAAATTATATTGAATTGTATAAGCAATTAATTATTATAATTTTTCATAGTCTGGAGGAGTGGGAGGATTTGCATCATCTGGAGGACACTGAAAGATGTTCTCGCTTTCTCTTCTTGTAGAAACCCCTTCGAATTTTCTTTTGACATTGTTTTTTATATTGTCAAGCATGCTTTTTGTGTTTTCCTTGAAGTTTTGGATCATTGGAGTATTGCTTCACTCTTTTGTTTTGGTTATCCCTTCTTTAACCCCGCTTTCTAGTTTAGACAGCGCGCTTACAGTTTTGACTTCTCATTCTTTTACAGTAGGTTTTTCTGTCATTTCTTTGACTTTATTAGTTACTTTATCTCCCAAAGATCTTGCAGCTGAAATTGCAGAATCGAAAGTCCCTTTCCAAGAAAAGCCTCTTTCATTATTTTCTACACAAAAAGACTTAGCTTCTTCTTCATTCACCATTAATAAACCCTGCTCTAAGCTTGGCTGCTCTGCTTGGTAGATTCTTCCATCAGATATTTTTTTCAGCATCTCTCTATAATATTGAGCTGCTCTAGTTCTATATTTTACAGATATTTCCATATCCGCTGGCATATGATATATACTAAAAAACCTCGCCAGGGCTGAATTTCCTCCAACAGTCATCATTTTTAGCTGCTTTATGCTCCAATGGTCATTCACAATTTTTCTCACAAAGCTCAGATGTAGCCCAAGCTCAATATGTTTGATTGCACAATTTTCACAAATAAAAATCCCATAGCTGACTGAAGCTCATTCTGGGTTTGGCTTTCAGCAGTCAAAGCAAACATTATTGCTCTGGTCTTCTTTGAGTTTTTTAAATCTTTCTTCTGCGGATTCTTTTGTTACCATTTTAATTTATTATATGAGGAAATTAAATTATTTCGAATTTGTAAAGAGAGTCTATGTCAGATTCGACGCTGGGGTAGGCTTGTGAGAGCTCAGCTTTTTGATGGGGTGTTAGCCTGTGAAAATTCATTAGGATGTCAATATCGATTATCTGTGTAGAGTTGCGAGGGGTTTGAAGATGGAGAAGCCTCTGAATTGAGGATTGAAGAGATAATAGTTCTTTTTTTAATGGGTATGTAATCTGGTATACTGCGCCAGTCCAAGAAAAGAAGAGGGCGTTTTGGTTGCATGATGGCTTTAAAGATGTATTTGTCAGGTTTCCAGAGATTATTGCTCTTCCTCCATCATGGAGATCATCGAGTGTTATTATTTTCTTTGAGTCTTTTTCGAGAATTTTGATACTTCCTAGTTTGTCGATCATTATGATAAATTGGTCCATAATTAAAATATTGGAAATATATTAAACTAAAATTAATTTATGGCCATTACTCTGAAAGACTGGCCTTTTCAAGTGATACCTCAATTTCTCAATAGTTTCTCCCAATCTCGCAATAAATTTTCAATAAAAATGTTGGAAATAAGGAATCCTCTTAGTGATGCATGTTCAAAAGTCAATGTATCAGTCAAAGTGTACTGTAAAATACCATCTCTGCTGTCTATTGAATAAAGAATGTTTTGTTCTGAATAGAGACCAATAACAGAATTCCTGAGTCATGCAATTTAAGTAAATTATGGAGTGAGGTTTTTAGAGACACCGAATGCATTAGAACTAAAATGAATGTAAGTGGAATTTAACAAACTTGCATCTAGCTCGTCAAAATTTTAATATAGTTTTAATGGTAGTTTGAATAATAGTTTATTAATTACTTTTTACGTTAATATATATACATCAAAATGGCGACACTTGCCAGCCTGCACTCTTAGTGTAACATTCCAGATCTTATGGCTATTGCGAACTAGACAGACTTTAAGTCAAGAATCAAGTGTAGGCTCAAGAGATGAGCATCCGGGCAGGTTTTGGCTGCTTTTTTGTGGTTAGAAATGGTGGTATCCAGCAGCATCCTTTTGGATCCGAGGACCCATGGACATTTCTCTACCGAGAAACTGAGGCCCAGGCCGCAGGGGAGTAGTCTTTTACCTGTACCGGTCGAAGGAAGGCACTTCAACACCCGATAGACTCCAAGAATCCATTGAAATCAAGCTACTCCAATCATCCATAACAGAGCTGCAGAATCCATAAGCACTAAAGACTCAAGCTGAAAGACAAGGAGGAGGCATTGCACCTTCAGGGGGAAAGACCCTCTGGGCTGAAGTCGAAAAGCGGTTGAACCTCCAGTACAGGAGGTCTTTGATGACTCTGCCACCAATATGGCTCATGCCTGACTTTAATAACTGAATCTAACCTAACCTTTACGTTAATTCTTTTCATTGAATTGTGAATCGTTAATGATATGAAGAATATTTTATTCTCGCCAGATTCACCCAAAACTTATGATTGATTTGCATGAAATCTGTACACTTGTTTATTGAATATTTAATTATCATAAGTATATTTAGAAGTGATGCTTTATCTTCTAAATTTTTCCTAGCAAACAGTATGAAAGCAACCTTAGGGGATACCTTACTATAAAGTTTAATAGGGTCTTTATTGGAGTTATAGAAGCTAATAACCAAGCTCTTATCTTAAGAATGCAGCTCCTACCCCTAAATTCTGATTTATACTGACTAATTGAAATTTGACAATGTTATTAATTTTCAAATTACCTATGTGCCAGATTTTGTAGCTATCAACCTCGCTAATTCAAATGATTACTCCTATTTTTTTCCCTTAAGTTTACTATCGTTATTTGCAGATTTTTGAACTTTACCACCTAAGTGTGGAATTTTTTCCGCGTGTGAAAAAAGGTGTTTTTCACGTGTGGAGCCCTTTTGATTTCACATGTGGAATCCTCTTTTCACACGCGGGAAAAAAATTCCACACTTAGGTGGTAAAGTTTTAAAAATCTGCAAATAATGATATTAAATTACACAATAAATTTTTTTCTGGTTACCTAGATTCTAGCTTGTTGAATTCCACAGCTGCATGCATTTTTATTTAAATGCACTCGGCGTCTCTAAAGACTTCACTCCATAATTTACTTAAATTGCATGAGCCGAATTCCTGACTCTTGTAGTTGCAATACTTTCAATATTGATGCCCTCTCCAAGTCTTAATACAAAAATATGTTCTTCAGCTCCCACTATCATTTTATCTTCATGTATACAAATTGCCTGCACTCCATGAGGGAAAAATCCTCTATAAAGCTCCGTAAACCCTTCTTGAGAAATAATTGTAACAATTCCTTTCCTTTCTAATGTTTCTCCTCCTATTGCAATTCCATCATACTGCGGAATATTCGCCATACAGTACATTTTTTCTGAATTTGTATAGCTCAAACTTGGGAAATTTCCACTGAAATTATAGTCAGACAAAGCTATATGGTCTGCAATATCTCTATATATATAAGCTATTTTATTCCTATTTGGCAGATATAACAGTCGTTTTATTGAGCCTTTTATGCTTATAAGCTCTTTTGTATTTAAAGAGTATGGCGTTGGGTTTTCTAGTGCAGCTATCAATATATCTTTATTAATACATATAAAATAGGAATTATCTAATGAGCAGCCACTTCGCATATCAATTTCAATTGGCCTGAATTCTAAATTTTCATTATAAATTAGTATTGCACGATCAGAAATCGCAATCAGCCCAATTTTATATTTAAAAAGTGTCACAGGCTTATTGCCAAGTTTTTTATATATTGGAGGATCCAAGCACACAATGAGATTCCCGTCTCTGCAGCCAATAAACATTTGGTTCCACATAAATCTAAATAAATTTTACATGACTGAATGTGGAATTGAGGATTCTTGTAGAGCATACACAAATTTGTTAATTACATTTCCAGTCATATCCAGCTGTAAAGTTTCGCAGGATTGTAAGCCTATATAGATTGATTCATTATAAATATTTATCATAGAAACATCATAATTTGGGAGTTTTCATAGAACTTCTAAGGCTGGATTGAGCATCACTAATTCTTGACTAGAAAAAGACACACATATAGAAGAATCTGAGATGCAGGCACCAATTATAGTGGAATTAAAATCTTTTTGAGATGAGCCATTTTTGATGTAGGTTGAGGTTATGTGTATCCAGTCTCTATTGGACTTCCCAATATCTATGTAATTTTCATCTACTAAGCCTAGAGCAGAGGACTGGATTGGCTTCATTGTATTGTAGTCAAGAGCCTTAACTCCTTTTGTGTAAAACAAAAATATGATATTTTCAACTGTCTTAGCCCAAAGACATGATTGGCCGATATCAGGGATTTGGATAACAACGCTGAAGGTTAAGCCTTAATAAAAATTACTGTTTGAGAGTTCTAGCAGTGAAGAGCTTTGCCCAATTCCACATGCAATAATTATAGATTCAGAATTAATTTCATTTTCCTTTTCATGCTTTTTTATTGTAATTGCGTCAAGGATAGCTCCATGTACAGATGAAGGGATTTTTAAATCGCCATTGGTATTCAGGTTAAAGCCTCTGATTTCTCCTTGTTTTCCAAATATATAGCAAAACCCTTTTAGTGTGGTAATAATTGAATCTTGAGGGATTTCTTTTATTATATTTGACCTTTTCCTTGACAGCAAATATATCTGTCCAATGTCATTATTGATATATAATTCATTATTATGTATGATATGAGAACAATAAATCCCAGAAAATTCAATTTCATCAAAATCGTCTTGGTCTATGTTTTTTTGGTTATATTTCAAAGCGTGGATTATATTTTCATAGAAAATATAAATTTTTTTATCAAAACATATAAAAGCTGTTGGAAATGCATCACCATTTTCAAGGATAGGAGAAAAATGTATAAACGTGCTTAAAGAGAGCAATGATTTATTCACTTTATATTCTTTCCAGAAATATAATGGATACTCTCCTGTAGGATTTCTACATAAAATCAGCATAGTTTTTTCGTCGACGAAATTGAAATCTACAATAAAAGACTCAACATCAATTTCATACAAAAAGGTAAGCTTCTTTTCTATATCATTCCATTTTAGCACCCACATATAATCCTGTACCAAAGAGGCCGCTATCATGCCATCAATACTTGCTTTTATCCCTACACTCATCGAAGTCGGTGACATCATCTGGAGGTGCGTGGTGGGCTGGCAATCGTACTGGAAGACTGTGCTTCAGATCCCTGCGCGTCAAGAGGTGGCGGTGGGCCCTGAAACGCCTACTCTGTGGGGGATGTTAAACGTGATATTAATTTAAGTAAGCTTTTATCCCTACACAAAATTGTTGACTTTCATTTTCATTGCTAATCCTTAATTCATAGCTGTATATTACTTCAAAATACCCCGTCCCCTCAGAAAACTCATATATTTTAAGTGCAGTTTTTGTCGCAACACACACCAGATCTTTGTCACGAGTCGAAATTTTGCATGAGCTGAAAATATTTTCATTAAAAAGCTGCTCGTGTATCGGGATAAGCTTTTCTGGCTTTTCTTCATTGATGGTGAAGACTTGCAAAGATTTTTCTTTAATTCCAATAATCACTTCAACTGATTGTAGGAATTTGCCTGGGTAAACAGATAGAAATTCACTTTGCGATTGAAGGACTTTTATGCCAAAATCCATTTATAGTAATCAAATTAATTTCGTGTGTTGATAAAGTATGGATAGTTATGAAGAAACTACAGAGGAGCACTATAGAAATGCAAGCAGTTTTATTTTTGCATTTTACGTTTTCGCGCTATGTATGATCATGATGTATTTTATTCTTGGAATATGGATCAAAATGCAGATGTCAGAAATGACCTTTTGGGAAGCATTTAAGAGCATTATAATTTGGCAGCCATATTCAAGGGTAAGAAAGGTTATAAATTTAATCAAAAATTTTTTAAATTCACAGAAAAATTATGATCAGGTGTAATGCAAAAAAGTCAGCATCTAAAGGAATTTTAATATAAATTGAGACTTTAAGCGATATTAAGCTTGATAGCTATGCAAAAATGTAAAAAATAAATAATTATCCTCTAGACATTACTGGCAGATCATGCAATCTGTCTGGTCTACCCCATGATATAGTATATAGCTTCTTCCCAGATATCTCTGCCAACTCTCTAGGCGTGGTATTCCTAACCAACGCATTGAACATTGCATAAGTCTTCGAATACTCTGTCGCGTTTTTCCCAGTAATTTTCCACTCAAAGTTATGCAGCCCAGCTAGTATCAGCATGTTTCCATATGTTGGCTCTCCCCAAGACTGCCCTGCCTGTGACGGCCAGATTTCAAAAATAGTGCCATGCCACTTTCCTTTCAAATAAATTGGGTTAGTGTACCAAGGATCCAAAGGAATATTTATCAAATTTCTCCTGCAGACTTCAACAGCTTTATCAAAAGAGTCGCTATAGCTTGTAGCTGTCCCAATCCCATATGCAATCATGCCAGCGCCATTGCCCATAAAAAGCAGCGTTCTTCTACTATTAGTCCTTTGTAGTGCAGATATATTAGTTGACGTAGAAGAATCAAGAAAAATCACATGAAAGTCTTTTTCAGCGGAAGCTTTCCATGGCGCCTCAAATTTCATATTTTTCAATGTTTTTAGGTCATAACCAATGCCTGGCTCCCTTACTTCATTTAATGTGTTGCTAGATTTGACTGCTTCTTTGATATGCTTGATGTATTCTTTTTTTCTGAACTCTTCATGCAATTCCAGCTCAGCAATACGCTCTTCGTCTGTTTTTAATAAGGTCTTTTCGTAGTCTCTGACGTGGGCTTTCCTTTCAGCTTTTAATATGGATGACCATTTAGGCTCTTCTTTGGACTTGAACTCTTTGAGGAAATCGTTGAACTCTTCGTCAGTTTTGGCGAGTTTTTTGACGGACTCGCTCAGAGACATCCCAGGAATTGAGGTTTCGTCCTTTGCAAGCTTTTGGAGCTTTGCTAAGCGGTCAGGGTCGTGTAGGTAATCTGCTTTTCTTTGCAGGCCTAGAGGATTTTTTTTCTTTGGCAGCGAAAACCTGTGAGAAGCTGATAAGGCTGTGAATTTGGAAAAGTTCCTGATGCTAAGTCTCAGCATTTAAACCTTTATAAATGTCTTTCCATATTAGAAAGTAAATTAGATTAAGCTTATTATTCAGCTTGTTTTGGTGCTTCTCTGCCGCCTCGTTTCTTACAAACGTAAAGATAATGGACATTGGGCTGGTCTCTGTCGTCTGTAGCTAATGCAGCTGTGCTTGCGATAGTTGGCTTTTGGACTTGGTGTACTGTGATTTCCCAATTGTACTCTGATTTGTCAAGATACGGATACCTATGAGGAGGCTGCCCATAAGTGATTGCAACGTATACTCCTGTGGGAGAAAGCACTCTATACACTTCAGAAATCATTTTATTAGCATGAGCCGTTGAGTTTTCTCCACAAAGTATGGCATCTAGTGTACCTTTGTCAATTACAGCGTCAAATGTTGCATCATCAAATTCCATGTTCCTGCCGTCCATATGCAGAAATCTCATCGTCTGCTTATCTCTGTATTTCTCTTGCATAGCCTTGATTTTTTTATAAAACAATTTATTTATTCTTTTTTTTAAAAATAAAAATTTATAAAAAATCCCACGCTTTGATTACTACTTGGCTGATATCAATATTAATGCTATTAATAAAGCCTTCATCATACATTTCTTCACTTAAACGCGAATTCCCACATCCAAGATGTAGAATCTGATGTGTAGGAAACACATACTGGGCCAGTAAATCTTTAATACCACTCCATCTCTGGTACCAATCAAAAGGTTCTGCGTCTCTTGTGTATCTTTCTTCCCAGTATTCTGCTTTTCCGTATTGTGCCATTTGCTATTTAATTATTCTAGAAATAGAGAAAATTATTATTCACTTATATCGCACAGCTGGACTTTGAGGGAAATCCCTGATATCGCGACAAATGTGGAGTATCGTGAAAAGTGGCCTGGATTTACGACTTTGGAGTCATCGATTGAGTAGTTGAAGTAGCGGGTATTGTCGGCAAGACAGATAAGGTCAGGCTGGGATTCAATTCTTAAGGTATGGTCGTAGTCAGGGAGAACTTGAGTGTGAAGAGTAGGGCATAGGTGGCCTTGTTTAAGGATAGTATGAGCTAAATGAGCATCCGGGTTTGCATTTTCATCAAAATTGGGCTCGACAGCACTGTTTCGCTGAAGGGTTCGCAATTGGTCAATTTTTGCAAAAATTAATTTTTTACCACAGAATAGGATTCTTGTGGGGTTGCTTGAGGATTTTCAGTGTTTTAAAGACTCAAATGCCTCTGTCAGGTTGTTTGGCAGCTTTTGCTGACTCCCCCCCCCCCTCCGTGAGTGAACAAAAACCATTAGAAAAATCGCTATTTTTTGACAAAAACCCACCCTCCGTGAGTGAACAAAAATTGTTTATGGAAAAAAATTTTGATATATAAATGATAATTAATATAATGAAATCTAGAGCTAATTTCTATTTAATTTTGAACGGATTGCTTTTTGAAACATAAATTTTATAAATTAAATTAATATTTTGCTTTCCAATTTTTACGAATTAGGATTTTTTTTAAATTTCGAAAAAAAATATTTTTTTATATAATTTTTTTTTAAAAAAAAAAAATTAACCCCCCTCTGTGAGTGAACAAAATTTTTTTTTGTTCACTCACGGAGGGGGGAGTGAGGAAGAAACAGCCCAAGTCCAGGGTCGTTTGGGCCTGGGATAAACACCCACATAGCGTTTTCTTGCAAATTTGGGTACTTTCCTATCAAATTAGCTAAATTTGTAAATAGATTTTTGTGGTTATAAGGATTTGCTTGTGGTTCAGAGCTAAAATTACCCATCAAAACAAATAAAATATTGCTAAAAGCAGCATATCCCGCAAATAGCTTATCCAGAAGTCTCATTACTCTAGGATCATTCAAATGTACATTAGATAAAGCCACAATAACACAGTTATCCGGCCATTGACATGTTCATAAGCTTTCTGTTCCTTTTCTTTGCTCAATTAAATATTCCCCACCAAAAATATCAACATCAGCATAAATACTGCATGCAGGAGGCTGGGCAATGCAACTGACATATAAAACCCCATCAACATGTCTGCCTTGTGCAAGCACTATGCAGCCTTCACAAAAAAATCCAGAGTTTTTTTCTACATCGTAGATGTCTAATTTTACAGTTCCATTAAAATCTTCTAAATACCAAGTTTTTCCGTCTATTTTAGTAAGCATTCCTAATATGATTTTTTCATTGTTACAGCCGATTAGACTTTCTACTTCACTGAAAGGGATTGCGGATTCGTTTAAACTTGGGTTAAAAGTTTTGTGTTTTTTTATTCTAGATCGTGCTATTGCAAATCTTTCTCTGTACATCATATGTTTTGATAATGGCGCGCCTAAAAATGATGGAGGAGATGCGGGGACAAATTTTTCGTTTGAGTTAAAAATATACTTACTCCCAGATTTAACTGGAATAAAATATAGGAAAATTCCTATTTAGGGGTCGATTAAAACCCATTTAAATTGGAAAAATAAAAATTCTATGTAGCTTTAATGCCCAGTTTATTAAAAATCTATTATATTTTTTTTAAAGGAAAAGCATAAATATTTTCTACTTAAAAATACCAGTATCGATAAATTTATTTATTAAAAATTTAGACCCCTTTGAAATATTATTTTATCAATTTAAAGAGGTAGGCAAATCTTTGAACACATCAATTACAACGATTTCTTTTGACTCTTTTATAGCCGAGCTTGGAGTTTCCTGAATTACAGACTGCAGCTGATCTACATCTACCACATCAAACTTGCCTAAATCAGAAATAATATCATCAAGCTGTTCTTCACTGTCATAGTTTTTATGCTGCGCATAAGACATCAAGTAATCCAAAGCTTGTGGACGTATTTTAATTCCTTTTCCCAATAAATAAGAAATTAGCGCCCTTTTATCGTTCATATCCCTTTATTTATTAAACTACTTAACTACTGTTAATAAACTCATCAATATAATCCTGATAAAATGTGTGGAGTTGGAAAGTTTGCCTGTTTAAAATCCTGACATCATGGGCTTTAGCTAACAATTTCATATAATTTATCAAGCTCAATAGCTCTTTATCTTCTTTCCTGTTAGTCCAGGAAATTATGGGGATTCCATTATCAGCCTGAAATCCAAAGCTGTACACAGAATTGTCAACTATTGCGATGTCTTGGAGTTTTCTGTTAAGCAGGATCCTTAAATCTTTTACCATAATCCCTCTTAAGTAGATGCAGCTTTCTCTATACAGTCTGTGGTGGATATATAGGTTATTAGGATCAAGGTAGTCTAATACAGCATCAGCATAGGCTTTATGTGAAGCTGTAAATACAATGACTTCAAACAGCTTGCTTGCTTCTTTTAAACATTCTATAGCATAAGGTCTTATATTGATCCCAGTCTTGGCAATTACTCCAGAAGGCAAAGTTACGTTTATTTGGACATCAGAGTCCCCATTTATTTCTTCACAACAGTGCACTAATGTTTCGTCTAGATCGAAAACAATTGTTTTCTTGTTTTCGTAGCCTGATCTTTTTGGAAAATTTACTTGTCGGATTCTGACAAGCTGGATATCAGGAGCAGAAAGCTCTCTTGTGGTTTTTAAGGCTAAGTAGGTTTGGTAGAGATGGTCTTTGATGATTAGCTCTGTTACTTTTTCTTCTGATTTTTCGTCCTCTAAGCTGCAGGTGGCGGATGTTTTGGATTTTATGACCCTTTTGCGGAAAAATTTCTTTGATTTTTCAAGAGTTACCATTTCTGCTGATAGCGACTTAAAGAGCTCTTCATCTGTTTTCACACTTTTTATGGTTGGGGTGACTGCTCTTATAATTTGGCTTTTATGGTTTATAGGTTTCAGGATTTTTGCTGACGAGCTTGGCCTAGGGAAATAAGTTTGACAGTCTTCACTTGTCTTATTTTCCATTGCATTTTTTACTAGGTCAAAAGAAATATGGATCGGCCTTTGAATTGGCGTAAGGGTGTTAAGAAAAAGGCTCCGTGGGGTATTTGGAGTTGTGATAGATTTTTTTTCAGTGACCTCTGTTTTCATCGGTTTGAATAAAATTGCAGCTCTTTGTTTCAATTTTGAAGAGCTGCGTAGGTCAGGAGTTTTGCTTATTGGAGTTGCTCGGTTAGATCTAGAAGATAAACTTTCGTTTTCTGGTAGCAGGATTTCGAATTTCTTTAATTTTTTAAGGTTGCCTACCTTATCTTGAGTGGAAGAGGAAAAGATATTATTTGTCTGCCTGAAAGCCAGTCGAACTGCCATAATGGTCAATAATTTCTCTTATGCAAACTTAAGATATGTGTTTAACTATGTCTATTATTCCTTATTTAGCGATTTTTGATTACAGCTGAGCAAAGTTATTAGACGATTTAGAATTATAGAATATGCAATAGAGTTATTTTAACATTTATTAATTCATAAAAGAAACATTTGTTCGTTATCTTCATAAATGATTGATTACTATTTATAGCTTCATTATGCAATTTTAACTATAATAAAGCTCAATTCAAAGCCGGTCCTCATCATTCTTTTTAAAATTATAATTGCGCCAATATTATGGATAATAAGATGAAACTGCTTTTTTCTTACCCCCCCCCCCCTCCGTGAGCGAACAAAAAAATTGTGTTCACTCACGGAGGGGGGTTAATTTTTTTTTTTAAAAACAATTTATATATAAATTTTATAAAAAATATTTTTTTTCGAAATTTAAAAAAAATCCTAATTTGCAAAAATTGGGAAGCAAATACTAATTTAATTTGCAAAATTTATGTTTTAAAACGCAATTTGTTTAAAATTAAACAGAATTAGCTCTAGATTTCATTATACTAATTATCACTTATATAGCAAAATTTTTTTCTATTAAAATTGTTTCTATTAAAAATATTTTTGTTCACTCACGGAGGGTGGGTTTTTGGTCAAAAAATGGCGATTTTTCTAATGGTTTTGTTCGCTCACGGGGGGGGGGGGGGGACTTAGAAAATAAGAAAATTTCATTTAGAGCCACACAGCGAAATAAATTCTTTATTAATTACTTCATTGATTCTAAATAAACTAATAATACAAAAATTCAGCCTTAATATAAAGCTGGGGATATCCATAACGCAATATATTATACAATTTTAAAAATTAATTAGAAGAAATTTGAAGCAAAATGTCTAATTTACACTTCTCGTCTTCCATTTGATACCTTGATAGCTCTTCAATTGTTGATTTCATTAAACTGACTGCTTTTAAAGATGACTGTAGCCTTCTCTCTAGAGACAATTTTTTATTAATGCTCTTTTTGATTTTAATTTCTTGCTTTTCAATTCCTTTCTCGATCATTTGAATCTATAATAATCTTTACCGACTCTTTTTTATAAATAAATGGCGTTAAGCTCAAAAGAAGTTAGCTCTGCTAATTTCTTATATCCCTTAAGGAACGGGGGGGCTCAGTTTTGTTAGTGAAAATCTTATCCACAATGTCATGGCAACTCATCAGATAAGGTGAAGGATTTGGTTCAGGGTAATTTGGATGCATAGCTTAACACTATGGAGGAAAAAGATCCTTAGGCGGAACACGAGCTGGAGTCAAGTTGGGGAAAGGCAAGACAACACTGCCCTTGAGATCTGGAGGCTAACTAACCGCCATTACTTAGGATAGTTCTTCGACCAGATAAAAATGGTGATGTAAGAAATGTCAGGTGACGTCACTAGTTTGGCTCCTTTCCGATCCTTCGGATCCAGGCGACACTTTGAACACTTTAGCAGTTTAAGCTAAATTAAGACTCTTTTTCTTCAAAATAATTGTTTGATAAGCACTTCAGCTTATCTTCAACTGCCTGTATCTTTAATGTTTCATCAATTTTTTCTATCTCAACTGCTTCTAAAGTGTTAGATAAATCAGTGATTTCTTTATCAAATTTTGAGTTATTTTCATAAGCATCATTTTCAGCAGACTTTATTGCTTTGAGCAATTCCGAATGATTTGTCTTAAAATTTTTAATATCAGTATTCAAGATGTTATATATATTAGCGATTAATAGCTCACTAACTCCCCCCCCCTCCGTGAGCGAACAAAAAAATTTTGTTCGCTCACGGAGGGGGGTTAATTTTTTTTTTTTTTAAAAAAAATTTATATATAAATTTATAAAAAAATATTTTTTTCGAAATTTAAAAAAATCCTAATTTGCAAAAATTGGGAAGCAAAATATTAATTTAATTTGCAAAATTTTATGTTTTTAAAAACGCAATTTGTTTAAAATTAAACAGAATTAGCTCTAGATTTCATTATAATAATTATCACTTATATATCAAAATTTTTTTCCATTAAAATTTTTTCTATTAAAAAAATTTTTGTTCACTCACGGAGGGTGGGTTTTTGGTCAAAAAATGGCGATTTTTCTAATGGTTTTGTTCGCTCACGGAGGGGGGGGGGGAGTAAGGAAAATTTTTGATCAGTAATATATATGAAAATACAGCTGTCATCTAACTAGCCAAAAATAATATTTACTCTTTTTTAAATTTTAATTAATTTTATGAAGAATTAATTCAAAAAATTATTCAATTCAGTGGAAAACTGTTTTAATGATATTCTAGTGTCACTTTTTTATTAAATAGGTTAAATTAATTTTATTTACACCTATAAAATTTTCCTACTAAAAAAAATTATTTCAGTTTAAAGGGGTTTAAAGTATCCAAAACATGAAATTTTAGATATTCTATTTCAATTAAATAAGGGGAGTTAATGAGCTATTTATCATAAGCCATTATATTCTCACTCGCTGCATTTTCTAATTTTTTTCCTAACTCTTTCACAACTCCTAACTCTTTTTCATACAATTCCGCAAAATTCACATTATAAACTTCTTCCTTGTTTGAGTTTTCTCTCACAGTGTCCTCTACTATCATACTCATCGAAATTTTGTATTTTATTGCTTTTTCATTCTTTGGGAAAGTAATATATATCGGAGTCGCAATAGCCCCCGAGCTTGACCTTTTCGCCTTCATAGGAGTGTTTTTGTCACACCTCTTTCTTTTCAAATAGTTGCTAAAGTCCATACTTTATTTATAGTCTTCTAATAAAATATGAAACCTGGGCTACTTTTAGGTATTTTAGGCGCTGGGGAGAAAGGTCTTCGAATAGCTCTTCTCGCAAGCCGCAACGCAAAATTCAATGTAAAATTGATTGATACATGTGAAAAAAATTTATCATACGCAAACCTGTCAATGGAAACCCTACTGATGAGCATGCAAACTTTCGAAGCAATTTCTGATAAAGAGTTATATGAAATTCCTCAAAGGATTTCGGTTTCCACTAAAATTGATGCACTCGAGGCATCTGATTTTGTAATAGAATGTATACATGAAGACTTGGATGCAAAGCGTAATGTATTTCGAAATTTGGAACAGATATTGCAATTTCCTGTGAATGGCACTGTTTTGGCCTTGATTTTCCCACTGGAAAAATTTTTGGTTCGACAGTACCATATGGTTTGGTCAAACCAAAAAGTTTCCCAGTGGGAAAATCAAGGCCAAATAGTGGTATCCATGGAAAAATCCATAGTTCGAAACGATACAATTATTGCTAGTAAATCTTCAAAATTCCCAATAACACAGATTGCTCATGACACCTCCCACCCCGAAAGAATAATTGGGTTGTCATTAAAATGGGTAGATTTCAAAAATTGCTTAGACGATGGCCAAGCTATCATAAGGCCTGGCCTCCAAACATCTCACAGCACTATTCATATTGCCATACAGTTCGTGAAGTCTATAAATTGCACACCGCTCTATGCATGTGACAGTTTAGGCTTTATGAAATATAGAGATATGTATGCATTTATAAACGAAAGCACTTTTCAAGTCAAAGAAGATTTGTCAACTATTAAGGACATTGATGAAAAATTGAAATCGGAAATGAAAATTCCTTTTGGGCCTTTTGAGCTTGCAGATTTAATAGGACTGGAAGACGTATATGCAAAGCTAGAGAAGTATTATCAGAAATTAGAAGACGAAAGGTTCAAGCCTTCAAAAATCCTGAAAAAGTATATATCTGCTGGTTGGACTGGGAAGAAAGCAGGTCGAGGATTTTATGAATACCATTAATAATCCCAGATAATAGGAATTAGACAAATTGTTGTTAATTTTTACATTAATGCTTTTTTTTGGGTATATCAAGGGTATCAACTTTTCTTTGGGGAAACCTTTGGGTTTTCGGTCTTTCTAAAGCTGGGTTATTTGAAGCTATTTTAGATGCTGTTTTATTTCTGAATAGAGGCTTTGGGTCTGCAACTTTTACTCGAGAAGCTCGTTTAGTTTCTGCTTGGTTGATTTCTAGTTTTGGCTGCTCTTTTCTTTCAGGGATAGTTTCATTTGATAATTGTTGATCTCATTTATTAAAATTAATAGCAGAGCTGATTCAGTCTCCAGCCATTGCTGCAAATGAAATTGCTTTAGAATTTTCAAAAGACCTATATATGAGCTGCTCAGGTTTGCTTTTTGGTGTTAAATCGAGCCTCCCAGGAGTTTTGATATTTTTTGAAGTGATATCAAGGCTCATTCGCCGACTTGGTTTTTTCAATTGTTCAAAATTTTTGCTTTTTGTTCTCTCATAAGTTATAGGTGCGATTAACAGTTGAGCTGTTTTCGATCGGTCACTTTCAGTTATTAGAGTTTGCTCTAACAGTTCATATTTCTTTTTTATTACTGATCAGTTGAATTTCCTCGTTGACCATAACTGCTTCATCTTGATCCATAAGAGTTTGTCTCTGATCTCTGTTAATTTTTTATGTTTTTCTTTCAATTCTTTTAAATTTATTATGCAATCAACAGTTTTTATCCAAGAAATAATCATTTTGGTAGCCTTATCTCTACGCATAAGTTTTTCCTCTCTTAGTCTATTTGCAGCGGCTCGAAATCGTTTTCTCTTCAAGTACCCTTTGATATGCTTTTGTATCAAAACCACTTTATCAATAATGCTACAACCCAGCTTTATATAAATATTTTTGACTTCCTGATCTAAAAACTCAATTGATTTATTTAATTTCTTTTTCCATAATTCCATCATTTTTGACTCAATTTTTTTTCTTGTTAAAAAGCCTCTTATATGTTTTTGTATAATAACAGCAGCATTATTATATTTTATTAATAACAGTTCTCTGAAAAGTATTGTATCTTTATATGACCTTAGCCTTTCAGTTTCTTGTTTAATTTCATTTTCTATTTTACTTCTTTTTGTTCGGGCTATCTAAATAAAAATTTACATCTAATGCATAAGCGAGTTTATTTCTTCTTAATGCTTCAGCACTTTTTTGCCTTGTTGGGCTGGATTTTTCAAGTGAATTATCTTTAAAAAAGCGATCAATTGATCGATTTGTAAACTGGCTTGATTTTCCGAATCGCGATGTTAAGCTAGGACGACTTGGAGAAATTCGGAAATTTCGTTTTGTGCTAACTCGCCCCCTCCGTGAGTGAACAAAACCATTAGAAAAATTGCTATTTTTTCCCAAAGACCCACCCTCTCCAATTAGGATTTTTTTAAATTTCGAAAAACAATATTTATAATTTTTTTTAAAAAAAAAAAATTAACCCCGTGAGTTTCCCAAATTTTTTTGTTCACTGGCGGAGGGGGAGTAAGCGAAGGAAGGATTTTTGTTGCTGTTTGAGAGCATTTAGAGGTAGGTCTTTGGATCTCATTAAAACTCAAATTTAAAGTGATTTTGCTTCTTAATGACGGAACAAATGACATAATTATAACTGGAAAACATTATTATCTAGCACTAAAACTCAGATTCGACCATTGTTTTTAGAGGAAAATCTGATTATTAAATCTTTAATATATGAAAAAGCAGCATAATCATAAAAGCAGCTACTCCCTTTCAAGAAATGGAAGTTTCGATGTGCTTGAAGAGCTGGAAAAAACGAAGTTTGAAATTGCATCAGTTTTTAGCCCAATTGGCTCAAAATGCTCCTCACCTCTATTTGAAAATAGAGCAAAACCTATAAGGGTTAAAGAAAGCCCGTACGGGAAGTTACCAGCAATCAGTATTCATCGAAATCCGATGAGCATGATAAGTGGTAGGGAGATTAGTTCTGAATGGAAAAAGAAATACCAGCATGTCAATAAAAGTAGGCTTCATCAATGAGCTGTGGCAAAAAGTATAATAGACAGAAATATTAACCTCAATAGAGCCGAATTATTTTTAGAAAACCACGGAATTCGGTTTTCCCACTATTATTCAAACTCAAATGTATAGTTTTATGACTGGATTAAATAATTAAAGTATTATCTCAAATCATAAGATTGATAAGTTTTAGTCAATCAAAATAAAAAAAATTATTTAGCCCTTTTGGTCTTGAGGTTTCGATAACTCTCCTCATTCATTTAGCGAACAAATTAATTTGTTAGGGGTTTAATTATTTTTTGGAAAATTTATATAAATTTTTTGCTATTTTTTTAAATATCCCAAATCAAAAATTAATTTGCAAAATTTATTTTAAAATGCAAGCAGAATTAGCTTGAGATTTCGTTTATACCAATTAGCTCTAATATCAGAATATTTTTTTCTTCAAAAATATAATAAGAAAATTTCATACTAATCAAGAATAAAAATCGAAATTCAACCCAGCTAGAAAAATTAATTTTAATCTAGGCATGCTCCAAAAATAAAGGCAATAAGTAATTTAATAATTCAAATATGCTCTTATTTCTTCTTTAAAGATTTATTAATATATTGTAAAAATATAATTGCAGCAATCTTTTATACTCGAGAAAGCATCCATTTTGACTAATCAATTAGCCTATAACTGACTAATGAGTTTATATGATTAATGAATGTTGTTGCTCCATTTAGTGAATAAGAATAGAAAGAAATCCAAAGTATATTGTTTACCAATATTAGTAAAATCTTTTAATAATTTTTAAATTAAATTTTTCAGCTAATAAGTTGATATGCTTATTTGTTTAATTTATGATAATTATATTTAAGAGGCCAAAGATTATAAATATTTAGGTGAGACATTGTTTCTCTTCCTATAAAATTAAAAAATCCTCAGAACTCGATAATTTCTTGAAGTCTTCGTGATATCTGGCCCATTCTTCATTTTCATATTTTCTAAGAGTTCTTTTTTAAGAACATTTACGAACAAAATTTATCTTTTTCGCTCACGAAGTAAAAGAGGGTGAGGGAATTGTGCAAGGAGGGCATCTCAATCATATTAATAATGTATTAATATTTGGAGAAATAAATTGTTAAACAGATTGAACCTTATACTATTTAATCAGCTGATTTTTGTAGATTGCACTCATATTTCAAAGTTAAATAAAAAAAGTGACTATATAATATTAGCAAATAGTAAATAACCTATTTATTTCTTAAAAACATTACTCCCACCTCGGTAGCGAGCTAAAAATTTTTCTTGGAAGAGGATTTGTTTTATTTTTAATTTTCTAAATTTTAGAAAACTTTTGAATATATTGTGCACAATTACACTCATGGTGATGATCAGTTTCGTATCCTGACTTGCGAAAATGCTAACTGGTCATCTGCATCACCCGTGCTCTTGTGCCCAAGAGCTATTTACAATAAGCCTTTTTAAATAATAAATTAAATAACATTTTGTTTAAAATTCAACAAAATTAGCTAGGATTTCATTATAATAATTATCATTTATATATTCAAATTTTATTTTTTTAAAAAAATTATATAAAATATTATTTGCTGACTTAAGGATTTTTTTCCAATGGGTTAGCTCGTCGAGTAAGGGGATTTAGAATTTTGTTCCATTAATAAAATGCAATTATTCCTAAAATGTTTAGATGGGAAGTATCTGGCGATTTGTACATCTCTAGAAGAAACTGTTAAAAGCTTCAAAAAAAAAGTTTCAGAGAAAACTAAAATTCCAATTGAAGAAATTTGCTTGATTTCTCACTCAAAAATCCTTACAGACTCTTTTCCACTGCATTATTACCAGTTACACCATGGAGAAACAGTTTCGCTCCACCTGCCCTTAAAAGGAGGTGGATGTGCAAATTCAAAATCCAATAAGAATACAGTAAAACCGATCATAAAAAAATTAATTGTTTCGACTTCTTGTGAAAAGATCCCTAATATTGATTTCGCTGCTGAAAATACATTTGGCAAAACACCTCAAAGTAAAGGGAACACTCAAGCCCGCTTCACAGATATTTCCCCAAATCAAGCTGCAAGTGAAGAATTTAAAGATTTTGAAATAAAATCTCCAGATTGCACCCCAAAAGATCTCGACCCAATTGAGGTGGAAATCAGTCAGATTATATGCTCCGAAATTTTAGAAAAATTTTTATATTCTATGAGCCAAGAATATTTTAAACTTTTTTCAATAAAATAAAACAGTTAAAATGGTAACAGTTGTCTTTTCTTCTATAAAATATAGTAAATGATCTTATCAGAAAATTAGAATATTATATTAATACGGATACAATGAATAAACCAAGAAATTGAGCTCCGTGAACAAATAATGCTTTAATCCCCCCTCCAAAAAATTTATATATAAATTTCAAAGGAAAAAATTTCTTTTCGAAATTTATAAAAAATCCTAATTCGCAAAAATTTGAAAGCAAATACTTATTTAATTTGTAAAATTTATGTTTTAAAACGCAATTTTTTTTAAAATTAACAGAATTAGCTCGAGATTTCAAGATACTAGCTATAACTTATATATAAAATTTTTTCGGAAAAAATTTTTTTTCGCTCACGGAAGAGGAGAGCTAGAGACTCATTTCGAACTCTGAGTGTAAAATCCATCGAGCTTATAGGATCCCAGCTCATTGAAACAATTTTCCGAATCCTCGTTGAAACTATAATACACCAATCCAGCATCGATCGTTTGGTAGAATCGTTAATTATTAACGAAATCGAAGCAAAAATCAGCACCACAAAGAACGTTGATGAAATCAAGAAATTTCAATCAAAAATAAAATCAATTTACAACGAAAGACTGCAAGAGTTAATTTATGAAGAAATCTTAGAAGCACATATAAACGAGCTCAATCTTCAAAAAATTTCAGAAAATACCATCAAATCTTATGAATCTGGGAAAAGAAGAACCACTTTAGCTTCGAAATCGTCATTAATTAAAGTAGACAGTGTAGATGAGCCAGAAGACTACGTAAATGAAGTTTTTACACCTGGAGAGCATAGTCCTAATGAATATTCGCTAAATGATGTACAGGAAGAAGAAAAAGTCGAAAAAAGTATCGTCGAAAATGAGAAAACAAATACAAAAGCCAAAAAAAATGGAGCAAATTATGCAGTTAATTTAAAAACAAGCTGCGTTATTGAAGTTATTAATGAAAGAATTGAGATAAGTGAAACATTTTGCGACGAAATCTTAGAGTTTGGGAATAGACAGTGCTTATTGTATGGCCTTTTGAATCTTTTTGGAGCTGTTCCAAAAAATTCAATTATTTTATCCCAAAATGCTGCAGATTAGATTAGATTATGAGCTGTGCATTTATAGTCCCCACTTTCAAGACACAATGCATTTCACAGTGACAAGTCGTTGCGGGGTGGGCTAGGTCAAAACCCCCAGTTTCTCGGTAGTGGCATTTCCTTTGGATCTGAACGGATTGGCAGGTTGAGCTTCGCCTTCCCCTCTTTTCCAAATTATCTCTGAGAAACAGCTCAACCCTTTGCGAGATTCGGGGCTAAGCAGCCAAGTAGGCTAGGCAGGTAAGTCACCCTGACTCTTTCGGACACTGAGTCGTAGCCTCGGCGCTACTTGCAAAAAATATGCGAAAAACTGCTGCTCAGGTCAGGCCACAAAATCAGCGGAAATTGTGCTGGGACTCTCGCCTCGAGGCTTGCTCTTCCCGTGATAAGCTCTCCGCACCCAAAAACATGTCCGTACCGTACATACATAGGGACACCTGTCACCGACCATTTTATGTATATAATGCTGCAGATATTCGCTTACAAAATGATACAACGAATATGCTAGAAATTATAAACTCAATTGATTCATATTCATTTATGAATATCACAGGAAAAGTCCTGCCAAATAAGGCAGGAAACGAAAAATTCCTTCGAGAAAACAATCTCCCAGCAAATTTAGCCTCCAATGGAAAATCAGCTATTTCTATATTAGATCTTTCTTTTCAATGGAAATCAAGCAGAGATTTAGTTCAACCAATTTTAGGTAAACCAAGGAGATTTATTAGTTTTGAGCCCAGTGACATAGAGGTATATAAGTCGTATAATCTAGAAATTTATAATGTCACGACTAGTCAGCCTCATTTAATAGCTATTTTTATACAGTCAGAAGACTTGAAAAATGAGCTAAAAGGATGGGCGAAGAGGAACAAAACTGATCTTTATAGCCATTTTGAAGATACTTTTAAAGATTTCGGGGAAAATGGTAAAAAACCTTCTGAATTATGGGTCCCAGCGTTTAGAAAACAAATTAGTTATGATGTGCCGTGGATTCAAGGGTATGAAATTCCTCCACAAGGAAATAAAAATAATTTTCAATTTGTAAAGAAATGTAGAGAAACTATAAATCTTGATTTCAGCACTAAAAATCCGCCTCCAAAAGGAAACCAAACAATCAAACAAAAAGGGAAGATTTTAAATAAAGATTTTGTGTTTGGGCTGGCTTATACAAATTTAGATAAAGAATTTCACGGTCCTCTCTTTTTGTGTGTTGTCGAGCCGAAAGATTTTGTCCCTGCAAACTAATTCAGGTGTCTTTTAATCTTAATTAATTTTAGTCTTTCTACAAATTATTAATATACTTTCAATCTGGACATGAAAAAATTTATAATTCAAAGATTTTCTCAATAATTTAATCTATAAATGTTTACTTTTTTCATAAATCATAATTGTTTCAATGTCCTCTAGATGCATTGAAGAGTTAAAATAAGATTTTCAAGATAAAATAATAAAGTCAATCGTAAATCGCATTTTCAAATTTAAAAAGCTATTACCTTTAAAGCATCTTTATAATCTATTTTAAAATCTAATAAATTAGCTAGTTAATTTTTAATAAATATTAATTTAACATTTAGAGCCTTATTTAAAATACTTATATTAAAATGCAAATTTTATAAAAATTGTTACTTAAAGAGTTTCTTTCCCTTTGCTTGTTCTTACTCTCCTTGACTTAATCAGAAGAGCAATGTAGCGAATTAGTATGCAGAAAATCATAAGGACAAATCCAATGAAAAATGAGATTATCATTGGTATAGCTGGGGCTAAATTATCCCCACATTCAGGAGTATAAGTATGAGGAATATAAGGGACATAATCTGTTTTTAAAGAATAAGTAAATGGATAGTCTTCCTTCTTGGTCATAGCACCCATCAATTGAAATTAAAAACGTTGTTTGCAAAGCAGCTCCACTTGTTGGCTGTATATCTACAGACCCATCGCAGGTGGTCCCATTGTTCACATTTACTATAAATGATGATAATGAGTTTCCTGAAGACTCAGTGATGGTAAAATTGAATTTATAAGAACTTCCTGGAAGAAGGAATTTGGTGGGATAGAAATTGTTTGCTAATTATCAGGAAAAATATTTATTGCAATCAGTTGATCCTGAAACAAATGGAACTTGAAGTGATGGAGCTGCCTCAATATTGATACAGAGTTTTTGTGCCCAAAGACGTTTGTTACTTTAAAAGTAACCATTAGTGAAGAGCCAACTTTGCTAGTAAATAGAAGTCTTGTGTCACAGGCACAGTCATATATGGTCGTATTAAAGTCTGTATGGTTATCTAAACAATTATAAAAAGAGCCATCACTATTGAGATTAAGAACTATGCTTTACCAACAGTTTGGCATTACAAGCAATGTGCTTCATCTAAAATAGTGCAGGAGTTTCATTGGTAGTATCGTATGTCGCACATTTAGAGTCGCATTCAGAAGTAATTTTATTTATATAGCAATAATATCAATCGTCTGGAGCACATTCATTAGTATTGCTATCAACGGTAGAGTTTCCTGGGAATTATAGTCTGGAGCAGCTGACATGTGATAAGTATCTACGCATTAAATGCAAGTTGAGCCTGATGTAGAATTACAAGTAGCACATTGAGGCTAATACTCAACACAAGATTTATCCGTATCGAAGTATAATCCATCATCAGGTATGCAAGTATCATTAGCATATCCAGAATGTTCTGGACATTTGCAGTCAGACTCTACAAGCATATGCGTTGTATCTATACACATAAGTACCGAAATTCCATTAGTAGTAAAATTTAACACATTTAGAATCGAATTCTGTAGTGCTGTTATTTGCATCAAAGTAAATCCGTCATCTGGAACATATTCTGATCCAGTCGATCGATACTACTTTGATACAAATGATACTTGCGTCTGAATGCGACTCTAAATGTGCGCATATGATACTATCAATGGAACTTCGTGAACTATTTTGTATAGACGAACACATATGCTAGGAGTTCCCGAATGTCCTAGTAACTCACTTTCACGGAATCAGAATGTTTTCCAGTGACGGATATTCCTTCGAAACAAATGCAACTTGTGCCGAGTGCGACTCTATATGAAACATGCAATACAAGCAATGGAACTTCCTGCACAGCTTGTGCAGAAACAACACATATGTCAGCTTCTCAGAATGCGAAAGTCCTGGTAACTCAACTCTCAATTGATCTTAAACAGCCAGATCGTCAACATAGTCTGGAAATATCGAGATTATCTGATAAAGCAGCTAGATCCTAAAAGATTCTTGCTTTTTTTGGCTATTGCCAATTAAAATCCAAAAATACTAGTTATTACCCAAGGGGATTAGATGGCGCAGAATGATTCATGCTCTCTAGTTCGCTTCTAAACATTTTTGTAAGCTTATATCTATAACACAAAAGTTTTGCTTCTCAAATCTCGGATTTCAAAAATCCGATTTAGAGATTGCAGTTCACCATATTATTTGTGTAAAAGACCATATAACCTCACAAGAAGGAACTCTATATAAATTCATCCTCGCCCGTAATACAAGTTCCACCATTGGTTCTAAGAACTATATTGCAATGGTCAATATCCGAATTTTTGCAACCACCTGCATCTTCAGGTATGTGATCATCTGGATAAGCGGAAGAACTACAAATTGTATCATTATAGCAATAATCGCTATAACTTGCACTGTCTGTGCAAACACCTGTTATTTGTCTTTCGTTTTCCCACCATGATCCGTCTTTAGATGTCTCATGGTCTTTTTCTGGAAGGGTCTCATTATTTTTGGCAAGTTGATTGACTGTCTCAGAGTCGTCGACGAGCAGTTTTGAGTTATCTTAGAGCTTCCAAGAAGGCTATTTCTTTGTAATTGGATTAAGCTCCTCAGCTATAGACATATTATTTTATAGGGTTCATATTACGACCGAATAAAATCGCCAATAAGGAAATTAATTTATATAAGAAAAATATATGAAATTTAAATGATCTAGATGATCTTTCTCTGTTATACCAATATTTTTGAATGAGAAACCAACTGAGCCTATCTTAAAAATTTTTGAGTTTTTTGATCTCAGCTCTTTAGAAGCCTAATTAAATGATAATAGCATTTAATGCTGCTAAAAGACTAAAAATGTAATTTTTAGACGACGTAAATGCGAGTCTGTATTCATACTTACTAACTCTATTAAATAAGGTTACAAATTAAATATTTTTTTTTGCTTTACAAATTATTTGTAATAGTAGTTTGTTTGCTACTGTAAATTAAAAATTTTATATTGAATTATAGGATTCCAGCTCATCGAAGCAATTTTCCGAAGCCTATAGAATCATTGATTATTAACGAAATCGAAGAAAAAATCAGCACCACAAAGAACGTTGACGAAATCAAGAAATTTCAATCAAAAATAAAATCAATTTACGACGAAAGACTGCAAGAGTTAATTTATGAAGAAATCTTAGAAGCGCATATAAACGAGCTCAACATTCAATCAGAGCTTACGAATCTGACAAAAGAAGAACCACTTTAGCTTCGAAATCGTCATTAATTAAAGTAGACAGTGTAGATGAGCCAGAAGACTACGTAAATGAAGTTTTTACCCCTGGAGAGCATAGTCCTAATGAATACTCATTAAAATATGTGCAAGAAGAAGAAAAAGTTGAGAAAAGTTTCGAGGAGAATGAGAAAACAAATACAAAAGCAAAAAGGATTAAGAAAATTATACAGTTAATTTAAAAACAAGCTGCATATTGAGGTCAGTAATGAAAGAATTGAGATAAGTGAAATATTTTGTGACGAAATCTTAGAGGTTGGGAACAAACAGTGCTTATTGCATGGCTTTTGAATCTTTTTAGAGCTGTTCCAAAAAATTCAATTATTTTATCCTAAAATGCTGCAGATATTCGCTTACAAAATGATACCACGGATATGCTAGAAATTATAAACTCAATTGGTTCGTATTCATTTATGAATGTCACAGGAAAGAATAAGGCAGGAAACGAAAAATTCCTTCGAGAAAACAATCTCCCAGTAAATTTAGCTTTCAACGGAAAATCAGCAATTTCTGTATTAGATCTTTCTTTTCAATGGAAATCAACCAGAGATTGAAAAAAAGCCTTCTGAGTTATGGGTTCCAGCGTTTAAAAAACAAATTAGTTATGGGATTCAAGGGTATGCAAGGAAATAAAAATAATGTTCAGTTTGTAAAGAAATGTAGAGAAACTATAAATCGTGATTTCAGCACAAAAAATCCGCCTCCAAAAGGAAATCAAACAAAAAGGGAAGATTTTAAATAAAGATTTCGTGTTTGGGCTGGCTTATACAAATTTAGATAATCGTCTTTTTTTGTGTGTTGTTGAACCAAAAGATTTTGTCCCTGCAAACTAATTCAGGTGTCTTTTAATCTTAATTAATTTTAGTCTTTCTGCAAATATTAACATAATTTATCCAAAAATTATATAATGTTTTCATTTTAAGTGGTTTTAATAAATAGAAAATATAACGATGGATTATTTATGTATAAAGCCATACTAAGTCGTTATAATTTTCGATATTTATTAAATTTTAATTTTTATGATATCCTTTAATCAAAGAAATTATTTTATTGAGACTTTTTAAAATAAAAGATTATTTAAGGTTTTACTTTGCATGTTTCAACTGGTGGATACATTTGCACAATAATATATCTCATAATCATGTAAATGGTTTGCATGACAAAAATCTCAATCAGAATCCCCCACAAGAAACTAACTGCCCAATACCCGCTCCACTCGTGGCAGAAGTCATTGCTTAGCATCACGACTCCAATGATAGATCCTATAAGAATTGAAACTCCAACAGTGACTGCAGCTGCTGTCCATACAGGCAATTTCACCCTATAAATACTAAATGCAATTATCATGAATACCTCTACAGGAATTGATACCGCGATGGCTAAAATCATATAGCCAAAGTAATCCCCTTCATAGTCATCAAACAAGGACTGGGTTGACATTTCGCTTCCGCTATCTGTGTCTTCTGACCCATAGAAAAATAGTCCTTCTAGTAGCAATTCGAAAATAATAACAGTTATCAATGTAAAAAGTCTGGTAGCTCTTGAAAACCCTGGTCTGTAATAAAGAAGTCCTATAGTTAAATGTCCTTCTATTAAACCCTGAAACTTACTATGATATTTTGGCGAATTTTGAGAGTTTTCAGGTTTGGATACATTTACAGCTTGTTCAGTTCATTCAATTTCCACTCCCCTCTTGGTCTCAGCTGCCTCTACAGGGGCATCTCCGCAGCAGCTTTCAAGATCATGGATTACTACTGGCATCGTTCCTTTGCAGGTCTTAGTCTTAGTTAAAATTATAGAGTAGCTCCCTGCCAGGACCGAAGGTCCTTTTCTTCCGCCTTTTGGACGCCTCGCTTGCTTCCTTGCCCTGCTTCCAGTGTGCACCTAAGTGCCACAGGCTACCACTCAGCTCCTTCCGGTCATGGGGCTTGGTCATGCTATCCCGGAAGTAGGCGGACTGGGTCACCGTGCTTCACGTCGCCAGACTAGGGTTAGAGCTAATGATTAACTCCTTAGCTCTTGTCGGCTCCTGCCATGTCCTCCAAATTGGCACTAGCGTCCCTAGAGGAAAAACCCTTTTTACCCCGTGTCCTATCGGGACGACCCTAGGATCGTCGTTGCTGGACTGGGAGGGAAACCTAGCCGGACACAAACTACCAGTACCCATTCCAGACCTTTTCCTAGGCGGATTGGCTTCAGGCCGCAGCAAGGTCCCCAATCTCGCCACAGTTCCGGGAGAGGATGGGTCGGTGTTGTCTCCATTTTATTTGTGTCGTTCCTTTGCAGGTATCGACCAAATTTCTTGAGCTTTCCCTTGGAGTATGCACAGGGGTGTTTTCAGGAACTATATCAAGCTTTCCTACACTTGTAGATCTATTTAATCTATCAATTACCACCACAACTGGAGCAAGCAGTATTCCAATAAACAGTGTCACCACAAGAATATACAATGGAGCTAAATTTTGGTCGCAGCTTGACGAGACTGTAGGTGGGACAATTGGTGGTGGAACTTCAATTGGGGTTTCTGACAGTTTATACATTGAAAAGTGATAGACTTGGAAAGTAACGATTCTTGTCTCATTATTAATTCCCACAATTTTACAATTTGTCTCGTCCCAAGTCTTATTCCCTTCATTATAATACACACAAGTCCAGTTCATATCTTTCGAGAGGTCCTTATAATAAGGTAACTGGATTAGAAATGGATATTCTGTAGAAGAAAATGCCAAGTCTGTTTCGGCATATGTAGAAAGGGTAAAGTCTGAATAAGTCCCTGACTGTCCTAAGCTGAAAGAAGCAATGTCAGAGAAATCATTGGCAAAGCCGTGATAGTAATTAGCCCTCATGTTCATAATAATAGAAGAATCGATTGCAAGCACTTCTGGGTACTTAAAAGATCTATCGTCGTCATATTCTCTTGTGGTGTTTTCAAAGCCAGTGATAAAGTTCCTTTCTTTGTAAATCTTGGTGTCATCGGTGTTTTGGTTTCCGTTTATAGAGGATTGGGTCACTAAATCGTTTATGGTAGCTGCATTGATCCATGTGATATAGAAACTGTCGACCGCTGAAATGTATTTTTCAAAGGATTGTTCAGTGTAATTGGTTCTGTTTCCATAAGACAAATAGCCTTCTCCAAAAGTGACAATTAAATCAATACTGTCTTGGTCAGGCACAAGTGAAGAGAAAGAGGATAAAAGGCTATTTATCCAAGAAATAAATTCCTGGTACATGCTTAAGCTCATTAAAGACGTATGATCTGCCAAAGAACTGATAGCGCCAATTACAGTTTGCAGTTCTGAGTTCGTCATGCTAGCAATTGTCGCATAATACTGCAAGTCAGACCACATCTGAGTGAATAAAGCGCTATCAATCTCTGCGCTGGAATACAAGAGAATTGCGGATGGAATATTGTCTGAGTCTAGTGTCATAGATTTATAGCCGTCCCAAAGCCAAGTGGAATCAAGCATTCTTCCTGTGTATTTATTAACTGTGAAATCAGAAGATTGATAGTCTGAGCAGGTTCCTAGCTGATCACAGACATGAGCAGTAGCTCTATTTTGTCCTGATGGGAAAACAGACGACACTTCATTACTTTGGGTTGTGTAGCCGACTGTATAAGGAGTCTTATTATTACGGGAGTTCTTAAAGGTGTATAGAAGAGGGTAGTCTTCATCATCTCGGTCATAGCAACCAGATATAGAAAGCTGAAAAGTATCAATTAAAGCAGTTCCACTGGAAGGACTTACACTTGTAGAGCCTGTACAGGATGCTCCTAGGTTAATATCTACATCTAAGTCTACGCTAAAGCTGGTCGAAGCAGTTTTTACAGTCAATGTAAATACATATGAAACTCCTTCACTAAGAGAATTGGCTGGGAAATTAATTGTGGGAAGGTTGTTAGGAGAAATCGTCACAGCAGTTCCTGATGTTTGTGTCCAGGTCAAAGTTGAGCTTGAGCTTGCAGAGACTGAGGCTGTATACGAATTAGATTGCTGATTATTTACTTTGATACCGAGCGTAGGAAGTTCTATTGAAGTTGAAGTACTCTGAGATAACACAAAAAGAGTTATAGTTGCGGAAGCAGTCCTGGTGTCTTTTGAGATGGTGCAGGTTATATCCCATTCTGCCCCTTTGGTGATTTTTGCAGAAGGAATCGTAAGTGTGCTTGAGGTTTCTGAAGAAAACAGTACACTATTATCAGCTGCCAAACACTGAGAGCCATCAGCATGGTTTAAACAGGTCCATTCATAATTTAAGGTTGAAGTAGGGTTGTCTGGGTCTTTAGAGTTTTTAGCATTAACAGTGTAGTCTTTGCTTGGGTTGACATCGCCGCTTCCTTTAGATAATTTGATATACAGAGGAGATGCAGTAGTCGTCACATACACTGTAGCGTTTCCTGATACAGTTGAGTCACCGTTAGACTGAGAAGCAATTGCCATGAAGCCATAAGTGCCGCCAGCAGGAAGAGAATTTTTAGCAATTTCTAACTTACTAGTAGCACTGACAGCTAGACTAGACCCAGAAAAACCAGTAGGCCCTGACACATAGGACCATTTCCAAGAAATAGAGCTCGTAGACCCTCCACAGACGTCAGTAACTTTTGCTTTTAGTTTTGTGGTGTCAGAAGTTTTGACTGATACAGAATTTCCTGAGTCAAAGGACACATTTAAGGACTCTTCAGGGGACAAAATCGTGGACACTGTCGCTGTGCTTGTGGTTGAGCTGATTCCATTTTTGATTGTCACAGTTACTGTTAAGCTTGTCTGGGTTGTCACTTTTGTCAAATAATTTCGCGTAATTGATAAGCTTGAGCCTTTTTGAGATGAAATATAAGTGGATAGGCTAGAAATTGCAGGAGAAATGGTAGAGCTCCAGGTATAGGTCATAGAAGTTCCATAGGAGCCAGTAGATTTTTCAGCGGAGTATACAATAGTAGTGGATCCGCAGCCTAAGGAGACTAGCTCTGGGCCTGATAGCTTAGCTATTGGAGCTGGATCTGATGTCATGGTTATTTGAGTGCTAAGTGGCTGATAGTTAGTTGTGCATTGGTCTGTGGTATCTTTAACAATATAAGTGCCGTCCAAATTAATTGTGCCACTTCTCAAGGTAAAGCCAGCCCCCAGTACAATTTTCAAAGTCTTTGAGTCAGCCCAAGAACATACTGGTCCAGTTCCCATCAACAAAAGAGTATCATAGCTCAGTACTTCAGAACAAGTCGGGTCTAGACCAGTATTTATAGGAACCTTAAAGGTCACTGACACAGAAGTAAACGAAAAGCTAAAGGAAGCCCCAGTTACGTCTGAAGACGCTAAATAATTCTTGCACAAAATGCATTTGCTATTCACCAAAGAGTATCCATTATTACAAAGACAGCTATTTGAAGCCTGGTCATACGAAGAATTCTGTGTGCATTTACAAGCTTTGTTATTGAACTCAGCATTGGTTATACATGCTAAGCAATTTCCATTATCTTCGTCACAAGAAGAGCATAAACTGCTACAGACTGCGGTGCATGCGTTATTGGAGTTTAAGGCAAAACCGGTGTCACATTGACAAATATTGTTGGAGTTAAGAGAAGCGTGTTTATTGCAAGTTAAACATTTAGAAGCTGAGGTACAGGTTGCACAGCATGTAGGACACTGATAACATTTGCCATTTAATGGGAAATAGCTGTCAATGCATGAGCAAGTTGGGTAATATTTGGATTTAGGTACAGAATTTTCTGCTTTTTTAGCATTAGGGACACAGTCAATGCAGCTGGTAGATGATGCACAGGTCAAGCATTGGTTTGAGCAAGCCACACAAGTTTCAGCTTGATAATCAGTCCAAGTTCCAGATGGGCATTGGCAGACAGAAGTTCCACTGCCATCAAATCCATCCTTACACACATCACAAATCTGCCCATTTTCACTATTACAAGTATCACAAAAGCTTACATCACACGAGCATTCTCCATTATTTTGAACATACCCGGCCTGGCAAATATCGCAGATTCCTCCATCATATTCATTGCAGCTTGCACAATTATCAACCCCACATGTGCATGTAAAAGTATTAGTAAGGATATATCCTCCTAAACACATATGGCATTCTGTTCCAGTCGTCTCAACAACAATACATTTCTCTAACTCCCCCCCCTCCGTGAGTGAACAAACCATTAGAAAAATTGCTATTTTTTGCCCAAAAGCCCACCCTCCGTGAACAAAAATTTTTTAATAGAAAAATTTTTTATGGAAAAAAAAATTGATATTATAAATGATAATTAGTATAATGAAATCTAGAGCCAATCTGTTTTATTTTAACGAATTGCTTTTTAAAACATAAATTTTATAAATTAAATTAATATTTGCTTTTCAATTTTTGCTAATTAGGATTTTTTAAATTTCGAAAAACAATATTTTTTATAAAACTTATATATAAATTTTTTTTAAAAAAAAAATTAACTCCCCTCCGTGAGTGAACAAAGTTTTTTTGTTCACTCACGGAGGGGGGGAGTAAAGAAGACTGTGTGCATATGCCGTCTGTATTTATCATATAGCCTTCTGCGCAGGAATTGCAGGCTACTCCATCAATTTCGATTATATTGCAGTTTGAAACGGTAGAATAAATACAGACCGAGGTAGATGTCGGCAAATAGTCTTTATCACAAGTAGAACATGTGTTGCCTGCGTAGCCTTTTTCACAAATATAACAGGTATTAGCATCAGTCACTGTTATGCAGTGAGGTATTGAAGAGACAATACAGCTTTTAGATGAAGTTGGCAAGTAGCCTATATCGCAGCTTTCACAAGTAGGTGTGATATAGCCGTTGTCGCATATGTTACAAGATTGCCCATTATTGCTGTCAAGAATTAAACAATGAGATAACGAAGATACAACGCAATTTGTATTTACGTCTGGTAAATAGCCTATATCGCAATTTTGACAACTCCTGCTTACATAGCCAGTTTCGCATTGCTGGCAATTTTCTGGATCAGTAGCTATAATGCAGTGGGTCATTAACGATTGAATACATTGAGTGTTTGTGTCCCTTACATAGCCAACATCGCATTCTGTGCATGTTAGACCTGCATAGCCTGTTTCGCATTGATGGCAAGTGTTAGGGTCATTGGCTTTAAGAGTAGTGCAATGGGATAGAGAACTCAAAAGACAAAGAGAGCTTTGGTCACGCAAGTAGCCTTTAGAACAGTCAGCACATTTAGATCCAGAATAGCCTGTGCTGCATGAGAAGCAAGAATTTGGATCGCTGCTATAAAGAGTAGCGCAATGAGTTAATGACGATTGAAGACATAAAGAATTCTGGTCATGTACATATCCTTGAGCACAATCAGTACAAGTCGTCCCAGCATAGCCAACTTCACAGAGTTTGCAAGAATTTGCATTTCCGCTTACCAGAGTTGTACAATGAGTAATTGTTGACGAAATACATTTACCAGTTTCATCAAGCAAATAGTTTGTAAAACAAATTGAACAATGTGTAGCATCAGTAGCTGTTAGACAGTATATTAATGAAGAAGCGATACACAAATCTGCTGTATTTCTAACGTATCCAGTATCGCAGAAATCACAAGTGTATCCTGAATATCCTGTTTCGCAAGAGAAGCAGAGTGTAGGATTACTAATTATATTGCAATGGGCTATTGATCCTTCTGCACATTTGCCATTATAGTCAATCATGTATCCCTGAGCGCAGGCCGAACAAGTAGTTCCAGTATAGCCAGTTTCACAGGCTTTGCAGACATTTCCATTCCCGGTTTCAAGGGTAGTGCAATGGGTAATTGTTGTCGAAATACATAGGCCAGTTTCGTCAGGCAAATAATTTGAATCACAAACTGAGCAACGTGTAGTATCGGCTGCTACTTTGCAATTGAGTAAAGTAGAAATCACACAAACTTGAGAAGAATTTTTTACGTATCCACTAGAGCAGCTTCCACAAGTATCACCATCATATCCGGTTTCACATGTGGCACAGTGAGTGGCGTCGGTGAGTGTTGTACAATGTGTGAGTGATGTTTGAATGCACTGAGAGTTTGTGTCCATTAAATACCCAGTATCACATGTTGCGCATGTGGCTCCAGAATAGCCTGCCTTGCATTGGTAGCAAGAATCGGGGTTATTGCTCACTAAAATTGCACAATGAGTTATTGAGGATTCAAGGCAAATAGAGGTTTTGTCATGCACAAAACCTTGTATGCAATCAGAGCATGAATTTCCTAAGTAGCCATGTTCGCATTGGTGACAAGTAGATGCATCTAAAACACTAGTGCAGTGAGTTAATGATGATTGAATGCATTGAGCATTAGTATTAACCAAATAGCCGTCATCGCATTCTGTGCATGTGGAACCTGTATAGCCTGCTTCACATTGATGGCAAGTCTCGGGATCATTGCTTATAAGAGTAGTGCAATGAGTAATTGAGGTTTGAAGACAAAGAGCGTTTTGGTCATGCACATAACCTTCAGAACAGTCAGAACATGTAGCTCCAGAATAGCCTGTGCTGCATAAGAAGCAAGAATTTGGATTGTTGCTAGCAAGAGTAATGCAACGAATTAATGACGATTGAAGACATAAAGAATTCTGGTCATGCAGATATCCTTGAACACAGCTAGCACATGTCGTCCCAGTGTAGCCAGTTTCACAGAGTTTGCAAGAATTTGCATTTCCGCTTACCAGAGTTGTACAATGAGTAAGTGTTGATGAAATACATTGACCAGTTTCATCAGGTACATAATTTGCAGCACAAACTGCGCAATTTGTAGCATCAGTAGCTGTTTGACAGTTGGTTAATGAAGAAAGGATACAGAGCTGTGATGTTGTTTTGACATACCCACTATCACAAGTCCCACAATTGTCACTTACATACCCTTCTTCACACTCAGCACAATGAGTAGCATCAGTAACTTTTGTACAGTGTGTTAAAGATGTTTGAATACAATTTGAGCTATTATCAATCAAATACCCTATATCGCAAACAGTGCAGGTAGACCCTGTATAGCCTGTTTGACATTGATGGCAAGAATTTGGATCTCCAGCAGCAAGAGTTGTGCAATGAGTTATTGATGGCTGGAGACAAGAAGAATTCTCATCATGTAAATAACCTTGTGAGCAATCAGTACATTTAACTCCAGAATAGCCTGTATCGCATTGGTGACATGAATTAGGATTATTGCCGGTAAGTTTAACGCAATGAGTTATCGACGTCAACAAGCAATTATAGCTTTCATCACGCAAGTAGCCATCTGCACAAAGATGGCATTGGTTTCCTACATAGCCTGTTTCACATGTATGGCAAGTATATATATCACCTGCAGCTAGAGTTATACAATGAGGAAGAGACGTTTTCAAACAAGCATAATTTACATCATATATGTAGCCTTGAGCGCAATCACTACATGTCGCCCCGGTATAGCCAGTAGCACAGCTATCACATTGTGTCCCAGACCAGCCTAATTCGCAATTAGCACAAACTGCACCATTCCCTATCTCGACAACCGAACAATGTTTTAATGTAGACGAAATGCAAGCTTTGTTTGCGTCAGGCAAATAATTAGCTGCACAACTATCACAGACTGTCCCTGCATATCCTGTTTCACATTGGTTACAAGCCTCTCCATTATTGCGTTCAAGAATTGTGCAATGTTGCAAATTTGATGGAATACAGTTTGAGTCGACATCACGATTGTAATTTTCTATACACTCTGAGCAGTCGTCTTTCTGGTATCCAACCTCACATTGTTTACACTGAGTAGGGGTTTGTAGAACAAGAATAACGCAGTGGGTAATTGATGTTTGCAGACATTGGAGTTGTTCGTCCCATATGTAACCTTGTGCGCAGGATTCGCAGCCAGTGCCAGTGTACCCGGCTACACATTCGAAGCAAACATCTGGAGTGTTATAGCCCGAGCATACATATTGTGTAGGTTATGACTGATTTGATTGGAAGATTAGGAGTGGATTTATGGCAAGCCAGATAATCAATTGTTGCAGCTAGCATGCATGAAATCTCATTCCAAGAAAGCAAGTTAATCTTGGTCCGTCTCTGATTTTACTTCTAACTCTAATAGATGCTTCATTAAAGCGCACTCAGGACGCGAAACACCTATAAATTCAGTGTCATCCTATCTAACAGAAGAAATCGTTGTAGGAGAAAGCAGTTTCTGCACTACTTTTGTGAATATTGGAATACCCCTAACACCCCATATAAATAAGCAAATTCTTGCTTATCTGTGAAGGCTTTTGCATCAAATTTGCAAATAGTAAATTTTATATAAATTTGTTAATTATTGGGAGTTTTTTGATTGAAAGCAAAAAATGAGAATTTATGGCATTTATATATAAATTTCAACCTTTTCATAAAAAATTTACTATTTGCGCTTAAAATAGCCCGCCCAAATAGGTAAGGCTATGCTTATTACTTGGAGTTCATATATCAAATTTTGAAATAGATACCTGATTATACTGGAATATCGAGCACAACCTAAGCAGTATAATCACTCATGCTATACTCTTAAGTATTTTACATTGAGGCATATTTGGATGAAGACAAAGCAAGTTTTCATCATGCAAGTATCCTTCTGCACAATCGCCGCAGGACGTTCCTGAATAGCCATTTTCACATTGATGGCAAGAAGTAGGAGTATTAGCTGTAAGAGTAGCGCAATGGGAAATTGATGGTTGAAGACAAGCTGAAGCTTCGTCATGTAAATAGCCTTGAGCACAATCAGAGCATGTTGTCCCAGTGTAACCAGCCTCGCATTGGTGGCATGAATTAGGATCAGCGCTTGTAAGAATAGTGCAATGAGTTACTGATGTTTGAAGACAAGCTGAGCTTTCATCATGCAAATATCCTTGAGCGCAATCGGTGCATGAAGCTCCTGAGTAGCCTGTTTCGCAGCTGTCACATAGAGTACCAGTCCAACCTTTATTGCATTTTTCGCAAGCATCACCATTGTCACTAACAACATATGTGCAATGCTGGAGAGTAGAAGGAGTGCAATACTTATTTTTGTCAGGTAAATAATTAGGTGCACAACTGTCACATAAAGTTCCAGTATATCCATCTATACATTCATGGCAAGCAAGTCCATTTCCGCTCGCAATAGTTTTGCAATTAGTCAATGATGACTGAAGACAAAGTCCTTCAGTATCAGGCAAATAATTTACATCACAATTAGTGCATGTTTCTCCTGTATAGCCAGTTTCACATGTCATACACAAATCAGGATTATTGGCTGCTAGACAGGAACAATGAGTTAGCGATGATTTAAGACAATTAGAATTATAGTCAAGTAAGTATCCCTGAGCACAATTATCGCACTTCTCTCCAGTTCAAGCTTCCTCGCATTCATAGCAAGTGTTAGGATCATTACTCTTAAGTGTGATACAGTTTGTAATTAAAGTTTGAAGACAAGCTGAATTTTGGTCATGTAAGTATCCTGCTGAGCAATCAGAGCAAGTAGTTCCTGTATAGCCTGTTTCGCATTGGTGACAAGATTCAGGAGCATTGGCTGCAAGAATAGCGCAGTGAGTAATAGACGACTGGAGACAAGCTGTATTTTCGTCATGTAAATAGCCTTGAGCACAATCAGAGCATGTAGCACCAGAATATCCTATTTCACAAGTATGGCAGACATTAGGATTATTGCTTGCTAGTGTGATGCAATGATTTATTGATGTTTGAAGACAAAGCAAGTTTTCGTCATGCAAGTATCCTTCTGCACAGTCACTGCAGGACGTTCCTGAGTAGCCATCTTCACATTGATAACAAGAAGTAGGAGTATTAGCTGTGAGAGTAGCGCAATGGGAAACTGATGGTTGAAGGCAAGCTGAAGTTTCGTCATGTAAATAGCCTTGAGCACAATCAGAGCATGTTGTCCCAGAGTAACCAGCCTCGCATTGGTAACATGAATTAGGATCGGCGCTTGTAAGAATAGTGCAATGAGTTACTGATGTTTGAAGACAAGCTGAGCTTTCATCATGCAAATATCCTTGAGTACAATCGGTGCAAGAATCTCCAGAGTAGCCTGTTTCGCAGCTGTCACATAGAGTACCAGTCCAACCTTTATTGCATTTTTCGCAAGCATCACCATTGTCACTAACAACATATGTGCAATGCTGTAGAGTAGAAGGAGTGCAATACTTATTTTTGTCAGGTAAATAATCAGGTGCACAACTGTCGCATAAAGTTCCAGTATATCCATCTATGCATTCATGGCAAGCATGTCCATTTCCGCTCTCAATAGTTTTGCAATTAGTCACATATGACAGAAGACAAAGTCCATCAGTATCAGGCAAATAATATACATCACAAGTAGTGCATGCTTCTCCTGTATAGCCAGTTTCACATGCCAAGCATTTATCTGGACTATTGGACTGAAGTGTGAAACAATGAGTTAGCGATGATTTAAGACAATTGATATTATAGTCAAGTAAGTATCCCTGAGCACAATTATCGCACTTCTCTCCAGTTCACGCTTCCTCGCATTTATAGCAAGTTTCAGGATCATTACTCTTAAGTGTGATACAGTGTGTAACTGAGGTTTGAAGACAAGCTGAGTTTTGGTCATGTAAGTATCCTACTGAACAATCAGAACAAGTAGTTCCTGTATAGCCTGTTTCGCATTGGTGACAAGATTCAGCAGTATTGGCTGTAAGAATAGTACAGTGAGGAAGAGACGACTGGAGACAAGCTGTATTTTCGTCATGCAAATAGCCTTGAGCACAATCAGAGCATGTAGCACCAGAATATCCTAATTCACAAGTATGACAGGCATTAGGATTATTGCTTGCTAATGTGATACAATGAGTTATTGATGCTTGAAGACAAAGTGAGTTTTCGTCATGCAAGTATCCTTCTGCACAGTCACTGCAGGACGTTCCTAAGTAGCCATCTTCACATTGATAACAAGAGGTAGGAGTATTAGCTGTAAGAATAGCGCAATGGGAAACTGATGATTGAAGACAAGTTGAGGTTTCATCATGTAAATAGCCTTGAGCACAATCAGAGCATGTTGCCCCAGAATAGCCAATCTCGCATTGGTGACATGAATTAGGATCAGCGTTTGTAAGAATAGTGCAATGAGTTATTAATGTTTGAAGACAAACTGAGGTTTCATCCTTCAAATATCCTTGAGCACAATCGGTGCATGAATCTCCAGAGTAGCCTGTTTCACAGCTGTCACATTGAGTGCCAGTCCAACCTTTAGTGCATTGTTCGCAAGCATCACCATTGCCATTGACAACAACATTGCAATGCTGTAAAGTAGAAGGAGTGCAATACTTATATATGTCAGGTAAATAATTAGGTGCACAACTGTCGCATAAAGTTCCAGTATATCCATCTATACATTTATGGCAAACCTGTCCATTCCCACTTGCAATAGTTTTGCAATTCATCAATGATGACTGAATACAAAATCCATCAGTATCAGGCAAATAATATGTATCACAAGTAGTGCATGTTTCTCCTGTATAGCCATTTTCGCATGACATACACGAATTAGGATTATCTGCTTGAAGTCAGAAACAATGAGTTAGCGATGTTTTAAGACAATTACCATTATAGTCAAGTAAGTATCCCTGAGTACAACCTTCTTCACACTTCTCTCCAGTTCAGCCTTCCATGCATTTATAGCAAGTGTTAGGATCATTACTCTTAAGTGTGATACAGTGTGTAATTGAGGTTTGAAGACAAGCCGAGTTTTGGTCATGTAAGTATCCTGCTGAGCAATCTGAGCAAGTAGTTCCTGCATAGCCTGTTTCGCATTGGTGACAAGATGAAGGATTATTGGCTGCAAGAATAGTGCAGTGAGTAATAGACGACTGGAGACAAGCTGTATTTTCGTCATGCAAATAGCCTTGAGCACAATCAGAGCATGTAGCACCAGAATATCCTAATTCACAAGTATGACAGGCATTAGGATTATTGCTTGCTAATGTGATACAATGAGTTATCGATGCTTGAAGACAAAGTGAGTTTTCGTCATGCAAGTATCCTTCTGCACAGTCACTGCAGGACGTTCCTAAGTAGCCATCTTCACATTGATAACAAGAGGTAGGAGTATTAGCTGTAAGAGTAGCGCAATGGGAAACTGATGATTGAAGACAAGTTGAGGTTTCATCATGTAAATAGCCTTGAGCACAATCAGAGCATGTTGCCCCAGAATAGCCAATCTCGCATTGGTGACATGAATTAGGATCAGCGTTTGTAAGAATAGTGCAATGAGTTATTAATGTTTGAAGACAAACTGAGGTTTCATCCTTCAAATATCCTTGAGCACAATCGGTGCATGAATCTCCAGAGTAGCCTGTTTCACAGCTGTCACATTGAGTGCCAGTCCAACCTTTAGTGCATTGCTCGCAAGCATCACCATTGCCATAAACAACTAATGTGCAATGCTGTAAAGTAGAAGGAGTGCAATACTTATTTGTGTCAGGTAAATAATTAGGTGCACAACTGTCACATAAAGTTCCAGTATATCCTTCTTTACATTCGACGCAAACCTTTCCATTCCCACTTGCAATAGTTTTGCAATTAGTGAATGATGACTGAATACAAAATCCATCAGTATCAGGCAAATAATATGTATCACAAGTAGTGCATGTTTCTCCTGTATAGCCATTTTCGCATGACATACACGAATTAGGATTATCTGCTTGAAGTCAGAAACAATGAGTTAGCGATGTTTTAAGACAATTACCATTATAGTCAAGTAAGTATCCCTGAGTACAACCTTCTTCACACTTCTCTCCAGTTCAACCTTCCATGCATTTATAGCAAGTGATAGGATCATTACTATTAAGCGTGATACAATGTATAATTGAGGTTTGAAGACAAGCCGAGTTTTGGTCATGTAAGTATCCTGCTGAGCAATCTGAGCAAGTAGTTCCTGTATAGCCTGTTTCGCATTGGTGACAAGATGCAGGAGTATTAGCTGTGAGAATATTGCAGTGAGGAAGAGACGATAGGAGACAAGCTGAATTTTCGTCATGTAAATAGCCTTGAGCACAGTCAGAGCAAGTCAAGCCTGTATATCCTGTATCACAGCTATCACATGCAGCTCCTTTCCAGCCAATACTGCATGTATGGCAGGTAGTAGGGTCATTGCTTGCAAGAGTAGCGCAATGGGTTAATTCTGTTTGAAGACACACTGAATTTTCATCAGGTAAATATCCATCAACGCATTCTGTGCATGTAGTACCTTTATAATATTGTTCACATTCAGCACAAGAATCAGCTTTACCTACTTTTAGCTTCACACAGTGGCTAATTGACGTTAATAGGCAAGCAGAATTTTCATCAATAAGGTAGCCTGCATTAGCGCATATATCACAGTCATCCCCTGAATAGCCTGTATCACATTCATCACATGCAACCCCTTTCCAGCCTGCTTTGCATGTATCGCATACATCACCGTTTCCGCTAGCAACTATTTTACAGTTTCACAGCCCAGAAGGAACACAAACACCGTTTGTATCAAAAATGGAGCCACCCTGGCATTCTGAGCAGTGATTTGGGTCATTACGCACTAATTTTACACAATGATCAACTTGTGCTAGAAAGCATTGAAAATCTGTATCTGGCAGATAGTAATCTTCACACCATATGCATTTATTTGGATCTTCTTTTTTAAGCATTTTGCAATGAGGAAGAGTTGACTGGATACAATGACTTTGCTCATCTACTAGCTCCTGGGAGAGATCAACAATTTTTTTCTGTTTAGGGTTAATTTTTTTAAATTTATTATTTTGAAAATTATTCCGAAACTATTTGCCATATAAGCACTATTTAAGATGCTTAATTTTAATTAATCATTTATATATATAAATATTTTTGTATAAAAGTTTTGCTTATAAAATTTGGCTAATTTCCTCAGATTTTCTATAATTTTGCTCACTTGAGGAGTAAGTAGCCTTCAATACACTGCAAGCATTTAGTTGCATCAGGATTATTAAGTATCTTGCATTGTGTAAAATCTGAATAAATGCAATTGAACAAGCCATCAATTATATAATGAGCATCACAAGTTTTACAGTCAGCTCCACTATAGTGCTCTTCACATGTATTACAAAGGTCATGATCGTTGCTCTCAGTTTTAAGACAATGGGAATATCCATATAATGATGAGCGGAAGCACTCCCCAGTTGTGTCAGGTAAAAACTCATCATTACAGGTATGGCAATGGGCGCCATCTCCACTTTCAACTACCCTGCAGAAGCCTAATTCAGAAGGAATACAATTATTATTTGTATCTGGTAAGTGATAAGATTCGCAGCTGTCACATAAGTCACCTACATAGCCATCATAACAGTCTTGGCATTTAGTCCCATCAGCGCTGACTGTATTGCAATGCTTTATAGTTGAGGGAACACAGTTCGAGTTTACATTAAGCAAGTAGCCTTCAGCGCATTTATCACAAGCCGGCCCTGTATAGCCAGTTTCGCATAAGTCACAAATGCTTCCGTCGTTTGCATTACAAGTTTTGCATAGAGAGACTCCACATTCGCATGATCCCGTACTGCTGAGCTTGTAGTTTCTTTGGCATTTCATGCAGAAAGGATTTCCAGAATAAGGGCAATTGCAATTTGAAGCTGAGGAGTCACAAGAAACACAGTTTAAGGTGTAGCCTGCAGAGCAGGCTGTGCAGGTTACGGCATTAGAAAAGGTGTTACAGTGTTGGATAGGCGATTGAACACATTTTGCTTGGCTAAGGACATGTCCACTCTTGCATGAAGTGCATGTATTCTTATCTGTGCATGTATAGCCAAAGCATGGATATAGCTCAGGCTAGCCATCTTTTTTGAAGCCATAGGAAGATTTTTAGACAAAAAATTATTAAATAGCAAATCCAGCTATTAGCTCTACTATTAGAGTGATTTGACCAATAAAATTTGGCTAATTCTTACAAACATTGAGAATCTGAGCTATAACTATGCCTGAACTATATCACAACCATCCATGACGCTGCTACACAAAGTGCATTTATCATTGTCTTTATAGTAACCTGACTGGCATGTAGAGCACATTATTTCATTTAGGCAGATCTCACAGCCAGTAATCCAGCGCCATACTATTTCCTAGAGATTTTCCCCTATGAATCTTTCTAGTTTTTTCCAAACAAATATCTAGAAAATTTTCTACCCAAAATACATCAAATCTGGCAGAGATAAATGTTCTGATCAAATGGAATGCGCCGTAATCTTGTCTCCGCAGAGTTTGCATAGTTTGTTATCACTGTCCCAGATACGGCCACTTGAGCAGGTTACACAAGACGTAGGAAAAACATTGTCAACTACGTCACAATTAGTCAGAGACGAAAGCGAACAAGTTTTCAAATTATTGACAAGGTAATTCTCATCGCAAGCTGTACAAGTTAATCCGTCATTACTACAAGTTTTGCAGTTAGGAATTTTGACGCTGCATTGTGCACAAGCGTGGGGAGAAATTGAGGCTTCTAAGTAATAGCCGCTTGCGCATTTGTAGCAAGTTGATGTGTCCTGATTGGCAGGGATATCACAATTATCAAGTTCACTGTTAGAGCATAAGCCTAAGTTATCAATTTTTGCGCCATAGCCATTGTCACATTGATAACAAGTTGTTCCATCAGCGTTACAGGACAGGCACAGTGGGATGGGAGTATTGCATACTTCACAAACTTTGGAGTTAGGATTCCAGTAATAGCCATATGAACATTGGCCACAAGTGACTCTATCTGAGTTTCAAAGATCACAGTTTCCTCCGAGACTGGTAGCTCTTTCCTTGATAAATAAGTCTTTTTAATCGTTATGGGGAGAGAGTTGTTAATTTTTTTAGCTTAAAAATTATCAATTTAAAGGTAAACGCGTTTAAATTTCTATGGTTTAGAACACAAACTGTCTGAAATTCAATATAATTAGCTATAAATTTTATTAAATAATCATTATTTTATAGCAGAGATGCTAATTTTTTAAATATAATTTTCCCTATAGATATTTCAACTCATAAAGAGGCATATTAAGCGATTTGCATTCGCTAACGTCCCAGTACCAGCCACTTGAGCAAGTCTTGCAAGTCGATTCATCGGTAACTACATCACAATGTTCAAGACTTGTCTGAGTACAGCCACCATCATTATTTAATAAAAAGCCTGGATTGCATGTTGTACAACTATTGATACTTGAGCAAGCTATGCAGTTTGCATCTATATCACTGCATGCTCTACAGCTGCCTTCAACCTCGACAAAACCATCTAGACATGCATTACAAACTGGGCCATTTGTGCAAGATTTACAAGCGGTTAGAGCGTCACTGCATTTTTTACAGCTTGAGCCGTCGACATAGTAGCCTGAGTTACATTCTGTGCAAGTAGCAGTGTCTGAACAAGTATGGCAGTTAGGAATTAGTGAGCTGCATGACACACAGTCTAAATAATAGTGATCTGAGCACGTGTCACAGGTATTAGTAGAAGCAACAACGGCACAATAGTCTAAAGAGGACTCTGTGCAGCCTCCTTTATTGTCTGGCTTGCGAGTATCTGGATTTACACAAGTTTCACAAAGGTTTGACAATGCACAAGTTAGACAGCCCCCACTTCCATTCATGCAGAAACCTTGGAGATTCCTTTGATTTTGGCTTTCTGAAGTGTTATTTGATGCTTTTGATTCGTTAAAAGTTGAGTTGCTTTGAATTAATTGATTGAATTGCCCAAAGTCATGGAAGGGTGGATTTCAATCAATGTTAGAGTTTTTGAAGCTTTCATGAGTCACTGAATTTGTTTCCTTTGAGACAGAGACTCTTAATGTTGAGAAGATGAGGAAAAGTATTCCAGCCACAGACATTTTATAAAGACCTTATAATTTGCCACAAATATGGACTAATGACAGTTATACTTTGCAAAAATTTAAATGAAAAAATTAAGTTTTTGGAAGAGTTAGAAAGATATTTTAACTCCCCCCCATCCTTGATCGAACGACTCGCCATCATTCAATCAAGGATGGGAGTTAAAAAAAAAATTTTTTGGGAAAAAAATTATATATAAAATATTTATATATGTTTTTATTTACTTTTAAATAAGAGGGTTAAGAGTATTTAATAATTATTTTTACAGCAAAAAATTGAATTAATTTCATAAAATATGAATTTTTAATATTTTGATTTGTTAGTTACCCTTTTAAACTGTATAAATTTTTAATTTGTTCCTTATTGAATTAAAAAATTTTTTTTAGAATCTGTATTTTTTAGATTATTAAGTTTTTAAGCCTAGATTGATGGCTAAATCACTTCGGATAGTTGATTTTGCAGCTTTCTATCGTCCCAAAGCTCTGAAAACAACTTCATTAAATAAATCTTTCCAAGTTTTTTGATAACTAATATATTTTTATATATATAAAAATTTACATGATATGAAAATCGTTCGATCAAGGGATGGGGGTTAATTTCCCCAATTTTTAGGAATTTTTACAGTCAATCGTTCAATCAAGGATGGGGGGGAGTAAGGAATTAGCTTTAACTTTTGTGACTACAGATATTGGGCTTAGCTTTGTAAATCTCAATAATAGAGGGATTTGTAGATGGGGTTGGTCGAATTCCGCTATCTACTGGCAGTCTGGCTCTACCTATATCTGACAGTCCGCTCTACTAGACTTCAAGGTAGAGTATGCATAGCCAGACTGCCAGCTAGAGCCGGTTGTTAGGTAGAGCCGGACTGTCAGGCAAAGTTGGACTGTCAGGTAAACCAAGTCAGGTTTGACCATGGGGTAAAAAGATATTTTGCAAATTAATACTTTTTTGGCAGGAAATATCCTAATACTGATATTTTTAATAAAAATTGATCTTATTTTAGGCATTCAAAGCTAGTAGTCTTTTATAAATAAAATCCATTAAGACATATTTATTCAATTAAACGAGAAACTATAGACTAATTAAAATGGAGGAGGAGCCTCATTAAGTCATGATGCTCTTCTTTATATAGCTAATTTACTATTCAAATGTGCCTTTCCAAGATGACTCTTTAGCCTCTTGCTTAATAATGGGTTTTCTTCCAAAAATTCTCTTCAAAATTGATGGAGAAAAATTAAATTATAAAAAATTATAAGCTTAATTTAACGAGGACGCTTTTGTGAGGACAAGCTACCCAAAGAAAATTGTAAAATATCATTTAAAACCCTTTTGGGTGAGTCTTATTGAATTGAAGAAATTAGCATTCTGTAATTATTTTTCAAGGGCCTAAACTCGTGTCTAAATTTCTTATAAAAATTTAAGCATTTTAAGTGAAGCCTATCACTGCAAAGTAGACTTTTGATGACTGGCAACTGCTATGTTGGCCAAATTATTACACGTTCACAGAGTGGTTAAAATGGTGGGAAATCCAAACAAGAGGTTATTTTTGAATTATCGTCAAGGTTTTTATCATTAGAATGGTCGAATTAGCTAGACCCAATGATTATTCATCTATTATCTTAGAAGCTTTAATATACCTATACAACTTTTCTTAATTATGCAATAAAATTTAGATTTAATTTAAGCACGAAAATTGAGGTGCTATATACTTTAAAGGTAGCATTGAAGTCTTTTTCAAGTGATGAGAAGAAGACTTTCTTATTTAAATCAGTTATCCCAAGAAATTTTTAAAATTTATAAAAAAGTCTTATGGGCAAAATAGCTTAAGAATAACTTTTTATTTGAGTCATAAATTTACTCAAAGTTTTCTAAAAGATTTTGTTTAATCAAAAAGAATGTAGCAGTTACTTTTATTTATTGATTATTTTGTTAAAGACTAAAGAATTTGTGTGCTTTAGAAAGAAATTTTTATAAGAATTAGGAAACCTTCTTTGAAGCCAAGCTAATGTTTGCATCTAAAAATTAAATGATTTTTTTGAGATGTGGTTGTTGGGCAATATAAAGATCTTTAATTTATCACAGACTCTAAATTAAGTCTTTGAAATTTTCTAAAACTTTAAAGCCAAAAATCCATAAAATTATTTAAGAATTCGATTGCTTTGGAGCATCGTTTCTAATTTGAGTATAATCAACATCAAATTCATAAATTTTAATTAATTTTCATAAATGAAAATGCAACAGTTTCATTTGACGAGAAAATTCGAACTAACACGCTACTCAAATATTAATTCTTATAGTTTTACATAAGAACTTTTAGAAACATTTACCAATTGAAATGAAAATTGAGTTTTTACCCGAGATGAGTCAATCAATAGATAAATTGATGAACTCTTTCATAAAAACGTATAGTGTAAAATGGATCTCTTTGGAGAATTTTTAAAAGAGCCTAAATATCAATTCATTCTCATATAAAAAGTTGTTCAAGAATCAAATGTTAATTATTTCCAATTGATTTTCTTCATATTATTTCATATAAATTTAAAAAGTTTGTTTATAAATCGGTAAAATAGACGTTCTTTAGTGAAAAACATAATTTTGATGGTCTCATTTTTTGTTTCCAATTTGCAACATTGCAAGTCAAATTTTATAAGTATACGCTTCTTGGACACAATTACTTAATTAGAGTTTAACACTTCTTAAAATTTTGCTTAAAAATTTTGATAAATAAAACTGCTAATTAGAAGAATTCTTTCATAAGTCATTTTCTATGAAAACCATTTCAATTCAAAACTCCTCTTAAAAGTTTATATTATAGATGCATGCTTTTCTCATAAATAAATTGTTTCAATGTGCATGACCTCTAGATATATTAAGCCTTTAAGAAAGTTACTTTATAAAATAATGAAGTTAATCATAAATTGCATTTTCATTAGCTTTAAAGTAATCTTACAAACTATCTTAAATATAATATTAGCTAGTTAATTTTTAATAAAGATTAATTTAGCATTTAGAGCTTTATTAAAAAGACCTAAATAATTAGATTAAAATGCAATTTTATAAAGAATGATTACTTTAAGAGTATCTTTCCATTTCTTGTTCCTGTTCTCCTCGACTTAATCCGAAGAGCTATGTAACGAATAAGCATATAGAAAATCTGAACAATAAAGATCTCCATAAGAATTCCCCATAAGAAGCTTTCAGCCCAGTAGCCACTCAAATTGTGACAGAAGTCAACATTAAGTATCACAATTCCAATGACCGACCCAATAAGAACTGCAATGCCTAATAATAAAGCAAAAATATTCATTAATATTCTTCCTGTCTCCATGAAAGCTATCATTGCACATTCTAAGTGTACTCCTATAAGGACTGCGAGGACTGTATATCCAAAATAGTTTCCTTCATAATTGTCAAATATTGATTGAGTTGACATTTCTCTGCCTTTATCAGTGTCTTCAAATCCTGAGAACAAGCAGCCCTCTACTAATAACTCGAAAATATTCTCTATTAAATTGAATATTAATCTAAGGAAATATATTATATTTTTTCTGAAATTAATAATTTGTTTTGCTTAATATATGGCATATTTAGCCCTTTTTAGCTTAATAACGGTGAGCAAAATGAATGCTCTTCTCCATCTTGGCAACTTTTTTCTATAATAAACCAGCCCAAATGTCAAGTGGCCTTCCAAAAGCATATGGAAATTCCCTTTAGCTCTATAATCAATATATAGTTCTTTTGGATAAAATTCGACTTCTGAGCCTTTTTTAGTATGTCCTGAAGGGTCTAAATTATTTACCTCTCTTCCTCCATTTTCTTCAAGTTGAGTTTTTTCAGGGCCACTTTTCACTTCATCGGTCTGCACTATATTCATTTTCACCTTCGTAAATGCCTCAGACTGCTCTGAAAGGGCTTCGACCTTCAACGGCTCTACGTCTTCTTTTTCCATTTCATCAACCTTCATAGGCCGCTCTCCAGGGTTATTTGCACATTCAGGTACTGGAGTCACTTTTTTATCTCCTTTTACTGAGACTTTATAGTGGGATTTATCCACAAAGACAGCTATTATCATAAGGAGGAATCCAATGAAAAATGAGACTATCATTATGATAGTTGGGGTTAAATTATCCCCGCATTCAGGAGTATAAGTAGGGGGAATGTAAGGGACGAATTCTGTTTCTGAGAGTTTAAATAAGGAGAAATGGGTAACAGAAACTGTAATTGTGCCAACTCCTTGGCTAGTAATGATACAGCCATTTACGTCCCAAGTTGAAGTTGTAGTGTCATAATACACACAAGAAAGGCCCCTAGTCGCATTTTTATAATAAGGAATAGTTACTGTGACTGGATATCTGTCATCATTGAAGGATTGATATTGCTCATCTGTAGCAGTATATTGATAATCTTGATATCTACCGCTAGTTGTATAGCTTACAGAGAACCAAGGTGCATAGCCGTCAGTAATATTATAAGTATTAGCTTTGAAGTTTGTGACTTCAGTCTCATCAATTGGGATTTTATTAGGGAAAGCTACATCAATAAACCCAAAGGTCTGAGAAGTTTTACTGATTGAGTCAGGGAAATTTCTGACTTTTCCAAATTGGATAAAGGAAGTTGAATCTGAAGCTGGAAGTGAGCTCTGGCCTGGAAGGTCATCAACTGTAATATAAGTCATAAAAGTAGTTAAGAAATTATCTGCTGCCAGCAAATAAGTCTCAAATGGCATTTTTGAGTCAGCATTTTTGCTGCCGAAATCTAAGTATCCGTTAGAAAGCGATACGATGATTTGCAAAATGCTGCTTGAGTCAGTATTAATAGCAATTGAGTTGGCTGCAACTAATTCCTCCTACTTTAAATTGAACGAAATGGCAAAGAAATCGGGCTTTACCTTCTTAAAATGGAGCAATTTTTTTTTTAATAGGAAAATTAAAATACTAATTTTTATTGATAGATAAATTCAAATAATATTTTTATGCAGATTCATTAATTTTTTAAGTTAATTCCAGAATATTGTGCTCAATTTTAAAAATTTTATAAGAATTTTAAAAAAAATTAAACCCCTATTAATTGGAAATGGGATTTTTTGTTCAATAAAGTAGTGAGAGGGAGTAAGTTATTGAGCCAAGTCATGAAATTTTCATAAAGAGTGACTGTCATTGAATCAGTTTGGCTTGATAAAGCCAAAACTGCAGCCGCGAAGCTCTTAAATAGTGAGACTGATACTGAATCTTGGCTTGCTGCATATGATTGTAAGTCACTCCACATCTGTGAGAAAAGAGTATTCTCTAATACCCTAAATTATCATATAAATTTACTATAACCAACAATAGTCAAATTAATGCATCTCAGTATATTATCTATTGTTGCAGAGGTAGCAATCAATGAGATTTCGCTTGGAATATTGTCAGGGTCAAGAGTTGCAGAGGCATACATAGCAGCGTAGTCTGTGTCTTCTAGTTTTCTCTTTAGAGAATCGACTGTGATTTTGCTTTGATAAGTTGAGCAGCTTAAAAGCTGATCACATGCCTTGATTTTAATTGTATTACTGTTAGGGAATAAGCCAGTTGATAAGCTGCTGTCTTGAGTGGCTCCAAGGACATATTCCACACTATTCCAGACATCATCATAAGAATAAGTTAAAGGATAATCTTGTCCATCTTGGTCATAACACCCAGCAATTGAAATTACAAACGTTGTTTGCAAAGCAGTTCCGCTTGTTGGCTGTATGTCTACAGATCCATCGCAGGTAGCCCCGCTATTTACATTTACTATAATTGATGATGATAAAGAGTTTCCGGAAATCTCAGTGATGGTAAAGCTGAATTTATAAGAACTACCTTGGGTAAATGTATTTGGTGGGATAGAAATTGTTGGCAAGTTATCAGGAGAAATCTTTATTGCGGAACTATCACAAATCCATTTAATTTTAGAGCCAGATGATATAGTAGTTGTAGGAGATAAGGTATAAGAAGATCCTGCTGAGATTTTGGCTGAAGAATAAGGAACTTCTATTGAAGAAGAGGAGGCAACTGTTGCAGCTGAGACTTGCACAGTGACTGTGGCCGATGCATTTCTACTTCCTGAACTTATTAATAGGGTTATATCGTAGCTTGCTCCTGGTATCATTTTTCCTGAAGGAATTGAGAGGCTTGAGGTGGTAGCAGAAGAGACAAGGTCTTTATCATCAGTTCCAAGACAAGAAGATGCATTTACTACATATAAACAGCTCCATTGGTAACTTAAAAGAGTAGAAGAGCTATCTGGGTCTAAAGAACCATCTCCATTAATAGAGAAGGCATTTTTGGATGCAACGGTGCAACTGGATTTGGAAAGTTTTATTTTGAGAGGAGAAGAAGTCACTGTGATGGTAAGCAAAGAATATCCAGATACAGATGGCTCTGTCGAACTTTGGCTAGTTGCAGTTGCATTGAATTGGTATGAGTATCCACTTGGAAGCATATTTTTGTTGATAACAAGCTTGTTCTGCTGCTTGGATGCAGAAAGGATTGCTGAGGAATCAATTGTAGGAGCCCCTGCTAAGGCAACATAGCTCCATTTATAAGTCACTGAAGAGACATCTCCACAGAATGTAGCAACTGAAGCCTTGTAAGTTCTTGAGTCTGAAGCTTTAATTGTATCAGTTGATCCTAAATCAAATACAACTTGAAGTGAAGGAGCTGCCTTAATTGCTGTAGTCATTGATGCAGAGTTTGTGCCGCCAAAGGCGTTTGTTACTTTAAGAGTAATCACTAGTGTAGAGTCAACGTTGCTTGTAAATAGAAGTTTTGTGATTGCTAAAGATGCTGTAGTTTGCTTAGCAATATAATTAGTCAGATCTGAGTTCTGTGGAGTACTGGTGGCTGACCAAGTGTATGCCGTAGGGTTATTCAAGTTTCCTGTTGACTTTGAACCTGAGTACTGAAGAGCTGTGTTTCCACAATCTAAAGAATAGCTTGCTGGTCCGGAAATGACAGCATTAGGAGTAGGATCGGCTGTTTGCCTTACAGTAATATATAGCGGAGTATAATTTAAGCTGCAAGTTCCTTCCGTTTTAACAATATTTGTTCCCAACAAATATAGTTTTTCAACTCTAATAGTAAAGCCTTTTCCTAGTTGAATTCTCAGCTTATGGGATCCATCCCATGAGCAACTGGCTCCAGTTCCTAGTTTGCTAGCTCCCCTTTTTTAAAAATAAGCAATTTTTATCTAGAGGCAAGAGCAAATATTTTAAATTTTGCAAAGCAAATAATTTTTTGATTTAAAAATTTAATTTAATTCAAAAACTTATATATTTTGAGTGCAAAAAAAAATAAGATAGGTTTCTAGTTATAAAAAATAATTATTTTTATTTTATTCCTTTAAATTATAGTCTGATATCTAAAAACACTTCAATATTCAAATATATTATTTTCAACTAAAAATTATAAAGAAAATTTTTCTAAGAGCTGATTTTGATTTTTTATTTTTTTTTCTCACTTATTAGGGGGAGTAATGCTTTGCCAATCAATGGTATTTGAGCATGCTGCACTAACTGTAGTATCAACACCTACACTGAAAGTAACTGTAATGGTAGAGAAATATTCATCGAAATAGGCGTCAGTCACATCTGATAATACGAAATAATTCTTGCAAGCTATACATTTATTGCTGACTAAGGTATATCCACCATTACAAACACACGACTGTGAATTTGAGTCATAGCTTGAATCTGCAGTGCAAGAACACTTGCTCTTTACTAATTCTGCATTAGTTACACAAGCTGTGCAAGAGTCTCCATCATCTTCGCTGCATGTAGTACATACTTGGTTGCAGGTAGCTACACATTTAGTATCTTTTTGGTAAAATCCACTAACACAGCTGCAAGTGCCATCTGAATTTGCTGAAGCATGCTTTATGCAAGTATTGCAAGTATCTACTGATTTAGTGCAGATGGAACAATTGATCTTACAAGCCTGACATGTATTTCCAGATTTTCCATATCCATTACTACAGCTGCATAAGTTAGTATTATCAACTGCTGCATTATCCACACAAGAGCTGCAGGACCAATTAGACGAGCATTTCTTACAAAGTCCTGGGCAGGCTGTGCATACTGCATTTAAAGAGTAATAATAGTCATTGCATGTACAAACACTTGTATCTAAATCAAAGCTTGCATTTTCGTCATTACAAGTACAAACTCCATCAGTGAGAGTCATATGGCTTGCGTCTAAACATTCTGTGCAATTGGTAGCTTCTTCTGAACATTCTTTGCAAGGAGCATCACAGGCTTCGCATGAATTTGTATCATTATAATAGAAGCTAGAATCGCATTGGTCACATGTAGATCCATCAACACACTCAGCGCAATTATCCATACACTTAGTGCAGTTTCCTGGATCATCATAATATCCTCTGACACAGACACAGTCATTAATGGTTGTATTAAACTCTGTATGATCATCTAAACAATTATCACAAGAGCCATCAGTATCCAATGTATTGTAGACTCCACTGCATTTTGTACAATGAGTTTCAGAGTTGCACCATAAACAAGGTTCAACACAAGGGGAAGTAGCTGTATTAGAGCTGAAATAGTAAGTATCATCAGCAGCACATACTTCTGTATCATTATCAAGTGAAGAATGAGTTGGGCAGTCACAGTCAGGAATTCCAAGCATATGAGTTGTATCTATACATAAAGTGCAGATTGAGGCTGAGGCAGTATCACAAGTTGCACACTGTATATCGCATTCAGCACAGGTGGTATTAGAATCAAAGTAATAGCCGTCGTCAGGGATACATTCATCGGTATTAATATCAAGGGTAGAGTTGCCTGGACAGTCACAGTTAGGGATGGCTGACATGTGTGTTGTATCCACACATGAAGTGCAGGCAGAGGCTGACATTGTATCACATGTTTCACATTGTGAGTCGCATTCTGCGCAAGTTGTATCTGAGCTGAAGTAATATCCATCGTCTGGAATGCAATTATCAGTATTATTATCAAGTGTAGAATGCTGAGGGCAGTCACAGTTTGGCACTCCAAGCATATGTGTTGTATCTAAGCAAGAGGTGCAGATGGAGCCTGAAGTGGTATCGCATGTAACGCATTGTAGGTCGCATTCAGCACATGTGGTATCTGTATTGAAGTAATATCCATCATCTGGAACGCAATCTGATTCATTGAAAGTTGAGTTGCCAGGACATTCACAATCAGGCTCTCCAAGCATATGAGTTGTATCTGCACAAACTGTGCAGGAAGTTCCATTGGTAGTATCACATGTCTCACATTTAGAGTCGCAATCAGCACATGTTGTATTTGAATCGAAGTAGTATCCGTCATCTGGAACGCAATCTGATTCATTAAAAGTTGAGTTGCCAGGACATTCGCAATCAGGCTCTCCAAGCATATGAGTTGTATCTGTACAAGCTGTGCAGGAAGTTCCATTGGTAGTATCACATGTCTCACATTTAGAGTCGCATTCGGCAGTAACAGTATTTGTATCGAAGTAGTATCCGTCATCTGGAACGCAATCTGATTCATTGAAAGTTGAATTACTCGGGCAAGCGCAGTCAGGCTCTCCTAGCATGTGCGTTGTATCTGTACAAGCTGTGCAGTAAGTTCCATTGTTAGTATCACATGTCTCACATTTAGAGTCGCATTCGGCAGTAGCAGTATTTGTATCGAAGTAGTATCCGTCATCTGGAACGCAATCTGATTCATTGAAAGTTGAGTTCCCAGGACAGTCACAATCAGGCTCTCCAAGCATATGAGTTGTATCTGCACAAGCTGTGCAGTAAGTTCCATTGGTAGTATCACATGTCTCACATTTAGAGTCGCATTCGGCAGTAGCAGTATTTGTATCGAAGTAGTATCCGTCATCTGGAACGCAATCTGATTCATTGAAAGTTGAATTGCCAGGACATTCACAATTAGGTTCTCCAAGCATATGAGTTGTATCCGCACAAGCTGTGCAGTAAGTTCCATTGGTAGTATCACATGTCTCACATTTAGAGTCGCAATCAGCACATGTGGTATCTGTATTGAAGTAATATCCGTCATCTGGAACGCAATCTGATTCATTGAAAGTTGAGTTCCCAGGACAGTCACAATCAGGCTCTCCAAGCATATGAGTTGTATCTGTACAAGCTGTGCAGTAAGTTCCATTGGTAGTATCACATGTCTCGCATTTAGAGTCGCATTCGGCAGTAGCAGTATTTGTATCGAAGTAGTATCCGTCATCTGGAACGCAATCTGATTCATTAAAAGTTGAGTTCCCAGGACATTCGCAATCAGGCTCTCCAAGCATGTGCGTTGTATCTGCACAAGCTGTGCAGTAAGTTCCATTGGTAGTATCACATGTCTCACATTTAGAGTCGCAATCAGCACATGTAGTATTTGTATCGAAGTAGTATCCGTCATCTGGAACGCAATCTGATTCATTAAAAGTTGAGTTCCCAGGACATTCGCAATCAGGCTCTCCAAGCATGTGCGTTGTATCTGTACAAGCTGTGCAGTAAGTTCCATTGGTAGTATCACATGTCTCACATTTAGAGTCGCAATCAGCACATGTGGTATCTGTATTGAAGTAATATCCGTCATCTGGAACGCAATCTGATTCATTGAAAGTTGAGTTACCAGGACAGTCACAATCAGGCTCTCCAAGCATATGAGTTGTATCTGTACAAGCTGTGCAGTAAGTTCCATTGTTAGTATCACATGTCTCGCATTTAGAGCCGCATTCGGCAGTAGCAGTATTTGTATCGAAGTAGTATCCGTCATCTGGAACGCAATCTGATTCATTAAAAGTTGAGTTCCCAGGACATTCGCAATCAGGCTCCCCAAGCATGTGCGCTATATCTGTACAAGCTGTGCAGTAAGTTCCATTGGTAGTATCACATGTCTCACATTTAGAATCGCATTCGGCAGTAACAGTATTTGTATCGAAGTAGTATCCGTCATCTGGAACGCAATCTGATTCATTGAAAGTTGAGTTACCAGGACATTCGCAGTCTGGAGCCACTGACATATGTATTTCGTCTATGCATACAGTACAATCAGATGAATTGGTATCGCAAGTACTGCATTTATTATCACAACAGCTTGCACCGCTACGGTGAATTGTAAATTCATTTTCACACGTAACACAAGTTTCATTATCGATGCTATTAACTACTGCACAATGGTCAAAAGTCGAATTTGTGCATCCACCTGCATCATCAGGTATTGCATCTGAATAAAGGCAAGTATCACATGTTGTACCATCTGCACAAGTTACACACTCATTTGCACCGTTAGTGCAAGTAGCTGTTAAATATCTTTCGTTTTCCCACCATGATCCCTCTTCAGGTGTATTTTGGTCATTTTCTGGAAGGGTATGACTATTTTTCATAAGTTGATTGACTGCCTCAAAATCGTCGATAAGCAGTTTCGAGTTAATTTCAGAGCTTCTAAGGCTATTTTTAGTAATTGGATTGAGTTCTTTCGCTGTAGTTGCTTCAAGGATCAAGAGCAAAAGATAAGCTATTCTAGCCGCAGGCATATTTTATTAGGTTAATAAAATGGATCAAATTAAATCAACATATAAGAATGATTACTTATGAAAGAAATATATAGAATTTTAATAATCTAGATGATATTTCTCAGTTTTACCAATATTTCGAATAAAGAAACTAGCTGAGCTTATCTTAAAAATTCTTTAGTTTTTGGAAATCATTATTTATAGCAGCCTAATTAAATAATGATATTTAATGCTGCCACAAGAGCCTAAAAAATGATTTAAGGGAACTGAAATGTGAGTCTGTATTCAAATTAACTAACATTTTTATTTTATTGCAAGCTCCATAATATTTATTCAGCGGCAAAATGGTGTAATCTTCCTAAAATGGTTTATGAATAAAATTTTTAAAGAGATGAAGAATTAATTTTTTGATGTTCTAGTATCAAATTACCTTAAGTCATTCTAAAATGATAATTTTTATCTCTTGAACAATAAAAAATTTTATGAAGTTTCAGAAAATTTTGCCTTTACATTGACTCTGATTGCTTAATCACATAAGGAGAAATACTGCTTCTGGTAATGCTCACTAGGACTTATTTTTCCAAAATAAAGGGGATAAATATAGCTCCTCCTCATTCACCTAATAAAATATAAAAAATGGCTTATACGCACCTAATTATGGAAAATGGCTTAATATCTTTATAAAATATGAATTAACAGCATCTTTATAATAGGTCTAAAATTGATAAATAGCTCTATCAGCACATTTTAAAGCCTTTTAAAAAATTAGAAGCTTATTATCTTAAGTTAAATAAATTATGAACTCTATTTTTGGATTTTAAGGGTTGTATTTTCCTTGAAAATATGAAGTACAGCTCATAACTTTAAGCCATTCCGATTACAAAATTTTTTTTCTTCATGCTAACCATCTCTCTGGGTGGATGCAAGCCGCTTGGGTAATGATTTAGGTTCCACTGGAGCTGGGAGGCTTCCACGGAGTTTTTATGCCTCAGGCTTTTTCTCCTGGCCGTGTTGTAGTAATGGAATATCGGCACATTTTCATCGAAGCCACTGGGAGCATCAAAACCCTGCTCTTGGAGGAGAGCAGGCAGTGAAACCCTGAAAAGAGAAGTAAAAATTAATCACGAGAACTGAAAACTTTGCAATTTTTACTAAAATTTATTTAATTCTTATATAAATCTAAGAATTCAGAAAATTTGCCTTTACATTGATTCTGATTACTTGATTAGGAGGAATATTCTTCTTGAAATGCTTACTAGGCTTGAAATAAAGGGGGAAAATATAACCACTCATTCACTTAATAAGATAGGCAAAATGGCTTAACATTGTTACAAAATATTGATTAACAGCATTTTATAAAAGGTCTAAAATATCACCTTATAATAGGTCTAAATTAAGAAATAGCTTTTTCAACACATTTTGAAGCCTTGCATAAAATTAGAAGTTTATGGCCTTAAGTTAAATAAATTATGAAATGGAAATTTTGGATTTTAAGGATTGCATATTCCTTGTAAAATGATGAAGCACACAGCTCATGACTTTAAGCCATTCCGGTTATGAAATGTTTTTTCTCATCCTAAGAAAGCTTTAAAATTATTAGGTTGCTATAATCTATAGGTTTTAAAGCTAATCTGGGTTAATAAAATTCTTAAAAATTCAGCCCATCAGTAAAAGGGATAACTTGAAAATATTTGGATTATTTTATGCATTTGCAATATAAAAATCTAAAAATAAATTTTATTTAGTTATTGCCCTGAGAGGAGTAGCTTTGCATTTTATAAGTATCTATTCGTTCGAAAGAACCTTCATAACTCATAATATTTAGAAGATTTGATAAAGATGATGAAGCAATTAAAGTAACTTGCCTAATATAAGAGCATGTGAAAACTTTGCAATTTTTTAAATTTAATATTAAATCAAGCTTTCATGCAGAAATTTCGACCATAATGGCTCATTCATATAATTCAAAATTCTAAATTTGATAAATATGGAATTCATGAGGGTTCAATTTAATATTAAAACTTTTATGAGAGTTTTCTTAATTATATACATTTCGATAATTCAAAGATTTCAATATTTCTATGAATTTAGTTACTTAAACTGCTATCATTTGAGAATTATTTTTCTCGCTTTAAAAAATTTGACATAAATTATTTTTTCGATACAAATCTAATTGCTAGCTTTTAATACTTATATCCACTTAAAAATTCTTATCATTTTCTATATTAAAACAAAACTCCAGCCAATTTCTTACTCCCCCCCCCCCTCCGTGAGCGAACAAAAAAATTTTGTTCGCTCACGGAGGGGGGGTTAATTTTTTTTTTAAAAAAAAATTTATATATAAATTTTATAAAAAATATTTTTTTCGAAATTTAAAAAAATCCTAATTTGCAAAAATTGGGAAGCAAATATTAATTTAATTTGCAAAATTTATGTTTTTTAAAACGCAATTTGTTTAAAATTAAACAGAATTAGCTCTAGATTTCATTATACTAATTATCACTTATATATCAAAATTTTTTTCCATTAAAATTTTTTCTATAAAAAAATTTTTGTTCACTCACGGAGGGTGGTTTTTGGTCAAAAAATGCCGATTTTTTCTAATGGGTTTTTTGTTCGCTCACGGAGGGGGGGGGGGGAGTTAATGAATGTTTTACATAATCAGAAATCAAGATAGGCTCTAAAGCTCACTAGAATTTAAATCTGTTTTCTTATGCTTATCAAGGAAATAAACCAAAAAACCTTTATAGATTTCATTTCTTGCAAAGAAGAATAAGATATTGACTTTAAAATATAAAATATTGAAATATTTGCAAAGTATTATGAAGACATTGAAAATCTTGACCATTTTATCTTAATTTCAGATTAAATAGAAATTTTGGCCTTAATAAAGAATACATAACAAAATTTTGGGTTTTCAGATGCAGATCTGTGCTATTGAATTCTTGCCGCAATATCAAGAGAAATAAGCAAAAGATTGAGGAAAAAGAAATATAGAGTCATATTGAAATAAAATACCTTTTTTATTCAAGATTTAAAAATATCTCAGTTGTAAATTAAGGATGCTTAGAGTGATTCATTGTTGACAGCACAGTAATGAAATAGTCTGCTGGAATTGGAAAGAAACTAAAAAAGTGTCTTTATATGAGAATATTGAATTTTCTTATTATTGAAGAAGCCTATAGAGATTTTAATAGAAATTTTGGTTCTATAATTTAGCTTTTTTGTAAATATTGGATAGCCTATAACTTGTCTTATTTTCAAGGGAATATTATCAAGAAAATCCAACTTTTTATTCTCACATGTTAATAACTAATATTTTCCTATCTTAAAATTATTACAAGGAAGAAAACTGGAATATCTCTAATCCCCTCTGTGGGCGAACAAAAAAATTTTGTTTGCTGACAAAGCGGGGTATTTTTTTTAATAAATGTATATCTAAATTTTATTGTAAATTGCTTTTTAACAAAAAAAAACCAATTCACAAAAATTTAGAAACCAAATATTAATTTGTAAAATTTTTGTTTTAAAATGCAAGCTAATTAATTTTTAAAATTGAATAAAATTAATTAGAGATTTATTTATACTAATTATCGCGTATATATAATTTTTTTCATAAAATAATTTTATATTAAACAGTTTTCGTTTACTCATGGTGGGTGTTTTTTTGGGCAAAAAATAGGGATTTTTCAATAGTTTTGGCTTACGGAAGAAGGAAGAAGAGTTTGTAATACTCGACTTAATAACTCGTGAACGTGCCATCCTTATATGTGCCTACAATGACTATCTCTATGACTATACAGCAGAACTCCAAAATCAGCCAGACTTTATTGAAAAAGTGAAGAGCTGAAGCTATTGGTTGAGCTTGACAAGCCTATAAATAAAAAAGCTTTTGCATAAAACCTTCCTGAACTCTTGGTCTATGAAATCATGAATACAGAATCTCCTCTCCCTCTTGAAGAAAATACAAAAATCTAGGCCTGCCTCCGAAAAAAAAGGAAAACTTAGCCTAAGAAGAAAAAAGCTGGATGAGGCTTCATCGTAAAGCTTAATTGTGCATAAGCCTACAGAGCAAAGCAAAATTGCAAGATTACCCCTCCAAAGCTTCCAGTCCTTGATAGACCGACACAAAGAATTGGCTCGATTAACGTCTGAGACAAAGAAGATCCAGTTATCCAGAAGTTCTTGAGAACAGAGCATTTAGAAATCCATGAAATGTATGAGCGAAAAGAGCATATTTGGAACCAAATTAAAAAAACTTATATGGATTTTGCCCCATTATTAAGTAGCTATGCTGAAAAGCTAGAAAATATTGACTCTGTTTAAAATTTTTTAAGGGATTGACTATATTAATAGACTTATAGCTGAGCATATAGATGGCTAAAGAGAAGTAATGGCAAAAAATATTCTGCTGTCATTTCCAATGCCTGTGGCTAATTGAAAGATATACAGAAAACCTTGGCAGATACATCAGAAAAAACTCGTGGCAAAAGACGTATGGAGCAAGATAGTAGGGATCAAAGACAACACTGAAAAGTGACTGAAAGAGAAAGAAATGATGGAACAAAAAGCAAGAGACGCTATAATACTTGATAAAAAAGACAGAAAGGAAGCCTTAAAACACATATCTTCAGGAAAAGGGGACGGGTTCTTAGTGAGGAGAGATTTGAGCTCTAAAGATGGCCAGCTGATCAAGAAAATGAATGTTTTATCAGAACAAACAGGAATGCAAGCCGCCAAGTCTAAGAAAGAGTTTAAAATGAAATCTACCAAAACAGAAGTCTCTATTATAAGCACGAAAAACTTCGAGCCAATGAAGAAGGAGAAATCACATCGACGCTCTTATTAAAATGCTATACTTGAACAACGCAGATTCGACTACTTATGATTTAGAGTTTTGGGCTGAATATTATAGCATTAGGCTCCAGAGCTTGAAAACTTTTTTAACATTTCAGCTACCCTGTTCTTGGAGAAAAGCAGCCAGTTGGGCTACTCACATTTATTAAGGTTCAAGGAAGAAAGAAATTTTTGACTCTTCTAGGAGAACCAAAAGAGGGAAATGAAAAAGCGTGAAAATAAAATAAGTTGTTTTTTATATCATAAGCATAATTAGTGTTATATTTCACCAGAAGAAAACATTTTTGCCGAGAAATTCGAGCTTGATTATTATTGAAGAGAACATTATTGCTTCATATAAACATATAAAAAAAATGCTTAAATAAATTCTTCTTGAGTTGTGGAATGAGAAAATATTAGATCTAGAGAATTATATATTTAGCGGTTATCCTCATGATAGAGATAAATACTGGACTAAGAGGAAGTGATTATATAATGATTTTTATGGCTTACATAGGGGGCTATTTAGTGAAGAAATTTTATAACTTCTTACTCCCTACTCCGCGATCGAGCAACAAAAATTTTGTTCGCTATCGGAGGGGGGTTAATTTTTTTCTTCAAAATTTAATAAAATCCATTTGAAAAATTGAGAGATAATCATTAATTTAATTTGCAAAATTTATGCATTGAAATGCAAGCTGTTTAAAATTAAGCGGAATTTGCTAGAGATTTAACTATAATAATTATCACTTATATATAAAATTTTTTTCATAAAAATTTTTTGTTCGCTCACGGAGGGGCTAAAATGGGGATTTTCCAATGGAGGGGGAGTTAAAGAAACTCTTTACTACCGTTTTCAAAAGTAGAATTAAGATCCCCCAAATAATATTTTATTTAGAAAGGTCAAGAATTTCTCATTTGTCTGTGAAATAAAGATTCTTCTAAGATAGAAAAAGTCATATGAGATCTCATTTGCCAAAGTAGGTTTAACTATAATGACTAAAAATTGGTAATAATTGGATAATATAAGAATCAATTTTCTGTGCAGTTTTATGGAAATAGAGTAAGAATGCATGGGGATAATAAGAAATTAAATAGATTTAAGCATGTTAGCTTGTTATGCATATCAACTTTACTAATCTATGCAATAAATCCCAGCATACAAAATTTTAAAATGGCAATCATTTATAAGAATAATAAAGAATTAATAGATAATATGCTGAATTTCGCATTATTGTCTTACTTAATCATGAATCATAAATTTGGCTTTACTATAGCCATGCGATTTCAATTTATTGCAAATTAATTTTAAATTTTCCTATCTTCGTTTATCTAAAGAGCTTATATATTGAACTAAAAAGTTCCTGCTCTCTTCTGCATAAGAATTCTATGTTTATTATAAATTGGGGCATAAGAAACTCTAAAAATGTTGGCAGTTAAATACATAAATATTTTTATAAAATTATTAGAAGTATTTAATCATTAGCTTTTTTTACAAATTAAACTTGTAGTAGCTTCATTTTGCAAAGAATCCGCACATTTATTGTATTACTAATAAACTTGTGAAGAATTTTGATCGCTAATAATCGATTTTCCTATTTTTTCCACACATTTCATTACCTGTTTCGCTTTTATAACTGATCCCCATTCAACCAAATACAGACTTTTTGTATTTATCAAAATTTTTCTTTTCCACTCTGCAAAAGAAAAAGAATTCTTGATAAATTGTCGTTTTTCAATAGAATAGCGCAAAATATTGGGATTTCAGCACCCTGGTATCAAAATATTTTCATTAAATACAACGCAATTTTTTCCCACTCACTACAAGGGGAATTTTGATGACCTCGTTTCTTTTTCCCATGCAGCATTGAGAGTTAGAAGTATACGCTTTTTGGATGCAATCGTCTGAATTACTTAATTAGAGTGTAACACCTCTTTAAAATTTGCCAAATAATTTATGAATAAAAGATACTGATTTGGAGAAAGTCTTTCATAGGGTATTTATTTATGAAAAGCATTTCAATTCGAAGATTCAATAATTTAAACTATAAATGCTTGCTTTTTTTATAAACCTGAATCGTTTAAATGCAGCTTTGACCTCTAGATACATTAAATAGCTAAAATAAGCTTTTCAAGACAGTTTTTTTATAAAATAATAAAGTTGTACATGAAGAATTATTGTTTGCATTTTCAAATTTAAAAAGTTATTACGACTAAAGTAATCTTACAAGCTACCTAAAATCTAATAAATTAGCTAGTTAATTTTTAATAAAGATTAATTTAGCATTTAGAGCTTTATTAAAAAGACTTAAATGATTAGATTAAAATGCAATTTTATAAAGATTGATTACTTAAATAGTATCTTTCCCTTTTCTTGTTCCTGCTCTCCTTGACTTGATCAGAAGAGCAATGTAGCGAATGAGCATATAGAAAATCTGAACAATAAAGATTTCCATAAGAATTCCCCATAAGAAGCTTTCAGCCCAGTAGCCACTCCAATTGTGACAGAAGTCAACGTTAAGTATCACAATCCCAATGACTGATCCAATAAGAACTGCAATGCCTAGTAATAAAGCCAAAATATTCACTACTCTTCTTCCTTTCTCCATGCAAGATATCAATGCACATTCTAAGTGTACTCCTATAAGGACTGCGAGGACTGTATATCCGAAATAGTTTCCTTCATAATTGTCAAATATTGATTGAGTTGACATTTCTCTGCCTTTATCAGTGTCTTCAAATCCTGAGAACAAGCAGCCCTCTACTAATAACTCGAAAATAATAACGGCAAGTAAAATGAATGCTCTTCTCCATCTTGGCAAATCTTTTCTATAATAAACCAGCCCAAATGTCAAATGACCTTCCAAAAGCATACGGAAATTCCCTTTAGCTCTATATTCATTATATAGTTCTTTTGGATAAAAGTCAACTTCTGGGCCTTTTTTAGTATGTCCTGAAGGGCCTAAATTATTTACCTCTCTTTCTGTATTTTCTGCAGCAAGTTGAGCTTTTTCAGGGTCACTTTTCACTTCTTCAGTCTGCACTAAATCCATTTTCACCTTCGTAAATGGCTCAGATTGCTCTGAAAGGGCTTCGACCTTCAAAGGCTCCACGTCTTCTTTGTCCATTTCATCAACCTTCAAAGGCTCTACAGGATTATTTGCAAGTTCAGGAACTGGAGTCACTTTTTTATCTTCTTTTTCTGAGGCTTTATTGTGGGATTTATCCATAAAGACTGTGATTATCATAAGGACGAATCCAATGAAAAATGAGACTATCATTATGATAGTTGGGGCTAAATTATCCCCGCATTCCGGAGTATAAGTAGGAGGAATGTAAGGGACAAAATCTGTTTCTGAGAGCTTAAATAAGGAGAAATGGGTAAGTGAAACTGTAATTGTATCAACTCCTTGGCTAGTAATGACGCAACCATTTACGTCCCAAGTTGAAGTTGTAGTGTCATAATACACACAAGAAAGGCCCCTAGTCGCATTTTTATAATAAGGAATAGTTACTGTGACTGGATATCTGTCATCATTGAAGGATTGATATTGCTCATCTGTAGCAGTATATTGATAATCTTGATATCTACCGCTAGTTGTGTAGCTTACAGAGAACCAAGGTGCATAGCCGTCAGTAATATTATAAGTATTAGCTTTGAAGTTTGTGACTTCAGTCTCATCAATTGGGATTTTATTAGGGAATGTTACATCAATAAACCCAAAGGTCTGAGAAGTTTTACTGATTGAATCAGGGAAATTTCTGACTTTTCCAAATTGGATAGAGGAAGTTGAATCTGAAGCTGGAAGTGAGCTCTGGCCTGGAAGGTCATCAACTGTAATATAAGTCATAAAAGTAGTTAAGAAATTATCTGCTGCCAGCAAATAAGTCTCAAATGGCATTGTTGCGTCAGCATGTTTGCTGCCGAAATCTAAGTATCCGTTAGAAAGCGATACGATGATTTGCAAAATGCTACTTGCGTCAGTATTAATAGCAATTGAGTTGGCTGTAACTAAGTTATTGAGCCAAGTCATGAAATTTTCATAAAGAGTGACTGTCATTGAATCAGTTTGGCTTGATAAAGCCAAAACTGCAGCCGCGAAACTCTTAAATAGTGAGACTGATACTGAATCTTGGCTTGCTGCATATGATTGCAAGTCACTCCACATCTGTGAGAAAAGAGTATTATCTATCGTTGCAGAGGAAGCAATCAATGAGATTTCGCTTGGAATATTGTCAGGGTCAAGAGTTGCAGAGGCATACATAGCAGCGTAGTCTGTGTCTTCTAGTTTTCTCTTTAGAGAATCGACTGTGATTTTGCTTTGATAAGTTGAGCAGCTTAAAAGCTGATCACATGCCTTGATTTTAATTGTATTACTGTTAGGGAATAAGCCAGTTGATAAGCTGCTGTCTTGAGTGGCTCCAAGGACATATTCCACACTATTCCAGACATCATCATAAGAATAAGTTAAAGGATAGTCTTGTCCATCTTGGTCATAACACCCAGCAATTGAAATTACAAACGTTGTTTGCAAAGCAGTTCCACTTGTTGGCTGTATGTCTACAGATCCATCACAGGTAGCCCCACTGTTTATATTTACTATAATTGATGATGATAAAGAGTTTCCTGAAGTCTCAGTGATTGTAAAGCTGAATTTATAAGAACTACCTTGGATAAAGGTATTTGGTGGGATAGAAATTGTTGGCAAGTTATCAGGAGAAATCTTTATTGCAGAACTATCACAAACCCATTTAATTTTAGAGCCAGATGATATAGTAGCTGTAGGAGATAAGGTATAAGAAGATCCTGCTGAGATTTTGGCTGAAGAATAAGGAATTTCTATTGAAGAAGAGGAGGCAACTGTTGCAGCTGAGACTTGCACAGTGACTGTGGCCGATGCATTTCTACTTCCTGCACTTATTAATAGGGTTATATCGTAGCTTGCTCCTGGTATCATTTTTCCTGAAGGAATTGAGAGGCTTGAGGTGGTAGCAGAAGAGACAAGGTCTTTATTATCAGTTCCAAGACAAGAAGTTGCATTCACTGTATATAAACAGCTCCATTGGTAACTTAAAAGAGTAGAAGAGCTATCTGGATCTGAAGAACGATCTCCATTAATAGAAAAGCCGTTCTTGGATGCCACAGTGCAGCTGGATTTGGAAAGTTTTATTTTGAGAGGAGATGAAGTCACTGTGATGGTAAGCAAAGAATATCCGGATACAGATGACTCTGTAGAACTTTGGCTAGTTGCAGTTGCATTGAATTGGTATGAGTATCCACTTGGAAGCATATTTTTGTTGATAACAAGCTTGTTTTGCTGCTTGGATGCAGAAAGGATTGCTGAGGAATCAATTGTAGGAGCCCCTGCTAAGGCAACATAGCTCCATTTATAAGTCACTGAAGAGACATCTCCACAGAATGTAGCAACTGAAGCCTTGTAAGTTCTTGAGTCTGAAGCTTTAATTGTATCAGTTGATCCTGAATCAAATACAACTTGAAGTGAAGGAGCTGCCTTAATTGCTGTAGTCATTGATGCAGAGTTTGTGCCGCCAAAGGCGTTTGTTACTTTAAGAGTAACCACTAGTGTAGAGTCAACGTTGCTTGTAAATAGAAGTTTTGTGATTGCTAAAGATGCTGAGGATTGCTTTTCAATATAACTAGTGAGACCTGAGTTCTGTGGAGTACTGGTGGCTGACCAAGTGTATATCATAGGGTTATTCAAGTTTCCTGTTGATTTTGAACCTGAGTACTGAAGAGCTGTGTTTCCACAATCTAAAGAATAGCTTGCTGGTCCGGAAATGACAGCATTAGGAGTAGGATCGGCTGTTTGCCTTACAGTAATATATAGCGGAGTATAATTTAAGCTGCAAGTTCCTTCCTTTTTAGCAATATTTGTTCCCAACAAATATAGTTTTTCAACTTTAATAGTAAAGCCTTTTCCTAATTGAATTTTCAGCTTATTGGATCCATCCCATGAGCAACTGGCTCCAGTTCCTAGTTTGCTAATGCTTTGCCAATCAATGGTATTTGAGCATGCTGCACTAACTGTAGTATCAACACCTACACTGAAAGTAACTGTAATGGTAGAGAAATATTCATCGAAATAGGCGTCAGTCACATCTGACAATACGAAATAATTCTTGCAAGCTATACATTTATTGCTAACTAAGGTATATCCACCATTACAAACACACGACTGTGAATTTGAGTCATAGCTTGAATTTGCAGTGCAAGAACACTTGCTCTTTACTAATTCTGCATTAGTTACACAAGCTGTGCAAGATTCTCCATCATCTTCGCTGCATGTAGTACATACTTGGTTGCAGGTAGCTACACATTTAGTATCTTTTTGGTAAAATCCACTAACACAGCTGCAAGTGCCATCTGAATTTGCTGAAGCATGCTTTATGCAAGTATTGCAAGTATCTACTGATTTAGTGCAGATGGAACAATTGATCTTACAAGCCTGACATGTATTTCCAGATTTTCCATATCCATTACTACAGCTGCATAAGTTAGTATTATCAACTGCTGCATTATCCACACAAGAGCTGCAGGACCAATTAGACGAGCATTTCTTACAAAGTCCTGGGCAGGCTGTGCATACTGCATTTAAAGAGTAATAATAGTCATTGCATGTACAAACACTTGTATCTAAATCAAAGCTTGCATTTTCGTCATTACAAGTACAAACTCCATCAGTGAGAGTCATATGGCTTGCGTCTAAACATTCTTCACAATAGGTAGCTTCATTAACGCATTCTTTGCAAGGAGCATCACAGGCTTCGCATGAATCTGAATCAGTATAATAGAAGCTAGAATCGCATTGGTCACATGTAGATTCATCAACACACTCAGCGCAATTATCCATACACTTAGTGCAGCTTCCTGGATGGTCATAATATCCTCTGACGCAGACACAGTCATTAACGGTTGTATCAAACTCTGTATGGTCATCTAAACAATTATCACAAGAGCCATCACTATCCAATGAATTGTAGACTCCACTGCATTTTGTGCAATAAGTTTCAGAGCTGCACCATAAGCAAGGTTCAACACAAGGAGAAGTAGCTGTATTAGAACTGAAATAGTAAGTATCATCAGCAACACATACCTCTGTACCACTATCAAATGTAGAATGAGTTGGACAGTCGCAGTCAGGAATTCCAAGCATATGAGTTGTATCTGTGCAAGCTGTGCAGGAAGTTCCATCTGTAGTGTCACATGTTGCACATTTAGGGTCGCATTCAGCACATGTGGTAGCATCACTAAAGTAATATCCGTCATCTGGAACACAATCTGATCCTGTGAGAGTTGAGTGCTCAGGACATTCACAGTCTGGAGCCGCTGACGTATGAGTTGTATCTGTGCAAGCTGTGCAAGAAGTTCCATCGCTAGCGTCACATGTATCACATTTAGGGTCGCATTCAGCACATGTGGTAGCATCACTAAAGTAATATCCGTCATCTGGAACACAAACTGATTCATCGAAAGTTGAGTGACTTGGGCAAGCGCAGTCAGGTACTCCAAGCATATGAGTTGTATCTGTACAAGCTGTGCAGGAAGTTCCATCGCTAGTGTCACATGTATCACATTTAGGGTCGCATTCAGCACATGTGGTAGCATCACTAAAGTAATATCCGTCATCTGGAACACAATCTGATCCTGTGAGAGTTGAGTGCTCAGGACATTCGCAGTCTGGAGCCGCTGACATATGAGTTGTATCTGCACAAACTGTGCAGACAGTTCCATCGCTAGTGTCACATGTATCACATTTAGGGTCGCATTCAGCACATGTGGTAGCATCACTAAAGTAATATCCGTTATCTGGAACACAATCTGATCCTGTGAGAGTTGAGTGCTCAGGGCATTCGCAGTCTGGAGCCGCTGACGTATGAGTTGTATCGGTACAAGCTGTGCAAGAAGTTCCATCGCTAGTGTCACATGTATCACATTTAGGGTCGCATTCAGCACATGTGGTAGCATCACTAAAGTAATATCCGTTATCTGGAACACAAACTGATCCTGTGAGAGTTGAGTGATCAGGACATTCACAGTCTGGAGCCGCTGACGTATGAGTTGTATCTGTACAAGCTGTGCAAGAAGTTCCATCGGTAGTGTCACATGTATCACATTTAGGGTCGCATTCAGCACATGTGGTAGCATCACTAAAGTAATATCCGTCATCTGGAACACAATCTGATCCTGTGAGAGTTGAGTGCTCAGGACATTCGCAGTCTGGAGCCGCTGACATATGAGTTGTATCTGCACAAACTGTGCAGACAGTTCCATCGGTAGTGTCACATGTATCACATTTAGGGTCACATTCAGCACATGTGGTAGCATCACTAAAGTAATATCCGTCATCTGGAACACAATCTGATCCTGTGAGAGTTGAGTGATCAGGACATTCACAGTCTGGAGCTGCTGACGTATGAGTTGTATCGGTACAAGCTGTGCAGGAAGTTCCATCGCTAGTGTCACATGTATCACACTTAGGGTCGCATTCTGCACATGTGGTAGCATCACTAAAGTAATATCCGTCATCTGGAACGCAAACTGATTCATCGAAAGTTGAGTGCTCAGGGCATTCGCAGTCTGGAGCCGCTAACATATGAGTTGCATCTTTGCAAGCTGTGCAGGAAGTTCCATCGGTAGTGTCACATGTCTCACATTTAGGGTCGCATTCAGCACATGTGGTAGCATCACTAAAGTAATATCCGTTATCTGGAACACAATCTGATCCTGTGAGAGTTGAGTGCTCAGGACATTCGCAGTCTGGAGCCGCTGACGTATGAGTTGTATCTGTGCAAGCTGTGCAGACAGTTCCATCGCTAGTGTCACATGTATCACATTTAGGGTCGCATTCAGCACATGTAGTAGCATCACTAAAGTAATATCCGTCATCTGGAACACAATCTGATCCTGTGAGAGTTGAGTGCTCAGGACATTCGCAGTCTGGAGCCGCTGACGTATGAGTTGTATCTGTGCAAGCTGTGCAGACAGTTCCATCGCTAGTGTCACATGTATCACATTTAGGGTCGCATTCAGCACATGTGGTAGCATCACTAAAGTAATATCCGTCATCTGGAACACAAACTGATCCTGTGAGAGCTGAGTGATCAGGGCATTCGCAGTCTGGAGCCGCTGACATATGAGTTGTATCTGTACAAGCTGTGCAGACAGTTCCATCGCTAGTGTCACATGTATCACATTTAGGGTCGCATTCAGCACATGTAGTAGCATCACTAAAGTAATATCCGTCATCTGGAACACAATCTGATCCTGTGAGAGTTGAGTGCTCAGGGCATTCGCAGTCTGGAGCCGCTGACGTATGAGTTGTATCTGTGCAAGCTGTGCAGACAGTTCCATCGCTAGTGTCACATGTATCACACTTAGGGTCGCATTCAGCACATGTGGTAGCATCACTAAAGTAATATCCGTCATCTGGAACACAATCTGATCCTGTGAGAGTTGAGTGCTCAGGACATTCGCAGTCTGGAGCCGCTGACGTATGAGTTGTATCTGTGCAAGCTGTGCAGACAGTTCCATCGCTAGTGTCACATGTATCACATTTAGGGTCGCATTCAGCACATGTGGTAGCATCACTAAAGTAATATCCGTTATCTGGAACACAAACTGATCCTGTGAGAGCTGAGTGATCAGGGCATTCGCAGTCTGGAGCCGCTGACATATGAGTTGTATCTGTACAAGCTGTGCAGACAGTTCCATCGCTAGTGTCACATGTATCACATTTAGGGTCGCATTCAGCACATGTGGTAGCATCACTAAAGTAATATCCGTTATCTGGAACACAATCTGATCCTGTGAGAGTTGAGTGATCAGGGCATTCGCAGTCTGGAGCCGCTGACGTATGAGTTGTATCTGTACAAGCTGTGCAGACAGTTCCATCGCTAGTGTCACATGTATCACATTTAGGGTCGCATTCAGCACATGTGGTAGCATCACTAAAGTAATATCCGTCATCTGGAACACAATCTGATCCTGTGAGAGTTGAGTGCTCAGGACATTCGCAGTCTGGAGCCGCTGACGTATGAGTTGTATCTGTGCAAGCTGTGCAGACAGTTCCATCGCTAGTGTCACATGTATCACATTTAGGGTCGCATTCAGCACATGTGGTAGCATCACTAAAGTAATATCCGGCATCTGGAACACAATCTGATCCTGTGAGAGTTGAGTGATCAGGACATTCGCAGTCTGGAGCCGCTGACATATGAGTTGTATCTGTACAAGTTGTGCAGACAGTTCCATCGCTAGTGTCACATGTATCACACTTAGGGTCGCATTCAGCACATGTGGTAGCATCACTAAAGTAATATCCGTTATCTGGAACACAAACTGATCCTGTTAGAGTAGAGTGATCAGGGCATTCGCAGTCTGGAGCCGCTGACGTATGAGTTGTATCTGTGCAAGCTGTGCAGACAGTTCCATCGCTAGTGTCACATGTATCACATTTAGGGTCGCATTCAGCACATGTGGTAGCATCACTAAAGTAATATCCGTTATCTGGAACACAAACTGATCCTGTGAGAGTTGAGTGATCAGGGCATTCGCAGTCTGGAGCCGCTGACGTATGAGTTGTATCTGTGCAAGCTGTGCAGACAGTTCCATCGCTAGTGTCACATGTATCACATTTAGGGTCGCATTCAGCACATGTGGTAGCATCACTAAAGTAATATCCGGTATCTGGAACACAAACTGATCCTGTGAGAGTTGAGTGCTCAGGACATTCGCAGTCTGGAGCCGCTGACGTATGAGTTGTATCTGTGCAAGCTGTGCAGACAGTTCCATCGCTAGTGTCACATGTATCACATTTAGGGTCGCATTCAGCACATGTGGTAGCATCACTAAAGTAATATCCGTTATCTGGAACACAAACTGATCCTGTGAGAGTTGAGTGATCAGGGCATTCGCAGTCTGGAGCCGCTGACGTATGAGTTGTATCTGTGCAAGCTGTGCAGACAGTTCCATCGCTAGTGTCACATGTATCACATTTAGGGTCGCATTCAGCACATGTGGTAGCATCACTAAAGTAATATCCGGTATCTGGAACACAAACTGATCCTGTGAGAGTTGAGTGATCAGGGCATTCGCAGTCTGGAGCCGCTGACGTATGAGTTGTATCTGTGCAAGCTGTGCAGACAGTTCCATCGCTAGTGTCACATGCATCACATTTAGGGTCGCATTCAGCACATGTGGTAGCATCACTAAAGTAATATCCGTTATCTGGAACACAAACTGATCCTGTGAGAGCTGAGTGATCAGGGCATTCGCAGTCTGGAGCCGCTGACGTATGAGTTGTATCTGTACAAGCTGTGCAGACAGTTCCATCGCTAGTGTCACATGTATCACATTTAGGGTCGCATTCAGCACATGTGGTAGCATCACTAAAGTAATATCCGGTATCTGGAACACAATCTGATCCTGTGAGAGTTGAGTGCTCAGGGCATTCGCAGTCTGGAGCCGCTGACATATGTGTTCCGTCTATGCATGCAGTGCAATCCGACGAACTGGTACCGCAAGTACTGCATTTATCATCACAACAGCTTGCACCGCTACCGTGAACTGTAAATCCATCAATGCACGCAACACAAGTATCACCATCACCACTAGCAACCATACTGCAATGCTCAATAGTCGAAGCTGTGCATCCACCTGCATCATCAGGTATGTCAGTAGCTGAATTAGTGCAAGTTTCGCACGTTGTTGCATCTTTGCAAGTTTGGCATCCACTTGCACCACCAGTGCAAGCAGCTGTTAAATATCTTTCGTTTTCCCACCAGGATCCCTCTACAGTCGTATTTTGGTCTTTTTCTGGAGCAGTTTCATTATTTTTGACAAGTTGATTGACTGCCTCAGAATCGTCGATAAGCAGTTTTGAGTGAATTTCAGAGCTTTTAAGGCTAGTTCTGGCAATTGGATTGAGTTCTTCCGCTGTAGTTGCTCCAAGGATCAGGAGCAAAAAATAAGCAATTCCACCAGTAGGCATATTTTATTAGATTAATAAAATGGATCAAACTAAATCAACATTAGAATGACTGATTTATGGAAGAAAATATATAAAATTTAATAATCTAGATGATATTTCTCAGTTTTACCAATATTTTGAATAAAGGAACCAGCTGAGCTTATCTTAAAAATTTTTTAGTTTTTTGGATATCATTATTTATAGCAGTCTAATCAAATAATGATATTCAAAGCTGCCACAAGAGCCTAAAAAATGATTTAAGACAACTGAATTTGAGTCTGCATTCAAATTAGCTAACATTTTTTATATTTTATAGCGACTCCTTATTTTTTATTCAACGACAAAATGGTGCAATAGTGTAACCGTTCCTAAAATGGTCTTATTTAATAAAAGTTTTTAACTCGATAAAGAATTAATTTTTTGGAGTCCTATTACCAAATTACCTCAAAAACCTTATTAATTTCATTTTAAAGTCTTATCTTTGTATTTTTTGAACAATCGTAAATTTATTTCATTATCTTTCGAATAACTGATCTGCTTCAAATTTTCTTTTACTCTAGCTGAGATAAAAGCTGTATCTTATTGCAATGAAAAAGAATGATCTGGGAAAACCATTCGGTTTCTATTAATTACTATATCCTTTATTATGGGAAAATGGTTAAAATATTTGAAAGCAAATTTTTTTTTTCAACAGATATTTCTAAGGAACATTTTAATATTAGTCCTAGATCAAATTTAAGTGTCAAGAGTCTAAAAACAACAATTTCTTAAATTTAAATTTTTTATTTTAAAAACTTATATATTTTAACTGCTTTCATCCCTCTATAGGCTTCTCTTAGGGACTTAAAAAATAAATATTGATGATTTTGGGTGGTTATCTTAAGAATTTTCTAAAAGTTTTTTTGGTAGAATTTATATCTGTTTTTGTTTCTAAATCTAATAAATTTATAAAGGCTACTTATTTTGAAATTTTTAAATGCTCAAAATTCAATTGAAGACAATTGCTTTCAATAATAATCACAGAATGCTAAGAATTATAAGAGTTTAAGGGTCAATTTAAATTAAAAGGTCCTTTAAATGAAAAAGTTTAAGTATATGAGTGGTTTACTATTTTCTGCAGCACGGAGACTATATCTTTATTTGCTGAAGGATTTAACTTTTTATTTAGCTTTTAAATTAAGTGATTTAGGAAGCTAGTTGCACAATCAAATTTCAACAAAATTTTGTCTAAAAAATTATATATATTTTTTTGAAAAAATCTAAGAAAGCTTTTTAAAATTAGTGAGTTGCTAAATATCTATAGGTTTTAAAGGCTAATCTGAGCTGAAAGCTCTTCTAATTAAGTTCAAAAAAAATCAGTCCCACAGCAAAAGGGATAGCTTTCTTAACTTATTAAATAATAGTCTTAATTGCATCCAAAAAATTTTGAGTACCTTCTCTAATATATTAATTGCAGTGTTTTCTCAATAGTTTTATGATTTATTGAATTTCAGAAATAGCTATTTATATTTTGATGAATTTATATAGGTGTTTAATAGAGTAATTAATAAATTAGACCAGCCTTTTTAATCATACTATTTTGAAAAATATTTGGATTTTCTGATGCGTTTGCGATATATAAAAATCTAAAATAAATTTTATTTATCCTCCGTTTTAAATTTGAACAAAATATTGGTAAATTTATATTATTTGAGTATTAAATTGGAATAATATTTGAATTTCTTTTATCTAGAATTATAATTAAAATTCAAATATCTCTATCCCAATTTAATGTTGCAAAAATCGAAAATTACATTTAGCTTTTTATATTTTAAAGTGGGGATGCAAACTATTTATACAATATTTTTGGTTATTTATAGAGGGGAGGCTAGTGCCGTGAAAGCAGTGGCTTTGCATTTTTTAAGCATTTTTTTGTTCGAAAGACCTTTCATAATTCATAAGATTTGGCAAATATGATGAAACAATTAAGCAATGAAATCTATAATAGAAGTTAAATCACTAATAAAAAAGCTTTGAATCATTTCTTAAAATAAATAGCATTAAAGGCAGATAAATTAAAGTAACTTTCCCTAATATAAGAGCAGCATATGAAAACTTTGCATGTTTTGCTAAAATTTAGTTAGCTCTTATATTAAATCCAAGCTTTTATGAAGCAATTTCAACCATGATAGCTTATTCATATTGTCCCAAATTCTAAATTGGATAAATATGGAATCTGTTAGGCTTTATCTTTATATTTCTTAAACTCTCTTAGAATTTTCTTAGTCATATTAACTTCGATAATTCAAGGGTTTAATATTTCTATTAATTTAGTTACTTAAACTAAAATAAAATTGCTCCTATCATTCGGGAAATTGCTTATTTCACTTTATCAAATTTAACATAATTTTTTTTGGTTTCAAATCTAATTGCCAGCTTTAATACTTATATCTAATTTAAAATCATTATCGTTTTCTATATTAAAACAAAGCTCTAGCCAATTTCTTAATGAATGTTTTACATAATAACAGAAATAGAATTATTTCCTTTTTTGAATTTTAAAGCTTTCAATCAGAATTATTAGATTTTCTATAAGAGACAAGATTTTTATCTTAAACTTTTCCAGGAGGTAAAGCAAAATTAAGATCTATTTGTATTTTAGTATTTTTATCTCCTGCTTATTATTATTATTATTGAAATTAAAGCAATTTTAATAAAAATCAAGTGGCAAGTCTTCTTCGTTTTGGGTGGAATATATGAATTGGTATGAACTCTTTCTAATCTCTACACTGTAAATGGCCTTTATAAAGCATATCAAGATAGACCCTAGAGCTCACTCGAATTTAAATCACTTTTTTGTACTTATTAACAGAATGAATGCAAAACTTTTTAGGCTTCATTTCTTACACAGAAGAATAAGCAATTGCATTTAAAATATAAAATATTTACAAAGTATCATTAGATATTTGAGTTACTTATGAAGTCATGAAAATCTTAGTCATTTTATCTTAATTTCAGATTGTAAAGAAATTTTGGCCTTAAGGGAGAATTCATAACAAATTCTGGGATTTCAAATGCGGATCCGATTCTATTGAATTCTTGCCGCAATATCAAGAAAAATAAGCAACAGAGAGAGTAAAAGCGAGGTATAGAGTCAATTGGAATAAAATACCTTTTTAAAATCAGTTCAGTTGTATATTGAGGATGCTCATAGTGATTTATTATTGACAGCACGATATTGAATTAGTCTGCTGGGATTGAAAAGAAATTAAAGCAAGTATCTTTATATGAGAGTACTGAGTTTTCTTATTATTGAAGAAGCTTGTAAATATTTTAATAAGAAATTTTCGTCCAATATTTAAGCTTTTGGTAAATATTGAATAGCCTATAGTTTATCTTACTTTAGTAGGAATATTCTCAAAAAATCCAACTTTTTATTATCTCAAATATTAAAAACTTAATAGCATAATACGGAAATTTAAAATTAATTTACAATAAATTATAAATAATACCACTATAGCAAAGCCAAATTTAATATTCATGGCTAAATAAGACAATAATGCAAAATTCAGCATGCTATCTATTAATTCTTTATTTATTCTTTAAAATTATTGCCATTTTAAAATTCTGTATACTGGGATTTATTGCATAAATTAGTAAAGATGACACGCAGAACTATGCTGGCATTCTTAAATTTAGTTAATCTATCATTATTCTCATGCATTCTTGCTCTATTTCAATAAATCTGCGCAGAGTATATATTCTTAATTGTCCAATTATTAAAATTAGTATTCATTACAAATTTTTAGTCATTATATTTAAAGCGGCAAATGAGAACTTGTATGGCTTTTTCTATCTTAGCAGCATCTTTATTTACAGATGAATGAGAAATTCTTGACCTTTCTAAAAAAGAATTTACTTGGGGGATCTTAATTCTTATTTTGAAAATTGCAGTCAAATAGTTTCTTTTAGCTAACCCTCCATGAGCAAACAAAAACGATTGGAAAAATCCCTATTTATTGCCCAAAACCCACCCTCCACGAACAAAATTTTTTATTAAATAAATTTGGTAAATAAATGATAGTTATTTTAATTAAATCTCTATCAAATTTTGTTTTATTTTAAAAAATTTATGATAAAATACATATAAATATTAGTTAAAAAAAAGAATTACCCTAATCCGTGAGCAGACAAAAATTTTTGTTCGCTCACAAAGGGGGAATTAGAAGATTTCTGATATTCCAGTTTTCTCCCATTTGTAATAATTTTTAAGATAGGAACCCATAATATAGTAGCATCTATTTTTATCTAAAAAGCTTATATATTCGACTAGAAAATTCTTGTTCTCTTCAGCGTAAGAATTCATGTTTATTATGTAAAAATGTTGGCAGTTAAATATGTGTATATTTTTAAAAAATTATTAGAGGAATTTAATCATTAACTTTTCCTGCAAATTAAACTTGTAGTAGCGTTCATTTTTCAAGCTAGTCGCAATATAAATTGCACCTTTATTGTATGACCAATAAACTTGAGAAGGGTATTGATCGCTAATAATCGATTTTCCTACCTTTTTCCACACATTCTCATTACCTATTTCGCTTTCATAAACTGATCCATTATCGCATTCAATCAAATACAGCCTTTCTGTATTTATCAAAATTTTTCTTTTATACTCTGCAAAATCAAAAGGAATTCTTGAGAAGTCGTCATTTTCAATGGAATAGCGCAAAATATTGGGATTTCAGCACCCTGATATCAAAATATTTCCATTAAATACAGCACAATGGCACTTGCAGTCTGCTATTGGAAGAGGATTTAAATAAATTCATTGATTTTCATCTAAATCTCCCCAGCAATAAGCATATTCTTGTGGAGAGTTTTGAACAAAGTTGCCAAATAGTAAATTTTGCTCAACAAAATTCCACAAATCAAGAATTTGCTAATTACTGAGGAGTAAACTAAATTTATCTGAAAGGGTTAGAAGAATTGTATTTGATCCTCCAAAGCAGTAAATATTTCTGTTGAAATAAATAGCTGATGACCCTTTGCAGGGTATCCCAGAAGGTAGAATTCTAACTCTATTATTTCCATCAATCACCAATGAAATGCCAGACGCTGGATTATTCCCAAAACAAAATAATTCCCCATCTGGGAGCTGAGCTATACATGTTCCATCAGTCAAAATCTCTGGAGCCTCAAAATTTTGAGCTTTTTCTCTTTCATTTTCAGTATCGTAAACAATCAATCTATTTCTGTCATATTTATCTCTGTCAATAAGATAGAGAGATGTTTTCTGATGATAAGCATCAATATATCTTTGAAAAGCCAAGCTTACTGCTGGATTAGTAGTATAGGCATATTTAGTTACAGGCTCTCTAAAATCTTCCTCTATTTTTGAGTTATTTGGGGATATGCTATTTTACCTAGATTTTCTTATCCATTTTTTAAAGATTGATTATAGGAAAAATTAAGGGAGGAATTATATTTCAAATATTAAAAATTTTGTTTTCGAGAAGCAGCTGAAGATTTTCGTCTGAATTTTTGGCATCTTGAGGAGGATTTTGCTGGTTTTCTATTAGGAGATTAGGTTTTTTAAGGTCTTCAAACTCAAATTTAGAATTCTCTGAAATGAGATCTGAAATAGAAGCTCTTATCCCTGCTAATTGATTATTAGCATTTAATTTATTTGAAGTTATATCTTTTTCATACTGCTTAAGGCATTGCTGGATTCTCAAAAGTTTATTTACAAAATTTCCATTATTAGCTTTAATGAATCTTTTAAGTTCGCTATTCTCATGCAAAGATGTTGCTAGCTCCATGTTAAGTCTTTTAATTTCGTTGTCCTTTTCAAAGCTTAAACTCTGAAAATGGTCTAAATTTGTTTTAAGCTTAAGTTAATTATTATAGAAAATTTATGCGTGCCTTTCTAAAACTTCTAGCTTTATTAATTTATGTCCGCTTTAGCCCTAAAAGCTTTTTTTACATAAACTTGTTTTAAGCCACTCTATATGATTGATTTTTATCTCGATTGATTTTTTGTAAGAAATTAGCTTATTTTCAAGCATCAGATTTTTTTCTTTTTCATTGTTATACAGACTTGTAATATTTCCTATCTGCTCATTTCCCTTTTTTAAGCTGTCTTCAAAGAACGCTTCTCTAATATTAATCGCTTCTATTAAATCTCGCTTAATTTGGCATTCTCGCTGAATTTCAGGCATTTTTTCTTTAAAACTGCTAATTATTGCTTTAAGCCGATGATTGTCAATTAGGACTGTGTTTTTTAATGCTGCACCTGTAAGAGGACTGGTTTTATTTTTTTGAAACCAAGCAGTAATTGATGCTCGTTCATAGCTGTGGCCATCTGGCGCTACCACCGGATCTTCCATCAAGTCTCCTGTTATAGGGCAGCAGTAGTCATCTGGAACATCAACAAAGTTTTCTACCATTTCAATAAAAATTTAAGAGATATTTTCAAATAATCAATAAAACATAAATATGAAGTATAAGAATCTTGATGACTTGCTTTCTTCGAGATGCTCGCCTGTATCCTATTTTGGTTTCTCATAGGGCCATAGGGAACCAACTATTAAAGTCATTTTTGCAGACCACCCTAAATCTTCCATCACTCTTATCAGCCGGCCTAATTTTTGTCGTACTCACGATTTCTCCAGAATAGCGTCTTTATCTCTTTATCTCCACAGTTCTATCTTCCATCAAATATCTCAGATTTGTATCGGATTTGCAAATTTTAAAGAGCAGCAGTGATGATTTGCCTCTTTATCTTAAGTCTTTCTATATTTTAGCTGATACAATTAATACTCCTTAACAGTTATTTGAGAACCCCCTTATAAAGGATCGTTTTCTTCATGCCAATTGAGTAGTTGTATATATCTATACTCCTCAAATCTTCACATTTCGTAGAATCAAAACCTTTACTAATGCCGAGAAAAGCACAAGGCATCCGCTTTTTAGTCTGCAGTAATTTATTAGTGTTTAAAAGCGACAAAATTTGTCTAATGTCACCATCTTGACATAATTTCCGATTGTATTCTGACTTAGAATGGCTTTTGTATATCTAATCAATCTTCTTGCTAATCTACATGCCCTAAAGATGTGGTCTAAAATCATCCAGTTGCATTGAATAAGGCTTCTTTTGATTATTATTACTGTTTTGTATCCAATCCTTCGAAAAATCTCCTTTGCCTTCATATGCGTTGAACCAATTTATAGTTATTCCTTTAATTGATAATAAGACTAGCAGATGCATTATCTGGGCTTGCTACTTTTTGTTGACAAATGTTTTTATACCGTGCTAAATTCATTTCTTGTAGGTAGAATTCTAGTAATCAACTCTTCTAGCTTAATCCTGCCCTAGCCTTGATATTTTTGCACGATCATCACATAATGCTTTCTTATTCCTGCTTTGCAAATTTAGCAGGGACTGCTCTCTTTGCTCTTACTATCCTCATGAATATTCGAGGGTCCTGACTCTTACCAGCACCTATATAGCCATTTTTCTAATGGCTGTTTCTCATCCTTTTCTTAACTATTTCTACTTAAAGTCATCACGGTCTCTCTTATATTGGCGAATTTGTCTTTTCCTACACGTTGATTCGACAACTTAAGCTAAAAGGATAAATTCTAAGAGATGTGATGATTTTTGGCAGTGCAACATAAAATCGTTTTAGAATTATAGGCCCCTTTTTGAATTAAGGCTGAATATTTTAGGAATATAAGTTAATAAATTTATAAAATTATCTTACTCCCCCCTCCATGAGAGAAAAATATTTTTTAATGTGAGCATTTTTTATGAAAAATATTTTGATATATAATTGATATAATCAGTTGCATATGTTTCTTAATGTGCAAGACATGTGGGAAATTTCCCCACATGTCAAAAAAAAATCATATGTGAAGTCTTACATAAATGCAGGCAACACATGTGGAATATCTTCTGACATGTGGGGAAATTTCCCACATGTCTTGCACATTAAGAAATATATGCAACAGATAATAATTATTATAGTGAAATCTTTAGCTAATTCTGTTTAATTCAAACTGCTTGCTTTTTACAACATAAATTTATAAATTAATATTAATTTTCTAATTGGGATTTAGATAAAAGCTTTACTATTAATTTATTTAAAAATATTAATCGCCCTTTGAGTGCACAAAATTTTTTTGCTCGCTAATTGGAGGGAGTGAGTTAGAAGAATGATTATTTTCGATCTAATAAATAAAATTCTAAAACTTTTACAATCCAAATACATTTTGGTAGATGTCGATATGGAAGTTAAGCTTCAAAATGAATAATATTTTCTTTGCCTATTATATTTTTGTGCCTTCTTAGGTTTTTTAAAGCATTTCTTTAGCTTCTCAAAGTTTCTGGATATTGCGATAAATGCTCTAAATCTTAACTTGAAATGTCATAAAGTTATTTATTAGAAGTAGCATACATCATGTGACCTTTCTTCAGATTTAAATAAGTATAAATTATGCTGAGGAAGAAGTCGGGCAAACTATAATCAAAAAGGTCTCGATCTTAGTGCTGTTGCCTCTTCTAAGGGAACGTTGAATAGCTTGATTGTTGTATTTTTAGTCAAAGTTTCTCCAGCAAAACAATCGTTAAAATTTGTTAAATTGTTTATAAAACTTAATAGAATCTAAAAAAGATACTTTTAATATAGACAGCAATAAAAATTTATAATTTATCAGTTGATAAATAATAATTCTATAAATTTTAAATAATTTTATGTATTAATTCTAAAGTAAATATATTTCTTACACAATAATTGCGGCTTAGCTGAATAGAATACATGCTGATGATCATTAAAAATATATCTCAAAGTAGGGGAATTGTCACAATCGTTGCATTTGCTCATAAAATTTAGTTTAGAATATAGTAAATTCTCTATTTTTAATTTAAGATGCCCACTCAAGACTGAAGCCTTAAGGGAAGGAGGAGACAGATGCATCAGAGTGGCAACCATTATTGGGGGACAGACTCTTTGGCTGGAGTCGAAAAACGGAAAAACCTCCTATTTTGGAGGTCTTTGGTGACTGCGTCACCAATATGACTAACTATCTTTAATACCTAACATCTATTTTTAATTACTCAAATCCAGATTAAAGATGGTCTATTTGAAACTAATTATTTATTAGACTTATTCGATAAAAAAAAAATATATAAATTATTATATAAATAACTTTTTATAATTAAATCATGCTCTTCAGTTAAAAATTCAATTAATAACAGAATTTTAATTTGAAAACTGAATTTAATTTTTATTTTTAAGTTCTAATTTAAAAAATAAATCAATTCAGCGTGAAGACTGTATAAAATAATAAGGCATTTTAGACGGGGCGATGACTAGTGGGTTGCCACTTATGGCCGAATTCTTATTTGAATTTTAATTTCACGAACGGAAACTCCATAAACTGCAAAGCTTGATTCTCAATATAGCACTTGCTTGAACATTCCTCATCCGATTTAGGTTAAAAAACCAATGGTAATCTTACACTCTTCATTTCCTGAAATTATATAATCAAATTTCTAAAACTCTCCACAAACTCTCACTCAATGCATGCGCCTCAAATCCTCCACAAAGCACCAAATCCGCTGTTTTTTCTCTTATTTTTGGCACAAAGTGCTAAAAATGAAATTAAAATTAATTAAATATCTCTTTATAGAATGCATATTTTATCATTTTAATCGTATTAAATGCCAATAAAATTTGTTAGTTAAGTATAGAGATGCTATGGTGCACTAAAAATCATGCTATTTAAATAATTCTAGACTTTTAAAGAGAAAAGCCAAAACAGGAAGAAGGTATCAGACTTATAGTAAATGTGTCTCATGACTCAGAATTCTGTAAAAGAAAACTTATCTGGGAAATTTACATAATCCTTTTATTAAATAAAAGATATAGCTCCTACACTGCGTGATTACTAATATAATTTTGTGTAATTGAATATTTCAATAATTGTAACAAATAATGATAAAAATAGTTAACCTTAATAATTTATTTTATCTAAATTAGGAAAATTTAAAGATCCAAAACCCTTTTATTTGCTTAAAGGCTATATTTATATTAATTTATATTAAAATAATGAGCTGAAATGAATAATATTTTTTAAAGCGCTTTAAGTTTAAGAATACGATGCATATTTACATTCTCTGCTTCGAAAAAAATCATAACAGCTTAAGATAGAACCAAAATCCTATAATTTTCATTTTCTGTGGAAATTTTACAAACAAAATCGCCATTATATGAGTTCTATTCTTATCCGATTAAATTAGCTAACCTGAGTATTTGAATAAACATAGCAGCCCATAGCCTAGACAACGGTTTTTAATATTTTGATATGCTTCTGTGGTTATCAGCACTTAATAGAATGCAAAAGCTATAATTATAATTACTAAAATTGGCTCATTAAACTTTTAGATTTATAAATAAACCAGAAATTAATAAAGCTTTATTTGTTAATTAATATTAAAATTGAAAACTTTACAAAGAAGGAGATCAATTAAAATATAATTAATTAAAAGCAGAGATTAACTAAATAAATAAAGCCATTAATTTAGCAATGCTTTATTGCAAAATCTACTTAAATAGCATAATAAGTTTACTTTATTTTATAATACCATAAATAATTCAAATTTTAATATAAATTAACTATTTGCGACATAATTTAGGTACAGAGCTCAACAAGTTTAAATTGATTTTTATTTTTATGGTAGTCTTTTGGTTATTTCTGAACATTTAAAAAAATAGCAGTTTCTTAATTCGAAAATCTGGAATATATATAGGGATTATTAAAGTCAATATTCAAATTATTTTGTATTTATTATTCAGTTTATTTATTTAATGGAGTTTTATTTGCTATTCCTATCAATATCTACCCTTGCATCAGTTGAGCTTCTCATCTTTTATGGAGAAATGACTCCAGTGTCCCTTATTTCATATTTTCAGGCCAATTTAGCAGGAATGATAGGAAATCCCAATATTTTCGAGATTGTTTTTGTACTAGCAAATAGCCAAACAAATTTTATATCATCACTTAAAGGTGATATTCAAATTGCAATTGATGCTACATTTGATATAACTTTAAGCCATCGCTTATTGACTGCTACAGAAGAACAAGGAATTATAAATTTGTATTTAGACTCAAATTTGCTAACTAACGGTGAGCTGCAGTATTATGCTCATGTGCCTTTGCAAAGCCAATTGGCTATTATGCAGCAATTCCTAGATTATTTAGGATGAAACGAAATTACAATTATTGGCAGCAATTCACAAGAATCCTTAGCGCTTTCTGATAAATTTGTGGAAAATACTGAAAATAGGGTAAAGCTTAAACTTTTGTTAACAGAATCTTCTAATATTGGTAGAATGAATGACATTGCCGGCAAGATTTTCAAGCTAAAAGGTTTGCAAATCTTTATGGTGCTTTGCGAAGGAAATTATATTAGCAATATCATAATTTCTTTTGCTAATAAAAAATTATATAAAGCTGGACTAGGAATTTTAATATGAAGTCAAGGCATATGAGGAGGGTCTGAAAATGGACTTTTATATTTAGTAGAGCAAGGCCTTGAAGCTGCTACATCTTATGAGCAATACGAAGCTCTTTCAATTAAATTCTTTACAAACTCAATATTGGAGTACATAGAAAATCTTTCAAGCAATGAGCTTCCTAGAATCACTAATGACTCCTTAAAGCAATTTATACAATCCAATTGGCCAAACCATGGGAAACCCCAAAGCTATTCCATAATAAATATTGTCTTAACTTAACTTAACTTACTATTTATAACGCTTAACGTCCACTACGGGGTTGGCAATTCCCAGACCTCCGCTCGCTTCCGTCGCATCGGGCCCACATACCTCTGGGCCGATCCGCTTCGTTACTCCAAGGTACGCCTTTGGGCAAGTGTTGCCGGCTTCGACGGCTCATGGATGAGCTACTTGCTTGTGACATGGGTTGCCATTCCGAAAACCCAAAAAATGAATTTTCTGGTAGGCCATCGGCAAAAAAGAAAAGCACGTAGCCTGGGACGTAGCGCCCAGTTTCACGCTAGGGAGTTGCCCGATGGTCGTGTGGACTCTGCTGAGCTTCCCCTTTCCAACTTCCGTGCTCTCCTTCCCCACGAGGAAAAAACCATCCCTTAGAATAGACTAGGGCCAGGCTCTGAGCACCTCCAGAATTGCTTACCTAGCATTGCCGTCCATCTCTGAAATGGCAAAACCTTGCCGGATATAATTAAATATGAGTCGAGGCTGCATGGCCGGGAGGCCATGCCCAGACGAAGACGCCATATTTAATTATATAATAAATATTGTCAATTCTACAAAAAAAATAGTCGGAACCGCCTCGAACGCTTTAATCAGCATTTCATCAGATCCTATATACCCAGGAAACACCACTAATAAGCCAACAGCTTCTAAAGCAACCCTTTATATGTCCTTAACTACTTCAGGCAAAGAGCCTGATGGCAGCTTCAATTCTTATCAGCCAGTCCAAGCCCAAGGCAATTTTTTCGCCCGAGACTGAATAAATAACAGCTCTTTAATCCTTGAAAATTTCCATATCAAATTTGTAGAAAATAGTTGTGGGACGATGAGTTTTATAAAAAATATTGATGCTGCATGCTATTCGCCGCTAAAAGAAAAGTTAGGCGTGGTTTTTCTCACTTCGGATTATGTAGCAAGCGTTGTAGGTATAATTATGCTGTTTAGAGAATGAAATATTTCGCTTCCCCATATAGCTCCAGGCCCAAGTAGTCCGCTTCTTTCCAATAAAACTAATTATCCAGAATTCATGAGGGTAGCTCCTAATGGAAATTATAATGCCGTGGTTATTCTTAGACTTTGCCAAATTTTTGCCTGAAAAAATGTATAGTATAATAGCTGAAAGCTTGCCTAATAAAATAAAATTAAATTTTCAGGAAAATTAAAGAAAAACCTATAAATGTTCTATATGCAAATTCAAGCTCAAATATCGCTATGTACCAAACCTTTGCAAGCGAGGCCCAAAAAGGAGGAATCACAATTGCAAATGGTGAAAATGAGCGAATTCTCCCAGCAAACTATGACAGAACCCAATTTTCTAATTATAAACATATTTTCCAAGCAATTAAGAACACCAATGTCAAAATTTTTATTTCATTTCAAACGGCCAATTCTAATTATCAGTCAATTGAAGGCCTTTATGATATAGGGCTAAGAAAGGGAAACCTTGTCATAATTTTACCTTCCAAAACTGGCGGACAAGCTATAATCCAAAACTACGCCCAAGCCTATCTTCCAAAGCTACTAGAACTTCTAACTGGCTCTATAAGTGTCGGCACAATTGAATATATAGGCGAATTTGGCTTAAAAATAAAAAAAGCTATGACTGACTACTGACTTCCCCCCGTGAGCGAACAAAGCCATTGGAAAAATCCTAATTTTGGGTAAAAACCCACTCTTAGAGAGCAAGCGAAAATTTTTGATATAAATGTATATTATAATGAAATCTCTAGCTATTCTGTTAAACTTGCATTTTAAAACATAATTTTGCAAATTATATCAATATTTGCTTTAAAATTATTTCGAATTGAGCTTTTTTTTAAATCAAAATTTAATCCCTCATGAACGACCAAAATTTTTTGTTCGCTCAAGGAGGGGGAGTGAGGAAATTCCCCAAATTTCAAAGCCACGCATTTTGATCAAACTTTACTTGCTGCATATGGCTTAGATTTTACTATTAATAAAGGTGATGATTTTGAAAATGCTACAATTTTAGCCAAAAATGCAAGGCTCCAAAGGTTCACAGGTGCTTCTGGATCTATCGCAATCGATTCTACATCAAATGACAGGAGTTTTATGATTTTGGGTATAAATAATTTTTATACAACAAATTCAACTGGGATTTATAATGAAAGCGTGGCGGGATATTATATTCCAACTTCAAGCATCCCTATACAGCTTAGTACCAATATTATATGGCCTGGGCCTTCTTATACGCTTCCCCACGACTCCGTAGTGATAGATTCTGAATGCGGCTTTGATAAATCAAAAACTAGCAAGTCTGTTAAAGGAATTGCGGTTTTTACGACCATTTGTGGGGCAGTGTCTTTATTAGCTGTTTTAATTGCATTTTATACGTGGAAAAGGAAACTGGTTATGCATTATCCTAAGCTTGTGGAGGCAAGAGAGATACAGTTTGCGGACTCAGTAATTATGATGACATTGCTGGTGGAAACTTTTCAGTATATTAATATAGGGCCAAAGGTGAAGAATGATCCCGCTACAAGGTATTTGAGCAGCTTAATTAATATTGATATTACAATGCTTAAAAGCAGCGCATATTGGATTGGACTTGATATTGTGCTTGGAATAGTATGCTTTTGGCTTCTTATGTGTTTATTGGCGGTGTCAAAAAATCGGGCTGTAATTCAGAACGTATTTATCCTTAATTCCTCTGTTTAAGTTGAAGCAAAAATTCTGTTCCAGTTTAATTTTTTTTCTAACTCTGGTGAACAAAAATCCCTATTTTTGAGAAAACCCACCCTTCGTAAGCAAACAAGTAAAATTTTTAATATAAAAATTTTTTATTAAAAAATATTTTGATATATAAGTGGTAATTAGTATTATGAAATCTCTAGCTAATTGTGTTAATTTTAAACAGCTTATTTTAAAGTAAATTTTCAAATTAAATTAATATTTGCTTTCCAATTTTTGCGAATTAGATTTTTTAAATTAAATTAAAATAGTATGGTGAATCAACCCACCCTCTTAACTCCTGCAGTCGACATCCGAATACGCGCTGGGGACCTTGAGGAAGGGATGCTGGCGTTCAATATATGTATCCGGCTAGGTTTTTCTTGTTTGAAGAAGCAAATGTCAGGCAGGTTTTTACCTCAGAGGGAGATGTGTCTGAAAGTTGGAAAGGAGTTTCAGAGCGTCATCAATAGCGCTTTCTCGGCCAATATGGACTATTCCCTAGTGAGAAGCCAGAAGTTAGGTCCTGGACTACAGATTTCTATCTTAGCCAAGAGCCGACCAGAAAATTCAAGCCTTGAATTTTTAATGGTTGCAACCCTGCTAACGTACGCACAGCGACACAAAATTTCAGACTGCCAGGGAGCATGCGCAGACCAATGTCTGGGAGGAGCAAGACTTTGAAGGTCGCGAGACGATCTTCATAGAAGCGGGCGAGTGGAGCGTTATGGAAGGGAATAAGGATCTTCCAATTCGACAGGGAGCTTTTCTATAATGTGAGGGAATTTTTTGAGAAAAAATTACAATAAAATTTATATATAAGTTTTATTAAAAAAATTAACCCCACTCTGTAAGCGAACAAAAATCATTTGCTTGCTCACTGAGAGGGAGTAAGCAAAAATTAATATAGAAATTTTCATAATAAAGATAAAATTTAATTTGAAATTCAATGCGATATATAAATTTTAATTTTTTTTTTGAAAAATTAATTCAAAAAGATTAATCGAAGTTTTAAATAGCAATATATTTCTATCATCATTAAATTAGGTCAAACTATTTATGAGAAAATAAAATGGTAAAAATATATCTCAAAGGATCAGTTAGATGGCTTTATGAAGTAAAAAACTACTTAATGCCCTTATTAGGAAATATGCTTTTTATCCCAATAATAAATATTCTACTTACTGTCCCTAAGTGCTCAAAGTCAATCGGAGATGAGCTTGATGAAAGCTATATGGATATCAACTGCAAAGAATTTTGCTGAAAAGAAACTCATCTAACCTATGCAATTGTTTGCGCCTTCTCACTTGCCCTGTACATTCCTATATCGGTCATATATAGGCCTCTTTGAACTAATCTTCAAGGCGACTACAATCAAAATATCCGACCCCAGCCAGGATATTTAATTGTAAAAAGCGCAGCCCAAATCATTTTTGTAACTCTAACTCCACCCTCCGTGAGCAAACAAAAAATTTATTATAGTAGAAATTGAAAAAAATTTTGGAAAGCAAAAATTAATAATTTGAAAATACAAGCTTTTTAAAATTCAACAGAATTAATTAAATGAATAATCATTTATATATCGAAAATTTTTTTCATAAACAATTTTTTGTTTGCTCAATGAGCTATGTTTTTACCCAAAAATAATGAATTTTTCCAATGTTTTTTCACAAAAGGAGGGGGAGCAAACAAAATAATTTCATTGCACGACTCCATAACCCAAGGTTTTGCCTATTTATGTTTTTTAATCATATTTACAGTCTATATAATCAAGCATCCGCCCTTTAATTATGAGCGATTAAGTATGTGGCATGTTGTTGCTTTATTTTGTGTCTCATGATCAATATTATTAGCAAGTCTTTCTCTAATAGTAGATCAATATGACTTAGGATTTATGATAGCAAAATTAGCAGGATGGGGTATTATGATTGTGTATGGTCTATTTTTGCATACCAAAAAATACCCAGCACTATTAATAAGACAGCCTCCACAAAATATTTCTGTACTATTTAGGTTTATGTTGACGTCAAGTGTAAGAGCTGATGAAATTGAGAAAAAAAATTTAAGGTTTGAGAATGGAGGTATTAAGCTAGAAGAGCACGCTATTGATGCACTGTCTTTTGATAAAATTGAAATTGCTGAAAATATTGAAAATGACATGACATCTAAAAGAGATATTATTGACGAAGAAGAAGGAATTAACTAATAAAATTAAAATAATTGAATGATCTAATAATTAATAAATGATTGCTTTATATAAATTTAATTTTTTGAATTGAATCTCTTTGTTAGAGAATCAATCTATAATAAATTTCAACGATTTTAAGTTGTTTCAACAACGTAAAAATCAAGTCAGACTTCAGAAAAGCTTGCTCACTATATGAGAACAAAACTTTGCATCTGATATATTATTAGTCTAAGCTTATCATGATTTAATCAGCTCTTATCATCAAATCTCATCGTTTATCTCGTTCAAAGGGGTGATGATATCGATACTGATTTAATCATTTACGACACTGAAACTAAAACTAAAAAAAGCAATAGTCTTTGGATTATCCTAACCAATTAGCAATGAATGCCTGCCTCACTCAACTCCAATTGGTGAATTTTTCTGTTTGGGTAATCTTTATCCAGATACTAGCAGAGGATTGATAATTCGCAAAGATCGAGTCTACCCTCTGGAATGGAATATTTCAAGATCATTTATTAGCTATATATTTTTATAGAAGTATTTACTGTTTTGGAGGATATGATGATAGAAAAATTTTCACCTGCTACTTAGAAGTATTTTATATTGGATAACAGAAGAGCCTGGCTTCGCAGAAATTATAATCATCGAAATAATAATTCCCATTTTCCGCATAAAAAATAGTAGTGCCTGATATTATTGTGCTGGCTCTTTGCTTGTATCTGTGCTTGGCTTACAGTATCTGTATAAATTATTTGATAAAGATCGTCAGCCAGAGCAAAAACTAATGGGGATTATTTATTTGGCCTAATGCGATATTGATATTGATATAGTCTTCAGCAATAGATATATCGAAAATGAGTACATCAAGAAAAACCTTGCAAATGTCAAAGAGTTTCTCTATTGAGGTCAATTTGTGTTTATAAGGTATTGAAGAGGCTACAGTTGGTCTAGTCTGTAAAATCTGTCCAAAAGGCTATTATAATATATATTTAAATAAATCTAAGTGTTAGGATTGTACAAAATATGCAATTTGTTATGGAAATTTCTTAATAGTTCCAAATCGGGGTATTGAAGAAATATTGAGTATTTTTGTCATTTATCAATAAGACGATAAATTATATTAGGCTACTTAGCTTATTGATTTAATATTATACGAAATTAAACCGTAGATCAACTTTTATTGGCAAATCGCAATCACTTAGCGTGGTTTGAATATAATAGTGCATACTATCAATCGATTCCAAGGTGCTAGAAGAGGTATTATATGTTTTATTATCTCCATACTTGATAATAAAATTGTTTTTCTGAAGAATCCTTCCTAAATTTGCTGCAAAATTAATCATTATTTTTCCTTCGTGAAAATCAAGCTCAAACCCAACTGAAGTCTTGTTGCAGGTTCGTTCTAAATGATTTCCACATAAATAAGTTGATTGATCGCAGGCTGAATTATTATTACATGTGCAATTTACAGAATATCCATAATCATGCAAGTAAAATTGGTTTTTGCATGATGTGCAATTTATTGATGAAGTGCATTCTGTGCAACTTTCTGGACATGCTAAATAGCTATTACCAGTACAGATTTGATTATTATTATAAAAGCCCTGAGGGCATTCGCAATTTTCTGGGTTTGTAAGATACGGCATCATCATTTAAAGCTTAGGATATAAATTAAACAAACTTGAATACCAAATAATTAAATAAATAATTATTTCCCAAAGTTAAAAAAATTCCTCATATCGAGTTTAAATTATTTTAGCTTATGGCTCATGATAAAAGGATTCTGACAACTAATGCATTGCATATTATTACAGAATAAACAGTTTTGACCACATGGAGCACAGTTTGTTCCATTTCAATAATAAGATGTACTACAAAATTTGCAAATATCAGCACTTTGGCAAACTTCGCAATTGGGTATTGTGCATTGAAGGCAATAATCTCCAGACAAGTAAAACCCATCTAAGCATGCTCTGCAGTTGGTAGAGCCTTTTTGGCATTCAGAACATGGTGAGCTGCAGCTCAATGTGCAAGTTGAGCCTGATGTAGTACTACAAGTAGCACATTGAGGCTCACACTCAGCACAAGAGGTATTCGAATCAAAGAAATATCCATCATCAGGTATACAAATGCCATTAAAAAGTCCTGAATGTTCTGGACATTCACAGTCAGTAATTCCAAGCATATGTGTTTTATCTATACAAATAGTGCAGAAAGTCCCATCGGTAATATCGCATGTCTCACATTTAGGGTCGCATTCAGCACATGTGGTAGCATCACTAAAGTAATATCCGTTATCTGGAACACAAACTGATCCTGTGAGAGTTGAGTGATCAGGGCATTCGCAGTCTGGAGCCGCTGACATATGAGTTGTATCTGCACAAGCTGTGCAGACAGTTCCATCGCTAGTGTCACATGTATCACATTTAGGGTCGCATTCAGCACATGTGGTAGCATCACTAAAATAATATCCGTTATCTGGAACACAATCTGATCCTGTTAGAGTTGAGTGCTCAGGACATTCGCAGTCTGGAGCCGCTGACGTATGAGTTGTATCCGTGCAAGCTGTGCAAGAAGTTCCATCGCTAGTGTCACATGTATCACATTTAGGATCGCATTCAGCACATGTGGTAGCATCACTAAAGTAATATCCGTTATCTGGAACACAAACTGATCCTGTGAGAGCTGAGTGATCAGGACATTCGCAGTCTGGAGCCGCTGACGTATGAGTTGTATCTGTGCAAGCTGTGCAAGAAGTTCCATCGCTAGTGTCACATGTATCACATTTAGGGTCGCATTCAGCACATGTGGTAGCATCACTAAAGTAATATCCGTTATCTGGAACACAAACTGATCCTGTGAGAGTTGAGTGCTCAGGACATTCGCAGTCTGGAGCCGCTGACATATGAGTTGTATCTGTACAAGCTGTGCAGACAGTTCCATCGCTAGTGTCACATGTATCACATTTAGGGTCACATTCAGCACATGTGGTAGCATCACTAAAGTAATATCCGTCATCTGGAACACAAACTGATCCTGTGAGAGTTGAGTGATCAGGACATTCACAGTCTGGAGCCGCTGACGTATGAGTTGTATCTGTGCAAGCTGTGCAAACAGTTCCATCGCTAGTGTCACATGTATCACATTTAGGGTCGCATTCAGCACATGTGGTAGCATCACTAAAGTAATATCCGGTATCTGGAACACAAACTGATCCTGTGAGAGTTGAGTGATCAGGGCATTCGCAGTCTGGAGCCGCTGACGTATGAGTTGTATCTGTGCAAGCTGTGCAGACAGTTCCATCGCTAGTGTCACATGTATCACATTTAGGGTCGCATTCAGCACATGTAGTAGCATCACTAAAGTAATATCCGTCATCTGGAACACAAACTGATCCTGTGAGAGTTGAGTGATCAGGGCATTCGCAGTCTGGAGCCGCTGACGTATGAGTTGTATCTGTGCAAGCTGTGCAAGAAGTTCCATCGCTAGTGTCACATGTATCACATTTAGGGTCGCATTCAGCACAAGTGGTAGCATCACTAAAGTAATATCCGTTATCTGGAACACAATCTGATCCTGTGAGAGTTGAGTGCTCAGGGCATTCGCAGTCAGGAGCTGCTGACATATGTGTTCCGTCTATGCATGCAGTGCAATCCGATGAACTGGTACCGCAAGTACTGCATTTATCATCACAACAGCTTGCACCGCTACCGTGAACTGTAAATCCATCAATGCACGCAACACAAGTATCACCATCACCACTAGCAACCATACTGCAATGCTCAATAGTCGAAGCTGTGCATCCACCTGCATCATCAGGTATGTCAGTAGCTGAATTAGTGCAAGTTTCGCACGTTGTTGCATCTTTGCAAGTTTGGCATCCACTTGCACCACCAGTGCAAGCAGCTGTTAAATATCTTTCGTTTTCCCACCAGGATCCCTCTTCAGTCGTATTTTGGTCTTTTTCTGGACCAGTCTCATTATTTTTGACAAGTTGATTGACTGCCCCAGAATCGTCGATAAGCAGTTTTGAGTGAATTTCAGAGCTTCTAAGGCTAGTTCTGGCAAATGGGTTGAGTTCTTCCGCTGTAGTTGCTCCAAGGATCAGGAGCAAAAAATAAGCTATTCCACCTGTAGGCATATTTTATAAGGATAATATAACCTGCCAAAATAAATTGATCTATAAGGCAATTACTTAATGCCTATTTATGGAATTAAAAAATATAAAATTTCAATAATCTCTTAATTTTACCAATATTTTGATTAAAGAAACCTGGTAAATCTTAAAAATTTTTGAGTTTTTTCGATCTCAGTCTATAGAAACCTAATTAAATAGTAATATTTAATGTTGCCATAAGAGTCTAAAAATTAATTTTAGATAATTGAAATGTGAGCATGCACTCACACTTACTAACTCTATAAATTTTCATTGCAACTTGTAATGCAAAAGAATATATCTTTGGGCCTTCAAATAGAAGCATTATTTTGTAAGCTTTTACTTATACATCATTTTTAAGATAATGAAAAGCTAAAATATTGGTAAAATACTCACTCCCCCCCTCCGTCAGTGAACAAAGACATTAGAAAAATCCCTATTTTTGCCCAAAAACCTACTCTCCATGAGTGAACAAAAATCTTTTTAATAGAAAAAAATTTTGATGAAAAAAAATTGATATATAAGAGATAATTAGTATAATGAAATCTCGAGCTAATTCTACTTAATTTAATCAAATTGAGTTTTAAAACATAAATTTTATAAATTAAATTAATATTTACCTACCAATTTTTGTAAATTAGAATTTTTTTAAAATTTCAAAAAACAAAGTAACTCTTCTCCGTGATTAAACAAAGTTTTTTTGTACACTCACGGAGGGGGGAGTGAGATGGTTTAAATCTTTACTCTAATAAAGAGCTAAATAAATCTTATTGATATTGCCTATCTCTGAAAATTATACAGTCGCTTTAATGGAAAAAGAAGGGTGTAAAAAACTTCAATGAAGCTTTCACCCAAATTATTGTGTAAACTTTTATGATAGCTAGAATTAATGCCGAATAAATCGCTTTTTTTGGCTACCTAATTATTTTCGAGCCGAAATGTAAAAATAACTTTGTTATTTATAAAATGCTTAATTTTCTGAATTTTATAAAGTTCAGCTTGGATTTATTTTTTGAGATCTACTGATAACAGAACTAATTATTAATTTTAATTGTTTTTTTATGGATTTATAAATGTCTTGGCTTATTATTGGCATATCCATTATGTGGACCGAATTTTTCAATTTTGCCAGGTTTTAGAAACTATTGTCGTTCATTTTGAGACCCCATATGAATACATAGAAAACCTTCCGCATGAATCCTTTACCTGAAATATTTCAAAACTTTTAACTCATCACTCCCTCTCCCCCTTTAAATTGAAACAAAAAATAGGTAAAATTCCTACTTTTTTGGGAAATTACCCCCCCTTTAAATTGAAACAAAATTTTATTATAATAGAAAATTTTATAGGTAAAAGTCATTATTTTATATGTAAATACGTTAATACCCTATTTAATATGCTTCAAACATATAAGATTTAGAAATTAAACTCTATTTTGTCCAATTGTTATGGGGAGAGTTAGAAGAATACCATTTCAGCAAGTTTACACTTTGAGATTGAGAATTTATGAATTAATTTTTCATGAAATTAAAAATTAAAATCAAACACAGAATGAACCATAAAATTTTATCTCTGAAAAAATTTTTATATATATAAATTTTTTTATAAAAAAATTTTCTTAACCCCCTTTAAATTGAAACAAAATTTTTTGTTTCAATTTAAAGGGGGGGAGAGTCAGTGGAATTTCACATTTTCTGCTTCTCAGCTCTTAAAATTGCATTTACTGCACCCAAAGTCTTTACTCTTTTGGATATCTCCACAAATCTCATTATGCAAGAACCAATTTCTCAACTATGCAGTGATTTTTCATTATTCTATATCTCACCCCAAGTACCTTAAGCCATCAACCTATTGGTTATCCCCTTCTCATTCATCAGAAATTACCGCATTTTTCTATCTTAATTTAAATCTAGATGTATAGTTCTTTCCCTTGAATACCCGATAACGGGATGAAGCCAGCCCGTTATCGGGCTATTCAGGGGAAAGTGCTATAGTTTTTATGGACAAGGGCAAATACAACCAGAAAACTTATTTTCAAATTATTCAGCACATTTTGGCTATTTTCAGTAGCATCATTATCTGATATTAAGAGTTAGTCAATGAGGTGGTCGTAAGAGCTGGGATCGCATTTCACTATTCTTTTGTTAATAATGAAGCACCAAAAGATTTACAAAAATCATTGTAAAACGCAAAATTATTGACAGATGGAGGCGGGATTGTGTAAGCCAAGAAAGTGGATATGGTTAAACCATAGATGGAGCTATAATAATAACAGAAATCAGCCATGAATACGATATTTCAATACTAGATTATTAAAAACTTTAATTGAAGAGCTCATATTTAGTATATTATTATTAGAGGATGAGAGAGATATCAAGGCAATTCTAGATTCAAAAATGCCAAACAATTATAGCCCCACCTAATTGTTAAATAATAAATATAAAAAATATAAACAGGATTATTGCTGGCTAAAAATTTGACTATTTTGGCGATCCTACTTTTTAGGTTAACCAAGCATAACACCTAACTCCCCCCCCCCTCCGTGAGCGAACAAAACCATTAGAAAAATCGCCATTTTTTGACCAAAAACCCACCCTCCGTGAGTGAACAAAAATTTTTTTAATAGAAAAAATTTTAATGGAAAAAAAATTTTGATATATAAGTGATAATTAGTATAATGAAATCTAGAGCTAATTCTGTTTAATTTTTAAACAAATTGCGTTTTAAAACATAAATTTTGCAAATTAAATTAATATTTGCTTCCCAATTTTTGCAAATTAGGATTTTTTTAAATTTCGAAAAAAATATTTTTTATAAAATTTATATATAGATTTTTTTTAAAAAAAAATTAACCCCCTCCGTGAGCGAACAAAATTTTTTTGTTCGCTCACGGAGGGGGGGGGGGGGGGGGGGGGGAGTAAGTAGAAAAATTTTACCATAAGCATAAATGCAGGAATTACAAATTCTGGCTCAACAGATACAGATGCAGGCCTTACAAAACTCATGAGAGGCCAATATATCCATTGATAAGATTAACTAAGGACGCGATATTTTATCACATTTTCAGTTACAAATGTTTAACTTTGACTGTGGGATCACTATTTATGATAAATCTTATCTTAAATCCTGCTTTACAAAATATTTATAGTCAACTAGGTTGACTGGAACGGGTCCTTTTTTTGCTCCACCTCAGGATAAGCTACTAAATGTCGAATCACTACATGCTGAATTCGTTGCTTTGGATACGATGTAGACAATGAATCATCTTATGAAACAGTTCTTTCAGCTTTATAAAAAATTAAATTTGCATAGAATAGCAATATACATTTTAACTTAAACATGAAGAATCATATCAAATTATGTAATTCATAATAAATTATTGAGTTATTGTGTCAGTTGAAGCATCTATCAAGTGAAAAACATTAATATTTACTGAGTATAATAAAATGGACCTAAGAAAAATACGAATTATTAAGTTAATAGTGATGATAATAAATACTTTATTTAGAAAGATTTAGCTTATTTGCTAGCTTTTATATCAAATCATTTTTCTTTTTAAGCTTAACTATTCAAAGGATCAAAATTTCGAAAATTATTGCTTGTAATTTGGTTTAAAATATTGGCACTTTTATCAGACATAATAAAATCTGAAATCATAAAATCTATCTCTTAATATTAAATATGGTTCACCCATTATCGGCCTGCGTCTTTTTTGTCCTTTTTGCTTTTTCCTATGCAGGATCGTTTTCTTTCTGCTCTAATTTCATTCTTACATCACCTTATTTCGATCCAATGAATTTAAGGTTCAACAGCCAGATGGCCGACTACAAATTTGTTGCAAAATATCCTACGCAAACGAGTTCCGTAGTATCAGCTGCTGTGAGCTGTTCATCAATCTATATGAATAGATTCTCTTGGAGTTTGCATGGAGATTATTCTAACTGCGGGTCTTTAAGTGGTTTTGGGTAAACTTTGAGTCAACGACAGGAAATGCGTTGATGCAAATGGGTTCGTATTGTGACTTATAGAGTGAATTCAGATACTGATGGGATTTTGAAATTCTCGTTTCAACAAACTCCGGATCAAGTAGACACTGATGATTTTTCCATAACTGCTCCATTGAGTAATTTTTTATTCAGATTCTTGGACTTTACTTACGTTGCATTGGATAGACAGTACTGTCGAGATTTACATGCCAGGACAAGCTAAGATATCCAAGACAGCAGTTGGTACTTATCCTTTTTCCAAACCTTTTGATAGGTTTGGGGATTTGCTATTTGGCTATGGTGCAAAGGAAAAGTTTTATCAATATTTTGGGTTCAAATCGGCAGCAATAAATGAAGATTTCAGTATCATTACGTTATATGATGGTACAAACTCCTCGATGCAACAGGAACTTGTCCAATGACTTGCGCAGAATCAACTTGCCACCCGACTCAGAAGTGTCTCAGCCTAACAAGCGACTGTTCCTCTTGTGATACAACTTGGCGCTTGGCATGTACCACAATTAATCGTGACAAGACAACTTACTGCACTAAAAGTCTCTGCGATCTACATTGTATCTGCTCGTCAACTGGTAAATGCATACAATGTGACTATGGCTATTTCCTTTCTAGTACTGGAACTGGCAATCCCATCAGTGCCAGTAATTTTTAATTTAGAATGCAAAGACTCATGCACTTCTTGTGGTGGAGTTTGTTTCAAATATACTGATGTTGTTACGCAAGAAGGGGCAATGTGTAAAGTCAATTCTATTGGCTATTATATCAGTCTTTCTGGTACAAATATCAAAATTGATTTTGCTCATCCTCTTGAATCAGCTTTGAATATTGCCTCTCTTAATGCTAAGTCGGATAAAGGTATAGTAATCGATACATCTCTCTGGACTTTAAATACATGCGCTGTAGGCTCAACAGGCTGCACCATAGCGACTAGCCTGACTACTGATCAACTACCAATTCAGTTTGACTTCCAATTTAGTCAAGTCTAGAAGGATAAATAATCTTTCTCTTTAATCTTTTTTACTACTTAAATAATTAATAACTTCATTACTTGTTGGGACATGAAAATATAGCAATTTGATTTTAAATTCTATTTTAATAAAAAAGAGACTTATTTATGCGTCTTCATCAATCATACATTTTATGCTTCTTTTGTAAAAGCAAATTTAAATAACATGGATATTTTTTCCTTTTTTTCTGTAAACTTGGGCATTTTTTAAACTGTAGATAAAATCTAACTAGAGCAAGAACCAGCCATCCAACTCCCAAAGCAACTAGAAATACTATAGAATTCCCACCAAATCCTATATAAAATGTAGACAGCAAGGAAAAGCCAAACTACTCCAATTAGACTTAAAAATTGCCGCAAAATAAATCTATCTTACTCCCCCCCATCCTTGATCGAACGACTCGCCATCGTTCGATCAAGGATGAGGGTTAAAAACAAAATTTTCGGGAAAAAAAATTTATATATAAAATATAAAAAATAAATATATATAGATATTGTTTTTGATTTACTTTTAAATAAGAGGGTTAAGAATATTTAATAATTATTTTACAGCAAAAATTTAATTAATTTCATAAAATACCAATTTTTAATATTTTGATTTATTAGTTACCCCTTTAAACTGTATAAATTTAATTTGTTCCTTATTAAATTAATTTTTTTTTTTAAAAATTTTAAAGAATCTGTATTTTATTAGATTATTGAGTTTTTAAGCATATGCTAATGACTACATCACTTCGGATGATTGATTCCGCAGCTTTCTGTCGTCTCAAAGCCTCTGAAAACAACCTCATTATGTGCATCTCCCCACAAAAAAATTATTTAATGGAATATATTGAAACTATTGCAAAAGATGCTCATCAGGGTTGATTTGTGCTTTGAAAGAATTGCTAGGGCACTTCGTAAAAGGAAGTTGCACATGAAGATTTGTACGCTATTGCATCCAACAACACTGACTTTCAGTTCTTTCTGAGGGATTCGCAGGTGGAAGAGATGGGCTCAAGCGAAGATTATTATGATGCTGAGGAATTTTGAGCAGAGGTTGAGAGGGAAAATTTTTATGAACCTGAATTAGAGTTTTATGTATCTGAATTAGAAATTTATGATGATGACAGTGAGCTGGACTTCCCGCCAAGTTCATATGATGGTCGGCTAGATTTCCCGCCAAACCTATTTGGAGACCCGCTTAGCAGACGAGATCAGTTAAAGAAGGTCTCTCACTCAGAAGAGCTCGATGGCGAGCCTTGCAAAGATGGATCGGGCCTAATTTATGATGGGGAGTATGAAGATGAGATATGGGGAAGGTTTGTATATGGGCATGAAATCAAGCTGAAGAAGTGCTGGACAGTGAGGTTGCTCCACTGATGTATGCAAGTGTGGGATCTAGGTGCGTGGAGATAGTTGGGAGCACTAGCGAGCAGGCTGATTAGGAGATATTGGAGCTAGGAATGATAAGGCGAGACCAAACAAGCTGGAATAAAGAGATCTGATGATGGGGAACTCGTTAAGGCACACATCGTAGGGCAAGGTGCAGATATGGTCATCCGTGAAGTCATAAGCTTTGAGCCAAAGGAAGCTGACGATGAAGAGGAAGCAAAAAGCTATGGAGAATGTCGAGGTGAAGCTCTAATAGAGGATACATTGCAGATGGGAGAGATCGAGCAGAAAAATTAGATCAAATTTTGTGTTTATCAACTTTAAAAAGGAGAATATATCAGAGGTTTTTTAGATGAGATAGTGAAGGAGGATTAAACAGAAGTCTGAATATGGCACTTACTCCCCCCCCCCCCTCCGTGAGCGAACAAAACCATTAGAAAAATCGCCATTTTTTGACCAAAAACCCACCCTCCGTGAGTGAACAAAAATTTTTTTAATAGAAAAAATTTTAATGGAAAAAAATTTTGATATATAAGTGATAATTAGTATAATGAAATCTAGAGCTAATTCTGTTTAATTTTAAACAAATTGCGTTTTAAAACATAAATTTTGCAAATTAAATTAATATTTGCTTCCCAATTTTTGCAAATTAGGATTTTTTAAATTTCGAAAAAAATATTTTTTTATAAAATTTATATATAAATTTTTTTTAAAAAAAAAAATTAACCCCCTCCGTGAGCGAACAAAATTTTTTTGTTCGCTCACGGGGGGGGGGGGAGTTAGGATTTATTGGAAAAATCGGAGAAAAGTATTTTTCAGCTGGAATTGAAGTTGGAATTTTGGGAAAAAGTGGAAAAGATTGAAGAAAGGGAAGAATATTGAAGAAAATTTGTGTTTCTGAAATTGTTGAAGATGATGGAGATAATTGGTCCTGTAAGAGGGCGATAACCGTAAGTAATAATAATAATGTACATCTTCCCAAGCTTTTGATAAATAATATATTTTTTATATATATAAAAATTTGCATGATATGAAAATCGTTCGATCAAGGATGGGGGTTAATTTCCCCAATTTTTAGGAATTTTTACAGTCAATCGTTCGATCAAGGATGGGGGGAGTTAGTATATGATTTAATCCTTGAAATAATTGCAATATAAGCCATCATAAGTTTAATAAACGCTACCCTATGACTAATATCACCTAATCTTTTTTAGTGTTTTTGCTAATATTACAAATATTGCTTGTGGGATTGATTTTCCCATCAATTAGCCAGGCACTTCTTTTGCATGTAAAGGCTGCTGTAGTTACTATCAGATCGGCCTAACAAACACAGCAAGAGGCTCATATACTAAAAAAGCTACAAATGAAATAATCGCACACATCAAATGTTCCTCTTTTCAGCAAAAAGTATAGCAATCTTTTACTAAAAAAAGTCTATAAAATCTTCACCGATACTCATCACGCAAAAACACATCAAAGCATATAGATATAAACGTTATAAAACAAAGATTTCCAAGCGCAAGCGTCAAATATTCTGCTATCAAGCCTAACACTTTTGTGCAGTTTTAATAAAACTATTACGTAAAGAACTGCCTGTATTACGATACAGACTAGCTCAATATCAGTAATAGTCCAAAACACCCCATTTTGTAGCTTAATTACGTCTTCTAGTTCAATTGTGAACATGCTGCTTAATTTGACAGGATTGACCCAAATTCTGAAAAATTAAGTCCCATTGAGGCAAATTCGAAGAAGTCTATAGGTATTGTTCCTCCACAATAAAACCATCTATAGATTTTTTTTCTTCAAGAATCTCTACAGATATATTTGACCATTTTTGATATATAATAAAAGCTATTGCAGAGGTAACTGCGAAAACCAAAAAGAATATCCAAACATAAGCCCTCTTCCTTTATGCCCCCCTCCGTGAGCGAACAAAAAAATCTTGTTCGCTCACAGAGGGGGTTATTTTTTTTTAAAAAAAATTCGCAAATATTAATTTAATTTGCAAAATTTGTTTTAAAATTAAACTAAATTAGCTCAAGATTTCATTATAATAGTTATAGAAATTTCCCATAGATGGCGCTGTTTGCCCTTGATTTGCCCACTGGGGAAATTTTTTGGTTCGGCCAGTCCCATATGGTTTGGTCAAACCAAAAAATTTTTCTCATGGGCAAATCAAGGGCAAACAGCGCCATCTATGGGAAATTTCTATATCACTTATATATCAAAATTTTTTCCATAAAAAATTTTTCTATTAAAAAAATTTTTATTTGCTCACGAAGGGCGGGCAAAAAATAGTTATTTTTCTAATAGTTAGCAAAAGTCTGTCATTGCTTTCTGGGTCAATAGAAATAGGGCCTGTGCATCCATTAGATTTTGCCACTCTTATGGTAGACATCAGCTTAAGCGGGTCAGTGTAATCTTGGCCTCTATTTATTATAAGCTTTTTTTTCATAATAAATGCTTACATAATTAACTACTTTTCTAATAAAAAAAAATAATACTATTTATTTAAAATTATATATAATCTAAAACAGTAGCAATATGAACTCCATCAAAATATAAACAAGAATCAAATTCTGGCGTTATATTATATTTTTCTCAATACTCATTATATATTTTCTGTCCTATTTCTCCAACTCAGACAGGAAAAACTACTCTTGTCATAGAAACCCCGATTTCTAGTCTTTTATGTGCATAGCCATCATTATCAGAAATAATGTCTATGGATCCCAAGTTCGTGCAAAAACTTATAATAGCCTTTTTTAATCCTAAATCATATAGTGATTCTAGCGCATAGTTGCACAAAGGGCACCGCTAAACCATAATCAATAGCCTTGCCTTAGAATTAAGGATCCCTTCGAATAATTTTTATAACTTTTAGTGGCTTCTCTGTCTAGATCTGATAAGATTGCCCTTGCATTTTCTGTATTTATCAGTTCGATCCCTATATATTCTGCAGCTGTCTTCATTAAACTTAAAGTTCAAAACCCACAAGGGCCGTTTTCATAGATAGTTGCAGTTTTTTTCCACTCCATGGCTCTTAAAAATAGTATGCAGACATTAAAACTTAAAGGTGAAATCATTCTGACGTACATAGGATAATCTTTAGTGGCTTAATAAAGGGCTAGCGTTTGCAGGCTCCACAGATGGTAGCGTTATATTTATTTCTTTAAATAATAATAGCGATTTAATTGCGGCAGGAGAGCTATAAGCTATTAAATGGGCAAGATCTAACTTGTATATAGTTAACTACACTGATTGGAACGGGTCCTTTTTTTGCTCAACCTCAGGATAAGCTACTACATGTCGAATCACTACATGCTGAATTCGTTGCTTTGGATACGATGTAGACAATGAATCATCTTATGAAACACAGTTCTTTCAGCTTTATAAAAAATTAAATTTGCATAGAATAGCAATATACATTTTAACTTAAACATGAAGAATCATATCAAATTATGTAATTCATAATAAATTATTGAGTTATTGTGTCAGTTTGAAGCATCTATCAAGTGAAAAACATTAATATTTATACTTCAGAATAAGCTTCAAGTGTGCAAGAAGTTTGAACTTTTTCCCTTCTAAAATAAATTATTTGCAAGTTTTAAAGATAACTTTAGTTTTAGCAGTATGTTATGTTATGCTATGTTATGTTAAGATAAATGTTTAAAGTCTCTACTTCCAGTAGCGTGTTGGCACAAGCGAATTGGGTGGACTTCCACCTCTGGTACCTCTGAGCCCAGGCCGAAACCCCCGGTTTCTCGGTAGTGGGTTGCCCTTTTTTGTGTCCGAAGACCCTTGCTGGGCACCACCATTTCCAACTCAGTCCCTTCGCCCTTCTAAGGCCAACTGTACCTACCCTGGCCGGTGTCGTCACATTAAAGGACCCTTTAAACCGGAGGGACCGCCGTTTTGAGAGTCTAGCCTGCCTCCCCTTTTACCAGGTCATCCCTGAATAAAAACTCAACAACTTCCGTTGTTCGGGGCAAAGCCATCGAAAGTAGCCTGAGCAGGGAAATCACCCTGCTCCATTTCGGGCATCCACTGGCTATGGCGCTGCTGGAAAAATGATTCACGATTAACTGCCCAAGGATCTGGCCACAAATCAGCGGGTCTGTGCGCTCGCCCATCGCCTCTGGGCTCCAGATATTGCTGGGTTAAATCATTCCTCCTAAAAACCATGCCCGGATATACATGGGTTACCGTCACACGAGAGGACGGGTCGGACGCCATACGCCATTTTATGTATATTAATTTTAGCAGTAAGTATTGCAAAATATGAGCTGAAGCTATTATAATAAGAATTTTGAACAGCACGCCAACTTATCTCTTTCATAAATAAATTTCACTAAATTTGTCAAAAATTCCCATTTATACCGGCAAACCGAAATTCATCAAAATAACCATTTTTTGACCAGAATTTTTTAGATGATTTCTGTTCATTTAAAAATGGCCTTGCCAAAATAATTTGTCTAACCTAAAATGAGCATGGAACAAGAAGAAATACAAAAATCTCAATTCGATCCAGCTTAATTTGCACAGTAACCTTTATCAATTTCTAGAATATAATCGCTTTCAACTTTAGCGTAAAGCTAAAAAAATATTCTTTGGCTGGCTAGCCTTGGAAATATTGAAAGTTATTTTCTTACTTTTTTTTATAAATTTTCAAAAGAGATTTTACCTTTCAAGTTGCAATGAAGGCTTGAGCCAGGCTTAGAAATCACTAGAAAAAGTATTTTGAGAAATAAAAATATAGTATATTTTAATATTTAGAAACGAAATAATTCCAATTAGCCAAGAAAAAGGCTTAATATACAAAGTGCATAATCCAAAAAATTATACTCTAATAAGTCTGCAATTAATTTTAAAACAAAATTTTTACAGAAACAATTTAATATAAATATTTTTTAAAAAAATAAACTGTGACAGTATTTTTTGCTCCAATTTAAAGGGGAAAATGAGTGGATGCGGCAAGATTAATTAATCTTTATATATAAATATAAAAATTTAAGGAAAAATATGGATGCAGATTGATAGAAAGAGAATTTTATGCATTTATTATCAATTCAGTTTAAGAGATTATCATTAATTTTTCAAAAGGCATGCAAATCAATTTTTTTTTGGTTAACTTTACTTTTAGTGAATAGAACAATAAAAATGTCAGTAAGGAGTGCCTTCTTAACCTCGACCTAGTAAGGGAACTTCTGGCCGTAGACTATAAAGGTTCTGAAGTTGAAAAGAGAGTTAAACTTGAGCTGGAGGCTACTGAAGGTCTAACGGTTGTGATGCGACTTGTTTTTAAGAACGAATTTGTTCTCGCTTATGGCATGAAGGCTAGAAGTCTAAGCTAAAAAAGCTATGCTATCCTTAATCCTTAAGTTAATAGATGAGCGCAAATCTTCGAATATTTGAAGAAAATAATATTTCAGTAATGGATTAGACTTTAATATTAACTTTTTAAGCATAATTTGATTAGGTTAGAGACATAATTGTTAATGTAATCTATATATTAAGTGATACTTATGAATTCTTGTTCTTATTTGATGTTCTTACTCTCCCCCCCCCTCCGTGAGCGAACAAAAAAATTTTGTTCGCTCACGGAGGGGGGTTAATTTTTTTTTTTAAAACAAATTTTATATATAAATTTTATAAAAAATATTTTTTTCGAAATTTAAAAAAATCCTAATTTGCAAAAATTGGGAAGCAAATATTAATTTAATTTGCAAAATTTATGTTTTAAAACGCAATTTGTTTAAAAATTAAACAGAATTAGCTCTAGATTTCATTATACTAATTATCACTTATATATCAAAATTTTTTTCCATTAAAAATTTTTTCTATTAAAAAAATTTTTGTTCACTCACGGAGGGTGGGTTTTTGGTCAAAAAATGGCGATTTTTCTAATGGTTTTGTTCGCTCACGGAGGGGGGGGGGGGAGTTAGTTACAACATAATGGTTTAGCATCAAAAATCTTTACATTTTATTTAAAAAATTTAGTTTCTGAATAATGTATATTGAAACTATAAAATTATTGCTAAAAAAATCAGTTTTCACGTAAAAATATGCATAGGCTGTAGTTTTTTATCTTAATGTAAGAAATTATAATTTTAAAATTTTTTTATTTGTCTTATTATAAAAAGGATAATGGTTAACTCGCACTTAATCACCCTATTTTCTGTGATGCTCGAGATTTGTGATTTTCTTGAAATTATTGCTGTACAGTTAGGCAATCTATACAAGTCTATAGATAGCTTTTGATTTAAAATCTTAGAATCAGATTTAGCTCAAAACTTCAGTGATCTAGTAGGCTGGCACTATTGTAGCTATTCTGATATTATTGATTGTGTTTCACAATATTAATAATATAATGGCATCGTAATGACTATTATTTCTATCCTCAGCGAAAATTATTATAATGGGCATCACTTTTCTTTTGGATCTTTATTCAGCTATCCCGGAAAACCCTAGCGCATAGACTAGGACTTGATCCTTAGATTTTAGAGGCATAAAACTTATCTGCCGTCACTCGTGAGGAACGAAACCATTAGGCGGTATATGAGCTGGATATGGTTAGCAGCAACCAAGCAGCCTCTTAAAGTCTTTCTGGCCAGACTGGTGGGAGCCTCCATGCCTTGGCTTGATGTAAATAGCAAGCAAATGGCTCTTAACTTCACTATTTTACTGCTATAAGGATGCCTAATCTTCATGCTGAAGAGAAGGAACCCCCAAAAAATAAATTAATAAATAAGTATTTCGCAATCAAAAGATCTTGTCTTCTAATAAGATAAGAATCTGAGAGTAACGACAGAAATTTCTAAATATACACCATCCAATCTATGAAGGTCGACAGAAATGGGAGCATCGCAATCTACCCAGTAGGCTACTTAAAGTCTTTCAGCACAAATCTTATATATATTTTGATTCCCTTGATTTATTCTGATGGGACATCAGTCAAACCAAGCTACTTAAACATAAAAGTTCATGGGCTATATTTCTGCTAGAAATATTTCCAAGGGGTTTTAGTGAAGGAAGAGCAATAGAATAATAATGAGAATCGCAATAATTAATTATAATAGGTGCGTATTTAGCCTCCAGAATTTTTTCTATACAATATGAATCCCTTTGTATAGAATAATTTAAAACTCAGAGCATTGATGATGTCATATCATTATCATCGGAATCTAAGCAAGATCTAGCTATATTTACAATTTATCACAGCTAAATCAGAGATTTGACCTGAGAAATATTACTTCAAAAAGTGTTTTGTTCTCTCATAGAGGGTGGGCTTTTGGACAAAAAATAAAATTTTTCCAATGATTTTGTTCGCTAACGGAGGGGGGAGTAAGCACCCATGCCAAGACATTCGCCAATGGGTTTTTATTAATCTGGAAACTAATATTTTGCAGCACATCCTCAAAATATTTAAAGTTTCTTCAGAAATAATAATTCCTCGATATTTTTCATCATCCCTGCGATATTCCCTATGCATCATCATATGCAATTTTCAGCAACTTCATCATATTCTTTACTGATCGTAAGTTGGCTTCTCTAATTGCTTCATTCTTCACTATCATTTCCATATATAGGAAAATTCCCGATGATGACGCTCAATATACTATCATCGGGCACCTACAGTAAAGAGTCCACACTGGAAATGGGTTCCACGTGTGGAGCCCTTTTTGACACGTGGAGAATCCTCACTTTCACGCGCCAAAAAAAGCTCCACATATGGAACTCATTTCCCGTGTGGACCCTGAACTGTAGTTGCCCGATGATGGGCATTGAGCGCCATCATCGGGCAACTTGTATATTTATGATCAAAAGTAGCAAATGAACACAAAGTAAAGGAAGCATCAAACTGAATTTCTTTAGGATGGTCTTGGCTTAAATAATTTATAAACACTGGGATGTAGTTTAATTCCAAGAGACTGATTTAATAGTTTCCGATAAATATAAAGGGCTTCTTTGATAGTGCTTGATTGGGTTCTATTTTTTGAATTTCGATGTAGGATTCAAGGATTATTCGTTTATTTGAAAGGAGACTTTGAAGATAACGACGGAATGAGCTGAAATAGGAGGAATGAAAGGTTGGAAGTTTGGGAGGAAGAAAAGTGTTGTTTCTTGCTGAGCTAAAGACACTTATTGAGAAGAAGCTCAATGTGATGTTCTTCTCGCTTGAATTGGAGGAGTTCTGGGTCTATTGATTGCTAGAAACCTTTGTTTCGATTGCGTGATGCTCACTTTTAGAATGTATTTCTTTATTGGATTTAATTCGAAATTAGGTTATTTTAACAAATGAATAAAAATTTGCTGGTGATTTCTCTGTTTATTATAATATTTTTAGAAATAATTATAAATCTAAATAAAATTCTTTCTGAGAATAAAATCTGATAGCTTAAGTTGATTCATCAAAATTTTCTATCTACTAAACACAATTTCCAGACATGCAATCATTATTCTTATGCCATAGTTTAAGATAGAGAGCATAGAAGCAGCAGATAGTTAATTTAGAATCTAGCATTCTAGCTAGGAATTATTTTATTAAAATTATAACTAAAATGGCCAAACTATTTTCTATTGCTAAATAGAGATTTTGTTCAAAAATTAGCCAATAATAAATAATTAGAATTTAGAGGGGAGAATTTCAATAAGGTTTTAAATAATATTTAATAGATCATAGAGAAATCATAAAATAGCAAACAAATAAAATTCCTCGAACAATTATTCGTTTTATTTGGAATATATATAATTTTAAAACATCTAATCATTCTTTTCCAAATTATCGAAGTCCTTTTTATGATGTATGCTAAACACTTTTGGAAAATAATTTTTATAATTAATTAGGAATAAAATGCATTTGCAATCTATTCAAGATCTTTTAATATTTTGATGGATAAATATTGGACTGAGACCTAAATGCTGTGCAAGATTTAAACCACTTTCTGTTCTAAAGGATTGGGAAGTCATCCTTTATTTAGCTAATTTTCCTTTTATTAGATAAGACATCATCGTTCAAATTGCAGAGGGAAAACTTCAAAGCATAGTGCATCCATTTATAAGTTGCAGAAGCATTGCCAATAGATAATATTATCTTATTTCTTATAGCAAATACAGTATTAACTAGCATTTAAAGAATTCCGATTACAAGATATTATATTATTCTGAATTATCTATACTTACTCTGCGCTTTTAAGGCTTTCCAAAGCAAATTGTCATTTTTAAATTTTATGGAATTAGAACAGTTTTTATTATATGCATAAATCTCATCCATTTTTCACTTATAGATAATAATTATGGAAGCTCAGCTATCACCTTTGCAGATCGTGTGTTAGGCCTATCTCCTGAAGCTCTGGAAAAAGTGCTGAAAGGAGATTTAAATATTCTTAGATATCAAAAGCAATTCTTCAATTATATCGCCTAATGGGCATATATATATTAAAAATTATTATTTCCCCTGGCTCAAAATCAATTGATTCGATAGGTCCTACAAGCATCAATTATGAAAATGATATAAATCATCATAAAGTGACTGCTCTGGATATCTGATAATTTATATAATAGCTTATTTCAATAAATTGATATAAATTAGCGACTGAGCAATCTTTTCAATGTAGAGTTTGAACAGATTCTAGTGGAATTGAAATCAACTTTCCCCATGCTTTAATGGCCAATCTAAAAATAACAGAATATATCAAAGGGTGTTGCATTTAATTGCATGCATTTGGTATAAGTAGTCTAATGCTTGAATTTTCAATAGGTTCAAGTGCTTCAGTCGCTCTTACTATAACTCTAAGAGGGTACATTTCGACCATGAAAGAGTTAAAAATGTTAATACTTGCATATAAAAAATTGATGTTATAGCCCATACACCTATATAGATTTCTTTATCGAGCAAAATGTAATTGATGGTTGAACGGCAAAGACACTCTCTCAAAGGGATGAGCTGAATCTTATAAAAGTGAGCGTTAAAAAGTGTCATGTCAAAAATGGATGACAAATTTGAAAAAAGTTGACAAGTAAACGTGCCAATTTTTAATATGGCTTTACTCTTAAATTAATTTTAAAATTTAAGATACCCATTTAGAAAGTGGCATTGATTAAAATCTTACTTAATCCCCCCCTCCGTGAGTGAGCAAAAAATTTTGTTCACTCACGAAGGGTTAATTTTTTTATTTTAAAAAAAATTTGTATATAAATTTTATAGAAATATTTTTTTTCGAAATTTAAAAAATCCTAATTCGCAAAAATTGGAAAGCAAATATTAATTTAATTTGCAAAATTTATATTTCAAACACAATTTGTTTTAAAATTAAACAGAATTAGCTCTAGATTTCATTATACTAATTATCACTTATATATCAAAATTTTTCTATTAAAAAAATTTTTGTTCACTCAAGGAGGGTGGGTTTTTGGGGATTTTTTCTAATGGTTTTGTTCACTCACAGAGGGGGCGGAGTTAGACTTTTAAATAAACAATGCCAATATGATTGCGATCAAATGCTCTATTAAAGACAAAGCTTGTTTAAGCGCTAGCTGTTCTTTATGAAGTTCTTAATGATTCATATAATGCTCGTTTGCAAATCAATGGACTTAAAAATTAAAAGCTTATCAATCGAGTTTCTTTTTTGCGGAAAGATAAATTTTTAATTAGCTAATTTGTTTATAAGTGCTCTATAAAAAGCCAAACTTGTTGTTCTCTATGAAACTCTTAATGACTCATATAATGCTCGTTAGTAAATATTAATGGACTTTAAAATTAAAAACTTATCAATCGAGTTACTTTTTTCTGATCTTAAGCACTTTCTTCTATATAGAGTATTAAAACAAAGCAATTAAAGCATCAAAATCAATATTTATTAAACGAAACAATGATATTTTGTTTGCTTTTGAAGCATATATACTTACATATTTAAAACTTTTCTCTCAATAATCTTAAATGATGTCATCTAATTAGCATTGGTGAAATTTTGTCTTTAAATTATTTCACTGCACATGAAATCTGACTTTGCTATCCCTGAAGTTTTATCGGATAAATACTTTCTGTAATATGGCTCAAACACTGACTCAACCCATGTGACCAAATTCTTTCTCACATCTAGGAATCTTCAGAATGCAGAATTTCAGTGCCTATTTCCAGCTCCTTTCTTAAAGAATAGGTATAATGGACAATTGAATTTTTAAAAGATTCTACTATAGTTAATAAAAATCCAATTTTTTTGCTTTTCTCTGAATTCTTATAAATATATCTACTTAAAAGATTTTAATAAAATTTCATATTTTTATTACCATCGATATTTGGACCATTTTTAGTCATTAGTTAATTAATGGGTAATGCAGCCATCAACATAGCTGCTCGTGTGTCAAGCTTAACTTCTGAAGCTCTAGAAAAAGAGCTGAAGCGAGATCTGAGTGTTCTTGGTGACCAAAATAAAAATCCATTTTTTTGGCTTTTCTTTGTATTCTTAAAATTATATCTACTTAAAAGATTTTAATAAAATTTAATATATTTATTACATCGATATTTGGACCATTTTTAGTCATTAGTTATAATTAATGGGTAACGCAGCCACCAACATAGCAGCTCGTGTGTCAAGTTTAACTTCTGAAGCTCTAGAAAAAGAGCTGAAGGGAGATCTGAGTATTCTTGGTGACCAAAAACTGTTTTTCAATCATAGTTCTCTATTAAGCCGAGGAGACCTCAATATTTATCAGGTCCCAGGTTCATCATCTGCCTCAGCCAAGCTTGAAGACCTGAACTACATAAATGAAGAGCAAATGCTACTCAGCATGGAAGATGAAAGCTTTATCAAAGAAAGGTACACAAAAGTCACCCAAGGGTTACTGAATGAAATCGACTTATGTGTAAGGGAGGACTCAAGCTCAGCTGGGATGACGAAAAAAATTCAATACCTGAGCAGAACTTATGAAGCTCTACTTAGAATGGATGAGCGTGAAAAAAGAAAATCAAAGCCGCAAGCTTTAAAAACTGAAGAAACCCTCAACCCAATTGCCAAATCAGGGCTATCTTTTGGTCTGTCTTCATTGTTTGGGATAATTAAGATTTTAGGCTCTGATAAGCCTGAACTTTATAAGATTATCATAGAAGCTGCTTTAAGCATAGTTGCTGGCTTAAAACCAATGGCGCTGAATGACACCGACCCTTCGATCTCTCAATTAATTTCATCAGTTTTTGCTTTTTTCAACTCAATGCTATTAAGAGAGCTCCCAAATATCCAAGAAGATGACATAAATGCCTGTTATGCAATTCTTTTTGGGCTTTATTATGGTACAGGAAATTTGTGCACCGCTTTAACATTAGCTTTAGCATTTGCCAATTGTGACCCAAGTCAAGACCATTCTCCAATTTATAAACAAATTTTCCCTATGCTAGCAAACTTTAAGGACCTTACAAAGAAAAACAGAGGCTCTTTTGCTTGGGATACTAGAAATAAAGGGAAAGGCTTGCTCCTCATCGGCTATAAAAAAAAATAACTTGAAAAAATTTTTATTTTTAGGAAAATAATTTATTTAGCGAATAAAAATGTTTATTATAAATTTTTGTCTAAACTATATCTGATATATAACTAGGGATTAAAATAATAAAGTCTCAAGCAGATTATATAAATATCGTTCTAAAACATAAATTTAAAATAAATTAAATTAGATTTTTCATTTCAAATATTTGCAAATTTAGTTTTGAAAAAAAAAACCCTTTTTATATAATTTTTTTTAAAACTAATAAGCCAGAATTTTCGCTCATTAGCCAAGTGGAGAAGTTAGAAATCAGTAGCGACGAGCCAAATGTATTAATCAGAACAACTAATGATGGCTGGGGAGCTAATCTTTCAGAAAAAGCTTGGACAGAAGGTGCTCATTATGTTGAGATGATTTGAATTGAAGGTAATTCTGGCAACATGTTTTATGGAGTTTGTAATGGATATTATCCTGATCTCGACCTGCCTCCTCCAGAACAATCGTTTCCTCTCTCTTATAAACCTGCCGGAAGTATCATTAAAGGTAATAATGAATTGTACACCTTCGAAAAATACTCTGTGGGTGAAAAAATTGGATTTCTGCTGGATATGGATGAGCACACAATTCTTTTCTTCCATAACGGAAAAGAAGACCCCAAAGGGCCTATTCAAAATCTTCCTGAAAGTATGAATCTTTTTATGTGTCTTGGAGGAATCAGCAAACACAAAATCATCTATAATCCCCAAGATATGCCAGATATCGCTCGCATAAAAGTTGAAAACTACAGGAAAAAGGTAAATGTAGAAGTGAAGCTTGAAGATTTAAGCATCATTAACAGGGCTATCAAAACTGGAAAAATGGCTGATGAATATCTCCAAATGAAGCCTATTGAGTTCACAAACTATATTCTTAAATCGCTTGATGTCTGAAATGACATTATCATAAAAAAATTAGAAAATAAAGAGATAAAGGTAAATTTTGAAAAAAAAATGGGGCTTTCCTTTGACATCAAGAATGAAACTGTAGAAATTTTAGGGAAATTGGCTTTGATTTTCATTGAAAAAATTCACTCAGAAAATGTTGAAAGAGAATCCAAAGAAATTTATTCAGAAATGCTCGTTTATGTGCTAAAACTCACCAAATCGCACTTAATTGGGTCGGATATGATTCAAAATGCAACTTTAGAAAGACAGCTAAGAACAAAAATTATGAAAACCGCTATAGATATAATGACTAGCATGCCAGGGTCCAAGGCTTCTGAAGAGGCCACAAAAATTGTGACATCATGCTTTTCTGTCTTTTATAAGGATCCACAGGAGAAATTGTCTTATTTATTAGATAGAATTAAAGAACGATTGGATGGAGTTGAGATATCAGTTATCGTTAAAGAGCTTGAAGATAGAATTATCTTCGAAATGTCTCGACCAGACAAACTTTTCCCAGCCTTAGAGCTTATTAATGACGAGTCTCAGCATTTAGTGGAAACTTATTTCAAGTACTTGATTGAGCTTTCTTCAGAAATTTCCAAGAAGCTTGTGAGAGGAGAAGAAACATCTGTTGGAATCTTTAAACTTCTTGAAACAAGTCAAATTGCTTTATTCGGTCAAGCCACTAAATCTAATTTCAAAGGAAAATGGCAAGAAATCTTAATGAACTACTCATTAAGTGTTTTCGAGAACTGTGAAGAAGTTCTTCATATTGTGAAAGCAAAAGAAAAAGGGTCTATATTGTCAGATGAACTCACAAACACCATCAGAAAAACCTTCCTTGCAGATATATTAGAAACTCTTCTTTGCATGCTGTCTTTAGCCAGAATGAGCCTTGATTTCTTGGCAAAAATTTTACCAGCTTTGCAGAGCATCATAACATCTCTGAAATACTATGACCCAAAGCCAAAAATCTTCAATAAAGGATTGGCTCTAGCTACAGCAGATGCTTACGAAAGTACGCACAATTACGATAACAATCTTGATATTACCCACACTGTAAAGATCCCTGGAGCAAGAAAATATTATTTGGCCTTTGACCATAGATGCAAAACTGAGAAGAATTGCGATTTTTTAGAGCTTTGGAAAGACGATAAAAAAGAAGAAAAACTCTTTAGATGGGATGGAGACGATTTCCCAAAGAATGAGGAAAGAATTGAAGTAAATACCCCATATTTGTTCTTCACATTCCATTCTGATACTTCAGTCAACTATTGGGGCTGGAAAATTGATATTTTGGGTGAAGTTAAAGCTGACTATTATACTAAGTCCCCCTCTCCGTGAGCGAAAGAAACCATTAGAGAATTCCCTATTTTTTGCCCAAAAACCACACTTCGTGAGTGAACAAAAATTGTTTTAATATAAAAATATTTTGTATATAAGTAAGTAATTATTATTATAATCAAATCTCTATCTAATTTTGATTTATTTTAAACATCTTGCATTTTAAAACATAAATTTTACAAATTAAATGAATATTTGCTTTCTAATTTTTGTAAATTTTTTTTTTTTAAATTTTCGAAAACAAAAATTTTACTAAAATTTTGACTTTTTTTGGATGGCAACTTTTCGTTTCCAAATTTTAGCATAACTTATTTGCCGATCCTTTAAGAATTAATGCTTTTTGAGCTTTAAGAATAAGATCTCTCGTTGATAATCTGTCTAATTTCATATACATGAGTACTGTGCCTCTACTTTATCTGCGTAAATTATGTGATCGTTTTTAATTTTACTGTCAAAATTTTTTATATTACTCGTTATTTTGCCAAACTTTTTGCCTTATTTGCAAAATTTTGTCAGTTTTTTTTTGTCATTTTTTTGTCATTTTTTGTCATTTTTTTTGTCATTTTTTGTCATTTTTTCGTCATTTTTTGTCATTTTTTGTCATTTTTTGTCATTTTTTGTCATTTTTTGTCATTTTTGGTCATTTTTTGGTCATTTTTGGTCATTTTTTGCAATTTTTTGCCATTTTTTTTGCCATTTTTTGCCATTTTTTGCCATTTTTTTTTTTTGCCATTTTTTTGCCATTTTTTGCCATTTTTTGCCATTTTTTGCCATTTTTTTTGCCATTTTTTGCCATTTTTGCTAACAAATGATTTTAAAAAAAAATTTGCCACTTTTTGTCGATTTTTCTCTATCTTTTTAAATATTTGCTTTTTTTAAAACATATTTGCCATTTTTTGTCATTTTTCGTTTTTGCAAAATTTCGCCGAAAAAGCCTCTATCAATAAAAAAATCCCTAAATTTATATTTAAATGTTTAAAAAAAATTCCCACCGTGAGTGAACAAAATGTTTTTTTTGTTCACGGAGAGGGAGAAGTAAGCAATGGCCAGATACCATAAAAGATGCAGCAGAGACCATGGTTGGGCTTATCTACGTAAAATTGATTTTAGGAGAATTTGAGAAAACGCCAGAAGATGAAAAAGTGAGAGCTTTGCTTCAAAACCCACTGCTTAAATACGGTATTTCTGATAAGACTTTATCACTTGTTAAGTCTCAAAACCCTATCCCAGAAAGTCTGATCAACCTTGCCCAAGTGCCAAGAATTGGAGAAAAAGTTAAGCCTAAGAAATTAAATCAGTTTATTAGAAGCGATCCTACTAAAAAACTGGTATACAATAATAAATCAGAGCTGACGTTGCAAGAGTATATTGACTCTTTTGGGAAATGGGGAGATGCAAAGTATTCAGATAATCAATTTATCAACGATTTCATTGAAGGGGAATGCGAAATTTTAAGAGATTGGAACGCCCTGAAAACTTTGAGCGGGGTTAGCGAAGATGATTCAGCAATTGGAGGACCAGAATTTGATAAAGCAGAAAGAGCCATTTTCGCTGTTTATGCAGCTTTCTTTGAATTTTCCGAGATTTTCAAAACCCTTCTTCAAGATCCTACAAGTGTTGGATCTACATTCAAATATCTCATAAAAGAAGCAGTCAAATATAGAAAATGGGCGGAGAAGTACATCCACAAATTGAGAGAAACTGTATCCATGACCTTTGAAGAAGTTTCTAATTCTCCATCTATAGTTATTAAAACTATCAGAAAAAAACTGATTTTAGAAAAACTGGAATCCCTCTATTAAAAACTTTTTTTTATTTTTTAATGAGATATGCTAATTGAAAAAAATTGCAGTATAAAAAATATATAGTTTTTTGATTAAATTAATTTTTCTGATCAATCTTTCAAATTAAATCTTACTTACCCCCCCCCTCCGTGAGTGAACAAAACCATTAGAAAATCGCTATTTTTTGCCCAAAAACCCACCCTCTGTGAGTGAACAAAAATTTTTTTAATAGAAAAAATTTTTATGGAAAAAAAATTTTGATATATAAATGATAATTAGTATAATGAAATCTAGAGCTAATTCTGTTTAATTTTAAACGAATTACTTTTTAAAACATAAATTTTATAAATTAAATTAATATTTGCTTTCCAATTTTTGTGAATTAGGATTTTTTTAAATTTCGAAAAAAAAATATTTTTTTATAAAATTTATATATAAATTTTTTTAAAAAAAAAAAAATTACCCTCCGTGAGTGAACAAAATTTTTTTGTTCACTCACGGAGGGGGGGGGGGAGTTAGCAACTTTAATGAGCGAAAATTCTTACATGCAAGACTGGAGACAGAGTAAAGATGTTGTAGTTAAATGCGCTCTATTAATCAATTCACAGTATAATCAAGGATTAAATGAGCTTGGGATTACTAAAACAATGAAACATTTGGTAGCAAATGTAGTCCAAGAAGCCAGCATTTCTAAAATGAAAAGAAATGAAAGCAAATGGGAGCAAACCGAAGGAGGTGTTGCAGCAACTTCGAGCTTAGTTGATATGCTAGGAAGGAACGAAAGTGAAGACGATAGCCACTCAGAAGATGTTAAAGAAATCAAAAGAACATCTGAACTCATTCTTTCTTTATTCGAAACTCCTGCCTCAGCTGAAAAAATTGTGGATATCATTGAGAAAAGAAGAGTGAAAGCTATAGCAAGAGCTCTTGGACTTTCCAGCTTAGGAAACTTAATGAACTTATCATTTAGAAAAGAAACTTCATTAATAAGATCCTTTGTTGATTCTTTTAAGCAAAACAATGTAAAATTCCATTATTGGGAAAATGTGGAAGGAATTGATTCAAACCTATTAAAGTGCGTCCAAAAATCATTTTATAACATCTATGGATACTTGCAGAGAGAGCTGCTCCAATCCAAGACAGAAGCCATAGAAAAACCTTTATACTTCCATTACTTGACTGTTTTAGATGCGTTATGCTTCCCATTAAAAGAGCCTGATAATCTTATGATAGTAGAGCAACAGTTCCCACTTATCATTTCTCTTTTATTAAGTTGGTCTAAAGGCTATATAGGAGAAGAAATTGAGACCAAGTCATTCCTTTTGGGCCAGTGCATTACAGGATTCAAAATCTTGGCAGAAGTTGATATCTCTGATGATGTTGATAAAATTCTCTTATTTCCAATCTAGATTAAGTCCAAAAAATATTTACGAGGAGACCCACAAACTTTTTTTCATTAATTTAAATTTTCATTATGCTAAAATTTAAGGAATTTCTTTGATATTAAAATTTGGAGTATATAAATTTATAAAAAAGCGATAGAGAGAGTCGATCTGCTCCATCCAGGTCATTTCAACCATTTGAATATAAAAAATTAATAAATTTTTCTATACAATTCAACAGTTAAATTAATAGCATGCTCCCTGCTAAATGGATGGGCTAGAAACTAGAGAAGGGGAAGGCCAGAATCTCTATTTAATTATTGAGCACAAAGGACCACTTCCTGTTGTCGATTTCCAAATCACATCTGAAGAAATTGAAGGATATGAGAATTTAGGCCAGTTCACTCAGAATGGAGAATCCAAACATATTTTCGGGTAATTTTTCAAGATGGCAAATTTTTTGGCAAAAATTTTGCAACAACAAAAAAGTATTCCAAATTTGGTAAAAATGGCAAGTTTTTTTTTTAAAAAACAAATATTTGCAAAATTAGCAAAAAGAGGCAAAAAATGACATGCTTTTGCAAATATTTACTTCTTAAAAAATTGCCATTTTTTTGTTATTTCCTTTTATTTGCCAAAAAAAAAATTGTCCCATATTTTCATCAAAAAGAGCGAACCAAGTGCAAAGAACCAATTTCTGGTCAGTATCCAGGAAAGCCTTGAATGTGAGTTCAGGCCTTATTTTGATTTATTAGGTGATGAATCAGAAGATGAAAAGTTATTAACTCCCCCCCCCCTCCGTGAGTGAACAAAACCATTAGAAAAATCGCCATTTTTTGCCCAAAAACCCACCCTCCGCGAGTGAACAAAAATTTTTTTAATAGAAAAAAATTTTTATGGAAAAAAATTTTGACATATAAATGATAATTAATATAATGAAATCTAGAGCTAATTCTGTTTAATTTTAAATGAATTGCATTTTAAAACATAAATTTTATAAATTAAATTAATATTTGCTTTCAAATTTTTGCAAATTAGGATTTTTTTAAATTTCAAAAAAAAATTGTTTAGAAAATTTATTTATATATAAATTGTTTTAAAAAAACAAAAATTAACCCCCTCCGTGAGTGAACAAAATTTTTTTGTTCACTCACGGAGGGGGGGGGGAGTAAGAGAAACCCTTAAAGATAGACTATGCAGAGCAGCATGGGCTGCTTATAAGTTTTTAGTATTTAGTGTAGTTGGAAATGCAAGCCAAAGTAATTCAGTTGCCAAATATACTGCTCAAGATGTATTTTTGAATTCAATTTTTAATGAATTAAAGTGGGATCAATCGCTATTGGAGCAGGGCTACTCAGGTCAAAAGCTTAGTGGAGCAGTTTCAGGGGAGTCGTGGGTAAATAGAATGAACGTTGCCAAAGCTTTTAAAAAGAATCCAATGCAAGAATGGATTAGGCAGTTTAATAAAGAGACTGAAAAACTAGGAGAATCCTTGCTGAAGGAAATTATTAACGATTTAGTCGCCGAAGCTGATCCTGCAATGAAAGGGGTTTTAACTCCTGCTCAAATTTCGAAACTCAATCCTAAGTGCTCAAAACTCCTTTCTAGCCAAGATGCTTACAAAAATTCTAAAGGAAATTTCGATTTCTTTAAATATATCAACGCAGTCTATGCTATGAAAAATACACTTCCTAAAGAAGATCAGTATAATATTGACCACTCCAAGATCTGAACTCAAATGCCAAAAGATTTTGAGCAAGCAGCTTTATCTTATGATTTCAGTAACATTGAAATCATATATAAAAATATTGTTTCAAGGTTCAATCCTAAATATCAAGGAAAATCTTTCCAACAATTTATTGATATTTTCGAATTAACAGAAATCAAAGGCATTGTGCAAGGCGGCAAAGTTCAAGTGGATTGCCCAGCAGAATTCAAAAACGAGGAAGGCAATTTAGACTTGTATGTAACAATGCATGCAATAGCTAAAGACCAGAATAGGTTTTTCGATTATTATCATGAGCTACAATGGGCTCTTCTCCAGTATGATGATCTTCCTGATAGCTGTTTAGAAGTATATAAAGAAAGAAAATCTTCAAGCGAATATATGACTTCTCTATTGTGGACAATTTATGGGTGCCTCGGATCAAATACAATTGCCAGCCTCTTAGCCCGTGAAGAATATCTTACGGAGCTTCTTAAAATTACTTTCCTGAGTAGCGCAGAAAGAAACTTTGCCCTTGGCTCTCGCATCCTCAAAGCAATTCTCCCATCCCAACACTCAGCTCAAACGCTAGGTGCAATCTGGACTACGCTTCCTTACATTAACTCTGATAGTACAAACACCGACTTTGTCCAATTTTTGCTTAAAAGAATTGGGAAAATGGCTTACTGGTATGGCTTTAAAGATTCAAAACGCAAACTTTTTAGATGTGGCTATGAAGCAATTGTTCTTTTGATAGAACTCATGAACATAGAAAGATGGAGATGCGAAGTGCTCACCACAATTATGAAATCCTTGAACGATGCTTCCCAAAACTTAAAGGACGGAAAAGCACTTCCTATGTATCAAGTTGGAGCAATCGAAGCTTTAGCAATTTTATCGAAGCAGGTTGATATTTTCGGAAATGATCCAATTGAGCTGGCTGAAGCAAAACTAACTTATTATAAGGCAAGATGCATCATAAGTGCAATTGATGGGGACACAGTAGATATTTATTCTCCTGTCACTAATGAGACAGAGTCAGTTAACGCAAAATTAATTGCTTATTTAAGGCCGATCAACAACTTTAATACCATGAAAATACTTAGTCAAGATGAACTGAAAAATATTAAAGAATCAGCTATCAATTTGTGGCTAGTTTTAATTGACTCAGAATTTTTGAGCTTCAATATGAAATCTGAGAGAACTGCCTCATTCAGGACCCTATATGCTCACTTAGAAAACATTATTGTTAATACAATTACACTTATCTTAAAAAAGAAAGACATTAGCGACTGCGAAGGGGCAGACTTATTAAGACTCATCATGAAGCATACTAAAGCTGAAACTAAAGTCTGAAAAAATAAAGAGAAGCAATTGTTTTTCAAACAAATTCTAAAGACAATCTCAGAAAAATCCATTTATGACGACTTTGCAGATCAAGAAATAATAGAAATTTTTTCGAATGCTAGCGATAAAACCAAACATCTAATTGAAGAACTGACAAAAGAAAACATTCAGCCGATGATCATCGCTAAGTGCCTTGACAAAGGAATCAAGGATAAAAATGGGATTTTAGAATTTGCTGGAAAAATAGAAGAGCCAAAATCAAGCCTATTATTCAAGCTTCAGCCAATCAAATCTTTCAACCTTGAAACATCTGATATTGCCGGATATGCAGATATTTACCAAAATTCAAATAGCCAATTCGTGATAAAAAATAATAATTTCCTAACAGCAAGAAAAGAAATAACGACAATTTCTGACTTAGCTGTTTTCAGAAACACTACAAAGTTTGTAAAATCTTTGACCATTCTAGCGCAGTTAGAAGGCATTCACTATCAAAATCAGTTGTCATATGGTCTCAAACTTGGAGGAGTGGATATAGGAATTGACACAAATTCTGGATCGCCAAGCTTTGAAGTCAATGGCAGTGTTGTCTGTCCTGCCAGACTTGATGAGGTATTAGCTGTTAGGATTTATTTGAATTCAAATGGAGAAATCAAAATAATTAATGAAAACACCAAAGAAAGTATTGTTCTGAACGATGCAACTGCGTTTAACGGCCTTCAAATCGGAGCCTATGGACTTTATATGGAAACTGGCACAAGAGCTTCTTTGCTAACTTTTGAAGTATATGACGGCAAAAATACCAATTCTGCACCAACCAAAGTTAATAAATCCAAAGATGCTCAGACTTATAAAACAATCAAAGTCATTCAAAAATCTGAAAACTATGATAGGCTGAGACTAAAACTTTTAGACTTGACTGAAGATCAAATAACTCAAGCCCTATCATCAAGCAGAGACTTAAGGTCTAGCTTAGACTACATTTCTCAAAATTTCCCGAAAGTTTTCCAAAATACCATTAGATCTCTAAATCAAGATGTCATCACTGATTTAAAGCTGGTTAAAACAATTCGTGAAGTTCCTAATGGATTTACATGTAAATTAAAATGATGGCACGTAATACCTGTCCTTTTGGCGTAACAGTCCTGACCTTATGGCTATGGCGAACTGGGACGGAATACGAATTTCAAGTGCAGGTTCAAGAGATGTGCATCCGGTAGGTTTTAGCTTCTTTTCTGTGGTTGGAAATGGAGGTGCTCAGCAATGTCATTTGGATCCGAGGACCTATGGGAGTTCCTCTATCGAGAAACAGGGAGCTTCGGCCCAGGCCAGGGGAGCAGTCTTTTTCCTGTGGCTGTCGAAGGAAGGTACTTTGGCACCCGATGGCTCCAAGGATCCTTATTATCATACCACTCCAATTGCCCGTAGCAGGGGCCGCAGAAATCCATAAGTGCTCAAGACGGAAGCCATAAGGAGGAGACAAGCGGCACCCATTTTCGGGTGATAGACTCCTCTTAACTGGAGTCGAAAGGCGGTAAAACCTTCTGTACGCGAGGTCTTTAGTGACTACGTCACCAATATGTCTAATGCCTGACTTTTAATAACCTAACCTAACCCTATTGGATTTACAGCAGTCTCGATCTATGAAGATGGCAAACAGAAAGAATTCAATATTCCAAAGAGAATGATTTTATGTGTTAAAAAAGAGCAGGTGACTACTGGAAGTGGATACTGAAGCATTGCATTAGGCAAAGAAGTTAAAGACTATACAGATTTAGGGAACTTTGACCCTGAAGATCAAACCAGTCATATCTGGGTAAAGAAAGGAGATATAGAAAAAATATGTATAAAAGATATCATTTTCATCAAATCTTCTTCAATGTACAACGTAAAAGTGCCATTTGGTTATAAGATAATTAAAGATGGCGAAGGCAATGCGATAAATCTTGGCCATAGCTTAGGAAAGAAATCATTCTTAGTTTTAGCTGTAAAGACAAGTGATACTGTTCTGAACTGCGCGCTTAAACCATTCAAGAAGATGTACTCACTTAATATGCCACCATGCGGATTATTAGAAAGTCAAATAAATTCCGAAGGAGAAGTTAAAGAAGACCTTTTCGATGGCCTGTCTATTCAAGAGCTCTTCAGTCACTTTTATAAGCTTATAGATTCCTCAAAGCAAGTTTCATACAAAAATCTTGCTCTAGTGCTCATCAAAAAATACCCAACCTCTATTGAAACAATAGCTGAGGAATTCAGTACCATCAAATTACTCGATTTCTTAGGAAGTTCTGTGAATAAAATATCTAAAAAGATTGATACTTTACTATCCCAAGATAATCCGATATTCAAGGATAAGTTTCTCAAGGATTGCCTAGAAAGGATGCTTAGATGCTTGATCTACACAGAAAAGCAAGGATCATTATCAGCTGCTTTGACAATTGAAAGCCCAAGCCACCCATATGAGAATAAAATAGACATAGATCAAAAAATCATAATTCCTGGAGCTAAAAGGCTCAAATTTGTGTTTTATCCAGAATGTGAAACTACATTCGTTGATGATTTTTTAAAATTCTATAAGAATCCAGGTAGAGTTGATGAAATCAGATGCATTTCTGGAACGATTGATGAAAATTGGGCTCCATTTGAAGTAGAAGGAGAAGTTGTTTATATGCATTTCCACTCTGAGTGGCAAACTAACTTTTGGGGATATAAGTTTGATGTGATTCCTGAAGGCTTAGTTTCTGTAGCTCCAGATCATCCTTGGCCTGCAATATGGGTGCTAAATAAGATTTCAAGCATCAACCCAATACCTAAAGAATTTATGGAAATAATGCACCCTAGGTGTGTCCAGTCTATTTTCTTGCATTCTCTTTCAGCAAACACACTGGAATTGAAGCTCGACTCTATAAAAATCTTGAATAAGATAATAAGAGATCAGAAAGGCCCATTGTTCAAAAATATTCTTAGCATCTTGATTGCTCAAGCAAATGAGCTTCATAATATTGTGAGCATTAACAAAGAAGAAAATAGTTTGATGCAAGCTACTGCAAGGCTATTAGAAGATGCTTCACATAAATTCCAACTTACTGGAGAGGAACCTTGGTTTATTGAATTTTGTAAACTTGTTTTTGATATTAAAGGTCTAAGCGAAAAGGATGAACTGCTAGAAACTTTCTTATTTGAGTCATTCAAGAAGAACGTTACTTGCAACCTCGGAAGAACTTATGAGTCTAAACATCCTTATATTAGGCAAACCACAAAAGAATTGATCAAAATTCCTGGTGCTTCTCTTATCAGTATCGTCTTCGATTCAAATTCAAGTCTTGACCCAAGAGACACAGCTGTTTTCAGCTATGATGAAGATGGTAAGAAATTAGTCGAAGAAAAGAAAATTGAAGCCATAAGCGATGCTCGATGGAGAAAAGAGCCATGTGGAAGGAAAGTCGCTTTTTCAGAAGGAACTTCAAAAGTTACCAAAGTCAAAAGAAGCGGATGGGGCAATGCAATTTGGTCTGAAGACTACTCAGACGGCATAGTGAATATCAAATTCAAGATAGAATCTGATGGAAATTCTGAGTATTTGTACATTGGAGTTTATAGGACTGAAAAGGATGCCCAAGATTATGACCTAAATGAGTATATTGGATGCGAGTGTCCTCATGATGCATGGAGTTGGAAAAGAACTGGAGAATTTCATAAGAAAGGATGGTCCAAAGATGGGTTCGAAGGATTTAAGAAAGGAGATGAAATCACAATGTTGATTGATATGGACTTAAGAGAACTGACTTTCTTTAACGGAACTCTTGAAATCTTCAAGTTCACGGGGATTGCTTCTTCAGTCACACCAGTGGTCTGCTTTGGTTCTTTGAATCAAGCCATTACTGTGCTCAGTGTTAAAAGAATGGCTGAGTCCAAACCTCTTTCTGAAAGAAACTTGGATATTATAGGAGACTCAGTCTATTTTTGGTTCCCAGTTCATAAAACTGCTAATATTAAGCATGCATGGGACAGCAATCAGAACGGAGCTGCACTCAACGCGAATAAAGCGACTATCACTAAGTCAACAAATGATAAAACTTACCATGAGACTGAAGCCGAAATGACGCATAGCAAATACTACATCGAAGTCTCTGTTGAATCTAAAGGATATGTAGGGGTTGGCTTTACTAAGAAGAGCTTGATCAATACGAACAATATTGAAGGAAATGAGCAAACTGTAATTTATTATAGTAATGGGAAAATTGGCAACGCTGAAAGCATGAACTATGACCAAAACGACGTTATTGGGAGCTATATCGATTTTGATAAAAACGAAATTGCCTTTTATAAGAATGATAAACTACTACATACTGCCCAAGCAGCTCTTAATATTGAAGACTCTAAAGACTGCTTCAAATTTATTGCTGTCTTATCAGAAGAAAACCAAAAATTATCAATCTGTAATACAGGAAAGTACCCTACTGGTGTTGATCTTGCAAGAATTGACTCTGAACAAGAAAATAAATTTTGGGGCTGTAAGTTCTTTTTAACACCTACTTTCAAAGGAAGAAGCACCAAGGTCATTGATTCCTATTTGAGCTTTGCATCAGCTGGCGACAGAGAAAATTGGAGAGAAAACTACAAACCTACCTATTCCAAATTTTTCAAAGATGGCATAGCTCAGCAGTTTATTGAATTCATGGATGGATATCTGGACGCCAATTCAATTAGTTTCGATAATAGTTCATTGAGTATTTCTCCAGAAGATTTAATTTATTATCCAGACTTACAAAAATTATCAGAAGCAGAGTTGTTTAATTTAAAAGAAATTTTGATTGATTTCAACTGAAGATTCCAAGATTACTTCTATTTATTCGATTTGCACACTGAAGCAGACGAGCCAGAAAACTCTCTCATGAAGTTTATTAAAAAGGCCAAATATTATCTATTATCAAAATTCAAGAAGGAAAAATTGGAAAACCATCTTCAAAAGTCTTCGTGTGACTTAAGAATGGGCATTACTATCGATAAAGCTAAAGCGCAAGAACTGAAAGCTAAAGGGGATGTTGATCATTCTGCAACTGCTTCAATGTTTAGTCAAATAAGCAGAGCCATGGGGACAGCAGCAAATATAATTCATAGACATTGTAGAAGAATGTTCAAATTTGCATACAAGCCAGAAGGAATCCAAGATGACCCCGTAAAGTATTGTGGATTATTGATAGAAATTTCTAAAGAGCTTGAGTCCCCATTACTTCCACTTTTGATCCCATCTCAAAATAATATCCTTAACATAGGTAATGGAAGAGATAATTGAATTATCAATCCAACGTCCATCCTCCCAGCTCATATGCACCTATTCACCACTCTTGGGAAATTCTTCGGTTCCGGAATCCGTACCAATCAAAGTCTGAGTCTTTCACTCCCTATTATTGTATTTAAGCATCTTCTATACGAAAATGTCACAACCGAAGATTTAAGGGACTTTGACTTCCCACTCTACAAGTTTTTGCATAAATTAAGGAACCTTGAAGTCTATGGAATTACTTCGGAAAACTTCGGCCAGCACATTTCTGAGAGGTTCATAGTGAAATACGGCGAAAAGGTTATGGAACTTTGTGAAGACGGAGCCAATATTGACGTTACTTTTGAAAATGTTGGCCACTATGCTGATCTATTAGAGAAGCACAAATTATTTGAAAATCCTAAAGCTTACGATTCTATAAGGAAAGGTATAGCTATTGTTATTCCTATTGATAAATTGAACCTATTCACAGCTGCTCAACTACGTGAACTCATATGCGCGAAGCAAGAAGTCAAATTAGAAGTCTTAGAAGAAAACACCGTTTACGAGAATTGCAGAAGAACAGATCCGCACATTGAAATCTTCTGGAGAGCAATTAAATCATTAAACTATAGTGACCATGTCAAATTTATTGACTATATTGCTAGAAGGTCTAAGCTTATTGAATGGGATTGGCCTCTGAAATTTACAATAGCCAAGCACAGTAAATCCGAAGATGTGAATACATTGGTTCCTATTGTCGACAATACTATATTCAGACTTGAGCTGCCAGCTTATACATCTTCAGAAATCATGAAAGAGAAGATTATACTTGCGATTGCCCAAAATAACAAGTTTGATTCTTTAGACATTAATATTTAAGATAATGGGCATTCAAATTAAAATTAGGTTTAATTCAATATATTATACTTTAACGCCAAAAATATATCTTCTCTATATTTTTGTTTAGGAGCGGGCTAAATTACCCTGGACAATAAACTTCACTAGCATTAAATTCCCTACTCGCTTAAATTATTTTTCTCATGCCATCTTATTGATGCCTTTGCGAGCTGATTTATTTAGACAAATCAAATAAAAAAGTTAAATGTATTCGGGAAGGACATAATAACGAAAGCCAGGTTTAAATTATTTTTTTAAGTCTAAAACTAGATTATTTATAGTATATAAAGCTCTTAATACGAAAGAAAATAATTTTATCAAAATTGAAGCCTGTTGCTAAAAAAAATTATAGAATGCATTAAGCTAAAATTTTTTAAGGCCTTTTGCTTACATTATTGAAACAAATTAAAATAATAAGTTTTGTATTCTTAAAGTATATATATTCCAGAAGTATTTTAACCTGAATACTTAAAGCTTTAGAGCAAAACCTTTTAGATTTCATTTATCCAGATAATAAGAATTGAGCTTACAATTCTGGTTATTGCATTTTATTGCTTCAATCTTTTTACCTACTCTTCTAAGTGAGATATAATTACTATAATAAGCAACATCAATAATTATTTTTTGATCTAAATTAAAATAATAATATTCTCTAACCGAATCAGAAATAGTTGAGATGTAGACTTGCACAATTTGTATTAAAATAATGAGCTGAAACAAATAATAGTTTTTAAAGCGCTTTAAGTTTAAGAATACGATGCATATTTACATTCTCTGCTTCGAAAAACATCATTTAACAGCTTAAGCTAGGACCAAAACCCTATAATTTTCATATTATGTGGAAATTTTACAAACAAAATCGCCATTATATGAGTTCTATTCTTATCCGATTAAATTAGCTAACCTGAGTATTTGAATAAACATAGCAGCCCATAGCCTAGACAACGGTTTTTAATATTTTGATATGCTTCTGTGGTTATCAGCACTTAATAGAATGCAAAAGCTATAATTATAATTAGTAAAATTGGCTCATTAAACTTTTAGATTTATAAATAAACCAGAAATTAATAAAGCTTTATTCGTCGATTTATTTTAATTAATATTAAAATTGAAAACTTTACAAAGAAGGAGATCAATTAAAATATAATTAATTAAAAGCAGAGATTAACTAAATAAATAAATAAAGCCATTAATTTAGCAATGCTTTATTGCAAAATCTACTTAAATAGCATAATAAATTTACTTTATTTTATAATACCATAAAGGTTTTAAATGGCATGTTTAAAGTGTTCAATGAGTGCGCGACGCTTGATTTTAGAAGAAGAATTAAAGCTGTACATGAAGGGAAGGGAATTACTGCCTTCTAGCCAGGTATCAAGGATGATGAAGCAGCATTGGAAAGTCATGGAGTTTGGCGGCATGTCAGAGAACGAGGAAGAATGGCTAAATGGTACAGATATTGCTCTCAATGCAGAAGAATACTTGATGCCACCAGAAGAGTTCTTTTCTGACTATGAATCTGAGGAGGATTACTGAAGCAACTACGATGACCATGATGATTATGATGAAGAAGATGAAGATGAAATATGAGGAAGATTTGTATCCTGGGCTTGGAACCAAACTGAAGAAGTGCTTGATAGTGAGACAACTACGCCGCTTTATGCAACAACAGGCACTCGGCCTGTGGAAATAGTTCAAACCTCAAGTGATGAAAGTGGAATCAAGGACAACACTGAGGTTGGGAATGCTGGAGATAAAGCTGAAGGTCAAGGTACACCAGAGAGTAAGGATTCTGAAGGAGGTGATTCCCTAGAAAATGCTAAGTGTTGGAATTTAGGCGTTGAGTCGATTACAAGCAAAAAAGTTTGCCCGCGAAAAGGGAAGGGATGAAATAAAATGGAATTTGCATGCAAGTCATGGAGAAAGAAAAATTGAAGAAAAAAGAGATATGAATGCAACAAGATTTTGGATATACATAATATTGGGGTAGAAAATTATGAAAGGAGTTTAGGACGAAGATATCAAGTCTTAAATGAAGTAGAATTGAATTTGAAGAAAAAAGCCGAAAATGTGAGGTATGGACAGAATTTTTTAGATGGAAATAATTGGAGTTGAAGGGGAAGAAAAAAGAAGAAGAATTTGGAAAATATTGGTCCTCTAGAGGGCGATAACCGTTAAATTATTATTATTATTATAATACCTATAAATAGATTCTGAAATTAGGGTGTTAGGGTGTTAGGGTGTTAGGGTGTTAGGGTGTTAGGGTGTTAGGCTTTTAGTGTTAGGGTGTTAGGGTGTTAGGGTGTTAGGGTGTTAGGGTGTTAGGGTGTTAGGGTGTTAGGGTGTTAGGGTGTTAGGGTGTTAGGGTGTTAGGGTGTTAGGGTGTTAGGGTGTTAGGGTGTTAGGGTGTTAGGGTGTTAGGGTGTTAGGGTGTTAGGGTGTTAGGGTGTTAGGGTGTTAGGGTGTTAGGGTGTTAGGGTGTTAGGGTGTTAGGGTGTTAGGGTGTTAGGGTGTTAGGGTGTTAGGGTGTTAGGGTGTTAGGGTGTTAGGGTGTTAGGGTGTTAGGGTGTTAGGGTGTTAGGGTGTTAGGGTGTTAGGGTGTTAGGGTGTTAGGGTGTTAGGGTGTTAGGGTGTTAGGGTGTTAGGGTGTTAGGGTGTTAGGGTGTTAGGGTGTTAGGGTGTTAGGGTGTTAGGGTGTTAGGGTGTTAGGGTGTTAGGGTGTTAGGGTGTTAGGGTGTTAGGGTGTTAGGGTGTTAGGGTGTTAGGGTGTTAGGGTGTTAGGGTGTTAGGGTGTTAGGGTGTTAGGGTGTTAGGGTGTTAGGGTGTTAGGGTGTTAGGGTGTTAGGGTGTTAGGGTGTTAGGGTGTTAGGGTGTTAGGGTGTTAGGGTGTTAGGGTGTTAGGGTGTTAGGGTGTTAGGGTGTTAGGGTGTTAGGGTGTTAGGGTGTTAGGGTGTTAGGGTGTTAGGGTGTTAGGGTGTTAGGGTGTTAGGGTGTTAGGGTGTTAGGGTGTTAGGGTGTTAGGGTGTTAGGGTGTTAGGGTGTTAGGGTGTTAGGGTGTTAGGGTGTTAGGGTGTTAGGGTGTTAGGGTGTTAGGGTGTTAGGGTGTTAGGGTGTTAGGGTGTTAGGGTGTTAGGGTGTTAGGGTGTTAGGGTGTTAGGGTGTTAGGGTGTTAGGGTGTTAGGGTGTTAGGGTGTTAGGGTGTTAGGGTGTTAGGGTGTTAGGGTGTTAGGGTGTTAGGGTGTTAGGGTGTTAGGGTGTTAGGGTGTTAGGGTGTTAGGGTGTTAGGGTGTTAGGGTGTTAGGGTGTTAGGGTGTTAGGGTGTTAGGGTGTTAGGGTGTTAGGGTGTTAGGGTGTTAGGGTGTTAGGGTGTTAGGGTGTTAGGGTGTTAGGGTGTTAGGGTGTTAGGGTGTTAGGGTGTTAGGGTGTTAGGGTGTTAGGGTGTTAGGGTGTTAGGGTGTTAGGGTGTTAGGGTGTTAGGGTGTTAGGGTGTTAGGGTGTTAGGGTGTTAGGGTGTTAGGGTGTTAGGGTGTTAGGGTGTTAGGGTGTTAGGGTGTTAGGGTGTTAGGGTGTTAGGGTGTTAGGGTGTTAGGGTGTTAGGGTGTTAGGGTGTTAGGGTGTTAGGGTGTTAGGGTGTTAGGGTGTTAGGGTGTTAGGGTGTTAGGGTGTTAGGGTGTTAGGGTGTTAGGGTGTTAGGGTGTTAGGGTGTTAGGGTGTTAGGGTGTTAGGGTGTTAGGGTGTTAGGGTGTTAGGGTGTTAGGGTGTTAGGGTGTTAGGGTGTTAGGGTGTTAGGGTGTTAGGGTGTTAGGGTGTTAGGGTGTTAGGGTGTTAGGGTGTTAGGGTGTTAGGGTGTTAGGGTGTTAGGGTGTTAGGGTGTTAGGGTGTTAGGGTGTTAGGGTGTTAGGGTGTTAGGGTGTTAGGGTGTTAGGGTGTTAGGGTGTTAGGGTGTTAGGGTGTTAGGGTGTTAGGGTGTTAGGGTGTTAGGGTGTTAGGGTGTTAGGGTGTTAGGGTGTTAGGGTGTTAGGGTGTTAGGGTGTTAGGGTGTTAGGGTGTTAGGGTGTTAGGGTGTTAGGGTGTTAGGGTGTTAGGGTGTTAGGGTGTTAGGGTGTTAGGGTGTTAGGGTGTTAGGGTGTTAGGGTGTTAGGGTGTTAGGGTGTTAGGGTGTTAGGGTGTTAGGGTGTTAGGGTGTTAGGGTGTTAGGGTGTTAGGGTGTTAGGGTGTTAGGGTGTTAGGGAGTTAGGGTGTTAGGGTGTTAGGGTGTTAGGGTGTTAGGGTGTTAGGGTGTTAGGGTGTTAGGGTGTTAGGGTGTTAGGGTGTTAGGGTGTTAGGGTGTTAGGGTGTTAGGGTGTTAGGGTGTTAGGGTGTTAGGGTGTTAGGGTGTTAGGGTGTTAGGGTGTTAGGGTGTTAGGGTGTTAGGGTGTTAGGGTGTTAGGGTGTT